GACGCCTTGCTTCCTCTTTCAAGACTGTGGCTTGATTATAGACCTGAAGCCTTCAAGAAGTGTGAAGTTCTGGTTCTTCTTCGTCGCAGGTACTGGAAAGCCGTGTAAGCCTTGGGCGTCCTATTTTAACCTATTTCTTGACCCCGAATCTTGAGCTCATGCTACCGGCTATAGCGTGCATGCATATGTGATAAGCAAGCATAATGCGCACAATCGCATACTTTCGACAGCAGTTCTGTGTTTAGAAGCCTGTAATTGGGTTTGCACATACTTCGAACGCTGCTAGACTTCTGTGATTCAAAACGTCAGGTGACTGGCCTTGTTACTGCGTTGATTCATCAAGCTACTATATATATTGATCCTCTCAACAGGCACATTGGACAATCAGGACCAACAACTTCATCAACTCTGTAGCGCAAATTTGTTAACTTGAGCATGGCCTTTTCCGAGCAAGGGCTTTTCCGGGCATGCCAGCATGTGTTGCCGTACGCAGAGATAGTTAACTGCTTTACGGATAAGTAAAATCTTTATTTTGAGGGCTATATTCGCAATGTCCCTGTCAATAATGAGATCTCTGACGGGTTCTCTCCACTTTGGCTAAACACATGGCTACCGCTACCCGCGCTTCTCTAGCGGTTCAGGGTATAGCTCGATCGGGTTTCAGCTTTTCAGAGTCGCATTCGGCGTCGCTGCTGATACCCAGCAAAACCAAAGTTGAACTGGAACTGGCAGCACCGAGAGCAAGGCCAGATTACAGGAGCGACGCCGTACCACGTTGTACCCTAGCTTCGGACGAATTTAGCTTTGCTGCCGTCTCATCTTTAAGTTTTCTGCAACTTGGCCGATGTATTCCACGGCTCACTCCAGAATCCAAAAGTCGCGTACATCTACGAATGGGATGAACCTCCGCATCGCTTAGAGGAAGAAGCGCCCGTCATGCGCCACAGTTTGGGTCTGTCACCCTTCCGGTGGCTCGTCACACTCCATCAGAACTAGACATACAAATTCACCAAAGTGTGTACGGTTTGCTAACTTCTATCTTGTGATATTCGTTGCAAGCCATGTGCCCTTCCTTACGTGGCTATTCGATAATTGATTTTGCTCGCCTGCAATGTCAACATTCGGCGGTCGGTCTGCCTGTCCACTGAGGTATAGGCTTGCAACAATCCAGCCGGCCATGAGCCGTGAGTGTAGTTTGCATCTTCGTTACATGCATCGACCCTAATAGGCAGCTGGAGGCCGGCCGGATGCTAATAGCAAGATTAGCCACGACGCCCAATGCAACCTGGCGTGTCATTGCATCGTCGGGACAGAGTTTGGCGAGACAGCTAAGCATGCAGCAATCATGCTGGGTATGGTACCAGGTTGAAAACTTCCCTGAAAAGAAAAAGAGGAAATCTCCCTCAGGTGAATCAAGCAATCCCAATTCCAGGTCTCTGGCTCTGCCTAGGCTATACTATCATTGTGAAATTCACTGTTTTGCACTCTCGCTTCGAGAGATTTCATCAAAACTCTTGCAGACATCAGCCCTGCACTCTGCGCGAAAACAAGCTCCGGAAATGAGCCGTATATTGAACGCTCACCTGAACTAAGACCACCAAACCTTGCATATTCATCACAAGATGCGGATCCTGTCAGAAATCGAGTTCCAAGGCTGGACCTTGTTTGAGCTCTCGCTAGAAATTTCTAGTAGCCGCTAATGTACCCAACCGAGAGAAGCCAAGTCTGCAGATCAGACTGGTTGATAGCCCGTTCGCATCTATTCCGACAAATGCCCTTAATTATTAGTTTGCCGCAGCAGCGTCGGAAAAGACAGACAAGACCCCCCCCCATATGTGGTATAGCTTGCGCTGGCCGTTTTTGACTGTAGATGCCGAATGGCCTTGGCAGACTGCATTAACCTTCGGCGTTACCAATCCACGTGAACCACCTTGCTCTTTTTCTTCACCGCAATATCTGGGGTGCCCTTACCTGGTCATCAGCAGCTCATTACCTTAAACGAGTCATGTAATTGTCAGCGACTCATCTCATCAAAAAGTTTATACCCATGCCCATCATGGCCAAAGCTTCGAGGCCCGGACAAAGATGCACACGTGCAGACCCTTGTTTGGAAATGCTAATAGCTGATCATCGTATAATAGCGACTGTAATATCCCGCCCGACCGGAAAATATCTCGGTTCCACGTGCTTTTCGGGCTGTGCTGAAATATCTCCTAGCGCACAAGCTCGTCCGCAAAATTGCGTCTCGCAAGGGGGGAAGGGCAACCAGATCCAGACTAAGGATTAGACTTAGTGTGCTGCACTTTGCCCGATTCATAACGAGCTGCAATTTGGTTATAGTGCCATCAGTGCGGCTCAACCACTAAACCGTTGGAGGGACCCGGTTGTGTGGTTCCCCAGCCACGATAAACGAGTTGCAGCAAACTCTATGACGAGAGCCATCATTCGTGTGGCACGGGGCGGAACAGGCCAGGTCTCTGTTGGCGAACAGACTGGATACCTGTTTAGCTTTGAGCATTAGATTCTGGATCTATTGAGGCCCCAAAACCGGCCAAGCTCGTCCGCTCTGTCATAGCGCCGCAGAAAACATCCGCTAATTGGCAGCTGCTAGACACGCGATCGAGTTATGGCTTGCGGTCTTAAACAGAGATCGCTCGTATCACAGGAGCCAGCACTGATGTGTGACCAAGTACCTCCCAACCTGCCAATCCAGCATCCAGCCTACCTAGAAGGTAAACAAAAAGTCCGACTGACGTAGCCAACGTCTTCGGGGCTACTGAATAGGACCAACCACCCCACGGATGCTCGCAAATATGTGTGAAGTGGGAAGCTAGTAACCAGCATGTCTGGATCATCCGAAGCTGAAAACATGTAAGTTTGCTAGGCTCCAGTAGTCTGACGGGAGAAACCAATGCCAGACGAAACTCCTTTATGGACACATTCGAGCGGGCATCAAAAATTTCTTGGCTACCATGACTTCAATGTGAAATGTGAGCCTCCTTTATATATACGTATACGCATATACGCGAATATTCGGCAATTTCTTCGTTAGCCACAACCAACAATTGCTTCAACGACTGAATTCTACTTATGTATGACTTGCACATATAATGATCGAACCACAAGCTGAGGAGAATTGCTCTCAGCTCGTGAGGTATTAGTGATATTTATGATCCGTCACAATTGGCTTCTACGGCCGAGTTGCTACATCCTTGTCGTCCGTTAGGGGCCATAAACGTCAACTGAAATGTCGTGTGCTGGCTAGCTGGCTAGCTGTCTATGCAATCTCTGCCTCCAGAAGCTGCCACGTACCATATGTAACTTCACGAGTATCTCTGCCAGAGCTGTGGCTCTGTAGGTTCTTCTATGCAGGGACCCGAGCCTGCGGCAAAGTTCCGCTCTGGCATGGCTGTAGGACATGCCTTTATGATACGACCGCCGCAGGAAGACTACATATTGGCTCGTTCACTAAGCTTCATAACTACTATGATAGTTCCTGTTCGTAGCCGAGAGCAAGAACCCCTCTTGCCTCATCTCGGACAAGCACACCACGGTCCAGGATAGCGTCTGGTCTCAACACAAAGCCATAGTGAATGTCCGTGAAGTCGGCGTACTCGGGGTGGAAAAATAACGCGCGCACTTCCACCGTATACCCCCAATAGGGGGGACAATGCACGACGCACCCCCTCGCCCAAATCGGAAAAGAGTTTGTCCCAAAGACACTTCAGACCCAGGTAACACACGCTGGTTCCCGGTCCCGACCCCAACTACGAGGTGTAACCGGGGGGGACGGGGGGAAAAGTCCGAGTTGTTGGTAGCCGGTAGAGTCGTGCCGCCACCTCCCTGCACGCATTTCCCCCTCTCCTGGGGGGAAGGGGGGAAGGGGGGTTTTTTTTTTCATTTTTTTTTTTCATTTTTTTTTTTTCAAATCCATCCAGTGTAGCACAGAGGAAGGCCTTACGGCCGTTGTGAGGCATGACGATGATGGGAGCAAAGGCCCCCCTCCTCCGCTTCGGCCCTTCGGAGAACTCCCAGGGGCCAAAAGATCTCTCGGTTCCCTTCGCTGGTTAGGGTGCCCTTTCTCGAGTTATGAGCTATGCGACATTGTTTGCTTGCTCCTGGCGGGTGCACGGTATTATGAGTGGTTTGGCGCCTTGCACAGGAGGGTAATCGATTTGGTTCGGCTTTGAGTGGGAAACAGGGTTGGGTATTGCGTGGTGGCAGCGACAAACCGGACTCGGCAAGAGTTGCGCGTAATATTGGATAGCTGTTGGCACTGAAACATGACGGTTGGGTCCGGAGCACGTAGTCAGCTGTCGAATCAGTATAATTCCCTGCTTCCCAAGAAATTCGCTTAATTTTCCATGTTCTTTCTTTTTTCTTTCCCCCTTTTCTTTCTTTTTCTCCGACGGACTCAAACATGAAGCTTTCCTGCAGGTCCATGCAGCGATTTCTTCCGACGCAGTCTACCGTGGCACGGGATCTGTAACGGGAAACGTGATCAAGCCCATAACTCGGACGCCGTGTACGTGTTACGCTCGCTTCATCCGTTTCGAATGTGGTTCCTCAGCAGTAGCTCGAGCTTTTCCACATCGGTGTCGTGGAACTGTGGTACAAAGATCCGTGGAGGTCATTGGTTTCCCGACTAAGCGGAATGGCTAAATGATTGGCTGCGAGTAGAGCGCACCAATTTATACTAGAGGCCTCCTAGATGAGATGAACGAAGAGCTGGATGTTTCTTGGCCAGGTATAGCCAGCTCACGAGGAACCACAATGAATTGGCGATGGTCAGGGTTTGAATTCGCCGGTGCTTTTCATTCAGTCGGACTAATTTGTACTCGTTGATACTATTGAGGAGTTGAGTATGCACAGTGTTATAATATAAAGCCAACCAAGAAGTGTCGCTATGACCATGATGCACCAGCCGCTCAAACTACCCAGAGCGAATGAGTAATACTCCAAGAACGCCTTCTAGTACTCATGCAGATGTTGACAGTATATTACAGGCGTGGCTGGATACCAGCAAATGCCGTCTCCTGGGGCCACTGCACTTCGGGCCAGATCTCACGTATGGCTTCCCAGATGTGGCTATACAAGCTGTGTTAGCGATTGTCAAATTGCATGTGTCGGAAGCGAAAGACACAACATAAAGCGGGTGTAAGATGTCTCAAGGACGGCGGCTACTTACCTCACGTAGATGATCTTCAGACCCTCTCTAACTTCTGGGGGCACCTCTCTAGCGTCTTTCTCGTTTTGTGCGGGCAGGAGAACTGTCTTGACACCTGCGCGATAGGCTCCGATTACCTTCTCTTTGATGCCTCCAACGCGCTTGACATGCCCGGAAAGTTGGAACTCTCCCTGTGATACACGATTAGCGTCTTGACTCTAGTTGCTCCCACGGTGGGTAACAAGGACTTACAGTCATGGCCATAGTCGGTGGCACGGCTCTCCCTGACAGCAACGAAATCAGGGCTATGGCCTGTGCCATGCCACTCGAAGGGCCATCTTTGGGCACAGCACCAGACGGGCAATGCACATGAAGACTTCGGTTCTTCATAATGTTCTCCGACGGGTCTTGGGTGAGGCCAAGCTCGTATGCATGATTCCGGACCCAGCTCCGTGCTACCTTGACACTTTCCTTCAATACCTCGCCTAGGTTACCAGTCAGCTCCACACTGCCGTCACCTGGCATATCCAGGACTTCGATGAACAAGATACCACCATTGCCACCGGAGCTATATGCGACAAGACCGGTGACAATACCTGGCTGGGTATGCTTCTCTGCAATCTCGTCTTCGAAGCGTTCTATGCCCAAGATTGTTTCAAGATCTTCAACTGACAGCTTTGCATGGTATGTCTCAGGCTGGTTCTTGTCGTTTGACTCGACAAACTCGACAGCCTTGGCACGACATACTGAGCCAATCTCCCTTTCAAGGTTGCGCACCCCTGCTTCGCGAGTGTAGGACTCGATAATCTTGGAAACAACTTCTTCGCTGAAGATGACCTGATCTTCGCCGAGACCATTAACACGAATCTGCTTTGGCACCAAATGTTGCAGGGCGATGTGTCTCTTTTCCAGTGTTGTGTATCCGGAGAACTCAAGGGTTTCCATGCGATCCAACAGGGGGCCAGGGATTGTGTCCAATGAGTTAGCAGTGGCGATAAAGAGGACTTTGCTCAGATCAATCGGAACATTGATGTAATGGTCACTAAAGGCGTGGTTCTGCTCTGGATCCAAAACTTCAAGCATAGCAGCCGAAGGATCGCCGTTGTGATTCGCCATGCCAAGCTTGTCAATCTCGTCCAGGAGGAAGACAGGGTTCGCAACGCCGACCTTGCGCAAACCCTGCACGATGAGACCAGGCATTGCTGCCACATAGGTCCTACGATGACCGCGAATCTCAGCTTCATCCCGAACGCCTCCAAGCGATATCCGATGGAACTTTCGGCCCAAGGCTGTGGCGATAGACCGGGCTATGCTTGTTTTGCCCGTACCCGGGGGGCCGACGAGAAGCAGGATGGGGGCCTTTTCAGTCCTCAGCTTGCCTTGGAGCATCTGTACCCTCATTCCGCTTGCCTTGATCTTTTCCTCAAGCTCCGGGCCGATTTCCACGCCATCCTTGGCTTCGCCTTTACTCGATTCCAGGTCAACGGCTTCTTGCTCAGCTTGCTTTATCTGCGCACCGACCTTTTCGTTTGCCGATTGCATCAATCTGACAATGGTCAAGTATGACAGTAAACGTTTTTTGACCTTCTCAATGCCATAATGGTCATTGTCAAGCTGTTGCCTCGCCTTCTCCAATGTTCCCACGCCGATGGGATCGTCCGTGTATACGGACCATGGTATCTCTACTAGTGTTTCCAAATAGGTGCGAATGACTTGATACTCGGCTTGAGCAGGGTTCATTTGTTTCAAGCGGCCGATCTCTCTCTCAGCAACCTTGGCAGCATCTGGGGGCATCTTTGCAGCCTCGATCTTCTTGGCCAGTTCTTGCATCTCATCGGAGTCGGCCTGTGATCCACCTTTACCTCCTCCACCGAAGAGACTGCCCAGATCAAATGCAGCGCCTTGCGGTAGTTTTATCATGGGCAACGACGGCTTTTTGCCAGATCGCTTATCTGGGTTTCTGTCGTCGTCTTCCTCGCCAATGCGGATCGGCACAGTGGTGCTTGTGACTGTGGTGATCTTGATGTTGCCCTTAATGTCCTCCACTTGACGCTCGAGCAGGTCGATGACCTTTTGCATGCGAACTTGGACGTCGACAGCGCCAAGAACCTGGAGTTTCTCCTCGTAGTTGGCGTCGACGACGTTCATCATAAAATCAGCCAAGGAGCCCCCCTCCTGTGGGCCTTTCTTTGAGATGAATTGTTCTAGTCGCCGTGAGAGCAGAGGGTTGAGTCCCGAGGACCTCGAGGACAGCAGAATAGCTGACATTCTCAAGCACGATATCAGCTCCTGGGACAATTGCATGAGCCTTGAGAAGAGTTCTTGATACTGTGGGGCCTGGATGATGTGAACAGGTACAGCGTCGGTGTGCGGCGTAACCTTGCTCTCGAAGAAGGGATGCTCTTGGGTGATCTTGTCGAGGGAGACGCGACCGATGCCTTGGACCAGCAGGTTAAACTCGCCACCGTTCTGGCCCTGGATACCGGTGATCTTGGCGGTAACTCCATGACCAAAGAGCTTGTCTTTCTTTATGTTGGCTGAGTCGGCTTCGAGCAGGTCTTGATACTTGTCGGGGTCGTTGGCGATGAGGAGCTGTCCGCGGCGGCTGAGTAGCGGCGAGCTCAGAGGCACAACGACGACGGGAATCTGATCAACGCGCCTGGAGCCCTTGGAGGCTCGGGCATAGACGCTGGCCAACAGAGCCGGTATGTCGTCTCGACTCGAGGGAACGGGTATACGGAGGACCGAGCCGGGGAACAGCACACTACCCTTAGTAAGAGGAATCACGGGCATGACGGCCGACTGGACCGGAGGAGCCATGCTGGGCCGAGTTGAAGATGGCTGAGCGCAGTCGCAAGGAGATAGGCCCGACAGCGGGGGCTCTCTTACACAACAGAGCAAGTAAGTGGTTTGATGACGGTGGACGTTCACGAAATGTGTCAGACGAGAACGAAGAGGGCAAGCGATGTTATGGGAGACAGGGAACCAACGAAACCGTCGTGACAAAGGCGGTCGCAATGCAGAAAGTGATGGAAGATACCTGCGGTAGCACCTTGCCTTAAAGGTGGTTAATGCTTGCCGCTTGGTGCTGATGTCAGGGGAGTTGCAACCGCTAGAACCGAGGCCCAGTGGGTTCCGAGCCCGCAGCCGCCAATCCAGTCTCGGAAACTTCCCATGCTGGCTGGCTGGCTGGCTGGCTGGTCCGGTACCCGAGCAGTGCCACCCAAACCTGAACCTGAACCTGAACCCCAGAAAATACACAAGTAGCGTGACGTGATGCCAGACTAGTCTGACCTAGTCCAGGCCGAACCGTTCATGTGATTCGGACTACCTCCTGCGATACTCTGATATATATATCTCATTAGACAGGACTATGTACGCATCATACATACATGCCTACTTTTACACATATGAACCTATTCAGACCGCAGGTAAGTCATAAGTTGCACGTACTAGTTACTAACTATAACCTACCAACACAAGGGGTTGCTTGCTGTTTGTACATGTCGCTTCATCACAACGAGGGAAGCACACACCCTTGGTTGATCCGTCCTCTGCTCATGTCTGCACATTTCTCGTGACTCCCAACTAAATACATGTCATTGCGATAAATGCTATCCCGGTTCTTATGCCCACGAGGTGTCATTCTTTCCCGGCGGCGCAACGGGCAGACCATCATCAGTCAATTTTCACACACCGTAGTATACTAGCCTAGCGCCGCCAGTTGCCTAAAGGTCCTCTAAAACAATAGACCCCGCGATCCCCCCAAGGCCAGAATCAATTAAAATTCGTCGCGTCGACTCCAGCCGGGAGACGCGTCTGTCCCTTCCATCACTGGGAAAACATCTACCGTGACCTTACTTCATTCGCACCCACTGCACTGCACTGCACCCTAACGCAGAACGGCTCACACCAGACCAGACAGGATACACCCACAATGAGTGGTAGGTGTCTCCCTGTTCCCCCAAGACACTGCTCTGTAGACAAATGCTCACCGTGACTTAAGCATACGGAAATAACAACTACGCTCGTCCCGCCTATGGGGCAGATGGCGGCGACAACGGGGGCGGTTTCTTTGGAGGCTCACAGGGCGGCAGCCAAGGCGCAGGAAGGGTATGTGCATCCGTCTCTTCATGTTTTGTCGCGACGTAGACACGGTTCATTTGATCCAGTCGTTCATCATCTCTCTGCTCACAATGCGACGCACCACAGGGCCTGAGCGAAGAGTCCCTCCGCCCCGTCACGATAAAACAGATAATCGACGCCGAGCAGGCCTACCCAGACGCCCCCTTCCGCATCGACAGCCTCGACGTCTCACAGGTCACCTTCGTGGGCCAGGTGCGAAACGTCTCGCCACAGACCACCAACATCACCTTCAGACTCGACGACGGCACCGGCATCATCGAGGTCAAGCAGTGGATCGACGCAGACAAACAGGACGACTCGAAACCCTCCTTCGAGCTCGACCAGTACGTCCGCGTCTGGGGCAGGCTTAAGAGCTTCAACAACAAGCGACATGTTGGTGCCCACGTCATCAAGCCCATTGCCGACTTCAATGAGGTCAACTACCACCTGCTCGAAGCCACATACGTACATTTATTCTTCACCAAGGGCGCCCCCGGCGGCGAGGGTGCTGGTGGTGCCAAGGCCAACGCTGGAGACAACGACAGCATGTTTGTGGACGGTGGCGATGGTGGCTATGGAGCCAACGACAACGACTCCAAGGTGGCCCACCTCTCGGCCAAGGCCAAGCGCTTCTACAACTATCTGAAGCATGCTGAAGGCGGAAGCGAAGGTATAAGAATTGAGCAGATCGCCTCAGGCGTGAACATGAGCGTCCAAGATGCAGCAGCGGCGGCAGAGGAGCTCATCGGTCCGGGCGTCATCTACACCACTATGGATGATGAGACATACGCTATTCTGGACTACTAAATCAAACTGGGTTAAATGAACATGTCCGAGACGAAGGCCGGGGACTCGGGTCACATCGAGTGTCCTCAATGATGCAGTGTGGCACCAAAAGAGCCAACAATCTGGCTCGCAACGTCGGTTACCGCGCACCAGGTTGTTGTCAGTGTTCAACCGGGGTTAAGCGGGGCCAAAGAATTCGGGCGTTCTGATACCAGTAAGCTACTCGCAAATGAGGATATGACTGGCATGGTACCTACCTAGATTTTGCCCAAAGGCTTGACTAACAAGAGCATTGTATAAATAAAAGACACAAACATCAAGCTATCCAGTCATCGTGCAGAATACAGTAATACCAGACCCGAAGCTATATATGACTGATGAAGGAGCTTATTGGAACCCTCCGGAAGGTGACGCGAGAGGCGAGGATCCAGAGGGCACAACGCAACAGCCAAACACGACGGTGAGGGACTGTGGTCGGAGCGAGATATGTGTCGCTTGGGGAAAGAAAAAACCCCGGCTTATGGCGGCGGACAGGCTCCGCTCGTTACGGGTTTTGTCGTCCCCATAGAGGCACACGCGTCCGGCCTCATCGGTGGAACGGGCCTGGATCCGCACAAGCCCCCTTCCCCGGAGACTCCTCGGAGGCAGGCAGACAGGACGTATGCACCGAGCTACCGTTCGAGCTGAGCCGGCTGCAGACTGGCGGGGTGGTCTGCAATCCGGGTAAGCCATTCCCTTACATGGCTTCCTAGGCTGGTGGAGAGGATCGTCCGGCTGGCTGCTCTTACCCAATGCGGACATGATGTTGCCGGAGCCAGGGAAGGGGGTGCCACGATGCCTGGTTGGGTACGAAAAAATATATTCTTTTTTAGGCTAGGATCTACGAGTCGTACGCAGTTTGGGTTATCAGGTTAGTCAACCGCAAATGTAAATGCTAAATATATTTTCACCCGAAGGTCAGCTTATGGTAGTTGGCATAAAGGACTAACTTAACCCGCTACCTAATGATGGTAATAAAGCACTGTTGCGAAACTGTCTTTACTACCAAAAAGAACAGAAATTTTATTAAAAAGAAAAAGAAGAAAAAGAAAAGGGTGACATGACAAACCATGGAGTATATCACGGGACGATCCATGATGATTATAACACACAAAACTCTCAAGTTTCAGGAATGTTTTGAGAACATGGCTAAACTAACCCATTATCATCAAGTCAGCGTACAAAGGACCGCACAACGGGAACCAAAGCTTTTCAACCGTTTGTTAACAGGACCTTTATTCGAAAGCATTCCGTCCAATTCGCTTCCAGAGCTGTCGAGAGATAGAGAGAGTCTCAGTCCATAGCAACATCTCCAACGCTGTACACAGGCGATGTGACCTACGGTCCATAGCATTCAAACGCGCGGAAATGTAATTCATGGAGAGAAATTTCGGAATTAGACCTCGCCAAGACCAATGACCTCCTTGTTCTTCTTGATGTTTCGCATAGCGGTGGCATGCTCGGCTCGGACCTGAGCGGCGGCGGCAGCTGCGGCGAGTTGGGCGTTAGCAAGCACTTCATAAACTTGGTCCATAGTTGCGGTGACAGTAGGCTTGGTCTCAGGCACTGGCTCAGGCTCAGGCTCTTTGGAATCTGACGCCAAGTCCTTCCGAACCTTCGGGGGCAGGGGTGGAGGTGGCATGAGAGACTTGCCGTTGTCTTCATCGTCATCATGGTAGTTGACTGGAGCAGCGGAAGCTGGTGCCTTCTTGCCTCGGAACTTCTTGGTAGGTGTGGGATCGGGACCTGCAAGGAGGAATTCGTTAGTTGAATGTTCTCATGGGTTCGGATGGAGGCGAGGAGTAAGCTGGAAATTGAGCAAGACAAATTGACAGTTGTGAAGGTATGGATTGAGAGCAGTAATTCTGAGATGGATTGATAACATATGCCCCCCGATAAACCGTTGGTAAACCTTTGATTAGATGAAGCACGATAATTCAAGGACTTACAATTGTCATCTTGCTCACCCTCGTCGTCGCTAGGCGGGGCGGGAGCTTTGCGCTTACGGGCAGAGTTGGCAGTTGCTATTAGAAGTTAGCAGCTACAAACCAAGTCTTTTGAATGTGTTCCATACCAGATGCAACAGTCTTGGTTGCCTTGCCGCTTGGAACCGCGGGGGTGGAATGGCCAGAATCACTGTCGTCTGTGGCATCGAACTTCCCAGCGTCCTCGCGAATCCTACCCATCATGTGTCGCATTGCTTTGACGGTACGACCGCCCTTGCCGACGGGCTTCATCTTTTTAGCAACCTTCTCCAAGTCAGGTTTTCCCCCAGCTTCCTCCATCTGAGCAATGACATTGACGAGAAGGTTATACTGCGAGACAGCGAATAACTATGATAAGCTGCTCGGAGCCTACATGAATAGGGTGTTTTGCTTACCTTCTCTTCCTGTGTCCAGCCTTTTCCTTTTTTTCCTGCAGGAGGCATATTGGCGACGGATGGAACGATGGTATGACGATTAATGTGTTGCACAATATGGACTCCTTCTCAAAAGTTGTGACTAGGTGCTGTCTGGGGCAAGTGGTGGGGTTAGAGTTGAGTAACGTGTCGTGGCAGCGGAAGCCTGGTGGAATGTTGCGCGTGAATGCTCGGATATGTTTGGATGCACACACGTTGTCTCGGTTGGAGGAAGAAGGAAGATCGTCGGCCACTGGTTTTCAAGGACTATGCCGTAGAAGGAAAAAGCAGGAAGGAGTAAGTGTGTATAAGAGTGTATAGACGTCGATGGTACTGTCTTCGCTCACTTGTATGTTACGGCAACAAGTTTAATATCATGTGTATCGAGTTGATATTTCCCATATGCAAATTTGCTCATGGGCACAAGTTTGTCTTGATTGATGATAGAGTGAGGGTATTTAACCAATTACGACATGGATTGATGCCGAAAAATCGAAGCTGAAAGAAAGAGTATCACAGGAATGACTAGATGAGCGCAAATGTGGCCACCTATACTTTCCTAGTGTTTGTTGCTGTGGTGACTCGGTGAGAAATGGGTCAAATTGAGATTTTCCGGTTAGAAATGTATTTGTACCAGTGTTCCTTCTCCGAAGCGGTGTTTTCCCTATACCCAGTTCTAGACCACAAGTTTAATCTGTTCGGCCTCTTAGCCTCACGATATATCCCGTGAGCTGTAGGAGCAGGACGCGAATGTGAGGTCTGTTACAAGACGCTCCTCAACTTTACTGATGCCACGATTATGACGGATATTTTAATTAAGATATAGGTCAAAGGCATAATTGTTAGTGCCAGCATTGGTGAGGTGATGTGTCTAGTAACGTCGAGTCTTCAGTCGGATGAGCGCTCTCGATAATGGTTAGACGAGCTAACGTAATTCATGCCTAATAAAAATTGTGGGAAATCTTGAACATAGCTTGCTTACTTGGTCACAAAGGTTTGGAAAATGATTTGATCCAGGCGGTGCAGTTGGTGTTACTGCAAGCAAATGCTAATACCTACTTCTACGGTAGTTCAATAATGACAACCAAACCCACAATAGGTTCTCCTTTTATCACCCCATTTTACAGCCATTTGTGGTACAAATACACAACTACCCCGGCTCTTAGTACAGAGTACCTCTACGGGTATGTGCGACGAGCACTATTATTCCTTGTTCCTTGTAACATCTACACAAGCACCTCGTCAATGTCGCCGGTGTCCTCAGTGCCAGTCAAAACACCTTCTGTGGGCTCACCCTCGTGGGGCTTGCCGTTATCCTCATATGCAATCCGCTTCCAGCCGCACGGCTCAGAGGCGTCCTTGATCCATTCAACTGTTGGGAAGTAGTGCTCATTTTTCTTCATTGTAATAATCCACGGCACGTTATCAAAGGTCATAGCCTTGATGCGGAAGTCTAAGAAATAGTGAGTTTTTTATTCTGAGCATGGAGGAAGATTCGGGAGCCTTACAAGTATTGTCGGGAATCTTGATCACCTCCGCAAGGAACGTCTTGAGATCAGGCGTCTTCTTCCCGTTGATGTGCGTGATGAAGTTGGTTGGAGCCAAACCGTATTGGTATGCGGGAGAACCCCTGGTTCGAGCAGATACGTAGACCTCGCTATGCAGCTTACTGATCTGCTGTCGGACAGCGTGATGTGGTGCGTGTAGGATAGCACCACAGAAAGAAATCGCAGAGTCGGTCTCAAGACCATCCGCTGAGACTGTAGGGACTTTGAGGTTGATCTCCTCCGAGTCGCGGACGATGACAGCATCGAGGACTTCGTGGTCATACATGATATCGAACTCGGAAACCCGGGTAATCATCTTGCCATTCAAAGTGATAATGATATCACCTTCGTGTAGGACCTGTGGTTCGTTGCCGCGCTCGAAAGTGCGCTTGGAAACCATGAAGAGCTGATGGGCATGCTTGTTGGCCTGGGATACCTTTTCGATCCATTCTTCAGACACGCCCATCACCCGTGCTTGCGACATGTGGATAGCCCTAAACTCCATCGAAAGTATTCGAAGGCTAGGCTTCTTGCCTTGCTGGATTTGCGAGATAACGGGAAGTAACGTCGGTGTAGCGAGACCTAGGTGGTATTCTTCGTCTCGGGAGCTATGAGCTGATCTTTCACCGAGATACGTCAGCCACAGAGCCTGAACAGTGCCATCTTTGGCGACCAGCACACCACTTCCACATTGACCACTTAGACTGGTGTCAACAGTGATGGCGTCGACGTTAGTCGCTCTGTATCTAGGCGCGCCAGAGTTTGCAGGTATGGCTACGGCAGTTATCTCTGTAACTGTGGTTGCAGCATGGACAATCTTGCCACTTCTGTTGTAGCCCAGAAAGGTCGTCGGCGCGCCCTGCGTCAGAGCCTGGGTGCTCAATCTGGCACTTTGAACTGGGGCATCCACCAAGTCCGGGTCGTACTTGATGATGGCGTAGTTTTGCAATGGATGTAAGAAGACGACTTTGCCTTCGACGACGATCGAATCGGCAATAGTGATCCAGATATCACACAAGTCGTAAGGTACGATGGCGCGGGAAATGACGACAAGTCCCTTCTCAGCATCAATGACTAAACCCATGCCCCACTTCCGGTTGCGGGGGAACCCATCGAGCTTCACGGGCATCGTGCAGTTGACATGTACAAAACTTCGGACCAGATCAGCAACAGCGGGATGTGATGTATGCTCTAGCTGGATGAAGTTGCCCTTGCGTCTTACGGGTGGTACTGCAGGGATAGCATCTGCGAGGTCGGAGAAATCCCATAAACCGGTAACGTCGTTCCGAGCTGCTAGACGTATCTTGGCAGACCAATGTCTGTCAACATTGATGATCGTGGTGTTGAGTGTGTGGAGATCGCGAAGATGTTTATACGTGACAACCACTCGCTTCTTGTCGGGAATCCCCTTCATGACTTCAATGAAGGTCTCGAGATCAGGCGTCTTTTTCTTATCCACGCTCTGTATCATCCAACCATTATCCGCCGACTCGAAACGGAACGACCCAGTCGAGTCGCAAACGAAAACGCCCTTGCATGCCACGCCATAGAGACGGGCTTGCTGGTATGACAAACTGTGGAAACTTGCACCAGCAGCGGAAACGAATCGGTCAGGTGTAATGGCGTGAAGATCTCCGACATCAATGTCGACTTCGACGTCTTCACCGCCGCGTTGTAGTGATATGCGAATTGTCTTTCCGACATGAGAATCCAATATGTCGTCTAGTCTGATGAACTCGGCAAGTAGCTCGCCGTTGACCTTGATGAGCACATCGCCCTCTTCGATCCTGTTGTGGGATGGGCCCTCTGGCAAGACAATTTCTGCGACTAACATGTTTGTTGCCTTGGGGAATCTCAGTCGAACAGCAGCCTCCCATTCCGGGCTGAGGCCAAGGCGTCGGCACTCATCGAAGGGCTTCATGAGAAACTGACACTGGATACTTCCACGCTCGACGGGCCTTCCTTCTTGTATACACCTCAAGGCTCGGAGAGGTCGGTCCAAAGGTAAGAAATAATCGGTAGAAGCGCCATCGGATCTTCCGCCAGCTTGCAGTGCGATGGCGTGGCCATCTTTATTCACCACAGGACTGCCAGATGAACCGCCACTTGCTGCTGCGTTGGCTTGGTAGTAGCAGGTGTTGAAGTCGCTATATCCTTCGCCGTACTCGGGAGCATTACGATCGAGCCGACTGATAACACCAGACAAGATACTGAGCTTCTCGCCAGCATCATTTCCGACAACGCGAATCTCGATTCCAACTATTAATATGTCAGTGGTGTTGGGCACCCCGCTTGCTTGGCGCGATTGGACACATACCTTTGGCCAAGTCCGGGCGCAGGGTCAGAGCAGTAACAGGCATGTATTTGATCTTCTTGGGGTCGAAACGTAGGATGCCGAAATCGTGGACGGGGTCTCGATATACCGGGTAAGCATCGACCTCTTCGTGATTATCGAATACGACGTAACCCCAGAATGGACCAGAGCCCACGACGTGGCGGTTCGTCAAGATGTATCCCTTTTCAGCATCGACGACGAAACCGGTGGCCTCGCTCGTCAGGGCGGCGTCTGTGTCGAAAGCGCACGTCTGACAGAAGCGGATAGAGACTACATTCCTGATGACGTTTTCGACGGTGGCCTGCCATTCTGCTGTGTCGGCCTGCTGTACAGGAAAGAACTGGGGGATCATCTCCTCGTCCTCGTGGTCGTCTAGACTCCTCTCGACGTCTGGAGTGTTAAGCCCGGGCGAGTCGACGCCGCCATTGGGGGCAAGAAATCGGTGCTTCACCGGGCGTTCCTCGTGTCCAGAGGGCAGCGACGCCTTGCGCTTGGTCGATGCGCCGTTCATGATGTCGGGTTTGACTTCTGTGCCCTTGGGGTTTCGCGGCTGTATTTCAACTGCTTGAGTGGAGGGACGGCGGCATTGGGTCGCAAAGTTCGAAGTCGCGTAAAAGTGTGCCAGGGGAGTATTACCAGTCGAGGTGGCAGGCTTTGCAAGGCGCGTGAAGCTGGAGCGGAAGCTGGAGCTGTAGCTGTTGCTGTTGCGCAGGATCACGAAGGATCGTCTCATCCAGCGCCTTGGAATAAATCAGCGCTGGAGCACTTCAAACCACCGATTGTATACAAATGATATCACAGTCGCTCGGCGTCACCTTTATGAGAGGAAGAAGAACCAGTAAGGAGGAAGTTGGGAAAAAGATCACAAGTATCCAAGGGTAAGGTGCTCTCAGCTGAAAGAAACCCTGTTGGCCTGGTCGTCAAATTCAGGCTCAAGGCAAGGCAGGACTTTTGCTTGCGCTGCACTTGCTACGGATCCGTACGGAGTAACTTAACTGCACGTACGTATGTATGTAGTTATTTTCATTTCAGGTGGATAGAATTCGAGCCTTCAGCATAAAAATCAAAGCTTGATGACTGGCTGCTGTGAGATCTAGCTCATTGGTCCTAGCCATTTGTGGCTTAGCTGCCCGGTGCCTCTCCTCGGGATATTTGCACATAATTACTTTTACATACATGTACGTATGTATGTAAAGTGCTCCGTCTTTACCGCGCCCAAGTTATGTCATTGCGGACCCTGCAGCAACACTGACAGGGCACCTACAGCGGGACACAGTCAGTCGGCAAAGCACAGCCAGCAAATACCCTTCCCCATCATTGTTATCGACGCCATGCGGTTCTCAAGCCACACGGCCGCGTATATGATTTTGCCGATGCCACGATCACACTTGAGTATGCTCAAGAACTCCAGTGACTCTAGCGTACTTATTACTCGCATCCATTGAGGTGCCGGCGCGCTCCCGAAAGCGTCGAGATCAATCCGCCTTTCTACACCACTGCCTGCATTTATCTGCATGCTATGGCCACGTATGTGTTGTAGCCCCGACGTATTCAACGGCAGATAACGAGAGATTGCTGGGTCGCGCAGGTCGGCCCGAGAATGCTGTGTCGCTGATCTCGGAACGATCCAAGGTCAGATCCCAGCCGAACGATAAAGCTAAACGCCGCATCCTGTCTAAATAGTCTACAAAGTGGCGGGAGCGAACTCAGAGGTTGATGGATGTAGCAACCGTCACGAAATACTCCTCGCCAAAAGTCTCAGCGACCTAGACTAGGCCTCATTTTGATTTTTCCCCACCGTGTGTGCTGTCATCTGATTCCTCGTCAAGTACATGTCCGTATCTCCATTGATAAGGCAAACAAGAGCTTCTCCAGCTTGGTTCTAACCTCCCAGCCGAACGACTCGGGCAGGCACTGAAAACGTCTGCAGTTGTACTTCCTCATGTCCCTTAAGCACGGATTGTGCGGTTGGGAGATCAACCTAGCTTTCGGAATCATAGACCGGAACCAGGTGAAGTCTAGTCTATAGACGTTCTTGCCGCTTATTAATACTGTCGTTGTTGTCTTGCCCGGGAATCGCGCTATTAACGAACGCGAGACCCTCTACCGAGTGCCGCGTTTGCGAGCGCATAACTTATGGTTAAAGTTTAATTGGGTGGCCTTATACCATGTCACTTTGACTATACCCCTGCTTAGCTGTCCCAATACTGGATCAACCATTTGGTTAACTGCTTGTTCAATACTAACCCACAAGGCACCCTTGGCTAACACGAGTCATGTTGGCCGCAACTCCCGAATATGATACGAATATGCTATACGAGGTCAGGTGTGTTCAAAACATATATAAGCGTACGTCATGTCTTTCATGGTACTAGCGATCGTAAAAGACGGAGGTGTGCTAGATTCCTTCCAAAATCAACTGCAATTTCTGCGCTTCTCTTGTCAAAATGCGCGTCATAGATCATATTATATCTCTCTACTCGGCGGTCAGCCTGGTCACTGCGCAGACGACGCCGATATGGGAGACACTACCTCCGACTCCATCACTCCCGGGCAATCCCTCTGGCTCGCACACAAAGATCAATGGTGTGCAAATATGGCATGCAGAGTTCGGCACGACGTCAGTCAACAAGTTGCCTGTCTTGATGCTTCATGGTGGTTTTGGCAACTCGGACTACTTCGGTCAGTAAATTCCTCGGAGACCTCGTCACCACCTGACCCAAAGCTGACCTCCTCAAGGTGATGTGATAGAAATCCTGATGAAGAATCACCATATCATCGCCATGGATACCCGTGGTCACGGCCGCAGCACCATGGACAGTGTGCCGTTTTCCTACGAACTCTACGCCAGCGACGCTGCCGGCCTGCTAGAGTCCCTGGGCATCGCCAAGGCCGCCTGGGTAGGCTGGAGCGACATGGCAATGGGGACCTACGCCGCGCTGATGGATGCGCACAACAGTTCGTTGATAGACCGGGCCTTCGCTTTTGGCGGTGGTCATGAAGTTGCCTCTACCAATGCCAGTTTCACATCGACAGCTATTTACGGCGAGTTCGTCACGCGCGCACAGCAGGAGTACCAAAAGTTGCAGCCGAACGGCAACTTGACGGCTTTCGCCAACGCGGTGGCAACCTTGGAGGGCACACAGCCCAATTGGGCACAGTCCGATTTCTCCAAGATCAAGCTGGGATCCAAGGTCACCGTCTCCGATGGACAGTACGAGGAGGCGATCGTGCTGAGCGAGCCTGCACTACTACATAGCTGGATCAAGGGAAGTCGGCTTGCGACGATGACGAATGTCAGTCACTTTGCTCCAGTTCAGGACCCGGTCCAGTTTGCTGTCAAGGTTGAATCGTTTCTCAAGGCCTGAAGAACAGAATATATAGTGGACGTCACTCATAGCATTATGCAATCAGGCACTCTATACAAAATCGCTGACACACTATGAGACACATTCACCGTTCTGTCAATTACGTTGAGATGTTGTTTTATTTTTATTTTTAAAAAGCTTTAGTGGTAGCAGCATGTGACGATGACGACGAATCTTCCGAGGTCAAAGTTTATACATACAATATGCGACCAACACGATAGACTGGTCTCACCAGAATCTGGCCAAATTGGATAAGTAGTCCATGCATGAATATGCCCAACGTGTGTGGAAGATGCCTGACCATGCGCACAGCCTCGTCACACATTTCCCCCCCCCCCTTCCTTCTTCCTTTTTACCACAGCCTTCCTATGAGAAGCTAGGTGTAAGGGAGCTGATAAAAGCTGGCCATGCACTCCAACCTACTTTGCAAATCTTTTATTAAAAATTTCTTCTTGCTTCTAAACCATATTGTTGTTGATGAAATTGACATCATGGCGCCCTTATCATATCTGTCAGACTCTGACGTCGCACTCACCACCGTCGCATGTACCTGCGTCTTTGGACTTGTTGCTATCGTCGCAATGGTAGTCCATGTATTTACCAAATGCTTTGTCCTACGCTGCGGATTTCGCTTCGATGACTATCTACTCCTGGCCGCCTTTGTCACATCGTTAGCTTTAGCAGGCCAGATCATATGGGCAGTAGTTGATGAGAATCAAGGCCAGCATATTTCAAAAGTCACCTCCAGCCAGTTTAACAAAATGGCGCAGGTACCTACAAGTTCTTTGCGACGTTATAGATACACAAGTTGCTGACTTCTGAACGGTGTTGCAGTCATTGCTCGTCAGCGAGGTCCTATGGACGTTTGTAAATACACTCATTCGAGTATCAGCTCTACTTTATCTTCACAATATCTTTTTCCCGTCAAAAGAGGTTCGATACTGCGCCATCGGCCTTTGTGTTGTAACGGTACTGTACGGAATGATCAGTCTGTTAACAACCGTCCTTATCTGCCGGCCGATACAGGCCTCTTGGGAGAGCGGTATTTCAGGAACTTGCGGAAATCAGACGGCCGCATATGTGAGCCTAGAAAGTATCGGCCTATGCATCGACATATTGATCTTAGTTCTACCGGTGCAGAGAATACTGAGTCTTTCGTTGACAACGAAACGGAAAGCGGCAATTCTTTCCGTCTTTTCCGCAGGCGGCATGTGAGTTTTCTTGATTATGATCCATTTCAACTATGACTAAGACGCCTTCAGAGTGACCTTCGTTACTGCGCTGCGAATTGCGGCACTTCACCGGGTCAACAGCTTGGATTTCAGTTACAATCAAGGATACCTGGGCCTCCTCTCGACCCTTGGCGTACTCCTGAGCATTATCGGCTGCTGTGCTCCCTCTTCTGCCAAACTTCTGAGCACTATCAGCTGTTGTGCTCCCTTCAATACCGCCTTCAGACGCACCAGTGACCGGAAACGGTCCCGCAAGCTTGACCGCATTGCCAAATATGTACGAAGCGATAGGACTCAAACGACCAGGGCCATGTTCAGAATTAGAGATGGTCAGCATGATCTAGATTACACAAGTGTCCTACCACGCTCTATGCACATAAGCCAGCCTATCAGCCCCCAAGTCCGACAGTCAGACTTCACGATACTAGACACACAGTCAGATGTGACGCTATCCTCGACCTTGCCGAAGTTTGAGAGTAAGGAGTCGGTGGAGTTGGTGGAGGGCAGAGATCAAGAGATCGGCGTACACGACAGAGGACTTTGCCCAGAAGATGCACCTCTCTCTCTGCGGCAATTACTGAACTTTGATATGCACGAAGCTACTGTACGGTTCGCAAACACCCCACCGTTGGCCGGTGCATTGAGCTAGTCTCGCAAAGTTCGAGCGGCTGTATAAGATGCTGCTAGAGACCGAATGTAAATAGACTGTGACTGTTGCATTGTAAGATCGTCGCGCCATTTCGATCTGCTAAGTGTTGCAGAAGTTGTAAGTAGACGCAGCTTGGCGGTCTTCCAGGTATGGAACCAATGAAACTTAGACACTACAATACCTATGTACCAGCCAAGGTGTATTGAAATCACGAGCATCACTGTATTTGTACTATGAGCCAGTATAATGCCATTGACTACTTAAGTTTATACTTAGCATTCATGAAGTGGTGCAAGAATGACTACCAAGCTCCGAAGAGACGATCTCATTCGGAAGGAGAAAACATCACTCATTCCCAAGACAAACAATCACCAAACCAACCAGTCTGCTCAAAGCCTATAGTATCCATAGAGGACGAGAAGTGAAGAATAAAAAAGGCAAAGCCTTTGCCTGGAGCATTCAGATAGATATGGTTGGGTGTTCCCAATCCTTTTTCTTAGTCGTTACACAACTCTCATCGTCTTAACATCCACGAGAAGTGTCCATATCATGTTGATCCGTGTATGCTTGAAGTCTGCATAAGCTTAGAGAAGAGCAGCGATCGCAACAGCAGCCATGACAACTATGAACGATGCTTGTGTTGATGAAGCTCCAGCCTGAACGGGAAGAGTCGTAACGGCAGGTGTCGAGCTTGTAGGCCAATAACCAGTGCCCTTGACGGTAGTAGCATTGTAGCTAGTTGTCCCGGAAGCAGGGATGATTGTGTGGACGATCTCCGACGTGTAAGTGGTACATTCCTCGGTGGTGCTAGTAGCCACAGCTTCTGAAGAGGTTGAAATAACAACACTGGAGCTGGTTGTTGCTACAGCAGCGGTGCTGGTTATGGCAAAAGATGTAGTAGTGGTGGGTCTCGGAACGACCACAGTCGAGATGGAGGTCGACGTCAATGTTGTTGTCAATGTGGGACCGGGAATCTGTGAAGACAGGCCTCCAGTCACACTGAAAGTCGCTGCGCAGTCTTCTACCGATGATCCGTTGGGACAGCAGTACGTAGCACCGGTTGTGTCTGCCGAGCAGTAGTAGCCAGCGTCGCAAGAGTCTCCACTGTTGTTTGGGCAGCAGGTCTGCGAGCTGGCGGCATCAAAACAGTGAACCTGATCATCACTCGAAGAACATTGCTGATATCCAGCACCGCAGGCTTCGGCGCACGTGGTGCCAGTTCCACAGAAGGTCGTGTCCGGCTCGTATCCTCCATCCTCCTGGCGCTTTCCAAGCAGCATCGCTTTTACAGACATCCGAGCGAGCTCCGGTTTATATGGCTTGCGGACCCCCTCGGCGACAACAACCTGGCCCGCAAGTGCGGCGATAGCAACTGTAGAAAACAGCATTGTTGAGTTTTTCTTTTTTGGTCTGCTGAGTTTTTTGGACTTAAAATATTGTTTGGAAGTATGTAATAAGGATAAAGGATAGACTTGAAGTAAAACGAGTGTATTTGCCCAAAGGAGAGCTGGTGAATCAGTCACAAACGACAACCCTCAGTGACTACACGACCGAGAAAGCGTAGGGTGTCTAGACAGGAACTGCCGGGTGGTGATTGCCTGTATATATCGGGAACTCAGACGTCCAAATTGACAAGGATCATTCGGAAACAGAGGATCGTTAATTTATATTAGCCCAGTAATCAGCTAGTAATGCTGTTAAATAGATCAATTTGGGGCCACTTTTCTGGTATTTGCGACAGTCCAGATCAATTGACAAATCATGCTTAAATGCAATGGCGAAAACAACTATGACTTGTTCTGTAGAGGCAAATGAGAAAAAGGACAACAAAAGCCCATCATACTTGGGGTTTTCGTGAGTGCGCATCTCACGATGCACTTGCACGACACCAGCGCATGGACATCCTGTAATTAAACGCTCAGGCATATACACACAACCTCCGACCCTCGTCCCATGTGTGTGACAGGATAAGAGCATCAACAGACACAGAAACAGATATATTCGGGGAAATTGAGCGCAACCGACGGAAGAAGAAAGAAAAAAGCAGCTAATCATGTGTCTTGAAACTGCCAACCCAGAAGCTATAATAGCATTGTCAAGCATATTATTCTATACCTAAGGTGAGCGGAGAAAGCCAAATTCGGCAACAATTGCCGTTTGACCTGCCGTAACGCTGTGTTCTCCGAGCTTTTAGAGCTGAGGGGTAGGAAACAGACAGTTGAAAAGCCAAGAATCATATCACCTGAAATGAGCTGGGCTCCTTCGTGGCGCGTGGAGATCCTGAGGATATTGGACGACAAAGAGCAAACGAACCTCTTGATTGCAAAGGAAGAAACGCTGTGCCATCCATCAGCCCCGCAAGCGCGGCCCTCTTTGCAAGACGCCGATTGTTTGTGACTAGCAGTCTGCAGTAAGATGAGGGCAACGTCAGCTCTTCAAACGATAGCATGGGTCGGTCATCGCCAAGAAGTTGTCTTTAGATGAGTGGAGGAAGCTCAACACTGAACAAAAGCCCGGAAGTGGTGAAGATGAAGGTTTGTTGGTGGAGGTTTACCAGGTAAATCGCGTAGCGTCAAACCTCAGGGTTCAGGTGCCCCTCAGGGTTCAAGATCCTTGCAAATTTAAAGATCTCCAGGAACGGATCCTAATTTGAGATGATGAAGAGGTCTGATTCGCTGTGTCATCAATAACCTTGTTTTCAACGTTTCAGATCTCTGGTTACACACGCCAACAATTGTGATTGGAAAGTTCCTGGGGAATGTTCGAAATGTACCGCACTAAACTCTCAACGTCATTCGTTCTGCAACTCCAATTCACTGTTCCCCTCTCCTAATTATAAATTTGATTACGCGACTATGTAGACGACATCCAAGTAGTGCATGTTACAAATTCGGGCTTGCCAGCAATGAGCTGGGTGAGCAGACAAGGAACGAAAGTTGTCAGCGCGCTGCGTTAAATACACTATGTAAAGTGATGGCTTGTGTGGGACAAATAAGCGTGATAGATCTGCTGTGTATAAGCTAAAAGTATCAGACAAACGTGGGAAAAGGCCCAGGAACAACACTGACCATCAAGATATCTTGCTAGTTTCGCTTTTGAGACCCTGGCAAACTGACGGTTCATACCCCTATGAGGTGTAACTCGTTTTCCATTCAAAAATAAGTTCTTCATCCGATACTGTGGTGCGATGTGGTTGAGCGTTTATATGCACGCATGCATGAAAGCGCTCACAGATACCTCTCTGAATGTTCCGGACCTGTCAAGACGATGAATCCGCCAGAGCTGCTTGCATCCACGCCCTGGATTTACCATTGTAAATATCATATTTAGCCGGTTTTATTTAAGGGTTGCAGCAAGTCAATCACTTGAGATCAAGTACCAATCAGCAGGAATGTATTGTAATGTCTCTGTTCATGAATTCATACTCGTAATGGATATCCAACACAGAAGCGCCTGACCCTGCAGTATTAGGCTGACCTGTCTAATTCCTATGCCTGTAATGGGAGATTATTTATGGATATATATACACATGATGTTTTGTACTACCGCGCTATTCAAGCGACCTGCTCAACCTGGTTTTTTCCAGTGTAGCTATCATCTCTGGCGGGGTCGCCAATAACGCCGTGCTCGTCAACGTAACCAATGCGAGTCTCGCTGAAACCGTCGAGCTCACGCTTCCAAGGGTTGACGTTGAGGAAGATAGGGAATGCAAATGCGATGAAGAACCCAGCAAGCGGGACAACCATTGCAATGTGGTAACCCTTGTTATCAGCAACGAGACCAGTCAAGGATGGGAAGAGAGCACCACCCGAGACGGCAGCAATGATCCAAGATGAACCCCTCTTGGTGTGTCGTCCAAGACCACGGATGGAGAGTGTAAAAATTGTCGGGAAGATACAGGATTCGAAGAAGAGGACCAGACTGAGCATGGCCACGCCGCCTTCTCCCTTGATACCCATAGACAAGGCGATGAAGACCATGATTGCAGTCATGAAGACCATAAGAATCTTACGGGGCTTAAAGTACATCATGAGACCAGCTGCGGCGAAACGACCGATAGCAAAGAGACCCTGGCCAATAGCGTACCGGTCACTGGCTGCGGCGTGGTCGATCCCGGCAGACTCGGCAGCATAGCTGATGAAGTTGGCGGCGACACCGACTTGAGCACCAACGTAGCAGAACTGGGCGGCAACACCGAAGAAGAGACGGTACTGCTTCTTCAAAGGCTTGTCCTGGTAGCCGGTAAGAGCGGTTGTCTGCTCAGCCTGAAGTTCCATATCGGCATCGGTGACCTCGGGGAGCTTCGAGAAGAAGAAGACAACGGCAAGACAGAAGACGAAGGCAGCGATACCTAGGTATGTCCATTGAACCTTTGAAAGATCATCCTCAGTGGTGTTGGAGAAGAACACACGGCTAGCAAGTAGGGGAGCAACAACGGAACCGACAGCCTGGAATGACTGAGAAAGCTCGAGACGGAACTCGGAGAGTCTGGGCGGACCACAAGTAGCGATGAAGGGGTTGGCACTAGTCTCAAGTGTCGACAGACCAGAGCCTACGATGAAGAGAGAACCGCAGAAACCGCCGAATGATCGATACACAGCGGATGGCCAGAACATCAAAGCACCGACGCCGTAGATGCATAGTCCGGCGATGAATGCCCAACGATAACCAAATTTTCGTACGATCCAGCCGGAGTATGTGAGCGGGCCGATGAAGTAGGCGCCGAAGTAGGCTCCTTGAAGACCGCCGGCCTTGGCGGCAGTGATGTCAAGGGCGGTCTGAAACTTAGCGTTCAGGACATCTAGAAGACCGTATGCGAATCCCCACAGGAAGAAGAGAATTGTGACGAGTGTGATGGGATAAATAGATTGCCTGACAGTCAAAGCCGAAGCTCCAGTCAAGCCCTTGTTGGAAACATTGCGATGGTCCCCAGTCGCTTCAGTGACAGAAGGACGACGCTGGTTGTTGACCTCAGTGGCCGTAGGTTCTTCACTCTTGCCGAACATTTTTGACGATGTTCGTATGTGTTTTTGCTGACTGATCGTAAATGGTAAGGTTGAGAGGATCGGATGGGATGTTAGTCTTGCGGGGGAGGCAAACTCAGATCGAGGCGTCCAAGCACGAGAACCGAGATAGGTTCGATCGTAAGGCCCAAGGTGTGAAAGAGATAGTTGGAGTTGTTGATCCTGGCCAAAGATATCAATGTTGCACGGGACAGCTCCTTCTTTTTATCCTCGTGCAGCGTGAGTACCGAGTATACTTTTCGTTACCCATGTTTGGGCCCTATGGGCATAGCGCTGCACTATTGCAACGAAGAAAAACGCGGGGCCCCTGACTACGGTGGATACGCGCGAGGCCTTTGACAGCCCATGAGAGTCTGGACGATGTTGAGGTGGAAATATGGAGGCTCTACCTGCTACGATACGCTAAGCAAGAGCTCTATACCGACTTGTCGACCCATTACCACTCAGCTGGTTCAATAGCTGTCACGGAAGGGCCGAATGCAAATGTGCCCCCCCAGGGTTGAACAGATGATGCTATCCTGTATACGGTAAGACGTTGATTGCTTAAGTCGAGCCTTGCCCAATTACGAGCCTGGCCTTGCTAGATAATGATTAGCTCACGAGCCGGTCGGCAGTTGACCGTGCTTTCGAACAGGCCAGTTCTATGCCGGTTCAGCACTTTACTCTTTGCGGGGTAGTTTTCGCGGACTTGTGGGCAAGCCCGCGACAACCCCAAGCGATGAAAGCGACACCCCCAAGATCTATCTCCACGGAATAAGCGAGTTACGATTCAAGCGATAGAAATGGCGGCACCGAACCCTACCTCTGGAAATGGGTCTGACTCGTGTGCTTTTCAAGTGACTCCATTCTTGATGGCAGCGTAAAGAACCTTCCTTCACCATTGGAATGCGGCATAAAATGAGGTGCATTATGTACAATCATTCGTGCTTCGACTATGTATGGTGTATCACAATCTCTTTCGTCTTCTTCTCGTGTTGTTAGACAATGGCCTCGCATTGTCCATAAATATAGAACAGTCTTAGCTCATGATTCAATAACAATCATAGCTCATAATTCAGCAGCGCTATGGTGGTGGTTTTCTCACACAGGCTAGGTGAGTAATACATATTTTGGAGACCCCCGGAGAGGCAAATATGGAGTCTGGGGACAATAGAAGGCTAAGTCCTTAGAGTCTGGAGTTGAGAAACGCATCTCGGCGCTTCTGCGGGTCTAAAGTCTAAACGATCTAGGTTAGACCCAGAGCGTTTGTGATCCTAGCTAGTCACATGCTCGCTACAATCTCCGTTGGATCATCAATTACACCAAAGGACATCGTTCGAGAAGCATGTCTGCGTCGTCTAGGTCTAACCTTGCAAGAGCCTGCACGGCGGCAGTCCGCGTCATCAGTGATAGCACGTAGATGGTTGTGGTAGTGCTTGGCATTGACCGACCTGTACATAGTAATGCGGTAGATCAGCCAAGAGCCTCAAAATGCGATGGCTTGCGCCCAACGATTCCTAAGCTTTTTCGCCAATAGTGTGGAATTACCCACAGCTATACAAGCATCACAACCCAAGAATGACAAAAGCTTGAGTCTCTGTGCACGTCGGTCTGCTAATTACTGAGGAGCTGCCTAGCTAGATAGAGGCTTGCTGGGCTCAAGATTCTGGGCTTATTCCCTCGACTACACAGTAGTTGAGTCTCAGTCTGGCGGTGGGCTGAGTCCAGTGGATCTGATGCGCACCTGGACCCGCGCTATTAGGGCGGAATAGCTTCATCAGTTTCGCGTGAGGCCACGGACCTTACCTTGATCTCCGTGCGGACTGGAGATGGTCGAACACCAACCCCATGGAGAGACACAAGTGGGCCGTGACATTGTGGTCCGTCGCGGAGATGATGCCTCGACAAGGATACAAGTGACCAAGCCAGTTTTCACAACGAATATTCATGAAGCGCTTAGATATGACCATGGCTCCTGTGGTGCGAGACGTACTGTAGTGGCATATTACCATAGATGACAATAAATCGATGTCTTACTCATGCCAACAGTCAAATCCCGTGACACTCTAGGCGATGAAACTTAAAGCATTGCAAGCGGCAACACGTTCGGTGGTCACCGGTATCGCCTACTGTCCTACAAAATCTCAAGCCTAGCGAATAATGCTGGTTGGCATCCAAGACGCGATCCCCGGCCCGCCAAGGTCTTGGTACTGAAGTGTGTTCTTGCACTTGCTTTGTTCAATCAGACGGCATGCCCCTGTCTTACTCAACATGCGCGATTTTGATTTATTTCATGTTGGTAAAATCCGTGACTGATAGCTCGACATCTTGTGGATGTGCTCTTAGATGGTGCGCAAATGGCAACTTTCGGTTTTCTCTCAACCCGCAAAGACATCTCATCAGGTTCAGCTTCAGGCATGTGGTTCCTGCCAAGTAGAGATTACGACGTACGCAACATGTTAATGAATGAGAGATTTATTGTCTTAAAATATATCATATATACTATATTCTTCAATCCGTTTAATCCTCACTGCACACTTCCTGCCTCTCTGGCCTCTCGAAACTCCATTGCCTCCAAAATTGCGACTACGGCCTCAAAACTCGACCCCTCCACCGCCCACTTCCTGGTCTTCGCGATGACCGTTTCCTTTAGAGGTCTCATCGGCGGAACGAACTCGCGCAGTGGTGCAAAGCTTTCCGCAAGCCTGAGCACGGTTAAACATGCCAGACAACCCTGTGTGAGAGACCAAAGGTAAGGCGAGCGCTTGTCGAGCATCTCAATCGTGTTATATATATATTTAGCGCAAGACTCAATACAAAGCTCGCACTTCTCGATCACAACCGGCGGCAAGAGAGATGGTACGCCTGCACCACTTGTGCCGGGCGATATTGAATCGGTTGAACCTCGATAATGTTGATACTGGGCCACAGAGTACAAGATGAATGGACGATGGATGAGTTGCCGCGCGGCGTAATATCGTATGCGCAGAATTCGGCCGCGATCTGTGGGTATAATTTCCACGCCTCGCGGTGGTCGTATACCGTCTGGTATCGAAGTGTACCATTGCTCAAGCTGTCGGTCGAGCTCTGAGCTTAGCGTCAAGAGTTTCTGCAGACTCAAACTCGTGCCCAAGAGCGCGGTTTCGGCAAATCCTCCCGTCGCGGTGTTTTCGGTGTCTGGGCTGTAAAGTGAGCTGTGCACGCGATTGAGAAGTCTTCGAATTGCGATCTCTGCGAATAAGTGAATTGTCTCTTCGTGGTCACTGGGGTCTAGACTATGTGGAAGCGGCATCTTGTCGCCCAGTGGCTCTATTCCACTTCGTAACACGTCCAGGTCCTCTGCTCTGTTACTGTGCTGAGGGTTAGGATGCACTAAAGTGGAGTTGAGATTCAACTTACCAGTCCTCTAAAAAACATTGCCAGAAGGCACGCAGCTCCTCTTCATTATACCCTGAAAAAGGAGTCTCCCCGTGTCGCCTGTATGGACGCTCAGCACGATGAAGATAAAAAGACTTTCGAGGTGGCTTACAGTTCCATGTTCTGTAGCAACCTTTGGGACGCAAAGAACACCATACGCCAGGATTGCAGTGGCCGACCTAAATGGGAGAAGTAGGACCCGGCGAGCAGCAAAGCCTGACACACACTCAGATCAGACTTGAAATTCCATGTGTACTCGTAAAGAATTATGGCAAGTGCTGGTTTGAAGAAACCGAGGCCCAACACCTGACTGCTCGCGCCCGGGATTGATGCGGCGGATGTTGTAATCGCTCCGAGAGCATAGACGCAAAGGCATATCGCTGCTTCTGTGTCTGCCATACGTTCATTCTTGAGGAGCTTGCTCTGTAATAGCTCGAAGGTGCTTGCGCTGAATAATGGTTGGTGAGGATGGACATTTTGAAAGTAGCTATCGGAAAGCTTGTTAAGCATGTTTTGTCTTAAGGGTGGCCATGTTTGTCGATCATCTGAAGCAGCCCCAAGCGACGCCGGTAAGGGCTGAGTTTCTTCAATCTTGTAGAAGAAGTCTCTAGCATAACCACCGACCTCTTCTTGGATATGAGGCACGGACAGCAATGTGGTCGTTAATGCTGTATGCCCTTTGGGGATGAGGAAAGTAGGAGACTCAATATTGTCTTGTGGGAACACGGGAAATTCATTGAACTCAGTCGCCTGAGGAAGTAACGGCGACTGAGTGAAATCGAACGGGATCACAGAAACATTTGTTGGAGTCGAGCTTGTGCTCAGTTGGCGAAGTTGTTGACTCTGCTGCTCAAGTAGAGCTTCGATCCGAGACAGACGGTCAGCAACAGCCGCCGGGCTTGCATCCTCGATCCTAATCATGTTAGATTTGTGACTATATGTGGGCTCGGTGAGGTCGTACCGATCATATGGCAGCTCCTTATACACGCAATCGGCATCCGAATCTCTGCATGTCGAACACGGCTTCTTCCCGTCACATCGTCTCTTTCTATGTCTAGTGGCTGACTAAGTCCTGTGTCATCCACGTTTGGCTAGATGTTCGCGACTTACCTGCAGAAATCGCAGGCCAAGAGCGCCCCTGTCTCAGCGTCAGCTCCAGATACATACATGTGAGGGCGGTTTGCCTACTTTTCCTTGTATAGTTCATCGAGATGGTATGACACTGTCTCTAGCTTGTCGGCGCCGCTGTTTACGGTAATTGGGGTTGGGATCTCCGTAAGCAAAACCCGATATGTAGACTTGATTATAAAGATAATACTTGGAGTTATAGGAGCCGGTACAGTTTATAAAGATGACTCGTATATTTAGCCTTAGCCTTATTGGCTGAGAGATATTGATAAATGGGTACGGTTCCAATAACCACCCTTCAATATTGCCTCAAGCAAAGCCACTATCGAGGCAAAGAATCTGACAAAGTCGTCAATGATCGGTGTAATGAATTGACCGCATAATGAAACCATGAAACTCTGGGCATACCTCAAGTCGTCCAGTGAGGACAAAGCATGCCAAAGTAAGGCATCCAGCATGAAACCACATACCCATGAGGGTATGAATTAGTAAACAGGAAGATATTCCATCGTTCCTTCTGGAACTGGACAGAAATCCAAGGTAACACGTAGTCGACAAGCTCCTTAGCAGCATGCATATACTACTGCGTACACCTATGGAATGAGAGCTTCAAAATCATGGATGGTGGCCACTGGGCCATGTGAGGTCAGATACCTTTGACGCGAAGGAAAGCCGGAGTATTCGATATGTGACAATACCACGTAGTCAAGAAATGACCTGCCATATATTTCAATGATGGTTGTATACCGTACCAGTTTGTAGTCGATACAACTTTTGATATTCGATGGCTGTCCGGGGAGATAAATTGTGGTGCCAGGGCTATGGTACGCTCGTGTTTGATTAGACCGCGAAAACAGCCCTGGTGGTGAGCCAAGTCGGGCTTTAGTGCTAACCTAGCCGATGATGCAGTATTGGAATGCCGACGGTGTCGGCGTTTCAAGAATTCTAACATCGTGATGGTTTAAGCCACGGATATGTCATCCAATACAGTACCATGGACAATACTTCCCCCAACGAGGATTATGTAACGGATGTAAGGGCTTACATGTCAAATGCAGGGTGCTAGACTAGTGTGAATCTAAATTCCTTCTAAGCATTACGCAGCAGCGTCATCCTAGCCTGGTCCTTATTAGTGCCAGTTGAAGCGATTTTACCAAACTGTTGGTTTTAGCTGGCTGTCTATCCTATATATCTTTCTGAATAATTTGTCACCCACTTTAGGCTTTCCATGCCGTAATATGCATCAATAATACCTACATGGCCATCAAATTGCTTTCGCACGACTTTCGCACGAATCGCAGCAATTTCATATCCCAGATCGCTTGAATCCGGCGTTTGCTGAACAGTGGTACGGGATTAGCTCACCGATACGAACCGAGCCCGCCCACATGTTCACGCATGGTCAAGTACACGAGTACGGAGTTCTGTGGGCTATTTTCGGGGTTTGACGCCATTAAAGTCATTTGATAGAATTTCCGCGGTGATCCAGCAACCTTATCTCAACCGGTCTATTATCTTGGTTGAGCAAGGATTGGTTACAAAGACAAGATGCTGTTCTAAACTTCTAAGCACCTCTTTACCATAAATTTTTTTGATACATGACCGGGAGTGGTATCTCCGCTCCACAAGCGGCGCTTCGTGATGATCGTCCCGGCTATTGCTAGAGTTGGGCTAACGGTATTGCTAAGCATCGATAGGGCTGACACTAGTATAAAATAAAAAGTGAAATATCAAAATGGTTGATCTAACCCAGAACGAACTATATCTATGAGGCCCGAAACTATTGTCGGCTTGCAGCTGGCTTTGATATTTGCATTGTTAGTACCTTGTTGCTTTTTGAAGATAGGCGTCGGAAAACCATCCATGGCTATCCAAAGCAATATCTTGATTACTGAACCTCGGCTATCATAAACGTGGAACGGTGAGTCAACACCCTGCATATCTAAAATCTTTGGTACGAGCAAGGCTTGACGTGAGGCTGTTGTGCTGCTGAACAATACTTGCGTCATCGCTACAAGTAGCAAGCCTCCATGTTCGGCCTGCAGCTTACAGCGACAATTGGCGATCGACGCCGGTGTACCCTTCTGGAAGGCCCAGCCGCATATGTCACGATTCTTCTCTTATCGTTTCAGATTACTTTCTTCAATCGCATGCACGGCAAGCGTGGTTCATCGTCCTGAAATGACCGTTAAATCTCACAACTCCCATTTTATGCTAAGTCTGCTAAGTCGTTCTGACGGAACTCTGCTCTCAATACATACATACATGGAATCGCCCGTCGCAGCCCCTGGTTATTGCTTAAGCGAATACGTTGAACCTTCCAGACAGGCAATGCGCAGACACGTCGTTTGCTCCATGTAGTCTAAGATTACGAACGGGAGCACCCACGACGCTGCCGGTGTACCAGTAGTGTACTATGATTGGAGCAGGGCGAGTTGTGTCAGAACAGGAATGTTCAAGTACATTCCCGTATTTGCCATCGCTGGCAGAGCTTTTTGCGTTTGCCGACTTTGGAAAAAACGACTCTGACGAACGCAGTCTGGGGCTTATCAAGCACAAAGTGACCATGGTTGTTGCTGCAACTCTCAGCAAGGCACAGCAACGACGGAACACTACGAATCCGTAGTATGGTCCGTGCAGCATAGAACATGATTCGTAGTGCTCATTCTGACAGGTACGAGATTGCGGTCAATATTGCATCGTTTCCCAATTTTTACTTGTCAAGATATGACTCGATGCTGATGAACCAGCAGATTTAGCCCCATGACCGTTTCACGGAAAAAGGAAAGAAAGAAAACTGTTTGAGAGCTGCATCAGTGCCTACCTAATTGCCACTGAAAGAGCTGCTGTCACCTAAATGAGGCGACTTTACACCTACCAAAAACATATGTTTTTAAGTAATTTACTTGCTTATGATAGGGCATTATGGGATGTCTTCGACTTGAGGATTTCTAGGAACATCTTCGATGAGCCTTTTATATATGTGAACAAGCCAGGGGCAGGGCAGTTCGGAAAATGGGATGATATTAGATCATACTTGACACTCCTCTTCTGTTTTCTTCAAAGACCGGATCCTGAGATAGAACAGCGTAAATATCGATATGCCGAAAAGGGGTCGAAATCACGCCGGAATCCTGGTTCACTTGTACATCATACAACCGAGACAAGTATCACAACTTGCCTTGTAGTAAAGCTGACTTCCCTGACCATCATTTTTGATAGTCTTTGTTTATGTACTTGCCAACATTATGGATGGGCTATGTAGCATCAGCCAGCGGTCGTGCGAATATCCTAGATCAACCCCAGCACTACATAATCGTGCAGGTGTGCTTACCTACAATATCACACATGCATAACCGGGATCTACGTCCGGAGACGCCGTCCCGAGCCTTCCGTTCCGCTGCGGCACGTGGCGCCCAAGGTTATAGCCATCGCCGCTCCGGGTATCTGTAAAGCAGGCCTTTGTTTCACAGCGATAGTCGCCGGAAGGCAAATTCGACTTTGCAGACGTTGCCCAAGTCCGAAACACCGGCGTTTCCATCGCCTACATGTTTATCTCAACTCCTGTGCGTGCGATGCAGGTATAATTTACAGGTGCGCATGCTTAGCTCAATATGTTGCCACATGTGATAATTTACTCTGGTCACAATTACTCTCCTGCGGGTACCAGAGCTCTGCTACTGGTAGTCATCTACGGCCGTGTTGCCACTGAAGATCATTTTGGCCCCCACGTTACGACTACATCGAATGCACGAGCTGCCGTTTTCTCACCAGTATATGGGGTACGACGGACCTCATTTCCGCAGGCCCAAGATTCCTCCAAGTTTGGACAAGGGGAAAGATGCTAGAAGGCTGCTTGCGTGATTGAGCAGATGAGAAATTGAGGTTGGTTGTGGGTTCCCATTGGGGTATTGCAGCACACCCCGACAGCGATGAGCCCCTCTGCGAAATGGATACATTAGGATAAAGGAAACAGTTTGCCGTCATAGCGGTGAAGATGAGGCTTCGAACTCAGGAAAATGGTACACCTCGCTGGTGACTCAGCGCATCTCGACCATTCATAGATGGATGTTGGGTCACAGAGGCGAAACATTTGGTTGGGGAGCGCTTTAAGGCAAACGTTGATGCACTCGTCATGGAAGATTACCGGAAACCTAGCTAGTTAGAATGGAACCGGCTACGCTCGTGCGTCCTTTCCTTTTTCTTTTCACATATCAAGATGTGGTGATGAGTACGGGGCACAGCTGTCGAACCACAAAAGCGGGAGATGACATGGACAAAGACGGTTCGCTTACTTCCATTTGTAACTCTAGTCTAATGTCACAACTAAGTCTATCAACGTCTACGCATCTTCTTCGTGTCCCTACTGGAGCCTTCCTCACCGTAGCTCCGCTTTTTGCGATCCAACAACTGTTTCATGCCGGGAGTGGTGCTGAACTTTGGATTGGAGGGATCGATGGCATATTCGTGGCTTTCGAACACAGCCTTGAATCGATCATCGTCCGCATCCACCTTGAAATCGTCCTGAACCGTAGCCTGGTCCTCGCCTCCCTTTTGCTTCTTCTTGCTCTTGCCCTTCTTCGTCTTCTGCTTTTCTGCTCGACTGATCTCAGCCATATCGAAATGACCCTTGCCACTATCCTTGGACCCAGTGCCCATAACCTTCTCCAGCGCAGCTCTCTCCTCAGCGTTCTTCTTGGCCTCGGCTTCTTTGGCTTCCCGCTTCTTGAGACGCTCTTCTTTTCTCTGTGAGCTCTTGGTTGGTTTGACTTGCTCTTCAGTGGTAAAGAATGGGTCATCAAAACCGAGGTCTTCACCATCTTGTGCGACCGGCTCCTCCTCCACCTCCTCTTCCGCCACCGTGGTACCTTCTCTCTTGGCCAGTACCTTTTCCTTCTTTCGCAATTTCTTCTCCCGCTCCTTGCGCATGTATTTCTCGACAGTCGTCTCCTCCCTATCGGGCGAATCCTCTTTGTCTTTCTCACCGTCCTTATCATTCAATGTGAAGGTCATCTCCAGTTCGCCCACTGGTGCTGATTTAGATGAGTTGGGAGCCGAATCGGTACTGAGACCTAGTGCTTCTCTCATCTTTTGCCGAGCAAGCTCTCTCTTACTCAACTTGGGCTCGCCATTGGCAACATCGTTTGCCGGCTCATCGTTGTCGTCATCCGGCTCAGAATCACTGGACGCGAGATATGCTCTCATGTCGTTCTCTTCAATCTCGGCCCTACTACCAGAGAATGCGCGCTTGATGTTTTCTTTCCGTGATACTTCATCTGGATGCATATCCCAGGTAAGCCTGCATATAATTAGCTGTGTTTTGTATGCCAACCATAGGGCTAACCTACTTGACCTTGGAGTGCTGAAGGGCATCTGTCACGAATTCGGTAGGTCGGTAATCTGAAGGCACACTGTCGCATTCATCCCGTGGCTCATCATCGAAAGTGACCTCGTCGGGGATGAATCTAAGATCCATAAAATTGGAGGAGGTTTGATACTCTGTACCATCGACTGCCTTGTAAATATTCTCCGCCGTGGCTTCGTCGGAACAAAGGACAACGGCATAGTAGTACCTCAAGCGATCCAGTTGATAGGTCCGCAGCGCGTCCGAATCAAAGTCCGCATCGTCACCCTCCTGAATGAGATCTTTCTTGATGTCTTCGTCCTCATCGTCATCCTCATCTTCGCTGTCGTCTTCCGAATCGACTGAGCTCTCGTCGCTCTCCTTCTTCTTCTTGAAAAGCTCTTTGGGCGGACCCTCAAGCTCCTCTCGCTGCATTCGTCCCTTGCCGAACTCGCTGGGGTATATAGAGACTTTGTCAATGCGTCCGCCTTTAGGCACAAAGCTTGACATCAACGCCATGAGATCAGAGGACTTGATATGGTCCCAGTCCAGATTGACAATGGCAAAACGTTTCGTCACTTCGCCGACTTCGACGTCCGCCTGCTCGTCACGCAGCTTTTGCATAGGACCTGTTGTCTCAACGATGGCACCGCCCTCATCTTCATCCTCCTCGTCATCTGAGTCCGAGTCTGATTCAGAGGATGAGAACCCACCCCCTCTTGCTGGGTCATAATTGGCATTGGCCTTTTGCAGCTCTTTTGCCACCTTCTCGTCATCGTCGGGCTTGTCTGGTTGTTCGTCTTCTTCGTCGCTCTCCTCCTGGTATAGATTCTTCAAGGCCTTCGTCTTGTTGTCTGACTTGACCTTGCGGCCGTATCGATCGACTTTTGCGCTCTTGGTGAAATCTTCATCTTTCAAAACTCGGGAGAAACGCTTGTCGATTTTGGTCTTGGTGTTCTTCTTGGAGGGCAGTCGAAAGCGCGGGTCGGTCTGGAAACTATCAAATCGAGAATCGGCAGACTTGGGGGCCTTCTGGCTGCTGCTGTCCTTTTTCGCCATTTTGCCGATTGCCGTGTGTAGAAAGAAGACATCGCGACCGCCGACAACTGCCTTTGAGAATTGCGCTGCTAGCAAAAAATAAAGTGGGGCTGATGGCCTAGGTCTTATCGATAACGGTTTTCAATACATACCAACGTGCATAGCCGAGACCACTCGCTCATAGTGATAGGGACTTGTGATAACATAGCACGAGACTGAATCGAAAATTAGTGTGCCATATGGTCCTGGTACAGGCACAGGGTTTCTTGTGATGCCTTCAGAGCCAGAGACACATGTAGCATGTTTCTTGCACATGTTTGTCACGTTTACCTCTGTGCTTTCGGACGGTTCGAGATAAGTTACTCAAACCATGCAATAGGTGGACGCTCAACGAGGCTTAGACTATCCGTGCATCAACCGTGTCTACCCCACGTCAACCCCTCGGGACCCCTCCATCTGCAACCGTTCTCCCTCCAGCTGCTTTCGCGGCGACGAATGCCGCTGGCCATCTGCATCGTACTTTTATTCCAAGACAATTGCAAAGATGCCGCAATGCAGAACAAAGCCGTCAGATCCTGGCCCCCTGGCTGCAAAAAGTCGATATTAAAACATACCATAACCCACAATATGTAGCTAACAGAACTGGATCTAGACCAACAAGATAGCCTCACGGCACGATGCGGTGAGGCAACCAGCGCATAGATCCCATTATTGATAGCTAAATACATCCCCCGTATTCCACTTTAACCCCATTCTTATGCCCTGATTGCATGACCAATGCCTCACTAGCTGCGCCAATCCAAGTGCCCGTCGACCATTTTCTTGACAGCAATTGGCACAACTTGTTGACTGGCCCGGCCAAACATTATGCAAACTGTCCAGCTTCAAGGCTGGGTGATGCGTGCCAAGAGTCCTCTCCACTCAAGCTTGGAGCTTGAACCTGTAAATCTTGTTTCAGACTGGATTCTCTCCGGCAATCACTCCTAGACTCAATCAGTTGATTTTGCTCCCCGTTCGTTGGACTCAAACACATCGACAATATTTGATTAGACTCGTCCTCACTCACGACAGTCAATCAAGTCCTGTGGGCATTCGCTTTTGTAGTTCATCACGGCCTCTGTCCTCCTTAATAAAAACAGCCGAGCCGTTACAACCCCGCCACGCCAGATACGACTATTCGGAAAGGCACACAACAACATAGAACATCACTAACTTGACCAACATGGATTTCTTCCGTAAGATCGGTGAGAAGATCGAGGAGGTCAAAGACCACCTCGAACATGGCGACAGTGATCGGCCTCAAGAGGAGGCCCGACCTCAGGAGCATCATGAAGAACGTCCGGCCTCACGGCCTCATTCCCGCCATGACGAGCGGCCTTCAGGACCGCCTGTCAATACAAACCGTTACCAGAGCTTTGCCCCCCAGTCCTCCGGCGGTGCCAAGTGGTATGTCGATGGAGCGAGTTACTTCCATGCCGTTTCCGTGGCTCTTGAGGGTAGGTGTATCTGGAACTCCAAGAACGTTGTGTGACGAGCTGACATGAAACCAGAGGCCCAGGAAAGCATCTACATCCTTGACTGGTGGTTGAGCCCGGAGCTCTACCTCCGTCGCCCTCCTGCCAAAAATGAGCAGTATCGTCTTGATAATATGTTAAAGGCTGCAGCCGAAAGGGGTGTTACGGTCAATGTAATCGTCTATAAAGAGGTCACTCAAGCTCTGACCTGTAAGTCATCTTTCTACCAAGCCATATTACTGAGCATGAACTAATTGGCTCAGTGAACTCTGAGGTATGCTACAGCTTCAACCGCCGAGGACGGTCTTATGACTAATATGAAAATCAAGCACACAAAACATGTACTGGAAGGCCTCCACGACAACGTCAAAGTATTCAGACACCCTGACCACGGTTTGGATGTCGACGATGCAAAAGCGGATATTGAACAAGCTTTCAGTAACTTGTCTATGGGATCGTTGAACGCTTTCAGTCTTTCCAAGGCACCCGAAGATGCTGTGAAATCGCTGTACGGTTCAGCCGGCGAGGTCGTCCTCTACTGGGCACATCACGAAAAGTTGTGCCTAGTGGATCGGAAGATTGCCTTCATGGGTGGATTGGATATGTGTCAGTTCTCCAAGGATTTCAATTAGAGCATCATTGCTAATTATACTGCAGGTTTCGGTAGATGGGACACGAACAGCCACCCAATTGCTGACGCGCATCCCGGCAATTTGGACGCTACGGTGTTTCCAGGTCAAGACTACAACAACGCTCGTGTTTTCGATTTCGAAGGCGTTGACAACTGGAACCATAATCAACGTATGTTCACATCACTCTCTTGTGTATCACAACATAGCTAAACAATGCACAGTTGATCGCACAAAGAACTCGAGAATGGGCTGGTCGGATATCTCAATTTCCTTGAATGGACCTATTACCGGCTTCTTGCTGGATCATTTCGTCGACAGATGGTGAGTAGTGCCTTATCTAGACAAGCACTAGCGCTCATGTGAATCAGGAACTTCATCTGGCAACAAAAGTACGAAAACCAGAATCCGGGCAAGTACCAAAAGATTGAGTACGAAAGCGGCAGTACTAAAGCCTCCGGCCATCTTGGCGGGGATTTCGAAGGTCGCTTAGTCGGACGAGTTAAGAGGCAAGAAGAACAAGGAGGTGCTCACATTCAATTATGTAGAAGGTATGCTGGTTGCACCACGAACATTGTTGGGCTTGGCTAATATCGAACGCTAGTTGCACTGATTGGTCCTCGGGCCACCCTACGGAGCATTCCATTCAGAATGCTTATATTGACGCTATTGCAAATGCTCAGCATTTTGTTTACATCGAGAACCAGGTAAATAATTTAGGGATTTCGTGGCTTTAGCAATTCGAAGGCACTGACATTCGCAGTTCTTTATCACGGCTACATCTGATGAGCAGCGCCCGGTTCATAACAAAATCGGTGGTGCCATTGTAGACCGTATTATTCGCGCCCATAACGCACGCGAAGACTTCAGGGTCATTGTACTGATGCCTGCCGTGCCAGCGTTTGCTGGTGACCTACACTCCGATGGCGCTCTGGGAACTCGTGCTATCATGGAATTTCAGTATAATTCAATCAACCGTGGTGGGCATAGTATCATGGAGGTTCTCCAACAGCGGGGTGTCGAGGACCCTAGGCGATACATCACTTTTTACAATCTCCGCAACTACGATCGCATCAATAACTCTGAAACCCTCGGCCGTGCCGAGGAAAAGAGCGGTGTGCCTTATGAGCAGGCCCGGCGCGAATATGATGACAAGCTTGGTGTCGGCAACTACCCCTATGGCGAGCAAGGTGAAGATCGAGGACGATATGGACAAGAGGAAGGCGGCGAGTCTCGCTTTGGTGGAGGCTATGGAGGCCAGCAACGCGGCCATGATGGTGAAGAGCGTGGATATGGAGGTCAAGAACGCAACTATGGTGATCGAGACCACGGAAGCCGTGGCTACGGAGATCGTGAAAATGCGATGGGATTGCGTGGTGGCTATGGTAGCCCGGATCGTGAGGACGGCCGACGGCGCGAGTATGGTGGGGACTACGAAAACCGCGAGCGTGGCTATAGCAACAGGGATGAAGACCGTAACACTGGCTATGGCGAGCGCCGTGACGATCGTGATCGCTTTGGCAGCGGTGGCTATGACGCTAATGACCGTGGATATGGCGAACGACGTGAGGAAGGATTTGGTGGTGGTTATGAAGACCGCCGCCATGAAGAGTTCGGCGGCCGTCGTGACGATGACTTCGGGGGGAGACGTGATGAAGGCGAACGTTTTGACAGTGGTGGCTACGGCGAGCGACGTGATGAGGGCCGACAATACGACAGTAATGATCGCGAGGAGCAACGTGACGACTCTGAACGCTACGACGGCGGACGCGATGATAACCGCCTCTCTGGCGGCAGGTCGGAAGGTCAAGGCCGAACTGGTAACTACGAGCGGTACCAGCAAGCTGCGCAGACGACTTCTGACGAAACCACGGATTCCGTGGCTGCCTGCTATATGGAAGGCGGAGAGCTCAACCGAGTTCAATGGCAAGGAAGCCCAGAAGCAGAGCTCGATGCTTACGTCTCAGAAGAGCTTTACATCCACACCAAGGTGCTCATTGCTGATGACAAGCTAGTCATTTGTGGTTCGGCAAACTTGAACGACCGTTCGCAGTTGGGTGACCATGATTCTGAGATTGCCGTGGTTATCGAAGACCCGGAGACTGTTGAGTCGACCATGAACGGCCAGCGATTCTCAGCATCAAAGTTCGCCACGTCTCTCCGCCGTCAGATTTTCCGCAAGCACCTCGGTCTCTTGCCTCATCAACCCGTCGACAAGCCCAATGCCAACTGGACTCCTATCACTCAAGATCCTCAGCAGTACGATTGGGGCTCGCAAGCTGATCGCCTAGTCGAGGACCCCCTTAGCTCTGAGTTCTGGGAGCTGTGGTCTGGCACCGCCCGCACAAATACCGAGGTCTTCAACAAGGTGTTCCACCCTGTTCCTACGGACCTGGTACGCGACTGGGACCAGTACAAAGAATTCTTCAGCAAGTACTTCATCATCCCTGGTGTTGAGACCAAGGAGGAAGACAAGCAGGGTAAGGTAGAGTACGGACATGTCGTGCGTGAAGAATTCCCTGGTGGCGTCGACGAGGTCAAGCAATGGCTTGGCAGAGTCAGAGGTACCCTCGTGGACATGCCTCTCGATTTCTTGATCGACGTGCATGAGCTTGCTAAGCAGGGTTTGAGCTTGAACGCATTTACGGACGAGATCTACACTTAAAAAATATCTTTCAGTATGGACGATAGGATAGATCCAGGATAGGTCGAGTATACAAGCATGTGCACTCTTATGGGCACATGACCGCCTGCTCATCTGAAAAGTATTGATGACTGTTGGGAAGTTGCATGCACCGGAATCCTGCAATCGTGAGATGCCTCCTGCAACTTGCTCACGGCGGTCAACTATCTCATGTCTAGTCTAGGTGATGCTCGCAGTGGATACCGCTCCGCTCAGCGGACTTTTGTCTTTTGATAAGCTACATAGTTGGGGCATTTTCAATCCCCTCCATCTATGCAAACACGCGGGTTGTCAATTACTTGTCAAAGGCTTGTGTTTCCTGTCAATTTGCGCACTCCTTATCAAAGGAATGTGCCGCTTTTGAGTTATAGCAGCACAGAATTCGTGGCGTCCTGCACCAAATATGCCAAGAGCCAATCTCCGCTGCAGCACAACCACTATAAAAGACCTGCTGAGAGCACGTGCATGCCACCGACGGTTTGCGGTAAGGCGGCCGAAGCTGGAAACCCAGCAATGAAGTGAACCCAACCTCTCCGGCTGCTTGCACGTTACCGGAAATATGGCGACCCCAATCGAGCTTCCTAACACAGCTTCGTGTTGGACGGGGGCCCTGGACCTCGCTAATGCAGGCCACAGCGCGGGCTGCACCATTGACTTTACCACTCCGTCCCCCCATTGACCTCTCAGAACGCGAGATTCACGAATGTGGCCCCTCTCGCCCAGTGATCATCGCGAGAAAAGGACGAACGTCTCGCATGCGATTCCGCCCTGTCGGTGGAAATGCTGCATATCTAGCAGGCTTTTTGGCAGGCCTTACTCACGGCTGTCGGTCCTGATGTCAATGTTAAGATAGAGATGCCGGACGATCCCCTGTCCAAACATGTATGAATGACGGTATATAATGGCACCCGCCGCGCCTGCGATGCCATTTTACAATCTGTCGCATTCCGCAGATCTTCCTACTTGAGTGACGGACCAGACCAGAAAGACAGTAGAACTCTTCCACAAGATGGTCGCCCGTCTCTCTCTCCTCAGCGCCGCCGCGCTTCTCTCCCAGGGGGCCCTCGCCGGCCTCTACCCCGGACTGAGCACCGCGAACCACACCTGTGGGCTCCAGACCCCGGTGCTGTCATGCTCGTCCGGCGCCGACCCTGCGCTCGTTGACACTTGCTGCGTAGAGACGTTCGGTGGCCTCATACTCTCCACACAGTTCTGGGACACGTACACGGGCCACGAGTCCTCGGGTCAGCTCCTACCCCGAGACACCTGGACGCTGCACGGATTGTAAGTAATACCCAAAGTTTTTCCTGCCCTCTGCTTTAGCTTATACCAAAAGCGATATTGCCTCCCTGGGGGAGAACGAAGCTCTCCGCATAAGCTCGCAGCACCCTCTAGAGATTTGCTAGGCTGCCTGCCATTAATAAATTAAACTAACATCTGGGGTGTTCACAGATGGCCTGACTTCTGCAACGGGTCATACACGCAGTACTGCGACCTGTCGCGACAGTACGACCCGATCCCAAGTCCGAACACGACGACCGGCAAGGTCGGCGGGACCCCGGTGCCGGCGTACACGGGCCCTAACATCGGGACGTTCCTGGAGCCGTTTGGCAAGTTCGACCTGCTGGCGTACATGAACAAGTACTGGATTGCGCAGAACCAGGACAACGCCGGGTTCTGGGGCCACGAGTTCAGCAAGCACGCGACGTGCTTCTCGAGCTTCGACGTAGAGTGCTACGGGCCGCAGTACGTCGAGCACGAGGAGGTCGTCGACTTCTTCGAGACGGCCCTCGGGTACTACAACGTCCTGCCCACCTGGGGCTGGCTCAGCGCCAAGGGCATCCGCCCCTCCAACTCGAGCTACTACTCCCTGGCCGACTTCCAGGACGCGCTGACCGAGGGCTTCGGCAAGCTGCCCTACATCGGCTGCAGCGGCCCCAGGTACAACGCCACCGAGGCCGGCAAGGGCAGCGCCGACAACGGGTACACCGTCATGACCGAGGTCTGGTACTATCACCACGCCTTCGGCAGGGTGCAGCGCGGGCAGGCGGAGCGCGTGCATGCCAACATCACGGGCGGCTCGGTCTCGAGCTGCGCCAAGACGCCCGGTGCGCTGAGGTATTACGAGAGGACGCCTGGTTCGGATCAGGCCGTCTAGGGCTAGGTGGGCTGTCGGTCAAGATGAATGGTGATGCCTATTACTTCTGGCAGAGACCATGGTCCGATGTGGTTATTTCACAAATAGTAATGATAATGACATTAGTGGATTGCATGTCTTTCACAGGGAGTAATGTGCATGCGTCAAGTAAGAAGCTCATCTTCATTGAGAGGGCACGTGGCAGGATCGTGGCCGAGTGGTAAAATGGATGCAGGGAAACGGTTTGCGAGCACGGCGTAAAATCGGTGGCGGTCCGTAGATTGACTTCCATCAAAATTGCGAACCGAATAGTAGTAAACATGTCCATTAGTCTCCATTCCAAGATGATGCACTCAATCATCACTTAGCATGCCAGATCGATCTGTGCAAGCCAAGTGCAGTCTATTTTACAACGTGACTTTTCAACCCCATAACGCCTTGCCAAACAGCTGAATGTATCTTTCCCATCTTTACTCGTCATCCTCAACTTCCTCCACACGAGGTCCGATGTACGAAGCTGGTTGCTGTTGGGCAGCTGTTTGGATCTGAGTAGTGGTGCCGGTAACATTAGCGCTTGCCGGGGCGGCCTGACCAGTAACGCCGGCCAGGTGTGCGGTGGCCTCCGCGTTGGCGCCCTTGGCTTTCTTGCTCTTCTTCTTGGGCTTTGCAGTCTAATCACAGTCAGTGCGAACGTTCCTACCCCATTCACATTTATAGAGTAACTCACCTCATGCCAAGCCCAAACAGGTCGGAAGCTGTCCATGAATGAGACATCCTCCCAGAGGTTGGGATACAACCACAGACCGGGAGAAACCAGGAAGTAGGTGATACCGAATAGAATGACACGGAAGATGGCCATGGCGAAGAACAGACCGAGTAGCATCAGGAAACCCCAGCTGAGATAGTAGACGCCCTGGCGAAGGAACAGAGGCCACAGGGGGTACAGGACAACGATGAAGATGGCAACGAGGGCGAGGACTGCGTAGACCTTGCGCATGAGCTGGCTACCTTCGTAGAACCAGATGTAGTACATGTCGTCTTGCGCCTCCTGCTGTTGCTCGATCTTGACAGTCCACTGCCCCTTAACACGCTTGCCCTTCTTCTTTCCGTGGTCGTGGCCCTCGTGGGGGTCGACCTTGTTGACACGCAGGGCGAGCATAGACATGGGGAGCAGCTTGAAGCAGTTCTCGAGGCTGGCGCGGTCTGTGATCTCGGGGAGACCGGGGTGCTTCTTTCGTAGCTTTTCGTATGCGGGGGACTGTATGGCGCGCAGAGCTCTCTTGACACGGAACATGTCCTTGCGCTCTCCGTTGAAGATGACGGTTCGAGGTTTCAGGTCCTGCTTACGCAGCCAGTCGGCCAAGGCTACGGCAAGAGGATTCTTGGGCCCAGGCTGGACGGGCTGCGGTTGGCCTTGCTGTTGAGGTTGCTGAGGTTGCTGAGGCGGGCCTTGGCCTTGACCTTGGCCCTGACCTGGCGGAGCGCCTGGTCCTTGAGGTGGCCCTTGGCCGCCCTGTTGCTGAGCTTGTTGTGCGCGGGCGGCCATCTGAGCCATCTGCTGTTTTCTGACATGTTCGATGAACTGAGGAACAGACATTCCCATCTTCTGCGCCTGGTCCTGTAGCTGTCTCTGCATCATCGCAATCTGCTCTGGCGTCGGCGGCGGAGCGCCCGGGGGACCTCTGAATTGAATCTGAGGACCGCCTTGCGGGGGGCCCTGAGGAGGACCTTGAGGCGGACCCTGAGAACCCTGGGGAGGGCCCTGGGGAGGAGGTTGCGGCGGCTGCTGTTGCGATTGATCCGCCATTGTGGATGTGGTTGAACGAACGTATTGACCAGCTGGAGTTTGTGTGTTTATGATGTTTCAGGAAAAGAAACAGCGGCCGCGGTGTTTGTGAAGTGGTGACAATTATGCTCAGTTTTGGCGTGCTGATAAAAAAAACACGTATCGGATGATCTCACTCAGTCTCTCCCAGTACTTAGTGAATTGTGTCCTTAGGACAACTCCAAGCAATCAAGCAAGTTTACAGCATCCCGCCGCGCTAGTACCAATAAATTGTGCTCGGTGTATGGCCAATTGAGCTGCGTTCAAGGTCAAGGCCAAGGCTCCAGCTGTCCTTGTCTCCGGGATCCGTTGCGGATTACTCATTGCCCAGTACGCGTATCAGGACCGATCATTTCTCCGAGCTCATGAGCTCACGTACGGATCCGGATTCCGTGTCTAGTCTAGGCTAATTATGTACTTGTCGCAGCTCCCGCTGATTGTTTCACGATGTGCTGTGTAGCAGCCACCTGCCATCAATCTGCCAACGTTAGCCATGATCCGTCCCGCCTTTGTCTCGTTGATGCACTACGCCATGCATGATCCCGTTTCTGTCTCTGACAGCCAACCACGGTGCATATGCACATCTCATACCTAGACATAGACTAGAGCCCATCGAGTTTTGATTCTAGTCTAGTTAGACTACATTTTTGTCAACCACACATTCTCATGAACCCACTGTCTGCTAAATTTGAGGCCCCAAGGACATCGTTAGAGATTACACTTGGACTACTGACACAAGTCTAAACACGATTTGGTCATTCATGCTACAACATATACTCCGTGCCGGTAAACAAAAATACCTTCAGATCTTTGAGCATTCCTTTCTACTCTAGTGCTCACTCATTTGGAGTGGTAATTGCACCCTCTGAACTGTCATTACACAATCACATTTTGTTTTGTTTTTTGTTTGAATTTTTTATTCCGTCTTGTTCTTTTTGGTGTAATCTCTTTCAGAGCTCCCGCGGCCGCTTCACGTGTATGTAATGTTTTTTTCTACCAAGGTCTTGTGCTACATGGGCTTCTTCAGCAAGCATGCTGAGCACTGCGCCTACGCGCCACCACGACCTTGTCATTTCATCGAGGCAGACGCCAATGTATTCTTCAAGCTGCCTCGAATCTACAACATGGCTTTGCAATGTGTAGCTTAAAAAAAACAAAAAAAAACATACAAATCAAAACCTTGATCTTAAATGTCAATCACCTAAATTGCAATCAGACAAATATGCAATGGTAAACTAATTATTTTTGCATGACTCGCCGTTCCCGACCACAGCCCAAAGTCTCCTCTTTGATAAACCTATAGCGAAAGTCAAACTGAGACAATATGATGACATCTGTCTTCCTGCGCCCACTTCTTGATTTAGTGTCACGACATGACCAAAAACATGCGAGTACAGCCTCTATGCAGGATGCAGGCCTTCGTTCATTCTTAGATACCCTCCTGCATCTAAGCAAGGAGGACGCCATGTTGTGCTGATACTAGTACTCCAAGTTATTGGTCTCATGGGGCTGATCATCGCGTGCCAGCCTTTTTTCGATGGCATTTTACATCGTACGTGCGACCGAAACTTTCCAACGGTGTACCTTTTCGTTGTTTTTGAGACAACCAACCAACTCAAAAGCGTCGCGTGCTTTTTGAACTTCTGCTGTGCCACACTACAGCCAACCAAGCAAAATCCAAAGCGCACGCTTCCGTCAGAAGTTTGAACGCACGCAGTTCGAGTGCCAGAGCGCCATTCCAATTGACTCGCCTCTAACAAAAAGTTACTGATCTAGCGTCTGCACCTCATGTCGCCCCTCGGCGCCCCTGGCTCAGGTATGCAATTATTCTAGAAGTCGTGGATCGCGGGTCGGTCGAACGCTACTATCCACGAAACATTCCCCGCGTGCAAATCTGCTACGGTGGTGCATGTATCTTTCGCTCTGAGACGAACTGCTTCGCCTGGGGCTGATGTTTATTTGCATCACGTCCACTGCTTTCGGCCAAGACGATGAGGGCCGCCTCCCTTGTGGATTGCTGATGAAGGGTGCAGCGGCCATACACATGACCAATCTGCACACTACTTGACACATCCATCTCGGGAGTTCGTGGCAAGGTGCTTGTTCAATTGTGGACTCGCCGGCTCCTGAAGGGCCAGAGAACCAAGGAATTGTAAGACATCGAGTCGCTGGAAGGGCACCATCAATCTTACACAAAGACGCATCCATCCAATCACTTGCGGAGTATGCAGCCCTCTGGCCTATTTTGCAGACCCCAGCCCCTAAGCGCCAGTGGTCCGGATGTTGAAGAACGAGCCCCTCTCAGCCTATCAAATTGCTGAAACGGCTTCAAGTCTATCCATACCTCTCACCCAGACTGTCAGGCTCAAAATGCTCAGCTATGTGAGCCTAAAAACGTGGTGTCAGAAGGCAATTTCCTTTCTCGTCATTCATAAAGACTTTCCAAGTGCCAACTGATCATGCCAGTGCATGCAGGCTTTCTTTGTTCTTTCTAGTCCGTCCATACTTACTTGAGTACCCGGATTCGCTGGTCGTTTTCCCTTTGCAAGCCATCCTCAGATATGTATCTAATATCACCATGAGAGCTTTCAACGGTATCTTCAATGAGGCCATAACTACTTTCTCTAATACTGTTGCAACTTGTTGCGGGTGGTCCCACGAGCAGCCTGCTTATTATGGTAAGTTCCCATTTATATAATTCGACATCTCATCATGGGTTCCTGATATCTGTGCCTACAGTTCCTGAGAAGTCTTTTGGCACTTATGACAATCAACCTTCGTTTAACCCTCCTCCTCTTGTCGAACCAATGAGATATACTAGAGGTTCATCACCGCCATGGGAGCAGGCTCCGGGTCAGAAGCACGAACACGTACGAGCAGGCTCATTGGTGAGGAAAGGATGGTTCTCCAGGAAGGAGAGAAAGCGCCGGCCGCAGATATCCGCCCCTTCAAACTTTCGCCATGTCTCTTCGGGTGGACCACGCTTTTCTGACCATGAGGACACTCAACCGAGTTATCGTCCTCGATCTTTCCGCCCTCTGCAACTCAACATGAACCGACTATCGTCTATGATGCCCTACTTTGGTTACCCTAACCCGCCCGTCACTCCTCCTAACAGGGCTATCGTCTCGTCGAGTGATAGCGATAATACGTTATCTCTCAAGTATCAACAGAGTTCGTCGACTCTATCTTTCAATATTCCACGCAAGCCTGCCAATCCTGGGTCGATTTTCGACTCGCCGCAGTCAGATGGGATTCGACGTCCTGCAGCTGCCCGGCTTAGGGCTCAGACTTCAACAGAGGGTCAGACTCCAGCTATGAACGAACTCATTGAGCGGGTAGCCACTGCTATGCTAGAGCGGGACCAGTTGCAGGACCAAATCGACGATGTGGTGGAGAGGCAAAGCATTCATATCAGCAGCAGGCCATCCACGGCCAATGGTCGTCGACCCAGTACTACTCGATCTATCCCTGATGTCGATATGGAACCCATGCCAGAGGTGCCAGCATTGCCCATGGCCGGACCCTCTTTCAGCGAGAGATTATCTTTCGATCGTCCACGCCCTACACCAATCAAGGTTGCGGCTTATGGACCACCGCTCACATCAGTGAGGCCCGCCGCTGCTCGAGCTCTGAATTCTTATACAGTGGCACCGGGCAGTCGACGAGTTGAAGGACGGGCGCCACCACCACCTCTGCCACTTCGTCTCCGCCCCCCGTTGAGGAAGAAGAAGTCTTTCTCGAGAGTTTCAAGTTGGCTCGGCTTTCCCGTAGACGTTTCTCATCAACATGGCCGAAATGTGAGCCTCGACTCGATCACGAACAAACCGCTTCCCGTTCTTTGGGACGGTGGGTTCTACGAAGTCGCAGCACCTGTTGGGACAAGGACGAGTTCCGACTCCGATGAGACGGTCAGCGACTGGACATCCGACGATGAGAAGATCGAGCAGCAGACACTCCCCACAAGCTGGAGCCCGAGTAGCAGCGCTACAGTCCGGGCTGTCGACCCGCCCAGGCCCGTCGTGCTCAGCCAGGCGCCCTGGCGCGAGAGTGTCGTCGGTGTTGCTTTTTGAGCAATGATTTTCATGTTACTGCCTTTTTTTATTATTCATCATTCCCCTGTGTACTTTCTACAAGGCTTATTTAATAACTTGCATCATGATACCACGAGCAAAGCTGGGCCACGCTTTGAACGATAGACTTTTGGGACTGGCTGGTGAGGGGGGGGGGAACATTCTGTGGCTAAAATCTGGCGAGGCGGATATGATGGAAAAGGAAACGTCGATCATGTCGATTGATCTTTAGGTCTGGGAGTTATGGAGTCCGGGACTCTAACCTTGGAGGTTGCTTGCGGATTTGATACCCTGTTGACAGTGATGTGTCGAATCAATGAATGAGGAGCAGAGGTGTGCCTCTTTCAACTTATCTCATTTCACTTACTTGCCAAATTGTGCTATGCTCGCAGCGGCCGGCCGTCTGTGATGTTGACTGCCTATAGTCATATCGTGCAGGGCACCATGATGAGCGTTGTATCAAGATAGAAACGCACTGTCCTGCCACAACAATGCAATTGGCATGTGCCCAAGATTGGTCATGGGCCATTGCTTCTTGTATTGACTGGGCTCCAGGTACTCAAGCACCAGCTACCGGTCAATGAACTACTACAACAGAGGAGAGGAACATGTGCGACCCTGACCAACTCAATGGTCAGTACTACTGGAACTTTGATGAAATATTCTAATGGCGTCGTGAGAGTTCGTACTTACAACGGATCATTAGTTGAGTCGCGCAAAGGGCCTCGTACCGGACACGATGATCTTGGGAAACATGCACTATGCCGTGTATATCCACACGGGTTATATCCAAACCGTGTCATACTTGACGTGTAATTTTTAGTATATTACAAAAGATATTGTTTCCTGATATGCCAGTGTACTGTTTGCTATCGATTTATACGGTGCAATACACAATACATAGATATCAACTACGATGTAGGACCGTTCCTGGCACGGGAAGCTCAACACCGGCAATGCCGGGAGACACAGCATTTAAATTGGCCTGGAGCTAGCGCTGATCAGAGGATGGACGAGCTAGATGCTTATAACGAGACGACACCTCTCAGCAGCAAACCTGAGCAGTCACATCATGCGCCTCGAGATCTACGACGAAGATGAGGGCCCGAAAACATGCCCTACTTCGAAGATGGCGACGACGACACCGGGGCTCGAAAGTCTCGATATTTCTGGATATATGGCAAGCAGTCTTTCCGACGCTCGCGCCCAGCATCGGTGAGTCAGTCGCCCGCTATCGTAGCATGGTTCCAGCAACCCCAACACCCGGCACGATGCTTTGCCTCGATCTCAGACGATGGTTAGCGGCAGAGCCTTTTGATGCCATGCCCTTTAGGAGTCCCAGAGCTGTTGGGCTCGCCTCTGCTACAGCCAAAGGATTTATATAGGCTGCCGGGTGGTTGTGAGACCAAGGAACAACGGGATAATTATTTGGACACAGTTATTGAAGTACCCGGTTGATCTGGGAAGAGGATTTTATACACTAGACTAGAGCCCGAAACATTTTGTTAACTGCTATGTCGGCAGACGAAACACAGTAGATCGGATTCAACCACGAAATGACCCACGGCACGTGCATTCCTGCCAAAAATACATCCCTATGCTGGCCCAGTGTATCTTCAGAGACGAGGTCGCGCATAAGCTACATGAAATAATCTTACTTGGACCGCGTTAATTTACAACGAACCATGATACGAGTGTGAAGGACAGACCGGTATAGAAGAAGGCTAGTTGTGGGGTTATAAGTATAGGATAACAATTGTTCTTGGTGGTCCCGATGGTGATTTGCGGCTCGTGACATAAGTGTACCCCTATATCACTGATTTAGAAATTTGCCGCCACACCCTCCACATAGCTCACTGGATATCTGCTTCACAAACGCCGTAGCAGCGTCGCCTGCATTGGCAGGGATCTCGTTAGGTTTCAGGCATTTGGAACCACATACGGCGCAGTTGTTCGATATGCCGGGCGCCAAGATCGGTAGGCCAGTCGCCGCACAATTTGCTGCCAACAATGTCAGCCTACGCACTCTGCTCCGGATAATCAGTTTCGTGTACTTACCAAAGGTATGGCCATTTGGACACTTTGAAGCCCCATGCTGCACATGAAGCTTGGCACCGCATAGTACACAGGCGGCATTTGAAGCCAAGTCCCGAAATGCGTCCTTGATAGCTTGACGCTTAGAGCTGCCCTCGGTGGACGTGCCATGCGCGGCCCCGACCCCAGGCACCGGGGGCCCGCCACCGTACATCCATTCGAAGGCGCGGGCCTCCGTGGACAACTTCCTGCTGTTGTAAAATCCGTTGTCGACAGGTGCCAAGCTTCGTCCAAAGAAAACCCTGTTTCTGAGTCCGGCAAACGTGTATCGCTCCTCTTTAATGGCGCTATAAAGTGTCGCAAAGACCGCGGTCACGCCACTTCCTGGACTTGAGGCCATCCCCCAGATGCGAATGCGGTTCGTGTAGATCTTCTCCATACCCTCATACGGATCATTTGACTCCTGGAAAAGCACAGGCTTACCGGGCTCCTCATCATCGTCAAAGTCATCGAAGTCATCTTCGTCCTCATCATCAAGCAAACCATCGTCTTGTTCTTCCTCTTCGTCTCCGTTGTTACTCCCTTCAGCGCCAGACTCGGACTTTGTGGCGCCGTCTGGGTTGTGATATCGGTAGGCCAACGGGTAAGCTTCTTTAGTTTCAAGGAGCTCAGCAATTTCGCTTGCCCATGTGGGACGAGGAGAAGCTTCTTCCGGATTCGAGGGTAAAGAAAGGTTTGTCTGGTACCAATCGTTATTTGTTGGTGTTGCAGAAAGTCGTGTCAGGGAGAAGTGCGGGATTTGTGTCGCCTTTGATATATCTGGTGGGTGTACGATCAACCCAGTAATAGGATTTGATGCGTGGCTGACATGCTCTTGTGACGGATACGTTGTGTTGCAATCGTTAGTTGAATGCTTCGTCAAGGTGCCCTCATCAATGGCATTGTCGAAAACGACACTAAATGACTGGACGGTGAAGGGCGTCGCGACAACACCTCGACATTCTTTGGACAGGCCTTTGGTCCAGATCTAGGGTATCATTAGTGGCTAATACATCATTTTCAGAGCATCCTGTACTTACCAAATCTTCCCATGTAACAAATGCATCTGGCGCGAGATGTATACACAACCCACTGCAGTCGTATGGCTGGACCTCAACTTCTGGGATTTTCCATTCTTTCCAGGGGGCTTTGATCTTGACTTGACGGAAGCCCACGTAGTTCTTCGTCACGTATGAGAGGATTGCTGTCCTGCCTCCTGGACGTTGTAGCCACGGGCTCCAGCGGAGTGCGAAGGAAGAGTCGGAGGGCATGTAATCCGGATCAGCTGGCTACCGGGCTGTCAGTTCTGAACGAGAATGACAGTGATGAAACTTACGTCTCCTTTGCCGTGAGGTCCATCTCCAGCAAAGCGAGCGACCTCCTCCACGTTCCAGTCCCCAGGATGGTTCTCCGTCCCATCGATCGCATGCCTTGACTGTACCGACAAGATGATTATCTCATCCTCATCATTCATGTATGCCAAAAGTGTACCATTTCTGTCCAAGTCTCTCGCCCAGGCAAAAGACGTGATATGCTCCATTGAATAAGGAGACTGATGGCCCTTGGCTCTCGGCAGGAGCAAGTTGCCACCCACACCCCATGGCGCCACCCATGAGCCGATGGTGCGAATATTTCGACTTTTAATCTTGACGCTGCCAGAATCATTGGCGGCACCCTCGCAGTAGATCGTCAATGCGCCGCTGCCGGTAAGAACTGCAAGCACAGATCTTTTCAGCCGGCCCAGGCCGTTGGGGGACCATTCTAGTGCAACCACGTGATTCAAGGAGCTGCCAATGTTCGCGACGAGGCTTTGGCCTGCCTCCCAAGTGAATTCGAAGTCTGGAAACTCCTGCTTAGCAGTGCCGAAGAGCGGCCGGTTGAGCTCAGGCGCGCGCAGCTCAACAGCCGGAAAGCGCAGCGCCACCTCAGAGTATTGCCGCCTAGTCTCAAGATCTGCGAGTGAGGCAGCCTTTGACTTGGTGCCTTTGGAGGGAAACTCGGGCAGGTACAAGAATACGGAGTCATCCGAGCTGACTGCCAATTCCGCATCCGGCGACCAGGCAACATTATGTGTGGTGAGAGCGATAGACACCAAGCTCAATGGCTCAAGCGGGAGAATACCGCTTTGCTCTTCGGAACGCATCTCGGCAGCAAAAACACGGGGTACCAAGAACGATGCTTCGGCTCAGCTGATGGAGAAAAGGGACACAACTATAGAGAAGACTGCTTTAATCAAGGATCCGGTGAGGCGGGTGTTCATGGTTTTGGAGTCGTCAAGCCCATCATGCTTGTTTTCCGACTCACTGCATGAAGATGGCGTCGCCGGATGGTGGAAGATAATTGGTTAGAGATGATCGATATGGGTCGTTGTTCTGACGCAGTATGGAACTGCTCTCACTGGAAATTAGTCTTGAATGCATTCTGGCATATGAGCCTGGTGAAGTTTTGAAGTGCAAGGACTAATCGGTGGGTGCCCACGGAGACGTGGGGCAGGTATCAAAGTTCGCAATGCACGCTTCGTCAAGTTGACTAACGTTAGGTTAGTTAGGCTATGCTTATGTATACCAGAAACAAACGCCTATTCCTAATTATACTCTCCGCACGTACACGGATACGAAATTGTATTCTCATCATGGTTTCATTATCAAGCTTGACTACCTTGCCTTTTCCAGATATGACCCCAGAGCCCACAGCGCAGTACATCCCGCCAATGCAGTTGCACCCACGAGCTTCTTGGCCCACCAGTTGTCATCATTCAGGGGCTTGGCCGCGGGAATCTTCCTTTCGAGCCTCTTCTCCTGCACTGGCTCACTGGCGTTCTTCTCGGCAGCCTCCTGTGCATCGGCGAGGATTCTCAGCTGCGCAATGGTTTTGCTCAGGGCTAACATGTCATCATCAACAGTGGTATTCCTGGCACTATCGATCTCAACGTTTTGCACGTTTCCAAGGAAGTCGGTCAACAGCCGGCTGCGTGCTGCTTCAGCCCCACCCTTGAACAAGTCATATCGCACGCCGGCGTGAGAATGGATATTCTCGTAGCTGTAACTGTCGAACAGATCCCCGACCGTCTTCTTGCTGGTCAGGTCCTTGACCTCAGACTCGAGGAATTCCAGGTTGTAATAAGTGTAACGATCGATGACAGCCACGCCGACGTCATTGTCAGCGTGGTGCGAATATGAAGATTGGTCGAGCTCGGACGACCCGGTGGCGATGATGTTTGGCGAGTATAGCTTGCTGTACATGGTGTTCGCTTGGCACGTGTCAATCATGAAGAGGATCTCGTTGTACCTGTCGGCGCATCATCAGTAAGGGAGTGCGGCGACGGCGCGGGGCACGTGTGGCTCCAATGCTCACCTTCTCTTCTCCCACATCTGCTCAAAGGCATCGGCCAGGTCGAATGCGCCAATCTCCTCGGCGTCTTGGAATTTGAGGAACTCGTTGCCGCCATGGCCGGTCATGTAGACGAAGATGTTACTCCTGTCGTCGGTCAACAGCCTCTTGCTCCTGGGCATTTCATCGCCGACGCGGTCGGTGAGTAGCCTGATGAAGTTCTCTACCGTGACCTCGTATCCCCTGTAGTCGACCTCGATGTTGTCGCCGTACAAGTCGACGGCGCGATCGGCGTTGCTGTAGACGGTGCCGGGGAAGGCGTTGCGCGGGTTGCATGCCATGTCATCGGGCAGCATGAGGATGATCTGGGAATCGGGGATGCCCAGCCGCTTGACAGTTCGGTACATGGAAAGAACATTGGCGAGATGCCGGTAGTTGAACCAGAAACGCGAAGTTCCGACCAAGACTGCCCAGTTGCTCGTATGCTCGGCGGACACGGGGGCCAGCAGGCTGGATGCCAGCAGCATCGGCAGCTGAAGTACAGTCGAGAGTTTCATCGTGTCGTGTCAAGCCAGCCGCATTACTTTGCAGTTGGAAACAGTGGTGTGCTTGTCGGTTTGGGCGGCGATGGGGGCCCTCTGGGTGGTTTGCATCGAAATGCGTATTTGTCAGAATGTCGAATTGCGTGACGGAATTGAGCTGCGCCTTTCGAGATGCGATGCTGGCCCGAATTGGGACATGGCCCACCGCGACGGATCCCGTGTCCCACCACGGTTAGTCTACTAACCTTAGTAGCCTTCAAGCACCTGCCAGGGCTGCCAGGGGGGAAGGCAGGGAGGCTCTTCGAAGCTTCGGTGTGTCTACGTCCCACCGAGGAATGCTCTAACCTTAGCAGGCCTTAGCTGCTGCCCGCTCTTGGCCGCTGCACAAACAGGGATCTGGTCATAGCGTCCCGTGGCTTCTTTTTTGGGGCTACCGTACTTTGTACGCACATGGGTAACCTTGGCATTTGCTGTGCGGCTAAAGAGGAGAGCTCGCTGGCTCGGCTATCAGGATTCATCGTCGAGATCGAGATCATCCATGCCATGCACGTTATATGATGCTTATATGTATGTATATTCACATGTATATGCTGATGCTGAGCTCTCTGAGTTTAGTCATGCATGGCCGTGTAGCAATGCCGCAAATCAATGGCTGTCATCCTGCCGGCTGCCGTACACGTTACTTGGTAGGTACGTGGTCGGTCAAGTCCACCTACGTACCGGGACTGGGAAGGTTTGGCGAGATAATTCCGTCGTCTTCCCCTCTTCTACGGAGTGCCGACAGCAGAAACCAGTCGCGGGGTTGTAGCCTGTCACATGCTTTTACACAATGACAAACCTGCTGTATGGATGACAGCTGGGCTTTAGTCACGGAAAAGGGACTCGAGGAACGGCCAGCAGAAGAAAAAAATTAAGAATGGCATCCATGCCCACTCCTCCTCCTAGCGGGTAGGGGTCCTGCTGTGGTTGTGGGGCTAGGGGCCGTTTTGGCCACCAAGACAGATTTTTAGTGACGCATGATTCCAGATCCCAACCCTGCGGCTCGCCTGCAACCAATCTGTGCAAAGCGTGCCCCGCCTCGTCTTTGAACTGTAGCGTGCGTACATCCGCATTAGATGCGTGCAGGTGACGATGAGTAGGTATTCTGTCGAGTACCGCGAATTCGTGGCCATACTCCAAGCTCACGATCGTGGGCTGATCCACACATGAGCCTAAATTCAGTTACCAGGTGCATGGGAGCCTGCGAGGTCTTGTCCTCATCTCCGCAGGTCATGGGACGGCATCAATGTTTCACAGACTGATCGAAACAAAACTCCCCTGCTACCTCTCTACCTCTCTACGGATCCGTACCTCTCCAAGGTTGCCTCTTCAAGGTTGCCTCTCTGCTTTTTGACGCACGGCGCCCGCAGCCATCTACCGTGCCGTGACGCGACACTTCAACTGACAGCCGACAACCTCGGAATCGTTTTCGACTTCCTTTGTCTGCTTAATGCTCGACTGCCGCATCGATTTTGCGACCAGAACAAGAAGTCTTTCTGGCAGTTCGACTTGCAGTAGCACCACCCATTCCGCAATCCTGCTTGGTTTTACGCCCCTGGTGCAAAACATAGACAATGGGTCGCCCTCCGGCTTATATCTTCGTCGTAAGGTTCGTAGCTACCGAAATATCCATCCGTACCTTGGTCCCCTCCCTCCGCCCGTAGCCACCCACTTGTACATGTAGCACAGCTGACACATCCCCCATCCAGGCACGGAAACCGCCTGGATGCTGCCGACAAGCAGTGGCATCTCACCTCGCCCGCGCCCTACGATCCTCCGCTGACCTACGGAGGATGGCAACAGTGCAAGACACTTGGTGCTCGAATCGCCTCCATCTTGCGGGACAGAGAAGCCGAAGATGAAGCCGCACAAACAAGTACCAGTCACAGCTCAGGCAAAGCCACGGCCCAGTCGAGAAAGAAGAAGAAGAAGAGATACAAGGTCATACTTCACAGTTCACCCTTTCTGCGCTGCATCCAGACATCCATCGCCATCAGCGCCGGCATGGCCTCCAATACCTACTCTCGAACACAATCAACCGAACATGTACCATTGCAAGCAAAACGCTCGCGAATCAACCAAATATCATCTTTTTCCAACCCAGCTCCGTCCCCATCGCGACCTACCATATCCACCGACGTTCCTCCTACCCACCAGCCACATAACCCGGCCCATATAGATAAAACCATATTACGACTCGACCCCTTCCTTGGGGAATGGGCATCGCCTGACTATTTTGAGCACATAACCCCACCTCCAAATTCAAACCTGATGCTCATGACGGCAAAAGCAGACCTGCTACGGAAGGAGAACTACGACACTTACCCCCATTTCAACACCCGTCCGAGCATCACGCCCACCACACCTAGTCAGCTTTGGAATTCTCCCACTGCGACGCACAATTCTGGGCTGGACAACCTCCCTAGAATTGGTGAAGCTCTGCCTGGAAATGGGCCGAATGAGGCGTCGGAATGGAAGGCAGGTCATAAGGCCTCCCTCTCCGAAACGGCCATCTCTGTGGGCTACGTTGCACCGGTGCCCTCGCACGCTGTCTCCTCCATGGAGCCAATCCCCCACGGTTATGTTGCCCACGCAAGGGATCAATGTGTGGACTTTGATTACCAGTGGGACTCGACGAGAGACCCAGTCACCTGGGGCGAAGGAGGCGTACTGCCGGAAGAATGGGCAGCCATGCATGGACGGTTCAGAAAAGGTCTCAAGCGATTGGTAGATTGGTATTCAACAGCAGAACACCCAGGTCAAATGGTCACCAAGACCCCAACGACGCCTAATTCTGTCAAGTTCGATGGTAGCCCCACAGAGGAGTGTGCCGTTGATGAAGACGATGTCGAAATCGAAAACGTGGTCATTCTAGTGTCACATGGCGCTGGCTGCAACGCCCTGGTCGGCGGTATCACGAACCAGCCTGTTCTTGCCGATGTTCCAATGTCATCATTGAGCATGGCAAGACGGCGGGCACAACTCAATGGTCCACAGGCCCTTGTCGACGAGCGTGCTTCGGCATCTCTCGAGCATGCCCTGTTGCGAGACGAGATCACAGTACCCGAGCTTTATGAGTTGCCGATGTTCGCAAACACGGCCCATCTTACAGGTTCTGCAAATGTGAGCCGGTCCTCTAGTGTTAATGGTGGCTCGAGGGGACGCGACTTGAAAGGCTTTAGTTCAGCACTACGGGACATCAATTTCGGTGCTCGCTATAATCCACCCAGAGATCATCGCAGCAATTCGCTCAGTGCTTCTTTGGAAAGTATGAGAAGAACTCCTGGTGGGCCAAGCGCAGGCGCCAAATCGCCATCCATCGTATCCAGTGATGGTACAAAGGGCGGCATCACGGTCGGGAGCGGTGTGACCAGTTTCGGCACTGCTGGCCGTAAAAGCTCCTGGGGTTTGTGGACGCCCAAGCAGCAACCTCAGGACCCCGACGATGACCCAGATCTACCCATGACTCTGGACTTCAGCTACGAAAAGGAGACCGTCAACAAATCGCCACCACCGGAGCCCATCGTCGAGGTGCCTGAGCATGAGACCGAGCATTTGCCAGTATTATTGGCACCAACAGTACAGGGCGAGGATCACGACGCTTTTGACACAAATGCATTCCCGTCGTATTCTTCGGCATCCGGATCTGGTCTCTGGGGAACGCCTCGACCACCTGACGATGCCGAGAAGCTGAGAGATTTTAGCTCCCAGAAGAGACGCTGGACCGTCACAGAACGACAGCCAGTAACTTAGCACACCGTGGTTGACCATCGCCGCACATGTGTGTATCGTGCGAGCCACCTGCGAATTATGCTTTTTGGAGTGTTTGCGGAGGTTTGGTGGCACATGAAACCCACAGCGCACATGATGGCGCTCTGTCTTCGTCACATCAAGTAGGGGAAATTGCATGGCATTGGAGTGGGGAGCGCGCACTCCTGGCAGGCGTATTCGGCGTTGAAGGTCCAAGGTAAACCATGGTTCGTCCTTCTTGGACTTCGTTTGATAGTCGCTCGGTTAGACAAAAAGACCGACCCAAATAGCATTTTTGAATCACTTCTCTTACGAACATGAAAGGTTTTGGAGGTGTCTACCATATATTCTTCTCCTCGTGAAAAGTCCCGAACTATGTAACGTGACTATATATCTCGTCCCTTCTATGTGCAAACGTCTATTGTCAAAAGAGGCCACTTCTGTGGGAGGAGGGGGCCCCCATCAAGTGTAATGCCAGCCTCGTCTTTCTACTCAACGCCCTACTTTCGCAGCCCTATCGCCAGGGCAGTTTCTCTCGGCCTCTCGCAAGCCGAAGGCAATATCTCCCGCATGTGCGTACAAAGTCGTTGGTGGATGAATACTAGTGCAGATGCGCCTCACCGCCAGATTATTTCGAGTTCCATGCTCTAAATCTCAGCTCCCATGCTCTCAACCAAAGGCTCTGTTCATTGCCTGGTGGGCCAGCTCGACGCCCAAAAAGGTGGCGGCGTTCGCAGGGACCGCCCTGGCCAGCGCCGGCCCGAAGCCGGGGAAGAAGGCCTTGACGCCGCCCCTGCCGTACAGCTCCCTGATGACCCCCCCGATGGTGGGGTTGCCCTCGGCCGTCTGCAGCCGGCTCTTGACCGTGTCCACGGGGAACACGGGGATCCACATGGCGATGCCGGCGGCACCACCCGCCACCGTGACGGCGGACAGGCTGAGCTCGCCCTGCGGCGCGCCCGTGACGGGGTCCTTGGGGGTCAGCCGCCGCTTGATGTACTCGTAGGCTGCAAAGTAGGCCGCGCTTCCGGGGCCGTCGCGGGCGAGCGTGGCGGCGCTGCCGCGGAACACGGACCGGACGCCGCCTTCCTTGTAGAGCTGGCGCACGACGTCGAGGCCGCCCTTGTACTTGGGCTCCTCGCCGGGCTTTAGTCGCTGGCCCTGCACCTGCAGGATCACCTTGACGCGCTCGAAGGGCGCCGTGATGGCCGTCATGGGGATGGCGCTGAAGAAACCGGCGGCGGAGACCTGGGCGATGGAGAGCTGGGACGCGCCGGTCGCCGGGTTGGTGGCCACAGTCGAGTACGAGGTGACGAGTTGCTTGCCGACGTCATAGCCCCAGAAGGAAACAGCGACTGGAGAAATGCCCAAACGTCAGCTCCTATCACAGCGAGGGCGGAAAAGAAGGGAGGGAACAGGAAAGGAATGACACGTACACATGGGTGTAACACCGACCAACGGCGCACTCACACCCGCATAAAGACCTCTCCTCACGCCATCGCGGGCGATGTTCTGCTTCAGACAGTCGATCGCGCTCTTGTAGACGCCCTTGTCGGCGGTCTGCAGCCGCACCTTGACGAGGTCGAAGGGGTGGCCCACGACGACGGCGCAGACACCTCCAAAGCCACCGGCGGCGAGCGAGCGCAATTGGGCGCTGGCCGAGCTGGCGACTGCCTTGGCCTCGGCTTTGATCTCGGCCTTCAGCTCATCCTTGGATTCGGGCACGTGCGGTAGCTTCGAAGAGACGGCCTCTTTTATGGACGAGGTTGGGGAGTTGCCGGTCGACGACATTGTGTCTGGAGATAGCGAAGGGAAGGGCGAAGGGAAGGCGTGAGGATGAGAAGAGACGGGGAAGTGTTGATCGAGGAAGAGAAGTGTAGCTCGGAAGAGAGTCAAAAACCTGGTGGAGGCTTGTCTGACCGTGAGGGTCTCTGGCTTGTGATCGTGACCCGCTTTCCCAGTAGGTTAGTCGAGTAGCTATGGTTTATGTCCAAGTGCGTTGAGAGCAAGGAGCAAGATCAAGAGCAAGAGCAAGAGCAAGAGCAAGGTGTACCTTGAAAAGAGGCTCTGGAAAACGCAAGGGAGTAATCGCTATCCCGCACTTTGTTCTTTGTTTTGCAAGAATTGCGTTACGACAAGAAGCAATCGTCTTGCCCGTTAATAACCTAGACTAACTGACCTAGCTATCCACAGAGCTATGCGATGCGGCCAGGGTTGGTAACTTATTTGGTGTCGGGCGTTGAATCAAGTCCACAGACGTCAGTGCCTCGGCTCCTGATCAAGTGGGTACGAAAGTGCCGGTCTTCGTCCGTGGTCGACGCAAATAGAAACAACTCTTTCTCGCTCCGTACAAGGCTTTGTCCAGTAGTGAGTCGAGGCAGTTGAAACATAAAAAAACAATCGGTTCTCCAAAATGACAGTAGCAAAAATATGCAAAGGTTGGGGTCGCAATTGGGGAAGATCAGCCGGCGAACGGTACATGGATAAAACCTCTCGATGTCTGCCTCGGCCAGTTCGGTTCAATGGAGGGGCTTTCCCCATGGGGGGGTTTGCGCGCCGTGGATCCTCCCTAATGCCCGTCCACTGGCCCTGCGCTCATCCGCTACCAGGCCAGATATTCGACCCTGCAGTGCGCCCACCAATTCAGGGTTGTACCATCCAATGCACGTCCTGTGCAGGTCGCATGAGAACCGATCAAAAACTTTTTTTGGAGGGAGGGAGAGAGGGCTAACTTATGCTACACACGGACAGAAGGGAAGTTTGTCCCACCACAGGCCATTAGTTGCCAAGCCTCATTAGAACTGATTTAGCAAACAGTATGCAAAATTGAATCTTTCTGATGCTGGTAGATATATCCGTGTTATGTATGCTTTAGTAAGCGAAAGGGTTGTACAAGAATCATCGCCTAGGGTATCAAGTTATACTACGAGCACTTGCACCCTCCATGTAGAGGCGGAAGCGTCCAACAAGCCAACGTCTATACGTTCGTGTTTTCTATTAAATCGCCATCTCCAAGGTTCGGCGAGCTCAATGTCCAATGGGAAAGTGTCAAATAGTGACAGCATTCCTCCGCCTTTCCCAACTTCTCCACTAATGAAAAGCTGGTGTCTTCGGCGTCATTGGGCTGCTTCTTCCCATACCGCACCAGCATGATGTATCGCCTTCTCTCTCCATCTGGACAGTCATCTCGATGCCCTTGTCAGTCAAGTAGTTCTGTACGTTATCACGGACATCATCCAGGTCTGCTCCACGCATGGCCGCCACGTGCATGACACCTATCAGACTGCCATGAGCCGCATGCCCGGTCCTGTCGTCGGCCCAAAACTTAGGTACGGAATATGCAGTCACACCGCGCACTTCGTTGATTCCCGTCAAAGTGTTTCGAAGCGTGTACTCGGTATCGTCGGGATTGACCAGAAGCAACCGATGGGCCGACGACTTGACCAACGGCACCGCTGTGATAGCGATCAGGTATGCAATCAGAAACGACGCCAGGGGATCCCAGCCCGACCATGGGATGAGATATGTCAGAACTGTTGACAAAATGACCGAGGCGCTTCCTAGTGTGTCGGCAAGGATGTGCAGGTAAATACCGTGCATGTTGTCATTTCCATGAGAATGGCCATGGCCGTGTGCGTGATCGTGTCCATGGTCGTGTCCATGGTCGTGCCCATGATGGCCGTGGTCATGAGATCCAAAGGCGAATATGCCCAACAAATTGACAATTAATCCCAACGTGCTAACAACGAAGAGATCCAAGAGCCTTTTCGTCTCTCTGCCCTCTAGTAGCCTCTCAAAACCCTCGAACATGATCTCGACGCTTATCAATCTGTGGCACAATTAGCAAATCATCTACTTGCCAGTTTGGTAGAGCCTACATCAAGAATATTCCATTGGCAAAGCCGCTCAATGTTTCTATCTTTCCGAACCCATACGGAAACCGCTGGCTAGGTGGCCATTTAGCCATCACAGCAGCGAATAGCCCAACTGCCAATGCTACACAATCAAAGAACATGTGTATACTGTCGCTCAGCAAGCCTAAGGAATCCGTAACGTATCCATAGAAGGCCTGAACCGCCATAAAAGAGAAATTCAGCCTGTGCGTGGTCAGTGCGAGTTCTTCTGGGGCCTGCATAACACCACTTACACCATGAAATAGAAAATGCGCCGGGAGTCCTTCTCCGTCATGACCGAATGTAAAAGAGGGTAGCGCGATGTGTACGGAAGCAGTAGACCTGTCAGTTTAGAGTATTTGTTCGAATGTGCGTGAACATGGCCGTGGCCGTGGCTATGCCCATGATCGTGATCGTGCGTGTGTTGGTGCTCGTCATCGTGTGCATGGTGGTTGTGCCCTTGATGATCACCGTCATGGTGATCGTGTCCGCATATTGACTGGCCATGGTCATGCCCGTGGTCATGATGATCGTGAGAATGCGGGACAGGTCCACCGTTCGTCTCGAAATAGTTGTCGTGGTTGAGGGTCTTTGGGGTCATTGGCGACATGTCTTCGACGGGAGACAATGCGTCGCCGTGCCTAGACAACGGTGAAGGCCGGTTCTCCCTCTTCTGTAGCGGTAGGTACGAGTTGGCTCGGTAATTGGACAGGTTTTGCTGTGCGTGCCCTTCTACTTCGTGGTCGTGGCTCGGACTGCGGCTGTGGCTAGGGACTCCCAAGCTTTGGCTGTGCGAATGAATGCCAGCCGATCGTCTCGAGTGTCCAAAGGATTGCGATTGACCCAAGGATTGTGTGTGGCCATGGTTATGACTATGCGGGAGCGGAGGAGTTGGCAAAGCGTAGGAGGCCATCTTGCTATGGGTATAGGAGGTGCCCGTGGAGCGTGGTCAACCAGGAAGGTGAGCCAGTACGACTCTAGACGTTGAGATCAATGCCTCATCGATACACGTGCTTGAGAGGTTCACCTCCAGCTGATTTGAGCTTGTGATCCGGGCTCGGGTGGACGTGCGCGGAATCTGAATGACGAAATTGGAAGCTGTGAATTGAAATGGGCTTTGGGCTTTGTCCTCGAGCCGTTCCGATGTTGCGGCGCAGGTGGAAAATGCAAAGGGGGTCCCGCTCGACACTCGATGCAATTAGTAGCGGATAGACCAGCTAGGTAGTTATAGTACGGAGAACTTTGAACTCTTTCGGATAAGAATGACGCAGAGACAAACCCGATTGATGAGACCGTATTTGACGCGTTGACCAGACAGGGGAGTAGTTGCAGAGGAGCAAAGAGCAAGAGCAAGAGCTACGGACTACAGTAGGTTAGTATGGGACGAAATACTGGATAGTTACACACGACCGAATGTGCTTCTTTGTTGTCGCACCTTGATGGGTAAGATGGATGGGCTTCTCTCTCTCTCTCTCCCTCCGCTCTCCCTTCCAGTTATCCCCTGTATCAAGACCCGCTAGACGTGGCCCCTGTCGCAATGGCTTCCAGCGCGGGGATGCCACATTGCCGGCATCTGATCTCTGATTTGACAATGTTGACAGCAACTGATTGTTGTCTGGTGTCCACAGTGCACTTGTGCAGGTCCCGATAGCTTGACATGCAGATAATCTTCGATAGCGGTATTAAGAGATCTTCACGAATTGACTAATATTACCAACCCATTTCCCGATTGCCAAAATGCTTGGTGGCCCACGTCGAAAGGGCACCATGACCCAGCATTAATGCACTAGACTACGCGATAGCTGCGGCCATGGAATTGCGTCGTCGTCAGCGATGCTTCAAAATTAGAAAAGAAATTCTCGTATAGGAGTCACGGAGCCCTGGACCATTGTAATTTAGCTGAATCGTTCCCCAACGCGCACGCTGAGACTCGGGCCCGTCTCACCTGCCTTAAGCAGTGGTCTGAATTCTAAACAGAAAGACGTTTGACCTAAACCTAGATGTCACGTTCGACCCACGACTTTCGTGACTGGCCTTCCTATTTGAGATCAAGGCTCACTGGAGTCTTCTTGGTCTATAAAACACGCTACAGTCCTGTGGAGTTATTACGTTGCACACATTGCTATTTCGGTGTCAAGCTGAACCGCAATTGCTTGCGATTGAGCTAGACCTGATGGTTATTTTGCGACACGGTAACTCTGTTGTCAATGACCCGAAGCGCCCATTTATTGGTATTCTCAGATACCTATGCCCCTTTTCAAAGGATTTCCATCTATATCCTGAATCGTAAGGATGTTACTTCAGCATACAAAGACTGGTAAATTGGCGATGATTGCACATCTGATGTCACAAAGTGCACAAAGTAGTGACCGACTGAGTACGGAGTAGTGTTCATCATTATTGACTCTGTCTAGACATGCCCTAGACTATCTTGTGACCGGAGTACACCGTACCAGACACGGTCCTACCGTCCTCCGTCGTGCTGGTGTTGCCCCGGCTGTTGGGAGCTATTTTCGGGCTGTATGGATTATTCGCTGACCCTACAGATCCGTAATCATATACTGATTATAATCCGTACGCTTTCTTAACCTAGTTGCTCAAGCCATTTTAGCTCCGGCGCAGCCCTACCCATACAAGTTTGCTATCAGGGACGCAGCCATTGGAGAAAGCTGGTCAACTTGGGTGTGATAAGATAAGCCCTTTCCACCGCTATCGGCCTGCATGACTCTCAAATTTTGAGACTCACTCTTTTTCATGACCGTCACCGCAACAATACTTGACCTTAAATCTCTCTTCTTTGAGGTTCCCCGGTAATCATCTACAGTCAATCCCACTCCCGCAATCTCAAAGCACCAGTCTTAACTATCCACAATCCTCAACACACTTCATCATGGCAGGATCAAAGGGCAAAGTGTGTCTCGCGTATGGAACTGCCCCGCGCCCTAGCTCAAATTATGAATAATCACTGACATCGTCACTAGATACTCTGGCGGTGTAGGTACTTCCATGGACGACCACGAGAAGACCCAATGCCTCGGCCGTGTCGACTACTAGGAGTCTGCCATGCTAACTATGACGTAGCTCGACACCTCGACGATTTTGGCCTGGTTGTTGGAGCAGGGATACAGCGTCGTGTTAGTACACCACACAAGCTCGGCTTCTTAACTGGAGCTGGGTATGTCATGTCTAGCGCTATCATGCTAACATTTCACAAGCTGCTATTTGGCAAACGTCGGACAGGAGGAGGATTGGGATGCCGTCGAGAAGAAGGGTGAGTTACCTACTCCGAAGCTGTTTGCTTGCGACTTGGAGTGTTTGTGCTAACAGTGCATTGCGTAGCTCTCCAAATTGGTGCTGAGAAGGTACGACGATACGAGCCATCACGTCGAACTTATAAGGGGAAATTGCTGACCGACAATGACAGATGATCATTGATGATCTCAAGCGCGAGTTCGTTGAGGAGCTCTGCTGGAAGGCCGTTCAATGTAACGCCATCTATGAGGACCAGTACCTTCTGGGCACGTCCTTGGCCCGCCCGATCATCGCGCGAGGCATGATGAAGGCCGCTGAGAAGGAAGGATGCCAGTTCGTTTCCCACGGCTGCACCGGAAAGGGTAACGACCAAGTTCGATTCGAGCTTGCCTACTACACCATCAAGCCTGATATCAAGGTCATCGCCCCGTGGCGCGACCCCACCTTCTTCAAGCGCTTCCAAGGCCGTAACGACCTGCTTGACTACGCCGCTGAGAAGGGTATTCCTGTCACTTCTACCAAGGCTAAGCCTTACTCGATGGACGACAACTTCGCCCACTGCTCATACGAGGCTGGTATGCTCGAGGACCCCGACGTGACCCCTCCTGAGGATATGTGGACCAAGACTGTCTCGCCTCTGCAGGCTCCCGACACTCCTCTCGACATCACTGTCCACTTCGACAAGGGAATCCCCAGCAAGGTCGTTACTCCCAAGGAAACCGCCACCGACTGCGTCGAGCTCTTCGCCCTTCTCAACGCCCTGGGCAAGGAGCACGGTATCGGCCGTATCGATATTGTTGAAAACCGATTTGTTGGGTTGAAGAGCCGTGGCTGCTACGATTCTCCTGCCATGACCATCCTTCGCCTTTCCCACGTCTCGATTGAGGGTCTCGTCCTGGACGGCCGTGTCCGCTCTCTTCGTGACAACATGAGCAAGCAGTGGTCCGAGCTCCTTTACAATGGCATGTACTTCAGCCCTGAGCGGGCTTTCCTGCAGCCCAGCTTGGACTTCGCTCAACAGCGCGTCAACGGCGAGGTTCGTCTTCGCCTGTACAAGGGCAACGCCTACGTCTTGGGTCGCAGCTCCCAAGAGAAGCTCTACTCTGAGGAAGATGCATCCATGGACTCCCTCACCACCTTCGACCCTTCTGAGACAACTGGATTCATCACCATCCAAGCTATCCGCCTCAAGAAGTACGGCCAGCAAATGGCTGAGGCCGGCATCAAGTTCTAATTTTAGATACCAGCGGGAGTTCCGGATTGGGAAAAGTCTTCTGCAAGTTCAAACAAAATAGATGAATAATAAAGTTAAATCATACGAAAGAAAATTTGCCTGGAAAATGACTGTTGTCAACTGCCCTCCTTCGCCTAGCATCGTTGTTATACGGTGATACCTGTAGCCATAAAACACGGAGCTCAAAGGGCGCTAAGGCAAGAGCGCTAGGTTAGAGCCAATTGCCGCGTAACCTTTTGTGTAGGAATACCTGCACTGAACAAAACGTATGAAATCTACTTCCACAGCTCATGACAGATCTCACAAGGAGACACAAAAACATTAGCGCACTAGATTGAGCACCTTCCTTGGCGATCCAGGAGTGACCTTGAATAATGTCACTTCTCACATTGATAGCTCAGGTCGTTGCAGTAGGTTTTGTCACAAGCCTAGTCCTGCTGGTTCTTCGCCCATCTCGACATGTGAAGCGATCCCCAGGCTCGCCAGAGTCGGTCCGCGTGCATGTCTTGGTACTTGGAGATATTGGCCGCTCACCACGAATGCAATACCATGCCCTGAGCATCGCAAAGCACGGCGGCACGGTTGATCTGATTGGCTACGATGGTATGCTTTTCATTTGAAGTTACCGTTGTCTTGGCCTCTTGTACTAAACACTTACAGAATCACCGCTTCATCCCGACTTGGCGAACAGTCCAAAAGTCATTGTTCACCCACTGCCGTTGCCTCCTGCCATCCTGAGGAGCAAGTCGACACCGTTCATTATTACCGGGCCACTAAAGGTCCTTTGGCAGATCTGGAGCCTCTTCTGGATCCTCAGCTATCAGACACAACCAGCGAGGTGGCTCTTGGTCCAAAACCCACCATCCATCCCGACCCTATTCGTGTCGCTTGTGGTCTCGATCCTGCGCAACACGCATCTGATGATCGACTGGCACAATTACGGCTGGACAATCCTCGCCGGCACGCGGGGGGCCACTCATCCCTTCGTCAAGGTCTCCAAGGCGTACGAGTGCCTGCTCGGCCGCATAGCGCCCACCGCCAATATTACCGTCACCCATGCCATGGAGAGGCAGCTGAGGGAGGCCCCGTATGGCGTCAAGTCGCCCATCCTGACGCTACACGACCGCCCGGCGGCCATATTCCAGCCGCTGAAATCCATCCCCGACCGCAAAGCCTTCCTGCAGCGCCTGCTGGAGACGAGCGATCTCGCCGCGAACATTCTGGCCGGAGAGACCAAGCTGATCGTCAGCAGCACGAGCTGGACGCCGGATGAGGACTTCTCGCTACTGCTAGATGCGCTGGTCGAGTACGCTTCATCAGAAGGACCACGTCCGATCATCGCCATCATCACGGGCAAGGGCCCGCAGAAGGCCTATTACCAGTCCCAGATCCAAGAGCTGGAGAGGGCAGGAAAGCTGCCCAACATCAGAATATCGACTGCTTGGTTGAGCATGGAGGATTACGCCATGCTGCTCAGCTGCGCCGACTTGGGGATCTGCCTACACATGTCGAGCTCGGGTGTCGATCTGCCCATGAAGGTTGTGGACATGTTCGGCTCCGGTCTCCCCGTGGCCGCTTACTCAAAGTACGAAAGTTTTGGGGAGCTGGTCAAGGAGGGACAGAATGGTTGCGGATTTGAGACGGCATCTGAGCTGAGCACGATTCTCGCCAGGCTGTTCAGCGACAAAGGAGCCGGTGAGCTGCGGACGATCCGTGGAGGTGCGCAAAGGGAAGGCAGTCTGAGATGGGACGAGGAATGGGATCGCACCCTTGGGCGGATCCTGGGCGTTATCGAGTAGTAGGGGTCATGGCAAAAATGATTATGCTGCAGAAAACTGCTGAGTGAGATGAAGCGTCGGGGGTGGATGCGCCTTTGTGCTGTCTCAACGCCGCCTTATGATAGTGCTCCAAAAACGCCGATGGCAACATATTCCCCATAGTTCCGTCTTTTATCGCAAATGGCTCATTGTCAGATCCGCTGCCCATCACATTTCATATCATATCATGTCATTCGCCTGGAAGAAAGCAATCGCTGAGTATTATTATACTGTACCGTAGTCCAAAAGTGCCCGTTTCGTGTCTCATCTGGTTTATAGTATCGACTCACATCCGAGAATCAATCCTCGCCCAAGCTCTCCCTTACACACTTCCTGACCCTTCTCCGAAACTCCTTGCTGGTCCCTTCCCTCTCGAGCCTTAGAAGCTTGGCGGCGTCGAGGTTGGCGGGGCTCTCGTCGTTGGGCTCGTTGAAGAGGCTCAGGACGGAGACGAGGATGGTCTCGGGGGTCTGCACGGGGCTCCACCGCTCCGAGGCCGACTCGTACCCGTACTTGTCCTCCTCCGGCGGGTGCAGGATGGAGATGCAGAGCTCCCCGTTGGCGTAGATGTTCGGGTGGAACGGCACGGGGTTCTGGAACACGAGCTTCGGCGGCATGTGAGGGTACTCGGGCGGGAAGGTCAGGGTCGCGTTGAAGCAGCCGCCTGTGAAAGGAAGGAGAATGATTAGTGTGCTTGTCCCTCTCTCTTCTCGGTCCCTGCTGTCCCCAGGGAGGCTAGATACGTACCGCCGTAGTACTTGCAGTCGTCGTTGATCATGATGCCGACCTGCCAGGCGAAGACGTTGTTGTCGTTGACGAGGCCGACCGAGACGCCCTCGAGGTCCTTTGCCTTCCTCATCTCGTTTAGTTGCCGCTGCAGCAGGCGGGCTGCGCCGGTTTGTTGGGAGGACGAAGACATGATGAAAGTTTCTGGTTTGGTGTGTGCGGTGGTTGTCGGTAGGGGATCAGTGTAAAGGACGATGTGAACGGGTCGTTCATTCGCCGATCTGTCTTTCTGATTTTGAGCGTATGTCGGATGTCCGGGGTTCAACCTTGGCCTCAAGTAGAGAGCAATCTGTAAGGAGAGGTGATTTATAGGACCGAGTGCTAGGTTAGTTGCATGAAGAATGCGCAATGAGTAAGTTGAGATCGTCAAGGTATGGTGATGTGATGCGTTGCGCTGGGGCGTGGCGTTGGCGTTGGCGGGGCTTCGAAGCTCACGGGCGTGACTTTAAGTACTGCGGGGTCCCCCTGCTTAATTAATTCCAGGCGCCTTGGCCGGAGCCAGATGTACTCCATAATTCCATCTAACAGGGTAGTATTTAATCTCACCATGTATGTGTATATATATATATATATATATATTTATTACTTATAAGCATACCGTATACCACTTCCACGTCAAATACAAGATGCTATCGGCCTTATTTATTTCATGCCCTATGACTAGCTACACAGCGAATATCCATTTGAGGGTAGTAACCTGAGGAGATACTATCCGCCCGCTGCCGAGAAAAGGTCGACCCTAGATATCTGTTATCCGACAATACCAATGAACCATGGGAGCCATCATTATGTAGACAATGACAGCATCGCCTCAACATAAGCGAGCGTACCATCTCATCGGGCTACCACTGCCTTGGGACTGAGGATCGTTATGTTGTGACGCATCCACCTCCGCTCTGGGCGGATGAAGTCTAATAAAATAGAGGAGTGGACAAACAACCTTAATGGATTCATGACCAGATCTTGCTCAAATACGAAGAGAACGATAGTAGTATCGAAACCAGCGGTGATCAACCAGATACGTACCACATGTACAACAGCATTCATAGAGCGGTTAACTCTTGCTAACGGTCCGACAACCCCCCACATTATGCCACTACTGTTAGCAGTCTGAGGAGATCCGCAGAGGTAAGCGAGCCATATGAGGCACCAAGCACCCGTAACTTGAGGATCATAGCATAGCAGACATGCTCCAGGCAAGTTATCTATCGATGGGAATATCCGAAAGTATGTCGAGACAGGCGGATGGAGAATCTGTATGTGGAACAAATGTTTCTAATAGTGAAGCAGTGTTGATGATGGTGCCTCATAGCAGCGCAGAACGGCGAAATGGTTTTGAGGGTATAATTGTCTTGCATCGTTTCATATATTAACGAGATTCCATGGTGTCGACGATATCTAGTAACATCGGTAGGTTCTGATGGTACTAACACCTTTTCGCACATGACTGGATTTGCAGAGGAGAGCACCCAGTGAGTCTAGAATGGGAATGGGTTTAAACGGGAAAGAATGCATAACGCCGAGAAGTTTGAGCGAGAACCGTTTGCTCACTAAACTTTTGCAGTCTACTAACTTGCCCAGCTGGAAAGCTGCAGTTGTTCTACTTTCTACTGATAAGCCGTTCACCTCCAGCTGTGCTCACTCGCCTCAGGGTTTTAAATTTATGTTTCTGCATTCTTAACTAATAAAGTTGGTGATTGCTTTTAACCGTAGGAGGCACCTGAAAGGCAACTACGATGGTCAATATATGATGGTGCTCCAGCCCAACTTTGGGTACTTAAACGTCCACTGCATACCTTTTCTATATTTGTGCCGTTGCTCAGCCTTGTTGTATTGCCCTCTCAAAGTCGCACACCAATGCTGCTGTTCTTATCCTCGACCATTAGTCTTGAGCCTAGGGTTCTGGACCTCTTATTCACTAAAATCATCGAATTTGGTGCCACCATCTTGGCTTCGTGCATGATCCGAAATTTGCTCTCTATAGTGGTTGAAAGTCCAGACATGTCATGTCTCATTCGCGTATTTGATCTATCAGCTGGACTTGTGACAAAGGTGACTAGATCGCTTTGGGCTACACAAATAATATTCAAGAAAATTTGGCTGGGCTAGACAATCGGAATATCTAGATGAGACATTTGGAAAGAACCAGATGATTTTTTTCCAGGTGTTTGTCACTAGTTGCATCGCAACGAAAATTACATGGTTGCCTAAACATTCTCACGTCGCAATCATAATCTCTATACAACCCTCTTATCTTGAATATATGGTGTGAAGCTGTTCATCTCATCTGAAGGTTCAGTAATTCATAAGCACATTGACAAAGAGCGAAGAGCTACCGGATGCGGCAATGCGTCTACCATATCTAGGACATGAGGCCTACCTCACGAATTAAATTCTTTGTTGAAGAGATGGTGTGTATCAAGCTTCTAATAACAGTCTAGGAGCCTTTGTAATGTCAAATTAGGAGTGATAACATCATTTTGAGCTCATTTATCATTTTTATCCATGATTCTGTGATCAACGCTACCAGGTTATATATTCAACACTGGGAAAATCATCAACATGCCACCGAAAAGACCAGCCGCAAGTCTCGACTCGGATATAGCATTCCCAGCACCAAAGCGCGTAAGGTCTAGCAAACCTAATGCAAAGAACCCTACCAAGAAAACCGCCGAAGGCGGTGCCAACAGATCAGTCAATTCCAAAACTACCGTGACTAAAGACGAATCTACCATGAAACGTGGTGTAGCTAGGACCGGCGATGACCTGGTTGCGCAAGCCAAGGCATTCAAGGATACCGCACAGGCTCTGAAGTCCCATGGTGTGATTGGCGATATCGAGTTCATTTTCAAGTTCCGCAAAGCGGCGCCACCGAAATTGGAAAGGACCAAACAAGCGAAGGACAGGACGGCAGATTTGAAAATTGGCAAGAAGGAGGTGGAGGATGAGAAGATCAAAAAGGGGGAGAAAAGGGAGGCGAAAAAGCCTGAAGGGAAGATGACGGAAGAGGAGCGCAGGGCTAAGCAGAAGAAGCTGGACGACGACTTGGAGAGCTATTACCAGGAGACCAAGGATGAAAATGAAAAAGAGAAGAAAAGGGACGAGCTTGTCGAGAAAAAGCAAGAGCGGGAAGCACTCCAAGGTGATGCTGAAGAGAATGCCTAACCAGCGGAAGGAGCAGGTGATTTTATCCCAACAAGATATACACAATTCTTTTTTCTTCTTCTCCACTTTTAGAAATATTCTTAAGTAAAGTCGGAGGAAAGATGGATATCATTCCGAAGAACTATACGTTACTCTTTGAGACAAGGCATGCTCTTAGTCATACCATCTTCACTATGTGGCCTTTTATGCACTTCGCCGATAACTCTGTGCCTGGTTTTCATACGCTATCTATGCCAATAATTGCCTGACAACTTGTGCTGGCAGAGTTGCTCGAAGGCAGAGTTGCTACATTCGACTCAAGAACGTACGTTGATCCGACCCCGATCTTGTCTCGCCGGGGTTATAGGAGCGCCAGCAGAAGACTGATATTCTGAGAGGGTTTTGCGAGCGTTGCTTCAGATAGGCGTTTCCGAAGAGCTTTACCTGTAGCTACGATGGTTAATTTTTTAATTTTTTTTTTGAAATAGAACCCTGGTGCTCAAGGCGAGCTTGAGCTGAAGGAGCAAAGCGCCAGACTCAGCGGGAGGTAACATCGCGAGAAGCCTTGCGCTCAGTCCGAGCATCGTGACTCCGGAAGGGGCGATGAGAGAGACTGGGATTAGCAGCAAGACAACCATTCGAAATTTGCTTGCGTCTTGGAGTATCCTGTACTACAGTCGGAACAGTAAGAGTATAGATGGAGGTCGATTCTTGAGAAGAAATACTAACAAGACGCGTTATTCGAAACAAGTGAAATGAGCTTTTGCATAGGCGATGTCTGGGGAAAATGGGGTCCTGTATAAGTCCCCATTTAGTACAATATTTGTAGTCTTTATTTGATGATTCAATAGCACAATATCTATTCCGCAACACCCGGCATAGCGTGCTGTCGGGTTTCGCTCATGTGCGACTCTCACTGTTTCTCGTACCAGTCTAGCTTAAGCGAACTCAACCAGAGCTGAATCGTCACCAATGAGTTGCCCCCAGCCAATCTTCTTATTGACACCGTCCCACGCTGTATAATACTGCTTCAACAATGGGGAGCCTACGAGCCATGCCCCAAAATTGCTCAAAGGGTTGTTGAACAATGCTTGGCAGATCTGCTTTTGAATTAGTGGTGTATTCACTAGATACAAGTTAACGGAAACTTACGCCTGGTTGACCGGGGTACTCGCCAAGATTGAAGGATTTCTTTGGTATGGTCAATTTGAGAGCGGATCCGGTAGGTCCCAACACGAAAGTCAAATCCGGTGCTACGGAATCAAGTACATCACATGCCTGAGAACATAGATATTAGTGCCTTCCCTCCCATACAATACTTCATCGAAAATCACTTACAGCCCCCCAAGCACCGGCCTTGTCAATCTGAGTGATCTTGGGAGATATTTGTGCATAGAGTTGCTTAGCAACGGCATAGCTGGGTGTCTGCATGAACGCAGTACCCGTATCGAGAATCGCAGTGCCTTGAGCAGAAGTCCCAGTGAATGCCTTGCCGTTGATGAGTATCGAAGACTGAGCGAGATTGAAGCCGCCGCTAGAGAATGCAGTGTAGTTCAACGTCCCCACGAACTTGGTCTCGTCGATACCACCCAGAGTGAGCTCGCCGCCCTCGAGGTCACCGGCGGGCGTATAGAAGGAGAAGACAGGGGAGTCCAGCACGCCTTGAGCATACAAATTCCAGTACCAGGACTTCTCGCTACCACTGGTAGGTGGGCCCAGGCCCATGATACCGTCAATCGGCATGACATCGAGCGCGGCAGCATACTTGTCACACAGCACGAGTTCCTGGCTGTCGACAACGAAATTACCAAGAGCTACCTTATCGTGGATGGTGACACCGGAAGCGCCTTCGGGCACACTAAACGGAATAGAGTCAGCGCCAGTCGAGAACAGAGGGTTCTGTCGCGTTCCGGGCTTGTTAGAAAAAGTGCTCGACTTGGACGCGTCGAACAGAGTCTTGTCAGCACATGTGGTGCATGTGCTTCGGGGGATGAGCAGTTGACCGGAACCCGTATCCCAGAGGACAGTGAGCTCCTGGGCAGGCGTACCAACGGATATTGTGCTATACCACTGATTGTCTGTACGGTTGAACCAGTCCGTAACAGGAACGTTGACTCCCGAAGAAGCGCGAGGTTTCAGAGGAACCTTGATCACGCCGGCCGAAACGGCTGTGGCTGCGCCGAAGAGGCCGATGAGGCTCGCCGATTGAACCATGATGTCGGAGGGGTCTGTAAGTATGCACTGCCAATTGCCAATGATTAAATAGTCCTCACGTAGAATCGCAGTGATCTGGGTACCTGGGTCGCTTGGCTAACTTGGCAGTTCTGGGTTTATGTCTGTTTATAATTCAATCATATAGCCCGGCACTTTGGGAACACTTTGCTAACGACCAGAGGATAGGGTTGTTTTTGCTGTAGTGGGGAAGGTGTCATTACTTCTCTTCCTTCTTTACTGAACTTCTTGATTTGGAAGTCATCTCGGAAGCTAAACAGCTATAGCAAACACTCCCTGGCTCAGATGATCACCCCAAATCAGCTGGCCAAGGTCCAGAGCAAAGTTAGGATGGTAGCACGTTCTGTCATTTGCCTAAAATAAAAGCCTCTTACAGTTGGCCAAATGGAGTAAACCGGCAGTCGCCCTGGTTTGGTACCTAAATGCTGTGTTGTAGACAGCGAACAGGGTTAGACTTTCCAAATGTGGAAGGTCGAAAACTAACTTGGCCGCATAACTTGGACGCGATCGCGACCGCAGCATTGGCATAGATTGGCGGAGTGTTTAAGCTTTTCTTGGCGACCAAGGGTTTAATGCTTGTCATAAGAACCGCAGCTTGATACAATTCCTGGGCCATTCACTTCGAATTCATAAGTAGGTTTAATCAACACATATTTGATATCGTTCACGTTAGCGTATTAAAGACTGTGCTGAGACATCAGTTATGACTTGACCGCAATTGTTCCCTACGAGATATTGAGGCAGCCCACAAAATCGTGGTGAAGGATTGGTTGAGGACATGGACTTTATCAAGTATATACGAGAAGTTATTAAAAGTGAGATTCGTAAGGGTGAAATCCTTGATGATGCCAAGCTAGATCTACAGCGTTTGCGTGGAACTAAACCCATACGCACCTAAAAATTGCTCTCGCCACCAGCTAAGGCAGTCATGTTCAGGTTACCGGGCTTGATGAGAGTCTTGTCCTTAGGGAGCGCGTCAAGGACCTCATCCGTCAGATTAAGGGTGTCTTTGACAACTTGGCGAGGCGATAGCGCGAGCCACTGGGAAACGGAAACATCGGTGAACTTGGGCGCCTGCAGGACCTCAAGGAAGATCACGTCTTCAGTACCTGTGTTCTCGACGTAGTGCGAGTTGGCAGCCTCAATATATCCGACATCGCCCGCTGTGTAGGGGATCAGCACTTTGTTTCGGAGGTTAGAAGAGAGATGTCAGTACCTGTAAAATCAAACGTCCGAGCGGAGCTTGGGGCCGCGAAGACCGTAATACGAGCGCTGCCTTGCAGGAAGTAGTTCCATCTGGAAAGTATATTAGTAGGAAACCAGTTACCAATCAATTTTTCAATTACTTACTCATCTGAGGTAGTGTGCCAGTGTATCTCGCGCATGGCGCCTGGCTGAATGACAACAAGAGCAGCTGAGAACATACTAGCAACCGGGAAAGTGGTCGGGTCAAGAATCTTGACAGAGCCTCCTTCTGTTGTGTATGGCTCCTGCTGAGACCAGTGGTAGGTGTAACCATTGGCTGGCGAGAGAGAACCAGATGAAGAAGTGATGTTTTGTTCTGAGATATTAGCCGGCGCTGGTGTCCCATTGAAGATAAACAACTCCTTTTGCGGCACATTTGCGAGTTTTTCGACATTAACCTGGAGATTCTTGGACATGACGGAAGTTGGGGTGCGCATGAAGACCTCGGTAGCAAGGAAGGTCTCGTCCTCAGAGAATTCTCCATCATCGAAGACAAGAATAAACTCACAGCCCTCATCCAGCGCCTGGATACTGTGCGGAACACCGGGAGGAAAGAACCACACATCACCAGCTGTAACATCATCGATGAAACTCTTACCGTCAGTGTCAATAGCAGCGACACGGACGGATCCTTTAAGTACTAATGCCCATTCACCTGCAGTGTGCCAGTGAAGCTCACGGTAGGCATGAGGTGCAAGTCGCATGTCAACACCAGCCATGTCTGTCGCTACTGGCAGATTGGCTTTGTTCTGTTGACGAGCCCAACCAGCTCGATCAATACCAAGCTTATTGTGGGACAGACCCATAGGCCACATGGCGTTAGGAACGTCACCCTGGTCTGTGGAAGGTGGAGCGTAAATATCGGGGTTCAGCTTCTCATACTCATAGGTTCCTGAATGATTTGTATTAGATGGTTCTCACAGAGCCGAGAAGCTTAGTAACTCACTAGGGCCAGGGTCAGTAGCTCCCTTGCTTCCACGGATCGGTTGTGGTATTTCTTCACTGTTGAAGTCGAGGTAGAGACCCAGCTTCTCAGAAGCCTCTTGACCATTGACAAGTTCAACATCGTCAACAACGGCAGAGTCACCACCAGAAGTCGGCGGTCTTTGAGCATTACCACCAAGCAAGCTCTCATCGCCGTATAGAGAACCAGAGGCGACCGTAACTGTGGGTATCTGTGGAGAAACACCACCGACATTGCCTGAATTCTCGCCATAGTCCATCCTGAAAGACAATAAGCATCATCCGATTTGAAGCGTAGAAACGAGACGATAAACGCGCTAGGACTCAACCAGAAGATTGAAACTTACTGAGGAGCTGGGCGAGCCAGAACCAGAGGCAGAAGGCTCAAAGCCATTGACGACTTTTTGATCTGCATCTTTGCTATGGTGAGTATCGACAAGACAGGTGTTTTCAACGGCTGGTAATGATCTTGCAGAGAGCCTGTGAGAGTACTGTCAGTGTGGGCGAATCTTTAAAAAAACGTCGGCGGATGTAGTTGGCTTTATAGACCAGATACCCACGTTCAAAGAGCAATCTTACCACCGTAACCCAGATTTAAGTCGCGAGGATCTATAAGTCCCTACACCGCAGTGATTGCACTGCTATCTAGCAAGGACCTCATAACAACAGATGCGTTGACTCAATGTACCGATGCCGACATAGCTCCGCCTCAGTGCTTTGATACTCCATTTAGCTTGAGGACAAGCAATTCAACCATGTCACGGTGGGAATGTGAGTAAGAACCTTGGTAATCCTGGCCGATGACAGGCCAGAAACCCACTCGCGGCCGCGGCGGGAAAACCCAGCGACGATTAAGAGTAAAATCATATTCGAGGATCAGCGTTGGTCAACTGGCAACCCAAGTCATGACGACGACGCTAATGCTGGGAAACACAGCGATCCTCAATCGCACGGATATATGTCTAGTGGAAGCGATTTAGCTGCTGATCTTAGGGCATCACTACTCTCGCAAGGGCTTTGCTTCACCACTGCTTACTTTGTGCTACATTCCACAGATTGGTTGAGCTATGAGTCGTGTACACACACAAGTAATAGCAAAACGCGACTCAACGCATTGGACTTTGGATTTGCGTTGTGCCTTGCATAAGGTAGCATTTGAGTCTTCACGCTTGCGTCACATCTGGAGACTGCACATTACAAATTAGAAGCATATGTAATCTCACGACCCCAGACGATGTGCGACCTCGTACAGGCGGTCAAAGTCAAATCGAGTACATAGTACCTGGATGAATACGCTAGCCACATATCACTTAGTCCGCCGTTGAGGTATCACTGTTGCACGACCTAGGTATATATTGAAATGCAGTTGCCGTTCCTTCCGTGGACTATGCGGTTGCCTACTGATAACATCTAGGATGATTCTGTGGGGAGGGTCATAGTCATGATATCAAGTGTCAGTCAGTACATTGGATTTAGTTGATTGCACTTATTTATCATGTAGTAACGAGGACCTCGTTGGACCATGTTGATAGTATTATGATCAATTATGGTGGAGACACAAACCTGTGACGCTTAATTATGGGTTTCTATCTAGTCACGGCTGCTACTGAATACTGATGTGGCTTTGCTGCGGCTGGATGGGAACAATAAAAATCGCTGGTTATAATGCCCCAGGATTTAATAGTTCGTCAGCAATCTCATCCCAGCGGGCTCCAGCGGCTCGAGCCGAGACTCCGAGAAGTCTGGCCTTGCGGATGCAAATTCCCGAGATAACTTAGTGGACCTTTAGATCTATTAATGATTATACTCCGCGTAATGCAGGTGGATTACGCATGGGGTCGAGCGGGTCGAGCGGTCAATACTACAGTCAAATTGAGCCAGGTCATGGGCTAGGGGTGTAATCAAGCTTTACCAAGACTGGCCAAGAAATGTGACATGTCTGTCCCACATGAGTTCTGCACTCTCACTTCTCGGGGAGCTTTCGGTGGTTCGGCTTGTGAATTTCCGTTTTCCAAACCAACTTTCAAGATTTGTGACTACAGTCTGCAAAAATTTAAATATGTCCGAGGGTATTGTTCCGAGCTGAAGGATTGCCTCCCACATACTCATTGGCATTGCTCAAAGAAAGTAGGACTTGCTAACGATGCTTTGCTCATTGACCACTCTGATTTAATTGGTTCTAACACATGTCGTTGATACACCATTTCCAGAGTAGATAGATCATCTTCCCACAAACTTCAGCTCCAAATGTCGGGCAGGGATATAGACAAAAAGACTAAAGAGGAATGACAGCTGATTTCCAACATCACCGCCAGCGTCTCCGATCTTTGACGCAACGACGCCAACGTACCATGTTGTTGACATTCCGAGAACAGCTATTGCACAGAATCAATACTTGGCCTACAAGGAGGAGCAAACAAGTTTAAAGTAGAATAAGAGACTTACCGCCAATAATACCCAAGGCGAACGCCAGACCTCCAGCATATCCGACAGGCATGTCTCCGGGGGTATTCCAAGCCTCCAAATTGTAGTTAGCAAAACTTCCCTTTCGGAAATAGTAGTGCTCGACGAAGATGATGACAAAGAACGAAGTTGTGAAATACCCTAGAAGGGACAAGAAATTCTCCAGGTAGGTCAACAACTGGTCTCTGCCCGCTAGTCCTAGAAGGATAACCGCTACGAAGCAGAGGAGAGTCCAGATAAATCGAGGTACGACAGCAAGGGGCCGGGCGAACTGCTGAATGCTCAGACCTGCCGAGTAGATGGCAATGCAGTTTGTACCGATGCCCGACAAAACCAAGAGGAAAAGGATAAATTTGGCAAAGCCGTAAGGATGTATCATTGTTTGAATGAGGAAACCGACACCCTCGTCGTACTCGGCGGCCCAGTCTTCCTTATAGTTGAGGGCGCTGGAGACAACGCAGCCCAGAACCATTCCGATACAGGTCGGGATGCAAATACCAAGACTGGTCAAAACGAACACCTTAACCTTGGAGGTGTTCACTGGATATTCGACATAATAGTCACTGACGACGCTGGCCCATGACGACGAAGATCCGTAGACGACTCCAAAAAGTGTCAATAGCATGCCGCTGTAAGTTGAACCTTCCAGCTTCGTCGTTGTGTGAATGTCACCAAAGGATGCGGTCTCTCCGTACATAACCATGAAGATGACCAAGAACACGAGCCAGGCAAACTTCTCATAGTGAAACACAACCTTCAACCCGAAGAAGGAGATCACCAGACCAATGACAGCGCAAATGACCACACCAAGAGCACTGCCGATTCTTCCATCGCTGACAGCGCTCAGGGCAACACCACCTGTGATTGAGCCCACCGAACTCCAGCCGATCTGCTCGACCACATTCAAAAGAGCCATAGCCTTGGCAGGCCACCATCCCAGAGAGTAACGACTAATAGAGATTTGACGAAGTCCGGTGGGCGCGCCCATCGTCGCACACCAGCCTGTCACGGAACTGCCAATCACGGTCGAGAATACCACAATCAGAATGCTCTGTCGAAGATCAAGGCCAAGCTCCCATCCAAGGAAACCGGTTGCGAAGCAACTCACTGAACTTTCGGGTTAGCCCCATCTACGCGGCGTCGTGAGAGTCCTAAAGCTTTACTCACGGTTCATGGTACCACTAGCCCAGAGCGCGAACATGACGAGCTGGTTGGACCATTTCGCATAGCTAGGATCACGGTCCTCGGGGAGCTTTCGTGCGATACCATGCGCCTCAACACCAAGCTTCTTGTCCAGGAGCTCTTCATAGTATCGCAGCTTGCCGAAGAAGCCCTTGTGCGACGCATTTTGGAGATATCTGGGTATCTCGTCGCTGGAGCTGTCGACTGCGACATTCGAGGCATCCTGCGCGATGCGCTTCTCCTCATCCACCGGGTACGTGCCGGCCATTTTGAACGATGCTCAAACGTCGATATCGATCACGGGGCACGCTTGCGGCTGACACGAGGAAAGTCAAACCGAGACAATTGAGGAGAAGTCGCGCGTGATTCTCTGCGCGAGCAGTGGATTTAAAGAGGAGAAAAGTCTGATGGCCGCGACCCCATGGTTGTCGCCGCCCGTGGGCCGTTATCACTAAATGGAGATAATGACCGAGAATCACCCCACTGGGGAAGACTTTAAGCCGGACTCGGCAGGACCAATGCCTCAGAGCTTGATTTGTCTTGGCATCCCAATTGGCTGGAGTATACCGTCTATCGGACTAGAGCGATTCTAAAATGCAGCAGTCGCGTTCGAAGTGGCCACAGCAAACGGGCTCTCCGCATTTATATGGGTCTCACCCACTTGAAGAAAAAGAGGAAGAGATGGTTGTCGAGGGGACATCATCAGTTCAGCAGGAATGTTCTTATTTTGCCACAAGCTTATCATGAACCCTTGGGACAACCTGCAGTGGCACAATTGTGATGGACATAAACACATTTCGCTCGGTGAATTGATCTTCAGCATTCTGCATCTACCTATGTATGGAGAAGTGCACTCGCATGTCAGATAGACTTTTCAACTCCTGGACTGCATTTCTAAGGGAACCGCAAGTACGATACGAGATCGCGAGCAATGGGCTTAGGATTGAGTTCAGTCAGATCAGGCGTTCGTCTAACGAGGGATGGACTCGTCGCATATTTGCGAGCGCCGAAGTTCGAGTTACATTCATACTGGATTGCTCTAGACTAGACTTGGTGTGATTGAGATCGTAGGTAGCCTCAAAAGCGTACTACAGGAACCATTGATGGTCACCAAGGGTAACCTCTGACTAGAGATAAAGTACGTTGTGCATAAGCATGATGACATAAACGTGATAACTGAATCTATGATCGGTAAGAAAAATATTTCATAATGGTTCTTGGCAAAATGTTATCACTAGTCTAGGACGAACTACTTCGAGTCCACAATGTCGCCCTGAGCTTAACTCCACATTTTCAAAGGCGAGTCCCGCCTATGCAGGCACCTTGCAGTTAGTATTGGATTGCTTGACTCGCTTCTCATCTTGTATTTAGCAACTGGAACCATCCTTCTGCCTGACATAAGCATAATCCACGAGGTTTTTATTATTATTATTATTATTAAATAACGAAGCAATGTACAGCATTAGGGAAAACTATCTGAAGTTGAAGCGCGCTCGAGGCGTTATGACTGGATCATATGCCAAGCCTAGTGGAGCATCCCTGGATGGCATATGTAGCCTTACATTGCGAAGTGAAGATAACGACGTTACTGATTGATTTTTGATAGGTTAGCCCTCCAACCACTGCTAATATTATTCCTTTGGAGCAACGACGAGAGCTGGAAAACTACCTCGTTGACTGGCATAAAGTGCATTTGAAGGCCGGGTTGCCGAACTTGTGTAGAATTAACCAATTGTCTCTCCTAGCATCTTCAGTCAAGAAGAGGATCGATTGTTATGTGATTGCTTATAATAATTGCCCACGGCAGTAAGTTTGAACACTCATTTTAGCTCCAATCTTTGAACAGTTTAGAATATACATTAGACGCGGACATTGGAGAAGAAATCACGTATGAATAGGACATTACGAGAGAAATTTCTACCATACAAGGCATGTGAGTATTAGGTCAATTCATTACTCGTGTCGGGTGTGGCCGGATCTAGTGTACAATCGCTAAATTCGTGATCTCGTGGACTTCGTAGAATCATGAATTCAAGCCTTGCTGCGCCATTGCTGCACCTCCGTAGAGCTGATCTCACGTAACTTGTTGACAGAGGCTGCTTCACCAGTGACAGCTCCCTTGGCGACCTCCACGGCATATCCGATGAATGTCTTATCTGTGATAGCATAGGTGGCGGTATCAATCTTCACCCTGATTACACCAATTCTGGGGTCATTCTCAGACCCGTCGTGCTTGCCATCGCCCAAGTCACCAACCCAAGCCTTCAGCTCAGGGCTGTAGTGCCTCTTGACCACGCTACGGTCGGTCTCGATGGATGAGGCACCGGATATGGAAGCCCACTGGCCGGAACCGTCGATGAAGCTGAGGTTGGTTTGGGGATCTTCCTTGATCTCGTCGGTCTTGTTGGCCTCTGTGTTGGTGAAGAAAAGAAGTTCGGTGCCGTTGGCCTCCTGTGGACATGTATCAGTTACCACTCTGGGCGTAGTGGACAAAGGGGTTCAAGTACCTTTGCGGCGACTGCCATACATCTCGAAACTAATTTGCCACTGTTGGCATCACGAGTGGTCATCATGCCAAACTTGCGAGCGTCGATGAACTTCTGCAAAGCGCTGAACTTCTGCTCAACACCAGGCTCATCCTTGTTGGCGCTCTTATAGGGGTCGGCGGGCTTGGAGCCAGTGTCTGCGTTGGAGAAGGACGACATGTTTCTGGTAGTCGGAAAGTACTTTGTTTTGGGGTTGGAGATTATGTCTCTTGAATTGCAAAGAAGTATACTCGCGATTGGTCGTGCAATGAGTTTGTTGTTGGGTATAGTATACTTAAGCTTCAGAAGCAGTCTTGAACGTGGGAGTCGCAGCATTTTATGTGCAGTGACAATCGTTGGTCCTACACACGTCCAGCTTGTCACGCAAGCAATGCATCACATCAGTGGACAAATGGAGTCAAGAGCCCCTCAGACGGATGTTTACCCCTCGATTATGCTTCCCGTATGGCTGCGAGGTACAGTAGATTTCATCATAGACATGAAAAAGCGCTCTAGCAGCGGTGACATCATGACGTCAAGAAGCGCGGGTCAGTGACAATTCCACAAAAAGAAGGCGCTTGGCTAATGCTTTGAAAAGAACTGACGCAGGGGACTAGGTCAGAGATCTAATCATCGATACTGTATGTAATTGTATGTATGTGTGTGACCAAACAATCCTACTTGAGAAATCAATGTCGCAACTGGTGTTGGCATTGGTAGACGACCAGGCTTTAGCTAACCGATTGGTTCATGGCGATAATACATTTTGAATGGTACTCAAGCTTCCAATGACAATGCGAAGCGTCAAACCACGTTCTACTAATGCCCCACCCCACTATAAGCAGCGCTACGATCTTCAGGTCTGCGCATGGCTTCATAGACTTCGATCAGTTGCATCAACTGCGATTTAGGATAACACTCGGCAGACAGCCCGGGAGGATGTCAAGATATTCATGCTGCCAGGAGGAGTAAAAAAAAAAAAGACAGCTGCTAACTAAGTAACGCATCATTGTATATAGGCGTCCTGGATTGGTGGCGTTCTGCCTAGACAGTGTTTTTGCATGCCGATCAATAAGATCAATCGAGGCTTATCTTCCCACCGAGCACAATAACAGATCGAGTGCTTCTCATGTGATGCCATTTAATTCGAAATTGTGATGATGGTTTCAGCTCACTATATAGTATATATGTAGAGCTCGATGGCAAGCAGTACGTATACGAGTAATACGATTAGCTGAGCTTTAGTACTATCATTATACTACGGAAGAATTTTAATATTCCTGGTATGCCGTAAAACAGCACCTTTAAAGATATTTTATAAAGTGTCTGGTCTAACTAGTTGAGTTGATTTGATTTGGAACGAAGTGAAGGGAACCCATCGGACATGGAAGCGTAGAGTGTGGGGTTGGCAGCCGGTGATGCCCGTTGGGTCATTAGGCCGGGGTGGCAAGAGCTGACACAGTTGTAGTGATTAGATTAGACTAACCTTACAGTAGGTCGGCCTGGAACATAGAACAACCCTACATAACCGAAACGCCAGAAGTGACGTTTCTTCTCCTGACAGATACATTGTTCATAATTGATGGCAGTTGATATTGACATTCCATCCCTCTCTCTCAAAGAGCCCTGCACGAACCGAGGCCAGCGCATACAAAGAGCTTGACTGTCAGGTGGCTCATCAGAAAAGATGCTCGGCAAGCTCTGACGTTCTTTCCAAATCATTACTTAGCAAAGGCACAAGCCAACTTCAGAATTTCAAACCCTGCTGTCGGGGCATTGTCGGGCAGGAGCGCTTCGACTGGCATCAATTGAACTGAACTGACCGTTTCCGCGCAATCGCAAACGCAATCGCAATATCGCAATCGCAATCGTGACTTCCTGCTGAACCAGTTTACTTCCGCATTTTGATGAACGGCTGCCTGAACCCAAAATTTCGATTCAGGCATTTCTGCTTTTTCCCATCCCGTCAAACGCGGTGTGATTGAATTCAAAGCATTTATTCTTATTTACTTCGCCTCACCAGCAAAACAACCACATTTCAAGCCCAGCCTTGCGAATCGAAATTGACCCTTGTCAATCCAGAATGTGCGCAGCTTCTACGAGCAACACATCATGGTAAGCCTAGCGGGTTCAACACAATCTTGATCGCAGACACGGACTGATCTTCTGTAGAATGCTTGGGAATGTAGAGACCAGGCCGAACAGGCCGAGGCATATTATAACCATCCACTTCGTGTCAGAAACCAGCAACTGGAGGATGAGAACCTTCTTTTGAAGCGCATGTTGCGCGAGAATGGCTGCTCATGGCCCAGTCCCTACGCCACGTTGCAGCAACGCGCTTCTTCACGCAACACTCGCTCATCAATTTCCACCACATTACCCCACCTGCCCACGGAAATTGTCTTGAAGGTGCTGTCTTTTGCCATGACAAGCTCCTTTCCTATCATTGACCCTCTATGCAAGACCAGGAGGGAGCATGGAACGGAAATCGAACTCAGAAGGAAGAACCAGATCGCTATCCACTTCCTAGCCGCCTCCAAGGCCTGTAACACCGAAGGCAAGAAATTTCTATGGGCCAACAATCGATTCACCTTTACGACTGTTCAGGCTGTAAAAACTTTCGCTGAAATCGATCTCGCCCTGCGAGAACAGATCCACGAGGCCAATTTTCGAATCATTGCGCGCTTCTATGATGATGAAAACCGTGTTCATAAGTTATCGCGCGATTATCATTCCACTACCAGCAAGAGGTCGATCAGACTCCGTGTTAACAAACGAGCAAAGGAGCCAACACTCGCTCGCCGCGGCTTCAGATCATATGCTTGGCTGCAGTTGGTCGACTTCCTAGAGGCGCTCCTTCCTCCTCATGACCCAAAACACGACAACGCACTGCCCCGCAAGCGGTTGCTGCCGAACTTGAGGAAGCTGCGATTGGACCTTGTCAACTTCGCGGAAGATATGTGGCAATTTCCCACGGCACAGCTCCACGACGTTGCTGCCCACCATCTTGGCTGCTGCTTGGATCAGGTCATCGTGACTGGATTACCCCGCGATGATGTGGGCATTCGTGCAGTCAACGATCTGCAAGGACTATTGAAAGACGACGGCCTATTTATCGACCATGATGCCGCTTTCTTGGCACAGGCACGGGGCTCTTTGAAGACTTTGCCTGGAAACCATATGCACCTTCGTGTTGTTCGGGCTATGCGACCGGCCATCGGCGTCAAACACCACCACCACGATGATCATCCCACATTCTTTGATGACTTCCCACCGGCACCTGCCGATCCCGGCGAGCCCCCAGTCTCCGAATATCAATCTTGCCGAACGATGTGGAAGAAGGTACCCAAGCATATCGATCACCCCGAACAGACCAAGTGGGTCATGTTCGACAGAGTGAGTGGCTTTCCTTGGGACGACGTCGAGGACGAAATTCTGATGGAGGACGAGTATCACGAGTTTGAGATGGACGATTTCTCCGACTTTGGAGATGTTATGGTGTGCGAGAACTGTGGTGACATACACGCCGGCCCAATCCGTGCTGAGATGATGGATGATTTGTACGACGACTTCTAATTTGCACGACGATATCTGATTTGCAAGCGATGGCATGTTTATTGGCGTTTTGGTCTGGACGAGCATCTGGCAAGCGGCGTTTGAAAGACATACCCCCTCACAGCGGTGTTTGTGTAATAGGACACAGGGTTGTGTTGAATGGCTAGTGATTTATAGCTGTATCGAAGTCGCTACCATGAAGACAGTATGGTAAAAACAGATATTGTGTCTAATAAGGATACCCCATTGGAATGCGTTGGCTCATGTTCGCGAAAACGCTGAGCCAGGATGGACAAGGGTAAGTCTTGATGATAGCCAATTTCAGGCAAGAGATAAGGAACAATGCCCATTAGTCTTGAGCTTGTCAAAGTACCCAACGAACAGCTGCCTACTTAGATTTGTCTCAGCGCCTTGGAGAGAGAAAAAAAAGACCAAATAGAAACAGACAATTTAACGCATCAGCCAGTGGCGGTGGATAGCCACAGATCTCGCAATGATTTTGCGTTACGAGCCATCTGGGGAACATGCAGACGCCACGTGTTGCTCCTTACATGCACGTGTCTCCGATTCCAACTCCGTTGCTTGAATTTCATTTCGAGATAGTCTTGCGGTGCTCCGGCTAGTTGACGAGCAGCGTCTGGGATTAGGCAGAGAGTACCCGAAACTGCGATGTCGAGTCGTCACGTCATGGTGATTATCAGTGTTACACATCATAAAGCCCTGCGCGGCGGTACTTCCAATCCTGTCAGTGATCAGAGGCTCACCGCCTAATGAGAGATTCGATTAGCAAAGTGGTTCGTGATCTTGAGCGACGTACGATTGTAAGAATACATACCAGCTCTCCACTATGGCAGGTAGCATCCATCGCCGTCCAGTTGCTGGATCAAAGAAGCATTGCCTGTGGAGAGGACTTGGGGTTAGATTTGCGCAGGCTTGTTCCTTGGGACGAGCTCCCCTTTTCACTTCTTGGATGAGCCGAAACCGCCTGAGAACCCCATCATTGCCATCATGTCGTCCTCGTCGTGCTCGCCCTCGACTCTGACATCCTCACCATACTCCCGCTTGACCTCCTTGGCGGCCTCCAGCTCGCGCCTTCGCTTGTCTGCGGCTTCTTGTCGCTTCAGCCTCTTCTCCTCCCTTTCCTTCTCATCTTCGACGGCTTGTATGGCTAGGCGGTCATGCAGACTCGTGGTGGCTGCCAGCTTCTGCTCCTGCTTCAAGTTCCACAGCCTCTCGATGCGGTCGTGGACCTCCTGGGCACTCGCCTTCTTGACCTGGTCGGTCTGGCCGATGGCAGCCAAGTGCTGCTTGGAGTTGATGTGCTCGACCCACTGCACGTTGTCCTTGAAGGTCAAGTCGCAGGCGTCGCAGTAGAAGCCGGCGCCCTTGCCCCTCTTGCCGACGCCGGCGCCGCCAGCTACGAGCGATGTCTTGCCGACCTGGGAGGTGAAGTCGGTGTGGCGGTTCCGGGCCGAGGTGTACGTCTCGTCGCCGGTCAGTGGCTTGTAGTACTTCTTGCCCTCCTGCTTGGCCTCCCAGCGGGCCTTGCGCTCCTCCTTCTCGGCGTCCTCCTTCACCTTGGCTTTGGCGGCGTACTCGTCGAGGTCCCAGTCCTTGCGGAAGGAGGTGTCGGAGGCGCGCCCCTCGCCGTAGGCGGAGCCTTTGTTGGCTGACATGATGGGTCGTTGTACGCAAAATATGTGGGTGTATGTGTGTATACGGTGACAATTGGCTGCTTGTGTGATGGATTTGCAGTCGAAAGGAGCAGTCTGTGTCCAAGCAAGGACGGAGAGGCTCGGCGGGCGGGTTCGTCCTCGCAGCGCTGAAGAAAGTAGATAGCCTTGAACGATACGATACGTACATTGATCAGCTACTTGCGGTACCGTGGGAGCTAAGATATGAATGCGACCCGGAGCCTAACTTAGCGGGTTCTGCGCGCACCTTGGTCTAACCTAAGTGCTACCTGTGCTGGCGTCTACAGTGAGACTTAACTTTAGTGGATACCATGGGTGCGCCCCCAGAATTTGTTGCAGGCTCACCACAGAGACAACTTAGCGAAGCTACCCCTCCATCCGCCCCCCCTCCGCCTGTCCAGGCATACTTTCAGAATTTACCCCTCCAAAATTTCATATCCTGACTTGGCCCTTAATCGTGAGTCTTGCCGTCGCTTCACTGGTTTCTTGCATCACTACAACCGCAGAACGGGACAAGCAGCGTACATACACTCCGCAATGCTTTACCTTGTCGGCCTGGGTCTTGGCGACGAGACTGATATTACTGTCAAGGGTCTGGACGTTGTCAAGAAAGCCGACCGTGTCTACCTCGAAGCCTACACCAGCATCCTTCTCGTAGACCAAGCTGTTCTGGTAAATATAATCCGCTCCCTACTCCCATAAGACCTTGCCTCGCTCCAGTCTGAAGAGCTAACGCTAATCCCCACAGTAGGAGTCCTACTATGGCCGATCCATCACAATCGCCGACCGCGAAATGGTCGAGTCCAACAGCGACGAGATCCTGCGCGACGCCGCCAACGTCGACGTCGCCTTCTGCGTAGTGGGCGACCCCTTCGGCGCCACGACCCACACCGACCTCATCCTGCGGGCGCGCGAGCTCCACATCCCCGTGCGAACCATCCCCAACGCCTCCATCATGTCGGGCATCGGTGCCACCGGTCTGCAGCTGTACAACTTTGGCCAGACCGTCAGTATGGTCTTCTTCCTGGACAACTGGCGTCCGAGCAGCTTCTACGATCGCGTGAAGGAGAACAGGGACGTGGGACTGCACACGCTGGTGCTGTTGGATATCAAGGTCAAGGAGCAGAGTCTGGAGAATATGGCCCGAGGACGATTGATCTACGAGCCGCCGCGTTTCATGACTGTTAGCCAGTGCGCCCAGCAGATGCTAGAGGTCGAGGAGGAGAGAAAAGAGGGCGTCTATGGACCCGATAGTCTGGCCATTGGCGCCGCAAGAGTTGGGGCTAAGACGGAGAAGTTTGTTGCAGGCACATTAAAGGAGCTCTGTGACAGCGATGATGCCCTTGGCCCGCCGCTACACAGTCTGGTACTGCTCGGAAAGAGAGCACACGAGTTGGAAAGGGATTATGCGCGAGAGTTCGCTATCAACAAGGAAACGTGGGATGGGTTATGGAAGACGCATTATGGACAGCAGTAGATCACATCTGTTGTGTCAGGCATTTGAGCGATGTTCCAGTCTTGTGGCCTCGGTGGCTTCTAGACTACTTCTTAACTATCGAAGCTCGCATGCGACGTACATATCATCGATACCAGCCTATCGGCATGCTCCAAGGTAAGGCGCCGCCTCGCCTAGGCGGCAACGTATGCCACCGCGTGATCGCATGCCTCTTATGCAGCCTTACTACAGTTACACTATCCGTTGAAACGCTACTGTACCTTTGCTCCAAGTATATTCACCAACAAATACAGGTATTTCCGGCTGTCTGCCTTTGGTACAAACTCTCGGCGAGCAAACTTGTTTTGGCCGTCTTGGAAGTATTCGCAGACACAGATACTTTCGTCGGCATCCCCGTAGATGGCAACCCGTCTACACGCCAATTCATTCGCAGCCTGTTTCCCGAGATGCCTTTGATTCCTTTGAAAGTCGAGACAGCGCTATATGACCTTGTGATACCGTGTATTTTTAGGAGGGGTTGTGACAGAAGACATCTTGCGGACCCGTGCCAGATGCTGATGCCGACGCCGATACCCCATACGGATACCCTATCACTTCGGCTGGGATATATGCCTGAAGAATTTTGGCGGACGTTCAGGTTTGAGACAATGCCATCTTCCTCTCAACTTACGCGTCCCAGCTCTGTCTTGGCCTTGATGACGAAAGCGAGTTTCATGACCCTAGATTCTCAGCATCCATCAATCCTTGACAATCACTACGATGAGATCAGCCACGGCGCTATATTGCACCTGACCTCGTTGGTGTAACCTTATGAAAAGCAAGATTATTTTTTTAATTATTTTTCAATGAGACGGTTCGACTCCGTTGGACCAAAGGAACCGACCGATCACGTCGTCTTACGTATTAGATGTGTAAAGCCGGATACGGGTATTGGCATTTCTTCGGACTCAGTGCTTACATAGCCGAATAGAAGACCATGATTTATGATTCTGGAATGTGATGATTACTAAACGTAGTCCATGGAAGAATTAGTGGCCACGAGTACCGCGATACAGCTTATCGGATCCATCTGGACAAATCCTACGCGGTAGAGCTCAACAGCGTCTTCGACGGAGCATCCATCTCATCAATAGCGAAGTCCGATGTGATGCCGGAAAAGTATTACCACACACTTATTCAGCATCCTCAATAGCAACCACTTTAGTCATCGACGTATCCTTGTTCAGTTTATTTTATATCGATAACTACTGTCATGACATCTGATTACTTGAACTGTTATCAACGTCTTTCTTGGACATGTTTTTAAAACAGTATGTTATTAATGGCAAAGAAAAAGTATAAGCATAAAGAATCATGAAGTATCAGTTGTTCTAGGTTGAGCTCTATTCAAGCAGAAATAGCAAAAATGAACCACGGAGATACAATATTTAAACCAACACACGAATTCATTATAGTTATATATTAGCTATAGCTTTTGCAAGGGGAAGCAAATAAAGATAGCCTAGAGAGTGGACAAAGTTGAGAAGAAAGATGAATAACAGCCCATGAACGAACTGGTGTGGCCTCCGCATGTTGCTAGTTTTGAGCTTCGGGACATTTCCCCCTTCCGACTCATCCCAGTTTTAGTTCCAATAATTGTCGCAATACTGTTGCTCCTTGCCAGGTGCTGCACAAAAGGTGATGTGTTTTCCATTGTTAGAGCACTCCTTCTTCGACTCATCTGTAAAGCTTATCAGCTCTGTACGCGTACTAGGCTTGAAGGAATGGAATCACTCACCATAGGCGCACCAGTCCTTCTGGTTCTTAGCACAGCAAGGCTTCTGCTGGCCAGAGCAGGAGGGCTTGGGCATGACGGGATGCTTGCACTTGTCGTCACGCCAGACCTTGCCCTTAGGGCACTTGCAACTCTTCGAGTCGCCGTCCCACACCTGCGTCGCCTTGCACGAGGGATGGTCGTTGGGGCACTTGTCCTTCAGCTTGTCCGGGAGGTCTTTCTTCGCGCAGCAAAAGACCTTGTTATGCCCGTCGTCATTGCAATAGTCGTTCCCGGCATCTACCAACCACGCCTCGTGTCAGTAGACAAGTCAAAGGTGGAAAAGCAGCGGGCATGATGGCTCCGCGAGGAGGGTAACTCACCGTATTCGCAGTACTCGCTCTGGCTCTTGCCGCAATAGCCCTTCTGGCCGGTCGGGCAGACGGGCTTCGGCCATACTGGGTAGTGGCACTTCTGCTTCTTGCTGTCCCATACGTAGTCGTTGTCACACTTGCATGACTTCGTCCAGCCACACCATGTCTGATCGCCAGGGCACGAGCCGTCTCGAACAGAGATGCCGAGATCAGCACCTGGTGCCGCGCGTACCAGAGCAGCCTGGAGAACTGCAGTGGTAAGAAAGTTGATGATATGCATGTTGAAGAAACTTTCGGTGTTTTACAGGTCAGTAGTCTTAGTATGAAGATGATATGAACAAAGAAAGCTGAAGAGGGTATGATGGGCAGGCTCTTGGGTATTTATATCCAAACATATTCAGATCTGCTCCCCACCTCCACACCCCTTTTCACCTTTCCCTTTCCCCTTCCCTTCCCCTTCCCGAGGTGCCACGCTGCGAACTATGGTTTCATGCATGAAGATGTCGCTCTGAATCTATGATGATCGCCAACGAAATCTGGTCGATCCATACACCAGAGTAGCCTACTGGTAGACAATGCACTGTGGGTTAGACAACCAGCTACCTGTGCGAGAAAACTGTAAGGTGGTAATGGTCTCGACCATTTTAGGTAGGATACTCAAAGCCATAACGTAAAAGCAGTGTTTAGAGGGCTAATACGTAGTGTGGTGATGACTGGACTCCAATATGTTCAGGATCGAGCTGTAAACTTTGTTAAAAGGAGAACGGGAGTGCAGTGTTCCGAACACGCCGCCGAACTTACTGGGGACGAGCTGCCGACGTGTCAACCTAGTAGTAGCAGATTCACTTTATCGACTTGCACGGATCTAAGAAATATGTAGTTCTGTCCGCCTACCAGTTACCATCACGAGTTGACACACGGCCTCGGCACCGAGTGATTTCCTATTCCCCGAGGTTCCCGGCTTGGTGCCCGGGTGGCTAGAAGAAGCAGCCATCAAATGATTAGAAGGAATCTACCTTTGCTACTTGTCCAACCGTAGATGCTCGAGTATGTACTCTACAGAGGTTGATATAACTAGCGTTATCAATAAGATTCATATCATCGCAGATTCTTTTTCAACACAGGACAGTTAGTATCGAACCCTTCAGAAACACAAACATTGGTCTCAGTATCTCTTATACATGACGAAGACCAATTAGCGATACAACAGAGTAAGTCTGAGAAGAACACATCGTGGTACGGACAGAAGCTCGTAAGTGAAGCGGTCATATTCGCTCAAGGCGGTTGTTTGCAGCCACTACTACTACGAGCAGCGTCATTTATAACGTGACACATGTATTCGTGATGGACAAGTCGCTAAAAGTCAATATCGTATAGCATTAGTGTCCTAATCTACATGATCCGAAAAACTACACGAGCGTCCAAGCAGGCACTATGTCTTGGGCAGTTGGGACACCAGAGCGCTAGATGCCTTCCTGCGATGTGGATGGGCAGTGCTAGCAATATTTCTGAGCCCAGCCCAATGTCTAATTTTATACGAGCCGGAAACTAAAGCGGCAGGCCTACCGAAATTCATTTCAAGCGTATAACTGAGTTTGGTAGAATGTGATTTTCAGCGAACCTGATTGGTAGCGGATGAATGTTTTCGACCATGGAGTGAAAGAGCTAATGCATCCAAGACTGGGTTCATTCTTACCAGTCCTTTGGGTCGTGCCAGGGGTTGGATGGCTTATCCTAAGTACCATGGTTTTGGACGTAGTCATCAAGCATGTTGGGATCTAACAGGGACATTGACTATTGATAACCAGCAGGCTTCACCAGCAAGGAGACAAATGCTCCAGTGTGTTATCAGTGATCTGGTAATCGATTGCCGGCAACATATCACTACGTTTCGCTGTGATTCGGTAGGAAATAACAAACGAAAGCTTCAGTAAGTCTTGGGGTATCCAGGCGGTAATGATATCTTTGTGATCCACAAGACTATACATGAACCAGAGTACCAGTCCTCTACATGATGGGCGCTCCTGCGGGAAAAACGGTCATAATGGCTCTATTGAGTTGTTTATCGGCAGCTGAAGATCCGAGAACCCTTTTTTCTCAGCTCAATATCATATCCTACTAATGCAGAAATGGTAGAAAGAGGGATAAGTTCCACTGTTAGATGCACACTTCATCTATGAAGTGACATCATCAATCGCCTCCTGTGGTTCACTCCAGCACGGCCAACGAAGAGGCCTCGGAGTGCTTTAGATCTAGACACAAGGCGTTTGATCGAGACTTTGACGTATTCATTGCATTTTCACAACAAAAATGTCGTCATGTTTGAGTCCAGTATTTGGAATAGCATAGCCATTCTACGATCATCTTGTTTTCTTCGAGAGGAAGATTGGAATCTCGACACGATACATCTATGTCGGCTGGGTTTTCACACACAGTGGCCTGCTACTATTGTAAGAACAACTGTAGCAGTGGTGGATGATGAAAGCTGCGTTTTATGGATCTTGGTAGAGTTCCAGTGTTTTATCACAGTATTCATCTAACATGCGGCATTGAGCCCGCCGGGTGTATACAACCATTAGTCTAGTTCCCAATTCTTGTGGAGCTACGAATAAACACGTTCATTAGTTGCTGACAATGCCAACATTCATGTGCCCCGAGTAACGCCAATACTTTTGTGTACAAGATCTTGATTACCTTCGTAGACCCGCATATAGCAGCAAACCTCCTTCAATAATACCATTGAACAACTGGATGACCATTACAGTAACTGTGGGTACGCTAAGGTGTTCTATGGCTTTCAACCTACCAACGGCTGAGGTTTGTACACTGTGTCAAACTGATGCTCAAAGCGCTGGTGGAAGCCGCGGAGAATTTCATCCTGGCAGCTGACCGAGAGCCGCGTCTAGTCATTAGAACGAGTTCAATACCACGGTAACTGTTATTAGAAAAGAAGTCATGTTTTATATTGGATGTCAAGAGGCTAGGGTTTAGTAGTCACACTACCGCAAACCATGTTTTTGGCAGCTAGCCGGGCTACCTAAACCTTGCTACATCGTAGCTATTCAGTAGTATGTACGTACAAAAAATGGAGCCTCAACGTCACGCCGTTCAAGACCTTTGACCGTTTCGACGGACACTTCTCAAGATGTTGAAGTTCTATAACACGGGACAGTATTCACTGCTAGAAATAACAGCCAATCTGCCATGGGATATTGCTATCTGTTATTTGAAATGGCTACTAGGTCAAATCGGCATGTCTTCGAGATCTATTCAACGCTAACTGTAGCCTGTTCTTTGATTGATATAAGGATTTAAGATCGACCTCTAGTATCATGTCGGTAACAATTTCATTTCGAAGACGATCGAAGAGCTGGCTGGCTGGCTACAACCATCTAGGCCTCCTGACTACCGCGTAAGCGCTAGCCCAACTCATCCCCAAAAATCATCATCTTCCCCAGATCGTCGGGTCGCTTATCGGCGTTTAGGGCCGGTAAGTCGGTGTGCATACTGTGTCAATCAGCCAACTTAACTGTCCTTCGGCTGTCACTCCAAGGTTCGGCGGGGGACCGTGTGCTGAGCTAACTTATGACCAGGCGAGCTTGGCCAGAGACCAATCTTTGGAGGAAACAATTTCGGCGACATCTACGTTATAGCTCTTCCTTGTTGATCGTTTCCTGGTTCGTTTTCTCAATATGTGGAGGCGTGGAATTAAGACATGAGACAAGGCATTGGTGAAGCTATGGGCTGCTCGTTCCGAGGAATTTCTTATCTCCAAACCTCACGTCTATATTGTGACAACGAGAGATTATCTTCGTCTCATTGTGAGGTAAAGCCCATAAATCTTCAATAAGTAATAACACATCGTGATTGGCATATAAAGTCTACTACTAATCGTGTCGCGGGTCCGGGCACGATACTGGCTTGCGCCAACGTTTAGCATCGCTGAGTCCAACTTCATGTTGACTCAAAACCACACCAACAAAGACGTATTCCCGTAGGAGGAATTATACCGACGACTAAAGGTACTAGTTGGATTGTCGCGAGGATATTCTGAAATAGTATTGCGCTTACCACAGTTCTTCCGATATTTCTGCTACAATAACCCTTTTGGATGGGCGACGGGACTTTGAGGTTGAAAGTCCTTGGCATGACCCAGAATCGTCAGACTCACCACAGAATAACATGATTGAGGTCGAAATGAAGGATATTATTGGCAGGCGGTTGGACTGTAAGCAAGGCGAATGGGCGGCCGTCTCATCGGTGCATCGACTGCGCCCGGCGACCCGCTGACAGATATACTCATGGTGGAAATCGACTCCTTGTCAGTTGAGGTGAAGGCAAGCGTTGTTCGGGCGCGGATACTCTCGACTTCGAGCATAAGGTTCCCAAAACAAGGCTCAATGAGCGAATCGTAACTGGCTCATCGCATGTGCACGCGGACATTCATACATCTATGGTACGTTAATTCCGCGGCATGAAGCACGCCATAAAAGTTCAGCTGCTCGTGTGCGGACTCTCAAACATATAAGATCAAGACCATGGACCCGGAGAAAATTACGCATATACTTGATTGAAAAGTCTACCTTACGTCGAGCGTTGCGTGTATTTTGGGGGCGCCGGTTTTTCGTGAGACGAATCGTCTCATATTGGTCAAATGGCGGATTGATTATATCTGGGCCTTGCGATTGTGGTAACCGCCGGCTTAGCGTGGCAGAGGGCAATTACTGCGTGCACGTCAGCAAACAAACAGTCACCATTTATGTAGCCAAATGGCGAAGCCCCTTTCGTCGTTTAAAGGACTCTTTTCCAACGGTCCAAATAAGCATGACTGCGCGGGTAGGGTGATGGGATTTCAAGGGGCGACAGAAGATGGGCCTGGGGTCAAATCGAAAATAGTAACGCTAAAGAGCATAGTCCAACCTGTTTCGGGGATAGTGACGCGAGCCAAAATCCTACGACTGGGCCATGCTTGACCATGCTACTATCACATCCTTGGAGCTGAGGCTGAGCTCAAATGAACAAGCAGCGATGCTGCATATGGGATCCGTAGGCGCTGGCATACTATGCACAAGCCATACTTCAAAGGATTGCAGTGTTTGTCTAGTTTCGCGCTCTTCCATATAAGATCAGACCGCTGGCGCGCCTCGAGATTTCAGCCCTACTGATTTGGCATTATAATCACTTAACTCTAATTTGGCGCGAACTATACGTCTACTTCGAAATGCGGCTGTCTACAAATACTCTTTTGGCGTTGTGGACGTGCGCACAGGGTGTGTTCGCATTTGAGAACAAATTCTTGTTTCCGACGGAGAAGGATTTGACATTCTACTACATGAACACGATCGAGGTCAAATATCAGTCCAATTTCTCAGACCCGACGTTGTACATCTTTTGCACAAAGGACGACGGCAAAGCGGAACGTAAGTCTAGCGTATATGTTCATGTTGATACGCACGCCGAGACTTACACACTTTTACAGAAAAAAACAAGGTCTCTGCGCCTGAGAATAATGGCACTATTGCCGTGACTCTAGACTTCACGAAAGTTGACACATGCTGGTTTAATCTGAGAAGCGACGAAAAGAAGAATAATTTGGGTTTTAATAGCCCTAACAGGTGGAGTTTTGATTATGACGAGCAGAAGAAAAATACTGTGAGCAATTATCAGTTTTATCTTTGAAAGTCCGAGACTTGTCGGCTTACACATTCGTTTAGACTACAGTCAAAGCTATAGAAACCACTACCACAAAATCGTCAACGCCATCTTCAACTTTTTCAACTTCTTCAACTTCGATAACTACTTTGACTCCAGCGCCCGTCGCGACGACGGCCGAGGCCACAACTAGCACACCAACTTCGATAAGCGAACCCGCCCAAAAGGGTATCCAGATAGGCATTGGCGTCGGTGCTGCCGTTGGTGGTCTGATTGTGATGACGCTTATTGGAATGGTAGCAGCCCGGATGATAAGCAATAAAAAGGCAAAAGCAGGCTATACAGCGCCGTCGGAGATGACACCCGCGGGTGTTTTGAAACCTTTGAGTTCGAACATGTCGTATTATCCAGTTTCTCACTCAGAGCCGCCCGTGGCAACGTTGGCTGGACCTTATGATCCTTATCATCGGTGACCAGTCTCTTTACGGAAAGGAGACGTGTAAATTATTGGAGCCATATAGTCATCTGAGAATAGAAACAAGCAGATTTTGATTTTCACCATTGTACTCATTCCTCAAAATCAACAAAACGTGTTCACGACGTGGCTGACGATGGCCTGAGTAGAAGTCGAATGATAGACCCGCAGACGCACTTCGTCACTATTGGCGCTTGAATATTCTATCCTAGAAAAGATTGCACTACTTATGTCCAAGATAGGAACAAAGAACCCTAGACTGTCAGAAACCTCTGAGACATTGAAATAAGGACCATAAATACTTATGAAGGCAGCATCGTCAAGCAGTTTCACCGGTGCGAAGCACACAATGGATTATAATCCAAAATGATCCCGGCATATCCTATCTGCACTGTCGCACAATTGGAGCACCATCAACCACATTCAGGGTTTTCAACCGTTTTCGGAGAGCGCTGATACCTGAATGGACATAATACGGGACACTGGAGCAAAGTTTCCATACAAACAATCTGACCTAAGCGCACTGCGGAGGTCTAAAGAAACCTAGACTATTAAATCGATGATACAAATATTCGCCCAAATCCAACTGGGTCGCACTTCCTGGTATAGGTAGACTAGTTCAGGTTGTACACCATAATATACTGCTGGCCTCAGGTATTATGCGCAGCCAGTGATATGCACTCAGTATGTCGTTACAGGTATATTCTGTTGCACCAGACTAACTAGCTTGAATGATCACTATTACTAGCTCTCCACTTAAAATGCCACCAAAGTTAATGACTTTTGAGGTCATACCATATTAAGTAAATAAAAGTCCAACCTTCCACTTGGAGTCCATAATAACAAACAACCATTCCTCTGGTGGTAGTCTCAGTACAAGCTGCCAGGAGGTCCAACGCAATTCCCGGCTTCTGCGTCTGTCTTTCTTCAAGTGGCGCTTTAACTTTTCTAGGAACGTCAGATCAACATCTGAGACTTATTTTTAGTGCTTCAGAAGCTGTGTAATCAAGGAGATGTACAACCTCTTAGGTTTGCAGAATCTGGAGTTGCGCTTCGTACCGAGTGAAAGTGTTACAGAATTGGGCATCTCGCAACCTTTTGGATGAATCGAGCAAGTAGTGCTGAAGCGTACGATGACGTTCAAGATATAAAGGGAGAGAAGTTTCTCAAGGGTCAAATTGAAATCGCTCAGATATGCGTCGAATCTCCTGTTTTTATAGAGTTCATGCACCAATATGGTGAAGATCCGGAAGATTCATTACCCAGTATGAAATCATTTATGGAGACTGATTACGGCATATCCTTCCATAAACCTTTCAAATGGCTTATACAAAATCGAGGCGATTTTCAGCGTCATCTCCAGAGTCTCATTGCAGAAATAGAAAGGAAAATAAATTAAGTCATAGTCTTCGCCGGTGCTGACATTTCTGACACCCAAACTCGAGTCAAAAGGGTGGCCCGCAAATCCGCTGATTCAGAAGTAGGGATGAGGCAAAATCACAATACGAGAAAAGCTTTTCGGCATCTGAAGTAGAGCAAGAGGCACCTTCAGAAAATTCAGAAAATTACCAAGAGCCGTCTATAGATCAGAACACTAGGACCACTTGGAACATAACCTGCTTGAGCAACTGAAAGTACTGCTTGCGGTCATGGAAGATCGCCTTGGGATACCCGTGCAGAAGTATGAGGATGCTTGCGGGGAAAAATAAAAGAGCATTGCTTATGAGGACTTGTGGATGCGCTATAAGCCTAGGGATTTCATATATATAACTACTTTGACGGGCTTTACTAACGTCCTCCCTCCCACCCTCGCCGCAGCCACGGGCTCCTCGGCCAATTGCGATCGGGACCACTAGGACCTGTAACTCACACAAACGAGCCGTAGCTGTAACTCGCGGCAAAATTTGCGATCAAGAGTTCTCAGTAAACTGAATGACTCATATTATACCCAACAAGGTCACGTTGCGGAACGATTTTGGTCGCGATACTCCTTAGGCATACAAAATTGTCGCAGTAGCTGGTGGCCGACATCTCTCCACCTACCTACCCTAGAAAACTTACCGGTAATGAGTTTTCATACTGGTCACTGATAGTCTTGTACTATTGGATTCATTTCAATGGCGTTCAGTTTAACCGCGTACCCGATACGTTCACGTTCAGGCCGTTCGACAGTAAAATTATAATAACCGAGCTCGATGCTTATCCATTGGCGTATGCCTCCTGGGACAATGTTCAGGGCGACAGATCCATTACAGAGTGCATCAGAGGCCGCGGAAAGTCCTTCATTGAAGTTTCTGAAGTATCGCATAGGCTGTATGAGGGACTGGCATATTCATTGGACGAAGGCGGGGGAAGAAGTATGAAAACTTGGATGGGACCTATGTCGCTGCTCTGGACCATTCTCTATGACAGAAGCTGCCCTGCTGATCATTGCCCTAGATAAACACACCAGTTATTGTTGATTTTGCACTCACGTACCTCAATACGCATGGCTTGCTACCACAGTTCGGTCTAGCCAGCATCGACTTCTATAACCATACCCAAACGGGTCTATATGTTTTGGAGCTGGTCGAGATTATCTGGCAAACCCGCAGGCACAGAAAGGAGGACTGGGCAAGTTTGATCGATCTACCAATATGCTGCTGAATAGTTGACTAACAAGGTACAGGTGGACGACCTCAAAGGAAACGGATTAGTCTCCGGTAAGATCTCATATGCAACTTTCCTCGTAAAGGCGGAGCGGTTCCCGAACTACCAATGCTGCGGTGCTAATATGTACTTCGCAGTCTTCCTGCGGATCCTGGAGTACTATCCTGGCATCCGATTCTTCGCCACCGAGGATCACGCCGTCATGTCCAAGAAGAAACTGTAGACCATTGCCAAGGCCCCCAAGGAGTTCGACTACCACTTGTTCCACACTCACGGCGACACCGACGAGATTGCTAATGCGAGGAAGGAGCAGGTGAGACATGACTACGAAATTACGGCGAGGCTAGAAAAGAGACTTAATTTAATGGATCTAAGTTCGGACGTCTCTTCGGAATCTAGCTCAAGTTCGTCGGATAGCTATGATCTTCCAGATGCGTCCGAAAATGATTCAGGCTCTTCGGGCACTGATGGAGCTTGACGGTGGAAGAGAGGCAAGAACAAAGATAAGGATAGGAAGGCGAAAAGGACTGAAAGTAAGAGCAAGTCAAATGTGAAAAGGGACGGAGACACATGATAAGGCCGTGGGCGCGTACGAGTCGATAGCAGATGAACAATGCGTGTATGGATCACCATATGATTTGTTGTGGCTTCTACCTGCTTGATATTTACATACTCTGTTTCCTTGTACCCATGACACCTTCCCTGCAGGGAAATGGGCATATGCCACTCTACATCAACCAATGACCTGCATAGTATGCCAGGTTACCAATCTCCTCAAGGACAGTTGGTTTTGTCTAGCCCAACAAGTAGACCCGAAAGGTGGCGAAATCTATGGGAGCATAGTTGGGGCGTTGTTGTCGTGTACCTGAAACATCGCGGAAGCGGTTGATCATGTCTGCATCACCAGACAAGAGACACACAGCCGAAGATGCTTCGCACACGCAACCCTAGCGCTGTTGTCCGCTTCAACGAGGAAGGAAACATTCTTTCTTATTGGTGCCTGCTGTTTCGAAAGTTGAAAGAGAGATGGCTTGTCCGTCCAAGGCGGTCTATCGACGATCTTGAATGCTACCCACGAAACTGGGATCTTTCACACTGCCACCGGCATCACCGAGACCGGCAATCGGGCGATTGTAGCTGAAGCCTTGGAACTGGTCTTGCATAGTTTGCGAGAGCATTGGTCCCTCGACATATGAGTCTTGAGGAGCCTCTGAGGTGAACTCGCTGTCAAAGTTTGCGGTATCGAGGGCATCGACCTGTTGCCATGTTAGCAGATAGAATATGCGTTGGGATAATCACGTTACTTACTACACTCGGCTTGAAGGTAGGCTCGTACTTTCGCTGAAGCAGCTTACGCCAGTCAATGGCATGGAAGAAAGGATGAGCCTTGATTTCGGCGCTTCCATTGGCTCCTAATCTCTCGGCAGGGTCTCGGTTCAAGAGTCTGGTGAGCAAGTCCTTGGCAGCTGGAGGCACAACTTCTGGGCCAGGGAAGTGTAGAGGCTCTCCAAGAATCTTGCGATACATCTCGTTGGTGTTCTCATCATAGAAGGGCGGAAGACCAGTAAGCATCTCGTACAATAATACACCAAGAGTCCACCAATCGACTGTCTTGTTGTAGCCCTGACCCATCAGAAGTTCAGGGGCAAGGTACTCCGGTGTTCCACAGAAGGTATTTGTACGATCCTCATCCTTCATGTCCAACTTGCAAAGACCGAAATCACAAAGAGCGATGTGACCTTGATAATCGAGAAGGATGTTCTCAGGCTTCAGGTCCCGGTAGATGACGTTGAAACCATGCAGACATTCCAGTGCGCAAAGGAGTTCGGCAGTATAGAATCGTGCGCGGTTAACGTCGAATCTCTGCTCCTTTTGGAGATGATGGAACAACTCGCCACCGTTGACGAATGCCAGGACGAAGTAAAGCTTCTCCGGAGATTGGAAAGTAAACTTAAGCGGTACAATGAAGGGGTTGTTGATCTGAGCGAGGACTGACCGCTCGGCCAGAGTATGAGCAACTTCGGATCGTGAGATGATGTGCGCTTTCCGGATCGTCTTGAGCGCGTAGATACGGCTTGTGTCCTTCTTGCGGACTTGCATGACCTTACCAAAGCTGCCCTTACCAACGACTTTGAGAAGCTCGAAGTCATCGATCTGCAGCTTGCCGGCACGGTTCTCCACATATTGGACACCAATCTTGAGCTTGCCCGTACCGTACTGCACGTCCGCAAACTGAATGCCCGAATGACCCGATCGTCGCTCCTGTTCCGCAAATTCTGCTGCCGCCTTCTCGCGGTCCTTCTTGCTTGCCTTGGGGTCTTCCACGAAAGTTCGCTTTTCCTGGAACGACGGGTTGATTCGCACGACGCCGAGGAAAATATCCTGACTTCGGCCGGAACCAGGTGGTGCCTGGGGGTTGCGCATATAGAGGTGTACTGCTAGCTCGGTGATTCTAGAAACATCGAACTTGTACTGGGTGTTGTCGCCGGCCCAGAGCGGGTTCTCCGGGTTGCCCGAGACCGAGTTGACAAAGACTTGGACCTTGTCGAAGTCCAGCAAGGCATAGGGGAGATATTTGCTGGAGAATCGCCCGTGATTCGAAGGAATGCCTTGGAAACCTCCCCCTGAAGTTTGTGGTCTGCCGTTGATGAAGGAGCCGGGAGTGCCTCTTGAGCCGGGCCGTACCGATCCGCTCAATGCGCTGCCCGACGATTGGGAGCCTTGGTGGCCTTGTGATGAGAACTGTTGTCTGTGCTGTTCAGGCAAGGAGAAGCCCTGGCCTTCGTGGAGGGTAACGACGAGGATACCAGGCTTGGGGGGCTTCACAATAGGTTGCTGTACCATGGCTTCGGAGGCAGCTGAACGAGGAAACAAGTCAGCAGGGGCTGCGGGAAACAGTCTGCGCAAAGGTCTGTTTTGTTTCGAGAGCAACATACCAATAGTATTGTCAGGGGGTGCAGGTGACGAGCTAGTCGGCGGCGCTTGGGGGTGCTTCTCATCTTTGTCTGTGATAGTCGACGTGGACGCTGACCGGGAAAAGATGGAAGGGGGCCCCAGGTGGGTTTCCTTCAGTTCTAGAGTTCAAGCGTCAGCAATGATGCCAATCATGTTGAATGGTATTACTACGGGGGAGAGTGCGGATGTGAAGTGGATGGAGGCAACGTATTGTAAACATGCGCGATGCGAGAGAGTTTCGGCTGCAGCTTCGCGGAAGATTCTAGCAAACAAAGACTTACTCTTGGTGAGCTTCCACGACATGTTCGCGAACAGGAAGTAGTCACAGGAATTGTGTGCAGTGCAAATGGCGGTCGAGGTGGGTACTGCCGATTGAGGCTATTCTATCGCGGGGTTCGTCGTCGAATTTAGGTAAGTGAAAGTAATGGGCGACAACGAGACGAAAGGGGTGGTTGTCGCGTAAAAGTGACTGAGGGAAAGGAAGAGGTGAAGGTGAGAAGAGAGAGGACAGGACAAGACAGGTGAGAATGGACAAGTTTCAGCGAGGCGATGATGTCGGGCTCTAAGAATACCGTGATCTCTCTCAGAGACGATCCAGGGTTTCGTTTCGCGATCCCGACGTTGGTTGGCTGCCCACCTGGCAACGTTTTGGGGGGGGGGGGGGGAAGGATCCCGCTTAGTGCGTAGATTGACCTTTGGGTTCGGCTGCTCGTACGTACTACGGAGTATTCTGATCTCAGAGCCAACGAGGCAGTTCAAGGACAAGGAGATAAGGGGGACTCGAGACTGGAGGCTGGAGGCTGGAGACTGGGGACTACTACTGGGACTGGGACTGGGACTTCTAGGAGGGGGCTTGGCTAGCTTGGGCTTGCTTTCTAATGCCCTCTGCTTCGGCGTGTCCTTGGTTGCAAAGAATTCACTTGCACCCGTTGGTCACGCACGGTGGCCCCAAGCAAACCATAAGCAATGACAAAGAACTCTTGAACAGGTAACCGCGTCACCTACTGTCGTGTGTCCAACAGCTCGGGACGGCGATGTTGAATCAAAGCCAAAGCCAAAGTCTCGTGTTACAGTGAGATTGAAGAGGGGATTATCGCTGTTTGAGTCTCTCCCCTAAGCTAAGCAAAGCAAAGCATGGTTCGTGCTTTGATCAACGAGCGATACTAGCGGCACCCGAAGAAGTGGAAAGCCAGATCCAGGAGCAGGACAAGGACACGGAGACAAGAGACGAGGCAGAATAGGAAGCTAGAGCCAGCAGGCCAATGTCAAGCTGATCTGATCTGGTTTGGTCTTTCATTCATTCGCTCGTTCCTATCCTTTAAACTACGCAAGTCGGAGAGGGCTGAGCCATGAGCATTGGAGGGGCAATAATGATAGCTCGATGGATAGCCAGACCCCGCACTTGCCGAACTTCCACTTACTCAGACGGTGTTATTGTTTGCATTGATTGTTAGGATTATTTGTTTGTAATCTAGACTCGACTACACTGAAATGGCTTGCTTCTCTGCTACATTACTTTACGCTTCAAGAGAGCCCCTTTTTCCTATATGTTAGCTGAAGATCTTTGACCACTAGATGTTCTAATATCAGCTAGATACTGGCTTTCTATGTACATAACTTTATGAGGAACGCATCCAGTCAGCGGTTTTTTATAAAGTTGCTCCCCGCGAGCATCGCCCCGCACATGTTGCAGATTACAACGTGACGCTGATGATTTCGATCAAGGAAGCACTCATTGGTACACAAACCTGATTATCAAGCGTGGCTTTCCCCGTGGTATGTATAATCCGCCACAAGCAACACTTAAGAGGTCCGCCAGCGTTCAATCAGGCATTGAAGACACGAGTTTCGAATAGGCATAGCCCCCCGGCTGAGCCCAAATTTCACCCGCGGATGCGCGCAGGGCCCTGGAGATCAGCGCTAAACCATGAGACCGCCCAGCGCCATAACGCACGAAGGCACGCAGGCACGCAAGCCTCAACCCGCCACGTGGGAAATGATAATGCAGATCTAACCGTAGTGAAATAGAAACCTCGGCCGTTCCCGCAAAAGGAGCATGCGAAACTCGGGCCTGCCGGAGACCTCTGCGTCCAGACTCTGCCATTCAGGAGAGCATTAAGACGAGGTCGCATGTACACGATATTGCCAATTTCCAAATTTGTCCAACTTAACGTCATGTTTGGGTTCTCTGCTTCGAGTTCGCATTCATTTCAACAGCCACATCTCACAGGCTACGAAGCGCCTGTTGTTCGGACTGGCTCTGGGCTCGTGAGCATGTCTCACATGTTCGGCTCATGAACTAGTTCCGTCGCGATAGCAACGGCACACATGATGTCACTCAAGCCTGGAAAGATACCTTAAATTCTGATTCCCTAATCTATCAAAATGTCAAGCCTTGAAAAAGACAGTGGGGTGACTTCTTTCGCGGTGGGAATACAGCTGGTTCAGAGCTCAACATCACGAAAAAGAATCCATGCTATCGACCCAGAACCAGCCCCGTTTGCCTCTCCGACCCTCCATACCATATTGTATTCACCTCTATGCCTTTGCTAAAGACTTTCAGCACCACTAATCCCAAGTAGTACATGATTAACTGCGTAATTCCGTGTGCCAAGCCAAGTTGTATTCTCTCCTGACTGCCCATGGTTCTATTCTAAGAAGGTTAAGGACTCAACATGGCCGTCAATGTCTATGCGCATCTGGTCATGGTGGTCCGGCTGCTGCTCGGGGAGCGTAACGCGCTGATAGGTCTGTGTAGAGTAGGCATTGATTGGACTATGCGAGCGTTGCTTGGTGTACTGGTCGCCAACGACCCATCTCGTTGCCACTGATTCTGTTGTTAAATGAGGATATTTGGCAGCTCTCCGAAAGGTACAATGATCTGAGCAAAAACCAAGGACTTACAGATTGCCGCGTATCCATGCTCTGTGTTTGTAGCCTCGTCATTGACATCAACGACGGTCCTACAATGAAAATAGCAATTCCATCTCCGTAAAGATGTATGGTTTCCTTGAACGCGTCTGTTTTCTCTGGAATTTCAGAACCATGAATTTTGATCGTATGGCCCAGTTGCGGTGGCAGTCCATGGGTGTAAAAACACCGACACTGTGGTTCTCCTTGAAAACTCTGGGGATTCATGCGATGGCCTCAAACTCATCTCACAGTGTATCCGTTTCTGCCTAGAACCCAACGACTCAATTCCTTGTCAAGAAATCGGGCTAGTATACTCCATAATTTCTCTCGATTGTCTCTCTGCGGACATCTTGATGGTGTGCTCGATGAGCTTTTTTGTCCTCTTTGATAAGGTTTACGGTTTATCATAGAAGAAGCGTCTCTTGAGAACGTTGCGTCACCCTTTGTGGGCCCGGTCTCGTTGTCAGAGTTGTTCTGAGCTGTCTCCTGATCTTGCAGGTGGTATCGAGGAACCGCACGAGATCCCCGATGCCGCATCAATGTAACAAAAATCAGAAGGACTTAGCGAGAGCACTGAGCTCCGCGGAATTATCGCGGAGAGATCGCTTGGAAATCTCCTTGCATTTGGCCGTCGCCTGTTGCCTTGCAGATACTGCCTGATGACTCCTCGCGAAGGGCAGCAATATACTTGGCCGGTGTTCTGAGTAGGTGGTGATGGGAGTAGCAAAAGGCCAGGCTCAAAGTCCTGCTTGGTTGATGTAAGGTCAAGTCCTGCCCAAGACAGGGATCAACCCAGCTGGGATGGTGTGGAGTTCATTGGGGGAGACAGATCTCAAGAACCAATGCACATTCGTTCTCTCAAGATCTTCAATTTCCTCTCACATATCGGCTGTGAGATGAATGCTGGTATCTGTTTCTCGTATAGCCAAGTGCTGGCATCAGCTTGGGGTTCCCATAGGCTGTGGGGGAATTTCGTATGGCTGCGTGCCGGTACTATAGCCAGAGCTGACACGGGGCTGGTTGTAATTCTCAAAGTACAGGGCTATATTTTAGAGTTTGCATCTTTCTGCTGACCTCATACATCATTTCATAAAACAACGCTGGTGTTCTCGTTGGTGGTATCCGATAGATGGCTCTGTCTCTTGCAGTACTCATCGCCTTGGGGTTGCCAGGTCCCTGTCCAACAACTGGGCATATATCTATTCCCTGCATTTGAGGACCTTGGCCCTAGGAACTTCCGTGATGTTATTTTGGCGAAAGGTACTCTACGGAATGTCCTAAAAGTCTGTATCCACAATGCTTACGCACGTTGACTGGAGATATGACAGCCATGATTATGATATTGACGCACCCGTTTCTTCTGCACCCAAACATGCCCCAGATATTATAAGTGGTGCCATTGACGACGCGGCAACAGCAACCAAATTCGCGTTGATATCGGCAGTCCCAGATTAAGTCTTCGGCATACTCGTCGTCTAAGTCCATATCTTGGTCGTCGTTCCCCTTCAGATTATCAATGCCGTCGATCTGAGCACACAGATACTTCTCCTCAAATGTTTTGGGTCTCAGATATGAAAATGGCTTAGCAAAACCTGAGCCGGAGCTTCCTTGCTTCAATTGCACTAATATGCCTATGCATTTCAAACCTGTAACGCCTTCTTGTGTCGTAATGGTGTTTAGAAATCAAGGTAGCTGGCCTGAGTTTATGGTCTATCAGCGTCGAAACCTAAAAATGTCGTCTATAATGTTGTTAGCTCCTAAAAACCAGGTGAAGTAGCGTTGTGTTGTTAGTTAGGTAAGTCTTGTGATACTAGCGGTTGTTCGTAATAGACAAGTGGTAATTAACGAGGTATGAATGTGAATTAGCGACAACTAAGGTAGATCACACTGAGCAACCAAAAAGCGGAAATTTGTATTGATAGCAAATTATAGTAAAAGTCCGCCTATCGTGAGACACAGCGACATGGATGTAAATGTATGAGAGGTGGTTGACAAGGTGATTGTGAGTTTCCAGTAAGGTGAAAGTTAACGATAGTAAGATGCGGTAGCCTAGACACATAAGTATATGTAGGCTTAAGCGACGGTAATAAATTCAAAATGGACGATAGCGAGACATAGTGACCTGTATGTAATTGTATGAAAGGTAGTGATAAAGTCAAAAGTCAGCAATCGCTAAAGTAGGTGATGGAGTTAAAATCGGACACTGCTAAGTAAGTGACAGTGCCAAAGTGGTGGTAGATGAGGTAAATGTGAACCGCCAACAGATGGATGTAAATGGATGAACCTCGCCTTTGTTCGGTCGTCCTCGACCTCAAACCCTGGTTGGCCTCTATTCTCAATACTTATGGAATACGTGCTAGAATAGACAGTGATTTGAACTATCTTCAATAATGCGAAACTAAGGCCCATAATTTAGAGAGTCATGATGAGCTTCAGCATTATTGTTTCCAGTATATCTATAGGGCTGTTATAGATGTGTAAAGCCTAAATGTCATTATGTGACCAATGTGATATACTCTATCCCGTCGGCCGTCTTGTAGTTGTTATGGCACTAAATGACTTTTTTTTCGAGCATGACCTTGTTAAAGCAATGGTTTTTGTTCGGGCGGGGTGTACTTAATCAGTCTTTGGATATTGCAGTCGTCATATCGCCGTTCGGGACAGTCCAAGCACACACTCTTGTACCTCCATTGGAGAGTCCAGTATCGCCCTGAAGAAGACGAAGACTGCATTGGCAGAGGCTGAAACAGCAATAATTATGAACGTTGAAAATTGAAAATGATGGAAACCATTGCAATGAAAGTTGGGAAAGTCAGATGATGATCTGGTATCATATCTAGTGAAGCATTAAAGGTATCCGTTTAATTCTTAGCATAGGTAGGGACAAATTACGGACTTACTAATGGGTTATTGATCAAGAGAGAAGGACTGTACAGTACTGAGTGGAGAGTGACAAGTTTTTTCTAGCATTGGGATCATTGCATTCGTGTAATATGCATAGTTTGACGGACAGGGCAAAAAACTCCATCCCCAAAGTCTTGTACAAGCACTCATCGATATGTATGATGATCAAACTTAAACTTGACCAAGTTGTTGCCTACTAAGAATGGCACGCAGAAAGCATTTATTTGCAATCCGGTTTCATGTAAACCATTACTTGAGAGGCTGCTGCTTAGGTGGAAGGGGCATTGGGTTACATGTAATATTTTGCACAGGATTACATTGTGCAGACCTGCTAATTTATAGTTTCTGAAACCACTTCTTGTCGAATTCATTCGATCTTTGCACATTTCTCAATTTCTAATATGGCCATTGACGCTCAGCTAGTATCAAAGAAGCTCTTGTCCAGCTCAGGATCAGAAATTCCAATTGAGCCGATGGTCTTACCATCAAGACGACGCACCGTTTCCTCCCACTGCCACCACACACACCCCACCACCCCAGCAATAAAAAACTGAGTAATTCCAACCCCAAGAGCAGCAGATCGGAGACCATCCCATGCCCAGATAGCATTCGGAATACCAAGGATGAATGTCCCTGCAACCATGTTGCGTAGACATGTTAGTCCAGCATGCATATCAGCAGTATTGCGCATACTGACAGATAGGTTGACAGACGTGAACGCAGTGGAGCGTTGAATCATTGGCCGGATCGTAGCGTCGAGAGCAACAGAGCCGGCTGCCAGAATACCAAGCAAGAACGACACCACGGGGAAATTGAGCTTCGAGCCAACGGCATCCAGCTTCCAGATATTGCTGGGCTTATTTACAGAGCCACCATCGGACATTGTCATAGAGCCCTCGATATATAGGCCGAAACCAAAAATCCCGATGGACGCCGTGACTGCCCCCACTGCAAGTGTGGTCCAGTGGACACTTGTAGTAAAACGCTTTGAATACAGAGGTATCGACAGAACAACAATCAGGATGGTTGCAAATATGAATGGACCCGTGAACAGAACGCCAATACTTCTAGATGACAACGAGAACGGGAGAACAGAAAAGAGGAGAGAGAGCGAGCTGGTATATCCCCAAAGAGCAACGTGTGGGAGTAGAGTGACCGTGAAAAGCAGCATATTTGTTGGTGCGAGCATCGCTCGAGGAGCTTGGAGTATCAAAGGTCGGCTGATCTTTGATACTTTGTACGTCCAGGGCTTCATTCGTGTGATGTAGTCCTTAACAGCTTCCTTGGAGAACCTTATCCAGGGCCAGTTCAAACGAGGGCGGCTCTGAAGAAAATTAGGATGATTAGTTGAAATTGAAGTCCTGTCAAAAGTTGACTCTGGAACACCAAATACAACGATCCATATTCCGAGTGCCAGGAGTATGCTCAACACCTCGTACTGGAGACAGAACCCTCTTGGACCAGATGATGTCACTCCACCTAGGAGAGGTGCTCCCCAGGTGGACGCCACGGAAACTACATTCAACGCAGCAACCCTGTTATCAAGTTCATGTTGCTGTAATAGGTCAGCTACTCATATTCGGAATATCGTCGTTAAAGACGGACTGACAAAAAAAGTATCTTGCAAAGACCCCAGAACCAGAGTGTCGAATGCACCCCAACCTATCCCTTGAAAAACACGGGACGCCATATTTTGCGAAAAGCTGTTCATCACGTACATCCCCCACATTGAACCTACGAACATGGAGATCGTCGAAGCGAGGTAAATGGGTCGTTTGCCATATACTCTCGCACCCACGTTACTCATTAAACCACTGACAGCAGAAACCATGAGTGGGACAGCTGTCAATGATACTGCTGCGGTGTATGAAACGCCGTTGTTCATTGCAATATCGCTGTTGACCGTGACAAACATTGTTCGGCTCACCCCAACAATGGAAACCATGTAAAGAAGTGAGAAGAAGCTGAGATTCCTTCTCCATAGCGGCCAATTCTAAAATGGTTCAATACTCTGATCTCCTGAAGAGTGAGGAGGTAAAGCTTACGAAAGGATCTTCTGAATCATTACTGGGCTGGGGAATCAGTTCAATTTCCACCCCTTTCCATATCCCGTATTTAATGGGCCGTTTCATGTCGAGTTGAGAAAACGTCAATCTCCTGGTAGAAGCAGTCATTGTCGTAGCAGCAGTGCTGGGTCGAGGAGGGTCTTTCGAGATTGGCCTTGGCGGACGTACAGCCTGAATGGTCATACCAACCGCCGTCCTTGGGAACGTTTCTCCAGCGATTGGCGTCCATGGTGGCATTGTACTGTCTCTAGATTGAGCGATCGTTGCGGTTGGTATCGGCGATACAATCGAATAGGCGCTTGGCGAATGTCTTGCCAAATGGGGTAGTTGTGGTGAAGCCTTTTCGTCTCTGTTTTTCGTTGCTGGTAACTCTGAATTGGATTTCGAGCTCGACATGGTGAGTTATAGTATTCCCAGAAAACCTTCGAATTAGGATTTGTATTATAATGTTACTAATACCGCATCGGACTCCTGGTCGACGATTAGGGATGACTGGCAAAGATATCCGAAAGGAGAAACGAAGAAGGTCGAATGACTCTATAATATGAATAAAAGCAACAGCTGTTTTGGCCAGGAAAGATCAACTTTCATCAGGCAAAGAAGAGAAACAATGGGAAAGAAAAAAAAGAGATTGTAATAGTTTCAATATATTAACATGCTTGCGCGGTGGACAATCACAAGAGCGATGGTAATTGCAAAACAATTCCAATTGGCACATTACAGTCCGAGGGACGCAAAAACCGGCGACCTCACAGCAGCAGCAAGTCAAAACTAATTGTAACCACCAAGTCGTAGTTCCCGATCGTATCAAGATTCATGGTGGGTGTGGAGGACCTAGCAGAAGATCACACTCAGTAGTGCTGCTCTGACACTTTTCCTGGTTTACATGTCTTGCATGAATTGAACGCCGCTTCGTGACATCGCTCATTGGCTGTCCGTCTCAAGTTATGGAAGGTGGTCGGGCCATGCTGTCACCGAGACGCCTAAGAAACATATTGACAGGATGAAGATGTCCGAGCGCTTCAACATTATCTGATGTCGCGGCTTTCGCGATTGTTCCTGTGGATGCACGACATCCAACTGACTCGGCCTCATCAGCCATTCAGTTGCCAGAGTTGCATTGTCACTACCCTGCAAGGGGAAGCGTTGAAACACGATCGAGGCGGGGCACGTGTCGCACAGGCTGAAATCTTCGGCACGGAATCTTCTGCAATCAAAAGTGGTCTTCACCATTTCGTGTATTGAATTCTATTATTGTCGTAATTAAATCTAAGTCGCCTGAAGATCGGTAGAGACGAAGATTGCTAGCGACCGTTGGCGGCAATCGTGGGGAAGCCATCGCGATGGCATATCGCCCGCGCTAAAATCGCCTCTGCAACAAGCGGTAGGAGTAAGAAGAACAAATCTCGTCAACGCGTAAACTCATTTACAACTCCTGGCATTTGTTTTCTGCATTCGAAGGCGTGGTCCTGTGGGGTACCGGGTTCAACGATTGACCTTGAGGATAGAGGTTGTATGGAGGAACAGAATTGATGTGCATTGGCAGTGCGCGTGACCCCGGAGTTAAGGTCATCGCAACTATAACCCTCAGAGGATATCTGCGTTTTGGCTGTTTCTAGACAGTGTCCTTCTTCTCTTGCAAATTGTTTCATTATTGCACGAGTTCGGCCCAAATCGCGCCTTGCTTGGCATCCATCACCTCCGGTTTCAACAGCACACAGCGACGTTGGCAGAAAAAAAAGATACCAAAGCGAAAAGAGCATGTGAAGTATTACGCATGCCTATATCAGGTCTGTTGACCCGGGCCTACGCATCTTGCGGTATGGTCGGTAGTAATGCTGAAGCATATGCACTCTGCACGTTGAACATGCGAATCAGCAGGTCTGTGCAAACCTTGGACAGTCAGACTTTGATCGCTTAGCCACAGGCCCAACTGGAGGCTTTATCCACATCACCAACTCCATCGTATATCGCTAACTGCGGGTAGGGGCACAATGGGCGCTGTCGCGCAACTGGGGTTGACGGATCTAGAGAGTTTTGCCACGTTGTTGCTACAACCGAGTCCACAGCTGTGCCGTTTTCAACCCATTGCATCATTGCTAGCAGAACATCATGCTGGGCATTTTTGAAGCCTGGCACTGACCACACATCTCTGCCCAGTTGCGAAGCTTGAGAGCCACCACCGAAAGCCCTAAACTTATGTCAGTATACAGCTAGGTCCAATTATTTGATTCCTTTGAATCTCCTACTTACCACGGAGCAGGTGCAGCGTTGGACGAGGCCCAGCAATGCCCCATGCCGGGGACCTCGAAGTATCGGAAAAAGTCGTGAAGTTCGCCAACGTCGCCTCTCGTCATTGTCTCTGCTACTTGCTTGTAGTATAGCTCACTTCCTTTGGGTGGGACCAAACCGTCGGCTAAACCATGATAGATTATCATCTTTTTCCCCATGCGCTTGAACTCCGAGAGATCATAGTCATTGGCCGTAGCATTTCCAGGATTCAGCATCACAGCGTCGACAATTACGCTGTCATTATAACTTGTCCAGTACCATGATACATCGTCATACAAGAAGTCGCGGATGAAGTTAATGCCGTACGGACTAGTGTCGGTGTAATTTAGGACAAGGAACCATTGATTCTCGCAGCCAGGGCTAAGACCTGGATACAACAACTCACCCGTTGAACCGAGGTAATCCGCGTACACTTTGTTCGCAGTCTCAATTTGAGGCAGAGTTAGACAAGTCGAGCTATTCGTTCCAGGCATACCGCACAATAATGTTGTATAGTCTGGCGAGCACTGACTAGGAATACTGATAATCCCGTCCGACACTCCATCAAGAGAATCACATTGCTTAAGGGCTTCGGCAGCCATCAGGGGGAACAAGACCGCGCCGATGTTGTTCGGTGCAGCAACAGGCAAGTTATACGTTCCGACTTTCGTGACCCATGGGTTCAAATGACTTGAGTACCAGGAAGATGCTCCCGCGATAACGCCGTCAAAGGAATCGGGGGAAATCTGCACTTCCTTCAGTCCCTGTCGGCCTCCTGTCGAACAGCCGTTGTAGTATGAGTAAGCAATATTCGCTTCATAATATGCTTCAACCAGCTGTTTCGCTAGCACGACCGTGCCATGCATTGATCTCCAACCCCAATCAGTCTTCTTTTCTGCATTGTTGAGTGCCCAAGAAACATCGGTCGACACAGAGTTATGACCGGTATCTGTAGAGACAACTGCGAAGCCATAACCAACGCCAGCCCCCATATCCAGCCAGTTGATTCCACCACCAAACCCGCCATTACCTACGGCCAAGAATCTGCTGTTCCATTTCGTGGGGAGAAACAACCCAAAGCGATAGAAAGACTCTGGAGATGAAATAACGAGGACTGTGACAGCGCAAAGTTCCGGTAGGCCAATTGGCTGAGTCGGATAATTGAGGTCTAGGATCCCTTCGCCGTAGGTACCATTACTGGGTACCTGAGCTACTTTTTCGATGGTGGCGTTGCCTGGAACCAAAGTCGAAAAGAAATTTGCATTGCATAAAGTACTTGCAAAGACAGGTCTCGTTGCTACGCTGAGAGCCAGAAGCAGTGTCGCCAGGCTGACCATGATTGACCGCCTGAATAACAGTTGGTCATCGATTGATACAGAAATTGTAATTGAAATTGAGGTCAATCTATCATATTAAGAAATTTCTGAGCACTCGACACCAGCCAGAATCGTGGATTAATAGGAATGCGAGCACAATCGTCACAGACTGGCAGTGATTACGAACTGCCCCTTTTGGCAACCATGGACTGGAATGTGACACACCTATAAGGAAAGACCAAACTCGAATGCTTTCCGACTTGCGACGACGGTTATACGTAACATCTTATCTCTGCTAGGTATTGCAGAGTCGCATCCGCAGCGGGTTCATCTGACGGAAATGGTCAACGTCAATGCCAGCTCAGATAACTTGTCCACGACGTTCTCACCTTAATGAAATTTACCTGGCTGTTGTCGTTGATGAATCTAGCCTCAAGAGGGCCAAACGTCTAATCACTAGGTTAGGCGGATCTCTACAATTTAGATCCAGTATCCAAAACCTGGTAAGATTTGGTCATGTCAGACGAAATTTATCGGTGGTGACAGGCGCTTACGGAGACTGCCCGATTTGACGTCCCGCCGGACAGGAGAGAGGAGATAGCCCATGTCTAAGTATAATGATCGGCATAGGCCACAAAATTGTGATATGTGCAAATAAACATTGTAGTCAACATTGCATATAATAGAATTGACTGGCATAATTAAAAGCAGCAAGTAATTCTCAGCTTGGCCACGGCGTGAAGACATGATCCAGCATAGACCGATTGACACATTGGATGACGGCAGATGATATCGATAGTGGCAAATCTTGCATGGTGGATCCGACCGCTGATATTCCGTTGACCCGTGGCGCAGCATTCCCATCAAGAATCCGACTTCAACCTCATAGTTGTGGTCTAAACATATTGCTCGAACGGCGAGCTTCTCTTATTAATTGTCCGTTAGACACCAGATTATCACTACCGCGTTGCTTGCTGCCTGAGTTCCTCAAGTGCTTGAGTACTGCCAAAGGCTGCTGATCCCAGCATTGCGTATTGTGCCATTGTTGTATTGCGCTGTACTGTAGCTTAGCGTTTTGAGCGGGCCGCAGAGATCAAATTTCAGGCCACAATTGAGTACCTCTTCGCTATGGATTCTTTACCAAGCGAGGTATATTATTCATTTCTCATGTATTGCTAGTCACACTAACATCGACAGATCTTTATTCAAATTCTCGAGTCTTTTCAAACTCACGCATTGTTGCCATTGGCTCTTATCTCACGCCGATTCTACGGACTTGTATCTCGACTACATTATGCTCGATTAGTTGAAGCAACTATATTGCCGGATCATGAGCTTATTCTCGAATGTTATCATCCAAGCGCCAAGATATCAACTCCTTACATGTTTTGCGACTATATTGGCACGAATGGTCTCGATGATGTAGGCCAGGATCCTACACTCGAAGCCATGACTGGTCTATACTCTCGATATCGGCCCGTTCTCAGCGAAGAGCATCGAAGACCACGTGCACGCTATGCAACTAGGGCTGTTCTCGAAGGATCAGAGCCGCCTATCTGCGAGAATCCATCGCATGATCTGCACTTGGAATCTGCTGAGCTCTTCTCACAACTCTGTACTGTCGTCAACATGATCAAGGTCGGCCCCAAGCGTGGTCTTTTCCTCAGCCATGTCAACATTATAGAAAGTGTCATCAGAATCTGGCGTGATTGGCTGGCTCAAGAATCATCTCAAGCAACATTGAAACAGAAAACGGTTGAACCAACCACATGTTCCATTCTGTGGACTGACTCCTCCGAGAATTTCGGACTTCGGCTGCGAGTTGTCGAGAAGCCGGAGGTGGATACACCCATCTTGGTCGGGCCCGGTGAGGATCCGCCAGTCTCGTATGCTCTAGATTATGAAGGTATGCATTTCATTCAAGCATTTCCTAACAAAACCGCTACTAACTTGGATAGAACTTTGGGTCCGGACGAATCAGCTTGTGCTTGGAATGGAAAAGTCGGAAGCTCAAGAGGTAAACAACTCTAGCAATGCAGTCATCATCGCTTCGATGTAGCACAAGAATCAATTACACTGACTTCTAGATGGAAATTTTCAACATATTTGCTCAAAAAATAACATGCATCATCTTTGTTTGAGAAACAAAGTAAATCGTAGTCCAATTATATCCAACACACATGATTGTGATGAATCAAATACTGCTGCCTAGCAGCTTGGAGTGCTTACTGCAGATGATTGGCCTGTGTACGCAGGTGGCACGTGCATCAGAACACCTTCACCAGGTTCCAACCCAAAAAATGTCCTGTCTTCTCCAACCGAGCCCAAGAATATAGCTACCTCTTGAACCACAGCGCAGCATCGAATGTGCCCAAAACGGAGATTCTCGGCCAAATATGCTTGAGTATCGTGACATCGGTGTCAACAAGGGACATGGACAACATCGAAAGCAGCATTGCTGGGAATGTATCCGGCGTTATCTGGTGTGTGATTCTGAGCGGCCCGGATGCAAAAGATGCTTCTCGAACGGTACCGAGTGTCCCGGGTATGGTAATGCAAAGCCCACAAAGTTGAGATGGCTTGCACCCGGACAGGTTAGATCTCGCCGCACACGCGCGAAAACACCCTTATCGTCCAACAAACGCTCCCATGACAAAGAACTAGCCTCAAATGCTGTGATTCTAGCTAGCTTTGAGCGAGCTGCTATTACTCAGTCGAATCTCAAGACAGATGAGTTTGTTTTGGTAGAAGCGATGAACTACTGCAAGTGGTACCCGATCGTGGTCGCGATAACAGTAGTTGATTCTGACCTGTATAGACAATACTTGCATACACCCAGACCTACTTCTTATCCATGAGCTTGGGCCTAATCCCTATGTATATCCCATCCTATCGACACATCTGCAGCACGGCATTGGGCTGCCTGACCATGTAAGATATGGTTTCATTTGCATGACTCTAAGCCATCGCATAAATCGGATCAGAAACGATGTCAGCACCCAAGTCTTAACAGAGAAATGCTACCAATATAGGGGTCTGGTCATTCGCTCTTTAATCGAAGATATCAACGTGAAACATAAATATAAGAGTGATGTTATCCTTGCCGGAATGATGGCTCTACTTCTGGCTGACGTGAGTCAAATTTAAATTTGACTCAGATGTTATTCGACTGCTAAGTCTTGTTTCAACACAGGCCCAACAAGGCGCTTTACGAGAATGGAGAAGTCACTTGGAAGCAATGCAGCAAGTTATTATATTGCGTGGCGGATTGAACTCAATCAACAGATATAAGCATTTAGAGTCCCTGCTTCTCTGTTTTGTATTGTAAGCAACCAGACTCTATTGTGTTTGAATTAGTCGGTGTAGATATTGATTTCGTTTAGCATTGCAGTGATCGGAGATTCCACCTCTCCAGCGACTGATCTTTTCCTGACAAATTCGCGTATGGAAGAATTCGACACGGCCCTGGAACAATACAACGACTTTCTATTTGTCTTCCAAATGTGTCCTCCATTTCTTTTCTCCGAGATCACCAATATAAATCGCCTTCGGCTACAGGCCACAAAGCTCGAATTCATAACGCGCAACGAGCTGTATAATAAGGCAACTATGATACTGGCGCGCGTTAACGAATTTTGCCCAGAGAAATGGGGCCGAACAAAGCCGTCGCGAATAGAAGACTGGGTGCTCATGGCTAGCATCTATCAGCTTGCAGTGGCCTTGTACTGCATACTATCACTCCAAAGCGTATCCGTTCTGCCATCTAATGATCCGCTGAGAATATTCTGCGCCGCCACGGGACACACGCTTCTCAGCCTTCTTGAGGAAGGGCTCGCATCACGAAGAATCAATAGATTCTTGCTATGGCCCCTAGTAGTGCTTGGTGTGGAGGCCAAACACGACAACCCAGCAATGCGCACCTTCGTAGCCAAGCAGCTCCCGCAAATGAGTCGTCGCGCCGGTGTATATGCGCCGTTGACAGCTTTGGCATTACTTGAGCGGTTCTGGGCCTCCCACGTCACTGGCTGGGATGCGTGTTTCGATAGGCCTTATGCTTTTACGTTGCAGGTAGCTGTAGACGTAAGTCGTGTATCGTCCGCAAGCTGAATAGTTGAGTCTAAGGAAGTCGGCGGCAAATGCACGGTCATACTATTTTGGATTTAAGTTGCGCATAGTACTCACACCAACATCTAAGTCCTACACTCAGCAATGAACGTCATGTCAGGGCGTCTTTCCTGGTCAAGCGACTCATAGGCGTGTCTTCATCTTTGTGGTCGCTATGCACCAAACTATGTTCATAATTGCCATAAGATTGCTAGGCAGAAAACGAATAGTGGAAATTTATGGGCTCTTTGCATCTGGACTAGGGGGCTTAGCGGCTTGGCATTTCTATTTGCCTATTCCGGTCAAGCGGCGTAATCCTGCTTGGGTATACATATTGCTCGTTCACTGTCCAGCAACGAATCTGCTGCGGAAAACAGCAGTGTTTCTTGTCACATTTGTATGCATCTTTGAAAGTAAACTCGGCGTATCCTAACTACATCTTTACAATCCTCTTGCTTTCTCAAAGCCTACGTTGCGTGTACCGGCAGTCGTCAATCATAACAGAATGGAGACCGGCCAGCCTGGTAGGACCCGCGGGGTTCCTACTTATACAACATTGTTCTGACATAGTCTATCTAGTACCTTTCAGTCTCTACGTATATGTTCCTAGCAAAGGAGCACCGATTTTTTTCTCGATCTCGTATGCATTATCAGCGGTTGGTCACTTGTGGCAGTGCTAGTCAGTAGAACATCTTCGTAGCCGTTCAAGCACGACATTTCTAACATCCAGCGCTAGTCGCTACAGGTCTTTCAGATTAATCGGACTCCATCCAATCTGTGCTCTGCTGTTCACGCTTGGTTATGCCTTGCGGATATACGGCGCTTTCGACAACTATCTCTACAATACACACACCTTAATCGTGTTTATCCTTAGCCAAGTTTTCATATACATCTGCCCGTAAGTGTAGCCTATGATACCAATGACTCCCTCAAATGAGGTTTATTAATTAACGGCACTCATAGACCACTCCTCGAACTTGCGAACTATCATGTCCTCGGTCGGATTCTTTACTACGTCCCATATCTTGCACCACTCCCTCCGAACAAGGTTCTATCTACTTTTGGTGCTTTGATGGGACTTGTCGAAACGTTGAATGCTCTGGGTGTATCATTGTCTTCAAACCCTTCATCTTCTAACCAAGGCTTGGGTAGTCATTTGACGATAACTGCATTGTCCATCCAACTCGTTGTTATCGTCATTTTCCTCCTCCTCGCGTCGATTTTTCACTACCGATGTGTTAAGACCAACATACACACGAAGAATGTTATGACACCTCTATACACACTATATGGAAGTATGGTCTTAATATTCATACGATGTATTTATCGTTTGGTGGAGCACCTTGGCAATACCACGGTAGATCTAGGCGACTTGGAATCGCTCAGCGCTCTAAGCCCCATTTTGCGATACGAATGGTACTTTTACGTCTTCGAAGCTACTCTCATGCTCGCCAATTCTATCATATGGAACGTGTGGAACCCCGGCCGCTATCTACCCAGAGAAAATCATATATATTTGTCACCAGATGGAAGAACCGAAGTTGAAGGCGAAAAGGAGGTGGACGGTAGATCACTTCTAGCTAAAGCTGGGTCGATAATGACGTTCGGAATCTTCTTCCGCAAAAAGCAAGTTCAGCAAAGCCAGCACTATCGGCTGAACAGTTTCTCATCTCGGGGACCGATCTTGACCAGGGCGGATTGAGGACCGAAGCGGGACTCCTGGTAAGCCTGCTCGACAAGAACATCTGTGGCTACCTTCAATTGAACTTCAGTTCCACAGGCTTTGTATTAGTCATGTATGTAGCATCCGTACGTAATATCTGTCTCAATGCAACAATAGCATCTATGCTATGGCAAAGTGTATCCACCGTCAATGACCATATCAGCTCCTGTCATGTAAGAACAGGCGTCGCTTGCGAGGAATACATAAGCCTTGCCCTCGTTAGTACAATGATATAATTACATGATCACGCATGTATATCGGGTGGACTTACACTTTTGAGCTCAGCGGCATCGCAAATACGCTTCCCGGGAATCATGTCAAGCCATTTCTGGAACAGCTCTTTGGGCTGGTTCGTAAGCACTAAGTTGACATCAATACACATTCTGACCCAGGTAGAACCGGCTAAATACAACCTACTTTCTGTCATGATAAAACCTGGCGAGACACAATTGACACGAGCGAAATCAGCCCACTCAACGGCAAGACACCTGGCCAGATGTGTCACTGCAGCCTTTGAAGCATTATACGCAGCCTGCTTCTGAGGGATGTTGACCAGCGTCGCGCTGACTGAAGAAGTGATGATCAGATTCCCCTTCCCTTGTTCCTTAAAGATCCGCCCAGCAGCCTGCGCCGTCCACATCACGCCGTCAAGATTAACACTATTGTTCTGTCGCCAAGTGTCCTCGGTGTATTCCAGTGCGGGGACGTCGGCACAGACTCCAGCATTAGCGACCATGATGTCTAACCGGCCATTGTGAGAGAAGTTGCGCACGATGTCCTCAACTACGCCGAAAACATTGGCACGATCGGCTACGTTGCATTGGAATGCCTTTACTCGGACACCAGTCGCGTCTGCGATGCTGGCAGCCGTCTCGTCTGCATCTTTGCTCGATGTGTAGAGCAGAGCAACGTCGGCGCCCGCTTCAGCGAGCCCCCGCACTATTTCAACACCAATCCCACGGGCGCCCCCAGTAACGGCGACTACCTTCCCCGCAAGCGAAAATTGCGAAAGAACTGGTCTGTTGACATCGTCTGGCTTGAAAAGAGGCATTGTTGTGAATTAGAGCATCAGTGATATAATGGTTTTGATGTATTATTGGTGTTCCCGTTAGTGAAAAGAAATAGGTGTATGACAATGGACTACTTATAGTGAGCAAGCCACCAGGTATCCATCCAGTCGTTGTCAGTTAGGTCCACTTAGTGTTATGGGCCTCAAGTCATCAAGTTATACTAGCTCACACTTTCTGCCAACAAACTTTATTCATTTGGATAGTGGTGAGAATCATTTGGAACACAATGGTGCAACGAATCATGCGGATGTATACACATATTCATGCAGGCTTCATTCACTGATGCTAATATCTGTTGCTCTCAGGTTAGCACATTTGCATTGGTCTGACCAGCATGTCCATTGCCTTAAAAGTTACCACCTATGCCTTTCTGCGGAACTGACAATGAATTTCTATTGAGAGACAATGAAGGGCCTATACTACCCACGTGTTTGGGGCCTGGTTAGGGACTGTTTTCGGAACTCCATCACGTCGATGCGAGGGTACCATTAGATAGTGATTAGTTTATGGTCCTCCAGGCTATACCCTATAGATAGTCTTTTCAAAGCTATGAAACTAAGAGAAATGAGAACTATGATCACTATTTTGGCAACGAAAGCACAGTTTTCAGAGGAAATCATGCCTTTCAAACACCCAGCAGCCCAAGAGGTGCCTGATGTTCACTCTAGACGATGTAAGCCTTGATCAAGTTTTCGGGTATCCCTATTATAATAGCCATATTATATAAGCCGCCTCTTCTCATATATGCCGCGCATGCCAAGAATCAAGCAACCCACATCACTGGTATGGCTGACTTTCCCAGCTTCAGGGACCTGCCCGCCAGGCTACATCCTCAAATTCGGGGCCTAGCCTTGTTTGGTGAAGTCGGCAATCGACTCGTCCTGCTGTACGAGCACTCTAACCCGTTCCAAAACCTCAGTAGCTCTCTCATGATAATCAACTACAAGTTTCGTGAGGTTGCAAATGCAATTCCACAACACTAAACTGAATATCTTGAGGCTACCAAGATCCGATCCGTATTTTGAACCCATGGAGTATCGGTAATGCACCATCCGCTTAAATTGGAGGTGTCTGACGAAAGCCGTAACGTGTCGGAATTCTCACGCCTTTCAAGTAACTTATAATAAGGCGACTTGAATATTGGACCATGACCGTGACAAGAAATCCGTGGGTTTGGAAGGATGTATCCATCTCAGCAGTCACTTAGACTGGTTCATGCTGTCATATGAGGAGTCGGAGATTTATGCCACAACAGTTTGGTCTGCTATCTGTGCTGCTCATCTCTGCACCGAAGAGAAACTCTAGCTGGTCAATTGCGGCGGCGGCCTTTGGGCGCGTTACGTTCGACCATTACATACAACAATTCCATTACCGCCAACCGTATCTCACACTATCCGTGCTGTATTCTGCGTCGAGATTACAAACTATAAAGTTCCAATAAAAAGGCCAAACCATATCGACAGGTAGATCCCCTTTTATGACAAATACAGATTGTTAAAATTTGGCGCTTGGAGATTTTTCATCATTTGACATTGATCTTGCACACGCTCTTAGGCTACACGAAAGATGGAATTTCCTGCACGATATTGCCATTAATTGACTTGGCCGGCACGAAATTAATCAGTAGCAGAAGAAAGCGATCAGCAGCTTGTATGACTGTGAATGTATGGTTTCAACAAATTATCACACATCTGGTAACGTGGCAGGGATTCGAATCGCCCGGACAACCCAATACCAATAAACTAGCAGGACGTACGCCCGGAATTAAGGCCTTTGAACACTTGTCCATTAAAGCGATGTCAGCTATTCTCTCCATAGTATCAAACATTTTCATTTCAATCATGTAGAGTCACTACTTACATTGTTATTGCGCTGGAGAGGAAAGACGTCTCTCTAGTGCACCTCATTTGTAAACTCCTTGTATGTGCATCCAAGGCACAGCCCATTAGATGTGTACCCCCCACATGATAGTGGATACATGAACGTGACGGATCACGCAATCAAAGAAGACGATGAACTTGATAGTCTAGAGATCGAATAAACATGGTTTTGGCGAATTAACGCGTCGTAAAGGAATAGTATCCGATGACCATGAATATCGGCATAAATGCCGTCCCGTCTGGAACGTGAGTTATAGCGCTGGCTATGTCACTCACGTCGAATAGATCGTCCGGACTCAATGGTGAGACGGCGCGGTGCATTATTGTAAAGCCGGTACCGAAGTTGTAAGCTACCGCCAACTTCGCGATTAACTTATAGCCGAATTGACGCGAATCGAACAATGTTGCGCCGCACGCCGTATGGCTTACTTGTTTGGAGAGAGTATAGAAGTAAAAATAACATCATGGCCACGCCGAAGGTAGAGCTTTGGCGGTATAATTTCGCGTATATAAAGAGAGTAACGACCAGCGATGGAACTCGAGTTATGGACATGAGTTCTACATGGCTTGAATCACGACAATAATGACTCCAGAAAGCAAGGGACCGCATGTCCTGATTGTAGGTGCTGGCCTAGGTGGGCTCGCACTTGCTCAATGCTTGCGAAAGCGAGGTATCTCGTTTGAGATTTTCGAGCGCGATGCTGATGAAAACTCCCGACCACAAGGATGGGCGATTGGCCTTCATACGTATGTAAAACCCGACCGGACGATTATACGGAGATTCTCGCATATCTTCCTTAAACAATCTTTAGATCAGCACGCTAACCATTTGTGTTAATGCAGAATGCTTGATGAGCTTCACAATTCGATACCATCTGATCTGCCAAATCTTCACGGCAACGTGCATCATTTGTTGCCTCTGAAACTGAACTCCCAGATCTGTGTTTACTTCCAAGGCATCGATAGCCGGGTTGGTGTGCAAGATACTCCTGAGACACCATGTTTGCGAGCGGACAGACCGAAGTTCAGACTATGGCTGTCGACCAACATTCCTATTCAGTGGAACAAACGTCTAACTCAGATCGATGAGAGTGTTGACGGCAACGTCTCCTTAAAGTTCCAGGATGGCAGCACAGCCAATGGCGATATCCTGATTGGGGCAGATGGAGTGCAAAGCTTTGGTAAGAAAACATTGTATTCTCCCGCGTTCCGCTCTGATAGTCTGCTTAGTTCGAGAAAATCTGATACAACGACCCAACAATGAGTTTTTGCGCGTCGTTCCTACTGCGACGATCATCGGCGAGCTTAAGTTGTCGGGAGCTGCGTTCGAACGACAGCTCAGTCTGGGACACAGCTCATGGATTGCCGTGGCATCGGATTGGAAACATCGGTTGTTTACTGGTTTGCAACATGTATCTTCTGATGGAAAGAGTGGTGACTACTATTGGTTCTACACGGAACATGATGACAGCGTTGACCGGCCAGATCATTGGATGCGACTTGCCTCGCTTGGAGAGAAGTTGGCATATGTGAGACGAAGAATAAGCTCATTCGACCCCGAACTTCGCGAAGTCGTGGAAGCGACATCTGCCGACAACATCAAAGATACTCACTTCTTGTGGCGGGACGCTGAGCTTCCGAGCCTCCCTTTGGGAAGGGTTGCGCTTCTTGGCGATGCGGCCCATCCCATGACGCCGTGTGAGTCTTTACCGTATCTATGTGTATATGCAAGATGAAAGTTGAGATGCCTAACAGAGAACAGTTCGCGGCGAAGGTGGAGTCCATGCTATTCGAGACGCGCTTTTGCTGGCCAAACATCTAAGCCACGTCAATATCCACGACTCACAGGGCTTGTTCCAGACGATTGGCGAATACCATGCAGAAGTGCTTGAGCGAGGCGTGCAAGCTGTTCGGGCCTCGAGGGGTGCATTCCACGGTCATGGCCAAGGTAAGCCCAGCATAGTCGGTTGGGGCCATACTGCAGTCCCAATCCCGGAGGAGAACGTTTCCCTATCAGCTGTGTGCTAGATCCGTCCGTACATATGCGCCTCTCGGTGTATCTAGCATCTTCCTGTGTGAAATGGGATATTGTGGTCACCATGACTTGATCTCGCTGTGTGCTGATCATCATCATCTGGGAATAGAATTACACTTCTCGCTTCCAATACGGCTCAGTATGACGTGATTGCCCACCCGATTATCGTGACATGAGTTCGAAGTCAATATAGTAAGCAATAAAGCAGCGCGATAGCCCGGAAGCATCACCCCTGAACGCGTGGCATTCGATTACGGTCGATAGAGATGATCGCTTGTTGTATGCATGGAATATTGAATTCGGAATTGGCCTCTTCGAGGTAAGATCGGCTCTTGCTCGGAACATAGGGCCGTTTTGGTCCGAGACTCTGACCTGAGAGCATCTTCGACCGAGCGGGAATTACCACAGCGGGTTTTCATGTTCGCCGATAGAACTCAGAAAAATACCGGAGTTCTCCACTGACGTACATAGTCGGTGTTATGGTTGGAAGCCAAGCCGGTTCTTTCTGCAAGTACCTGCATATGCCCGCATAAGCGTATCGCTTCTTTAAAGATTTTAGAGTGCCCAGCAATAGCGATAGCTCGGCAAAGATAACAGACCCGACTTTGGCGCTGTTGGCGAACCAGTGGCTCATGCAATACCATCGGTTAAGCGCACTTGCAGCATGTTTTAATTTACATGCAAGCCAAGTCATACCCTGCTATCTTTGTTGATTCCACGTTCTGCTCTGCAATGGCATCGATGCAGCCGATCACGAAAAGCGTGGGAGGCTCGCTTAGCAGTTCCACCCGCAAACTCTATCTATCGTTGCCCCATTGAAACACCCCAATTATAACTCCACCGTGATTCTAGAACCGAGCGATCATAATCAGCTTCGATGGTAACGTCTTTATCAGCGAACCGGAGGAGGCGTTGCGATTCATCGACACACCTATCCTAGCGCCGGCTGTTTGAAGCAACGACAGCTAATGCAGTCATGGCTTTACTCGGTCCGGGAACCGGATAGGGGGTGCGTTATAGTGGAGATTGATGCAACCACAACATCCCGATAATGACTCGACTACGAGAACAAAGAACTCTTGAGAAGCGTGGTGAGAGCTTAATTTTCCAGAGAAATACCCCTGGGGCGGACAGCTGCATATAAGAGTCCCAGGTGTGTGAAACTTCGAAGATTCTTTTTTTTTTTTTTTTGAGTTTGTTGTAAGTATCTGTCTGCGCCATCACTCCGTTGTTGACAACGAGATCCTTTCTTTCGTTTTATACCCGCTTTGAGACATACCACTCTTTATCATTTACTCATTATAACCATGGCTCGATTCTCCACTGTCGTCTTCATGCTGTTTGCCATGCTCTACAGCGCAATGGCCTTCCCGCATCAGTTTAACAGCACCGTGTTTGCTGCTCCATATCCACTCAACGTAACCAGTCGCCATACTGCCAACCACGCTGCGAACGCCACAGATATCCCAGTCAAGAGAAACTTGAGAAACTTCCCCATCGCCCTGCGCGCGCCCGGCCGAGCATGAAGAAAGATTATTAGCATAAAAACTTCAATCTGTACGGGCACTTATATCTCAATACAACGCAATCATGTATTTGTATCGCGATTATTTCTGCAACACTCAATAGGGAGGCAGCTGGGTTCTATGGAATAGCCACTGGCAAGAATTGGACTTAACAACTGTGTTGGAAACGTCGATAAATCCCAACGAAAGGAGGAGCATGGACTCATGGGATCTGGATTTGACAACTTTACATTTCTTCATGGTCGAGACGTAACATACAGGCGTCGCGTCGACATTTTTTCGGACATACAAACTAGAGGTTCGGTATCAAAGTCTGAACGGGCAGGCAGGGTCTGTTTATGGGCCAAGTCTTTGGCTACGACTTAATGACAAACAAGGACACAATTTCGTTTCAATAAAGCACACGACAATATAAACAATCATATGTATGCCGAAGGTTAAATTTGACAGCGATGAACAAATATATCGTGATGAAATATGTTCAGGTGTCTTCTTTTGTATCGTATCTGTCTCATTACATTATCATTAAGCACCCATATACTCATAAAGGGTTGCCCATCTTCTGGATCTCATTACTGTAAATCGATCATCTAGTTTCCAATCACGACATCAATGCCTGCAGTATGGCATTGACAAAATCTGACGCTGTCGCCACAAGCTACATAAAACGTTAGCACAAAACAGCTGGAACTGGAGAGAACCATAAGGGCACTTACAGGTGTGGCATCGCCGATGAGCTCCGTAGTCTGCGTGACAAACGTGGCTGATAGTAGGCCGCCGGCGTTGCCGAGCAGCACCACAAGTTGCTCTACCGTGTCTGGAGTAATAAGTGGTGTGACCTCGTCCACGATGCCTTGAATATCAATCTGGTTCAACGCGGCAAGGAGTGGCTTGACTGCATTCGCCAACCCCGTGAGGTCTACTTGGCTCAAAGCATTGAGCAGTGGTGTGAGTTGCTTGATAAGTCCAGGAATATCCACCTGGCCCAAAGCGGCTACTAGAGGCACTGCGCCACCGATGATGGTTTGTGTCTCGTTCACGAATTTGGCGCTGAGGAGATTCTCGGCGTTGTCGACAAGTCCGACCAGGCCGTCAACTGAAGATGGGGTGAGCAAAGGTGCAACGGCATTGAAAATTCCATTCAGATCAATCTGGCCCAGCGAATTCAGGATTGGGCTGATCTGTTTGACGAGACTTGCGAGGTCGATTTGGCTGAGCGAACCTAGGATGGGTTCGATCTGATCGATAAGCGCGGATAGGTCAACCTTGCCCAGTGAGTTGAGAATTGGGGTAATCTGTTTTACCAGGCCCGCCAGGTCAATCTGGCTCAACGAATTCAAGATGGGTTCGATCTGGTCAACAAGTGCAGAGAGATCGATCTTGCTGACAGCGTCTAGAATTGGCTGTAGCTGGTTGACCAAGCCAACCAGGTCAATCTTGCCGAGCGCGGCAAGAATAGGCGTGATTTGGCCAATGAGACTTTGCAGGTCTATCGTGCCGAGCGCCGATATCAATGGCACGGCGCCAGAGATAAGAGTTTGAGTTTCATCCACAAAGTCCCTAGATAGGAGATCCTCAGCATTGTTGAGCAGGCCGACGATGCCATTCACCGAATCGGGTGTTAGGAGTGGTTGAATTGCGTCGAAGAGCCCCTGTAGGTCGATCTTGCTGAGACTGTTAAGCAACGGTGCGACCTGGTCGACCAGGCCCTGCAAATCGATACTGCCAAGACTAGACAACAATGGACCGGCACCAGAAATAAGGGATTTGGTTTGATCCACGAAGTCGGACGTCAGTAGATTTTCTGCATTGCCGAGGAGGCCTACAAGACCACTGATAGAGTCAGTCGTTAGTAGTGGCTGTATCGCGTCGAAAAGACCCTGAAGGTCTAATTTGCTCAGACTGTTTAGCAATGGTGCAACCTGATCAAGTAATCCTTTGAGGTCAATACTGCCAAGACTGGATAGCAGAGGACCAGCACCAGATATCAGAGACTTCGTTTCATCGACAAAGTCAGAAGTCAAAAGATTCTCTGCATTTAGCAATAGCCCTTCGAGACCTTTGATGGAATCGCCCGTCAATAGTGGGCTGATAGCATCGAACAAGGTCTTCAGATCAATCTGGCCGACCTCATTCAGAATCGGCGTAACCTGATCTATCAAAGCTTGTAAATTGAGTTTACCAAGACTAGTGAGCAGTGGCCCTGCACCAGTCAGGATTTCCTGAAGTTCAGATACTGTATCTGCCGTGAGCAGCGCTTCAGCGTTCTGCAATAAAGCAACTATCCCGTGAACAGACTCAGGAGTAAGCAATGGCTCCACAGCGTCAAGTATGCCTTGAAGGTCGATTTGCGACAGGCTATTGAGAAGCGGCTGCGCGCTGATAAGAATTGTTTTTAGAGAAGAAACTGTGGCAGCGGTGAGCAAATCCTCCGCATTACCCAATAAACCAACTATGCCGTCAACAGAGTCAGGCGTTAACAGAGGCTCGAGTGCATCTAGAATACCCTGAAGGTCGATCTGCGATAGGCTGTTTATAAGGGGCTGTACACTGGCCAGAATCGTCTTTAAAGATGAGACGGTGTCCGCCGTCAACAAGTCTTCGGCATTGCCCAGTAAACCAACGATGCCATTGACAGAATCGGGTGTCAAAAGCGGTTGAAGCGCATCTAAGATGCCTTGGAGGTCAATTTGTGTAAGGCTGTTTAAAAGAGGCTGTACGCTCGCCAGTATTGTCTTCAATGACGATACAGTATCCGTCGTTAATAGCTCTTCGGCATTGCCTAGTAAACCAACGATGCCATTGACAGAATCGGGTGTCAAAAGCGGTTGAAGCGCATCTAAGATGCCTTGGAGGTCAATTTGTGTAAGGCTGTTTAAAAGAGGCTGTACGCTCGCCAGTATTGTCTTCAATGACGATACAGTATCCGTCGTTAATAGCTCTTCGGCATTACCCAAAAGGCCAACAACGCTGTTGACAGAATCCGGTGTCAGGAGCGGTGACAGAGCATCGAGAACACCCTTCAGGTCAATCTGTGACAAGCCACTGATAAGTGGTTGCACACTTGTCAAGATCGACTGCAGCGCGGAAACAGTATCTTTTGTCAGAAGTGCCTCGGCGTTACTGAGCAAACCAACAAGTCCTTGGACTGAGTCTGGCGTGAGAAGCGGCGACAAGGCATCCAGAATGCCTTGTAGATCAACCTTGGAGAGACTATCAAGGAGAGGTTGGGCACTCGTGAGTAGTGTTTGGAGTGCTGAGACCGTGTCAGCCGTCAACAATGCTTCAGCATTCTGCAACAAGCCGACGAGGCCTTGGATAGAGTCCGCTGTCAAAAGAGGTGACAGAGCGCCCAGGACACCTTTCAGATCAATGCCTGAGAGAGAAGCCAGGAGTGGGGCAGCGCCATCAATCAGTGATTGAGTCTCATTCACAAATGTAGGTGTCAGAAGTGCTGCGCCGTTCGTGAGAAGATTCTCAATATTGCCGAGGTTCTGGGCTGTAAGAAGACTGAGCACTGTCTTGATCAGACCAGCGATATCCACGCCATTGATTTCGTCAATGATGCTCTTCAGATCTAATGATCCTAACAGATCGATCAAAGGTTGTGTTTTTGTAAGAATGTCTCGTGTAATGTCAGGAATCGGTGGCGCAAGTGTTGCAGCCAAGTATATCATAGCATCATGTAGAGCCTGCAAAAACTCGTCACTTAGCAGTCCCTGGAGTGCCTTGAGGTACCCTGCAATGTCGCCAAATTGTGTGATCAGATCTGTAAGGCTCCCGAGAATATCGCCCAGGTCGCCAAGCCCAGTTAAATCTCCGAGGTCGATGCCGCTTGAATCTGAGCCAGAGCCAGTGCTATTTTGTCGAGGATATAGAGGCGCTGTCCGCTTCTGCTTTTGCTGCACCTGCTGGTTGAGCCGCTTGTTCTCTCGGAGCAGACCATTGAGCTCTGTCAAGGCATCTGTTAGATCCGATCGAGGAACTAATACCAAGTTGTGCTTTGCGAGGATGGCATCGAGTTCTAGCTCAGATATTGAAGCTGTTGGGGCAGCGTTTTCGGCAAGCAGACCTACTGGCGCCAAAGCCGTCAATAGGAACTTTGAGAATCTCATGATGGTTGATGATCTTCAAGAAAGCTTCAAAGATCTGGAGTCCTTTAACGTTGATGTGGGAGCACCGCCTGACTCTCGGGGAGGAACCAGGACGATCGAGACACTCACGCGACCGAGGGAGGGGAGAGAATATGAGCATTATCTGCAATCTCCATCGCGATTCCCCTTCTCCTCTTCTCCTCATGACTCTTGCGCTGGTCTATCCAGGCGAGACTCTCTGCATGCCCTTGTCAACTCCGACAAACTCCAACTCAGGTCGCAGACAATCCTATCTTGGTTTGGACTGTCACCCGTAGAGCTGCGGTGGGGCCGACCATGGACAATCACATGCAGTTCAAAGCTGCCCTGGCCCTTGCAGTCTGGTAGCTCCATGTTACCCCAGATTCCTCGGTTCCTCCCAAATAGGAAATGCTTACATGCGGGGCTCCTTACTGAGTGATTTTAGTCCATCTATATTCCTTGTCAAGCTTTTTTTGGTGGGGAACTAAGAACAGGCTGACCTGTAGGAGACATGAATTTCAGCCTTGACCGCCGTATTTCAGTCGTCTCTACGTTGATGTTCTTTATTCAATTTGTATCAATTGATAGATCTTTGACCACTTGCGCGCCTGTTGATGTCGAGCTGACGGTTTGTTCCGTTCTATAGCGACCGTCATGATAACGATCTTTCTTGATATATGTAGCTCGTAGCACAAAGGCTCAACTCCCAATCACCAACTGCCAGAATATTGCTAATCTAGTTCGCGAATTCGTGAATCTGATGGCGTGACTAACTTCTCTAATAGTAACGCGCCAACGAAATCCTTGTCCCAGCCTCTCTTTTTGTGACCATGCCCAAGATGAACAACGTTAACCCCACCTTCACCCAAAAAGACGATCATCCATTAGGCTTTATTAAGCGCGTTGGCCCAATGAGGATACAAAATGACAAGGTCGAATATACTGATGTGGTATAGCTTCATAGGCTGTATGCGCTATGATATCACAGCACTCTCGGTAGAAGCACATCACCATATCCGACTCTGGGTCCGGCCATTTCGCTCGGATGTGATCGAGTAAGATCTGCATGTAAAAGGCGTTTTCAATATTGTAACCCCACATTGCCCACACTCCGCAACTCCTATAACATGCCATTGGTACGTGGCTTGTTGTTAAGTGTTGGGATGAGCATAGGTTAGTATTTCGACCAATGGCGATTCAAGCAAATACAAGCATGACACCAGTCCCTGACACTATTGATTTTGCATCGACTGGGGTAAGATCACAAAAGTTGGAGGATTTCGTGCGGGGAAACAACAGACAAGACTCGAAATGGATTATGGGGTAACTGGTCCACCGAGCTGTCTAGCAGGCATGGACCTTGCCTCGATGTAGGAATGTGATATGATCGGCGCCATGCCTTGGGGGAAGCCGCGGCTCGCAACATTGCGTGTGAAAACTCGCATGTCTGGGTATAGTCTGCCATCGCCGCTGTTGCGTGCGTGCCGTTTCATGTCTTGAAAGCCGTCGAGGTCTGGGAGCCCGCCGACTTCTCGAGTGTCATCACCATTCCCATCATTCTCGGTGTGTCTGAATAGATCGCAAAGATGGCCTCGGCTTTTCGAGAGGACAGATCCCATTTTGAGCCAGATACTCCTCGGACTTCTGTGCATGGCGGCAGAGGAGATACTGGGCCAGCCACAACTGACGCAACAGCAATCACCGGCGGGTCAGATGATGTTTCCTCGATAGACCATGTCCAAGAGAAGACGCCAGCGGTGGTCCCTCTGACCAAGAAACAGAAGTTGAAGCGTCATTGTGGACGGTTTAAGTGGTGGTATCTTGCGGCGGCTATCATTCTGCTGGCAATTCTCTTACCAATACTGTGAGTGCTCAGTATGAAAGAGCAGACCCGATATGTTGTTGACAGAGCAATCAGGTTTTTGGTGATATTGCCAGCTATAGTTCAGCGTATCGTCAACAATCAGTCACTCCCAGTGAATGGCGGCGCCTTTCTGGCCTTGTCGCCAACAGAGATGATGGTGTCATTGGATACATCGTTGGATACACCTCTACCAGCAAGCCTTGATCCCACAACACTGTTTCTATACAATCATGAAACTATTGATTTCTCGCCCTTCCTGAACGTCACTTTGCCAGCAGTGCATATCAACGGTAACACGGATGTTACGGTGGTGAACCAAACAGTTACCATCACCAACCAGACCGAGCTCGAGTGTAAGTGGCCTTAACATACTATATTTTCAGTTTCCCATTTTCAGTCCAGAAAATGCGACCCATTTTCAGTCTCAACTCTGGACTACAGAAAGTCTTCCAAATATCGCCAAGCACAGGGAACGCTAAGATGTATCTTATCACAGACTGGTTCAACAATATTTTCGATGACGCAACGACCGATCTCTCTGTGCGTGGTGACAGTACGGTACGTTTGGGCGCACTACACTCAAACGCGCACATCGACAAGACCCTCGAGGTCTCGTCCCTCAATCAGCTCAACGGCTTCGGAATCCAAGACCTGTCCCTGATCGTGCCCGCGCTGGAGGACGGCACCAACGTCCAGGGGACGCTGAACCTGCCCAACTGGGGGGCGCTGACGCTCGGCCTCGGCAACGTCTCGTTCAACCTGTTCTCGGGCGACGTGAGGATCGGGTTGATCACCATCTACGAGGTCGTGATCCCGCCCGGGAACAACACGCGGGACTTCTCCGGCGAGCTGTTCCTGCACGACCTGATGCAGAACTTTGGGAAGGTCCTGGACGCGCAGACCGAGGCGCTGAACAACGGCCAGGTCCAGATCGACGCCGTGGGCAACGCCACCATCGTGAACGGCCAGCATATCCCCTTCATCGAGCATATCCTCAACAACAAGCGCGTGAAGTCTTATGTGTCTGTCATCAAACTCGCGAGCGACCTCATCAACAGCCTTACCGGTGGCGGCAATGCGACAATAGTGGACGTGCTTGGCGAGGTTGTGGGTAACAACACCCTCATCGAGCAAGCTTTGTCCCACTGGAACTCGACGGGCACTGCAGCAACACCCAAAATGAAGAGACTGGGATCTGTAGGCTTCAATGCGCCAAGAGCTTTGAGCCTGCTGAAATTGGGCATGAAGATGACCGGCAGGTTCTGAGTGCGATGAGCTACCCTACATTATGTGATAGGTGATGATCTCAAAGAAGCACTGCAAAACCCTTGAAGCAATGGAGGAGTTATGAAATAACGTCAATAATGTCTAAAGTAGTCTATGAATACAATGCAACGACATCCAATCAGCGATGCGCGATGCTATATGGGTACATGACATTGACAATAAAAATACAGCAAACCACCCGGGCACCTCAATACGTAATCCAAAGATTACATATAGCCTGGCTTTCCCCATCGCGCAACCAAAGCTGAGGTCTCTACCAAGCGGTGTGACCACCGTCGATGACAATCGAGTTTCCAGTCATGAAACTGCTGGCTGAGCTGGCCAAGTACAATACGGCACCTTTGAACTCCGCCGTCTCGGCCAAGCGACCCATCATGTTTTCTCTTTCCCACTTCTCTTTAAGGCCCGGTACTTCCTCAAAGTTCTTCAAGACCATCGGCGTCAAGATGTGGCCGGGGCAGATACAGTTGACGCGGATACCGCCGGTGCCGTCCTCCTTGATCGGACTCCACTCCATCGCCAGGTTCCGGGACAGCTGGATGACCGCAGCCTTGGAGGAGTTATAGACACAGCTCAGCAGGCCCTTGTTCGCGACGAAGCCGCTCATGCTGCCAACGAAGACGATGCTCCCGCGGCACCTGTACCTGAACATCTGGCGCGCCGCCGCCGTCGCGGTCATCAGGACGCCCGTGTAGTTGACCGACAGCATCCGCGAGACGTCCTTCTCCGAGTAGTTGACGGCCTCGGAGAGTTGCTGGATCGCCGCGGCGGCCACCACGCCGTCGAGCCGCTGGTTCTCCTCCGCGATGCGCGTGATCGTCTGGTCGAGCGATGGAGTATCCGAGACGTCCTGCTGCACGTAGTTGAGCGACCCGCCCCACTCCGGGACGACGCGCTCAAGCGCCCTCTGCCATTCGTCGCTCGTCGGCCTCTCGACACGATCCAGACAGTATACTATAGACCTGCATCAGCCGCTGCACTACTGTTGCTTTGCATATGAATCAACAGCATAATAAATAAGTATGTATACGTACCTTTGCCACCGGCTTCAACGAGGGCCTCGGCTAGCGTGAGCCCGAGACCCTGTGCGCCTCCGGTCACGAGGAAGACCTTGCCGGCCAGGTCGAAATCCGCAAACTGCTTCCGCCCGAAGTTCTCGTGTCTCAAGATCGGCGGGGCGGGCGCGTGTGCGACCGTCGCCCTCTCGCTGGCGTCCGGGTTGTCCGATTTGGATTTGGACCGAGGCGTCTGCGATGTGTGCATCGGCCGGCACGTTACAGGCCTGGCTGCAATGGAGCCTGTAGCGCAGGCCAACCGCACCACAGGTGCTCTGGCGGTGCTGCGGAGACTGCAGCCCGCTGCGGCTCGGAGGATTTTAGGGGGTGCCGGAGACATGGTTGCGGTGGTAGTGGAACTTTAATGGCGCTATTGATAGATATAGGGCTGCAGGAAACGTTCTGTTTGCTTGGTAAGGAATTGGAGTTACTGCATGAGGATCTCTACAAAAAAAACAAAAAAACAAAAAAAGTTCGGGAGGGTTGTATTGCATTTGCATGATCACAAGTAGTTTTTAACGAGCTATTTCTCAGTTTAAATATCATTCTTTTCGCATGGCCCTTGTACTCAACAACTTGATCGTAACAACTGACGCTCCTCCTGGGGCTTGTTGTCGTGTGTCTTGCGTCATGAGCAGCGTTCTTCAGAGCAGCCTTACTCGCTAAACAAGTCAGCCAGAGCGTGCCCAGATGTCTGGTACAGGGGCCCAGAGGACCGTTACTATGCTACTTGGCGCGCCGTCTCATCCGGTTCCGCTGTCAGAGCCTTCAAGGTTAGCCCTACCGGACGACAACACCGATCAGCACCATGTGTGCTGTTTGCATAGCACAGTCGTGCTCGTCACAGATCATAACCTCCGGGACTAGATATACATTACTATATGTCGCACAAATGTCGAAATGGTCCTATAATGGATGATTGGAGATGACGTGAGCCCTGACCCCCCATCCACGACATTAAATCAATTTGCTTTGATTGGGTAGCACGCCAAAAACCTACGAGAACACTCCGAAATCCTTTTCTGCAAATGCCCGTCGATGTTCTTACAAGCGTTGAACACCATATCACCCACGAAACAGGAATAAGTCTATGATACAGTGTATCTGAGATTCGCATGGGCTCATATGGGCACTCGAATTACATCCCATGAGTCCGAAGATCTCATCTGTTATAGGTTGAGCAGCTTAATATAAGCCGGAAATACAGTCTTGGGTACTACCCAGGCTGTTGCAGAGGCGAGTTCTCGTAGTTTGAAACTCAACTGAGTCTCTAAGCACCATGCATTCATTGAACTAAGTTACATAGTTAGTCCTTTGTTTGGGGCCTGCAGGTTGTGACCAGGGCGTCCCGCTGATCATCGCACTACCGGGGATATCAATGTCCACTGTCCCTTGTTGTAACAATGGTTGTTGACACTATACTCCGTATAGCTCATCAATCCACATGTACTAGACATTGCGAGTTGAGCCGTTCCATGAGAACTCGCAAGTTACGTATTGAGCTATATAGGTCAGTGTCGCGCTCAGCTGTATCACATCCATTACAAAGAAATTAAAAAGTTTAATCAGCGAAACTGAGAGTTTAGGTCGAACAATAACAAGATATAGTGGTATCAAAAAAGCGAGTCGAAACTCATGCTTTCGGGGAGGTCGCTCAATACAAATACAGATGCCAATATCGTCTAACACCAGTAATCGCACAACGCCTGCTACAATACCAGAGAATGCTACCTATCTCGTCACCACCAGAAGGCCTGACCCGGCAGTTTCTCTTACTTCTGTGCACCATTTCCAGCGCCTTCTGAGCCCTCGGGGCTAGGAAGCTTCTCCTTATAAGCCGCCAGCTTGTCGTGCTCGCTGACCTCCTTGCCCTTCCTACCGCGATACTGTTGGTCTTCTCCGACTTCCTCGGCCGAGGCTTCACTGGGTGCACCGCCAATGTCGCTCTTGACTCCGCTCAACGAATCCAAGTCGTCTTCATCTCCGGCTTTTCCATGACCCGCGACCTGCTCATTGATGCTGCTTGCTTGGCTAACACTTGCAGAGTCCGGGCTTTGGACACGCAGGCCCAGTTTCTTCTCCAGCCCGGGGTCTACTTCATTGCCTCCTTTCCAGTTGGCCGGCTCCATCTGCGGCACCGGTTCCCCAACATCTGGCTCAACAATGATGGGCTCGGCCTGTGTCTCCTGCAAGGGTGCGAACCGCCAGACCACGGCTATGCGCTCCATGGCCTTCGTCCCCCTCTGCGATGAGCCCTTGATTCCGTCCATCTTGTCCCACTCGATCTCGAATATGCCTTCCTCTTCAGGTTTGCCGTCCTGTTCTGGGCCGTTGCCCTCGAAGAAAGCGTTAAACCAGACGTGGGCGACCGCTGTCACCATGGTTAGTCCCATGGAAGATGGCGCGCGATTGCGGCGTTCTGCAGTTATGTTGACGTCACTTGTTGGGACGCGGACGGGCTCAAGAGGCTTGAATATGACGGCCTTGCCGCCGGGTTCAGTATCCACGCTGGCTTTGTTGAGGGAGGAAGTCGATGAACTGGCAGATGCGGATGACCTGATCTTATCTTTGGCCTTCTCCTTCTTCGACTTGGAGCGGCTAATACCCGAGGTCGAAGGCGTTCTTTCGATCAGTTTCGTGTATCGTTTACTCAGCTTAGACGTGCTCGAACTAGGCGTGACGGGGCTGTTAGATTCAGATTGGGTGGTCGCGCTCGCGGGCTCGTTCTGGGTGTTCGGTTCCCTGGCATCGTTGATGACCTCGCGCTCCTTTTCGGGGGACAAGCCAGGTGCATCACCGGATGGATTGGTGCCGTAACCGGCCATATCATAGAAGGTATCCATGATGCCTGTACTACCTGGCGGATCCCCCTCGACGACATGACGCTCCTTCTTATTGAACGTATGGAAGACTTTAATCTTCTTTCCCTCATCGACGAAGCCCTCGACGGCGAACTTGACGCCGTTCCGCAGTCCCCACACATGGACCTCCAAGATCTCCACCTCGCGATCGACGTATTTCTTGCCGCCCTTCGTCCACCGATCCACGTAGCCTACCCAGCGCAGTTGACTCGGTATGCTGACACCTGGTCCGAACTTGGGCCTCATCCGTCTCTCTGTGAACCGGGCCAGGGCCTGCTCGGGCTTCCACCCGCACTCGGAAATCAGAAAACTGCACGCAGTCGACCCACTCCTTCCCTTGCCGGCCTTGCAATGGACCACGATGACTCTAGGGTTGTTCTTGTTCATGTCCTTCCAATGCCCTATCACCTTGCCAACCAAGTTGCTGTCCTTGTCTTTATGCGCGTTCCGAGCAGCGGTGTCGTCATGCAAGTCGTTACCCTCCAGCCAGTTCCGCATGCTGGCCATGATCAGGGGTATCAGTCGAAAGGGCGGGGGGTGGTGGTCCGGCCACGGGTAATGCCTGATCCTGTTGTACACGGCATCGTCGGGGTAGCCAGTGCCTTCGGCGCGGAACTCCCATATTGCCCAGTTGTCCTTGTGCTTCTCGTCTAGGAATGCGACCAGACGGTCGAGGGGGTTTCGGTAGGCGCGCTGAGGATAAGTATCCGAGGGACCAGAACTGTGGCGCGCACCATGTTAGCACTACCGATGTAGACCCAAAAAGTAGATGTTCGTCATGGTCATACGTAGCGATAATATTGTCCGTCACATAGCAGAGGTCAAGTCCGGCCTCGGGGTGCCTCGCACGGGGGCCGGCCACAATCTGTCGTAGTATGGAAGCCATAGCAATGCTGGAGAGGATTTTCCGGGTATCAAGTCTAAAGAAGGGAAATCCACAGTCCAAGAAACCGTCACGTTGTCGTGACTTTAGGTGTATGTTTAGCTGTTGGCCAGGACAGGTTCATGCTGGAATCAACGATGGACACTAACTTATCGTACGTCATCCCCGCGGTCGGTGGGGTTGCTGGCAGTGAACCAGGTCTCGGGTCTCAGCTCTCAGGTCCTCCACAAAAGCCACTCATTTACTGCCCAGCTGGTTGTTTCTTTCTGGGGGGAGGGTAACGTCACCTCAATGATCGGCAAGCCGGCATAATATATGCACCAACCGGTTGAGATCTGCTCAGCGTTCACAACTTGATGTAAACAGACGGCTCCAAATGGCAGGTCAAGATAAAGACAAACATCGTGGAACCCAGGCCGCCTGTCCATGCACTCGGTACTTTATTTAGCCTTGGACGTCAGCGTACCTCCGCCAGGGCATGTGTAAAGTTGAGCTCAAGGCCACACGCCCATACGACAACAATAGGGTATAGCCATCTATCGCGGGTCAGGCAAGACTTGATTATGTCACACAGTCGGCTATAAGATATAATCAATTTAACTCGTGTTTTTGGCGAGGAGGACATATCCATAAACCGTAGAACCATGAAAGTCGTGACCCTCCTGCAACTCAACAACCTATAATGCTCGTTTACCAACTCATAGAAAAAGCCAGCCCGGGAACATTAGAATGAATCTAATGAGCCTCTGCCATTGGCGCCTTCAATACCTATTTCCCCCCATCTACTTCCCCTGTTTTCCATCATCATTCATGTGCAGAAGGCTCATGGCACGGATATCGCGTGCTTCTCAACGTCTCGCTTTCCCCACCAGTACGCCGCAGCGCATCAATTGTCTTGCTAGTTCAACTCCTCATTTGTGGAAATCGTCATCGAGTCTGTCCCAGCTGGCTTAAGAAGTCTTCTTGGGCACAGTGGCACCGTTAGTGTATCTGCTGAGATCGGTGATATCGTGGAACTGGCGAGCACCACCCTTGAGACCGTCCCACACTTGGCGGGCGACGGGGGGAGTGTTCTGCTGGCCGACTGCCGAGTCGACTCTGGCGCCGAACTGGGTGACGGTGCCCTGGACGTGAGAGCTCTGCGCAAAGCGAGCACGGAGGAAGGCCGTGTAGAGGGCCAGCAGGATCCAGGATCGGCGCTGGAAGAGAACGGCAGCCAGGAGCAGGCGAACCCAGAGGAGGATCTCGAGGCCGGAGACGACGGACATGGACATGTCGTAGTAGGTCTTGACGAAGTTGCCAATAGCCTCACCAATGGGGCTGCTGGACTTGGTACCGGGGGCAGAACCAGCCGGGCCAGCCTGAGCAGGGGCAACGGTAGGAATCACGTTGGCGCGGGTATAAGTTGCGACGTGGAACACCGAGTAGATACCGTACGGGAGCAGTGCCAGGGGGTACTGGGGAGTGAACAGCCAGACCAAGGCCATGGCTTTGAACAGTTAGCCTGCGTTGGGCGGCCAGCTTCGGCGGCAGAACGGGAGTACTCACCAAAGTATTGCACATTTTCGTCAGACAAGAGGCCGAGGGCACTTGTAGGGTACTTGGCTCCGACCTTTTGCTTCGCTCTGAATGTCTTGTAGATGACGATTCCATACGTCACTGCCGCAGCAATGAAGGACAGGCGGTAGCAGGTCTGGGCGGTCTTGGAGTAGTAGTTGAATCGGATCCACGACAGCGAGTATCGCAGAATACAGAGAAGGAGGACTAGATGTCTGCATGATCTGTTAGCTGGGCGAACCCGTGCAAGTATTTCATCTCGCGTGCTGTTGGGGCGCCGGGCCCCGCTGTACTCGAGCGTGTGGCCCGAGTCCATGTTGGCACGAGTACTGTTGAGTGCACATACCCGGAGAACCAGCCGACTGTGAGGCATGAGGTTAGCGTCTGCGTTGAGAATATAGTTGTGTACACATGTTTCCGTGGAAGGGGGCACACATACACTGGAGAGTCTTTGCCAGAGCAAGAATCCTCTCTTGCAGAGGCAGGTTAGAAGGCGGTGGGGGAGCCATTTCGCGGATAGGGATTCAGAAGCTCTCGAAAATGCTGTCAAGGATGTTTTGGTTCTGCTGTGTTGGTGCAACTCCTGGTTGTGGAAGAGTCGAGAGCGCTGCAGGTGCTTGGATGGTCCGGTTTGGTCTGAATATACAGAGTCGAAATGTTTGTAGTTTCTGTAGGAAGGTGGTGGAAAGCCGAGTGAGGTGGCTGGATTGGCAGTATGTGGGAAAATGACGACGGTGGGCCAGTGCTCAATCACCACAAGTCAAGTTCCAGTCAAGTTCAGACCCCAATGTTAGCCTCTGCGGTTAGCCTGCAAGCCTGCAAGCCTGTGTGTAATCCGTGCTACGTACAGTAACCTAGTTAGCTCCAAAACCCCAACTCCGTAGCTATCAGCTATGTACATAAACTCGCTAAGCTTCCCGCCGTGGTCGGTGCGTCACTCACTATCTGGGTTCAAGGTTCACAGATTGCTACTTAGTAGGTTAAAAAGAGGTTCGTTCAGCTGCTTGCTGGGACCTCCGTGGGGCGATCGATGAGCGGCGATCCAAGCGAACTGGAGTGCTGTGCAAGGTGAGTAATTCACAAAGACTCTCGATTATTGACGAGGCAATTGTTATTCGTACCAAGTTCATGCGCGCGTGTTTTTGTTATTTATTGATTTACCTGTTTAATTGTTTATTCATTTCGAGCGTTTGCTGTTCATAGTCAAACACATCGAACTTCTTGGTTCCTTGATTTGCCCCTCCAGCCTCAACCTAGACTACGGGAAACCATGTCATCCCATCGATGAAGCCACGAAACGCCCAATCCTTTCGTCATAGCATCCGCCGTGTACCCCACCAAGATCTAGGCTATCGATGCGACAATCTTGACGTCTACCATCACAAGCTTCGAACTGACAGCTGAACCCTCTTGAGAGGCATTGACTTTTGAAGTATTCGTGACAGCGATTTCATTCGTTCCTTTACCTGACAGTACACTGGGGATAATTGCATGGATGTCAGGCCGAAATGTTATCGAGCGTGACGGGATCACCGCCTCTTGGGAGGCCTGCCATCGTTCTCAGGAAGCTAGAACTCCGTCAACGGATGCCTCCGCACATGCTGACCGACACAAGTAGGCAAGCGTCAAGTTAGTGACTTCGAAAATGGTATAACCGTGCCCTAAGAACGGCCACCGGGTCGGGATTTGGAATCAACCTAAGCACCTGGAGTATACGTGTTCAAAAGAGAAACTGTCTACCAGACATAGACAATACAGACGCCAGTTTAACAGACAATCAGGCCTGAAGCATTTATATTAGACATTGGCTATAGTAACACAAAAACCTTTGTATCACACAAGATCAGTGCCGTGGTTTTTTTCCCATGGTGTTTTCCGCGTTCGAAGGCCCCCTTGGAACTTATGAGCCGGTACAGTTGCTTTGGATGATCGTTTTAATTAAAGTCTCGTTTGTGCCAAGCTTGACTGCCTCTGCAATCCATGCCTTCCAGGTTCGTTAGTATCGACAACCTCACTTCTGCAAAAAGAAAAAAGGAAATTTGTAGAAAGGAGGAAGAAGAGAGATAAAAATTCTTACTTTCAAATCCACCTCGGTGGGTGTTTGAACTCGGCTCAGAATGAACAGCTCACCCCAGGATGGACTCTGGACGATGGCCCAGTTCGGGTCATACTCTGCGTTCACAAATCAATTGCTCTGCCCGTCTAAGTGGAACCCGTCATCTATCTTAATAACTCACTCTGCACAATGTAATTCGGTCCGGGGCAGGTGACTCCACCACCCGGGATGATCGGGAAGCTGACTTGAAAGACGCCCTTGCTGCCGTACTTGCTGTCAACGATGGCGGCCGACCCCTGGATCTCGTTGGGGATGAACCCGAAGATCTTGCAAGCATTGTCTACGCTCACCGTGCCGTCGTCGTTCAATGCGTAGTCGGCGGTGGTGCACTGGCAGCCCGCTGTAAAGATGGCCGGCGTCCCCGCGACCTGATACCAGCGTCCGAGGTACTCGGAGAGGTCGTCCGGGAAGTGAGGGTCTGGCACAGGATAAAAGCAGGAGCCGTCGTAAATTGCGGGATTAATACCGCTGTCGGTGCTGTTTGTTTGGCGGCATGGCGTTTTCGTGGGGGAGCCTGCCGCCAAAGCAGCCATGATGGGCAAGAAGAGCAAATGTTGAGTGCGCATGTTGACTGCAGTCAGAATATCGATTTGGCTATACTAGTGCTTAGGTTTTCACAGTAGACGATTTGAGCAGTCATAATGGCCGATACTACGCATCTTATACAAAGCATCTTCGAACTGGGAAATGCTCTTCGTTCCACTCTGTAATCGTGATTGAATCTTGATGAAAGCATATCTTTGGCGATCTTGGTATGATCCGGTGCCTCGGACTCATCGGCGCTGTTGTTATTGTTCCGTCGTGCGAGAGCAAAGCGGGCAGGTACGTCTGCCAAGCTGGCCGACCTTCGTTCTCATTACGGATGCCAATTCGCGACCCAAGCCGGGAGCCTGCCGAATCGAGCCAGCCCCGCCCCGCCCCCGGACGGCTCGTTCGAAGGGGAGCGTCATGATTCATGACGAAAGTGCTTGAAATTGTAGCCGAGGCTGGTTGGCTTGAAAGAACCTTTTAAGCTTTTCTGTCAAAATTGGGCTGAACACAGTCTTGCTAACGCTGCACCACAAGAGTGAGTAAACAAGTCTCAAAGTACGAGGGGGTTCGGTATTTGCGACACTAAGCGTAGTACAATAGATACACCTCATACGATTGGTCAATGAGATTACCAGTTCCTAGCCTAAGCCACTTCCATAACATCGCTGTCGGGACCGTTTCCAGCAGTCAGTGCTATAATGTCTCAAGCTCAATTAAGCTGGCAGCAATCTGTCAATCAACGACGCATTGATGTGAGACTAATCGGGATTGCGAATTTGCGTGACTGTGAGACTTCATAGTTCTTGGTCCGAAATGTGCATAGCTTACAAACGTAGCAGAGTACGAATCGCCGAGTTGTCCTCAAAGACCAGACAAAGCAATATCAAACATGCGAAATCGTATTAAACACTTCGTTTCGAAGAATCGTCAGCCAAGTCTGAGAATGCTCGCTATGCAAATCTCCTCAGCGATAATGCAAAAGCAGCCATGTGCTGCATTGAATTCTAGGAAATCATACAGCTCTAAGTTTTACGATTCATCGAAACATGAAACTTAACATGCACATCTCTGTAGTAGAATTTCCTCTTTCTTAGCAATGTTAAGAAACGTTTTAGTAAACAGCACCTGCTTGGGTAGAAAATCCACCGAGTCTCAAAATCGACTAACGGGTGGTATATACGAGCATATTTAATGAAGCAACACCGCCTTTGGTAAAGCCTCGTTACCACAGCTCAACCGTAGATTCATCCCACGTCGACTGGAAAACTATAAGTTGACTCGAGCCTAGAGGTCGTGGAGACGTGGCGGGGAAGCGGCCCATCACGTCGGAAATAATGCAACCATGCTCCTGCAGTCCGTGACTCCGTGTGATTTCCATAGTTTGTTTTATTGTTTTTGACATCATTATCCCTAAGCTAACGTTGTTGATTAATGCTCCTGAAAGCTCCCTGAAACATGCAGGTATGTGTTGCGTTTGAAAACTGTGACTTGGAGATCAGAAAATATCGACTGAGATTGAATAGCACTTTTCGGAAGATCGGATGAATAAGCAAAACGAAACGCGTCGTGCTTATCTAAACAACTGATGGCTGAACCGTCCTTTTCTGTCGCGAGATGTTCGTGAGAGACAAGTTCTCAGACATACAGTCAGAGGGTGGATACCTTACATAAATGGACACTGGTGCGTTAGAGAGCACGCATATTGAACGGGGCTTTTTACACAACCAAACGATGTTCCAATAACCAGAAGAGGTGTAGAATACCAGGTCGGTTTGTTGTATGATTTACTTTTGAGAGCTTATTCTTATCCGTATGAGGAAACCACGTATTGACGAGGTTCTAAATTGTTGCTTTTCTCTACATTTGTATGCTTTTGTTTTACTTTCTACTAAAGTGGCGTGCGAACGCCTATAGTAAGTCAGAATCAGTCTTCAGCTGCAGGTGATTATTGCACCAACAATGCATACACCTGCGGGCTGTATGAATACGATGGTGGCGCACATGCGGATTGCTGAGGGACTGGATTGATAGCCCCTGCAGACATCCAATCAAGGGCTGCTTGTATTTGTTTGTTGGTTCCAAAGTCCAAGGTGGCCAGCCCGCAGTTCCAAGCCGTTGTTGCAATTGACAGGACTGAACGTGGGGGATGCGTCCCTGCGAACTTCTGATATATCCAATGTGTTACTGATATCCTTAGATCAGACCAGACCGTGGATAACTTGAACCTGCTTTGGCTGGTTTGCGTGCACATTGCATGGCATACGCATCACACTAACCCGAGCCATTAACCTCTGCCTTATAATTGAAACAATTCCAAAGTTGTGTTACTAGGTTAACTTAGTGATCTCTCAACCTCCAAGACTCCATGATTATTTGCTCAAGGCGGAATCGAGACCGAAGATCACCATCCGACAGTATAGGCGACCTGTTTGCGTCTATTCGTCAGACACCGCGACATATCCAATTAAGCGTCGTGGCCTTATCAATTACTTTGGTCCTTCTGTACCATTCCCAAATTTATTTCAGCTCCGACTTACAAAGATCAGAGGTTATTGCATCAATCGCAAAAGCGCAACATCTTTATGGAAAGGACTATCATGGCCAATCGAATTCTGATATCAATCGGGTGACGAATGACACGCTGGGGTTCTCTAAAATCCTCGTTGTCGGACTACCAGAGCGGAGTGACAAACGTGATGCAATTGCGCTGACAAGTGCTGCAACTGGCTTTCATGTTGAGTTCGTCGATGGTGTCAAGGGTGAGACCATACCTGACAAGGCTGTGCCTGCCGTAATTGATCGGCAAGCGTTGGGGGAGAGTAATCTGGGGAGCTGGCGAGGGCATATGAACGCCGTCAGGAGGTTTGTCTGGAGCGCTCTGGATATAAGCAGAATGAACACTGACCAGATTGACAGAATTGTCGAAGATGACCTGGAGTCGGCGCTGATTATGGAAGATGATATGGACTGGCAAGTCTTCCTTGGGTCACAAGAGCTACTATGTGATATTTGGTAAAACTAATCTTATCCTAGGGACGTGCGTTTGAGATCTCAACTTGAAGCAGTCGCGAGAGGAGCCCGCATAGTGATGCCATCAAGCTCGAACCCGTCTTCTCCCTATGGAGATTCCTGGGACGTGCTATGGCTTGGGCAGTAAGTCAAATATCCAGACAACACCTGACTTCCGCTATATGTCGCTTTACCATCCGAGACTGCCTTGGTGAAGTTGTTACCGCATCGGCCAAAGAACTCTTGGTTAAAGAAAGTAGGCTAAATTAGCATTTACAGTTGCGGTGAGATCTTCCCCGAACAAATAGCAGAGTGGCAACAAGGTAAGCCAGAACACCCGAAATACGTTATTGAAAACGACGAGACAGTAGCGCCTCTGAGCAAGGTTACTGGACTTGTTGATTTTAAGAAGTATCCAGAATTCACACGGTGGGTACACGTATCTGGGGGTCCAATATGTACGTTTGCCTACGCTCTCACCCAGAGCGGTGCTCGCAAAGTGCTTTTCGATTTGTCCGTGGATCACCTTACGGGGCCCTTCGACAATGCCCTGGCCAGTTTCTGTCGTGATGGAGCACTTGGAAATCCAGATGGGCTGAGCGCGAAGTGTATGAGTGTTACACCACCAGTGTTCTTTCATCACAAGGCAAAGGGTCCAATCATGGGCGACAGTGATATACAGAGCGTTCAAAATGGAGAAACTCGCAAGAAAGGTACCACGGAGAACATTGTGTGGAGCGCCCGTAACAATATCCAAAATTTGCTGATGGGTACAAAAATGGAGAGCCAATTTGAGCAATAGAGAGGTAGGAATCAGCGCGAAATTTCATGATCAAGCACTCATCCATGTGAGCAGTGATAGGATTTCCATCACGTTAGAGAATGCACATATCTTCTAGGACGGTGCCTGAATATGTTCTTGATGTACTTAAGTAGCATCTGCACTGCCACCCTCCTAGTCGCAACGGGCCGCACAAGCCACGATCATTTGTGAAACATTCAAACTTTTGACCCATGATTACTGGGTGCAACGATGAAGGATGCGCTACGCCGGGTCGGTGACCTGCATTTGGCAATGAAGTACTGTAAGCATTCAGGCAGTGCGCTGTGCCTACAATAACCTCACAAGAGCATAGCCAAGTTTGATTCAACAGCGACCATTAAAAAAGAAGGCATCCCTAAATTTTTAACTTTTTCTTTTCATAACCAAACACATTTCTTCACTACTTATACCCATCATTCTTGTTTTGATCTCAGTTGAGGCAACGCAACGTCAAGACACTCACTATGCCGTCCAGGTCCACCCCAGCCCACGCTAGCCCTATAACCGCGCTGCGACGGCTTGCAATTATACAATTCCCGTTTGCGTTTATCCTACTCCTGGCACATGGACTGGCTTCAAACAAGGCGCTACCGGCCATAGGCTTGCTGCCGTTGAGTTTATCGGCTCTTCTGTCGGCACTTATTCTCTATCGTGACAACGTGTCTGCTCTTGGCTCCTCGGTGCAAGCGCTTACGGCATCGAATTTATTGTACCTGGATATCCTGTTGGCCTTTTTTCAACTCAGTCTCTTGATACCTACATGGATACAGCTTTCGAATAGCTGGTATCACGCGTCTTTAGTCATCTTGGGCACCTACGGGTCAGTTTTTATGATGGTCAATTGGTTAGTATTGCTTAATATCCTTGCCAGAAATAGGCTGACAGCCACGGGGAATAAGTGGCATACACTTTTATTTTGCGCTCAAAGAGTTGTGGCATATGAGTACGTCGCACTTATGTCATTGCCCACACTGCCAGAGCCTCCGTGCCTCGAGGAGCAGCAGTCTTCTGCCGTTGAGCAACGAATATACGCCCCTTCAAAACGAGGACAGTAATGGCACTGAGTATCATGATGTCGAAGCGGGTGTCGATGCCAATGTCGAAGCCAGAATTTGATGTCAGTACGGTAGATGATGTTCTACTCAGGGTGACCCGCATTGAACATTCAAGGCTACTGCGGTTAGTTTATTTGGCAGGAATTGTATAGACGAAATCTCAAGCATTACCTTCGCAAGAATGAATAATGGTAAATGCAATAACTACAGTTGTGATCAACTTTTACGACGACCACGGCCCACCTACAGCATATCATGATATGAAACAGGTCGCAATACCGTGCGACGAAGAATCGTTGTGGTAGCGATTGGGAATCATGAGGATTTCAATACACACATACTCGTTAGAAAACTTTTGGTATTGAGGTTACATCTTTTGGCTCTCAGCACCTAAGCTAGTTGTAACTGAGTCCACGGAACTAACGCTCGGTCACTTGTTCTAAGCAATAAACTACGATGTGTATCCATCAGCAATGTCCACGGCAGAGGCCTCTGCATACTTGCTCGAAGCCACCGAGACAGTCGGTAGAGAGCCGATAACATTGACACTTCCTCCGGTAGTGGTCAAACCCTCAGCCGATACGTTCACTCCAATAGTGATCTAGTAGATGTTAGCGCTAGCCATGATGATTTTGCTCTGGATAAATGACTTACATATCCCACCAGGCCGTCAGCTAGTGAATCACCAATCTGATCGACACTGACAACTGCGCTGTAACCTTCGGATGTTGCCGTTGCGAAAAGTTTGTCTTCGTCATTGGTCGTTCGGTTAAGAGTGGCCAAGTGATCAGCGTAGGGAGCAAGTTCGTAGACCGAGTTGATCAAAGATTCGTTAAAGAAAAGCTGTCCAATATGTTGCACTGCACTAGAAGAGTAGCTGGTACCATTGGTGATATTGGTTTGGACCGTGACGTGAACGTGAGTCGTACGGGAAGTGTAGTATCCAGGGAACAGGGTCAAAAATTCTGCCATTCCCTCCTCGTCCGTGATCTGGATGCCACGAAGGAAAGTCTCATCATCAGTGGTACCGTCACTTCGAGTGCTCCAGCCATCTGCGATCGAAGCGGTGTCAGGGTCGATACCGGTGAAGCCGGAGTACGTTCCAGTGGAGTTGCAGTTCCAGATAGTCAGCGCTGCATTGGGCAACGGCTCGCAAGTCTCAATATCGATGACACCAATGTCGAGATAGAAGTCGAGACCTGATTGACCAGAAGAGATTTCTCGAAGATCATGGCGAATGATCTCACCATCGATACCGTAGGGCCCCCAAACTGTGTCCGGAGCTAGGACGCATGTATCATTCTGAATCGTGGTGTACTTGAGCTCATTGCGCTTGCTGAGATCCGACTGCTTCAAGCTTCCGCTTTCAACACGGCGCTCAATCAGCCTCTGTGATCTTTTGGCAATGACATCTGCCTTGCGTGCTTCGATGGCAGCCGCGCATTTGCCCGTCGAACGTCCAATCATGCTGGCTTCGCGCTTTGCCTTCTCCGGGGTCAAAACCTCAGGATGTGCAAGCGCTGGGAGGACTCCAGCCAAGAAAATTGCCAAAGCAGCAGCCTTCATGATTGTATAATGGTTGTTTTTTGACGCTTAAAGACTTGGGTATTAAATGAGTGGGTAAGATGGTAGGTTACAGTTCTATCAACTTATTCTACAAACCTTTCTCTTTTATAGGATACTGGTTCTGGGTTAGAAACCCCCATTGCGTGGATCCTAAGCCTCATCTTGACTGTGATAGATTGACGATTGCGCGGCCACTGGGGCGTCGCCGTAATGCATTTGTCGAAGGCGGTCTGTGGAGTATCTCCTTTTGCGATGCAACTGACAGCGCAGATCACTGGACCCTTCACTGCATGTATCTCATAGACTATAGCACATGGCAGCCATGTGGCATGCGAGGTCAAAATCGACAATGCATACTTAACCTCAGATCGTTCCTGCAGGCACTTGGCAATCGCGACTTTATACATACAAAGGATTTCTTCCTCGTATTGTCTTTGCTCGGTAAAGGGCCTAGGCCAAAAAACGCTGCCGTATTTCGGTGATGGGTAGTGCACTCAAACATGGCGTCGTGGTATTCGACCGTGGAGTCCTTCCGGTCAAATTAAGCATGTCTGGGTTATGGAGCCCTGAAACGAGATGCTGAGTCTTTTCGGATAGCGCTTTTGCAATTGGCCGGGAGTCGTATTGTGGGTACACGGTATTCAGTAAATTTAGCGTTGATGTGGAGTAAAGCCACGCATACATGAGCCGAGGTGTGGTGGACAAAGGTTTCAGCTCAATGGTCTTGTCATGAATGCCAATGACACAAACGAGATGGACATTCGCTTTTCGAACAAACAAGATCATATGCTATACTCTTCAACAAGTTCGACTCGACTTCAACAAAGAATGGTGTTAAATAAAGTCGTCACTCACAATGATTCTGTGGTTATCACATCAAATAATACCCTTAAGTATGAGTAAGACTATATTGTATCATGATTCGAATACCGAGTTGCTCTCGTCCGCTGAGTTTGTTGTACCCATTAATGTTAATCAAACCACCCAACAGTCAACAGCGACGTGAGTTGTACTTATGATCAATAAGACTTGAATATAGTAAAAGGTGAGGCCAAAGATGCTGTTCATATTACAAAGTAGCTTATATGGCTAGAACATCCAAGAACGAATTATGTAATCCGGATAGTCACCGAGCTTGGGGAACTATTTCGGGGCACCAAGTCCTAGCGCTACCCAACTGCCGCGTGTACATATGCGCGTGAGGTCCATTGCAGTCAAGACTTCAAACGGATGAGTAGAGCTCCGCCTCAACAATCTTCAGTTGTCCATTTGTGCTTGCAATCGTGACCGAGTTCCCTTTGGTCGAATCAAACTCCAGCGTTACGTATCCTAGCGAGGTGGATGTGGTGTTATCCCACACGGTCGTGTTATCAACAGAGACAGCTACGTCATAGGTCGATGTGCGAAACCCATTCAATTTGAGGACAACGGCAGAAATGTCAGCTTCTTCCTCAAGCTGGAACCGGATCCAAGCAACCTCTGTCTGCTTGTCACTATACCACGCCGTCGCTTCGTCGTCGTCAAAGGCATTTTCAGCAGTGTCCAAGCCTGAGCCTGCTGTCACAGACTTTATATCCAGCGCACGTCGTTCTTCAGTATAAGAGGCAGTAGACGGTGTTGGACCTCGGCTCAGGTCGCTGGTCAAACCGTCCGCGGGCATTTCGCGACTGAGGCCGAATGTGCTGCTGAATGGAACAGTGCTCAGCTTGATCGACGAAGACTCAAGTCCTTCGGAGGAGGCAGACAGAGACACCTCTCCTGCAGTCGTCGTAGAACGCAAAAGCACTCTGTTCACGCCGTTCGCGACCGGCAGAACGGTTGACATAATGTAATTGTCCTCGCCGATAGCAATACCTCCCCGCCAAACTGCTTCACCCAAGAGCTCGAATTTGATCAAGTTCAAAGCGGTGGGGCATCGTGCCCCATTGGCATCTACCACTTCGACATCGATAAGAGCAACGTCCGCCCCCGATGCACGAAGTCCGCTGGGTGAAGTATGAGGCGTGAGACGAATGGCCGCAGGTTCACCTGACGTGACCCGCTTGTCGGTGACTAAAGCTTCGTCAGAGTCTATGGAATAACCGAGTGCCTCGAGCTCCCCCGACTCCCACTGAACTCCCGAGAAAGTGAAGAGGAAGCGGTGACTCTGCTCGCCTCTACCAAGGGATTTTCCGTTCAACTGAAGTTCAACTTCGTCCGCAGTAGAAACGACATAGACATCTTTGACAGTGGAGTCATTGTAGTTCCAATGGCCAACGATGTGGATTGCTGCTCGTTCGATATCGACCCAGTTATCCCAGATGACCTTGTGCGCATACCAGTTCTCCTTTGGGAGGCGCATCGCATCTACCTCACCAGAAGTTCGATAATTTTGCGAGCCACGATGGTGTGTGTTGCTGTCAGAGAATATAATGTTCACACCACCGGCGTTGACCCGCTTTCCCTGTCCGGGCCGTTGTTCGTAGTAATCAAACCATCGAGCGACGTTCTCGACAGCGTGTGTGTCTTGGTTATGGTCATACCCATTCCCCTCCTCGACGAACTCGTTATCCGGATGGTAAGGTGTACTGAAATTGTCCCAATGTTTACGAACGCCCTCATCACGAGAATATTCCATTTGCCAAAGGGGGATCCTCGCTCCCTTATTGACATAAAGCATTTCGCCACCATACTCTGCGACCGAGGAGTTCAACATATCGCGTGAGCCAATCGCACGTCCACCTGATGGATCATACCGATCCCGGATGTCCTTCATCTCTTGCATATGGTCCTCACTGATTCCGTGATTGCCGCTTTCGATAAAAATAACACTAGGATTGTTCCGGTTGTAAATAATCGCATCGCGCATCAACGCTAACCGCTGGTTCCAGCGAGCGCCGGTCACGTCGCCTTCGGAATCACCTGCCGGCATCGCCTGCAAGATCCCAAGACGGTCAAGGGACTCAATGTCTTGCTTCCAAGGTGTGACGTGCATCCATCGAATCAAAGCTCCATTGCTGGCCAGTACAAGCTGATTCGAAAAATCAGAAAGCCAGGCAGGCACCGAAGACCCGAGAGCAGGCCACTCGTTGGTAGAACGTTGCGCATAACCCTTCAAGTGAAGAGCACGATCATTCAACACAAACTTGCCGTCGTTGAAGCTTGTCTTACGAAAGCCTGTGATGGTCTGAACCTCGTCAATTACTCCGTCGTCGACGATGATGCTTGTTGCAATTGTGTACAAATACCCATATCCCCAACTCCAGAAGTTCAGATCGGAGATGATGGACGAGGCGCTGACAGTTGTGGTCTCATTGGCACCAACCGTGTAAGAATCGCTTTCGAAAGACTTGACTGTGTTGTTCTCTAGGTCTTTGACAACCACGCGGTATTTAAACGATTTGGCTTCTGTGTATTCATTTTTCACCTCGGACTCGGCTGTCACTGTTGCCGTTCTCCCTGCGACGTCGATATCCGTGGCAAAAATATACACGCCCGTCGTGTTTAAGTTTGAGTACAGCGGTAGAGTTTGGTAAAGTCGATCCGTGGTGTGCAAGAAAGCATTCTTGTTGATGCCGCCATAATTGGCATAAAAGTTCTTGTCGCTCCATTGGTACTTCGAGTTTGTCGACACTTCCCTGTAATCCCAGGAATTATCGATTCGTGCGGCCACAATGTTTGTGCCATTTAACACAACCTGGTTTGTCACATCAAAACCAAAAGCCATGACTCCGTTCTCGCTTCTTCCAATCCACTCGCCATTCACGAAGAACTCCCCTCCGTGACGAATGCCTTCGAATTCGAGAAATGTCTTGCCATTCGAAGCAGGAACCTCAAAGGCCTTGCGATACCAAGAAATACCGGTAGTTAGATTTTCGATGCTGACTTTGAATGCATCGTCTTCGTTCCAGGCGTGGGGGAGCGTCACATTACTCCAAGTACTATCATCGAAGGCAACATTCTGAGCATTGTCCGCATCGCCAATGTAGAGTTTCCAGTCAGAATTAAAATTGAATTTGGTCCTAGAAGCGATATACTGAGCATTGACAATAGATGCAATCAAAACAGTTGCTGCATAGAGTAGACAGCGAAAATAGCCGCGCATTTTAGCCAACGGCCTGTTTTGGTGGCACCAAAAATTTCAAGTCAAATACATGCGACTTCTGCACGATTGGTTTGACACCAACGATAAGGTGTGATGGCGATTATATACTTGTCAAACCCTGAAGTGGCTCAATTGAGCAACCCAACTCGCAGGATGGAAACATTGTCCGGACACCATTGCCAAGACTCCGAATCGGGTTGTTTGTGTAACGGCCACATTCATTTGGTCACTTTGACATGACACCCAAATTTGTCTATGGTTTCCGCCAATCAGCTTCAAGCCGGGTATATATATGCCGCCCGGTGGCATAAATTTGAGTATAAATATTTTCTTTGCAAATGCAAAACTCGGTGGTACATACAACGACAGGCTGGATGCTCTGTGTCTTTCCATGAGCCCGAACTGCATGGCTAGACGGTAGCAGTATTTGCCCAACACGCCATGCCAGCCTTGTGGTCTTAGTCTGCCGGAAGTCTACCAATACATCTGTCCCGCGCGCCGACGGTTGAACAGTGACTGTTTGGATTAGATTATTCTAAGGCGACAAACACAGTAATTTGCATAATTGCGAAAGAAGAGAAACCCCACCCCCCATCGTCATCGTCATCGCCGCCGACACCTTGAAGAAACACTTACTTGTTCTGCCGTTAATTTGTCTAGACTAATTATGCTGCTTTATCTACGTTATTCCTCGAACGATCAGACTTGTGCTGCAGCACAAAAACTCCTCAGGCGGTCTGGGTGGTACGACAACCTGCCTATCATTTTCGTACTTGATTCCAAGTAGAACGATGTTGAGATCATCTCCTACTTTTCAATGTCTTTACGTGTGAATAGCAAGAAAGTGAAAGTATTCGACATATCGCCAGAGAAACATGTCTGGTGCATTTATAAACATTGCCTGGGCAGCACCGAAACGAAACCGTACAGCACGTTGAAGATGCTACGCGCTATTGACAATCATATGGAGAAGCGTAACGAGCTGTAAGGCTTTTACTTGTCCATAGAGCTGTTCAAGTGAGATATGCTGTTCCCTGGAGCGTCTGATTTGTGCAAAAGGCCCCATGAAACTTCGGTTCTTTTACCTCGAGATGGCTGATATGTATCACAGTATCAACAGCCTACAAAAGCACCACAGGTCAAATTCAAGTACACGCGATAACAAAACTCGTCTTCTTACAGGAGAGTAGGATCGACAATTGATCGTGTTCAATATGAGGCTTCTTGTAAATCATCATTTTCGTGCAGTATCTACCGCTTTATATCCACAATAAACTGGGTGCTTCGGTCTCACCGGCACTTGTATCATTCGAACTTGTTGTGTTGAGTGAGGGGCCAGGGGGCACGTTATTCGGGGTCGCTCGGGGTCAAATGCCGCGATGAGGCGGATTAAGCTTGATTTTAGTGCCCCACGCGCCTTGTCTCCTTTCCCAACGGCACTCGACCGACTACCGTGATGGCAAACTGTTCATCAAAGTCTATAATTATCGAAGTTTCGAGAAGTCTATTCCACATTGATGATGATCTTATCAATCAGAAGTTCCTTCCTTACATCGTTTCGAGTATCTCTGCAAGCCAGTTGGTAAAGTCCTCATTGCTGACCACGATTTGTACTTCGCGTCTTTGTGCAATCTTCAAGTGAAACAGCAAGTCAAAGATCCTTGGAAAATTATGTATAATAATAACCTTACGATTGATCGAGACGCCCTCTGGCCCTCTATCCAAATTATTGGAAGCGCGCGGGGCCCTTTGTCTGACAACAGGGTACTATCGTTACATACCAATACGAGGTTACATTTATCTAGACTAGTTTCGGATATCTGGTCGCTTGAGTTTCGGAACTCTATCGGTTCACTGCAAAGTCCCTGCGGTTTTCCAGTCGAATGTCCAGAAAATGGGGAGCTCCAGAAGCAACCTCGGACGCAGGGTCTCGGGCTATTATCATGAGCCGCATTTACGGGGTAAATGACTTCATCTTGAGGACGGGAGGGCATTGCCGCGTGGGGCGCCGAGCACTATGGATTCGTCGATGATGTCGGTGGGGTTGATGCTAAGAGATCATTTAGACACAACATTGTACTCAAGCCTTGAATTCAGGCCCCTGAGGATTACTTTCACACATGAATTGCAGCAAGGATATCTACATTTGGTCTTCCCAAGAAAGCAGGCAAGTGACTGGAATCTTTAAGTAGCAAGGAATTCAAGTCATTAACTCGAAGCGTATTGATCTTTTCGCTCTACGAAATGCGACGTCATCATCTGTGCACTCAACAAATGAGGTTCCATTTGCCTGAATTGGGGGACACCACCGAATACGAGAGCAGCATTGCCGTCTCCACTGATCGCCATTGACCGGTGCCAGGTGGACAGGACATCTCGTATTTAGAGAGACAGGATATATTTATCTATGAAGGGAAATGAATATATAAAGTCAGGTCAATCCTGCTTGTATACTTATAATCCGTTACACAACAATTCAAAGTATCTCAATCATTAAACCAATCACTCCTCACACTTCCAACCAACTTTCCAAACCCGAAACCATCAAAATGCAGATCTTCGCTATCCTCTCCTCTGCTGCCGTCGCCTCTGCCGCCATCATGGGCAAGCGCGACACTGTCTACGCCGTCTCTGACTTCAGCGCCGGCTGCATCCCCCACAGCACTCAGTGCCTGTAAGTGTTCATTTATACCTTGCATAGCCGAGCATCAACTGACTCTTTACACAGCTACAACTTCGGTGTCCTCCAGACCGGCACCATGGAGACTACTCCCGTCACCTGCAAGGCTCTCGTGAGCGCAAACACCGACGGCACTCTGCCCGACGTCCAGGAGGGTACCTGCGAGGAGTCTTCCCGTACCTTCTCCGTCGTCCGCAGCGACGCCGGCCTCACCCTCACCGTCTCTCAGCCCGTCACCCCCAGCTCCAACCAGACTGGCTCTCACCTCCTCCCCAGCGACGAGTTCGCGATCTCCAACGAGCCCAACGCTGTTGTCGAGAGCTACACTGGCCCTACTGCTTTCAACTTGGAGTAAATTTCTCCGCCACGTATGATCATTTAGCGCTGTACATTATGTAGATAGAGAAGTACTTCCGACTCGAGACGCAGTCTATCTCCACAACATCAGTTGTCAGTGGCGGCCACCGGGAGGAATTGTAAATAATTAGACATTGCCGATTGTATATACAACATTACCAATGCATCAGTGGCTCTTTTGTGATTATGATTGATCATTTGACTTTCGTTATTCGATCTGTGTATAGTGAAATAATAGTACTATCACACTGGGCGCTACTACTGTGCCGCTGTGCGAGCCAATTAGGACTAATAACCATGTTGCAATCGCACCCTTGCAAATAGTACAACGCAGGCACAGTTGACCGAATGACTCACGCCGTGCCAATCATACCGCAACGCCATGTATATAGTCTTACATGTTTAGATGATAATTATAGTTTACTAATAGTATAACAAGCAACATCTGTTACAGCAACATGAGCGAAAGTTTTGAAGGCCAAAACCGTGCATCGTCTGCTTCAATTGCGGGCATAGTCAGCTCGCATCCCGAGACAGGTATTAGCGAAAGTCTCGTCTTACAGACCGATAGTGCGTCGGTTGAAGAAGCGTTGGTTCAGCAGCTCTTTCGTCTGGAACTCATTCTCATATCGGTCATAGACACATCACGGATGGATTGAATGGCCTGTCTCTCGACGAGAGTGGAGAAGAAAGGGAGGCCGAGGTGCCTTTTGAGCCGGCAGCATGTCTGTTTTGCAGCACCAAGAGCACTGGTCTTGACGAAAATCTTGAGCACATGCTGAAAGTGCATGGCCTCTTTATACCAGACGAAGATCATTTGATTGTGGACTTCGAGACCTTGGTCGGATACTTGCATCTCGTAATCTATGGCTATTATGAGTGCTTGTTTTGTGGTTCACAACGACAAAGTGCCGAGGCAGCCCGGCAACATATGTTAGGGAAAGGACATTGCAAGATTGATATCCTGGATGAAAACTCGGAATTCCGTGATTTTTACGAGTTCGAGTCTGTCTCTGGTGCATCAAGCAGTGACGCCGAGATCCCAGATTTGAGGCCTGAGCGCCCAGGTGGGAGGTTCGTGCAAGTCGACAATGTCATGCGACTGCCTTCCGGCAAAATACTCTCGCAAAGGTCGCAAGGCCTGGCGGGAAGCCAGCGGAGACAGTTACACGGCACGGCCGGAAGCAGTGCCTGGACAAAGAATTCCATGCCACTAAACGGACCCTCAGAGCCCGAGGTGGAAGGTGAAAGTTCTGAACCCGCGGCACAAGAACAATCGAAAAGAGTTGCTAAGCGTGAAGCTATCTTCATAAGTCAACTTGCAAGTCTGCGGTCAGAGGATCGGCGGAGCTTAATGCATTTGCCCATTGCACAACAGCGGGCACAGGTCCTGAAGAGCAAAAGGCAGGTAGAGAGGTTCAGGCGGGAGGAGAATGAGCTGCAGCTAAAAGTTCAGTTGCGGGCTAACAAGTCTTTGAAACACTGAATAGAAGTTAGGAGGTGTGCTCTGGTGCTGGACGATTTACATGTGGAAGGCGCATGGCACTGAGTAGTCTGAAAAATATATTTAAGCTGATATCATATCATCGCTGCTCGCTTTCAATGTAAGCATGATAAACGTCCAGCTCTATAAAGTATTCCTACATAATTAGCGATAATTATGCGCCTGTGATTATCGCCTGAAGCTTTTGTGATACACTGCGCAAGTTTGCGTATGTTATGCTCGGAAAACATTACACAATACAGTATCCTTGTTTATATAAACGAAACGTTCTTCTCCTCATTGCGATTAATCTACCATATATATGATCAATTTATGGTGGTAACTATAGCACACAACACCATGCCAGTCACAATTAAGCCATCTAGTGACAACGCCGAGATCATTGCTCCTTGTCCATGGCTGGATGATCTCCAAGAAGTTCTTCGTCTTCTTGCCCAAGAGTCTGGCAAACTGATTCAATCTTCATTTGATAATGGTGTCATCTCTCCTGGAATGTTTGTGAGAAAAGACTGCTTCATAAGCGCGGTGACTACTACATCCAATAGGCATCATCATCCCATCATTCAGCCAGAAGACATCTGGCTTGCGATCGTTACATAGTTCAGCGTATACGTTAATGCTCATACACAAGAGCTTCGAGACCACTTTGTTGAATACATAGGCAAGCAAGATCTGACTACTACATACGGTGGTGTCACCGGATACACTGTGAATATCACAAATTTCACCACGCGGATCAACAAGGTTATCTCCGAGAATGTTGTCCATACTGAGTTATGCGGTTGGATCCGGCCCAACGTCAGTCCGACCACCAAATACCACGTTGTAGTAGCCTCAATCGCCATAAAAAAAGCATTCAGCCCTACTTCACTTATGGCTCTACCGCAATGTGTGGACTTCCATCTGCCACGTTACTTGACACCGATGAGGATTATGAATTGATCCTCGCTCGACTGGAAAAGCTTGTTGAGTTCGGTGAGGAGCCGACACATTTAGTGCAGCTAATTAACCTATCGTGAAGTTTTTCAAACAAAATTTCACAGGGCCAGAGCATGAGGACGTGATTGATTTCTGGCAGGAAACCTGTGCCCAACATCCAGGGGGGGGGTTGCCGATTATTCCGGTTGGGTCACGGCCTTCGGTTTTTGGGACGGAAAGAGGCAGTGCCAGGTATCTCCTGCGTCACGTAGTGGTTTGTGTCTCGGCGGCTTTTACTATGGACGCGTATCTATGGATAGGGTTCCAGAGGCTTCGTCCGAGTTCCTGTCCGCATCAACAATAACGGCGAGCTGATCAATACGGAAATGCTGGAGGGCTCGGTGGCTTGTTGAACAAGCAGTAAAGCGGCTGCTGTTGAAAAGGGGTTAAGCTTAGACACCATGCAGTGCTAGTCTGGGTGGTTTCTGTATCAGAAGGGGGACACGGACCGGTTGGAGAACGAAGAGACAAGCAACAGATGGTGAATGAATGACTGGGAGGAACTGGAGGCGGAGTTTTTATCATTGTACGTAGTTGTAGTTCTCGTTCGGAATGTATTGTACGGCATCATTTTGCACATGCTCGTGTATCGATGCAGTGTGCTTAGTGCCATGAGATATCAAATGAGGTACCGCTGATCACGCCTGAAGTTGTAGATATGGCCAGATGCACCGTAGTCCGACAGTCCTTTCGGGCGTGATGTCGTGTCAAAGTTGACCCGGAGGTTCGATTTATGCTTACTCTGGGCTGACTGCACAGGGGCTGTTGGCGCAAACATCCGAAATGGTTGGACTGGATCGGCTGCGAATGCCCGGGATAAGGCGCTCTCCTGGGGCTCGTGGGGCCCCGCGCACTTCGATCATGTTCAGCTGGACCAAATGCACAGACTCTGGACTGATCCTACGAAAACTGGCCGCCGACCCGATTTCTTGGTTGTGCGGAGGGAATGCAAATAGGATTCCGTGTTTTTCCAATGCTGGTTGTTCCGTCTAGAATCGGCGGCAGAATTGACAGGTTGCCAGATTCCTGGGTCAGTGGGGCCTGTCAGGACCTGACTGTCAGCCCACAATGATCACTGCGACGGTGAAATATCACACCACCATCGGCTTACACCGTTTTTGGGAGCATGTACAGCCAAACATCTAGAAAGATTTAAAGTGAGTGACAGGAAACAATGGAAGTGAAGTTGCATCTTTATATCACACAGTTCTCAAACACATTAAGGAAGCAATTCAAAACATCAGCGTGACATCGCATCAAGAAACGCTAGACGTTCAAAGTTCCATCAGTACAACCGTTGTACCAACCTTATTTTACACACAATATGGCCGCCCCACAAATGCCCAGTTTCCAATCCACAAGGTTGGCCAAGGTCCCGAACATGCAGAGAGTTGCGGCAGGCCCAATGGCAAGGTGAGTCACAACGGCGCTTGAATGAAGGATACTACAAGACAACAGTTGCTGACCTTTCTCAGAATGCTCCCAACCTTGGTTGTAGTCGGAAGTGGTGAGTGCCAGCCATATTTCTATGTGAATGCAGCTTACTCTAACTTGAGACTAACTCGTTCGGGCAATAGTCGGTATGGTTGCCACATATATCGCGTCGCAATTGTCAGAAAGCAAAAGCAACTACGACAGAATCTTTGCTCAACAAAACACACCCGAAGTCGAGGCTGCAAGAAAAAGGCAACTGCAAGTTGAAACCATGGGTGACCCCCGCAAAACTCTCTTCAACGTTCTGGGTTGGTAACGCAATGGATCATTTGAATTTGAAAACTGGAGTTTTGGGGAGATATCCACCTGGGCCGGCAACTTGATTATCGGTGTACCGCAGTTTGCACTAGTCTAGGCAATGTTCTTAATACAATTTGACTCGTTCATATTAACTATATTTCTGGCACGCCTACGCTCCATTGGTCGTCTCTTATGGCTATTGTGCAGCATGACTTGTAATATATCGCCCATAAAGTAGGGATCTGTCTCCACGTTTTTGGGTTCCCTTACGAGGCAAGCGTGGATCCGTGTCCTAGCATCATAGTCTTTATTAAATAGGTATGCATGTATGGTACCATGCCAAAATACCCACAGTGGGGCAGGCTCTTTTGAAAGGGACGAGAGGTCGGGTATGACTGGGTCGGAGCTCAACATCGCAGGAAAATACCAATGTAATCGACTCGATACCTGCCCCTTGCTTGCTTACCCTCTATACCACATTATGTAGTCGGCTGTCTTTTCGCCGGGACGCAACCCTGACAGAACATTGTCATTATGCTCGAGTCATACCTGGAACACAAGTATAAGCAACACATCGTCCAGAGTCAAGATTGCATCCTATGTTAAAGTCTTCGACATCGGCTTGCGGTATCAAAACGACGATTGACTAGGATGACGGATGTATTTCACGGTGTATGGGGCTGATTTGGCAAATACCGCGGACAAGGTCGTTCTTATCACAGGAGGGTCTTCAGGCATTGGATTGGCTACTGTACAGCTTCTGCTGTCCCTTTCGCCTCGTAATCGAGTTGCAACTCTGGACCGCACTGCTCCTCCGGCGTCTTTGACTTCGTCCATTTCTCCAGATCGACTTTTCTTTCACCAATTCGATCTCACATCCTGGACCGCTCAGGGTGCTGGCTTCAAACCGGCAGTTACAAAATTCCAACGGGTGGACGCCGGGGTGGCAGGCGCAGGTATAAATGAGCGACGGCTTCAATCCTTTACTGACCAGTTTGACGATGGCCAACTGCAGGAGCCTGACAACACTGTCATGCATGTCACGTTATCAGCAGTCGCTGATGCCGTCAAGGCTTGGAATCCATCATATAAGGTCGAATGAGAAAGGAGGCACAATTGTAATGATCAGCAGCTTAGCCGGTTACTTGGGAAACGCAGGCGCGCCCTTTTACAACGCTGCTAAATACGGTGCACCTCAGACTCGCCTTTGAAAACTTTCTATATACGTTAACTAAGTATTTATATATATATATATATATAAGCCGTCTTTGGGTTGCTTCGGTCTTTGAAGGCAAAGAGTCCCAAAGTGGGTATTGCAATTTCGGTTGTTGCGCCAGCTATCACATCGACACCTCTACTTGCTTCCACCGACGGCTCAGCGACTGCAGAAGAAACCGAGAAGCGAATGATCAAGTCCAGCATCTCAGTTGATCGTGTTGAACGTGTTGCATTTGCTGTCGGATATCTTATTAATGAGTAAAGATATCTATAGGACGGCGGCCATGTTATATGCCGTACTTGGAGACTTTGGCCTCGGCTTTTTCTTGTTGAAGTACGGGTCAGTGCCTAGAACTAAACCATACCCAGTAACTGTGCCGGCTCTATATGATCTACTAGGCCCCAATCTTCGATATCACCCATCATGAGTGGGTGGACACAATCTACAACTACAACTAAGGAAGCTCACAATGTCGAACACCCACTTCCATATATAACACTTAAATCGGCATTGCGCGTATGATGGCCGGTACACGGTTTACGTAGAGATTATTATCCATCCTTCACCACTGTGAAGAAAGTTCTGAAGAACAATCGAACTGACAGGAGACATGTCTGAAGTACAGTGGCGCGACTTAAACCAGCTCAAACATTGCGAAGGCCTATCCAATATTCGGAAGGCTTTAACATGGCTCATCTTCTAACTACGAGATGTCCCAGTCGCCACCTTCGTAATCCATGTCATCTTGGTTGCTCCTGCCCATGTGGCCAAGTTGATTGTACCCTTGCTCGTCTTGGCCTGTCTGGACGGCCTGGTCTTCCTCAGGACCACTAACCGTGGGAAAGTCGTTATCTGCCCTAGCAGTCTTTGGTGCCGAGGTCGCCCATGAAAGTTCCACCTCGCCCTCCACACCTGGGATGGTTTTCTGCCCAGATACTCCAAACGTGAATTGCTCAGCTGTCTTGCGATCTTTGAATGTGACATACGTGGCTGCGGGCTCAGTAGTAACGTCTGTAAATTCACCAATACCCTTTCACTGAAGTTAGTAATGATACAACAATCTGTAGGAGCTAGTTCACTCACAAAAAGATACTGCTTGAGCGCTTCATCCTTCACAGGATCGGTGAAGTCCACGCCCGAGATGACCACAACCTTTGGACGATTGTCCAGAGAGTAAGCAGCATATGCAGCATGCACATCTTGAGTGGCTCCTCCGCCCCTTCCGCGGTATCCATAACCACCGCGAGCTACTCGTGGTTGAAACCCGCCTCTTCCACGGTACGGTCCCCTGCCTCTTCCACGACCTCTTGCAGCCCAGTAAGAGGTGTCCTCAGCGGCATCTGGATCTATCCCAAGCGAATTCGCTTCCTCCTCGAGTGCAGCTAGTTTGGCCCGTAGTGTCTCAGCTTGGGACGGTTGTTCACCAACAGGTGTCGCCTTGGTCAAGACCGGCGAAAGAGAATCCTCTTTAATGCCATTTGCAGCAAGCTTAGCTTGAAGTTCTCGCTTTGCTTCCTGCTGACGTGCCACTAGCTCTCTTCGTTTGTCCTCGAGTTCCTGCTGTTGACGCGCTAGCTCTTCGCGCTTCTGTTGCTTTTCGAGGTGCGTCTTCTGGGCCTCTTCTTGCTTGTGCTTGAATTCTTCCATATCGAAATCTGGCCCTGCAGGAGTACCATCGCCACTCGCGGAGCCGTTTCTTGCACCATTCGAACGCTTTGGATCAGGTTGAGATTCAATTTTGAACCAATAAACCTTGACAAATCGATTGTCAAAAACAACTTTCGGAGATTTCCAAGCCGCGTTTGCAGCTGCCCAATCCTCAAACTCAACGATGGCAACGCGTTTCTGTGAGCCAGGACTCGGACGCAACTCCACCTCTTTGATAGCACCAAACCCGGCAAAGAAGCCCCGGATCGACTCGTCGGTAAAATTCTCCTCTGGGATGTTTTCCACAACAATTTTGGTGTTTGTCTTGTCGCTGTTAGGACCTTCGGCCGAGAAAGGTAACCGGCCGCCTTTTCGTTTGGGCTTCTTAGGCTCCCGACGATTGAAGGGTGGCATCTGCGTAGTACTCAAGTCTGTCGGCTTGACTGATTGAGCAGAATGCTCGGGCATGCCTAAAGTAGCGTTGTTCGGGTCATACTCGTCATTGGAAGGCGGTTGGAAAGCAGGAACGTATGCAGCGCTGTTGCCGTGCTCAAACTGACATCTGTCGCCCCTGGAGCAATAACCCTTCTTCTCGTAGTCCCTGCACGGCCGTCGTTTTTGGTGCGAATGGGGCATCGATAGAGCCTGACCCGAGTAGATCGGTTTCGGTAGGTCTGTCTGTAGCATCTGAAGACCCATCTGTGCTCCCATTTCCTGCAGCACTCTGATATTCTCGAGGATGGTATTTGCATCTAGGGCCGGTTGGGGCGGCGCAAAGGGCTGCTGCGGGTTATAGCCGGGACCATGGTTTCCATAACCAACACCTTGATAAGCAATCGCGGGTCCGTTTGGGGGTGGCTGACTATTGAAAGCATTGTGACCATAACCACCGCGGCCGCCTTGAGCATACGGATCGTCGAATCGTCCGCCGCGAGGTACAAACCCGCCGCCACGCCGTGCTTGCTTATAGGGTTGCTGATGCTCGGCTGTCCCACCGCCGTAATCCCAGTTCATGGGTTGCGAGTCTGGCGCGTCGAGATCTCGATATGAGCGCTTTTTCGAGCCATTTCGGAAATTATGCGTGGAGAAAGCGGACGGTGTCTCGGCGTAGGGTGTGTGCTGGACGCCAAATGGTGGATACGCGCCTTGTTGTGAAGCTGCTGGACCTGAAGGGATTTGGTGTGTCAGAGGGATAGGAGCTGGGGCCTGGCGGATGATCGGAGGAGCAGGCGGCGCCCCTGGCAGGTATGATTTGTACTTGATAGCTTGGAAGACGTCGTCGGTGAAGGCAGCGGAATCTGTTAATTTGTTTTTGGACATGGTTAGTCTATATTTGTAGAAGGAGGTCCTCCAGGGGAGACACCGTACCATCTCTAAGAAAGTCCGGGATTTCTTCTTCAAACAGGTTCCGTATGGCACCAGCGTCGCCGTCGTGTCGCAGGAGCGCAATCACATAATCAGCTAGGACATCAGCATCGGCGTCAGATCTGGTGTGGTAATCAGCTACTGTCTCGAGGGAAAGAAGGGTTTCACGAAAACGTGTCGCACGTACGTGTTTTCCAGGCGCTTGATGATCCAATTCCTCAGATGAGGCGCGTCGGCCTCAGCGAAAAGCATTGTGAGTTGATCGAGCCGAGACGGCTGATGGTTGGCAGAGTAGAACGACCGGAATATTCAGTTGGCCATAGGCACCACTACTGGAGAGAGAGACACGGAAGGTTATAAGCATCGAAGAATGTATTGATGCATAGGAAACGGGCGTCCGAATGATGTTATTGGCCTATTTTTTTTGTTTTATTTATTTTTTTATAAATGTAAAGCTGCCTTAGCTAAAGTACCAAGTATGAGCTTCATGCGAGGCTAAAGCACACATGAGTTGGAGCTTCTCACCTTGGGAAAAATTCCCTGGCCCTGGAGCAATGCGACCGCGTCTGATTGGCGCTCTCTCCCTAGTGGCTTTTAGTGACGGAATCGCAGGAACGGCGCCAGGGATGAGCTGTCTTCTAGGGTAAGTCACTTGCACTGGCACTGATACCGAACCCCCAGCGAGCACGCATGGGGGCAGGCGGGCTGTCTGGCGGGGGAGGGGTCGATTGCAGAAAAATCATGTCAACAGAGAAAACAGTCAGTCATCTCGAACTCAACCGAGGACCAGTCCGTCTGTGTTACACAGCTTTATTGTGGAATAAATCAGCAATTGCATACTCCATTGTATGAAATCGCTTGACTCTTTTCTGCACCCGTTGATCAAACTTTTACGAGCAACGTCAGCGAGTGATCTCGCTGCTGCATTTATTTACAACAATGGAAAACACATGCTTTATCGATTGGTCTGCCTTAACCTAGTGCTAGTCTAACTCAGTATCTACGACATGTACTGTATGTTGCATCGTGAATTACATAGATCCATTAATGCCCCAAGCTAGCAAGGAACCATTCCGCCTACCTCGCTCCCAGTCTTGCCATGCAGTCTTATTTAGTCGGGCTTACATGTCCAGAACACATTACTTACTTTTTACATATCATTTTTTTCCCTTCAACTGATCCCACCACTGAAGATTTCTATCCTTCCGCAACTCAAATTTCTTTAGCTATGACTCATTGTTAGCCGCTGCCTTGCTCAGACGACGAATGATAGACTACATGTGAACCAATGGTAGTCAGAAGAGCAAACCGTCTGCCTTTCTAAACCCGACTGCCACAACCTACTGCTGGTTGGAGTAAAACATTGCCAGCGAGGTACACCACATAATTGCTCAAGCCAGAGCTTATCTTCACGATGGCTTTCACAATGCATTCCCACTCCGGCCAATTCTGTCCGGGCCACGCCAAGGATGACCTGGAGGACATCATCAAAGTCGCCATTGCCAAGGGCTTCACCACTATGGGCATTACCGAGCATATGCCTCGTACCAGTCTGGACGACTTATACCCCGAAGAGGTAACTTTAGATGAAGCCTAAAATATGAGACACGTAAATTTATCTATTTATATGCTAACACACCACCTAGATGGATGATCCCCAAGGCAGCCTCGCCGTCCTGATGCCGCGCCACGAGGCTTACCTCGTCGAAGCACAGCGTCTGCAACGGAAATACGCCTCGCAGCTTCACCTGCTCATCGGTTTCGAGGGCGAGTGGATCCGGCCCGAGTATGGCCCGCTCATCACCTCCCTCTCTGCGCATCCCAGTATCGACTACTTCATGGGTTCCCTCCACCACGTCAACGGCATCCCGCTGGATTTTGATGCCGCCTTCTACCAGCGGTGTGTCGACTCTGCAGGTGGTACCGAGGAGAACATGTTCGAGCGCTACTTCGACCAGCAGTATGAGATGCTCACCACACTCAAGCCGCGGATCGTGGGGCATTTCGATCTGCCGAGGCTGCTGAGCTCGGATCCCAACAAGAACGTGCGGGAGTGGGCCGGCGTCTGGGAAAGAGTTGTGCGCAACCTGAAGTTCGTGGCCGGCTATGGTGGGTGGCTCGAGTGCAACACGAGCGCGCTACGCAAGGGGCTGGCAGAACCGTACCCGTGTCGCTCAATCGCGGAGGAGTGGCTTGGGTTTGGTGGAAAGTTCACGTTCTCGGACGATAGTCATGGGATCGCTCAGCTGGGTACAAATTACGTGAAAGGCCTGGACTTCCTAGAGAGTCTGGGAGTCAACGAAGTGTGGACACTGGAGCGGAGTCCGCACCCCTGGTCCGAGGGACAGACGGAGGGCAAACTGACGGATAAGAGAGTTCCAATCGAGGATTTCAAGAAGGTGTGTCAGAGTTGGGATGTTTGAGATGGAGATGCATAGCGATTCGTGGAAAGCATGATATATATTGGGTCATTTTCTGGTTCTACCATGAGAACAACAATGACCAATCTTGAAACTTTTATACAACAGTAGAAAAACCTGGCGATCTAGTGTTCAAATCAGATATACAGGATTGTATTGGTTTGTATTTATGCTCGTGAGCAAGAACTGGTCGACCGCACAGGCGAACTCACACGAGCGAAGCCAGACGGGGCACCTTATCAGATGATCTTCTTGAGTACCAGCCGCCGCGGCCAGTCCATAGCCCGACATCTTGAACAAAGTTTTGCGATGCAAATAGACAATTAAGTCGAAGAGTATACATTGAAATCGGAATTCAGACAACAGCAACAAGAACAACAACAACAACAATAACAACCACCTGTAATCTTTATAACTCCCACGCGCTTAACTAGCATGCTTTATGACGCTGCTTTTGGTACATGCACTGCGGTCGTCAAGACAGTGTCTCTTTTCTGATATGGGGGCTGCAGCCAGTATACAAAGACTTATTACTCGCCGAGTTCAATCTGCGGGGTTTCATGACCCCAGGTACGGTTGGCATTTGTCTAACGTTATCGAAAACCTTCCGTTGCTGGTCATTTGCATGGTATCCTTGTCGATTAGAGCCGGGTATACATGAACCTGCTTGCTCCGAGTTTATGAATTTCTTTCATGCAGGCATGCTTATTATTAAATATATATACATATATTTATTTTAACGCCGCGGTCGGACTGCGATAGACTTGTCCGGATCGCTTGATGATGGTGCATTTTGTGTGGCTTATTTTGAGGCGGGCGATGGGTGTTGACTTGTCATATCTTGTTATATGTTTAGTGAAAGAACACTGGCGACCCGCTCAATTTCCATAGACTCTGTATCAACCTTTCGAAGCGATGATGTGAGGTGGCATGTTATTATCTGCCAAGAACCAAGCAATGGATTCTCACTCGAATTTATCTGAGACTGTTAATCGGACGGCAGAAATGCATACGTGCGCGCAGAGATAAATCCTGTTAGTACAACGGCACCGCCGTCAACCCTTATTCAATTGTGTTGGAAAAAAGAAACCTCGACTTGGCGTTGAGCCAGTGGTCAGATCCTTTCCATTGACCATCCATTTAGGTCCTGGACCGCTATGATCGTCTATTCATTTTTGCCAATTTGCTCTTTGCGGAGTCTCATGACTAGCACCAAATACCAAAATCCATGCTGTACTTTCACTCCTGGGGTATCGTTGAGATATGATGCAATCATTAGCCTGACCCTTTTTCCGTAGGTTCGCCAGGCTTGTATGCATTCCCTCAATAATGTTGAAAAATCAGGACTCCGGTTGAAACGCCCATGATCGTATGCTCCGTTAAAAAATTGCATGCTGTTGAAAACGCAAACGCCATTGCATGTGTGTTGTAACATGCTAATTTGCCACTTTCTAATCGAGTGGCTCCGCCTGAACTCCGTTGGTCACTTTAGGGGGTACCACAATCTCATCTTCTACGCCGTCTATTGACAACCCCTCAAAAAGCTCAAAGATCGCCCGTGGTTGGTGGAAGTCATTGTTAACTGCCAAGGCGTCAGTGTGTCTCAAGAGAAGTTTTCTTTCATTGCAACTTACCAATGTTGACCAGATACCACTCACTCATGATCTTGTCAATGAGCGCTCTGCTGGGGCTGTCGGCGTCATAACAACGTGCCCATTGCACTCCTAGAGTGAAAGCCTCGTCTTTCCATGCGAGGAAGCTGATACTTTCAACAATGGTGGGCTGAACAATTTCTTGTCCAGGAAAAACTCCCCATGTTACCGCGTTAGGTCCTTCAGTAGGCGCATTCGATTTTAGGTTGCCGTTCTTGGTCACTGCGTAGTACGATATATCGGGATGGTTGTGGATTCGTGGCAAGATCTTCTGGAATAACTCGGGCGAAACAAGAAGTTCCAGGTATGACTTTTGGTAGACATACCCATTCGGTGGGCCCCAGCCGTGGATTGGATGGTTGGACTTGGCACCATTGACGGCAGGCTGTGAGTTGACCGTCAACAGGCCACGCTTGTTCAAGCTGATGAGATCTTCCCGGATCGAGTCCGCTTCTGAAGTGATGGGTGCTTCACTCCATGGCAAAGACTCGAGGTCCTTCTCCACGTACCGTACAAAGAGGTCAGCGATGTCTTTGACGGCTTTCGGCTCTCCCCACTTCTTTTTGTTGGCTTCATTTGTGCCAGTTAGGCCGATGCCATAAGCGTCCAACTCTCCGAAAGCAGGTGACCGTGAATCACCCCATCTGCCGTTGGGGAATTCATCCCAGTCCTGGGTTCGCGCAACGTAGGACTTGTTTCTGTTGCGCCAGAATGCCGGACGTACATCCTCTTCCCTGCGGCCCAACCCGAGGGACTTCTTCCACGGCAATGCTGGGTTTCTTGGGCGATTGTTTGTTGGCATCCAATCAAGCTCTTCGAGAACCATGCGAGTAGCCTGAGCAAGGTTCATAGTATAGAAGTGGAGATGCACAATGCCAGCAGCCAGGATCTTGCGACACATATCAGCTACTAATGTCTTTCCGACCTCTCGAACAGCAGAGTCGTCATTCCTGACGGATTCCAGGGCCTTGGTAAAATGCTCGGGGATCTTGCAGTTCATGTGGTTCGCTCTCCTGATGAAGCTGGCATACGTGGCAATTGGCATGATGCCGGGCACGATGGGAATGGTGATACCCCTGTCCCGGACTTTACCGACCCATCTCACAAAGTTGTCGGCATCATAAAACATCTGCGTCACGATGAATGTAGCGCCTTCATCGACCTTCTCCTTTAGATGATCCAATAGCGACTCCTCATCCTTGTTATCATCACAACCTTCCGGATAGCCGGCAACACCAATATCGAAATGGTTCCCATATTTCTGTCGAATGTGCTTGACGAGGTCTCTGGCATACTGGAAGCCACCCTCTGTAGCTGTCCACTTCTCTTTCTCTCTTGGCGGGTCACCACGTAATGCCAGGATGTTCGTGCAGCCTGCTTGGTAGGCTTTCTGTAGAGCATCGTTGACTTTTTCCTCGCCCATGTCTGTGCAAGTAAGGTGCATGCATGTCTCGAGACCGAAGAATGTTTGTGCTTGTGTAACCATCTCACAGGTAAGCTCGGCAATTCGACCACCAGCACCCCATGTTACATCGATGAACTTGGGTCCGAATTCGTACATGCGTTCCATACGCTCGTAGAGGTTCTGCACACCCTGGGCAGTCTTGGGCGGGAAGTATTCGAACGAGAAGGACGGCTGGCTAGTCCTCTCGGCGTCTTCGAGCATCTCCTTGATATGCATTTTGGGCGTACGTGAAACAACAGGCCAGACGGTATTGTTGTAAATTGGAAGATCGCTCCCGAGAAAACAGCACTAAAGAAAGATAAGTCTGAGTATGTTAGTCGATATATTAAGTAGAAAGCAAGGGGGGAAAAAGACTACACGATGCCGAGTTGTTCATCACACTGAAACGGTATCGCGTTGCTGACCCAACGGAACAGTCTGGGACTTTGGCTGGACGCATTTGCAGAGCAATGACGCATAAGCATCGGTGTTCTTACCTAACACTCTTCAAATACAAAGCTTATGGAGAAGACTCTCGGAGGGAGAAGTCTCTCGGTTCTACTGGAGAGATGAGGTTATGCTGGCCGGCGCTCCCCTCTTCAGATACGCCAAAGGTTACACTACCGGTGTTATGAAAGGCAAAAAGAAGTTGGGTGGAAGGAGGGAAGCTTCTTGAAATTCTCGCCAATTGCTCCAGGGACAGAGAGGGAGAGGTCAGATGCAAAGTTCCACATCTCTTGCAGCTCTCCGAAAATAGGCGGTCCGATTATTGGCGGGCAACAAATGCAGGTCTCGTTCAAATTTCAACGACGAGTTTACTAGGCGAGATCCTATTAGCGCCGCCTGGAGGATGCCACTAACACCCTTTCGTGACGCCTTCACGGCCCGGTACTGTCCATGGAAAGCGCCGATTCTGAACCCTACTGTGTCTTTGCAAATCTGTGTCATGTACTATCATGTGAGCTCTGTAGATTATACTCTATCTAAGATTTACTTATGTAACATTCAAGTTTTAGCGGTCCCTCAATTTTGACAATTTGGTTGTTCCAGTAAAGGCACAGCCTAATTGAGCTGGCCCGCTGGGTAGTGCCCCTCGTTGTGCCCCTCCATTCAATGTCAAACATCCGCTCCTGTTCAAGGAGAACCCTGACGTCGCGACCGATTTTCTTTGGTCAAGCAAAACCCCCCCACACACCACACCGCCATGCTTTGCACGGATGCAGGGTTCGAGACTGGGGGCCGTTCATTGGTGCCGACTCCCCCGCACGCTCAAGCTGCACACATCAACAAACGATCTTTTGGCCATCATCGTACATCAGTCGATCCAGAAATTTGAAGTGATCAGCCATTGTTCTTGTACATTTGGCACGACGAAATTAATCAGTTCGATGGGTGTGTAGCTCTGTATATAAGCTTCTCATGTTTGGCCGAGCTGAGTGGTGGCGGGCTCGGATCATTCGCCCCAATGAGAGAATGGTTGTGTTGCACCGCATCTTTTCAAATCTGAGGTAATCCTGGATCCAGCATCGTTTACTGCTCGGGCCTATTTCATCTCATCGACAAGTATGATTCAATGAGGAACAACATTGTGCCACTGCTGTGTTTTTACTACTTGTGGACTATGAGTTCATCCATATTCAGTAATATGATTATACATGTATCATTTTCTTTTTTCTTTTCCTTTTCGTAACGTGAAGTATGTTGATTTGTTTGATCTGGTAGAGTTATCCGGAATTGGAATTGGTCTATAATGCCTATCAGGTTGTGATCTATGAAGCAAAACTTTCTTGCTCTTTGCTTTTCTCCGAAAGGCTTCTACTGAACCGGGAATAGTCCGCTGAATAGTTAACCCTCGAATTTTTCCCACACCATGAGGAACCAACAAGCTTCTCTTTAGTGTCAACGCTGGAGGTAATGTACAAGGACTAGCTAAATCCTACAGGTTTCTCATGCTGTAATTTCTTCAATAGTTTGCTGATTACCGAGGCGCAACTCAGGAGCTCCTCTTAGCAATCTCCATCTGTTGCTCTGCTCAATGACTTGCCGGTCGAATACGAACCACCAGCGCTGAAACAAGACTTGGCCGACCTCCCACATTGACCCGTTACACTGCAGCACTCATCGTCAGTCATTCCCCACTCAAGACGCGGAGGGCTGCTTTAAGAGTTGCTTACTGGACTATGCCCCCATATCCGAATGCCTTCAGCGCTGTCTTCCATGTCATAGGCAAGTTGCACAAGGGCCAGTGGTCCGACTGCACACGGCGGCCTGCAGTCATCCGGGAGGCTGAAAACTCCAATAAGCCGATCGCGAACAGAAGGCCAAGGCAGGACATCAATGATCGGGTGATGAGGAACCGTTCTTTGGGCGACGGTCGGCGCAAAACTCGATGTCAACACTTTCTGATTGAAGGTCATGGAGGGATCGTTGAAGGACGAAGTAGCCGTGAGATCCCAGAGTGAGGACTTGCAATTTAGACTACTGGAAAGCCGCATGAACGCTTGGAGAAGCTTCAGCTCAGGCACAGGCAGGAGATACGTATCAGGGAAAGTGAATGTGGGAGGAGGTCCCGCTGGTGGTCGTGTCTGCGACGAGTCGCTTGCGGAGAAATCGAAAATTAGCGAGGGATCAGTGTCAATATTCTGGATTAACAGTGAGGTGGGAATCGTTGTTACTCCTTCGGAATGTGTAGGGGCTTGGGCTGTGGTAGGTGTTGAGATATCATTCGTAGCAAGCGGTAAATCTGGTATTGTAGTACTCAAGGCTCCTTCAGGCCATGATGCTAGAATACCAAGGTCAAGAGGTAGGTCTTCTTGTAACATAGGCAATTCTACTGACACACCAGAATGCTGCGGACTTTGTAATATGGCTGTTGCAGTTCCTGACACCGTATTGCCGGGTACTGAGCCGCTCTGGGGACTCTCATCAGAGGTCGAATCGTCATCTTGTCTGGACGCGGCAACTCGTTTTTGGCGCCTTCGCTGGCCTGGTTCTCCGCCTGAGCAACAGAACTCTCTGGATACGGAAGCACTCACGGTAACGACGTTGAGCCAGTACATTCAATATTCGCTTTCTTTCTGCAGCATCTTCATTGATGTCCGGAACATTCAATGTGGGAGCCGGTTTGTTAACCCGCTGCCGGGATTTCGGCCGCTTTTGCGGGTTTGCCGATGATGATGATGCTGATACACGGGCCGTCTGCATATCGGCCATGTGTATAGAGACGTTGAGGCTGGTGGCATTAGCCATTGCCAACGCTGCGTACTAGTTTCACCCTGCTTTACAAATCGGTTACTCTAGCTTGCGAGCCTCGGGATAGCAGAATAACGCATAAACATGATTGTCTTTGGAGTGTTCATTCACATAAATACCACAGCCCCAGAGTCCGAAAGACAACCATTTATGACTATGAAATCACTCGGTGCGAGGAGCATAACGCGTAAGCATAACGGCAAGGGGAGAAAAGTGGGGCCGTCTTACACCGCATGGATGTGCTTAGAAATGCTGCAGTCCTGCCTCATTGCTGGCATAATTGATGCATACATCTGATGCACTCCTTCTCCTCGCTAAATGTATTGGAACAGTGCGCGTAGGTACTGCGAGCCCAGGTAATGGCTGACTCCATTTCAAGTTGTGCGTAGACCAGGTTAGTCGAAGTTCCATGCCTCGAATAATTTATATTATGAATCATTGAAGCTAGTTTGTTCACGTGACTACGCGGTTCTCTGTCGCGCTTTTTTTGTCTGTTCGTTAAGCGATCCGCGACTTGCGAAATCGTTGACGTCAATCCTAGTTTCGTACAACTCATGTCACCAAACGGGAAAACTTCGTAGATGCATCTCGGCTATACTTGACGATGTCGACGCTGAAGGCCGCTACAGTCTCAAACAGAGTCATTCGCAAGCGAAAACGCCCTCCGGATGAGGATGAAGTTCCGGAGGCTGACAGCATTTGGCCCATTGAGAGTGCATCTGCTGCATCCAGCGTTTCTGAAGCCTCCGACAAGACAAAAAACCAGCAGCAGAAGAAAGGCGGGGCCGCAACCGCTCTAGTTGATTGTCTTATAGAGTGGCCTTTATGGTTCAAGGAACTGGACAGAACTCATCGTGCATTAAATCTTGTGTTCACATTTTGCTCTACTCGCAAACATTTGGCCACAACATTCGAGACTATTCGCACCACTGTTGAGTCACACATCAAGAGGAAGTTGTTGATTGAGGATGTGGCAGCTATTGTGGCATTGCGGCCAGAAGGCATCAACTTCTCATACGTCGATGAGGTCATGCTTCAAATTGACATAAAAGGAGCGGAAAGAGATGTGACCTTCAAATCCGGTAGATCAAAGGACATGTGGGCACAGGGCCCAGCCCCTGATGCATCTGTGGGAGGACTCACGGGAATGGATGAATTCCCTATCCGCCATCCGAATGAGTTTCCTCCCAGTGGGAATGAAGTTCTCTTTTTTGAATTCATTGATGGCGACTTAAAGCGGCAAGTCCAAAACAAGAAGACTGGAGAACCAACGAAACCTAACAGGCGACTCCGCGATGAAGATCTCAAGATGCCAGTTTTCAGCCAAAAACAGATGACGTCACTGATCGAAAAGCGCAATCAAAAGTTCACAAATGCGGTCAATACATTCTTGAATAAGTGCACTGAAGACAAGGTCGACCCTGAACTGGTACTTAAGCAAGAAGCGGAGTCTTTTATTCCAACTCCTAGTCATTCTATGGATGCCACGCCTAAACCAGAGCTAAGCACACTACCTGAGACCATACCGACGGAAAGGAAAAGCATTCCGGACATTGTTGAGCAAATAAAGGAGAGCTCCTGGTACACGGGACAGATTGTACCTGATGGTCATCGAGTGTTTGAACCACAAGAGCCGGTCTACGGAGATCTGGATTTCGTCTTGAGCCAAGAGATGGTCAACGCCTTATATAATGCAAAGGGGATCACAGAATTTTACGCCCATCAAGCGGAAGCCATTAATCGACTTCAGGCAGGTAACCACGTTGTTGTGTCAACATCCACAAGCTCAGGAAAGTCGTTAATCTACCAGTTACCAGTGTTACATGCCTTGGAGCATGACTATCTGACAAGAGCAATGTACATCTTTCCAACTAAAGCCTTGGCCCAAGATCAGAAAAGGAGCTTAAAGGATATGCTATCATATATGCCGGGAATAGAGAATGTTTTGGTGGAAACTTTCGATGGAGACACACCAATGAGTGACAGGAATTTGATCCGGGATGAAGCTCGCATCATTTTCACCAATCCTGATATGCTGCATATCACAATACTTCCTCAGGAAGACAAGTGGCGCACCTTTCTCAAGAATTTAAAGTATGTTGTAGTCGATGAACTGCACTATTATAATGGCCTTATGGGGTCTCATATGGCTTTCATCATGAGACGGCTCAGGCGCATTTGTGCAGCTGTAGGGAACCGGAGGGTACGATTTATCTCCTGTTCGGCGACCGTTGCGAATCCGAAAGAGCATTTTGAGACAATATTCGGCATCGAAACTGTGTATCTTGTCGATTTTGATGGATCGCCATCAGGAAGGAAGGAATTCCTTTGCTGGAACACACCATACAAGGACCCTGGCGACCCTTCGAGTGGCCGCGGTGATGCATTGGCTGAATGCGCACGACTTTTCTGCCAACTCATATTGCGAGGAGTGCGCGTTATTGCTTTTTGTCGCGTGAGGAAGCAATGTGAAGCACTCGTATCAGCTACTAAATCGGAACTGGAGTCGCTAGGTCGACCCGAATGCATGGCTCGAGTTATGGGCTATCGCGGTGGATATACCGCCCAAGACCGTCGCCGCATCGAAAGCGAGATGTTCGAAGGTAAACTCTTGGGCATCATTGCGACTACAGCACTTGAGTTGGGTGTTGATATTGGTACACTTGATTGTGTCATCAGCGCAGGCTTCCCGTATTCAATTGCGAATTTGCGACAGCAAAGTGGCAGAGCGGGCAGACGTAACAAGGACTCATTGTCCATCCTTGTTGGGGATTGTTTTGCAACTGATCAACACTATATGGAAAATCCAAATGAGCTGTTCACGAAGCCAAATTGCGAGCTCCAGGTGGATTTGGAGAATATGCTCGTACTAGAAGGCCATATCCAATGCGCCGCTTATGAAATGCCTATCCGGCCAGCCGAGGATGCGAGGTACTTTTCAAAAGACTTGTCAAAGATTGCCGAAGAACGCCTAATTAGGGATGAAAACGGGTATTACCATTGTCATGACAGGTTCCGCCCAGTTCCATCAAGATTCGTCGCAATACGCGATACGGAAGAAGACCACTTTGCAATTGTCGACATCTCCCATGGCAGGAATGTTGTCCTTGAGGAGCTTGAAGCTTCTCGAGCATTTTACACAATATACGACGGAGCGATATTCTTACACCAAGGTAACTCCTATCTAGTCCGCGACTTCCAGCCCCAGAAAATGATCGCCAAAGTTGAAAAGGTCAAGGTGGAATGGACCACTCAGCAGCGGGATTTTATGGATATCGATCCCGTTGAGACTGAGGCCATCCGTAAAATCCCAGGCTCCTTATCGCGGGCTTTCCATGGAGCAATCCGACTTCAGCAGAACGTATTCGGTTACTTCAAGATTGACAAGAAGCGGCGGATCCTAGATGCGGTCCAAGTCGACAACCCTCCAATTATCCGACACAGCAAGGGCATGTGGCTCGATGTACCGAAAAGGGCTCTAGAGATCCTTGTCGATCGCCAACTAAATGTTGCTGGCGCTATACATGCAGCAGAACACGCAGTGATGAGTTTAATGCCCAACTTTGTCATCAGTATGCCAGGTGATGTTCGTACTGAATGCAAGGTTGGCATGAAGGAGTTTGCACAGAAAGAGACGCAACGCAAGCGACCAGCACGACTTACCTTTTATGACGCCAAAGGAGGAGCTGGAGGCTCAGGTATCAGTACGAAAGCTTTCGAGTTCATTGACTTGCTCTTAGTTCAGGCACTGAAACGAGTTGAGTATTGTCACTGCGAGAAAGGCTGCCCTGAATGCGTTTGCTCGGAACTTTGCAAGCATGGCAACGAGGTCATGAGCAAAGCTGGAAGCTCGGTTATCATCAAGGCATTACTCAACATGGATATCGATGTGGACGCGCTGCCAATGGGCCCTGAAGAAGTAAGTCCGGCTGGTATCGAAACTGTGGTGCTTGCAAAACCTGTGCCTTCTAGGGGACGAATTCTTGTGGACGATATTGAAGTAAAAGTCGAGGGCGATGATACATCAGAGACAGCTTTGAGCACCTGAGATATCATGACAACAGGTATGAAATCCGAAAAGTGAGATATCACAGTACATGGCTTTCAAGATTTCGTACAAAACTGCATGATTTTGCATGTATCCGACGGCTCTGCTTCAGAGACGGTATCTTCGACTGCCACAGCAGGGTCACATGATGAGACAATGGACGGACAAACAAAAGTTTGAAATCATGTTCTAGAAAACTCTTTATCAACTACGCCCAACATTTAGTCCAAGATGGCTATATACAGCACTACTCACATTAATATTTCGAGTACTTGGAGGAGATTCAAGCAAACATCTCTCAAGTTCAGGGAAATACTAGCGGCCTTCCTACCACTAGGTTCGCCTAGAAGATGGGCCACCCCACCCGGAAGGCTTTGGTGGTTGGCATCTCGACGGTATGGGGTTCGTCACTGGACCTCGTGAAGCTGGAGTTACCGACGCTGGAATGCTGCTGTTACCACTTAATGAACCTCGTCCCATGCTCGTTGTCCTAGTTGGTGTATATGGCGTTCCTGGCTCAGCATTCGTATCTTGGGCAGAAATCTTTCGGGTCCTCGGGCGTGCCAATGGATCTTTTCTCGCTTTATGGGCGGTTTCAGCAGTTCGAAGCGTGGCCCTTGTCGAAGGATAACCTTTCTTCAATGGGGAGACAGTAATCAACATGGCGACTTTGGCAGGCTTCTCGAAGGCGGCTCGCAAGGTCTTCCCGAGAGTCGTGGTCGGGTAGGGCCTCTGCCCCTTTCCGAGTTGCTCTAATATGCTCACAAGATCGCCAAGTGACTTGTTGATGCTCTGTCCTTCAGCGTGTCGCTGACCAGTCTTATCGCTTATGCTCTCAGAACCAGCAAGGTCAACAATGTTGATCTGCCCGAAAACACATCTATCGTCATCATTATTTACTGATGTTCGTTGAATTCGAAAACGGAGTGTCAAGTGGGACCTTGAAGATCTCACATTTACTTTAGTCTCCGCCTGTTGGCGTTTCTCCGAGACCCTTGCGATCACCGTGTTAGCCGATATCCAATCGGCAACTTCAACCCATGACTCTTCACCGAGCGCTATTTTTGGAGCTACTCTATGTCTGGACAGCAGGTCATACATGTCATCTAAGTAAATCTCAGTAGCTGAAAGACTGAACTGGTATGATGATACTGCCTGCTCCTCCTCCGCATGCTTAAACATCATTGCAATGAGCCGAGGAATAATCCCGTCTCTGTCAGGGTCCTGCGAGTTCTCATTCTGCTGATAACTTAGCGTGTGACTTTTTCCAGTTCCCGACGCGCCATAAGCGAAGATCGTCGCGATCTTGCCTGAGAGGGCCGACAAAAGGAGATGCTCAAGCTCTTCGAAGACGTCTGCATTCGTCTCAGCTGGGCCGAAAATCCTCTCCAGCGATAATTTTCTCATGGTAAGCCGCACAACTCCTGTACCCTCCGATTGTTCAGGAATCGCAAATTTCGCCCACTTGCTATTGAAATCACCTTCAATTTCTTCACCAAAGTCCTGCCTGTCCTCTTCGGACTCATATGGAAGCAGCGGTCGGATACGACACATGACACGTATATCGCCCTGTAGTTGATGGATCGCCTCGTTCAGTCGGAGATTGGCTCGTCGCTCAGCCGAGTGCAACTTTTCAGCTTCATCCAAGCGTTTGTTTATCTGCGCCAGATTGATACTACTCGTAGCTAGAATTCGCTCGTTCGCAGTAGCTTGTTCCTCCAGTGCCTTGATCTTTCGCTCGCGTTCCGCCAAGCTTTGCTTGATGACCTCGACATTTCCCTGCTTCAACACGTTGTTTTCGGCAGCAAGTTCTCTTGCTTCATCTCGACACCCCTTGAGCTCAGTTTCGAGCATTAGGAGTCGGTCGGTGAGCTCTTGTATCATTTCCAAATACCTCTCCAGTTCTTCTGCCCCTTCTCCAGTCGCTGCTATCCTTGCAGAGTTTTCGGACTGAGACTCTTCAGGGGCACTTCCAACGTTTTGATACTTGTTTTGCAGATTTTCTAGCTTAGATTGGCTCAATATGTACGCCGATTTAACACCTTGCAAGGTTAATTCGGCAATCTCGCGTACCTCGGCATGTTGTTCCTTGAGCTGCTCCGAATGGCCATAGATCATCTCACATATGCCTTTAACAGCCGTGAGGACTTCGCCATAACCGTCAAGTTTGCCTGCAACTTCCTGGATTCCAACCATCACCTCGGCCATACTCTCAACCTTGAGGCTCCCAGCCGATGAATGGCTAGATCTTCTAAGTTCATCAGACATACTTCCGATCAGGTTGGCCATCTTGGATCGTGCTTAGTTGAAATATTATGTTGGGGTGTTTTGATTTCCGTTGATATATATGCAGTGTGTCTGTTTCATTAGCGATACCAGAGACTTTGAACTTGTTCTTATACAGGCGGGAAAGACTGTTTACGCACTCAACAATGAAAACCTTTGTGACGCAGATCAAACATGCTCATTTGTTATGGCTCTTTACTTAGTACAATACCTTTTTCAGTCGACTGAATGGTGAACACTGGACTCTTTGTGCTGGCGAGTCTTATGTGTCTAGTTCCTTTTGTGTTCATCTTCGTAATTACAATGCAATATAACTTGTTCGGATATCTGCGTCCCGTCATGAACTCAGGGAGATGATTTTCGATTCTAGTCAATGTGATATTTGTGAATAAGACATAAAGTTGTACAGATGTATAAGATCGCTATCAGGCCATCAAGGTAGAAGGCTGGACGACCAAGCTGGGAAAATGCTGGCCACGGAATCGAGAAAGTATTCGGCAGAGATTACAATCAATTTACTTCTAGATTGTATCATTAAACCTTGATATCTTGTACTGCTTATCTTCATCATTGTTAGCGTACGTGGTTCTTTGGTACTCATCTTGATTCGGTGTTGGGTTGAACATATGAGCCCACCCACTTTCCCAATTTTTCGTCCTGTGCTTCCGCTTCTCCACCACAAAACCAACAAAGGAAGAAAGTGCTTCTTACAAGACAACTTCCTAGGATAAAATCATAAGGTTCAGTGCTTGCGTCGCATTGCACTGACTAGCCAAGAAACCGATAAAAAGCAATGGGCGAGCAAAACCCTTCTCCTAACCTTTTCTCCAAGAGAGCATTGACCCCTATCTCGGTCTTCGAGGCGGCGTACTATACTGACGGAACTCTTGAATAATCTATACTCAAGTCAGTGAACACCTGTACCCCAGAGGCTGACAAAGACACGATTACCCGGCTTACTGCAGATGATTTGTGCAACACGGGCTTGCGCGCACACGATTGGTATGTGTTCCAAGGTCCAATGGTCAAATTTGAGTATGGGGACTCTACGGAAGAGCCCACGACACCGACTTCCACGAAAAGTAGCCCCTATTTTGATGATGCAGCCAGTCCGTGCTGTGATCTGGATACCTCAATGATACTCGAAAATAAGACAGTTGACACGTATGAGATAGAGGAGACCATTGTTTTGGCCCCTTCACCTCAGCATTTAAAACATGATGACGCACAAGCTTCAGCGAGCGAAGAAAGTAGGTATGTTAGCGACGCCGACTCTGAAGCAACCTCAGTTGTGATATATCAAATTGACCCACATGAGTCAACAACAGACCGCACGGCTGACATGCATACTCCGCCAAATGATGCATGTCCGTCCTGGCTTATGAAGGCGTTAATTATCGGGCAATCCAGTGTGTTGTATTTCTGTTCTTTTTTTATTACTTTTTGGGCCCTCTACTTGCTTACCATACAAAGCACAGTATCGTCCACATTCTCGGTCGAAGATGCGCTTAGTTTGCACGACAGCGTCACCAGAATTGTCAACATTGGCAATTGTGGTGACAAGATCCCACCAGGGCTCCTTACTCAAGCCGTGAATGTCCGCATCATGAGGGTGGGCGTTAATTACAGCTCGCTGCCAGACGTGGACATGATTGGACGCCAGCTCATGAAAGCAGCTGACGACATGGACAATATAGCCGAAAGATTTGAAGCTTTTACCGTCGAAATCTACTCAATGGGTCTCTTCCTTACGCTCTATGTATTATCATAAGTCCTTGATAATGTAGGGCTCTTATGGTTTTCCTTCAAGATGCACTTCCTAACAAGTCGTAGCCCGGCCGGCTACAAATTGTGTTCGCTTAATTGCCCTTGTAAAAATGAACCTCTCAACTCTCCCATTCTTCTTAATCTCGATGTAACTTTGTGCACTTGTTTCTTTAATGGTGGGGTCGAACCTAAGTTCTTCCTCGTTCATTCATAGAAACCCGAGAATAGTGGAAACTGACCGCTGAGCATTTTGGTTAATATCAAACTAATCTGAAGCGATTCCTCCTAAACGGTCGAACTCCGATATCCTCATACAAGGCCCATGGAGAGTGAAGCCTAGGATAAATTGACGAGTGTCTGTAGCTTTAAGCACTTTTTTTTTTTTTGGAGATCGGAAAACGGATAATGCTTCCTGAAACGTGGGAACTGAGTTCTACTTACACTAATATAGGCAGCCACTTAATCAAGTATACCTAATGTCTCTTAAATAAGGGCTAAAATGATATTCAAGCTCCGCAACGCATTTGCTAACAAAAATCAGGAGAGGCATAATCTCCCGAATCGGCCTGAGGCAAACGGAAGACACATTTGCAATACCTGACGCGGCAAATTAGTGGTTAGTAGAAATTTTGCTGACACTGTGATTTCGCTTGAGCATTGCTTCGTTGGGTTGCAATCACGAAATTAATCCAGGGTTTGATAGCAAGTCCACCGTCATAGTAAACCTGGGTATGTAAAACGCTATGGAGTACATGAGGACCTTCTCGGACCTCAACACCCACAAACTTTTCTTTTCCTTTTTCTTTTTGTATAGATTCACATTGGTCGCGAACTACTAGGAATATTGCTGCGGTGCAAGGATCATCAAGAAGGAGCGCTAGGATCGATTCAACCCTACGAAGTCGTTTTCTCTTTCAAGACAAACATGCTCCCTAACCAACCATAAGCTCGATTGAGTCTTCTGCCGTGCCGCCGCGCCACCAGGAACGGGATCTTGGGATGAGGGTGGGGTTCATGAAACTGAATACTTCTCTCGACATCCAGCTTCGTCGGCTGGAAGTGCCAAACAGACCCGTACAGCTTCTGAGCAGAGAACCCTGTAGAGTCCATAGCATGTAGGAAGTCCTTCCAGACAACTTCGCCTGCAGTGGTGTTGGCGGCCGGGTCAAAGAAGATAATACGGAAAACCTTGAGAGCTCGTGCATCTACCGCAAATGTGGGCTGAGAATCACCGAGGCTCATTGTAGATAGCACTGCCTCCTCCGCGCTGGCCGCTGACATAGCACTAGGCGCTCCATGACTTTTGATTTTGGCCTTTGTGCCTCCAGCGGCCAATATCTCTTTACGAGCGGATACAGGAGGTTCTGGTCCAAAATTCAAACGCGAAAGAGGGGCCGCCAGTTGACTAGACCAATCCTCGAAACTCTGATTTGTATTTAATGTCTGGTCCTTCTTAGCAGCTGGCTCAATCCACTTTAGTGTGCGCTGCAGGTAACGCGGCTGTGATAACATTTGTTTGTAAGCTGTGCCATCCAAGTTACCAGGCTGCTTGTTAAGAATGACATCGACCGCATTCCAAAATGCATCCAGATTGGCTTCCGCTGCCCGAAGCGCTTCGACGTTGGCTTGGTTCCGGCGCTTCCCCAACGGGTATTGAAACTTCCCATCGGAGGGGTCTCCCAAGTGACTGAGGCCAACTAAGTTCCGATCTCTGAAAGCCTCCATCACTCCGCCCCAGCCTTTAGTACGCTGAGAAAATTGCCTCTTAATAGCGTCGTCTCTTTCATGGGATGCGTTTTCGAATCCATTGGCCCACGGTTGATACAGCTCGAGCTGTCTCAAGCACTCGCCCACGATAGAAAGCTCACCAATCAACATGGCGACGTATGGGGACACTAGCTCTAGAGCCTTGGGTTCCGATCGCAGCAGTCTATCAAGCTCGTCAACTACTATGGTAAGACGACAGAAAAATAAGTCAGTTCCGTCTTCCCACAGAGTCCGAAGGAGCCAAATCAGCTGCCCCGCGACTTTGTCCAGTTTGATACCCTGTTTCGACATGACCTCAATCTTTGACGAAGTGTCATACTCTGGAACATTCCGAACGAAGAGGTTTCGCAAAGGTGGGGAGGCTGCGACGGCTGTCTTGAGCTGGTTGAGCGCTCCTTTCGACACCTGATTGAGATAATGACGAAACTTGAGTAGAGCATTCAGATATTCCTCTGGCAGGTCTCTATCTGGGGATATAGCTGCGTCATACTTTCTTTGAAGCGCGCCTAGCAGCTGAGCTTGGTCGCGAAGCTCTGCGAAATACTCAAGCTAAAAGAATGACTCAACGAGTACCGTGCCAATTACTCTAGCCCATAAGATATCACCACGTCCACATTTCAGAATTGGATGAATATCTCCGCGGATATCCTTGATCATCTCCTGACGATGCTCCTTTATTTCCAAAAGTGCCTCAGCGAAGTAGCTGGGATCCTCGCGCAAAGCCCAAACATGATTCTCAGCGCGAGCAGTCCTCGCAGCAAGTAGCGACTCAATCTTGTCTAGATCCAACAGCGTAGGAGGCCGATATGGGGCTTCTTTGGCCAGGACGGCCAGGGAGGAGAGACCGCTGGCATCGACGCTTATTTTGAGCTGCGGTTCGGGTTGGATAGCGAAAGCGTCGCTGGTCATCTGCTCTAAGGGGATATCGTGGAGGATCTTTTGGCAACACTGAACAAGAAACTGAAGCACACGTTGTTGATGTTCGAGTATGAGGAGCCCCTCACCCGGAAGAAATTGCTTGCGAGTGTGCATCCAATCGAAAGCGTCTTCGTGCTCATCCCAAGCAACCAATCTCCCGTAATCTTCCTGTTGAGTCACTCCATTCAGGATCATGACATATTGATTAAGGAAAATGGGAACAATAGCCATTGTCACTTTCCTGAGATGCATGGCTTCTCCATCGGCTGCGGCGGATTCGTTAGGGTGCGTTCTGCCTCGGGCATCGAGCAGTAAAGGTAGCGTCTTGGGATCACCCAGGTCTTCCTGATTTATGCTTGGCCATATGAAAGAGCCGCGATGTTGTACAGCGACAGCATTCAGATTCCCAGCGTGCTTGCGGAAGGCAGCAAAGTCGGGGCGGTGAGTCGCCGGCATCTCCGGCCAACACCCCAGAAGTATGGATAGGCGCTGGGTTCTTGTTCGCTTCTCCCACCGTTTCTGAACTGCGGCCTCATGGAGCTGAAGAATGCTTTGCAACCTGCGATAGTTTCTGAATATATCGGCAGAACGGTCTTTAGCCTCACACTTGACTGCCTGAAGGGACAATATCTTGGGGGCAGACGTCCCTCTTGCAGCAAATATACCGAAGGGATCGCTGTTGTTAACCTAATCCGTGTCTCGCATGTCCGGAGCGTCAATGTCATCGAGCTCTGGATGCGGCTCGAAAGCATTGAACTGGTGATTCCGCCGAGGCTGCAAAGGATTCATTTTGGCGGCTATCTCTTGAAGTTGCGATCACTTGGAAACCTCTCGTCTGAGGATATATCTGTGGAATTGTTTCACGATCAAGTGACGGGTCGATGCTTCATCAGCCCACAGAACGCTCAGAGCAGAAGGGCTTCTATTCCGTGCTTGCATGGAAAAAGCAATCTTCACACCGCGTTTGTTTTGGCCATGGCCACAGACCACGAATTGCTTAACTAGACTAGGTTATCTATCTAGAAGTGGGGAACTAATAGATTGCCTTCCATGAGTGGAATAGAGCTTAGCTTTATGCCTCACAGTTATATCGCAAACTATCAATAAACCTACTAGTGAGTAGCATACATAACGTGTTTATCAAGCTATAAGCCTTTTTGTTTAATCATCTTTGATATAAAGTCGGGGATAGTAATAGTTCCTCATACCAGCATATAAGTCGCCTGTACTTGCCTCTAAAAGCTAGCCCTAAGTTAGTGCCAAGCGCAGCGGCCGAAGCGACAAATCATGTTGACTACTTATGTACACGTTAATGCAGACAGGTTCTCATGTTCTGGAGCTCCCCAGAAGCAGTGCATGCGTTAGCTCTTTTCTGCTACTATGTATTGTTGTCCCTCTATCGTGTCCCGCTCTTTCTCGCATGTCCCCCATAGTCCACTTAGTGTCGCAATATCTAACCTAGACTAATGCAAGGTCACAAGCCAATGCAGGCATGCGCATCAAGGGCGTCGTTGACAGGACCTTATTGTAAAATGAGTCAACTGTCTGTCGATATAAGATAGAGCAATCAGTACTCTATGCATGAGCCGGCTTCAAATATCGACTCATCGCATCAAAAAGCCCACCGCCAATATGCAAATCAGACCAGTTCATGCCGAGACGCGGATCTCAGCTTTGCGCCAACTGATCCGCGACTATCCTCTGGGCATCCTTACCACAGCAATTCCGTCAAAAACGCACCCGTTGATTCAGTCGTCTCACATACCGTGGGTGCTTGATATTAAAGATGAAGAAAACGAGAGTGAGCTTGGTACCCTCCGCGGGCATCTCGCAAAGGCCAACCCCCAGAGCAAAGCCATGATGGACTCTCTGGCGGGCCCGGAGGGGCAGATATCCGGGACCACAACTCTAGAGCAAGAGGTTCTGGTTCTTTTCACAAGTCCGGTTCACTCATATGTCACGCCAAAGGTCTGCCAGTCTACATTTCCACAAATGGGCGCACTACAAAGGCTGACTTCGCATATAGTTCTACACTGACACGAAACCCAAGACCGGCAAGGTCGTGCCCACCTGGGATTACGCCGCAGTGCAGGCATACGGGAAAGCAACCATATACTGTGACTCGAAATCCAAGGAGACTGGTGATTTCCTGCAAACGGCCATCGATGACCTCTCCAAACAAATGGAGAAACTAGCAGGTCATACAGGGGAAGGTGACCGGGTGAAGCCTTGGCTGCTTTCGGATGCTCCTGAGAGCTACGTGGAGATACTCAAGAAGGCCATCATCGGGATCGATATCAAGATCGAGCGGCTTGAAGGGGTGATCAAGATGAGCCAAGAAAAAGGAGAGGCCGATCGTCATGGAGTAATTCAAGGATTTAAAGAGATGGGCACCGACCTCGGTCGAGGTATGGCTAAAATGGTTACAGAACGTCACGAGTTGAAGAAAGCTAGTCATTAGCTATTACAGCTGTCATCACAATACCCCAGCTTTGTTCTATCCCACGGAGGAACCCGCATTCTTTGATGGTAGAAATCAGCGTTGGCGTTCAATTCAATTCAATCATTCATTACCCAACTTATATCGCTATTGGTTCGTAGACCTGACCTAACCCGTCACGGCATATCATCAAGCAATAGGCTACTGCTGTCTAAACCATCCCATTTCGGTTTGCCATCCGGTATATCTACTACCCTAGACCCGTAGAATATATGACACCTGCAAGCTTCTGTCAGCAAGTCACACATTCATCACATGGGTTGAGCAACGTACTGCGGGGAGAACTTGTCTCTTTGCTTCTTGTCCTCAAATCTGATGAGTGTAGGGAATAGCAGCACCATGCGCCTGCCCTCGTCAAATATCGGCGACCGGCAATGCGCACAGCTCACTTTGCAAGGAAGATCGTGCCCAAGGGTGTTTCCCCCCGAGTTGTAGAACACTAGATCCTTCGTGCCATTCTCAAACATCATGTCCTCCTTATGGAAGATGGCAGCCCATTGGAACGGCGCTCCTACGTGGTGTTAGCACTCTGTTCTTGTAAATTCAAATGGCTCTTCTTGATGCGGAAGGCTTACCATGTAGAAGCTGGCAGCCACGACAGTGACAGTATTTGGCAGTTAGAGGAGCATCGCGACTAAGCCAGTATTTTACACGGCCACATTGACATTTGCCCTCGAGTTTCTTCTCAAACGTTTCTGCCCCTTCTATGGAAGCATAGGGAGGTCGCTTGTCCCATGTCCTTGCTACAGTAGCGTCTGTTGCTGCCATTGTCGTAGAGTTTGCATGTAGAACCCTTTTTGTGAGTTGTGTACACGAGTATGAGAGGTTGCGCCGAAAAGGTAATTCAGCTTTTTGGCGTAGGGGTTGAATATGACGTAGTTGCAGGGCAGCGCCTGTAAACCGTAGTTTGGGACCGAGGTGGTGCGCACTAGTTCCACGGAGAATCATTATTTTACGCCAGTGGCCAATAATCAATTATTAGTCACTGCCAACGTGTGAGCGTTAAATGATTGAGGTCGAGTAGTCGTGGAGATTCTGATGGGTAGTATACATCGATCAGCCCGAATAGAACTCGTTTCCTTCCTAAATCGAGGGTCCGAGGCCGATCTATGAGGGAAATGTGGGCCTCCGATTCCCGTCCCTGCAATGTTGTCATCATGACAGTATATCATAACCTGCAAGATACCGCAACGATAGCTGGTAGGCTGCGAATAGGAATAAAGCCAGTACTCCTGCGAGTGACCGATACGGTTATACAAAACAGCTCAGCAATAACTACAGTTTCACCGTTTACCGTTTGATTTCTATTTATCATTTCTAAATTTCTAAATTTCTGTGTTCATGAATACTCGGCCAGTGCTGCAAAAGTTACTTGCCCACGCATATATTCTGTGCTAGAGTGCTTACCAGATACTTTGACACTTCGTTGGCCCTCAAAAAGCAGGCAGTCTATTTGACTTCAGATACTAATCTTGAGAACACTAAACAATGTCCTGCCAATTGATCAGTGTGAGCTATATGTTGGCATATTTCAAGTCCTTACCAGCAAAGCACCAGACAAACAGCTATCATATCCGATCAAAAACCAGGTGATCGGGCTGAAACACCAGAGTCTCTATTGTTATATAAGAGTGGCGACAGTGGTGAGGGACTTTGCACTTTCGCTCTTCTATGTACTACTCGCCAAAAGCCGCAGCGCTACTTACCATGCGCGCAGGCTTACCATGCAGCTCATTCGTCCATTTAGGACGAGATGATCAAATCAATTATCGGCAAGGACGCCATGCCAATTTATGTATGTGCCCCAGAAGATGAGTTGTCACAACTGTCTTCAGTAAGCAGAGCGTAGGGCAGCCAATCAACTGCCTCATAAATATGCAATAAGTGTCGCAATAACCACTTTTGGCTCCGCCGTGGTTGCGGCCAAGCGGCGCTGTCGCCTCCAGTCCACCGTGACACAGGATATGGAAGCAGATGTCCCCAGATTTCATGGTTCCTACATGTCAAGTCGTGGGTAAGATCAGCGTATCGCGCATGCAAAAAAAAAAAAAAAAAAAAAAAATTTCAACGGCTATGGTAGGGATACTTGAATTTGTTGCCAACATTATAAATAGTATCGGCCGGACCGCTACATAGCAATGAAACGAGCTGACCATCGGGTTTCACTTAATCATGACCGCAGAAACACTATCGCTCGCTGGCAAGGTAGCAATCGTGACCGGCTCGGGCCGCGAGCCAGGACTCGGTGCTGGCATTGCGACAGCCCTCGCCCGCAATGGCGCTTCCGTGGTGCTCAATTACGTGAGCGATTCAACGGCACCAAAAGCCGAAGCCCTAGCGGCACGACTCAAGACCGAGTGGGACGCCAAGGCGGTTCCCATCCAGCAGGACATTGAGTCCGAAGAGGGTGCCAAGGGCCTTGTTGAGAAGACGTTGGCAGTATTTGGGACCGACCATATTGACATTCTAGGTCTGTCCATGTCCGGCAAGCACATGTCCAAAGAATCAAAGGTTTTGCTAACAAAGTGCCTTTAGTGAATAATGCCGGTTGCAACCTGCCTGGTTCAACGCTCGAAACGCCACTAGAGAACATTCATACGCAATTCTCCAAGAACGTCTTCGCAGCGATCTATGTCGTACGCGCCGTGGTTCCTCACATGCCTAAGGGTGGTCGCATCATCAACATCAGCAGCGTTTCATCCAAGACTGGCATCACCAGCCTGCCATTCTACAATGCGTCCAAGGCGGCTCTGGACTCGTTGACGCATACCTGGGCTGGGGAGTTTGGGCGCGCACATGGGATAACTGTCAACACAGTCGCTCCGGGACCCATCGTGACGGATGAGATGAACAAGTTCGCGCGGGACAACCCGGATGGGTTTAAGGCAATTCAACAAATGATCGATGCGACCAAGGCTGCAGATCGGTTGGGCGAGATTAGGGATGTCGCGGATGCAGTGTTGCTGCTGGTCCAGGAGAAGTCGCGATGGATCACCGGGCAATATATTGATGTCAGTGGTGGAATTACAGGACATTGATGTGCCTAAGTCTAAGACCAAAAAGAAATAGGAGATGGCACAAAAAGCACACATGGGGTTTTTTTTTATCCAAGCCGACGATGCTGGGAGATATTTCTAGAAACGTAAGATAGGAGCTTTTGTGCGAATACATATAAATACGTCTACCTTAACCAGTACGATTAGATGTTAGGGGGTTAAAAGGCGATTGCCGAGAAACGAACAAAGAAATTATGGGAAGAGCTTACCTAAGGGCGTAGATTCCTTTTAAGGAAAACACACTTGACTCATAGCGTAGCATTTCCTTCCTTTGTAAACAATCTCCTCCTCTTCGTCGTCATAATCCTCATCAGGTGATTCAGCCGCCGCAAGCTTCTCGCCGCTGTCCTGTGAACACAACGAGAGACTACCCATCAGCTCTGACTCCGGGATCGCGATGTCCAGCTCGACGGGCACAGAAGTAGTGTCATCACCACCATCACACGGGATCATCGAGTACCAGGACCTCTGCCTGCTCGTATTCAGACCATGCTCTTGCTGTTGCATCTCAGCCTTCCGCCACAGCCACTGCGCCCTCGCGCCATCGTCCACTGCGCCCCATGCGCCCTGGTCCAGCGCCTCGCTCTCCCCGTGTAATACCAGCCTCTGGAACTCGAAGCCGCCCATCTCGCAGTAGAGGCAGTAGAAATCGTTGAAGCGTAGGAAGGCGGTGCCCCGCTTGGGGTCCGTCAGCGATTCGCGGTGGCTGACGCCCTTGCCCGCGTCCCTCCACACGGTGGAGGACCATGTGGTCTTGTAGGAGGGGCAGGGCATACGGCGAGACCGGGCCCAGGAGCAAAACTGAGAGTTCATCCAGTTGCGCTCGACGAGGACTGTGCCCCGGCAGTCCTGGTTGCTGCATTGCCAGATGATTGAGGTTCCGGTGCACATGAGTTCTTTGTGGAAGCTTCTGCGGGTTTTCCTTCTCAGTCTGCTTAGTAGAGGTTGTGATACTGTGTAAGTGTTTATGTTCTTATGTTTTCTCCAGTGTAACAAGAGTTTGCTAAGATGTCTTTTCCTTCGGGATATGGTATTAGATATAGCATATCGAGAAGCAGGGATCATAATAGAATTGTGTCGGTGAGAACATTGGAAAGAAAAGAGCCCTTTGTTAGCAGGTGTCTCGTCTACAGCCATATGAACAATAGCTTTTTATGTCTTTGAATAGAACAAGGAGCGATATCACTAGATCTATCACATTGAGTACAATGACCGGCTTATCTGCCAAGAGGAAAGTCGCAGAGGAAGAATCAGAACAAAGCTGAGAGCGGTAGTCTCAGAATGAATTGGGTTGTCTGAATTTCAAAAAGTGTTCCGTGTAAACATTATTCGTAGGGTACGCATGCCGCACGGTACATCAGCTCGACGATCCGTGCCTATAATGCAGGATGTGGGAGGTGCTTGGTCCAAGCACTAGTGACCAAGCATACCAAACACAGTAACGCCGACCCATGGTTACCCGCGTCGTTGAGGCGTTGCAGTATACAAATAGAAACTCGAAAATACCTCTGTCCATGAGAAGTGTGTTTCGCACCTCGCGAGACTTGCCAATAACTTCAGGATTCCAACAATAACCACGAAAAACGCCAAACTACCTTTTCGTTCCCATGTGAATACCAATGCTACGATTCGAGAATTCAGTTGGGTGAACTGAGATCCAGTCTGGAGCAGGCATCTATCTATGATGCTGTGTGCGAGGACTTTCTCGGCTGTGCAGCGAATAGTTTGACTAAATCGCCAGATCATGTCTAAATGAAATAGTGTTTCAGATGTGCGGATCCATATATTCCAGGCAAATAACTTTACCACCGACGACTAGAAGCATATTAGTATCGAACAGGGTGATAGACTGGGCCGGTGATTGACATACTCGTAAACTGAGTGCACCTTCTTACGCTGTTTGCGTTTGTGAGTAGTATCTTCTTGTTGACGCTTGAGAGAGTCCGTATCAGAATCATCACCATCAGCACCTATAAGGCCCAAAAGCTCCGCCTCGATCCTTGTCAAAGGTGAACCAAGGTCACTAGCTTGAGAAATGTTCCCAAGAGATGATCGTCGACTTGCAAGCCCATCACGGCTTACAGGGCGGCCACCAGAATTAGAAGCTTGGGAACCCCGCCGGGGAGGCATCTCAACAAAAACATTCTGCGAAGCACCCCGATCTTCGGTATGATTGACCTGTTCTTTGCTAGATATTACACGGTCGTTATCAGAGGTAGCACCTGAGCATAACCGGTCGATATGGGATTGCAAGTCATCGAGTAGGGGCTTTGGCGAAGCTGACCTGCGCTGGTAACTGTCAGAGGGTTCGAAATGTTCATGAGGTCTCGGACTCAGCGAGGGATGGCCCCAGCCAGTATAGTGAGGGCTGCGAGAATGACCTCCGGAATGTAGTGGAGCGCCCGGTCTATCAAACTTGGAATGGCCATCGTCGTAGTTGCGCGACTGATCCAATATCGGCTGGTGCCTTCCGTGATCGTCAACGTAAACTGGGTCACTACGGGACCATTGTGATGAGTCATCTTTCGGAGGCAAGGGCAATATGGGCCAAGCGCGGGCATCTACCACCGACACTGGTGTATCACTTATTTCACCAGGCTCGGGTGACGCCTGCCTCGGCGGTTGCTCAAAAAGCTCCGGATACTGTAAGTGATATCCAAGGTTTCTCGAGTTCGCGGCTTCATGTCCGCTTATTGTGTCAACACGTTCTTCCCACTTTCTTTTCCTCTGGAAGGGGCCTGAATATCGCTGGTCTTTATCTCCACGGTTGTTGAATCTCTGGCTGCGACCCTGGTCTCTGCCGTGATTCTGCGCATGCGTATGACGACCACGCTTATCATGTCGGATCCCTTGACCCTTTTGGATCGATCTTAGGTACACACCTAAGTTATGAATATTGACATCTCCAGGGGGTAGGAATGCGGGATGGTTGCGATACTTGTTCCATTGATTCGTATCCCTCACGCTCAATGCAAAATCATCGAGATTCGCCGAGGTGATATATTTTGATTTGACGCCCTTGACGTCGAATGCAGGGGGTAACATGATTTGCTCAGAATACTCGCCAGGCAAAGGTTCCGCGATTGGATCAGCCTGATGTTGAACAGAACGTTCGGCAAATGCCACCTCCAACTCCCGTAGGAATCCCTTGTCGGATCGAATATCGTCATCATCCTCTGAGGATGTCTCATTTCTCGTTTCCGATGTTGTTGCGACGTTGTCCGTTACATCAGGCTTTTCTTCAGGCCCTGCTACCTCGTGAGACAGCTCAATTTCTACCGGAACCACGACATCTTCCACTTCAGAGGGTCGAGATGGTTCTTCTGGTTTCCGAGGCAATGCAACAGCTGATGCTGGCGTAGCTTGCTTAGGCGTGGTATGTGCCGAGCTATTCAGCGTCAGAGCGGGCTTCTGACTTCCGCTTCTGTTGCTCATCTCACTGCCAGGCCGACTGTGGGAACGAAAAGGCTCGCGATCACGAGTTGTCCTTTCACCATAGGGTCTGTCATGTTTCCGACGATCGAATCTTCCCCGACCACCTTGCCGACCTCGATCATCATGCCATCGTTCATCTCGCGAGTGGTCTCTAGGGGGTCTACGCTGGTCACTTCCGTATTCATTGCGCCGATCTTCCCTACGGTCATTCCATTGATCTCTCGCGTAGCGATCGTGCGAGCGGTCTCTCCGGTGGTTCTCAAAGGGTGGGTATTCGGACCTGTGTGTATCATGATTAAAAGTGGCGGGAGGTGGAGCATACCCGGAGTAATTCGGAGGAGGGATGGTTGAATGCTGTCTAAAATCTGGCGGCTGAAACCCAGGAGGTGGTGCAGCCAGGGGTCCAGGTGCGCCGGGACTCGGTCCGTATCCATACGGTAATGGCGGAGGGTGGACCGGAGGTTGACCATATTGATGTGGATACCCTTGATCGGGGTATAGTGGAGGACCAGTAATGAATGGCGGTAGAGGGTTGCCGGGCGGTCCATATGGCTGATACGGCGGTTGTGTGAATGAGGGAACGCTATGAGGTTGCGGTGGACCATAATGGCCATAATGCGGTTGCGATGGAGGATGCCATGACGCATATTGACCGTGGTAGGGAGGAGGCGCCGGACCGGGGGGGTATGGCTGTTGTGCAGGAAAAGGATAATGCTGCCCAGGTGGTACAGGTGGGTAAGATTGCCCTGGGGGTGCAGCTGGGTAATGATTTGGTGTAAAATTAGAAGGAGGCTGAGAATATCGCGTCACGATGGGGCCTTTGTGTCGCTTATTCGGATGTTCAGCATCGCGACTGCCACTTGCTTGACGCGCTCTTGAAGCTTCGAGACCACTGAAATAAACGTAAGCGTTGAAAAAGGGGTTTTTATTTTTAATTCCCCAGGGGGGGGGGTTTGAAAAAGAGAAAGAGCTCCATCTGTGGATGTGTGCTTCTGGGCAGTATTGCCAAATGGGGAGAACATGTAAATCGACCGTTGGACACAATTACTTACGCAGGAACTGCTCGAGTAGGCTCAGGACAGGCCGTGAATATGTGACCACGCATACCACAGTTGTAGCATGGTGGTGGCTCACTATAAGCCGAATGGTGGCCAGGGGCTACATCAGCCATTATGAAAAGGTTTCGGGTCAACGAGGCACCGGCAGGTACAGTAGTATAGAAGTGGTGTCCACCTAGTCTTCCCAGTCATTACCGTAAGAAAGGCAATGACAATGCTAGAGACACCCCAATGATATATTGCATGAAGATTTTGCGATGCATATGACAGGCATTAACTATAAGACCTTATTAGCAAATTGCGTAGGATATATACGAAAAGCGGCGACTTGTGAAATTTACGCAAATCAAGGGAGATAAAGAATAATGAAGACGGCTCTCGCAACGGTGGCATGTTCAATGCGCTGTAGTTTTGAATAAGGGCAGTCCATAGCACAATATTGAACCACAGAAGTGAGGCGGGAGACTTAATGATGGCTGTCTGATATCCTATACGAACCGAACGTCCAGACATCTCGCAAAATTGAACAACTATCAGCAGCAGTTGCTCCTGTAGCGTTGTGTTTTTGGGGAAGAGCGTGTCAGGACCATGTGCATTTCTCCCGGAGATGGCAACAGCATGCAACAAATGTATTGAAGGAACGCGTTTGTATAATGAAATGGAAAGTGCAATATGTGACTTTGCACAAGCCATATGACATGGCACATTGTTGTTATGGCCGTCATTGTGTGCGACTTGGCCACAAATCTGGCGTTGGGGAGAGCCAGGAACGTAGCGTAGCAACAAGGAAAGTGAGCGAAGAGGAAGGAGATAGAGCTGTGACTTACATGTTCAAGATATACTAGAAGGAAGGATCGCCAGATGAGAAGGCCCACAAGACCAATCTCTCAATCACGACAGCAACGTGACCACAACCCCCCTTCACCGCACTATCAGCGACTTGATAGCAGCGCGTTTAGACAAACATCAATAATCGCGGGCTACCAGACCTTCAGCAGCCGTATTGCCATGTTCGATGGTCCCGTTGCAGTCGCACTTCACGTGAGGCTGATGGATACGTTGGGTCATGAGGGAACGTAAGATTCGAGGTTGGGGGGCGCTGGAGCGCTGGACCCATCTCGCGCGGACGTGGGCGGCTGAAAACCGACCGGTTAAACGCCGGTAGATTCGGATGAGAGCAAAGTCCATATCAGATCAGGCCAGCAGTTCTCGTCTTGCGTAGACATTCGCGTCATCCTAATGCAAGTCGTGAGGGCAAGTCATTATGCACTACCATGGTTTGGTCTTTGTCAGGTCTTATCAAGAAAAGAAGTAAAACAGTCTACATTGATCTCTAGAGCATTGACGCAACTGTGAGCGGCGAGAGATGCACAAGACAAGACATGTTGAGAAACAGAGATATTCCATCTTTATAGTACTGTATAAAACGCACGTCGGGGAGCACCCCTGTGTTTAAACCAAGACATACAAAGAAGACTTGAAGGAAATGGCCAGCAGCGTAGTATCTGAGGACTGTGAAGACGGCCGTGAAAGGAAACAGAATGTGTTATGGACGCGTCTTGTGACCAAGACTTGAACCTTCGAGAATCCCAATGCGATTTGTATAATCAGCAGCAGAAGAACGGCTGTTGAGTAGTGGAATTGACGGCACAACAGACAGTTTATGATATCTGGGCCAATTTCAGGCGGCTGTACAGAGCTGCAAGGGGGATGGTATCTATACCGAGGTCAATGTTCACTTGAACGTGACCATGCCAGTAGAAGGAGAAAACACAACAATATAGGGACAAAGACGCGGCGATGGACCGCAGAGATACGAGCTTGAATGGTGAATTAACTAAGTAGAATGGGTGAGGAGAAGATCTGTCGTCGAGAGAGGTTCGTGCCTACCGGAGATATCAAGCTGGATTTACAGTTCGATTTCGGGGTACCGGGTGGGGGATGATCCGAGCGCCTCTCTTTCACCACAATCGCCAACTACAGTATGTAGCTGGGTGGCTCCCCAGCTCCAGTCATCAATCGACTCACCAAAGCGCCAATCGACACCTCATGGGCGTGAGCGTATCATCCGGCGCCCCAACACCCATCATCGTGATCAGCGCTTGGATTGGATTGGATTGCAAGAGAGAGCTGGATTGGTAATTCGCCTCGCGCCCCCCGTCCGTTCTCCTTCTTCCACTTGCGTCGACTTCACCGTTGCCCATTTGGACCTCATGTAGAACGACGACAGACCCCCCGACGATCATGTTTGCGTATTCCACCACGGCACCACACTCCGACGACAATATAGCTTTCGCCAGGAGCAGAAGGAAGCCGGCTTCGTTCTACACACGAAACCCCGTGCCTTGAACATACTGAGCCAGACAAGGCTGAATCGCAATCAAGATGCCTGGGCTACCGGGTGCGTTCATGGAGCAATCCTCCTCTTCTCATTTCGTGCACGTGGCTGACGATCGCGTGTGATAGCATCTGTCGACCTGGACGAATGCATATCCCGACTCTACAAGAAGGAGCTCCTCGCCGAGTCCGTCATCGAGGCGATATGCGCCAAGACGAAAGAACTGCTCATGCGCGAATCCAACGTGGTGCACGTCCAAGCGCCCGTGACCGTTGTGGGTGACATTCATGGACAGTTCTACGACCTCATTGAGATATTCAAGATTGGCGGTTGGTGCCCAGACACGAACTACCTCTTCCTGGGCGACTATGTGGATCGAGGAATGTTCAGCGTAGAGACTATCAGCCTTCTCGTGTGCCTGAAGCTGCGATATCCCAACAGGGTACATCTGATCAGGGGCAACCACGAAAGCAGAGGCGTCACGCAGAGTTATGGCTTCTATACCGAATGCAGTAGGAAATATGGGAATGCGAACGTTTGGCACTACTTTACCGACATGTTCGATTTTCTGACACTGAGCGTGGTCATCAACGACCAGATATTCTGCGTCCACGGTGGACTCAGTCCCAGTATACACAGCATCGACCAAATCAAGATTATTGACCGTTTCCGAGAAATTCCACACGAAGGACCCATGGCGGATCTGGTGTGGTCAGATCCAGACCCGGAGAGAGACGAGTTCTCACTTTCGCCAAGAGGAGCAGGCTATACATTCGGCGCCAAAGTGGTCAAGAAGTTCCTCGCAGTCAACGGCATGTCACATATTCTGCGCGCGCATCAACTGTGTCAAGAAGGCTTCCAGGTGCTGTACGATGATCACTTGAGCACCGTCTGGAGCGCCCCGAATTACTGCTACAGGTGCGGTAATATGGCTAGTGTGCTCGAGGTTGGCGACACCGGAGAGCGGTTCTTCAATGTCTTTGCGGCAGCCCCCGAAAATGATCAGGTCAAGGACCTGCAGCCAGGAGGAGACAAGTTAGATGGTAACGCACTTCCGGACTATTTCTTGTAGACAACGGTCAGAAGAGAAGTTGTGGGATTGAGGGCTCAGCGGAACTGAGCAGAAACCCAAAATCTATGCCACTGTACTGGCATCTGCAAAATCACGTTCTTTTTTTTTTGCCCTGTTATGTATCATAGCTAATGGTTCGACGCGTCACGAAATCGTACCTAGAAATGAATGGAAATACCCAGTTGTTTTTGCGCACCAGATTCTACGTCGACATCTCAACGGCCCGGGTTGGCAATGGACTTCGGTGAAGTTCGATAGTAAGAATGAATAAAATTTTCGTCTCAGCGACTCTGGGCTGGGTTGGGAAACAAAATTTTGGAAACAAGGAAAGAAAACAAAACCCCTATAATATATCCATCTCTGCCTTCAGAGAAAATCGAACTCACCGCGTATCAGAGGAAGCGATCTGGAATTAAATGCGCTGCCACTGTTGCAAAGATAAAATCAACTGTTCCGAATGGTGAACGAATGTTGTAGCTATACTACATGACACTATGAACTTATAGTGATATGGGTATCTTTGTCACATACTTCTCATCTTGCTGCAGCGCGCCTAATTTCAAGCCAGAGAAATTTTGATCCGGTATTTAATTTTCAGTCCTGCGTAGTAGGTCTATGCTGTTCAGATCCGCAAGAGATCTGGTAGCTCTGAAGGTTCTCCAAAAGCAAGGGGAAGTGGTGTACTTATTGTTCCTGCGATCACCAGGCCAGGCCAACTCCGCTTTTCCTCGTATCTCGAATGTGAGCTGTCTAGCCAGTCACGAAAGTCTAGTCTCCAATGCAAACGCGTCCTTTTTCCTCCACGCCATAGTCCAGTTGTCATCATCGCTCCATATGTTCGCTTTTTCCAAAGTAGCACAACCGAGCAATACGGTTACACATTGAGGTCTTCAATAGCTACGCGTAGATATAGTCGAAAAGCAAGTCGTCTACCAGTCCTTAGCAATGTCGAAGGACCACTCGAATTGCAAGTGTGTCTTCTTGTCATCATCAATAAACGTGGAGATTGCGTTGTAGTGACCACGGGCAAGCATGCCAGAAGGAGCCTCTTCCTCTTGGACTGTCGTACTGTTAGGGTCTGTGAAACATATGTGACATAAAGGACAGTACTCACAGCGCTTGGTGTAGATGGTTTGCTTATCTGTGTTGGGAGCGTAGCTACCCTGTTCCGAGAGTTAGTGGTCGGTGAGCCAGATGTGAGTAAAAGGTCAAAACTTACCAGCATCTCAGAATCCTTGCTGACCTTGATGCCCTTTCGCTTGACGATCTGCACGTACTGAAGGCCACTGAGGATCTCGTGCTGAACCTTGAACTCGGCGACCATGGTGAACTTTGAGCCCTCCTTGATCTTGAAGGGCTTGTCCTTCAGTGTGGTCTCACTGCCAGGTGCCGCGAGATCGATGGTGACGGGCTCCCGTCCAGGCGACTCCATGGACAGCTTCTTAATAATGCAGACACGCTTGTCGTTAGGATCGGATAAGTCTTTTCCGCCACCCAGTCCGAGCGACTCCTTGTAGCGTTGTAGCGACTCATCGTTGGAATCTGTGCGAGACTTCTGGTTAGTTTTGAGAAACGGTGCCACATGGCAAAAGTGCAATGCGATGATTCCCTGGGTGCGTGGGTGAGGGCTGGGATCATCTGCAGAGTTCGAAAGGACAGTCACCTCGCTCCACACTAGAGGAGAGAGGCGGGATGGAGGAGTAGTGGCCTCGATGCTGACCGAATAGCCTACATCTTGGCTGTAGAGATGCAAATCCACGTCTTGGTCCAGGTCATTTGTTTCTGTGCCTTGTTCCTCCTCCCCCATGATGGGATCCGAGGCAAGCAAAAGCGAGAGCCTTTGAAACAGCCTCCCAGTCATCTCGAGGTTTCAACAGTCCGATTGTTTGCTCGCGATTGTGGTAGCGGGTGGCGTTGCTGAATCAAACACATCTTGGTTTCACTTGACACATTGAGTCCTCCAAGCCAACTGCAGCAGTGCAAGCCCGCTCGTCGAACCTCCCATGTTGGTTGATTGAGTTGTGTGTTGTGATAGACCGTAGAGCTGATCTTTTCCGGCTGTGCAAGCCCGCTTATCGAATCTCCCACATTGATTGTGTTGTTTGTTACAATTGTTTGGCGATGATTTCTTTATCTTTGTTTTGTGACTTTGCGAGCCTGCCAATCGAATTTTCTTTATTGGTTGTGTTGTGTGTTGTGCGTTGTGATTATTCGTCGAGCTGATTTGACGGGCTGTGCGAACCAACACATAGAAGCCTCAGGAAAATCCTCAGTGGCCACATGCCGCCATGAGAGTGGACTCAAAGACCTCCATCGGAACATGCATCGAGGCCTGAGGCACAGAAATGGGTTGCCTGATCGCTCAGACCTTTGTGCAAGTATAGCACAACTACCACTAAATTGTGGATATCATATTCTCTGGCTTCACGGCCATCATTGAGGCCTTTAACATCGTCACCAGGCCAAGCCTCCTTTGTCTCGACTGCATATTGATGGCTGACCTCCTCATATGCCAAACTCAGATGAACGGTTGAGCCTACAGGCATGTGATATAGGTAACATGTTTTGACTGACAGGACTCTTCCATCAAAAGCTGTGCAGAAGGCCTGATATGTCATTGTCGGCCGGTATATGGACCACCATATAGTGGCCCATGTACCAATTTTGACGTCGACGGTACGGCCCGTCCAACATAGGAACACCACAGCAGATGATCCACCTCCCCATCCACAAGACAATGACGAGTAGGAGTCAAAGCAAAGGGTAGAGGTTTAAAGTTCGCGCAAGATGCGGCAACGATTCAAAGACATGCATTAGAGTCCAAAAAGAAAATAGTTACTTACCCATGTTCTGGTACTCAGCCAAACTCTGTTTGGGCTGCGAGAGCTTGTAGCCCTGAGTCTCCTCAGGCAAGTGATCCTCCTCGTGAGAAGCCATGTCGACGGATTGTATTGGTGATTCAAGTATCAATTGAAGAGAAAATCGTTCGTAAAGACAACGGCTGAGAATTAACGACCAACTTGAGAAGAATGGAAAGACATCACGAAGAGGGGCAGATTGGCGGTGATGAACCCTTTGGACGTTGGGTCAGACCAAGTGGGGCGCTTGCTGAGGGGCAGTTTGAAGTCGCCCTGAAGTGATCGTGCTGCAAAGGCGGACAAAGCTCTGATTCATGCATACATGCGACCTGAAAGAATGTGACATATCCAAGGCGTGCAAACGGGCAAATGAGTGGCGGCATTGGTGAATACGTTGAAGCTATAGATATACTGGACTTTGCTTGACTTAGTATCGTGCAGCGTTTTCCTCTGAACGCAATATACATCATTAAATATGTCTATCACGGCGTTCAATTGCCAACACACAAGGTGTATAATAATCTACTTGTAGCAAGCTGAGATTCATAATGAATGATGAAATGGCTCCACCTGCTTCATATACTGTCAGGACAGTAAAGATTTCGGGTCAGTATCTTGGACTCGGCACTTCCGGCTAATCGCAGCGTTGCAATGGTGATTCTTTCCACAATCATGCCAGACAAAATGGAAATGACTGCTACCCTCGGCGATTCGATATCCCATTTGGCTTCAAATGGGAGTAAAGAGGTGACAGGAATTTTTGAAAAAAAAAAATTTCCCCCTTCTCATTTGAATCACCAAGTGGCGGCGTAAGAAAAACATGCTCGTGATTGAAAGGTACATTTTTCTATTTCCCGACGATAGTAACGATAAATAAAGGTATTCATACTCCGTTCAAGTCCGTACCCCCAACGCGTTGCCTTTTGGGTATGTATCCTAGAAGGGCGCGCTAGTCCAGTATGAAATAATACTATGTGCGTGCTATCAAATGACTAAACCTCGCGGGCCCATGTCGAGGAAATTGTAAATTCATCAGTATTTCCTCAGTATTTCCTCACAGCGGTTGGAGCGGTCCAGAGACGTCAAGTTAACGCGCAGTGTTGCTACTTTCGTGTGCCCACCAAACGACGCTCTCACAATATGAGTTCAGCGTGATCGGATGTCCTCTCGTTCCTGAGAAGTAGAATTAATGCGCCCAGACGGCGCCAGGGTCCTCGACATGCCTCAGCATTTTCGAGAAGACATGCCATCCAATTTAGGAACAACCATGCCGATTTGAGCGTGCCTCAGGGAAGTGGATGCTGAGAATAGGAAATGATTGGCTGTAAGGTAGTTTAATTGGACCCCGGATTGCCCGTGGGCCCGTGCGAAGTGTAGTTTCTCCATGTCCTCATCACACCCCATCAGCTCCTGCCGTACCATCCTTTCTCTCCTCTGCCTCTCCGCGACGACCCTTTGCGCCAGCTTGTCGAACAGCTATCCAATTGATTTATCCTTTGGAGGCTCTCGTCGGTTTTTCTTCGCATCGTTCATCCATCCATCACACATTTCAAGGGCTCATACGTCTCGGAGCACCTACAGTACACCATTTTCAATTTCAATGTAAGTCAAACGGATCCATACAAGTGTTGAAGGCTTTAAGCTGGTGTGGCCCGAGCGCGTTCAAGCTCGCCCTTATCCCTACCCGTTCCCTACCCTTTCCCTCCCGTCGCGACTTTGTCACGAACATTCACACTGACCCACGTTACGCCTCGCGTCTTGAATTTCCCATTATATGCGCCTTCCCAACTAACTCGCCCTTTGCAGCCTCAAATCTTCTCTACATCTTTTAATAGCAACGCCGCCATCCCTTCGCGCAACCAGGTTCTCGTTTGCGCTGTCGGCCGCGAAATACAAACCCTCGTCGCACAGTTTCCCATCTTGAAAACTCGTCACAATGGTCGACCGACACCTCCCCGAAAAGCACAACCCGCTCATGGTTGATGACATCCCGGCTTGTACTTGACCACCGCTGTCCGTCCTACCTGATCTTGTACTTACAAACCTTGCAGACCACGAGCTCGTTGCGCGCAGACGCCTTGGACAGACTCAGCTTACCGCTAAGATGGTCGCAGCCGGTGCTGCTGGCGAGGTCGATCCCTCATCACTGGGTGTCTTCGACTATGCTCATCTGCGCGCCCCCCTCCCCAAAGGCATCCAGTCCGGTATCTTCAAGTCGTCGCCCAACTCGTATTTCCTCATGCGCCGTAGCCAGGATGGCTACGTTTCCGCGACTGGTATGTTCAAGGCTACCTTTCCATACGCCGAGGCTGCCGAAGAGGAGACCGAGAGAAAGTACATCAAGTCTCTCGAGACTACTAGTCACGAGGAGACGGCTGGAAACGTCTGGATCCCCCCGAATGAGGCTTTGAAGCTGGCCGAAGAATACAGGGTCGGCGCTTGGATTAGCGCGTTACTCGACCCTGCCGAGATTTCAGTCACGAATGCGCCCGATAGTCCACCGAAGCGAATTCAGGCTCCTCCCAAGTATGATCTCCTCAAATCGAGCCAGCTCAGCCTGGCGCCTCCTACCCCCTCCTCCGTTGCTCGAAGCACTCGTGGCCGCCGTTCTGCTAGTCCGGCCAAGGCGCGGCCAATTGCAAGCCCAAGAAAGCGAGCAACAAAGGTCCGAGCTACACAACAGACAGTGTCTGAGACACCTTCCGTGAAGGAAGAGAGCGAACCCCCCGTCAACGGTGTTCTAGGAAGCGAGTCAGAGTCTACCATCCCTACTGTGGAGGTTGACATCAGTGAAATCACCAAAGAGCCCGCAGTCGTTTTTTCCCCTGCAGAAGAGGAACAGAAGGTTCAAGTCAAGGTGGACCAAGAAGTCAAGGTATTCCAGGGTGTAGAGACAACGAACACCAAAGTGGAACTCGAATTGCCTGTAGGCGGCCAACCCCCTACCGCCGAGGAAACTGCCCAGATGATCGCACAGGCCAAGGAGTTGGTCGAGTCAGCCGCTGCTGAAGTTGGTGCAGCATCCACAGAGACCAAAAGCAAGCGCAAGGCCGAAGATATCGCTGTAGGCGACGAAGAAGGCGAGAGTCGGGCCTTGGAACCTCGGGCCAAGAAGGTGAAGACAGAGGTCGAACTGAGGAAAGAGCGCGTGAGGAACCGAGCACTGGTTGGCCTAAGTGCCACTCTTGCAGTGGGGTGAGTACTTGGAGGTTCCCAATCATCACTGGATCAAATATACTGACTCGATGATAGCGCACTTATTCCTTACATCATGGGCGTATTCTGAAATGCCACTGTACTACTTGAACAGTTGGCGCGGAGGAACAAAATCCGGTGTCGTCGGCATGTGGACGCTTTTGCCTCGATTATTTGAGGCATTATTTCATTTGTTCTTGTCACATACCCCATACTTACCAATGGTTGAAGCAAATCAACTACGGGAGATTCAGTTGTTTTGGCGTTGGTTGGCTATACTAGAAAGCCGTCTTTGGCATCCATGTACACAAATATTTGATATCGTTTAGTCCGCTAGTCCTGCGGATCTTTGGAGCTCGGCTTGAGGTAGCTTCGGGACGAAGAATGAATTCGATCATTACAAGAAGCTTGAATCCAAGAACAGCGCGATGCTTGACCTTGTCGAGATCGGTCGTTAGTTTTGAGCAAGCACGATATACCCAATCTTTGTCTCTTTCCAGGGTCAAGTTTATTGTATGGTGAGTCGTGGTCACGATCGATTTACATCGCTACGCAGAGATGCGGGTTGTCAAGACATTATATCCATCAGGCATGCCAAGCTTGCATGGATGTAAGAAATATGTAGCGAGTCCAGGCCCTACATCTATGTAGGATAGTGGTGGCAACTAACTAAGGTTAGTCCTTCCGCAGGATCCCTGTGGCACTAGCAAATGGCATTACTAGGTGACTCGATCCAAGGTAGCGAACAATGATATTACTTAACGCTTGAGCCTATTCTACTGGCAGTTATATAAGGCTATATTCGCCATTTCAATCCCGTTTTCGTTTGCACTCTATCAACAAATAACAGTCTTTATTGGTGGCATGCTGGAGAGAGGCACAAGGTGGTTGGTGAGTTGTCTTCAGCTTTGCAAGATATCTGTTGGAAGCCATGCTGCACAGCAAATGTAGAAAGCAATCACAACCATTTCCCTCACCATCCACCATGGTTCTCGAAAACCTCATTGCAATAAGTCGTATCTCGATGGTCGCGGTATTAGCTCTGGGTGGGGGCATGTCTACAAACGCTATACCGATGATCTTGTGAATCCAGTCTAACGACGGACGGCAGAGAAGTACGTCCACCTCAGTCTCGGGTGAAATACCACGTTCTGTACTGCGAGTGGGTATTTTTGTCATAATCGAGGGTTTTCTCTTATTCCAAACTGCCTCGCCACGTTTCAGTCGCCCTATTTCAGTCAGGAAGACCTATCAACATAGCAAAGACGCGTAGGCAAGCTTAGCATTGTGAGACTGGGAGCTGCCGTCGTGGAGTGCCCCTGCTTATGTGTTACAAATATACGAAAATTGTCAACCGGTCAACAAGACGCGTATCCGCTCGACATTGATCTACAGCCCAGTAAGTTCTAGCAGCGACTATTGGGACTGCTATTTTGACATGTCCGGCTAAGGGAACACCAAGATTTTTGACAATGAGTTTCGTAATTGGCTGCATTTTGGTCGGTGAATGGAGGAGGATGAACGATGCAAGAGAACAGACATCCATATGGAAGATTTCTGTTCCTAAATTCTTAGTTATTAATGCCGTGTACTTGTTGGATGAGATCCTTGAACGTATTCGAGCACATTGGAGGGATACGTTGGTGTTCCATCAGACCGCCGTGCCTGAAAAGTATAAAGCCAGTGAGACGCCCATGTTTCAAACGCCATTATCGATTGTACAACTGAAGCACTGCTAGAGGTGAAAATATCCCACTATATACAGCATTGATTTGACGATTTCGAGAACTTGCGTAGCCTTTTGCAAAGTGAGCCCCACCAAAACAGAACGCATTCGGAGCTTTGCGCCGTTCCCGCATGCGCGGCGTGTCGTCCGTTTCGTAGCAAAATTATTCCTACTTTACCTGGATTTGGAAGCATCGTCAGGGGATAACATACCCTGCCAGCCCACGCTATTGGTTGCTTTACATATTGCGAGAAGCAACTTTAAGCTGAAGCCCATATTCCCCGTTGATAACAAGCAGACCGCCGTGTTGCCAGAAAGCGGTGAACGACGAGAGCTACGACTTGGAGAGCAAGTTGCGAAAGGCCAGCATATATGTCAAGTTGTGGGAACTTTTCGCCTCGTATATTTCAAATTCGTAATGCCGAGTGCATAATTTTCTTGAAAGGCGTAAGGATTTATTATAGTATATGGTATTCGTCCGGTGCACCGCGATGTATACGGACGACCCGAGCGCACTACGGCAGACCCGCTGTGTCAACGAGTGTTTGGATATGTTGAGAGTCTTGGGTTGCAATGCATTCGAGTCTGTTTGGCCCTATCGCTTATACCCATGGAGAATTCTCTAAAAGCAGTTACCAATTGAAAATCTACAATTTCAAACTAATTGGTCATATTAATCGGCAACAGCACAAAAGGTATAGGAAGCTCGCTGGATCGTGCAGAGCAACTGCTAGAGCTAGTGCTAGAAGGTATAGATAGTGCTTGGGTCTGGGGGGCGAACTGGGGGTGTTAGTGGACTCGCTGGCAAGATCTGTGGATCATGGTGCTGTTTATTTCCCCGCATCAACCCCGATTTCCGGAACATCGCACCAACCACATGGAACAAAGTTATCTAGTAGTCCACAGTAGATGGACGTTGAGCACTAGAATAAACAAATTAGAAACAGACCGTACAATGTTTACGATTCGCCTTGCCAAGCTGAAAGGCACCCTTAAAGTCAACGTGATCACATGAGCGGCTATGCGGAGAAAACGCCGACGCCCTCCGAAGGTGTTGCTTTGATGAACTCGTACCATGTCGGAACAACCGAGAATAAACCACTTGAGGTATGATCTATCTAAAAAGCTCACCGACGACATAAACTCTACCCTTTGTTGTTAATATTCAAAGAGCAAGAGGCAAGCCCAATCAACACCCACCACCTCGGTTGTATATCAAACGGTTTTGGTACAGCAGAGCGATCTTGGGAGAACCTGCCCAGCATTCTTGGACACATCATGGCTTCCAGCAAGCTGTCTTACCTCATCGTCGGAGCAGGCGTGTTTGGTGTTTCTACTGCCTATCATCTTATCAAAAAGTACCCAAAAGCATCTGTAACTATAGTCGATCGGGATGCCTATGATGCAGACAGCCGCGTGGCCGCCTCTTGGGACTGGAACAAGGTGGTGCGCGCCGACTACGACGACATTATATACTGCCAACTCGCACTAGAGGCACAAGACATTTTCAAGTCCGATCCACTTTGGAAGCCATATTTCCACGAGACTGGAATTTACTGGATCTGCCGGAGCGATTACGCTCAGGATGTAGTCAATAACTACAAGCGTCTCGGACGGAAAGCTGATCTTGCCGCCGTGCCCATTGAGGAGGCCCGCAAGCTGTATGGCGGACTTTTCGAGGACGCCGATTATACTGGCGTCAAGGAGGTGCTTGTCAACAAGAGCAGTGGATGGGCTGCCGCCGGTGATGCTTTGCGGGCAGTCACTCGCAAATGCCTAGATCTGGGTGTCAAATATCACGTCGGCGAGGTTGCAGCACTCTCGATCAACAAAGACGGCCAGTGTTACGGAATCAAAACAACGAAGGGAGAGGTCTTGACAGCCACTCATACTATCCTATGTACGGGAGCATACACACCTAAGTTGCTGGAGTATGCCGCTGCGAGCAGCGGTGTTGCGGACCTTCGGGCAGGGTCGAGAATTGTAGCCGGTGGCATCACTACAGGGATGACCAAGCTGGACGAGAAATCATATAAGAGGTTTGCAGACATGCCTGTTGGTGTGCAGGGGTATACAGCTGAACAGGGTAAGTGACACTAATTATCGCTCTCGCGTTGCCAGCTAACCATTGAGCAGGCCCATTCATCGGCAGTCTTCCGCCAACTCCAGATAAGGAGCTCAAATGGTGGGGACAAACGATTTTCAAGAACACCAGAGAAATATTACCCGGTCGTTTCCTCTCAGCTCCGCCTGCGGAGTCTGATTACGCTCAATGGAATGTTTCTGGAAGACTGAAGGAGGATATCGATCATGCCAATCAGGTGTTTTATGGGAAGAACGGTGCGACCTGGAAGATGGAGAAGCACCGCATTTGCTGGTAAGTCTGTGTCACTCAAGAACAATACAACTGCTCGCTAACGCCCGGAAAGGGATGCCTTCACAACAAGTAACGACTTCATCATATCACCACACGCGGGTGCAAAAGGTTTATACGTCGCTACTTGCGGCTCTTTTCACGGCTACAAGTTCTTCCCTGTACTGGGCAAGTATGTGGTACAGATGCTGGAGGGTGAGCTGTCTTCTGAATTAGTAGAAAAGTGGGCCTGGGATCGTGAAAGGCCAGACCCTTCACTAAACCCTGACTGGCCAAGATCAGAAATGAAGGATCTCGTGGACTCTGCGAAGACGTCGCGCTTGTAGATAGATACTCGCCAACATCTGATCACCGCGGGGCTCTGTAGCCTATACTTTTTCGGTACACTCTAATGATTGGGACATTGTCGATCCATAGTAGCGTGGTAGCTAGAGTCCGTCACAGCGTATTCGTTCCATTCAATGCATTATGATATACAAAAAATCTGTTCAGAAGAGTATCATTGTTTGATAGGAAATGGTATGTTCTACAATGGTAGGTAAGATGAGTCCAATATCACATTCATACTCGTGCGAATATTAACCCCTCCCCATTAACCAAGTAAAAGGCCATTATGTTAAAACATATGAGAACATATCGTGGATGACTCGTGAGGTTTACATTAATTGCAGACTCTGCGACTACCACTGAAAGCGCATCTAAAGCCATTCAGTTCGGACATCGACGTTGACTTAGGTAAGTCCACATGATAGAGTTCAACGATTTGAAGAACAAAGGTCCAGTGGATTACGTGTGCGGGAAAAGAGGGACCGAGAAGCTTATTGTGCACCGTATCACTAACGGAAGGGCTATTCCTGGGTAGAGTGATCGTTGGTTTTCACATACACCATCGAAGATCGGTTGAAGTAATGAGATAAGCAGTGCACAGAGGATTTACACGTTTGCATTGTGCTTTCAAAGTCATCTGTACACAAAAACTGCCTAGCGTATGCTCTATTATGCATTCAAGTTGTCTTCGATAATGTTCGACCAGCCACTTTACTTCAAGCTTCTTACCATTCGTCAATGTAATAGCAGGGGGGGTGTGGCCTGGGTGTCGACCGTGCGCGAACTATAAGTTACCCCCAGAGACCTTGTCGCTCATGGCAATCCAACGGCCATTAGCTCAGCTCGGCGGGAAGCCTTATTGGCTTTCGTAAGATGGGATTGTTACACTGCTTCTATGTTGTGCGATGTATCCGTGCCGGAGTTGCTGAGCCGTCAAGACCGTGACATTGAATGCAGAAATATTTTGGAAGCGCCGTGAAGATAAGGCAAAAGTCACAAATAAGGATTGGTGAGATCGAATCCTCGATCATGTGCGTTGAGCCACGGAAGATTGTCTCCATCCTATCATATGTATAACCGACCAAGTTGTACTAAAATCGTATTCCGAACAGAACCAAGAAATCTATATCGTAATTTGGTGCCACCATGCAGCATCTGTTGTCGTTTGAATGTGACGCATGTGTAACCCATCCTAGGTAGTAGTTTGTTCTCATCACGTAAAACTCCCCGATCATGGGGACCATAACCTCAACCGAGAGCTAGGCTGGCAGCAATTGCCACCCAGCTCCTTCTCTTTCAAGCCATTCAGTAGATCGTGTCAACTTCTTGACCACGTTTCCCTATCTTCTGACGTATGTTAGTTCCAATTCGTGGAGTGAAAGATGCATATGAGACGCTAGATCTAATGCCGATCACGTGAGCGTATCATTCGAACGTTATTGGCGGCTCTTGAAGAATAACATCCCGGTCATGTGACCGGTTGCAGCAACACCGTGCGGAATAATTGGATGGGTTATCAGATATCCGTGTCTATTCTGATTTGCTAAGTGAAGTTGGTGGGCAGGATCAGCCTGGAGCATGTTTGATAGTTAAGATAGTATATCATCTGGACAAAGATGAAGTAATGAGCACCACCTTCAAAGCACCAGGTAGTCAGTCGCAAAACAAATACCACATTGACCTTGCATCTATCTTTTTTACGACAGAGTTCTCTTACTATGTTCGACATCAGTGTTTATTATTTACCCAAACTTTTGTTTATCGGCTTATCGGCTTCTGTTTTGACAATGGTGTTATCATATATGTCAAGCTTCTTGGGCTTTGGCTCCGCATCCACGACTGAGGAAAAGAAGGCAGCTGTTAGAGCTCTTCCAGCCTCCTGGTACATCTCTCAGGAAATGTACGAGCTCGAGAGACGAGCGATATTCTCCAAAAAGTGGCTTCTTACCACTCATAAGTCGAGACTTCCCAACAATGGAGACTGGCTACGATATGATGTTGCTGGCTTCCAATTCGTTATTGCCAAAGACCGTACCGGGGCTATCAATGCATTCCACAACATCTGCAGGCACCGTGCCTTTCCAGTTGTGACTGAAGAGAAGGGAAACAACAGCATTCTGGCTTGCAAATATCACAACTGGTCTTATGGCCTCAATGGCAAGCTCGCCAAGGCACCTTCTTACCAAGACCTTCCAGGATTTGACAAGTCCAAAAATGGACTATTCCCGATTCATGTTCACATCGACACAAACGGATTCATCTTCGTCAACCTTGAAGCCGCCGACAAGCCGACTATTGCCTGGAGTGACGATTACAAAGAGATCGACCGACAGGACAGATTCAAGGCCTACAAATTTGAGGACTACACATTCGACCATACCTGGGAGATGGAGGGAGAGTACAACTGGAAGATCTTGGCAGATAACTACAACGAATGTTACCACTGCCCAACGACGCACCCAGACATTCCCACAATTGCAGATCTCAGCGCATATGGAGTCGTGACCGAGAACGGTTACATTCAGCATCTCGGTAGACCCACTCAAGAGCAGATCGCCAAAGGTTTCAACGTAGCCGCCACATATTATTTCCCCAACTCATCGATGAATGTTTCGTAAGTTTTATACCCCCCCTAAACAAGCGGCGATGACTAACAGAATTCCAGGCCGCACTTTTTCTTCATTCAGAGATTTGTGCCCAAAGGTCCCCACAACTCGGTAATGAGCTACGAAGTCTACAGAAACAAGAACTCCAGCGACGAAGACTTCCAAGTGATCAGCGACATATACAAGCGAATCATGTCTGAGGACAAATATCTCTGCGCCAGCGCACAAAAGAACGTCAACGCTGGTGTTTTTGTCAACGGAGAATTACATCCTACGATGGAGCAGGGCCCCTTGTTCTTCCAGAGTTCAGTGCGCGATATTGTGACAGCCCATCACAAGCTGGAACGGAAGGCTGGGCGCGAGATTTGGCCGGCTCGACAAAACTCGACAAACAATACTCAGGTCAGCGAGAAGGACCTCGGGTTCTGCTCAACCCTAGATTGTTCTGCCTTAAAGAACGAAGGTCTTGCTTGGTAGTTTGTCGCTACATCATGATTTGCATTCCGTAGCCTTGTTTTTGTTCTTTTATTACTGCATAAGAGATTGACGACCTTGGGGATATTAGCGTTGAGATTGGTGTTATTATTAGTAGCAATTTTACTTCATGACATCCTGACTATCACGTCTATGATCTCGGTGTCTTTATTTTTCTGAACTTTCCACTACGATATTGCTGCGCCACATTATTACAGGCACGCGGGTCTGATGAGTAGACTTGGGCTTACATAATTACGCGTTTGGACATCTCACTATATGACTGCGCCATGGACGCTAGAGACTTCAATTCAAGAATATGGTAGTGATAGTATCGAAACTCAGCACTTTTCGATATGACCAGGATCATGTCAAGTCTACCAAGTAAGAATGGAGCAGTTACTATGCCTAAGGCAGTTGCACTAGTCTGGATATCTGGCCAATCAAATACTCGGAACTTCCATGCAATCGCTCAATATGTTCAATAGCCAACGGTCAAAGGCACGCCGGGGGTTATGATTGAAAATGACGATTCCTTGAATGGCTCTTAATGCTACTCTCCAAAACGCAGGTAATACAGCTTTAATATCGAATACGATATAAAAAGTATACCATTCGATAGAGAGGTTCTTAAGTGATCATCTCACAGGCTGGAATTATTTGGTTCAACCTTTTGAAGATGAAAGAACTCGGAGCATACACGACCCCAACTTGGTCACTTGCCAGCTACCTGGCCCGTGCGTCGGTTTCCTAGTATGATCCGCTTGGCACGGTAGTGGCCCCCTGTTGCCCCAAAAGATCCTTGTGCAGCAATTAGTGTTCAGCTGAGGACGCTGAATTTACAACAACACTCTTTGGAGCTGGGGAGGTGAACAGAGGAAAACAGCGCAGGAGGTGCTAAAGTGGAAGTACATAGTCTGCATTATGACACGCTGCATGTTTAGATATTTTGTCAATGGTCTGTGTTCTCTGAAATAGTAATGCACGTTATCTGTTTGCATGATTGATCTACCCTGACAGTCAATCTTAGCGGCTGGAGATAATATTTCCAATGCTTCTGTACATGACTCGGAATAATGCGTCAGCTAAGTTAGGACTAGCCATGACTTTCTCCAACTCCAGCTGCGATTTTTCTAGTTTGTTAGTAACAGTGTCGTGACTTTCTGAAGACACTGTGGGCACATGTGGAATGGTTCACCTGATACGGATCCGTACATACTGTACCCCATGACATGACAGGGTCTAGAACTGGGGAGGCCCGGCGCCCTGACAAGTTATCACCAATTACTACACATTTATTTGAAAACTTCGTGAGAACCCGGCAATGCCGTCATGTGTCAATTTGCTACTGGCAAACAGCCAAGGTAAATCAACATGCCGGTACCATCAATATCAGTGGCCCACACTGGTTGGACCTTGATTTGACGTTGCATAGATACCTTATCACCGAGGCCGGCGGGTAGCGAGCGCCCCGCTTGACTATCTCCTCAAGTACGTGTTAAGCTGTCGGGTACACAGGTAATCATGATATAGTGCAAGCTAGGTTACTGTATTATAATCTAGCACCATTGCAATTCTGCCCGCTTTCTTCCTTCCCCACCCTTGTTTGGAAGACGCTCCCAGGCTTCATGACGCCCCCGGCCGATAGCACCAGTTCTCGTGGCAGGCGAAGATCACACAATGCCTGCCTTCCTTGCAGGTTTGTCCCTTTCGCCCTTTCGCTTGCGTATTACCAAAACTGACCGTGACCGCAGAAGAAAGAAGACTCGCTGTCCCGGCGAGAAGCCAGCTTGCTCGAGTTGTGCACGCCTCAAACAGCCATGTGGCTATGCACCCATGAGAAGGCCTTCACGTGGCGGTCCTTCGGTATATACCGCGACACACTTTCCATTGGCCGTCGTCCCTTGACATTTGATAGGAAGAGAGGCTTGCGACTCTTGAAGAGAAACTGAATCTCATTTTGAATGGAAACCTGTACAGTTGACTGGAAAATGGTCAATGAGGCTCAGACTGGCTGACAAGACAAGGTCGAATTACACAACGTCCTCACGTCGAGAGCAGCCGCCTAAAGAGAGTGCTGATGAGTCGGAGAGGTCGTATTCCCCAAGTCCAGTGTCCGAGCGAAACAGCCCTACCAGCCATCACTCGACGGTGCGTTCTGATACACCAAGTTCAAAGTTGCGGCCAGACCCATCCGATATTGCCCGCGGCATTCAAGTCTATTTCAAGCACTGCCATAGGCAGCCAATATGGTGCTTTGAGCGCGAAGAAGTCCGCGATTTTGGGTCACTACCTGATGAACTAGCCTACAGTATACTTGCTTTGACTTCGCGCTTCTCTCAAAGGCGCGACCAGCTACAGCCATTTAGCAATGCTGCTAGACACCTAATTATGCTACGTATCGCAAATGGCACGGTAGCTATTACGACGATCGAAAGCTTGTGCCTGCTTTCCTACTCCTCATTCATAGGTATGACTGGCTCTACTACCTACAGAGTACTGCAGCTAGCTGACACTCGGAAGATGGCAACACTCATCTCGGCCAGTTTCATCTTGGCCTTGCTGTCCAGCTTTGTCGATCTGCTATGTTGGATCTAGAAACAGGCTACAATTTCCAGGACCCGACCAAGGAACGGAAGAAACGGCTTTTTTGGAGTCTTCAATTGCTTGAGCAATTCTACAGCCGGCAGACGGGTCTTTCAACCGCGCCAGCCGAAATCAATCGCCTGTTCCATTCTTCATCTGGCGGACCCCAAGGACTCTACTCAGAATTAGGCCCAAATACGCCACCTCTGCCTAAGGATAATCTTGGCTATTCAACACCAAATGAGCCCGGTATATGGAATACTGGGCTACATCTAGGTTGGGTCTGGAGTCGCGTAAGGAAGTACGTATCTGATTGCGCTCAGAACATTCTCAAAGAACCGTGGCGGCACGACTCGACATATGCCCTGGTTCTTTCTGATTTCTTGGAGACGGAAAACAGAATTCCGATGTGTCATCGCTATGACTCAGTCAAGTTCTATGATCGCAAAATAGAACAACTGAAAACCAACCATGACTACTGGGCGCCATGGTTGAAGGAGCAGTTCACGTATCACGCTATCCCCACCGTCCTCAACCACCCATTCTTGTACATCGTCGGAGCGCAGCACAATCCGAACCTAGCAATTCCGAACACTTTCTGGAAGAGGTCGTCTGAGCTCGCGCTACTACATGCCACCTGGATTGTCCGCATCATAGATATGGTTGTGGACAAGCAAGTACCACTTACCGATCCATTTTTTGGGCACATAGCCGCAATCGCAGCCACTGTGCATCTCTACTACTGCTGCGCTGCATCTGCGAAACTCAAACTCAAGTCCAATACGGACTTTGCGAAGTGCAGGAAGTTTTTGCAAAGCTTTATGCCTTTCTCGTCCGCCTGTGCAACCTTGGTACGTCTCGCTCAGATGATAGGAAGCATGAGCTAACAGTCCGTCAGGACCACAACTTGGACAAAATGACACGGATCGCCGCTGGACCCGATAGCATGGACGTCGAAGACTGGATGCCATCCAAAATGTACCTGAGTGTGCCTCTAATGTGGGATATTTTACAGTTCAACTGTATGGAAGAATCACAGATACCCACTGCGGACTTACTAGACCCCTCGCTTGCTCCCAGAATCCCTCGGGAAGATCTAAGTGAAAACTCGATGCTTGAGATTATTGTCGCAACCTCGCCAGAAATCAACCTGGACACTACAGATGGCGGTCAGGATGCGCCCTCGTTGTCACGCAGGGCCCCCGCTTCTTCCACGCCGGAATCCGCACGAAACATAGTTTTCAACGAAGCCTCATTCGAGCAGGCAGACAATCTTACTTTCAACACTACTCCCTGGCTGTACGCGGATCCGTCTGAGTTTGTTAGTCTGGGAGATTTGGGCTGGCAGGACCCGCAAACTGCTCTTCACGATACACGGGGCGCGCCCTGGTGGGAAGGCCAGACCTTCAACAACGCAATGTTTGGTTAGCAGTAGCATTTGGAGGTTTCATGGGCATCACAGACCTTACAATGTGCGGAGCCTGTATATTACCTGTCAAAGATCTGCTGAGTCCGAGCAATCTAGTTCATATTAATGGTGCACACTCCTATGCAGCTGCCGCGCAAATCTGTAACTGATTGCCATAAGAGACAGTATTCTAAATTTGACTCGAGCTAGGTTTTCCCTTCGACCGTTGCAATAGATTCCCCAGATGTCTCTCGTACGATGCGCCTATTTCTTTATGATTTGTTTTACGACAAGTTCTATAATAGACTAGAAGCCATACAATAGAGAGGTCAAGCCGTGATTCGATGAGCTTAGAAACTTGGGCTTGTCTATTCGATCGAGTTAGAGTCCACAAAGACCGGGTTCGCCCTGTTATGCAGGTGCGGGCACTATTTGGCCAACATGGGCTACAGTGCAAGTTTCACAATCGGTAGTCGGTCCGTTACTGAGGTGAATCCAGGCTTACTAACAGCACCCGATTGCTGATCAAGGCTGCCCCGTAGATAAGGAGCGATTATGTTCACGGTTGCGTCAGGATCGGCCATCTGGTCGCATCATGGGGTTGGGCAGCTATCAATTGTTTGCATTCTTCGCTCATTGGCCTCGTGGACCTAAATGCGGCGGAGGCACCTTGCACCAAGAGAGAGTATTCCGAATCACTGCTGTGCAGTTGTCATAACCTTACGGGTGTGAAGAGGGGTCCCACGGGCTGGGAACCTGGGGTAACCAAATTTAGGGCGGTTATCCATGCCGAATACGGAGTTTACAACCTGGATCGGTTTTCCGGCTCTGTTGACCGATGCCAATCGGACTGACCCCTGTCCCTACCGCTGGGACCCTTATCTCCCTCCCACACCACCATCCAAACAATCCTTTGTATGGCCTGTTCTCGGCTATCTCGAGGTTGTCTTGGCATCAGTGAACTCGTGATGTGTTCGTGCCAAAGCCTCACGTTGCATGATGGTGTATAGAGCGTCGCATTTTCAACGCTGCTTGTTGCCTCGGGTCCATCGTTTTTGGGCTACAACTACGATAACTTGAACGTAAATATGCCGAAGTCTAACATGCGCGGGTTGAGTTTAGTGCTTGACTGTCCTCCTAAACTCAACAAGGGCAAAACATTATCCTCTTGTGGTGCGTCATGACGCTCTGGCGACTTCGGTATCTGTTACGGATAGTCGCAGACTATTGCCTTATCTTTCACTGATGTCTTTGTGGAGATGAGTATACGAGTGATCTGCTCGATTCACATCTCGCAGCACGGTACATCGGTTTCTGACGCCGATCACGTGATGCTGGATGTAATGGTGGGATACAACCTATAGTCTGTCAGTCGCTTGTGCCCGATTGGGCATAGACTGCTGTGTATGGTATAAGCTATCTGAGGGGTGAGCTTGCTATACTTGTAGAGCTCTGTTCAACATAAAAATGCCAGCCTGTTGGCGTGAGCTTTCGTCCTTTCACGTTGACCGATCACATTAAATACATCACAAGGCCATATCGATCATGGCTACCGCATCCCGTGTTGTCATTATCGGTGCTGGCATCGTCGGCACCAACATTGCCGATGAGCTGGTCTCACGCGGCTGGACCGACATCACAGTCGTCGAGCAGGGTCCCCTAGACATGCCCGGAGGATCTACATCACATGCCCCCGGCTTGGTCTTCCAGACGAACACATCAAAGACCATGACTCTTTTTGCACGCTACACAGTAGAGAAATTCTTATCCCTGCAGAAGGACGGACAGAGTTGTTTCAACCAGGTGGGCGGCCTGGAAATAGCCACCACCCCCGAGAGGCTCGAGGAGCTCAAGCGCAAGCATGGCTACGCTCAGTCTTGGGGGATCGACGCGAGACTGGTCCAGCCTGACGAGTGCCACAAACTCTACCCATCCATGAACAACAGCATGGTGCTCGGCGGCCTTCACATCCCTACCGATGGCTTGGCGCTGGCCGCCCGGGCCGTGCAACTTCTCATCGAGCGGACAAGAGAGGCCGGAGTCCGCTATCTCGACAAGACCGCAGTTACCGGCATCGAGAAGGCTGATGGCCGGGTTACTGGAGTCATAACAGGCGACACCACTATTCCCGCCGACATTGTTATTTCTTGTGCTGGCTTTTGGGGAGTTGAGGTTGGAGCGATGGCTGGTGTGTCTGTTCCCCTGCTCCCAATGGCACACCAATACGTCAAGACTACAGCTGTGCCGCATCATACCAGCGAGGAGGCTTTGACGAATGGAGACACTTTAACGAATGGAGACACCCTGACGAACGGAGATGGTCTACTGAACGGAACAAATGGGCATAAATCCAATGGATTCACCGGGTCAAACTCAGCGACACTACCAATCTTACGCTACCAAGATCAAGATCTCTACTACCGTGAGCACGGCGACCAGTACGGCATTGGTTACTACGGTCACCGTCCAATGCCTGTTGTTGCCGCTTCATTGGGCCAAACTCCCGAGCATGTCGACGAGCACGACATGCCATCTCGTCTCGAGTTCACTCGTGAGGACTTCGAGCCAGCGTGGAAGTTGTCACAAGAGCTCCTGCCTGCCCTGCAGAAATGTGAGATCGCCGACGGATTCAACGGCATCTTCTCATTCACCTCCGATGGCGGACCACTCGTTGGATTGGCACCCAACCTAGATGGTTTCTACGTAGCAGAGGCGGTGTGGGTAACGCACTCGGCCGGCGTAGCTCGCGCCTTGGCCGAGGTTCTCACCAACGGCAGATCAGACATCTGCATGGCCGAGTGCGAGCTGTCACGTTTCGAACAAGTCCAGCTCGCCCCTGCCTTTGTTAGCGAGACTTCGCAGCAGAACTTTGTGGAGATCTACGATATTCTCCATCCTCTACAGCCACGCGACTCGCCTCGTAACCTGCGCGTGTCCCCATTCTACATTCGCCACCGTGAACTAGGCGCCTTCTTCCTTGAGGGCGGAGGCTGGGAGCGTCCACACTACTTTGAAGAGAATGCCAAGCTGATCAAAGATTTGCCATCGGAGTGGCAACCTGTGGAGCGTGATGCCTGGTCGTCCAGATACTACTCGCCAATCGCCGCGGCGGAGGCCTGGAAGACGCGCACGGCGGTGGCCATGTACGACATGACCCCTCTTCGCCGGCTCGAGATCTCCGGGCCCGGAGCAGTGGACCTTCTAAAGCGCCTGACGACTGGCAATGTTTCTAGGAAGCCAGGCGCTGTCACTTATACACTCCTGCTCGATGACCAAGGAGGCGTCCGCAGCGACATCACTGTGGCTAGACTGGAACAAGAGTTGTACCAGGTGGGTGTGAACGGCCCTGTGGATACTGCCTATTTCACTCGGGAAGCCCGCCTACAAAGCAAGAGCTCCCCCGAGCGACATGTGCAGGTGCGCGACATCACGGGTGCCACATGTTGTGTAGGACTGTGGGGTCCCCGCGCCCGGGATGTCATGAAAGAGGTCACCGCGGATGACTTTTCCAACAAAGGACTCACATACTTCCGCGTGAAGAAGGCAGCCATCGCAGGTGTCCCGGTGACGGTCATGCGGTTGTCGTACGTGGGCGAGCTCGGCTGGGAGATATACGCCAGCGCTGAGAACGGCCTGCGTCTCTGGGACGCGCTCTGGAAAGCCGGCCAGCCGCACGGCGTGATCGCCGCCGGCCGCAGCGCCTTCAACGCGTTGCGGCTGGAGAAGGGCTTCCGATCCTGGGGCGCCGACATGAGCACCGAGCACGACCCGTTCGAGGCCGGCCTCGACTTCGCCGTCAAGATGGACAAGGAGTCATTTGTCGGCAAGGCCGCCCTGGAGGGGCGCTCCAAAGATACGGTGACTCGGAAGATCCGCTGCCTTACCGTGGACGATGGACGTTCGATGGTACTCGGCAAGGAGCCGGTATTCGTCAATGGTAGCCCGCAGGGCTATGTCACGAGTGCGGCGTTTGGCTACACGGTCGGCAAGCCCATAGCATACGCATACCTACCTAGCGCGGTGCAAGAGGGCGATTCGGTGGAGCTAGAGTATTTTGGACGGCGGATCAAGGCCACCGTAACCCCTGAGCCACTGTACGATCCGTCGATGAGCCGGTTACGGGGATGAGTGAATGTGTGACGCTGAGGGCTAGCGCGATGTAGGACGGTTTATCATGATAGTACGAATTAATTAATGCTCAAAGTCTACGGCCTGTCTTGTTCGAAAGATGCTGTCGTGACACTTGCATCATGTAGCGACCAGTTTGTGTTTTTGGCTTCTTTCATCAAAATACGACGCTTATGTCCGAACCCTCTATGCCAGGGACGCGACCTACTCGGTCCCGCCTGCCAAGAAATGACTTGGTACATCCGGTCCTACGTAGGTGTCAGTAAGCGTTTCTTAGTTGGTAGAACAAACACGACCAACGTACCCCAGACATGAAGACCATCAGGAGACGCCTTTGATCGTTTTGTGGGTTCTGTATCATCCATCAAGTCGCCGTCGACGTAGTGCTCCATGATGAAGCCCGCCGTATCAAACCTTTCCTCACAAATCAGCACTTCGATCGTTTGGTATATGCGCTCATCATGCAGTGACCCACCAGTAATCGAATATCTGACTACCCAACACGTGTCTTCCGACACCCCAGCAATTTCTGTAGCCTTTCTCTCGCAGCCAGTCGTGTCCGAGAACCTGGGTGTTGAAGTCGTGCGTTTCGTATGATGTGTGATGGACCTTGAATTTGGGACCTTGATAAAAGAAGAAGCAGTGGTGATCGACTTGCTCCTTGCCGCGGTCTAGGCGGAAGAAAGACGTGACATCGGCGCCGTCTTCGTCGTGGACGATCTGGATACCATGTAAGCAATGCGCCAGCTTGAAAGACAAAGAAACAGGGAGGATTGTGTGCAAGGAAATACTCGCATCGCTTGGGCGGAAGTTGAAACGTGTTGTGTAGAATTCGAAAGATTTAGCAAAATCAGTTGTACAGTGACCCCAGTGGCCGAGCTTATGCACAGGAGCTGGCCGCCTCCTGAAGCGTTGCGTTTTATTGACTGCTCTGTTCTTCTCGGTCGGCTACAAACCACACACAATCAGTCATTTGCTTTCTGAAGCCTACAATCATTGTTGGAGGTTATATATCTACTCACATAGTTGACAGCCTCGTGGGGCAGTGGAATATCAAGCATCTCCACAGTCTCCTGTCCGTACACCAGGTGGAAGGGAGACTCGTCTACCGGATCGAGGAACGTGACACATCTACCCTTTCCAGGCGCATCGGCCAGCTCATATATCTTACTCGCCTTGGGCAAAGTCTCTGCTGCGTGCTGGAGATCTTCCTCGGATTCGACCACATACCCGACGCCGCCAAATTCGTCCTTGTTGGCCCTCACGGCGCAGATGACCCATGGTTCCGTGCCGTAGCCGCGCAAGTACACCTTGTCGTCGCCGACTCTTTTCTCTTCTGTAAACCCGAAGTCCTTTAGAAATTGCACTGCTTTCTCGAGATTTGTGTAATTATAGTACGTGTGCGCTATGCGCTTGAGGATGATCTTCCGGGGTACTAAGACGGTCATCTTGTGGGGCACTCCGGAGGTCGAACTTATACCGCCGTATTTCCTCACGACTCGATGAAATAGCACGGGTTCAGGCAGAGCGAGGTTGATTCACGTATTGAGAGGGTCAAGAAGTTGGGTATGTGAAGACAAGTAGGAAGTCTGGAAAATGCGCAAGCTCGGAATGCAATCTAACCGGCGGGTCATGAACCCAGACCGATGGAGGAGTCCGAATGCAAGCCTCTCGGAGTGAAACAGCCGGGAGCTAGTCTACTGCCTTCCATAAATACGGGATGTGATTTTGTGGCCCTTGAGGCTGAGGTGCAACGTAGTCACCTGCAAGGAATTATAGTAATCCACCATGCCCGTACGCTAAATATCGGCACGCAAATGTACCAGCTCGAAACGTATGCAAATATGTGCTATCGCCGCAGTCCACTCTGCCCATCTTATTCGGGCGTTTACGATAGAAATGAGCATCTTTTGAATATGTATGTCACCTCAATTGTACCCATTCAACATCTACCTAGACTAAGGCGGTCCACGGTAGGTAGTAGCTGTAGAGACACAACGTGAAAGTTGTTCCCGCAGGCATACCTACCACCCACAAACAAAAACCTGCTCGATTCATTGTCATTGACAAGAAAATACGGTATGGGTGGCATATTGGTTATTGGATCTAGATGAATCAGTTCACCGTTCAGTCAGCCAAAATGGGGATTCTTGATCAAAGTTTTTAGCAGAGAGACTTAGATAAGCGCGGTGATTGCTTGTTTTTCTACAGTAGCTAAAGTCAGCTCCCTGTCATTTTTCCGTTTCTTCCGTGTTACGATTCAATCTCAACCGTTTGAATCGGGTGTTAGACTCGACAATTGTGATAGCTTAAATCTTTGTATACGTATCTTGTCACAAAATAGAGCATAGTCCAGATCACTGGGAATCGTGGTAACCCTAGTCCGGCGGTCGCCAGTGTCCATAGGTGGCTCTTCAGCCACGTTCATTTGTCGATCGGATATCAACTAAGTCGGTATGCAGGTGCTCTCACGAGATGCTCATGTGTGACACATCTCAATGTTATCTGATAGAGTGCTTATAAAGCCTGGTATCAAATGTATATCGACGTCTAGGATATATAGAGTCTTGTAAGACAACCGCAACGCTAAAACCGTAGCCAACATACTCATTCTCGCTCTCACTCTCAACCCTTGAACGTCATTTCTCCCTCGAACCCTGAATTTTTTTTTATAAACTCTGACATGTCAATACAGCATGCTGTGTGCACTTGCGCCAGCTCTAAGCTTGAGGGCGGCGCTTCGGGCACGACTGTTAATACAGGGATCTTGTGTACTAAGAGGGTGCAATAACTTTTAAACCTTACTAACCTAACCTTTCTGTCATCTAGTCCCGAGACTATTATACCAGTACGGTGGAGCTTTTGCCACATCGGCGACTTGGGCGAATGTCCTAGACTAAGCGGAATGCAAGCGACGCAGCGCCTATCAATTCCGGCCAATGACGCCACCGAGGGGCAGTCCCAATGGTTCGCCCCTCCAAACTTTCTTCTATGCAGGGTCAAAGCCTATCGCGAGCATCTCTACACCACATAACATAGACCAACAGTCGATTACCAAGTATCTCGCAGCGCGCCCTCCTCCTGATCTTTCGTCTTGCCCTTTCGACTCTCGTCAGTCTCCCCCTCTTCCTCCTACACCTCCTACTCCTCCCGAGAAGGGGCCCTCCCGTCTCCATGATGCCCAAGAAGCTCTCCAAGACGGGAACCTCGACCTCGCTGTCGAGCATCGTGACAACGTCCTCCCTGGCGTCGGCGCTGCCCCCGGTGCTGACGGACGGGCAGCCGCTGCCGCGGCTCGTGGTGTTCGACCTGGACTACACGCTGTGGCCGTTCTGGGTGGACACTCACGTGCACGCGCCGTTGAAGGCGAACGCGGCGCGCGACGCGTGCACGGACAAGGTGGGGGAGACGTTCGCATTCTACAGCGACGTGCCGTCGGTGCTGCACGGCCTGGCCGCCGCCGGGGTCAGGCTCGGCGTCGCCTCCCGGACCCACGCCCCCGACCTCGGCCGGGAGATGCTCAAGCTGCTGCACGTGCCCGCGCCTTCGGCGCTGTTCCCCGGCGCGGACGAGGGCGCGCTGAGGGAGCTCGCCGGCGGCCGGAAGGGAAAGGGCGACAAGGCGCGCAAGGCCTTTGAGTTCTTCGACGGCGGGCTCGAGATCTATCCCAGTAGCAAGATTCGGCACTTCGAGGCGCTCGGCAAGAGGACGGGCATCCCGTATACGGACATGTTGTTCTTTGACGACGAGAGCAGGAACCGGGATACGGAGACCTTGGGTGTTACGATGTGGCTTGTGCGAGATGGTGTCACATGGGGAGAAATCGAGAAAGGAATCCAGGAGTGGAGGAGAAGGAGAGCCAGGGACGGCTAGGTATAGAAAATAGAACGATTGTGTAGATAACCTATGATGCTAAGCTCCATGCGTGAGCACTACATGGAGCAAAGAGTTATTGAAACGGACCAGGTAGACTATAGATGGGTCGCGAGGCGTTCTTGGTGTTGGGGATTGCAACCTTAATGAGCGGTCTTTAAAACTGTGGCATGTATTAGACATTTATGTTTGCATACATAATTATATACCCAATGCTGTTTGTATTCCTAAACCTCTTTCTAAGCATTCAAATTCCCTAACAGGATATGCTTCTCTATATGTTGATCCCTTGGCATACCCCCCTATCTGTTAGCACCGTCGTGTGCACCCAGTAAGATTCTCCTTGCAATTCTCTTAAGGGAGGACGTGAGTCACTTTTCATGCCATATTCCTCGATGAAAGCCTCTTGGAAGCAATCACACCATCATTCAAAGCTAGAAGGCACATTTCGTCGTTGTTCTCAATCCGCAATTGGGTCGACTTGGGGAATGTCGGAATTGGTTGCCGCTGGAGCAACCAGAGGCTTTTCCGTTTCGGGGTCAACAGGCGCAGTCTTGACAGCAGCACCGTTGGCCGAGGATGGGAATGCCTTGGGGACCGTGGCAAAGACTTCTTTCCGTAACTTCTGTTCCTCGCTTCCCACAGCAACAAGCTCCATAGTCTTTCCATCTGCTGCTGGTCTCATATACATGGGACCGGCGGGGAACTTGGTATGGCCATTCTGGAAGGTTAGGATTCTCTCAATCTCAGGGTCATCCCATCTTGGTTCATCAAAGAAGTCCCATTCCAGTTCACCACCATAGGCTTTGGGGATGTTCTTGATGTCAATGAAGCTGCTCAAGACGGGTAGAACCTCTGCGTGGCCTAAGATGAATATCTTGGAGACGGTCACAGGGTCGAACCACCGTTTGATCCAGCCCCATACCGTGTTGAAGAAGGGTGGGGCACCGATGATGAAGATACCTATGCCTGTTAGTGCCTGTCTCTTAGTACGTCGTGTAGGATGGCGAGCATACGGTCAAGAGTCTCGGGGTAATGGGACGTGGCCAATTGACTGGCCGCTTGCATGTGATTCTTCAGATTCCAGAACATCTTCAAGGTGACGTGTGAGATGTCCACGATGTTGGTGCTCAATGTAATAGGAGTCTCCGCATTGTCCCGGTCGGTGCACTCGGTGGATAATGGTTGTATGAAGCGGGTGAGGTTCTCGTACAACGCAAACAAGCGGAGCAGCTTGCCCGGCGTCTTACCGTCCGTCTTGGCTTGGCTGAATGTTGTGTCCGCCGACTTCTCGTACTTGGATATGACAGATGAATCAAGGTGTCGCACTTGGTATACGTAGATCGGAATACCTCTGCGGTCTCGTCGTCCCACGAACCTAGGGTACTGTATGCATATAATTCATGAGCGCGAGTTCAGTGTTGATGCTGGTTGGTTGCGAGGCAAGGGTTGGATGGGATTGGAAGCCGTACCAGTTTTTTAGACGTCTCGTAGGCTTCAATGTCCATGGTATCGTAGAGGACCCCTATGTCATTGGCCTTGCGGAACTTCTCGGTGTCACTGAATTGCCCATATGCATCTTGCACGACCCATTTCCGCGCTCGGAGGTAGCGGCTGTGACACGAGGATCGCGGTCAGTATGACAGTTTGAAAGTACCGCCGCAGACAGAATACGTGGACATGGACATGGACATGGATATGCGACGCACATAAGAGTAGGGTCATCGTGAGACGGCGGCGGGCCAGGTGTCCAGAGGTTCTTCTCCTCGAGCAGGACCTTGAACTCGCTCAACGCCTTCTCTTCACTGGCGGTCAAGTGGCCAAGGTGACCCTGGGGGTAGCCGTGCTCGACCCCGCCAGCCGATGGCACCCTATGGATTGAGCTCGTCGATTTCTTCGTCATTGCCGTCCGCGTGGAACGGGTAGGGCCAGTGAGTGCGTTAGGTATCAGGTTTAGAGGTTTAGGGGCCCGTAGAGGATAAAGACTGCTTTGCTTACGATTAGGAGTGAGCTGCAAGGTACGAAAGTTACAATGTTCAATAAATTGCTGGAGGCTGACATGCGCCTGCGCCTGCGCCTGCGCCGCGCATGGAGCCTTTCTTTGATCACTAAGCTGGAACGAGGGAGAAAAAATTGCCTAGACCCTAGGCCTATTGTACTGATCATCATGTCGCTAATTTGGTCTTGGTATGATCCTCCGGCGGGTCGGCCGCCTCAACCGAGCAGTTTAGCACAGCAAGCCTATGACGCGCGAGAATCTGCTTGAGTACAGTAGGTTAGGTTAGAGATGCAGCTTGCGCTAGGTTGGACCGAGCCTAACGTAAAGCATTGCCGCATCTCAGATCCATCAACTTAGCCCTGTCAGGCCGTCGCGCCAGTAACCTTGACTTTAACCTTCTTCCGCTCTAACAGTAACACGACATTGCAGCTCAGTGCAGCCAACCATGTGTAGTTACATGACACAAGCTGACACGACACTCGATATGGAAGTTGAGAGCTTCATTCATTCCTTATGATTGAATCTGAACATAGGCCGAAGCTCAAGATGATTCTTTCGGTGTCTTTTGTTGCAACATAACCCCTGATCTTCATCCGGAGCATGACGGCTGTATACGGCCTGTTCGTCATACGTGTAAAGTGAGGTGTAGAACTCTGCGGAATGATGACATTCTCGTCTTCATCGTCCCGTTCTAGCCATGGCAACCTCCAACGTCCTCCCCTTCCACTAAGTCCAGGTCTTCGTAACCTGCGACAGGTGGCCACTGAGCTTGTACAGCCAGCCACTCCCACCGCAACGCCTTCAAGAACGTCGCCCAGCTCACCTCATCGCCGGTATCGTCCGACGCAGTCGTCCAGATTTTGTCGTACGCATTCATAAAGCTCAGCGGTTTCTCGAGCTCGTCAATCAGAGGTGACGAATGGTGCGCTTTGAGATTGCTGAGAAACTCGTGATGCGTGTTGGCGGCAACGTGAACCTCGGTTTTATCAAAACTAAAAATCCGGCTATCGAGAGCAAAACCACGCCTTCCTTCCCAAGTATGACGGTGGTCTCTGAAATCGATCCCCTCTGTTTTTAGAGAGTACTTCGGGTTGAAAAGAGGCCTGACACTACGTAATGAGATCCTGTATGCAGTGGCAGAGTGACATTATCAGCGCAACTGGCAAGCCTCGAGATCCCACCAATATTCATGAACGTTCCGTTACTTGAAATCGATAGAACGCTCAGAACTAGATTGTCTCTCGTAGAATCGAATCAGCTCCATTGTATTTTGCCCAATCCAGTAAGGTTATTCGAGTCATAATCGTCCTCATTGTCGCTATCAGGAGCACCGACAACTGGTCTGCTGTTTTCTAGCCAGTACCCAAGAAGATGGGCCGTCATCCTCGCCATCCGGTTTGGTTTGTTTAAGATGTACGCAGTTGCTTGGAAGTGCTAGGTCCCGGACAATTTGACGTAGTTCTGGAGGAAGCTTCAGAACTTGCCGTAATCGAATAGTGCATGATATCAGTTGACGCAAAAGCTGAACTTCCGTCCGCAGGGCTTTTGCGTTTCGCTGTGCGTTATCCCTTGTTTCTTGAAGCTGAGCCATGAAGATTACTTTCATGGCCTCAAGCTGGGTTTCATGTTTGGCTCAGTCGTGGTTCAGTTGCTGGCGTAGCGCAAGCTGGGCTTTTCTCAGGGAGCTAATTTCGGAAGTGAGCGCTGCAATGTCTTGCTGTGTCTCCACCGAAGTTGAGAGAATCTGGGAGGTTTGTATTTTGAACTTGTTGTTGTTTAAAGAAAAGTTTGGTTTCCAGCAAGCCCTTCAACTTTCTGCAGGATGTGTTGCTGATTTTGCTCTAGGATAACCTGAAAATGGTCGATGAGCGAGGATTCTGGCGTTCCCGCGTCTGGAGGTGCGACCCAGGACAGCCGTGCCGCGACCACATTTTGGAGCACAGCGCATGGGCAGCAGCTGTAACGGTGCTTGCTGCCTTCTCATGTGATGATTGTGTTGATTCGCTCCCATGATCTATTCTCAGTATTCGCTACACAAAACTTAAGTGGGTAAGAACAGTCAAAGGGGATGCCGTGAGCACACCTAAAAGCAAAACCTCTGCATTCTCTCAAGGTCATCCTGCGAGGACTATACCTGGTGTATACAAAGCCATTGATCCTTGCAACGCAGAAACACAATATTCCAGGTGACAATGAAGCAGATGAGCCATTGCAACTCACGGCTATTCGAACAACGGCAGGTAATTTGAGACGATAGCGTAGAGAATACCATAGATGTTCTTCCACATCCTCACCAAAGGAGCTCTACCACCCGACCTCAAAACATGCTGGTTGATGAACATCGCTGCCACGATTACCCGCCATGCACATCAAATAGCACAAAAGGTGGACCACAGGGCCTTGCCTCGTCATGTGCTCTCGCTATGACGCTCAGCTCGCATTCCTGAGAAACTAGGAATTGTTCTGTCTTAAGAGCGAACTCGTGTGCCATCTGCTAAGTATCTCTTCTTGGTATAACGTCACATGTATTCCTATCGTCGTCCCTAAGATTGTTTGCGAACGACTTGCAACGTTATGATCGTATCCACAAGGTATTGAAATGATGGCCATGTATGTGGTTTACCGTACGCGTCTCTTACGCTCGATTATAGTCAGTATACATATACTTTTAAGGATTTGCCAGATTTTCACTCTCGGATGACGGTATCTGCTTCGAACATGTGTTCGTTCTGGATTGATAGCAACTACTGTACCATAGACAGCCAATGTATCCAGGTATATAGCGTGCATCCGGGCCTTCTATAGCGGGGCCCCTAATCTCACAGTTTCAGGCAGTGTTTGTGCACTTCCAGTGCCAACTGACCTAAAGGCGGGGCGGGCTCGTGAAACAATGTTGCAAATCGGGGCAAGAAAGAAAAAAGAAAGAGCACGATGGTAGTGTTTGTTGGGATTCCATACACGTCTATTTACAGTGCATAGTCTGCTTCCTTTGAGCCGCAGCTCTGTAAAATCTAGAGGTTTGAGCATTGCTCTATGGCTAGCTTCCTCTCTAGCGACGGGCAGAAATAGTACCACGTACAGTAAGTTAGTTAAGCTACGTGTTGGTCGATCGGACGGGCTTCTTTTCGGTTGTCTCAGCTCCCCATGTTTCAGTGAGCGTGCCGGTCCATGCATATGAACCGCATCTTTTGAGCCATTTCAGGTTTAACACATCTCACTATAAACTTGCGTTCCTACATCAGCATTGCTACTATCTTTAAACAGGTCGGGCTAAGATTCCGTGTTCTTGTGCTTTGCAACTTCCAACGCGTAGCTACACTTCTGGAGATGTTGTCTAGCACCAGTATGACACCGTACGTTTATGAGAGGACTAACATTAGAGAAGTTATTATTCAGACCAACGAAGCAGTCGTTGGCGTTGCCATAAATGTTCGGACTACAAGCAATCATGGACTACTTAAATTTGCATTGCAACGGTATTGGACTCCTGGTAACACTTACAAGCTCGAATAATACATGTCATATCGTATAGCTTAGATGATAATCATACTGGCTACGATTTGTCATACTGGGTACTTTTACAGTGGTCCAGTAGGTACATAACCAACCGTCACACCCACTTATCGGCGCAGGTACCCGAACACTTTCTGAAAGAGGTCCCAACTCAAGTGCAAACTGACTTATTGTTAGCTTCTCCAGGGCCCTCCACCAACTCACACTATTGACTTTAACCAGCGCCCATGTTTCTTCCAACGTGAAGCCTTGTTGGACGCACGGAGACCAGCGCAGTCTCTGCGATGCATTGTATCTATGACTGCACACAAAGAGCGAGACCTATTCGTTCCCATAGCTCGTGACCAACGTGCTAATATGCATGGTTATTGGAGACCTGGGTGTGTTGCCAAGCACCAGCCTAGGACGGGCATAAGCTCGGAACCGAGTATTAAAATGATCGCTGACACTACTATGGGCAAACAAAGTGTGTTATCCAATAGATCGCGAAGCGCGAGTCACCCCGGACGTTGCAAGGTTCTGCCACGGTATTGACGGCCGGACTTGGGGTATTATGCTTGAAACCGGACCACAGGTTGTGGGGCGACGGAGAGCTGGAATACGGACAACAAGCAAATGTGGTACGAAGCCTAGCATGGTCTCTATGTCTACGGGGGCAGAACAGCAGGTCGCGCTGCTTCACTCGTCGAATCTGGTGCGGATTGCTCGGTCCCGCTGTGACGGTATAGCTGTCGCAGTCGAAGCAAATGCCTGTTCGCTCGGCCTCTCCAACGTTGTCCGCTAGCCCCGGGGGTTGAGCGACCTCTTCTCTGAATCAGATTGTCGAACTGGATATAAGAAGAGCTTTCATTGCCTGTTCATGACATTGATTATCATCCAGAATATCAAGAACATCTCAAGCATTCACAGCAATTACATATCTTTTTAACGCTTCCCCAACCAAATCTTTACCTTTTAAAACACGTACAACCATCAAAATGCCTGGTGTTACTTCTGAGCGTACTGCTAGCAGATTCGATGCCATTCCTGGTCCCCTGGGTTTGGCATCTGCCTCCCTTGAGGGCAAGGTCGCGCTAGTTACAGGTGCTGGTAAGTTCTATTGATTTTCATCAGGTCTCCCTTCTCCCCCAGAGCTTCACCAGTATCAACCCCCTGCAGATTATATCTGCTAGCGGTTGTGGTGGGGACTGCCCCAACGGACTCCGTCAAGGGTTCGGGCCCGGTCCGACCATCCTCTTCCCCATAGAATTTCACCTGCCTGATCGGTAGAGACAATCGGCTAACAAGCATGTTTCAGGCCGTGGTATCGGCAGAGAGATGGCCCAAGAGCTTGGTCGCCGTGGCGCCAAGGTCATCGTCAACTACGCCAACAGCGCCGAGTCGGCTGAGGAGGTCGTGAACGCCATCAAGAAGTCCGGTTCCGACGCCGTTGCCATCAAGGCTAACGTTTCGGACGTGGACCAGATCGTCAAGCTTTTCGAACAGTCCGTCAAGGTCTGGGGCAAGCTCAACATCGTCTGCTCCAACTCTGGTGTCGTGTCTTTCGGCCACGTCAAGGATGTTACTCCTGAGGAGTTCGACCGTGTCTTCACTATCAACACCAGAGGCCAGTTCTTCGTCGCTCGTGAGGCATACAAGCACCTCGAGGTCGGTGGCCGTCTCATTTTGATGGGTTCCATCACTGGTCAGGCCAAGGGTGTCCCTAAGCACGCCGTCTACAGTGGTAGCAAGGGCGCCATCGAGACCTTCGTGCGATGCATGGCTGTCGGTAGGTCAAAATAGTACTAACTGTACTCTACACACAACTAACCTTCCTTCCAGATTTCGGTGATAAGAAGATCACTGTCAACGCCGTCGCCCCCGGTGGTATCAAGACTGACATGTACCACGCCGTCTGCAGAGAGTACATCCCCAACGGTGAGAACCTCACCGATGAGGAGGTCGATGAGTACGCATCCACTTGGTCATCTCTTGGCAGAGTTGGTCTGCCCATCGACATTGCCCGCTGTGTCTGCTTCCTGGCTTCCCAGGATGGTGAGTGGGTCAACGGCAAGGTCCTGGGTATTGACGGCCACGCCATGATGTAAGCGCAGATTAATGATAATAATAATGAGTAATACTTTGCTTTTTAAGGGTTTAAAGCTATAGCATGCTTATTGGCATTAGAGCTGGCAAGGCGTACTTCTTTCAGGATTCTATTTTGTAGATAGAACAATCATGACATTCAAAAATTGAAGTGTGCTCACTGAATGCAAACAATGATCATGCAATGGGAATAGTAAGAAGATTTTGTTTCTGCCCTGGTGGTAGGTCAGCGCTCATCAGCCTCCAAAATCGGAATTAGGATGTATCGTTGGCACAGTGAAACCGGCAACAGAGAGTCATAACTCAACGTGTAATATGTACAGGCGATTTGGACGCGACGATACTTATGTTTTGGATTGTGCAAGCCATCTGCAGGTTGTATTAAGAGTCTTAACATCTAGTTAGAAGTTCACGCCACTCAGCAAGTGAATATGGAGATGATGATCGTTTAGTGAAGGTCACGTACACTATATCGACTAGATCTGGTCAATACATGTATGATTGGGAAATGCTGAAGTCTTCACTTGAATTATATTTGTTACTTCCCTTACTCCCGTAGAGAGATTGGTGGTACGTGCTTTGCCCGTCTCGCTAACCCAATAGCATTTCTGGCCCATATCATGGACCATTTAGTATCTGAAGTCCCGACAGCTTCTCGGAATTCAACAGTACGGAGGACTACGACGGCTCAATTGACCCAATCCCCTCGCAAGAATAATTTGTGAACTTGTAGTTCGATCTCTGAGCCAACAGCCAGGACAGTTCGCATGTGTTCTGAAGGGTGGTATTTTCAGGAGCCCCTCAAACACTCCATTCTCTTTATATTCTAATAAATGGCTTGATTCACAACCCTTGGTGCCATTCTCTTCCGCGGGGACTTACACTGAGAGTCACACCCGGAACTTATCACGGAGGTGTCGAGTCAGGCGAGCGATTTACTGACTTTTGGGTCCCTTACATTCAAATAAGTAAGATCGAGCGGGTTTCCGATCTCTTCTGTGATTTGGAAGAAGTTCTGGTGCTCACCTATATCTTCTGCGAGTTTGATGGGTTTGCAAAATCACCATCCTTGTCACCACCATTACCAATAATGCAAATTTTTAAATATCTCTATAACGCCCTTTTTGAGTGCCCCAATGAGAATCGTGTCAATCTTTTTTGTCATATCTTCTCAAACTCCTCAAGATTGACGTTGGACTTGTTTCTATACCACCATTCCGTTGAATATTCGCCAAAGCGAACCTGGCTTCTAAATTAACGTCCGCAAATAGTGTGACTTGCTGAGCTCTCACGGATAGGGCACTTTTTACTATCTGTCACTTCTTGTGTACTACTCCACGAGCTCCTTCTTCGTGAGAACTGAAACCGATTATGTTTTGCTGTGGCCTTGAGCTCAACTTAATATCGTTTGTATGTCAGGTCATTCGCCCCCACCGGATCATCACCGGCGACACAAAACTCTTGTATCGACTTCTCACTATCCTCAGCGGACATGAATATCGACATCACTTCTTCTTTCTTTTCAGGTATACCATGATCTTGCAAAACCTCCAACATCTTCTGATGCACAATATCCCGTTCGTGAAAGCGGTTCATGAAAGGTGGCCGCCGAGACCTCATGCCGGTATTTGACTTTGGGAATTTCAAGTAATATGATTTGCAGTACATGATTTGTCTTTAGGAATATTTTTACGAAGTAGTCTTGTAGACACTCCATTTTTCGCTCTGAGATGCGCTCTGTATTTCCAATTCAAAACCCACAAAAATTGTAATTATGGTAATACAACCACTCAAGCCTTGTGTCATAGTTACCGTGGATTCAAGCGAGCAGCTAGACTATTTTGACATTTGCAGTATCATAGTATTACTACTCACGTTCTCAAGTAGACCAATCGAGTCTTAACGACGAACAAGAAGATGATCATCACGTTCGCATCCCATGCGTCGTGACACAATAATCAATTCTCCACTAGGTATGTAGTGAAGATGAGCTCCGTACGGATCCGTAGACTCGAGCATTTCTTGGCGCGGATTCCACTATATTAATAAGGGTAATGCCGATTTGAGTGGTGGGTCAAGAATATCAAGGAGACGGGGACGATAAATTACATTCACAAATACAGACGATCCTGTCTTGCGCACATCGGGTTATTGACCCGCAAATTTTGTCCCAAGAATCCGATGTAATTAAAGTATGTAATGATATAACCATCGTATTTGTCTGGAGTACTAAGGTATTAGTTATGGTATCTAGTGCTGTCTAGATTAAAGGAGAGACCACTATGGCATGAAATGAATCCTGACTAGCAGGAACTGCTAGCTATTGCAACGGAATTTACAAAATCCATCATCTTGACGAGGAAAATCGAGTGGCCGGCTTATTCATTTAGTCCCTCCAATGTCTGCACCATCAGAACATCGAGTAGTGCGTCTATGGAGCGCCAACCCAACTGTTCCACCATGGGTAGAAGCGCTCACCATCCGCCAAGGTCTTCAAAGTACAACCACCACCCTCGCAGCCAACAGATGCCTGCGTGTTGCCCCACCATTCGATCTCGACGCCGTACCAACCAACAGTGAAGAACATGATGATAGCAGAAATGGCAATACCTGCAGAGAAGGCAGCAGAAAGCACGAAGTTGTACTAAAGATTGTGGTTAGCTGTACTGTTTGAGGCGATGGAATCTGTAATGTGGGAATGTACCTTAGACCAGAAAGCGAGATATCGCGGCTTAATATAAATCCAAGAAAGCCAGGCAACAGGGACCTGTGGCCACATGTACGAGAACCCATAAGGAGCCCAATTGAGACCACCATACCAAATAGCTACAGGGTGAACCTGGCGAAGCCATCGGCTCCTAGGGAACTTCTTGACAAGTCCCCAGAAGATGAGCACGGCCAGAATACCGAAAGGGAAGCCCAACAAAAGAGGTCCGTATTGGCCTTGAGGACCAAAAACCTTGATGGGACCGATGGTTCCCCACAAGACAGAAGCTGTGAAAAAGGTGGTTGGTCCGGGGCAAGTCATTCTCATTGGGGCTGCCTTTGTACAGATGTTTTCAATGTTAATCTGATATTGCATGACCGCTGTAGCCACGAAAGTGCTGATCAGAGTACCGACCATCTGAGCAGCGAATGTGTGCCACGGTGGGATCTTCAGGTAGTGAGCCATCTTCAAGTCGTTGGCAAACCCGACGGCGTGGGCGCAAGTGACATAACCAAATGATTTGAAGTAGTTCATGGCCAGAGCATTTCCCTGTGCGAACATTCCACCGATAAACTCGGCTAAGACGTTCAAGGTAACTTCAATACCAGTCATCGCCTTGATGATACCGACGGGCAGGACGAAAATCAGGGCTAAGAGGACTCCATACGGGACAGTTGCAGCTGTTGTGTAAGTCGGCCAACCCAGGATACCCGCAAACCCGAAAGCTGCCGCGACAAGAAGGACAGCGAGATACCAGATTTCTGACACCTCGGGATATTTGCTCATGAGCTTCATGTGCACATCACTGTATTCGCCATCGACCTCGGCGGTTCCCTCAGTGGTAGGCTTCTTCTTACGGAACGATGCAAACAAGCTCTTAAATCCCATCGCAACTTCGTAGCGGTGGAAGATGATCACGTACGTAAGAGCCGATGCGTATACACCAAAGAAAGCACCGTAGACGAGCGTGTTGGCTGAGCCTAGATAGGCCGCTGAGTAGTCCATGTACTTCTCGTGATCGTACATTCCGTGCTCGTCAAGGGCCCTGGAGACATTGTAACGCGCCCCAAAGTGGTCCCAGACGTGGTTGTCGACAATCTCGATGTAGCCAGTGTTCCAGGTGTTGGTGAAATAGACAGCAATGATGATCAAGCCGAAGATGAACCCACCAGCAACAGTGTTAAATGTCGAGAAAGCAGGAATCATGAGCGGGTCGACACCGGTATAGGCAAGAACGTTCCAATCGAATGTTGGCCATGGATTAAAAAGACCAGCGCTGTTGAACCCGGTGAGGACATCCAAAGTGTGGTTCTCAGGTGCAATCCAAGTCATCCATGAGAAGTATGTCAAGACTTGGAATATAAAGTTGGGGAACCAGAAATAGATAAACATGGCAGTAAATGCATAGAAGAAGAATCGATACCTGGAGGACGAGTACATCTTCTTGAAAGGGCCAAGTACAGGAATGTTGTGCTCCTTGTGCAGGGCCGAGTTCAGTGCGATGGTGACAAGAGAAGCCGGCCACATACAGTAAGCGGGATACACCAGAAACTTTCGAGTCAAGCCAGCGAGGCCGTAACCAATAAAGTTGGTTGACAGACCAATCAGAATCTGGTAACCGAAGCTACGAGCGTATTGTTGGTTGAATTGGAATGGCAAGATTTGTGTCCAGATGATATAATTAGTGTAGGGCAGACTCTGAGCGACGGTGGCCATCAGAGCAATCATCATGTGCTCTTTCTTGTTGAAGGGGCCGGGATTGAGACTATGTTGAACACCAAAGAGAGTGAACCTCCAGTCGGGTACAGTCTTCTCCCATGCCTTACCGAAGGGATAGGCGAGCAACTGGGCCACGTTGGAGGTGACAGTAATGGGAGGGTTGCGAACGGAGAACAGCTGGTTGATAGCAGCCAAAGCGATGGAGAAGAAGATACCGATTGTCCAGGCACGCACGGTCGAGCAAGGCGTAGTCGGGTCATCCGTGTTTTCGACAACACCACGGACCTCGGCGTACGGAGAATTGTTAGAAATGAGCGCAGCCTCTAGCTTCATCTCCCAAATGATGTCCTCGTGCTTCTCGGGATTCTCGAAAATGTCAGGGTTGCCCCGGAACTCGGCTATCTTCTCTAGAATCGGTTGCGGGAAGTTAGGATCATGCTTATGAATCCTATAGACGCTTTCGACCAACTGTATCCAGTGTCAGCAACACTTCGGTATAGATGCTGAAGTTGAGGGGACATACAGCTGTGACGGCCTCCAAGGAGTAGGTCTCAGCTATGGCCTTGGCCTGGATAAGATCTTGTTCGGTGACATTGAGTTCCCTTCACTGTTGTCAATTTATGCATTCGTCTCCAATGGCAACGATAAAATCTACTTACGATTCAATGGCTTGTTCAAAGGCATTGAGTCCCTCTTCGTTGACAACTGTTTGGGTGTGCTTCTCATCGGCAAAGTTCTTGTCGTCTGAGCCGTTGTCAGCAGAGACGATAGTCTCCGCATCCCCTCGATACCTCAGGGCCATAGCTGCCGTCGGTTCGAGCCTGATGGGGTAATTCCAAGCACTTGCAGGTAAGGACAAGGTGCTTCTGCTGCACAATCGCTGAGCAGAACAGACGTAGGGGTGAGGATCACTTCACTCACAGCTTTCCATAATCGCTGAGGGAGGGTTGCCTTCATATAATCAGAGGCAAGATTCCCTCTTATCAGGCGGCGAAACCCAGAGTCCTGCCAATGCACACGGGTTGGGGAAGGGTTTCAGTGGTGCTTGTAGACCCTGACCCCGGCCAACCTTGGCGTTGGACAGGAAGCTTTGGCCTGCACGCGGATCAGGGGAGGCAAAGTTCACCACCGCCATGGTTCGTCGGGCGCCCGTCGTGGATCGGGCAATGCAGCTTTCGACATGCCATAGACATCACCTTGGGAAGTCTTGTCAAAGTCTTGTGTGTCATGTCGACCTTCTCAATTGAGATAGGAGCGAATTCGAGCGGGTGAAGGTCAAGAGTGCTAAGATGATAACAAACATGATCCAAGACCCGTAGAGGAATTGCCAAGTACAAAACGGCCAATGGAACCGGTCGAGCCCCGCTGGGTTGCGTGGAGGGTTCTTGGATAAAATGGATCAAAGCTGTCGTCAGATCGGTGGTGTATGGCGCTCGAAATAGTATATGGGCGAGTCGTCTGATATCCTACTGCATTCATGTAAGCAACCCTGTATGGACCAGGATTATAGAAGAACGAAAGACCGCATCCAGAGCCCTCCGCGTAGAGATTGCGCAACGCTGCCCACAGATGCATCGTTCCGAAAGTACGGTTCATTGGGGTTGGTCTCACCCAGATGATTGGCGCTTTCGCCAAGATCGACTCTGGGGTGGGGTTGCCAGGGCTTGCCGTTGGGCTCACTTCCAAAAGAAGGAGGCGGGAAGGATGAGCCCTTGAAATTGAAACATATGGACGCATTGTGCAATGTCATATATTGATCATTGTCGTTCAGTCGTACAACACCAATGTTGTTCATGCTGCCGAACGAATAATTTGTGTTCGGTTTAATTGGCTTAGCATGCCGCTGAACAACCACCACCAATAGCATGCTACTGCCGAGCTATTAGCCCATGGAAGAGCACTAAGACCTGGCAATGCCGTAAATTGATAGGGCGATTGTCTACGACGCAGCTTGCTGGCTTCTAGAACCGACCGGGGAAAAACTGCAAAGGTTCAATCAGCTAAACCTTTTCCTCGGCGCCCTTGGCAGCACGACGGGTGACTCTGGAGGTAACGCCCTCCTGCTGGATGAGGAATAAGTAGACCCGAGCTGTGACAGCTTCATATCCTTGGTTTTCAGAGAAGCTAGCAAAATTTGTCAAAGTCCAATAGCGGACAAGATAGCACGGGGGCAAAACAAGCGGCCAACAGGGAATATGGTCCTGGAGGCTGGACTCTTCTCGGCGTGCCCCAAATGCAGATGCAGTCTTGATGGAAGCAACTGCAATATGTGCAAAGCGCACAACCAGGGTCGTCGTGTGACCCCCTCTTCTAGACGTGTCTCTAGAATACGAACCGTAAATTGCCTGCATCTAGTCAGCTTTTTGTTGCGTACTTCGTACATTTCGTGTGAATCAATCGAATTGCCTTCTACTACATCGATGGCAATTCCTTTATGGCTATAATCGACGTTTTCTTAACGGTTTGCCGGGTAGTGTTAGAATAGTTATTTTGTCTTGTTTGAAGATAACTTGTCGTGGTCTGGGGCGGCTGCCAAGATCTCATCCTTAACCGATGGTGGGATTGAATATCGAATAAAGTTTGCGCACTTGCTTTGATGCCCAGTTCAGAATCTATCGTAAGCGAACAAGCGGGTTAGAACCACGCTTGTGTGCCGGCCTTACCCGTACCTGACCATTGGCTGTTGAGAAAGACAACTTGAGGGTTGGACCAGTTGAGCCGTGTCGATGTTGAAGAGCCTAGATCAGACGAACAGGCACGGCTGTACAGTTGATTTCGCACACATTCTGGGATCGCAGTAATGCCGTCCTGTCTCTCGCCACTCTGATGGTCTGGGATGGTCGCTTCGTTATCATGAAAGGTATTCGTTGTGCGCAGTACTCTCGGCTGCCGAGTCCCGCGATAAGGCAGCGGGGCCTGCAAATATTGTCGTGAATTAGAGGTGCCAAGTTGAAAACGGCGAAAGTAGATCATATGTCGTGATGCTGATTGATGGCATGGCCAATCTTCGCCTACCTCGTAACTTTGTTGATAATCTAAGCGAGTCTGCGCAACAACAGGTCCCCAATCTGTACGCCCCCCTCTTGACCTGGTGGAAGGTCTACCCACAGCATCAAACCCCTTTGCGAAGGAGATCACGATCTGTGTTACCCCAAGAGGCCATTAGTCCGCGGTCACACAATGCCAATTTTGCCTGGCATGCATGCCAAGTTTGATTGACCACGAGCAAAGACATGGTCGCGGCATAAAGCAATTGAACGCGATGTGACTGAGCCCGCCGCCAATGATCAACAAATCAATCGCGTTACTCTTATCCATCCATCTAGTAGAATGAACTTCAGTGATTGGACACAAAATAACGTCCCTTCCTGGATAGTAATAATGTTCCTTGTTGGTGGGAAAGCCAGCCGCAATATCTGTAACTTAGCTTGTGAGACGAGTGTTCTTATGCTGTCCATCAGCAGCGGTGTCGATCCCAGACGGTGCCTTTTGCACTCGTACTACGCTGTTTTATGTGTATGATAACACTTGCGTGCAACGTCTGACCATGCTATCAGTAGATCAGACGCAATCACAAAGGGAAATGTGGCATGGTTTTCGCTGGTTGCGAGAATGTGTGAGCCTCATTGAGCCCTCTTTTATTCCTTGTCCTTGCCCAACATCGCCGGGGCATAAGAGCGCTCTCCTGTCATATAAGAATGCGGGCAGAAGATCCCGTATCAGAGATGAGTCTGTGAGGGATCGGACGTACTCATGGCTGCACTTTCAGCCCTGACCGATAAGATAGTCGCCACTACCACAAAGGCTCGTCCCGTACAAGGTTATTTTTTCGCAGTTGCATGAGGATTGATGTGTTTTGAATGAAGTATCATATTGTGTACCTCTCGTCGGGGATAGTAGCACTGCATAGCTGCATGGGCTTCTCTGCCAAGGCCTCTTGATAGCAACGTGGTTTGCGTGAAGTTGTAAATTGGCAGATATTTGCTGAATAAAACAACACTGCTCGCAAGAGGAAAATGTGCATTTTCGAAATACTGATGTATTGCGCTTAGTGTTTGCTATACCACGAGTGTCTCATCATGGTGCACCGTAGCCTATTCAAAGCTCAGTATTTCTTGTTGAAAAACGATGGGCAGTTTACATGACGGCGATGAGGAATCGTTTCCACTTGCCCAGCTGGATATTAGACTGGAGGTTGGGTTGAAGATTTCAAGGCAATTTGAAATAACTGTGCCGCTGGGAATTGGTGCCATAAATCAGACGGAACAAAGACCCACCGCTAAAATCACGACCCTAGGAAACATCAGAACCTTACCTAGTATACATATAAGAGGTTTTCGCCGCAACAGTTCAAAAACATGTAATTTATGAAAACACACATTTCCAAGGACTGCCGCATGTATCTGAAATGCACTCGATGTCCTTTTTGAATTCCGAATGGCAATGCAGGCGGCATCCTGTCATCTCCACCTGGGCGACTACCTCGGACCCGAAACGGCTACCTTTTCTTCCAATATTCGGCATGACTCATCTGCAGGTACAAGTTACCCCAGGTTCTCGACAGGATATACCGTATAAACCTTGGGCGGCAGTGGTAGTGGCAAATCGCGATTGATATCCTGATAGCTTCAGCAAGCGTTTGGGGCTCTTATCTCCCCAGGGGTAGAGACTACATCCCCTTTGTTGCCTGGCCTGTATTTCGGCTTTCATGAGGCAGACGTGATTGCGATAGATGATCGTTCTCATACTGGGAAACTGCAGAAGAGAAGGCCATATCCAGTGTTGCAGACGAGTCTATTCTGTCGCGAGAAAGCTTCAGGCGTCAGCCAAGTTAATTCGTGAACTCGCGGTTTGGTATTGGACACAGAAAGGGAAGGTTACTTCCCATCGGAAACATACTCGATCAAGAGATGAAAATGATTTCGGCCCAGATTTCCCATATCTCTTTATTGAAGATCCGAAGTTGTGCGGTTATGCCTCAGCGTCATTAGTTTGTTACACCGAACTCCGATCCCTACAATGTGGACATACCCGGCCCGAGCTGGCATTTTACCGTGGTGGGAAATCCGTAATCCGATTGATCGCATATTGCATTGTATAACTCACATAAAGGGGATCAATGGTACCCTGTCGGCGGCTATGGTCTGTTTAGTACACATACAGTCGTACGATAACATGAGACTGCAACTGATTGATCGGGTAGTCCCTTAAAACTCGACCATATATGGGACCTGCGAGCATAATGGTGATAAGAATTTGAAAAATATTTTGTCATTCTTGGTGACAAGAGCTGAAAGAGTCACCTTGTAGCAAATACTCTTCCTATGCGCTGCATTTAGAGACAACACCATTACCTGGGCATGACCTCGAAGTCCCAGCTGCCAGAACGCTCTTATCTTCACGGAGAGAGTTGCAGCTACCAGAGAGTAGTCGGTTCAACATTTTCTAGGGGTCGGATACTTGATAAAAATGGACTCGCTGTTCTAGGCATGCTAGGAATGGTCTCCAAAGCATTTCTGCGAACTGCTATAGTCGAGTGATACAGAAGGCCAGCTTGACATCTATACGAGATAATCATACCGACCCACTGCATGGAACTGCTCAAAAGTCTTCGCAGTAATCAGAGTAGCTCATAGGTAAAATGCTCACTTGAGGGCCTTCAGAGCTGTCGAGCGAGGCCTGTGTGACCATGAAGGTTTTTCACAGAGAACAACCATAGGCTCGATACAGACCCATAGTCGAAGTTCGACGCTATGCTTGGACAACATCAGTAACCTGTGTCTTGCCGACTCTATCTCAGAAACAACGATAACACATGAGAAACTTTCTGCTCAGACGAAAACGAACTTTGTCGTTGTCTAGTCCCCATGTCGCAATGCATGAGCTCTAGCGGAACACAATCGGTCGTAGGAAGCATAAAAAGTACAGAGGCTCGTCAGAAGGAAAACGCTCAATCGCCATTGAATGGGGCAGGGAGCACAGTCTGGGACATGGACTAGCAAATTGTTTGTACGAAATCTGATATTTCAGGCGTTCCGTCTACCTGAGTCTATGTGCCCTATCTCGAAGCAATCCCACGCAATGCGTACCAGCATGCATGTCAACGGTATGGGTATCGTTATTCCGCTGCGGCTTCCTCATGCTCAATAAACATACTGACGATTTCTTTCTTCGCCAGCGACGTCCGCTCAATACTTGTGCATCGCAATTAAGCAGTAACACCCTTGTCGAGGAGACCGATGAGAGCGTTGGGGTTGGCGCCAACCAGCTCCTCAGCCTTCTCACCGTCCCTGAACAGCATGAAGGTCGGCATGGCGCGGATGCCGAGCTCCTGGCTGATCTCGGGGAGCTCGTCAACATCGATCTTGGCGAAGAAGACGTCCTTGTACTTCTCGTCGTTGGAGTGGCTGTAATTCCAGGTTTGTAAGTGTCTGTCTTGATATTTCTGGGCACGAGTGGGACTGAGCCTCGGAGGGGTCGGGAGAGGTGTATGCTGTCGCATGACTGAAGAATTTATTGTGATTACTTACTTGGCCAGAATGGGGGCAATGGCCTTGCAAGGACCGCACCAGGTAGCGAAGCAGTCAAGCATGACAACCTTGTTGTTCTTAATGGCCTCCTTGAAGGCTTCAGCGCTGCAAACAGTGTATACGTCAGTATCGAATGTCGCGCATCTGGTATGTCATCCTGCAGGCGCAATTCAAGGTGGGGTAGTTTCTTTCGAGTGCGCGCAGTAATACAGTGCATAGTTAGGCTTGACGGAGGAAAACATACGTCTGGAGGTTGTGGACAGTCATTTTGGGCGAGGTGGTGTGGAATTGGCGAAGTGAGGAAAGTTGAGATGGTCTAAAAGCTGTTTGTCTAAGGGAAGACTGAATTGTTTTGCGCAGGAGTGTTGATGCAGACATGTGGGAGGTAGGCGATGGCGTTGAGGGGAAAGTGGGTTTTATCTAAAAGTGCAACTCCAAAGTGGCTCGGAGTGGTTTCGGCTCACCAACAGCAACAGGAAGAACAAGAAGGGACGTGGAAGTGGATTGGTAAGGCCAGAGACGGACTACAGTATCAGCAGGGTCTGTTTCAAGGCACTGGAAGCTCCGAGAATTGATGCAGGTCTATTTTGAGCTGTATCAACCAACGATTGTGTCTGTATATGCGGACGTGTTGCGGAAATGATGTAAGGGTCGGGATTTGTAAGTATGTTTTTGATGACGCGATGCTGCCGGAATGCTTTGCAGAAAACAATCGTTTTTTGCTGTCCGCCATTTCTTCAATCTTTGATTTGCCTGATGCACGTCACGGGGAATGCTCCAAGCTTGAGACACCGAGATGACACTTTACGGGAAATCATTTATTATGTAAGCTATCAGGACTTTTGATTCCTCGAGGCGATTAGATATTGGTGGACCTTCCGAGGTCAAATTTTGTTCCATGAGGAATCTTTTGTTCCCCATTCAGTGGGTCACTGCAGAAAGGGGCAAGGTGTCTCTTAGTGCTATTCCACCCGGCATATATCCGCATCGCCGATGGGAAAGAGCTTGGCAGCAGCGACGCGAGTGCGGCGCCTGTTCAAGACTCTGAGCGTGCCTGCGTGCGTGCTGCGTAGAAAATGTATTCTAGGTTGGGAATGGGTTCACTGGGAACGTCCAATGTAATTGCGACTATATTCTATCACGTATAAAGTATAAAATTAATGGTAAAACCTCAATCACGATCCCGGTCATGACTCCAATCACATGAGAAAGGGCGACCAATGGAGCAAGTTCATGCAAAAAACGTATCGCGATTGGCTACAGCCGAGCCATTACCGCATACTGTAAAGCATAGGACATCCAAGAGCTTCCACCTCTCAAATTTGAGGAGAGCGCTACATCTCCGGAAATTTCGTTTGCTAGAATTGGTATTCAACGTGTAGAAGAATGTCTCCGTCACTTGGAACAATCTTGGTCATCACGCAGGTGAAAATATCATTGCCAACCACAAACCACCACTAACACCAGCAATAACAACTGACATAATTCATCGTGAACGCAGTACGTTCAAGTATCGAAGAGATAGGAATGAGTGAAAGATCTCATTGGGCCCCAGAGAGTGTCACCTCAACACCCTCAACCCTCGTTGCCGTAATCACTACACCCATGACACCTCAGCAGCGCGATGCTTATGTCATGCACGTACGATTTCAGGAGGTTACCCAGAAACTCTACACTTGACCACATCCTGCTAGTTGACGATTGTCTCAGGTCACTCGCAGGTTACTATACTCCACCACCATGTATGGTAGTGCTGGCAAGCGTATCGACACACGCTATCGTGAACGACGGTGCTACATGCACGATGCGCTCCGTGTCTTGCCATTATATCGCCCACCGTGGCTATTTCTTAGGACGCCGCTGGCAAAGGTCAGTCAAGGGGAAGATCTACATTCCCACGAAAGACTTCCCCGATATCGATTCCATCGGTCAACTCGTGGGCCCTCGCGGGCATTGTCCGGAGGATATGAACAAGCAATCTAGAGCAAGCAAGCATTGCCATTCGCGGATGCGGCTCTATCAAGGTAGGAAAGGTCGAGCAAGAGATTCGTGACATATCTACGACAAGCCAGACAAAACACTCCACTATCTAATCACTGGCGATACTCAGCACAACGTAGATGGGGTAAAGCATGCCAAAGACAGAGAGAGAAAGCAACTCCGTGCATTTACTTTTACCAATGGAGCTTTCTGCGATGGCGGAGTGCGCAGGGAAATAGACAGGACCTAACCATGGGAGAACGCGTGCGACGTAAAGATTGCGTGCGCTATCTGTACAACGGCGGCCATGTCGCTCGTGATTGTCCTGAAAGAACAAACAACGTCCCTTGGCGCCAACCACCTTGGAGACCTAACAGGCAGCAGGGTAAATGGGAAACTATTGCTGTTACTTATGACAGGCTTCCATCGGAAATTTGAAAAGGTCTCTTTACCATGAGGCCACGGGTTGAGGGTACGCTTCCGAGCATCATGGTAGATACTCGGTTATTAATATTGCAGGAACGTCGAAACTCACCAGCAACTCCTCGGCTTCGTAATGCAATTATCCTTTGGGTGCCGTCTTAGGCCATTTCACCAAGAAACTTGTACATAATTGTTGACTCCGCCTTGTGTATAAAAGTTATTAGATGTGCATCGTCTTCACTCCAAATCTGTGAAGAGATGCCTCGGCTGTAATGATAGAGAAATAACCACACAAGCTCATGTTCCGCAGCTTGGTAGGTTTCGGACTGTAGTTTTGTTGCTTCTTCATCATTCATAGTAACTACTGACTAACGCTGGCCTACGCCAACAACAACTGGCAGGAAAGTGATCACACTATATAGCAACGAGGTGTTCAAAAGCAAATAAGTAGCGGCTGACTTCGTTCTAGCCGCTGTTAAACCCTCTAGCCTCGTTTCACTAAATCCTATCTTGCCTCGGCCAAAATCGAAGTTGGGGAACGTGTATGGCGTATCCTCCTGAGTGTCACGCTATTTTCTTCCTGTGGCTCAGGAGAAAAAAAGTTCACCGTTCATGATTAGGACATAGTAAATGCGTGACTCATACTTGTTGTGTCGACTATGTGACTATTGTATCGCGCACCTTCATTCGTCCGAACCTGTTCGTAACTACTTCCTCAGAACATTTTGGACTTACCGGTACTTTCCTAATGATACGCTCCATGCATGCAGCAGTGTCAACAGTCGACAAGAAACCACATCCCCACTCTCCGAATGAACGAACGTGTCGGAAGCAATGGGAGCTAAGAAACATCGAGTCATCCTCACGAAGCAAGTCAAGCCGAAGCCGTTGAAAGTCCAGTCTGTAGACTAGTTTGGAATATGCCATCCGATCTTACGGGTTCTTCCATGCCCTAAAAAAACCATCCGATTTTTTAGAACAAGAAAAAAAAGAAACATTCTGGGGTACCCGAGAAGGTTTATCTTGTATCTCTACATTGAGCAATTAGACTTCGGCCCGGCCTTGCCATAGTGGAAGGTAGTTAGTCTAAACCGACGACTGTCAAAACAAAGATCCCACGAACCAAGGCGATCTCGGCACTTTAGATGCGCCACCACGTGCCTCGTGCTTACTCCTGAGTCACGGCAACTCCATCCCGCAGCACCAAGGCGTATCACTAGAAGTGCTTGGATCACTGCTAGAAGCCAAGCGAGCGATGTAGCATGTCATCATCAACACAAGCACGCGATTCATGTTAGCTTCACATTGTCGCCAAGAATATTTGGCATCGTAGGTAACTTTCGAATAGATCTCTTAATCTCCTTCTCGTACATACTAGCACATACCCTCTTGAACACCTGTCAGGAGTGTGTAGTAATGGGTATCAAATCAACCTTCTGGTTGAAGCCTCATAGGCTAGGGTAAATCGAGACTTGTTGCACCGCACGGGGATGCTGTAAACAAGGGGTATTATATGGATCCCAAAACATATGTGCTTCTCCAATAACCTGAATGAGATCTATGTAAACGCACCGCTTGTAGAAATCAACTGATGTCCAGATTCAGGCCTGTTTCCTTGTTATTTTTCATGCCACCCTTCGTTTGCATATTCGCAAATGTGGCAAGAAACGATGAAGAAAAGCCATAATACCCTTGTTTGAGGTGCAATTTATGCGCCAGTCTAACAGTTTGAGACGACAGAGTTTCGGCGGGTGAACAAGAGATGGTCCAGACCTCTCGGCGAAGCAGAATATAAATGCTGAGAAGTATTACAACATTCTGCCGTAATGAAGTACGGTAGCATGTCCTGTGACGGAATGTGCCGCCGGATACATGTTGTATAATGATATATAAGTAAATAGGTAGACACGGGAGGTTGCGTTGCGCTTAGATGCTGGCGCGGATGACGACTGGTGGTCACGAGGAGGCTGACACAGGAATAACGATGATCATTGGTGGGAATACGCAGGCTTTTGATGGTTTTCGAGTGTTTTTGGGCTTTTCGATGCATTGGCAATGAAATAATTTCAAAGAATGACTTCGGTCAGTGTTGGTGACAGGAAAGAAAATGATTAAAGAACGTGGCGAGAATCCCTGATATAGATCTCTTTATTGCGAAAATCAAGGAAAGGCGTAGTGAGCGTGGATCGTGTTTCCTCATCAAGATCATCGTGTTCCTGTATCGTATCAGCACATTACTCACCTAGTGCGTACATCCATGCCCATGTTACTGCGTGACGGGTTCGAAGCTTCTGCGCTTATCTGTAGACACGCGTGGCGAGATGTCAAGCAGCTTAGCGCTCCCAGCACTGAAGTTACGCATGTGTCCTTTGCCGAAATTGATACTGGTTGCTCTTGCAGGCAAGGGAGTTTCTCCGCCGAAAGCCGATATGCCTTCGCTTTCCTTGTCGCTGGTGCCACTATCCTTATCATCTTCGTCATCGAAAGACTCCAAGAGAAGGCCCTCACGGCTGCGCATTGTTTCTCGGTGCTGAGTAAAAGTAGGCGTGCGATTGACGATAACGTTGCCCCATTTGGGTGCCTGTTGATCGAGCTGTTCGTCCTCGTCGCTACTCGGTAGAGCCTCATCAGCTGATTTGTGGTGCATTCCTTTCTCGTCGGTCACAATCTTCATAAAATCGTCATCATGTGCAGCATCTTCATCAGGTTCTTCTTGTTCCTCCGAGTCTCCTGAAGCAGACCGAAGAGGATAGTTGATCAGTGATCCACGCATGCCCGAAGAAGCACGTTGGCGGTTGCCTTTTCCGGAAAACCATGATCCCTCCGAGTCTATAGATGCCATTGACGTTGAGTGTGGGGCAGGTGAAGGCTGGATCTCTTCCCGCAGCATAGAGCTAGGAGTTGCACGATGACCTGATGTTGGAGTATCGTATCGCATGACGACATCATCAGTGATAATTGGAAGCGGCTCCGAGTGCTGGACCTCGACCTCAGGAGACCCGACGCGAGAATCTGGTGGCGACAATGGCAACTCAGGCAGGTCCTCTCTGAAGCGAGACATTGTTCGCTTTGGAACCTTGGAGTTGGATCGTTGTATAGGTAAATAGTTGGGAGTCTGCGAAACTGGCTGATTGGCAAGCATGGAGTCTCTGGAGGTATTTGAAAAGGATGAAGGCGCACCGGAGTTGCGGCTATTCCTGCCTCCTCTGGACCACTTGAAGAACGATGACCAAGCTTTACTTGAGCCACTCTCTGACGGCCTCCTATAATCAATTGACTCAGACTCAGACTTGGAAATTGTCCGCGTCGGGTCAGGTCTATAACCAACCTTCTCCGGCTCTGGTGACAACGGTGAGTTTGACCGGCGTTTTCTGGATTTCATGAATCCAATAATACGAGGACTTGGTGATCGTGATGTTGTCCTTTCAGACTCAGGTTCTACTCGCAAGGCCGGATGTTGGTCCAGCGGGGGAGGCTCTGCACGCTCAACAGCGAAACTATTTTCCCGATGGAACTTGTCAAGTGGAGAAGGAGTACGCTGTCGACCTTCGCCTTCCGCTAGCGCCACTTCATCTTGCGCAGACGTACCAACAGATGCCCTCCTTCGAGAGGAAGTGATAACTGCTGAAGTTGTATTATGTTCCGCGGCAGGCGCCTCACGACCCAGGACACCTCTCTCCATGTTCTGAGGTGGAGGCGTTCCATTATTTCTGGCTTCAGCCTCTTCAAGTCGCTGTCTCTCTGCTCTTCTTGCCAGTCGTCGTTCAACCCTTTCTCGCTCCTTCTCTTGCTTCCGTTCCCTTCTCCGTTTGTCTCGCTCCAACAACTCTCGTAGATCCGAGGCATCCAAGTCATCGGCCAGATTGTCCACTCGTTTGTGGGCCTTTAATGTGGCTTCGGAGATAGGGTTCTTTTCTGATAGCTTCCTCTTTTGTGACGATGATCTCAATTGGCCGGAACTCGGAGCCCCAAATACCGGATTCGAGGCATAACGGATCGTCGGGCGAGGTGCCAAGGCATCAAAGGGTGACACCCTATATGAGATATGGTCCGAATCCGAAGACATGTCGGAGTGCGTTGACTCGGGAATAGGTAAGGAGAGGTCTGATTCTGGGCGGCGCCAATCTTTTATTGAGCCCGTTTTCGCCCTCTTGCTCTCTCTCTTCAAGAGTCTTCCTGGAGTCAAATCTTCGGTGGCGGAACGGACCGGCATAGTCTCAAAACGACTCATAGCCCTGATCTCTGCTTCGCGGTCATGGTCTTCTTTCCGTCGTTTGCTGGATTTCTTTCGCGGTAGAGGCTGCCCGCTTCTCTTGTTGTGTGAGTTGTTGTGGTGTAGGGTGGGCACTCGGTCCCCGATTTCAGTCTCTTTTGCCGCAGCCCCAGAGGGGCCCTGTCCATGAGCTCCATAATCACGATTTATAGTCGCTGGGATAGGGCCTGTTGGAAGTGGTGGGACCGACTCTTGTCTAGCACGGGCGACACGAAGTGAATCTGCGCGGCCTGGCGAAAAGCTGTAGGTTCTGGCCCGTCTCGAAAGTTTCTTGTTGCCAGCCGAATCTCGCTGTCTTTTACTCTTGAGATGCTGGGACTGCCCAAGGCCTATTTCGCCACCCGCCACAGGTTCTGTCATTGATTTTGCTGGAGCGTCTTCTTCTTCTTCTTGAGCTCTACCTCGGCCGGGCGAACGTCTGCGTGACCGCTTACGGCTGAAAGGCCATATGGCCATGATGCCATATGGTTAATGTAAAACGGGCTCTGATGGGAGGGTGGTACGAGCGTTTCAACAAATTGAAGTTTCCCTGCAAGGTTGATGGTTGCTGTTGATAACGGTTTTCAATGACGTCGCAGTAATTAGCTCCATGAGCGCAAAATGGATTGACTCATTGGATCTTAGTAATAAGTTCGTGTCGAAAATGACAGAGGTCGGCTTTGACCCTGAAAAGATGCGAGGGCGAACGATGCAGGTACCGCGTACAGTAGGTAATGTTGGTCGTAAAAGTAGGATCCACTACAGAACACAGGAAATGGGTTCCACGGGTTCCTACCTCGTCAAGTATTGGCCTGCCAAGAAAAGGTGTTGTCGCAGGGGAGTCAGAAAGACGATTGTCGTTGCGCGTGCGAATTATTTGAATCAGTGTGCTCTAGAATTGCTAGATCGAACAGCTCGGGCTCGTCAGGTCAAGAAACGGTTCTTGTCCTTGAATCAGATGTCGTAAGGCTGAGTTGAGTTAATTGAACTGAACTGAACTGCTAGGAGCAATGGGTAGGTGAGCCGATTGCTGAGCCACCGCCAGGATTTCCACCACCAAGCACGCTTAAGAGCTAGCCGTTCATGCGTAAACCAGCGCAATGTGAAAATGTCGTATTGGAATGTGCCAGGTTCCAGGAAACAGAATCAGGCTTCTGGAAAGTCTTTAAGAAATGCGCGGGGGAGGGAGGCGAAAAAGGTGACAGGCCACTCAATAACGACCTGTTCGTTAAGACTTGACGAAACGCTTTTGGATGGTGCGGTGCGGTGCTGTGCTGGTACAGGTCGACAGGGAATGTGTTTTAATGGATTCTACTTAGACCAAGCGGCGACGCCACAGATTTACAACACAACCGGCTACGGATACCATGTGCCCTGGTACTCACATACATTCTGGAGTACTCCTGGGCGAGCTGGCTGGGAACTGGACGTTGAACTTTTAGGATCTCCTCGTACTCACACCCCTGACAGGACCGTTTCTTGGGGTCTCCTGTTGTGCGAGGTACAGATACCTGCAACCACCAGGCACTTGGATGGATACTCCCTAGGTAGAGAGCACCTCTCTATTGGCGTCTGGGTTTCACACTTCTGCCGGACCAGACTGGGGCGCTGCAAGGTTCAGCAAAGTTTCCCAACCTGCGGCGAGCGCCGGGGCCACGCTGGGGTAGCGATCGTCGACCTCCCTAACTGATTCTAGTTACTCTCTTTCATGACACGCCTGGAACGGCGCCCTACTTCTTGTCGATCAGGTGTGTCCCAAGGCCAGATGATGGCATCAGGTGAGATGGACAATGGACGATGTAATCATCCGAGAGAACTAGATGGTCAAGGTACCCAAGCTGTTCGACATAACGGAGCGGAGCGCAGTGCGAACGGCGGTAAGATGTAGTAACGGCTACGGACACGAGATTTTACCTAATAATTGTACAGGATAGGCTTCGACGGGAGTGGGAGGCACACGATTGGCAATATGAAGCAATTAACGTTGCGGGCGAGTGAGATTCCAGATGTCTACGTCTAGAAACGGACACGAATTTCTCTTTGCAGAGGTTTGCACGGCTGAAGATGTCCTAAGGTTCATGTTCTGGGGTTCAAAAGGTGAGACTCCATGCCCGGGATACCATTACGGGCCATCGATGCCAAATTCAATTCCAACATATTGGGTAGTGACGTGAGGTTCCAAGAAGTTAGAACTGCGGGAGTTCGTTCTGGTCCCTGGGAAAGTAACGCCACGAGGTAAGACATCCCCTGTCCAACTCCAAAGCCCCGGTCAGGACTACGTATGTCGCATTCAATTCTATTTTCAGACGAGTTCATCCTCATCGGTTCTTTTTCTGACGCTGTATTTTGCGTAACAGCATCACATGGATATATTTGATCGTAGAAGAAAGCGCTGTGAAACGCATGTGACGGCGCACGCAGTCGAGACTTGCTACGTAGGGACAGAACACAACAGTGCGAAGCAAAATCACAGCTACGAGGACGAGCCAAAATGAAAATCCTCCAGGCATGCCAAGATGTCAAAGAACTTGCGCAAGACGGTGGGTGGATGCCGGCACTAATGGGCCGTGGAAGTCTGTCTGTCTGTGCCCTACGGATTCGTAACCCGCCGCCGACACCGATTGCAACGCGATATGCTTCTCCCTGGTATCAACGGGTCATCGTCAACAAGGAAAATTGTTTCGATTGGCAAGCCAAACTGATTTCTTCAACAGTTGTGCGCCGTACACCTCGCGCTGTATGTCGACCAACTTGCTATGGTGACCAGGTGAAAATTGATATTGATTTCTAATAGCTCGTGATCAGGGGCTCGAAAGTCCATATAAGGTTATGTGTTCGTTCTGCTTGTCACGAAATCGTCCGATCAGCTTGTTACCTGATGCCATTAGCTCGGAAGAAGGGTTTGCGTCGATTGGGTTTTAAGGCAGGGGTAGCATGCTCTGCTCAAGAGGCGTTGATCGCCTGCCGCTTCGCCCTTAGCTCGGGCTCTGAACACGGATGCGCCACAACTGACTAGAAGGAAGAGTTACCTGCTCTTCCTCCGTAACAAGTCGTAACAAAGCAAGTAAACCAGAAACTTGGAAGGGATCTGAGGTTGCTTTTGAAAAGCTTCGAGACTCACGAGGCAGCCATTCTCTGATCATCTGCTGTGTTCGAGAAGATTTACAACGCCATGTTGTCTCGCCGGTTTGCCAGGCACGGCAGGTAACGCATTGCCACGTTCTTCGCCTACGGTGAATACGAGGCGTCATAACCAATCTAGATCGAAGGAGATGAGAGATGTGACTTGCCATCTCTCCTGCAGCACTCCGCCGTGATGCAGCTCAAGGCCGTTTGAGGATGATACGGACTACCGCCGCTATAATGATTTAGGTTACCTTACCATAATGCACTTCACAACCCAGGCTTCCAAATGTGTAGATGTTGCCCAATCCGTCATACACCTGAACCAGATAAGCAAGGTCACAACTGAAAAGCCTTCTTTTGATTTCGACTTGGTTGCGATGTGTAAAAATGAGAACCGTGTCATGCGAAAACACATTACTATAAATGATGATAGAAACGTCCTTGTGAAGCAGTTAGTCTAGGCGCCCAAAAGCATAGATACCCATGCAGCACTATTCGTGGTCGTGCCACACTATGTATTTGCCAATGATCATCTCGCAATAGTGTGTATACAAGTATGTCAACATTTTTGAGGTGCTAGATACGTACACTGGATGACGTGGTGGCCATAATGTCCATCAAGAATTCCTCAAATCTTCAGTTGTGCAGTGTCAGACTGACACGTAGTACATGCCGTATTCGAAATGCACGCACTTAACAGTCCCTGGAACGGAGCCTGAGGACGTGTTCGATGGACTGGCTGGCCTGCATGCAGACAACATGCCCGGGGAACGGTCGGTATGCTCGGAATGAGGACCAGCAAACTGATACTGCGATGCAGCTTCGACGTAACCAAAAGACTCGGTCAACCCCCCAATCGCTTAGTGAACCTCAAGTGAACCGGGGCTGGTAACAGGCGCGAAAAAGCTGGTAACCGGGATAGACAAGCTTGATCAACTTTACACTTTTTGCGCCCGCATTAAGCTTGATTCGCAAGAGCCAGATGAGACTACTGTAGGTAATCTGCACTTACAATCTCAGGAGGTCTGATAGGGCAGGAGGATGGCGGACAGGAAACGAAGCATCCAAGGTTAGTTTGTATTTGGAGGGCTCGAGTCCGATTGGCTGTAATGTGGTAGGGCATAACTTGGAAGTCCAGAATTAATACAAGCTTAAAGCTCGCAATAGCGGTCGTTCTTGCCAAACTATTGGTGCTGGGAACTTGGTAATAAAAGTCAGAAATTAGATTGTGATAATGGTTCCCAAGCGGCTTCTTCTAAGTAGGATTATATTAGCCTAAGCCTGCAGTCCTTTGATCCAATCACCGCTAAGATTGCGTCAAATCTTCATGGGCAAGCAGTGCATACGCTACTTCCAAGGAAATCGACAACGTGCCGATACTGTATATAGCATGTTCACAGGCTGACAGGCTCAGAGGAGAGCTCCGAAAGATCAACGAGCAAGACGAGGCTCCCTAGTGGGGGAGGATAGAACGAGCAGTGCGGTACACGGACAGTCCTCGACGCAAAATCGACGGAGCTGGTAGATTCGTGTCAACCGTACCTGAAGCTCGAGTTTGACTTGCATAAAAATAAATATTGCTAATGAAAGGAGCCCGGAACGTGCATACCAGCCTCGATTAGCGGTAACTTATGGACTTCATCATGCAGAATGTCTTACCTAGATCGGCATGTCGCGTCCAGTCAAGGTGCGAAAATGAATATGGAGGCAGTTTGGCAGGAACAAACGCATGTATTGTCGACGTTGGCACCCTCGCATTTTCACAACCACGATCCCAAGGGCTATGGCCTGTATAACATGGTAGTACGGGTCCGTATAGTATGCAAGATAACATAAAATTGCGTCCGAGGATATCTCCTCGGGCCTGAGATGATACTTATTACTATGCACAGATTGACGCAGGTTGTGTTGATTGGCACATTTGCAGCTCAGTACGCTGAGCTGAGTATTGCCACTGCAAAGTGGGACACGGCAGCTGTTGATTGTTGTCAGAGCAACTGCACCACTTGTTTACAGTACCAGAATCAAAGTAGATCTTCTTTTGCGACGCGAATATGCAGGCATGTGATCCATCATAAAAACAGCTCTTGATTGTTCCCACCTTCTGGCGAGATATATTCGCCACAACAACCACGGCAATCCGTATGCAAGATACCCTATTCCAGAGTTTGCAGCCCACGAGACCGTCAACATGTCTTTCAACCCGCGCATGTCGATAATACCGGCATCGCAAGCATCGTCACGTACGCAGCGCAAGAAAGAAGAAGAAGCCGATGCCTTCATGCGACTTCCGGACAAGGAGATTGTAGGATGTATTACCGACATAGGAATCCCTTTCACCGTGGCCGACTTATCGAAACCCAATCCCGTCCAGGTCCAGATGATTTTCGAATGGTTCGCCGAGCTTCTCCTCAACGCGACACGCGACACCGTCGAACCTGCCATGCGCGCCGCAGCTGAGGATATTTGCGCCGATTTTCCAGATGTGATCCCGCCGGACACGAGGAATCTCATGGGCTTCTACGTCAGCTTGCGCCGGTTGTTATTGGAATGCGGCATCAACGACTTCAGTTTCATGGACTTGTACAAGCCGACACGCGATCGACTGGTCAAGATCTTTAGCTATCTGATCAATTTTGTAAGGTTCCGCGAGAGCCAGACACAAGTCATCGACGAGCACTTCGACAAGGCCGAAAAGACCAAGGCGCGTATCGAGAGTCTGTACCAGGAAAACCAGGACTTTGAGGCCCGCCTGGCTGATATGAAACACAACCGCCGGACCATGGAAGCACAAGTACGCGAGAAAAGCGCAAGGAATGAGGAGTTGAAGAAGAACCTACTAGAGTTGCGACGAAATCAGGAGAGGGTCGCTGCAAGATTAGAGGAGGCCAAGGACAAAAAAGGAGAGCTGGCGCAGAGACTGGAACACAGGACCGCTGAGAAGCTGCACCTGAAGCAAGAGAGCACCAAGTTGCGACCGTATACCCTCCAGAGTCCGACAGCGTTGCAGAACAGCTTGACGGAGCTAAACAGTACCTTGAGTGCGGACAAATCGCATATCGAAACCCTAGAGCGGCGGGCACGGGCTCTGCAAACTTCCACCGACTCCTTCACGGTGGTTGCGGCAGATGTAGCTTCTTGCATCAAAACCTTGGATGAGATTGCCGACGAGCTGGCTAGGGAAGACGAAGAGAACAAGAAGAATGCCAAGCAACGTGATACTCTGACCGACCGTGGAAATAACGCCAAGCAAATCGAACGCGAACAGCACCTTCTTGAAAGACAGCTATCTAAATGGAATGAGCGTACAGAGAAACTGCGGGACCAAAGCAGAGAAAAGGCCCAAGAAGCCAAGGAGAAGATGGAGCAACTGCGTGCCTTGCACAAAAAGCTGACAGAAGAGCGTGCTGCCAAAGGCACCGAGATCGAGAGGCGGCGCGTTCGCATAGAACAAACCGAAAAGAAGGTACATTTCCAAGGCACACTGACAATCATCGGGATACCGCTAACTGCTTGGGATAGATGTTGGACCTGAAGGAGAATATTGAGAATGAAGTGCGCAATGCACAGGACGAATACCTGAAGATGGAGTCGCACATCAAGCTGTATATCACAGAAATGGACCAGGCCATCTCTGCCTAGAAGCCTGTTTTCCCCATGTCTGTACGATGAATGACTTGACGAATAGATACCCAGCTGGCGTTCGGGATTTGGTGTCTCCAAAAGATGCAGGTCAATGACTGGAATATTTTTTGTATAGTGGCATTAAAAAAACATTGTGATTATCAGGAAATAAGAACCCTGCTTTTGGGGTCTGCTATGTCCTCACTTGATCACCATCCTCGGCGTTGTCCCAATTACCTACTTGAAATTTGAACCACCGGCTCATGGTCCTTCCCATCTCTACGGTCCTACCAGACCACCCCCCCTCTTCAGAATCCAGGCCAGCTCTCCTCGCACTACCACTGAGGATCGGTAACTGCTCCTTCAACAGACTCTTGAAGTCATCACATATCTGGCGGCCGGTCGGCGCTCCATCCTCGTCATCACGTGCCAAGATGCGCGTTGCCCGTGGTTCCACCATTACCAGACCCCAGCCCAGTCGGTTCGTTGTCTCAACGAGCGCTGCCACCGTGTTGCCCAAGCCCTGCGCACTCCACTCACTCGTGTCGCGGTGCATCTCTATCACGCCGTAGACGACGAGCGTAGGATGTGTCCGTCGAAGGGCGGTGTGCACCTGCGGCGGGGCAACAATCTTGGTGTCTTTAGGTGAAAAGACCGTTACGTAGGACCTCAGGTGGGTGACTGTAGGGATATATACAGTGCGCATGTGTCGCGAGACGGCAAGATTGGCCAGTGTCTGGGAGACAAGACCATGGTGGGCAACATCTTGGCCCTGCAGCTCTGGATGTGAGAGGGTCTGTGGCTCCTTGTCGGCCGATAAGACCTGGCTGCCTGGAACTCTTTGAGCAGGCGCCTGGTGGGTTTTGTGCTCCCGGATGTCTTCTTGGAGAGCTCCCACAAAGTCTGTCCGCGAAGAACATATGATGACGGTCGTGGGGTGCACGTGGTAGTTTAAGATATATGTGAGCAGTTCAGAGGGCAGAGCTGGAGATAGCAGCAACGGAATAGGAGGTATGCTCATAGTTGTGACTTCACAATGCTCGGAAGACTGGTCCCAGAACAAATGATGAAGGAAACAGAGTCGTGCCCTTGGAGTTTTGTGTCATCGGCGGAGTATCAACTCCCAGTAGCCAAGGTGCAAGGAAAATAGGCTTGATTCGCATCTAACCTAGGCTAACTAATGCTCAAACGTCGCCGGTTTCCCTCTAATTTTCTGGTACTATCAATACAGTATTGTTGGCTTCGCGATGTCACGAAGTATAGAGGGGAGTTGATGCTGGGTTGAAATGGAAAGGTCCCGTCGTGATTGGTGCCGCAAACCCCCCCCCCCCCCGCCAAACCGCCTGGACGTACTCAAGGATGCCCCGCCAAAGCTCGCAATTGTATGTACCTTATTAACCTAGCCTAGTTACATACTGTTAGGCAATGTACACGCTCACAGACAAACCTCACCGACGTCACAATTCCTTAGCTCTCCCGATACAAGCACAAGACCGTAGTTCTGCGCGGTCGCTGCGCCTCTGCAGGCAAGATGGAGTCCATATCCCGCATATCGACCCTGCTGGAAAATGGTATGGCTACGACTATGCTCCTCAACAAGTTGCAATTACTAACGACAAGACATCAGCTCGAGAGCTCACCCTCGACGCAGCCCAGGCAGCTCGAAGCACGCGGACAACCACGAAGTCCTTACCTACAGCCCAGTTGAAGAAACTTGTCGACAGCCGCAATGAGAGGGAGGTGCTCGATGGCTTGCGCCGCGTCATCTCCATGATGTACCGCCAGCAGCGCACACTTCCCTTCTTCTCCTCCGTCGTCAAGAATGTCGCCTCCCCGAACCTCGAGATCAAGAAACTTGTCTATATCTACCTGATACACCATGCCGAGCAGGAGCCCGACCTGGCTCTGCTCTCCATCAACACCATTCAGAAATCCCTGTCCGACCAAAACCCGCAAGTCCGCGCCCTGGCTCTACGAACCATGAGCGGTATTCGAGTCCCCGTCATCAGCCAGATTGTCTCGCTGGCCATCAAGAAAGGTGCCGGAGACATGTCGCCCTATGTGCGCAAGGCGGCCGCGCTCGCTATACCCAAGTGCTACAGCCTAGAGCCGAACACACTACCTCAGCTCCTCGAGTACCTGTCCACCCTGCTCGGAGACAAGCAGTACTTTGTTGCCGGCGCTGCTGTCTCAGCGTTTCTGGAGATATGTCCCGAGCGCTTAGATCTCATACACAAACACTACAGAAGCTTGGTCAAGAAAATTGTTGACATGGACGAGTGGAGTCAGCTAGCCATGTTGCGCTTAACGACGGTGTATGCGCGGAAGTGCTTTCCACGACGGACACGGAGTGCGAAAACGAAGAACAAGACATCCAACCTGCAAGATTTCTACGGAGATGAATCGCCAGAGACCCCCGAAGAGGGTGAGCAAGTGGTCATTCTCGACCCGGATCTGGTTCTGCTTCTAAACTCCATCAAGCCCTTGCTACAAAGTCGCAACTCTGGTGTGGTAATAGCAGTCGCACGCTGCTATGCTAACATTGGTACACTAGAGTATATCAAGCTTGCTGTAGGTCCTCTGGTCGCTTTGCTGCGGTCTGCACAAGAGATTGAGCAGATAGCTCTTTACAACATTGTTTCCGTCTGCCTAGCTCACCCGTCCTCTTTCGTCAAATATGCCTCCCACTTCCTGGTACGCGCTACGGACCCAGCGCCAGTCTGGGAGCTCAAACTAGAGGTTCTCACTCTCATATTCCCACATAGCCCTGTTCACACCAAGAGTTTGATCCTGAGCGAACTGGAGCACTTCTCCAGAGGCACAAACAAGGCACTGGTGCGCGAGGCTGTAAGGGCCATTGGACGATGTGCCGTAACAGATCCCAGCACAGCGCCGAGATGCTTGCGATTGCTATTGAGTCAGATAACCAGTCTCGATGGCACCCTTGCGGCAGAATCGTTGACTGTGATCCGGCATCTTATCCAGCAAGACCCGGGGGCGCACGCAGGCACAGTCGTCCGGCTAGCCAAAAACCTCGACTCAGCCACCGATCCACAAGCACGAGCGACCATCATCTGGTTGGTTGGCGAGTTTGCTGGTACTAACGGCGAAGACAACATTGCAGCAGATGTCGTTCGCATCTTGGTACGCGATTTTGCGGAGGAATCTGAGGTCGCAAAAAGACAGATCGTTCTTTTGGCTGCGAAAGTATACCTACACCACATCAACCGTGAGGCGGAAGCCGATAAGTCTGATAATGGCGACGTGCCAGCTCTACCTTCAGATGACCATGTCATTGCCCGGTTGTGGAATTACATTCTTCAGCTTGTTCGCTACGATACATCATATGACTTGCGCGACCGTGCACGTCTCTACAAAGCACTGATTGCTGTCCCGCAATTAGCAACCCTCATGCTTCTTGCACCAAAGCCAGCTCCTCAAGCGCCCAGCCCGTCGGAGACTCGGAAGGGCTTCTTGCTGGGATCATCAGCGCTTGTACTGGCTGGTGGTGGTGGCGTGCATGGTTTGCGCGGATATGACGGTTTACCCGACTGGGTTGAGGAGGGCAGGGAACCGGACCCAGCACTACGAGCTCAGGACGGTGTCAAGACTGAGTACGGCGAAGAGAAGAGGGTGGTGGTCCCGGCATCGCAGCAGCTCGACGACGCTCCAAAGAGCATAGTCCCCGGCAGGAGCAACGGGGTTAGTGACGGCACAGGCGCAAAGACCTTAGACGACTGGCTCGCTGAATCCGGTGGTGAGGATGAGGAAGAGGAGAGCGAAGAAGAAGAAAGCGAGGATGAAGACGAGTCCGAAGAAGACGAGGAAGAGGAAGAAGACGAGGGGGATGAAGACGAATATGAAGACGCGAGCGAAGATGAACATGAGTCTGCGAGACTCGTAAAAGATGAATAGCATTACAAGCAGCATTAGCGACGGAGCAAATATAGTTACGTTTACAAGGTCAGAAATACTACTTGGTAAGGACAAACTAGAAGCATTGTGCCATCCATGGCTCCTTAGTGCCTCAGGGGATCTTTGATGCCACATTCCCGCTTAGAAGTCGCCAACAGCAAAAAGCTTGTCCTACATAAAACTAAAGCGCTCGCCCACGCTCACCTTCCGGACTTTTGCGCATTTGATTATCATACAGCGGGCAGGTTTGTAATTGCTTCATCTCACAACGTGTCGGTTAGATTGGCCTCACTGACTAATGACAATGGGCTAGGTTGTTCTCTGATTGAATGTGCATGATTCGCTGTAGAACTCCCGGCTTGGGCTTCTCTCTTCGGTGACTCCAAGCGAGTCCCTCGAGTGATTCCCTCTGGTGAGAGTTAAAATTGCAGTGAAATTCCATTTTGGGGTGAAGCATGCAACAAGCATGGCGGACATGGAATCTTGTCTTTTATGTGATGGTCCCTCACGTGGCAGCCCCTCTTCGCTCAGAATGAATGAATGAATGAGTCGTAAATCGTAACTTACGATCATATATGCGCCTTACAAGGATGCCATATGGTACGAGGAAAAGGGCCCCCATGAGAAAATAATCACGACGATGGTCATGTTAATCATCACGGTGGCTTAGCCACAATGATAGCCTGAAGATACCATATTATAAGATAAAGAACGCTAACCTAGAACAGACTAAAGTTCGCATTAACTAGATTCGACCAGTAATGAATGTCAGCCGTCCTACTTCCTACATGTTGGGTACGGGTATTTCTCATTTTCTCTACTCTGGTACTGGGAGCATTTGACTTTAAGCAGTAAGTCCCGGGGCAGTAGTCCATCCTAGCCACTGACTGCCGGAAATCCAATGTTCTGCCTGACGACCAGCAGTGGAATTTCCACATCATGCGCTTAACTGCTTTAACCGTGACGCTAAACGGAGAGGGAAAGTGTCAAACACTCTTAGATTTTCCACGAGGATTGGGGAAGCCGACATCGTAGATGAACGCTACCCTCAGGAACGCCTGTAACCAGAGACTGCCCAAATTCACACCATCCTCCCAGCGCCACATCAAGGGATTCCAGAAGATATCACCGCCCAGAGCACCCCAGCTCGCGTAGAGATGGATGGCATCACACAGAAGTATACCGCACAGGAGGGTCTTCCAGACCCTCAGGTCGTTGGTCGACCGCAAGAGAATAGCTTCATTGAATGCGAACAAGACGTAGGTCGCCCCCAGATTGTCGTAGACGACTTGGTGTAGTGCAGAATACTTCAGCCCCGGCGACATGGTCGTCAGGAATTGCTGGGGATCAAAATGCAGGAGCAGTGACCCGATGAACGCTGCAGCAGGCTCGAAGTATAGAAACACAAAGCGATAAAGGAATGGTAACTCGGATATTTTGCCATTTGCCATTTTGAGTTACACTTGACCTCTGTGAGACCCGCAGTGCTAGAAACGCTTTCAGAACGTAATCATAAACTTCAATCAATCGCTCTTCACAGAACATAGCATGAAAATGACTTGAAGTTGGCGAGTGAGCACGGAAGCGCTGGATAAGCTGACAAGTAGGTACGTTCACAGCGGAAGCCGGCGATAGTCTAGCCGACAAATGGGGCCCAAGCTTCATGAGTATTATCTCCCACAAAAAGACTTGTTAGTGAAGTTTCTTCCCAGAGTTTAATCTATGCCACTTCTTTTCTCACAGATATTTTTCGAATCGCAAAGATCACATCACTTGGAGGTTGTCCGCCAGGTACGCGCTTTGAAGATGCAGGTACAAAAGCGCCCTGCAGAAGTCCAACAAAAGGACCCGGTGTTTTGTTCTCCGTTTTTGTCTCAGGCCACGACGGAGAACCTGCTGACTCCAGATGCATGGACGGCGGAGGCTTGGAACTTCTCCAAAGTTGGAGAAACCCTGGGGTTCGGGTGCTTAACAGCGGCAATGACCGGTTCTTCGGATAGCCGCTGGAGAGCTGTACCCCGCGGTCAAAACATCCCCCAGCTTCAATGAGAGCGGTCGCAGAGGTAGTCATTCTCTTTGTTTGTTTGTTTGTTTATTTCTATGTCGTCAATTGGCATGCCAAGTTCAAGTGAACTCGACATTTAAGCAAAAATGCGCGCTGCTTCATTAGTGCGGAGTGTGTTTCTTGCTCAGAGACGTACTTTCGCGTCCTCTTCGCGGCGGCCGGACAAATATGGCTTCATCGGTCTAGGACAAATGGTATGTTACTTATCACGATCCTTCTCTCCCGCATGAACGTACTGACACCTTTTGCAGGGCTTCCAAATGGCCAAGAATCTCCAAGCCAAGTTATCGCCTGGCGACTCGATACACTTGTACGATCTCAACAGAGATGCGGCACGTCGGTTAGCAGAAGAAATGAAGACCTCTCGAGCCGGTGGTGCTGCTGTTGAGGTGGTTGAGAGCGTGAAAGAAGCCGCAAAAGATGCAGTACGTCTACCTTATCCATGTACCTTGCTCTATATCCCTACAATGATGAACATGTTTTCCCAATTTTTATGATCTAAGTTAGAATCGGTTCGCCGGTTCTTATTATGATTATCCTATACATGAAGCCAATCCTCTGAATTTATCAACCACAATTGCATCAGCTCGCACGAAATTGTTGAAAAAACATGCTAACTGAAGTGGTCAGAATATAGTCATCACTTGTTTGCCGGAGCCATCTCATGTGAAGGGCGTGTTCAGCGAAATTCTGACGCCAGACCTTCCTACGAAGGATAGAATATACATCGACTGCTCCACGATCGATCCGTCCACTTCGCGAGAGATTGCAAAGGATGTCGCTTCTGCTGGACTAGGACAATTCGTGGATGCACCGATGTCTGGCGGTGTGGTCGGTGCTCGTGCAGGAACGCTCACTTTCATGCTTGGTGCGCCAGATGCTCTCGTATCCAGAATCGAGGCTGTCTTGTTGCGTATGGGAAAAGCCGTCCACCATTGTGGAATCCAGGGTACTGGACTAAGTGCGAAGCTAGCCAATAACTATTTGCTGGCTATCAATAACATCGCAACTGCTGAGGCCATGAATCTTGGCATCAGATGGGGGTTGAAACCTGATAAACTTGCAAACATCATCAACGTCAGTACAGGTAGATGTTGGCCAAGTGAAGTGAATAACCCCGTGAAAGGGGTGATCGAGACAGCACCAGCGAGCCGCGATTACTCGGGTGGGTTTGGCATCAGCTTGATGAAGAAAGATCTCAAGCTAGCCATCTTCGCTGCCGAAGAAGCCGATGCCAAGTTGGAACTTGGTCAACGAGCAAGAGAGGTCTATGAAGCGGCTGAGAAGGTAGAGAACTGCAAAGGTAGGGACTTCTCTGTGATATACAGGTTCATTGGTGGAAAAGAATAAAAACTCAGTGCCCCTTGAATTCGAGCTTTCCATCTCGCCAAGTGAACATGTTTTCCCAGTCGTGATTGGAATTGAAACGACCACTAGCCTGGAGACTCGGCTAGCAATCCGATCAGATCAATGTAATCTAAGTAAGCGTTGAGAAACGTGGTTCTGGAGCCGATAGTGGCATCTGCAAGTCCTAAGCGAGCTCCCACCATTCTCGGGTATGAACCCCTCCGTTGCCCTCAAGGCCCACCAGGTGCGAAGAGATTAACTCAATTAGGCAAAGTGTGCGAGATCTCTAGTCGAGCCATGCGCCTCCGGCTTCTAAAATCTCCGAATCTTCTTCTCTCTCTGCCTCTGTTCTACAAGCAAGCAGACGGCCGTTGAGGATCTTCTGGAAGGATAGCAATCAGCGTTGTCGTTGATGTCGATCCAGTGTCGCCAGTATCTTATTAGAGCCTTAGTGTTTTACATCTCGTTCTGAATGATGTGAACCAGCAAACCAGTGAGATAGGATGGCAAGCTTGCTGACCAATTATATAGCGCCCCGAGCCAGAGATCGGGCGGCACGCATATCTCGGTTGCCCGATTAGGAAATCCCTTCGCTGGGGCACAAGTTCCAGAAAGCCAAGAAGCATGCAGCCATCGCTGCGGTTTTTTTTTTCTATGGGTTCCGTGTCACGCAGTCTCACCAGATGGCTGTAAGCCGACCCTTGAGGACAAACCCAACCAAAACTAATTAATTAGCAGCTTGCCAGGAGCCAAAGTACGAGGCTCGGTTGCGAAAATGACCGCTTGACTGTGATGGAATAAACTGGGGATCTCATCAGTAACACCCACCCACTTGGCCCCTTGTGGCCAAATGATGGGACTGTAAGGCGTAGCGCGAAATAGATTTGAAACTCCTCGCCGTCTTCTCTTTGCTTTGTTCTTGTTCTCTTCCTCACTCAGTTAAGGAACGACGGTTTTTTGTGTCGCATCCAAGTGGAAGATTTCACATAATCGCTTCCTCTTTTCTCAAGGACCAGACCGGAGCTATAGTAAACCCAGCGCTGCCTAGCCTTTGCACTCTTATACGGACGGATAGGAGACCGGAGAAACTTACGGCACATCGCCGTGAGACACGACGACAACATGTCCACGAACGGCACGCACAAATTTAGCACCAAGGATTGTACAGATGTCAGCCTTTACTGCCCCGTCGCGGCGACAGTGCTAGGCTACTACCCGAACCTTGGTGCCAACGCCTTCCTTGCCGCCGGCTTTGGGATATGTCTTATCGGACTGATCGGCGTTGGAGGATGGAAGAAAACATGGGGCTACTCGGCGGCCTTGGTGGCGGGTTGTATACTTGAGCTTGCGGGTAAGTGATACGACTGTCGTGAGGAAAGGACAGGAGAACGAGGAAGGACGTTGGCAATGGCCATTCCATGCAAAATACCGTTGTTACATTGCTGCAACCACCGGCAACACAAGCGTCCTTTTCTTCTTTTTCTTTTCTTTTTTTCTGCGCAATGCTGACACGGTAGTATCACTAGGTTACATAGGACGCGTGCAACTACACTTCAACCCCTACAACAAGAACGCCTTCCAGACGCAGATCTGCGCCATCATCCTGGCGCCCACGCTGATCTGCATCTCCATCTACCTGACGCTGAAGCACGTGGTGCTGTCGCTCAACCCCTCGCTCTCGCGAATCCGCCCGCGTCTGTACCCCATCATCTTCGTGCCCGCCGACGTCTCCTGCCTGGTGCTGCAGGCCATTGGCGGTGCCCTGGCTGCGTCCGCCGGCTCCGAGAACGCCAAGCTGCTGCTCGCCGGCGACCGCGTCATTATCGTCGGCATCGCCTTCCAGGTCGTCGTCCTGCTCGTCTTCGGGCTCCTGAGCGCCGACTACTTTCGCCGCGCCGGCAGGTGGCTCCGGTCCGGCGATGCCAGCCCCGAGGCCCGGGGCTTGTGGGCAGATAAGAAGTTCAGGTTGTTCTTCTACGCCGTCCTCGGCGCCTACTGCGGTATATTCATCCGCTGCATCTACCGTATCGCGGAGATGAGCGGCGGCTGGGGCAGCACGATCATGAGGGACGAGCCGAGCTTCATCGTCCTCGAAGGCTTGTGAGTACACTAAAAAGATTCTGTTTGTTCACGTATTATGTTCTGTTGTGCTGATTGTGGCGATAGCTGTGTTCTCATTCCTGTCGCCCTCCTCACCGCCTTCCAGCCGGGTTTGTTGTTCCCCGCCATGACGGCACGAGAGAGCCAGAGGTTCAGAAGAAAGAGCAAGAGAGTTGGTGAGAAGAGTGGGGTCGAGAGTGGCGAGGCTGGTATCAAATCGGGTGATGAGACACCGGAGAAAGTGACTGAACCCACGAGCGTATACTAGATGCTGTTGGGTAGAGTAGACTACATCTTTAGGATTTAGACATTGGTAGCGGCATTTTTTCTGGCGTTGTAGACAATTTCATCTTAGATCGGGAGGAGTTCCCTTGCCAGACAAGAGCTTCGTTTGTTGCGTCTTCCCATGACTTTTACCTTCGAGGCGTCCCGAGTAAGGTGGTAAAGCCAGGTTAATAACGTTAGGCACCAATGAGGACACACCTTGCCCGCATCTGTTCCTCGCGAATCACAATCTTGTGTAATGCCACCGCTGCAGCGGCGGACACGCGAGACTGCGGATTATCGGACTTCGATTGTTACCGATACAACAAGTGTTGCCCACCTTCTCTCAAATTATGCCGTTATTGTTACCGCTAATAAATCTAGGTCTCAGAAAAATCTAATAGACATTTTTGTGTTACCTTGCGTTACCATAATAGTAAGAAGTTTACGCATAAAATACCATATGAAGTGTGGATGCCTTTCGCCTCAGGCTAGTACACAATAATACTGGCTTTTGCATCGACTATGTGCATCATCTGGATTTCTCTACATGATCTGGAGACCAATATCTCTCAGTCAGGTTAACCTTATAATGACGATAGCAGAAATACAAAGAGAACCATAGCACAACCAACCTCCAGCGCCACGTTATAACGTTTATCGTTCCTATTATCGCGTCCGATTGTCCTCATTAGTTGGAGCACTTCAATCTGCTCTAGCTATTTTGGTGGAGAACTATCCGCTATAGAAGCCACTTCCGACCGCTGCCACTGGGCGTTGTGATGAAGGCGGATGTGTATTTGTGCTTGTTTTTAGAGATCGATATTTCCTTGGCCATGGCTACCATCCGTCTGAATACAAATCATCGTAGACTGTATCGAACGACTTTTCCAGTCTCCATCTCATGTATTGATGAATCAAATCTCCCGACACTGCCCATGCGATGGCGTAGTTTATGTTCTCGAACGAGATGGCGTTGATCTTTACTGGGTGTATGTTCTAGAGCGAAAGCGCAATGAAGTCTGAAAACCGGCGACCCAGCAATGCGGCTTCTACCGGTCTATGAGACAGAGGGGGCTCATCAGATATCTAAGTCCCTGATTCTATTGTGCCTCAACGAACCCTATTCTCCCGGACAATATTGTCATTTTCCCGATGGGAAATTCTTCCCTCATTGGACGAGGCTGATCGTCGCATTCGGCGAATATCTCCCCAAACCACCGTAGTATGTCTCTGGATTGCTTCCAGACAAGAGGATAAATCCCAATTTTCAAGTTCGTTGTACCTGTCTTGTTACAGAATACGGGTTAGTGCAGCTATGATGGTTGAAGTCTTAACGTTGAATGACACTGATCAGTATTGGATCGCGAAAATAATATGTTACCCTAGTAACAGATTCTTCATGGAAACATACATGAAATGCTTTGTAACCAGTTCGTAACAATGGGTCGGATACGCAGACAGTAAAAAGCTCCATAGCTACCTAGTGCCACGAACTTCTTCCGAGATGGGAACCAGGCAGTGTATATAGTTGGCATTGCTTTTAAGAAATTTTCAACCCTGTGGGTCATGTCTTGTGGAAGTGCTTTACTCGGCCACAGAGTTCCCAGTAAGCTGTCGCTGTTTATTGTTGAAACAGTAGCTTGCCATAAAATTGGGATGTGGATTTCGGTTGGTGTCATAGTCTGGCAATGATATTTCTATGGACTTCACAATAGACGCCGTCAGCCCATAGGGATCGCATGAGCCCGACACCCAAACACCATCTATCACGTTCGTACCATAGGTATCAATTCTTTTCAAACCGATTCACCTAGCGGTTACATATCTTATTTACCCTTTGCTGCTGATTTACAAAAAATAGACAATGGGGATAAGCTGTAGAGTTGTTTTCAAATTCAAAGGTTCTTTAAGCTGAGCCCTTGACAGGCGAAATCTATTAATCCATTTCAACGACAACGAGAAGCAGCTGAAGGGGTCTTTTTCCAGTATGAGTTGAAACACAGATCGAACTGTCCCTCCACTGATCCTGCTCAAACAAGAGTGATGTGAAACACAGGCGAACGTCGCATCTGATCCTATGGTGGCCGTTGTATAGTTGCACGTGGAACTTGAGCCTCAAACAGCTTCAGCATCAGTCCGTCAGGCGGGTGAGCATTCGCAATGATCATCATCTTTCAAGTTCGGCCGAACAGAGATAGATAAAATATTCAGGTTTTACCCCTTCTCCTGAATATAACATCGGGCGCTTTGCGCGTCAATAGAGCAGCGTTTCGTCCCCGACAACCTGTTCGTGTTAATTCATGCAATAAGTGTATACGATGCCGAAGCGACTCGGTAAGATCTACGGAAAAGGGGTATCTACCGCAGACTAAGACTTCAAGAGACGCAGAATGCTACCCACCCAACCACCGGCGACAGTGGACTGAGTATAATTTTCAACGAGTTGGGTTTGGTGTGGGGGTATAACGCCCATTACCTATTTTAAGGAGCTGTTTCCAGTTCGAAGACCAGTGACTCGATGCAAGCTCCTTTGGAGCTCGGAGAAATAGCAGGTCGTTCTGCGAAAATGCCGGTTCAGGTCCATTCGGCACATGGTAGCGGCCCCCAAGAATAAAATTGTCCGAGGCAATGCAAGGCTGTGCTGAAACGGACTACGACCCCTGACGCTGGTAATACTGGTTGACGTGCATGAAAGTGAGCCTCAATAGGGATGGAGGTTTCGTTGGGAATCAGTGAAAGAAGGTTGCCGCATTGAATCATTTCAATAGATCTAACTAGGTCGTGTACAGCAATGCGGTAAGGCCATTATTCGAGCTGTGAAAAAGAAGATATGAAGCCTAGTAATGATTGCGAATCATGCACTTATGGGTGGTCAATTTGTCATCTAGAAACATGACAAAATGCACGAAAATAAAATTGGAGGTGTTTGAGAGCTGTGTTGTAATTCGACAACATAAAGTTTGGGGTGAGTCGAAGTTACACGAACATGGGTTAAGGTGAAGCTTCGAATTGATTCATGAAAGTTTATTGGCTGCCCTATCATCTTGACGAAATACAGGTAGCGCCGTTTCGGTTGGTGCGTTGGTTTGGATCTTGATGGCAAGCCTACTTTCTGACAAACATATTAGAGACGGTGTACACAGTATAATGATGTTTGCTTCTTTTTAAATTGTCCTAGATGCTTGGGTTGCTGGGTTGCGGGCTAGCTTCCGCGATCCAAATATAGCTGACCAGGGAACATCCGGGGCATTCGCTGAGATGATACAATTGAGCTGGTGGTGTGCTCCGCTAGAGAGCATTGTGAATGGCGGTACTACAGTACAACAACATTCTCACTGAATGATCGTCTGGGCAAAAGCAAAACACTCATTATGTGCAATGCTGCAAGACTTCTTGTTTCGGACAAACTAGCCTAATGCAAAGCAAGCATCTTACTGCTTTTTGTATCCTTGTCGGACTGTTCGAGCCTGCATAATATGGACACTCGACCAACACAGGACGCTTGAAAATGTGAATTAGCTTACTGGGTTTCTCCTTTACCCTTCGGTTCATCATCATTTCGCGGACGATGAATTCGAAAAGATCTCCCATTAGCTTCGGGACTGCATCTTGTGAGGTAAGGTTTGTCAGGGGGACCCTGCCGTGTCAAGACTCTCCATCTTGGCCTTTGCCGTGGGAATGAGCACCTGGAACTAACGAGGAGGCGGTCACAGAATCATTCGACACAGCGCAATTTCATGGATACCAATGCCTTCCTCTAAGAATACTAACAGCATGGCAATTTTATCGACATTTATGTTCTGCGAGCTTACTTTGTAACCAAACGAACTTTTGTTTGGAGGAAGATAGAGCTTCAGTAACAGCGACGTCATGTTGAAAAGGTGTCAAGACAAAAACTGAGTCAGACCGTGGGATGCTTAAGACGCTGCGCCGGGCTGGGAAATGTGTAGGTGCAATGGGCAGCGGCAACAGAAGCAGGCAGAGAATAGGATATCGAGCACAAATATTCAATTGCACCTATTTAGTTAAATGTACTAATTATTTATCCAGAATGAAGCTCACCAAGTGAAACTATCTTCTTCCAAATGACTCAAGGATGCAGATGAAATTCAGTATCAAACGGGGTAGTCTGAGTTTCCTTCCTATGTACGGATCCGTAGTTTAGTCGATTAGACCAACCTTAGCTTGTATGAACGAATTGTGTCGGGATGATTTTGACAGAAGACTGGCTGTCGGGCACTGACAAGGATACCACTGGGTGTAATTAAAATCTAGAAGCGCCTTCCCCAATATTGACAAGCCCCGGCCATGACACCCTTGCTGGTTACGACGCTAGGCCTCAAGGCACTTCAGTCCATTGGGGGGGCCTGGCGGTTGGTTTCAAGATCCAGAACAGCAGCGGCAAGCTTGAGTTGCATTGCCTAGCAGTAGATGAAATACATTTGGTCAATCACAGCAGCATGAATGCAATTGAGCACGGAGCCACTTGGCAGGATAGCCTGCCATGCTGATTGTGGCGGTGGGAAAGGTAGCGACGGGCGAACTGCACGGGGGACAGCTTCCTGTCAGGTACATGCATGTGTTGGCTGTGGTACGGATTATTAGCTGCAGTAGCTGCCACGATAGTCGGCGGGTCAGTCTAAGGTTAACTAGCCTAGTTGAACTCGCAGGTCGCTTCTGCAGTCGCATAGCGCCAGGGACCACAAGCTTGCACAAGCTCACAGCACCAGCCATTCCCACGTTGCGACCACTGCCAGCGGAGAAGCGCAGACCACCAAACTCAATCGACTCAGCAACTCCCACGTTCTGCTTTTCCTCTCCGTTTTGTCCTCGCTGCTGTACCTCAGGGCGGCCAACACCATACACCCGCGACCGCAACGCCGGTTCTGCATCCTCTACTCCTTGGTTGTTTCCTCACAGCTTTTCATTCTGATCTTTCGTTATACCCCGTTAATTGAGCGTAACTCACCACTCTTTCCCAATATTCGCCTCAGAAAACCAATCGCGAGGAGCAGTAATTTGAGTTTAGAGACCGCCGTTTATTTACTACTATACAAAGTACTACCACAGTACCGACTAAATAATTTCCGCAAAATCAACAGCGCCGGATGGAATGAAGATTGAACACACCTCCAAATTAACCTGATCGTCCCTTCCCAGGCCACAAGCGACTTGTTACTGGACCGCATTGGAACTTTGAGAGCCGCCTACCGTCCTGGATGGGTAAACAACAAGGACAACAACAACATTCAATGTCACAATCCTAAGGCCCTACGATTCTTGCATACAACCCCCGACACACCAGACGACTCGACGGCATGGCGTGCATCTCATTATCGGGGTCCACGGCTTGCCCTGCTTTCACATCGTCGTCAATATCAACAAATACGACCCTTGTTAACCTGTACCCGTTCCTTCAATACGTATCAGACAGAGCTTCTTTTGATTCTCAGCTGGAGTCATACGTGCAGACAACATATGTTCAGTCCAAGTACGAGGATCTATTAGGATGCGATGATATCAACCTCTCAAACACCGCGGACCTTTACGCACGATTCACCATATCAGTGATATGCAACGGCATTATCCAGAACTCCGTCAGTGACTGTGGTCTTACCGGTGATTCAGCTCGGCCTTTATGTGCAGACTCGTGCGCTCAGTTCGCGGAAAGTGAGGCCTATGTCATCTCCGATAGCGACTTGTGTGCAAATCCCAGCAGCAACAGCGCTTCTCAGGTCCGCGCCGACTTCACCAACTGCGCTTTGCCTGCAGACTCTCTATCCAGCTCTCAATGTATTACCGGAAGTTCCAACGAACCGGATAACTGTGGATACGGCAACAGCACGATTGGATTATGCTCGTACTGCGCATCTGGCGGCATCAACTCTACTGATACCTGCTGCTACAATTCAGGCGCGGAAAGCCGCTGTGCAGGAGTTGTCCTGCCGTCTTTGACGACTACGATCACCCTCAGCACCCCAACCGCCAGTTCCGGAGCTTCGCCTGGGGCGGCCGCATCAAGCAATGGATTATCAGGGGGAGCGATTGCCGGTATCGTGATTGGGTCGATCGCTGCGCTCGCTCTCATTCTATTCCTGATCTTCCTCTGCATCAGGATGGCAAGACGCAGACGCGGCGATAGCCAAAAGGGTAGCATCTTCAACCAGCCCTCCCCTTCCAGGGGCGGACAGCCACCTGTATCGCAAGTTGCAGCGGCACCACCTGCTGCCGTAGCCTCCTCCAAAGGCTACGATGTTCTGCCAGGGGGCCGTATAGCCCGCATGTCGGCTCTGGAGGGCCACTCAGGAGACTCCCCTCCTAGACATGGTGGTTCTGCCGGAGGTGCCGCTGCCGCTGGTGCTGCCGCCGGATACATGGCAGGTCACAGAAGACGTGACAACCACTCATCCTCGAGTGAGTTTGGTGAGAGCCCTACATCAGATACGCCACGCGCGGGTATTTTACGGCCTCCTCCCACGATGATGCGTAGGCAGGGCTCATTGTCCAGCAACTCTATGCTGTCAGGCGAACACCTTTCGTCACCCACTAGCGGCGGAGGAATGTCCTCGCCACAAGGCGTCGCCAGCCAACAATCCGAACAATTACCATTCTTCAAGGATTATTACTCACAAGACGACATACACCCTGGAGACCGGGCTGCGGTGCTTTGGGCTTACCAGCCACGTGCTGCCGATGAGTTTGCTCTGGATCGTGGCGATATGGTGAAGGTGGTAGGCATTTGGGATGACGGCTGGGCGACTGGCATTCTATTGGACGAGCGAGCAGATGAATGGGAAGCTCGACGACAATCACAGAGAGACAGCGGCGTTTCTAATGCATCGGGCCGAGGTCGCGATGTCTCGCCTCCTGTGAGCGGTGAGATCAAAGCCTTCCCATTGGTATGCGTCTGCCTCCCTGAGCACTGGAGGAAGACAATAGAAGGTGATGGGTCGACAGAGAGTGGCTCAAGCGCTCATCCAGGCCACCACATCTGAGGCGTCGCAATTTATTCGATAACGACTTTACCTGCAGGGCTGGATCGGGGAGTGCAGACTAGCCTTGGTGAGCCTCTGTGTTCGCAGCAGTGGCCTATATATTGAGGCTGTCGTTGGATGCCTATTCGCTTCGTCCTGATATTTTCTTGGTTCGCATTGTTTTGGCGTTATGTTATTACAGGATACCATTGAGCGACGCGAGCATTTAACGACGATCTGACCCGACATGGCACAAACCTGCATCCGCCACATGTGCACTCCTACTCCGCTGTTCACGTCTCTCGGCATGACGTGGCCCGTCCCAACCCAACATACACCCTCCGTCCCTCGTGGACAAACCCAGGGCTCCCCAATTCTACAACACCTAATTCAACTCGTTTCTGAAGACGTGGCCTCGTATCAGGTCTTGGACTGCGAAATTTTCCGATGGCCATGATTTGTTGGTGCTCACTGCTGTCGCGCTGCATTTTGACGAGAAGGGATGTGGCCAACACCGTACCTAATACGACAACCCTTACTATATGGTCCTCCATTTTTGGAGCTTTTGTTATTTTCTATATACCCCAGGAGGCGTTTAACGAGGCGGATTGTCAGCAGAGAGGCATTGCCGTTTGATTCGATTCAGAATAGGGACTAGACAAGAAGAGAGAGGGTTTCAGTCGTGAGAACTGTACGTTTAGACGAGCCAAGAAAAAGAATAGGAAAAGCATGGTTGGCTTATTACTGTGGACAATCAGTTACTGTGCCGCTACCTGGGCATTGGCACGGTTTCTTAGTGACTTAAGTTAATGTGTTATTTCGTATCCCATGCGCGGCATAATTGTGGTACGGATGATATTAATGGCCAGTTCCTTTCATTGTACAGCCCGTATATGGTCGCAAGCTAGGAAAAGACCCGTGTGACTCCTAGCATCTTTACGGCTGAGGAGCGCTGGAGAATGTGTTTTGTGTTGCTCAACCGTGGACTGCCATAAGTGGTTGTTACCACGGGATTGGTATCTCATATTTCCCAACCCAAGGGGGCCACCGATGTGCATGATGACCAGAATTGTTCCAAGCGGTATCTGAGCTCGGCCACTACGATTACTAGGTTAGACTGGGGGCGGGGTTTATCGTGATGCAGGTCTACAACAACAGGATTACCTTCACATCAAACGTTCAACAGTGCAGCAAGTCGATGTCTTCAACAGCGCCGGGCGCGCCATAGCCGAAGCTGGGCCACGAAAACAGCTGAACGTTTTCACCGTTCCTGCCAACGCCAACGGAATGCTCAATATGTAGCATGTCGCACACGATACAAGTGGGCATTGCGATTGTACGCGTCCTGCTCTGTCTTGAGCCAGTAGACCTCCACTGTTGTCCCTATGCATGTTTAATCCGTATGCTATGCCAAGCGACACGGCATTAGGAAAGCCCTGGGAGGATGCACCAACTTCTTCGTCCATGGCTACCTACTGGGGGCGCGTTGAGAGCAAAGCGCCCCACCCAAGTAAGGTTAGACAGACAGACTACTGGGAGCGCGTGCGTTACGTCAGGGGATCGATCAGTCGCCAAGTCGAGCAGCTCCCGGTGATCGCTGCTTGCTGCCCTTTGCACCTGATTTCACATACAAAATACAACCCTGCACTTACCTCGTTCGCTACTGGTAGTCGATTAGCGATTCCCGACATATGTGTTTGCTCTCGAAAATGAATCCGAATCAGCGCCCTCTTCAACGGTAGTTGTAGCAGCCCACCGCCCAGTATGGGCCAAGCTTATTCCCTGACGACGCCATACGCTGGCTCTGCGGGCATCGACGTCCCTGAGCTATCGGATCTGGTACACGAGAGGTCCCTTGGCGATGCCCGCTTCATGAAGACCATTCGCGCCCGCAGTTACGATGGGCTTGTTCTTGCGAAAGTAACAGTCAAACCGCACACACCCATGTCTTTGAAGCCCTACGGCGTCAAGATACTGCAGGAGCGGGATAAGCTGCGGGACGTACCGAATGCCCTGGGCTTCGAGCGCGCCTTTGAGACCGAAACGAATGCCTACCTCATACGACAGTTCATGTACAGCTCGCTGTATGACCGACTGTCTACGAGACCATTCCTCGAGGACATGGAGAAGAGATGGGTCGCATTCCAGCTGTTGTGCGCCCTCCGAGACTGTCATGCCCGGGACATATACCATGGAGATATCAAGACGGAGAACATCCTGGTTACCTCTTGGAACTGGGTGTATCTCACCGATTTCACATCATCTTTCAAGCCGACCCATCTACCCGACAACAACCCTGCACTATACTCGTACTTCTTCGACCTCTCCGGCCGAAGGACATGCTATATCGCGCCCGAGCGATTTCTCGCCCCCGGCGAAGAGGCAAAGGAGAACGATAAGATCACCTGGGCCATGGACATATTCAGTGCTGGGTGCGCCATAGCCGAGTTGGTTCTTGAAGCACCGATTTTCAGTCTCAGCCAACTGTACAAGTTCCGTCGCGGCGAGTATGATCCCGTCATCTCTCATCTGAGCCGAATACCAGACCAGAACCTGAGAGAAATGCTGTCAAGTATGGTTGCCCTAGATCCGGAGAAGCGCTACTCCGCGGAACAGTATCTCGACATCTTCAAGGGCAAGGTGTTCCCAGAGTACTTCTACACATTTCTCCACCAGTATATGGAGCTGCTCACAGATACTTCTTCGGGCCGAGCACCTGTTTCAGGGGCTGCAAGAAATCTGGGCGAGGCCGATGACAGAATAGATAGGGTGTTTTACGACTTCGACAAGATTGCTTACTTTCTGGGTTACAACGACGGGAAGAAGCAGTCGGAAGTGACACCATTTACTCCCTGCCTAGGCCTGGGCCTATTTCCGGTGAGGCTCAATATTCCCAACAACGAACACTATGTCTCTGTCACAGCTCAACCCGCTGCGGATGATGGTACTTTGATATTTTTGTCTCTGATTGCGGCTTCTCTACGAAATACCGCTCGGGCAGCCTCAAAAGTGCGTGCATGCGATGTACTGTTAGCATTCTCGGAAAGGTTGACGGACGAGGCCAAATTGGACCGAGTTCTCCCATACTTGATGATGCTGCTCAACGATGATGTTGATGTGGTAGCGATTGCGGCACTACGCTCAGTGACCCAGCTCCTGGCCATGGTCACCGCAGTTACTCCTGTCAATGCTCATGTATTCCCCGAATACATCATGCCACGAATGCAGGTATTCTTGGCTGGTGCGTCACGACAGTTGGTCATGGGTAAAGAGCGCAGAGAGCCGACGGCACTGGTAAGAGCTACTTACGCCTCTTGCTTAGGCAGCTTAGCAAGTACAGCGAGTCGTTTCTTAGATATGACTGCAATTCTAAGGGCCGAAGGATCCATAGCCACGGCAGACCCCGAGATCGAAGCTGGAAGCGATGCAGAAGCTGCTTTCGACAACTTGTTCGACAATGCTCAACGAGAGTTGGTAGAGCTGTTCGAAAACCATGCAAAGGCTATGGTAGAGGACTCGGACGCATCAGTGCGGCGAGCTTTTTTGAGCTCTGTTCCGGAGCTTTGCATGTTCTTCGGCAGTGCAGAATCGAATGATATCCTTTTGACCCATCTTAACACGTATCTCAATGATCGGGACTGGATGCTGAAATGTGCTTTTTTCGACACAGTTGTTGGCATTGCCGCGTTTCTCGGAAGCACAAGTCTGGAAGAATTCAATCTACCATTGATGGTGCAGGCATTGACAGATCCAGAAGAGCACGTAGTGCAAGCCGCATTACACTCTTTGGCCGAACTCGCGAATCTGGGTCTTCTGTCCAAGACAAAAACATGGGAACTGATTGACGTCGTGGGCCGCTTTACCATGCACCCGAATATATGGATTCGAGAGTCAGCCGCAGAATTCCTCTCCAACGCCACGAAGCTTCACTCATCCGCAGACATCAGATGTGTCATATACCCGCAGATCAGGCCCTTCTTGAAGGATGCCGTTATCCCCGACTTCACCGAGCTAGATCTCCTTGATGCCTTACAGAGACCACTGTCTCGAACAGTGTACGATCAAGCCCTGGTATGGGCACAAAAGGCCGACAAAAGTTTATTCTGGAAAGCAGTGCAAAAGCAAAAACAATCAACTTTCACAATCACCTCAATGGGGATGGCTAGGTCATCACGAGAGCCGCAGTCATTAGCTTTGAGTAAGACGTCCAAGAGTGAAGAAGACGAACAGTGGATATCGCGGTTACGTAACTATGGGTTGAGTCAAAACGACGACTTCAAGCTTTTAGTACTGAGAGAATTCATATGGCGGTTGAGTCGGATGCGAGATCGAGAACCAGTGCTCCCAGAAGGAGGTACAGGCCTCGCCCCAATTTTGCTTCTACGAAACATCATGGACAAACTCCAGGTGCAAACAATCATGTTTGATGAGACCGCAACACCTCTAGATCCGAAATACGGTTCGTCAGACCAAAATAAGGGCCCGTATACGATTGCTGATGCTCTAATGGACGCATCAATGACTATTGATGAGCCGATGTCTCGCAGACGAATCGCTGCATTTAACACGCATCGTTCAAGGCTTAGTACCGGCGATGCCATATCTCCTCGCGCGTCCGTTTCTCCAGGCCCTGCATCTCCGAACGATGCAGACTTCAGGCGTTCTAGCTCCCTGGCTCGCGGACGTCAGGACAACCGCGATGAAAGCGCGAACCAAACACAAAGACCTTATTCTGCCAGGCGGGCTGTTCAACACCAATCCAGTGCACTCGACTTGCTAAGGAAGGACAGCAACAGGTCCGCAGCAGAGACCGGCACGACTGAAACTAATGCTTTCGGTCTGGTCGGAGGACCTTTCATGCAAAATGCACCCAAGATCGCGTTACCTGGCACAGCCGAAGAGAACATTGATTTGACTACTCAAGAGGATAAAAGCTACCGACAAAAGGCCTCACATACTTACGAGGGTAATGATCCGAGCATTCTTAAAATGCTGGATAGTATGTTTATTGACAATTACCCGCATGATATTGCCGAGTTCGGCCCTCTGGTGGCGCCGGTATCCAGGAAAACCAACAAGAATGCTGCTCAAGCTCCAGCCGAGGCATGGCGACCAAGCGGTAGGCTGGTTGCAACTTTCGCGGAACACACTGGTGCAATCAATCGTGTTGTCCCCTCTCCGGATCATATGTTCTTTATTACAGGAGGCGATGATGGCTCAGTCAAGGTTTGGGACTCGGGCAGGCTCGAGCGAAATGTCTCTCACCGTGCACGTCAAACCCACAAGCATGCTCTTGGAGCAAGAGTCATCGCCTTATGTTTTATCGAGAACACGCATTGTTTCATCAGTTGTGCAACTGACGGTTCAGTACACATTGTCAAAGTGGACATCATCATGTCAAGCAATGGCACGCCGAAGTATGTGCGATTGAGACTGCTCCGCGAATACCAATTACCTGCAGACGAATACGCCGTATGGTGCGCGCACTTCAAGCTTGACCTACCCTCCGTTCTGCTTCTCGCCACAAACCGATCTCGTATTTTAGCTATCGATCTAAGGACGATGACGCTGCTTTATACACTGGAGAACCCAGTTCACCATGGTTTCCCCACCTGTTTTGTTGTCGATCGTAAGCGTTATTGGCTCTTGCTAGGTACATCACATGGTGTCCTGAATTTGTGGGATCTCCGATTCAAGCTCAGACTGAAGAGTTGGGGTGTTCCTGGGAAGTCACCCATCCACCGTTTAGCATTGCATCCGAGTAAAGGCCGCGGCAAGTGGGTGTGCGTGGCAGGCGGTACAGGCCTGCCTGAAATCACTGTCTGGGACATTGAAAAGACACAATGCCGTGAGATCTACCGCACAGCTGGTACATCAAAAGACGGCCCTAGGGAGTACAAAGCGTGGGACGTCGACGAGGACAAGCCTGAAGGCATGCTTAGTCGCTTTGCTACTAGCATAGAACCTTCCTCACAAAACACCGTCGACCGCTGCATTAAGGCTATGGCAGTGGGTGCAGGAACAACAGGTGACCATGACCGCGACGTTCGCAACGGCTACATCATCACTGGTGGAGCAGAAAAGAAGCTGCGCTTCTGGGATCTTAATAGGATCGAGCAGAGTAGCGTCTTCAGTGGCTTGGTACCAAAAGATGATGCGAGCTCCAGCAAACCTGTTTTCGTCGCACATACCTCACCTAGCAATCCTAACCTGACAATAAATATGGAGCGGCTACCCAAGTCCTCTTCAGCCGATGCCGATCAAGCATCAGGCAAAAACGGTGAGCCTTCCTCAACATCGACAAAGAAGAGGGATAAACCACCCCGGCACACAGTCATATCGGCGGAGCAAGGCAGGTTGCTTAGGAGCCATCTGGACACTATTCTTGACGTAGCGGTGCTGGAGAACCCGTACACGATGACCATATCTGTTGACCGCTCCGGCGTCATCTTCGTGTTCCAATAGGACTGGGACCAGAAGATGATACATGCACACAACAGGAAGAAGGAACTTGGACTAGACGGAGACATTGCCGACGAAAGCAGCATCGTGATGGTTGGGGGGCTGGGTAAGCTTCAGATATAATAGTCATAAAGTCGCATAATCATCAACAACCACTGGTCTGACTGTGATACATTGTTTATCTTAGGCACATTCGAGATTGTTCCACGTTGTACCAGTGGGAGTGCATTTGAAACTTACAGACCTTCGTAAAGATTTGTACCTACCCAGGTTCAGAATAAATAGTTCGAAAAGAGCTTTACAACAACGAAGATCCGCCGAGACAACATTGGATTCGATCTGCAATACCGATCCTATATGCAGACAGCCTGGGACATAGCATCGCATAGAATCCAACATGCGTGTCCCTGGTCCAGGCAAATTTGCTGGTATGGAACATGACCGACACAAGGAAGTCAAGTTACAGCAGCCAAGGCAGCCAAGTACTTATACCCATACCTTCTTATCTGGGCAAGAGTCTGCGATAAGTTTCGTGTGCACCAATCTGCCCGCAGCACGTCAATGACATTAACACGTGGGACTATGAAATGCGGAAGTAGACCCTACTGGCACAGAAACAACGCCCTAGAGCGACAAAAATCACCGACCTTTGGCGCAGAGAAGTTGATGATTTTCCAAAGTCCGCTAAGCATGATTTTCAGCAGTCTGGCCAACTGTTCATGGGGCACACCCCACAACATTTAGCTGGAGCAGCTTCTTAATCAGTCAAGGTGTCGGGAAATCGACAGCCTAGTTCACCGCCTCAGATGCTGTTGATTCACGGTTCTTGGTCAGTCTCGCCAACCAACTGTTGTTCAACGAGCACCAAATTGTGCGGTATCATGTTACGTATATTTGATGGTTGATGTCACCATTGCTCTTGAAAACAGTTTGAGGGACACAGAAACCAAAATGAAGGCCACGTAGCAGTCTTACGCATCAGCCGTCCTTCTGAGAATTATATCTAGTATATTATCGACCCCGTACGTTTTTCTCTTACGAGGTTAAAAGAACAACGTTACCGAACAATCAAAGTCAAGGCGCATTACGTGATCAAGTAAAGGAGCAATGTCGAGTTTTCCGTGACTCAATCTAGATAAGTAGATTGGGAAGATCGACTTGGAGCCCTCTCAATACTTGCGCCAAGACCTCTAACACTGTCTCGTTAGCATCTGCCGAGCATCCCGGCCTTATGTAGCCAATGGGGGACGCCTTTTGTTGCAGAATGATCCTTGCAGCCTAGCGGATCTTGCATTTCAGCTCTACGCTACCACATGTCTCATTGACTTTGCACCAGCATCATCATTCATATCCTCGGCGATAGCCTCACATGCGGAATCATGTCTTCCGAAGCTCCTCATGCGAAAGGGTTAGGATGGGCGGAGGGAAACGATTGGGAAGATCAGCGCGCCACCATCACACGGCTTTACAGCTCGGAAAAGCGCACCCTGAAGGAGGTGATAAAGATTATGGAAGATGACTGCGATTTCTTCGCGACGTAAGTAGATCGTCTACCCTATTATGGTGAAGGCGATCGGAAGCGACCGCTGATCAATTTCGTTGAAAGTCCAAAGATGTACAAACACCGCTTCAAGCTTTGGGGTCTTGCGAAGTACAAAAGACCTACCAAGGAAATCTCAACACTGCAGACAAAGAAGGTTGCATACCGTACACGACACTCTGGCTCGGCAGTATCGATAAAATCTGAGGACACGAAACCTGATGGGAGTAAGCCCACAGAACGGGCATATCGAGCGCAGCTTGTAAAGAGCAATGCCCTGCCCTTGCATGCCAGTGGCTCAGCTGCAATTGATCCTCGGTTCGGAATCACCTCGCCGTATTTTCATGAGGAGAGCATGTATCATGCTATTAAAGACTATTACAATGCATCGTTCAGCTCTCTATTCACCTGGACGGAGATCTCGCCGTCAACAGGCGTGGTGCAGGTGAAACCAAGGTTGTTACAAATTCGTGAACAGCTGCAGGACCTCCACAGCCGTTTCCGCATTGCGTTGAACAAGCTGTCTGGGCCCCAGCCTCTCAACCCGGCTGACCTTGCAGAGGGCATAAAGATACTGCGGGTGTGCTTCGCTCGATTTCCTGATATACTAGCAGCCGAGGATCCAATCTTGATTAGTCATGTCCTTGACCTTATTCGGCGGGTGCAGGAATCTGGTCATACCTTTATAGAAACACAGCTCCGGCGACACATATTCTGGCTGGCAAAAACCCGAGGGCAGCCACGGAGCACTTCTCTTCTTTCTCATGCCCTCATGATCGAGCTGCCTCTAGACAGGTATCACAGGAGCCTATTGACCGAGATCGCGGTGCACGCTTTCCAGCAGTACCTAGGGCCGTACCATTTTGAGACGCTGCAGCTCAAAATGTGGCTTCTTTTCAATCGAGAAGAAAGCAGCTTCTTACGAGGCTACGGCCTTCGACAGCTTTATTCCCAGCTGGAATCCGACGTTGGGAAGGACGTATTCGACGATCGCCACATGGATATACTCATGAATCTTAGTAGTCATTATTTCAGAGCTGGTGAGCCGGAAAGCGCATTAAGCGTAGTGAATTACGTCTTCCTGAACCCGGCACGCCTAGAAGCACTAAAGAAAGTCCCAGAAATACTATACAACTTTTACTGGCTGGCTGGAAAGGCGCTCGGCAAGCAGAGTAAGCACATCGACGCTGAAGGGTATTTTCGAAAGGCATTGAGCGTCGCGCAGCAGAAGCTAGACAAAAACGCGACGGACGATTCATCCTATTTGTCAGTCATGACGGCTTTGGAACTCAATCTACGAGACCAGGACCGACTTAATGATGCCGACGAGGTTCTGGCCATGCGACAAGCTTATATTCGGAAGAGCCTGGCAAGCGTGGGCGAGCAAGAGTCGACAGGCTGATTGCATGCTAGGAAACGAGACCAGAAAATGCATTGAAGGCCGCCCAGGAGTGAAACGATCACACATAGCATCGAGGTCGCTTTCGCGGTTGCCGTCCAGTATTTTCGGGCCTGCAGAATAGCTGTCGATGCGGCTACCTCGTGTTATTATTATTTTCCGGAACTGTCACATGTCATGGTATCTCCACCTGTGTACGAGGTTTGGGTGTTTATGCCCAGTTCGACGCGGCTCTCGAAAGATACGGGCCAGTTCGGTGCGAGGCATGTTCAAGTGGCAGGGCTCGCGCATGCATTCCGGATGGAGTAGAGTGAGGGAATATAATGCTTGATGACCGTATCTTGCGCTGGCGATATCATGACAATACTCGTGCTCCTGGTGAGAGCTGTCAGTAAAGCTGTGATCATGGTCGCGGTCGTCAAGTATATTCCATGTGCCAGCAGTCATAAGCTGGTGCTTCGGTGCTTAGTTTCACGAAAACGCTCGAAAGGTCTTCATGGCTAGGAACAACTGTATCTGCGCAGAGAGATGGCTATCCCAGTGCTGCGAGCTCAAGGGCGACGGACTTTTCAACCTTGGACGGCCGCTGACGACCGAGGCTGTCGCCAATATAACCAAAGGCGTGATGGCGACACTGTTCAGTTATCGGCTTTGACCATTGTGAAATGAGACATGTACCCAATCATTTGGGCATGATGAAGGAACCCAAGAAGATGCGGCAGACAAAATCGAGTGGACTAAAGCAATGGAAATTGTGTCGCTTTTGTAAATGCGGCCAAGACGGTTTCTACTTGCCATTATATTTCGTATGATTGCAAATACTGCATTGCTTGGCGAGGAGTCTACTGAAGTAGGATATCCGGTCGATAAGGAAGAATACGGGTTACTATCACTCAAAACTAACCCGGGTGGTAAGAAACTCTCACTCATTTGTAGAAAAACAAGACTCTTCACGTTTGCTGAATAATAACTTAGAGTTAAAGTGACATTCATCTGCGTGGATCCAAACAAGCAATGCAACCAGGCCCAGCATTAAAGACCCGCTACAGGGGCGGCATCCACTATTTTAATAGAGCCAAGATTATGAGGCTAAATGCCAGCGAACACAGGTCTAAGGTCAGGAAGAATATCTTTTTCCACGAATCCTCTCGTACGAAATTCAGATCCGTTATGTTGACGCTCTTCGATGGTGCAAACATGTGTTGCCATGTCCCCCCTTCCCGCCCTGGAGCCGAACTCCGGATAAGAATGGCCTCGGGTAGACTTGACCAGGGACCCATAACCGTTGTGCCCCACATTCGTTTCAGAGAACGCAGAAGATGATGTGGTTCTTGGACTCCTTTCATCCAAACGACGACCAGTTTTTTTTCCACTGCGTATTTGAAAGGCCCAGCATTTACCGAGCGACTAGCTCACATGCTTACCGCCATGCGAGGATACCGCCTTGTCAACCAGGGATAGGAGTCTGGAACTGCTGTCAATTTTTGGTTGGTGCCAAGCTCGCTTGACGAAGGTTCTGGATTAAGAGCCTCAATCTTGCAGTAGTCATTTCAGGTGAGAAAGGGGAATACCCTGGCGGCTCGCGATGCAACAACGAATGTCGCTTAAACAGATGACCTGGACACTAGGAAAGGTGATGAACCCATGGCCCTCATCTGCTACGAAGCGGACAAGACAGCAAACCGCCCGTTGACTGCAGTATGGGTATGTGTTGCCAGATGATAAAGTCATGCGTCGATTGCGGAGAATTCGGTGCAGGAGACTGTTGACAACCTCCATTGGCGCTGGGGTCGTCGCTGAGCAAAACCTCAGTAGTTCAGCGGCTAGGCTGCCAAAATGCCCCTCACAGCTTAACTCGTGTCGAGGGGACGGCGCATCAACAAATAAGTAGACAATCTCCGAAGAAATCAGCATCAGACGGCCAAACATTCCTGGACCCGCCACGACGTTTCTAAATAATTGCGGCCCCTTGTCAATAGGATCATCGATTCCAGCTGCTCGGTGCGTACCGAGAAGCGAGGGCTAGCGCCGCGGCGCCAAACCCACAATGGCTGTTACACTTATACCACTGCAGGGGTACCTAGGAGCATGAACCTGGTAAAAGCGATGAGGCTCTCCAGAACGCTGACATGAGTTAATTGGCTGGGCCCGACGGCGTGGGGTATCTCTTGGAGATGGGATGAAACTTGATGGTACTGTGTACTGTATGGAGGAGGACTACAGGCTCATCACGGGCATCAGATGATTACCAAGGGTACGGTGGAGTGAGATCGTGCTCGTGGTGTGGGATTGTTTAAATATGAGAAGGCCTGCTCTTCTCTCCGAGAGCTGTCTTCCAACCAACATCAGTCATCCCATTCTTTATTGTTTATTTCTTCACTCACTACAGGTCGGTGACCTAGTCGTTCTTTATCTCCACTTACAGCTTCGTCTCGCACAGGTGCAAAACGTTCTACCAGTCAAACGAATTCGCTTTACTTTCACAGCCTTGAAACTTTTCCACAACTGCAGCATATCCAACCGACAAAATGAAGTACGCTATTACTCTCGCTACCATGGGCCCTGCCCTCGTTGCCGCCCACGGTTTCATCACCTCGCCTACCCCTCGTCAGGCTGGCAAGGCCCTCTCTTCCGTCTGTGGAACTCAGATCTACAACAACATGAACTCCGACTCTTACGGTAACATCCAGGGTGAGACCCAGCTCATCCAGAGCGACTTCACCGACGAGTGCAACCTTTGGCTTTGCAAGGGTTTCCAGTTCAGCGACAACACCGACAACGTCCAGAGCTACACCACTGGCGAGGTTGTTGACATCAAGTACGAAGTTCGCGCTCCCCACACTGGTTTCGCCAACGTTTCCATCGTTGACACTGCCACCAACACTGTCATCGGCGAGCCCCTCGCCTCGTGGAGCGTTTTCGCATCCAACTCCCAGGCCATGGCTGCCAACGAGTCTGCTTTCTCGATCACCATCCCTGACCTGGCCGGCAAGTGTGCCACCGCCGGTGACTGTGTCATTCAGCACTACTGGAACAGTGATTCCGCCGGTCAGACCTACGAGGCCTGCCTCGATTTCACTGTTGGCGGCTCCTCCAGCGGCTCTAGCTCCAGCGCTGTTGCCTCGTCTGCTGTTGCTACCTCAACTCAGGCTGCTACCTCCAGCGCTGCCGCTGCCACCACCACCAAGGCTGCCGCTACCAGCGCTGCCGTTACCACCTCCGCCGCCCCGGCGACCACTTCAGCACCTGTTGAGGACGAGGGAGACGACGAGGACGATGATCAGTGTGATAGCGATGATGGTGAAGAGTATAGCACCAGCACTCTTACTGTCGCCCCTAGCACCACTGCCAGCACCCCAGCCACCACTTCGGCACCAGCTGACGAAAGCGACGACGACGAGTCTTGCGATGCTGACGATTCGGATGATGAAGACGAGCCAACCACCACTTCTGCAGCCGTTAGTGCTGAGGCCACTGGCGAAGCTGATGACGAGGATGATGGCGATTACGATGACTGTGAGCCAGAAGAAACTTCTTCTGCCGCCCCCGTCACCTCCGCCGCTGCCACCACCAAGGCCGCCTCTTCCGCCGCCGGCCCTACTACTCTGGTCACCAAGACCTCCAGCAAGGCCGCTACTGCTACTTCCGGATCCAGCACTGGATCCGTCGCCCTTTACGGCCAGTGCGGTGGAGCAACTTACACTGGTGCTACCACTTGCGCTGAGGGCACTTGCACTGTGTGAGTAACTTTCTTATATCATCCCCTTTTTAGCATTTACTGACTTTGTATATTACAGCATGAACGACTACTACTCCCAGTGCGTCAACTAAATACTTGGGCTTGATGGGCGTGGAAGCCTTTAAAGGGCTGTGATTATAATCACATAGCGAATTTCGCTTCATATTGTATATATTCCCTATGCTCTTCACAGAGCTTGTAGAAATAAATGGGTTGATGTCTTCCATGCGATTGTCTCTCGACTACCTCAATCTCACGTGCTCTAGTTTGTATACATCGTGCAACTATCATTTTAGTAATAACCGCAAATATACCATTACCTTGTCACTCTCGTCCTCGGCGTTGACGGGAAAAATCAATGAACCGATTGTATAGGGAGTCTGATGTCCCCAGGAAAACCCTCGACGTTTCAGAGAATCTCGAGCCTGAAAAATAATAGGCTTTCTCTGAGCATTTGTTTCCAAGTTTTATTAGCATCTGCACAGCATAATGAGCGACTGTAGCATGACGACTGTAGCCCCCTGCTTATACGTGGCGGCCTCTGCCCCGTAACAACAACTACTTCCTAAAGCTCAGAACTCCAGCCCCCCTAGAACTCGTAAAGCAGAGTTCCTGCTAGACTTGCGTGTAAAGCCGCCGTGACCCTCTTGCATGCCGCAGGGGATCCATGGTACCGGGAGCACCAGGTGCTCGAGCACCGGAGCTGCCGCCGTCTGAATTCATCGACAGATGATGAGAAGCCCGAAGATCTCGAGTAGCAATAATACTGTTGTCTGGGCTCCTCACATCTAGTGATTTCCGCATTGAACTCAGGTACATTGCGAGTATGGACTGGGCTGGGAAATCCCATGCGAGCGTCGGTGAACTGATTTATGAATTTAGCGGTAGCGGGAGCATCAGAAACGCACCCACAGTCCGTATTACTGTCAAAACTTTTTTGGCAAGTAGTAAGAAGGCTGCTAACCTCGGATTTTGGTGGCAATACCGGCAAGGCTCCTGGGTGAAGGTGAGTTGGAACAGCGCTTATTGAAGCGGAACTGGCTATTGCGACATGGAATTAACCGAAAGAGGCAAAACATATATCTCTGATTGCGAGCCCACTTAACAAGGGTCTCATGGTTACATCAGTTGTATGGGCACCGGCTGCGAGGCGTTGTTGGTTTGTCACTTGTCGAGTTTGACATCTCATGCGAAGGAGTTGACCAAGCGACGTAGGCTCATAGAACGCGTCTGTCTGTTTGAGAATTTCCCGGATATTTGACGCAGTGTGCACGATAAGCACAAGAATCCACCAGTCTCTCCTTGACTAAAGCGGCTCAGTGCGAGATAGCTTCGAGGAAGCAGTTCTGGAGGCGCTAGGCACATCATGCTGGTCAACGGATGCTCGTTGGCAGCGATATGACAACAGGCTCGCAGATAATCCACCTCGACGACGGTTTGATATCACGGGTTTCTACCATAGCGGTGACCTTCAAGATAGAGTCCTCAGCTCATTTGACAGCGTCCTCGAGGCGTTGTGATAGTTGACCCTGGAGCGCTTTGGTGTTGTTGCTAGGCTCCGTATCAGTTATATGGTTAGTGTTAGGGGTTTTTATTTTATTTTTAATTTTTAAAAAAGTACACCACCTCCAAACCCTGAACTATAGTATATAATTCACCAAAGAAAGGGCGCCAAACCACGTCTGGCTGCACGTAGTGGTCATACTCTAGGTCCTGCCTACAAGAAGAACCGCAATACTGATTCTTGTCTATATTTCCAGCTGAGCCTGTTGTTTTCAAGGTAGGATGTAGCCGCTGTCCAGCCGCGAGGACAGTAAAGTGTGCGTCAAGATTAATTTCACATTTGGAGAATGAGAAGATGAACGTTGCCTCTTACCTCTGAGGCACTTGGGTCTTTGTTACTGGTAGTACTGGAAATATTGACCCGTTTAGTGATGTTTTCAAACAATCTTCTCGACTTGCAGTTAGAAACCACGCTGGATTGCTACAATACGACTCAAATCGATGTAAGTTGACTTCTTATCGCCACTTCGTAATATCAGCAACATGGTCTTGAACAATCCTCGGTAAGGTGCGTTGAGCTGAAAGTGCCTAACCAGCGGGGTTTTACATGAGCCCAGGATCAGGACTATCAAACCTCATGGTAATTGAATTACTGTAATGCTAAAGAATTTTTCGACGGCCGATTTCCTTTGAGACAGTTGCATGTAGGTTCACTTAATCATAAGCTTCGGAAACGTCCTCATTTTCAAAGTAATACGGTATCCTCAAAGGCGAATACGGGCATCCGGAATGCGATTGCGAAGAAGTACAAAGCTTGTAGTCAATAATTACTACTACTATGGCATGTAATGATCGAGTATTGAACTTTTCATTTCGAATTGTGTGTCATGGGTGGGTTTCTATTTCTTTTCTTTTTCCTTTCTCAACACTACATAGGCTGAAGTGGGCCACCAGACTCAAAAAGGCCACTGGAGGGCACAGATCGGGCAACTTCGACGGAGTAGAGGCCGCAGCTAGAATGGTTGCAAAGATGAGATTTATGTTGTTGATACAACCGCCATCCTTAGTGCCTCCGTGAACTAGTAGTGCCATAAAAAGTTTCCACAGTTCGGCTAGAGTAGCATTTGTGATGGTTTCAAGTTATAGTCCAAGTAAGAAAGTTGGAGACGTAGTACGATTGATAAGGATGAGGATTGTGTTTAATGGCGGATGCTAAAGAGAGAAGATTTTGATGTGAGTATGTTTAGGAAGTGATAAATGAATCTATTAAGGTAGAAGATAAGCTTTTCATAGCAAGCAAAGAACACTCCATCGCGGTGATGTTTTGCACTTGTGTCCCAAGGTAGTTTGAGCATGGTAATTTGGCATATAATGTTTGCCGGATGAAAGAAGTCCGAAATGCGAAATGAGCTTGAGGAATTTAGGGGAAAGTTTGTGTGGTAAGATGTCTAGTGAGGTTGCAAGGGGGATTGACGAAAAAAGCTTTTATATTGTTTAGTCTCACATTTCTACCTGATTGCGCTTAAATGCGTGGATTTAGCGTATGATTCCTATAGGTTATAGGACAATTCAGCTTTTAATTAACCCTAGTTCTCGCTACCCTGGCTTTGAGAGGACTTATGATGAAAGACACTGCAATGGTATTTTGCCATGAAGACAATGTAACGGAATGAGTACTAGCAACTAAGTTAGAGCTAGAATGCCTAGTTCCAACGGGTGTCTTGGTGAGAACAGTTTCCTTGTTGCTTCAAAAGCAGGAATGTGTGAGGAATCAGATGAGTTCTTGAGCTATAGCTGATTTAGAGCAAACGCGAATAGATACATAACAGGGAGAATTATTTTGTGTGCATGAGTCTGAATAGTTTCACGATGGGTATAGAGCACGGACAAGACGACCTGCTATCTTGCAAGCAACGTAGCCAGATATCTGAATACAGTCAACTCCCCATATTGGTTCCATGGTCCATCGTGTCAGAAGGGACAGAAGCGTTCTCTGGAAAAGATAGCTCAACCTCAGTAATGGAATGCGTCTTTATCTTTGACAACGTGTGCGACGTCATGAAGCATGTACACGCCAGCAGTAAGAAAATAGTGATACCAGCCATGATTCCTCGACCAGAGCCCGGGGTGGTCGAATCAACGATCTGCTGAATAGTCCATGGATAGCAATCGGACTTCACGACAATGTACGTGCCAAGACCAATGTATACGAAAGGTATCATGTAATACACATATTTATGGGCCAGAGAGAGAGTATGCTTTTGTCTCATGATCAAGTATGCCGTTAGGCACCATACTCCTAGAAGGACATAATAAACGACGACGTATATCGCAATTTCGGCCTTTTCCACCTGTGAGAATAATGGTATGCATGTTCCAATATTGTCTCCTCCGTTGATAAGAGTGACAAGTGCCATTTTCAAGACACCTCTGAACCCTACCATAGTGGTATTTTCGGAGGCTTCCTGCGGATCTGGGATGAACAGAAACGAAAAATCTCCAGACTCCCAGTAGGATAGGTAAAAAACCTAAGAAGCCAATCGGTTCAGATGGCAAGACTAATGAGATGCCGAAACCGATCATGCTGATCATTATGATGATTGTAAATCCAGTATGTTGTCCGATAGTGATCTTAAGAGGAGTCACAGTGCGACTTGTTGCCCCCTCCGCAAAGAACGTAACCAAAACGAACATGCCGTCGATGTTCGTCATGGCAAATGTAGTGCATGCGGCGCCGGCGGCTTGCCCGAACTGCATTGGTGTAAGGCTGCAGAAACTCTCGAAGATGATTAACTGCTGTTCCGATGTAGGAAAATGGTGGATTCATATAAGCGTTTGTAATAATGCTGGCCAACGACACAAACGGCTTGAAGTTCGTTGGTGACTCTGACTCACCCACAGGGGCACTGGGCCTTGGGAAGCAACCGATTCCAGAACGACAGCCTCAGTCGAAACTACGACAAACAGCCAGTATCCAAAACCATGAGTTGTGATTAAACTGTGAGATAACGTTGAGATTCAAGTTACAGAAGGGCATATATTGTTCACAGCCCCGGCCCCCGGACGGATAACCGGCATTGAGATGTATATTGGCCACGACGTCTGTGGGTGGATGAGATATCAAGCTCAGTTTAAGGCTGAAAGTGATTGAGATATTGGAAAGGGGAAAAGTTGTAACAAGCCGAAAATATATGGACCACGCGTTACTAACGACCAAAGATTATAGGCAGCAGCAGTTTCGCAGGCGGTGGTTCTCAAACATGTATGCATATATCTCCAAATATGAGGCTTCTGTAAACGCTGAGTTCATGTCATGTTCAAAACAGGCCTCATGAATGTATCACTCTCGAGAATACCACAAATAGAGTCACACCAAAAGGAAAGCATTTTGTCAAGAGAGGAGGATGGCTGGTTGCCATACAATAAGTTCTCTGCAGTAGAAGAACATCCGAGAAGCCGTAGCTGTCGCTGGGCATATCCTAATTGGCTTGGGATGGCCCGAGGTTTGCATTGGACCGGTAGGATTGCTGAAACATGTGGAGAGGTCTCGGTTGGTCGGCGATTGGAGCTCCTAGTTGTTAAATTCCTTGTATTCCGCGTCTTGGTTTATATATACAAGCGGCCGCTAGATGACTGCTACGGGCTCATGATGAATCGCTCTTTCCAGCCTGTGCTTGCTCGTGCTCCTTGATCTGCTTGCTCCAACTGGGTATAGGTGTCAGCATTGTTGGGTTATGGGTGGCATGGACTCCTGGACGTACTATCTGCTTGGGAAAAAGCGGCCAGGCTCTGGCATCTTATGTCTGTATTCGCGGTTTGCGCTGAGGTTCCATGCCAAAGCAGTGATTCCGAAAACGACGGCCGAGAAGACGGCGGTGTTGGCCTTCCAGTTGGAGGGCTGGGCGTACCAACCACCACTGGGGGACCAAACGTGCTTGGGGTATCTAGGGAAAAGGTCAATGTCGCGGTTGGTGTCGCTATTGTGGCTTTGCTTACGGGACTTTTGGACCGCCACCCTGGAATCAATTAGTTTCGGCTTTGCAGAGTCAGCGACTTCGAAGGTCAGACGTACCATCTTGAATTGTGTGTGGTGAATGGAGTCGTGGGGTTGTTGAATTGACTGGAATGGAATATCTAGAATCTCAAGCTCGCTCGCTGTGAGGTCGTCACCAATTGCATCTCAGTGATTGGGGAGCTACTACCCCCGACAAGTGCCCGTGTCCGTGTGCGTGCCCGTGCTGGTGCCATGGTGCAGGTGCTTGTGCTGTAACAAGTCGGATTAATCCTCCGCAGTTGTTCCGGCGCAGTGCAAGGCAAGACAAAAAGTCCACTGCAGCAAGCTTTCCTTCGGGTCGGCTGGGCCTACTCAAACGCCCATGCATCAGAGGGAAGGAGGCGCACAGACCATCCAATGGGCAGATCCCTGAACGAAGCGAAGCAGCTTCAACTCTTACAGTAGAAACTTTTTCTCTGCTCTGAGCTAGACACGAGAGGCATCACGAGCTTGGACAATTCGCCCTCCCAATCCTCGGCAACCACGACCAACCTGTCTCGACAATAGCCGGCTGGAGGGGTGGTTAAATCTGTTTGCTCCTTTATTTATTTATATATTTCCTTTCCGACCCCCCAAACTCCACACTCCAGCATGAAGCGAGTAAGGATAGCGAGCCGCATGCTCGCCGCTGCACCCAGAGCCATCCGCGCTTCGAGAACATCACACCAGCTGCCCATCTGTGCAACGAGGCATGCGAGCACGATATCACAACAAGATGCTGTCGACCCCGTGACCGACATCAACAGGCAGCTTTCAGACCAGGATGCCCGACAACTTGCCGCCGAAATCGACGCTCAAACATCTATCCCTTTACCCTCACCACCCCCTTCCAGGGCCAGATACTCGGCGAAATTAGCTGCATTGCATGCACGACTCTCTCTCTCCCCCAAGATCCCCGTCGAGACTCTCGCCCGCGCCTTGATCGATGCCTCTGCCGATGCCCACCCCAAATTCAACAACGCCAACCTGGCATATATCGGCTTCGCTCTCCTTAACCAACATGCCTCCGAGTATCTCATCACAAAGTTCCCCCGTCTCCCCATGGCTATTCTCTTCGCCGCCATGAAGGGCTATGTCGGCTCTCCAGTGTTACACCAGGTAGCTCGTGCTTGGGGTGTTGAGTCGGCCGCCGCCCCCGGCGAGGAGGTCGACCCCGGTCTGCTGCAGTTCGATGCTCAGACTTCCTCAGTCGTCATGACCAGATGGGGATACGTGCGTGCTGAGAGCGCCGAAATCCAGCGGTTCAAGTGGAGGAGAGGTATGAGCAGTCGGGTCATGTACGACGATGCTTTCGGTGAGATGGTCCCCGGTGAGAAGGCCGTCACCCACAGAGGCGCCACCGAGGAGGACCGAAACACCAAGGACATGGTCGTACAGGACTTCTCTCAGAATGCGCATGCCAATTTCGTGAGGGCCCTCGTCGGTGCTGTCTATGTTCACTGCGGACGCGAAGCCGCCAAGAGCTTCATCAAGTCCCACTTCCTCACCCGAAGACTCGATATCGAGAACCTCTTCGAGTTCAAGCTCCCCACGCGTGAGCTCGCCCGACTATGCGCCCGAGAGGACTTTGAGCCGCCTGTGGCCAGATTGGAGAGCGAGACTGGTAGATTGAGCAGGACACCCGTTTTCGTCGTCGGCATCTACAGTGGTAGGGATAAGTTAGGCGAGGGCACGGGATCTGATCTCGATTCTGCACGTGTAGCAGCCGCCATCAATGCCCTGAAGGCCTGGTACTTGTACAGCCCTGGTGAGGTTGGTGTACCAAGCGACACACTCGCCGAGGATGCGGGACCATGGAAGCCTGCATATGTGGACATCGGTGAGATTATCTCATAGAGAAGGGGAAGACAAGTACGGGTCAAAATCCAAACGGTCCTGGATGACAAGAGAATCCAAGGGACGGAAGACGGCTACATGTCGTCTGTGTAAAAACCACAAGTGTACCATCTGGTCTGATAGACTTTCAACCAGGGATTAGAGCGCTTGCTTGATATAGCGGCCTCGTGTCACAGAATAATGTACCAATATCGAATGCACATGTAGACATACGGCACGCCGAACTCACTTGGGTGCAAATATATCACATTTACACTGACAAGCACATCTTCGTCTTATGTGCATATATCGCCTTGGATGACCTCCGGTTGGCGGTCATTGTCGAGCTCGCCGTGACATGCCAATTTGGCCACCCGATGGTTAACACGATTATTTCTGGCATGTGATCTATCTATTTGACCCTCAGCAGAATCGATTCCTGGGGATCTGGGTCACATCATTTGGCATCTCCCACAACTTCCTTTATTGGTTTCCACGTTCACGCTAGCAATCAGAAACTACTGGCACTGTGTCTACTCCAAGTCAAGAAAAACGACAACCTAACTCGCGGGACCGGCGAACTATACGAGAGAGAAGAAAAATCTTGGATGACAAGGTCTTCATAAAAGCCGGTGGTTATATTGTCGTCGGGCAAACGTAGTTCGTGCCTCATGGCCCCCCACCCGACGAGCCTGAGCTCCTACAGAGTCATCAACGCTAATCCCCCTTTTCATATCCCACCACGGCCGATCTATCGTCAACAGAATTCAATCAGACCCTAAAAGGGGGTTGGCTCGGAACACTGGGGAAGGGGTTAGTTCCCAACGGCTCGGGACCAACGACCACCCCATCACAACATCTATGTATGCCGCCCACGACTCTCGTGCGTTCCCCGCGTACCTTTTGAAGCCTGTTTAGATCCTCCTTTGATTCGTTGGGAATCTTGGGCAGCCCATTCTCGATGGAGGAGCGTATGTTCTGAGCTGCTCGTAAGTTTAGCTGGAAGACTTGCTGCTTAATCCCCAGAATGCCGTTGTCTATCCCGCCTGGCTGTAGCAGCCTGTCCAGAAGTTTCTCGGTAGATTCATGTATCGTCTCAGCCCGCTTCAGCTCTCGTCCGTACTTCGCCTGGGTATCCTTCAGCTCCTGTTCGCAGGCCGGGTCCGAGTCAGAGGCTAGGGAACGAAGGACAGCACTGACGACGACGGCATTGGCGTTTTCATTCGTATTGCTCCTTCCAGTTGTCACGTGAAATACATTCCCGTTCTGCGGGAGGGAGTCGAGGGAAACCGTGCGGCCATCGGCCGCGGTGCAGCATCGAACGTACGTTCTAAGCAGGTAGAGCTGGTCCTCCTCGATCCTGTCGGCGTCGCGGGCAGCCGGGTTCTTCTTGCCCACCTCAACCTTCTTTCTCTCAACCTCGGCGCCGTACGCCGCCGCGGCCAGGCCGACCAGCTTCTCCACCTGCCTCAGCTTCCACTCGTAACTGCCCCGCTGGTAGCCCTTGACGGGGAGCATCGACCTGGAGCTGGTGAACACCCAGGCCAGGAACCTGTCAAAGTCTGCCGACGGCTGGTCCGGGTTGAGCCACCCTCCCGACACCTGCTTCGCGATGATGGCCTCGATCTCCGCCTGCCAGCTCTTGATCGTCGCGCCTGCGACTTCGTACGACGCCAGCTTGTCGTCGAAGGCCATCGGCCTCTTCCTCTCCTCCTCGTCCGCGTACTCTGTGGCGACCGCGGCCAGCTCCTTGACCTCCCGGAGGTCGAACGCGCAGGTCCCCGGCAGGATCTCGTCCTCTTCATTATCTGGATTTTCGCTGTTCAATCCCTCTAAGATGAAGAGATTGGAGGCCAAGTTCGGATCCCTATTGGAGGAAGGGTCCAGCAGCCATGCCACGTATGCGTCGGCGCGGGAGTCGACGGGCAGCCCGGACACGCGGTTCACGATGTACTCGTGCCAGAACTCCTTGTCGTCCTTGATCCTTGGGACTCCTGTGGCGGTTGGGCGCCAAGGAGAGACTGTAGTCGTGCTGATGCCCATGCCCAGTTCTTGAGACTTGGTGTTGAATGATACCGTAGTCGTGTTCATGGACGAGGTCAAGACCATGCTGACTGTGCCGGCCGCGAATATCAGTAACTAACAGAACAAAGAAAGTCAGTCTGACATTTCTCGTCATAACTGAAAGATCCGTTCGTGATGGGAATCGAGTGCACTTCTGCCTTCGTTCATGTACTTACATTCATCGTCGTCGTATGATAACTTTAATTTTGCCTGGAGATAGTTCGAAGTTACGCGCAACTACAGTCTTTGATGAATGACATGAGGATAAAAGAAGATGAATTCTCAGGACAGAATACGTCGTCAGAGACATATCTCGTACGTGCGACTGAAATTTCTCCGACGCAGGCATGCGAGAGAGTTTGCGATTTTAGTTAACGCTTTGTACACTAACCTTCATGTGCCTTGGATGATCGATGAGCAGGTTTGAAGGCTTAGCTTCCATGAGCGAACAGTTTATTCACTCTACCGCTCATATCTTATACACACACTGTCAGTACCTGGTTGTGTACTGTAAGCGTCGTCACACTCTTCGCCTTTCCTCGAACGTTGCAACAGTTAGCGATGGTGGGACATTCTAGACAGCTGCACCATGACTCCGCGGTTTTTGAAAGTTTGGTACAGAAAATTGCTCCTGCAGTCACCCACAATTTGCAGCATCTGGGGTAACTGGGACCCCAGGCAACACTCTCATGGATAGGCGAGAGGAAATATTTGCATATTGAATGAAAACAGCATTTAAAAGGTCTTCTCTGTGCCCTGATGTTTAGACTAACCTACCCTTACTAAGAAACCAGTCCCTGATGGTTGCCTTTTACTTACGGAACTTGCATTCATTGATCTCGCAAGCCCCAACAATGTGGCTTACTTTGAACGATTTTGCGAGCTTCCTAAGGAGCTGCGAAGTACGCGAGAAGACTCGAAAGAAGGCCTCCTTTCAGCGAAATACACTCAAAACGACAAGTCGAATCCTAGTTGCAAGCTGCTGGCCCAAGTCGAAGCGCAACCAGTCCAGGGCATGCTGTATCTCAGCTCGGAGCGGGACATTCTTTTGACCGCGTACCCTCTGGTTGATAATTGGTATTGTGGTTCATTGCCATTTTATGATTTAGGGCGCCGCCAAGTTGATGAGGAAGCGGCAGAAGAATGTGGATTCTATCATTCGTACCACAGGTATGTCTACGCGGACAATCCGACGATCGATCTGAGATGCATATACTCTCGGCTTTCGACCAAAACACTTGCAATGGAGATGGATGCTAAGAGACGGGATTTCATTAAAGAACATCTTTTAAACCTCACGGAACGACTGGTCTTCCAGAACGAGACAGGTACAGATCTGCGAGCAAACGAGGTTTACATTTGGATCAGTAGGTAACAGTTCTCGGGCAGCGCTGAACAACCATGATGTATGGTGTCCATCGTAAGCTCTATATCAATTGTTCATCACCTAGTTGTTAGGAAGTTACATGCCATAAGGCCTCATTTAACTGCAAACTTCGCCGAATCAGCACAACCCAAGATTAGTCTTTGATGATCTACTCGATTATTCTGGCGAACACTTGATTGGAAAGCTTAAAGTTGTTACACAATCTTCCTTTCATCTCTGCGAGCTTTAACCTGTGGAGTGGAATAAGCTGTAGACACGAAGTTTATCAGGTCGCGAGCTTTAGCATACGCTGACCGATTTTATCCCAGTCATTTCTTAATATCAATTCATTGTAGGGCAGAAGCCGCACTGGTAAGTCAACCAGGTTGGCCAGACCGTTTCGAAATGGTTGCCGCAGTATCACTCCATGAAGATTAGCAATCCGGGCCCAATGTTATGACTTCCTAGTCTTCGGAAACAAAATTTCAATGCAATCGCTATGAGTATAATTATTCATTATTCTTCGCACCCGTCTTACCCATTTCCACCGGTTCCGAAATATCTTGCAAGTTACTTAATATCTTTTCCTTGCTGGTGCTATGCACACTGACGCCATTGAGCTTTAGTCCATTCTGGCTGTCTCTGGGACCATTTGTGCCCTTCCCGTCCATGAAGTCGTCCAGCTCGATCTCAATGGGGTGAATGAAAGGATTGTCGCTGAGTCGTGGGGCAGGGGCATCCATGAATTCCACCTCCCTGCTGACGGCTCTAGTGACTAGTATGCTGTTTCGGGGATTGCCAGACAAGTTTTGGCCGAGATCTTTGCTCGACCTGGCGCTGGTCGGGCCTCCAGCTTCTTCATCATCGAGCTTGAGACTATCACGAGATGGGTTGCGGGGATCAAGATCTCTAGCTCGCGATCTTCCAAAAAGTGACAATGAATGATTGCCAGCCCGGCCCCGACGCTTTCGCAGGATGCAGAGACCAATTAGAAGAGCGATAGCGGCCAGGCTACCTATGATCGGCGCCGCTATCCAAGCAGTGGACGATGGAGGGTCTTCAGGGGAGGCAGCAGGTGCTGTCGTCGCTCCAGCCAAAGACAGTGAGGTGGACTGGGGAGCTTCTTGGATAGATACAGGCTCAGACGCAACGGTCGTTCCGGCGACCGAATTCGAGCTTGAGCCACTACCTACCTCAGAGACAACCGTGGCAATCTGGCTCGGCACCAGAGACGTTATCGACGCCGCTGTGGGCGCAGGCCGGACGGTGTTATCCACAGCCACGAACGCAGAGTCGACACCCGCCCTCGCGAGCAGGCCCCCCGTCGTGATCTGGGTTTTGAGGTAACAGTTCCTGAACCCCTGAGACTGCTGCACATCGAAGCTGATGCCGCCGCACGCGGGCATAGCCGCGCACGCGTTGAGACAGTCATCGAACGAGGGCTGGAACTGCTGCTCGATGTCGTTCCCGGCGAAGATCTGCCCGCATTGCAGGTTGAAGTTCTTGGCCGCCATGAGCTGGATCATGCCGGTGCCCAGCGAAGCGCAGCGCGAGCTCGGCGGCGGGACGGGCAGAAGCCCTATCGCCGAGTCCGCCCCGGCGATGGGTTGAAATTGCGTGCTCGTGGTCGCAATGCCGGTTTTGAAGATGCAAATGTTGTCCATCCTGAACGTCACGCCATCACATCGTGGAGCTTGGTGACTAGTACTGCGGTTGATCTTGTGTGAGCCTCTTTTTCGAGTTGGCAAGCAGCTCGTCAAAGTCAGGAGCAAGGTACTCACCATATGCTGACACAAGTAGCCAGCGAGTCCACTTGCATGCGATCGATCTCGACACCTCCGATGTCGAGCCCGCACAGGGCGTTGAACTTCTGTACGTCACCGATCTGGTTGTTGTTACCGCCGGGACATGGAAAGTGGCTACTTCCCAGCTGGCGGACGAGGACGTCCATTGCAAACATAATTGAGTTGGTCTCCCGTGGTAAGCTGTCTGGCTGCCAACACGCTCGCGAATGATGCAGAATTCGAAAACTAAATAGATGACGAGCCACGAGATGAATATGATGTGGAAAAATATGGTCTGCAGCCAGAAAGTCGAAATATCTCTATTGCCCCAGGGCAAAGCAGTCGAGAGCAAATTAACACTAAGAGCAGCCTTGACGACACGAAGAAGAGCAGACTCAACCTCTTATGAGGGCCCGCATAGCGAATCATTAACTTGTCATTTCTCTACAGCATGGATGCCGCCATGTGCTCACTCTATGACCCTTCCAATGCCGGCTATACTTTGGGATATTTTGAACATGTCTTATCTGCAGAACAGCCGCAAATGGATAAATAAGATGAGACGATGGGAGGTGTGCCAGGTGCCAGTAACAACCACTTTTAAGAATGTGCACGTATACGCAACCAGTACTCGGCAGTTTTAAATCAAATTCAAAGATGTTAGACTTGCCGTGACAATTGTCGTCCAGCGCGTGGTTCGAAGCAGAAGCTGGTATGTGTCAGGATCGCGAGCAAGACCCAAGAGTGGGAAACGGTCTACTATTGTGGAAAAGACGGAATGAGGGTGGGATAGTTTTCTTGATTCGTTCCTCAGTTGCAAGAAGTTCTTCAGCAATGCTCAGGGGGTGTATGTGCCACCGCGTAAAGATCGCCATTCTCAGACACGGGCGTGTGAGCCAATGAGCGACGTTGTTGTGCGGAGCTGTCAATGCGGGAACTTCAAGTCGTTACCAGAAGTACCGGATGAGCTGCATGAACCAATGGTAGAGAAAAGAGAATCAAAGCAGCTCTGTCTGATCTAGTCTTGCTGATTAGGTTTTCTGTTTCTTTTCTTTACTATTCTTTAAACTATTTCTAAAGGTCTGGGCCATCCTTTTGCAGCAGAAAGGCAGTGAAAGACTCTGCCACCACGCGGTCAAGATGCATATAATAAGATATCATATGTTAAACCGTCAAATACGATGTCCGAGGCAGCAAGAAGTGAAAATAGTGCATGAAATCGCAAAATTTAGCCGCATCACCGAACACCAGAGCTGCCGATGCCTCCCGGTGCCAGAAGAGGTTGATCTTCGCCAACTCCCTGTACGCTTTCCCGGTCGAGAGCTTGTTCAATTTCTTCTTGGGTGTCTGCATATGCTTGTAGGTGTGCTGAGTAGGGCCCGGGAGAAGGAAGAACTCGAGGGGTGGTTCGGCGGTTGTACGTTGGGCGTTGAAGTTGTTCCCGTTCCTCACGAGAAGGCCACTCATAGCTCAGAGCCATGCCGAGAACAATACCTTGCATTATAGCCGAGAGGACATAGACGCCCCAAGAGCTCCAACCTGCCCAACCGAGTCGTGCACCTAGACTCGCGGCGAAAAGAAACCCGCCAGGCGTCTGCACGCACATCATTGGGATACTGAGACTTCCGGCGTGCTTAAGCTTGTAAGTCATCCAGATCTGGGGGATGTATTGGATAGCTGCCAGTGATGCGGAGACGATTCCGAGGAAATTTGCCCAAGCACCCAAGTAAGACGGTGCACCGAGTGCAAGTGCAGCTGAGATGATGACGACGAAGAGACCATGAATCAGACACAAAGCAGCAACACTAATAGCTGTGCGCCACGTGGGTTGTTCCACTTCTGGGTCGGCTTCCTCTTCTTCATCCGCGTGCAGTTCGTCGCGGCGAAAGAAAATCAAAAACAGAACGAGGCTGCGTATTATTAGTATAGTATATTGGATGGTGGGAGGTACACCCACATGATAGCAAAGCAAATCCACTGCACTCCGATCTGAGCAATACCCAAGAGGCCAGCGGCGCATTCGAAAGGGCTTACTTGGTTACAGCATGATACATCGGCTCGAGATTGGGGCAGGGTCAAAATGTTCCCGAACTGCGAGTTTGCACTAGTAACACCAAGTAAAACCCAATATGGTGAGATTCCCTCGGACGTGCCTCGAGAAATGATTCGATAGTGCTGCAGGAGGTACGAGAACATGATGCCGATGATGATGAGACTAGGAAGACAGTTGCATCAGCGGTTTGCCCTCTAAACCAAGACATACACAACAAGTGCAAAGGGCTTACATTGACACGAAGAAGTTGGTGTAGCCCACATGACGGAGCTGCTCGCAACGGCCCTCCATCATCTCCATGAAGCTGTCCATCCTGACCGGCGTATGTTCTTCTTTGTCACTATAGTCTTCAGACCGCAGATCTCACAGAAGCTCCGTTCTGCTGGAGTTGTATTTGTTGAGGGTACGCGGCTCTCGAGGGATGAAGCGAGGGTGTCGTTCGGTGGTAGTCCAGTCAATTATGGTCAAGTAAGACGTGGTGGGCAATGATCCACACAAGTGATGTTTAGACGGGTTACACGCACATGGTGCAGAGGTATTTCAGCAGTAATGTAGTCGCAAGCACATTCTATGACCGCTGAACGTCGGCCATGTTGAAAGTCGCGATGAAGAATCAAAGGTCAGGGAGGCTGTCGTCAAAACAATCACGACCGCTACAGCACCGATAGTGCCGGGATCGCACCAGCACCCGGATGCGTCCCAGGAACGGGCCCAGCACAGCGCCAGCATGCAACGCTAATTCCTGCAGCTCAGCACAAATGACGTGGGGACTTACACCATGGCATTAGCACTGACGAGGCGCTGCAAGGCGATAATAAGTAAACTAAGGTTAGGTTAGTGCTGATACCCCGCTGGAATTTAAGGTATCCATAAAGTAACTTGCTTGGTATCACAACTGAGCCCAAATGCGATCAGCCGACCTACGTACGTTACAGCACTTGCCGCAATTTCAGGGCAGCCGACCATGTTTGAATCGGCAGGCTCGAAACAAGATTTGCAAAGTCGTATAAGCTCGAATGGTTGTCGTTACCACTGAAATAATGTCTTGTCGTACATGTGCGCCGTGAGACCCGAATGCGAATGGCATCGTCTTAGCTCCTGTCTTACTGCAGTTGTCGGGCTTGAAAATCCCCACATGGTCGTGGACTGCTCTGGAGTTACTCGTCACTGTATCCGCACGCGTGCAGTCGCGTTAATCGCGTCCATAGTAAAAACGTTCAAGAATTTCATGTTGTCACTGCGCTGATGCTCCTTATTCACCATAAGAGGTCTGTATTATCAAGGTAGCATATTCCTTGAGGGGGGAAAACCAAGGTGTCTATCTCTCTCGACAACAGTGAACGAGGCCTGAGCAACTAAATTCCCACATCCTCGCTGCCTGCAAAATGGGTAACGGCGCTTGTTTCAAGACAGTAGTGAACCCATGATATCCCAACTTCAACATGGCCGAAGCCACCCAGGAGCAGCCGACCATTGGCGAACAGACACCTGCCAAGACTGAATTAGTGGCACATAGTGAAGACATATCTCTGCGTCAACCCAAGCCGAGTCAGCAAATTGCTGGGTATTTTGAAACAGCTCAATGGTAACCGTCCCATCCCGATATACCACATACCCTTTCCTGCTGCTGCTGACACATCGTAAGGACTGCGGATGGGACGACAATTCTCACCACGACTTCCTCGGACATAGTATCGGCGTTCGTGCTTCCCTCGGATCTTCTAGAAGCCCGCTCAGAGCCACTATCTCTGTCCCCTCAGGCCTCAGTCCCCTTGGGAGATCGCACGAATGTACTGGCGTCGGCGCCATATTTTAATCTTTCTCAGGCTTACACAAATCAAATACTCGTTTCAAGCCGGGATCACCCGATACAGCTATTCTATCTATTCCCGCCGTCTCACGATGGTTCACCAGCGACACATACCGCAGCCTCAGCGTATCCCTTGACCAAGGCCCACTCGGAAACCTTCGAGACTGCCAACTCTCTGCTCTGGCCATCTCCTGGATCGCATTTCATCGCAGGATGCAAGAACTTCATTGCTAAGTTTGATGTTAGCCGGACGGGCGAGGAGCCTCTACTGCGCATCAAGACCATTCCCTCCGAAAGACATCTTTCAAAAGGCGGCGGAGTTGGCATGCGCGGTACCATATCCACGTTATCAGCTCAGCCATCCGAAGATGGATACAGCGGCCTGACCGCTGCTGGAACATGGACGCGATGGATTGGGCTCTACGACTTCGCTCAAGCAGGAGAGTGTACCGCTACGTGGAATATTGAATCCGCTGTTCAAGAAACTCGAGTTGGAGGCAACGGCGGTATATCTGGCGAGGGAATCACGCAGACGATCTGGAGTCCTTGTGGAAGATATCTGCTAGTCTCCGAGCGAAAGTCGAGCGGAATTCTCGTATACGATGTTCGAGTGACCGGCCAGCTGCTTGGGTGGCTTGAAGACCGTGTTGCATCGAGTAACCAGAAGATCAGCTGTGATGTTTTTCCTTCTCAAGATGGTGGTTTTGAGGTCTGGTCAGGCACTACCTCTGGCACTGTCAAGGTCTGGGAAGGTGTCGGTCTGACAGCGGGTGCTCAGAAGCCTTCCTGGGATTGGCAAGCTCATGAGTCCACCGTTGGCAGTACATGTTTGCATCCTACGGGCACCGTCATAGCAACCTGTTCTGGGTCCTGGGACTTTCATGGTGATAAAAACATTGGAAACAGCCAGGACCTAGGAGAGACAGGTGCTGAACATCCAGATGTTCCAATGGACTGGCTTCGCAGGCGGACGAATGAAAGTACACTCAAGATATGGACTCTAGGAGCTACAGCTGGCGGGATTTGAAGCATTTGTGCCATCGCTTGTGTAGTCTACACGACGGCATCCTTGCGGCTTCGTGGACGCTTCAAGCACATGTTCACTGGTGTCACCGCTGTGACATTTTCTGTGAATCATGACAATCAGGTTCAGCCCCTGGGAGTTGCTAAGACTGAGTATACACCGGCACAATCGATTTATCTTCACTACTAAACCATCTCATTTTCCCCGAAGATTGGCCACTCTGAAGGACTTGCGAGTCTCCACGAAACGGCCAACGAGTCCACATCATCAGCATGCTGTCCTCCTCGACTCACTGGCCCGCAGAAACTGCATCTCCATTTGTTGTGCGGCAACTTGATCCTGTAATTCCTGTATCCGCGAATTCTGCGCCTCGATCGTGGCAGCCTGGTCGGCAATAGTCTTCCTCGTACGTTCCCTCGTCCGACGCGCTGACTCATTGTTGCGGGACCGACGATCCTGTCGATCTAGCTCCGATATTTCCTGATTTCGCATCGCGCGACGTAACCGTTCTTCCTGAGTCATGTTGTCCTCGAGAGGGAGGTACGGCGGCCGGCTGCGGCGACTGTTTATGCGCACCCGCTCGACGGGCGCCTCACCATCGCGTGGCCGAGTCAGCTGCTCGTCGCGGGGACGAGCTACGCATTCTGCCAGCATGACGGGCTGCGATAGATCCTCGCCCTCTCGAAGTATGACGTGAGGTGTTCCGTCCTCTTCCACGTCGATCTTTACCCGCTTCACATCCGGCTCGGCACTGACAGATAGCGGGGCGCACTGCATCGGCGTCGGGTGGCTCTTTTTACCCTTCGGCTTGGTTTGTGCCTTTCGCTTTGCCGTGCGACGAGTCTCGCGGCTCGGAGCAGGTGTAGTCGCTTGTATAGTTGCAGCCCGTTGAGCCCGGGCTATTAGCCTGTCTAGGCTATCCGCCGACAGCGCTGGGTTTCGCTCGGGAGCAGGGCTTGCGTTGTTGCCAAGAGCCTGTTCTACAGCACGGTATGCACTATTCGCATACCAAGCTCCAGCACTCTGACCACTAGGGCTTGGGTACTGACTGAGAGGAAAGTTTGGAGGGCACTGATATTGGTCGGCAGTGTTTGTTTGCTCCGCCGGCGAAGGCAAATCGTGGCTAATAGTATCATTCTCATACCCTGGTGCGCTTTTCTGTGCTGACTGAACTTGCTCGGCCGAATCGAACGTCGTGAGCCGATCCAACTGTCTCTGGTCCAGATCCTTAGTGATCTGCGCAGCCAGGTTGGCCATGTCAGCAGTCTGCGAAAGGCCATAGCTATTAATATACGCCTTCTGAGCAGCTAGCTCTGCCTCGCTAAGGAAGGAATTCGTGTTGCGCAATGTGGCTATTGGTGCCGGCTCGGGCTTGGTCGTACTCACGTCGTCTGGATACTCTCTACTGGGCGCCCCGACATAGCCACTGACCTGCAGGAAGTCACCTTCCGATGGACGTTCAATCGACGCCATGGGAACGTCGTCCTCATATGCAGGTGAGGGATTCTTTGGACTTGATGTGAGCTGGAAATGATAGTGGTCTAACGACCCACCGCCGCCAGCTGCATGATCCTCGGGATCTAATATGAACTGGAAATGCTCCATGTTTGATGAATCACAGGGGTCTCCTGGATGATCTTCAGAATTTAATATGAGCTGGAAAAGCTCCTCGTCTGACGGTCCACCAGCACCTGTCGCATGATCCTCAGGGGCAATGCCCAAGTCGAAGTCAGGACTTATATCGTTCTGATGAGCCGACGAGAATGACGCGGGGTCAAAATTGTGGTTAATGTTACCAGACATGATAAGGCTGAATAGATTGATGCAATATACCAGAAATCGGGCTGTTGATATCTCTTAAGATGTGCACATGCAAAAACGTCTACGTGATGGTGTGGATAAAAGGGGAGAAAAGGTGTATGATTTGAATGTGTATCGAGAGGCGATTTATAGGTATTTTGAGTGGATGATTCACTGCCACGCATTGGCCACCCTTTGCTTCTGGCCTCCCCAGCTCTGCTGAGTGAATGTGCCAGTGGCCTGTCACGAGATCACGAGTCCCCCGCCAAAGAGCCGTCGAGATCGGATGAGAGCTGTCTCGGAGCCGGAGCTCTGGCCGCGCGTTATAAAGATTGGCTCCGGGATCCCATCTTCAAGCCAACAGTTGGCAGGAACCCACCGTGGTCTCTGTGCACACTCAGGTAGACCCGAGGAATAGCTTGCAAACTACCAAGGGACTCTGGCCCAGCCCGTGCCTACCTTGCAAGCGTATGGACATCGACACATTTACCAAGCCATTTTTCACCCGAATCTGACTTCCTGGGAGCTACGATGCCACCTTCCACTGTTCGAGCACGTCTCCGGACAGACGCTGCAATCACGAGATTGGTCTGTGGTGTTTAGTCTAGACCCAGCGAGCTCTGATCACGTGGATTCCTGAGTCACCATCCGACAAATCTATCTTGCCAAAGCTCACCTGCACGATATATACCCATGGAACAAGTTCGTCTTCTTGGCAAGCCCGCTGAGAGCGATCGTGGTATCTGTTACAGAACCTCGTATCGCTCTAGGAAGCTGGGTTTCATATAAGAGTTGGCATCGCTCAGAGACGACTTGGCGATACTTTAGAAGGAACGGAGGCGTACACCTAACAATTTGCCGAGATTCAAGGACCGAACATATGTGAGCTAATCGGCTTGCTCTGCACCGAATCTCTTGTCTTCTTTTTCATTTTCAAATTGCAGTGTGCGGCACGAAAAGACAGACGAAGAAAGAAGGGCTCAACTATTGATGAACTAGGTACCCTTGTTCGTCATGATTAAGGTTCAAAGAGTTTGTCCGAAGAAAAGGGGGTTTGGCAGGTGCAAACTGGCATTGGTTACACGGTATGTTTACTCTTTGCTCTCTTGCGTCAACTATAGGACTGAACCATGAGTATGAAGACGCTGCGCAGTACATCAAATTTAGGGGAATCTTTTACTACGCAGACAGTCTGACAGGACAAGCATATACATGGCAATTCCATTGCTGTTTCCGTCTTGGAAAACATTATTTACAATTACTGGAAGATTACATCGATTCTTTACTGAAGAAATGCGATTATAACAAAATATATTGCAGAATTATGTCTGTAGTAAGCGTAGAAAACTTGGTAGCATGCTCGCCATCTGCTTACTGTTCCGACATTGCTGCTGCTTTGCCTGTCTTCCTATGTCCGCCCAACATTAATCTAGACCAACCGCCAGCTTTTTGAGCAACACAGTAAGTTAATATATTTCAATCAATCAAGCGGTATGCGTTCCTCCGACATTATGGCTGATTATGGGATTGTTGTTGAGGATATCCGGGTTGCGGCTGGCCAGTATATGACTCCTGTTGTACAGGAGCTGCAGGGCCCTGCGGATGGCTGTGCTTCTGAGTATGGCCAAGCTCGACGTTGGCCGTGGTGTTGTCCCGGCAAGAAGCGAGAATGAAGAACACTAGGTTGACAACGACCAAGATCCAGATAATTGCGCCAATCGCAGCATTGCCAGCCATGGCTCCGCCGAAGCTGTTGGAGTAATATGCGTAGTCCAGAAGAGCGGCTGCCCAGGATGCTGCCCAGGCCCAGCCAGACAGCCAGAAGATTGCGCTGAGTGAGTATGCGATCAAGAAGACTATGCGGTAGTAGTATTGAGGCGCTTTGAGTTCAATTGCGATACTGGCGCCATAGATAATCCAGGTCTTGACTGCCTATTCCAATAAGTCAGCATAACGCAGACTCAAAATCAAGCACAGGGGCCTTTGACACAAGCTACGCATGGAACATACCAAGAAAATTAGATAGCCTGGAGCACCACCCGAGTAATAATAGTAGCCAGAATACAGCGACAAGGAGTACGCTGAGAGCGCTAGCACAATAATAGACAAGAGAATGATAACGCCTTTAATGATCAAGAGCCATCTCGGTTGAGGGGGCACTCCCGCTGCCATGAGACCTCGAGCACCCATACTGACGAGCAAAATCAGAGTATATGTAAATTATGAACTCAAAAATAGACAGGAGGTAGATAGATAAGTCTGAGAGTAAAGCAAAGATGCAGTGGAGTGATTCTCGCGTGGGTGGGATCCGGGGTACTTTAATATAGCTTTCACTCACTTAACGTAAATGGCTGCACCAGACGCAGGATGCGCTATCTGAGGAATGCCACAACAGCCACCAAATTTGGTCAAATCTCCTGTAGCGCGCGCAGGGAAATAAGAATAGCTGACCGTATGTATTGCGCCTCCCAACTACTGCACGACAGGTACTCTTGGCGTATTTCAGCTCAAGATGCGATATCTGCTTTTCATTGCTGGGTTTCCCGAAAGACGCCTTTCGTGGACTAGCTTCTGTGCCGCGAGCAACGTGCTGGCAGGCAAGTCGAACTAAGGTTCAGAGATCTGCAACTGACAACGACTCTGATTCGTCGATTGATCCATATGACTGCTGCAAAGACGGTAGAGCTGAATAGCCCCCTGTCCCTCAGAAACTGTTTTATTGGCCGTGCCTATAGGCGGTATGTAGCGCAAAAGTGATATTACTTAGGGTGCACCCGTTTACTAAGGCGCTAAGGTCGTGTTTTGCATTTCAAGTGAACAGAGTCAGGGCGTGGATACGTCAAAGGTATGCATGTAGTAAGGTTGCAGTCTGTAGATGATGGCACCTGGGGTAAGAATTGCGATGGGAAAGTGGGTCGTGATGCTGTTGTCAAGTTGCTGTGCTGTACTGTGCTGTGCTGTACTGTGCTGTGCTGTACTGTGCTGTGCTGTGCTGTACTGTGCTGTGCTGTACTGTGCTGTGCTGTGCTGTGCCGGCAAAGCGGTCAATGCACGTACATCAATCAATTTCAAGGCACCCATGGTCGTTTCTTCCTTCCAGAGCCTCAAAAAGACATTCTTCGACTGTGTTCCTTTCCAAAGCAGTCCAGTGAGTTCCTCAGTCTAGAACAAATTGGGAACTTTTTAGATTAGCTTTATAAAGTGTATTTCCAGACCCTCGACGATTCCTGATACATAGCAATCATTTTCATGGCTATTATATGGATGTATCAACTGATGTGATGACCACATCTCCGTTGAACGAGACCCCTGGACATGGACACCATGAGAAGCCTGTCGACCAATACGCTCGCGACAATGGCCTGACTATCGATTGCATAATTGATCCTTTGTATCTCATTTCATCGTTGTCACTTGTTTGCGACCATTCTGGCTCGCTCCATGACGACGGATCTCTTCGGCCATTTCAATTATCTTGTCCACTTTCCCTGCATGAAAGACCTTCCATTCCAAAAGCCTCGGTTGAACTGTTGACACATGTCAAACATAGGGACGATATAAGGACTGTCACTGACGCAACATTAACTGAACTGAACGAGTCGCCTTGTGCCAGAAAGCTGGAGCTGCCGCTCTTACGAAGTGACGCCGAAGTAGACTCAATCAATCTACAGCAAGAGATCAACACCAGAACGGCTATTAACATTCAAGCAGATCTGCCACCCTTCGAGCCGTTGGATGTATCACAGGATGAAGCTTTAGGCTTTCCCCAGAGTGCTCATATTTACCATGACGAAGTAGAAAACCTTTTGCGGCGAGAAAGGACGGCAATCTATAAAGACGGCATTGAATACTTAAAACGTGCTGTGCAGGACACTTAGCAAGATGCTGACACCGCTTCGTTACTTTCAGAGGTTGCTGCCACTAGACTGGGAAGAGTAGAAGAGATCACGCCGCCACTTAGTCCAATTGCAGCTCAGCCTGACTATTTCATACCTGATCCCGATGTATCTCAAGTTCCGATATCATCGGATCCAAGCAGTCTGCTAGATGCAGACATGGAAACGGCTCAGAAGGCTGTCATGGCGGACCAGTCATACTCACCCCAGCCTACGACGCCACGACTATCGCCACTCAATGACAAGCCTCCGGACGTGACATCTCCACGCAAGGTCAAATCGCTCAAACTAGAGGAACCGCTTGTGTCTTTGGGCTTTACAGAAGATCCGACAACCGGAATCATCGACCTAGAACAAGCCCTAGCCGACCTAGAAGCCAGCTACAACCACTCGCGCTTGCACTCGGAATTCCAGAAAGATTTGAGCGACCCATTCAGCGACGAACTAAGAGGTGTTCTACAAGAAGCTTCTGCGATTACAGCCCGAATTGTTGACCGGGAACAACTTGAACCAGCCGATACTATCAAACGACTTATGGTACCGGTGATGGACTTTACCATATCTGAACCTGAGTGGATGGGTAACGACTCAGATTCGAAGAAACTCTTGGAATGGGCCATAGTAAACCACCCCGGGCCAATGGTAACGACCTACCCCGGAGACCAGAAGGCTTACATGCAATTGCAATGGATTCCATTTCCTTCCAAGCTCGGAAGAATTTCCCTTGCCGAGACAATTGATGCCACGGACACCCACTCATCTATTGAGCTCACAGACCACCGTGGGATTCTGACAAGCTCGGATTTTGTCTGGAAGCGACCAGATTTGGCCATTCTCATGAATTTGGAAGACGAAGATATTCTCGACGCGGGCGAAGTAGTTCACGCGACAGAAAAGTCTCATCAACCACATTCTAGCAATCAACGCGAGTCCTTTTCAGCACTCATCAGGAAGAGAAAGCAACAAGCAAATAATTCTGCCTCTACAGATACTTTTCCATCTCCAGTTGATCTAATTGTGCCAGCAAAGGCTGGCTCAGATCTTGATTCATCCAAACACATACTCGTTCGACCGAACGATGCTTCAACTTCTTCGACTCTGCTCGCAAATTTTGTGACTTTTCACAACTACAAGAAAAGAAAACTTGATTCGAGCTCGTTTTTCGAAAAACCTAGTCGGCAAGAGATTACTCATTCAAAGGAGGACAGTTTCGATATACCCGACCATGAAAAGCATCAACAGGTCACAACATCGGGTACTCGAGGACGGAACTTCAGATATGCCCCGTGTCCATCACTTAAAGAAGAAGGGGTACCAGCAAATATATTTGCGGCCATATCAATGCCACACGGTGTCACATCGTGGACAATGAAACTATTGCCACACTTGAAGATTGTTGAGAGAGACTTTGACCGATGGAACGCTATGACTTGGGATCGAAAGTCTATCTTGAGATCGCCTGTTATCTCATCATTAGCAGCTGAGGCAGATGTTATTGTATCGCCATCCACAGGTATCATCATCACCTCCCTGATCAAAGCTATACAGCGCCCTTTGCCTGGCCATAAACGTAAGGTGGCCTCCAGGGCGAAGATTGAACAGGTCTCTCTACGATACGAACGTATGATTATCCTCGTTTCCGAAGCAAATCGAGTAGATGAATCAGTACGCGAGTTGACCCAATCAGAGCACGCCGCCTTCGCGGACTTCTCTGGCTTTGTTTCTGGCTTGGACACAGATACGCAGGTCTATTACATCGGAGGCGGCGAAGAGATTTTGTCACGATGGCTGGCTTACTTCATTACCAAGTACTCATATGAGGCGAGAGAGGTGGACAGCTTAATCATCGAGTCCGAGTCTACATGGGAAATGATGCTGCGCCGGGCAGGCATGAATGTGTTCGCAGCACAAGTCATCTTATCTTCGTTGAAAGAACCACGAGGTGTCCCCAGAGACGATTTTGGTAGCCGCGGACTGGCTAGATTTATTAACATGTCTCTAGAGGACAGAATCGCCAAATTCGGCCAGGTACTTGGTGGACAAAGAGTTCTTCGACGAGTTGGCTCAGTACTGGATTCCTCCTGGGAATGATGTCAAAGTGCAAATTATGAATAACTTGCTCACAACCTCGCTACAAATCGTTAGTGAACGAATATGGAAAATCATGCAATTTTGCTGGAAATAACAGTGGCAGATAAGGCGGTACCGAATCGGGAATATAGACTCCGTGACGGATAGGCATGTTTCCTCTGCGTGGTATACGACAACAACGGCAGGGCTCAGGCAACTCCGTAGTGATTACATCATGAATTTAAAAAGACAAGGATAAAGAACAAGAAGCCAGCAATGTGATATAGCCGAGTTTCCATGCCCACGACTGCCCCTGATGTTTCGATTTGAGTCGGCGATGTTCCATTTGCTCCGGATGATGTTGTTGTGCTGTCAGCTGGGCCTTCGCTCGAAGCATCACTTGTGGAGGTGCTACTTGGCTGGACAGTGGTTGCCGTAGCGGGGGTCGCGCCGCCTGTCCGATCGGGATAATAGTAGTCCAACCAAGTCGAGCAGGACTCGTAACAGGTATGCGTTCCCATGAGGACAGTATAACCCGCATATTGCGCCTGCGCCCACACCGTCCCACGCGCGTAGTCCCACGACACCGTGGTCGGCCAGGCGTCTCCCTCCTGCCGCTTGTCCCACGCCATGGTGTCCGACGTCGTATGCATGGGCACCTCCTTACCCGACAGGGCATCCACAGAGGTCGCGTAGCATCTGGGCAGCGGATAAACGAAAAGCCCATACGTCATGCCGTCGTGCACGGTTGTTGTGCTCTGACCTTCGTTGGTAGGGCCTGTCGTGAACGAATATGCGCTTTTCAGGTTCCGGCACGTTAGTCTCGCTGATCAAAGTGCAGGTGAGGTTTGGGAGCTGGGAAGGGGGACTCTCACGTTGGGCAACAAAAGCTGTTGTGGGCAGTGATGTCGTACCACCCGCTGTTGTATCGAGAGGTGTCGTACCAGCCCTGGCTAGAACCAGTGCTGATGGCAGTATAGCCAGACGGGCAGCCAGAGTAGTACAGTGTGTCGGCCTCCTGGACGGTGCTGAGCGGCATGCTACATGGTGCTCTGAGATACCAGCCTGGAGCCCCGACCATGGTTGGGGTGCAAGCCAGCCAGTCCGGGGTTTGATTGCCTCCGCCCCGGAAGATCTGAGTCGGCGCAGTGAGGTAGCAGCTCGTCGTGACCACCCACAGGTTGTCCGGGTCCACACATGACGCTGGCGGGGTGTAGTGCAGGGTGGGGGTGGGCGTGATAGTACTTGGGTAGGTGTACGTGGGCGTCCAAGTGTAGGGGCAACTCTTGCCCCAGCAGGTCGATGAACCGCCAAGCTCCGAGTAAACGGTCGCCCTGAACATGGCCGCCTCGGCGAAGAGGGTCGCGTCATCGGCCAGCTGGGTCGTCGTCGTCACGACCTCGGGTTCCCGCGCCAGGGTCACGGTGATTACTTGAGATCTGAGGACCTCGACTGACGTCGCCTTACAATATGGGTGGTGGGTATTTGCCGTGACCCAGGCAGTAGTGCCGTGGAAATCAGTACTGAAGGGCAACCAGTCCATCTTATATGAATATGCACTGTATCAATTGGTGTCAGTCGTTGTATCGAGTTCAGAAGAGACCTGGGCCCGACGTTATCACCGGACATACGTAGGGCAGCAATAAGTGTCTTCCCGAGTGTAAGAGAAAGGGCCCCCATATGCATATGATTTCCAGGCGGCAGCAGAAGTATAGCTCTCCGGGCAAGCCGTATATTCGGCGGTTCCCTGACTGTACGACAAAGTCGCAAAACAGTTGTCAGCCGAGCGGTATGGCTGGCTTGTTTCTCCGTGGAATGCATAAGTGCACGTCGCGTCTGGCTCCCCTTGATAAGGGTTTCTGTTGCACTACAGCATTTGGAGTCAGTATTGAGTTCTTCATTATGGTCGGGAGGCGGGCAGTGCACGCTCGATATACATGCTGAGAAAGGTAGGAATGTAAATACGAAATGTGCCTACTGCTGCAGTCGAAAGCCAGAGATTCGATGCCGCCACGCAGGTCGGGTCCGGCGTGAAGACCGTCGATACTACATCTCCAGTGCCAGCCATGATTATGGTTGTGGACTGCTCGACGCAAAAGCACCCGAAGTATGTGCCTGCATTTCTAGTGGATTGTGGGATTATAAGCTTATTTATGTGCTTGAAACAAACAATTGCCAAGGCATTGGCACTGCAGCCTGCATGCGCGGGCCTTGCTTTCTGGTAAGCTGCAAGTCTTGGCGGCCAGGATCTCCGGATAATGTGCCGCAGAACGTCCTGCGCCAGCCTATGTACGGCAACGAAGGCCTAGCGACTTGTTACATATAACAGTTGAGTGGTCGACGCGAATCTTGACAGGCCGCACCAAAGCTTTACTCAGTATCCTAAGCCATAGTGGTGTATAATATGAAACGAAGATGGGCTGTCATCGTTACACTAGTCTAGCAGAATAGGCGACATATGCTTCGTGATGCAGACTTTGCTTTATAGTAGAAGTGTGGAATGGCTTCTCCATTCAATTCTTTCCGTACAGTTTGGGCGACAAATAGATCTATTCAGCGCTATCGTACGAAGGAGAAGAAGGGATTCTTCCCCTCGTACGTGGTCTATAGATAGGGGTTCACCCGCACGGCTGCTGGCTGCCGACAGCCACATCGTGGCTGTGGTGGCTTACTGCCAGCACGCCGGTGACTACCTATACTACGTAGTCAACCGTCGTACGAGACCGCGAATAGTATATTCTAACAAGAAGCTTATATTATTTAATATTAGTAGAACGCCTAGTTCTCAGACGTAATATTGTCCAAGAAGTGAACTGGACCCGGCGCTATTCGCGGCTATCTCGGTCGAATGTCGTCCTGGTTACACCCAGCACATGTAAGACTGGCGACATATTGTGAAGATACGGCGTAGCGTATGTCTTGCCTAGGACCGGGACAAGCGAATCTAAAAGGGCAGAGAATGTAGTTAGGTATTCGCCGCGGCGTGCTCAGCCTCGATATTATTCGCGCGCAACTTGGCGAGGGCGTCCAGCAGGATCATCGAATGTGCATTAAGATTGCCGACTGCTTCGGTATCCGTCAGGTAACCAACCGTGCAAGTGCTAGTGCCTAGAGCTCTAAGGTTGGTGTGTTTCTATCATTCACACGGCTACAAAGCGGAACTGAACAGAATCCTGATGAGCTACCCGAAACTAGACATTTGAAAGAGGTTTCTTCAAGTGCGTCATATACCAGGTGCGAGAAAAAGACAATCGGATAGAATTGACTAATAACTCTTCTAGTTGGCTATGTTTGTGCAAAGTAGTAATGTTAATAGGGACGCTACTAATACGGGAGTCATGGTTACTCTTTCTTGCCCTTTCGCCTGTCCTGACTGCTCTGTCCGGCATTAAACATGACTTGCTTCGACGCCTCCTGCTTATTGCCTTCAATCTTCTTGTCCTTCTCCTCCTTAGCCTTCTTGCGTCTGTCCTTGCTGGTCTGGCCAGCTGCTATCATCATGTCTTCGATGTCATCCTGGTACGTCCCTTCGCTGTCTCCACTGGAAGACATAGCAGAAGAGTCTTTACATCCGAATTTACGTTAGCTGAGCTACTGCAGGCTTATGCTCGAAAAATACCCTTTTTTAACAAGAAGCTTGAGTATTTAGTTTGAAGGCTTTCTTAGTCGAGGTGGATACTGGCAGATTAGCCAAAATGCGTGATAGCTAGCTTTAATAAAGAGCTTAGATTGAGAGTCTTCTTTTTAGTTCTGTGTTCTGGTCGATAGTTTGATCGTATCTAATGATGGTTAATAATATTCACCTACTGTATTTATATACTTCTCTCTTAGTCGCGGGCTATATCTATGTCCTGGACAAGTTGGTAACCAAGTTAAGAATCGGTTGGATCTTGCGCTCCTCGTTCCTCGCTCCCGTGGTGTTAGTCCCAAAAAGGAACTTAATCCGTTAGACCAAGATGGTCATGTTGGAACAAAATACCATTCGCTTCACTTTCATTGAGATCTTTGCATCTTGATTAATGGGAGTTGGTGCAGGAAACTAGTTTCACACCACAATAGTAAGTTAGACCACTTAGCGCTTGTAATACAATTGACCAAAGCCTTTTGCGTACTAAGTGAAAGTCATATGCACTTTGGATTATCAACGTCGCCTAACCTAAGAGGTAGGTTGCTGGTTGCGCTATGACAAAGAAGGCAGCAATCTCTAGCGAGCGTTGTTAGAGCAAGAGCTTCTGGAAGAATCTCCACTAAATGAACACTCCCGCTGTTCTCTACCTAACCTTTGCAAATAAGAAAAAGGGTCACGCTTTGTTACGGACTTTTCGTATGCTTTGCGAGTTATTTCTGGTCGAGCCATCAGTGGAATGCCCACATTCCTTCTTGTCATGGGTACCCTTTTCATCCGTCCTATTCTGTCCGCAGTAGTTGCCACTTCTGATTGGATTGGGTTAGCCCCATAGGACATGCCTTATACTGTGTAGCCGGCGCAGACTTGCCAAAGCTAAAACGTGTTGGCTCCAAATTTGATCCTAAATGGGGCCAGGTTGAACTTGCCAGGACAACCGCCGCCAGAGCTGCCGCCACAGCATGGGGGCAACTTTGCCGCGCGATTCTTCTCGGAATCACAGTTAATCCAAATTAAGAAGAGGCCGACGCCAAAGCACGTAACCCAGCCAGTCCAAGACAGTGTCAACACTCAGGACTATAAATCTCGGCTCGTCGCTTTCTCACGCGTTACCGCGTCCTTCACGTTGAGACCCTCGACGTTCCCCTCACCTCTATATTTCTGTCTCATCGACAAGAGCATTACTTAGCGTATATCATGCAGAATGACAGCTCGTCAGGATTCCGACAATCTAGCATGGGATCGGAGTGATGAGCGTTTCGAAGAGGCGATAAAGCAAGTCCGCTTGTCTTCCACATGTCGCAAAATTGAATCTTTTGCCAAGAGGATATTCGCAGAGCCCGCAACCTTGGTCACCCCCTTAATCGTTGGCGGCTTCAATGTGCTGTATCCCATTCGAATTATAAGTTCCTCCACTGATGTTCTCGTTCGCTTACCCTGCCCTGACTCGGCCGTGTTTCCCGAAGAGAAAACACTCGGAGAAGCCGCGACGGCAGCATACATCAGCCAATATACTCAACTCCCGGTTCCAAAAATCTTTTACCATGGTATTGATTCGGATATCGGACCATTTATGATTATCCAAGACATCGGTTCCCGACGAGCCATGGGCCAGGCTCTGGAAGCTCCCCGCGACCCTAACGATACACCAGTTTTGCATTCCGAAATCTCCGAAGACAAGCTTAAGAGCCTGTACGGAAAGATGGCACGGTGTGTGCTAGAGCTCGCACAACCTGTTTTCCCGCGCATTGGAGCTCTCGTTGAGATAGGCCCAGGAACCTACGGTGTAAAGGGACGACCTATCACTCTTAACATGAGCAATATGGTTCAACTTTCGAACATCCCCAAATCAGTCTTTCCACCCGAAGGGACCACATACCAAACCGCTGATGAGTGGTACGTGGTCTTGGCCGAAATGCAAATGGCAACACTTCTTTTCCAGCATAATGACATGGTGTCCTCGGAAGACGACTGTAGGACCAAGTACGTTGCTCGCCAACTTTTCCGTAGGTTGGCTAAACAAGGCCGGCTATCGAGTTTTGGGTTTATTGAAGATGACTGGTCCGCCCGTTCTAGGCACACCCGTGCAACGCTGCCAGCGCCGGACGGTCTCGGCTCTTTCCGCCTCTGGTGTGACGATTTCAGGCCAGTCAATGTTCTTGTTGATGATAATGACCAGGTTCTTGGGGCTATCGATTGGGAGTTTGCTTATGTTGGGCCAACTCAATTTGTCATAGACTCACCCTGGTGGCTCCTACTTGACGTTCCTGAGATGTGGGATGATGGTATCGAGGATTGGACAAGTGTCTACGTAATACGGTTGAAGACTTGGCTTTCGGCAATGAAAGAGGTAGAAAAAGAGGCGAGTCCTGGTTCCTTGCTTCTCTCAGCGTACATGCGAGAAAGCTGGGAGACAGGCCGTTTCTGGCTTAATTATGCCGCCAGAAGAAGCTGGGCGTTTGATACCATCTATTGGAAATATCTGGACGAAAAGTTCTTTGGTGAACGAGAAGGAGATATTCCGATGGAGGAACTATGGAAGACGAGGGTACATCTTCTAAGTAAAGAGGAACGTGCGGCGATGGAGCCGCTTGTACAAATAAAGATGGAGGAATCGAAGGAACGCATTTTAGTGGAATGGGATGCCACGGATGCAAATGAGCGTCTATCTTCCTTTTTATTTGATTAATCAAGCTCTCATCCGTACAAGTTTAAGATGAAGCGGGTTCTGCATATTGGCATTGTAGTAACCACTATTAGAAGTAGGATGCTATAGATTCAGATTACTTGCTGCTTGTTCCACTCATGATTAAAGAACAATCAAGGTGGTGTATAGTCGGGAGAGTAGATTACCGAAAGATAGCAAATGCTTAGAGCTCCAAGGTAAGATATAGGGTGCCCAAGATTCAGAAGTAATTGTTCAGTCATCCAGGGTCGAGCGTATGCTCCGTGTTAGAAATGTCAAGGTTTGCTGTTTTCGTCGTCATTTTAGGCTTTGTTTATAATTAGTAGACTTCCTCACACCTGCTGCTTAGATTGAACCGTTAACATGGACGCTAGGGATTCGCTAAGTTGAGACTTATGTGTTTTAATTTTGAGAACTTCTTGCGATCACCCGCGGACTTCACAACCAAAAACCCAGCCAACCGATATTTCCGTACGCGATTTGTTGACCCATTCGAGCGCGTGCAGATCGAGATCACCTTAGTATACACAGCACAGCTTCATTAAGCTTCTTCCCCCATACCTCGAATCGTCGTTCAGGGTTAACAAAGCCGCCGTCGTATGAGATACGGGCGAGCTCGGCAGTTCATCTTAGACTCCTTGATACACAGCACAGAGATCCGGGTTTGTTACTCTTGAGTAGGACAATGCAATCAACCCAGACTCGAGTGCTTTAACGGATCACAGCTGCTAATCTAGTGATTGACATTCAGTTTATTTTGGACTAAATATAGCTGATCCCGACGTATCGGCTTTATCGCATGGGCTAAGCAGGTCCAATCACGGTTGGAAGTAATTGGCTCGACTAGTGATATGCTGTACGAGGCTATACGATGCTTGTTAGAAGGCTTTGAGATAATTCGGAAGTCTATATACATACACTCATTGCCGCATTACCATTCCAGCAGAGCCTACTTATGATGGATTGGTGGTCGCAGCTAACCCATACATCGGATAATACGTTTTGTATGAGTTACTTGTTGCTATTAAAAAAATAGCGAGATAGTCCATTGCACAGCTGTTTTCAACTAAGTTTCACTAATTGGTTGCACATTATCTGGTTTCTCAAGAGCGATTTTCACAAGCTGCCCTGGATCCTCTGGCAGATTGTACCCCGGGAAGTGGGAATTCCATTCTGGACTTCTTCGCGAGTTGGGTCTGTTCAAGAAAAACAAGCCGAAGGAGTAAGCCAATGCTGCTACAAGCACCTCAAAAGGCGTGTTTTGAAAGGGGTATTAAATGAACCTGATAAGGTGTCGGTGGTCGCTTTATCAAGGGCAAATCCTTTGGTATATGTCCTGTTGCTAATGATGTCGTTCTTTTCTAACCCCCTGTATGAGTAAGGAGGCTGTTGGGCATAAGTTCTTTGGTTGTCAGCTTTTTAGAGAAGCAGCTTTGCTATATAATCCGCCTAGATCGTGCACCATGCTAGGAAGCTTATTGAAGGTGGCGCTGACACGCTTCCAGAGGTTAAGAGTTCCTCTAATTCCTGAAACAGTATTCGTCACGAGAAAAGATCGGCGACTATGTGGTGGATAGCTATGAAGAGACTTTGTTTACCAGGTCCGTCATCAAAATAGCACATGTGAACAAGGGGCCCTTCTCGATGTTTAGACGTTAGCGGCATTTGATGATGACATTGGCCTTTAGTTTCTCCGTGGCTTCCAGGCCTTTCGCATGATAAAGGTAGAAAAAGCCGTGGATATCGTCCGAGATGTATTGCTGCCAATAGTTATGGTTTGGATTCTTAATAAAGCGCGCGCGTAACATAGGATGTCTTGATGCGATGGTTTCTATGGCCAGTCGATAAAGAGCCAACGGCATTGCGTCTCGCAAACGCAACAAGAAGCTCTGGTCAAAGGATCGCTAGGGCGTATACTCCAAATGAAAGTACAGTCTTTGGATTGGACTCAAGTCATATAGCCGATTATCCAGTTCATCTTGTTAAACCTGGTGTTTGGATAGAGCCGGAAGAAGAGTGGTTTGACCGTGAGGCAAGCAGCGATGCTAGTTGAGAGATTGTCTTCTACCGTAAAACATTAGCAGAGGATATATTCCCCTAGTAGCCCGAGCCATTGCGGAGAACTGCATAGCGGTGATAGATTCTCCGCTAGACTAGAAACGTTGATAGAAGCCGCGGGTGGCTCATGCGGGTCTTTTCACATGTCAGAACAAAACGGTCGAGATTTTCCGTGGCGCTTTCTCTCAAGGGACGCAAGGTGTTGTCTACTTATTACACCAGGCCTATAACTTGTTCTGTTATTCGAACAGTGGCAAAGGGCTTCAAAATGTTGACTTTATATTATGAGATGCGAATGGTCCAGTGCTGTTGGCAAAAACTTAATTTCGTTGACTGGGTTTCCCGTCCAGATGTATTGTACCCCTCCCGCCATTCTATTTGACAAGATCTGTTATAAATGCATAACACCAGAAGTGAACCCTTTGTCCATATCACAATCGTTCATTTCTTGACCCAATACTATATACAGCAAAACATTACATCATGGCGACTTTAGAATGAGGACACGGCGATGGCAATCGCTTGCAACTCGGAGTGTGAGATGGACACACTGATCTCCTTGACACCCGCCTTCTTGGCGGCATCGGCAGCAGCACCGTATAGCTAAAGTCTTGTTAGTGGCGGTTGAGGGCAAAATAATGCAAAATGACGAAAACTCACACTGACAATGGGCGCACCATTTTCATCAGAAAGGACTTCAATGTCCTTCAAGGCTGCACCTCCACCTAGGCTCTTCACTCCAAGGCTCTTGAAAACGGCTTCTTTGGCACTCCAGCGGCCGGCAAAGGAGCTTTGGGGACTAGGCATCTTGCGGCAGTACGCAATCTCTTTCTCGGTATAGTTGCGCTCGACAAAGGTATCGTTCTCAATGTTGATGGCTGAGATGTCTTCAACATCAACACCAACCTTGTTCTTACTTGATTCCAAACTTCGAGCAAGGGCCTCAATAGACGATTTAGTGCTGTTAGCCTTCGGTGCTTGAACAGCGGCGGCGCGCTTGGCAAAATCGGCAGGGTAGGTGAGACCAGCAGTCTTCTTGTCCTCAGTGACGCGAGCCTCGGGGTTGAGCAGGACAGAGCTGAGCTGCTCATCGCTGTATGGGGCGCTTGCCTTGGCCTGGAACAAGGCGTTGTTGATCAGACCATTGTGGAAGTACCGGTAAGACTTCTTTTGACGAGCGGCAACCTTGCTGGCGTATGCCTTGAAGGTATCTTCGTCGAGAGTGGCATACAGGTACTTGGGGTGGATACCAATGGCTTGAGCACCCTTTTGACCGAAACCGAACGAGGTGACGGAAAAGGCCTTCACGCCATCAGTCTGGATGCTTCGACTAGGATAGACAATCATATCGAACTGTTCCATGACGGTGTCGATATTGTCAGCGTTGCGGTTACCAGGCACCAAGCCAGTGTTGAGGACCTGCAAACAACCGTTCAGCATCCAGGCACCAGCAGCACCCTTAGGGTGACCAGTGAGGTACTTCTGGAAAATACCAAGAACGGCGTTACCCTTGGTGCGGCCGAGGTGGCGTAGTTGCTGGCAGATGACAGAAGATTCATTCTTGTCGTTAGCTTTGGTGGAAGTACCGTGGAATGAAGCAACACCAAGATCATCAATAGTAAGACCCCAAGTAGCAAGTGCGCCACGTAGGGGAGCAATGCTGGTATCCTGCTTCCAAAAGTTGTTACCGAAGCTGCGAAGAGCTTCCTTTTCCTGACGAATAGCCTCCTTCTCAACGTGAGCCACACGGTCGGCAGTGTACTCGTTCTCGTTGAAGTCATCACTCTGCGACTTGATTGCAGCGATCTCTTCGTGCAGATATTCAAGCTCAGACTCCTTCCAGTTGCGAATTTGCTTTTTGCGAAGCTCGATCTGGCGACGACGGTACTTGATATCCAGCAGAGGTGAAGGGAACTTGCCACGAGTCTCGCGAGCAGTCGTGAGGACACCTTGGCCAGGGGCCGGGACTGATCGTCCGATCTTGTCGCTAGCGGTTGTGGTAAGAGCAAGAATACCGTGGATGGGCACACCCATGTCAAGAGCAAGCTTGGCAGTCATAATGATCTGGACACCGGAACCCTGCGACTCCATGAAGCCGTTACGGGTGGTAGTAGTAGGACGCGACATCTCTTGGGGCGTGCGGCCATGGGCAAACTCATCAACAGCATTGCTGGTGGCCTTCATATTGGCGAACTCGTACGAACCTTCCTCGCCGAAGTCATCGAAACCGCCGACAAGGCAGACACGGGCCTTACCCTCCATGATAGTTTCATATCCGATATCGACCGACTCAACAGCAGTGGCACAAGCACCGACAGGAGTCTTGATGGGACCAGAGGAAGACAGCAGCAACATGTTCACCCAAGCAGCCATAGTGTTGATGAAGGATTCCTGAAGAATGTCGTTTTGGACCGGCTTGTCCAAGAAACGGTCACGGTGCATACCACGTAGAGCACCAGCTCCACCCATACCAGAACCGATGCAGTTGCCGACCTCAGAAACGTGGACATACTTGTAGAACTCATAAGGATCAGTGATACCTGAAGAGAGCAGGGCTTCAGCAACTGAGACAAGCACGAAAAGGGTGACAGGGTCGACCTGGGAAATGATGTCTTCAGGCACACCGTACTTCTTGGCATCCCAGCCGGTAGGAATTTGTCCGGCAACAAGGCGGTCAAATCTCAAAGCCTTGGGGATCCAAAGGGACGCACCCTTCTTCATGCGCACGGTGTACTCGCCGCTCTCGGGAATCTCGAAAATCTCGGCCTTGACACCATGCTGGCGTCTGAACTCTTCAGCAGTCTCCTTGGAAGCCTCGAAAGGCTCGAGATCCTCCTCGATGACGACTTCGTGAAGGAGCTCCTTGTTGTTGGGGTCATACCCATCGAAGAGCTCGGGCTCGATCAAACGGATACCCGAGTGCTCCAAGATCTGCTTTTCGTACTTGGTCTTGATGTCCTTGTCATCGACGGGCTCGCCGGACTTGGCATCGACCCATCCAGAGTAAGGCTGACCCTTGATAGGGCCGTTGTGATTCTTGATAAGACCCATGATCCAGGCCATTTCAACACAACCTTCCAGCGAAAACTCCCCATTCGCTTCCATCTCCCAACGAGTTCTAGAGTTACCCCAGGGACCAACCTCGGCGAAGCCAGTGATAACGACAACCTTGTCAAGATCGACCATGCCCTTGAGGTTTTCGTTGAGTGGCTCAACCTCGGACTTCCAGTCTGGCAGTGTTGGGAAATCAAACTTGATGTTTGCACGGGGCTCGACCACCTTCCTCTTGTAGAGAGCCTCGCTCTCCTCGCCGTTGACAATCTTGTTCTCGATGGCAGTCTCCTTGGTAACCGCACGGCGGATTTCACTGCTTCCAGTGATGTTTGCACGCTCCTTAGACATTAACTTGTTCAGTTTCTTGATGAATTGGAGACCACCATTGAGATCAGCAAAGACAGGCTGGCTCTGGCAGAGATCGACAATATCAGGTGACATGAGACCGAGCAAGTTGAAAGCCATCTCTTGCTGCGAGAAGGTGCGGGCACCTTCCTGCTCAACGCTCTCGGCGACAACGTTGTTGCCAGACATGAGGCCAGTGCCACGGGTCCAGCCAATGACAGCACCGCAAATGGTAAGGTAGCTGCCCCAGTCCTCAGATCGCCATCTGTTGAAGAGAGTCTCGAGACCAAGCTTGGACTCTGAGTACAGACCATCGCTGCCAAAAGTACCATGATTAGGCGACAACGGCAGGACGACCTGGGCAGGGCGAGTCTCGAAGCCGCGCTCGGACTTCTGGCTCTTGACGCCTCCGAGGAGACGGAGAAGGTTGGTCAACATGATACGGTGAGCGAGCTCAGACTTGGAGTCAATGCCATCGATTTGGCGGCCTTGCTCAGAGATGGCAGCAAATGGGACGATGTAGTCAAGATCCCAGCCCAAGCCTTTCTTGGGGTCATAGATGTAGTCAACGAGTGCCTCGACATCTTGCTTGCTACCTTGATTGAAAGGAACGACAACGAGTTGAGAGCCGCGAGCACCATATTTGGCATACATAGCCTGGTAGTACTCCGTAACCTCGCGGGAGAAGCGGCTAGTGGTAACGATAACCTTGGCGCCACCACTGATCAGACCCTGCAAAACCTCGGCACCAATGGAACCAGCACCAGCACCAGTCATGAGAACATACTTGCCTTCATAGCTGATTCCATCCCTGGCAGCTATTTCCAAGCAGTCAAGGTAGACGGTGGAGAGCTTCTTGTCGTAAGCCCAGCCGGTGAGTTCATCAAAGCTCTTCAGATGCAGGAAAGGCATGGACTCAGTCTTGCCCTGCTTGGGCTGACTAGATGCCTTAAGACCAGTCTTCTTCACAAGGCCTGCCTTTCCGTTCTCCTTTGGCAAGATGGAGCTCTCATTCATGGCCAAAGACTGAAGGACATTGTCAGAAATCTTCTTGAGCTCAACTTGTGTAGGTCTAGCCATATTGTGTTGAGCCTTGATCAGCTTTACCAGGCGTGCAAGATCGTTGTTGACCTTTGTACGGTTGCCGTACTCAGTAATCTTACCACCCTCAGCCATCTGCTTGACGTAATGCTCAAGCTTGCGGCAGCTCTGTCGTGGGACTTCTTCGTACTTGATATTGCCCTGGTTGTCGACAGTAGTGTGAGGACCAGTAGGAACGTTGACATCCTTGTATACAGGTGCAACATTCATGACCTCCTTGCAGTTCTCAATCAACTGCTCACCAAGCTGCTTGGCAAGCTTGTAGGTCTCGCCACGCTCGGTCGGGCAGTTGTCGATATGGTACTGCATGAACTCCAAAAGGAGCGGATTTGACTTTGTCATAATGCGGATACATTGACTGACAATTTCACGGTCGACGACCTGAAGTCTACCGAAAATGACATCGTAGTACATGCTGAGAGCATCCTGGCGCGCCCAGTTCCACGACGAATCGTATGTACGAGCTTTCAGGGGGCTGAAGACAGGCTCAATGCCAGACGCGTAGAAATCACCATGCTCAGCAGCCCAAAGATCCAGTTGAGCCTGCAGCACCTTTTCAGATTCTTGTGTAGTTTGAGCGGCCTTCTCGCCTGAGCGCAGGTCAATCTTGAGATATCTCGCCAAAAGCTCAAGTTGCTGCTTGAAGAGAACACGCTGGTCCTTTGTGAGGGCGTCAATGGCAGCAGGATCCATCATCATGCCACCGCCGCCACCTGCAGCGGGACCTGCAGCAGCGGCTGTAGACAAGCTGATTCCGGCGTTGCTGGCATATTTTTGAGCCACGTCGTCTAGGAAAGCCTTTGCGTCGTTCTCAGAACCCAAACGGGCCGGCGGCTCCATTGTGATAGCAAGTAGCAGGGCGCCGTCTTGCCTGCCAGCGCCAAGACCCCACCTAGTCTCCAGGTACTTGCGAGCTGATGTGATATTGAAGCCACCGGGCATTTTCGAGGATACCAAACGGGCAATGAGCGACTGTGACTGCTTTCCGAGCTGACCATTGAAGGTAGCCTGCATAACAGAACCGAGCTCGTCTAGGGGTATGTCCTCAGGCTTTTCTGGTGTGGAACCGAACTCCTTTCCTAAATCACCCAAGATTTCGTTCTGCAGAGTGGATTTGCCTGGACGATAGTTAGCTACCTGAGCTCGAAACGCAAACTGCAAATACAAGGCAACTCACCACCAACCAAGTCCTTGATGGCTTTGCTGAGAGGAATCTCCGAGAAAGGTTTCTTCAGCTTCTGAGCAATGAGAGCTCTCACAATGTCCGAAGCGGCCACAGGGGCATCTGGAACGGCTGCAGCTGGACCTGCACCGGGAGCTGGGGCAGCAGCAGGGGCAGCGGCCGAAGCAGCAGCGGCCGCTGGTGCAGAGCTGGAGCTCTCAGCGGTTGCGGCTGCGGGCTCCGGCTCGTCCTCAACAGGATCAACATCGTAGTAGATCTCCTTTGCGTCCTTGTTGTAGCAGAGAATTTGTCTTTGAACGGATTTGGCAGCGTCGTATGCCTCGTACTTGGATGCCAACGTTCGCTTTGCCATGACCCCTAGTGTATCCGCAGGACCGATTTCGACGATTCGCTCGGCTGTCTTCTCACCGAGGAAAACATCTTGCGTCTCAATCCATCTCACGGGAGAGGCGAACTGATATGCAAGAAGCTCCACGAGGAGTGTGTGTGCAAGCTCTTGCTCGACTTCGGGACGCATGTTGGGCAAAAAGTCGCGGTCGTGATGGCGAGATGCGGGAGGTAGAGTAGAAGATTCGGGTGCCGTAGGAAGAGCTAATCAAAGCTCTCTATGTGAATGAATCCACCGGGTATCTCTATTGAAAAGGAAACTCGAGAGGATGCGGCAGAAGCTGAAGCAGCTCGTTCCGGTGAATGCCAATGGTGAAGAGGTGGGTAGATAGATGGTCTATGAGGGCGAACTTTTATTAGTCTGGTGTCGATTGGCAAGGTCGAACCAGCATGGAGTAGGTGAGAATAGTAGTATGGGGGGAGTATGGGAAGAGGGACGGATGGGAATTACTTTGAGCTAAGGAGGGAAGAGTCTGGAGAACAAGACGACAGGAATTCTCTTGTATCTTACAGTACAGACAGCAGTTCACCTTCCCGAATCAAAGCACCGCCGTTGAATAGACTGACTACAGTATGTGAAGAGAAGACGGCGAGGTAGGGTTGATTGGCCTGAAGATACAATACACCCTTCGTGTAGGTCTGGGGGGGATGCAATGCAGCTGAGCTACCTATGGAATAATTCAATTCCCAAATGTTGAACCAGCAAAATTTGGCTGGCCGGAGGGTGACACAGTCGTTGCTCTCGGTGGTTGTCTCGCACCCACTCCCCTGCAGGTGCTTGGCTCAGGGAGCTTTGTACTGCATGGAACACCAAGTAACACTGAGACCATCCCGGTTGATCCAGCTTTTTCTGGGCCCACCCTGCCCACTGCCCAGGCCTGCCCTCCTTGCCCTGCTGGCCTTGCTGACAGCCTACTGGTCCCATCAGTTTCTTATTGGCTGCTGCCCCACTACGGGTGCTCCAAATTTACCGGCCTGCTGCCACCTCCTCAACCATATCCAACGGCCTAATCTGCTTGAGGAATGGCATGCTCGAGGACCCTTTCCCCACACAATCTCTTCACGCGTGTTCTTTACCTCGACGTAGTCCAGCCTACACATGCCGCCGCGTTCATGCCGGTTGAGAAGCTGCTCGCGCACTGCTATGTTGGCGACAGAGAAGAAAAAAACATGAAGCCAAAATGAGGGTTCCCTGCTGCAGAGGAGAGGGGGGGCGTCTCCTGGCTTCCAGTATATCGGCCACTGGTAATCCATGGCTGCTGTATCTACATCACTTTGTTATCATGATGCAAAGCCAATGGCGTCATGCCTCTGCAGTTTGCCCAAAGTCAACATGACATTCTTAGAAATGTATGTACGTAGGTATTTCCGAAACTTTTTCTCTCTTGCATACCCCCAATCCTGGGTTGGCCCCTGACCAATCCACTTCACTTCCGTTCCCCCGCCGCGGGATGCAAGTACAGGTACTTTCATCGGATATATTAATTTGAGCGAGCAAATGGCTATCTTTCGAACTGCCAGGTCAGTGAGATCAGTCATGATGGGTTGTATGGGATGTTAGCCATCAGGTTTGAAACTCAATTCTTTTTTAGCAGAAAGTCAGTCCGACGGTTCATCTGATATGCGTCTTTGACTCTCTTGAGAAGAAAACAGCTGCTTTCGACTACATAGTTAGGTGAAGACGCCAAGAAATCCGTGCATGCCGTGTGCAGAAACATGAGCTGCAGCATATTGTGATGCATGGGCTGGGCCAGTTGGTACATCATACTGAGAGGACATGTTGATGTGTGTGTGTGATTGCCGTATCGCAGCCCGTCAGATAGGCCCCAAGTATGTGTCTCGGGATCATTGTATTAGACTTGGACTCAAATGTCAAGGTGATGACTACATGTATGCACGCCCTAAGGATCACGATAGCGATATCTGCCTTGAAACACACATCTACGCAAAAGTCGCTACTCCGGGTTCGATGAGTTCTCAGCAGACTACCTCAGTAGAGAGGTCTTACACAAATGCTTCGGTGCCTATCAAGATGTTAGATGAGCACCCCCCGTCTTCCGATGCTTCCGGTGCCTGAATTACCAGAGACTCCTGGATGCATAACCTTGAGTATACCATCAAAAAGAACCCAGCATCACGTAAGGTCCATAACTCGAGTGGCCCTGAACGCTAGATCAGATATCACAGTGGCCATTATGTCCATCTACCTCAGTCTAGCACAACGACGAGTGACGTGGGAGACATAGGTGTTGCGATGCCTTCACATAGATGCACCTGTTTTGCTGAAGACTGTCCACTACCAACTCAAACAGACACGCACAAGCTGAAGGGTCTACTGTACTGCAATCAAAGTCTAAAGTGGGTGCAGGTAGCCGTGATTGTGAGAGCCAATCGATTTGCCGGGACAATTGGTATTGCTCGCTTTTTACTTCGTCCCTATTTCCCATTCTTCCCCTCCCCGTCAAAACCCGATATATTGCGAGATTGTATGCAGAACCTATTTCTGCTTGGAAGGTTCGGGCTGAGCTTGGAGGTACCTCTACCTTGAGCTAGCATGGGCCCCTGTCGTGGATCTCCAGTGGGTTGCCCGACCTGCATTGCATTCATCCCCCAACAAGAAGACTAGATTTTTGGCGAGGTAACTAGGAAGCTCTTGCAGGCCGGGCCACACTCGCTGCTCAAAGCAAAATCTCACCTCAAGTGCATTGCATGTTGAGGAAGGACACCACACGGAAGTCTCTTTTGCCAATTCACTGCAGAGACATCAGTTCAAAGGCACCCAAAAGTAGAATCTCCCTTCCTTCCCATTGACAACACATCAACTTCTGCTTTTGACGACCAATTCCTTGCCTTTTTCCTGCATTCCGCCAATACAACACAATACAATAGCTTAATTCTTCCTATTCCCCCCCACCCCAGCAGTATTACCCCCATTCAGAAACTGCTTGTAGGTCTGCCTCCAGCTCTTTGCTGAGTCTACGGAGACACCATCATCATGTACGGCACAGGAACTGGCCCTCAGACGGGCGTTTCCACCCCACGATCCAACTCATCTCTCCGACCACTTACACTCAACCATGGTTCGCTAGAGGCCTCGTTTTTGGTGCCCACGGGCCTCCATTTCCACGCTTCACAACTGAAAGAACGATTCGCTTCAGGTCTGCCAGAGGCCACAGACGAATTAGCCCAAGATGACGAACCTTCCTCGATAGCCGAGCTCGTGGCGAGATACATGGGCTTCGTGGCCCACGAGGTCGAAGAGGGCGAGGATGACGGCCAGGGCTCGTACGAGGAGGTCCTGAAGCTCGTTCTTAACGAGTTCGAGCGCATGTATCTTCGTGGCAACGATGTGCACGCCCTTGCTAGAACACTCCCCGGAATTGTAGAGAAGCAAATCACCGTCGTCCGTTGTTACTACGCTGCCCGATCCACAGCAAATAGAGCCATCAGACCGCATGACTCAGCCCTGTTCCGAGCTGCTGATGAAGGCAGCGCCAAGATCTACAATATTTTCGGCGGCCAAGGCAACATTGTCGAGTATTTCGACGAGCTGCGGGAAGTCTACGAGACCTACCCCTCGTTCGTTGGCGAGCTCGTCTCTTCGGCGGCCGAACTTCTGCAAACTCTGAGTCTGGAGCCCAAGGTACAGAAGCTCTATGCCAAAGGTCTGGATATCATGACCTGGCTGCACTCCCCCGATGCCACCCCGGACGCCGATTATTTGATCTCTGCGCCCGTGAGCCTCCCTTTGATCGGTTTGGTGCAGCTCTGCCATTACCAAGTCCTAGGCAAGGGCCTCGGTCTTCACCCTGGCATCCTGAGAGATCGCATGTCTGGTGCGACTGGTCACTCTCAGGGTATTGTTGTCGCCGCTGCCACAGCCGCAGCCGACGATTGGGAGTCGTACGAAAAGCTGTCCAAGGATGCTTTGACAATCTTGTTCTGGATTGGCGCTCGTAGCCAGCAGGTCTTCCCGCGAACCTCGCTAACACCCAAGGTTCTGCAAGACTCGATCGACAATGGCGAGGGTGAGCCCACACCGATGCTTAGCATTCGTGATCTCCCTCAAAGCGAGGTGCAGAAGCACATCGACGCCACCAACCAGTATCTCCCTGAGGATCGTCATATCTCCATCTCTTTGATCAACAGCCCAAGAAACATGGTCGTCACTGGTCCGCCCATCTCGCTGTATGGTCTGAACCTGCAGCTGCGCAAAGTCAAGGCCGCAACCGGTCTCGACCAAAACCGTATCCCCCACACCGAGCGCAAAGTCCGTTTTGTCAACCGATTCCTGCCCATCACCGCGCCCTTCCACAGCCAATACCTCAAGGAGGCTACAAAGCTCATCGACGAGGATCTCAAGAACATCAAGATCGAGTCTGAGTCTCTCGGCATTGCCGTCTATAACACATGTACCGGCAAGGACTTGAGAGAAGAGGTCCAGGGTGATATCGTTCCCTCTTTGATTCGCATGATCACTAGAGATCCAGTCAACTGGGAGAAGGCCACTCTCTTCCCAGAGGCAACTCACATCCTTGACTTCGGCCCTGGAGGCATTTCTGGTCTTGGTATACTCACAAGTCGTAACAAGGAGGGCACTGGTGTGCGCGTCATTTTGGCCGGCACAGTTAACGGCACGGTCATTGAAGTTGGATACAAACCAGAGCTCTTTGACCGCGATGAGGAGAATGCTGTTGTCTATGCCAACGACTGGGTCAAGGAGTATGGCCCAAGACTGGTCAAGAACTCCAAGGGCGAAACCTATGTTGATACCAGAATGAGCAGACTATTGGGTGTGCCTCCGGTCATGGTCGCAGGTATGACACCCAGCACGGTCCCGTGGGATTTCGTTGCTGCTACTATGAACGCCGGATACCACATTGAGTTGGCCGGTGGTGGTTACTACAACGCGAAAACGATGACTGAAGCCTTAACGAAGATCGAAAAGGCAATTCCCGCCGGACGTGGTATCACCATCAACCTGATCTACGTCAACCCTCGTGCCATGGGCTGGCAAATCCCGTTGATCGGTAGACTTCGAGCTGAAGGGTACCCGATCGAGGGACTTACAATTGGTGCTGGTGTGCCATCGCTCGATGTGGCTCAGGAGTACATTGACACCCTTGGTCTCAAGCACATTGCCTTCAAGCCTGGTTCTATGGAGGCCATCCAAAACGTGATCAACATCGCCAAAGCAAACCCCACTTTCCCCGTCATGCTGCAGTGGACTGGTGGTCGTGGAGGTGGCCATCACTCTTTCGAAGATTTCCACCACCCTGTTCTGCAGATGTACAACAGAATCCGTCGTTACGACAACATCATCCTCGTCGCTGGCAGTGGTTTTGGTAGCTCTGAAGATACCTACCCCTACCTCACCGGTGAGTGGTCTAAGAAATACGGTTACCCTCCCATGCCCTTCGACGGTTGCATGTTTGGCAGTCGTATGATGGTTGCCAAGGAGGCACACACCAGCAAGGATGCCAAGCAAGCAATCGTTGATGCTGAGGGCGTTGAGGATGAGCACTGGGAGAAGACCTACAAGGGAGCGTCTGGTGGTGTGATCACCGTTCGCTCGGAAATGGGTGAACCCATCCACAAGCTTGCAACTCGTGGTGTCCTCTTTTGGGCCGAGATGGATCAGAAGATCTTTGCGCTGCCCAAGGAGAAGCGTGTCGCAGAGCTCAAGAAGAACCGTGCCTACATCATCAAGAAGTTAAATGATGACTGCCAAAAGGTTTGGTTCGGTCGCAATTCCGCAGGTGTGACTGTCGATCTGGAGGACATGACTTACGCCGAGGTCGTCAGAAGACTTGTTGAGCTTCTCTACGTCAAGCATCAATCCCGATGGATCGACCCGTCTTACATGAAGCTGACTGGTGATTTTATTCACCGCGTTGAGAGTCGTTTCACACACTCTCAGGGTCAAGCCTCAATGCTCCAGAGCTATGCCGACCTGAAGGAACCCTTCGCTGCTGTCGAGAAGATCCTCGCGCGTTACACGGAGGCTGAATCTCAGATCATCAACGCTCAAGATGTTCAGCACTTCATCATGCTCTGTCAGCGACGTGGCCAGAAGCCGGTCACCTTCGTCCCTGCTCTCGACGAAAGCTTCGAGTTCTTTTTCAAGAAAGACTCTCTCTGGCAATCTGAGGACCTTGACGCTGTTATTGATCAAGACGTTGGCAGAACATGCATCCTGCAGGGTCCTATGGCTGTCAAGTACGCCACGAAGGTTGATGAGCCCATCAAGGAAATCCTTGACGGTATCCACCAGGGTCACATCACTCAGCTGATTGAGGATGTCTACCATAACAAGCAAGAGTCTGTCCCCACCATCGAATACTTCGGTGGCAAGCTTGTTGATACCGAGATCCCTCTCGACATCGAAGGTTTAACTGTGTCTTACGATGACAACAAGAACACATACCGCTTGTCCATGTCTCCGGCTGTCGCGCTGCCTGATGTTGACGCTTGGCTGGCACTTTTGGCCGGTCCCAACAGATCGTGGCGCCACGCTCTTTTCCATTCTGATGTCCTGGTGCAAGGTCAGAAGTACCAGACGAACCCGATGAGAAGAATCTTTGCCCCAGTTCGTGGTCTCTTCGTCGAGATTCAATACCCCAACGATCCCAGCAAGACATCCATCATCGTCAAGGAGCAACCTAGACACAACCACTATGTAGACGTCATCGAAGTCAAGCTGGAGGGCAAGAACAAGATCGTTGTTAATATGATCAAGGATACCACGGCTCTGAACAAGCCTGTTGCTCTTCCACTACACTTCACTTACCACCCTGAGGCCGGATATGCCCCCATCCGTGAGGTTATGGATGACCGTAACGACCGTATCAAGGAGTTCTACTGGAAGGCTTGGTTTGGCAACGACAAGCTCGATCTAGATGCCCAAGTCACTGGCAAGTTCGACGGCGGCAAGGCAACCATCACGGCGGAGGACATCAATGACTTCGTCCATGCTGTGGGCAACACAGGCGAGGCCTTTGTCGATCGTCCTGGCAAGATCATGTATGCTCCCATGGATTTTGCTATTGTTGTCGGATGGAAGGCCATCACCAAGCCCATCTTCCCTCGCAAGATCGATGGCGACTTGCTCAAGCTTGTACATCTTTCCAACGGCTTCCGCATGTTGCCTGGCGCCGAGCCCTTGAAGAAGGGTGATCAAATTCAGACTACTGCATTGGTGCATGCTGTCATTAACCAGGATTCTGGAAAGATGGTTGAGGTTTGCGGTACCATCACTCGAGATGGTGAACCTGTCATGGAGGTCACGTCGCAATTCTTATACCGTGGTGTCTATGAAGACTTTGAGAATACCTTCCAGCGCAAGGTCGAGACTCCTATGCAGGTCCACCTGGCTACTGCCAAGGACGTTGCTGTGCTTAAGTCTAAGGAGTGGTTTGTGCTTGAAGGTGATGAGGACTTGGTCGGCAAGACTCTTGTCTTCAGACTGCAAAGTCTGTACAAGTACAAGAACAAGACCATCTTCAGCAGCGTCGAGACTCGCGGTCAAGTTTTGTTGGAGCGACCTAGCAAGCAGATCGATCAAGTTGCCAGCGTTGAATATGCCGCTGGTCAGTCTCAGGGTAATCCTGTTGTTGACTACCTTGAGCGCCTTGGATCCTCGATTGAGCAGCCTGTCCACTTTGAGAACCCCATTCCTCTCAGTGGCAAGACACCTTTACTACTCAAGGCTCCTGCTTCCAACGAGGGCTATGCCAAGGTCTCTGGCGACTACAACCCTATTCACGTTTCTCGAGTTTACGCAAGTTATGCCAACTTGCCGGGCACTATCACTCACGGCATGTACTCTAGTGCCGCTGTGCGAAGTCTTGTGGAGACTTGGGCTGCCGAGAACAACGTCGGCCGTGTTAGATCTTTCCATGCTTCGCTGACTGGTATGGTCCTGCCCAACGATGACATCCAGGTCAAGCTGCAGCATGTTGCTATGATCAGCGGCCGTAAGATCATCAAGGTCGAAGCAATTAACAAGGAGACCGAGGATAAGGTTTTGCTTGCTGAGGCCGAGATCGAACAACCAGTCACGGCTTATGTCTTTACTGGACAAGGCTCCCAGGAGCAAGGTATGGGTATGGACCTGTACGACAGCAGCCCTGTTGCCAAGGAAGTGTGGGATAGAGCTGATAAATATCTACTCGACAACTATGGTATGCTTCTTTCTATGATCGCTGATGTTCCATTTACTAATATTTTCTAGGCTTTTCTATCACGAACATTGTCCGAAACAACCCTAAGGAGCTTACTGTCTATTTCGGTGGCCCTAAGGGTAAGGCTATTCGTCAGAAATACATGGACATGAAGTTCGAGACGGTTGCTCAAGACGGATCTACCAAGTCCGAAAAGATCTTCAAGGACATTACCGAGAAGACGACCTCGTATACATACAAATCGCCTCAAGGTCTTCTCTCGGCAACTCAGTTCACCCAGCCTGCTCTCACACTTATGGAGAAGGCCAGTTTTGAGGACATGAGGGCTAAGGGTCTCGTTGCCCGTGACAGCACTTTCGCTGGTCACTCTCTAGGAGAATATTCCGCCTTGGCCGCTCTCGCTGATGTCATGCCTATCGAGTCGCTTGTTTCTGTCGTCTTCTACCGTGGTCTGACAATGCAGGTCGCTGTCGAGCGTGATGCCGAGGGCCGCTCTAACTACTCCATGTGCGCTGTCAACCCCAGCCGCATCTCGAAATCTTTTGATGAGGAGGCTCTGCGCTTCGTGGTTGGTAACATTGCTGAGGAGACGGGCTGGCTACTTGAGATCGTGAACTACAACATTGCCAACATGCAATACGTCTGTGCGGGCGACCTCCGTGCTCTGGACACTCTCACTGGCGTTACCAACTTCTTGAAGGCTCAAAAAATTGACATTGCTCAATTGAAGAATGAACTCAAGCCCGAAGAAGTCAAAGCTCATCTGGTTGATATTGTGAGGGGCTGTGCTCAGCAAACAGAGGGGAAGCCCAAGCCTATTGAGCTTCAGCGTGGATTTGCTACCATTCCTCTGCGTGGTATCGATGTGCCTTTCCACTCGACTTTCCTGCGATCCGGCGTCAAGCCTTTCAGAGGCTTCCTCAACACCCAGATCAAGAAGACCAGCATTGACCCGGCTAAGCTTGTTGGAAAGTACATCCCCAACGTCACTGCTCGACCATTCGAGATAACTAAGGAGTACTTCGAGAATGTCTACGCTCTCACTAACTCGCCCAATATCAAGGCTATCCTGCAGAAGTGGGATTCGTATCAGGATGATGATGCTCAACCCAATGGCGTGAATGGTGTTAACGGTCACGATGAAGAGCAGCCCAACGGAGTCAACGGGACTCATTAAAGGATTCAAGGGAAATGAGAACGATATCTGAACGATAGTGTATTAAGGTGAAAGGTTTCTGTGTATAGTACACCGTCCGCCTTTGGGATTCCGTGGGAGGCGTACGCATTGCGATTTACGTCATTTAAAGTTTAGAGCAGCGAAGGTCCGTTAGATGACCAGACTGCAAAATAGATTTCAGTAACGTTTGAACTGTTGTGTCTCGGCAAGTGTAACTGGTGACTGCTCCGCAAATAACTCTTATATCCATCCCATATATCTGTGGTGACATAAGATTGTGGGCTCTACGCTTGTACGAGTCTTCGACTTGTAAATCTAATTCCAATGACCAACTACTATCACCGCATATCAATGCCAGCGAAGGCTTGTATGGCACTCGCTGACATATGGTGACGACAAATTACAGTACAAAGCTGTGCGGTGGCGGGCTCCGGCGGCCACCGAATTGGCGGTTCTGACGGCCCCGACCTCAACGTCAACTTTAGCTGCAGGTACCCGACATGGTGATTGGCCCAGATGCACGCGAAAACAAACACCGCAAGCCGTCTTACCCCCCACGCTGCATACCCGAAGATCTGTAAATGTAACACAGAGATAAGATCTTTTGTGGTACATCACTCTGTATAAATAGGCGTTTGCTGCACAGCTTGTTTCAGCTGTGCTTGACCTTTGGAGGGTTTGGATTTTCGCGAGCGTCCAGCTGTCATCTTAGTGCGACCGACCATATCTGTGTATCTAACTCAGCAAGAACACTGTTTATTCGCATCATAATTAGAACTACTCCTCTCAGTGTGCCAACGGATAATCGCAACGCTGAAAAGAATAAAGTCACGCAAAATTCCATTCGACCTCGTTATTTTAAAAACATTTGCAATCCATGCGCGCAGAGATCTGGTACAATACATAAGATCTTCCAAATCATGGCGGTTCCAAGGAATGGGAAGCATCAGATCTTCCTGGGCTCTTTTATCCATAGCAGCCGGTTGGACGAGCTCCAGTATATGCATGATACTGCAGTCTTCGTCGACGAATCCGGCACAATCGTGGCCGTAGAGCAGGATTGCAATGAGTCAAAAGCCGACCAGGTAGCACGAGAGCGTTTGGGATGGACGGACAATAACATGGAGATCAGGCAAGCCAAGGATGGGGAGTTTTTTTTCCCTGGCTTCGTAGATACACATCTGCATGCACCGCAATATCCTAATATTGGCATCTTCGGCAAATCTACGCTTCTGGACTGGCTCAACACATATACCTTCCCCATGGAATCGTCCCTCTCGGACCTGACCAAGGCACGCCGCGTCTACACACGCGTCGTGCGGCGGACTTTATCTCACGGCACCACGACGGCAGCCTACTTCGCGACCATTCATGTGCCTGCCACAAACCTACTCGCAGACCTCTGCCTGTCCCTGGGCCAGCGAGCGTTCGTGGGCCGCGTTTGCATGGACCACAGGGACCTCTGCCCAGACTACTACCGAGACGAGAGCCTCGAAGAGGTGAAGCGGGCCACACAAGCATCCATCGATCACATGCGGAGCATTGACCCAGACTTCTCCCTCGTCTCGCCCATCCTCACACCCCGGTTTGCACCGGGCTGCACGGCCGAAGCCATGTCGTATCTCGGCGATGTTGCGAAGGAGACGGGCCTGCCCATACAAACCCACCTCTCGGAGAACGTCAACGAGATCCAGCTGGTCAGGGATCTGTTCCCGGCCTCTAGGGACTACACGGACGTCTACGACACGGCGGGGCTGCTGACCCCCAAGACCATCCTGGCGCACGCGATCCACCTCAGCGAGGCCGAGGCGGACCTGATCAGCGCGCGGGGGAGCAAGGTGAGCCACTGCCCGTGCTCGAACTCGAGCATCACGAGCGGCGAGGCCCGCGTCCGGTGGCTGCTGGAGAAGGGCATCGGCGTCGGCCTGGGCACGGACATGAGCGGCGGGTACAGCCCCAGCATCCTCGAGGCCGCCAGGCTGGCGCTGCTGGTCAGCCGGCACCTGGCCATGCCGCACCACGTGCACGATGCGTTCCCCGAGGCCGGCACCGAGAGGGCCAAGCTGAGCGTCGAGGAGGTCCTGTACCTCGCGACGAGGGGCGGTGCGGAGGTCGTGGGCCTGCAGGGGAAGGTCGGTGGGTTCGAGGTGGGCATGGAGTTTGACGCCCAGCTCATCGGTCTGGGAACCGTGGGCGAGATCGCGGAGGGAGAAGAGGCCGAGGGCGAGGACAAGGGGAACGTCGACGTATTCGGCTGGGAAACGTGGGAGGAGAAGGTCGCGAAATGGGTCTTCAACGGTGACGACCGGAATACCAAGAAGGTCTGGGTCAAGGGTCGGTTGGTCCACTCGCGACCAACCTAGGTGGGTTTGGTCTGTGATGCAAGCACGAGTCACTTATTTGATGGTGTCCTAGAATAGATAAAATTATCTCTGTAGATGGACCAGCACAGATATGAATTGGACTAAGCACTCACAATACAAGATAATTACAATCGTCTAGTCGTATAAAGTATATCACAATTATTATTATTACCACCACAGTGATATTACAATTCAAAATGTTGACCTGATTCCACAGAAGATATAGAGGTGGGCTTGTATAAGTATACGATGGCAACGCGTGATGATAATGCATATGGGGGTTCAGCTCAGCGTGTATGTCGATAGTTGGCGAAAGTTTTGATCAATTCATGAGGCAGTCGCCGGTTCGCTGTAGCTGGGTCTGCATTCGTTTCATCACAACATAATCACTGAACCACTCAAAGAAGCTGCCTGCATGGTGACTGGACCATAAATGGCACTGCAACGACTCTAGAACGACGGTGGTCAGTCTCTTTGTCTGCTCTGTAACAACGGTACCATGTCTACTGCGACAAAGTGGTTTCGAGTCAGGGACCCCCATGAAGAATACTCCAGCCGTCGACTACATCATGGTGACGACGTCGGATTGGCTGTTTCGAGCTGTCAGGTACCCAGACAATGCAAACCGTCATATATACGCTCTGCAAAATCTTACCGCAGTCTAGTTGCACACAGAGCCACGCTGCGGTGCCAGACACCCTCCGTGCGTTTTAGCAGAGGCGAAAGAAACACCTTCAAAGCTGACTTGGCTGGTCACCAGCAGGCGGTGGACACAAGAATTGGCGCAGCGGCCACTATAGCTCGCTTTACAAGCCTATATTGACCGGGCAAGTACGCATCTCTCACCAAGACTTATCAAGCTTCCTGAAATCACAATGGCTCGTATAGAAATGGAAAAACGAGATCATAGGAGCGTGAGATACGTCCGCTTGAGCATTCAAAATATTTAGCGTCAAGTCGAAATCCTTGATCTCGTGGTTTGGGCTCATGTAATCGTAATATTTACCATCCTTTAGGTAACTAAGAACAGCCCTTCGGCTGTCGACGCGTGCACATCTTCCTAACCTGCAGCTGTTATCGTGTAGGGGTATCAAGAAAGACAAAACTAAAAATATCCGAAGTCGAGGGACCTTTCCCTGCGTGATCTCAGAACACCCTGATCTCTCCTACTCGAAGCCATGATTGTGAGATCCTGTAGCTCTATATCAAAGTCATAATGCTTCCTATTGATGATTATCACCAGTTCCGAGCAAATCATACAACTCTTGGTTAAAGTTGTAGTCTTGTGCATTTGCATTTGTGCGCTGGTTTTGGGTATAGCCAGAGTTTCCAGACGATGATGCCCGGCCATAGCTCGCGCTCCTAGAGCTGGTGCCATAGCTGGCATTACTAGTGTTGCTAGCATTAGAATTGAAGCCATACCAGTTTGGATTCTGTTGTTGATTGGTATTCATCTGCTGGGGATAAGAACTGTATGCCTGCTGTTGTGGCTGTTCAGCATGGTGTTGTTGCTGAGGCTGGCTGTACGAAGGGGGTTGTGTTGGTGCTTGGCGCTGGGGAGAGCGGGTTCCATACGAACGTGGCGGCGAGACTTGAGTGTGGCCGCCGACCTTGTAAGTACTTGTGCCGACGTTGGACGGTGTGCTGTTTTGGGAACGGGTTTGCGCTGTCCACTGGCCAGTGTTGCTGCTGGTTGAATTGCCATAGTTAGACGTATCGTTGAGCGCTTGGCTTAGAGGATTGTTACTGGTAGCTCTTCGAGGATATTCATACGATTGTGCAGCGTAAGCATTAGACGAGGTCGAACTCGACTGCGTATACGAGTGTGGTTCATATGCCACTCGGGTTGGCTGACCGGTAGCAGGCTGAGAGTACTGGTCATTGTTGGTATTATCGTACCGGGCAAATGGGTCATACGCGGGGGCGGAAGTGGCATTAGATGATGTCGCTGGTGTTGTGAAGACGTTTGACGTCGTACCGTGGGACGCCGGGATGCTAGGGAGAGAAAGTGGCGTTTGGGTGACAAGAGTCTGAGTTTGTGACTTTTGCGCCTGCCTCGATTTGGACCGTGAAGGCGGCTTTGGCGCGGGATTCTGGAATGGAGATCTGTTCAGAACAGACGACTGAGGATGTTGAGGCACAGGAACAGGAGTTTGCGAGAGCACTGCCGCTGCCTGTAAACCATCGAAAACCGGCGTGTTTGACTCAGTACCAGATCTTCTCGATCTCGGACCCTTCGCCGGCGGCTGTGCTTGGGCAGCAGTAGCCACTTGTGAGCTGCTTTCTGCTGGCAACACTGGTGAATGAAAACCACCATTCCAACTCAAGGCCTGCTGTGTTTGGGTGGTACTGCTATCACTACTCCCGGAGGCCTGAATGTTTTGAGTCGTCGGTAGACTTTGTCTGTTGTTGCTCAACGCCCCTAGCCTTGTGGGGGGTGCGTTTGATGGTGTGGCGAAGGAGACTTTAGGAGACACTTCAATTGTCTGTGTTGGCTGTAGGTCCTGGTAGGCTCTTCCCGGCGAAGTTTGCGACACATTGTTGTGCAGCTGCACCTGGGAGAAATTAGGGCCAGATGCGGCAGCATTGTTATGTGTCGTTGAATGAGACGCAGGTGGTTGGGAAAAACTTTTGTTGAAAGCTTCAGGATGCTGGTAATATGGAAGGGGGCCACCCTGAGGTCGCACTGACACCGGTTGTTGTATAGGTCCAGATAAGATGTTTGGATCAGGGATGAAGTCGTCGTCCTCATTATTTAGGGTGACTGGTGCGACCTGCGTTATGGTTGTGGTCGCGGGTGGCATGACCGGCATAGGCACTGCAGATGCATTGGCGGTTTGCCCCTGACCATCAATAACATCTTCTGACTGGTCGTCCTCAACTACTTCAGCAGGTATCTCAGATTTCCTGTTGTTTCGCGGCCGAGGCGGCAAATACACGCAAGTTTCGCCACGTTCCTGACACATGGAGCACTCGGGGTGTTCCTTGGTACATTTTCTGCGAGCAAGCTTGCACGTATCACAAGCCCCTCTCGTCTTCCTCTGCCAAGATCGATCTGACGTTGAAGTATCCGCCGCCCCCTCTGTGTTCAACATGGACGTGTCGGCGTCTCCAGCTTCATCATCATCAACCACGCTGGCGTCTGGCATCTTTCGCGGCAGCTTCCTCTTCTTGCTTGGTGTATTTGTGGCGGGAGTAGATATGTTAGCAATCCGGTCCGTCCCGGTAGCGGGCGTAATCTGCTGAGCAGGAGTCGAAGACGCTGAAGCTGACTGCTCCTTCTCGTCGGGGTGCACAATTCGCAGACGTTCGGCGCCATATTTGGCTAACATCTCCAAAGACTGCTCCTGCAGATGTGGTGCCTGATTGGAGAATATGGCAAACTGGTCTTGGGACAAAGTAGTCGGATCTATTCCCTTGTTACTTAGAAGTTTGTTAGCGAGCTCTTTTCTCCTTGCAGCCTCCAAGGGTGGAATATGTAGTACTGGTGTCGGCGTTGGCGTTGGCGTCGGTGTCGGTGTCGGTGTCGGTGTCGGTGTCGGTATCGATGTCGATGTCGATGTCGCTTGTGGCCCAGCTGGGTTTGCTTCGGGTGGCAGAGGCTGAACCTCGGCCTGGTTAACTAGTTGAGGCTCTTCAGCACCCTTTGACTTCCTCTTTCGCATCTTGGGCCCGCTCTCTTCCCCTTCCAGAGGTGGTGGCCGCTTGGCCCTCGCAGTTCGGTTGACACTCGGTGTGTTTGGGTTTGGTATAGGCGGTGGCGGAAGTGTGGGCAGAAGTCGTTCGACAAGCTCTGCGACCGTCTTGTGAAGAGGGGTGTGTTCATATTTCACGACTATTGCTCTGCTACTCTTAGAGAAGGCAATGGTAAGTGTGCCACGGCAGTCAAACGCAGGACGAGCTAGATTGACAGGATCCAGCCCACCAGGGCCGCTGAAGGTGCCGATGGGCGGGCGCTCGGGATCCTTGGCGTTCTGGCGATTCCATGCCTGCAGTGAGTGCTTGCACTGATATGTGAACGTCCATCCTTGGGCTGATCTGGAGACCTGGCGCACGTTCCAAGTGCTTCCGTCAACGACACCCAAGGCGCCTGCGATATTCCTGGCGACCAGTCTTTGTAGCTTGGGGTCGTCGGTGGGCTGGTTCAGGATAGTCTCGGATGCGGTGACGGACCTTGGGATGGGATCTTGCAGCAGCTCAAGCTCCTCGGCGGGGCCAGGATCGAGTTCTTCTTTCAGGTAGAGAAGAGCGTTGAAGGGCATTTCAAAATTGGCGGAAACATGCTCGGCGCGCGTCTCGGTCCTTTTCGAAACGATGATGCCGTGCAGGCGTCTCTGAAGATCGTCGATGGAGCTGCAGCCGTTGCTGCATCTCGTGGGCGCGTCGCCTCCGAGGGAGCTCATGCCATACCGTCCTAGAAGAGCATCCATGGCGGGCGGTAGTTGACGGTGGCAGGGAGGAGGGGGTTCCTGCGCCGCCACGCGTTCGGAAAGTGTCGTCTTCGCCAGGTGTCAACGTTATGATTCCAATCCCACATCAAGTCTGCCGCAATGGCGGACATGACGGATCTGAGGGACCTGAACGCGCTTGAATAGGCCCCTCTAAATTAACCTTAGTCTACAGCGGGGACCTGTCTAAATTTAGGGAAGAAAAGGTGCTCCACTAATACTGCAGGGGACCATGAGGAACGCTAGCCAGGCAGCTAGGCTCCTCTGATTCGCTATAGAAACCAACGTGCACTAACCTACCTATTGCCATCACACCACGCCCCGGTACGACGGCCATTGTTTCTTGCGCAGGCAGGGCTGGCAAGTGCTTTTCTCTCCATAGTTCCCTCAACACATATCAACATCGGGCCTCCAAGGGGATAAAAGGTGTGGTCAAGTAGTCCAGGGCAAGAAACATCATAGCACAGTAGATATGCCATGGCCCATGCCTGCTTCGCAAATCCGAGAACCGCCACTGACATGACAAACACACAAACATGTCCAACTGTGGCTTAGATGGTAATCAGAAACAATTTTGACGGTTGTCGTTTTTCAATATCCACGGAAACTACTCTCATCGCCTAAAATGTCAAATGGTTGGGCAACCTGTGAGCAGATATGTATGTCGTATCCGTGATGGAGGCGAACCATGGCCTTCCAATTGGATGTTCCTATTTTAGTAAGAATGCACGTAGAGCACTGCGTCTGGTCATAGCCAAAGTATCGTAACGCCTGACTCCTTACTCCCGGGATCTCATCGTACATCCCACGGCAGGTAGCCTCACAGGTTCTCTTCGCCCCATTGCTCAAGCCTTTCCACCAGGTCTGCCTTCTTGCCCTTGGTATCCAGACCTCGAGCGCCTAGAATATCCTTCAACTCGGTGACTTTTAGCTTGGCAATATCGCCTGCCTTGAACGTCACCTTCAGGGTTGCATCATTTAGAGAAGAACTCTTATCTCCGTCAGCCGCCTTGCTGGCCGTTTTTCGCGATTTCTTGACCGGTCGTGAATTGTCCTCTTCGTCCTCTGCGAGCTCGCGTTTGATGCTCTTCTGCGCCTCGATTTTAGACAGTTCATCATCCGCAACACTAGACCATTCCTCGATGTAGCCGCCAACTCGCTTGTGTATGGCTTTGATCTTTGGGATAGTCTTGTCCTCCGGCTCCTCTGGTACTTCCTCCTCCAAGGCGAGCGCTTGGAGTATCCTGTAGTGCCACTGGAGGGCTGGATTGGGGTACTTGATGGGATTGTAGTTGGCATTAGGCAACTGCAGATTCCGGACGATTGTGTTCATTGCATCGGTAAGTGGGTTGGTGGAGCGTACAAGCCTTGTCTCGGGCCCAGGACGAACATCGTCGGCATAAGGTATAGGGCAGAGCCAGAGACCTGCAGGCAGATATGGTGTGCCGGAGGATTCATCGTCGGGACCTTTTGATGGTATGATAGCCACTAGGGCCGGGTTGGCGTTTTTTCGGGAGACATGCCATGCTATGCCGATTTTGTTGGACTTCAACAACTTCTGCCATAACGCGGAGAAGACGCGAATGGAGCCAACAAAGCCTCCTTCGCTCGGGTAGATGAAGACCGATTTCTTGAGTGACATCCAGAACTTCAGCATTGAACGGTCTTTGAACCCAATAACCCGAATGGTGTTTGCTCCAAATTGTTTGACGTCCTTCAACTCTTCTGGAGTGAAATAGACATATTCACCACCGAACTTAAATGCCTTCTTAATCTCGGCTTTCTCGACTGTCCTGAATGTGTCGTCGTCTGCCAAACGAGTGGTCTCACTGGTGACCATCTGTGCCTTCTCGCCATCGAGCCAGATATAGCAGGTTCTTGCAGGCTCCTGTTTTTGGATGATGTTGTAGCCGTTCACGGAGACGGTCAGCCCTGGCCCAATCTCAAAACTCATATTAGAAAAGTATGCCCTTTTTGGTGTCTGTTTGGAGTTGATGTTCTTGAGCAAGGAATCCAGGTCTCCAAGCTTCGAAGTACTGAAGCGAGTAGGGTTGAGGGCTTCCGAGGTTGCGTCAAAATGCACAATGTTCTATCACGGTTAGCACAGCCATAAAAGAAACTGCAATTCCACCTACGTCATAAAACTTGGTAAGGTCGAATTTGTCGTCTCCGTGTGTAATTGGGAAGACGTCGATCGTGACGCCAAGGTCGTAGAGATCTTTGGCACGGTTGAATGACCCTTCAGAAGCATCCTTGTCGCCCGGGTGGGGGTCGTCGTTGTCGGTGATGATGAAAAGCCTTCGCGAGCCAAAGTTGGGCGCTTTGAGCGTGAAAAGCTGATTGGCACAGAACAGAAGGTCTCTGACTTGGACGCCGTCGGCCGATGGAACGAGAACATGGTCCTCGTCTTCTTGATCCTCTACGAGAGTCCGAAGCTGCTTGACATCTTCTGCCGCAGGCACATCTAGTGGCAAGTATACATAACAATGCGGGTAAGATAAGACGCTAGTCGTGCCTTCCTGCTCAATGTATTTTGTCTTTTTTGTGCCATATAATATGATGCCCATCTGGTCCTTTGGGTTGGAGATGATACGCTGCTGCATTACTTTGTGCGCAGACTTGAGTGCTGTTACCACGGCACTATCTGTGCTAGCCTTCTTGTCATCTGAGGGCTCAGGTCTTTTCAACATAGATTCGCTGACATTGATGGCGAATATCAGCGCATCCTTCTGCGCTTTGTAGTACTGCACAGGCGTTAGACTGGAATTGATGATGGACGGATGGTTATTGCATGGCACAACTTACGCTCTCATCGATCTCTTCCTCATCCTCATCGTCACTATCCCTCTTATAGTCGTCACGGTCAGCCATGATGAAGTGTTGATTGCGACGTGGTATAATTCAAACTGATCATACCAAAGAAATCAGGAAGAAGAAGGGGGTTGTGGTCAATTCATAAACAGCATTATAAAACCAACTAGCATGGAAATTGGCACTTAGAAGCCTAGGTGTTAGGGATGAACGCCAGGCAACCGCGTCGCTTCCAATTGGCAGCTGGTGGTAGCTTCTCCTAGGAAACGCGAAATCAGGTGACAAGATAATTAACGTTAACCGGGCCCGGATTTGGCACCAGGTCCAGTAATAAAGGAGTACTTGTCATGCACATACTGTATTATGTTGCTACCGAATTCATTTCAAGCCTTTCCCGTCAACTGGGCGGACATCAATCGTTGCAATCTAGACAAATCGCAATGTAATTAATTCATCGTCAGCGTAGGAGCTACTCTACGTAGGTTCCTGAATAGTCATGCATTCTGTCATAGTTCTGGATCTTCAAACGCCTACAGAAAAATATGTTTGCATTCGTCGTGAGGCTGAATTGAAATGAATTGAAATGGATTGGGTTTAATGGAAGACTGAAGCACTTACAAACTGTCAATTGTGATTGGCTAGATCCACGCGTTCACTGGCCGAGTCTAAGATCGCATTCTCAGTGGCGGCTCCAGTCTCTAGGTTAGCGGATAGACAGCTCGGAGGGTCGGCTTGAGCTGGGTTGAATTCAATGCATCATCATCTGGGCAAGTTTTACTTTCAGTTCAATAGTCGTGAAACAACACGCGCACAAGCACGATAGCGAGTTTTTGTTACGCATATTTGGGCCCCTTTCAATTGTTGGGAACTGCAAAAGCCATTCAGACAAGATCTTCGAATTGGAGCTCTTTTCAAGAATGTCTCTGCGACATTCAGTAAGTCGGCTCTCCAAGAGAGCTGCCACATCGTCAAAAGCGACTCAAGCCGCCACCCAGAAACGATACTTCGCGACACCTGTGCCTCCCGTCACACAGAATGCAGTTGGATCAAAGGGGCCGACCGCTATGGTCTTTATGAACATGGGTGGCCCTTCCACCACAGGCGAGGTTGGCGACTTCTTGAGCCGGCTGTTCGTAAGTTTGTTACCGATTCTTCCATGCACATATGGCCGGCTGCTTATAGGTCTATCAACAGTCAGATGGCGATCTGATCCCCCTCGGGCGGCTACAGAACTACTTGGGGCCGCTGATCGCGAAGCGCCGCACATCTAAGATCGAGAAGCAATATTCCGAGATTGGCGGTGGCTCGCCAATTCGCAAATGGTCAGAATACCAGAGCGCCGAGATGTGCAAGATTCTCGACAAGATTTCCCCCGAAACCGCGCCTCACAAACCCTACGTCGCCTTCCGATATGCAGACCCGTTGACTGAAGAGATGTACAACAGACTGCTGGCCGATGGCTTTGGTAACGGCAAAGGTGGAAGAGCGGTTGCATTTACACAATACCCGCAGTACTCGTGCTCCACGACCGGCAGTAGTTTGAATGAACTTTGGAAATGGCGTCAAAGATTAGAAGGAAAACAGGGCTCTGGAACCATTCAGTGGAGTGTCATCGACAGGTGGCCGGCCCATCCCGGACTAGTTGAAGCTTTCGCAAGCAACATCGAGAAGACATTGGCTCAATACCCGGAGGAACGGCGGGGCAAGGTTGTCCTTCTTTTCTCGGCCCACAGTCTACCCATGTCTGTCGTGAATAGAGGTATGGCTCACAAGCAACGGTGATGAGCGCAAACAAGCTGACAAGTTTCACAGGCGATCCCTATCCTGCCGAGGTGGCCGCAACAGTATATGCTGTCATGCAGCGTCTAGGCTTCTCCAACCCCTATCGGCTGTGTTGGCAGTCGCAGGTTGGACCCAGCGCCTGGCTGGGCCCCCAGACCTCTGACACCGTGGAGCAGTACATTGAGAAGGGCCAGAAAGACCTGGTGTTGATCCCCGTCGCCTTCACTTCGGATCACATCGAGACTTTGTACGAGCTTGATCTGGAAGTGATTGGTGAATCAGGTCATGCCGATACCGTCAAACGTGTGGAGAGTTTGAACGGCAGCCCTATCTTCATCGAGGGACTTGCGAACATTGCCAAGGCACATCTTGATAGTGGAGTCCATTGCTCATACCAGATGGGTCTGAGGTGTCCTGGATGCAAGAGCGAGAGATGTGCTGAGTCGAAGAAGTACTTCGCCAGTCCTGAAAACGCATTTGCAGTGTAGTCGGCCCTCGTGTCTGGTGTAGACTTGCTCTCTCCTGGAGCGCTATGTATGACTTGTAATATTTAGACATCCAACTAAAAGTATATAGAGAAACTTGTCAGTTCAGGTTACAGACCCAAGGTTTTCGCGATAACGCTACTGCACCATTAGAAACTGGGGCAGCACCTAGTTTCAGCAACGCATGCGATTCGGTACCGTGATTCGAATAGCCTTCACCAATCAAAGTCATGGGGGTCGAAGTCAGCAGCGATTATGGAGCCCTCGGAGCCCGACACGGCTTACAAACAGACGCGCTGACAATGCCCCACGATTGGAACTCATTGCGTCATCGACTTTACCGTTCCACACACACGTAGCTTTCAAGACGCCATTGCAGCATGCATACAGTATTAGCTGTAATTATGAATTTGATGGGTTGTCGAGCTGTGAATCCCGGATGTGCTACTCTCGCAGCAAAGCAGCAACCGAAGTGTGAGCTTTGCAATGCCGCCTTCATGGGGGATGTGGGCAAGTGTTTCATCAAGCAGATAGCGTATGTGGTGATGCTGGGGTGGCCCGTAGTGCTTATTACAGTATCTACGTACCTGTAGTCTGACGTATCGATCTAAGGTCAGATCCCAGCAGATCCGAACTCCGATCATAAGCACCGTTGGGACGGATCCATCTTTCACTCAAGGTGTGAGACGAGGTTTGGCTATCGGGAATCAACAGCCCTTTTTCGCTGGCATTGCGCTGCTGGCTTGCAGCCACGTTTAGCCATGGGACAAGGGTACCTGCTGCCGAACCACGCATCCCAGCCCACTGGAGGCCAGCTAAGCCCCTAACGTGAAGCGGCCTAGCATTGACTTTGTGCAGCCACACCTTCCGCTTTCTCTATCGCCAGCGCGCGGCCGGTGATCCACTGGGAGATAATGATGGGATTCTTGCCAAAGTCCACTGCCAACTTTACCCCCTCCGAGCCCTTGACCATGCTCTCATTGTACATGATTATCTTGCATGCGCGGTTCTACCACAGCGTTTCTCTTGACTGGCCTCCTTGTGTTTGTATCGTGTAGACTATCCTGGATAAGCAAAACAAGAAATGAGACTCTCCTCTCTCGCCTAAGTTCATTCTTCGTCGTCGATCTCAATCTTTTCGGAGCCCAGCCGAACATACAATACCCGGGCATGGGATTGTCAACACTGTACAGATCTTGAAGGTGCTATTGGAGGTGCTCTGTCCATATCTCGATACGTTTCCGTGACTCGACTTGGTAACACATTCGTCATCGCGCCTCGAAACCCTCCCCGATCTCCTCAAATCACTGGCCAACCCAGTCCCGTATAATACTATTTAGGAGCTGAAAGGGGGTATCGAGCGAGTTGATTCGAGAGCATGACGAGCGAAAGACAACCCGGCAAGGCCGGCGGAAAGATTACGATGGTGGATGCTGAAGAGATCAGGTCACATTCTGGGGAAACGTCACCACTGCTGGGTGCAGGCGCCGGTTCAGAAGATGGTGGAAGGAGAAGTAGCCAGGAATGGGACGGTGGAGAAGACTTTAAGCATCTACCGGCGTGGCGGAGGCCATCCGTACGTTGCGACCGCTAGCCAACCGTGTTAGAAGCTTCAGGAGATCTTTGGTACTGACCCGACGGACAGGTGTTATGGCTCATCGGGCCTTATTTTCTCTTCACGTTGGCTTTCGGCGGCGTCATTGTACCAAAACTTAACTTGTAAGTCTGCCTAAGGTTGCAGGAAGGACACCATTGACCGGGATTTAGAATTGTTGATCTTGTATGCAAAAATTATTTTGCAGATGAATCACTGAAAGATCCGGCCTTCATCTTCACCCCAGTGGTACTGGGTGGCGAGAATCCGCAATGCAAGATTCCCAAAGTGCAGAAGAATGTCTCGATATTCACACTGACTCTCAGTGTGCTCACTGGCCTATTGAGCGCTCTGACGGCCCCGAAGCTGGGTTCTCTCTCAGATCGCTATGGTCGAACACGCCTGATTACTGTGGCATCCTGCGGTGGTATCATTAACGAGATCATCACAATTCTTGCGGCCAAATATCCGAACTACATCGACTATCACTGGCTTATCCTCGGGTCTTTTTTCGACGGTATTACGGGCTCCTTCACCGCCGGCAGCATCCTCAGTTCTTCCTATACCAGCGATTGTAGTCCTCCGTCACGGCGTGGGGTTGCTATCGGCTACCTGCATGCTTGCTTATTCACTGGACTAGCATTTGGCCCCCTATTGGCTGGCTACTTCGTCAAGTACACCGGCTCACTTTTGTCCATTTTTTATGTCACGCTTGGCTGTCATATTGTCTTCATCTTCTTCATTTTGCTCGTCACGCCGGAGTCATTATCTAAGAAAAGACAGATGCTTGCCCGTGAGAAGCATCAAAATGAGCAGGAAGTCCTTGCTGAACGCTTGCGAGTTCGTCTGGGAAACATGGGACCTAAAATGGCATCGTTATTGAGTGATTCCCTTGGCGACTGGTTACCAGCTCTGGTGAGCGCAAATCCTCTGGCTCCACTGAAGTCGCTACTTCCGGGTGGGCAGGCGAATAGGTCCTTCCGTCGCAACATGATCATCTTGGCCTGCCTCGACGCTGTTATTCTGTCGGCTGCTATGGGCTCCGGCACTGTGACAATTCTCTATGTCGAGTACATGTTCAACTGGGGAAATTTCGAGGCATCACGATTCGTTTCACTCATCAGCTTCATCCGCGTCATCGTCTTGTTGGGTGTCTTTCCGCTCGTTAACTGGGTGTTCCGCATTCGTCCATTACGCCAACAGCGTCGAGCGAGCGGCTTGTCAGTACCCGAAAAGAACAACGGCGCTGACAAAGTGGACATCTGGATGCTTCGCGTTGCTATCGCCTCGGATCTCATAGGTATTTTGGGCTATGTTTTTGCACGGTCAGATGTGTTATTCGTCTTCTGTGGTGTCATTACTGCATTTGGTGGCCTCGGTGGTGCGGTTGTTCAATCAACAATCACGAAGCACGTTCCTGCCCATCGAGTAGGTGCTCTTCTGGGCGCCATCGGATTGCTTCACGGCATAGGCAGAGTCGTTGCGCCGTTGGTGTTTAATGGGTTGTACGCAGCAACAATCGAGACATATCCACAAGCATTCCTCGTGCTACTAGCCACACTGTTCGGGCTAGCTTTCATAGGTAGTATCTTTGTCAAGCCGCGCCGTAAGTCCTCCGCTTAGTTTGTGTATCGAACTCGAGCTAACCTCCTATAGTGTTCTTACAGGAAGAAGATGCGGATACATTACCACCTTCGTTATCGACCTCTGAAACGGAGGCAGACCTCAGTGCTCTTAGCGAAGAGGAAACTGTGTTGGAAGCAGAGGTGGCAGGGGAAGCCTTACCACGTGTGTAGAGCCTTGATGGTGTATGAATATTGTTTATAGAGTCAGACACTGTAGGTCGTTACTCACTAGAGTGGCGGGAAGTTTTCTTGTATTTGCAAGGCTTGGGATATAAACAATCTATATACTGAAGAGATCCATCTACCTTGGCTGAATTAAACCAAATCGAGGTATATTTTATTGCCTGTACAGCCAGCTGCTCCTCCCAAGGTTGTGTGCTTGGTCTGTTGCCAACAGGAGCAGTGCTCCACGAATACACCACCGTAAACAACGGAGGGAATTTCTGACGCAGGATTGTCGAGCGGCTTTCGTGAGTTGAAATATCTGCGCAACAGTGCAGATACTCTAGCTAACAGTATGCTCTTTCGATCATCAAAACAGGGCCATGTTTGCTATTACTGCTGCCCTCCACATTCTCCTAGGCAAACCCTGACCACACCGATCTCATAGCACGACACTGGATGGAACAACCAATAGGGAGCAGACCCGTTACTTCCGGCAGGTATCAGCGTCAATCTTCTCGGCATTTCACGACGCAGTAATACTACTAAGTCTTGTTATTTTCTTTGAGTTATCAATTGAATATAGATAATGTCTCTCTTTAGGAAGTCTATAAATATTATACTCCCTGTTTTACATGGCTGACAGGACATTTGCATCATCATTTCGCCATATCCAAATCATGTATCCTTTATCTCGCGTCGTCTCCTCGCCTTGCTGATCTGGTGGAGTGGTTACATTTTCACACTTTGAGGCAGCCGAAGCGGACCATATCTTGCAGTCATGTTATAGCTTGACCCAGGCCAACCTTAAGCTGTCCCTTTCAGGTCAAGGGGAGAGAGCCGTGCTGCTGAAAGCTGCAATGCGACGGGAATATGGCCTCAGCTAGCCTTAGCGCTCTCAGCCGCACAACAACTTCCCCCCCTTTTTTTTTCCTTCCGTTAGTGTACTCTTCAATATTGTGAATACTCAGCTCGCCACTTCGTGATCTAGACTGATGTTCTATTGGTCAGGTTTCCTGGGAAGCCAGACAATTCCACAACCTCAAGACATTCATCATTCCTCGAAGTGAGCTCTGATATGACGCTACGGTCTGCATGCCAGTCGCGGCTGCGAGTTTCAGCCATTTGCCTCGTAGTAAGAGGATGTCTCAAAACGGAAATCCCCTGATGTAAGCTTTTGGATATATAATGCTGCTGTCCTCTCGTTCTATATCTATAGCACTATCGTCTTACGCTTGCTTACCGAAAGATATACCATAACTCACACCCTTTCTCAATCCTTTAACTTCTCGCAAGCAACAAGACTGCGCACCATGTCTAGCAATAATGTAGGAAGTTTTGACCAGTTGCTAAGCGACGAACTTCACTCCGAGCGAACATTACCCCTGCTTAGCTACTTTGTCCAGTACAGACAGAGTAATAAGAGTGCGACAGCAATCTTTCACGAGGTCAAGTCTCTTGTCGGCACAGCTGCACGCCCCATTCCTGATGAGTTACCTGACGAGAGCGAGCCACTCGCAGCTTCACTCATCAATCTCATCGATAATGGTCCTGGTAAAAGTCCCCATGACAAGATTCCTGGAAGCCCAACTGTAAGTAGCCACCCCAAATATCTATCTGGGGTCTTTCGCTGACACTCCTCAGGTTACCATCATAGGGGCTGGCACCTCCGGACTTTGCGCTGGCTATGAGCTTAAGAAAGCTGGTTTTGACGTGACTATCCTGGAAGCATCTTCCAGGGTAGGTGGAAGAGTCAAGACGTTTCGCGAACCAACCTTTGCTCATGGATTACATGGCGAAGGGGGCGCCATGCGGATCCCTAAAAACCACTTCTTGCTGCACAAGTACATCAAGGATTTTGGCCTCGCGCCTCAGCTGTTTGACTTTGAGATGCAGAACAAATTCATCTACATATCTGGTTATGGCAAGACCTTGACGTATGACAAGTTCAACCAGCTCCTCAAAGACGAAGATCCAGATCTTTTGAAGTTATTCCCTGGGCTGAAGGATAATGAGAAGAAGAAGACTGTGAGCGAATTTCGGACTTGTTCACTCCATTTTCAGCATCCTTATGGGGGCGTATTCTGCCTACTAAATGCTTTGAGTTCTTGATGACTCTTTCGCGTTACTCCCGAATACCTTTCGATCTATTATAAAGAGGTAATGACTAACTGCGAATGTTGTAGTGCGATGATCTTTTCACGGATGCTGTTGACAAGGTTGTAAAAGATTTCTGGGACGCGTACGACCAACATGCCGGTACCAAAGATGTGGACCCAGAACACATCGACACGAGTGCCGTCGTAGCGGCCTACAAACAGATCACGCAGGACTATGACAAGTACTCATTACGGTCGTACCTAACCGACGTGGCCGGCTGGAGTGAGGACGCCATCAATCTCTACGACCTGGGAAACGCACACGTCGTCTTTGAGAATGGCTTCATCGAGTCGTTCAAGGACGCCTTCCTCTCCAGCAACAAAGGCGGCAAGCAGGCCGGTATGCAACAACTTCAGGGAGGCATGGATCTAGTGCCGGATGGATTTGTCTCGACAGACAGAGGTGAATGTGTGTGAAGCACCTGACCCCTTACCTTAGATGGACTGCCGCTGACAATTCTAAAAGACTCTCTTATTGATAACATCACCTTTGGCGCCCGGGTCAGTGAGATTGGGCTCGACGAGAGACCAGATCCACATATACCAACCAAAGCATTCACGAGGGTAGTCTACGAGATTGTCGGAACAGGACGTAAGAGGACCGTCACCTCAGACTACCTTGTGCTCGCCATCCCCTACACGTCACTTCGATCCATCGCCAAGGCCAGATCGTTTGACCCGAAACAGGAGATGGCGATCCGCGACGTCCGTTACGTCGAAGTCACCAAGGTCCTCCTCCAATACAAAAAGCGCTGGTGGGAGGACATCTTCGCACAATCCGGCCAGGGCCTCGACGGCGGCCTCGTCAGCGACCTACCCATCCGCTACACCATGTTTCCAAAGACGGAGAAGAACGAGCAGTTTCTTCACTCCAAGCGCGGTGTGATCATGGCGGCCTACACATTTGAGCAGGACGCCACTATTTTAGGAGCACTTACGCCGGAGCGCAGGATCCAGATCGCCGCGGAGAACCTCGACAGGATCTTCCCCCAGGCCAACTCTTTGGAGCTGCTAGAGGCGGGGGCGTCACAGGTCTTCCCGGCCGACGAGCTGGCCGGCGGTAGTGCCTTCTGCTACTTCGGCCCGCTGCAGAAGTCGGTCTTCTTGGAGACGATGCAAGCACCGGACTGGGACAACCGCGTGTTCTTTGCTGGCGAGCAGGTCAGCTTTACGCACGGATGGATACATGGTGCGTTCGAGGCAGGCTTGAGATGTGTTCAGCAGATCTGGGCTGAAGCTAGCAAGGTGAAAGCCCAGTAGATATTATGTTGAATAGACAGTCTAGCCTTGTGGAAGCACGACTATAACGCTTGTAATACAGTTGTTCCATCGCACCCCACACCTAAAGCGATTCATCAAGTCGAAGTCAAACAGTTGCATGATGGCCTACTAGGAGGCGAACTAGAAGCTACCTAGAGCAGTGAAAATAACGGCAGCTTTGAACTGTTAATAGCGAACTCGCACGGCGTTTGTCGTGTGAGGATTATCAGAAATCGATGCTAGTATAGTAGGCTTCTACTGCAGCATGCATATGGATGGAATGATTGCCTTGCAAAGTCATAGATTTACTCAACTTTATGCCAACATATATTAATGGCAGTAGGCTAACGTTAAAACATCCATGTCCTGGTGGGTGTTTGATATACAGCTGTACAACGTAAATGGTGTGCTTTTGTAGCTCATGACAATACCGCCAAATGTCGTTCATGCGATGGCTTGATGGTGTGGTAGGCTATGGTTGCACTGAATGTGATGGGAGTGTCAGGAGAATTCAAGACATGTTGTTCTCGATTGTGTTCCCTGACATCCCTGCGTCTCTGTCTTTGCTTGACCCCTTTCGGGTTCTTGGAGAGATATTCTAGAGGACAGCTCGGGTGCGTCTTCTTTCTTGGTGAAACAGCCTCTGAGTAAGTCATGTTGCCCCTGGGGATATTAGATGCCAGCCCTGCTCCAGTTGTGGTGACGCCGAATTGCGGGAACTCAGATCCCGGAAAGCCAAGCGAGAGCGCTGGCTTACTTCTCTCGTGCGAGATACGATGTCTATCAATCCCACCTCTCTCAAATAAATGACAAACCACGACCCTCATTTCGCTCTGCTCACACTCGTCGTATATGGACCTCGACCTTTGCAATCGTTTGAGTCTCCTTTTCCGGGCAAGATATAGCTTATGCGGAAGGTCGCAAGTGCGAAAGGCCTGTACCTCGAACTGTTTGTCATGAAGACACGTCACGGAGAAGATGAACAGGTCATCAGCTTCCTCCCAGCACCGGGACATGATCTGGTATTCGCATTTGCTCCCATGGATGAAGGAACCAACGTGGTTCTCATATGGTAGGTCAATGCGCCGCTGTAGGGTAGTTTCTGGTCTGATCCCGGATCGGCAGATAGGTGAATGCTGCGCTCCGGTGGGTGGCCTTGAGACTTGGAGGTTTTCAGAAGTTACAAGTGTATTCATAGTGCACTGGACCGTGGAGCGTATGTAGAGTAGAAAGAATTGTAATTATTTAATTTGGTCTGAACATAACTGATATATGATTGTGTAATTGTTTTGACAATCTCTGCTGCCGGCATGTTGATGAAGCATTGAGAGCTGCCAGATACCAATATATATATACATGAGAGTCGTAAGAACTTTTGACTCATTATATCGTGCTTGATGCCTTAGAACACGCACATAGCAAAACGAATCCCGTCATTTGAGCTCCAGTGGCAGATAATAGGCCTCATTGCGTCTCAATAGGGCAAAGCGTCTTTTAGTGGACATCACACCATTTCAGAACCTCAACTTGTACAAACTCCGAAGACTAAACTTAGCCCGAAGGATAGCTGATGTTTCGGGTCATTTGCCGTACAAGAAACATGGCTCACAAGAAGCAAGCTTACAGGGATGACCTATAAACCGATCGAGTGTGGAGCTAGTTCTTACTCATACGACAAATGAGCCTGTCTTCATGCAACCCGATTTGTACTGCAGCCGTGGCGGGAACATCCATGTCTAAGCCCTATGGTTAACCTGCAGTTGATCTTACGGTTTAAGACTGGTCCGGGCCCGCGCAGCCTGACCCTTGACGAGAACCATTGCAGGGTCCCCAGCAGCAACCTCCCCTTTATGATTGAGAGGAACCTAAAGTTGAAAGCGTTTGCAACAAGCGCCACGGCTAGTTATCACTGCAATGGTATCCAGCGGGTCGCTGAGGCCAATAAGCTCAACTCCGCCTGTCGCAAAGTAGTGTTCGGCAGCGTTGTGCATCGACCATGACAAACATGAGACGCAAGATCATGTCATAAAGGGCCTCAGTGGGCTCGCAAGGCTCGGTTCTGTTCCTGATGTGCATCAGATGGTACTCACCGAGATGTGCTTCAGCTGAAAGCGGCCTAAAATGGCCTCAATAAAAATGGCCTCAGTAATAAAGGCCTCAATCACGATTGAAACAGGATTTAATGGGCCTCAAATAGCCCCAGCCCCATCTTCAGAGTGGTAAGATTAGCGATCCTTACATTGATTGGCGGCCTCAAGCAGGGGCAGTAACTTGGAACAACTCTTGTGCACTTACAGTTGGTTGAACAATAGTAGTTGCCTATCGAGGTCCTATTGAGCACTCGCTGGCCAATAAGACAGTTCCTGAACCATACCTACGACGCATACCTTAACGAAGGATGGCAACACTAATGCCAACTGTGATTGACAGTTTAGTACCTTCGTGTGATAATGCCGACATGGCTGAAGGCTACACCTTGATGGAATGGGTGAGATTGTTTCAATAATAGACGAGACGCGACCGTTGGGGCTTTCCGCGGGGCCATGTCAATTTCCACATTCACCGAAGCGATCATCATAATGTTAGCCCAGAAATCAAAAAGAGCTGCAGCCTATTTCTTGAATATAAGGTATGCTGAATCTCCTTGCACCCTGACATGAGATATACCTGCATTTATGGAGTTTTGTTCCAGTGGTAGCTTATTTCGTGATTTAGCGCTTTCGGACTGCAGTAACCTAGTAGACTTCATGTCCTAGCGCTGATGTCGTGGGATATAGACTAGACTACCTAGCCTAGATCATACTTGCAGTGGAGCTTGGGCACCTTTGCTGGTGGGGCTCAGGTTTGAGTTTGGGGGTGGGGGAATAGGAAATGTATACTCTGTAAGGTGCTCGTCTTCTTCGTTTGGGAGAAAACATGCTAATATTCTAACAGATAGGTAGCGATTTCAATGAGAGAATTGTGTTATCAATTGATTGAAGAGTAACTCTTGCGCTCTAATGGTCTATGCTTGAACGATACTTGCAGCTGTATTTTGTGGTACATAGCCGACGCTACGCACCAAGCATCAAGAGAATGGTCGTTGGATCGTGGTTTGGCGACTTGTCCAAGATGATTTGGTAGTCTATGCAAACACTGTTGGTCACAGGACTGTATAGTGCGTGTGTGCAATAGGAGATACAATTATCGACAATTGTAAGTAAAGTATCTGAGGGCTTGCTAGCCAAATCAAAACGAGTGTGGTGTTGGACAGATAACTAATAACGAGTGCAGGATAAAGGAAAAGGGAAACAGAAGAAGAAGAAAGCAGAAAGATGAATATGCAAATTGTCCCTGTTCAGTTGAATGAACGAAAATTGGAGACACTGGTGCTTCTTTGGTCGCTTGAGCGTCAAGTCCTCCAGCACGAACCCATCAAACATTGTTGAAATGCTTGATAAATGTCCCAACCCCTTTCAAAAACAAGAATAACTTTCAAGGACAAGATCCTCCCCAGTCGTGTTCGCGTGACTATCATGACCTGTTGTGCTGACCGGTGATATGGATGCCAGCAGCCGCGCTGCTATTGTTCTCTGCCACCTAACTATTCAAGCAGGTAACTCAGTTCCAGGTACCCTGAGTGGTCGGCCGCAACCGTTTGAGAACGTGGGCGGCCAGCCTTGCCATGAAAGCCGACGTTGCATGGGACGATATGCACCAGATGACGTTCCTTGCTGCTGCTCAGATGCGAGCATATGCAAGCATATGATACGTCGCTTTCGTCGTTCTTGCATGTTAGAACATGGCGCTTGTAATTGTCCTTCCGCGTATTCGAGTATCCACACTTGCACATGAAGTATGGACCGTCGCTGGTATGCTTGGTTTGTACGTGCCGTTTCAAATCATTACTCTTGTTGAAGCGCTTGGCACAATCAGGGCAAGGGAATTTCGATGCCCCTTGACCGGAAGGACTAGCAGGATGCGGTGCAGTAACTGTGGAAGGTTCACTTGCCAATGAAGGAGTCCCTTCGCGGTACGGCACTTGATATGGGGCCGCAAAAGTTGGAGTGAGCTGCGCCTGTTGAAAGTACGCTGCTTCTGGATTTACAAGGGGGTGAACATTCAAATGAGCATTCCTGGGGTTGATGTTCGTCTCATGCAAATTTTGACCATTCAGAAGCTCCGTATTTTGGTGCGGACTAGTGATCTGGTACCGAAAGGGAAATGTTGACGTTCTGTCCGGAATCCCATAGGGTATCCCAGCGAGATCGGCCACCTGGGCGTCCTGAGGTGGCCGGGCTTGCTCGGCTGAGCCCGGGCCTGAGTAACCATCGTATTGCGACCACAACTCGTCCCTGGAGACTTGCGGGTCAAATGCAAGATTGTAGTTTTCCGCTATCACAGGTTCTTGAAAGAATGAATCCACATCTATGTCCTCCAGATTAAGTGAAGGGTCCCACAGAGCTGTCTCCTTCTCGGAGGGGAACGACGCTGGGGACATCCTGGTATCCGTCGGGAGTTGACGCTATCTTATTCTATTATTGCTGCCATTCGAATCCCTTTCGGGCTATTGGAGCTTCTTGCAGGCCTTTGGCGGGGTGCAGGCGTTGCGACCGGTTGCTTTCGAACGCGAACGCGGGGCGGTGTTCGACCAGCAGGTTGTGGAACAGCGCAGTTACTCCGTTCAGTAGTGTCTGGGCCGAGACGAGAACCAGGTTCCTGCCAGCGTCCTCCAGTTAATAACCTTAAACCTTACATGAACTGCATGTTTCTCGGAGAGCAAACATCTGCAACAGAGCACCATATGGTATAATAACTTACCAGGATGTACATTGATGTCAAGCACCAGTTTTAAGACGGAATACCAAGCACCACAGCCTATTTTTGTGCGTAGCGTGCTGGGAGACGGTATTGATGTAGAGTGACAGCTAGTTTGTGCTCGACAAGACACAATGTCGTTGACTGTTTTGAAACAAAGACAAGTCCAGAAGGATGTAAACGGCATTGTAGAGGGGCGAACGCCAGTAATGATTTGAATGAGGCGCGAGGAGGCCCATTTTGGTCACATTGTGTGGGTGGATGAGTGTTGAGCAGTGTTGAGCCGCCTGGGGATCTTTTGCGCTCGACGTCCTCATTGCGCATGTGCTCCAGATAAACCTGGGGGATATTAGATGCATGCATCTGTTCGGTACGTCGAGTCCATAATTCCAATCAAGGCCCGTTGAAACAATCATTTCAAGTCCGTGTCCATTCCTTTCGCTCGGTCGGACTATTCTGCACTCAGTGACATGATGTAGTTTGTATAAGTTCCTAAAAGTTTACAGCGAAGCTGCAGTGGCGGTCCAATAGATGCTCCGGTAGGGGTGTCACGGTGGCGAATCCAGCGTCTGACAGACGACGCTCGCTTGGGTCGATATCAATCATCACAGGGCCAAGAAGTTATGCGTTTTAATAAAAGGGGGTCAAGCTAGAAAGAAGGCAATTATAGGTATATGGTTCGCGCACAATCCGAGAAATTCTTGGAGCAGATAGCGATACCATCACTGATCGGTGCAAAAGCACTTGTATATCCCCGTGTTTACGTTCATGAAGATTCAACATGATTATTCATGCGATCCTACGTCCAGCGAACCAAGAAACGCTTTTGGGGCTCTTGGAGAACATAAGGGGTTGTAACATACAAACGATCCATAACCACACCGTGTGGTGGGCGCAATCGGCAAACAAAACGCATTCACACTTTCCGATGGGGCTATCCACTGAGAAATAGTATATGCCCACTATCTTGCCGTTTCGGACGCTGAATATAATCGCATGAGATCTATCATTGCCATATCTTTACCGCAATCAAGAACAATGACGTGATTCTTCCATGGGACGCGTGTCCGCATTCTACGATCAGGGAGTTTCGAGCAACAATGAACGCAAAGACGACTTAATTCATTGGTCGCCAATGGTCGCAATTTTTATATTTCGATGGAAAATGGTCGTTTACGGCCCCAGCTTCTTGCCAAGTGGGTTAAGATGCTGTTTGCGCGATGCGAACTCTACCAGTGCTACTTGAGGTTGTGTGCGAGCAGCAGGGGTATCTGGGCCCGTATCACGTATCCACTTACTGAACTCCCAAGTAATTACAGTTGCCATCACGCTAGTGACAGAGCCAAGTGCGGCTAAGTAAATGCCCTCCGCCAGTATCATTAATCCAGTTGACACAACTACAATATTCCCCAAGTACTCAGCCACAGCACTCATGCCAAGCACAAAACTGTCGGTTCGCCTTACAAGGCGCTTTCTATACCGTGGGCTGATTTGGGTTGTTGAGACCCATACGACAGTCGATTTCTCCTCGGATTGTCACACAGAGAGAATCAATCTCGAATTCACGAGTCATAGAAACCGACTGGCAACACGTCTTGTAAGCTCCGTGTCAGTATACGTTTCATCTTTGTCAGATCAGTTCTTGCAAGAATCCCTCAGCACTGGGAGTGTAACCGTCCAAGTTAGCACATCCTGGCTGGCTTTGCAGCAGCTCAGCGTATTCAAACTGGTCGTTGGTCTAACCTAACGTTAAACGGTTCGAGCCGATCATGTACTCGCATGCCATAGGTGCCTGGGTACCCAAGTTTCGACTGCGTGCATCAATACGTACCCGCCAGCTACTAAAAGCCTCTCATTGAAAAGGTATACTGCATGATGTGCAAACTTATGCAGAGTGCAGTCAGTATTACAACAGGGGTCAGGTTCGGCGTCCCTTTTCTACATTTCAAAGCTCTCATTTAGAGTACAGTGGAGTCTCTGCACAATTCAGAAAGGTCTAACCTAGCCAACAAACAAGGACGGTAAGATAGGGCGTGGAGCTATAAAAGCCACCGCCACGTTAAACAACCTCGCTACTGAGTAAGAAGCATCTAATAATCTTTTGGTACGGTAAGACGTCTACTAGCTCATAAAGTATTCTAGTGCTACGCGTATGAGCAAGAGATTCTCTTATCGGCGTAATAATGAGAAGCATCATAACATTGATAGTGATATAATGGGCCGGCCTGCCGATCCTGTGGAGGAAAGCCATAAGCTGGAAAGGCATGCCGATGTGCTGTAAGGGATTCGTGAGGTGGTTTGCCCTCGTAAGGATGAAAAAGACGCGCGTAGGCTGCGAAAGCGAAAAGGCTCTGATCCGTTACCTATCACTGTTCGCGCCTTCTGTCCCGGGCATCACGGTGATGTCTCAGCAGGTTTTTCCGAGAGCCAACCAATACAACTTGATCACCCGATACCAGAAAATAAGGGCCCAAAAAAGCTACAGCCGTTAGTAGATGACGCTTGAATGGGTTGAAGTTAACATGTCTTTCGTGCCTATGTATAGAGTTGCTTTAGGAGGTTACTTGGCGTAAAGCCTAGCATTCCGAACATGACCTGCGCACTGCTCTATCGACTACCCATGGCTTTGAGACAGAACTTTATTAAATGTTCGAAGTTTGTCCAAAAGACGCTATCGTTGCTTTTGCGCTATGACTTCATATATTTCTTGACCTGTCCAGAGAACTCCTTATGGTGTTATGAAGTCTGACTTCACGCCGACATCTTCACATATCTGTCCAACTCGTTTGGAGTAGTGAAATGTAACATTATCTAACATGAGTACGGCCTTAGGCTCCAGCCGTTTGCCGTATTGATATAGTAGTTAGTTAATAAAGTCTTCAAACACAGCCTTATCCACTGATCCGTATAAGAAGCGGGAAAGGTTACACCTTCTTGTGTGTATACTGCAAACATTGACAGTCTACCCTCAGGTCGAAACTTGGCCTTCTAAACAGGAGTGGCACCCGTTTCTGGTCAGCCTCTTGCTGGTGTGTATTGTCTTTCCTGGCATGGAAAGAATGGGTGAAATTGATTGTCGGCGATACGCTCATGAGCGCTTTGATAGCCCGAGCGACCCGAGAAACCCATCGGCACCGGAATGCTTTCCGAACAATACCTACACCCAGTCGGGAATTGTTGCGCATCGTGCCATCCCGGGGATGCTCGACTCATTGCCCTACGTGACTGTTCATAGACGTGTTCCTTGCGCGCCAGAGCCTTATCCGCAAAACTCCGATCAACGTCCCTTGGACCGATCAATGTTTTGAATGCGTAAGAGGGCAGACCTTGGCTGCAGCGTCGCCAAAAACGTTCTCGGAACTCTCTGTAGCGTTCACCGAGCATCTCCCGCACAAATAGTTCGCGGGCCTCCCTGTGTACGTGCTCAATTTTCGCCACTTTCACTGGGTCCCTCGAAGCTGATTGTGGCCACACGATATTTGCCACTTCCAGGATGTTCTCTGCCCAAGCGCTGTCAAGATACTCTGTTCGAAGCTGCATGTGATCGTGGCCTCTCTTGGTCTCGAAAACACCTCTGCCATCACGATCTTTCCATGGCCCGGGAAGGCACAGCCGGCATATAGGCTGCCAATCCACATTTGTGATATATCGAAGTCTCGTACGGTTACATTGAAGACAAGATGAGGGCGTAACTCCGCCTTCAGGCTTAGTCAAAGGTACACGTGCCTCGAGGGCACTGAGCGGATCAAACCTCCACTCTTCCATGCTGAGACGCGAGAGAGTTGATGCTATATCGCTCTTCCCTGGATAGCGAGGTAGAAATCCCTTCAACGGTCTTACATCGATCATTTGTAATGAATGGCCACAATCTTCAAATCGCTGAGGCCCGCAAAGCAAGCAATGCAGATGACCATTTTTGTGTGGGCTATGACGATGCTGCTGAGACTCCGGGAGCATGTGGTTCTTCAATTGCCATTTAAAGGCACACGAATAACCTAGAATATGACCGCACGGCAGGACACAAGTCTCCTCCAAGTCATGTGCGTCGTAAAAATCTGGGAGCGATTTTGGGACGCTGGATGTTCTCACTCCTTCGTCGGCCATCTCATCCGTTCCTGGTCTATGTGACTGGGTTTTGGATTGCATCCCTGCAACTAGCTTGCCAACGCTGTCTGAAATGTCAAGCATCTTCATGCATATAGTACAGTGGAAGTCGAAGGGCTGATTGGCTTGTCGCGGACTTTGTAGGAGTTCGAGCACATTTGGTAGAAAGCTTTCCATGTCGGAGTAGGATGGCGTTTCCTTGACTTGACCGTGGGCCACTGCTGGTAAAGACTCCTGCCGGCCCGATGGAGGAACATCGTGGTCGAGTTCTGTATTTGTGGTAGACATAACCTGCGAAATGGTCGTGTACCAATCAGAGAAAATATTAGAAAAAGACATGGCCGTATATGAACGCGGTCTGAGGTTCGGTTACAATGCAACATGGCAGTTGTGATACTCTCCGTTGATCGAAGCTCTTCTCATGGTAGGTCGCCGCTACAGTCTTGTGTGAGAATTTTGCTCTGCAGAATGCAAAAATGGGTGTGATTTTATTTTACTTGATATGCACTTCTGAGGCTACATGCGCATGTTCGCTTGTTTTCTCCTGCCCGTGAGAAGGTTTGTGGTCCACATTGCAAAGAAGGGGGCCTTGGCTATATCCCTCGTAAATCTGTCATGCAGCGCAAAATTTTGGGGATTTCGAGTCCCGTTTGCACGCTGAGAACTAGCATAATGGTTTTGTGGCTGTGAGGTGTACTGATAATTGGGTAGCCAGGCTTGCGGCTGTACCTGTAGTGATTCAATATGGCCGTGAGGATATCTTCATAGTGGTATGAGATGCATGGTTCTGCTGGTGTCGCGCACTATGGGCTCGTCGTGGGCTGGTAGATGGAGGCAATATCTATAGCCACCAACTAGTACTTGCCTTGAAATCTATATGGGACAATGGTGCATTCTTTGTCCCCTGTGTATCGCCAGACCGAAACATAGATGGAGCAGGAGATGGATAGGATCAATGTGCGCTGATTCAAGTACGTTGTAACTTAATATACTGGGGCACTCCTCGTTTTCTGGTAAGTCAAGAGGGTGACATAGAACTACCTTGACCGAATCTGGAGACGGCTCTTAGGTTTCTGAATCTACAAATCTGGTCGTATGCGTACTCAGATCGGCGGTTTGAATATGAGTGCCCCTTTCCAGTGCAACGGACCTCAGATCTAGGACCAAGCATACATCAGGATTGTAGTCCGTCTCTAGCTATGCCTACGCATCGTTTTGGTGGCCACACAAAGTGCTAGCTTATCATAGATATAAAGATCCCAGGCTGGTATTGCCGAAGTCACTAAGATAAGACTTGCGCGCGGTGGACAGATTAAGCGTACGTCACACTCCGTTTGGAAGGAAGTAGTTGAAGTAGTACTAGTAATTGTATCAAGCGAGAAATGAATCCTCTTTCATGTTGATATGCCCGTGGAAATTAACTTATATCTGTCAAGAAATAATCCGCGGCGGGCTATGGTCGCGCGTGTGAGACTAACGCTGGGTGACTTGACTTGAGTTAGTGGACCCCACACATGCCTTGCACTTTACACGACGCGACGCGTCCCAGAATCTCGACCATCATCCCACTTGACTAAGTTAGTTGTTCGGACCGTGTCTTTTGCATGAATTGTGCTTAATTGACTGCCACATTCATGACTCTTTGGATTCTATAGTCACGACGTCGGAAACAACTCAAGCCATTTTCTCCACCATGCTTACCGCATCGTCTCCAGTCGTCTATCCTCCCAGCTCTTCTCCCCCAGCAGCGAAGCGACCGAACCCATACCTCGAACAGAAGACGCGAGCCCGTGGTAAAGCTGGCTTTCTACTGGACGATGACTCAGATGAAGAAGATGCCCTGCTGAGTGAGCCAACTGCTAAAAGGCGCATGTTGAGCAGCCCGAGCGAAGATGTCACAGCCGAATCAACACAACCATCATCACCGCCCGCACAATTAGTACCCGAAGTAGCTGGGTTGAACAAGGCAGCGTCTCGGTTACGAGATGCCGAAGAGACACAAAACGACAATAGCGGAAGCTTATACGGCAATGTTTCGATTGATCAGCTGTTGAAGGCGAGCAGCAACCTGTCAACAACATTCCAGAAACCCGCCTCAAGACAGTCGCAATCGCCTTTTCTGATCACCACGACTACAGGAAAAACCGTGAATGTGAACCAGAGAAAGGCAGCAACAGTCCCGTCATACGAACGCATGGTGGCTGCTCGATCCAAGACGAAAGATGGACGCGCGAAGCGCGCATACTACGGTATAGAGGTTCACGAGCTGGTGGAAGCCGCGAGGCAGGAGATCGAGGCCAGCAAAGCAACCAGAGAGATAGCACCAGACCAGCCCATGCCCTCTGTAGAAGCGCCGACCACCAAGAACTCAAAGAAGTCCTTGCTCTGGACCGAAAAGTACCGAGCTCGCAAGTTCATTGACCTATGTGGAGATGATGGCACCAACCGCAATGTGCTGCGATGGCTGAAGCGCTGGGATCCTCTCGTGTTTCCCGGCGCCACCAGATTCAGACCTTCGGGTCGGAGGCCCGCCGTGGACGAAGAAGAGAAGCCACACCGCAAAATCCTTATGCTCACGGGCCCGCCAGGTCTAGGCAAGACAACATTGGCTCATGTTTGCGCCAAGCAAGCGGGATATGAAGTTTTGGAGATCAATGCTAGTGATGATCGAAGCAAGGATGTGGTCAAGAACCAGATTCGTACCAGCTTGGGAACCGAGAGTGTCAAAACAGTGCAACACAAGAAGACGGAGCCAGGCCAGCAACCAAAGATCGCACGCCCGGTTTGTGTTGTCGTTGACGAGGTCGATGGTGTTGTGTCTGGGTCGGGAGGGTCCGGAGACGGTGGTTTCATCAAAGCACTAATGGACCTGATCAGCCTGGGCGAGAGGAACAGTTCTGGACAGGACACGCAACAAGCGCACCGCAAACAGAGGAAGACGGACGACTTTCGTCAAATGCGTCCGTTAATTTTGATCTGCAACGATGTTTACCATCCTTCGCTAAGACCACTTCGCCAATCCAGCCTGGCAGAAGTGATACACGTAGGAAAGCCCACTATTGATTCGGTTGTCAATCGGCTCAAGGGTGTTTTTGAAAAGGAAGGTATCCCTTGCGAAAAGGACGCCGCCCGTAAACTGTGCGAGGCGGCTTGGGGAATGAGCAGCGGCATGGACGCCCGAAGAGGTGCACAGAACAACGCAGAGGGTGATCTCAGGGGTATCATGGTCGTTGGCGAGTGGGTAGCAGGTCGACTGAGAGCTGCATCACTGCAGGGTCAGCTTCGCCTGACCCGCCAATGGCTTGAACACAATATTGTTCGTGACCTTGCGCACGGAGGCGGAGGAGCACGTGGAATCGGTAGAGGAAGTACGAAAGACATTGTCACTCGAATTTTCCAAGAAGGAGCAGGTTTTCCCAAGGGTAGCCTACCAGTTGCTCAGGCCGCAGCTCCTCTGGGCGAACAACCGCAAGCTCAGCTCAAATTTTCCGAGCAAACCAAGAAATACGCCATGGAGCGCTTGCGAGAGATGATCGAGACTAGCGGCGACGTTGACCGTATCGTGGGCGACATTTTCTCGGAATACCCGAACCACGAACTCAACGATGATTTCTTCCTTACGAAGCCAAATCAGGCATACGACTGGATGCACTTTCATGATGCATGTTCGACACGATTATTTAGTAGTCAGGAATGGGAACTTGCGCCATACATCAGCCAGCCCGTATTGGCTTGCCACCACTTGTTCGCAACGCCAACACGGCACTCCCAGCTGATGTATCAGAAACGCGGCCAGGAAGAAGATGAGGCACCTCCTTTACCATTCTCCGGCCCGCGTGCAGACTTTGAAGCCCGTGAGGCCGAGAAGGCTAACCGTGTGATGCTTCAAGCTTTACATACCCAACTGTCGCCATCCCTAATGCGTTCATTCCGTAGCGCTGAAGATATCGCCACTGATTTCATCCCATACCTGATTCGGCTTGTGTCTCCAAATGTCAAGCCAGTTGTCGTTGGTGGTAGTGGCGACCAGAAAGGCACAGCCAGTGTTAGGCAAGAATCGGAGAAATTGATGGTCAAGCGCGCAGCAGACACGCTACTAGATGTAGGCATCGCCCTTCAACGCGGCAAGATTGAGGGTGATGCTTTCAGTAGACCGACTTGGGTGTATCGCATGGAACCGTTAGTCCACCATATTTGCCGATATTAGTCTTTTAGTTACTGACATGGAATAGTGATCTCGATGCGCTGTCTACATTCGAAACCTCGGCAGCCGTCGTCCACGGCACTCATGCGCCAGTTCGGTATGCTGTTCGTCAGGTGGTTGACCAAGAGATGTACAAAGCGGCTATATTGCGTGACAACACAGCAAGACAAGCGCGCTTCCGAGCCGGAAACCCAGATGATCAAGAAGACTTCGTTTTCAACAATCAAGAGAACACAAAAGTCAAGGTACCACAGCTGCCGGCTATTCCTGTCAAGAAGGACTTTTTCGGCAGGGTCATCAAGGCGGTTCCTAAGCCACTGCAAGAAACAGATGGTAATGGCGGAAAGCGACCAAAACAAGACGAGGCGTCTGAGAAGGGAGAACAAAAGGTTTGGGTAACGTTCCACGAAGGTTTGAATAATGCTGTTAGGAAACCCATATCATTGGAGGAGTTGCTACGAGGTCTATAATGAATGAGTGTTGTTTCTGTGTTAGTGGGTAAGGATGTACATGATGGCGGTTCTTCTATACAGCATTAGCAATGGCGTAACATTTATTTTCGGTCTGTGACTGACTCCAATCTCTGAGACTCCGGAGCAAATGCCGAGTTTAGTGAGTATAATCGTAGTAACTCATGAAATTGTGCCATCTACGTGAATATAGGAGACCTCTGCTCACGTAGTAATCGCGTCTTGGACCCACCACGTCATCGCATGGATTCGGTCTCCACTACCACCAACGTACAGCTTTCTCGACGTCTTACTCACTTGATGAAGCGCAACGCGGCGATCATGATAAGAAGGGTGTCCCAACTTTCACTCAATCTTTTTACTATTTTGACAAAGCGAAACATGAGTTCAAAACCCGACGGTCCGATCCGCTTCGGACCTTTCGAGGTTACATCACAGGTAAGTCTTCGTATTTCATCGGAGCCGACGCGAGACTTTATCTGGGGAACGACGCGGATTTAACATGCAGCTACACACTATACTTCTGCCCCGCCTATGTTCCTAGTACGCTATACACACCAGACCCCCATTATGTTGACATGGCCTTCCCAGGTCTTCCTCACAACACCACACTCGTTCGCTCTGGTGAACCTCAAGCCCCTCATCCCAGGCCACGTCCTCGTCGTCCCGCACAGGCCCTACAAGCGGCTGACGGAACTGTCGGGCCCGGAGCTCACGGACCTGTTCCAGTCCGTCCAGCGCGTCCAGCGCATGCTGGCCCGGCACTACTTTCGCCGTGTGGAAGGGTCCTCGCCCGCCGCCACCAGCCCCTCCGAGCTAGGGCGGCGCCGAGGTCTCGATGACCGTGACCAGCCCCGAGCCCCCGCCCCCGGCACCCCCGAGGCGGGGAGCTTCAACATCGCGATCCAGGATGGCACCGAGGCCGGCCAGACCGTGCCCCACGTCCATGTCCACGTGATACCGCGCATCCGCGGCGAGACGGCCAAGCCGGATGATGGGCCGGGCGATCAGGTGTACGAGCTCATGGCGGCCGAGGAGGGCAACGTGGGGGGACACCAGTGGGATCGGTGGGCCGAGAGGAGGCCGGTGCCCGGGGGTGCGTTCCCGAGGATCGAGGATGCGGGCCGCGAGGCTAGGACGCTGGAGGAGATGGAGGAGGAGGCGGAGACGTTTAGGAGGGTTCTAAGGGAGGTGGAGGGCGACGGAGATGACCGGTAGGGGGTTGTTCCGCTGATTGGGAGATCATGTCGCATCCGGAAGGTAAAGGGGGGTTATAAGGGCCCTCCATCTTCATGTTTGTGACCGACCGTTCAGTGTTGACACTTCTGTACATTTACAATAAGCTATGGCCAGATGATTATTTCAAATAGTCTAGTTTGTCTTTCACATGTTTATTCACTCATGCATTCTCATTCATTATGCTAACATAGTAAGTTCCTCGTAAGTCTGCCACATCTCGATATATAACCTCGAAGTCTTTTGCATAATTGATTTGCAAATGATCAGGAATTAGACCTCGGAAGGCAAGGCCTAAGAGGCCACAAATAAAGTCTTGTGACAAGAAAGCATCTCTGAGACCAATGCTTCGGAATATAGATGAGAGTCGTTCTGCGTTTGATAGCCCATCATATCGTCCTGCTCTGAATTTCGACCATAGAAAGTGGTACATTGCGGTCAGAGAACAGTTCATTTCTAGCATGTCATGATGCCGAAACCAATATTCCACTCCGATCAGATGTGAGAGTTGAGTCATACGAGTTCCAGCGAGTATAACTGGGATTTTCTTCGCTAAGGCTATTTCTTGAACGACCCAAACTCTACTCCACCATGGCGAGAGATTCAAAGCTTGGATCCAGGAATGTCCCCGATTGTCCGATGGTGGTCCCCAGATCGACCAAAACTCAGAAACGGAATACTCGATGCTTGTTCTCACAAGCTCGTCCCAACCATGCATGTTGGCTAATGTGAACAACCGAACGATATCCACGTCAGCCTGTTCGTCGAACGATGCCAACCAACCGCACACTTCCGTGGCGTTGCTGTCACCCCACACGTATGACAAAGCGATGCACTCGAGCTGGTGTTGCACCTCGAAGACGTGGAGAGAGCAATGTAGCGCGCCTCTACCGTCGTCAAGCTGCAACTTGATGAGCCGGATTTACGAACCGGACAGTGGTGTGTACAGCGTGTGGTCTTCATGCTCCCCGAAGCTATCGATGGTTGGAAACTCTGACCTTTCCCATTGAACTGATTCGGACTCAAGCGTACTGCAGTGATTGACCGTGAAAAGTCAGATATGAGATGGAGAAGAGGGATGCGTCATTGCTACAACGGAGCTCTGCTGATATTGGCTGCTAGACGACGCGAGCACACAGTCGAATCAGAAGGCTATATGCAAGTCCTACGCGGCGTGCACCTCGAAATATAAAAATACCAACTGACAGCCTACTCCAAGTTTCCTTTGCTTTGCATCTGATTGTTGTCTGCAATGGATCATGTGATATGTTCCAACGAAATGCAACATTTTCTTGTTGAGAGCAGTGTTCAGTCTGATAAGTCGCCGAAAAGCAGGGGAGAATGACGCATGTTTTCACCGAATGGCAACAGGCCCTTCTAGTCTTGGCTCGGATTCTGATGGACTGCTGCTTGATCCAAATTGTGCAATTACATATGTTTTCAAAAACAAAGACAACGGCCACGGGTAAGGAATAGTGTCACAGCGTGTAGGCAGCTGTAGCGCGAATTACGAGTTGAACACAACGTAGGTGAGCCGTATGATTCGTAACATCATTTGGCGTGTAAGACCATTGCGGTCCTTCAATTGTCTTGACCTGATCTCTGGGCACCGCTCGCGCAACATGTTGCGGATTAAATCCCACCATTCGTAATCACAACTGGTCGACTCAAGTCAGACTGGGCGACTGAGGAGCAGTTTCGGTAGCTTCCGAACTTCCATGCGCAGCCGCTCGTCGGGCTTTTGCGCCAGCTCGTAGCTGGTCCCATTTCTCTCTGTACCGATCGAGATATGCACGGAGTTTGGCATTCTCTTTCTGCATATCTTCCATCTGTTTCGTGACTAGGCCTACTTGTACCTCAAGTTCCGTGTTTCTTCTCCTCAGTTGGTCGTCTCCGCCGGCGCCAGCAGTGACCCCTGACGCAATAGGTGATGTTGGCCGCATCAGTCGCATGCTCTCCGCAAGCCGCATACCTGAGTTTTGTGACATGGACTCGAAAGCGTGAAGCCTCTTGCTCAGCTTATCCAGCGCATCTTTCAAGCTTTTATTTTCGAGATACAACTCTTCCACCACATTGTTCAGCTCTCTATCAGAGCGGGTCTTTCCCGTCTTCCTTCGCATGCCGGGGGATGACGGCGCCTGAGACTCCCTGGCATCCACGAAGTCATCTTCATCCTCTTCGGCGACGTTGCTGAGCTCGCTATGAACTGACGCTTCTAGGCGGCGCTTTTCCTTGTCGGCATATGTTAAGATGCTGGCGTACGATGCCGTGTGCCCGCTCGTTGGCACAACGTAGAAAGAGTCAGTAGCGAAGCGACCATCCCGGTTCAGCGCATTCATAGCGGCCTTGGAAATGATTTTATTCAGGTTCGGTTCCACAGACACAGTTGCTGACGCCTTATGCCTAAGCCTTCGCTGTACCTGTGGCTCTGGAGCAGGCGTTGGCTCGGATGCTGGCTCTTCTGTCAGGTCCTCGTTGATGAGTGGCAGTCCGGCAAAGGCAAGTGGTGCGGATATTCTATTGATGATACTCCCAAAGGCGCTGTAAAAGTTAGAGAAGCCGCTGTCGTTGGAGGTGGCATTACTCTCGGGCGACTTGGAAATGGCCTTATCGATTTCACTTGCCCGTTGTTCGAGACTTCCTTGTCTACTGATCTTACCAGGAGAGGAAGGGCTGGGTCTGTCGGGGCCGTCAATCATGCTCTGCATCTTTGATTTTGAACCGGAGCTAGATCTTTCTGGGGTGAGGGCAAGGTTGCCCGGGACTTCAGTATTGGAGACGCTCGGGTTGAGAGGTTGCGATCTATATTTAGAGCGAGGAATTCCGCGAGCAGAGGCTAGATTACTGGCTATGGAGGCACCGAGGTCGCGTGTGGGATATCTTTGTTGCTTGGGCAGACTGGGTAGGGGCTGGGTGGCCTTTTCGGCAGAGGTCGCAGTGTTCTGTTCATCCTTGGAGCCGCCGTCCGAGGGCTCAAGCGCCGCCGTCGCTGGTATTGCGTCTCCCTTCTCACCTGCGGCCCGTGACGCATTTTCAGTAGCTTGTTGTGACTTGTTCTGTTCCAACGGTGCTCTGAGCAACTCGGATAACCGTTGATGATGCTGCTCGAGAAGCTTCAGGGTCCTCAAGGCTTCGACACTCGTGGTTGTTTTTGCGGCATTCGCGAACTCGCCTGCAGCTCGGGTATGCTCGTTTACCGCGACAGTTGAGTTGGAAGCATGTGTGGCTTCTGACGCGGCTCGCGCATGGTCATGAGCCTGCGCATTGTGTTAGTGATCTCTAGCCTGGATCCTTGAGCGTGTGGCAGCTCGTTTTACATACTCTGATCAAAGGTGAAGCCTCCATTGTGACGGGGGTTCAGGCATGCAGGGTGTGGTCATGGAATTATCTCGATCGGATTGTCGCAAGCCCAACATACATGGTAGTAGGAGGGTGCATGAGCTACTTGCGGTACCGTGATACTCTGTCGTATCTCAAGAGCCAGAAAAGCACGCTCGCTCAAATGCTTATTTGTGTAGGGTTCCAAACGTTGGTGAGGGGAGGGTTGAGGATGATCTTCATTAACCAGCATACCAAACAGACCAGAACTGTCAGCGGCAGGGTGAGCGGTCTGGAGGTATGGTGGGGGAAAGCAGATCAACAGCTATGTACATAAAAACTCAGCCTCTACTGTATCAATGATCAACGATCTGGAGAATACATAATAACAAGGCTGCTGGGGGATGTCAGATGGCTGAAGCTGAAAGTAGGAATGCTTGATCACAGAACACCCCAGAATTCTGAATTGGTGCGATAACGCGGGGTCGGCTTGTGGCATTTCTGCCCCGGAGGATTTCTCATTTAGCTCCCTCCCCTTCCCCTGTGGTATGAGAGCGGTCGCTGCAACTAGATTGGAAGCCTTACGGACTAGAAGTCACAGTAACTTTAATACTAAGTTGGACTGACTAACGGTAGATTATGTCACAACTGCATCACCCTGAGCTTAGCTAGGTACAGAGTCTAGTGTACAGCGTCACACGTTGGCGAGACTGGCTTGCCATGAGCTTAGATTATCGAACGGGGCGGACGGAAGAGTGACAGCGATGTGTTTCTAACCTAGAACAGGTCGTTTCTCAGAGCAATAACAGCGGCGTGGGAAAAGCAATCGGGTTTCGGCCGCTGCTTGCTCGCTGTGCCGTCTTTCCAGGGGCTCCAAAGCCCATCATGAGGGGCAGGGAAAGTCGCAGGGGGCATCGGTAAGAGAGCTCATGTTGATTGATCGCTCACGGCCGAAAGGTTTCGAGAGGTTTGGACGGGAGCTTATCCATCTCTGAATGATTGCCAATGTGTGACACCCAGCAGGCCTTGGTTTTCTCACTCTCTCGTTTATTGAGACTTTTGTTTCGTGCCGATTCATCAGTGATACAGTACGACACAAAAGGGCCCTGCCACCTGGTTCTGGAAACCAGGGTTGAGCAGCAGCAACTAACTTAGCTTCGCCAGCAACGATTTATGAGCCGTTTGAACCGATTCAATTCAATCGATAATGACGACACCCTGATCGCGTTCGCATTCGAGTCAAATACTGTTGCGCAACCAACACGGCCAGCTCTATAATAGTTACCAAGAACATCACAAATCGGACCCAGCTATACTACAGTACAGCAATAACCCGTCTTGTTCACGAATGGGCGAGCCTGGTACACTTGAGTGTTTCCTGGCACTTTTGAGCAAATCGCATCATGGATGACGAAGGTGGTGGACGTGGAGGCAAGGTCTCGAAACTTCTACCCAAAGGGCTTACAGCCAAAAGATGGAGAAAGCAGCCGTCGAAAGAGAGTTTTAGCTCAACCGCCAGCAGCGAGGACGCCCCTCGTGGACGAAGCCCACACAGTCGCACGGCACTTTATCATGATGATCCGTCGGATCGCCCTCTGACCTCGGAATCACAGAGCAGTGATACTAACCTGGAAGATGGCGGGCTGGAGGAGGACGGAAACGTTACCCCCATGATTGATGAGGATGACCTTCTTATGTAAGTCGAAAGTTTCTTGATTCGCACCCTCGATTGTACTACATATATGTATTGTCCCTTGTTAGTTTCAAGGATTCAATTGCATTGAACTCAACTCAAGCTTGGGAGCACTGGCTAGGAAGCCGGTAGCTTGAGCTCAGCCATGCTTTATTAGCTTGTACTCGCACCCCCCCGGTTCAAGTAATATGCAGGCTTTTGCTTGCAGGTTGAGACAATGCCACAGGCAGCAATATATTACACGGCTCTACGGAGTGCATCCTTGGAATTCCCGGGTTATGTTTGCTTGTACTCGCATTTTGTATCTCGCACAACTCGCAACAACAACGCAGAACCACGGTTACTTACTCCGCAAAAGGGGATTTGGGATTGCTTCTAATTATAAGCTTGCGCCGTCTCCATTTTTCGTATTGCAATCGGGTTTCTCGCATTCGCTGGGGGAGACTAGCATAGCGTTGTCGTCACGCTTCAGGTTCAGCCTGCACCAAGCACGGTAGCTCAGCTCCCTTCGGGGCCCAGGAGGTCCATGACAAGCCAGCTCTGACCCCTAGACTTTCACTACTTGTGGTGCTACCTACTGTTACCAGCGCCTGGCTTGGCAGCTTCCAACGTCTCTAATTACGTATCTCAAACCGCTATCCCCCTCACGGGCCTCATGGTCTGGACTACTTGACGTCCTGTCTTTGTCTTCTCGAAGAGAGGTGTATTTTACTACGGGGTCATTCCATCCCGGCCAGAGTTGTAAGCGAGTGCCTAAATTGACGACAAAATCCAGCCAAGTTGCTGCATTCTTCGTGTCCCAGACGACCTCTTTGTTACACCCAAATCCTCCCAGCAAGTAGGCTTAGCAGATCTGACATAACGGGACCCTTACAGATCACCGGTTCGGCCCACTGTCCCTTCTACACATCCTTCTCAGATAGGACATCTTACCACCTCTTCACCAATCATCCAAGCCGAGCACGCACCCGTGGTGCACAACGTCGACGAGCTGGCGGACGGCAACAGTGGTAGTTTTCACAGGTCGCAGACCTATTCTGTATCTGTTTCCTCGGACATTCCCAGCGAGCCCATCCGACAGCTTTCAGCGACCAGAACGGGATTGCAGCCCCCCGCCAGCATTGATTCCAGGCGGTCGAGATCGCCTGCTGGCAGATTCAAGGACGTCTTCAAGGGCAAGAAGAGTGCCAACAACTCGTCAACGAGCCTGAATAGCCAGTCGTCGTCTACCGGCATAGACCAGACTGACTTCGCCCCCGAGTCTGCGTCCGCATCTACGTCGAGACCTACCACCAGCTCAGCCCTCGATACAAATGACGCCAAGGTGACTTCTCCTGACAGACGCCGAACCAGGCCACAGACGACAGTCGATACATCGCGGCCCCCCAGAACACCTCCCTCAGATTCGCCCGCTCCTGCCATAGTGAACACACCCCCTACGCCGACGGACCACAGCCACTCGAGGGCTGTATCCGAGTTAGCGCCGTCTGCCAATCCCAATGGTACCGTTTCTCCGACGAGTAACATCGTATCCCACCGACGTGCCCGTTCCGCATCAGGTGCAAGCATCGGCCCGAGCAAACTAGCCAACATCACACTACCACCCCTGACGCCAACCCCGAGAACGGCCCTCTACCCACTCCTGGTGGTACCGGCTTCTTCTCGTCCATGTTCTCAGCGGCTCAGAACGCCACAAACACGTTTAGCAGCACCTTTCCCACCAGCATCGGCCTTGGGAACAAGCCCAAAACCCCTATTCCTACCAAGTCTCAGGAAGGCGACGGGGATACGACAGAGGTAGAGACGGCCACTGGACATACAGGAGAAGCAACCATGAGCGAGCCTGCAGTCAAGACGCTCGGCCAAGGCGATCTTAGTCTAAGTCACCTGGGGTTTCAGGATACTGGAAGCACGGCTCCTACACCGCAATTATCCAAGTTTCCCGACAATCTTGCGGCAGATACAAGGTCGCGGTCAGATTCGGCCCCAGATGCCCCTCACACTTCACAATCGCAGTCACAATCAGGGTTATCTACGGACGAGCTTGGTGGCCGACCACGGTCTGCCTATGAATCTGCCAGCGATCGCACGCCGCCCACTAGTGTGTTTGAAGGAAAGCCTGGCGCCCGTCGCAGTGGCAGTGTTCGTAGTACTATCGGTCGTAGAAGGAAGCGTGGCAGCACTGGAGGCACCGCTGGTACCAGTGGTACCGCTACGACCATAGGTGCTGCCATTGCAGCCGCCAATGCCAGTGTCGCCCACCCACAAGCAGCTGGAAGCGTACCGAAGCTTACAGGCTTTGCTGTGGCGAGTAAGAAACGCAATCGCGACTTTCACACCTTATTCAAGAGCGTGCCAGATGACGACTACCTGATTGAGGATTATAGTTGCGCACTGCAGAGGGAGATTTTGGCACATGGTAGACTATATGTCTCCGAAGGTCACCTGTGTTTCAGTAGCAATATTCTTGGCTGGGTGACAACTTTGGTTATGAGCTTCGATGAGATAGTATCCGTCGAGAAAAGGAGCACCGCCCTGCTCTTCAAGAACGGTCTTATGATCTCAACACTTCACGCCAAGCATGTTTTTGCGAGCTTCACGAGCCGGGACTCGACATACGATTTGATCGTCAACATTTGGAAGCTCGGCCACCCCACTCTGCGCAGTTCTCTAAACGGTGTGGTCCTTGAGGAAACTGGTGGAGACAAGACGGAGAAGGTCACTGATCTTGATCCGCCAGCTGATCATAGTGGCTCGGGCTCCGAAATTGGCGAAGAGATCGACAGCGAAGACGGCTCAGAAGACGTCTACGATGAGGATGAGGAGGGAGACGGTTCTCTCGAGGACACCACTGCCATCGAAGGCAGTCCTACCGACACGGAAATTGAGAAGACAGCCGCACGCAAGGCTTCCGGGGCGCTGACTGCCAACGGCACTTTAGATAAGCCTTTGACAGGTGCGCCTGCTCCTGCTGGTGGTATAGATTTCCCCGGTCCTGCGACGCACGCCCCAACTGACTGCGGTGACGTGACATTGCACTACGAAAGACCTTTGGGCGATGAAATCATTCCTGCGCCTTTAGGAAAAGTTTACAACTATATATTTGGGCCTGCCTCAGTTAAATTCATGGCTAACTGGCTTTCCAACGAGCAAAAATGCCTGGACCTCCAAATGGAAGACAAGATTGGATTGACACAGGATAACAAGTCGCGAAACTACACATACATCAAGCCACTAAACGCTGCGATAGGGCCAAGGCAGACTAAGTGCGTAGTCACTGAGACCCTTGAGGGCTTTGACCTCGAAAAAGCTGTCAACGTGTTGGTGGCCACGCAAACCCCCGATGTACCAAGCGGCAATGTTTTTAGCGTCAAAACAAAATACTGTCTGTCATGGGCTGAAGGAAACGCAACTCGTGTGCAAGTCAACTGCACCATCGAGTGGACTGGCAAGAGCTGGATCAAAGGTATGAAGCTTTTCCTACGAGAATGTACAACCACTAACGAGTCCCAGGTCCTATCGAAAAAGGTGCCAACGATGGGCAAATACAATACTGCAAGGATCTATTCGCTAGTCTGAAAGCGGCCATATCTTCTCGACCAGCGGTGGCTAATGGCGCGGCACAAAAGGGCAAGAAAAGGAAAGGCAAGAAGCTCCAAGACGGTCCAAGGGATCTAGTCCATACAACAGTGCCACCAATAGCCAAGAAGACAGAGGACTGGGGACTACTGCAGCCACTGCATGGCATACTGGCTCCAGTGGTGGACATCATGAAACCCATCCTTACTGGCAACGTCGTCTATGGTTTGTTGGTAGGGCTTTTGGTGGCTTCATGGTTCGGTTTCGGTTTTAATCCACGACAGAATGGCGGAGGGTATGGATCAGGTATTGGCTTCCCCGGCCATTCAGACCGGCTGATCGCATATGAAGAGGTGTGGCGCCGCGAAGAGAGTGATTTGTGGGACTGGCTCGAAGAAAGAGTTGGTCTACACCGCATGCACGACGGCGCTATACCCATCAGAAAACGTGTTTCGGATCCTCGCGCGGTTGAGGAAAGGCTTCGCGAAGAAAAGATGTCGAACCGGGAAGTCGAGGAGGCAATACGAGTGACTGAGGAGAAACTACAGTTACTAAGAGAGGTTCATCACAAAAAGAACCCCAAGATCGTGGGCCAAGACAAAAGGACCAGGCCTACAACAAGACCTGAATCAGACAGGTAGTTGGTGAGAGGAGAGAAAGATACGGCACACGTCACCGACAAAAGACGGCCATCATAATGGCAACAATCGCAGGCATAGCGTTTCCTTCTGTTTGATTATCCCATAAGCGCGCGCGCGCCAAGAATTTCGCTTTGTAGCTCTAACATGTATACCAATAATAAATACAACTATTCCAAAAATGGCTGTCCTAGGACCTCAGCTAGTCTAGACGAACAGATGACTGTGGTGTCGAGTCTTGAACGTAGGCCATCCGTTAGAGACGAGGGATTAGCTCGCAGTGTGTATACAATCTCATTTCCGACTACTAGCCACATTGAGATGTCTTATCGAACATGATCTGAAGCCCCGCCATTCCTGTTCTGGTATTTGTTGGACGGTGAAGACTGAATGTAATGTAGAATAGTGCACCAATTCGTTCACATGTCCATCGGAGTATTGGACCGCCGGTGGAGTCGCTCGACCAAAATAGGAAGTCCTGTGCCTGGGCCTTATCACGGCAACCAGCCACATACTCTACCCCATTGAGACCTTGCGCCGGCGTTCGCGGCACTGATATGTCATCGGCCTTGTGGGACTTACTGCGCCAGGCAGGTCCGAAGCGATCTGGCATCCGTTTACAATGCGGACGCGCAGCGATGTGCCACACCCTTGGAGTATATCTCCCGGGATTGTGGAGATCTCCCGTCGTCGTGGTCGTCACATACTTATGCGCTGGGTAATTTCGGTATAACCCCAAAACCGCCCCTCAATGTTGTACTCGGAGAAATATATACCGTGTATATTATAAACGCTGCCATGTCCCCCCTTGCTATTCCTAAGGCTCACAAAGTCGTAAGTAAAGCCTCTCCGCCGAGCGGCCCGCGCTTTTCTATCTTTTGTCCAACATAGGCCGCGGGCGCAATGTGGCAGCTCCCCGCCGAGGCCACGGGCGTTGCCGTTGCCGTCCTTGTGTACTCGGCTATCTGCTGGGTCTGCAACGGCCTGATGCTATGGCTCGCGTGGGTGCACAACGAGCGTCTGAGCTGTGAGTTTTTTTTGTTTGTTTGCTTTATGGACAGAAACATAGGTTTTTGCTTTGTACTTTATGACAGAAGTTGCTAATGTTTATTGGAATCTGGATAGACGTGGCCTGTATATCCTATTTCCCACTGCTGTCGACCACATTCAGCATCGTCCAGCAGCTTCATGACTATATCTGGTGGGAAGATGTCGCCGTCGCCGCCTGGGAGAACAGGGTAGCCAATGTGGGAAACCCTGTCTTGGTAATTTCCAACGGATCTCCAGGGATTGATCTAGTTTTCTTCTATATTCGTGAGTGTTATGAGCGGCTACCGATATCTCCCCACTAATATTATGTAGAGTACTACTGTTACATTGTCGAGGCGACCTTTGTTCTCTTCTGGGCTTTCTCCTTGATGGCCTCGGTATATGGCTGGTCTTCGAGGCCCCGGTGGCGCAAGACTTTTGCTTGCATCAATATTGTTGGCAAAATTGTGTCGGTGATTTTACCATTGATCACGATCTGCCTGCTGCAAGTTAAGATAATTCAAAAGAATTTTGTCGCTTTCCTTATCATAGCGGACTTCGAGTGTGAGTTTCTGGAATATTCAACTTTCTCATTGGTGTTTATTCTTAACTGATACTGTGCCAGTTATCGTGAGCTGTGGTGGAGGCGCCATTTTTCTTCTCATGATCCTAGTGCAATACGTTCGATCAAGAACCCAGTTCCAGATGTCGAGTTTCGGCTATGGTTGCAGCTCTGCCAACACCGATACCGACACCCGACGAAGCTACGTCTACCCGCGATCGAGACGGCCTCGGGGTATCTACGACAAGTGGCTAGTAGTCCGCTTTACTATCGCGTTCGTCGCTCTCGCCATCTTCGAGGCGGCCATCTCGACGTTCCAAGTCAACGGACAGCAGAACAACACTGTTGATTCCCTATCGGACCGGCCAAACGCCAGCGCAAGCACAGCCATCCGGTCATCTCTACAAGACCTGCCAGGTGTCACGGCGTCACTGATACCGTTCATCGTCTTCGGCACGACGAGACCCTTCCGGCAGAAGATCTGGGAGACGTTCGTTCCGCAGTGCCTGCGGAGAAGGCGGAGGTCTCTGAGAAGAAACACCCTTCCCTACACGAGCCGGTCGTCCGTACAGCCACAACGCCCGCTCACCGCGATCCGGGTCTCCAAGGGCGTCGACATCTCCTACAGCACAAACGAGCTGACGACGCCGACCCGGAGCTCGAGCAACTACGACAGGATATCTGATGACGAAAAGAGAATGTTACCGCCACCCCCGCCGCCCGCCAGCATACCCGGGAGGGTGCCCGCGAGGGGTCCCTGGGAGGATCGCTGGGAGCCGGACCGTAACGTGCATGGTGTGCGCTGGGAGATTTCGGCGGGCGGTCAGAAGAGCGGTGTTAGTGGTTTGCGGGGTAAATAATAACGATGATGATATTAATGATAATGATGATGCGTATACAACACATATGGCATTTAAGACGTTGCAATATACTGACTCTTGAAACCTCGGCAGGTTGCATCGTGATCAGAACGAGCTTACTGCATAGCTCATGGCGGGCAGAGTCCGGAAAATAGTCATGTGTGTTATGCCGAAGGTGATTTGCATTGGCTCTGGGAGCGATTGGACGAGGTGCTTAGGATAGGGATATACAGTAGATATAGTACCGGCATTACTGTCATGCCTGATCCGGCAGCCCGGAAACCAAGCGACCCTTGTTACCCCACGTCGAGAGTCGGTACTTGCTGTCGTTGGTGTGCAATACCGCCGAGCCCTTCCCGATTGCATAGGGCAGCTAATGCACGTCTAGCTGCATCGACATCTCGCCTGCATTATGCGTCGTCACTAAAGTCTGACGGTCATTTTGAGATACACGCTCGATATCCCGAGAACACGGTACTACTTCTTCCCACACACAAGCTAGTTTGGAAAAACATTGCGGTAAGTGAGATGTACTCAGCTTCGGTCTACTTATCTGTCGCCATGTCGGTTCCAGCTTTCCGATCATACAGAAAACACGGAGAAGTTGAAGACAGAGTACCTATGCACCACGGGACCCACCTTCCATATCGGGGCTTTATCCTCGTTTTGGCTAATGCGAAGTAACTCTTCTGCATAATGATAGGGATCAAGCGATTGCCGATTAGCTGTATGAGATCTCAGATCAGTTAACTACGTGTACTCCATCAACGGCACGACGTTACAACGGGCGATAATCTGAAGCGTACTCAGTACACATATATGGCTCGAAATTCATCCGCACCGGACTATATTGGACAACATATACATGATAAATTAAGCTGGCTGCAGCCGGTCGCTGTTTTGTGTAGCCGGAATCTATGTACAAGACTTTGGGTACTGCAGCGCCCTCTTCAAGGCCGTTCGAAACGTCGTGCCGTTGATGGAGTACACGTAGTTAACCGATCTGAGATCCTGCTGCGTAGGCAGCAGCGCCTCCTGATACGCATAGATGTTGCCGTACGTCGGGGAGTAGTACGACGTATCTACGTTCACATAGACTGAGGGATAAAGTCAGTGAAACCGATTCCGAGCAGAGCAGAAGGAGGTTGAACTTACACGACGTCTGGTTGAGGACCGACGAGGGATCCAGAAGTGTCAGTAAGGTAGCCTCATCCCAGAATGGCAAGTCGGGATATGCGGCGGCCTTGTTCAGGATTGTGTACGGGTTGACGACCTCTGCGATTTCGTCGATGTACTCGGTGGTCGGGAACAGGTCGAGACCATTTGCCGCACTCGACACCAAAGCTGAATGAGTTAACATTGACACCCATCTCAAGAGTCAGGACTCTACTCACTAATGTTGGGAAAGTCTGCGGTGAGTGCGATCTTAGCTGCCTCTGGGTCGGCCTTGAAGTTGAACTGGTGTTCTGTCAGAAACGGTCTCGAGAGCAGCACACATATATCTTACATCCGTATTGATATCCGCTTGAAGAGTGCTTGCACTTGTCTGCAGGAGGTTGACGTCGACAAAGCCGCCCATGATCCATAATCCCGCGGTGTTCTTCGCAAAATCGGGATCCAGCCGAACAGCCAGCGCGATGTTCGTGAGCGAGCCGCCCTCATAGATCACAACCTCGCCAGGATATTTGCGGACCTGCTCAACCATCCAGGCCGCCGCTTGCTCTCCTGCGAGTGTTGTGTTCGGGTACCCCTCAATGAACGCTTCTTTGACGATGCGCTGCGGATCGCCACTCGTGGGATCAGAACCAAGAGCCTCCAACGTGGCATTTTCCGGCGCGAAGACGCCCTGCCACGGCAAAGGCCCCAAAAGCGTCTGCCAGGTCTGCATCAACTTGGGTGTCACGAGCAGCGGGTAATCGGAGCCCTTGTGCACTGGGATGCAAGATAGGTTGCCGATCTCCAGAAGCGCCAGAGCATGGTAACTGCACTGCTTGGCCCAGGAGTTCGAAGTGTCACCCACCAGGCCCAGAATGTCCCAGCCGTAGTCTAGAGCCATCAGGAACTGCGTCGCGGCGGCGGCATTCCAGTCATTGTCCATGATGATCTTGGGACCACCAGCGTTGACAGCGCCGGCGCGGTCGCCTGCAGTCGTGTTACTGCATAGTGCGACAGCTCCATTGGTCAGAGCAAGCAAGGATGACGGTCTCATGGTGATGGTCGAGGGATGGTGGTGCTCAGAGGGAATCTGAGGATCATGAAAGCCGCGGGCGTCTTATACCTGGACATGGCCAATTGCGTCTTATCTGCCAATGATGCTATCATGGGCGCCAGCGGGGCCCGCCTTTACAACCTAGCTGCACTTCCTATATGTTTCTGCGCAACCCCACTGGAGTGGCGGACGAGGGTTCCTTGTACGACCCCAACCCCATATCCTCAGTGCCGTGATTAGGATCCACATGGTAAGTAGAATCCCTGGAATCGCAGACAATCCCCTTGCGGTGAAGGGATCTCTTGGGCGTAGCCTCGGCTGCCAATGACCTTGGCGCGGATGGTGTTATCGGAAACTATGAATAATTGAAGATTACATATTCCACACGCATTTTTGAGCGCGCCTTTTTCTTCTTAGCAGCGAATATTCAGCTCTTGTCATTTCGCCGTATAGATAGGTGATCTCCGTTGTCCGATGTCGTTATTCTCAAGCCCCATTTTTCGGCTAACGGATTCCCGTCTAACCCCGGCCTATTACTAAGTAATTAGGTTGTATAGTCGTTGCGTACCATATCTTCAGAACTACACCAAATTTGGATTTTTCTGTTGGTCAAGTATGAAAAGCAGCCCGCGCGAAGCTCACGCTGTTCAGGAGAAGATCTGGATAGACCAAATAACGAAGGAGAGACAGCGCGTGCACACTTTAACATATAACTCGGGGTCAAAGTCATTCGCAGGAACCAAACCGCTCAGCCAAACTGAGGTACTTTTCGACTTGCAGGTGCTGTCCCATGTGCGTCGATGGTCCATTTTCAACGTAATGAACCAGATATATCACACACCGGTTATTTAATTACTACGTTGTCAACGGCCTAGTCGGGCGATACTAAGTTTATGCTCACGGTAGCGTCCTATTCAGTCAGGCACACCTGATAGCTGTTCATGTTCGCGTTTGGCCGGATTATGGAGGCCAAAATTATGTCAAAACAGTTTGAAGTAAACCATGGCTTCAACTCAAACTCCTGTCAGCATACAGGTTTGATATCAAGGGTGAAGGTCATATAGATCATCTATTTCTTGAGGGAGTTCCTGGTAGAAGAATACATCATGGCAACATGGTTGAGGTGGTAGACTTAATTTTTTTCTTGACAGATGTGATCGATTCACAAGAAACGCCCGACTGCCTGCTGTCAGGCTGTTGACATCAATCATCCCGATAGCAGCCATACCACCGGAGGAGTGACCCTCCGCAAGCGCGGATATGACAACCCACTTGTTATTTTCAATAATGCTGCCGCACGTGGTGACATCACCTTCCACCATTTGGTGACACGGGGAGCTGGTTCTTCTTGCGGCTGAGCACTCTACCACGCCTCATGGTCCGACGACCAGGCCAAAACCGAGGCCATGATTAATCATCTGATCGATGAGTAGGGCTTGGACGTGGACGAGAGCAAAGACAAGAGAGGACCTTGACAGTACATCGGACATGTAAGTTACATTTGCTCTTGTCAAACCGCACCATAGTTCTTGAACGAGCAGTTTGGGCATTGCACAATGAGTGAACCACGCAACGAGGTGCTTGTCCAATGCAAGAATCCACGAGGGGCACGTTTAGAATTTATGTTTCCCTTTAGTCTATTCTCAAGTGTTTGTTATTCTCATTTATTCTTTTCATGTGAAACCTCAGCGTACGTCCTGATGATCCATGTAGGCGTTCGGCGCCTTGAAGAAAGATTATCCAAGATGAAGAGAATGCTAGTTGTGTGACTTGCAGTTGACTCAAGGGAAGCGAAGGCGCCATGTCAGCGGGCCCTCACCACGGAGGATGGAAGGAAAGGGAAAAAGGTCCAGTGTGGTGATATGGTTGAGGGCTTTTGAGTTTGATCTTCCGACAAGATTATTGATGGAAAGGTGTGACGCTATGCTTTATGGCCGGATTCGTCAATGGTTATGAGCAGGATTCTTGGCCACGAAGTTCGGAGATGAGGGAGGTGCTAACAACTCAATCCAGGCCCGAGGCAGACTTTTGTTGGTAAAAAAAAAAATTTTAAGGCCCTCCTAATGATAGAGCAGTAGTAACTAAAGCATTATGGTATTGCATTGTATGTGTAATTGAGAAGAGGCATGGTTCCATTAAGTCTAACGATAGCCTATGGGCTTCCAATATTCATGGGGTTGGGCAATGGTCCACAACGATAGCCCAGTGGCTATCGGTGGCCACCCACCGGCTATCGTGATGCCCTTGGCCTAACCATACTGTAGCACCTGCATGTCCTAGGCAAACGGTTATTGCTGTAAGATCATTTGGTGGACAAGGAATAGTGTTCTGGACGATATGTGGGATTTCATTTGCGATTCATGTCTGCAAGTGCTCGAAGTTTGGTGGCAAAGCCAAGTACACAGCAGATTAGTCGACGAATGGGTAAGACTAGAAATATAATCACAGATGGTTCGTGGATATGAATCAAACATGTTCTTGGGAGATGGGGCAGGCGGCGGGCAGCATTGGGTGGCCCACTTTTGGCGTGAAGACTAATTACCGTCGATACAAAAAGTTTACCACTTCGAATAGACTCAAGCGTTCACCGACCTCACTACGATAATCCATCTTATCCCATATGAAATTGATGGCTTCTTCTTAACAGGGCGTACTAAATCTGGTGGATTTGAGTTTATTCTATATAACTGTGGTATATCGGTGGAAGATTGTTGAGTTACTTGGTAGTGCTGAGTGAAAGCAAGCGATTTGGCCAGCCACGATTCGATTGCTTAGTGCACCGCCACAAAAACGCGCCTGCGCCTGCGCCCGCGCCCGTGGCCTGGTTCTGCAGCTTTCATCATCCAAGCTCTAGGTACGCAAGAAAACTGGATTGATAACAATTTGTTTCAACTAGCGACGACAAACTCGCACCTGCCCGTAGACTCTTCCCCAGCCCAGTTCAAGATGCCGGTCGTCAAGGGAGGAGTTTGGACCAACGCTGAGGATGAGATCCTCAAGGCCTCCGTGTCCAAGTATGGATTGCATCAATGGGCCCGCGTGTCGTCGCTGCTGCAGCGCAAGACACCGAAGCAATGCAAGGCCCGATGGAACGAGTGGCTTGACCCGAGCATCAAGAAGATAGAGTGGAGCAAGGAGGAGGACGAGAAGCTTTTGCACCTGGCCAAGTTGATGCCCACCCAATGGCGTACCATCGCCCCTCTGGTCGGTCGCACCGCAAACCAGTGTCTCGAGCGCTATCAAAAACTGCTCGACGAAGCTGAGCAGCGCGAAGCCGGGTCGCTCGGTCTGGCCGGCCCAGACGGCGGCGAAACACAAGCACCCACCGCCGACGACGTCCGGAAGTTGCGTCCTGGCGAAGTCGACCCTACACCCGAGAGCAAGCCCGCCAAGCCTGATACAATCGATCTCGACGAGGATGAGAAGGAGATGCTCAGCGAGGCCCGAGCCCGTCTCGCAAACACACAGGGAAAGAAGGCCAAGAGGAAGGCTAGAGAACGCCAGCAAGAGGAGTCGAGGCGTTTGGCAACACTACAGAAGCGCCGCGAGCTGAAGACAGCCGGCATCAACATCAAGGTCGTCACCCGAAAGAAGGGTCAGATGGACTATAATGCCGACATCCCATTCGAGAAGGCACCTGCGGTTGGTTTCTACGACACCACCCAAGAACAGAACTTGAACGAGAGGGAACGTGCAGCTTTTGACCCTCGAAAGCAGCAGCTTGCCAACAAGCGCAAAGGCGAACAGGACGAAGATGGCGACAGGAAGAAGCGCAAGAACGATAAGGATGGTAGCTCGGCATCTATGCAGGCTGCTCTGAAGGCTGGCCGGGAGCAGAAGATCCGCGAGGCAGAGCAAGCCAGCAAAAGACGGCCCATGAATCTCCCAGCAGCTCAGGTCGGCGAAGGCGAGCTCGAGGAAATTGTCAAAATGGGCAGGATGGGTGAGCGCGCCACCTTGCTTGCGCAGGCCAGTGAAAACGATGCGACGAGGGGACTCGTCAACCAATATTCAAACATACCTTCTCAAACGCCTATCCGAACACCCATGGCACCAGCACAGGAAGACCACATCGCAAACGAAATCCGAAACATAAAGGCCCTGACGAACAACCAGTCAGCACTTTTGGGAGGAGAGAATGCCGACTTGCAAGAAGGTTCTGCTTCAACTGGCTTTGATGGAGTCACTCCTCGTAGACAAGTCGTCTCAACTCCTAACCCACTGGCAACACCTCTTCGGAATGGAGCGGCTGGCATCGGCGCCACGCCAGGGAGAGTCGGCCAGACACCTTTAAGAACACCACGGGATGGTTTGGCTTTGAATGCGAATGGAGACATGTCATTGATACCTGGATCAGAAAAGGGGATGCAAATGCGACTCAGGCAAGGTCTTTCATCGCTACCCAAGCCCAAGGAAAGCGATTGGGAGCTCGAGGCCCCCGAGGATGAAATGGAAGTAGTGGTTGCAGAGGAACTTGAGGAAGACGCGGAAGAGAGGGATCGTCGCGAGAGGGCGATTCGCGAAGCTCAAGAGGCTCTGGAGCGCAAGCGTCGGACACAAGTTATGCAGAAAGAACTACCGCGGCCAGATGCTGTGGATATAGATGCATTGCTGAGAGAAGCTGCTGCAGTAGAGGATCCGATCGAAGCGCTGATTGCTAGAGAGGCAGCTCTTCTTATCGCGAACGATGCGGTGAAGTATCCAGTTCCCGGGCTGAGGCTAAGAGGCAAGCCTGTTCGACTTGCCCAACTGGATGATGCTGCTTTGGCGGAAGCCCGTCTCCAGCTGCTCGTGGAAGTCAAGGATAAGCCTAAGCCAGATGATGTCGCGGCTGTCTTCGAACGCGAGAATAGTAACGCCATACTTCTCGGCCTCGGCTGCTATGCGGATGACGAAGAGGAAGAACAGGCTACTGCTATGCAAAACGCATTCGAGTCTGTGCAAGCTTCCACCATGTCAACTGTTGAGAAATGTGCCAAGCTCGAAAAGAGACTAACAGTGCACTTGGGAGGATACCAAAACAGGGCGAAGATCTTACGAAACAAAACGGGCGAAGCTGCGGAAGCACTAGATAAAGCCAGAGCCGCGTTGAGTGGGTTCCAAGCTTTGAGCATCTCGGAAGAGATTGCTGTCAAGAGCCGCCTAACAGCTCTACGGGAAGAAGTCGCATTTGTCAGCAGAAGGGAACGTGAGGCCCAAGACATGTACAAAGAAACTAGGGAGGAGCTCGACACAGTTAGCGGAGTCAACGGATATCATTGAGCTTAAGTATAATATTCGTGTTGATAGAGATGGCAGCCATGTATTCTTATGGAAAAATTGTATACCAAATAGGCCGATACCAATGAAGCGGATTAATGATCAGCCACGGGTGTCCTTTCGTCTCATGTGTGACTACCTGAGGTGGTGGAACTTTTGAATGCACAGTGCTTATAGTTCGTGCTACGAAGGCTAATATATTAAATATATTCGAGGAGTGGCTGATAATCATCGCGCACGGGGAAACAAGGAAAAGCAGCAATGCCAAATCCAGTCAAAGGCGTCAGTCTATACAATTTTTGAAACCCCGTCACTAACGCCATGATAATGCTAGTAAAACAATATTTACACAAACCAGCTGTTAAGACCTATATCAGTCCGGCCGTATATTCTGGTCATCCTTCTCATTCCTTTGCGCGGGGTGACTCCCCTGTAGGACATGGCATTATACAGACCATATAGGCGATGTCCAAACGCTGTGCCTTGTCACAGATATCTCTATTTCCTCGCGCCCAGCCTCGGCATCCGAATCGGCAAGATTAGAACCACACTTAGCAGCGCCAACCCCACACAACACAAGAACGTGGCCCGGATGGCGGCCTCGTAGCTGCGCACGACCTGCTCGAGGACGTCGCCCTCGAGCCTGGCGACCTCCTCGACGCTCTCGCGGACCCGCGCGATGACCTCGGCCTTCCAGGCGGCCTCGCCGGTGATGTGGCGGTCCAGGAACACCAGCAGCGAGTTCTGCAGGATCAGGCTGGAGCAGGCGACGCCCAGCACCGAGCCCAGCGCCCGCCACAGCACCAGCGTGCTCGACACCACCGCCTGCTCCCTCTGCCCACTCACCCCCAGCACCGCCAGGAACGTCCCCGGGAAGTGGAACCCCTGCCCCAGCGCCCCCGGCACCAGGCACGCCAGGTACGCCCACGCCGGCCAACCCCGTCGCATCAGGCTCAGTACCACCGTCCCCAGCAGCGTCATGCCCGTGCCCATGACCAGCGGCCACTTGAGCCGCCGCGTCCAGGTTATCAGCACCCCCGTCAGCGTCCCCACGGCCGCCGCCGTCAGCTGGGGCACGATGAGCCGGACGCCGGACTCGGTTGCGCTCGTGAGTAGTACGGCTTGGAAGTAGAGTGGTCTAAGGAGAAGTGATGATAGTCAGTTAATTGTCGCATACCGCGTAGAAAGCGTGTGCAAGTCACATGATCCAAGAAGCTTACACGTTGAAGAGGATGGCGTTGAGCAGGAACGATCCGAGGAAGTTGGAGAAGATCATGTTGGCCCGCGGCGCGCTGCGTAGAAGGTCCAGTGGCATGATTGGGAGCTTGGCCCTCGATTCGGCCCAGAGACAGGCTGGGAAGCAGATGATGAAGATGATCAGAGACGCGATGACGAAAGGATGCGACCATGGGAGAATGTTTCCGCCGAGATTCTGCAGGTAGTGTCAGTACATGTCTTATATATACATATGTATATCGAGTCGTTTAGAAAATGAAGCTTACCAGGCCCAAGATAAGAAATGTCGTAGATGTGGTTAGGAGGATGGATCCCTTGAAGTCAAAGGCCCGCATCGCTTCCATGAACGTATCTCTCTTTCCCAGCAGACCGATATCTGCTGGTATCAAGGCGATCGCGGCAACGAGGCACAATATAATTGCCGGGACTTGCACTCCGAACTCCCATCTCCATCCCAGCGTATCGGCCATGAGGCCGCCAAGTGCCGCTCCGGCGGCGGAACCGAGCCCATAGACAACGTTGACGTAACTTTGATATGTTCCCCGGCGTCTGGAATTTAGTTTAGCTTGGGTTCTCGTGCATTGCCCCAAATGTGATATCGAGACCCAGACGGTCATGGTTGACTTACTCAATGGGTACTAAATCACTAATGATAATAGTCCCCAGCGCCATCATACCACCAGCGCCAAGGCCACAAACAGCCCGGGCCAGAATGAAAGTCTCCATACTATCCGCGAGGCCGCACCACGCCGTGGCGGCGGCAAAGATGGCCATGGTGGCGACATAGAGCGGCTTCCTACCAAAGGAGTCGCTCAGGCGGCCCAGCAGGGGCTGGAAGGCGGTGCTGGTGAGTAGGAACGCTGTGGACAGCCACGACGCGCTGTTGGAGGAGTGGAAGTACGAGGTGATGACGGGGTGGGAGGAGGCCATGATAGTGCCGTCGAAGATGGCGACGAAGTTGCCCAGCATGATGCTCAGGAAGATGACCACGAAGCGCCGGTAGTCGGTGCTGATCAGGTACTCGCTCTGGAGCTTGCCTCTGAGCAGCGGTGTTGCTGCTGCTCCTGAAGCTTCCGCGGCCTCGGCGTCGTAGTCTATGTCTACGCTCTCCTCCGACAGGGGAGATTCCGGCGCTGTGGTGCTCATCCTGCGCTGGCGATGCTGGAACATCGCACCCTCGGGAGTCTCCGGGGCCAGGCCGGCACTGGATATGGACGCCGTGCGTGCGAGCAGCAGCTCCGACTCGCGTTCGTCGAGCTCATCTTCTTCCGTATCATAGTGGTAGCCGCCGGGCGACCTGCTCAGCGACCGACTTTGACGACCTGCATGTCGTTGTGGTTGTGCACCAAGCAGAGCCGTACGCTCGTGTGCAGCGTCGGCGCCATGCTTGCCCGAATGACTTGTCCCCGACTGGCCACCCATGGTCCTCCCAATAGAGTTTCAGTGGCTGTCACGACAAAGAAGACTACTAAAGCCAGTTACGGTCGATTATACCGTGGCGGTATCTAAAGTATAAAGACTAATGGAACTGAAATGAGGGGCCCGGAGCGCTTTTCGCCGGATTCGGTTGTCCCCCAGCTGGCCTTTGTCTCAACTTTACCGGTTGGTTTGAAGTTTGGACTTGTTGCATTGAGATATGCTTTATTTATTGACCCATGACCCACGACAGAACATGAAAATTGCATTTCAATAAGATGTTACCGCTGCTCTAACGAACCCATGCCAATGGGAGGCCCATCTTTTCAAGTGTAGAATGGGCCGGCCACCGCCCCCCGAAAACCGGGGCGCAGGCCAAGCAAAACCGGCCAGTAGAAGGCGCTGTGCCAGCATCTTGCATCTCGTGATATGGCGCAATCACAGCTTTGACAATAATCAACCTTGTTTGAGTATTGGGGGATTTGTATTATTCATAGCAGATCTCTGTCTCCGACTAGGTTAACTAAGTAGAACCTGGATTCCTTAGATCAGCGCCTACCTGACCATGCTCGCGTGATTAATGCACCCCAAATTCCATTTGCTCAAACACATAACCGTCCATGCTCGCTCCCATGTAAATGCTTGCTCTCGCGCACTCCAGCGCACATGACCAATAAAGACAAACAATAAAAAAGAATTTATAGCCCTCCCATGTCTAAGGAACGATCAAGCACAATGATGTCCGAATGCAAAGATATAGGCCACGGCTAGCGTTGCCTTGAACTCCAACTTGCACTACAGCCCGCTAATCTGCCTATACCCAGAGTCTGGATTAAGCTCCAACAGCCGACCTCGCCAGTGCAGAACCGGCCAAGACGCCCGCGCCCGTGATGCCGCTATCATGGCAGGCATCCAACACAACTCGCACAGGAGATGAAGCCCCAAATTCTGCCTTGACCGCCTGGTCCAGAAATTCCTGACAATCTACCAAGTAGTCCTGGAAGTGGACAATGCATCCTCCAGTGTAACCGACTACAAGTTCAACCGGGGCGCCGCGCTCGGGCTCTTGCTTCGACACATTTGTTGTGTCCTCAAGGGGTCGCTTGAGAGGCAAATCCCCAGCACAGGCAAGAAGACCCATGGTTGCAGCAGCGATGATACCTGCTCCCCGGACCTCGATAGCTTTCGCAATATGGTACAGAGCCAGTGCGATGTCCTCCGTCCACTGAAAACCGGCTGTTGGTGCGGGAAATTCTGCTTGGAGCTTTTGCAGGAGGTTCACTGCGTGAAGAGGCTTGAAGTGGCTTAAAAACGTAGTTGTTAAACTAAACCGCTGTAGTAACCGCGCCGGAAGGGCTTCTAGATCATGGCCATGCTGGCTGTGTAGGTAATCCAGAAGTACTAGTCGAGCAAGTTCTCCGAGATATCTGCCCGATGTCATGTATTCCAAAGGCTGGAAACCTGGCTTGTCGCCTTCGGCGTCGAGCCTCTTATCCCAGGTACTCACGAGGCCGAACTTATATAAAGCGGGTGCCGTGCCGTTGATAGTCCATTCCGTGTTGACGGCCACCTTGACGTACTCGTTGTCGTCGCCAGATCTTACTCCAACCTTTGCTGGTACTTTTCCAGGATGTAGTGTATCCTTGCGTAAAGGTATTGTCGCATTGCATCCAGTGCCGCAGATCAAGCCCATCGATGCTTTTCGCCTAGCACTTTCTTGAGCCTGGTAAATAAAAGAAACCAAGGTAGCAACCGAATCATTGGCAATAGCTACGATCTTGATTGGTGGCAAGTTCAAGCCTTTAGTCACTTGAGCGTAGCCCACAGACAAACGAGTACCGAGGTCAAGCTCCGAATTGATCTGGAAGCCTTTCCCCATGGACATGAGTCTCGCTTCTGAAAGAGTTTGTTGGACCATGGGGAAGCTGAAAGTAACTCCTAGAGGCAGAGCTTCGTCGTGAGGGAGGCCATAATGCTCGCATCCTGCACGTACTACTTCTGCGATGCGGACGCCTATCCATTGGAAAAGCGCGTCGGCCTTTTCGTTCTTGAGGTGCTCAAGAATGGGCCATGATTTTTCCAAAACTCTGCGGAGTCTCGGCGACTCGACGTGGCTGTCCTGTTGGCCGCCGACTTTGCCGTTCACCCCATTCGGGCTGCCGGTGTCATGGAGAACAACGTTCTTGTCGTTGCCCAGAAGTTCGATAAAGCCAACTCTGAGATTAGTACCACCACTGCGAGACGGTTAGTGCCTGGTATCGATAGTCGTGTTCACGAGGACAGACCCACATATCAATTGCGAGATATCTGTATGTGTCAGCAGCCGTTAATAAACATTGCAAAAGTGGCAATATAGTGGTTTTGATAGCAACGAGGGGGGGGGGGGGGGGGGGGGGGGGGGGGGGGGGACAACTTACTTGCCCTTCTCACTGCCAGCAGTCGGTCGAAGGATACTCTCCGTGATAGGAGTCGGGAGGAACTGGTCCAGGGATTCAGCGGCGAGATATTCAAAGTTTTGGTAAAACTCGTGCGACAGTTGTTGGACAGTAGCCACGTCCATACGCAGCGGCCGCAGGAAGTCCTTGATGTCCATCATGGCTTTGGTGGGGTAAGTTGCAGGTGTTGCTGAAAACGAGAGAATGGACTGGCACCCGCAGGATGCATACCAACGCAGCCGAGCCGAGTTCTCGACAATTACAGGGTGTATTTAGCACCTAGCACTAAGAGGAAAGAGTTGCCGAGAAGCGGGTTCTTCGAGAGTTGGTTCACACGATTGGGAGAACGAAAACGCAGGTTCGGCCAGCTGTCTCCAAGAGAAAAGAAGGAGCAGAAGATGAAGAGGAGGAAGGATTTTTGTTTAGATTTAATACAGTATTCCGACCTCGCTTTGTCACCATTTACAGGTGTTGTTCGCAAAGAGTGAAAATGTGGAGGAAGTGCCGCTCTTGATGTAGCATCGAAGAAGTCTTCGGTTGTTCCTGTGCTGGAGAGAAACGTTGCAATGGGCACTTAAAGGCAGAGAAGGGCCGCGACATTCCCCAGTATTTAATCACAGGCCTCCAGGTTCTTGCGGGCGATGACACGAATGGATGAGTCGGTTGATTATATTTGGGATATTCCCGTGACGGAAGGATCAGTTCTCAGTCAGCGTTGGCTGCGGATCAGGTCAACAGAGAATATTGGTCTCTAGTTGCAGGAGGCTGTTGTCATCTCAGCTGCAGTGAATACATAAGCTTCATATTTGGCCAAGTTTGTCGGTCGTTCTCCTGGTCTTGGAAGACCCATCCTATCACGGCCCAATAGCGTGCCATATGCCGCCTAAAAACGCAATCTGACCACGCCCTATTATTTTCCGATTTGGATCAAGGGTGCGTTATTCAGGTGACGAAGTAACCTGCATTTTGATTATCATTATAGAGCAGAAGCACCAATCATTACGGATCCGTACAGTACCGTCGACATCGGATCTAAAAATGGCTGTGACCGATGTAAATTTGAAATTGCGACATGTCCCTATGAGCGCCCTCGGTTCCGGGCCAACCCCCCCAGTTCAGAAGTCAGAAGGGTGTCTTCCACTGCATCTCCGAAGCTAGTCTCTGTATCCGTAATCAAGACGCTCCGCTCCTTGGTTGTTGCTATTGTTTCCGCAATATACCATGCTATGCGCGACTGAGCCGTCACCACCTGCAGTCAAAGTAAAGCTCTACGATTAGTTTTATTAGCCTATAACCAAACCATCACTCGATCGTACATCGTAACCTCGGCCCGTACTGCCATGGCTGGCCAAATCAGCCTTCCCATCATGGACGAGAAGCGCCCTGTCAGAAGCACGATCCGATCCTATCGACGAAACAGGCCGCTCCTGACTGTCGCCCTCGTCGCGGTCACACTGTTCCTATTCTGCAAGCTGCGCGCAGCCCGTAGCTATGCAAGCCAATGGGCACCTTCGAGGGCAGCTGACAGCGACGACGATGTCTCGAGAGACACCCGCGGCGGCTCGACCTGGTCGGCAACGAAAGCGCTCGTCCCCCTCGAGGCGCACATCATGAGCAAATGCCCCGATGCGAGGGACTGCCTCAGGGATCTGGTCCTCCCGACCATGATGCGCGTCAACACCAAGGTCAACTTCACGCTCTCCTACATCGGCACACCGACCGACTCCAACGACGGCGTCGCCTGCAAGCATGGGCCTAACGAGTGCATGGGCAACATCCTCGAGCTGTGCGCCGCACACTTGTATCCGGACCCGAAGATCTACCTCGGATTCGTCATGTGCTTGACGAGGGACTACAAGGAGATCCCACAGCGCGAGCTGGTGGAGGACTGCGCCCTCGAGCATGCGGTCGACTTTGAACAGTTGAACGACTGCGCCACCAAGGATGACGGTGGCTTCGGCGTTTCATTACTCAGGAACAGCGTCAAGAGGTCAAGTAGCGTATGTCATCTCCGCGACTGGTTCCGGGTCTTCTAATCATGCGTGTCATTCTTACTAATGCGTGCTGCTGCAGGCTGGAGTCACCAAGAGTTGCACGGTCCGACTCAACGAGGAGATCTATTGCATCAGGGACAACGGGGAATGGAAGGACTGCCCGAATGGCGCCGGCGTTAGCGATCTTGTCATTGCTGTGGAGAAGCTGTACGGACGCTCTTCTTGAGAGGTTCGAATATATCCGTCCACAACTCCGACTCCTCTCCGACTGTATACCCGAGCGATATCGTGTCCATGCCCGTCTCGTCGTCACCGTGCATCATCTCCAGCTGCTCGACGACGCTGTCCAGGTCGATCGCCTTGCCCACTGACTGCGTCGACGTGCCCTCCAGATTGACGTGGACTACATGTATGTGGAGGTGGAAGTAGGTGGGTTGGTAGTGGAAGAAGAGCTTGAGCTGGTCCTGCTCGATCTGCGGGTATTTTTGCACAGTTGCATCGATCATCTTGGCCCTCATGTGCTTGAGCCATTGTATGTGTTTCTTCTTCAGGTCCCTTAAACTCCACAAGTCGCGCCTCTCGACGATGCCTAGTAAATGGAGCGCCTCGATGGTTTCGCGGTCCCAGTGCAAGTTTGGCAGCATGAGGAAGCCCTCGTCCCCGTCGCGACCTAGGGGTGTCCGATATATGACATCCTCCGCCTCCTTCCGCCCCTCGATGATGTTGTAGACCCAGTTCAAGCGACCCTCGTCCCTGTTGGTCTGCATGTATGGCCGTACCTTGTCCCGATATATCTCTGGCGTTTCGGTCACCAGTCGGTGGCCTTGTTTCGAGTGCTTCTTGATGTGCTTGTCCGTGCAAGGGCAGACCAGGTCGATCTTGTAATCTGCAAACTTGTCCCTCCCGTCCTCCTGGAGCACTGGACCGCCACTGCCCAGGAACCAGGAGTATATGTCGTTGTTTCCCAGGTTCGTCAGACTTCGCAGGTTGGCTGGGAGGGCAGAGAGGTATTCTGGCGCGTCGGGGAAGGGCGCTCGTTCGAGGACGAGGAGGGCGGGTTGGTTCTCGACATGGCCGTAGAGGTGGATGCGGCGGCCTCCCTCGTCTTTGCATGTGTTAGTCTTGAACTTGACAAGTCATAGCAGCCTGACTTCTGCGCAGCCATGTCTCCCCAATCAACATACCTTGCTTCAGAACGCGCTCAAATTGAAACTTGGGGACCAGCGCTTCCGCGTTGCGCTTGGCTTCGTCGGCCGCCATTCTCCCAGCTCCGTCGTGTGATTACCGATTTAAGGAAGCGCAGCCGTCACACAATGTATGCAGCAGTACGTTGGAGTCTGTACGGTACTTTGCAATTTGCGGCACCCAGAATTTGTGCATGCCCTCCTTCTACGAAGACCAAGACCCTAAACGTGGTTCACGATTGTCCGGCGATTAAATGCCCCGCGATTTCAGGCCCGATGGATGGTTAATAAGAACGAACGACGGGAAACCCCCCGCTCTGACGCTCTGAGGTTAGCACATTTTCCAGGGGTCCACTGGAGTGCTTCTAACCTAAGTTTAATTGCTAACTTGGGGTAGAAAGGTAACTTACAGTATGGGACAGTATCTGAGTCCATCTATGATATGAACATTCACTTCTGTAGATACCTTCAAGTTGTAACTGTCTGTAACTTATCAGATCTCTCTCAGCATTGACGGCGTGACACAACATTCGTTATATAGTGATATTCTGGCCACACCTTTAGACTACTGTCTGGTAACTTGGCCGTTCGCAGCAACGTACATCATAGTGGTCCAAGAAAGGCATCCCACATTCCAACAGTGATAAACCGGCCCGCCTATTCAAAGTCTCTACACTGTGGGCCGTCATAGGTAACCTTGCTATAGCAGGTGGTTCAGAGCAACATGCGACAACCTCTCCGAACAACTTTCTTCACATGCTCAGATTCTCACCATGACTTCAGAAAAGCTAGTTTCGGTGCTGGTCCATGGCGCTTACCACCTACCACACTTCTGCCGCAAACCGATCGAGCAGCTGCGTCGGGATGGATATGTTGTGCTTGCACCCGCCCATGACGGCCACGGGACTAGCCTAGACAACTCAATTGCCGACAACATGTATGTAGACGACGAGAAGCGGATCCATGAAACCCCTCTCCCTCATCTCCATGCCGGGAGAGAGTCCGTTCTGGTCTGCCACAGCCAACGTGGCATCGCCGGCAGTGCGGCTACTGCTGGCTAAACTGTGGAAGACCACGAGACAACAGGTCTGGAGGGAGGCATCAAGCTGATCATCTATCTCGCAGCTTTTTCATTACCCAAACGGGGCCTGGGGCCTGACGACTGCGCTTGATGGGAGAGGAGCAAGCAGCCGACTCCTATTCAGTAAACAGGTAATAGACTTGCACGTGGCAAATGGTAAAACATCTTAAATGTAACGAGATGGCCGCAGGTGCCTTCTACAGCGACCTGGTAGAGATAGAATGCGAGATGTTATCTCGGGCTCTGATGACTCTAGAGCCCGGCGAGTGTGGTTGCGTCGGTGTATTTCGTGGCCACTAATATCACGGTTCTGAAGACTTACATCGTCTGCACCGAAGATCGAGCAATCTTTCCGGCGGCGCACCAGGATTGGGCGGAGCAGCTGGAAAATTGTGAGACAATTGAGGCTAACAGTGATCACAGCCCGTTTCTGCAACATGACAAAAGGAACTACGTAATCGCGGTGGTCGCACGGATGGCTGCTAAGTAGGCGGAATCTTATATCCTCATGAGTGCTTTGTTTCCCAGCGAAGTTAGGCATTCATCTTGTATTATTCGTTTTATACTCCATTGTATTATCCTCGTATATAAGCAGTCAACATACGAGTCCAAGTGAGAGTCTGTTCATCTAATACCTTTTCCCCGACCCTCGATACAATGTTTTACCGAATAAGATCCATCACCAACTTGGCGATGGTGTAGTGGAGATACACATCCTAGTTTTGAGTCGTCCCGGCTAAATTGCTTGCATGAACTAATTAAGCCTTACCCCTCGTGGCTATCATTGACTATATAACTCGACTAGACTAGTAGACTAAATGCAACTCTAAAGCCGTATACTCTATCCTTGCCGAACATGATCTGAGGGCGTCATTATTTTCATCATGCCGCCTGTTCTAAACCCGATCCTGCCTGGGTTCAATCCGGACCCTTCCATCCTTCGCGTTGGAGATGACTACTACATTGCGACATCCACCTTCGAGTGGTTTCCAGGCGTACAGATTCATCACTCCAAAGACCTAGCAAACTGGGAGTTACTCGTCCGCCCACTGAACCGAAAGAGCCAGCTGGACATGCGCGGAAACCCAGATAGCTGTGGCGTCTGGGCGCCATGCCTATCACATGACGGCGACAGGTTCTGGCTGGTCTACACGGACGTGAAGCGCAAGGACGGGTCCTTCAAGGACACGCACAACTACATCGTGCACGCGCCGACCATCGAAGGGCCCTGGTCCGACCCCGTACACGTCAACTCGTCCGGATTCGACCCGTCCCTGTTCCACGACGACGGGCGCAAGTGGTTCGTCAACATGCTCTGGGACCACCGCCGGCGGCCCCGGGCGTTCGCGGGCATCGTGCTGCAGGAGTTCGATCCTACCAAGGGGAGCCTAGTGGGACCCAAGAGGAACATCTACCCTGGGACGGACCTGGGGCTCGTCGAAGGCCCGCACCTCTATCGACGCGGCGGCTGGTACTACCTCCTCACGGCCGAGGGCGGTACGGGGTACGAACACGCGTGCACGCTGGCCCGGTCTCGCGATATCTGGGGCCCGTACGAGACCCATCCACAGAAGCATATCCTCACGTCCAAGGACACGCCGTGGGCGGCGATCCAGAGGGCTGGCCATGGTGACATCGTGGATGCCCCGGATGGCAAAACGTATATGGTGCATCTCAGCGGACGGCCTACCACGCAGTTTCGGCGCTGTGTGCTGGGGCGCGAGACGGCGATCCAGGAGGCGTACTGGGGCGATGACGAATGGTTGTACGTCAAGAACGGGCCGGTGCCCTCGCTGCGTGTCGATGTGCCGGGGGCGAGGAACGATGAGAAGTACTGGGCCGAGCAGCGCTACACCTTTGAGACGGAACTACATCGAGATTTCCAATGGCTCAGGACGCCCGAGCCCGAGCGCATCTTCAAACTCCAGGATGGGAAACTGGCACTGACCGGACGAGAGTCGATCGGTTCCTGGTTTGAGCAGTCACTGGTCGCGCGCCGGCAGACGCATTTCTCTTACGACGCCGAGACGGTCATCGAATTTTCGCCTACGGACGAAAGACAGTTCGCGGGGCTTACGGCGTATTACTGTCGCTACAATTTCTTCTACATCACCGTCACGGCCGACTCAGATGGCCAGCGCGAGCTGCTGATTCTTACTTCGGAAGCGTCGTGGCCCGAGGGCAATCTGAACCTGCCCCTTGCAGAACCCGTGCAGATATCTAGTGAAGGTAAGGTAAAATTGGCCTTGACGATCCGTGGTAAGGAGTTGCAATTTTTCTACGCATTGGACGGCCAAGACTTGAAGAAGATCGGTCCTGTGTTTGACGCCTCGATCGTATCGGACGAATGTGGTGGTCACCAAACCCATGGAAGCTTCACAGGCGCGTTTGTTGGTGTGGCTTGTTCGGATCTCGACGGTACGGCGGCAGAGGCGAACTTCGACTACTTTTTGTACAGGCCTGTGAAACACGAAAGTGATAGATACGAGATTTGATAGCAGCACCAGCTAGTCTTAATCAAGTCAGATATGACTGAGTTCAGCATTATATTTGTACATTTCAACATTCCAGTGGGACGCGAAACTTTTGTAAAGACTAAGCTCATAGCTATCATGACGATCCTTAGCATTCTCGCCGCCAAAAGCCGGAGAAAGCCCATCACGTCAGAGCTATTATCACTACACTCGCACTGGTGATTTCTTATGGGGTTTGTCCATCAAATGCATGGTCGGTTCGGTGAGTCCTTTGAGCTGTGAAGCTCGAAGTTGGATGCATTGTAACTATTAACTTCCCAGAATAGCACGGTTGTACTCCATATACTAAAAGACTTGGCAACAAACTCCTGTGAGGGTGCTGCCTATGCGAGAAATTACTCTCTCGAAGATGACCAAGCGCTCGACATGTGAGATGGTGTTTCTGTCAAAATACAATCGGCCTAGTGCAAGTCAATACGGCTCGCGCATGAGACCCGGTGCATGAGGATTGAAAAGACGAGGTCGAAGAACCAACATACGAGGACCGCATCTGGAAAGCAACTACTTATTCACACAGCTGGACGGTGTTCGAAGGCCTGTGGGGTCCAGGAAACACCTATTGCTGACGGCTTGTGGAGACCAAATACCCTTACCATATTGGGTATATTCAGTGGACGTAACCTCATAAAGTCCCTTATATCATGAGCTGTATTAATTGACAACTAATGTAACCAGCGATGGAGGGCGAACACCTGGACATCTATGCGAGTCTGCCAGACAGTGGATATCTTGTAACTTGGAGGCTGTTTCGTATTACCAGGTTCTACTTAAGAGTATGGCACACCGATTGTGATGATGTCTATATGACGGCAACCAGCATTTAAGTCACCCAATACCACCCCACGTGGGACAGGCCTCCAGCTCACCATCATCGCAAGACCTCCATATATCAGCTTGACAACCTCCTTTGTCAGCCAATTTGCAATCGCGAAACGACACTAATTTAATCTGTAACTCACCAACATTCGAATGTGAAAATGGCACACCAGACTATTCATCATAGCCGATTCTTTGCGAATCCACAAGAGCCTCTCACGAACGTCCAACCCCACCAAGAGCTGCTGGCCAGCTTGGAGCGTATCAACACTACCAACGCTCCTGTACACACCTGCTCGACGGGATGGAATTTTCACGGCCTCTACACCGGACCGACATCAATCGCATACCTCTTTTATCGTTTGTCTCAAATCTACCCAGACCTGGAGTTCAAGCAACAATCCTTCTCAGACTGGACTCAGGAATACCTCGACTTAGGAAGCCGTGTAAACCACAGTGACCCCGATCCCGACCACTGTGGGGTTGCCAGTGAGACACTAGCTCACCTGGCGCTGTCAGCTGTAGTTCGGAAAGATGCGAGTCTTGTCAAGAAGCTATGCTCTTACGAACCAATCATAAATACGAGCAATGAGGATGGCTCTAATGAGTGGCTCTATGGCAGGGCTGGATATCTTTACTTCCTCAGACTATGCCGAGCGGCCTTTGGGCAAGAGAAGCAGGACGAGACCTCTAAACTACTCGAGAGGACAGTCGAAAGGACTGTTGCCAGGATACTGGGGGCCCGCCAACCCTGGACCTGGCACGGAAAGCAGTATCTGGGCGCCGTTCACGGCATGGTTGGGATCATCTGTCAAGTGGTGCTCTCTATGCCTTCGACTGCCAAAAATGTTCAAAGTCTACTTTCCGGCTTGTTGGACAAGCAGTTTAAGAGCGGCAACTTCCCGTCTTCGCTGCCAGTAGGGAACGATAAACTTGTGCAATTCTGCCACGGCGGTCCAGGATTTGTCCTGTCTCTGCAATCTCTGCTCCCTCACTTTCCGGTCCTGGAAGATAAGATCGAGACCGCCATTGCCAGAGCTCAGGTCGACATCATGGAGCGCGGCGTTTTGCGCAAGGAGCCATGTCTCTGCCACGGCATTGCCAGCAATGCGCTAGCACTCCCAGCCGGGAATGCTCAGCAGTTCGAGGTTTTTCTCTCGTGTATGTCCACTAGCTCAATAGAGAAGCTCGGCTGGACTAAGCACGAGAAGGGCAGAAGCGACGAGATTGCTAGCTTATACACTGGAGAAGCAGGACGGGCTTGGGTCTGGGCTGTTGCCGATAAAGGGCTGCCAAGGAGTTGCATTGGCTATAATGATTTTTGAAACTTGGGCATCGTTTTCCACCCCATATGCGAATTAACGGAGTCCAATGTTTTTGCGATGTTCTCTTTCTTGGTGTTTCCAAGGTAAAGTCAAGACTGAGCTGTGCCTAGGGTGCCAACGAACAAATTTACTGGTATTCATTCAAAACTGCCACATCATTCAAAGCGCCTTTTTGCTCCTGAAGATGAGCATCGTAGACATCTTTGAAGCAAATAGAGTAGCTGTTCAGGCCATATGAGTGATATCCGCTTAATATTTGAGTTTATCCTAGAACCAGACACCCAGTCATCTACCATATCATGGTATCTATTGACGTTGACGGTATCTAACATGCACGGGCATGGCATCCTTAGGATGGACTGTGCCAGTGCCAACTCGATACAAGCGCTCACCCTTGATCTTTGGTTGTGGACCTTTGTTTCCTCTGTAGGAAATGATTAGCATGTCTCACTACCTATATGGCACATGTGGTATAACTTACTTATGAGTGTCCCAATCAGCCCAGGCCTCTTCGATGTCAAATGTCCTCGCTACCAAAACCGAAACCAAACGTAGTTCGACAAGCGCAAGTTCCATACCGATGCAGTTTCTCGGACCCATCGCGAATGGTCTCCAAGAATCCTTGGGGGATACATGGAATCACCTTCAGCTGTGAGCCATCTGTCTGGGAAAAATTCATCTCCACGCGGCCAAAGATCTGTTCTCGACTGTATGATGGGCGCACCATCCCACATCGCAAAGCCTTGGGTGGGGTATCTGATTGGTGAACCTGGTACAGTCAGGAAATAATGGGCGCTGCCTTGGCGGAGAGCAGCAGCCAAAGGGTACAGTCGCAGTGTCTCTTTGATCACGGCTAGCGTATAAGGTAGGGCATAAAGCAGATGAGGCGATGCTAGAATCACTTCATGAGCTCTCTCGACATCCGGGCCAAGAACATTCGTGTGCTCCTCTCGCAGCTTCGCCAGGCAGTCAGGGTTATCTTGAAGTTCCTTGAACATCCAGCAGAGAGTCGTGGCCGTTGTGTCGTGGCCTGCAAACAGAAACGCCTTGAGATTGCTCAGAAGGCTGTCGAGAAACTCTGCGTCTGGCTTTGCTGCGTCCTGTGTGCCAGCCTCGTCGTCAAATTGTTTCAGAGCCAGATCGACAATCGTACGTTTACCTCCTGCTTTCAAGCCTGACTGAATCCGATCTTGAACTTTCGGCATGAAGAAATCATGCATCACTTTGTTGTTTTTGTGGACAGCAGATGACGCATGAGGCGTGAGAGAATGGATCAACCCTCGGGCAGGGTTGGCTACTCGACCCATTTGTTCCAACTGGTCCAACAGCGCAGCTTTGAGAGGAGTATCGAACCCTCGTGTCTGCTGGTGTAACCGTAGATTAGTAGTGGCTCGAATGATTATGTCGAAAGTCAAGTTCATGGTTTTCTCTTCAAGCTGAAAGACGGGCCCCCAGGATCCATCCTTCCCGGTCAGTTTTTTTAAGCCATCAATGAATACCAGCGCCTCCTCCACCAACTCCGGTAGCAGAGCCGTCACATTACGTGGGCTGAAACCCGGGTTCAGCCTTGAGCGCCACGACTTCCACTCCTCTCCTTCTACGGAAACGATATCCTTCTTCTGAGTGAGCGGGGCCAAGAAATCGGTACCCATCTTGGCTTTCGGTTGGCTTTGAGACTGTGTGAATTGGGCGGATACTGCAGGATGTGTTGATAGCAAAAACGCATCACTGGTGACCGGCCACAAGTCCAGGTAAATGACTGGCGGAAGGGTTTCTTGGCCAGGAAAGAAACGTTCGATATTGTTCAGAAACCAATAATGGATGTTGTATATATTGCTGTCATTGGGGTGCTCCTTACGGAAGTCACCCATGAAGATAAGATGGCCGAAGAGCCATGAGTGCGGCAGCGTGGGAACGCCCAGCGCTTGCATGTCCTTGATCGTCTTTCGAATTGTATACCCGTGAAAGAGCCATTGTGCCACTCGCTGAGTGAGGTAGAAAGTGGCGAGCCCGAGCGCAGCCCGCGCGAAGAGCCATAAGCTCGAGGTGTTGGTAGAATCCATAGCTCTCACGGCATATGTAGAGTGTAGGAACCAAAAGGTCTTTTACAAGGGAGGCACGAAGCTTTTAAGGAACATTGACACCAGTCTGGAGTATGTCGCTGAAAATTAAGCGGACGGCGTTGATAGGACCTTGTACGGAGTAAGGCAGAAGCTGACACAGCGCTAATCTTGGGCTAGAGCCTTTGAAGGATTCCGTTGGGGCACCTGAAGAGTGTCTATTGGGCGCCTTATCATTATCATCGCACTAACCCTAGGTTAACAAGTATTACCCGAAATTTGCAGAAACGACCGCGGCGGAGTCTAGTACTTTTCCAGCGATGTACTATAAGATTGCAATTCGTATTTCAAATAGTCGGGTTAGCCAGCCGAAGTGCATCTTTATTGGTCAGTGGAACATTTCTAAAGTACTTGAGACTTCTGTACAATCCACCAAGTACGCACGAAATGCTACGGCTAGTCTAATGCAACTTCCAGCTCTCCGAATCGCTGGCTCATTCGACGCATTGCTTTTTATAGCCAACTCGCCACCCCGACCCCTTGGTCAAGACTCAGTACCGCAAGTGCTATTCGAAGTGGCCAGCTTTTCTCCTGCTTGGGGTTTTGATATCCTTGTATGGATTCATCTAAGGTTAGAAGGATCTCCAATTCCTAATCAATGCTACAAAAGGCCAATACCACTAGACGACCCCAAGTACTATAGCCGGGGAGGACCGAAGTGGATTGATAATTGATTGATAAAAACACTGAATCATGATGTTAATTTTTTTTCTTTTTCTTTTTTTTTCTTTTCGTATCCGGGGATAATCAGTCAGCTCAATGCTAGCGTCTGGATCCATGTTAGCAAGCTGAGACTTATCACCGGACCAAGCCCTGGAAAACAGTCTGGGTGGTTTGGTCCGGATTTTGAAATCACCATCTTCTGCTAATACGGTACCTCCCCTGCGATGATCATTGGTAGTTTACAAACTGTTCCAACGCCTCGACGAATTCTGTCAATTAATCAAAGTGTTCTTCGGTATGCAAAACTAGACTTTCATCAATATAAAGCCGGTTGTTTCCAAAAGCTTTACTTAACCCCGTGGCAAGATTCTGCTGGTGATTCGACCGAGATTTTGGGCCGAGTAATTGGCATCCAATTAGGAGGTTGAAATGGAATGATCCAACCCACTGGATTCACAATACAAACAGCATGATTTCTGGGTTAGGAATAACATCACGCAGCGTTTTGTTATGGACTCACGCCCTTGCAGGGACATAATAGCTTGCGTTTACAAATAGAAGTATACAGAGTTAAGAAGAAATGATATGAATTGTCTTGCCACTTCGATGCAACATCGGACAACGAATACCCACGCTGGGGTACGCCTAGGCTCTGTAGACTGGGAGAGCGAATTCGAAACGAGCTCCCTGTATCACTGCGAGGTTGCCTTCGATTTCGGGCTTGCAAGACTGCCAAATTGTCATAAATTCCTGCACGATTAGATGAGGCACATGAGATCCCACCCTCGATTTATATCAACCCCGGAGTCACGATGTGAAATGGCCCATGACGGATTTTTGATCCGGTCAGATTCTGGTTCAGGATGGCCAAGGCCGTGTTTGTAGGAAATATGACAGGGTTTGGACACGTGAGTCTTGACTCCAAGTATTCTCAAGGAACTATGGGTGGAATTAATGTTGAGTATGGGGTGAGATCCTTTGCGTAGGTCTCTACAAGTGACAACGAGGTGCTTCTAATTTGTGCTACTACTGCACGACATTGCCCCACCCACCAAACCAATGCTTGGTTACTCCTAGCCTATGCCCACGTATATCTAAACTCGAAGGTATTTCTATCTCGCTCCTGGCCCTGTGAAGTTTCCAATCCAAGATTCTCTTCATTATGTCTTGCACTCCTTTGTCCAGGATGCGTACATACTTACCACCAATGTCGCGGCGCGCCTGTACTGTTGAATTGCGCCTCGTATGAAACCATACATAATACATATATGGACCACGCTTGACTCTTAAGCAGAGGTTCTCTATACTATGCAAGGCCTGGTCAGATCAACGCTAAGACGAGTTGTAGCTAGACAGGACCGATGAAGTCTACCTTTAGGAATATGGGATGAGGTGGGAATTGAGGCTAACTGAAAAGGGATTCTGGAGGTGTTTGGGGAACCTTTTAGGTGCACTCGCGATCGATTTAGGGGGAAACATGGAATAACGGTAATTCTGCCGAGCGAACGCTACTGTTCCTCTGGTTACAACTGGGTTGGCACTCTTATAAGCTTCTTGGACTCCCGACCACTTGACTTTGAAGATATCTAATATTTTGTAAGGTTGGAGCTACCGAAGACTACTACGGAGTATAGACTATCAATACCCCACACTAGGTTAGCACTTTACCGACAAGCAATATTAACCAGGCAGCCTGTGAGTATTTGTCCATACCCGGTGAATATTCAATATTCCCCTGCTCATTCACAAATAACCTCGGCCTCAAATCAGCGAACTCGAGTCATATTGTTTAGTGGTTAGAACCCGGATTAGCTTGCAGATGTGACGCGAAAACTTCTAATCTCATCAACTACATCATTTGGAACGATCGTGCTTCACGTGAAGGGGTCGATACGTGTTCATAAATGAGGTGCAATGTAGACGACGAATGGTTGAGCCCAAATGTTATATTACACGGCATCTTGCAGCAAATCTTTCCACATGCCGTTGAACAAAACTCCAGTACGCCGACCGAGGTATCATAACACTTCTCACATAATTCTGAAAGGAAGCCATCGTGTGTCTTCGCGGTTCCATAGCCTCCACTTCCATCTCATGACCCAATGACTCTTGTCTGCTCAGATTCGCAAAACTCTAGGGTGAGAGCAGCGAGGAACCCAGGGATGCAACCCTTCTCTCGGACCCAGAACTGTATTTGGTCGTTGATTCTTAGAGCGAATGGACTCTGTGGACCACCGCTCACTTTCATGGTACCGCGCTCACCATCGAAGACAATACTATTCTCGTTCTCTTCTGTCTGGCTTTCGCAGTATACACTCTCCACGCGCATCTTACCATTGGGGATGAACGTGACTTTCCAGCCTAGAGTGCTAAAGATGGCTTCCTTGAACTCGTTTGACTTGGCGGCCCAAACTTGTTTCAAGCGCAACACTTTCTTCTCCGCTGATGCCTTTTCTCTTTCGGCCTCCTCAACTTCGCGCTTCGCGGCTGCTAGCTGTGAAGCTGGGATCACGGGTACAGAACGACTGATGGTGTTCTTTTGAAGCTTGGCGAGGAGGTGTTTGTTCTCCTCCTTGAGTGCTGTAATGTCACGCACTTTGATGGCTTCCCAATCGGATGTAGGGTTCGATCGAAGCGATAGCACGCGAGTCTTGTTCTGGGTTTCTGCCGCCTGAAGACGTGATCGCAGTACCGAGTTATCTTTCTGCAGCACTTGTAATTCGGCTTGTGCTTTAGACAAGTCGTCCGCGAGCTTGCGTCGCTTACGATTCAACTCGCCAATCTGTTCCGAGTCGATATCTTCTGTGCTCTTGCGCTTGTTCCCAACCACAGGTTCGGGAGCCTTTCCAGACAAAGAACTCTCTGTTGAGGATAGCTCTGCGTGCAACTCTTGAACTTCGGATTTGTACTTGTCGACCAGCTGCTCCAACTGGGAAATGCGCTCCATACGGTCATGATCGACCTTTTCGGGTTCGAAGGTCTCGTCTTCGGCGTCAAAGGTTTTGAGCTGAGCACGGAGGTACTCGACTTCTTTGGCAGCAAGGGCTCGCTGGCGCTCAATTCGGGCCCTAGCTTTGTCGGCTGAGACAGGCGCAGCCGTGGTCTTGAGCTTCTCGAGCTGTGCAGCAAGGCTGCCTTTCTCATTTTCGAGGGACTTGATGATTTCGTCGCGCTCGGCAATTTGAGGTTGCACCTCGCCGATTTTCTCGATCAAGGACGCAGAGTTGTACCGCTCTTGAACCAAAGCACGAGCAACCGCCTCTGGCGAGTCAAACTCCATGACCCCCTCGGTTTCGCTGGCATTCTGCAGATATGACGTCCAGGCCAGACGCTCGTCCTCCAAGCGCTGCCGCTGAATCTTGGCCTCAGTGAGCTCAGTTTCAAGGCTTTGCGCCACTTCGAGCTTGCGCTGTAATGATCGCTTTTCCTCTTCCACAACCTCTACGGCCTTGTGGATTTGGCGCAAATGAGTGAGTTCAGCATGTTGCTTAGACGTCTTCGCTTCCAATGAACGGATATGGGAGACTTGTTCAGCAAGCTCGCGCTTGATAACAGCAATAGTATCAGCATCTCCCGTCTGTGCCTTCAGCCGTAGAACGTCCGCCTCCAAGTCACCAACAAGTTTGTCCTTGTCGGCCAGTTGTTCCTGGGTTTGTTGCAACAATGTTTCCCGTGCCTGGGCGTCTTTCTCGATCTCTTCGAGCGATTGCCTTTGGTTTGTGACTTGCGCTTGGAGATCTGTAATTCTCTTCTGGCTGATACGCTCCGACTCATCCTTGGCGGCCGATAGCTCCTCCAATTGTTCCTTTAGTAGCCTGGCCTCGTCTTCAGCGTCGCGTGCTTTCCTCTCAATGGCAAGCTTTTCTCTTGACCAGTTCTCTTTGGACTCGTTCAGATCATTGTGCAGAGACTCGAGCTGACGTTCTAATCGGTGGAACTCGCCTTCGGCGGCTTGGCGCTGCTTGAAATCCTCATCGGCTTTTCGTTGTGCATCTCGCACGTCACTCTGATGCTGCAGTAACTTCATCTCGGTCTCCTGAATTGAACTGCTGCTCTTGAAGCGCTCGGTAGCTAGCTCGGCCTTGAGCTCCTCTATTTGCTTCCGCTGTGTCTCATAGTGTTCTGCGTCTGGCGGTGCCATGTTCTCCTTGAAACTCTCGTGGGAAGACGCGCGCAAAGATCCTGCGGCGTTTTGACCATTGGATGCCTCCTGGCCACTTATTATATCGTACTGAGGCTGCGATGTCGTGCGAAAGGCCGTGACCTGTGGTAGAGGTGGTGGGTTAGATGTCAACTCCAGGCATTCCAATAGTGGTTCAACATGGTCAGAGTGATTGTTTACTCGTGTGCTTGTGCTTGTGCGTGTGCGTGTGCTAGAGCGCAACTTACTCTTGATGTCCTCATAGACCCCTGAGCTCGTGGTATGGCACCACCGCCCGAACTCTTTCGAAAGTTGCCAGTCATTGAGCGCCGCTTCTTGGCCGAGCCTCCTTCGCCGGGTGTATCTGCTGTCATGGTGAATAGGGCGAATGTTGCAATGCCATGCGCCGAATGTTTTGATCTGCTCCTGGCTGGCCTGGGGATGTTGCAGGGGTTTGTCCTTGGCGTCAGGACCAACTGCGAGCAGCTGCTTTGTACGTGTACGGATCCGTACACAAGCGGCTGTTGCTATCGTTATCGGTTATCGGTTGCCGTTATCGCTATCGTCCTCTCCTCTCGCGGAACTAGCGCTATCTCTCCGTCTGCAGAAGGCCTTATCATCCTGCACGTGATGCCAGTAGCTCGTGGCACGTGCGTCGCCTTCTTCAAGTCCGTGTTGTTTGGAGCTGGAGCTTGGGTGGATTGAGTTCAGCTAAGAAGACAACCAGGAACACCCAACAAAGGCAGCGCTCCATATTAGAGATTCTGTGCGAGCAGGCCTCAGAGAGCATCGAGTTGATGCCGTGGCCTAGGCTCTCTACAATGGACTCCTAGAAACCTGTTCCTGGACAAAGGACAACCTCAAGTGAGGCTTGACATGGCCACTCCCTTTCCGGTCTGCACAAGAAGCACATTGCTGGGCCAGTGGCACGCTTGTCGCACACATCGGAGATCAATGCTCTGTGCCCGCCTTCCCACCGTTGGGTTGGCTTGTCGGCCACTGCGAGCTAGAGCTCAGCTATTTCAGGGACCATCAGTCACTACTGGGACCTTGTTAGCACGGTCATTGTGACATTGCTACGGGGTAATGTCTAGCTGCCAGACAAGCTTCGATCAACCTGCCAAGTGGTAGAGACCTCTGCTGAGCACATTGGTCTGCGCAGGAACGGGATTGTATACTCCTCATGCAGAATCATATCGTTCGACTTGGTGAGACAAGATCCGAACAAGGTGCACCTGCACATAAGGTACTTCGATAGCTTCTCTCCATTACTGTGCAGCTTCTACAGTACATGCGGCTATTGACTGAAGTACCTGAGTACCAAGTATGGCTGGCTGAAGAAGTCATTGTGGACACACCCCTGTGAGCGTCTAGAAGCTCTACGTCAGTTCCTGGCATGACATGCGGACCAGGGCACAATCTCGGGACGGCTAGCTGCTGCTTGGCTTGGTAGCTCGCTCTTTTCCATGAGTGCCGGAGCTTATATATGTAGAGCTGACGATGCTCCTCCTTGGAGCGTCACTTTACTCCGTACCTTGCTGAACGCTCTCCGTTTACCCCGGCGGGTCCTAACTGATTACTCCGCCGTTCTATTGTTGTTGTTGTCGTCGTGCGTCCTGATTGACCGGGGCGCAAACCATTTATGGCTGATCGGGCAACATCATAAATCTAGCAGCTTTGCTGCACTCTACCATTTCAACATCTCCCACAACAAAACAACCGCGATCACGAAACACCAAACCATAGCAATTGGCCCCAGACACAGTCAGAAACATGGCCTTCGCTGCTATGCGCCAAGCCGTCATGGCTGGTGCCCGAGGAGGTCAGACTATTAGTCTTGTCCGAAAACTCAGCGCTGCTCCCATCCCGCGAATGAGTGTCCCCGTGAGCTCGACTTCGGGACGCTCGCTTCCGACGATCCCAGCCCGTCTCAGCTCGAGAACCTTTGTTTCGACATCTCGCTACTGTGCAGACGACCCGAAGAAGTCATCCGAGGATGCGCAGGCTACACAGAAACAGGCCAAGGAGGATGAAGCCGAGACTGCCACTGAAGCTACCAAATCTCCCGACTCGCAGAACTCGCCTCCTGCCTATGCCGAAGATGCCGAACCGCCTGCTTACGATTGGGAAGAGGATGCCGACTTCAACGTTGCCAAGTTCAAGGATTTGCCTTACACCAATTTCGGCACCAACCAGCACATGGTCATCGATCGCGAGTTCAAGGAGTGCCTCCGACAGATCCCTTGGAAGTTCCGCGCTCCCATCATGTATGCTTTCGCATATGGATCTGGCGTGTTCCCCCAATCCAAGGGAAGTGGCACTGCTACCGAGGCCGAAATCAAAGCTGTCCACGCAAAGGCACCCTTGGCTGTCCAGAAGGCCCAGAATGGCTCGCCCAAGATGATTGACTTCATTTTCGGTGTCACTCATACCCAGCACTGGCACTCGTTGAACATGATGCAGCATCGCGATCACTACTCGGGCCTTGCTTCACTGGGTTCTGGAGCTGTTTCCTCTGTTCAGGACAAGTGGGGCGCTGGTGTCTACTTCAACACATATGTCACGGTCGACGGCATCCTTGTCAAGTATGGTGTTGTCAACATGGAGACTCTCAAGCGCGACCTTCGAGAGTGGGACACCCTTTACCTTTCTGGTCGTCTCCACAAGCCGGTCAAGATCCTCCGTGACAACCCAGCTGTGCGCATGGCTAACCAGATCAACCTGCTGTCTGCTCTTAGAACTGCGCTGCTTTTGCTTCCCGAGACCTTCACTGAGAAGGAGCTCTATGCCACAATTGCCGGCATCAGCTACTTGGGCGATCCCCGCATGGCATTCCCGACGGAGAATCCTCGCAAGGTCGCCAACATTGTTGATCACAACATGCAGAACTTCCGCGCTCTCTACGCTCCTCTCATCGAGTCCCTTCCCAACGCAGAGTTTGACGACCCTACCTGTAAGAAGGAGAACTGGATCTGGGACAATAAGTCTGTTCTGAAGCTACGACAGGACATGGACTCTGTCAAGCGAGGCAATATGGTTCGTCGCCTTCCCAAGGCATTCCGATCCAAGCTGTATTTCGAGTACCAGAAGAAGTTCCAGATTCCTCAGCTCGAGTTCAACAAGATGATGGACGAGAGCAAGAACGACGATACCACTTCATTCAAGCGCCAGCAGGGTGGAACTTTCGAACAGCGCATTGCTCAAGATGACCCACAGGAGCTTAGGAAGATTGTTCGCAAGGTCATCAAGAACACTATCAATTGGCCCAGCACCTCTCAGACTCTCAAGGGTCCCTTCACCGCCGGTGTGAGCAAGACCATCCGCTACGTGCGCGAGAAGATGGCTAAGCATAAGGAGGGAAGTGAGCCCAAGGCAGAGGGCAAAGACAAGAAAGATTAGAGCCCTGAGCTTGGCGACCTGAAGCTTGGCGACCCGAAGTTTAGCGACCTGAAGCTTGAGATCGGCTATCTCGTCTTCCTCTATGTGATTACTGCTGGTGTCTGGATTTACGCTGCTGTCTATGGAGTCTTCTAAACGGCGAGAGTGCCGACGAGAACTGGAATCTGTCCCCGTGTGCATGGCATTGATCTGGAGGTTGTCTTTGAAGCCTTCTAAAAGGCGAGAAAATCGGAAAGGGCTGGAATTCGTTCCGTTGCATGGCATTGATCTGGAGTTGAAAGGCGTTTTTGAATGTAAATAGTAAGGCATTCAGGAGATGATCCGTCTATAGGCCTCCGTTTGTGAATAAAAACTACTTGACAAGTCCATGTCGATGGGTCGATGATATGTACATGTACGAGGTTTCCCTTGAAGTCTAATATAGAAGTGTTCACATCGACCCATAAATCAGTAATCGTCACAGCACCCAGATCCTGAAACCTTTTTGGTTCGTATAGAAAAGGCTGACGTCGGTGATCTACCAAGCCGCAGTTCTTCAAGCTAGAACTAGCCCACCATGAGAATCCCTTGTCTCAGATGTATGGCTTTCGTTTTACAGTAAAAAAGCTGCATGGTTGATTTGTACCCGGATCTATAACAGCACACTATTAGAAAGATTGGTGAACATTGTTAACAATATAGAATTAACGTTCTGGCTGGCTATCAACTGTAGGTTTCAAGAGAAGAGAGACCTGATACGAGAGACGCCGGTAGGCATTGATATAAACAATCGTGAATATCCGATGAAACGATCGAATATTACGCTATTGATAACTCTTCTATCGACGTCTTCCATATCTCTACAAGCCATGACTGGCTCTTGCTCGTTATCTCGCTCGGGCATAACGTAGCATCTAAGAAGCAATCAACGTTGCAAAACTAGGCATCTATGAAACCCGTTGGTTGAGTACCACACCAACCGGATCTTTTGTAACGTTGTCACCCCATTCAGCAACCCAACCGTGATCAGAAAGGTACACCTTCCACGCTGCATCGTCGTCGTCGAGCTGTCTCGAGACGTCAGGAATCATGAAGAATGCGATGAGAGCACCTAAAACAGCAAAAGCCGAGCCGATGAGGAAGGCAACTTGGTCTCCTTTCGACGAATCGGTATAGGAGTTCAGAATCGCAGTAAACACTTGAGTACCAATTGCAGCACCAGCCTTGGAACAAGCAGAAACGAGGCCCATCATCTGACCCCGTATCGAGGTCGGAAAGCATTCAGAAGCAACCAAGACTACTGTGGACCCAGGGCCGACTTCTCCAAGTGTCAAAAAAATGCCGTACAAGACCACGAACAGTGGAAACACTTCCTGAATCGGCACGATCGCGCCGCCAAGGATGAAACCAAGGACTGCTTGTAAACCAAACCCTAGTGCCATGGTCTTGCGTCGTCCGATCTTATCAGAAAGATAGCCTCCAATGAAAGGGCCACTGCGAGATAAGGTCAGCCCGACGGTCCAGGCAAGCGGCGCTCCTATGGACCGTGAAGTACTTACGGTATGTAGAAACAATTGATGACGACTCCCCATCCCAGATTCTTGACGAGGCTGTTCTCGGTGTTGGTGCGGGAAATGATGGTTGAGCTGAAAATGCCGAACGGAATTGAGATCCTGCCATTGCCTTAGTACGAATTCGGTCCTCGATCCTGATGATAAGAAGCAACTCACCAATTATAGAGAAACCAAGTCGCGGCACTTCCTATAAATGGACGCCAATATCGCTTAAATGCAAGCAAGTAGGGTGTTCTTTGCTTTCGCATGGCCGACTTGCGGTAGGCGGTAGATACGGCCATGCGAATACGGAACCAAAATATCGCCAAAGGCGGCACCAGCCCCAGTGCAAACGATGTCCTCCACACAATATCATAATGTTCTTCTTTCTGCCCGACACATAGAAGCAGCAACAGTGGAACTAACCCACCCCAGACATAGCCTAGAGAAGCAGAAAGATCCGCGATCATGGCAAACATGAACCCACGGTGCTTTCGTAAGCCATTGTTTTCGTCCGTGGCCTCTGCTGCACCAGCACCGGAGACGGGATATTCGCCGCCGGCTCCAACTCCAGCAATTCCTCGAGCGATGATTAGCATCCAGAACAGACCAGTCACACTTGTCCCGTTGGCAGCGGTTGATAAAACGATGCCAAGTACCAGCAAGATAGTCGTAGCAATGGCACCGGTCTTTCTACCTAGCTGATCAACAACGGTGCCAAACAGAAGCATGCCTACTATCATGCCGATCAAGAAGGCATTAGAAAGTCGCTGGTAGATCGATGTCGTCAACGCATCCGGATACAGGACAGCCAAGAGCAGCTCGACATTACCGATAACGGCAGCATTACTGTGTGCCATCATTAGCATGGTCTCTCAACGTTGGAGGCAACCATAGAATGCATCAACTTACTATCCATCAGAACCAATTGCCAGACCAGAAAACAATACCATCAACCAGACAGAGAGTTTATTGTAATACGTCTTTTCCTGTTCTTCTGCTGCGGCAATCTCTACATCTCCCACATTCGCAGTCACCTGCTGGTCATCCTTCTTCTCGAGTGAGATTTGGTCCATTTTGACGAAATCGCAATGAGATCTTTACAGGCTCATGCGATATACTCCTGAAGTCTTTTTCTGGCGTGCTGAAAACGTGACTGGAGAATTCCAGCCTGAATAAATCAATGCAAGGGAACGTTATCTAAACCCGTACGGCCAGATTCGATCTGACGTGCATACCATTTGCCGCGGCGGAGGCGGCCGGCATTCTCGCGGCCGAGTCTTGCTATCAGATTGCCATGACTTTGTCCATCGAAGAATTGCGCTTTCGGGAGATCCGACCCCGTAAACTCGGGGTACTCCGCATCAAGAGTGGGGGCTCCTATGGTCTGCCGCCGGCAACTACACTCTACAAACAGACCATATTGTCGAGGAAAGCAAGGATAACAGACAACAGCAGTGGAGAAACCGTGTCAGTACCCTGCTAGCACCGGAGGCGTTGCGTCAACAGAAGAGGTCTCGTGCAACACTGCGGTTAATAATCGGTTCAGCAGCGACCAGCGGGATCTGCGAATTGATGTGCGTCTCCTTTGAGATTTGAGATTTGAACTAGGAACCGGTTGTAAGCAAACACAAATCACGACCGTTCACGATGGGTAATCAGGAAGCGCTGGACATACCTGTGAAGAGGCGCGGAAGGCACCTCGGCCGTTCTATCTTGACTACATTCTTCGGCAGTCTTCTCTTATCGTCATGGATCTGGTTTCCTGGATCAATCTCAAGTCGGGACATAGAAAGCCATGTCGCCAAGGTGCAACAATGCTCCATCGGAAACCTCCATGCCGACCTTTCTTTTCTCAATCCGGCCATTCCCATTGCGGCCGACGAGTTTCTTGAGCGTCGAGACCGGCTCGCTCAAGCACTATATAGCAATGGCGTTGATGCCTTTGTGCTCGAGCCAGGTTACACATTCCAGTTGGTTACTCGCGACCTTAAGCTCCGAAGTTTTGGTGTTGCTCACAGGATATCAGATACTATGGTAATATCTCTCAAGTCGATTGGGAACCATGGGAGCCCGAAGAGCGGCCTTTCCTGATGCTTGTGCTTCCAGAAAGGTCCACATCCGGAGAAATCGTAGCAAAAACGGCCTTCCTCTCACCACACTTTGAAGAAGGAAGGGTGCGGATGTTGGGAATTCCTTCGCGAGAAACCGAGCTTGACATAGTGATTTGGGAAGAACATTGGAATCCATATTCAGTCCTTCTGAAGTCGGGACTGTTCTCAAGCAAGTCGCCAAAGCTGATGATGGATGAGGAGATCCGCGACTACATCGTCCGCGGCCTCGATTCCGTTGGTTTTGAGACCATGGGTTTGAGCCCCGAGGTTGAGTTGGTTCGACAAATCAAAAGCCCGGCCGAGGTCGAGCTGCTTAGAGCTGTGAACACTGGCACGGTGATGGCCGTCAGGGCGATGAGGCCATGCCTCGTTCCTGGTCTAACCGAGAATGAGGTGACCGCGATCCTGGACAACTCGCTAATTTCCATCGGATTCAGCAAATTCTTCAACATTGTCCTATTCGAGGAGCATGGCGCATTGCCCCATGGTGGATTTGTCACCGGCGGCAAAAAGGTTGCTTACGACAGTATGATCGTGATCGACGTCGGTGCGCACTACCTGGGATACTCCTCCGATATATGTCGCAGCTTCTTCATTGACCCACCAAAGACGAAGAGGTACATGTCCGTAATGGCTTCTCTGACGTCCGTTTTGGGTCTGGTTGGGTCACAAGACAGAGTCGTATCAGACGCTTTGGACCACCTGAACCTACACGCCGAAAAACTTAAAGTATGGGACATTGTGCTCGATGCACAAAGCGCGGCGGCCGCCGCTTTCAAACCTAACAACAGCGCAGCAAGCGTGGACATCGCCGCCAGAAATATCATCGAAAATGCGGGATACGGCTACGGGTTCACGCACCGGTTAGGCCACGGTATTGGCATAAAAGCCCACGAGTCGCCATACTTAAACAAATGGAATAAGGGTGTGCTGCTTCAAGCAGGGATGACATTTACAAATGAGCCGGGCATTTACCTCGAAGGGAAATTTGGAGTGAGACATGAAGATATCTACCTTGTGAAGGAGAACGGCGAAGCCGAGCTGTTGACGGGCGCGAGAGCTAGAGGGCCATACCAACCTTGACAACTTCGTGAGTTTGGATCATCACATACCGTCAAGGCAGGAATCGTTGCTGGACTGGATTTAATTTAATGAATTGTCTGAAAACTAAGTCATAGCTGGATTGGTTTGATTCATTTTCTTGTCGTCCAGCGGTGCTGTGCATGCTGTATATCTGTCGTAGAGCGGTTTTCTTGCCAGGTATGTCGTAAGTGAGCCAAGCAATCTGAGTAATTTCCGATGACGATCCTCATAACATTGTTTCCGTACGAAGCAGAGTATATAACCAGTGGACTGTGGCAGGTCGATGAACGTAGCTCCGGTCGTGATCTTCGTTATGCTGTTCCTGCTTCGGGGCCACCTCCTGCTTGTGCTCTATCCGCCAAAGAGTTCTCGGATCTGGAAAGCCAAGTTCCGTTGCTTGAGCATTCACGGTTGAGGCTTCGCTGGTGTTCCAACCAGTGCTAAGAAATGGGAAACGATCTGTGGAGTACGATAGGCACATCCAACGAGTGATGCCGGGCTTCGCCAGAAAGGCTAGGTGAACAGCAAGCACATGCAAGGGATGTATCTTGAAGCATGTTGTAGAAGGCCCTTTGAGCGAATCTAGGGCACAATCGCTGTACGGCAATGGTAACGTCACGTCATCAGCACAGCATATGCAGTCACTGGTGCTTTTATCTACGATGAGGTCGAAGCCATCGGGTACTCCACCGTCACGCGCAGTCAGCTCGTTAACAGAGCTGGCACAAAGCAAGTCTACTGCTTTCCATATCATGCCGCCCTCGCCTAGGTCGAAATGCTTGAGTCTTTTCTCGTGCTGCACACAGTTCTGGATTGCGACTTCTGAGTAATCCACGTTCGTCACTTGCTTTGCACTTTGCACCAACTCGCGCAAATGAAATGACAGATACGATGAACCGCAGCCAATATGTAAAATTCTTGGGTCTGCAGTATGCCTTTCAATGACTTTCGTGATATATGGGGTGAGGCTGTCCGGTGGAACAAGCCACTCAAAGATTGACTCGTTCTTAAAGCGTTCATCCCAGTATGCCTGCGTGCCGTAAGAGGGAGGCATGTTGAGATGTGCTCATATATCCGAATATGTTGACAAGAATTTGGTTCACTGTTTACAGCGGTGGAGCAGAGTGCAAATTCTGAAGCTTATGTGAAATAACTGAATCCGGCAGTGATCTCCCTGCTCTCCACCAGCTAGTTTATGTGGAGCGTTGGTGGCACTCCCCGGATAGTGGCAATGATCAACGTATGAACTCTTCAATAAAAATTCCAAGTCATATCAGAAGATGCACACCAAAACAGAGGCTTCAACACTGATTCGAAGTCTGCGCCAACTTGTGATTTTATTTGCATGGTTTTGTGTTTCTATAGCGAGAGTCGCGATCATAGGTTGGTTCAGCACGCTGACGAGACAAGAATGATATTGAACCTATCAGGCCTGCTCCAGGAGACCAGGCACCCAGAGTAGTCAAATACTTGAACAGGCTGCATACCCATAACATAAGACGTCATGTTGGAGGTTCGCTGCCACATGGGTCTATTTGGGGGTCCATTTCCTCCATCCTGATTCGTGTCTGTGATGTTGTAAGGATGTGAAACTGCATGTCAGCCATGTGGCAGCTGAGATTCGGTGCTGCTTATTGAAATAGCATGGCGATCTGACTGGTGCCCCCAGGTAGCAGTTCCATGCACGCCAAGCTCGGTCAATCATTGATCTTGCTGCACTACATCATGAGTGTAGCACGAATAGGCAGCGACGCGACCTCTCCCGACAGGAAAGCCAGGGAATCACGTACATAACGGTCAGACTGCCGAAGTCCCACAGCATCTCGGGGTCTGCAGGTCGTATCTCGTCAAAATACGAACCGTGGTGCTGGCACCGTCTGACACCACGGGCACGACGATGCGTAACCGTTGGCAAATAGCGGGTAAGGCTTGATTGAAAGGCTTGCTACGTATCCGTACATTCGCCAGAGAGCGGGCGACCTCGAAATAGAAAGTTTGGACAAACCCTGGCCGATCGATCCTCCCAGCTAAACCTCTTTCTACTATAGCTATTGTCTTGGCACCTAAACTCTAACAGACAATCCCCCTCCAACCCTCCTCCTGTCCTTGATTGACAGGTACCCACTCAAGTCATTGCCCATGGCGTGGGCTTGCCTGGGCTATTTAAGGAATGCAACGTCGCAAGTTTGCCTGCCAATTGACCGTCGCGCAAGCTTCTCTCTTCACAAACTTCGAAGAAATGCGCTCAGCGATCGAACTCGATGCAGGTTGGACCCCAATGCTGGACCTGCTTTCGAGGTCGCGTCCTGTGTGACGGCGGCTTCCCAGCCTGTTCAACTTGCAAGCGACACGGCGTGCAATGCCCTGGTTATGATGGAGCAGGAGACGCAAACGTTGTGCGGGGTGATGGTGGTGATGCAACACTGAAAGTGAGCACGCCAGAATCAAGTGCAAGTTATGAAGAGCTAGGCATGGAACTGGCTCATTTCACATCAGACCACGCCCTCAAGCCAACTACGACACGCTCACCCGTCTTCCATCAGCCAACGCCAGCCCTGTACCGCAAAGCCCAAATGATATTTGAAGGGTTGGATTATTGTACGTGCGATGCCCATTTTACAGTGCGTTCATGCCACTAACAGTCGTAGTCAACCAGATGATTTGTCCGGATCTCGTTTCCCTCGAGAGCCACTTCAATCCATACAAGGTCAATTTACAGGGCGTCGATAAGATACCGGACATATACGTCAAAGTTCTCGTCTCTGTTGCAAGTTTCCACCGACTCATGTCGGTAGGACCTGACCCTACGCCTTCATCGGCACTGATACAGAAAGACACAGATGTCTTTCAGTTGCGTGTAGAAGCTTTGCAGGGCCTGAATGAGCAGCTCAGCTCACCCGATCAGCAGACTAGTGATGCCACACTTTTGTGTGTTTTGTCACTCATGGTTGCATCTGCAAGTAGTCTCTGTTGTGCATCATTATGCGCGTGACTAACCTTGGACAACAGATTCAGGCATCTGCTTATACCGAATGGAGGGTGCACCTTGAAGGCGCCAGAAGAATAATACAACTCAGAGGCGGTCTGAAGAAGATCATCACTGTAAATCCATACTTTAAGCCTGTGTTGACCTTCTTCATGCTGTGAGTGCAGTCGCCCTCCCTAATATTGATTTGGCTAACATGGTCTTGAAGAATTGACGTCATGGGTGCTACAACCACACCGTCAAGCCATGCAGACATGCCACTAGCCTGCAATATGGCCATGAAGTACTGGGAAGTCGAACCTTCAGTATTCCAACTGATTGCAACAACCTGCATTCCATGTCCCGACGTCTTATTCCGGGTACTTATACTGGTCAACTACCTGCGTACCGTCACTTTCAAAGAGAACCTACGGGTCAGACGACAGTCTGGCACTAAGATGGCGATCGAGAAAGTCATGTCGTTCTCCCCTGCAGAGTACTCTGCAAGAATGCAGCAATTCAAAGGCTGGTCTTTGTCGGGCAAGGAAGTCGGCTTTGATACCAGCCACGAAAGTCCCCAAACTGTTTCAAGTTCCTCTCCGTCTTTGGACAAACAGTCAAGTGCGGATTCATCCCCTGCTACTCACTCGTCACCAAGGAGTGATGGAGACTTATGGCTTAGTGTTGGGGTGACGTATCGTGCGTCAACCTTACTTTACACGTTCCACACGCTAGTCTTTGACTGCGAAGATGATGCATCGATGCTTCTTCCTGATAACATTCAAATCAATGTCGTTGATTTGCGTCAGGAGACATTTGAAATTCTTTACAGTGCAATGGTCCCCGTCTTCGCTGATCCGGTAAGCCTGCACCAAATTGGTAAACTCATCATGTGGCCTCTGTTCATCTTGGGTATGGAAACCGATTATAGAAACGTGCACGTGCGGAGTTTCGTTACGAGTAGCTTCTTGACGCTCAGTCACGTCCTCGGTATAATGAGCCCTATCGGTATCATAAACGAACTGGAAACAAAATGGAGAATAGACGACGAACAAGGCCCGGGGGCTCATGTCAAATGGGATGATTACCTGCAGGGTAGAGAGGACTTCATTGTCTTCTGATCAGACCACGTGCGGCGTAACGTTTTCCATACATAATACGCATTGATCTTGCGTATTAGTCTACTTGGTGGCAAGCACCTGGGCATGAACAGAATATTTAAGCTTATTTTATGCTTATTGGGTGGGGTCAACGTAGTCTGACGTGGACTGTAAGGTTTAATTCCTTTGAATCTTACTGCGCCTCATCTATGCATGCTTCTTACCGGCTATATGCCCATATAGTGATAGATCCCGGTGCTGCAATCATCTGGTCTTTCAACGGGCCAATCCATCACTAGCTCGTACCTCGCATAAAGATCTTCCATTTAGAAAACGCGCCGAACTCCATGCGGGTTTCCTCATCTTAATTGGAGCAACATTTTGACCAGCGACCGTTATGCGCACTGAGAATAGTAATCGTTAAGAATTGAGCATGTTGAGCCGCTCACACATGTTGCGCAACCAGTAAACCCAGTGCCACCGCATTGAGCGTACTATCTTCATGTCAGCATGACTTGTCTAAGAGTAGTGACTGGGATTCTACCTTTGCTGCTGTGCAAGCCGATGCGCCGGTGGTCGTGCTGGACGCAGCAGTGCTCGTCTTGGTCGATGTGCTCAATGTGGAGGAGGACGCCTTGGTTGTCGAGGCTGCGGCCGTGGTCGTGCTGCTGCCTCCGGAAGCTGAGCAGGTGAAAGCGTCCGGGCCTGGAACACGTTAGCGAGCAGTTCAGAGAGACTTTGACTGAACCAATAGGGGATAAGCCGTACCTGGGATGTCATAGGTGCTAGAGCTTGTCATGGAGTAGATGTTGATGAGCAAGCCAGGGTCAGTCGCCTATCGGCCGTTAACTTAGGGTTTCCAACGTCTCCATCCATCACGAAAGAGTATCACTTACCGTGTAAATGCCTGGAATGCTGTAAGTCGTCGGTGAGACCGTGGCTTTGCCGCCGCTGACGTTGATCTGAGCACATTCCATCTTCGGAATTGTTAGCTTAGTTCTGCGACATTGGTTCTGGAGGTCATCGACACACGTAAAGTTGTGCTCCTTGGGCCGAGCTCGCGGCGTGTAGCGCAATCATTTCAGCACGCAGAAGGTATTGACCGTCGGCAATACAGCTTGGGATGGGTATCGCCTGCTTGCCGGCATTGTTGATGACCTTGCTGGTACCCCACACTCCACTGGTATAGCCATCTTCATAAATTTTAAACCTGTCGACCAGATTAGAGTACTATCTCTTCATTGCAGGTTTAGGTAATAGCTTACCAGCCATTCCCAACTCCACTACCACTGGTCGCATTATCTACCTTCTTGAGGTACGCCAGTGTGGGACCCAAATGAGATGCGTCCATAACATCATCGGCACCAGAAGTAAGGGTATGCCTCCAGGTTGCTGTTACAGTTGACCCAGCTGTGACATCTATGATCTTGTCGGACGGCGTCGTTGGGTTCGGGCCGCCGTTGCACGCAAGTGCGTCCGTGGTGACGTCCGTAATTGGGCCGTCGTAGGAAGGAACAGCAATGCCATAGCCGACGGGATTGGTGGTGCCGCCGCTCTCGAGCTGCACGAAGATTGTGTGCGCACTAATCGACGCGATGTTCGCAACAGCAGCGAGGAGTGTCTGTGACTTCATCTTGAATGCCGGCTACAATGCTTGACTAACAATAGCATGGTCATTGAGCCTCATCAGTAGCCACAATCTGGATGTGCTTTCATTTTAATATATTCAATCTACGGAACTGCGACTCTCTCTTGCCGTGGCACCGGACCGTGGCTCGCGGTCAGGCGACATGGTAGGCCCATTTTAGAGCTGGTATCCGCCAATAATGACACGTGCATTTCTTTCCTACGCAAGCATGGCACCAGAATGCAGGAACCTCTTCCAAAGACCGGTTACATCGGGTTGATGATTGGGTGTAGTGTGGGTGTTGCTAATTTGACGTCGTATCCCGGTCGCGGAGGGAGCACGTCCGGACCACTCTATCGGGAGCCTTCACGGAGGCGATCGTATCTATTCCGCTGCCAAGCCATCCGTGCTCAGTCTGTCGTCGTGAAGATTTAGAATTGTGCATGGTCTCCGAACTCAAGAAAAGACAGCCAAACATCTTTCGCTTCTCCATTGCGAATCTTTACTTCAATTCTCCTTGTGGAAAAGGCATTTGTCGGTGGAGCCGATCAAGTTCCACTAGACGTACCGTCATGCGGGCGCAGATGGAAAGCTATTTTACTAAATTCATGTACCTAACTCTATAACTGGAGTGTTTGGTGAGGTATGATGCGTGGATTATATAGTCAAATCTCTCGGTTACCGCCTACCCAAACTAAACATACCAGGCCTCACAAGTCCACCAAGCTGAGAAGCCATGTCACATCAGAACATCTCAAAGGTTCCCACCACGTCCTTTCACAAAATGCTCGCCCAGTCACGACTAAGGATTCCTAATTAATCGGTAAATATACAATCGATAAGCATTCAGCGAATGGACACAAAAGTCCGCATTGCTGTTCAAACCTTTACACCATGTGGACCGCAAAACCAATTCAGTTAATCCTACATTATGCCATGACTTTCTTTTAGACTGTGAGAGTCACTGTGCCCCAAGACCTTTGAACTTTTGATGACATTAAACACAAAGCTCACTGGCGTAACCCCCACCCCCGCTTCAGAAAAGGAATCCATCAGACTCGTAGTGGTAATAAACAGAAGACTTGACATTGATAATAACTTTGATGCTACTATACGATATTGGTGGAAGTGTACCACTCATGCTCATTATAAGTACAAATATTATATTCACAATCACTTATAGAGTTCTCCTGTACAAACTCAACGAGCGTGGTGAATTGGCGGTTTATCCGTTTCCACTTCACAGACTCATAGATGAGTCTACCAATAAAGGGAGTGTATGGGATTATAGTGTGTTTGATTGGTCAATGTCTTTCTTGGGGTATAAGCACGACTTGCAACCAAGCGGGTCCAAGCCGAAGCCGAAGCTGCCGAGAGCACATGAGGAAGTCCTCGGGATCAACGTTAGACGAGCAGTAAATATGATCTTGCGCAGTTCGCATATTACACCAGATGATTCCATGAATCTCTAACTATGCGTATGCCGATGCCTTGCAAACTTGCCGTCAATCCGTTCAAAGTTACAAGCATTCACTCAGATTTGTCCAATTTCACTTCACTTTTTATCGGACTTCATATACAACTGGCTAACTTACACCATGGACCTGAAAGAGCTGATGATTGAGGCTTTGGAAGCAAACCGAGATAATCATGTCCGCATGCTTCAGGCTTTCGTCAGGGCACCTTCGCCAAATCCACCAGGCGACACCGTAACAGCAGCAGCTATACTGACCGACTACCTCACTAGCAAAAGAATTGACTACGAACTGATCACACCCCGGCCCGGCCAACCTAACATCGTCAGTGAGTTCTCTGGTGGCAAGCCAGGACCCCGTGTCGTTTTGAACGGGCATATCGACGTATTCGCACTCGGACCAGACACGACCGGATGGGACAGAGACCCGTGGTCTGGAGACGTCGTCGACGGTCGCGTCCATGGACGAGGCGTGGTGGACATGAAGTCGGGCACGGCTTCGCTGGTGATCGCTTATGCTTATCTCTTCGAAAGAAGGGAGCACCTTAAAGGCAGCGTCGCTCTATGCGCTGTTTCGGACGAAGAGACGGGTGGGAAATGGGGAACCAAGTTCCTGATCCAGCAGGATAGAGTCAGATGGGGAGGTGATGTGATGCTGAGTGCCGAGCCTTCTGGCAGGACGATCAGGTTTGCCGAGAAGGGGACGCTCAGGCTAATTGGGAAGGTCAAGACCAGAGGCGCGCATGGGGCTTATATCAATCTTGAGTAGGATTTAGTGGATCTAATGCTGGAACTCACTGACAATTTGAAACAGCAAAGGTGCAATCCGAATCGCGGGAAGTTTTCTTGGAAAGGTGGTTGAGGCTGTGGAGTCAATGGAAGTAATCCCACCGGCGGATATCGCTTCACACTTGACAGATCCCAAGGTTTTGGCCGTGGTCGATCAAGTCATGGGCCCTGGCACGTCGACTATTATCGCTCGTCCTACAGTCAACATCGGTATCATAAGCGGTGGTACCGTAGTTAATGTCATACCTAACACGTGCACATTCGAGCTAGATATCCGTCTGCCTATAGGCCTCACGGCTGAGCAGGTTTTGGACGTGGTACGATGCATCATTCTGCAGTATCAAGACGCTATGATCAACATCGACAAGCGGGAGGCTGCCAGCAATCCGAGCAGCTTCTCACCGATTGACCATCCCATGATCAAGCGGCTAGCAAACAACGCGGAAGTATTTGCACCGGATTGTCGACCAGCACTTATTCCGTCAATGGGTGCCACGGACTGCAAACATTACAGATATGCTAACATTCCAGCTTATGGTACGTTCTAGAACAACTCTTTGCCCCCCGAAACTTGATTTGTGATGGTCATTGCATTTCTGCGTTCCGAGCCTATCACGAGGTGAAAGTGATGCTCGTGAGCGGCGTGGATGTTTGGAGGCACAACACGTTAGCCACTACATATCTAATTTACTAACGCTTCTTTTGTTTTACAGTATACGGTTGCAGTCCCTATGGTAGTAAGTGTGAACCCTCCTCCAAGCAGCCAAGCGTGGGCCAATACAGTATATTGAATTATCACAGTGGCTACGGTGAACGAGTCGGCGTCAATCGATGAGTTTGTGCAGGTGACAAAAGTCATAGCCGCAGCTACTTGGGACTTCCTGCAGTAGGGGTAGGTGCATGTAGATTCTTGGTCTCGGTTCCGCAGGTCTGGTTTGAGGGTTCGCTTTGCAATTTGCAATCGAGGGGTGCGAATGCGAGTTATACCTATCATAATAGCACGTTTCCCATGATTCAATCCCCAGCATGCAGGTATGTGCCGGTGATGTTCTCGATTCCGCCATAGCATAGTATAATAACCTTCGGGGTTATAGATCATGTGGATACCTGATTTGGATTGAGTGATTTTCTGTATCGCCATCAAGGGGACCTGAATGAATGATCTGATGTAAAGCTTTTAGCACAGGCAAACACGGCTCGGGTTCACGTACCCGGAAATCAGCGCTTATTCGCAGCGGCTGCGCAGGGGAGAGGGGTCGCACCCTATGAGGGCCAGGATTGGCGGGACTACAGGTGATATCGAGTAGATAGCCGCGTGATCGGCAGAAAGGAACTGGCAACTTGGAGGTTCGCTACCGTAAATAAGGTGACTGACCATCTACCTTGGAAACACAAGTTTCTGCAATTTGGATCTACAAACAAGATCTATAGAACCCAACCACTGTACCAATCACTACCCGAAGTATGAAGTTGACATACTACCCCGCACAGGCATCACCCAATGGCACAGGTGTAAGTCTTGACCTCAACTTATGGCAGCCTCCAGAGCTGACGCTCGTCAGTAGGTACTTGTCGTTCCTGGTGGAGGATACGGTTATGTTTCGCTCGAGAAAGAAGGCATCAGTCCAGCAGCATGGTTGAACGAACGAGGCTTTGACGCATGGACACTCGAATACACTACCACCGACACCGACGCACCTCCTATTTATCCTAAGCCGTAAGTACTGACCGGCTGAGCGCCAGCATACTTCCAACAGGTGCCACTGTGCTCCCTAAATCTTACAGAGTAGAGACTCGAGAGAGTAGTAGTTCACTGACATCTGGTTGCCTAGCATGAATGAGGCTCTGGACGCAGTGCGCCAAATTCGGCGCGAGGGTCGGGTTGCTAAGCTGGGCATCTGGGGTTGGTCGGCAGGGGGCCACCTAGCCGCTATCACTATCACCAATGCTGAAGCACAGCTGGATTTCGCCATTTTGGCATATCCTGTTATCTCAAGTAAGCGGGTTTCTGTTCGGGGCTCATGTCTCACCCTTTTTTATTTTTGTTTCCGGGATACCGGGATCTTCGAAGAAACAATTACTGATCCAAGATGCTGGTAGTGGAGCCTGAGACGACGCATTTGGGTTCGCTACACAATCTTCTTGGGCATGACGCCGGCGCTGGACTACGCAAATCAATGAGTGCCGAAAACCGTGTCAGCCAACACACACCCCCAGTCTTTATATTTCACACAGGTAACGACGCAGCTGTGCCTGTCATGAACGCGCTTTTGTTTGCATCGGCCCTAGCGAGCCACGGATGCGCTTTTCAGATCCTGGTCTTGCCGGACGGACCGCATGGCATTGGTTTAGCCCTCGACGATCCAAAGTTAAGTTGGACTGGGGAACTTGACCGGTGGCTGAAGACCTTTGTCACTGCACCCTAGGGGGCTGGCTCATGGCTTGCATGGCTTGCATGGCCATCTAGTACTAGGCAATTCTATGCAGCCGTACTAGGTACAGAGGTCCAATGCTTTTGCATTTGCTTTTCAGCAAGGCTGGCAAGCTGGACAATAATTGTGTTCTCCGGGTATGTGCTTATGTGCTTCCACACCTTTAGCAAGAGCCGTTCGAGTCCCAGAATAGAAAAGAGTGCAGACTCTAGACTCTCGACTCAACAGGCTCCACTCGGTGATGCCTGTCGCTACAGTATACAGATCCGTGCCGTCAGGAAGTATACGTTTGAACCGAGCGTTCACAATTTTTGTCCCACACGCCCCAGTAGGCCGCGGAGAGCTAGCCCGGAAGGTGTCCTAGCGCGTCGGTGCATTTTGATTGGCCAAGTGTTCTGGCAATGAATGCGCGCTCGACGAATCCGTAGAACAAACTAACCTAGATCAGCCCGCTTGCGTCCTTTGTACTGTACTTGCACGGTGGCAAGTGTCGTGGGGGAGGGGCTTTGGGTTTCCCTCCAAACTGGCAATGCTGATTTCAGAAGTCGATCTTCCAAGAGCTGGCAGATATCAAATTACCATTCCTCAGGATCCACTCCACCTGCTTGTTAGGTCGCCTAAGGCGCTGTCTCTTTGGTACCAAAATTACTCGAGGTTTCGTTCGGTTGTCCTGACTCGAGGAGAGCCAGCAACCGTACATATGTCTTCAAGGCAGTTGCGTGCCATTCAGCCACTCCCCATCCCACCACGAGACTCCGAATCAGAACAATCCGGGAAGAGAGGGAAGAACAACCAGGCCTGTAATGAATGTCGTCGTTCACGAACCAAGGTACCCCTCCATCCGCACCGCAATGTATAAGGATCTGCTACGGCTGACATGATGCATAGTGCGATGGAGGTCGCCCCGTTTGCGCGACCTGTGTGTCCAAGAAACGCCGTTGTCGTTACGTTGGCAACCAAGGTGAAACAAGGATAACGGCAAACAAGCATCGCCTCGAACTTCTTGAGAGAGTCTTCAATACGCTTCGGTCCGGCCCTTCTGATCAGGCCGTTGAAGTCCTCGATGCTATCAGATCGAGTGATGACTTGAGTTCCATACTCACTCGTCTCGCTGTCGATGGCCCTGATCACCAAACCCTGTCTACTTCCTCCCCGGCTGGCTCCTTGCAAATTGACACACCAGTGTCTGAACCTGACAAGGCTGCTGTGTCACCTGCATTATTGTGCACCAACTCGTCACCTTCCTTGACAGCTGTGTCCGATATCCAACCTTCTGTCCCAAGCCCGTCAGATGGGGTGGCTTCACGTCCACATCCAGCATCGCTCGGGGAAACCAATGTCTCTGTGCTCGCGTCATCGGGTGCATATCGAATTACACTACCTGATCCGAAGGAAGTAGACCGGGCTATTCGTGGGTTTTTCAAATGTAGTGGCAGACTGTTCCACGTCTTTTCCAAACCACAAATTTCGGAGTTCTTCCATTCTGTTTATAATCGTTCCGACGACCCGCTGAATGCCTCTGACTCAACTTTATGCTGTCTTATGTCAGTTGCAGCCATCGGTGCGCAATACGAGCACGGCACTTATGAATTGAAAACAGAAGCGGCATTCTATAACATCGCAAGACACTACTTCGACGATATAGTGCAGAGCCAGGGATTGGATGCCATCAAAGTCTGCGCATTGCTCGCGCTCTACAACATCTTGGCCAAAGCTACCGTGGCCCTATCATACGTTGGTGAGTCATCGGCTTTACCATATTGTGTCGAAAAACGTGTGTGACTTATAACAAGCTGTGACAGAAATCGGTCTCAGTCTTTCACGACAATTTAGCATTACTAATCCGGAACAAAAATATTCTGAGCTGTCACCCGCTACATTTACGGAGAGCAAGCATGCATGGAGGACATTGACATTTATGTCCAAGTGCGTTCATTTGTGCCAGTTACCTTGACTTTGGGCTTTACTGACACGTACAGTTGGCTCTCTTCCACCTTGGGCTACGTTTCCGGCAATGATATAATGCCTTACGAGACTCTACCAGTAAGTACACTCAAACTTGAGTGAGTCGACAAAAAGTAACGTTTCTTAGTTGGGACTTGCATCCAGTTCTGCTGATATCATTGAGAGTAAGTACATTGATGTTCACTGCGATCTATGGCTAATTCTGTGCGGTTGTTCAAAATGAAATGACAAACGTCGTCATCCTCAAATCCAAGATTCTGCGTTTGCACCTCGCGTTCAAAGATCTCACTCTACTGTCTGTAAAATTCATCCTCGAAGACCTGCAAGCATGGTACGGGAGGATGCCACCACAGATAAGACTGGATTATCCAGGACGAGACACCTTTGCGCCCCTGACAAAGTGGAGCATTTACCATGTACATCTTCTTTACCTTGGTGCCAATATTTTATTATATCAACGCATGTTATCTCAGCACGTGGAAACGTACTACGTCAACCGGGATCGAAGCGGCTTGTACCAGTCGATGGAGAAACTCTTCAGTGACCAAGGCGAACAAGCCATCTTAGCGGCAAAGGGCTCTGCTCGGATATTATCTTTACTACTTCGGGATTGTGGAGTTTTCAAGCGTTGCTGGCTTGTGATTTTCCAGTCCTACACTTCATGTTCGATCATCCTGCATTCGGCCATACAGAAGCTGAGCCACGGCTGGAAAGCATCCACATGGCAGGATGACTTGCAAAAAGCCGGTCTCTGTCTTACAGTTCTCGAATATTGTATGTCCTCAGATTCTACTGCGCTTGGATTTTATAAGGAATTGAAGGATGTCTATGATTATATCGACAAGCAGCCACAGGACTGCCCTCTTGGTACACAAGACCCATCATTTCAGCAACCACTCAGCGAAGCCAGTACCGTTGATGATACTATCGATGGGCAGCCGTTCCGCACCGATATTGGATCGTTGCAGAATGATTCCTCTTATCTAATCACCATTCCACCCAACGCAGAACCCGAACACAAAGAGCGATCCTATCGTATACTCGTTAAGCTTTGCCAGCCATTCGGTGATCCAAACCATCAGGGACTTGACATTTCGGACGTTAAACAACAACGGCGGGATGAGCCTACGCGAGGCTTGCACACATTGATGATGGCGAAACTCGACTGGGACTTGGAAGCACGCCAGCCATTTCATATGGGTCTTGGTAAAGCGTCTAGGTACTCCACCTCCCTCAACTCGTCTGAGCTGCCACCTTCCGTTATGGCCAAGCCAGATCAAGTGACTCTGCCCGGTCCAGGAAATAATTTTAGCAGTCGTTTCCTTGGTAGCATGGAGCCTTTGGGCTGGGCACGCTTGGAGGGGATTAGTTATGTCGGTAATGTTACGGTCAAGCAAACGGATATAGCCATTGATAGAATGGTTGTGGATTAGACCCAGCTTTGCGTATGCAACCTTGATCTACACAAAAGGTGGGGTTTCGGAGGAGAAAATACATGAAATCTCGTGGCCAGTACGAATTTGACAGCGTTGTCAGGCTTAACCAGGCTTCGACTAATACTCATCGGTCAACTTCGGAACCTGAATAAACACTGTCTTTCGCATTTCGGCGTGCAAAAAGCTACCTTCCAATTTCAGCCTAGCTATCGGGTATGCCACAGCTGGTCTGTGGGCTGGTGCTCACGTGATTTGTTTATAACGAATACAATTCGGTGTACATGGATTTGGTCCGAGTCGGAAATAGTATTGTACCACTTTTTAAAAATTCCTTACACGTATGGGCACGCACAGGTCAAGATCATATAAATATAATAGTGCTAGAATTAATACAAACTTTTTGGAAATTTATGGGTTTTGAGGGAACGACCCTCGCACCGTTTGAAACTTGGATGGGAAAATACCTCAAGCTTTGAAGGTATGAGAAAGATACATCTTCATGGCGAGGTCGGTTGCGGGAATCTATCTGCTGCTCTTAGAAAAAACTTCATAAGGGACACTCTCACTTTCCTCCACACAGATTAACTGTTCTTTGCCATAGAGTGCGCATGCATCACGCCTCTGAATGATCTGCTACACTTCAATTTACAACCCCTCCCCCCCGCCCCCGCGGCAGGGCTCTTCCAAGCAACATAAATACAACACTATTGGTAATATAAATTAGTCAATCCGTATTGGCAAGCACTGTCTGTGTGAACTTCGCTACGATGTGCAACTGCCTCAACAGGAATCTGCAGCGCTGTCGCGTTTTCTGACACCATTCTCGATCATTGTGGTGACTTCCAACGCCTATTTCGTGATAACAGGCCACTTATGTAGTTATTGTCGCAATATTAGACAGGTATGAGTTGGTTCAAATTCATCCCTCCAACAACAAAGCCTCCGGAGTCATGTGCGGCTCCGAGTCGATCTCCTGTCCCGTATTCTTATTCCGGAAACAATGTATGATGCGAGGATCTTTACTGGCCCACTCTCGCTCATAGAGCTCCCACTCATCAAGTAACCGATCTAGTCACGGATCGACATCTAACAGAGTTTTCGTGTCACAGTTCAGGAAACGAACCATTGTCACTAACCGCTGGAGTTCTTGTGCACTTGTACAGTCCAGGGCTCAGGCAACGGACCGAAGAGACTGGTCGCATCGTGGAAACCCTACACGAATCATTCCCCAATTACTTAGAGCGAATCATTTTCCTAGATTTCGAGCACGAGAGGAGCCTCGTATCCTAGCAAAATGTAGTTTCGTGTATCATCAGAAAGTAGAGACACCATGTTACGCACGTGGACGTGCCCCCGGATATCCCAAGCCAACATATCCTTCACGATATTCATTAAGATGTCGCCAGAAATCAAGGTAAGAGCAGTCGCTTCCCGTCCTGTCGGCAGAGCAATTCTTGGGATAGGTTATCTTGCTGCTGGACCAAACGAGGCTCCCACCGTCTTACCTCCTCTGTAGCTTCGTGGACTGCCAAGCTATCCCACATAGGCGCGCTGACGTTCTTGACGGCCGCGCAGTGAACCCCCCACGGTTTCCCTTCACCTGGTGGCTCGAATAATGTTTGCGATCCGAAGTACACAGCAGCAAACTACCGACTCATACTCCGCGTTTTCTTCAGGTAAGAAGCCAGACCCGGCATCCACGATGGTATTTCGATTCGTCGATCATGTAAATTACAAAATCTTCACATTTCAAGAGGCTCGTAATGGGTAGAGCAGACCACTGCCATATTTTTATAACCTTCCCCGGTTGGCCAGAAATCTCGTGGAAGAATCCCTTCCCCAAAGGTCCTCGGGAATAGTCATGAACTCCGTAGGCTCGGTCTCTTCTCTTCTCTTTACGCAGGGACAGTTCGATTTTAGCGCTGAACCTTATGTACCTATTTTAGACGCACGCAGTACTGTCATTCAAGGGTAATTAAGGCAGCCAAAACTGGCACTTACCCTATGGTATCTCATGAGCTTCCGCATTTTGTGCAAGCTTAGCTAAGGAAAAATCACAGTGTAAATGACGTAAAGCTTTACATTCGTTCGCACTGTATCATAGTTTACTGTCAAACAGAGCTAAATAAACACATGTTAGTCTTTAACTATGGTAAGTGCTTAATGAGCCATTATTGGACAGACTTTGGTCCTTAATACTGTGCGGTTCGGTACCGTGGTATCCACAAGTTACGCAGTATATATTCTGTCTACGTAGTACATCTACTTTAGATGCAGGAACGGCTATGGGTCGCTTTTCGGTCTTTCGTGTGTACTCAAAGTACCGCGACCTGTGACTATCAAAAACGCTATTTGCTGCTCATTGCACTAACCCAACGGGTTTAATCCTGCCCAGTTCTCTCATCTGCTTATTGCCATTCAACCAATGATCGTCCAAATTCAGATTTGATGCAGCCCAATATGTACAGCACGGTGCTTACTGTGTATCAGACGAGAATCGCTCCCATGCCAGACCCGCGTTGGTGGGCAGGCGGGCTCTCCGGCGGGGCGTAACGTTTTGCTTCTAGCGCTTGAGAACAACCCATCATTCGCAATTACAGAATGAGGACAGCGAGGTGGCTGCACATCGTTTCACGACAGCAAGGAGAAGATCAGCATGCTTGAACGAACATCAGCCTCCATTCAGTGTGATTTAGGGGCTTGCGGCTGAGTCCCATGGCAATACCCTGCATTGGCGGCTTCATGCAAGCATGGCTGATATGAACGGAACTTGGAGCTAAACCAATTCGAATCATTCGAACTGACCTTCATATGACACCCTGCTGCCTCGTCTGATTGTTAAACTCCCGTGGTCGACTCAGCCTCACAGCCACCTTGGCCGACGGGGTGCCTCGTTCCTTGCACATACTTGCAACAACTCCTCTCCAGGCGAAGGCTCTGTCAAGCAGAGGAACCTTGCACTGCTAAAGAATCAGACACTTCAAGCATCTGATCACGCCCTTCTCGACCTATGCGACAACGATGCGGCTACTTCAGCTGGGGGCAAACGATGAGTTGACCATTACGCGGGACATTGTGCCTGATTCTACTCCCTATGCAATACTTTCGCACACCTGGGGCACCGGAGGCGATGACGAGGTCACATTCCAAGACGTTACACAGAAGAAAGGCAAAAGAAAGCCTGGTTACCAGAAGATCCTATTCTGTGGGAAGCATGCCAAACGCGACGGCTTGAAATACTTCTGGGTAGACACGTGCTGCATTGACAAGACAAGCTCTGCCGAGCTCAGCGAGGCGATAAACTCGATGTACCGATGGTATGAGAAATCGGAAAGATGCTATGTATACCTAGATGATGTCGATGGGTCCGATCTTGCTCGATCAAGACAGATCTGCCTTTCGGAAGAGTAGGTGGTTAACGAGGGGATGGACGCTTCAGGAGCTCATTGCACCATCAACCGTGAAGTTCTACTCCTCGAATGAACATCGACTAGGTGATAAGAAGTCGCTCATGTGCATCATCCATGAAATTACGAAACTCCCGTTGCTAGTGCTCCAAGGTCACTGGAAGTCGGAAATCCCGATGATAACACGATTTTCGTGGTTCCGCCAGCGAAATACAACACGACCAAAGGACAAGGCTTACTGCTTGATGGGAATTCTGGGTGTTTACATGCCACCGATCTACGGAGAAGGCGAGAGGATGAGGCATTCATCCGTCTTTACAAAGATTTGGAACATCGCTATCAAGTAAAGCCTGGTAGGTATCAAATTCTCTTTACCGATGCCATGACCTGAGAATGAAACATTCGTCAAGCGATGTACTGACACAACCACGAAAAGGCTACACCAGATTGGAAATGGCAGCCCGGACTAGTCACGAAACGCTTCTTGCACTACTTCTCAAGGCAGGGGCTACTATCAATTCAAAAGACCCAAAGGGCTTTACCCCACTTGCACGTGCCGCTGAGTATGGCCATGAAGTAGCTGTCCAGGTCCTTCTCAACCAAGGGGCGAAGATCGAGTTGGAGAACAACAAGGACTTTTCTCCGTTATCAATTGCAGCGTGGAAGGGCCACGAAACAGTCATTCAGGTGCTTCTTGGCGCGGGAGCGGATACCGAGTCGAGAGACTATGATCGAGATACGCCATTATCAAACGCAGCACATCATGGTCACACAGCAGCGATCCGAGCACCTATTGACGGAGGTGCAAAGATAAACCCAACTAACAAATATGGCCACACTCCATTACGGCGTGCAGCTCAAAATGGTCACAAAATAGCTGCTCGAGTAGTTCAGAATGCAGGGGCCAGGTAAACCGGGTCCGGTGATCACAGCGTACAGTACGTTAAATAGATATGGTTGGGCCAAGGAAGTCAAATACTGAAAGTCGTTTTCGCCACGCCGGGCTATATCGCGAACAAATTGTTTACCATTTCCAAATATTTACTCCGTCTTGCCTGTGAACCGGAGCCGCGCTTGTCTATATAAATCCCCTTTCAATGACCTCTAGATGGCTGCGTTTTCGCTAATACTGCTCGCTGTGGTTTCTCGAAATCATCCAAGCAACCCAGGCAGTGTCTTCCTTTAAAGTAACTCGACAAGATAACATCAAGACATCGCACTGTACCTGAAGATGTCAACAGCGAAAGGTACGACATCTCGAAAGAAAGAGAAATGTGGTTTTCTGCATCTATTTGGTGAAACAGCGCACTCCAGTATTCTGCTGCTAAGGCTAGCGGGATCTTTAAAATCTTGTTAAAATATCTCTTACGAGGCAATTCGAGGTATTGAAGAGCAAAACCAAGCCAAAATTCCAGAGGTTTCAGCTCGCGATAGAGGGCCGTGGTCTGGAGGCCAAGGACGGATTCGATGCAGACGACCATTAGAGGTACGAGAAACCTATGGCACCAATCTATACGATTGCTGAAAAATAAATAGCACGGACTCAAAAACGACTTCTGGTATATTCAGCAGAGATCATGCCCTTATGGGGTTCATCACCAGAGTCGCGGATCTCATTGCCGAGGGGCGACTTTTGCAACCACAGAATAGCTAGGACTGCCGAGATCTGTGACTGGACGGAGCCTCTCGCAGGCAGTAGAACCTCTGTAATTTTCAATGGACTTAAGTAAGATTCTACCAATCTAAAGCCCGGCAACCTGTGCCCTCTGGTTCCTGTCCTAAGTGCCAGATGATCCTCAAAAAGAGATTTAGCGTTACCAGATCCGGTTGCTTTCAAACCAGCCATCGACCATTCGGCATTCGGCTCAAAACGAGCATTTTTAACCCAAAGGTGCTTCCCATCTTGAGGTGGCCAAAATGGTTGATTAAATGCTAACTATCCCTCGACAAACCTACTTCATTTTGCTGAGCTGAACCAAGAAGCCGTGCGCCATAGGCTTAAAGTAAAGCAGCAATGGAACAAATATGCACATACTGCACTAGAGCACTCAGTCATCATCAAGATACCTGATGGTTTAATGGCTTGAGGTGCTATGAAGAGCCGGAATTTTTTTAAACGACGGAGATACTCTAAGGCTTATTATCCGTCCCCTCGCGACTACACGCAACACGACCTCGGGTAAAGGAAGAAGCTCTTAAAGGAAAACAATAAAAAATAAAAGAATAGCAAGATTTTTATGCTGAAATAGTTCAACTTGCCCAGCTGGGTAATGGATTCTCCCCTTACCATGCTTGAAAAATCGCTGTTACATGTCATGCATGTTCTGCACCTTTTCTTATATCAACTGCCATTGCAGACAAAATCCATATCGATATCAGGCCAATATCCTCAAGTACTATACCTCGGAAACAAACCATACGTTCTCTTCCTTTTCGACCATTATGCATAAACCGAGTCCAAAGGTTTAAACTAGTTGTATATATCCATACTCATCGTTTATTTCTGTACAAGATGTGATGAAATACCTATAATTTCGATTCAATTAAGCTATGATCCCTAGTCAAGTGATTGAACATATCTCATCTCGGTGCGGGTTGAAGAAATAGGAGTCGAAGAAAATATAAACAGGACTGGTTGGCATGCTCTCGCCATTTGATTCGCAATTTTCCAAGGATTAGTTGTGTTTTGTTCGTAAAATACCAAACGACCAGTATTATGATAAGACGGGATGCAAACTGCACTGTATTCATAATACTGTAGGAATATAAGGGAACGCATCAGTAGGCCCTTATACAGATCTCGTGGATCAAAGAAAGCTTGAACATCTGAGTGTATTTAGAATCAATGCACAGAATAGACTTACGTGAAATAGCTGGTCGTTATACAGCAACGTGAAGCTAAACGGAAAGCCATTTCGAATTTGTGTGTGCCACTTCCTGATTACGGAACAAGCCTTCCTCTTTGCTCACCGAGGCAGGACATCATTAGCGGGCCGTTCCATGATATCAATGTCATGTTGGCTTTATGGATTGATTATCAAAGTTTGTTTCATTTTCCTTGTTCCTTTTACGGCTGCTTGCTAGGCTATGTATCTCTGGGCATACGTGCGAGACCATGTGTGAACGAAATCGCGGAGATGGTACTTTCAGGAAAGCGTCTCTCCCGTTCGTTGTCTTTTCTTCTTCTTTCTTTTCTTAAGACGACGCCGAACTCCGAACGCCTCTGATATGATAAACAGACATTACTGAAAACTCCTAGCGATGGTCGATTGAGGCTGGTTATGGCTAATGCATATGCCAGCTGTATAAATGTATTTTGCGAATATGTAATAGAATAACAAATATACACAGATTTGCACTTGATAATGGTGTATGCAATCTGACTGGATCCGGGTGACGTGTAATGTTACACGGTGCCACTTGCTGCTGGGTACCCTGGAATAGGTCAGTGATCTGTTTGTCAATAAAAAGGTTTGCCAACTTACACCAAGAACAGACCGCTATGATAAAGTAGAGGCATATCAGAAGGAATCCCTCCAGCCAATGACTCTCGCCGTCTGCGATTAAGTAGTTGACAAGCAGAACAGTAACAAATACGACCGCGACCTGGAAGGTGTCGAAGGACAGGTTCATATCCTCGATACCCATACCCCAGCCGATGATGACAAGCAGAGGGATCAGGAAGAGAGAGACCTGCATGGAGGAGCCGACTGCAACACCAATGGCCAAATCCATTTTATCCTTGATTGCAACAGTGACAGCAGTGACGTGCTCAGCAGCATTTCCGACAATGGGAAGCAAGATAAGACCGACGAACTCGACACTGACTCCAGCTTCTGTGATAGGCTCGATACCGTTGACCATAAACTCAGCACAGAAGGCAACCAGGACCGTAGAAAGGAAAAGGGTGAGACAGGCGACCCAGCCAGAGAGGGTGGCCAGCTCCTCCTCCTCCTCCTCCTCGTCTGACATATCATGTCGGTGCAGACCGGCCAAGGCTTGGTCGTTGTGCTCATCCTTCAGCGTACCACCCGGCCCGGCAGCGACAGCCGTCCCAGCTTGGATCAGTCCGTTGATGCCCTCCTTTGACTTCTTCCGGAGAGGTTGTCTCTCGACCTTCTGGGAAGGCTCATTAAAGACCTCAATATGTGTCTTGAGCTGGAAAAGAAGATAAGCGCCGTAGACAACCAGGAGGATCACGCTAGTTCCTCGAGACAAAGCGGCGACGTCTGCGTTGTCGACTGCCGCACCATTGGTCTCGTCCTCGCTTGCGTGCTGCGCGAATACGGTTGGGATAATGTTACTGGCCACAGCCAGTGCGAGCAAGCTAGCGGCAGTTTGAGCTACCGTCTTGTTGAAGTACTGGACTTGACGTCCAATACCACCAAAGAAGAAGCACATGCCCAAAACCAAAAGCAGGTTGGAGAGAATACTGCCAATAAGTGACGTTTTGACAACTTCAACCTTATTCTGAGCAAGCGCCTCAATGGCGACAATCAATTCAACGGCATTACTGAGGGTATTAGTTCCAGCTCAACAACGAACGTACTATAATTGTACTCACCCAAAAGTCGCGTTGATGAGACCACCAATCGTCTCACCAGTTCTGAGTGCAACCTCTTCTGTTCCGTAACTAAGAAGAGCAGCCAGCGGTATGATGGCAACGAAGTTGACTGCAAAGACGATTTTGCCATCAATACCAGCATAATTCAAAGCGAAGCCGACCGGAACAGCTATCAGAAGAACGTTGACCCATGAGTTGAAAAGCGTCGCCCTGATCTGGTTGCCCCATGTGTATGGTTCCTTGGGATCGACATGCCGGATGAACCCAAACCTCACTGGATACTCCTTCTTAGGCTCTCTTTCTGCGCGTGGCGTGTTCGGTCGGTCGATTTCCTTCTCACCAGAACCTTTACGATTCCTCAGTGTTGATTCCTCAGCAGAGCCATTGAGAGTAGGACTGCCGGCAGATGCGTCATACGACTCTTGGTTTGGCCTTGACGATTCCGGGGCAGAAATGAATGGCCTCAGGTTGCGTTCCCCTGCGGTTCCACTCTCCAGATCGGTGGTTGTACTTGCGCGTTTAGAATCAACGGTGCCACCAAAGAGATTCCATGTGTGCTTGCGGCTCTCTCGCCTTGCGGCGGACTTGAACTTGGTGAGGTTGAACGCTAATCGAGTAGGGTTATTAGAATCTGACATTATGGTTGGGGGTGGCTTGACGCTGGCTGCTCAATGAGCTTTGGCGTGCGCGCGGATTTGGTAAGAAGAATGTCGATGCCGGCTATAACATCAAGCCACGGTGACGAGAAACAACTTTTGCGACAAGGCAACACGAATGAGGTGGAATTGTGCAAATAACAAACAAACAGGAAAAGAAGAATAGAAATGAAAGGCAAGGTCGAAACGCACCACTACCATGACATCGAGCATCATGGTGGTGTCGTGGACCTTGAGTGGGGAGTGGAGTAAGAAACAGGCTTAAACGCAGGGTGAGTCGCCCGGTTCGTGAATCTCGGGGCTCTCGCCCTGCATGCGTCTAATAACAAGCCAGGGATGATGCTCTCAGGCCTACATGTGCATACACTAAGGATCCCTCCGCCTAATTTAGGCGTTTGTTCTGTTCGAACTCACTCGCGCAACCTGGGCTGCTCGTTGTGCTGAACAAGGTACCAAACCATGTGTTCGTTGAAGGGGGAGGTGTCGTGAATGAAACATGTCGACTTACAATTTCGATGGGACTGGGGAGCCATCTTGACGTTTCTTGTCTGGTTTTCCTGTCCTTGGTGGTCCTTCGGGCAGGTGGGAAGTGTTCGGCTTCAGCCGAGAGATGGTTCCGAGGAGTAAGCGACTAACTTCAGCGGTTGTGTGACTTTTAGTATCCGTTGTCACCGGTCGTCAGGGTCAAGGTCGAATGGCGAATTGTCAATCAGTGTCGGAACCGTCAAGTGCTGGGGCAGCGCTTATGAAGAAAGCTCCGGAAAAATTGTGGCCTCCAACAATTGCCGCTGTGTTCCTGTTCTCTTGAGCTTCTGTACTCAGCTTAGGTCGCGCAACGTAATCGTCAAAGCCGAGATAGTGGATGTATTGTTGTTCTGCAATAGTGCAAAATACACCTTGGGGCGAGGCAGTGTTTTTTTTGTTTGGCGTGGGGACTTTGTTGACCTGAGGAATTCCCGGCGGCAATAAAAGTGGTCGTTATAAAGAACAACAACGACTGGCACGGGACTAATTGAATCAATCACGCAACCCGATTGCAAAAAGGGTTGAAGGTGAATCAATTGGAGAGCAAAAGGGCCAGGAACGACAAAGTGAATTAAGATTTGGGTGGGACGTTGTCCATTTTGAATCACAGAGCAATCGAGACGCTGGATCAAAGGGGCTTCTCGTCAATGCTGCTTATTATGGCCGCCACGTTAGGAGTTTGTACTAACAGATCTGGGGAAAACAAGATCTGCTAATTTCCCATTTTGATGGCTGTATCCATTATGCAAACGCGCCAAGTAAAGAACCTTTCAGTTGTTATGAAGGCCCATCCATCCAGGACCACAAACACGTATACATACCCCAGTTGCGTTGCAAGTTGGCCCCAAGTGCTTGTTGGCATAATAGATCGCCTTTCATCCGCCGAACGTTGTTCGTGGCCTAGTCGGTCAGCACACAGCTAACGAGCTGCGCTTACGATGAGCTGCGCAAAGAATACCATCATATCTTGGGTCTTGGGGCTTGGCTCACAAGTGTTTGCCGCCTACAGATACATGCCTACAGATACCGTCTCCCGAGGTGTTCTTTGACAGGGACCCTGGAGGCCTCTGGGCCATTCAAGTTGATGCAGATCTATCTAGACTAGCGGCCATGTCCAGTGGGCGAGGACGAGCGATGAGCGCATCGTCATCAGCAACGTCCCAACCTTCATTAAAAGACGGGGGGCTGCAGGTGGGAGCTGCAGGTAGAAGGTCAAACCAGGTGGTATAAGTGCGTGAATAATTATGTTAGTGTGATGTCGGCTCAATATCCTTAGAATACACAGGCCTTGGCATCTAGCATGGCTCACGAAATGACAGCATCGCATCGCGCGTAGCAAACCGTCTCCCAATCCCAAGTGCAACAATGTACCGCACGTGTCACCATTCCGCGAAATGGCTGGTGCAACGAAGTACGTTCACGACAAGCAAGCAGACAAGCTCCCCGTATCAGACTCGTTTTTTTGGGATACAAAAACCTTGATTCCCCCTCTGACTCTGATTGACGCAGGTGAAGCAAGTATTTGGTCATGACTCCGGAGCTTTTGTGATTCAAAAACTACGCACCTTGGGCCTGGCCCATGTCTGCACTATGACGGCAGCTCCACCTGCCACAGAAATCGCTGACTAGCGCCGACACCATGAAACGGCAGATCAAGCTTCTGGATCTTCCCCCCTTCAACTCATGCCCAGCAGCCCCCAAGACCTTTGACCTCACCACTGCCGGTTCTGGCCAACTTCTGCTTCGCCAATGTCTGACTGCCAACTCGCCAAGTTCGCCCAAGCATCACGTCCAAGAAAGCTTGTCAAAGCTTCGTAACGGGCAAGAAACATCGCCAACTTGGCTGCTTGGCGCATTCCAGCTAACAACACACAATACTCTTAGAAAGAAGCCAACGCCTTGAAAAATTGCGACCTCAGAACAAGAACAAAGCGCGCAACAACCTCGCCGCACGGATTGCCGTTCATCTGTTTTGAAACAAACAGATAAACAAACAGAAAAAAGCCGCTGACGGAATGCACCTTGCCTCCAAGCCCTGCAGGACACAAGAAAAAGGTCCCCCCCGCCGCAATTGTCAATCAGCAGTCAGCCACCCTACGCCGCAGGGCCGCATTACTGTAGGCAGTCACTAACTAACTAGCCACGGCTCCATCCCCCAAAAAACAACGACATGCTAAAATCAGGCTGTGTTTTGGCCAGTCAATTGCTATACTTGATCAGAACATATTTTTAACACATTGTGCCACGCTCGGTTATTATTGTAGTCGAAGTGTTTGCTGGTCCCTGAACACAGCGGATCCGATGGTTTTTATGTATTTCTTTTATTTCTCATCATAAACATGTAGGTAGCACAAGGAAGCGCCCTTCCTATCAATTCCTCCGTGCCTCCTCCCTCGCATCTGTAAATACCTCCCATACATCATATGTATGGTAAGCGTCATCAACACACGGTCCCCCCAAAGCAAAGCTCCCTCCGATCAACCTTGCTTGTATTGTCTGTCTCAATTGGCCGCCCGAGGCCCGCTTCCCATCAGGGCCAAATGAAACGAGCACTCTTTTCCAGAAGCTGCATGTGCCTTGATGTTAATCCCCCCAATGAGGTCAAGCGCCCGTGGTGACATACGTGTCACTGGCGCCGCCGGCCAATCAGATCGCGAGCGCATTCCAAGGGTTTGAGCGTAATGAGACCCGTCTCCGTTCGAGGCCGAATCATCATTTTTGAAAACTCGATGACAGACGACGTGGCTGTGCTTGCGCCTCATAATCTACCACCTGGAGCGACGTTACGTAGCGTATCGTCATCATAAACGGGGCGAATGGCAGTTCTTTATTGAGTAAGCTTTCCGAGTTAGGCTGCGGTGTGCTTGACCGCTATCCGTGTCTCAGCTAGGTATCAATCAGATCGGAGTTATCGTGCCTCCGGATGGTCCAACATCCAATCCAATTGCTGCGGCACATGCCTCATTATCATATATGGACGAATCCCGTGTTCCATGCTGTCACCCTTTAATCAATGCAGAATGCCGCGACTGCTTGTGCATGCGACGTAGAGACAGACATGTGTATGTGTGACAACTCCCGAGCCTCGTTTCCGTCACAAGTGTTGAAGTTGCACACTACCCCTTCTGATCATGAGTGAGCTGGCTAACGTCGGTACCCCAACACGTGGAGTGGTCGCAGCTTGGTGCTCATTTGCTAGAATACCGGGAGGCAGCCCCAGCACCGGGATACCCGCCTCGGGCACCGACTCGTGGTCGCCATGCGCGCTGCTGGCAGGCGTCGCTGCGTTTGCTCCCCATTCGAGGGCCTCCTTGTAGAAACCCTCGAGGGTTTCCTCACTGGAGCAGAAGCTCTCCAGCGCGTCTACAAGTGCTTCGGCCTCACCCGTCGTTAGGTGTGGATTGTGCGTTGGTGTCGGCTTTGTCGCGCAGAGTCGGGGCGACATGTGTGAAGGCATTGATGGTGGAGGATCTCTAGCTGCCGTTGAGTGCGCTGAGAAGAGAACTGGTCGGAACATTGGACTTGCAATGGGCGTCGGCTCAGCCATTCCGTAGCTAGTGTACGACCCAGTAGTCATGAGACGTGCTACTCGATCGTTTGTAGGTGGCTCTGTACGTTGTGGGGCCTGCTGTTGAACAGACACTGCTCTGTTGCTGTAGAGTCTGTTGACCAGGCATAGCAACTCACCATCGTCTGTGATCTCTACTAAAAGCATCCCAGTGCGGTGGATATATTGTGTGTACTTGAAGTCAGGTTTGCCCCATGAGTAACTGACATCCACATTGCTCGGAAAGTTCGAGGCAGCCTCCACATCGAGGACAAAATCGAACCTTCGCAAGAGCGCCTTCTGGTAGTAATGCTTTCCCGGCTGGGTTTGCGCAGAAAATGAGTTGGGATCGTAATATGTGACTGGTCTTTGGCTGGGCGGCGGCAATGCAAGTTTGATGCGATAAGGCCTCCTAAAAGGAGTCTGGTCAGTGATCAGGCATGCCTCACGAATGGGCACTTCAACGAGACGGAGACCGTGCTGTGCGGCAAGCGTTGCCCAGCCCTTGATAGCATCCTCGATGAGCTTTGCCGTTACACTCATCCAGTCTATACGGATATGATAGCAGTTGTCGGGATTATGCAGACGGTCATAGTGCAAGTTAATCCGCTCAGGTCTGTATGATCTTTTTCGATGGTCTACGTCATACTTCATGACCTTACTTAGTGAAACCTTTGGTTTTCTGCCACTGAGCAAGGGAATAGTTGGCGTAGTAGCTCCGGAACTAGGTGATGCTTCCTCGTTGATAGAAATAGGCCTGGATACAGGATTGAGCGAATATCGCGGTGAGTCTTTGGGCCCTGACTCAACAGATGGCGTAGGAGGCACAGAGTGGTCTGCTCGCCTTCTCGTGTTGAGCCAACTTGGAGGTTGAGGCTTAGCATAGTCGCTGGCGATCTGGTAAAAGTATTGGCCGTCGCGGAATTTGTGCCGCCGCTCAACGTGGACAAAAATGCCGCGCTCACGATCCTTCCTCGCTTCTCTCCCAAATTCTCTCTCTCTTGACTTCTCGTCTTCGTAAGTCATGAGAGCCTCGCCAAGTTCAATGGCTTCTTCTCGACTTTCGAGGTCTTCAAAGTTGTCTAATAGCCATGTAGTCATGTCAGATCCAATAAAGCAGTTGTAGTGGAGTCGTAAGTGCCACCTTCGATTCTGCATTCGAATTCCACCTTGGTCTACTGGCTGTTGAATTGCCTCGGCAAGAGTTGAGATGTTGAAGTTGGATTTCGAGAAGCGCTCTCTGTCGGAAACCAAACCTTTGCGGGCCGAGGGGTCCAGGGTTTCAAAAAAGGGCAATGTCTCCATTTCAGCTGTGACGACCACAGATGGATCTTCTGTCTTGTACACAATATCAAGAGGATTGGGATCTCTCGCCTTTCGGCCAGCACTTTGGAAATGTCGCTCAGATGGTGGGAAATAACGATGGCGCTGCCAAGCCTGAGCTAAGCGTTTGATGCCTTCTAGGCGAATCTCCTCCTCATTGTCTGCACCAATATGAGATTTGGACATTGATGCCCTCGAATTCATTGGGATCAGCACAAATCGTGTGCGCCAGAACCGCAGATTCTCTGTCATTTCCTCAAAGTGCCCTGCCAGATAGGAATCTATGTAGTTCCAGTTCTTCTCGGGCTTTGGCGTTATGATGTCAATTTCTCGTTGCTCGTACGCTGTATGGTATGTGGTACGGATTGCTGGTTTGTAGATCGGTGGTGGTTGATCGGCAGGCAGGAATGATTCGGTAGGTTTGCGTAAGAAAATAGTCACCTCAACTTCGGTGCCATTAACACACGAGAGCTGATGTATAGTATTTCCAATGCTCATGAAGAGGCTCGTTCCGTCTTCCACGATACGGTCTCGTGAGAAGATATCGGCGATTTTCATAAGTTTCTGCCCAAATGCTCTGGCCACGGTCGAACCGATCACCACTTGGAAGCCATGCGCAAATCGCGCACTGATAAGGTCTCTCAGAAAATCTTCTCTGGACTTGGGCTGCTCAGCTAGATCATCATCAACATCCTGCGAAATATTGTATGGTTGTCTCTGGTATTCGGTATCAAATTGAAGCTTGGAAGGAAAATGTTCGGTAGTAAGGGGAACAGCGGCGGGAGAGGATAAAGACTTCCACTTCATGACTTTCATGTCTGACGGACGAGGGAACACATGTTGCCATCTGCTATAGAGAACTGCATCGTCAACTTTGTTGACACTAGGATTTGAGGGGTTAAGCACAACTAGCCATGGAGCCATTGCTGTACTAGGTGAAAGGGTGGAGGGCAGCTCCGGCACCGCCCCAGCCAGCAATTTCGACGTGAAAACTCTTTGAGCGTCATCAGCTCGTAACATGTCGGAAAACTTTTGATCCTGGTCCACCTGCTGTCGAGAGGTTCTTGGTGCAGGCGTGGCCGTAACTGAACCACTTGCCAAATTTGACCCAGACTTAAGCTGGGGGATGGAATCCATATTAGATGTCGGTTTTATGTATATTGGCCTGCTTGGTGTGCCCTGCACTAGATCTTGAAGCTGGCCAGACAGATTCGACTTCGCTTGATCGAAGGTTCGAACCGGCCGCCCTGTGGCGATGAGCTGCGGAGATCTTGGCTCGGCAGTTGGCTTTCTCGGAGTCTGTTGAGAAGTTTTCGAGGCTGTCGGTGCTTGCAGACCAGCATGTAAGGCATTGACATTTTCTGCCTTGATCTCGGCGACAGCAGCTTTCGGAGCTGCAATTCCAAAGCCTTTTTGCCCCAAGCTTATCTGCCTCATCAGTTTAGGCATCTTGATATTAGGCATGAGTCTGTAGTGAGAAGCCGAGGCCGCAGAGTCTCTCCTGCTGGATACTGCTGTATCGGACGGCGTACTCTCCGTTCGGCTTATCGATGCAAGACTGGAAGAAAAATTGGCGGATGGATTGCCAGCCTTCTTATCGCCAACCGAGGACCCAAATAAGGAGGTGTCCTCCTTCAAATGTTTTCTGGTTACCTCTTCTAAATTTCTGGCCGACCGGGAAGCCGACAAAACAATACGAGATTTCGGGAGACGCGAACGATGGTCGTCAAATGCCTGCAGCTGTTTCCAAATAGACGTTTCACCAGATTTTGTGAATTTATCAGGATTGAACTTTTGGAACCCATAGACAGGCTCATAGAGGCTATCTATGCCCCTGGCCCTAAGAGCCATGGAAGACTTGAGAGAGCTTTCATGAGAGTGCTTTGTGGTATCTACGCCGAGTGCTTTCTGCGGGAATTTGGGATCTGCATAAAGTGGCGTTGTCTCGATCTCGTTGTTCTCAAGCACACTCCGCATTTGCAGCTCATACAATCTACAGCGAATGGTGAAGTTTTCTTGGGAGTCTTGGTTGGTCTGTTCCGACGCTGAAAGCGATATGCCCTGGTATGAGAGAGCCTCTTCAGACTGCCCGGTCCAGTACGAGACATGCAGCCATTGTGGTAGCGCAAATGCCCACTCATCGGTATAAAGCTTTGTGAGCGGCTCAATGCGAACTGTGCCGTCACTAGCTTTGGTTGGAGACAGAGATTCCCCTAATGTGGTATAGCTGCCGACCAAGGGTGTTGGTACCTTTGGAGTACTGTCGCGACTCCGTACCGAGCGGGACCGTTGGTTTGCCTCTATAAAAAGAGGGTTCCTGTACCGAAAGAGTGGCACAGAGTGGAGCGGGATTTTAGGGATACAGATTAAATCAATGCCGATTCCATTGCCGACAAGAGCCTCGGTAGTTCTTCGGAGGTTTTCGTACTCGACTTCGAAAACGCCCGAACCTGGGCTAATAACCACAATGGAGATTCCGGTTCGCAGTAGATCTCTATCAATGTAGTCATGGGCATACTGTGATGAAGCCAGGTTGATGGCCTCAAGAAAATTGCCATACATGGCGCAGGATGACTCGGCTTTGATCTTAGTGGCTTCGTTGGCCTTATCAATGGCATCGTCCGGGAGGTTCATGGCAGCGCTCATGGCATCTTGATGGTGAAGACTAATGTCCTTGCGGAATGCGTTGAACTCCTTTTTCAGTTGGTGCAAAATTGTTGTCCATTCTCCACTAGACATTTCACTCACCACAACGCGGTAGAAGTCCTTGTAAGGGCGCTTGTCTCCCGATGTCTGGTAACCAGTATAGTAGTCGTTCATGACCTCATTGCTCGCAAGGTCCGTGGTCAGACCGGTATCGTACTCAACTCTAGCGAAAAGCACAATGCTCACAAGGTGCTTAACTTGAAGCATGGCCCACTTCTTGAACAACGCCGGCAAGAAACCATTGACGACTTTTTGAAACATGATCTCACCCGAATCATCCGGATCGAAATCCCACATCTCGCGCGCCATCTGGATGAACAGAACATAGCGAGCAGACTCGCTCCTGAATATGGGACGGGTATTGTGACAGAAGAAGGCCGACTGGACTTTGCGACCGTCCACGAAAACTGATGTGACGGTCGCCTTGATGGTGCCCATGAAATACACCACTTGGCCCTTGTAGACCGTCTTGTCCACGAGTTCAGCGACTGCGAGCCTCCACATGTCGGCGCGAGACAGGTACATATCCCTAAATGAAAGCTCTACGTGTGAGGCTTCCGTGGCCGGCGCCACTTCGTCGACTGGGGCCAAGACAACGGTGGTGCCTCTCTTCATACCAAACGTATCTCCGATGTGCTTTGCAACGTAGACTTCAACGCCGGGCTGCCGAGCCTTAAGCTCTTTAGGGACATCTTTCACCACGAAAATGTATCGTCTTGCGCTTTCGCCGCCCTGTCTATGGAGCTCGTCATGCTGGGCCGAGAGGGCGCGATGGACGTTGGCGGGTCGCAAGGATCCGTAATTGACGCTGGAGGAGCGATCTTGGTCGGATCTGATGGGCGTTACCGACATGAGACTGCCTGGTGTGATGCCACCGCCGAGCAGTTCGAGGTTCAGCAGAACCTCTTCACCAATGACGGACTCGTTGATGGACACGGTACAGGTGCGCTCGAGAACTCGCTTGGCGGGCGGGGCCTCTCGGACGGTGGACACGCTGGAGACAGTATCCGGCGATCGCGGTGAGTCGAGCGGCGTCTTATCGAAGCTCGTCCTGCTGATTTGTCGGAGATGCGAGGTCCATTGCGCCGGACTGTTGCGCCGAGGCGCTGAGGGGGATGTAGTGGCATTTCGAGACATCTCGACCCTCCGTCATCCTGTGTCCAATTGCATGAGTACTCTGGTCATCTGTCAGTCGACACGGAGGAACGCGGCTGATGGCGTCGCAATTGCAGATGTGGGCTTGACGTGAGGAGCCGCTGGAGGTTTTACTTAACCTTGGAAGCTTGTGCTGAGAGAGCTCCAAAGTTGGGGGTGGATCGGCTCCAATTTTGCCGGCTGCTGCCGCTTTTCCGTTCGCTAACTTGATCGCTAACGGAGCGCAGTACTCTGACTTGGCAGGCGCTGTGGTTGACTAAAACTCTTGGGCATGCATTCCAAACAGGAGTATCTAACCTGGCCTTAGGTTATGTAGTTGCAGACGCATCACCATATACGTGACAAAATATGTGCGCATTCCATTCTATGATGAGCGAACTCGCTTGAAACCTAAACATTTGTTGCAGTGCTCGTATGCTTCCCAACAGGATCACCCGTCGTCCTCCACAGTATACCATCAACGTGTATAAGCGACAACAAGAGCGTTTGAGCTCTGACCAAAACATGCTTGCGTAATGTGTTGGGCACTGCTCGTGTTCAGAAAAGTGGTGGCACAGGCTTTGTATAGTTAATGCAGAACGAGGTCATCGAATGGACAGCCTTGATCCGTGGACTCTCTCTTCGTTTTTTGACTCACAATCTTTCTTGTAAGAGCCATCAGCCGATCTCCGAGAGCGTCGTCTTGAGACATTTCACTGCCAGCCTCTGGAACACATGGCGGGCAAATATACTGCCCTGACTTGTCCGTGTATGTTGCTGCAAAGACGGACGACACACAGCCCTCGAACTGATTTTTCTTGAAAGGCTCCATAAGTACCGACACGGCATACCCACCAAGAGGATAAGGCTCGTGGATATGCTCTTTGCTTTGTCTCGTGCTTACAACGCCGGGATGAGTTGCGTTCATGACAATGTTTGGGTGGCCGTTCTGGGTGACATTGCGGTCAAAGTATCTTGAGTAGAGGATCTAGAAATTATATCTCAGTAGTCACCTTGAGAGCATGATGCATTGGGTTCGTCACAAACGACTGCGGGCATTAAGCTCATTCGAGAAGAGCCCGCAGGCCTTTTGTAGGTTGAGATTGGATCACACTTACCGCCGCAAGTTTGCTTCGACCATATTGGCCGTTGGGCCCGAGATCCCGGTTGATTTCCTCAAGGTCCTCGAATTTCGTATCACTCGGAGCACCTTGATGTGCATTGCTGGCCAGATTGACTATTCTTACCACGGTACCTCCTTCCGCTGTCTTTTTCATCAACGGGAGTAAGTGCGACGTGAGAACAACATGTCCCATATGGTTGACTGCCATATGTAGGTCGACACCTTGGTCACTTAACTGGTAGGTCATGATACCTCGGCCAGCGTTGTTTATTAGGATATCGAGTCGTTCGTTTTCCTTTTTGATTTGCTCGGCGATATCTTTCACCCCCTTCCAGTCCGATAAGTCGCATTGGAGCCAGTGCGTTTTGTTCGCAGCTTCCTGGCCAATCTCCTTGCCAATGGCTCCTTTGGCGCTGTTTACGATCTCTTCGTCTATAGATAGGACGTACAGCTTCGATATGTTGTGCTTCAGAAGCGTATAGGTGCATCCATATCCGATGCCTTCGCTGCCGCCCGTCACGACAGCGACTTTGCCCGTCAAGTCGGGAACCTCATCCAGGCTGAACTGATGTGTGCTCAATCCTTGAGCCGCACCACCGAAGTTCTCACCAATTGTGTTCTACTTACCGATTAGCATCCGCGGGAAGATACAGAAATCACGGCACATGACAGAGCAAATGCGAGATGCGGTACCTTGATTGTCTGCATGTTTCGTTTTGTCGAGTATCGTCTTGGGTAGGATTCGTGATGAAGAGGAGAAGTTGTGTATGTCTGTGTGACAATAGGTGTTTGCGTGGTGAGTTTTAAGTATAAACTCTCTGTCTTAGTCTTTGAGGATAGAACATTCGGTGCAATTACCCTATGTTGGCTGATGTTGCTTAGTCTCCCGAAGGAGCGTATTATATACATCATGTCAGTAGTATATCATTCTACGGCTCAGTCTCACAAAGCCGCCGCCAAGGTGCAGAATCAGAGGGGGTTATACTGGCTAAGTTCCAATGACCTTTGATATACACGGATCATGAATGACGCGCTGACTTGAACCACAGCAATATCAAGAGTGCTTAAATCTGCTTGGCGTGCGATCAATACGCCGTGACCCAGTTTCTCGGGAGGATCCACAAGTCCAGCTTGGTCAACAGACAAATCACATTCTCGTCGTTTGCAAACACTGGAGTCTTTGGTCCTTATTTACTCTTGCGTCCCAAGGCCTAAGGCGGAGAGGCAGGCTTGAGATATTGTGCTACATACACACTGTACAGCGAGGCCGATCCGCTACACAGACATTCTGATTCTCTTAAGTTAGTGTCTATCACTCACTATCTGTCGGCGGCACAGGCCCGTTAAAATCGATCTCAACTCCATCCGAGGCACTAACGTTAACTAACTGATGTCTCCACAGATCAGTACCATCGTCCGAACGTCAAATTGAACACATTCAACACTACATACTAAATCGTGTCCATTGAGTAAGCGTACCAGTCATCCACTGCGACAATTCACGTGCGAGGTGCAATCTGTTACAGTTTCCGGCTCGATACTACTACGGCATTATTCGAACAGACACGCAAGCCCATTTTTATGTACTAGCATGTAGCGTCACTTATCTTCAACCCTCAACCCATCAAGCCAAGCATTGCCAACCTTCCACATCAGGAATGAAATCTCAAATGTACACAGAACTCCCGCAAAAGCCGTTCTCGGCGCATAGCTTGGCGATGAGAACCACAGAGCATTGTTGGCAAGTTACTCTGGTGTTTTCGTCTACAGTTAATATATACAAATTTGGTTACTGCCGGGGGACCTTGTTGAACCACGGATGATAGCAGAAACAATTTGATTAGGCTTACTGCTGAGACAACATGCCCAGACTGCAACTCTGCCATCCATGAGAGTTAACCCATGTAGCCACGCGAATATCCCTTGATCAAAGAAAGTTGCTTGCTCTTTAATTCCCCGGAACGCGCCTGCATTGTTCGTGCGCCAATACGACCTTCCAGAATATCAGAGCTTTTGGTACTATTTATTGTCGGAACACCCTAGTCTAGAGAACAATGCATTGGGACCTCAGGAGTCATCGTTGCCGCTTGGGTGTAATATCATCGCGACTTGCCTACAAACTCTCTCGTTTCTAGTCGTCTTGAAACACATATTCGTTCCGATCTGGTATATCACAAGGCTTTACCCTATGAGATCTGCTGAGTGACAGTCGCCGAACACCCTTGTCGGAACTCAACCGAGTCCGCTGCCACATCTCGCGTTTCGACTCAACAAACCAATTGGATGACTGCCTGAGACGACCTTAAACTGGATTCTTCTCAGGTACTACTCTTGGCTTGTCACAGTGCCAACGTCGTCCTTGTATACATATGAAATTCATGGTTACTCATGACGTTCAACTCATGATATTCAAAGAATTAACTTCTTAATCTTCAGATTGCGCTGGACTCTCAGTTGTGACGTCCCTGTTCACTACGTTCAATCCACTTAATTAATACCTAACTCCAGCGGAGGTCACATCAAAGGCATGGCTTTGCTTAGGATTTCCTCAACGCAGAAGCTCTGTACCATAATTGCAATATCATTCGCTTTCTTTGTAGCCGAAATTGCTGGTTAGTTGATGTGATGAGCTTTCAATGTGGCACATGTTAACCATGGAAGACAGTCGGCTTCAAAACAGGATCGCTCGCATTGGTTGCTGATGCTTTCCACTATGCAAGTCTCTGGGCTATGAGTTCAACACACATGCTAAACCTCTTTAGCTCAACGATCTTATCGGGTTTGTCGTCGCTCTTGGAGCCATACTCGTATGTAGCAAACTTTTCAATAAACACTTTCAGACGATGCTGAAATGTTTGCTAGGTCACTCAACGTGATACGTCGCCGAAAGCCTTCTCTTTCGGATGGGCACGAGCTTCATTATTGGGCGCCTTTTTCAACGGTGTTTTTCTACTGGCTCTTGGTGTCTCGATCTTTCTTCAATCACTTGAGCGGTTTATCTCTATACAACGTAAGAGCCCTCCGACTTTGCTAGTATGGCGGCGCTAGTAACAATGAAAACAGATGTTGAAGACCCGAAACTTGTCCTCATTATGGGAGCAATCGGTCTTGTTCTTAACATATTTAGTGCCGTCTTGTTAGGCCATGATCACCACGGACATGACCACAGCCATGGCCAAAGTCACGATCATAGTTATGATCTTGAGGGTGCAAACGGCCACAACCATCTTGGACATGGTCACAGCCATGAGCGTAATGCAAATTCAGGTGACGCATCAGGGCTGGGCCTGGGCCATAACCACGGGATTACGCATGATCAATTCCCAGCTCAGACACCAGGTCACTCTACGGTGCACAGTCATCTTCCAGTCAATATTGAGACCGGAATGAGTAGTATTGAAAGTGCTGATCAGACGCCTATGACGGTATTCATGATTGTATCCTCCCGAAGCGTCTTTTGTTACTTACTCTTGGACAGCCCATCAGTGCTCATGCCGATCATCGTCATAACATTGCGACGCTCTCTTCGCCTGGCAGAGACCTTGGTATGATGGGAGCTTTGATTCACGTCATCAGCGATGCCTTGAATAATATCGGTGTTATTATCGCAGCGCTAGTCATTATGTTCGCCAAGTATGAGGGTCGATTTTATGCAGATCCAGGAGTCAGCTTGGGCATCGCAGTAATGATCTTGATCTCCTCAATACCTCTGGTTCAGAACAGTGGGAAGATACTAATGCAGAGTGCACCACATGGTGTGGATTTCGACGACGTGAAACATGATCTTGAGAAGGTACTTGCACGACTTCGAGCAGAGCACATGTGTTACTTAACTAACGATTCCAGATTCCGGGGATCGAATCAGTTCACGAGTTACATATATGGCGCTTGGACCAGAGGAAAGCCATCGCATCGGCACACGTCGTAGTTTCGGAGAACAACATATCCAGTTTCATGGAGAATGCAAAAACCATCAAGGAATGTCTGCACGCCTACGGTATACATTCTGCCACTCTACAACCTGAACTTACCCAATCTCGACCACCCACATCATATACAGAATCAACAGCTCCTCCCGCAGTGGAAACCACTTCCGAGCCCATAGCACCCAGAACATCACAAGACCTCACTGCGTCCATTTCTGGCTCGTCGCTTAGAAGGCGACGCGTCGATGAGACTGCTTGCCAAATGGGGTGTGGGAGTCTTTGCAAGAATTTAACGTGCTGCGCCGGGCCATCAAGAGTACTATAAATGCCGCTTGTATTGGTGTGATTGAGCTTGTGCAATATTTGATGCTGATATATGGGAAGGTTCCTGAGGTTTAATACCCGATCTCATGGCAAATCCGATCTATACATTATATAAGAGGTATAAGTAAAGATGATGCATTTGGAAGTCGCGTTCCTTACGTTAGGCTGAATGTCATAGGAGATCATCCTATCATTAATTCCAAAGAGCCTATGTCAGGAACCGGGAATTCTATGACGAAGAGTTAGAGACTTGCACTTTTGCTCTTACACAAACCACAAGTGTCACTAGCCTCATAGAAGGTTGCTTGAAGTGAAATGTGATATCCAAGCACTCATGGACAGTCGAACCTCGATACTTTATTCGTTCGATGTACGCAACGACATTGCTTTACTGCACATCCTACTCGATCCAGGTACTTCATCAGATATACCACTTCTTATGTCATGATTTGATGAGCGAGTTTCATTATTAATGAGATCATGAAAGGAGGCCACGCCGAACTGGCATGCTAAATCAGTTCTAGAACTGTTGTGGTCAGGTGACGTGTTATCGTGAAGCAACTCTGAGGATGCACAATGAATGGTACGTACCTGCGGAGGCAATAAGTTTCAACGCAGAATACTAAGCTCTGTTGCTCCTTTCGTTAAGTCATAACGCGGTGGAATTCAGTGATTCACTCTATCGCCACAACACATCACGGCAATTTATACCTGGTTTCTCTGATAGCCTCTGCATGCCCCTCAGTCGAAATAGCATAGCCAAGAGGCTGTCCGAGTTATACTGCACGTCTAAGTCCTCCAGAATCGGTCGAGCTGCTATCGTGGGTTAGAAACTACCCGACATCTTTGAGCAAGACCAACTATTTCTTGAGGATAGAAACCAGTGCCGGCGGTGAATTACACGAACCTGCTGACTCATGCGTTGGCATTATTTACAATTTTGCGGTGAACAAATGGCCTTTTCCTCAGCCAATGAAGTTATCACTGGCGTCGCAGATCGCTAATCCAGGCTGCGGCAAAGGCGCATAGTAGAACAACATCAATCATTCCCGTAACGCTTTACCGAGGGGGGACAGGGGCAGGGCTGGGTAAGCGAAGTGCGAAGTCACAAACAAGGATGATGTAGTCCACCCTAACCCCCCGCCCCAGAGCTGCTACACAAGAAAAGAAGATCACCGCTACATACATTCAAAGCTGTAGATCCAAGTCCATGGTGTCGGCAGCATGGTTGACATCCGACGCGACAGAGAAAAGCCGAGCAGCTGTCCCCGCGGTACTTTGCGTAGCGGGGAAGTTCTGGTGGAGGAGTCCAAATTTTGATCTCATTTGAGCATTGAACATTGATAAACATACGTAATATCAGCAGGGCGCACGAAAAGCAAGCCTTGATCGCAAAGTGTTACTATATACAGCCTTTTTGTCTTAGTTGAGAGTTGCGGGAATATCTAAAACATTCGTGCGTGTCGGTGTAGTGCCAATCTCCCGGGATCAACAGCCACAAAGAGAAGTATTACCCAGCAGATCGGGATTATCACCCCAAGCTAATATGGTAATTCTGATTTGCCCATCACTGAGGGTGAGCATTCTGTATACATAGCGGTAGCTTATAGCCGCTAACCAGAGTCGTTTCGGATATCAACCTGACCGGAGATTGTGATACGCACCATGCAAAAGAGAGACAAGGTCGCCACGTTGTAGGACGCCTGGACGCGTTGTAGAATGGAAGTCTGGTACACTAACTCGTCAGGCCCGTGCATCACTCACCGGTCCAAGTTCACCTGCCATGTCCGGAACTGGTCACTGACTGGGGGTGTCCATTCGGGATTCTTGGTGCTGATGCTTCTGACCTCAGCTCACCAGCCTGCCAGCCACGCAGGGTACATCAGAGCACGCAACGATAATTCGACCGTCGTATTATGGACACACCTGTAGATCGGGGGATCTATTGCCTACATGGACAGAATCAGCGGGACGGGCCAGTTCCGCAAAGATAACACGGCGTAATACAAACACGTCGTACACCTCTGACCATCAACGGCCAACACGAAGTGATATCAGATAGATGACTTTAATTGATGGACAGCCCCTGTCATAGAACGAGACTAGGTTAGTGAAATGCACCCAGAGCTTTCTTCCGAGCCCCGATTCCCAGACCACAATTCACATGCCGTTTAGCACTGTAGAAATCTCCAGCCTGCAGGTCACGGCTGGTTTAGGTGAGTAGTTGACGGATCAAAGAGCCATCATCACCACCTGGTGCAGAACCCACAAGTTGGAAGATACCGCCGAATTTAGAAGCATTATAGTCTATGCCGCATATACCCTTTCCATTGACCAATAATAGTTTCACACGACTCATGTAGACTAGTTAAGTCCACAATAGGATCAGAGGGCATTTGCTAGCATCCTGGGGTGGAGCCAGCATTCTGATGGTCGCCGGTCGGGGCGTTGATTGAGCTTTTCCCAAAGGCCCGAGACATCAGGCATATCCCGGGATTCAAGCTCTGGAGTAAATTTTGGTACTGATCTGGACGTTGTAACACATCGAGTAAACACTTGAAAGCATATCACTGTTTACTGCCAAGTACATCCGTATGTAGAAGCAACTGCAGCTGATCAAGACAAGATGGCTCGTCAGAGCATGAGGACGTGAACCTGCCCCTCATCTGCCCCTCGTTGTGAACTCGCTGCTTTCAACGGCGAGCGGGGGATGGCTAGGCGGGCGAACGTCCATACCAAGTAAATAAACGGCCAGCAGCTAAGGCTTGGATGTCTTTGCAGCAAATGGCGAGGCACGAGACGCAACACCATGCAAGACTGAACGCTACTGCAAGGCGGTCTGGAGACGTGCCACTTCCAATTCCACGTTTGGACGCTTGGGAGCCGGAGCTAAACGTGCGCTTCGGCAATGTATGTATCACAGTATGTATGCCACGGCAGGAAAATGGAGCTCGACGTAAATATCAGTGTGATAAACCTCACAACTCACATCAGAGAGAGGGTGAGATCAGATGGCGGCCTTTGCTTATGGGTACGCAATTGCAGCTAAAGCATGTCATGCATGACCAAAGATGGCGCTCCAGCAACTTCAAAATCTTGGTTCCAGAGCGCGACCTGGGCAGATGCAAGAGCACGTAAAGGACTACGTTAGTCTGTTCAACCTGACCGAATTTCGAGAGCTTCGTTTTATTACACCAAGCTGACTATTGCAGCGTGGTCTGTTTAGCTCATCGACCATTCAATCTTTTTTGAATTTCCTTTTCTGGTGGTTTGGAAGCAATGCAAACTAAAGCCGGCCAGCGCGATCAAGCTTGACTCGTTCCAGTCCCATTTGACTTAGTTAATCTAGTCTTCGTAAGTCGAAGGGCCATCCATGAAATCTGCGTGCTGCGCGATTTCTAGGAGACGCTATCAAAAATGAGCTTGCACTTGCCGTGTCTTTATTTCGAGACATGTATCTTAGGGTGCTGACTGCAGCGATGTATGTAGGCACTCCGTGCTGCGGAACAAATGATTTCCTCCAGATGCTCCCACCGGATAACCGGCCATCAAGCGTTGCTCTCGCGAATTTGGTTCCTCCGTATGGGGCCGTTGCCGCGAACGAACCTGCTTGGGAATGAACGCCGAAAAGCTTTCAAGTAATAGCCCATTGCGCAGTAAATATGTAATTAATCTGACAGTCGGCGGTTAGTCATTGCGCCGAAAAGCGTACGAAACCTATGTCCAGAGCTGAGACGAAATCTGATCATGATGGTGCTCAGAACTTTGCTCACAAAGAGTAGATTATATTGAAGCCCCAAGGATGCGTGCTGTCAACGGCATTGATGCCCAGCTGCGAGGCATGCGTTTCCATGCAAGCATGACCAAAAATACAACGTTTCCGCGACGTCTGTTCGTGCATTCTGTCCCTCAGGTCCCTGCAATCGCTGGGCAATCGCTGGCTACTATGCTGTAAGCTTGCTGAGCTACAGGGATGCTAAGCTCAAAAGGCCCACAGCCCGGCGAATTGGGTTTGGGTTTTTGGAGGAAAGACCCTTGTAAGGCGCTGCGGGGCCAGAGGGCCAAATGCAGACCACTCGTAGATTATCCCTGCAAGGTGTGGAAGCTAGACGCTAGAATGCAGCCAGAACACGTTATTTTCCCATTCACCGCCAGACCTCATTTTGCTTCTGACACCGGCAACGGAGTTTGAGTGGCCTTGTTTGATTTGTTGCCATACAAATCACTTAACCTACACAATAACAAGCAAGGGAGTCGATGGGACAACAGGAATAATAGTACCCTGATACTAGCCACCCCGTATCAGGTCGATCATATGCTCCTGAATGAGTGTGACCATGGTCCGGAGAAATGATTAACAGCGAAGAGGGTAGCCAAGGATGTGTAGCACACGAGCAATAGATTTATTTCGCCATGTATGTAAGGAAATGAACGGCCCAATTTTTGGGTCGTGAATCGTGAATCGTGGATCATCATCGTCCGTGTGCTATCTATGGCCCAACCCAACCCGCCGGTTCCATCGTTCATGATCCATCTCAATCACAAAGAACACGAGCGAGTTGCGTGGTCCTCCCCTTCATGCTGTACTGCGTAACCATACGCAATCAGCGAGACGTCATATTGTTTGCGGTCCGGCCCCATGCACCCGGAACTGTCGTCCTTTGGGATCTCATCTATCCACCCCGCCCCAGACGCGTTCGCCAATCTGCAGCATTGACACTTTTTCGTGACCATAACATCGCTATTTGGGAGACGGAACGAACTTAGGAATGCACGAAGCCAATCCCGATGGCTCGGCTCGAAATATAATCGAAAGAGTCTGACCGATCGTCCTCAATTGGAGAGTCTTCTTATTTCTTCAGTTCCACAGACGAGCAACCCCCCCGCCTCACCTCCGTGCCGGCAATCGGAGGCACCACAAACCTGCTGCTAAGCACCGCCTGCATCAGCGAACCACCAGATATTGCACGCTTGCATGCTCTTTAAACTTCACGTCAACGCAGCATACTTTCGAGGAGCACCAACCTGACTGGTCCAACCAAGGAAACACGATACATACTCTTGTCCACTATTTGCTCGCGAGCTGCATAAACGAACCCGCCTCAAGTCACGCGGGGGCACCTGGCCAACGTTGTCAGATCCACGTTTCGTTCTCACATTCATAGCAAAGCCCCGCCCGTCATAATGAACTCACAAGTCGTTATGGACTTTATGATGGAGGCCCCGTGAACAAGCATTGATTTGTGCGCAACGGATCTCTTTTCTCTTCATTGCTTCCCGGTGTTCGGTCGTCGGCTCCAACCGCCTATCGAACCCCGAGGCCGCCATGTTGGGCAAGTTATTCAGCCTTACCTCGGGGTCGGCCGCCGCTTCACCCTCTTCTCAGAATAGTCAAGCATCGACCAACGAGTCACCGGAGTCTGTCCAGGAAGATATCCACACCCGTAATCTCTTGTTTCCAGATACACAGACGCTTTACAGCCGTCAAGATCAAGTGTTTCCACTTTCGACATCTACGGCCTTGACGCCTGGCTCGCCGAGCAACTTTGATTATGATGGGGAGGTAGATCTTGATGTTCGAGATGTCCGGGTTATTGTTATGCAGGATAGTCTGGGGACTACGAATCCCTGTCTACTATATGACAGCCATCCAGCACCACCTGTACCCCCGACGGAACCCCGCCAGTCACCAGGAGCTTCTCATACCCAGTCATTTGTGAAAGACCTTCGCCGAAACCCGGCGTCCTCCAGGAAAACAAGCTTGAGCTACTCGCGACCCATGGTCATCCAGCCAGACAGTCCGCAGCCACGCCAAGGAGCATTTGACAGGCGGCCATCGGTTCAGGCAAGGACCTTCACATCGGCTGAAAATGAGGCCCAACGTGCCGCCAGGGAATACAGAGAGGAACTTTCGAGCTTTACCAGCTGTATTTTCGCCAACACCGAGGTCATGTCGTACAAGGGGACCTCTACGAAGGTCCACATAGTGCCCAGTGACTCTCGGCCTGACGTTTCAAGCTCCTTTGCTGGTGATGGCAAGGGGTCCATCGGCAGATCTAGCCTCCGATCCAGCAGGCTTTCACAGTCCTTCACAGCTGAATCTGCCTCTGCAGCCTTCTCAGCCGTAGTCGGATCAAGCAGATCAAAGGACCGGAAAAAGATCCTCGTCACACGCTTATTTCCAGTGAATCTACCGAACGATGACCCAGAGACACCAGGTACCGGTGTCACTCCGCATAGTCGCCTTTCTGAAGATGGCAGTGGATTTCCTTTCCCGTGCTCCCCGGATGAATGCGGAGCCAAGAAAAAGAAATCGCAACCGAAACAGAAACGAACACCTATGTATGCAGTGGCTTTGGTGCTGCAACTACCGTCGAGCCCAACCCAGCAGCCCCCATCGGCAACAAAAAATGCTTTTAAAGGTCCTAACTCTTACAATGAACAGGACTCTTTCCCGTCTTCCTTTAACTCTGCCCGCCGGTCCGGATGGACCATGGTCAGTACTGGATATGGTTCTGACTCTATAGACTCAGCTTACAGTAACGAGGTTGAAGATAAAATGGACGCAATCACTCAGCATTGGGATATCATCATGAGGACTCTAACACATCTGCAATCAGTCGTGGCAACGACGCTTTTTCCGATGCTCAAACAGGCCGATCATATGGCTCCTGACCCTCATCAACCATCTATAGCTGCTCAAGTAGCCAGAAGTTCCTCAATCAATAGTCGAAGAGGATCGAATGCGTCCCAGATCCAGATGAAACCACCCAAAACGAACGCAAAGCTCATTAGCCTTCCCCCAAACTGTCTGATGAATGAACAACAGATCGCCCGCGAAATCGACGCAGCCCGAGTACGAATTGTCACCGGCCTCCGAGCAACGAGAGTAGTAACAGGCCAGGGACGGTGGGGCCCATGGCGAGAGGAAGCACGATGGGTTGCCAAATACGCTGGCGGCAAGGAACAAGGGTTCTTCTTCTACAAGCTTCTGACAGGATTTCTTGCGACGCACATCGATTGGCTGCAGGCGCTGAGTCCGGTCTGGTATCGCAGACGCCACTACCAGCAACAGAAAGCAAAAAACGACGAAGACACCTCCTTGCCTTCTCGCACTATTATTATATCAAACGACAAAATGGCAGCCCGCCGTCTCATCTTCTTACTGTCCGCGTTCCTTCCCACCAACCAACAGTTGCCTACGATTCGCCCTCAAGTTCGTAATACGTCTGCGTCCTTCTCTCACTCGCCACCATCTTTCATTATTCCGATTCTAAAGGAAGAATCACTTCGTCGAAAGATTAATCGTAGACCTGCCGCGCCTCGGGGAGCTTCCCACCAGCGAAGTTTCAGTATACAGTCACAGGCTACCACGAGGTCTGCTATCGGCATCCCTGCACAACTAGATCATTTGAGCATGGATGCTCTCCACGGTAGGCGGCCTTCAGATGCCACATTGTTCAAGCCTACGGCATTATCGAGCCATGGCAGTGATGCGACTACCCGGAAAAGCAGCGCGGCCACAACCAACACTATAGTTCCAGACGCTGCCGTCCCGCATTTTGCCAGCATCCACAGGACCAATACTCGCCGCAGTCATAGACCGGGTAGCAGCGGAAGCATGGCAGCCGATGATTTGAAACGAACACTCAGGAGAGGTGATAGTGTGGGACAAACTAGTAATGTCAGTACAGAGTCTCAACGTCGCAGCTCGAATTGGGGCAGTGTCATCAGCGGCCTCTGGAGCGCTAGACGACGGGAATCGAGCACCAGCACGACGCATACACTCGATTTTCCGTTGAGTCACGATGGCCCTCTAGCTTCACCGGTTAGACCCCTCGGCAGAAAGGACAAACTTTCTGAAATGGTTAGCGAAGAATGTGCAGTGGAAACTCCGACAAAGGACGAGTTCGATGGTCCTTTAGACAACGTGGAGGGACAGGTGACCCATCCAGATACTCCACGTACGCTTGAGCGAAGAGGGCAAATGGCGCAAGACATCGTGAAAAGGACCCCAGATCCCTTGGGTGCCTTTGAAAGTCCTGTCAAGACTTCCATTAGTGCTGACGATGGGATTATCGACGTCGATGTCCCCTTCCCGGATTATCTCACGTCATTTACTGAATCGGCAATTAGTTCACCATCCAGTAGTGGCTATCTTTCTACTCCTGGCCTTGGGGCCGGTGGTGTCGATAGCTTTGAGCATTTTTCTCGAGTCGCTGTTGACGGCGAAGCTCCGCTGAATGTCGCAGGATGGCTACAGCAGTTCCATCCAGATTTCGCACTGCAGGCTGTTCAACCGCAACCAGATCTGTTGGAAAAGATCAAAGAATCCCTTAAAGCGGAGCCAACGCCCTCATACCATGTTCATCAACTACCAATAGAATGGCCTACAGAGCAATGGGTAGATGTGAGCAGTGCGATTGTCGCTGATACCACGACTTTTACGATCAAGCGAATTCGATTTCGCCGACTCGTGAAGCCGAAAATGCCTGCTAATAGGGGTGGCATCCAAAATCATTCGAGCTCTACCAACCCTTATAGCTCTTCTATTATGACGCCAGCTCTGTCGCCTTACGAGCAACCGCTCGAAGAGAGCATGGAGGAGGAAACGCTCTACACCTGGGACGAGGCTTTGATCGACGCCGTTGAGAAGGTCACTGCACATATGGTGCTGGGCAGCCAGGATAGTTCCACGACGAATTCCTCGAGATCTGTTAGCAAAAGACGAGAACGAAGCGACAGTGATGCTTCTGAGTCGGAGCTACCCAAACTTACCGCGAGCCATGCCGATATTCCAGAGGTACCGCGCGCCGAATGCAAGACTGTGGTTCTCTCCGCCCTTGAGAACATTGTCCAGGAGGTGGTTGACCAACGGGAAAAAGAGAACCACACGCCTGGCAACAAAGTAGCCTATGAAACACGACGAGAGAAAGAGAGCGTCCTGAGAGGTGCTGTGAGGATGTGGCTGGAGGAGGTTGAGTTAGGCGAAGTGGCATAGACCTCATTAGGCGGAACGTACTCAAGCAGCCCTTTGCACTGTTCAGGGTAGCGGTGTTGAGCAGCACAATCTGCAGGTTGTTCGACTTTGATTTTCCCCATATTCATTTGATTTCCTACCGGCGTTTGAGCATGTTGCATTGTACCACTACCATCACAAGAGCTAGACGCCATGAGATACCCCAGATAGCAATTTGATTTTATAGTTTGTTTTCACGATGTCGGAGACGTGCTGCGTGCTTGGTGTTCTGCCGACGGTATTACAGAGTTGCTATATAGTTCGTAATCGTACTAAGGTGGCGGATATGCATGAGAACTTCTATAGATAACCGAAATTAGATCATTTTATCAAACTTGCTATGTTTAGTCTGATGGATCAAAGTTCAAGGAGGAATTGCCATTTCATTTTTCAAACCTGGACAATAGTCAACAGTCTATCAACGGTCAAACGGTCCCAATCTTGCACTGTCGTGATGATTTGTGAAGTAGGTCTCAGGCCGTTTGGTTCATCTGTGAATGACATCAGTCGGATGGCGTTTCATCCCCAGTCCGAATGCCTGACATAATGTTTGCCCCCTAGTACGAAACATCTGCCACCTTTCATTTGCGATGCAACATAGCATATTCCTTCCGTCTCAACTCCAATCCAGCCGTCCTGAGTCCATGTAGATCCTATTACATTATATGTCGGGAATACAAGTCCCTGACGGACCAACTGCGACCGGATGTATAATAGGGTCCCGCCTACACTGTCCAGCGGAAGCAGCTCAGTATCGTCAGTGTCTCTGATGAGATCATCGACGTACCGCCTTGAGCTTACTAGCTCTTCTATTGCACTCTGCCGCTGCTCATCGTCGACCGGCCCCAGAAGCCTTTGCCTATCTCGGTCAAATACCCAAGCATTTTTATCATAACTGTCGATGAGATGCTGCCGGCACCGCGCCGTGAGCAAACCAACTTCATCGCGCTTCTCTCGGGAATGCGTCAACATTGTCTGCATGATGCCATCGGAAAATCCCACGACGTCCGCGTCGATCCAGAAGATGTGCTGCTCGTCCCTCAGACTCCGAAGCATCAGATAATTGCGCAGCTCCGCAATTGACGCGCGACGCTGTTGTTGCACGGCCGGGTTGTGCCGCTCCTGGTAGGCGAACCTGGGCCCTCGGTCCTCCTGGTAGTATACCGTCGTCCTCGCGAACGGCAGGGTCTCCGCCGCCCGCCGCATCTCCTCGAACTCGTCCCTGGACGACGTCATCAGACCGAGCGAGACGGTCGTCAGGTCCAGCTGTGCGGAGACGAGCAGGTCCAGGAAGTCGTAGACGTTGCGCCCCGTCGAGCGGAAGTCCCGGCTCCAGGAGGAGCGGTCCCTATTGAGGACGAGGATCAAGATCTCCGGGTTGCCGTCCATCGTCTCGCGCTCGAAGAGCTCTGTCCCATCCCTCAGGGTCCTGCTGCGCTGCACGATAACCGGCTCGGCGGGAGCCGGTTGCCTATAGTGGTGCTGCGGGCTCCAGAGGCATGATTTGAGAGTCTTGCAAGAGTACGAGCGCCGCCGCGGTTCGGTCGTGTAGAAGAGGATGAGTATGATCGTTACGATGACTGCGACCGCGGTGAAGCGATTAGAAATGATCCGCATATTTCATCCAGTGTTCCTCATCGCTTTCGAAGTCTGTGAGCCCCTTCCACCGAGCAACAGAAAGAGCACGTCTTCTATCCAAACGACAGCGACGGTTTGGAAATTAACGCGGACGGGAAAGTCAGACTACAAATACCCATTTTTTATTCTCCCGGGAAGGGTCAGTCGCGCCGCCTATCGCCTTCCTTTTTTTTATCTCCCGGTTCTTGGCAGGTGCTGATCTGAGTCTCATACAACCTTGAATGTCCTGTTTTGGCTATTTAGGTCCACTGGGCACCAGTTTTCATAAGCAGATCAATCGGCGTTATTGCGCGGCGGCGCCTGCATTCATTCTCCTGTGGAGATCTAAGTTAGCCCTTCCCTCCCGCGCCAAGTGGCAGTAGCAATCCTGGTGCTTTGGCCATGCTGACTTGGGCGTCATGCGTTATGTGTTATGGCGAACCGGATATTGGCAACGGTCCGTTGTGGTGGTTTTGCGCCCGGGCTAAATACTTGTTATCTTTGAGATGGAATGGAGACAGCCAGCCAGTTTACCTACGATTTATCGGTGCCCGCCAAGAATATGGGTCGAATTGATTCCCAGTGGCCTGGATGCGAACGGAGATTGGGTCAGCAGCTGAACACTCCTGCCACTCCTTCAATTCTGCGAAATGTAATCGGCGATGATCCGATTTAGCATGTCCGGAAGTGATAATTGACGATCCGAATGCTTTTGATAACGTGATTAATGCTCATGTAACTCTAGCGCTCGTCACAGGTGCTCAACAAATCAGGGAAAGGGCAAAGTACTTGGCTCACGCTAAACCCCGACAAAGATATCTTCGAAGAGAGGTTTGACTACAGTAGACAGGTGCCGGTGAACCGGGGAATTTCGAATGTCTTGGTCGTGAATGTGTAGAAGGCCAATATGCGACGATTTCTTCTAGCCACCTATACGTTGATTCGGAATGTAATAAGATACTAGTTGAACAAAATTATACAAAAATACAAAAACATACAACCCGGGGATTCCTCAGTGATCACCCACCTGAGTACTAATCCAGCGCTCGAAGAAATGCCTACATGGCGAGAGGGTGCTACTTCCCCTAGGTTAGACTAGTTTAGCTACAGCCTGTGACACGGTAACGTGTGCCTGCTTGCCACGCTAAAGTGTGTCCCTAATCCTTTCCATACGCTTTGCAACTCAGAGCAGTTACGGATACAAATCGTAATGAATTGGTTTCTTGGATTCATAAGCTACTGTAACAAGCTTTCGCCTTTGGCGAATGAAATTTCAGAACGCGGGCTGTCTCGGTGCACATGCAAGTTAATTCCATTGAGGGGGTGCTCCGTCTTCAACCTCATAGCCCATGGCGTATAGAAAACCTGCGCCGCAGTCTTCTTTGTCCGTCTGGTCGCCTTGAATATCCTACTGGCACTGGCTGGATCAACGCCGAACTAGCATTGGCCACAAAGGGAATCATAGAACGAAATCCTATTACCCAACGTGTCTGGCCAACCATTATCATCTTCTATTTAGCCAAAATAATGCCATTGTTTTGTAAAAAGAGATGTGATCGGTCTAAAACGGTAGTTATGTCTATGTGAATGGAGCCTATCTCAAATGTCCGTTGAGACTCATCTCTCTAGCATCTTGTTGATTTGTTCAATCCCTGAGCAATCTGCAAACAATGGCCAACGAGTCCAGCATATGCATGATGAGAAGGCGTACTTATCAATTAGCGGGTTTAGGACTGCTTTTACTGGCCATGGCCGTTCTGGAGGCATCGTAGATGCAGATTAGCCGGAGCATGTAAACGCACCGCTGACCGTGCCCTCTCTGTATCGGTCAATCTATTATGCAAGTCAGCAAATGTTGTCCTTGAGCGTAATCTTGCATTGTATCAACTTACAATATCTTGCACACTTGCGTAAGTTCCAACACCCAAAATGATCATGCCGATTATGAAGATAACGCCGTTTACAATACTCTTGATCAGGTTCTTCCTCTCGTACCAGTGGCCATCCTTGAGCAGTTTGAACCAAAAGGCCGCAGGGAAATAAAAGGTAAAACCAGACACGAAGAGACACGATGCAATCGAGAGCAGATCCGAGAAGAAAGGGATAGCCTCAGCAATCACCCACGCAATCAGCGTAATAGTCGTAATAAGCGCAAGCCAGGTGATCCAACCCATCTTGGTGTTAATATACCGGATAATAGAATGCTCGAAAACCCGGCCATGGATATATCGAGCGACGACCGTGGTATTAATGGAGCCCGAGATGAAAATAACGGGCAACGCGATACCAAATGCGACCTTGGAAACGGTGCTACCAGCCGATAACAGCGCCGGGGATTGCACGTCTTGCCCGACGAATACGTAAATTAGCGCGCCGGTCACGGTGTAAATAACAATCTCTATGGCACCGAGTGCCACGATCGACTTGGAGAAATCTTCTGGCGTATGCATTTCGTCCATAAAAGAGAATTGGCATAGCGCGAAACTGTAAGCAAAGATGATGTTGCCGAGGGCCACGAAGGCCTCAGCGAGCCGAAGTCCCTCCTTAGGCCATAGCTGCCACGGGGCTGCAGCGGCTACCGAAGCTGTTGTGGGGTGGGAGTACTGGATGCCAGTGGCGATGATAGTGATGCCGACGGCGATTATGATAGAGGCGAAATCGACATAACCCAGAATCGCGACTTCGGCAAAGGATGGCGGTATAGCGAGGAGGACGAGAACTACAGCCGAGACGAAGCCGAAGACGATGGAGCAGGTGCCATGGTCGGTGATATTATTCAGGGCAATGGCTCCCGTCAAGCAGTGAGAGCCAACGGTAAAGATGAGTTCGAGCGCGAACATGATTCCCACGAGCTCGTAGCCGAACTTTCCCATCAACAACCGTCCAGCGTCAGCATAGTGCGAGACGTGGGGAAAGCGCAGCTTCACCTGGCCAACAATATACGACGTATAGACAGCGATCAGACCCAGCCCAACGGATAGAATAACGCCGGCGACCATTCCAAGGGTCGCAAAGGCCGAAGGGACACTCAGCGTTCCCAGAGCGATGGCCTCAACCAAGAGGACAACAGTAAGGCGCTTCCATCCCAGGCGATGGAAGTGCGCATTGCCCTGCGCTGACTTTTGCTTCTCAATGTCGGCGCGGTCTCTGGCGGTGATGTTTTGGACGTCTCCCAGCTCACTGTCCGTAACACCGCCTGCCGCATCTTGAGTACCCCGAACTGGCGCCTTGATGGGCTCCGGGGGTGCGGTTGTAGTATCCATCATCTCGTCCTTGGTCTGGCGCACAGTGATGTCCTCAGTGACCGGGCGGGCAACGGTCATACATAAACAAGAGTAATTGTGATGTAATAGAAAGGTAATGAATTCCAAAAGAGAAGTGAGAAAGACAAAGAGAATCCCACGGGACACGACTGGATTACATTCTAAAGTCTGGAAAAGCGGCGCCTCGTCCCGGGGCTGATATAATGAGTCGCGCAGCCCATATTGAGTGTTCCTTTCATACTCCAAGGTCCACGATTAAAGCGGGTTTCTTTTACGAAAGACACAAGCTATAGATATATGTGGGTCTAGAAAGCGATATTCTAGCGGCGGCATCTGTCTTTTTGTACGAGAGAAAAAACAAGAGAAAAATTAGGTCGTACCTTAATACGTAAGATAAACGCTAATGTCCCCATAAATCATCTTCACTTACCGGTCAGGGCGCAGAGTCTTGTATTTTTCATGCGTAATATAGTGCAACTTGAAGAGTTTTCCTTACGCGATGAGTTTTTTTCTTCATCTTTAGTTGATGTCTCGATACATACTTCCGCGTCCATGAGATTACGCAGGCAGAGGCTACGTACGACAAACCAATCCGCAATCAGATATGATCTGATATGCCTTATATTTTTATTTTTATGTTATATAAATCATCGAAATGTGTCACTATCATGGAACTCACCCATTGATTGTTGAATTGTCGACTGAATAATCCTTGCTCTTTCTGAAGGTCCCCCAAAGTGTATTCCCTGGAATTGCGACTTGGAATAGTTTGAGAAGTCGAACAGCCAAATCTGCGGCTTGTGAGCCGTTGACTACGATCACGACTGTGTACAGCAATCTTTGATTACCCTACGCCAGCTACATCGGCAGTGCACGATGACAATTTAGTCGCTAAAGGACCGGTGTCTTCGTGGACAGCTGCGAATCTCTAGTCTTAACCATGGACGGACACTGTTCAATTGTCATATGGAAAATACCTCGTCGAAAAAGCATCGTTCGTGACAGCCTGTCGGGGATCCCGTAAAGCACCATTTCCAGATGAGGTCGAATCTCGCAGTCTCATAGACAGACTCAGCGCAGTGCCGACTAATTAATTGAGGTACAAGATTAAGCGAGGCAATGCATAGCGGCCAGCATCTTCTACTCAGAGAATAGAAAACATTGCAGGCTTTCATGTCGGACTCGAAGTGCGCTAATGCATACAAAGGCTGCGATCCTTACACGGATGCCTCAGACAGAAAATAACTGCCATCCTTGGAAACACTGATGTCTAGAGGGCCGAAGAAAGCGAAGCATATCTCGCCGTACCACGGGTAGTGGTTTCGCGTTGCTTCAAAGTGAGAATGACTCGCCCTTCCTGCGTGACCCTCAGCAGCGTCCTTAGCCGGCACTCAGCCATGATACCATGCGGGAAAGGCTTAGTAACTCTGCATTGCAAGGCTGAAGCAATCCGAAAATAGAATCGACTATGTAAAACTTTCCATGGGAGAATCCTTATCCTAGCCCAAACCCCACTGACTTAACCATTCACCGCCTACCCCAATATGCACGATGTTTGCGCACGGACTTTTTAGTATGAACGCGTAAATCCGCAATTGTAAACACTATTACATACACGGCTTCATGCAGATCCCACGACACCTTTGGCGCCGTTCTACCGTTCCTTTTTCGCGTTTCGCTACTATTACGAAGCTTCTCTTGCTCTGTGTATTGTATTTCATGGTGTTTCTGGAGATGGGTAAGTTTATCCGTAATTTTTCTCAATCCGTTTACTAATTGGGAACAACTGCCGATCAGAGTCACAACGGACCACAGCTGCCGAAAGACCTTCCTGACGGCCTTTCCCTATCACAATGGAGAACGAAAATTTGGAAGGTCGAAGAGCCTATCACTCTAAGCATGACCGACTGGTTGAAGTTGAAGCCGTGGATTTTCCTTACGTACTTCACACCCAAGGGGAAGCCTTCCACGACGAAAGGCGTTACCAAGACTGATTATAGATGCCGAATGTTCCAAGAGGAGATGCAGAAATCCAAGTCCACCGGCCGTAACAACAAAGGACGTGATAGAAGCAAAGCCACGGGTTGTAAGGCCAATCTTGTTGTACGGGAACACGGTGATACCGTTCAGCTATCATAAACTCGAGGCGAACACTATCAGCACAACCATGAACAAGAACCTCTTGACGACAAGCCTTGTAATGCTTACCGTGACTTTGCCATACAGCTCATCGTCGCTGGCCTGTTTCGGAGGCGCTCCATGGTTCGTGCTGGCGCAGCACTCCCTCGCGGGCAGCGTCCCAGGATGCGATCAAGTCCTCAAAGTCGCTATTCTGCTGCAACCTCAGCCTCCGGCGCTCCTCTATTTGTTTGTTCTCCAAGTACACCCAGCTCTGAATCTGATCCATGACGTCCTTCTTGGCGCAACGTTCGTCGCATTCCACGTGCTGCCACTCTTCTAGGCGCTTCCGCTCTTGCTCGAATATCTGCCACTGCTTTTTCGCCAACTCGTGGCGCCTATCGTCGATATACCTCTGGAGTGTTCCTAGGTTCTGATCGATTCGATCATAAACCTATCTTACCGCAGACGAATCAACAGGTGCAGCTTTTGATGTTTTAGGCGGATGCTGATGGAGCTCAGGTGCTCCTAAACCCGATGGCTTAACATAAGGTTCATCTGCTGCAACGCGTTTACATTCCACAAATGGGAAACCTGGGGGGTTTTTTTTTTTTTTTTTTTTTTTTTTGGAATACTTGTGTCTGCCTCGCCAGGAAACCCTGCAGCAGCCAAAGTATCGGCGCATTCATCGCTTGGTCAGCCTGGTACTCTTGTGCCTGCAAATTTGTCACACGGCTGTTGTGAGGGGATTGTTGATCCCTAAGGTTTTGCAGTTTTTTCCTGCGATCCTATCAAGGAAAATTCGGAGCTGTTCAGATCATTAACGAGATTCGGCATACGCTCGCTGCGCAGTTGCACCTGCGCGCGATCTTGCTTCATCATGGTCCACCGGGAGAACTAGGAATTCCAGTCGGTGGTCCAACGTCGCTTGCGTTCTTTTTCATCCAGGTTGTAGGACCCTCTTAGAGCTTTGATCCATTGCTCGAATTGTAACTCTTGTGGCACATTGGCGTCTGGGGGCCGTGGCGGCAGCCTCGAGACCGGCCGGGCCGCGCCAAAGCGCTCCAGAATCAACACGGTGTTGCTTGCGAGGAAGTCAGTGCGTGGGCCGGACCGCAACGATTGTGGCCGCATCGAAGTCGGCCAAGTAGCCTATGTCTAAACGAGCTAGGCAGCGCCGGTAGTCCCGGTATTCTTGTCGAATTTTTACACTTTCCATTCATCCTACAGCCATCAAATCAGATAGCAAAAAAAAACATACAACACCGGGGATTCCCCAGTGGTCACCCACCTGAGTACTAATCCAGCGCTTCCCAGTTTATCTAGGGCAGAGCGGACGGGATGCCGAGTTTTCTAGGAGCTATGGTCGTATGTGCTAATTATGCCTGTAGTAAGGTATAGAAACAAACCAACTTTTGTGAAGAGAAACAAAAATGCAAACCACAAAAAAGACCAAAGAAAATACACAACACTGGGGATTCCCCAGTGATCACCCCCTGAGTACTAATCTAGCGCGTACATGACTTATCACTACTCTTCGATACTTAGCATACTCCTCTTGTGGAACACGTCTTGTTATAGACCGAGGACTGCTCTAGGTACCCCAAGCTGCATTTTTCGGTCCATCTATCTACTGCCTTTTTGCTGCCAATTCTTGGATCCAGAGGGCTTCTAGAACCATAAGATAAGCATAATATTCGGTAATCACCAGCAATGATGATGACGATGAATGTCTTGTCGTGAATAGTCTCAATACAGTACAAGGAAATGTGTATATATGCCATGAAGACTCATCGAAGTATTGTAATCTTCGTGAACACTAATCGTGCAAACAATTACTCCGATATCAGATTTGAACAATCTTTCGAATCTTCGAAATCAGCGCTCTTCGATATTATCTTAACAAACTCACTTGTATCAAAATGGCCAACCAGTCTGACACAGTTGATAGGTTTCTATTCTATGGCACGTCCTAAGACAAACAAACATTCTGGGCAACTCTAGTCAGCAAGGTTAGAGAGAAAGGATGAATCAAGTTCCGGAACCACAGTATCCCCGAAGAAACTTCTCACAAGTTATTCGAGTTTGTATGTTGTTTTGCACCTGATAAGAGAAGAGGAAGCTAAACATACAAAAAACGCGCAAATTCTTCACCTTGTCACTACATTAGAAGATGGAAACAAAATATCCACCCAAGGCGAATCCCAACCATGAACAGCAGCGTGCCCCCCTGTAGAAACATGCCGGGACCTACCTGTGTACATACATGTAAGCATCTCATGTAGGGGCGAGACCCCGCAACGGGTCGCCATTAAAAAGGCACACTTCGATTCAACGCAATTCGACGAAACGAAGACCTGCTCAACCATGTTCTCTATACCAATTTGGGATGTGGTCGACCTCTGTTCATAACTATCTATTGCTGCCACCTGTTGTTAGCTATCAGGTTGTTTTCAATGTGTTTACTAATGCAACAAAGCACCATGGAGCAACTCGTCAAACGTTTATTTGCGTGAGTCATTAGCCCGACAATCCGTAGGATGTCACCAATGTTGTCTCGGAGTTAGAGAATAAGCCCACCGAGCTCGTTGACCTTGAAAACAGCGCGTCCTTGACTTCCCTGAACAAGAAATGTAGGGCGCAAATATTAGCAAATCCAGTTCACTCACCAAGACAGACCTTCTCAAGCGCGTAGCAGAAACGCCTCATCAGCTGTTTGATAGTTCCAAAGTTATCAACAACCTGGTATCATTCTGATAGAGTCGGTCATATATTCAGAATACCCACCTCAAAGGGAATGAAGGTTCCATATTGCAAGCATCACGAGCATAATTTCATGGAGGTGAACAGGTGGTGATCATGCAACTTGCTACGACACTTAGGTTATTACTCACAAGACTTATTCAGAAGTATTCCAGTTTTGTTATGGTATTTTAGTCCATTGTGTTCCTCCTTAGTATTGTGTCAACATCCATTTCCTCGCTAGCTGCCCGGGCCCTGGTGGATTGTTCGTTAGCTGCCTGGGGCACCTAGTATAGCTTGGTAGCCTTTTTAAGGGTCATATTTGTTTCAAATCTGCACACCTTCAAGCTTCTTTCTCATTCATTCTTTCCAAGACTTTTCTGTTTTCGTTCAATCCATTCAGCTCCACGATTTCCTTCTCGACCTCTATCCTGTCAAGCCTCTCGAGATTCCGCTGATCAGCCCTTTTAAATAACTATTATAGGGTTTGCCGACCTTGCCAACCGGCCCTTGACATCATCATTGGTTAAGTAACATTCTTTGCCTGCAACACTGATAATGCTAACAACAAACTAATGCTGGTTGCTCTGTCAGCGATGACTTTATCACCGAAACCACCACAGCCGATGTGAACAAATCTGACACCGAAGATACCACCGATACTTTCGAAGACTCTGTCGCCGATGTCGCTGCCAACACTGCCTCGGCCTGATAGTACTACTTCAGTGCCTATATCGTTTCCTTTCATTTCTTTCCTGGTTTTCTCGAGAAGATTTCCTCTATTCTTTCAACAGGTTTGTTGAATCTTCAGATATGCTAATATATTCTCTTACCGTAGTGTTTTCATTCGACGTGCGTCGCAGGGCAGGGTGCACGCAACGAGGAGATAGTTCTACGTTTGGGCGAAGCCAAGCCATATAACAGGGATAACGATACGTGTTGGCGTGCAAGGCTGAGGCGCATGGCTAGCCGCAAGCTGTCCACTACATACCCCTGTCCCCCAATGAAAATGATCAATCGCAGCTCGCAACTCAGATATCATAATATTGCTCACACTTGTTACTTTTGTCAATACGCCTATCGAAAGCACAAAGCTGTATTCGTAGAGCGTTTAAGTTTATAGACCGGCATTCTGAGACACTCTCTTTGTACGAACCACCCGTCCAGCCTGCTGCAGTTATATATTAGACTAGATTAAGCGGTAAGCCCCACCCAGGACAAGGCGCGCACCGTATCTAGATTCAGTCCGTAGCGTAGAGCGGTCATATACACTATCACGCCGTCCTGTTGTCTCCATGCACGCAGCATATCCGCTTTCTGTTCTAGGCCAAGGGAAGTCCTTTTCGAGTAAAGCGCGAAGGGCTACAGGTAGGCCCGTTGTAGTTGCTTGACTCCATCGCTGGTCGCCATTAATACCATACAACGATATATTTGTGCTCATTTTGACCTAGACCACCTCAATAACCGGTTATACACGAGCGAATAAACTCTTGAATACAGCTCATCGTCGGCAACTATAGCGTGATGCAAATTGAGGCCATTAACAGGTGTTTGCCCCCCCTGGACGATTACCAGTATCAGACAAGAACTGCAACAATAGCACATATATCAGACAAGGCCGTAACAGCAGCGTGTGCGTTGCGTCTCAAGGGCTCCCGCCCTTGAGATGCATGCTACACCGGACCGTAAAATTTGCGGCAACGCTTTTTGTGCACAACGCTGGCGCTACGCTAGAAGAATGAAGATAAAGGGGGTGGGTTAGCTAGTAGTTAGGAGGCAGAGTTCAGTCCGTATTCATCTATTCTATACCTGTTACCTATGTTGCGACCCTTCACTCTGCTGCCAACTCTGATCTGACACCCATGCCAACGTCGAAGAAGCCGAATACGCTGCCGTGTCGGGTAGAGGCAACATGACCGACGGGAACAAAGCCTGAAGCGACCCTCAATCCAGCCGGTACTTGATGGCAGCATAATCGGGACGGAACTCGGACTTCAGCGAGTATAGTGCGAATGGCACTCGTCTATGATCACACGCGCCAGGATCCTCAGGCGGCCTATACCGTAACAGCTCCTACTTAAAGTTAGCCGGCACGGACAGCTCCGAGATAATAGTCATATAGCCCGGATCGCTGCCTGATTTATCATTAATTATAGACAAGGCATCATATATGAAAATTAATGACTGCTGTTTCATACCATTAATTTCAGACCCAGGGTAAGTTTCTGGTTCACGAGCAGAGTTTCGAACTAACGAATAATGGGGGCCTGATGAAAGACACCCTATACTGCCCATACCGGGAAAGGTTCAAGTAATAGCAGAAGTTTGTCGAAACAGCAAGGCCAATTAGTAGTGATATATAGGGCAGCTTAGTCGTCATTGCTGGCCGACAAGTAGCAGTCGTAGTTTAACGATAGTACTTATTCGATTCAATACGGGAGTCGCCAAGAATGCTGCGAGTCGTTGATACAGGAATTTGCTAGTAGTACCGGCTTAATGAAATGCCGTAAATTATCAACTCCAAGTCTCATTGGTGTCCGTACCGGTCCACTGCCTGGACTTACTAACGCCGGTAATGTGTAATCTAGAGGCTACCTAAATTTGACTGTTATCTCTGCCTTCCTCAGCGGGCTGCTACTGCTATTGCTCTGACTTTGACTCTTACGCCCGGATCAGGTACTCGGCCCTTGGATACCATTTTCCTGGACGGACTACCGTATACCTCCAATTTTTATTGGCGATTCTTCCACTCATACAATATATGTTTATGGAGCCACAGCGCTTATTAAATGATAGTGAATTCTTTTTCAAGATCTATAAAATAAAATAAATATCGAAAACGTGAAAGAGAAATGACATAAAAATAAATTGGAATATCAAAACACTAAAAGAGTGAATAATAAGCGGGATGAATACAGAGTGACCAATAATCCTAGTCTAGTCGTCGGTCAAATCTATTCGTTTGTTGTAAATCTGAACACCACTCCTTTCGATTTATAATAAAGAAGATAGCCTCGCTTTCCTGAACGCCTACTTCTTCCAGAATTTTAACCTGTCCCTTTATTTTCACGACCCGCCTGCCTACAAGACTGAGACAGTCTGGTTGGTTTGTCTGAAACTCCTTCGCAATTGCCTCTCAACGTTCAATTTGCATAAGGACATTTAGTCAGGGTTCATGTTGTTTCATGACCACAGCCATATTTGATATAATGGTAGTAACACATTTCGTAAAGAGTAAGTATGGTGATATAATCTCTCAGCTTGAATATTTGGATGGAAAAGGTTAAATAATATATCTTAATAAATAAGTGTTAATTATTGCTATGGTGAACGTAAAGTTTTAATTAATACGTGTGAAGCTTAGTTTAATAAATATAAATTTTAAGCGTACTTAATGAAAGGAAAGGGAAGTCTTTTGTATATCAATTAATTAGTAATTGTTATTATGTTATTACTTTATAATAAAGCAAAAAGTCATCTTACGTTTCAGTGTTATATAATCATGTGAGAATAAGATTGAGTATAACTTTATAATGGAAATTACGGGTGGCTCGTCCATGGCGGTCCCAAAGGTTTGGCACTCAGCTTTCTTCTTCCCTGCAACATTTCACTCCTGCTTGTAGTGCGAGGTAGTCTTCTGCCATCCTCCACACCGCGGCTTCGTTTTTACTCTCCAAGTTGTGCAAAAAGCATGCTCTAGAGCGTTAGATATTAGTAATTGTAGACCATACATCGTGATGATCGCGTTTAGATATCTCGAACAAGACAACAAACCTGTATTCCACCAGAAATAACCAGTGGAATCCAACGCTCAATTGCTCTGTATCTTGATGCTGTACTCGTACTCGCTTTATGCGCCTCACTTTGACACCTGCAATACGTTGGGCGATGTGGAACTAGGGTTCTGCTAGTGTTGTGGTGCTGGGAAAAGTCGATTATCTTCATCTAGGATACTTTTGGCACGAGTATGATCCTCTGCCAACATGGCATACCTTATCACCTTGGAAACATCGAGCTTCTACTTACGATGAAGTTTACAAGCTCATAGTACCTCGACGTGTCTTTTCAGATGGCCACTCACTGCCTGGTTATTGCATGGGGCCTACCACGCTGGCTGATTACATTTTCTTGGCTGCAACACAGTCTGGTAATGTGCGCAAATAAGTAGGTAGAACCATGCTGCGGAATTGGTATGGTTGAGATAAGATGGGACGAGCCATCTTTGAACGACAATCGCCTTAAACTTTTCATAAAAAGAAGTAGTTTCTGATTCTTCGTCATTCATATGTTCGTTGGTTTTTGGATTTAGACTTTCATACTTCGTGGTATGCAAGATATATGCGCGAATTCCCTGACAAGAAGTTTTCAAAGCGCGCGTGATTTAGAGCAAAAAAGAAAACATGAAATGACAGAAACAACTGAGCATTTACTCTTTTCCTTTCTGTTTCTCTTTCTTACTTACCGCACTTTCATCACACGGCTTTCCCAGACTTGAACGCAGCAGTACAACTCTTACATTTCGACTCGAAACAATTGAACACCTCACAACAACAGCAAGGAACAGAAAGATATCATTATGAAGTCTGCTGTGGTCATCTTGGCATTTTCTGTTGCCTCCTTGGCTCAGCCTGTCGCCACCAACCTTCAATACGTACCTCCATTGTGCGCGTTGAGATGCTTTCTGGACACACCCAGAGGACTTTGCGGAGAAGATGTCGAGTGTCTCTGCCGGTACGTCGATTCGGATTTTTTCTTTCATTTGGTAGATTTGGCTCTTGAATGGTCACATTGAGGGGTTCTTGATTGCTATGTTGATCTCTCTACCTCTCCCTCTCTCATAAAACGGGGAAAGGTGTAAGGGAAAAAGATAATTTAGCTGACATATTTTAGTGACGATGCTTACGTCCAGAATCTCAGGATTTGCGCGACTGATAGCAGCTGCAGCGATGCTCAAAAGTAAGTACTGCAGTTATCTTTACATTCGGACCTTGTCGCTAACCACTACTCAAGGGAGGACATGAGAAAGACGGCGAAGTCCGAGTGCGCGGCGCGTGGTGTTGATATTGGCGATGAGATTGGCGATATTTAAGACTTTACTTGAGAGGAATTGAGGTACACTAAATCGGCATCACAATTACAGGGTTGTAAACAAGGATTAATTTCAGAATGTCTCGTTACGTCAGCTTGTGCTGACTTAAGCATACGTTTAATTCATCTATAGCCCAATTTGGTTTCCTTGTGCCATCGTTAAAGTGTATTGGTCATTTTGTCGCAATCGTGAATCCATACCAACAAAGGGCGCTTACAGTAAGAGGATGAGTCCAAGGCGGCCGCAGTGCTATGGAACTTTGCGACGTTTGCAATACCCCATTAGCACCACGATGGATTCTGTTGCTCAGGCGTACGGATTAGGCAGGAGGAAGATAATAGTCTGGAGGTCTTTCTCGCTAGACGAGGGTATTAGTGCTTATTCGGGTTTTGCATCATGCGGCGTTCAGCGCTCAAGTGGAATGGTGATATTAGCTCGCTTGTGCAAATGCCACTATAAATGGCTGCTTTAATCAACCTGGCCTACAGCCTCGAATGATTGTCATTTATATAACGTGAGACAGGACGTTCTATTCGTTGCCTGGGGTTCATATCAAGTGCTATTCATCATGTTCGCCAACGGTTTTTGTCGAGGTGCCCACTTGCTCTACCTTGGTATAGTGGCCACCGCAAGTGCTGACGCCATATCTATACCGCCAACAACGGGTCACTATCATGTTGGTGTGCGGAAACTCGAGATACCCTACATTAACACAGGAGACCCTATCGCCCCCAACAATGTTACGACATCTTTCTTGGCCACAGCCTTTTATCCTACATCGCAAAAAGGCAGCACTAAACAGAGCCCTTACTTGGATCCCGCAACTGCAGCACTGTATGAGGTCCTCAAGAATCTCACAATCGGTACCATAGGCAATTTGACATCAGCTTTGGCGAGAGATGCACCAGCAGTACATGATCTCACTGCTTTCCCAACACTGATCTTCGGGCCGGGAGGCTGGGGGCCACCGACGGAATTTTACACAATCCTACTGTCGGACCTCGCTTCTCACGGCTACGCGGTCTTTGGCCTGGACCATCCGTATGAGCAGCCCTTCGTGCGCTACCCGAATGGTACGGGGCTGTATGGGCTGCCCCTCTCGTTTGACACGGGCGACGTCGATTTCATAAACACCCTTCAGACCATTCGCGTGAATGAGACGATCGCTTTTATCGACAGGCTGCCGCTCGTTGCAGAATTGCTTGGCGCTCCGCTCAACCAGACACATATCGGTACACTTGGCCATTCGGTAGGCGGCGCGGCGGCACTCGGCGCTGCCCTCAAGGACGAGCGCATATCGTCGGGCATCAACATGGACGGAGAATTCTGGGGCGTTAACTTACCATATGCTGATGTTGGACGTCCTGTTTTGCTTCTTGGACAGGAGGGGCACGCTTCTCCTAATTCCAGTGATACCACGTGGCAGACGTTTCCGGAAGCGCAGACAGGCTGGTGGAGGGTGCTAGGAGTCAACGGGTCGGGGCATTGGGACTTCACCGACGCGACGTTTTGGAAAGAAGTGACGCCTTACACCAGTGCGTCGTTGGGCTCCGTCGATGGGTTTCGGCAGGTGAATATCACAAGAACTTTTATAAGGGAATTCTTTGATTTTACTTTAAAGGGAGAGTCACCAACTATATTTGCCGGGCCATCGGGCGCTTGGCCGGAGGTCAGTTACGTTAATGGACAGGATGGGAATGCTTGAATATTTAGCATGCCAATGTGATTGAGTATGGGCATCAAGTCATCAGCGAGCAATAGACCACCGTTAAAGGTTGACGTTTGAGTATTAGATGAACCAGTGTGGCCCAGTGTGTAGCTGTAGTTGGATCATGTCGTAGCTGAGTTTGTTTTAAACGATTTAGAGCTTGTGACGGCTTGGAATGGAGTGTGACAATTCTGAAGGGCCATTGAGCGTGCTATTTACAAAATTTGCCGGGAGAGCAGGTGTACTGAAAATATTCGCGATTTGACCTGGCTGTGAGTGTTCCGGGGCGGAATTTAGATTGCGACTTTACCTGTGCCTTGCGCGGTATCTCATGGTCTATTATCTCACGTACAGCCCAACTTTAAAGAATAACACAAACCCGAAGACTAAGACCATTAAAATGCAAGTAGCTAAGGCTTTCCGCGCTCTCTTGTAGAGTTCCTTGTCACTCTTGAATTCGTCGTACTGCTCGAATTCCAATCTCTGACTGGATTGTGAGTGTAATCCAGTCGTCTTGTTCTGGACTTAATGAGCTCATGGATGATGTGAGCTTCTCACTGATGTTCTCTTCGTCATCCTGGCCAAGACCCAGACGCTAAAATTGTCTCACCTGCTTTTCAGCCAGAACTTCAGAAAGAGCGGCTCCAAGAACGTTCGAAATAGAGTAATTGCTTATTGTGTCTAGACCAAAATATTTGAACTTAGGGATTGATATTGTGCGTAGAAATGGGTATCTGAAAGAAGTTTTTGACCAGCAGGAAACAAGGGCTTGATTCTACGCGGTCTGAATGTTTCTGTACCTATTTAGGTCCGTGATCTAAGGAGTGTGCGTTTATGGAAAGTGCTAGTGGTCATGAGGTTTTAAGTTACTGACAAGCGGTTCAAAGTTTTGACTCGATCCAGGCAATGTGCTCACCCTGTAATGCCGATGACGAGTTACGCGCACACAAACTTCATGCAGAACTCCTACTATTCAGCAGTGCTATTCGTCATGCCAGGTCCTTTTCAAATACACGATACTCGCAAGGGCCCTTCAACAATGGGGCGAGCTGCGGATAATCATCCTGAAAGACGCCCAGTTTGACCAGCACATACCCCATCCTCTCATACCAAGCCTGCAACCTCTTCTTAAACGCATGCTCGAAGCCAAGCGGGACTAACAGCTCCAATCGCATCCTCGTCAAACCCAAGACACTCCGACAGTGTCCCTCGGCGAACGCAGCCATCTCCCGGCCCGTTCCACCACCGCGATGAACAGGATCGATGGCGAACATACCCATCTCCCCCGTCTGCGAGCCGGCCAGGGTCTGGAGTCTCATGCAGCCGATGACAGACCAACGCTGCGAGGTCGAGCTGGATTCTCCCAGCGGGAGATAGGCAACGGCCAGCTCGCCGGCGCGAACAATCTGTCGCATTTCATCTGTTCTGACGCGTTGGTAGCCCTCGACGAATATGTCGCCTTCTGTCTCCCCGTAGACGAGATTCACGATGTCGCAGAGCTGCATGATGAGGGCTTCATCCTCGGCTGCCGCGGCGGGGGCCATCTGGATCTGCACGCTGGGCGTTGGTGGCGGGGTTTTGCTAGCTAAACCCCCTGTGGATGCCGGAGTGGCAATTGAGGCCGCAACGGTCGTCTCGGAGATGAGCTGGGCTGTTGCGTGGGACGTGGTTGCCATTATGAAACGGATTTATGTTGAGAATGCTGGCCAAGCGCAGGTCGACGAGCGATAAACTTTTGCCTTGCTTTTGATTTCAATTTTCCTTACGCAGAGTTTGCCTGGTTGGAATTTCGATGCAATCAATCATCTATCAGAGAGGCCCCATGTATAAGATAAATTTGATTACTGAAGCACGGCAAGATCCTGTGCATAAGCATGAGTTGTAATGTGATCGAAATAGCGGACCTGTGCACCAGCGGCACGGTTGGACGAGACCCATTTACGACATGACATGCGATAAGCTTCTGGGAATCGTAAGCATCGGCCGCGACCCCATGGACAGCGAGAACCTGGTGTAATGGCGTCTGGAATCATCAGCATCTCTACAACCTGTGATAGTAATTGTTAGTTGGGTCACCTATCCCAGATCTCTATATGTACTGATCCGATGTTGGCATTGTGCGGTCGCTCGGAAGCTAACCGTCCAGGGGCAAACGACACCAGTTTTAATTGTATGTTCTGCGAAGCAATGAGAAGGGCAATGCAGAATTGGTATGGTTGAAGACCTCGTCCTCTCGTGTGATTTCATGCTGTGGCACAACGAATCTAGCGAGTACCAGTCTCTACATAATGTGCGATCGAACCAGGATTGTTCTGTCCCTGCAGCACACGCGACAACCTAGACTTTGCTTCGGTGGATAGAATCGATGGGTGGGTCACACAGGATTCCAGCCCTGTAGACTTGGCATGCATCACTATAACGACAGTTGACGGGACGTGGGCCAAACGATAGTTTAGCTATTGAAGGGTAGGCCAATGTATTAGAATCTATTAAGCGGTAATTTTTCATTATCTAAAGCCGTCCTTTTTCTTTTTAACAAAGCCACCCAATTCACCAGCAGCTTTCGCGGTTCGGTGCAGAGAGGCCAGCTTACAGAGCGGCAACGGCAGCAATGACACCGGCGGCAGCAATGATTCCAGCGACGAAGCCGCTGTTCTCGCGGGCAGCGCCGGCGGTGGCGACGGTGGAAGCACTGGTACCAGAAGCGGCAGACGACTTGGTGGCGGTGGCGGTGGCGATGGATGAGCCAGTTTCGCCGGCCTCGGAAGAGGACTCGGCAGCGCCAGAGCCGGTGGCTGTGGCGCCACCCTCAGCGTCGGTGGCCGAGGCGGACGATTCTTCGGTAGCAATGGCAGAAACCGAGCTGAGGATAGCGGAGGCAGCGGTCGAGCAGACAGGCACCTCGGAGGCGTAAGCGGCGAGATCGGTGCAAGAGGCCAGGGCGCTGAGGAGCTCGTCGCTGTGCGAGGTGTACCAGTCGAGGACCTCGGAGGTGTATGAGCTGTACTCAGCGGCGACGGTACCAGTGAAAGAAGGAGTCTCACACGGGTCCGAAGGGAGGCTCACGGACTGAAGCTCAGAAGGAGGAAGGGGAATCTCGCTGTAGATGGGCAGGACCGAGGCGATGGCGGTGGAACAGGCATCGTCGGCGGAGTAAGTCTGACGAGCCTCGATGAGGAACTCTCGCCGGGCGATGGCCGGGAGCTGGGCAGAGGCCACAGCGGCGAAGGTAGCAACAGCGAAGGTCTTGGAGAACATCTTGACGTTAGTTGGTGAAGAAGACTTGATGTTGTGTCTTTGTCAAGCGAATGAATCTGTCGGCGTAAAGAGCGAGCGTCGATAGTAACCTAGACAATGAGATCAGGAATGTAGCACAGCGGCAGCACAAAGGTTTAAGTATGTGCCTCTACAAAAGCAGCACTCGAATGAGTCGATCATATTAGCCGTCCGAGATGATGGCAATCCCCGCCGATCCGACCCAGAGCCAGGGCCAAGGTCAACCAGTTCCACATGCCAGGTTACGAACTCCGCCCCTGAGTGTTCCAGCTCAGGGGCGAGCCCACGGAATGGAGCCGTGAATTCCAAGACAAATAACAACTCGTAGCGCCATTGGCGTCGGCCACGCTGAGAGGACGGTACAGGCGCGGATCATAGCAGAGACTTGGCGGTATTATTGAACAAATGGTATGCAGTGAACCGACAAGTTAGAATATCGTCAAGGAGCCATGGCGCGTGGCACAGATGCGATGAAAGCATGGGAGAAGCAACTCGGGAAAGCCAAGCATCACGCTAGTCGGTAAGGTTAATTCATACTTTGAGCCGCCGAGCTCCGGTTAGTCAAGATCAGCAGGAATCCACAACTCCGACTTTGGAATGCATATGCACAATTCAGCTGTACGAATCTTTCTTGGAGCACTTCTGCTTCACGTTGTATGATTGAACGAATGCAATGAAGTATAATCAAGTTGCTGATAAGTATTGATTGAGAATATGGAAATGTTGTTGTCTGCATTCACGCGGTGATAAGAAATTTCAAGGTTGCATCTCCTGTAATTTCCCGGCAGGTCGTCAAGAGCCATTAGCGGAGGTAGCTTGCCGCAACCATAACCTTAGTGAGCCTTAGGGCGTGGTCCCAGGACAGTCAAGCTAGCCCATAGGCCAGCTCTAGACTAGGTTAGATAGGTGGGCTGGCGGTTACATACGGATCCATACGCTATAACGTACCCGTTAGCACACGCATGCGCCAATCGCTGCCTTTCAAACCCCCTGCTTGTGCCAAGTCGGCGGACCTGCCCTACATTCTGACTGGTTCTCGACTCGTAGAAGCATCACGGTTTCAATCCCAAGATGCCTAAGAGTAGTGCGCAACCTTGTTGGACAAATAGTCCAGGCACCAGGCAACATCTCAAGAGAAAAGCTGCTGGCTTGCAGTCTGACACCAGGCTTGCTAGCACTAGCTCAACACTCAGCTTGCTCTACAGTTCCGAGGCTGCCTGAAGTAGCATCATCCTGGAGATCCGACAACCGATGCAGGCGGTTTCTCAGCATGAGCTCGAGGCTCCTGTCACACGATCTACCTGTAGTGCCGTCGGTGGACGCAGTTATGGTCCGTGTTTGACCACTACGCTTCAATTGGTTTACATGTTCAGTATGCCGTCCGTGACGCAAAGTTAGAGGCAAGTAAAGTTTGTACAATGTAAGCGTCGTCGGCCCAGGCGGCCCAGTAATTTTATTATATAATTCAGCTTAAATAATGGTCTACCGTGGAGCTCTGCCGTTGTAGTCATTTCCCGCCTTGGCCGTATAATTCGCAAAACAGTCGTAGTTGAAATCAATTTCACCAATACGCTTCTGCAAAACGGAGACAACTGTGTCAAATGAACACAGCCCATTTGGATCATCATTGCACCCTTCGTAAGAGTCCGCAATGGGGATGACTGCATCGTTTCTGTTTGCTGTTAGCATACGATTCCTTAAAGAGGGGCAGAAATCTGTCAAAGGCTTACACAATGAAACGAATTTGCTTTGTAGGGCTGTAAGCCGGGCATTCCAGCACTTGAGTTGTGAAATGTGTCGCAAAAGGCACAATCTTACTAGCAACAAAGCTGTTCTGCTTTTGGTTGCGAGTCAGTGCTAGAGGCGGGCCCTTGAACAAAGAGGTCAAGTTGAACGCCATCAAGGTATCAAGCACGACGACTTCGTGAGTAGCATCGGCATAAATTGATTGATTCAGCGGGAAGTATGTTGTCGTGTTGTCGAACGTCTCGTTCAAAGCAGAGGCAGCGTCAGGAAAACTGTGTGTGAAGCGGCCAACGAACTCTTGAAGGTAACCCTTTCCTTGAGCTGCCGAAACAGGAGAGCCAGGGCCGTTGTTGTAGTAGAATGCCAGGTCATAGTAGTATTCGTAGTTTAGGAAGTCTTCTTGGGTGAAAATTTCGCAAAAAGCGGAATATCCTAGGGCGTGGGTCTCATATGAACATAGCTGGAGCATGGCAATGGCATCGGTAGGCGTAAAGTTGAGCCCAGAAGCCTGGGAGTTCAGACGGGCAAGAGTGGCATTGAAGGCGTTTGCCGCAAAGGCTGTGGCAACAGTTGAGCCAATGCTGCCCTTGGATGCAACATTGGAGTTGGTACAGACCTCGTAAGGTGCGCCAGAGTTGTTAACGCCGGGAGTCTCAACCAAGATTTCAATATTGACCTGGTCCAAGTACTCTGGAACGCCAAAGAAACCAGCAGCGAAGTTCTCGGCAGTCTTGACCATACGATCTTGGCTCTGAGTCCGGAAGACGGGAATCATGCCTGCCTCCGTGAAGTTGTTAAGGAGTTCACCGTAGAGCTGACGGTATTGAACGCCCAACAGGAAGTTCTGGCTTCTGCCAAACGGGGTGAGCAGCTCTGCTCCAAGCTTGTACGTCCAGCCTGACAGGAACTCTAGAGTTCCATTGACCGTAAACCCTGTCTTGGTGGCATTGTGCAGTTTGGCAGCGAATGTGGCAGGAGCTGCGCCGCTCGTGGGGTATCTTGCACCATGGCGATATAGCAGGTGGACCTGAACGATGTCACACCCATCAGGCAGTTGGGGGCTTGCATCGGGGAGACCATAGTCGGCGGAGTGCAAAGAGTACCAGGGCGATAGATTACCCCAGTACTTCTTGATGTCGAAAGTTGCATCTAGGTCTTCACCGAACGGCTCGGGCGAGGCGAGTGGGAATGCATTGGCGGGGCCCGAATTGTATGGGTAGCTCTTTGCTGTTTCTATCGAAGCAGGCTCGGCGCCAGTCTGGGTAACTCCGGGATATCCAACTACCGACTCGGGCGGGAATAAATTGGAGTTGACGGACGCTGTAATGTGACAGTTAATGCAAATTCTCTAAACTGGTGACATTTTTGCCCCCTTCTCGGTGCACAAGAGCCAGGGACAAACATACTTTTCGCTGGGGGGTAGACGTCAGATGTGTAAGATCCCACAAAAGACGATGCTGGGCTGGCCTTGGCCGCAGCGACCAACAGCCCTACAGGTGCGAAATTAGATAGCTGCATGCCTATAATAATTGCTTGCCAAGATGCCACAAGAGAATGCCAAGTATCTGGGACACGAGACCACATAAACCATTCTGGAGTTTCACTCAATTATATTACTTCCTTCGAGCACCCGGTTCGGACGCACAATGCACAACTCCGTGGCTCCTTTGCTAATTGGCCTATCAAGGTTACAATCTAATGCACGTGCACATTCAATTGCAACTGAAGAACAAGCTGAAATCCCAGCCATCTGGAAACGAAATCAGCAACGGCGAACCGAGCTGACCGAAATTGCATGTTAGAAGGTAGAATGATGTCAAGGTATTCTAACGTTGGGGAAGGTGCGGGGCAACGCTACCACAGCCAATTCGGAACTCCAACTTCATGCACGTGTTGAGCATGGGTATCTAACGTGCTTGTGTCAATGATACCAATATATCGAACTCGGTATCGCTGTCATCATCCCACCGAGATCGAAGATAACGTGCAACCAACGAAGAGAGCCAAACACCGATCTATTAAACCCAGCCAAGGTCGGGCCGCAGATACTTTTGCATCAACGACTTGGAGCTGTATATCTGAATTACTCTAGATAAATAAATGGCTCAGCCTTCAGGTTAGAAGTAAATCGATGGTAGACCAGAAATTAAGCTATTCCCCAATAGCAGAGATGATTCTCATTCTTTGACCGCAAAGATTTATCTCGTTCCAAAACTGCACATATATCACTTTTTGGTTGCTGCAGTATCCTTTCGTAATCTATTGTAGATTTAGAAAAATACGACTGAGTATTGGCTGCAAAAAATAACGCTGTGTAATATAGAAAGATTCGGAATTGGCTTCCCGTTTTCATTACAGTCTTGATATTACGTTATGCACGGTGCCTGAGAATCTTTCCAATTCGGAAACATATCAAAACATAAGGATACAAAGAATCTTATTTCATATTGATCTATCCTTAATAGAAGACACCAAATAAGTAGCGGCTCAGGTTGGATGGAAAGCATCATAAAATCTTTTGATGTATCTGTAATCAGCGCTGGACTAAGAATTACAACGTCGAACTTCAGGGATATAAGCTGTTTCGCCTTTGAACAATACCGACTTGATCGTTTTGTCCAGCACACTCTATCTTGAATAAATGACATCTGGTAGCGTGGCCTACTCTTTTTCTTTTTCATTTCCCTAGAATTCTATGTGAAATTCATCGACTACCTAACTTTTAGGTAGAGCCTTGCTTTAACTCACAAGATCATAAACTTTCGATGATGTACGTAGGATGAGCTGTACTGATGATCCATCCCAAAACCATAGCTTATGCTCGGGATAAACCAAGCTTGAGAAAAGTACCGAAATACCACCACGTGTTTTGAAAGATCGAAACAAGTCCCAATACCGTGATGTGTGACGTATCTAGATGCCAACTACAGATTTGCAAGTAATTGGTCGCAGAGATTCGGAAATCATTAACAGCGCAGAAACTTGTGTGTGCTATGTCCTGCTTTGAGCCACTTATACTCACCCGCGAATGACCTAGAGGTTTTGCCCGATGTGCCCAGGTTCCTTCAAGCCCACCCAAGATGGAAGACCTGAGTTTTGCAACCTGGTAGGATTTACGGCATATTGCAGAACGTCAAAGCTGTTCTCACAGAGAATAATGGCTTTGGTAGTCTCTATAAGAACCGTCTCTATGGTGTTGATATTTGGCCTGGTGTGTGGAGGAGATTAACATGAGCGGTTGAGCGCCGTTATATTTTCGTACATATGTATTGTATTAATATTTTCTCATAAACCGTTTTCAACACTTTCAAAGTATGTTTGTGTAATAAAAGTAATGATCTTATCTAGGTATTCAAGGTCATCGAAGAAGTACAGCATGTGAAGTTGACTCTAACCCTGCCCCTCCCTGTCTTACATCTCACGGGTTGGTCGCCGTCCAAACGGTCTTGACATCTGCCTCTTGTGAAATCACGCTTCTGTCACTCTTCTTCCCGCATTCGGCACAGTGCAACCTGCACAGGTATCTATGCCAGCTTTTCGCTGGACATTCGACCTTCCATCGACAATTTTGTGTTAGATGTTGCTCCCTAAATTGGCATCACTGAAAGCGGCATTCTTCACCGAGTCCCCACGGATACCACATATACAGCAGCGGGCATTGCAGGTCATCACGTTGATGTGTTTGTTGTGGCTGGGTACATGGATGTTCTCACAACGCCGACTACGACGATTTGGGAATCTAGATGCAAGATGGTCTGCAACTGAGACCTCTTCTTCGCGCAAGCTTGTCTAACTCAGGGATGCTTCGAACGCCAAGGAAACAGGACCCTATCACCCAGCTTTAGGGTCATCCGATCATTTAGTGCGGGAAGATTAATCGATATAGCATTCCTTCTTCTTCACTACTGTCCTTGGAAACGAAGTCTGTCACTGCTAAAACGCCTGTTCCATCCCTTGGCGTTCTGCCCCCCCCCCCCCCCCCCCCCCCCGGGAAAACACAGCTTATAATTGATGTACTTCAGAATGCTTCTTAAATTCTTTCAAATATTGATCTATAATGCTTTGGCTGGCCGAGTAAATTCTCATGGACGAATTCATTGGTATATGCTTGAAAGAGTGCCTTGCGGACGGGTCGAGGACTTCGAGATAGTACCGATTGGCGAGGTGAATTGTCATGTCCGCCATGTGCAAAATGTACTTATAAGTCTGGTCAGAAGACGCGCTAGGATAGGGTAACCATTTGTGAGGGTGTTGATCTTCAGCGACGTATCTTTCTGGTTCCGCACTGAGATTCTGCCCACGCGGTCATAAGCATCATCGATACACATTGCGCATAGAAGCCCGTCCTTTTGGCATCGATTTCTGAGACGCTGGTCAGAGGAGATACATTGGCTTTCCCGATCCGGTTAAGCATGATATCTCGAGCTACTACTGGACGGTTCTCATAGCGGCCAAATTAAAGCTCTTGGTTCAAGAGATAATGTCGTGTCATTGAGCTGTGCCGATTCGCCGGAGCATGGCAAATCGGTTGCGACTAAACTTTGACATGCTATTTCTGGCAGTTCCCGACCTGTCGGAGTCTGCCCGAAATTCATTACAGTAATGGTACGAGTGGAAGGCAACGATGTCTGCGGACTATTGATTCAAGGTAGTACTTTGACAACTCTTGGGTTTGTGAGGTTGTATTTTCAGTGCCTCGTGCCATTCGAGAGGCAGATTTGGGATCGTAGAACAGCTGGCGCCACTAGCACATAGACCCCACATACAATGGTAGCGTTCAATCGCTTATCTCAGTGCTCCTGCTCATCATCCCACTGAGCATGACCAAACCAATACGGCGGTGATGATGCATATAGTTGGTGTAGGTTAGGACTTACGTGCCTGGCTGAGATAGGGTGCCTGGCCTCACCACTCCGAAGAAAGCATGTCGCTCGACAGGGGTCCCACTGTTTTCGCGTAAATCGGTCCGGCCCCAGACGGAAGCCATCTTCCCCATAACCTATTTCAGAAAGTCAAGACACAAGGTAGATGCCGGATGGAGCTCGCAAGCTATCTTGGGCACATCCTCATGGTCCTCCTCATTTCCTCGCCAACATTAGTGAAGGAAAACACGTCGGTTCATCGAGCGAGAAGCTGTTGCTTTTCTGCCCCTTTCTCCTTAATACCTACACGTCTAGATTGAGCCGAAAGGCATTCCTCAATGTCTTGGCCTGCATAGCGGTTGGCTGCCGAGTAGCATCCCTGAATCTCGACAAGCGTTCCAGAGTTATTGAGGCGGCACGCAAGGCACATGAGATGCAGGCCCAAATCCCCGGTCCGCCGTGCCCACGTCCACCACAAAAACCCGGCTTTCAGCCTCCGCAATCTACTTCAGTCGCGATATCCCCGTCTTTTGCCTGGTACCGAGCGCGCCAACCCTTGCGCATCCCTGGGACCAACAGCATGCGGCGATTAGAAATCCCTCCTATGGGGAGTTATATCCAGGGCTGGAAATGATCATGGTCTCACATGACAATCCTACGGGCTTGGTATATGAGAAGTATTGATAGATCCAAAGCTATGGGTTCATGTATATGTCTAACTTATATCCCCCTTGGTTGTATTTGGATTGGCCGTCGGTTTGTCGAACATTTTGAGCCCAACACAAGTTGCGGACCGCAGAGATATCATGGGTTTCCGTCGTCTAGCGGCACTGCTGCTTACAGCGAGCTTCAGTTAGTCTTCATCATATCATGGTGCGTGGTCACTGCTAATGTGCAGATATTCGAAATGCCTTGGCTCAAAGTTCCACGGCAGTCGTCTACACAGACCCCGGAACCGGCATCACATTCGATACATGGCCAGTGCCCAGCACTTCTACAGCAGGAGGGCTGACCTTTGGTATGGCCTTGCCCTCGGATGCGCTCACTACCAATGCGGATGAGTTCGTTGGATATCTTGTCAGTAATTCCTTGAGCCTAATCCGAGAATGCCTACTTACGTATGCAGCAATGTGCATCAACCAGCACAACCGCGACTGGCTGGTGTGGTATATCACTTGGCGGCTCGATGACGAACAACCTCCTACTTATGGCTTGGCCCTACGAGAATCAGATCTACACAAGCTTCTTGTGGGCTACCGGATACACGCAGCCAGGACCATACACCGGTGATGCAGCAGTGACTCAGATATCCTCCACCATAAACGCAACCCACTTTACCCTCGTCTTCCGCTGCCAGAACTGTCTGTCATGGGATCAAAACGGGGCAACGGGCAGTGTATCCACTAGTGCTGGCTACTTCGTTCTAGGATGGGCACAGGCTTTGCCGCAGCCAACAAATCCCGACTGTCCTGCAAACGTCGTTATGCTTCAGCATGAAGCTCAAGGCATCTTTGCGGCCAGGTTTGATAGCAGTGTTGCCAACACGTCCTATACAGCATGGGCAGCCAAAGCAACCAAGACAGTTACTGGGGCGTGCGCATCAGCGACTGCTACGACAACGACAACTACATCAGCAACGACCACCGCAACAGCCACTGGGGTGCCCGTTCCAACGGCGAAGTATGATTACATTGTCGTTGGCGCAGGTGCTGGTGGCATCCCTATCGCAGACAAGCTAAGCGAGGCAGGAAAGTCTGTACTCCTTATCGAAAAAGGACCACCATCTTCCGGACGCTGGGGAGGCGTCATGAAGCCTGATTGGCTGGACGGCACTAACCTAACTAGATTTGATGTACCTGGTCTTTGCAATGAAATTTGGGTGGATTCAAATGGAATTGCATGTAAGGATACCGACCAAATGGCTGGATGCGTGCTCGGTGGGGGCACTGCTGTGAATGCAGGCTTGTGGTGGAAGCCTAAGACAGAGGACTGGGACTACAACTTCCCTACGGGCTGGAAGTCTACCGATATGAAGGCTGCCACAAGCAGAGTTTTCTCCCGCATTCCTGGCACTGAGGTCCCGTCCAAGGATGGCAAGTTATACTACCAACAAGGATTCAATGTTCTTGCTGGCGGTCTTGCTAAAGCTGGTTGGGAGAATATTACAGCCAACAGCGAGCCAGATGAAAAGAACCATACTTTCTCTCATGGCGAGTTCATGTTTTCAAATGGTGAGCGAGGCGGACCTATGGCAACTTACCTCGTGACAGCTAATGCGAGATCGAACTTCGATATCTGGATGAACACTGCTGTCAAGCGAGTAATTCGGGCTGGCGGCCATGTCACTGGTATCGAAGTCGAGCCATATGGAGATGGTGGCTACACCGGGGTTGTCAATGTTACCTCAGTCAGTGGCCGTGTGATCCTCTCTGCTGGCACCTTTGGTTCTGCTAAACTACTCTTGCGGAGTAAGTATTACTGCATTCTCATTGCGTTGCTAATTCTGGCTAATTTTGATAGGCGGTATTGGGCCAGCAGATCAACTCGCAATTGTCCAGAAATCTAGTGATGGTCCTACCATGATCAACTCAACTGACTGGGTTACCCTTCCCGTTGGATACAATCTAGATGACCACGTCAACGTATGTGCTTTGAAGCCAAGATCTGTTCTGTTTTTTAATTGTCTGCTGACATAAAGGTAGACCGATACAGTTGTATCTCACCCCGACGTTGTCTTCTACGATTTCTATGAAGCTTGGGACAACCCGCCAGCTGCTGATGAGAGCCTCTATCTCAGTACGTTCATCAGGAGTATATTTAAGTTATTGTCCTGGTACTAATGTATGACAGACAAGCGTTCCGGTATTCTCGCTCAAGCAGCGCCGAATATTGGACCTCTGTGAGTGATACCCCGAGCCGAATCTGTATGCAACTAACCATGCTCAGCTTCTGGGATGAGATTACCGGCGCTGATGGCATCGTTCGTCAACTGCAATGGACAGCTAGAGTAGAGGGTAGCGATGGCATTGCCAATGGGAGTAAGTTACGAAGCAAGCGTATAAAAAGTGGCCATGCTGACAAGTCAAAAAGACTCGATGACAATGAGTCAATATCTTGGCCGAGGCGCCACTTCACGAGGTCGCATGACAATTACTTCAGACCTGTCCACGATCGTTTCAACACTGCCGTATTTAAACGATAAGAACGATGTCCAAGCCGTTATTCAAGGTATCAAAAACCTTCAAGCAGCTCTATCCAATGTCAAGAACTTGACATGGGAATACCCAACTGCCAGCGAGACCGTGGAGGACTTTGTGAACAATGTGAGTCCACTCATCAACCATAGTTGACACGTGTGTTCATTTCGATTTAGATGGTTGTTTCATATTCGAACCGACGCGCCAACCATTGGATTGGTACGAACAAAATTGGTACCGACGATGGTCGACAGGGCGGTTCGGCTGTTGTGGACACCAACGCCAAGGTCTGGGGCACAGACAACCTGTTCGTTGTTGATGCTAGTATTTTTCCTGGTCATGTCACAACCAATCCTTCGTCGTACATCGTCGTTGCTTCGGAGCGAGCATCTGAGCGCATACTCGCCTTGGCAACCTCCGCTGCTGGTGCCAAGTATGCGCAGTGTGGCGGCTCCACCTGGAATGGCAGTTTCCAATGTGCTACTGGTTTGGTATGCACGCGCAAGGACACGTACTATTCACAAGTGAGTTCAACACTGCTCATAAAATAATGACAACTTGCTAATACGTCTTTTTCAGTGCCTGTGATGGAGCAACTATTCATGCTCGTAGGGCTTTCTTGTATATACTTGACTACGATTGCTCTGTAGAGACAATCTTTAGAGACAATTTCTATCTCAATGCATCGTGTCCCATTCCATGTGTTACGTTTCAAGCGGAGAAGACATTGCCGTAGCCGACGCTCAGAAGAGCGTCTAGACAATGCTAAAAGTCCATGAACTCTCCCAAGAGTATGTTTTCCCAGGGCCAGTAATCTGAGCATTAACACGATTCCAAGCAGGACTACTCTATGTCAGCACACATCCACCAGCCACTGCCAGGGCTTTCACTTACTGGTTGATTCCATCCACCCAGTCCTGCGCCTCGATCGCGACGCAGGAGCTTCGCGAGACGGTATGTCTGTCGCTTAGCCCCTGCGTCTTCTTGAGGGCAGCAGTCCCGTCAAACCAATTGCACGAATATATGACGAGTCCCGCCTGGTCCGTCCTCAGATCCGCCCTGATGCCCGAGAACGGGCTTGCGAGCGTCGCGACGACGTCGGTCTGCGGCGCACCGTCGATGATCCAGTAGCCGTTGTAGCCCTCGCATGCCCCGTCGGCGCCACAGTTCCCGCCGAAGCCAGGCTGGCCCGTCGCGTGGCCCAGGGGCAGGTCAGGCTGGCTCGCGAAGTCGTTGATGCTCCCGGCCAGCGCCGCGCGGATCTGCCCCGTGGGCAGAGCACCCTGGTCTGCCACCAGGTAGCGCCCCGAGTAGGGCAGGTAGAGCGTGTGGTTCCAGATCTTGTCTGTGTCGGGGTTTCTGTAGGCGTCGAGGTTGAAGTAGGTGTGCTGCGTCAGCATGAGGGCTATCACATCGGTTAATCGAATAGGCTCTTCGAAGATAAAAGATTGGGAATGCGAGCCGGAGACTTACGCGTCTTCCTGTCGGGTGATACAGCCTCCATCTTGATGTTCCATGTGCTGTTGCTGACGCTGTATGTCACCGAGGCGTCGACACGGCCAAGCAGATTGAGCGAGGAATTCGAGGGGTCTGAGATGGAGAAGGTGATCGATGTCTCAGAAGCTTGCGTCACGCTCCATGTTCTGTATGACCAGTTGTTCGTTCCACTGTGCAAGGTGTTATTTCCATCGTTGAGCTCAGTATGGTAAGTAACGTTGTCGATCGAATATTGACCGTGGCCAATCCGGTTGACGTATCGTCCGGGAATGGAATTGTATACGGGATGTCCCGGGTCCTTCGCTGTGTTATGGTTAGAGCCACGAAAGTATAGACGAGAATGCTACAAATGGTGTCATCATACCATAGTAGTCCAGAACATCGTAGCCTAAAACCACATCGACATCTTTGCCCGACTTGTCCTTGACAAAAAGATTCGTGAGAGTAGCACCGTATGGAATGAACTGAGCACTTGTTAATGATGTCTCACAATAGGTAAGTTAACCCGACGATCATACCTGAGCCTTGATACCAGGCGCTGATATGGTATACTTGCCATCCGCTCCGGGCGCTGAAACACCCTGCGAAAATGCCGACCTGGCAGCAAGTGCAGGTACCAGGAGTGCTCTCCACATATTTGCTAGTATCATCCTGCTAGCAGATCACGTTTATAGTTCCGGTGTGTTTGGCCAAGCACGAGCGACCACTATTTCAGAGAACGGTGGGAACAATATACGAATCGTACACAGCACACTTCTAGGGACAACCTTTTTCTATATTTCTGGGTCGTGACACAGCATGTCTTGTGCACTTGGATATAAGCTTATCGTTTGCCGAAAGTTGTGATGGTATCGGCACCGCATAAATATGGGGTAAGTCTTGGGGATCGACATCAGCCTGAGTTCAGGGTCAGTCAGCTTAGTAGAGGCAAGCGACCCCGCAAATGCAGGAACAAGGGTATCATATTAATTGGTGTCGCTCAAGGATTTGAATTCATGCTGTAAATTATGGTTGAAGTCTTTGATTGGTGGGTTCGAGTTAGAAGGTGTACTAGTTATTCCCCTAATGAGAGAAAGTAGATTTTGCAAATGCAACTGCAACTCTATGTACGGAGAAGATGGTGGACCGGCGGCAGAAAAAGTCCAATTATACCGACCATGATTCCACCTCGTGATACCCTCCAGATGTACATACACCAACACCGTGTTCCTACATCTCTACCATCTTGTCTATGCCTTCACGCATGATCTCCTTGACAGCACCCAGTCTATGAGCAACCATGATCACGGTATAACCTTGCGCAGTAAATTCTTCACGGATGATAGAAAGTATGAGGCGTTCCGTATCCGTGTCTAGAGACGACGTTGCTTCGTCGAGTAGGATAATTGGCTTATACCCGGATTCGGCTATGTTGCGTGCCTGCAGTAGCGCTCGTCCGACTGCCAGAAGTTGTGTTTGCCCGGCTGAAAGTTGCGGTAACGATGAGAGGATGCTGCCGAGAAGTCTCTCGTTCGATTCGTCATTTTGCACCTGTTCAGACCCAGTATTGTCCACGTGGTCGTTGCCTTGAACACAAAAGTGATGCAATAGCTGGACTCTGTCAAGTGTCTCCTTGATAGTGTCATTACCGAACGACTCTGACGGGTCGATATTGAAACGCAAGCTAGCATGATTGAACAGTGTGGCGTCTTGAGGTATAGTCACGAAAAACTTGTTTCTAATAACAGAGACCGGCGCATGTCTGGTATTGAGACCATGCACTATTATGGACCCAGCTCTGACATTCATCATTTTGAGCAAAGACAGCAGCACCGAACTTTTACCTCTGTTGAGACCTATTAGTAGCTGAGAAGCACAGACAATACTGATGTTTCCTTACCTTCCAGTACGTCCGCATAGCACAACTAGCTGACCTGGTTTAGCCTCTAACGAGAAATCTTGGAGCGCAACAGTATTTTGACTAAAAAAAGGTTAGTCTTCAGCGTTGATAGACAGGCAGTCACTTACTTATAGGCAGCCGTAATGCTGTGCAATTCAACAGCTCCCGGCTCTGGCCATGGCTTCAAGGTGTACGATTCTTCATTGTCCATGCAATCATCCTCACTAATTACGTCTTCCTCAAGTGTCTTGAGCCGTGAGATAGCGCCCAGAGAAATCTCCAAGTTGGTCCAGCTCTGTACAAGGCTCAATAACGTGGCGTTGACCACCAGAATCATATTAAGCGCAAGACCGATCTGGCTGCCGCGAGTTGAACCTCGGAGCGCGACAGCTAACGCAATGACACCGACTCCAATCGCTGCCACGAGTAGATCGAGGACAATCTTTAGCCACCTTTGCAGGCAGGACAAAAGATAGAACGGTCTTTGAGAAGCGTCCAAATGAAGCAGATGATCTACCTCTGCTTTTGTTTGAGCTTGGAATGCTCGAATTGTTGTAACGCCTTCCACCTGCTAGCTATTAACACACTTCAAGCCACTTCAGTATCGGTAGGATAACCCACTGTCTCCAAGAAATCGCTAAAGATTGCGGATCTGGACTCGAGCTCGAGCAGTCTCAACTGACGGGAGGTACGGAGATAGACTCTTTGTATAATGTATACGGCGATACAACAGAACGGCAGGCTAATCGTCATGTACTTGGAAGCGAGAAATAGAAGTATAAACTGTACAGTCAACTTGAAGGTTTCTGCATGCAAATTAGCGTGATACAGTCCGTGGTTTTTGTTCAACTTACGGACGAGTACAGATTGTAGAGCTGGTGCGAGCTGCTTGTCCACCAATTGCATATCTTGACTAAACCTACGTAGGATCAGTAACAAACGGCTCACAGTGGTTATTGTTTTTGATATTTACCGATTAAGTATCTCACCTGTTTCTGTGCTTGAGAAATAAGATAGCGGAGCCCTGCAACCGTGTGAGTAAAACTTGAAATGTTGGCAAATGGGAACATACCTCATGATAGCAATCAATAATCTTGAATGAAGCGTCAATCCCGAGTGAGGTGCCATTCGCATGATCGTAGTCCTGCAAGAATGAGCTTCAACAACTAACAATCATTGAACTCGCACCCACCACATAAGTCCATTTGTGGTAGACCAAGCCATGAACGTGAGTAGAACGTAACCTGTAGCATAAAACCATGTTGTGGTAGACTCCGAATCCGTCCACAGCTTCAGCCAATATTGAGGGAACATCCCGAAAAAGGAATATGAAGCCGTGCACGCCACCAGGAGCGCTAAGTTGCCATACCCAACAGACTTCACATAATACCCTGTAGTCATTAGCTGACTTCAAGTCTTCGGGCCAGACGCGACTTACCATAAAGCGCACTGTCGCCATCTGAGCGACGATCGGCTTTCTTCTGCAGTGCAGACTTGTTTTGTATGCCCGGTTGTTTCAACGTAGACGCTCGATCATTCACTGCAACGTAGGGCGCCGCACTTTTCGATACCAGCTTTTCAATTTGCTGCTGCTTTGATTGAAGCTCATCCCAACTACCTTGCTCTTTGATCCTCGCTTCCTCGAGAACCAGGATACGATCTGCTAAATTGAAGTGCTGCGCTATTTAGTAATTTCCATCATTAGTCCTATATCAATATGTATTTGATCGAGTGGCAGGCATACCAGCATTTGTGATAAGAAAAACTGTCATGCCAAGTCTGCGAATAAACCCATCTGGTCCAAAAAGGTTGTCTACGATGTGGCCTTCTGTATTTCCATCAAGACCACTTAGTGTGTCATCGAGCAGTAAGATGGCGGGGCGGGCATACAAGGCCCGCGCGAGCGCCTAGAACAAGTTAGCGGACGCGATCACAATCACGGTGTCAACATACTATGCGCTGCCTTTGGCCACCTGAAAGACTCATGCCCCTGGATCCCACCAGCGTCATGTCACCATCTGGCATGTTGTCCAAGTCCTGTTGAAGACAGCATATCCGAAGAACCTCAGCGTACCAACTATCATCTGCTTCTTGCGTTCTTGAGAAAGAGAGTATGGCCTGTTTGATAGTGGTACTAGGCAACCATACCGTCTGAGCACAATAACCGACACGTTTTGATGCGATAGAAATGGTACCACGGCTCGCCGGTATTTCTCCCAAAATAGCTTGAGCCAATGTCGTTTTACCTGACGCCGTCGGCCCTGCGCAAATAAAGAATGACCCATGTGGAACATCAAAGGTGACGTCCTGCAGCAAAACCTTTGATGTTGAACTGTTAATCAATACCTGCTGGAATGAGATTGCTGGTTGTTTCGGGACCAAGTCCGTGGTTCTGTCGGGGATAGATTCCCTTTTAGTTCTTGAATCATCCAAGTCTGGTTCTACAAGGAAGTTCTGGATACGTTCAAAGCTTGAGAATGAAGCGATGGCCCGAGGCACAATCGTCATGACCATATTTGCAGGGTGTGTCACCATGCCAAGAATCGCTGTCGTGGTAAATGCTGCCTCTGCGTCCAGGCGACGGCCCTGGAGTTTCACAACAACAGCATAGAGAACCAAAGTGATCACCGGTGCAAAGATTCCCAGAGCATTTGCGGAGGCGTTGTATACAAACATCATCCATCGTACTTTACTTGCCGTGGTAATCTCGGCACGACGAAGTCTGTCAATGTACGAAGTCGCGCTAGCTTGAAGTCCAAGCATCTTGATGTTCTTGATAGCCGAAAGCACTGTGCTGGTCATGGAAATTCTATCCTGGGTTGCTGCATTCCAGGCCCCTTGTCGAGCTCTCAGATGTCTTGCGACATATTGACTTATACGCGAACAACCTGGCCAAGTGTTAAAACGCGCTGGCTAAGCAACAGGCAAAAAACTCACAGAAAATGAATATTAGCGGTAGGGGCCACAACCAACCAACCTCACTCGCAAGCAGCACAATACCAATCGTCACTTCCACGACTTGGGCCCAAGTTTCGTGAAACATGCTTGCAGCTTCAATGAGGCTATCGACATCATTACTCATGAGTGTCACGACTTTGCCCTCACTCAAGGTATTGCTACCAGCATGGAGCGTCTTATGATGGATGAGGCTGACAAGGACTCCCCGAGTCATGACCGTCAAGCGGTTTAGACGATGTTGATATACAGCACCGGAAATCTAAAATTCATTAGCATCAACTCTATTCCTACCACGAACAAGGTGCTTACGGCCAGCCCAACGTAGATGATCACTGCGGCGGCAATTATATTGAAGCTATCAACAGACACTTCTTGCTGGTGGATTGCCCCAAGATATCGGATAGCCTCACGTATGAGTAATGGTTGAGAGTATCTAAAGGTAGTAAGAAAGATCCGAGGCGGAACAACAAGCAAAAATGGCGTCAAGAGCGTGTGCAACAAGACTCTTGGCAATGTCGTCGAAGTTTCGGGTCTTCCTACGAAAACATGTGGTTAGTATTTTATAACTTAATTACCATCTGGCTGAGATTACCTCTTTTCTCCCAGTTCATTATCGCGTTTCTCCGTAATGAAGCAGACGACAGCGCCCGGTCTAAGCTGGGAACGTCTGCATCTCGCAAGGTCTTACGATACCCAATCGCAAGAATGGGATTGATCCACCAGAAAAATGTCCTACTCAGAACGCCCGCCGACCCTTCAGGGGACTCTTCCGTGGATGATTCTATAAGACCCTTCCGTTTATTGAGACTCTCGACCACCAACAAAACAAGATCTAGAAGCACCGTTGTTGTGGCAACTACATAGCGTCTGGTATCTCGTGAGGCCAGCCCCAGCTCCGCCAAGTCGCATATGAGATTTGCGCTCAGAAATAAGCTGATTGGTGTTGATGGCTTGGTCGATCGCTTCTGCTCAATAAGCGATAACACCCAGTACCCGCAGGCTGCAACAACCGAAGTGATAGGCGCTGCTGCATTTACAAAGCCCCGAGCACCCGGCCATCCAAACCACTCGATCACAAGGAGTATCTGGTATAAAGGCAACAGGAGCGCGATGACCTAGTATCTTTAGACATTGGAACCCCGACTATTCGTGTCGTGGGGCTTCTATACGTACTGCTTTGAATAACCCGAATGAGCCCGATGACACCTTCGGTGGCAATCTGCGGACTGCCCAAAGTCGGAATGGCAATGAAAGAAGGAAGACTACCGCGGTCACCAGTTTGACAAGCTGTATCTCGTCTTCGGCGGATACGCGCCGCAGCAGCGCCATCTTGATGGTCTTAACGTTCACGGAAAGAATGGCAAGCTCGAACGACCCAGACGCCGTGGCAGGCAGAAATTGTGTGGGTTTCAAGAACCTAAAAGAGACGTTCTTTTTCCGAACCGCGTAAACAACTTCTTAAATATCGAGAGACGTGGAGCATGTAAGCGTTGAGATCAAAACACGAGGGCCGCATTGCGTGCGCACTACTTGGCAGGGGTTCTTTTTACGAGGCTACCTTGAGCTGCGCGCCTGCGGCACTGCATACGAGTCTGCTGTGGGGCTTTGGAGATAACGCACGGCAGGATCTCGCAGCGATTAGATTTGTATGATCAAGGTACCAGTGACTGTTCGGTCCCTATAGTACTTTAAAGTCGTGCTGAAGCTGAAGCACTATTTCAGGAACAACAAAATCATCTTTCCACTCTGCTAGATCAAGTCATTTTTTTTGCAGCAGACGTCATGTGATAGTCACTTACTGGGCTATCAATTCTGATGAGTTAGGAAATATTTCTGAACCTTCTAGCAACCGGATGATTCGTGAAGTATGGGTCTGCCTCAAGAACGACGTACCATGTCCAGATCATCAAGAGTTCCGTTTCCTAGATTAATGCAAAATACTCTCCAAGCCTTGCAAGTGCAACACTTCATTTGGCCCTCTTAGGGAAGTGAGAAACGGCTCTCCGTCCAATAGAGCAAAAACATGGACTGGCCGTATTTCGATTGTTTCAACCACACCTCTAACACGGAATCGCCTCCGAAGAGCCTCAAAACAGCATGAGCATACTCATTGACTTGAGCCTCGGAAAATTCCTAGAATTGCCGAAGTTGGGGCAATTCTCAGTAAATGCGGCATCCAAGCCTGGTCGACAAAAGCCGACATCCTCATGCTATTTTGAGGCTCAATGAGGAGATTTTCTATAACCTGCGACGATACGACTTTATCTGTTTCTGTGCGGACAAGAACTACATCACGATCGGGTATGAGCCAAAGCCGTGCCGGACGATTCTTATGATCGCCCTGTATGCGTTGGAGCATCTCATGCCTGGAGGCCACTTGCCGCAACTCGCGGCAGACCTGAGCGATAGCAGGTGCACGTAGTTTGAAATCAACGCCCACATTTAGACCGTCTGCATCGACGCAAACAAAGCCGTCGAGGTAGAGCAAATTCCCAGATCAGAGTCCTCAACTTGATATGTAAACAAGAGAATTAAGGAATTCGCCAGTCCGATGAATGCAGCGACCGGCGGAGATGTGCTACCGCACGTCTAAGCTGACATTGCGTGGCGTGATTCTCCTTGGCCTTCTTCAGCCGCTCTTGTCCTAGTTGAATGAGCTTCCATCCGAGTTCCTCGCGAATTCCAAGACATTGTTTTTGGACAGTGTCCGTAAGTTGCGACTCGAGATCGCCGGTATCAGGCGACAGGTCTACGAATTCATCCTTCAGCTCCTGTACTGCGCTGGAAATGTGTTCCTTGATGAGTTGCAGGTTAGTCCTGTGGGTGGCTCGCAAAAGCGTCTCTTGCTCTTGCAGTCGATCTGCGAGTATTTGATTCTACCTCATAAGGGTAGAGAGAATCTCTTCAACAGGAACATTGTCCAAGTCATCTACGTTGAGGCTTGGGGGAGGTGGCGAAGACTCCATTCTGCCAGTAGAATGCTCGAAATGAGAATAAATCCAAGAAACCGAAACAATAGTGTATTGTTTTGTCGCTTTATCCATCAACGTCAACATATCTGTATGAATGGAGGGAGTTCTCGCAAACCACACATGAAGAGAAGTGGTGTTCACGTCTTCTAACTTAGACTACCTACGGATCCGTGGCCTAAGACGCGTCCACAACAGCCCCACAGACTTTTGCCAGTCCAGGCCAACTTCGCTAAGTTATGTAGGTATCCCCTGGAAGGCGTCGGGTAGTTCTTCGCAATCTGAAACCTGCACTATGTATGTACTCCGTACGTACCGCCCATACGCCCCCTCCCAAAACGAAATGGTCCGATGTACACATAGCTGTGACTGGAGAGCTATGATAACACCAGGGTCAAGTCACAGTGAAGACACAATTATACAAGTGAACCTCAATTAAGACTCAGTGGCAGGAACAATACCCCTTCTTTGCGTCCTACCGCTCGTTTCGTAGTGCGAAACAATGCGTTATATACTCTATATCTATCCCATGCAAAAAGAAAAGAAAAAGGAAGTTCCCAGAGGGGGTCCTTCTGTTCGGTATTCATTTAAGACTCCTGTGACCTCAACGTTCAGGAGGCCGCCGCCAGTGCCCCGAGTTCTATTGTCGACTCTGCAGCCCTCCTTTTTGCTTCCTCGAAGATCTCGGCCTTCTTGTTCTGAATGCTCAAATACGTTTGCCAACATACACTAACACCGCCTGCAACGATGCCTCGGAACTGGATCGGCACATAAGCGAGATTAAATGCTATGACTGATGGCCAGACAATCCAACTATTCAGCCAAGTGATGGGCACCTTCTCGGCCACCCTCTCCACCGGATCTGCGCCAGTCAACAGCGCCTGCATTGTAAAGAAGTATATGTTGATGAGGGGCGCAAAGGTGAATTGGTTGAAGAGAACTCGAGTCGCGACGGAGAGGGGTTTGGAGGAGAAGGTAAACCATCCGCCGAGGGCTTTGAACCTACAAGCGACAAGACATCAGCACATAGAGGGACAGTCAAGTGGGCGGATTGCGACTCACCACTCGTAACCAGGGATTGAGAAACCGGCACCAGTAATGAGCATGTTCCGAGTTCTTACTGGGTCATACTCTTTGCCGCCGATTCTCTGCGCATTCAAGTCCGCGAGAAGGTAGATGACCAAGGAACTGCAGACCTGCGTCACCCACGGCCGCTTCTTGTTCGCTCTAGTGAAAGCATTCGCGGCAACTGTCACGGGCCCGAGCCTTTGCCATAGCGAAAGAGGTATTGTCGGCGCATCACCTGGAGTCGGGGGAGCACCTGGTGTAATCGCCGATGCCTCGTCCGCCTTCGCTGTCTTTCCGGGATTGGAACCGGTAGACTGGAAACGTTTCGATGGTTTTGGAGAGCGAACCAGATTGCAGGCCCGCCGCAAAGCAGCCTGGGAATGTGATACCAGCATGCTGGGTGTCGTTGCTCTACCTGAATATCATGGTCGCAAATTCATGTCCGTTGACCAATGCCGCGGAAAGGTGAGCGTAGATCGGCGCTTGCGACATTATTTCGGGGTGTGACAAATCTCAAACAGGCTCGGTTGACAACGGATGCCGAGGGGACTATCTTAGTGATCCAGGTGGCTTTTCATAGCGTCGGCAACTATCGGACAGTTATTGTGTGTTGTGTGTCTACGCAACACCTAAATTCAACGCCGGGTTGAAACAACCTGCAGCACGTGCTGTGTAAAGGATAACACCATACTTGCAACATACAAAGGTAATTAAAAAAATATATATATATATATAAAGGTGACTAATATCCCTGAGAGTTTCCCGTACATAGTCACAAAGTTATGTCTCAAGACTTGTCATGTTCACGCTCATCGTTGTTGGACCGTGTATAATTCTGTATAGGGCCTGTAGTCGGGCTGGGCACACCAGATTGAGGGGCGCACGACTTAAGCAGGAATTATGTATTAGTGACCTAACCTAGCGCAAACGTTGTTATTGCGTTTCACTCTCCGGCTTTTGTCATAACGAAGTCATTACGCAGCCCAGTCCTCATAACCAAGGCGATCAGTCTGTGCTTCCTTTATGACCTCATTGATCCAATGTCCAAACTTCCAGATTTCTATACCTCGCAACCAGCGGTGCCATCTGTCGGAACCCAATTCTTCCACCACCAACCACTGGACCTGTGTCTGCTTTGTCGTGTTCCCCACCGTCAAACCAGCTGAAAAGAGGCAGACCATCAATGCCAAACTTGACCTCCTGTCCATTCTTCACAACCTCAATCTTGTAGAATGCGCCTTTTGCATCTACAACCGGCGGTAGCGGATCTGCGCCCTGCGCGACGAGATGGAATCCTGGACTTTTTCTCAAATTGCATGTGTGAAAAGCCCTTTCGTCTTCCCAACGTCGCCTAAAGTACGACACATGCAGTGTGCGAACGTCACTGCTATGATACTGTGGGTAGGCTCCGTTTCTGGCCTTGACGCCTTCGTCAAAGATACTGCCACCAGACACAGATGAAGCACCAAAGAACAGCATAGCCAGGCCGGGCTCCTGGATGGGTGCGAATTCCCAGGTTACTCGGATGTGGTCCGGGAAAGCCTCTGGACACCAAAAGGTGAAGTGGTCATCCCAACCACCAGAAGACGTGATTTCGAGTGAGGAGTCCGAGCCGTTTGTTGTCTTTACCGGGCCCTCGGCAATCCACGACTTGACATCTTCAACTGAGGACAGGGCATTGCTGTATAAAAGCTTAGGCGCCATCGCGAGAAGTACGAGGTTGGAACAGTCGGCGAGAGCTATGAGACAAAACCTCAAAGCCAACAAACAATTTGTTGAACCGTATCAAAAGCCCTCGGAGACGCCTACCTCCCATTCCCGACTTCGGGATATGGTCTGCCGAGCAATATGGGCGCTAAACCAGTAGGCAATTCAGGGTCCTACAGAAAAGTGGAACCCGCGCTGGTTAGTCTATATTGTTTTTCTTTATACTTATTGATTACGACATACCGTTCATTGCATCCAGTCCAGAGCTCAAGAGCATCCTTCCAGTGACCAATTCTGCGATCAGTAGTCAAGACACCGTGCGATACTTTCAATGGAGCATCATGGCGGAGCGAGGCCGAAACGACAGCTACATGCCCTTTAATAGGTCTCGCTGGTATTGGTGAACGTCGATATGAGCTCATGCATACGCCATGTTTACCAATCAGCGCCTGCAGAAGGCGTCGTGGAATGAATGCACAGCCTAGATCTTGATTTGATCCATACGATTGTGTTTCGACGTACCTAAGCCCAGCCCGGCTCCAAGTCGATCTTTTTATATCTTTTATTGACATAATGATATACACTTCTCTCACCACAGTAAAGCTTTCTCATTTGACTTTATCTTGTCGCAAATAATGTCACGGCAACTCCAACAATTATTACCACGCCCGGGAGAACGAGATGGCGAGCCTGGCCGCCCCTCGTCCCCTATACGATCTAAGCGTTCAACGGTGCGCGCTGCCTGTGAGCCATGTCGTCAGAAGAAAACAAGGGTCAGTGTAGTTCTGAGGGAAACTTGGCATCTCTAACACAGCCACAGTGTACGGCGGAGCGTCCAACGTGCGGTCCATGTCGGCAACGTGGAATTCAATGCGAATACAAGACACTCGCACTAGAGACCCATTCGATGGCGCAGACGCGCAGGTATAAGGCTTACGAGGACTTGTATGGTATTATAAGGAGAAGCGGGGACGATGACGCAGCACTACTAGTGAAACGAATTCAATCAGGTGAAGACGTCGAGGCCCTTGTGCGTTCGATCGAAGAGGGCGATCTCTTGCTTCAACTCTCCTTACGTCCCGAGTGGAGGATTCGATACGATTTTCCCGGACGCTTTGGGCCAATTCCCCCGCATCTTGACGGCTGGCCCAATCCTTACCTGAAGTCCAAGCTATTCGGTGGTTCGCCATTTTCGGATACGGCGAATGGAAACTTCACGGACCCGGATTCGATTGGGGAACATGATAGGATATATGCGATCCCATTTCACGTGGTAAAGCTAGCAGATCCTCGTCTAAATAACCTAGATCTGACAAAGTACACAACCGTCTCCCAGAGTAAATCACTGCTTCGGTCACTACTTGAAGTCTATCTTCTCTATGAGTATCCGTGGAATTCTTTCTTGCACGCTGACTTCCTCCTCGATGACATGATTCGTGGTGACAATCGCCATTGCTCACCTCTCCTCATCAACGCAATTATGGCTGCTGCCTGGGTTCGTTCTGGTCCTTGAACAATCCTTTTCTGACCTCGGTTCAACTTACCTTTGTCAGCACGGCTACACAGCCGGGAAACTACGTGCAGACTTTTGGCGGCCCGATAATCTTGGATATCATTTTCTGGCCGAGGCCAAACGTTTGTTAGAACTTGAAATGGGCGACCCATCATTTACGACAGTCCAGGCAGCTGCCATAATTAGTCTGGTCTGCACTGTCAATGGTGTCGACAAGCTCAGCTGGCAATACATACGTAAAGCCATTGAGCTCGGCCGCCGCGTTGGTTTATTCGACCCGAATTCCCGCCTTCAGGATATAGATCATGTCGCGGTAGTGACCACGGCTTGGGATCTTTTCAACTGGCAAAGGTAAGAATCTACTTGCCCGTGAAACTTTAGGCGTTGACGGTGGACGGGGCATGTGCTAACCTCAGCAATAGTTGGGTATGCTACCACAACTTCCAGGTACCGTTGCTGATAGATCCTCCACCATATCCTCTCCCACCGAAAGAAGATGCGATCGACTATTTTGGAGAAATATTCGTTCAGTATCCTGGGAGCGAGTCTCGAACACCTATTTTCCACGGCGCCATGCACCTCTCTATCTGCGAGTTTCGTGTGATCATGAACCAGATAGGCGCTCGTTTGTTTGAACCCACTGACAGACCCCCGTCTCTGTCGCTTGACGAGACATACAGAGCTCGCGGCATTCTGCAAGCCTGGTATAACAGCCTCCCTGAGGAACTGTCGCCACTCAACATTGCCATACCGAGCCACTTGTTGGTGCAGTGAGTCCAGCCTCCGCCCCCCCCCCCCCCCCCCCCCCCTTTTTTTTTTTTTTTTAGCTAAACCCCTTGATGATCCGCTCTGCACACAAATGACGGTTGCTGATGATGCTTAGCATGCAATACCACGTAGTGTTGATTGGAATATTCGAACCACACAGGCATGTCAGCACACCGGTGTCGGTAGAGTCGCCAAAAAACATCATCGCCATAGCCAAGACATGTTTCGAGACTCTAATGCGAATCTACTACATGCGCCACGGTTTCGAGACGTACGACTACGCGCTCCTCGTGTACCTGCCTCTGCTGGCCTTCAGCTCGCTCCGCGATGGCAACGATACCCTGCCGGGACTCGAGCTGGAGAGCCGGCGGACCACGCAGCTGCTGTGCGCCAAGGGCCTGTACGGACAAGGGAAGAACATGCTGCTGTGCAGAGCCATCTTCAGCCAGTTCAGAGCCGCGCTAAAGGATCCTGATATGAAGCGTCGCCTGGATCAGATGGTGGATGATAGCCCCGACCTGGGGAGGATGCTGCAAGAGCTGCGGTCCAGTTGGCCCGTCGGCTTGTTCAACGTGCCGAAAGGCGGCGGCGACCTCTCGGTGATACCGTTCCTCCAATGGGCCGGGTCGCCGGCCGAGGAAGGAGGTCATGGGCTGCGCCAAGCTGGAGAGGCGTACGATTTGTCGAGGGTGGTAGAGCTTGAAGAATAGGTAGACCGGACCATTTTCAACACAATGGGTCTCAGGTCGGTGCACGAGGTGCTGCGTCTATTGAGTGAAATTGGCAGCGCGTCTTATCCCAGCTCATACCATAATTTCCATGTTCATAGTTTATCACATTACCCCATATTGCCTTTTCAAGGTTGTTACGTATCATCTCTGAAAATCTACATAGGATTAGCCCTACCGTCCGGGGAAAAGCTGTGCCCGCCTCTTGACAGACGTGAGTTAATCATGGCTCCTCGAAAGCTCTGACGCTTTCTCAAGACCAGGTAAGTCGTAGTAATGTCGTTGGCAGCTAGGAAGTTTATATGCTATTTTGGATTAGATTTACGATGGATTGAGTCGCTTTTAAATACGTGCATCTCAATTGATTAGCTCAATTCTTGGCAACTTAACTTGGTTAAAGTGTCAGGCTTGTAGTTGTAATGTTTACTTGAAAGTCACTTGTTTTACTTGGTCTAGGTCCGAGAGAAATGCTCTTTTCTTTTTATATTCGCAATCACATCAACATCGCTCTGGTCATGCCTAATGGCAGCATGTATCAGGACCGGGCTCTGCCTATATTCGATGTTATTGAGACTGGGATCGTGTGTGTACAGCATACCTCACGTCACCGGTTGAACCTCATGACAGCAAACGTGTCTTCATCAGGCAAATACTGATCATCATCGTAATTCCTTTTGAGAGCTAGGTCCACTCTATCCCCCTCGATACAGAGACATTTACCTATTCATCGAGACTTGTCTCGGACTCTGACCGCGTTATGTTCATGTTGCGTGATGGCCCAACCAGTCTCGTCATCTAATCATACACCAATGGGTCCCTCGACCTTTTCATCTGTACAAATAATCCTCCCCGCCTCCACCACCATTACAGCTCCTGCAGACTCGTGATTATCCGCCTAGCATCCTCGCCAAAATCAAAACTCTGGCCGCCAATCATGAGCTTGGCCTTGGGATCGGTGCCGTTTTCACAGATGCACTTGCCGGCCATGAAGGCCCTGCTCCAGACATCGCCCCTCATCTCGGTGCCCTTGGCGTCGCCGAGGCTGGGGAACTCCTGGACGGCGCCGTCCCTCTTGTCGCGTATCTCGCCCTTTTCCTCGTCCCACTCCCACTCCCACACGTGGCCGGCGTCGGCGTAGGCCCAGGGGTTGCCGACCTCGCGGACGCGGCGCGAGGCGCCCGGGGGCAGGAAGGGCAGGACGTGCTCGACGTAGGTGGTCTGCACAAAGTCCGTGACCATCAGCAGGGCAACCGGGGTCCGCGATGTGTCGGTTGGGTAGCGTGCGGCGGTCGGCGGGGAGCTGTACACGTATTGCGGGTGGTTGAAGAGGTGGCGTAGCAGCTCGGCGTGCTTGCGGGCGAGGTCGAAGGCTTGACGGGGTGTCGGGTGGGTGAAGGCTTCGTTGTCTGCAGGCATGATGGCGGCCGTTGGGATTTTGTGGCTTGGTGGCTGTGTAGAAGATTGCGGTATGCAGCGCTTTGGTAGATGAAGAGTGGGTGTGCTGGTTTGGGTTGGATTGGGTTCTTTCAGTCTACCTGATTGATGAGACGTGACATTTATCTGTTCCTGAGCGCGTTGGATGCAGAGGGAGTCCACGCGTTGAGTGCGAGTTTGGCGGGGGAATATAATGATGATAATACGATGGCGGGGCAAGTCTACTGACGGAGTGCCCCCGAAAACAAGCTTGAGCTTGACCTTCCAGCGCCGTCATTACTCCGTGCCGTACCTGTACCTGTACCTGTACCTGTACCTGATGAACTGCCGGGTCTGCGGCCCAGGTGATGTGATCCATACAATAAGCGCCTGTGGGACCTTCACATCCCTGCCGTGCTAGCAAGAGCTGGCGGGCAGTGGCAGTGGCTCAATACTTCGTTAACAAATCTTGACCACATACTCCCAAATCCCATAAATTACAATGTACCTGTGTCGCTTTGTAAGGTTTCTTTCTGGGGAATTATGTCTACCTGAAAGTTCTACAGATCATACTAAACCCCGTGTCCTTATCCATCGCATTGTTGACGACCTCAAGTTTGGCGTGCAGCGCTCGTGTTGGTGGTGTACTCGGGTTGCAGAAGCACTACAAAGATATCATTCCCAAGATGTCCAAGAAGTCGTCGGCGTTCTTGAAACACTGCCGTGAGAACTACTGTCGAGAGGTTCGATACCGAAAAGGTACGTTGACACCATTTCAGTAGCCTGTAGACTTGGTATGTCTCGGTTTCGATCCAACACCATTGACTAGAGGCACCTTTAGATTTTGCAGGCAACTTTAATAGCTATCTTAAGTGTATAGACTGATACAGAACACCATGGAGAGGGGAAGGATAGGGCAGGATCACACGAAGTTCTGATACTTGTGACAAACCGACGCAATGCGGGATGAGATGACTTCGACAGCTGTACAATAGTGTTGCTGCTATGCCTCCAGATCATCTTCGTCCCATCTCCTTCGCGGGCCTGGTGCCGGGCTCGTTCTCATCTTCGGCCTGCTTTTAAACACAGTCTCCATATCGATATTGGGTACCTCTAAGAGAGAATCCATGACGGAAGCATCGGCTATCTCCTCCCCCTCCTCCTGAACTTTCGGAAAGTAGCTGTCCTTCCTTTGGGGTGGTCTCCCTTTCCTCTCGGATCGCCTTCGATCCAGCTGAGCTTTCTGCTGCGCGGCCTGAAAGTTTGCCATTGATCGACGAGTACGGGCTGCCAGATCGTCCTCTTCCTCAGGGGTGACATCTCCACTGCTAGGCACGTTATCTTTGTTTCTCCTCATGCTCCTAGCAACACTAGGAGAAGGAAGACTTGCGTCGGGCTCGTCGTCGGGATCGAAAGATTTGGTTCTTGTCATAGTCATTCGTGTCCGCTCGGCAAGCGAGAGTGTGTGGCGCAGTTTCTTGTCTGGCGATGGCGATGCGTTCGTGATTGATGCGAGTATCTGGTCAGCCACCGCTTGGGTGGGTGACACTGGCTGAGGAGGTAATGGTGTGGTATCCTCATCGACTTCGCTGGTTCTGGACGATTGACCCGGTAAATTGGGGGCCAGAGTCTTGGGTTCCGGAACCAGAAGCACTTTCTGCTCAGCCAGAGAAACCCCAGTAACACTCTTACTAACAACGGAGGAACGACCTGAAGCACCCCTGGAAGGGGCCTGCTGTGTATAGTTTGCGGAAGATCGAGGTTGCGACGCGTTCGGTGCTAGTCGGCCCTGTGTCGAGTCAACAAAACCCGGGCGTGCGCTGTTACTATCATCCGTGTGTCGTTGACGGATAGCAGGTCTCTTGAGTGGTTGTCTGCCAGCAAACTGGCTGTTGCTGCGACTCGGGCCGTCGGCATTGGTTGGAACTGTGGTTTTGGGAACAGGCTTTGCTTCCTCCGGCTCATCCTCCCACTCACTAAGATCGGAGATGGTATCGACGTCATTGGTTGGTAGAGTCAAGTGCTGCGATGATGGGCCGGCAACTTGATCGCCTCGTAACTTGAAGAAATTTGGAACACGAGGCTTGCCAACGTTGGCGAGGTCGGTCCGCATAGTATCGAGCAACCGTGCGTACTCTGCCGGACCATCAGAAGCTTTCAGATCTATCGGTCGCAGGACTGGTTGTAAGGTTTTATGAGTCGTAAACCCGAGGTCGACGCCTTGCACCTGCCCTTTCGCCTTTTCTTCTTGGTTCTTTGGCATTGGCTGCAGATCACCAAAAAGTTCTTGACGGAAGCCTTGCCATTTCTCAAGCCTCGAACGTTGCAATCTCACTCGCAAATCCAATTGCTCCAGGAGTCCGACATTTTCATGCTCGATATCTGAGAGTTTGCCTGCTCGTATGCCAGCCCAAAGCTGGTCAAAGTCGCCTGCAAGCAGTCCACCTTGTTGGGATTTGGTATCGCCATACATAAGAGTGTCGGCCCATCGATCATCGCCAAGCCAATTCGTCTTGATCATCTCGCGGGTCTGATCCTTGAGCTTGTCAGCGACGGTGTGATTCCCCTCTGAGCCCGCAGCAGCCTTGACCTGCTCCTTTCTCGTCGCCAGATTTCGTTGCTTAAGCGCGAGCAAGTCTTCGAAATCCTTATAGCGGGAACGAGACACGTTCTTGTCCCTCAGTTGCTTAGCCAGGGAAACCTTGTGGGCCAGTAGCAAGGCATTGAGCTCTGTTCGTTCGCCCGAGTAGCCATAGTTTTCTAATGCGATGCTCTCTGAGATGGTCGGGCGGTACTCGAGGCCTGCATTGAGAGCTCTTTCGGCGACTAGCTTCTTGAGGACAGCGGACGAGAATGCAGCCATGAGCTCCTCGAATCGGTCGCCTTTACATTCGTCCAACATGGTCTTCCGGAGAACAGCATCTCTCCCGAGAGCGCCATTGCGTTTCGCTTGTTCGAGGCATCGGAGGAGGGCGGCTCTGAGGTTGATGGACTGGACCTGATCCATTGGCGGGTAGAAGGGCTTCAGCTTGTTCCTTGCCTCCTCTTGATCCCATAGCATGAACAGGTGGTACAAGGCCCACTCGATACATTGTATTCTATTCTTCAGGCCACCAGCGGCATCTTTGGCCGAGAAGGTCGCGGGGGAGATGTCGGGCCAATCGGCCTCCTGGTCGAGGTCGAGAAGGCGGAGGTTCGTAAGGAAGAGTGAGACATGAGAGGTTGTGCTCGGGATATGGGCTGCTCCTGTCGTCGGTTTAGGGGCGGTCAAGGGCGACTTTCCTGGCAGGCGGAGGGATCGCATTCGCGCCAGGCCCGTATTTGCCTGGTGGGATGACATGGCAGCATTTTCTTCTTTCTTTGTTTTTGCATTTACGATTTGTTGCGACTATGATTTCCTGTCGAGGAGACAGAAGCGCTGCAGGTAGGAAACAATCGAAGCTTGTCCCCGGCAAACATTCAGTACATATGCAACAATGGGGCCTTGTGAAGTAAATGTTCAGGGTCCGGGGGCGTTGTTGACTGGAGCAGACACACCAATCAGAACGCGTCCGGATGCCCGCGACTTTGGGACCGGCGGGGCATCGTTACTAACCTTAGTAGGTTAGAATTGGCGCTGGCATTGACATTGGCATTGACATTCACGTACCGTAGCGTCAACCTAACCTAGACTAGTTATTGCAGTAGGTTAACCTACAGAGCACCCTACAAAGTAGCCCCAAGCACTGTAGACACTCGGAAGGCTGATTCAGGGGAGAGCCGCTAACGTTTGCAGTTGTTGTTTTGCACATGTACAATGCGTCCCGGTAGTCCGAAGATTGACTGAATTCCTCCATTCGCGAACCATATGCTTGTCATGTTTCAAACCCAGCTTCCTTATGTCGATCTTCTCCTTGCGTCGCCGATTGCTTGTGATTATCGCGTTTCACAGCCAACTGTCCACTTCGCCGTCGAGAGCTGAAGCGTTGGCGTTGAATACACCAGTTTCTCAACCCTCTGTACTTTGGGGAGGAGATGCCTAATTAATGTGAGAACTCCAGATCTTCATAAACCAGGTCAAATCTACACCGTCCCTGATACATCTCCATCCTGGGGCAACCATGCACCGAGGCTCGTTTTCTGCGCGGATCGAAAACCAATGCACTGTATCATGTAAATACTTTTGATTTTGACTTCTGCAGATAATATTAATACTGATAATAGTGACCGAACTTGGGTGAGTGACCTCTTCAGGGTGTATTATATGACGTAGACTACCCGTTCACAATGACATGTCTTAATTATATACAACACTTTTTACACATTCAACTGTCTCGGAAAAGCGCCTGAACGTATAGTTTACCTTGGAAACAAGCTGGTAAATAATCAACATGCATAATCGTGTCCCCAACTATGTGCCTCCAAACTATGAGAGCCATTTCAAGACAAAAAATCGCACGAGTGGTAGCACTAGGTGCATACCGTGCAGCAGTTGTTGAAGTACATGATAACAGTGATAGTGTGGGGATTCCAGTCGACTCTCCCAGAATTAAGATGCAAATCTATGTTAATGAAGCATCACCTGGCATCTCGTCCGACGTTCGCCAGTCTCCATCACCTAGCAACGCTGTATAGTCTGTCGAGGCCAACCGAGCCAATGAAAGACGTAACATTTAAGCATCCAAGTCGATGGCAAAGGCTGTCAGCAACTTGGCTTACTCGGGTCTGGACCAGCAAGGGGGAGGAGCAACCTAGCCATGATGCTATGAGGGGGCGGCCTAGAGGAGAGCACTGAGCAAGCGTGCAAAATGGGAAAGATGGAACAGAAGCCACTTGATCCTACCGACAAGTGCTCGACCTTCAGTTAGCGAGTCAAAGTCTACTGTACATTGTGGCCAATTATAAATCAACAACACACCAGCAACTTCCGTCTCGTGCTGTACTTCGGGTACGAGGTTCCGTGCTGTAGGAAGAAATGCTCGCACGCTCATGCCAGGCAAATCCCAGTAGCTACCATCTGAATTAAAACCAGAAAGACCCGATAAAAGTGAATCGTCTGTCTTTTATGCGCGACCCCTTCGATCTGACACGGGAACCGGGATGCTAACTCGGACAGCAGGTCTTATCATTATTTTACAACCATGTGCAAGAATGCATAATTTTCTCAGTTCAGCCCCGGCGAAGTTCATCAAGAGAATTACCAACAATGCTCACGATAATCGAGACCAGATGCTTTGCTTGGGATGGCTAGTACTCTGAATAGATATTTCGGGGCCGAATCATTTGATTTCAATATCATGGCATATGTATTTTAAGCCTTTTGCTGTTGGGGTGCCCATTGAGAAGAAGATTATATTTACTTTTAGTTAATTAAGGTATAAGATATTAATTGGGCATCAGCCTTGAAATTGCTCCACATCGTAGCTCGCTTAAATGTTGCCGCCATTGGTGAAAGTACCACAGGGTCCAGTGCTGAGGATGTAGGCGCTACTTGACCCCGAGGTGGTGGAGAATATAGGGATGGCTGAGTTCGGGCTACAGGTGGTCGCAGAGATAAACCAGCATGAGTTGGCGTAGAAGGAACCAGCGCAGAAGGTCGAACTCGTCTGGCAAGCTACGCAGCAATCATAGGCGCTGCTTGCGGAACCAACCTGGAAGTTGTACCCGGAACGGCGGATTTCGATCTGCTGCACAGTGTTACCGCCGTTGGCTGTGACGAGCATGTTTGATGCTCCGCATGCCTCGTAATAAGGTGTGGCGGCCGGTACGACGGACTCCACGGTTGCTGCAAACATATTTTGTCAGCACTTGTCCACTCGAGCCGCTAGGAATGTGATTTGTCCGTAAAAGCTGAATAGGTGAGGTCAGTAGTTGACTTACAGGTAGATGTGACGGTGGCCGTAGTTGTAACGTCTTGAGTAGTTGTGGTGGTAACGGTAGTGAACTCGCTCTCAGTCGAAGTGATCTCCGCGGGCACCTCAGTGCTAGTTGACGTTTCGGTAATTGTCAACGTAGCTGTGTCGGTGGAAGCCGACAGAGTTGTTGTGGCCGTCGGAGCACTGTCAGTGCTGGTGCTGGTCACAGTCGCGGTGACAAAGGAAGTCTTGACGCAGTCCACAGATGCGATATAAGCCGCGGGCGAGAAAACAGGCCCACTGGGTCCAGCGCTGCACTTCTGAGATCCCTCGGAGCCACCGTCTCGCTTGGCAACATAATCGGAATTCTCAAGGATAGGTGTGAAACCAGCGGGGGCAGACACAGTGCTTGTGCTTGTGCTTGTTGAGAACACTGTCGTAGTTGCTGTGTCTGTCTCGGTAATAGTGTTGAAGTCTGTGATGGTGGATGTGTCTAGAAACGTGTTAGTAATGCAAGATTCAAATTGTCGATTGCAGGCTGGCTTGGCCTTACCCGTTGAAGTCAGTGTCACTACATCGGTATCCGTGTTCGCAGTGACTGTTATAGTGGTAGGAACAGTCTCAGTGGCGGTAGTGGTATCAGGCGAAGGAGTGATGGTCGAAGTAACTTCAGCCGAGGAGACCTGTGATACAATTAACCCGCTGCCCAATAAAAAGGAGAAAGAGAAAAAGACCGAGTCGGAAATACTGGCGCCTCAGCCATTGCTGGATGACATGCTGTCACCAGCGCCCAACGACTTATGCGGACAAATTTATTCAGTACTCACCCATTCGGTAGCAGTCAAGGTCACCGTCGTGGTCCAAGACGAGGTGGGAATAGGATAAACTGAAACAGAATCATATTGACTGGTGCATGCGTTATCCGGCGAAGCGCTTGATGGGGCACTTTGCGAGTAGGTGCTAGAACTGTTTGTAGAGGCACTTTGCGAGTAGGCTTTAGAAGTGCTCGTCGAGTTGTTGGTGCTGGAGGACACGCTGGCGGCTGAGTAGCCTGGCAGGACACTGGATTTCAAGCCACATTTTGCAGCAAAGGAGCGTTCGCTCAAGGCGAGTAAAAGAACGAGAGACTTGACGGCGGCCATTGTAGTTATCACTGAATGAGTGCAAGTGATCAAAGGATCAGAAAGAGTGTGGTGATGTGGATGTCTTGGCCCAGGGTATCAAGACAACAGCAGTGGACAATACCCTTGCTTTATATTCTGAGCATTGAATCAGCCTCATGAGTTGACCACGACGGTATGGAGAAGGCCTGAGGACTCTTTGGGTCTAGGTTTCTTCATGGCAGCAGCTGAAAACCAATGGCCGTAGTATATTGACCAATGATCTGATTTCAATCTTATACGTGCACGATGCCAGCAAGGATTATAGTTAGATATCAATCAGGGGTCAGTTCAGCTTGCGGGTCTACTATGTGGGGTACGGATCCGTACCCAGCGCAGATCAGGCTTAGTTAGAGCTATGCAGCCTAGGCTAGCTTCTTCAGAAAACCGACCGCTAACCGAAGCAACGAACAAGCGCCTATTAGGAAATTACCTTGCGAGAGTAGCCTTCATAGCCTTCATAGCCTGCGTTGGCGCCGTAGCGAAGTTATTCCTATATGTTGCAACTTGCCGCTCCTTTCTTTTCTGGCCCCACCCCAGGTTCCAGGTCGACTCCCGCTTGATTATGGCTGTATGTAGTATCATTCAACCAAAGCCAGGAATCCATCAGGCCGCGCGTTAATTCGACTCATCGCCCTGAAAGTAGTACTGAGCGATGCATATAACCATTTTTCCAACGACATTTTAGTAACGCATGCCAAGAGGTTATTGGTCAAATAATGGATTGACGAGCTCGTGCTCCGAATCCTCGAACGCGATGTCCATCGTAACAGGCCAAACACATAGGTCCGTCGACTTCAGCATAACGAAAGATTCGGGGGAAGCTATTTGAAAAAGAAAAAAAAGCGATGTGATTTAGAGATGTCTCGATATAGCATGAGTAGATCTTGTGAAGAGCTACCATGGTCCGGGGAAATTTAGTCTATAGCAGCACATCAATGCCTCATACCATCTTCAAGCCGGTGTCGTCACGCTCTTTAGTCAGCACTCTGTACTCACTCGGCTATGGGCTCCGACACACTTCGCAAAAGCGTTCCTCCTTTCCGAAATGATTAGCCCAATAATTCGCATTTTGAAGGGTTATGTCTTTGTGAGGAGATAAGAGAATACAACAAATACGTGGGGTCGATTCATGCCTCGTCCTCCACTGTGGGGATGGAAATGTTGGCGAATCAAGACCTCGAAAGGTCAACATACCTCATCGCTTCCGCATATTGCGCTATGCGTAGTTCGAGGTTAGAAGATGGTGAATGACCACTCAGAGGTGGGCGCGTCCACGCCGCCGTGATCAAACCGGATGCTCAGTCGGATGATGGCGATTTATAAATATGACACGGCCATCTTGAAGTGGCCTTCCCATTATTCGAAACATACACCACCGGTACTACTATTCGAACGGAGAATATGGCACATCTGGAGTCTCGCAAACACATTTCGCCCGACTCGGGTTTTCCGATAACACTTCACCCGAAATTCTCGGAAAAGATCAAACACCACACACCAAGCGAGGAACCTCGAAAGGAGATAATCCCTGATAAGGACCGTGCATCCTACGCCGACCCTGAAAAGAAAGCGTTGTTCTCTGTCGCCAAGCGGGCTGATTTGACAGAATCGATCGGCACTGTTCTTGAGAACGTCCAGCTCTCCCAGCTGTCACCTCAGCAACTTGATGAATTGGCACTTCTCGTCAATGAACGCGGTGTTGTATTCTTCCGAGACCAAGATCTGACCACGGACAAGCAAGTTGAGCTTTTCGAGCACTATGGTATTCTCGACAGGCATCCTGCACAGAAAGATGCAAAGCATGTCATTATCCGTGGAAGCAAGGAGGATCACCGCGAGGTCTTGAAGTATACTCCCTGGCCATCCGGTGACTTCCACGCGGACACGTCGTTTGAGATCAACCCGCCGTCATACTCCATGTTGCGTATGGAAGAGCACCCGGACCTTGGAGGAGATACCGCCTGGGTGTCTGGCTATGGGCTGTATGATACACTAAGCAAGGCAATGCAACGGTTCATTGACGGGTTACACGCCGTGCATACCTCGCGATTGCAGTACGATACCATTCTAGACCTCTGGGGTGTCGGGCCTAACCGGCCTCCTGTGGACTCCCATCATCCTGCTGTGAGGACACATCCGGTCACTGGACTCAAGGCCTTGAATATCAATCCTGGCTTTGTTACCTCTTTCGCCGAGTTGAATAAGGTCGAGTCGGACAAGTTACTCGACTTCTTTCAGTACCACATCCATTCTGCCGACGACCATTACGTCAGATGGAAGTGGACTGTAGGCAGTGTAGCAATGTGGGACAACAGGTAATGTCTTGAACGCACAGATCCCGGGCAGTATGGCTAATCAAAAACAGGTGTGTATTACATCGTGTAATTCCAGGTAGATATGAGGGCAACCGGAGAGGAATTCGAACGACTGTCTTCGGCGAGAAGCGTGAGTTGGCTTTGCCTTACCAAGAACCTCGCTACACTGACTGATTTTTACCAGCTTATTTTGATTCCTCGAGTGAAAGTCGCTATGAGCGAGAAGATCGGTTGAAGCAAAACAATCAAACAGAGGAAGCTCAGGTGCAAAAGGAAGTGGTCATCAACACATCAGCATAAGATTTCTTGGGAAAGCTCAGAGAGCCCGTACTAGGTAGGCCAAGGGACATGTTACTCCAGAATGTTATGACGAATATATTTCCTCAAATTGGCAAAAGCATGTGAGACCATAGTCTAGTCTTGACTATGATCTTACAGTTCTTAATCTTGATGAGAGTGGGATTCGAACCCACGCCTCAATGAGACTAGCAATGAAGGCTTTGAACCTGAAGCTAGCGCCTTAGACCGCTCGGCCATCTCACCTATGATTGGTTGTTGAGTGTGAGAGTTGGGAAGAGAATATAACGCATACACACTCTTGGTGGAGAAAAGGGTGGAGTCGGAGAATTTTGGAGTTGCGCCTGTCGGCCACTCCCGATAGCCAGCTAAAAGACGTGCACTGCAAATAATGAAATGGTTAATGAAATCGAACAATGGTTGCATATTGGCAAATAAAACCGGTATGCAAAGCTGAAGTTACAGGCGAGGTTGCTCGGAAGTCTCCATTCATTCGAAGGTTGATAGCACACCATCACCGTGGCATTCATAGAGACGAGGATCGATGAGCCATCTCAGCAGAACATGCCGGCAGGTCTGAGGTTACCATCGAGATCGTCAACGTTACTTGTAATCATGTCCCTGACAGTACAATGGAGAATATGCACCATACATTTCGCTTATTTAAGAATGGCTCTATCGTTCTCACTCATGTCTCCCACTCAGCCGACCCACTTGATGTGCAAGTCTTCATATATGTCGCGAATATTCACTGAGATCATCGAGCATGATGCAATTCCGTACGGAGGGAGGCAAGTATTGGGAGCGGAAGGAGTATGATAATGGTCCCCCTCCCCCATATTATGCAAGTCGTTTGCCCTCTGCTGCGCCCAGCATGGATGCACTGCGTAAAAATTTCTGTTTAGAGGACACTGACCGGCCAGCAAGAGGGAGGAGACGGACCTTCCCATTGTGAGCAGATCCGCCACTGCCAAGAGTACAACAAAGAGGGCGTTCAATCACATATTACTCTATGAGATGTGAATTGTCACTTTTGCTCTCCAAAGTCCCAATCAGTTAATGACGGAGACCGGAACTCCAGATCAAGCACGATCGGAGAACGTAGGCTTCATGAAGACGACACCGAGAGATGAAGGCTGCGGAATTTGTCTAACACCACTTGAGCCTCGCTTTGACCCACGATGAAGGTTTATCCGAGATGAACTCCGCGGCGGAAGGTATTTCCATAATATTACCATGTTCTCAGAGTCTGTTACCTGCTGAGACCGTGTAACATTTGCTCATTCCAACCACAGGACAGTTCTGGTGGCTATGCTCGCAATCCAAACTAGACATAATGTTTTAGCCAAACCTTTCGAAGTGCCATTCGATACCTGCCAAACTGTGTACCACTTTCGCCAGTACAGGGATGCTTACCGCAAACTTTTATCACAGGAGGCAAATAAGACTCATGTCGACAAAATTCATACGGCTAATCGTCTCCTGCAATGATGAAAGCCTGATTTTGTGTTGGGGTTTGTAGAACATCATCGTCTCTCCGCTACAGCCAACATCTCATACTCCAATAACCCACTCTCTTCATCAGGAACTACATTCGTCGACCACCCGTTCAGCCCTGAGAAACACTGTTCGAACTCAGCCCAATCACATTTGGGACCAAGATAAATCACCGTATCCAATGCGGCATCAGTTGAAAGCGCATATGACTGCAAGTATCCACTGACCAAATCTGGGTTTCGAGGATACACGAACATCAAAGCGGACGCATCAGCCGCGCGTGGTGATAAATCCCATGTGCCCTTGACGGAAGAGTGATGCTGTTCCGGGAGAAACTTGTTAAGGGAGGTTGATACCGACTGTTGAACCTCGATGCCTTCGATGGACAATATTGCTCCTGCTGATGTGGACCATTTCTCAAGCAGTAGTGCTTCGAGGAGACCGGAGCCACTGCCGATTGAAAGCACAAGCCTCCCCGCTTCTGCACCAACTCTGATCAAAGTGATGGTTAATTTGTCAAGCAGCGTTGATGAGAGACTTAGGCAACAGTCCGGATGGCGAATGGGCTCTTTGTTCACCTGAACTGCAGCCATTGAAGTATGTGATTTGTGTTGTAGATGTGAACAGGTGGAAAGATGATCAGTGAATGGGGGTCTTATGCAGCAAAATAGCTGGCTTGCAGTATCCGCTTGTTGCCACAATCACCAATCTGAGTATTTGAAAGTCTAGCCAATGTCGGAACCACTAAGGAATGCTTAAGGTTAGACAGATATACAATCATTGATAGATATTGGCTGTCATGAGTTGTCAAGTTGTAAATACTGCTGCAAGCGACTGGCTCAGGGATGCGTAGGCCACTAATGTGACAAAGTGGGCATACTGTACCAATCTTTTGTCTAGACTAGCGCTACACATGTGGGTGATCCTGCACGCAAATATTGCGTCTACTCTTCACATTTCTCGTCACCAACCTGAGCATAACTTGCATGACGGACTTGTTAACTTCAACACTGGGTTCTAGGTGAACTCAAACAAATACTACTAATGTATTCACTGATACATTGGTCTATCCCAACCAATTATGTGATTCTGAGACCAACTCAGAATTCATCACGAACACTAAGTCGCTTTAGCTCACTTGGGAGAGCGCCAGACTGAAGCCTCAACTTCAGTTGCGAAATCTGGAGGCACTGTGTTCGATCCACAGAAGCGACATACGCATCACATTTATTCTTTTTTATCCGATATTTCGGTTTTCTTTTGCACATGCATGTAATTGTTCGGTTTCCCGGCAAGTTGGAGAGTCAATGAGGGCCACAATAGTTAGACTACCATGTTAAGCTGTTGTGAGAGTGACCATGCATGATAGATATCGTATTCATTGGCAATGGATTCACTGTAAATATTGTTAATAGACCACTCGTTTGAGTTCTCATAATCATGCTGTTGCCATCATGGAGTATTCTTCTGCCTGTAACGGTAATCTTACCTTATGCAACTAAGCAGATTTCAAACATAATCTGTCAAATGAGCATTCACACCGTTTCATCAACGAATATGAGAACATGATTATGTAGTCTTATGACGCTGTATACCCAGAGGCCTTTCAGTTTCATAGTGTCATAGTAAACCAGCTGTCTAAGCGATTTAAAAAATCAAGCTTCACAGGATCACCAAATACTCTAATTGGTGACATAATTTGGTGACGGGAAACTGTGTTGTAATGTTTCTTTTTCTGGTATGGCAGCTGCCCAAGAGGCACCAGAGGAGAGAGAAATAAAAAATCCCCAACCCGAATGCCAGTTTCAATCACATGTGGGCGGCTAGAGGGCAAAACGTTAGGTCTGCCTGGGGATCGAACCCAGAATCTCCTGATGCCGTACTGATTACTCGAAGAGTAGCTCGTAGTCAGACGCAATGCCAATTCTGCCAACAGACCTCGTTGTTGCAAATCGTGTTAATGCAGACCATGTAGGCAAAACATCAAATTTTCACTGCCTAGCGGGGGTCCTGGTGACGAGATTGGATGGTGGGGTTGGGCGCCAAGTAAACCTAGTATACTGGGTCGAATCAGTGGCTCTTCACGAAACAATGCCTTGAATTCCGTCAAATGAATTATCTGTATCAGTAGAGTAAGTAGAGAGGCCTGCATCAGCCCTCAAATTCGTTGCTGGTCTAGAGTTGACGTTGACCTAGTACTTTCAACAAGGACAGATCATACTCAGGGACGATAAATTCGTGCTTTTGCCCCGTTTCCAGCTCGCGATGAAATGATGTGGTTATTATTGCATTACATAGTATTCTATATCCCGTACGCCTCCAACTCATTCCTATTACACTAAATGGTCGTTCAGTATCCGTGTAACATCTCATTAACCTCGATTAGTCCTGGCGCTGCCAAAGTGTTAGCAGGCACGTCATCCGCGTCTGCGAATTTAGATGAGTTCGTCAAAGCGGCAATGCTAAGACCCTCCATGATGTTCCCTGCGTACGGGAATTTGGCCTCGAAACTGATCATACTACCGAAGCCCTGAACATTGCTGATTGGTTCTGAGATCGGAATTTGTTGCCCCGTGAGATATGTGATGAAAAGCCCTTCCTCTTTGATATCTCCTACAGCCAATCCGGATTGACTGAGGTCGGCTGCGAAGCTCAAGGTCATGTCTTTGGCCTCCGGTTTTGTGAGAACCTGGAGCTGCGGTAATATTGGTATAGGAATGGCATTGACGTCAAACGGGCACGACACGATGAACTGCTGCAGTGCCGAGTATGCGAATGCTCCGGTATTCGTCGTCAAGAATGGTTTGTCGGAAGGCTTGCGCTTCAACATGAATCGATAGAACCCATTCTGCTCCCCTTCTTGGCCAATAATTGAGGCGACTTGACGGATAACACCACCTGCATCACCATTGTCCGCAAATGACTTTTCTGCATCGGCGAGCGTACCGAGAACAACACTCGTGAACGTCACGGCCAGCGACAGTGCCGATTCCAGATCGGTGGTTGGGAATTTGTATTCGCATGGTTCAGGGACGAGCGAAGCATTAAAATGCTTTAACACGTCCTTGGCGCTTATTACATGAAGCTCTTCTTGCTGTGGACTTTGTCAGTATCTATTCCTTCGTGTTGACTGTTTCCATGACTCAAAATTGACTTACAGCTTTCACATTTTTCAAAATCTCTAGTAATGCGCCAGTATTTGCCATCCCGGGAACCGATTGGTAGCCCTCAACATTGTTGGTGATGTTTTCTATCAGAGACGAGAAAAATGCGACTTCGAATTGCTCATTGAAAGCGATGAGTTGGAAATTTGCGATTGCACCCTCGCTCAACTTTGGTGGAGGTGCCTCGTCTGATAGCACGCCGCCCGCTTGTGTCTCGATTAGGAGCAGCTGTTGATCATCAGGTGCTGGGAACCCGTCGTTGGAGGGAATAGCGTAAGCAGTTGCAAGCCGAAGCAGCGCTGCTACACCGATAACACACCGGAGAATCATTGCTTCGTGTTGCTGGATTGACGGGTCTACAAAATGGACGAAGATGGCATGTGGTGACTAGTTATATGCAAACGAAATGCGCACTGTTGCTAGTTGTTTGTGTCAAGGGGGGCGGATGGCACGGGAGTCTTATGAACCGGACGGAGTAGCTATACTCACCTGAAGGGAGGTCGAGCATGGCAGTATACCTGTCTCAGGGCGAAAGGCCCAAGGCGAGGGTAGATAAGTCTCATTACTAGGATACGTGCACTTACTTCGGATGAGCAAGAGCGTTTTAGCTTCACGCGAGAAGGATGTGCGATGGCGAATTCACTCAATGAAAAGAACATCAATAATCCTTGAGGACCTCGAGCAACACGTAGCGAATAATAGTGACAATGCGAAGCGACCCGCGCTCGATATGAGCCAAAAGCTATGCCAAGCACAGAGTCGTTACGTGGGAGCGCTTTACTCATGGACATGGAACGGACACGCTCCGGAAAGCAATAACCAAGGAACACGGATACGTGCACAAGGTCGAAGTGTGCTAACTTAGACAAATGGAAATTGGCACGGAGATGGACCGGGAATCATGATGGCCGAGTCTGAGTGCTCGGAATATGCACCCAAGGGAATTCTCGCTTTCAATGTTGATTGGTCAAACGCTGAAGGGGTGTTTCGCCGGTATATTCAAAGTGCACGGAAGATTCTTGACAGTTGGCGTAGAAAGAAGCTCACTGGAAACAGCACTTCATCGGTAGATGACTGGCGTGTTGTTGACAGCGACGTTTCCAAGGTTAGCCTGGTACGGAGTACGCTGTTACAGTATGGTCCGAGGGGGCCAAGTTTGATGTTGCTACAGCGCTCAACAGCTAACCTTAGCGGCCAGGGTGACCTCCCTAGATGTTTTGAGCCCGGGCGTAGGCCATGCCAACTGAAACCCACCATAGATAAAAGCCTTGCTTTCGCTGATACAACTGATGGAAATTCCAAGGCTAACGTTCGGATGAATCTCACAACAAACCATGGTCATTTTCTATCCGCAGCTCAGCTGTTTCAGTGCTGTTGGTGTCCCCAATTTCAAGACCACGAAAGCCATAGGTTCAGTTGCAAGATGGAAAGGGTTTGCTTTGTAATGTCACTCGTGAGTGATTCTGAGGCGAATTTGAGTCCCTCCTGTTATTTATGAACAGTCCCCTGAAAACATCGTCCCGGTTCCGACTTGGACATCGATCGTCCTGGGGAAGTCGGCGTGAACTGGACTAATGCACACGAATGAAGCTAGGAGCCCCAGGGCTCAGAGACCAGCTACAGCATTCGCCCTATTACTGGTTCATCCACCTGCAGCCTCCAGGTATATGTACACTAGAATTCGACTCCACAAGTCAACCGATTATGATGTTTAAATAGTTCACCAGCAGTGGTCTTTCAATATGGTATCTTGGCAAGGCCTGGTTATCCCTCCGAAAATTCCAGGAGCACGGCTCATTTCAATGGGATGGACAGGTCTTCCAGATCACCGACAAGATTGCGCTGAAACACGCCAAAGACATCACGTCAGACGAGTTCATCAACGAGAGAGCAATATGAACGAATTGAAACGGGAAAGCTTGTGGCTATTAAGATATCCTTACATCCTCTGTCTAAACTACCTAACCTTAGACTTATCAGAAGGATCAATTGTACCGAGTTCGGTAGACCCACGGGGAATAACGACAGTCTCTTATCACCCAATGAGGGAATCATGCTACATCCAAGGTCGGGATACGCGAGTTAATTTCCAAATACAAAACCATGTATGCTCAGTGTATCAAGAATCTAAGATTATAATAAATATCTTTTTCGGGTTGTTTATCTATAGTTGTCGTTGTGATACTGGAGTTTTGGGTGTTAGCTTTGGCGCTCCTGGTTATGACCATCGTGCCCTAGCCCTATGCTCTCAGACTATTCGAATCATCTCTTCGGGCCGTAGCATTTCTTCTTCAGAAAGCTCTCCCTGCATAATCCCCTGAACATAGCACGCGTCGAAAAACTCGTACTCCGTTAGGGTCTGCTTGGTCTGGTATCGCCTTCTTAGGGTGAACGGTATTTTCCCCATGCTCAAAATCCAAACCTCATCACCTGCCTGCATCTCCAGGTGGCCCAAACCCATGAGGCCTGACTCCGTAATGAAGAAGGCCCGGTACATTGTTGAAGCCACCATTGATTCGATAGTATGGTTAGGTCTCCCAGTCTTCATGAACTCAAATACGCCCTGAAGATCTCGATCGGCTATCATAGACGTATAGTTCCAGTCTTTGTCTCTTAGGACATTGTTCAGCATGAGCCTTGCGAAATCCATTTGCACCTTGGTCAATGCCTCCGCTTTGACCATATATTCAGGCTCCAAGTCTACTTGCGGCAGAAAAGCGTACCACCGCCTCATCCTTTCAAGCAGTTCTCCAACATCTTTGGTTCTGTGTTGTTCGTTCTCCACAGCTACGATTCTGTCAACATACGCACCGCTGAGATCTAAAGTCCCCTGCACGTGCTGTACAATGGGGCCTTCGTTCATGCCTTTATTGGCGTTAGACATATCATAAAGACGATAGTCAGTGGTCCAAGGACCGAAATAACCTCGTTCAGATCCCAAGTCGATCACCCAACCAGGGATTCCCGGTGTAGCGTACTTGCAGAGGACTCGAGGACACATTGAGAGCGGCCGGAGGTCCCCATAAAGCTGTATTAGGTCCATCGTGACCGATTCAAAAACCTCTTGTACCGTAAGGCTGTAGTCGCACTTCCCACTACTTGGTAGTGTCTTGTTGTCGTAGAGACTGGACAAGGCATAGATCTTGTCACGTGGATCGGAAGCAAGCCGCCCTCGCCAGCGGCTCAGGATGTGCATCGGGTCTAGTTGCATGTGCACGCCACCCGCGTGGACCCTATATCTTGCATCTGCAAGAGCTTTCACGTATCTGAATATGTCAAACATGACCCACTGCTCATGTTTGCCAAGGCCGGAGGCAATATCCAGCTCCAGGAAGGACTTAAATGTAAAGAAACGGGCAGCGTCTAGGAATGTGTTCCATGGTATTATGAAGGGACCCCAGAAGATATCGGCCTTTCGAGGGAGAACGGCTTCCTGCAAGGTCCATATCCGAGTCCACCAAGTACATTGGTACCGGTGAATGGACCGTAGAGCTTTCAAGAAGCGCTCGAAGTCGGGCCTGGACCTCGTGAAGTTCGGTAATGCCAAATGCGAGCTACCATCCGAGTGCAGGAGAGCATTGATGTAAACCAAATACTCAACTACAGTTGCGGCATCGTTCTCGGGTATATCGTCTCGGATTTCTCCAAGCCAGATAAGTCCGCGGGTACACTTTGAATAGATCTTGCGCATCAGCTGTACTTGTGTCGACTTTTCTTCGTAGTCATTCTGGTTGATACAGAGCTGGTCTATCCACACCGGCCTGTTCTTGCTGCTGGACCGCAGCCGAGTCAGAGCAGCGTAGAGATTACTTGTTACCTCTTGTCTTCGATTCGAGATCTCGATAGAAACGAGATTCGCCTTCGACTGATCGACGTACGCGCCATCCCAAACGTGGTGCGGGCTACCCCAGACGTACGAGAGTGCCTCGTAGATAGGGTCATCCGCAAGTGAGACGACACGGAGCTGGCAGCGTATCGTCGTGCCTTTGTCATCAGGGAGAATATCCAGGATCCTGACCTGATCACCCAAGATTGATTCCATATGGACAGGCGAAAGAGTTCCAGATTACGACGTGCTTGTTAGCTTTAATAGAAGCCATGGCCATCCTTTGGAGATGAGGCGGGGTTTGCTGCAAACCGGCGGAGCAAGACGTTGCATCCAGCTTTAATTGGCCCTCATTCCACTTTTGGAAGTGGGCCTATGCTCAATTGGCCTACTTGGGCCAGAAAACCTCCGTGGATGTTTTAGCTTCTTTGCCATCATTACAACCCACTGCCATGGATGTCGTCCGACTGAGGCCAATGAGGACGTGGATTGGCTGCTCTGGCGCACCAAAGACCGAAGTTGATGTTTTGGCAACAAAAGATGCTACGAGAGGAGAGGCAACTCGGTCAAACTTCGAGGCCGCAAGGTTCTGTAGAATCTAGTGATTTCCCAACCTTTATACGGTCAGAAACTAATTTCTAGATCATGTCTATGAGCATCATTCTCTTATCTAGCCGGTCCAAGTCTCGGTATTAGTGATTTCATTTGTTCGTTTCCTCATTTTTCCACGAAACCATGCAATAACCGAGTATTTACGGCTACTTCTTTCGTCGAAGTAGGCAGTGCTCCCCCCATTGTCGTCTGAACTTCTGCGGCACAAGCTTTGATTCAGGTACCCATAGAACCCTTGCCAACAGGTGTGTCCTCGCGGCATCCAAGAACGGCACACATTTCACTATTTCCCAGTTCTCAGCGTCGGCGATGTAGTCAGGCTCATTGGGCGGCAAGGGATCTTCGTTGAGAGGGTAGTGTGTATCAACCAGGAAGGAACACTGCCGGATATCGGTGTATTTGCCCATGTCCTCCTCGTTCAGATCATTCATTCCGTTAGTAGGTAGCCAAGTACCACTCCAAAGACCGAAGCCCGTGCGGGCCTCAGAAAATTCTCCGGGGAGAAGTCCACGGAATTCTGAGCGGATGAATTTTGCGTGCATATCTCGAGGAAGGAAGTAAGAACTGGGGAACCGGTACCACTCTTTTCCAAAACATACACTATCTCCCCGACCACCAAGACCCTGCTGGCCGGAGACACCAGCGCCAAGCGGAGAGTATAGTTTGAGCGGTGCCGAGTAGCTGGTGTACAAGCCAAAAATGCGAGCAACACCAATGTCGAAGGAAAGGAAAATGACCGAAGTAACAACAAGGAGCTTCAGCCTGGCAGGTATCTTTCCCGCCAAAGTCTTCGGATCCGAGTTTCCGAAGGCGTTCAAAATGATGTGGAGCGCCAAGGCGGCGTTGAAGCACAGGAACGGGTACGCAGGGTACATAAATCTCTCTTCCTTGTGCGGCTGCGACGTGAAGATTGCCAACCAAAGGTAGAACGGAGAGAGGAAAATGATGGTTCTCATGCCAGTCTGGAAGCCATGCTGGCGTGTTGACAAAACCTTCTGGACCAGAAATAGTGGCAGCGAGAGCAGTGCCAAGACAAACCACACATTAAAGTTGATAGTGAGATTGCGGAAGTAGAAAGTCCAAGGCTCCGTGCCATAGAGGTTGGGGCCACCAGACTTGGAAAATATATTGTACCTGACGATATTCCAAGCCACCATTGCCCATTTCTTGTAGAAGAAAGTGTTGATCAGTGCGTCGCCGAGCTTTGATTTGATTGGTCAGTGGTTTGGTGAGGAATAGACTTTGGAAGCGAGACATACCACCAGGAGAAGCGCAGCAATGACGCCGCGAGCGACTCGTAGAGATGCCTCAAAGAAGCCTTCCTTGCTGCTAACAAGGGCGAACATGGCCTCCTCGACCAGGAATGGGGCGCAAAGAGCGGCAGCAAACGGCCATCCCAATATGCCACCAACGGCAAACCACCAAATGCCCCAGGATGTCTTGAGTCCTCCGCGCCAGTTCATGAACGCAGCCGCACCGAGAAGCGACATGTACATGGCAAAGCTTGACGGAAGATAGGCGGTGGCTGAGTGAAAGTTGCCAGGAGTGATGACGGTCGCAATCAGGAAGAACAAGCCGATCCTCGAGTTCAGGGTGAAACTGATAACCCGGTAGAAGAGGACCTGGCAAAGGGCACAGACAAATGCCAGCACATAGCGAATGAAGTAGAACTCGCTGACTTTTGTGGAATGAGGCAGCAGTCGTCTGAAGTTGCCCACCACGGCGTGCAGACCGACATAGAACCAGCTTCGTATGGCGAAATCAGGGGAGTATTCCCATGTCTGTAAACCGTATCCATGGGACAGGTAGTGCGTCGGCTCCCAATAATTAAAGGTCTCGTCACAATCTTGAATTGGGGCGAAAAGAGCCGCAATCAGGTTTGCGACCAGAAAGACGTAGAAGGCTTTGATGGGTTCGATGGCGTAGATGGACGGAGGCCTGGAGTCAAAATGCGTTAACCAAGTCCTGATGCAGAGGATACAATCAGCTGTTACTTCTTCTTAGCATGGCCAGAGGCATTGGGCGGCATCGTGTCGGCGTTGTTGCGATACGCGACTGTGAAGAGCAGTCAATGGATTTGGCGTTGTTGATCATGAAAATTGATGACAATTTCACGAATTTGTGAGCTTCAGCGACGTTAGCGACTTCAGCGACGTTAGCGACTTCAGCGACGTTAGCGACTTCAGCGACTTCAGCGACTTTAGCAGCTTCAGCAGCTTCAGCTTGAGTTTGGGGCGAAGCTCCAGCTGCTCGGGTCCCTGACGTATACGCACGTACGGATCCGTATAGCGCACCCCGAGGGGCAATGAGCCCGGTATAAGCATACTATTGTGTACAAAGATGTGCAGGCGGAGGTGCCAATTGAAGGCACATCAAATTGCTCAAGTATCTATATAGCTATACATAACTGTATATATGTGTCAATTCTTCTGCTAGTGTATCTAAATTTTGTATTGACATCTCCTATTGCTTGCGTCTCGTCGTCTTCTGAGGTCCCATATTGTGGCGGACGGTGCCCAGGAACCCCGATACGTGGTATATGGTAGTATCGTTATAGAGAGGCGCTAGAGTTAGTTCCCGTCCTTGCAGCACATTCTGCCCACTTTAATTTTTCTGAAGCTTTAGCGGATCTACAGTCGCCTGGCGCAAAAAATGAGAAGCTGCTCAAAACAATTTTAAAGACAAAACGTTGCCATCTTGTGAGCTCGCTTCTCGATCCAGGTCTTGTGGCAAGTCTGTAACACACTCTGCTATCGAACGTTTGTCGCAGCTTTGTCTGGGAGGCTTCTGTCGCTCTTGCGCGTACACGTGTACACGAGCCAGGACGCCATAAGAAGTCTTTCTTGAGACTGCTGGCTAAGAATTTCACAAATCGTTGTGGTCGATATCCAGCTCCTGTCTCGCTCCTGCGCGCGCCAGAGTGGTCCAAACCTCAAACATGGCATCAACGCCCTTTCAGATCCCTGGTCTTACGACTTTAGGACAATCTGAGAACACCCCTGCCGCTTCAACCAGCACGCCCTCAGTCTCAGTCACTGCGGAAGCCACACTTGCTGCCACTTCAGATGAGCATGCTGGCGACTCAGCCAATTCCGCCACATCTCAGGGGAATGCTGTTGAAGATGGCCGCGAGGTTGATGCACTCGGTGCTGATGCAAATGCTATGGAGGTTGATCGTAACGACACAATTGAGGCGAGCACCTCCACTGGTAACAACAATGCCCCACCCAGTCCTCCTTCTCTCACTGAGGGTCTGGAAGCTTTATTGGGCTTGAACAACAACCAGGCACCCCAGAGCGAGGAACAGAACACGGAGATGCAGGATGTCGAACCGCAAGGTGAACAAGCTCAGGATCATCCCGAGTGGGAGGCTGATTCGTCGCCCTATGAGTCTTCTTCTGACTCAAGCAGCTCCGATGATTCGGACGATTCAGACGACGACTCTGATGATGGGAAGACCTTGTTGAACCCTGAGGAAATGGCGCGTATTCTTATGGAGGCGGCGTCAGATGATGAGGGCGAAGGCAAGGCAAAGGGTTCGGCATCTGGCGCACAACTACGCACCAAGAATGAAGTTGCCGAATACGTCCCTCCTAAACCTGACGTGGAGATAACATCTGATATGGAGATCAAGCCTCTGGGAGAAATCGAGATCATCGTTGAGAACGCTGTTCTCATCAAGGCCTACACATCTGGCGAATATGTAGTTCTCGATTCTGGTACAGTTCTTTGTACTGAGGATAGAACTGTCATTGCTGCTGTTGCAGATACCATTGGCAATGTGCACGAACCTCGATACATTGCGCGTTTCACCGACGAGGAGGAAATCAAGACGTTCAACCTCACACTAGGAACAAAGATCTTTTATTCGCCCGAGCACGCCGACCGTGTATTTACCCAGCCGCTGAAGGCAATGAAGGGCACCGATGCTAGTAACCTCAATGACGAGGAGCTCGGCGAGGATGAAATGGAGTTTTCCGACGATGAGAAGGAGGCCGAGCACAAGCGTGAGAAGAAGGAGAAACGTAAGGCCCGACAAATGGCAAGAGGTGGCAGTGAAGGTAACCGAGAGGGACGCGGTGGTGCACAGGTCCCCAAGCTGGAGTCTGCTAGTCTCAACTATGATGACGATGATGGCCCGTACCGCCCTCTGGCTAGACCTGCCAACTTTGCACAGGGTCCCACCGCTTTCACACATGGCGCGACAGAGATGAATGACGGTGGTTCTCGTCGTGGCGGCCGAGGTGACTTCCGCGGTAGAGGTCGTGGACGCCAGCATGATCGAGGTGGACGTGGCCATCGAGGCGACAGACGTGGAGGCTCTGGTTATTCCCAGCCTTCGAATGGCCATGCATATCCTCAGCAGCCACCACAGCCTCTGCAGCAGTCTTTTCCTTACCCAGTGCCACCACCTCAGTTCGGTGCTGCTCAAGGCTTTCCAGTACCACCCCCTCCCCAGTTTGCTGGTGGCAATGGTGCTCAAGCATTCAATCCCCAGTTTTCTTTCCCCTCCTGGCCTCAGCCGCCACAGAACCTGCCTGCAGGCTATGTACCCCCTCCGCCTCCTCAGTTTCAGCAGCACGGCCAAGGCGGACAGCCCGGCAACTATTACAATCCAGCTTTCTTGCCTGGAATGCAGCCTCAGTTTCAGGGACAGAACCAGCAGGGTGGTCAACAGCCTGGCCAGTGGCCGCATCATCAAGAAGGTGGTTCAGGTTAGATGCTTGACCCCATGATGGTCGGTAACACTCCGGACATATTTCGGACTGCTTTCAACGTCCCCTTCGTCCCCATGCCACTCATACCGTCCATTCCGCCCATACCACCCATGACGCACCCGATGATGCCGATGATGAATTTGATGAAAGACATCGCCAGCACGCGTCCGGGTACGATCCATCACCCCGTTGAACGCCGCGTCGTTCAACGTATGCAAGACACCAATGCCGAGGAGGAGCCCAGAATGGCGCGTAACCCGCGACGCCGCTTCCGTTAAGACGGTAAAATACTTAGATTATGTCCATATTGGATGGTTGGACCGATCCCGACGCTACGTGGTGACAAAATGCTTGCCATCAGACCATGTACTATAACGAAGCGTCGTAAGAATCACTCATTTATTTGGGCGTGATATATACAAGGAAAGCTGTTAGGTACGATATGGAAAAGTACTGGTGCACATATTTTCACAGAAGGAACCCGTATAGATAGACTTTTATACAGAGGTCGGTTGACGATACCCAATGTTATCATCGGATCCAGAGCATGCTGTGGATGATCACCACATCTTCCTACAACTCTATAACGAAAAGCTGAACAATGGGTCAAACGTGACCGTGGACAGATGAGGACGTGACTGCCCCACAGGTACTTCTCCATAGCTACCTACGACTTTCTAAGCAACAACCAAATGCCTCTAAACTGCAAGTGACGAGACTCTTGCGAACTCGAATAGTTACATGCCAATGAAGTGAATTGACAAACAGATGATTACTCTAACGAATGTCATGTCGTTTCAAGCCTATATAATACACGAGCAACAAAACTATTCCAACACATGAGGTCGGTTAGTCCTCTACGAACTTTTGCGAAAGTTTGCTCATGCCACATGAACAAGAAAAAGAACGAGGGTAAGGTATGAGAGAGCACATGAAATGTTTGCCACAGAGACAAAAGATTAATTGCACTAGCCGCGAATCGAACGCGGGGCCCATCGATGGCAACGATGGATTTTACCACTAAACCACTAGTGCGCTTGGAATTTTTAGGATTTAAACATAATCATATCCTAAAATTTGCTGCTCTTTAATCTCCCCTGAACTTAATCTAAGCATCTACTTGTGGTGACTTCCTGTCGTTGACACCCGTACCAATTTCTATTTTGCTATATTAGTAAAACATGAAGAGTACGTACATCCCAATTGGGGTTTCAAATCTCCGCGCCATCCTGTAGAGTCCTCGCAGCGGTCCTGGCGGACTTCTTAAGTCTTATTTATTATAATGGCTGTAGCCGTCCCGAAAATCAATCTAGAAGTGGCCGCTTTGGAAAAAGCCCAACGCGTATCTCGAGACTCGGTCTCTAACCACCTCCTCTCTGACACCTCTCTGCAAGACTTCTTGCTGCAACTTGATAGCTATCTTATCGGTTGCATTTGCGTACTGACTTATAAGGACCGTTCATGGATTCTTGACCGCCTCTATGCGCCCCGTTCCGGTTCGCTATCTAATGTGTTGATAGCGATTGGCCGATTAGTGCCATATCTAATGATGGATTGTTATGAATTTAATGCGAGAATTTTGTTTACTTCATTCAGAGCTATGTAAGAGATTGAATCTTTTTGTATCTATCAACCTCTTAACAAACCTAAGCAGGTTATAAAATCCATGACCACCACTAACATTGTACTACTCCATCACACAAACACTTGTCTCTGTTTTGCCACATGTGTCACAACACGCTCAGGCTCCCTCTTTTCTAAGGCATCATCCTGCTGGTCAACTGGCCAATCGTATCCATTCACAGTAGCTAGAACACGTACGTTTGCCTTCGATGACTCGACTAAATGAACCATTATTTGCAGCAGTTGCTCACAAGGCCTCGTCGATGCCTTGAATCTACACCTATCAACTCGTTCCAGGATGATCCAGACAGGCTCTGATTCACCAAGAATGTTCATTACCCGGAGGGCAATTTTGACCAAGCCTGCAGTTGCTTCACGAACATCGCCATCCATTGTCTTTTCTTCCTGAATTGTGGTAAGCAGTTCTGCGTAGCTTTTTTCAGCTTGGAGCGCTGAGGAACGCTGTCTTAGCAACTGCAAAAATACCGTACACAGAATACTCTTTATCGATTCCTGGTCCTGGAGTCCGACGACGTAAACAGCATAAAGGCATTCAGGGCGCATGGTGCTGCTTGTGATGTGCATGGTCAGAGGTGAAACCCAGCAGTGCGCAGAATTGTAAAGCGATCTGTCATTGTAGCCCACGAGAAGGAGCATCTGCGACTGACTTGACTGTTGCCACATTCTGAAGTCATTATGCTCTAGAAGAGTCTTATGATTTGGCTCGTGGAGATTCTCCAGGAAGGGTACATTCAGCTCAGTTTGAACCGAAAGCTCATCTTTGTATCGTTGCAGCATCTTTTCGTGGTGCTCCGCTGAAAAGCTATCCAGACCGAAGCTCTCTTGAATCTTTTCGAGCTTTCTCCAATCGGCTGAGTCCTGTAGGCCTACATATGGTAAGCAAATACAAGTTCATGTACTTTCTGTAGGTTTGCCAACAAATCAAGCTTACGCTTATTCTCGCGTCTCAAATCTAGGTAATGTCAGTGCCACGTACAAGAGCAGGTGTTTCCACTCAATCACCTGAAATTTCCTTTCTGAGAAGGTTCACGTTCTTGCTTAGTAACACTTCTGCAAGAAGTCTGACTTCATTGAAGGCGCTCTGCATATCGCACGATAGGGTTGTCAATTCGTTCGACTCCATCAACGATTGGACCCAACGCCCTTGTCTGATTAGCCTGTGTCGAATCAGCCATGTGATTATAGCTTACGCATTCCGCTCATCTTATAGAAGTTGGTTGTTTCCATACAGAATCTCATCATAACCTCGTAGGCCATCAGGATTTTGGTCTGCAGTTGCTTATCGAGTTGATGCCGATCGTTGTATATCTGTTGGTATAGTTGAATACTTGGCATGTTGTCCTTGATCGTGGTCATTGTCACTCTTATCCGAGTTTCCATACTGTTCCTGTTATTCGCAACCTAGAAGGATCAGATTCTTGCCAAATCTACGAGAGATATCATAGCTGGTTTACTGACCATGAGAAAAAATGAAATCGTGCCAATAGCGATAGCTCCGTAAGGAGCGCTAATCTCTATGACAAGTTCCAACATGGGGGCAATGTCGCGAAACACCTCATAAGCCGAAGCTACGATGTCTCGCGATTTCTGGGCTATTCTCTTCTGTCCATGAGCGTGAGCAGAGTCATAGTCTCTCCGTGCATCTACGGCTGAATTCCAGAGGGAACCGAGATGGTCAAAATTGTCGATATCCAATGCCGACTTCTCTGCTGGCGAGAAGTACTTGCTGTCCCTTGCACGTCGATGGAAACGAGTTTGATTGCCGTTTGACTGCGATACCATCGCGCTTGAATTTAGGTCTCAGCACACATGAAAAGATCGGTGCAGTTAATTAAAGTGATTTCACCTACAGGTCTTTATCGCTTAGCACCATAGCGGTATGTGCCGATCACAAGTAGTCTCACTTTTGCGTGGATTCCTGCTTAAGATCTGATTACGGAAGTGAGAAATATCTAGGGTCGGGCTGCACAGCGCCCAGATTTTCAAAAGCTAGCTAGGAAACTCAAAGAGTATCAGACCTCGCAAATGTCTTCGAACAGGCTCCTCATGTCGGAAACCATGGTATGTTACACTATGATGCAGTGGGCTACCTGCTGGCATATACGCCGCCACCACATTTGTATCGACAGGCTCGCATGCCTCATGCAGTCGCTCTAAGGTTGGAAGGTGACACACGAGAAGTCGATATCCGTAGCCTTGCACTGTCCATAGCAACCAACCAAATGCATGCTAGCAAACCTAGCCTGCTTGGAATCAGTCTTTATCACTTGCCAACCATGATTTTCATCACACCGTCACGCAACGGCTAAACATTGGCATATGTTGTGATACCGATATTCTTCTTTTGTTGGCCCGTTGTTGGGGATTGAGTTTTAAACCACATGCACTCTTCGTAGTCTAAGAAGGTGACACATCGGTAGCCTACACTCGTGACCTTTCCCCCGCAGAGTCTCCAACAGCGACATGCATGATAGCTAGCCAAAGCCTGCTTGAATATATGAGAGGGCCGAAAGTGTCAAAATTCGAATAGTAGCTATTGTCCGAGTCGCATGCCCGCCAGCTGTCTTCTCTTCAACCTCCAATGCCTATCAATTTTTGTCTATCTGAGATCGCCACGTGAAATACTCTACTCTTGATAAGATATGTCAGGTTCCTCTGAAGCCCCTATGACAGAGGTAAGCTTTTGCTCCTCCCATTTTTGTGATTTATACCATTCAACTCTATTAAACCTTGACTACCTAGGCTCTCCTCGCAAAACTAGCTGTACTCGAGGCAAAATTTAGTGATTTGGAATTAAAGTACAAATTCCTCAGTGATGCGCGCTTGAAGGAGATTAACGGAACCAAAAAAACAGATAACTCAACGAAGAAAAAGGTTGTTCATCATTGTCTACACCACCTGCTGAGCCTTCGCTAATTTTGACCCTTCAGGGTTCCGCCGCGGAGAAAAGCAATAAGGTGAGAGGGGGTTGTATTTCTTGTGTTATTCAATAACTGATCTGCCTGTAGAATGTGTCGGATTCGCACTCCAGGGTAAAAATCGTAGTCCAGAAAGTCGATCCGAATACTGGTGAACGGATTGAACATCACACGGAAGCTGAAAGCACCGAGGACGACAGTAGTGAAGCCAGGGCTTTCACAGTGAAAAAGGTCGTTTACGACAAGTTCGGCACCGGGAATCGAATGTCAAGTGAGATAGACATTAAGAACCCGGCCCTCTGGGAGTTGCTGAAAAAGACCTTGGGGCATTACCCCTACCACATATTTAGGGGGCCCCCAGTCACCCTTAATTCTCCGTTCGCACCTCTTGTGTTCAATTGGGACGTTCTGACCCAAGAGGCCGCCCGGCCAGAGAAAGACCACACAGACAAGGTGGCGCTCGGTGACTTGAAACTTCTACTGGAATTTGTTTCCAGTGCCACGAGTGGCGACGAGAAGCTCGTCAAATACTTTCAAAGCAGAGATACGTACTTAAAGCAGGGTTCAGTGCAATTCGACGACCTTTGGACAATCTTTCCCCCTGGCAGTCTGATTTACGGCAAACCATTCCAGGGTCAGCATCAAGTCTTTGTCGTCCAAGGGAACAAGTACACTTGGCCACGTCGTGATGAAGAAAAGTCACAATATGTTTCCTGGAAGTTCGCCGCCTGGACCTACGATTGGACGGGAAGGGAGTTCGAGCGCACGAGGTTCACTATAGCGATTGAGCCATTTGACGGCCACCGACCTATCGCCTCCCTGCAGTACCACCCTTTTGATGCTCATCCAGATCGTCAGTCAATTGAGCAAAAGCTTGTTGAACGCGGGAAAAGATTCCGCGAGTTCTGTACCGCTACCGGGGGTGGCCGATTGTTTGACTACACAGGATGGGTAATCTGCGGCCGGAAAGGCCTGTCTAGTTTACTGCAAAGTGATGATGTGAGAGATGAAAGCCATTACACGATGAAGCATAGCGCTTTGCTGATGTCAACCAGGATGATTCCGATATCCACTCGCGGAGCTCTCGATTGTCATATATCTTAGGGATATCTCAGAGCTCACGCATGAGGGAACAAGTAACGGAGTCCACTCATGTTGGTATTCATGGTCTGGAGGACGGCTTAGTTTTATTAACACCAATCTAGGTCGACGGTAGAGTCATGGTCGACTACGACTCGTACTTGCAGTACTCTTCTGTGACTGCAGGCAATGGAACACTGCACAGGGATCGTGATTACCGCGAGTGCCTGTGTGATGATTGCCAGGTCAACGAAGGTCTCACGCGAAGGTCGAGGTCTCACTTTGATAAGAGTGACAACCCGAATAAGAGAGATTGGGAAGATGAAAGGTACATGTTATGCCCTCCTAGGGTCCTCGGGTACATCCTTGGTGAAAAGCAATGGGCACAGCTCCAAGTCAGCCTCTTGAAAAAGGTTCCGTTCGAGATGCACAGCGATGCATGGAGCTCCAGACTCCAGCTGGCTGAAGATGCTACCAAGGACCTTCTGCTCGAGCTTGTCAAGAGCCACGTGTCTAACCATGGAGAGAGTTCTAACAAGGCGGAGAGATGCCTAGAAATTGATGATATTATACCCCACAAGGGCAAGGGACTCATCGTACTTCTATATGGTAAGTAGCCTCAAATGCCCCAATACGATGACGCCGACTCTTGTTAGGACCACCTGGCGTAGGGAAAACATCCACTGCGGAGATCATCGCCCTTGCAACGCGGAAGCCGCTGTTCTCAATCAGTGTTGCTGATGTCGGCACCGATCCGAAAAGGGTTGAAGCAAATCTGGCCAAAATATTTGCATTGGCGACATCATGGGAAGCTATCCTCCTCATGTGAGCCTGGCTATCGAGCAACGCAGCTTGGGGTAAACTGCTGACGAGATTCTAGTGATGAAGCCGACGTCTTCCTCGAAAGCCGAGGGAAAGTGTTCTCGGGGTCTATTGAGAAAAATGCTTTGGTTTCAGGTATGTATCAGGGCAGTAGTCGCCCCAGCTAGCTAAAGCTGAATAATCATAGTATTCCTTCGAGTGCTCGACTACTACCAAGGGATCATGTTCCTCACGACAAATCAAATCGCTCAGTTCGATGTAGCAATACCTTCTCGTATTCATGTCGCCATTAAGTATGAGAGTTTGACCAAGACTCAGGCGACGAAGATATTTGAAGGATTTCTAAAACCATTGGAAGATAACGATGAAATACATGATTATGAAAGAATCAAGGAATACCTGAATGACGATGTTCTCTCTATCAGATTTGATGGTCGTCAGATCCGCAATATAATCACGACAGCACTGGGAATAGCTCGCGCAGAAAGCGGCTCTCAGGCAGGCAGGAAGGGAAAACTCAAAAAGGCGCACCTGAAGAAAGCTGTCCAGAATGCGAGAGCATTCAAAGAAGAGTTTGTGGTTCAATATGACCGGTATAAGGTGAGCCAGGAGAAAATGATTCAAGTGTAACTGGCAGGAAGCTCGTGCCGGTTCCATCTGGCTGATTTTCACTTTCCTGGAACAATACAAAACCCAAATCTCGATATCGTTTCGCAACAAATGGATAGCCCGGTGTGAACTCAGGTGGACCGGATGTTTTCCACCCATTACACTTGGTGCCCTATCCGGCCGGAGCCGTATATGAAGCTTTATGTCGCACTACCACATACAGCATGTGGGCATTCCCAATTGTATTGCAAGTGATCTATCCAAGAAAGTGTCTCTCTACCTACGCTACTATCCAGGCGTGTTAGTAAAAGCAGTGGGAAGTGGGAGAGACTCTGATGCCGGCCAATGGGCACCCCTGACCTGTGCTTATCCCCTGTCGAATAATACTAGTCACACTGCTTGTTCTTAAAGGGTTCATTTTGCAAAGACTATTTGGCTTTCCTGAACTATCAAATAGATACACAATTCAGTAGAGCCAATTAGTCACGCGCTTTTAGCGACTAGAACAAATAGTTCCATGCACTCACCGAACCGAATACGAAATGATGATCAGCTAACCTGTCATACCTATTGCTAAGACAAGTGGGATAGAACATACCTTACGATCCAACTTCGGATCCTGATAATACATGTTAAATCCTAGTGCCCAAGCACCAAAAGTCCAGATCTCACTCTCCCATCCTGTTGTGGAGGTATCTCAAAGTATCGCAGCGGCCAGTTCTGGCACCAGATAAAGCGGCAACAGAGTTTCTACGGCACTAGTCGTCTATACCACTAAACCAATAGTGCTGTCACTGGTTGTAGAAATTTTGTGATTACAAAGACCTGTGTCCCAATTTTCTAGCATGTAAAACTTTGTTCACAGCTTGCAATGTTTCACGATACCATGTATCGTTACGAACAAACATTTCCTTCTTCTTCGTGTCCATGATGTCTGACTAGGTGTGTTCTGTATTGACACATGGCCATTAGACCAAGTAAATGCTCTTATGATATCCCCAAGAGCGTTCTCGACTTCTGTCTTCAGTCAGATTTGAAAATGATTGCGGATTGATTTCTTTGTTGCTTTCACTTTCCAATCATGTAAACTGTGTATAGAGAATTTCGAACTTCTTTTTCTTTTTTCTTTTTTGGAATCTCTAACATAGTTACCTTAGCTACTGAAACATTCATCTGGCTGCTACAGTGCTGAACTTAGCCCTCTTGCGCATAATAAGCTAGTCGCCACAATTGATTTACTCTCGCACATTCCCGGGCCAAGCACTGGCGACGTCGCGGAAAAAGGCTTGCGAGTTCGGCTTTCTGCCGAGAAACTTTTCCAAAGTCTCCATCTCTGACTGGCTTGAGCCCCGTTGCAAGACGGTGCGCCTATACATTCTAGCTGTCGAAGTGTTGAGCGGATCAGCAGCAAAAGCGCTGGCATGGAGGTCTGCTGCGTAGACCTTGGACCTGTCCGCCATCAAATGTGTTAGTTTGCCAGCATAGACGTGATACCCTCGGTTGACCTCTTTTATGTAAAACTGAGTGATGTCGATTGACCACTTACAAGGGATATGCAAAAAAGCCGGCGTCGTACCTCCGGAAAATGTGCCCAAAAGCGGCTTGTTCGAAACTCACCAATCCATCATCCTCGCCGGCCATGCGCAACCCCACGATCTCGCGTCGGGTTGTGTTCCATAAGAGTGTCGTGTCCATCTCTTTTGCTGCTTCGATATCTGCCGGTGTATGAAGCGCCAGGTCAAATACTGCTCTTTGCACCTCCACCAGAATATCATGCGCCTTGTTTAACATCTTCGTTCTGACGATAGCCTCTATCAAGTCGACGGGTAACTTACCGTCCTCTTTGTCGCTCGAAGTATGTTGGGGTGCTCGGAATGGCTCAATACAGCTGTAATGCTTCCCGAGAGTGGTGAGAACGTCGCGATTCCAGATCCAATGTTCCAACATCAGGCTGGGAACCTCCACAAAGTCTCTAGAATGAGGGATTGCGTACTTCGTAAATGATACAAGATGATGAATAGCGTGACCCAATTCGTGGAACATAGTGCGGACCTGACCCAGTAAGAGTAGATTTGGCTCGGTGCCTCTTTGTGAAGGCAAACTCATTATGAGTGCTGAAGAAGGATAATGTCTTGAACCATCCGCTTCCGTAAAGCCCTTGGTGAGAGTCAGCTTGAAGATTGAGGCGTTACACGAGATGAATGAACAAGAAGAAGGCAAGTTGTACCGGACTGATGGCAATGTGGTGCATGTTGCGATATTTCCCATCGCGACCAAACAGATCGATGAACAGAAAACCCAGGAACCCGTCTCCCTCATCCGGACTGTCCCATACAGTATAAGCGCGTACGCTTTCGTGCCAAGTGCTAGTCGTATGCGGCACGAATTTCATGCCAAAAAGACATTGGAAGATCTGAAGCATGACTATAACGGTGTTTCCCACCTCAAAGTATTCGCTCAATCTCGTTCCATCATATGAATACGTCTCCTGTCGAAGTTTTGTAGCGTAGTAACCCCAGTCCCATGCGTATAATACAGATGTATCGTCCATTTTGGTAAGATTAGATAGGTCCCCTCGGCTACTGATGTCTTCTTTCTTGAATCGAAGCAGCCTCTCGATCTCTCTGGTTCTGAATGGTTGCATCAAGTTTCTGATCTCTTCCAAACGCAGTTCAACGTCACTAACACTTTCGGCCATCTTTTCTTCCATTCTCAGTGAAGCCCAGTTATCGAAATCAAGGAGTTCCGCGATTTCTTGTCGAAGGACCACAATTCGTTCTAAACGACGAACATTGTCAGGAAACCGGCGCTGGGACGCGATATGATACTTGTGTCTTGTAGCCCCCATCGTCGCATCTCCCAAAATATGGACTCCTGGAACGTTCCGGAATGGCACCCATATCTGATCATCAGCTTTATCTTCGTCTTGAATCTTATCTTTGATTTTCCCGAGCGCAAAGAGTGCTGTATCTGGTAGACCACGCAGTTCCGAGCGTGGGAACCATATGCCATCGTCCACCTCTGTGATGGCCTTCTGGGCTGCTAACCGCAGTTCATTGAGCTCAGAGGTCGCAACCTGGAGCCGAGCACGTTGATCACCATTCTTAACATTGGCCCCGGAGATCTGGTACTCGTTATGCATGCGATTGAGAAGATAGTGATCTTCCGCATCAAGTATGGGCTCCGTGTTCCCGGCAACAGCACCCAGCGAGCGGTCATAGACAGCTGCGACAAGAGTCGCGACATCACGGCGCATGAACGTTTCCGTCTCTGCTGCTAAGATCAGTTTCTGGGCTTCACGTGAGGCCTCACGCAATTCCTGGTCGGGCCACACTGAGACCATCAACGTTCCCAGAATCCGCAAGCGACATGCTGCACGGTTGGTTTCGTCGATCAAGGGCCGAATTACGTTTGCAAATGTAGCGCATGCTGGCGTGATGGTTTTGACCAGTAAATCCTGGCATGCTGCAAATCTTTCGATAAATGAGGACACTTCCTCCAGCACACCTGAAGGCGTAAACTTTTCAAAGTTCGGTGCTGGCTCTGGTGGAACCCGGTCAGTAAGTGACATCGCTATACTTCGGATATTCTTAGCAGTGCCAGAATTGACTTGATTTCAACAGGACTATACGCCAATTCCTGCAACCAGGTTATTAGGCCACTCGTAACGTGAGCATCAATTTCTAGAACAAATGATGTTATCTATCAATCACAGCGAAACTCGCTTCGTGGTGATAATTAGTTCATGAATGAAACTACCGTTAGGATGGTTGTGACCCCTCGCAGCGTCCTCGCGGGGCTGGTGGCTGCCTAATCTGTGCTGGGTACGCATCCTGAGAAAAGTGGGAGATTTCCAAATCAGAGGAGTTCTCAAAGTCTGTTTTCGAAAGAACGGCTGCGTCGGTGCGAGTTACAAACAACGAAAGAGTCAGACCCTGTGGCATCACGGCATTTCATTAGAACTTACCCTCTGCATTGACCTCAGCGCTACAAAGCGAACCGCGGAAGATGTCTTTCCTCGAATCTTTTCCTTCAGAGCTCATACGCAACATTTTCGAGCACTTGGCTTCTCCGGATGACATCCTTTCTCTGGCGCTCACGTCGAGAACAATGCTCAGTAGGTTCCGCGGACAAGGTAAGTTGTTCTTTGGCCACATGAGCAGCCGTCTCCTAGCACCTGACCACGTCGCTGACGCAATCACCATCATACGTATACGCCAGCTCAAGCGCGACAAAAGTCACAGCTGGAAGTCCATCGAGGAAGGTATTCTCGCACTTTCGCAATCGTCGACCTCGTTGGCTCAAGCTGGTCTTGACGATGCTGACATCTTGCAACTGTTGATCCTGCTGTCCCAGATCACTCGGCTCACCAGTGATTATGCGAACCGGGCCTGGAAGAAAGCTCAGATGTTTGTATGGGTTCACGGTCCAGAGTTCTTGCCCGATGAACGTGTCATGTTCAGAAGCGATAGCCAAGGTTTGGTGCTATCGACGGCCGAGGAAGCAAAGTTCGTTGCAGCCTTCTTAAACCTGGAATTGTACTGCCAGACATTCTTTTGCAGAGGCAAACCGTTGTTTACGGACCGGCGCCAAAGACCGATGTTGGACTCACTCTTGTGCTCAAAAGTCATGTGGCTCGACGAAGCGCCTGAGCTTCTCAGAGATGCAGGCAACGACCGACTGGTCCCATCTCAGCACCGTTTAATGAGTGCACTCCTCGCCGGTCGTCTTGCTCCAGATACAGCGCAGTTTCTGAGCGTGCGGTCGTATCTGGTGCATCAGCACAGAGAGCTACTGTCCATGTTCTGCCAAAATGAGACAGAAGATTCAAGTTTCCGCCTGACGGGCCCGATGCTTCGACAGAACTGGATGCAGTCGAGGATGAGGAAAAGCGCACAGTTCGGCGACGCGCTATCTGCCACGAGTCAGTGCTGGGACCGGATGCAGCTCGAGCCCGAAGATATGTCGTACCTGCTCAAAGCCTGCGCCTACGGCATCGGTCCCGCCTGTTCCTTGCTTGACTGTAGAGCGGAAGGTAAGCGAAATTTCTATCAGGAAATCCGTCACAAATCCGCCGTTAGCCCTGCCCTGTGCTCATCACCTGCGTGGCATATTTTTATCAAAGCCACGCATCGGTCCAAGCAGCGGGGCTTTGCGCCCACTTTCTGGGATGCCCACCGCTTAGAAGAGATTGGTCTTATGGCGATGCACTTGGAAAACCATGCACTAGTACTTGCAGATACAGGTTCACAGTATGCGTATGAAACTGCATTGCAAGATGATGACCCTTACTATAGTTATGTCTGAGTAGGGCCTTTATGATAGGTTTTCGGAGACCAGGTAGCTGAACAGAGTTGAGGTTCTGCCACGAAACCAAATGTTGTGCGCGGTCTTGGTCGAACGTTCTACTACACAATAGCCGTTCCTGCTCGGCTTAGAAGCGTGATATTTATACTTCAATGAGTTCTACAACCTTCACCTGATGTGGCCAAACTTTTATGGATCGTCCGCAATGAAGCTCCACTGGATGAAAATTTGGTCAATCGCTTTGTTCTTGGTAGGTTGTCTTAGGTATGCTCACTATTACTTCTATTGCCTTAAGCATAAAAGAATCAAGGAAGGAACATTGCAGTGGACTATGGAGCTACACCAAGCCAGAGATGTGAACATGAAAAATTAAATCCTCAATTGTTCTGAAATACATGACTGTCCGACTATCATTCACAGTACACACTGCCAATCGCCTTGGTTTGTATAATTACCGCCAGGCTTTAGCACGTTTCTCAACGGGAATTTGCAGTGGGACCTGGTATACTCGACACCGAGTGCCTTAGTACCATTCTGGAACCTACTGCCGATGACGGCATTCGGCGCCACCCCTTCCTCCACCCATTGCATCATGGCCGTGAGGACGTTTTCGGCAGGATCAAGACTTGCGGCGTTCGGTCCACGATTGCCGATGGCACTTGCACCGAGACCGCCGGTGCAGTGTCCCATACCGCTAATGCGGAAGTAGCGATAGAAGTCGTCCAGATCGCTGCTTGAGAGGCTCATCGTCCTCGAAGCCAGGTTGTAGTATGTGTTCGAGCTCGCCGACGAGATCAAGGTGTCTTGTAGACCGTGGTAGTGTAGCAACTTTGTGCCTCGAGCAGCCATCTGCGTCAGGTTCCCGGACCATGTCCTAGCACCGGTCGGGTCGTTCTCGAAAGCATACTGCCAGTTTTCTGGGCCCAGGAACGTCGTGTTCAGATTTGGGTCGTTGTACAGGGCGTACTTGAACCAGTGATCTGTGTACAGGAATTGCTTGGCACTATAGCTACTGCTGATGAAGGCCAAAAACCCAGGGACCGGTTCGAGACGAGGATAGACGAAGCTACCATTGACGCCATAAACGGGAGAGAGAAACTGGCGGATCGTAGCTGCCTGTTTGCCCGTGATGCAGGTAGAATTGGCTTGCCCATTCTGGCAGATCAGGGCCTCAGGACGGAAGTTGCACATGGATGGGTCCTCAAGAATACCGTCGATCGCACCATCTAGATGATCGCATTGGGCCAAGAGCTCGGCGTCGACGGCCGCCCAAGTCGAGGCTGGAGGAAACCCGTCAGGGCCGGCTCTCTTGATAATCGAGTGGAATGTGCCTGACCACGACATAAGACCTTGAAAGTTGAACGCAGGAGCACCGGCGACGATTCCGTCGAATATCTCGGGGAAGTCCTGAGCCATCTTGAAGCCCTGGCGGCCGCCCGTGCTGCATCCCAGGTAATACGACTTTGTGTGAGATTTCTGATAGAAGCTGGCGGTGACCTCCTTTCCAACGGCAGCTGATGTTGTGAGCGCCCGGTAGGAGTAGTCCCTCACGACTTCAACATTGTTGAGAAATCTAGTGCCATTCTGACCACTGTGGCCATTATTTGAGCCGGTGGTGGAAAATCCCAGGGATGTTGCATAGGCCATGTCGTCGTAGCTCAGACATCCATTAATGCCTCCATTGCCGGTCGACAGAAACCGGCCAGTCCAGTTCCGGGGCAGCCATACCTCGATCAGCACATCAGAACTAGCGGAGGTCGTCACGTTCAGACTCAGCCGGCATAGATCGGTGGTGATGGTAGTTGAGTTGGCACACGACGCATCAAGACCGGGAACTACCAATGCCGTGCCGGCAGGAAGTATTTCCGAGAACAGTGTTTTGACATCCGGGGAGATGACAGCTGTGTTCAAGGATGAACAGGCCGACTCAAAAGTTTGTTCCTGGTGAGCCGTAGTCGTTGCCCCCGCGCGCAGAGAGAAGGCGCTGAACACAGCGCTGGCGAGGATGATCAACTTCATCATGTTGGACGTCCTTGCTCTACCCAGCTGTTGACCATCGATATGGCGTGTTTCGCCTACACCAGCAGGTCCGTCTCCTTTTATATCTTTCTTTTGCCATGCGGCGACGACTCGGCCGCGGTGCGACTTAGTTAGCTCACGATTATCACGAGTCGACATATCACCGATGTTCCTGCGACCCAGGTCTTGGCAGATTTCAAACCAAGTGACCGGCAGTTCATCGCGGTTGTAAAGCTTTGCACGTTGAACTACTATGATTCGATTGCGCCATTGAAGAGTGGACACTCATAGCCCGCACTTTTGGCGTGCTTAAGTGGGTCAGCCATGAACTAATAGTTCTGTATCTATGTAAGAACTCCTCCCGGTAACCGTTTGGCATGACATAGCGCTCCTGAGGTTTCCTGTCCCTCTACTCGACCCCCTCGTAACTGAAGCTGGGTTCACTTCCTTTGGGTCGGCAAGGTGGTCTTGCTAGTGCGCGTAATACTACAGTAGCGCAGGCCACCCCGCAATTGATCCCCCAAGTCTTTGGGTTTCCCCGCACAGTTCATGTGCCGCAGCCGAAGGGATTTGCCATGCCGTGGCAAGTCAGGTCATCTAATGGAATCCAGTCTCATTTAGATATGAAAATGCCCAATACCTGCCTCCGAGTTCCCAACGCCCACCTAAATGTAGAGAAATGAATATAGTAGGACTTCTGTCCGGGGACTCTTGCCGGCTCTGATGTGAGAGAAGTTGCCCTGTTCGTTTAAGCGATCTGCGTTATTCGTTGATCTGCGCTCAGAAGCATAATCATATGTAGAGAGCGCCAGGTGCATGGCACAAAAATTGACGCAGCGGCCATTATAGCTCACTTGACAGTACGCCAATTCTTGTGTCGACAACCAAGCGCATGTGTGATGGACTCTACGCCACCAGTGTAAAACTGGAAGAGATGAAGTGGATGAGTTGCATATAGATGTGGTAATGTTAGGACGATCGATTGCCGACGAAACTTTGAAGCTTATCGGTGCGAAGTAAAGTCTCAGATTGATATGGAAGATTCATCTGAACTTGTGACCAACTACTTGGAAAAGAAAAAGCAATTTGTTCTCTGAAGCACGCTTCAAGAGTAGTCCAGCTTGCCCGCAGCCCTGGATTGATAGATCCTACGAGCTCACACCAATCTGACAGAGGTCCATTTGGGGCAAGGTCTCCGCTATATTGGAGACACAAGCATGTGCTGAAGCTGCTAACACCGCAACACCACCTTCATGATAGGCAATTCGGTCGCGGTCTATGCCGCAGTCGGTGAACATACTGGTTACTGTAAAAGCGCTGCAGGGTTTGAGAGGTGGCGAGGTCATGGTGCTCATCACGATCGTCCATCAAGTCTCGTCCAAGTTCCAGGGTCGTTCCGAGTGTAACGGTATGGCGGGTGCCGTTTTTGCAATTATGAGCAGCGCGGGCGGGCTGTTTGAAGGCATTTCCAGGCGCAGATTCGACTGAAGTTGGGTTCGAGACTTCACTTGAAAGGAAATCAATGGGCTGCACAAGGTGACACTCTCGAGGGCTTTGATGTTAGTATGACTGCAGTTAAGCTCCGTTGAAGCAACCGCCGTACCAAACCTTTGTAGAGAGAGCCACGGCTCAGCTAAAAGCACGATGTAAGAAACGGCTTGTACAGAATTTACCTAATCTTCAAAGCTAAGCAATCGCCGTAGGTTGGGATTACATACAGACTTTTATGTGGTCGACGTCTGCAAACAACCCTGTACTTTGAACCATTACTCTCTACCCTCCCTCGGGCTGCAAGACTGGGCCTCAGAAAACCCTGACGCTTCAATATTCAATGCAAATCAAACTGATGTTTGTGTGATAATGGCGTCTTGCAGTGGCTTAATGACCCGAACCTGCTAGGCTTGCTAGAAGTCATATATAGCAAGATAGGGTATCCACAGGAGAGAGCCCAGAATGCAATCCGTCCAGACCTGTAATAGTAGACTAATATGACAACGATTAGAAAGCTGCTTTCAACCGCCGTCTACATTTCAAGCCCTGTAGCCAGGGCGTCTGCGTTGACTAGTCACTAATGTTCAGCTATCAGCACACGGTTGAGTGAGCAGCCGGGGATAGATCCGGTGCAGTGCTGCCCCATGCACTGTACAGATGAGTTGTGTGTGCGACTGTATAAGGTTATGGCTTGGAGGCAGGCAGCGGCCCGAGGATGTAAATTGAGGCAAATTGCGCCATCAATGCGAAACAGCCATTTCCTTATCACCAAGCTTTTTGAATGGGAAGCATTTCCTGCAGTGGAGAAGTCGAGCAACGCTATGGAACTTAGCCCAATTTAAGAACAGTTGTCCGAAATGATCAAATGGAGCTCTTCGAAGCTGTCGCGTCGTGTGAATAAGCTCGTACGAGTGTAACGTGGAGCTGGGAAATGGGACTATGTTTCAGTGCGTCTTGTCATTCCCAGCCTTGTGAGCGTTATCCACTTAGGCAGTGAAAGTGGCTCCAGAGACAATCCAGAGACGATCCAGAGAAGCACTTCTTATCGTACATGGTTGCTTCGTCATTGACGCGTGAGTGTGGGACAGGCAATCTGGTCATGGTGAACCACAGGGTTTGATGCGACGTGATATTTGGCTATGCCGTTGAAGAATTCGCTGATAGCGACGCCCCAAAAAGCCAGTCGATTGTGGTTGGCTGCCTACCCCAGTGCTCATAAATATTGATCGCCGTTTGGGATGTGACCGATGAAAGAGGGGCTAGCCAATTAAGAGTGGATTGCTTGAGATGAACGTGATTTGAAAGTTCGGATGAACTGCCAGGCGATCTGGTGTCGCCAGACGGTTCATCTGAACGACCGCAGGGTGTTTGTTGGGAGAAGACCACTTGACTGCAGAAGTACCGAATCAAGTCCTTCATTATTCTGGAAGGATTTTGCACAGGTGGTCCAGATCCTGGCGGCGTACTACTTACTGTGCGTAGTCGGTAGACTGAGCGAAGAAGGCAGGCTGTCAGTGAAATTGATGAACTATTTTGGTGCCCCTGGTGCCGTCAGCAAATGACGAATGCTTGAAGTGGACCCGCAAGGACCCCGGGTGACAACAATGCTGTAATCTCGTTAATGCCGCTAAGAGACGCACCTTCCGCGAGATTAGCAGCCAATGAGGGGGCCTTCGTACCTGGGAGATGGCGCTTTTCGTTCCTGACTAGGACCGCTCGGGCCAATGATCAACATTCGACAGCAACACTAGTATGGGGTGGGCAGGCGGTTGGGTCACAGCGGATGGCATGTCTTTGTGCACCGTGTCGCATCTGCCGTTGACGAGCTGAGCTGATGGTGTAACTTACTATGTATGGTGATGACAAGACACACATACACACACACACACATGGCATGAGATCGTGCCGCTGTCAAAACAATGGCGAGGCGGGCTCGGAAAGGCGCGTGTCATGTGCTTGCTGCAGGATGGCGATTGTTAAGGTTAGAGTTGGGTGATGTTTCTGAGGAAATAACCACCAAGCAAAACGGGGGTTCCGCCATCGTGAAAGCCGTCCGCCTCCATTGTTTCCAAACATTGGTCCCAGAGGGGGATGGATCGTGATGCGACAAACGATTGCCTCGGACTACCAGCGCAGTCCGAGGGAAGGACAGTGCGCCAATCAAGGGCTGTTGGTACATAGCAGTTAGAATCGATCAGCGCCAGATTGTCAAGGCTGTGTTTGTCGTTTTCGTGCAAGATCGTCGTCGAAGTTCAAACGGGCTACCCACAACACGGACCCCGGACTCTTTGTTTGGTAGGTAATACTGCGTGCTGTAGGTTAAGCTAACACATACTGTAGCTATGCACAGTAGCTATTGTGGCCTGGGGCCCAATGAGCCCCCCATGAGCGCCATGAGCCCCCAGCTCCAATCAGACCCGTTACCAGGAATCAATTCCCTCTTGCACCCTTCTCCTCCCTCTTGGTCCAGCGATCAGCCAGGGCAGACTGACCTTTCTACTTTGTACTGTCTGCTTTCTGCTTTCTTCCTTTTCTCTTCTCCCCCTTCCCTCTTCACCGTTTGCCGTTGCAACCTTCACGGCATTCACGTCGCAGCTTCCCCTCCTGCAGCTTGCAGTGCAGCCTTTCCTTCTTGCCGTCCCGCCCGAGAATTTGGTTTCCATCCCATCTTCTCATTCCATTCTCTTGACCCTACACTACAACAACAACAACACAATACTGCACTGTAGTTGCCGATTGAATCTCGACGAGAATCCACTTTCCTTTAGGACTCAACCCCTCGACTCGACGTCTTTGCAGGTCAATAATTACATTCGCTACTTGACCCTGACACTAGATTGTCTACCACTCATTTTCAAAACAACACGTCCTATACAACATTTCTCTCGACAAATCGATCTCTTTCTCGCGTCGCATAACAGCCAACCAACAAACAAGCAACCGACGGCGACGCTCTTGAGCGCATTTCATTCACTTGACCGAAGGCGGCCTGCCACAAGTAACCATAAATAGTAGTCAGCACCAAATCCCAAAATCTGGTGCGCACATGGGTTTGAGTTGGGAAGACACGCCAGAAGATATTGTCATAATTCCATCTCTCTAATAAAAAGAAAAACTTAATACGACAACCCGTACTACGAGAATATATAATCGATTAAAATGCCGAACAACCACAACCACCAACAGCTCCACAGGAGGGCCCCCGAGCCAAACGCGCACATCGCAGATCTAAACCAGGTCAAGACCCTGCAGAAGAAGGCATCCACCGTGTTTTTGACTGTCTACACCACCCAGTCAGCTACGTTTACCGGGGAGATCGGAGGATATACGACTTACATTTCTGGCGATGACGACGATCAGATCACAACATCGAAAAAGGCAACACCAACAACGGAAGCAGAGCAAGTCGACCCCACCACAACGACTGCGGCAGCTGCCACGACATCCGATGCCGCCGGCACTACGCTTCCGAAGTCCGTTGTTGTCAGCTCAACTGCCGACATTGACTCTGACACTACTCTTGCCATCGCTACCAAGCATTCGACGACATCCTCAGATGCCGCTACCGCAACCGATGCCACTGCCAGCACGGCCGTCGCTGCAGCCGCAACTTCTTCTTCTGCAGCTTCGTCCAGCTCGGACAGCAGCGGCAGCGGCAGCAGCAGCAGTGGTGACAACGCTGGAGCCAAAGCCGGAATCGCATTTGGTGTTCTTGGCGGACTTTTAGTATTTGGTCTACTAGCATGGTTCCTGTTCAACAAGCGAAGAAAGCAGATGCAGCAGCAACAAGCGGACAATGAGAAGATCGGAGGAGCCATGGGAGGAGTCGTGGTTGCTAATGCTGATCGAAGAAGCTCTGTGCAGACCACACGAACGACTGCCACAGCTCCACGACTCAGTCTGCGGCCCGTCACCCAGTTCATGCCAAACTTCGGGGAGAGACGCTCGAGCAAGGGTGCTGCTATGGCTTTGGCTATGGCTTCAGGGCCTTCCGCTGGCAACGCAAACAACAACCCTCAGGCCCGCCGTCCGGCTGGAGCTAGCCCTACGGAAAGACCTTCTACCAGCCAGAGCGCTCACCACGAAAACCCCTTCGGCAACCATGCTGAGAAACTCGACCCGGTTTCGGAACATTCTATGCCTGCTCCTGACCTGCAGCCCAGCAACCCCTTCGATGCCCCTGAGAACGTTGTCGGCATGGCCCAGACGACCGACTCTCCGCCCGAGCCTTCCCCAATTGCTACCGCTTTTGTTGCTGGGGCCGTAGCTGCAGGAACAGGTGCTGCTGCTGGTGCTGCCCTTACCCGAAAGCAATCTACCAGGAAGGACGGGCCTCACAAGCTCGACCTGACCAAGGCCGGTGAAGCTGTTCATGCTCTCGGACCAGTTCCAGTTCCTGCCAGCCCTGCTGGCACCGAATTCAGCATGACCGAAGTGGAACCCGGTCAGTCTCCTGGGCCTTCGAGCAGTGCTGCTGCGATCGCCGCGGCAGGTGGTCCCGCCCAATCTACCGTTCACCGCGTGCAACTAGACTTTAAGCCCACTTTGGATGACGAAATTGGGTTGAAGGCTGGGCAGCTCGTCCGACTCCTGCACGAGTACGATGACGGTTGGGCTCTTTGCATCCATCTCGACCGCTCGAAGCAGGGTGTATGCCCTCGAACATGTCTATCTACTCGTCCTGTCAAGCCCCGTCCAGCTGGCCCCGGCGCACGTGGACCGCCAGTTAACCCCAGTGGACCACCGCCTCGTGGACCGCCCAACGGACCCATGAATGGGCCACCCCGAGGCCCTCCTCGTGGGCCTCCTCGCGGACCTGGTCCCAACTTCCAGCCTGGCCAACAGCGCCCGATGAATCCACAAGGTGGGCCCTTCCCTCGTCCTGAGTCGCCCGCAATGCGCCCTATGAACGGAAATGGACGTCCTCAATCCCCTGCCATGATGAGACCCCAGTCACCAGCTGGTATGCAACGACCACCGCCATCCGGCCCCAGAGGTCCCCCCAACGGTAGACCTCAATCTCCCGGTCCCAGGGGTCCTCCGAACGGCAGACCACAATCTCCTGGACCCCGAGCGATGAGCCCAGGCCCGCGATCACAGTCCCCAGGTCCACGGCAGCGAGCTTTCAGTAACGCCAATGGTCCTCGACAAGGTCCTCACGGCCCTAGCCCGATGAGTGCTGCTGCTGGTACACCTCCACCCCAAGAGCGAGGACCCGTGAGCGGTCAGCAAGGCCCAATTGGCAGAAAGCCAGTCCCAGGACAAGCCTATTAACCACGAACATTTATCCGCATACGGCAACCATGACTTGACGAGATAGCATGCGCGCGAGCCCATGTGCAATACCCCGGGGTCGGACTCGACGAACTCTTGACGAACTCTGAAACGATTTAGACCCTTCTCGACGTTCGCTTGCGACCCTCCCTGTCTTTCCTTGAATTTTTTTATCGGCGATTTCTCTTCTTTTCAATCCGACGATATCTGACTTTCGCCTGCACTTGACGCATACTATTCGTATTCCTTTTTAAGTGGCACGAACGAAAGCGCACGTTAATGGTTCGAGAAGGACTCCTCTGGGTTTCTTTTTTTCGTGTCGATGATTTCTATTATTCGATAGCTCACATTCCCGCTGCCTGGTAGTTCATCGTATCTCACCACCCATCCGGAATGAAAACCTCTTTATTGTTTAATTTCTTCCTGGCCCATGTTTCCCATTCATTACCGCGTAGCGAAGCATGGAACATCCATCCCCAAGGATTGGAATTCTTTTTTTCTTTGACAATTGGTGCCTCTTTCCACAGGAAACCTTGGCTGGTACCTAGACTAGGTGTGTTGGCTTGCAACCATGTAGGGGCAAGTCGCGGACGGCAGCAGGAAGGATGGGTGTGATGAAAGAAGTGATTGATGAGTGAAGAAGGGAGGGCACAAGACGTCTGGAAGACATGGGATCATGTAGCCGAGGACGTCTGACCATTTATAGATAGGTAGAGCGAAAGGACAATGCAGTGGTCGATTGATTCCTTTCAATTCATTTCCGACTCTGAAGCCTTTTCCGCGACATGTTGCAATAACCACGAACTAGCTTCGACCTAGCTGGCGGGGGGGCTCGTGGTGGATCCGCGCAATCATTCTTAAATCTGCACAAGTCTCTGAGAGCCTGTCTTGATATCTTTGGTGTATAACTCATGTCGAAATGTCTCTTAACGTCAACCGAGCCACATGGATCTGGAAAACTGGAGACATTATCAGTGATGAAGGCCAGACCGACCAATTTGTTGCTTTCGCTCAGCGAAATCGCATCAACCGTGTCCATGTCCACATCAACCCAGACCTCCCGCACCAGGACCTGGCCGCCTTCATAGGAAAGTGCAACAGCAGTACCATCCCCGGCGGCATTGTCGTCGAGGCCCTAATGGGCGACGCCGGCTGGATTCAGAACCCACACCACCAGAGCGTGACGACCCGTTTGCGCTGGGTCGAGGAATACCAGCGTGTGTACGCCCATCTGCCCATCCGCGGCCTGCATCTGGACATCGAACCCTGGCAGCTGCCGACCTGGCACGGCGCCGACCAGCCGGAGCACATCCGGCAGTGGGTCGGCTGCCTGCAGGGCTTCAAGTCCTGGGCCGCCGCCCAGCAGCCCCCCTTGCCCGTCGCTGCCGACCTGCCCTTCTGGCTCCACACCCTCCAGTACCCCGGCACCACCGACCGCCTCGACGTCGTCATGATGACCGTCCTCGACGGCGCCACCTTTATGACCTACCGCAATACCCCCCAGGTCCTCATGGACGTCGCCGGCGCCGCGCTTGAGGCCGGCTGGCGCTGTCGCAGGAGGCGCGAGGGCATCTATCTTGCCGTCGAGTGCGTTCCGAGTGAGGAAGGCAGGCATATTAGCTACCATGGCATGGGGAAGCAGAAGCTCGAGGCCGATCTGGGATGTTTGGAGGGCGGGCACGGGCTGAGGATGAGGAAGGCCCATGAGCTGTGGTTTGGGGGGCTGGCGGTCCATGACTATCATACCTGGTCCGCCATGGAAGGTTGAGGGTAGATCGGCTCTGGTGTACCTGACCGTTACCGGTATGAGCGACAACATCATTCATGTTGTGATGCGGCGTTCTTTTTGTTCTAGACCATTTCAAGCTGAGTAGACCGCGGCGCAGTCAGATGAAACAGTCCAAATAACTGGTTTCGGTTGCAACTTTTAGACCTGATGCAGACAGGAAACGCACGTTCCGGTATAGAGGAACAGGTGGGAAGAGGTGGTGATATCATGAAGCAACTCCGTCACAGCAGACCTTGCTTTCTCTCTACCGGGCTAGAAAAGGCGTCTCCCATACCTATAGCGGCATTTTAATTCTTGTTACTCACTGCTAGACCAGCCTCCGTGATAAAGTAGTGATCTCGCGAGTGGGAGGAAATCGTATCTTTAGAATTGCACTGCGTTATGTTATTCAATCAGCCTCGTGCTGAAAAATGTATAAATTCGACTCTGCCGGACACTTGGCTAGGGGAGTTTGTCCTCCCCACCACAAATATCTCGTTCTCCTATTTACTATCCACGAGTATCATACTCTATCACATCGACGAGATGGGCAAGAAGGGCACAAAGGACATAAAGGATAAAGAGGATAAAAAGGACAAAAGGGACAAAAAGAAAGGAGTTCTGAAGTTAAGCGGCGGTAGTTCGAAAGACAGCCCTATCGCTGCTCCGACGTCCCACGAGCTAGCCTCCCAATTCGATGCTAATACATTATACTTGACATATGGTGGCTCTCTCGAGGAAATTCCATCGACAGAGTCACCTAGGACTCAATTCAGAGTCGGTTACATCGAGGTTGGAGGAACTGTGGATCAGCCCTACTCAGATGAACCTGTACCTGGTTTCCTCTACCCCTGCCAGATGAAAAAAAACGACTTCACCATCAAGCTCCGACAGGATGTTGCAAAAGCCTTCACTGATGCGGCAACCGGACTTCCAAGAAGATTCGATGCGAGTTTTCACTGGGCACTTGTGTATGTCGAAGATAGGCTTGGAACAGTGGATTACGTTCCCACAGTTCTTGTCCGAGCGCTCACCACGTACGTCATAACTCAGGACGACGACATCATATACGAATTCATGCAAGGTTTCCTGCCGTACATCAAAAATATCTTCGAGCAGGGATTGTTCATGCCAGCAGATTTCCTGCTCTATGTGGTGCAGGGCAAATTGCCCCCCGAGGAAGAAATCAAATCATACGACGCCGGCTCGATGACGACGGTGGAATCAGTTCAAGCACTTCACTGGGCTATTCACGTTAACGAGAATGCTGGGGATTTGCTAAAAAAGGGATGCGAGATAATGGATATCGACAGCATTTTGGAAGATACCCCACCATCGAAGTCGAAGAAAAAAAGGTCCAAGTGATCATCGCACGCGTGGGCGAACGTCTATAGCAGTCGAATTGGTGCGTACGTACACAACGGGTACATGGCTGTGTGGGGGAACCTGGCTTATAATACTTATGGCGCGATCGGTGGGATTTTGGGGCTTCAGAGAACAGGCGGCTCTAGGTTTCGAAGGAGCTCAAGCACATGTGGGAGCTGACGATACCCGAACCGACCTCGAATGAGGTACATAACGAGCACGATGTGCATGTAGCTATTTGAATTGACCTCCATTTATACCTGATATCTTCGTCTTTGCATCTTAGCTATAGGTGACTTTATTTGTGTTCTCAGAACACTTTGTAGATCAGGTGTTCCGTAAGAACCAATGGCATGTAGAGTCGAAGTCTGCTCGTATTTTAAGGGTGATTCCGTGGGTGGGCAGTCAAGTGTCCCATAAGCTTCTGCGTTGTTATCACATTCTTGTGATAGTCACTCAGAGCTACGAATAAATGAGACGACTAGATAAGCTTAGATATCAACATAATAGATCGCAATCGCTGACTACAAAGAGCCAAAAGCACACTCTATCTAAGCTGATTCGAAGTTCTATACCGGTTTTCAGATACTCGATCATCATGTCAGATCTGTCATTAAGTAGTTGGGGTGTAGCATGTCATTTTGTGAGCTGGCATTACCTAGTATGTGCTTATCATATTGCCGTGTGATCTGACCCGAGTGAAATATCTCAAACATGGAAGAAGATATAATCAAGGCAGCGGCGGTCCGGCCTGTGTCATTCACTAGTGGTCTGGCTTCAGTGATAGATTGGTGATTCAAAGCACGAAAAATTGCAATTGTTGGTTTGGTCGGTGCAATAAAGCATCTTTGCAACATCACAACATTGTAAATCACTGATGAGGTGTTATACACGTCACCTAGTACCCTCTTACCTGATAATCACCGTTGCGTGGGAAACTATATAATTTCAGCGCGGAAAAGTCTTTGGCATGGAGTTTGTTTTCCTTGCCACATATATTAACCTCTTATTCTCGACCAGCCGTACGATCTTTAAGAGCGGAACACTCACATAAAATTATTCACCGTACGATCGCCGAAATGTGTATACTCATGGAAGAGCGATGCGTCTACTCGAGTTGGTACGGGGTCTGCGACAGTGAGAAAAGTCATATCGCAATTGCTTATTGCCAAGGGTTTTCAAGGATGCACATACAGGAAGTCACCCGTCCCATGGACTCTATAGACATGCCCTTGCCTGTATGCAACGGTTCCCCTGTGCGCAACACTGGAAGACGGATATACGTGGCCTGCAATGGCTGCAAACGCAGAGGCCTGCCTGCTACTCAATTCAACGTTCTCATGTTAGAGGACGTCGCATGCGCTTCTATCGCCCAGGTTTATTACTTCACGGAGGACCAGATATCTCTCTATAAGGGCAAATATCGCTGGATGGGCGTGCACACGAGACTAAACACCAGCATCGACGCGGCAGTAGTTCTTTGCAGTTGGATGGCATGGGTGGGGATACTCAAAGGGATCAAGAAGGAGTTTGAGCGAGCGTGGTCGGAGGGAGAACCGATTTGGATGTCACCGGGTGTAACACAAAATGTCAGCGTCGGTATGAGGCAGGCCATAATGAAGAACGACAGGAGGACTTTCCATGCTGCGTACTTCGAACACAGCGAGAAAGCTCAGAGAGGAGCGGTACTAGCTATGGGAAACATCATCAACAACCCCTGGCAACCAGCCAATCGCCCGACGTAACAACAAATGCCAGTGGTGACGAGAAGTATCTAATGGGTGCAAAAAAGTAGGCAGAACGATTGTTGTAACGACCATTGTCATGGCAGGGTTATGGTAAGCCCATATTGACTCACTAGGGATCTGCCGGCGCAAGTGGAGAAGTTTAGGGGATGAAATGAAGGATGGAGGTCACTTACTTGAATTTTCAGAAGCCCGCTAGACATGATGCTTTGGTCGGGGTGATGGATCTATAAAAGATACAATATTGGCCTCTAGATTCACTCGTTCATGAAGAGACTTCCCCCCAAACCACAGAATAATGTGGGGCAAGGATTGTCATGTATAACGAGATTATATCGAGCAGACATTTCCAGGCCGTTAAGTATATGAAACTTTGTTTTTCTGTAACTTCGGTTTTCTTTAGTGTCTCTATGAAGCCAGCCGCTGAGAACATTTATAACAGCCGTTGTTCTTCCTATTTTAGCTCGGCATTAGTCTTGGTAAGGACCATATCATCCCAACGTTGAAACACGTTCAGCCCACCTAGAATCGCCGAAAGAGTCCTTGTCGCGTGTCATCTGTATTATCCGCAGTCTCGTCAGCTATTCACGTTGTTCAAGCTTACGACTTGGCCATCCGTACTGATTAATCAAGACGCGCATGGATCCCAATGAATCTGAAGAGCTTAGTCAAGTCTCAATATATTGTCTTCGTCTTCCACTCCCACCAGACCACCTTTTGAAACCACAAGTGTTTGCGGTATCGAAAGGTCACGCGGAGAGCCCAATATTTGCTCAATGTCTCCTGGGAAATGCCTCGATTGCTCCTGGTAATCCAATGTAAGCCGTTCGAGCTTCTGCGGGCATCTTGGTAGTGTTATACCCATGGTTTAAAATGGAGCGCTTTTGAAGAGCCTCTAGCTATCTCACCCCACACTACACGTGCTGTACTGCTACTAAAATCGAGAAAATCGAGGTTCTTCAGAAGCAACAAGTGCTGCACGGCTTCAGCGCCAGTGTCTTTCATCGTATTGCCCACTTCATCGATGGATTACTACAGGAGATTCTCAATTACCGGGGGCAAGAAGAATAATAATCTCGCGGTGCCAAAGACACCTCGCAGACTAGGCGCGTCGATGCATGCTCTGTCCATATCAATCAACGGCCTTGACTATATTATCGGTGCTATGAGGGCTATGATCTTCGTGCTATGATCTTCGCTAAGCTGACTAGAAGCTTGCCGGACGTTTGTTCTTTAGGATTTTAGTGATACAGAGCTAGTAACGCTGGTATCCACAATAGCTTGGAAACTTGCATTAAGAGCAATGATGTGAGTTTGCGACCGGCTTCTTCCTTTAAGTGAACTGGAGACACATAGTAAAAAAATAAAATAAAACAAAAACACGGCCTTTCGGGTGAAAGCTAATCTGATGATGATTGTTAACCTGTTGTAGAACTTTATTGGGCAAGGGCCGGTGGTATTGATATCGTCCTACGCCTCGCACAATTTCCAGTAGCCTATAGCACCATTATTTTAGATCCATTCTAAGTTCTACCAATCTTGAATGACAGATCCTCTCCGAACCACGACGACTCCGTTTTCACTTTCGACGACGGTTTCAAGTAATATCGCACCGTGGTAATTGTCCTTCGCAGACTTGTTGCTGAACTTCGAGGTGTCTCCATAATACACACGCTGGGCTGACGAGCGTTTGGTAGAGTCGCGTGACGTTGTAGTGAAGAGGCGAAGCATTGGGAGACATGAGGTCATAATTGCTAATGACGAATCTGAATAAGCATCATATTGGCCCGCAATATCTTGGGGCTAAATAATGGTCTAGTTTAATAGAAGAAGTCATGACGTACCTGTCGAGTTTTCCAATAAAGCAAATAGCTGATACTTTATGACGTCCACGAATGTCATGGTCGGGTAGCAGAACACCAGCTTAAGGACGGCGAAAGATATCGGTATTACCGGCAATAGGAACAATGTCACAAGGACAGCCTTTTGGCGAGAGTTGACGTTGAGTTTATACAGCAATGGAAAGGGAATAATCATAACTGGGTTTGTTAATGATCTGTTTGGACACATAAAGGAGTCATAGGGGCTTACCGAGGATATCACCACCAATGTCAGCCCCGGTTGAAAAATAGAAAACAAGTATTGACAAGAACTTGTAGATAGGTTTCTCCTCGCAACCTCCTGAGGTGGGAAGTTAGTGATGCACCACTATAGGATATCTTAAACACCCACCAAGCTTCACGAAGTTCTGCGGGGTGCCACATGCTGTCATTTGTAGACACACAGAGACGATGAACGTGGACGCCGTAATAGCCATCATGGCCCACCAGAAGGTTCTGACACGAGTTGTGACCGATTCGAAGAACCTCCAGAAAAAGAACAGCAATGAGAACTTAACTGACCATAGCGTCAGAAAGAAGAGAAACATCAGCACGAATTGATATGTTTGGAAAACCGGCAGGTAGATTAGGTCGCTGGGCCCTGGCAGCTGTTCTAACACGTTCACATCGAACTGTATCTCCTGAGTTTTGTACATGGAGACCATTGCCACCTTTGATGTAAATAAGCATTGGTCGAATTCGCAGAAGTTTTCCATGAAGCCGGACGTAGGAAATTTTTGCTTGCAGGCAACACCGCGCTTTTTGTGGGAACCCATGACTGAAGCGCACGAGAATGATATAAGTTCGAATCTTGGGACAAATTCAACGTACCTGACAAACAATCGTCGTGATAGTGTGGCATATAAGCGCAAAGAAAATGAGATAGTCGTTGATGTAGAATCGCTTAACATGATGAAATTGGACCCATGTCCGTGCTGCCACGAAACTTAGACATAGGGTGAGCTCTACCCATATGAGTGCCTATTAATGAGTGTATGAGTTAGTCTTTACGACGCAATATATGAATGCTGCACTCAACACACCGAATGACCAACTTGGGGAAGTATGGGAACGAATATTGGTGTGGTTGTTGTGGACGAATCAAGCTGACGCGCTTCGATTACGAGGTCCATCTCGGGGACAACAGTAGTTTGGATGGTAGTACAGAAACGAAAGAAGCCCCCAAATTGTGCAACGGGTGCTTCATACTGTTAAAGCACAAAAAGAGGAGAACAAACGGGATCCGACCTACAACCATGCTGCATAACGCTTGAGTCTGTAACACTCATTGAACAGGGAATATTGCACGTGGAATAAGCGAAATAGCCCATGTTAGGAATCCTTCAAACATATACAGCACATGCTTAAATCACTCAATGGCTATCACGTCTCGACCAGGTTGCCGGTGACAGCTCTGCAGGCCGTTTCGGTTGCGACAGCTGCGGATAGGGAGAATAGGGAATGAGAGAATGCAGACCATTCCATAGGCAATGGCGACAGAACGCAGTGCTAAGGGGATTCCAAAAGTATAGTGAGAATGTCTCGCTGCTATTTCGCTTCTGCATGTTGGGTGTGATGTGGCTTGAAACTATGCATATTTGGGACAAGGTTACAGCACGATGCGTGTGGAGATCGCCGGATTGGCCCGCCTCTTAACACCTCGCTGCTTGGCAATGCATCACTACCAGTGGAGTACTATCTATACTATTTAGACTATGCTATCTAGCTGACCTAGACTATTATAATGCTTAATCAACTTGGTTGTGTCGCTACCAGGAGTAACGAGACCTTGCGGAAACGGAAACGCCTGACATCAAATGGACAGTTAGCCTCTCAATTGCTGTGATCACCACGACGATTGTCAATGCAACTGTTTGATGTGGCTGAAGGCAACTTGCACTGAGCATACCTGAATTGGTATCGCGTACATAGACATGCATGATAGGAGCGACAACCTTGCGCAACCTGCATCCGTCATCTAAATACAATTTCACAAGCGATAGTTATCACGCGTGATTGGTTCCTGCCCCAAACCTCGCTTCGGTGTATAATCCCGACGGTTATCTTCTGCAGCTCGCCTTTCTGGCCTTTTTCGTCATCCTCATCCTCATCCCGCACCACCATCCTTCGTAATGCAGCTCCTCACACTCCTCGCCACTGTTATCGGATTGAGCCAGAGCGCTGCCGCTGTATCGAAGACAGAGGCACGCGCAACGGAGCAATCTTCGAGTTCAGGATGCCCCAACATCTCCCCTGGGCCAGCCACTACTTTCCAGTTGGCTAGCCTGCTTCCCCTATCGCCGCTCACAGACCCAATCTCCACTGAAGCCATTCGCAACACTCTAGCTATCTACGTCTTCGCCATCGATGGTCGTAACTGGGATGCTATGGCGAGGGTGTTTGCCCCCAACGCGCGCGCAAACTACTCAGCGCCGCTCGGCGTTTCAAACGGCGTCGCCAACATCACGGCGTCCATCTCATCGGGAATCAACACCTTCGCGGGCACGCAGCACAGGTATGGGTCGCAGTACATCAACATCTGCTCGCTGAGCAGCGCCATCTCGGTGACATACTTCGAGGCCAGCCATTACTTTGTGCCCGACCTTGGACCAGCCGTTGTGGACGACAACCAGGTGCTTTATGCCAACGGCCGGTATGAGGATACGTGGGCTAGGCAGATTGATGGAAGCTGGAAGATCGTGAATAGGAACTTGGTCTACATGGTGAGCCACATTAACAGGCGCTTGTTTATTGGCTTGCCGTCAATGCTAACAATCCGCTTAGGGACCGTTGATTCTGGACTCGACGACTTAAAAATCGATTCAGCTGGATTGAGACATTAGTTGGGAGACCTCGAGCGCCAAGCTTTTTGACTAGCCCAAGATAGTAGCGTAAAGAACCAACGTAGTAGCAAGGTGATGCGATGATACGTATCTCGAAATTAATGATGATAATTTGAGATCCAAGACCACAAAATTCCAAAGCTTGTGTGCTTTTTGCGGCGGTCAGTCTTTGCGGGATATCGAAGGGTTTAAGCATTAACAGCGGGCATTTCGTTGTTGAAAATCAGTAACGCAAGTAGGAGCATGACGATGACTGCATTAAAAGTTTAATAGTATGATAACTGTCAACAGTGATGTCGAAGCTACGTCGATATTTGATTTTCGATCGCACACCGTATGCGATTCAACTGCGGCCGAATCAACAGACAATGCGCATGCCTTAAGCGGCAATGGCCTACTGAGTGGTTGATCCTTGCACGTAAAGAAACCGGTACCGGATGTGAATGGCTATCGAGTATGGTCCAGCGTTGTATACTTGCTTCCTGACGAGGTCTTGGTCCTTGTTGCATCGTATTGTGGACACCCATTGGCAGAAATACAGATGACACCTAATGGCGCGTTGACAGGATAATTCGAGAAAACCTGGTTCGCTTCGATGAGTTTAGCCATTTTAGGCGCGATGGTGTTTTGATCTGTTAATCTAATGCCAACAATGTGGTGGAAGAGCTTCGCCATCCATGGTGGTTGTGCTCCGGCGAATATCATATATTTGCTACCAAGTTGATATTCATGCGGTCAACGTTATTTCATAGCTCATCTGTATGGCGGTCTGGTTTCTGTAGCGAAAGCCAACGGTGCTCAAATTTTGAGCAACTTCCCTGTCGTATTCATATTGACCATACCAGTCAGTCAAGGAACATGGTGTCGATAAAAGGCGTAAACAGCCCGAGATACAATTCGACTTCTCATCGGAGCGGATGGTCTTAACTCAATGGTCCGGTGTCATCTGTTCTCAGATGCTGTACACAGAGCCCCAACAAAAAACTGGTCACATCGTACTGATGTACCTTTATGAGATGATACGACGTCAAACGCCTCATATCTGGGCTTTCTTTTTCAAGAGACGGAACATGGAGACTTGGCTTGGTCCTAAGGGCTACATAATCGGATATCTTACTAGTGGTGGCCGCGATTTCAATACATCTCTATCGCACTATCGGCCGAGGCCAGTTACGTCTGTCGAGAAGATACCAGTGCGAGATTCTGAAAGGCCACTCGAGCAAGAGTATTTGACTAACCAGAGAATTCGACAAGTCATCTCGCTCATTGAGCCGGGAAGCCTGGCAAGATGGCCTCTCATAATATTAGGACCTCGCGATGACTGGTGCAGCGTCAACAAGAACGTAGTTCTCATGGAGATGCAGCGCACGGTTTGGTCAACCGCATGGCTTAAGGCGCAGCAACGACCATGGAAGACGGCGCATTCCTTGGCGCTGTAATTGCAGAAGTCGTGAAGGCAAGCCAATGATCAACACCGCGCTCGATCTGTACGAGGCGGGTATGATGCCAGAGACACGTATGAGAGAGCAAGTCAGCTTTCTGAAGGGCGGAATCTGATGCTCAGTGGCGTCGACAGCATCGCTCGGGACGCAGCCATGCACAGTGTGTTGGCTGGACAGGCTCCAGGTCTTGATTTATACAGTGACCCAAGAGCGGTTTTGGAAGTATATGGATACATTGTCGAAGCGCACACAGAATAGAATGATAGGCCAGGCCAGTACGTGGAAACCTAGACAAGCGGGCACATCGTGCAAATGCGATAGAAACGGAACCATTGTCATGCGTTGAGCGGTGGAGAGCCGATCGTACGGTGAATTGGTTCCTCTCGGACCACGATTGGGAAACGTAACATGCCGGCATGGGATGTGCCAGGAGATGGAATATTGTCGCCAAGATATGACAGCTTTGCTCCTTTGTCATTCTACTCCGGACCAACTCAATAATATACGTCGTCACAAGCCCCGCCAAAGCTAATTGGAGCGCCACAAAAGGCTCCCTCAAGCCTCTCATATGCCCAATGTATCATTTCATTCCTCTGGCTACAAACTGAAGGCAGTGTGAGTAAATAAGCTGTATACGGTATAATGATTACAATCATTCGGAGCGAGTGCCCAATCAGCCCTCTATAAGCTCACGTACTAACGTCACGCAAGCAATGCGAGCTCCGAGCTCCGCTTGTGGGCTGACGATTACTCCGGTCTAGCGCTGATGGCCCAATTACATAGGTTAGTGCTTTTTTGCTGAGACACCGTAACCCCGTACAACAGATTCAACAGATGCAGTTGAAACCCGGTGCAGCCGCCTGCGATCCGACCGATGTAGTGCATGGCTGCTGGGAAAAGCTGGTTACATTTTATCGCATTTTTAGCCATGCCGAGAAGCACGAGGTGAACCTTCCAGCTTCATATTGGCTGGAAATGAAGGCTCGAACGCGAACTAACTTTCAAGTGCAGGTCACAAGATCGAAATACGCGACAGCCAGGATCTGATCGTTTCCTTGTTAGCAGGCCTGCGGAGGCAACAGTTTGTCGTCAGCCACACAGGCCACAGGAGCCTGCTAGGCTCTCCGAGCTCCAATCGAGGCTTGTAGGCATTCCTGGCATGAAAGATGGCCGTTCGACAGGAACCTTGATGTCAGAGAAATGCACCCCGCAGTGTTGGACTTGCCGCCTTGGTGCTGAGGTTCCATCTCGCAGCCAATCGTGATGGTTGCCGGGAGCTCAAGCAACCAAGGCAGCCACATGCAACAGGGATCAGACGCCTCCGCAACGTCAACATACTATGTGTACTGGAGCTTAGTGACGACACCACTCTGTAAGCTCACGCTTGCCCACGGGTAGCCGCGACCTATGGCTGGCCGCTCCATCAACTTACATCGAAGCAGAGCGTTCAATAAAACGACTTTGCCTCCCTTCCCTCCAATATGTCAATTGCAAAATTAGTTGCAACGTCGACATACTTTTGGCACAACGACACGACAATCCATTCGATATAGTTCTTCAGTCCATCATCAAATTGTCTTAGTTTAGTCCAGTCCAGTCAACATGTATCTCGACCAGGACTTCGTTGGCGAGCTCCTCGCTAAGACGAGCACTGCATTCGCAACACCACCAGTCCCGACGGCGACTGCTTCCGTTACACCTCTGCCGACCATCGTTCCCACACTCCCCGATGTTACGTACGAGCATGTCCACGCCACAGGCAGCAGGACCCTCTGGTTAGTTGATTCGAGCACATTGGTGAAAGAGTGTATGGCTAATACCAAATGTCAGGGTCGTTGTAGTCCTCATGGCTTTGTCATCGTTGGCCTTCTACGCAATGGCTTTCAGAGTTCCAGTCGTAAGCTTACCTCAGTGACGTGTTTCCAGAATCAGTTGACACTAACACCCTCAAAGCAAAAGCGTCTCTTCCACGTCTTGACTGCTTTCATCACCACCTTCGCCTTCCTGTCTTACTTTGCCATGGCCACTGGCGATGGCGTTGGTCAACAGACAACCGTCATCAAGTCACACCTCGATCAGACCGGTCAGACCATTGTTGAAGAGATTGTCCACCGCCAGGTCTTCTGGGCTAGATACATCGATGCAAGTGTCGCATTGCCCCTACTATTACTTGAACATACTTCACAGTGACTGCAATGAATACCATACTAATTATCGACCTAGTGGTCCATCACTACCCCGCTGTTGCTCCTGGATCTCAGTCTTCTGGCCGGCCTCAATGGTGCTAGCATTTTGATTGCCATTGTCGCCGATCTCATCATGGTTCTTACTGGGTTGTTTGCTGCTTTCGGTGGCCACGGCGGTCAGAAGTGGGGATGGTACGCGATTGCTTGTATCGCATACTTGGTCGTCGTCTACCAGCTTGCTCAGAACGGCAGACGCACTGTTGCGACCAAGGACAGCAAGACCAAGGCTTTCTACTCGGCCATCGGTGCATTTACCCTCATCCTCTGGACCATCTACCCGATGTAAGTCATCTTCTCATCACCATCTTGCTCGGTAACTGTTGCTAACCCATGCCAGTATCTGGGGTGTCGCTGATGGCGCTCGTATCCTCAGCGTTGACTCTGAGATTATCGCCTACGCTGTTCTGGACGTCCTCGCCAAGCCTGTCTTCGGATTCTGGCTACTCACTACCCACGACAGGAATACCTCGTCATCTCCTTCAATTGAGGGTTTCTGGGCTAATGGTGCGTCAAACGAGGGTACCCTCCGCGTCGGTGATGACGACTAAACGCTCACCTCGAGCAATTTGCCAACCCACTGTTGTCTTGAAAACAAAAGCTTGGGGAGTCAGGCTTGATATTTGGAACAAGAGAGGCTGGTCGAAATAAGACCCACATTGGCCAGCTCAGGAAACCACAGTGATGATGTTGAAGTAGGATTCGTTTTTGAACGACTTGTAATCATGCACGGTGTTTCTCGTTTTTGTTTTATTCTTTCGATTTGTATTTAGCAAAAGCCTGTGAAATAAGAGGAGTCAAACGACTTGGAACATAGTCATGGAAACAAGCATTGACCACATTCTTCTTGTGACAAAGGAGACTCTGATCGGTGAGCGTGCATGCTGACAACCCTCACGCAGACCTGAATACTGCGGTACTCACTAGTTTCCCGACTGGTCGGCTTGCATGTCCTCCAATTTCCTCGTCTATAGTGGTCAGGGATTCTCCAATGCCCAGCTAAGCGACCCCAGTTGCCCCGAGCCTTTCCCCAAATCTCTGTTTCGTGGAATATTTCTCTCCGCGTATACCCCAGGTTATTCTCCACAATTCCCCGCACAACACCTAAGCTGCAATATAGAAATGGTCCGGGAAATTGGACGTTTTTGCGTGATCCATGTCAATTGGTGACAGAACTCATGTTCATCTGCCAGGTCTGGACCGTTATTCCCCGTGAAGTGTCGTCAGTATGGAACATATAATTACAACGCCAAGCTCACCTCCTGGCCGTCATGTCCTTCCTTTAGATCTTGTCACAGGCTTGCAAAGCAGAAAAAAACTAGTGGTTCGATGTTCTCCAGCACGATGATAGCCTCAACCGCGACCCTCATCGCCGCGCTTTTGCAATTGGCTTCTGCTGCCCCTGAGTACCACTACAGTAACTCAACAGGTGCGCTGCCAGCAAAGACCTACGCGGAATGTCAAAGGAGGACAAGCAACCCGCTGAAGGGCTGCCCTGAAGGCACCATCTACGTGAGCCAAATTAGCAGTAACAGCAGCTGTGGCCCCCATGTGGACTTCACAAGCATTCAGGCGGCGATTGCCTCTCTTCCCGACGACGAGTCGGAGCAGATCATCCTGATTGCTCCTGGTAATTACACGGAGCAGCTCAACATCACGAGGCCTGGCCCGTTGACTCTGCTCGGTGTCAGCGACGATCCCTACCGCGGCGTATCCTATGGTGATGTCTCGTCGGATACGGAACACAAGAACGGTGTCCAGGTACTCTGGGCCTCGGCCAATTCAGACAACACCGGCAAGGGTGTCGACAACGCCATCACGACGGTGCTGACAGTCGCGCCCACCTGGAATGCTTCTCTCACTGGCTCAGGGCCCACTGGCTTCGCCGTGCCTGCCGACACTCCCTTTGGCAACAGCGACTTTCGCGCATACAACATCGATTTCCGAAACATCTTCTCGGAGTACGCTGCCGGCCCTGCTTTGGCCGTAAACGTGGCCTACGCCAACGCTGGGTTCTACGGCTGTGGTTTCTACTCCTACCAGGATACGGTCTATATTGGCAAGCTGGGCAATGCTTACTTCTATGACAACGTCATCGCAGGTCAGACTGACTTCCTGTACGGTTTCGGCACCGCCTGGATCGAGAAGTCTACGTTGGCACTCAGAAACTGTGGAGGCGGAATCACTGCTTGGAAGGGTGAGTTGTCGCATCGATCCCAAATCACAAAATCATCAGTGGCTGATTAACCGTGAATCCAGGCACCAACACGACTTTTACTAACAAGTACGGCGTCTACATTCACGACAGCAGCGTCATTGCCGCCAATTCGACCATTGCCGCCGATATCGTCGGAAAGTGCCCCCTGGGCCGCCCATGGAACAACCTTCACCGCAGCATCTTTGCCGGCACGTACCTGGACAGCAGTATCTTGCCCGCGGGTTACATTATCTGGACCACTACGGATACACGCTTTGCAAACGTCACGTTCGAAGCTGTCTACAACAACAATGGACCCGGTGACAACGTCACGGCGCAGGTTGCCAGCAATGTCACGCTTGTTTTGGACTCCGACGAGTATGAGCCCTACAGCAGCCCTGCCAGGGTGTTCATTACGCCGGAAGGTGACGCTGATGACACTGCCTGGATCGACAGTAACGTCTACAGCGGATAAGCACTGGAGCTTAGCGTAGGGGTACTGTTTTTCATACATGAAATAAATGGTTCTAATTGCTAGATATTATTCCTTCGCGTACCATGTATTATGAAATGAATGTATTTGATGGGGTATTATGTTGAGAATTACTGGGATTCACACGGGCATTGACACGATGTCCTAATGGCACAACCTAGGACCTGCTGAAACAAATCAAGCCAGAGTACCGCATTCTTTTATAGGGAGTGGAGTTTAGAATCCTTCGTCATACGACGAAATTTCTTGCCGAAGGGAATGAAAACCACCAGGCCGAGAACGGAGAAGCCTACCGTCAATGCCATGAGCATGAGTACAGGGCCCAAGAAACCATCCCTAGCGGCCCAGTCATTGACGTAGAAAATCATTCCGAACTGTGGGGTCAAATATCAGCTTCTTGTTCAGTTTCAGGGACCTAAATTCACACTCACCCCGAATGTATTTTTCACGATCGTAGCCGCGATCATAATTTCACCGGGCAAGGCCTTGTAGCAATCCACAGCGTATGCAATGGCGATGCCAGGAATGCCGACGACTTGGATACCGATGAGCATATATCTATGCCCGATCATTAGTAAGCCATCAATAGGAAAGAGCGGAAAGTTGAAGCAGGAAGCCAATAGTGCTGAACTTACCCAGCAACCACGATGGCGGGCCAGGGCCAGCTGCGCTGGTACCCCACAGCCGTAATTACCATACCAACCAGATTGATAACCACGTATGGAATGAGCGCAGGCAACCTGAACTCAGCCTCGAGCACACCGTTGTTCCTCCTGGCCCTGCGCAGGGCGACCCAGTCGGAGAAGGGACCGGCGGTGACGAGGGCGATGGCTGCGCCGACGACGAAGGCAAAGTTGACGAGACCGATCTGGTCCGGCGTGAACAGGAACGGAGGGGCGGCGAACACCTGCGCCTGCGTTATGTTCAGCACTAGGAGAGAGTTGCTCGCGAAACCCATGGCGCAGGCGGCCCAGAGCACGATGGGGTAGAAGAGGATTTGGATGGGCGAGATGACGTCGCGGAGCACGGATGCGAGACCGCCGTGCGTGAAGCGCGGGCGGGGGATGACGGACCACTGCTCGCGAGATGGTTTGCCGTGGTGCACAGCTGCGTTATTGTGGTGGATGGCAGTGCCGGTCGACCGTCGTACGGATTCCGAATCGGACCTGGTGGACGCCGCGACCTCTTTCGGTCTCTCCTCCTTGTTGTCGGAGGTTTCGACAATTGATTCCGCCGGTGACATTGGCGACGGCAAAGCTCGTCGGTCGTACTTCGTCTCTGGGTGTGCGACGATGACGAGGACGAAGCTCACGGCTTGCAGAATGGTGCAGACCCAGAACTTTGGCGAGTTAGCATTCTCTGCCTGGGCATCGAAACGATATATCAGACTTACAAACCAACGCCAGTTGATCTGTGATGCAATGGCGCCAGATATGATAGGCCCGATGAACAGCCCCATAAAGTAAGCCCAGCTACAGCCGTCATTAGTGAGGCATTGTCGACCAAATTGTTTCAGGGACTGACTCACAAATAGAACGTCATACCCCGACCTCTTTGGTGCAAGAACAGAACATCAGCAATAACCATGGGCATAAGACTCTCATTGGCAGCGGCACCGAGTCCTGATACCACTCGAGCCCCAATGAAACTGGGATAGCTGGTAACAAGCGCCTGCCAGATGTTGGCCAAAATGCAGACCATTCCGCAGATGATCAGCACAGGGCGCCGACCGAACACATTAGCTGCTGGAACTATGAGGAAATTTGCGTATCCAAGAGTGATAGCCGCAGCGCCGAAAAGCATGTTGACCTCGGGTAAAGACTTGTTGAATTCATGTTCAAAGATGATAGTAAGTGGCGAGATGGACAACGGAGTCATGATGGTGACAAAGGTGAAGATGAACTGGTTCACGATCACTACAGTCTTCCATGTTGGGCTCCAGTTCTGTCATCATATGTCAGGTAGTCCGATTGAACATTTGTTGATCCAGCTACTCACCAGAGGATCGTCAGGTTTGGATGAAGGTCGAGGAATGAGGACAAGCTCATCTGCCCGGGTGCTCTCACCATGTCCCGGCTCCTTAAACACGACGTCCGTACCAGGGATGAGATCTATGTTGCCGTGCGTGGCCATGGTTGGTGATGGTCATGTACGATCAAGGTTATCGGACGTATGATCTTTACGAGCAGGTTAACTCGTGGCACTTGGGATCGAAGCTTGGCTTTAAGTATTGTGCACCACCCTCCATTTCCAACATTGACGGAGCCCGGAGGTAAGACATGTTCAGCCCTCAAGCGGTACTTGGCCCAGCCGAGCCATGTCGTTGTCCCGGATAGTTCAGCTCGATATTGTCCCAAGCAGTGGCCCTGTCCTTCCCATAGCCTAGTCTAGACCTTTACAGTCCAAATGTTGTTGGGAAATATCCCGTCCTCATGTGCAGCCTCGAATGAGGGGATGCCGAAGTACGGCTGATGGTAGCTATCGCTGGATCGCTGAACATTGCTTTTTTAAGGTTTCACTTGCCATTTCCTCCCCAATCGACGATGTTTACTATCACTGCTAGCGGAACTCATTTTAACGTCGAACAGCCCTACCTGCCTACCACTCGGACGTCCGGTCTCTGGTGCCCAAGATGCAGGCTTGTATTACCTATCGAGCGCCAAGAATGTGTCTATTCGTGGCTCTTATTGGCTATGGCCATCATGAAAATTAGGTTATGTAGATGTTATGTTTCATTTCACAGTTGTGGTTGTCATTGCACCCCCCATGTTATGACGTTCCTCATTACCGGATTGTGGGGAACCGGCGCAGGCTGGGCAAGATTGACCAGATCGGGTAACTGATAGTCTACTACAACATGTTCGGTACACATCGCTGCGAATATCAGCCACATGGATTGATGTCTAGGGCAACCCAGGCGGTGCAAGAGAGCAGTGAATGTTTGCGTTGAGGATTGATGCTGCCCTATGGTCAACCAAGCCTGGAAAGCTTGATTTGGCATTACCTAAAGGTGGATTTCTGACAGTCCTATATTAAACTACGACGAGAATCGAAGTCACTAATTCAGGTGCTAGGCTAGCGGCCACCGAACAAATCAATAATTATGCTCCTTGTTCACAACGTTGATCAAATGCTCACCAGCACCCAGCTTGTCCAGATTGAGCTCCAGGATCTCTAGGATGCGTGTTGAAAGCGATTGGGTCTGCCAGCTGACGTGAGGTGTTATAAGCAGATTTGGAGCTTTCCAGAGCTTATGGTCTGAAGGCAAAGGCTCTGGGTCCGTGACATCAAGAGCGGCTCCTCGAATCTTCCCAGACTCCAAGGCTTCGATCAGATCATCCGTATTGATGATTCCACCTCTTGCGATGTTGGAGACAAACGTCTTTTTCTTACTGAGGATCTCAAATTGCTCGCGAGAAAGCAAGCCCTTGGTATCTTGAGTCAAAGGAAGACTGAGGACGAGAATATCAAGATCCTGGTTCAAAAAGTTGTTGATGTCGTTCTTGGAGGCGCCGTGAAACCATTTCGAGGGAATCACACCGTCTGGGTCACCTGTGCCTTGGATGCAGAAAGAGTCGTCTTTTCGTTGTTCAGGCGTTGATCTCTCACTTCGCGTGTAAGCATACACATCCATACCCATGGACTTGGCGATGCGAGCGCATTGCCGTCCAATTGCGCCATAACCGAGAACACCCCTGATCAACATGTTAGGACTGAACAGAAGAAATAGATGTGTATACACAACCTACATCCGCGCAACCGTGCAGTCTTGCACAGTAGATGCCATTGGCGATTCCCAGTGCCCACTCCGCATCTGTTCATTGTAACGGATGAAATGGTGCTGATGTGATAGGTACGACCCGATTACCCACTCGGCGATTTGGGGCCTGCCACCCATGTTAATAACAACTCGGATGCTTCACAGGTCGGATATGGCGACTTACGCATGCGCACCATTCGTGGTGCAGAAGACTACATTCTCATCCTGATATATCTCGTGATTCACCCAGGCATCGATCCCGGCGGATGCGAGCTGAACAAACCGCACAGTCGATAGATACTTGGGTGCTGGTGGCCAGAAAAATGGGCAGATAAGAGTAACACCGTCCCAAATTTCATCTCCCAGATCTTCTGGATTGAGAAACCTTTTGCCGTCCTGCAATATCTTCTGCCATCTGACTTCAAGGCCTGGATGCTTTGATTTTACCCTTGAAATCCATTCTTCATCAGGTCCTGAGATAAACATTACCAAGAGGACATCTTTGCTCAAGGCCGAACTTCCCGCTGGTACTGACATGGCGAATTATGGTCTCCGCGAAATCCGAACTGGGGTAGTCGTAATGATCGGAGTGCCACTGCTTTTCCAGGTGCCCGGCTCCTCAAATCACGTATACGAGTATCAGGTCGATAAGAGAACGGAGAATCGAGAAAAGAGTGAGTAAGATCTCGGTGGATTTGTGGCGCCCCCTGGTTTGCACGTCCAATGTTAAGGTAAAGGCCGTTATGTCCAGTATCTTTATCTATTCAAGTCTAACCGTAGAAGTTTAAGCCCCGCTGAAACTAGAGCTCCCCCGGCATCTACTGTACGTACACAGAAAAACCAGTGGATAACCCGGGCGTGCATCATTTGGTAAGGTCTCAAGCTTTCTAGAGCAAGCTCGTTTTTGGTACAATCCGTAGCTCAAAAATTTTTTTTCTTCGCTTCATAACGGCGTGTTTCGGCTTTCGAGGTTTAGCCATGGCATATCACCAATTGCTACGCCCCCGTTATCCTGAGATTGACAGAATTTCCGATATCATCCCTCCGCAACTAGTGTGGCCTGAGCGCTGCTGGAACAGGTGGAGAAGCATAAGACGGCACGTGACCAACGGCCTAAATTCCGCTTTTGTTATATGCCTGCTGCAGGAATACAAACCATCTTCATATACACTCGGATAATCTCACAATGTTAACGTTTCCCTTGTCTACGTCGACTTACTGCGGTGATTGCCAATCAAACTGTACGCTACAGAAAAGGAGGAATAATGAACACGCTGCCTACTGGTGTCTTTGTTCCCCCTTTCGATGCAACAAAAGCTTGGGGCCAGGTTAGGAACGCGTACCTCTCCAGCCAGTTTGAAGAAGTGGCCATGAGCCGAGATGAAGCAATTCCAGAGTTCGAGTTTCCCAGAAGACGTTCAGTAATGCCATCAATGGGCATTCGCACCGATGCGGAAACATTTCAAACCCCACAAAGCCGACGAGCGCCGTATGCTTGTTTGTCAACAGAGGTATTGGGAACTTGAATGGCTTCATTATGCCTATGAATTTGAAAAGCTTTTGTTGCAGAAAGCTCGTGTGGCTCATGCCATGGATGATGAGCCCACGGCGGATCAATGGCGGGTTCTCGCAATGATGTACGAAGGCCTCTTTAAGGCACAGCGGTTTAACCTTAACACAAGCAAAAGAAGTTCAGCAATCGATTGAGAACCAGGGATGTTGGGCGTTTGAGGCAGACCAATGCGATATCCAGCTTACCGAATCTAACCAGACGGGAATCAACAGACGGTCGTTTAGAATCTATGTAAGTCTGGTCACCTATGACCCGAAAATGACGGTACTATCTGACAGACGAATACACATGCGAGTTGACCATCGTTTCCTTGCATGCAGCCCGGGAGTGCCCAGAGAATTTTCCAATACAATTACTGTCAATCTGGGAGCTGTTAGTTTCTGGGCTTGGCCTTCAGAGCGAACATTTGCCAAAGAAAGAGGTTATCATAAATCAACTAATATATTCAGCGAGGATGTTTTACTCGGAAAGCCGAGGTGTATATGTTCCATTCAAGGTCACCCTAAGATTTCGACACATAACGTTCGCTACGGACGGAGCAAGGCTGTGCATGCGTACGATGGGGGAGTCGCAGGCAAGGGAATAGCATCAGTTACGATGGTGCAGGTAGGACATGTTGTAGAACGTTTGGCGCCAAAGAACCGTACTGGGGGACCAACGACGACCGAGACGCTGCGAGAAAGGGATTCGAAGCGCTGCAGAGTGAATACAAAATTATCATGCAGCTTCATCATGTTAGTATTGAATCAGGACTACTGTCTTGTCCCTCGGTTATGGGCCTCACGATGAGCTCGCTAGTAAGGAGAGACCTCTGCCAAAGGTCGTCACAATTTTCAAGGCCATAAAGAGCATAAATATCTGTATATGTATGCCTAGAGAGCAGGTTGAGCAATATATCGTGGAAGCTAAGGAATGGTAATGCTCTGCAATAGGACGAAGTTGAAACTTTGGAACCTGATGGTGTGTTGGTTACAGAGTTTTATTGGAAGGCCTGACATATCGTTATGAGGTGACGTACAACAAAGAGCATTAAATGAATGCAATTAATGAAATAATGTTTTATTGTAGATGGCATTATCGTGTTTATTTAAATTATATTTAAACTTCGTCAATTAGCTTATCTAAAGATAAATAAATGTGTAAGACTCCTCTTGACTTATAACCACTTGTAGTTCGCCGTGTTTTTCACACGGAGTACAAATCTTACTTTCCATGTCCCTCGTGTATTGTGCAATATTTGGAATTATACAAGGGACTCGAAGGTACATTTGACAGCATTCGCACTTGAATATCTTTCTGAAATTTGTGAATACCATTTGCATCAGATGGGCATAGTAATGGACTCCACTTGGTGTAGGTCTCAAGTATGTCAAGTTCCGGAGTTTTCTCGCTTCGAGAGATTCTCGATTCCTGTCTTCGTTTCGCTATGCTCCGTGCTCAGATGTCGCTGTTTAATGAACATGCTTGTCGCCAACGCTACAGCCGCGATGCAGGTGTACATGATGAACATGTTTCTGAGACTCCAAGAAAATGTATCTTGTACGACCTGGCGCTGCATGGCATCCTCAATGGATTGGATGATTTCCACATTCGCCGCTGCATGGTCGCCGGATAAAGCATACAGCGTAGAAGGGTCAAGCCCTGCAGCAGCAAGCAACGACTGGCGACTGTCCATGCTATTTTGAAATACCGCGCCTCCGAGCACAATTGAGAATGAAGTTGCCACATTGCGCATGAGGCCTATTGTTGCGGTAGCTGACGATGTATCGGCCTGCTTGATACCGGCCTGAAGTGCAATCAATGGTGTCTGGAACAGAAGCGCAACGCCAATGCCGCCAATGATCTCGAACACAGCAATGATAGCAATAGGGGTTTCGCGCCCGAAGTTGACGTAAAGTCCAGTACCGAGCGTCATGAGCACTGCCCCAACACAAACAAGCTCTCTATACCGACCGGTCGTATGGACGACGACCCCTGCAACTATGTCGGTAGCGGCTTCAGTTGCCAGCATCGGTAATATCAAGATGCCACTTCGAAGGGGTGATTCTTGCTTGACGCTCTGAAAGTATAGCGGCAGATAGTACTCAACACCAATAGACACCATACTATGGGCAAAGGCGAGTAAGAGGATTGCGTTATTAGACCAGTCCTTGAAAATGCCCAGATGCATAAGTGGATACTTGGCGAGGCTCCTTTCGCTGTAAAGGAAGAAACCAATCATCAGTACGCCAAAGACAAGCAAACAAATGACTTTGGGACTGTCCCATGGAAAGATAGCACCGCCGAAGTCCAGTCCCAGCAGGAGTAGAAGAGTAACACCAAGAATGCAGAATGTCCCGAACCAATCAATAGCCTTGAGTCCTTCACGTAGCCTCGTACGGGGGTCATGTACATCAAGAAAGAGAAGCACAAACAGGAATGCGATGGCGCATACTGGAAGGTTAATCCAGAAACACCACCGCCAACTCGCAAGTTGGGTGAGTGCTCCTCCGATAAGAGGTCCAGCAGACCCCGCGATTGCCCAGATAGCTCCGAGCAAACCTATGAACAATGCTCGTTTGCGCACGCTGAACAGGTCAGAGATCGTTATCGTGACCAGGGAAATGAGACCGCCGCCCGCCGTGCCCTGAAGTGCTCGTGCAGCAATCAACATGGGCATATCAGAGCTCACCGCCGCAATGATACTAGCAACTGCAAAGAGGCCAATCGCGCTCAGAAGAGCAAGCTTCCGGCCCCAGATGTCGCTGCATCTCGCCCAGATGGGACCGGCGGCAGCGTTGGCCAGCAAGTACGCGCCGCCAATCCAGACATATCCAGACGCGGAATTTAAAGAGGCGGATATGGTAGGAATTGATGTTGCGATGATGGTTTGATCAAGTGCCGATACGAAAAGAACAAGCTGCAGACGAGATTAATCGGTTTGTGCCGAACCTATCGGGAAAGAGCCATGCTTACGCAAAGTGACGCCAGAATAGAATATGTACGCAGCTTTGATCGGGCTTCAGGACTTTCAGCGCCTATGTCAAGAGCCTCGACATTGTGCCCAATGGATGGGGCTAATGGTGATGCATCGTTCACTGAAGTAGGTTTGACGGTCGTGATAGTGTCCATCGTCATTCTCTTAGCGGTTGATCTCTTATTTGTGCGGTTTGATTCTTCTTACAAGCGAAGACGTTGACACTCACCAGATATATATAATGCTTGCAGCTCTCTGTTAATCTACTGTAATATTGACCTGAATAGTGGGGAACACGCAACTGGTCGGTGTATCCAAAACCGTGTACACACGCCCTGTAGTACTATGGGGGTAAATGACAAGAAAGAATGAGCGCGCCCTGTCAGCAGTCTAAAAATCATTCGTTAGCATTATTATCTAACATTCTGAGTGGAGAGACAAGTTTCACTTCATTCATAGACTGCACCCACTTGGGTAACGCCTATTGTTCATTGCGAAAAGCATTTACAGCCACACTGCCCAATTGGTGGTGTTGAGCTATAACCAAAACACTGGAAAGATTCGTTATTACCTCTTTAACACTTTCGTACAGCGAGGGGCTACACAATTCTACTTTGAAAACCTGGAGAAGAAAATTTCTAAAAATTGGAATCAAAGATCGCGGGAGCCCATGTAGATTCCCAGTTTGCGTACTTAGCCACGGGAGGAATGGCAAGTGACACTTAAAGAGCCCCGCAACTTACTTGGTGCTACTGTGGTAACATGTAGAAGGTCTGCCATCGGCGACTGTCTTTACAACGAGTTTTTTGTTGAAATATCATACTAATTTCGAGGTGAAGGAGGACATCGTCGAACTTGCTTTGGAGCCACCTGACCTGGAGCAGATATATGAGATAGCATCACTCAATTATGATGAGCTTTTATTGAGACCGTTCAGCAATGCCCTCTCTTCGTTATAGCGTGTTTTGCAACTATTCTGTTGGCGTGACCTGTGCGTTCAGTGCGAAGTTTTAAATTCACAAAGCTATTTACCAAGCCTGATCATGCAACGAACAATAGATAGGACAGGAGTCCCAGTGTAGATCCGTTGAAGAGAGTTCTGGTGACAAGCTTCTTTCGAGGCACCTATGCACAGAGACAGCTGATTGCAGCACAATGTTCGCTGTGCTAACAGCGGGCAGAGCACGGCTTTAGTCTAAGGTTAAGCTAGGTTAGTTAGGTTAGGTTAGGCGATAGTTATTGGAGGTCAGTCAACAAAACCTGGCTGACTTAGTTAATACACCTGGCCGATCCCATTGAGGCAGAGCTGTGTCGCAGCGCTGTTTTGCAGGCGCAGCCACCGTTTGCAAATCCTTCGCCGTGTCCGAGGCCACCATCGCATGCGTATAATTGGTTAGAACCATGCAATAGGGGCTGAACAAAAGACCTCGACGTCATATTGTAGAATCACTTTTGGGTCCCAAATCCAAACAAGCATAACGAGAATATGCCATTGAGGATCTCAAGGCAGAACTACGTGCGCCAAGCGACACATCAATGCCAACCATTTCTCTATCCGGTAATTGCATGATTGAGGCAGGCACTGCTGTGCCGCACACAACAATGACAAAAGCATCATCACGGCCGCCAACATTTAAATTCAAGTATTTGTGTTGAACAATCGCGTTGTTTCCAGTGATAACGTACAAATTGAATTTGGTTTCATCTTTGCAATCAATATGCCCGCTTTCCTACTCATCGCTAAGCGCGCAGCAGATCCTATCTATAACGGCCTGGCCGCAAGGGACTACGCCAGTTCTGTGAGCAACTACAACAATGCCCGCGGAGTAATAAGTGGCGGCATCATCGCTGTCATAGTTATTGCGATAGTCTTTGTTCTCGCAGTTTTCATTGGCGGATGTTGTATTTACAGCCGCAAGCAGGACCGGCGAAGACAACGTCAGGCGGAACTGAACAAATGGCATAAAGACCATCCTAATTCAAACACATACGAATACAGCAATACGAGCTCGGCCCCACCGCCACCGGTCGACTATGCTTACGGAGCTGGAGTGACGAACACTACAGATGTCAAAGAGCCCGGTGCTGCGTATACTGCCGCACATCACGGAGCCGTTCACCACGGTAGCGGCTTTTCCTCGGCCGTTGGTGGAAACAGCGGAGGTGGAACTAGCTAAGCGTTCCCCAGGATGACGAAAACGATATACACAGCAAGTCTCATTTTTGTTTTTAATCGGCAAAGCTTTGTACGATACTACTCGGCCGACTTTCTTTGATACCCTTCATTTTCACTATATAGCAAGCATCAATCTACTAGCTAGAGAAGAGAGATAATTTGAATGCTTGGGTAGTATGGCAATGAATTCATAATGTGCTAAAAGTAATGCGCATGTGTCATTTTATCCTTGGCTCCTTCACCACTAACACTGACACCGTATCATTTCCCATTGGCATGTGCGTCGTTATAGTAGTGTATCTACAAAAGAATAATTAGTCGGCATCATCGCTGTACATACTTGAGTCGGCACCAACTGTTTGGTCTGCACACCCGCTCGGCGTCTGGTAGCCATAAGCCCCTGTGTTGATGTAAAGCTTCTGTTGCGCGCAAACGAGCCAGGCAGCGAGATTTTGCCTCTGTATCTCAGGCGTACTCCACGTCAATGCGTCGCCTTGGAATGCGAAAGTGCCAAACGTGTTCTTGGTCGTGTTGAACCATGTAGCAAGCGTGCGCTGCTTAAGATCTACCGGTTTCTCGACATTAAGATAAAAAGGGGAGGAACCAGCACCGGTGTTCGCGACCAACTGTCCATCTTGAACGCTGTACTGGCCTGCGGTCGTATACGACTCGAGAACCGCAGTACCCGGTTTGTTCGTGGGTGTGGTTTGGAGATACTTGTGGAAATTGGGCGCAACGACCGCGCGGATCCAGTACCAACCAGATTGAAGAGTCGTGCCAGGACCATCCTGTCGCGCTGTGATGGCATGTCCCACTGGATTTGCCGGTTGAGCCAAAGCACCAATGGCTGAAAGCAGATATAGGGCAGCGATTGATATTCGCATAATGACGAGTTCTGTTGCTAGAAAGGCTTGGGGCATATATTGTTTCCTACTTTGCGCTGTCGGTGATATTGAAAAGAGAATTAACTCGATACATTGTTTCAAAACTTATACTCCCAGTATGTACATTGATTGATGCCTGTGTTGCATCTGCGAACCCAAAGCGAGTCATTTAGGCGGACCAAAAAGTTAATTACTTGGTGTTTTGTTGTCGTATTGTGCCGGATAGACTCGAATTAAGCTCCGTGGTCTGCATTCGCGCAGCAAATTCCCCAAAACGCTGGATGGTATCGCGATCGTCTAAATGAGCATGGTTTTAGCCTGAAGTCGAGAGCCTTGGCAGATGTGATCGCATCTCGCATCGCCATATGTTCTCTGTGTCGTTAGGACATAATTCATGATACGGCTTCTATTTTGCAGTGAAAACAAAAGGTTGGAGGGTTAAGTTTAATAGGAATAACGTTGGCAAATGGCCTATTGACGTATAGTCACACATCAAGCGCTGTCAAAGTCTTTTATTTTTCACGGACAATTTTCCTAGATGAAAACACGCCCTCGCACTTGTTACTTGCAAAATCACTAAATAAAAATGCAAGGGGAAGAATCGTTACGTCCGTAAACTACATTAAACCAAAAAAGAACCATATTCCTCCGTTGGTCCTGGCGGCATTATGCCGGTCATCGTATACAACTTGGCAAGTAACTTTGTAGCCACCAATCACGTCTTGTTGTATTTTTATCAATGATCTTTCTTTCTTGGATTCATGTATGTATTTCTTTGTTGCTGCGAGTATATCATTTCCTGTTTCTCTCACAGCGCGGACGTGGCGGCAATCGTACCAACTCACTTGTTTGATTTGAATCTGCCGCAGCCGAACGCATAAGCATACCAAATTGACCAGGCAGTTAGGAAAACTTTTACCGCATTTCTTATCACAATGCCACCGATTACGCCTGAACCCAGAGTGCAACAGCGAGCGTAGTAATGTAAATATGACCATATAATTGTTGTCATATGGTTAACCTGATGTATACGAGCGGTCCGGTAGTAGCAGCACCAAACATCAAAGACGATTTAGATCGAGCCAGCTCTCGTGCTTAAGACGTTGGTGCCGTGTGAAACCGGACTGTACTCTACTAGGTGTATAGAATGTTGATTTTTGTTTTGATATTTCTCAGCCAACCCGTTACACGTCGCCATAGTCAATCTCGCTAAAGCTCATTTGATATCAAAGAGGTTGAATTGGACAGTGCCATATAAAATGGAATCAGCTCCCCTAAAAGCACGAATGCAATTCAAGCACACAGTTAAGCCTGCGCTGCGACCAAATTACGCTGATACTACTTTGCGAATGTCTTAACACATAAGAACTAACCAAACATCGAATTCAAAAATTTCTGCTTCAAAATACCATACCATTGTAAAAAAAAAAAAAAGAAACCCATAACTAATATTAGTTAAAATAATAACGCTTCAAATCGTATATAATCGTATTTTCATCTGAACTTCGTTTACATTATTTATTACAGGTGCTTGTGTTCGGATAGTCAGCTTAGGCTTGCACTACACAGGCTATTTAGCCAATCAACCTCGTCTTCTCAAAGTTGGCTTCAACCATCACATGCGATAGCGGAACAATGGCGAAGACTACATATAAACATATAAATGCGCAATTTCATTGAGTTGAACAGAGCAGTGTAGTGCGGCGCATTGCTCATTGACCTCGACATGGCTGAAGAAGCACGAATTGCGTCCTTGCTGAAGCGCGAACGGTATTACCGAGACACCCGCCAGTGGGACAAGCTCCGCAAGTGCTATCACCCCGACGCATCCAAGACCCGCATTGCAGTTTCTGTGTATGTTAAGTCCAGAGAGTCTGCCCATAGAACTTGCTGATGCCCATGCTGCAGCTTCAAGGGAAATGCCGATGGCTTTGTGGACATGTCACAACGCAGCACACCTCCCGGTCTGAAAGTGATCCATACCATTGATCCTGTGGAAATCGCCATCAAGAGAGACAAGTCTCTTGTGCATTCTAATGCTATCATCTCAGCCAGGGCACTCGTTGATGGTGTGGACTATGAGATTACATCGTGGTTGCGAGCTATCTCTGGACTCGAGCAGATTGAAGGGGAATGGAAAATTGTTTCGCTCGAGGTGATTTACAACCGAGATAGCCTGGTGCCTTCTTCACCACAAGAAAAACCCATAAGCCTTGGGGAATTGGATAAGTTCAGAAGCAGCTACCGTCACGTGGCATGGTTCATGTCATCGAAGGGTCTGAACGTACCGAACGACCTTCCTGGTGAAGACGACCCACAGTCGGTTATGCAAGTGATGAAGCGGAACCAGCAGTGGTTCAATACGGCATAGTTACGTTCATCGTGTCTGATATATGGCCTCTTGCTCTATTTCCAATAAACACTTTTCTCTTGATCTATGATTTTTCTTGGATCCGGAGACTCTACGCATTGCGCTATCATGAGGTTCTCGATTTCGCAGCTGTATGATACCCTGCCTGGCTTCTTTGTCGAATTTGCTCTCCTCTTGACTGTCGCTCTATCATGGCAGTATGTACGCCGCGAAGTCAAGCGTACGAAGGCACGCCGCCTCGGATGCCTACCGGTCAAGACTCTACCTCAGCGACTACCTGACTTCGGCTTAACCAACATCATTCGTGTGATGAAAGCTTTCAAAAGCGGCAAGCTCTTAGAGCTTACTGAAAGCAGATTCCAATCAGCGAGGGCAAGCACCGTCGCCGTCACCACGCTGGGCCGCACCACAATTTGGACCATGGATCCCAAGAATGTGCAAAGCATTTTGGCTTTTGATTTCAAAGCCTGGTCGATTGGTTCACGAAGAAAAGGCGCGTTCAAAACTCTATTGGGTAAAGGTATTTTCACCAGTGACGGAGATGATTGGAAGCATAGCAGGGAACTTTTACGACCCAGTTTCCTGAGGCGCAGGATTACTAGCTTTCACGTTTTCGAACACCACATCGGCGCTTTTTTGAAATGCATACCCTCAGACGGCAAAACAATAGTTGATCTCCATGGATTGTTCATGCACCTTACCATGGACATATCAACCGAATTCCTGTTTGGGAAGAGCACTAGTAGGCTATCTCAGCAGGATGATGAGAAGACCGCTTTATTTGCTGCGGCATTTGAACGAGCCCAAGAAGCCGCTGGCGCTGCTACCAGAAATGGGCCAATAGGAAAAATCTTGGGCCTTGGTGGTACGTCGAAGGATGTTGCACTCGTGCATGACTTTGTGGATAGCATCATTGCGGATCGGTTGCTCGCGGAGAAAGATTCAGGATTGACTTCTTCTTCTGACTACATTTTCTTGGACGAACTGATCGAAAAGTTCAGTGATCCTGTTAAAGTTCGTTCAGAGCTGCTGCAAATCCTGCTTGCGGGTCGCGACACCACAGCGGCAATGCTGACTAACTTTTGGTGGTGCATTTCAAGACACCCGGAGGCGAATTCAAGACTACGACAAGAAATAGAGCAGTTACAAGGCACACAACCGACATTTGAGCAGGTTAAAGAGCTCAGGTATTTATTGGCAGCCATCAACGAGTCTTTACGATTATATCCAGTCGTTCCAGTCAATCTTCGTGAAGCGGTTGAGGACACAGTATTGCCTGTGGGTGGAGGTGAAGACGGCCAGGCTCCTGTATTTGTCCCAAAGGGCCAGGCTGTCATGTGGAACTTATGGACTATGCACCGTCGTGAAGACGTGTACGGCTCTGACGCCGCGGACTATAAGCCAGAGCGGTGGCTAGCGGGAGAACGATCTCCTTTGCGCCCTGGCTTCGCATTCTTGCCATTTAATGGTGGCCCAAGAATCTGCCTAGGCCAGCAGTTCGCCCTGACCGAAGCATCATACATTATTGTCCGAATGATACAGGAGTTCGCTATTATCCAAGGAGTATACGATGGGCCGTGGCGTGAAAAAATCACTTTGACGACCGTGAATGCGACCGGTTGTAAGGTTAAAGTAACTTCACACCACTCGCAGCCCTCGACGTCTTAAAGCTAGAATGAATGTGAAGAATTGAGCTGCCAGCTGAACGTATTATGCGCACCTACAAATGATATATGTAAAGCATTAATCGTCTGTTGAAGTCAATACTCTTACGTGCATAAATAACAAGAAATGCTCACTTGTAATTAAGAGTGGGTACATCTGTTAATAGAAAAACTCCCTCGATTGCTCCTGATTCAGTATTGATCATATATTATCGAGGGATGCTTGTTATTTTCAGGGGTAGTTACGCTTCTTATCCCGACAAGCCCACCAAAGTAACGAAGCACACACAGACTACATGGATGAGCCAATGGGCGAGCCCGGCTTAGAGTTGGTCTGACCTCTGACCGGTATGTAGTCTTCCGCAACATAAACTTTGGTGGAGAGGATTGGGATAAAATCTATCAGATTCTCAGAGTTCTTTCATGACGTACATCTTGATAGTTCAGATACAATCTCGTCGCCTCTATTATTTTATGAACTTTGTACTGACCATGCCGATCGATGACGCCAGGGATTCTTGGCAAACACACTGTATCTACTACATACCGTATCAATTAGTACCCCGTTAGTTCTTACCCTATAAACTGGAAACCATCATTTTCAACACTTCTTCAAAGTCTGGACAAAGGCAGAGTCAGACATCTTCACATCACATATAATCGCTACATATACCCAGATTCCCGACTTCAAATTCAAGTAATGCCAGCAGCTCCGTATCTGGATTTCGTATATTTGGACAATTGATACAACCAATAAACATTCAATAGTATGTTACCTCCTTGCCTAATTATAAACCTAATCTGACTAGTGCACTCTGAAAGTGCCTTACCTCAGCGATATTCCGCCATTTCCTATCGACAGGATCAAGAACGTGATACCTCTTGTGAAGATACCTTTGAAAGATATCGATGATGCAGCTACCAAGAGGCAAATCTGTGTGGCGTCAAGGACTCATGGTTTCTTTCAACTCGACCTGCGCGGCTGTGAGGATGGCGAAAAGCTCCTTTCAAATGCCGAACAGCTCTTCAGCTTTTCCAAGAAAGCCTTCGTTGAAGTCCCGTGCGAGGAGAAGGAAGCTTCGTCCTTTTTCAAGATAAGAAGCATCCATGGTTGGAAGAAAGCCGGCTTTGTCGACTCTAAAGACGTGCACAAGCGTAAGGACCGCAGTGAGATGTTCCACGTCGGCAAGGATGATGCCATACGCATTGTTGAACGAGATGAAAAGCCTATGGTTGCGTATCCGCACTTGTTGACCGACAATGTTCGCATGTTCTACGATCTGATAGTACGCTCTCACGAGACCGGTTCACGATTGTTATCTATTGTTGCTCGAGACCTCGGTATAGATGCAGATGACCTACTAGCGAGGCACGACATTCATCGGAATAGTACCGACCAGGCCCGCCTCACCTTCACTCCTGCACTAGAGAAAAGGCCAGAACACGAATCACACGAGGAAAAAGACTTGCAAATATCCTTACACGAGCACACTGACTTCGGCACGCTGACCTTGTTGTGGAACCAAGCTGGGGGCCTTCAGATCCAAGACAAGAGTGGTCAATGGTGCTATGTAGAACCATTGGAAGGCTGTTGTATCTGTAACATGGGCGACTCCATGGTGGCTCTTACAGGTGGAAAGGTGAGCAGTGGCAACCACCGTGTTGTCGCAGCTCCTGGCGAGCAGGGTCTTGTAGATAGATATAGCATTGTCTATTTCATGAGGCCTAATGACGTCGGCGTCGTGGAGGATTTGTCTCCCGACGCAGATCCTAATGGTAAGAAAGTGACAGGCAAAGACTGGGTGCTCAACAAAGGCAAGGCTGTCACAAAAGATTATGGCGTAAAGAAGCCATAGGCCATCCTGGAATTCATCACTGATCAAGAGAGTCAAAAGCCTTGGATATCGAATTGCACCAATTACGTTTACCTTTGTCAGTATATCATTTCTTGGCATAGACACATGTGATACCTGTTTTTAGGTTTTACTTACCTGTTGAAGTCACGTCAAGCCAACCAAAAAGCTTTCCACGAGCACTCTCCGTATGTTGCTGTAATACAATGGTCACATTTTGGATTGTGAATAAACCTATGCACCTGATGTAGTCTGTCGCGTAAGATCGTGTAGTTTGTTATAAGATTAGGCTTTAGTTAGACACCTTTTTAAGTCATCATACCGCAATAGGAACAAGATGCAAATGCTCATGTAAAGCTTTTTTATATCCCCGGATTATTGGTACATATGAAGCCGTGGGATGAGTTTAGTAACCCTCCATTAACTGTTCCTTGGGATTGGAAGCCACAATCGCCTTCATCAGAAGTCCCAGGTCCCGTATTCTAGATGTACTTGCCACAGATTGATTGTAATAGGTGGGCCACGTGTGTAACCACCCTGCTGGTCTCCACCAACATTCGATCTAGATGCACTCGACTTAAAACAATTTATAAGCGCGGTTGTCGTCCTTTTCTTTGAATACTTCGTCACAGTGTTGCTGCTCCTCCAGAAAATACTTAGGTCATAATAATTTCTCGGACCGTCACCATATCCTTGTGTCTAAACCACCACTTCAGCTCAGGATGTCAGTCCCCTCGAATTGCACCGTGCTTGTCATCGGTGGTGGACCATCAGGGTCGTATGCAGCTACTGTTCTCGCTCGAGAAGGGGTGGACGTGGTATTGCTGGAAGCTGATACGTTCCCGAGGTACGTACACCGGACTATTTTATCGATCTGTTTAATGTAATAAGCTAAGACTGTGCTGAAGATATCACATTGGTGAAAGTATGCTGCCATCGATGCGGTACTTTCTACGTTTCGTAGAGCTCGAAGAGTTGTTTGATAAGCATCAGTTTGAGAAAAAGGTCAGTTCATACGTCACGAGAGAAGGCAGCGACCTCATACTGACGGATCTCGCATCCAGTTTGGGTCAACATTCAAGCTTAGTGGAAAGCGTGAGGCATGTAAGTATGGCAAAACATGCAACCGTTTCCTTTTGGGATCACGTATAGATCCACTAACAGAAATATAGATACTGATTTTGCAGCATCTCTCGGTCCTGGTGGACATTCGTGGAACCTAATTCGTTCTGAGTCAGACGAGATGATATTTCGGTATGCCGGAGAATGTGGCGCCCACGTATTTGATGGCACGAAGGTCACCGATATCAAATTTATACCATACGGAAACGAGCATGCAACTGCAGAATTTGCACAGGCGGGATTGGCGAGCTTGGGCCGACCTGTCTCTGCTCAGTGGTCCAGCAAAGATGGCAGCTCGGGAACACTCAATTTTGAGTATTTGATCGACGCTAGTGGACGAGCTGGGATTGTGTCAACTAAGTATCTCAAAAATCGCACACCGAATGAAGCATTGAAGAACATTGCAAACTGGGCTTATTGGAGAGGTGCTACCAGGTACGGTGTAGATACCCACCGCGAGAACTCGCCGTTCTTTGAGGCACTACAAGGTATGAGAGGCTCCGCTCACTGAACCCTTAGGGAAAGCAGGTCATACTGACTCGTAACACAGACAAGAGTGGCTGGACTTGGATCATTCCTTTGCACGACGGTACAGTATCTGTTGGTACCGTCCAGAGACAGTCGACCTTCTTCGCTAAGAAGAAAGCAAGAGGGTTCGAGACAAGCGAAGAGAACTACAAGGAGGATCTCAAATTAGTTCCCGAGACAAATGCTCTCCTCAATAATGCATACATCGTATCGGAGATTAAGCAGGCCACGGATTGGTCGTACAGCTCCTCACACTACGCTGGGCCTCACCTGCGTATTGTTGGCGACGCAGGCTGCTTCATTGACCCTTTCTTTTCTTCCGGTGTGCATCTGGCCATGTTCGGAGCCTTATCTGCAGCAACAAGCATTCAAGCCGCGAGAAGAGGAGATTGTGATGAGCTCTCTGCCGCAAAGTGGCATTCAAGCAAAGTTACCGAAGGTTACACTCGGTTCCTCATCATTGTGATGACGATAATGAGGCAGATAAGAAACCCTAAGCATTCACTGCTTGACGACGAAAACGAAGATGGGTATGACAAGGCCTTTGAAAAAATTCAGTCGAGTAGGCACCCCTCCCCCATACGAAATATAACATGTTTCACCTGACCGATTTATAGTCATTCAAGGCACTGCCGATAGTGACGGAAATGGTGATAATGCGCAAGACAAGGCTGCTTCGGGCGTAGAGTTCGCCCTTCGCAAGCTCCAGGAAGTTTCGCCGGAACAGCAACGAGCGGTCCTGAGCAGAGTCTACGGCGCTCAAGACCAGGTTGAAGAGCTTGGCAGACTTACTGAGGACGAACATCGCGTCCTGTTTGGCTTTGTCCTCCGAACCATGTCCCGAGTTGATAACCAGAATACTTACACGACAGATATCCTCAATCAGTTCAAGCCGGTTCTAACGAAAGGAAGTTTGAGTCTGAAGGGAACAACGGGCGAAGAAAAGAATGGGTTAGCAAATGGCATAACCACAGGACGGACTTTCCAGCAAGCCGATGAATCGCCACTTCTGAAGTATTTTTAGACCCAAAGTCATTCGCGCCAACAAATTTATGAGATTGGCGGTTCAGTACCCACGTGAGTAATTTAGCACGCTATCTCATTGCTCTCGGCAAGGCATCTCAAAAGAAAACATGATAACATACAATTATTGTCAATTTATGTGAATAGTACTTTTGATTTTGATTTCTTCGATGAGGCCGTACAATCATGTATGGGATTGAAACCACAAATGGGTCAAAGAATGAATACTTTCACAGGCTGAATGCTGCCAAGTTGGGCATATAAGGGTTCTTGACTAACCTAACCTAGTCTAACCTAATCTTAGTTTAGGTATTTTAGGAGGTGCAATTCAATCTTAGGTTAGTGGTCTTCCACTGATTTGATATGGAATACCTTCGAAAATCTCCAAATTCTATACTTCCTTTTATAAAAGACAGTAGCGTATGACGTGATACTATGGATGAAGTATTGCAGTGAGATCCCAGCAATTGCTTGAGTTTATGCTACTTCATAAATTTTTGTGTCAATGATTTTGATCGCTTGCATAGCAGTTTCCACAGCGCCAATGCGATCTTGCCATTCTGACCAGTAGAGGTTGATCACTGAACGGGCCTGCCAGTACTGTTAACACAACTTGAGAGGCTGTCTAAATCCAGGGTACGGAGTAGTTACACACTGGATTACAGAACATCTTCTAGACTAAATTGAAAATAGCAAGCAATCTATTTTACGTAGCAGTCAAGATGACACGATGGTATTGATTGCTTTTAATTGCAAAGCGTTGTCGAAACATAACCCCTCTCATTTCTTGAACTTTTCTGGGACTATCTCGCATCGCTTCATAATTTGCCACCCCAGCGAATCCATCGGTGCTGTAGCTGTTAAATCGAAAATTGACAAGTTTGCTTTCAGGTCCTGGAACAGCCATGTGCGCACCTCGACAGCCACAAGCGAATCCACGCCGTGCGCATGCAAAGGACGTCCAACATCAATATCTTCAACATTCATCTGCAGCAGCCGGGCCACCCTCGCACTCAGTCCTTTCACGATACTTCGGTGTGCCTCATCTCTAGACCCAGACCCGGCTATCGCTTTCCGCAGCTCCTTCGAATCGTCCCTCTTCGCCCTTTCCCCTGTCATCGCTCCCATCTCTGCATCGTTTTCACCACCTAATCCAGCACACGCCAGAATGCTGAATTTGGGATCACGGAAGTAAAATGGTTGCTCGGCCATCCCCCATTCCTTCATTGTCCCGCCTGTCGCGAACCCCGTAATGATTTGTGTTTCCGTCTCAGTAGTCATGGCCAAGTGCAAAAGGGCATGCAGCTCGCTCTCACGCAGACCAAATGGCTCCACCCACTCCTTGAGGTGTCCTTTTGCGCCGTGCTCAGCCAGATAGCCCACATCCCGCATGATACCCAGATCGACAGATACTGCGTGCTGGCCACGAGCCCTTCGCTCGTGTGCCAGTTCGTCCTGAAAAGCACACGCAGCCGCGTAGTTGGCCTGGCTAGGATTGCCAAATATGCCCGCAAATGAGCTGAGCACTATAAAGAAGTCGCACGACGGCGATGACGACAACCTATCGAGGTTGACTGTGCCCTGCACCTTGGGTCTCAGCGATATGCACCACTGGTCAGGCGTCATCTTCTCAAACGGAACATCTTGTAGCACCATGGCACACTGCACAACTCCACCGACTGGTGCACCATGCTCTTGGCTGCACATATCGCGCAGTGGTTCGAGAGATTCCATGTCTGCCAGGTCGCATTGGTACGCCCACGCGTGTACTCCACGGCTCCTTAACCTAGCTAAAGTGCTTTGTGCGTCAGCTGTGCGCCCACCTGACCTGGATACAAAACAGAGGTGCTTCGCACCTGCGTTGACGAGAAGATTTGCAAGGCTGCGGCCAAGCCCTCCGAAACCGCCTGCAAGAACGTACGTTGCATTCTCCTTGAGCCTGATCTCGCTGCGGCATTTGACAAGAGTTGGAACGTGCTGGTCGCGGCCCCAGGATAGCGCCATCTTTCCTCGGTGCTTGCCGGTCTGCATTGTACGAAAGGCTGTTTCGATGTCGGAGATGGGAAAGATTGTCAAAGGCTCGATAGGTTTCAGCACTCCGTCTTGCAGTAAAGCAAAGGTGCTGTCTAAAAGCTCGTTCACTACCTCTGGTGCTTCCCTTATCATTCGACTCACGTTAAAAAAGGAAAACGTTGCGTCCCTAATAAGAGGCCGCATGTCCAAACTGGAATTTTGCTGGATATCTTTCAAGCCAATCTCGATAAAAGTGCCAAACGGGGCCAAACAGTACCATGACTCCCGCAGAATCTCACCAGCTAGGGAATTGAGAATTATGTCCACACCTCTTCCGCCTGTCACTCTCCGAACGGCCATCCCGAAGCTGGTGTCTCGGCTAGAGAAGATGTTGTCGTCTGAGATCCCACAGGTCTCTCGAAGTAGACTCCGCTTGTCTTCCGATCCGACGGTCGCGTAGATTTGCAGACCCAGATGCTTCGCTATCTGGATTGCCGCCTGACCAACGCCTCCAGCAGCCGCATGGATGAGAACAGATTGGCCGCGTCGTGCACGTGCGACGCGGACAAGAGCGTTGTAGGCTGTCACGTAGACAAGTGGCAGTGTCGCCGCGGCTTCGAAAGACATGTTTTCCGGAATGCGCTGAGTCAACATCTCTTTGTTTCGCAAGAGATTACAGTGGCCGCCATGGCACAGCGAGACCGCCCTGTCTCCAACTTTGAAACGTTTGACGGCTGATCCGACAGCTGTAATAACACCGCTGGATTCGAAACCCATGGAAAGATCGGGAATAATTCCCATGGCCACCATGACATCGCGGAAGTTCAAGCCCGATGCCAAAACTTCCATCTCGATCTCATCATCCTCTAGCAATATGCTGTCTAGTCCACGGGGCTTGAAGTAGAGGCTACTGAGGTTACCAGGGTTCCGCACCGACAAGTCTACCGGATCGACTGACCCCTCACCCAACTGGCGCTGCTTCAAAGTGTCTCGATCATTGGCGATGTCCGAAACTTTTACATTGGTTTCGTGGTCCTCTGTTAAGCGTGGCACAAAAATGGCTCCATCCTTTTCACGGAATTCATTGTCTGCTGTTTCCAAACAAGCGACTTCAACAATGTCCCCAGCCAGTCTTTCTATCTTCTGACCAACCAAAGAGTTGCGGCTGATCTGCATGGTGTGGAGCTTCAGCCAGGGAATCTCGTTACGGATACTCCGTGAAAGACCTGGAACAATACTTCCATATGCGTCATCCCTGGAAACCCAAGTCATTGAGTTGCAGGCCAACAAAGATTCCTGAAGTATACTGAAATCTTCAGGTAGTCCGTTTGCCAAGACCGGCTGGTCAATTTCAACCAGCGAGATACAGCTTTCTCTTTGAAGCTGTGGCGAACCAACCCTCCTTGGCCATATTATCTCTCTGACACGCGCACCTCTTGATGATAGCTCCAAGGTAATGTGCTCACAGAGCTGAGAGGTCACTGTTGACCGTTCCTTTTTACGAAGGATCACAATTTCCTTGCCTTCTTGGCTTTTCACCCCCTTGCTTCCGTCTATATTCACTTTATGGTACGGCGCCCAGCCAAGTTTGCTACAAATATGCCTAATGTCTTGGCTCGGCGTATTGTTGGCACTTGTGGAGTCCATAGCCCGCAAGTAGATGCTTCGGACCTGAACCAGTGGCTCAAGCGTCTCTGTACTAAGCATATTGACATCGCCAATCATCTCGCTCAGCCCATGCCTCTTTGCTGTTGCCATGCCAGTGTATGTAATATCTCTGCCGCTACATGCGCTGGCTGACACGATAATTTCCTCAATGAGGATGGGCACCATTGCACCAGCCAACATGTTTTGCTGATAACGTGCTGCAGCAAATACAGCATGAAACATGGCATCCATGGTACCGGGATGGATGACTTTGGGCTGACACAGCCTATCATCATCGACCTTCCAGCGTTGAGTAGTAACGGTACAACAGGATTGGCCGTCGCCTTGCAGAATCGTGGAGATATTGGAAAAGCTTGGCCCATAATGCAGACCTAACGAAAACAATGAATCATAAAACTCTGCATCATCATCCTCTTGGAGACAAGCCTTTCTTCCTGCTATGTGTGCCACCTCCAAAGCTTTTGCCGCCAGCCTTCTTTCATAGTCGATCGATGAGTCAACAGGCGCTGCATAATCTAGACTGAGCAATCCGCTACAATTCTCACGGAGCTCACGGCGATCTACGCAACTGGATATAGAGAACTCCATCCATACCGCTGACGCAGTACGGTTGCGCGTGGCGTGGAAATGCGGACGTAGTTCAACGACAATTTCTATATCATCGTCATCAGGAACAACAAGTGCTGCAGAGATGGTCACATCGCGTAAGCGAAACGACTCGACTGTTCTATGTGGCTCGGCCACCCTCTGAGCTGCCTCAATGGCCAGGACAATGTAGCCGGCGGCTGGGAACAACACAGCACCATCAATCTCATGGTCGCGTAGCCATGGCATCTTGGCACATTTGAGGAACCCGCGCCACTTGCGCTCATGCTCACCCGTTGTCGGACAGGGCTTCCCGAGAAGACCGGTGTTACCATTTACCTGCTCAGCGAGCTGATACTGGGTTTCCATGCGAGAAATACTTGCATAACTTTTCGAATGATTCCATGCATACGGCGGTAGATCCACTAGCATACCGGCAGCTTGGTCGCCATTGACCGCACCAATGTCTACTGAAACGCCTAGGCCGTACAGGAACCCTGCGGCGGACATAGCCGAATTGACTGCGTCTTTACCAGTCAGCAATAAAGACACGTACTGAATATTCTCAGTCAAGCTGCCACCAATACCTCTGGAGATCTGGTTCAACGGGCTGCGGAGCGCAGAGTGTGGACCAATCTCAACCAATATGTCAATATCTTCACCACTTGTCAGCATGCTCTGGACAGCTTCGGAGAAGCGTACAGTGGAGACGAGATTCTTCATCCAAGATAGTGGACCGAGCTCCCACGGCTCGATAAGACCGCCAGTCACTGCCGAGAACATGGTGCAGCCGTTGTCTTGTTCATCCTTGGGAACAATATCACGGATCGCATAAACATAGTCGGCAGCGATGCACTCCATATGGGGAGAGTGGTATGCATTCCTGACCTTGAGACGGCGCGCGAATTTCCCGCTCGCCTCAAGTTTCTGTTGCATTATCTCGATAGCGCCTGCAGCACCAGAGAGTGTGACGCTGCTTGGGGAATTAATGCAGGCTACAACAGCAACCTGCTCTAACTGTGGTGTTGTTTTTGGATGCCTAGCATCCACAGCTAATTCCAGCAACAATTTTTGAGCCTCAGATTCGGATATCCCAGCAGCTAACATGGCGCCATCCAATCCCGGAAAGGATTGTAACATGCGGGACGAAAGAAGGCCCCGGTAGTAAGCTACTTTCCATGCATCCTCCTCGGAAAGCGCGCCACGACAGTATGCAGCTGCTATTTCACCGCTCGAGTGGCCAACCACATACCGTGGTCGAATGCCCCAGTGGCTCAAAAGATTGACGAGGGCAACCTGAAGTACGGTGCAAAGTGTCTGGCTAAAGAAGGGATCATTTATGCGTGAAGATGCAGCATCGCGAAATAGCTCATCGTGAGCCGACCATGGGCAATCGAGCTCCGATTTCAAGTATCTGGTAGCAGCGTCGATACTGTTCTGGAAAACAACATACTTGTGATACAACTGAATACCCATCTGTGCCCATTGGGCGCCCTGTCCGGTGAAGACGAAGCACACACGGGGATCCTGTCTACTCTTTTGTGGGATTGGGACATCATTGAGACGCGAACGTAGCTCTGTCATGGAATTTGCGAGTACACACGATCTCCAGGGCATTCGTGAGCGGCTTTCACTGAGGGTCGTCGCGAGATCACGTAGGAATGTATGCTCGTATTGGCCTGATTCATTCTGGACGTGGTTGTTCAGATATCTGGCGAGAGATGCGCTCTGCCGCTTGACGCCGTCCTGATCTTGAGCATGAATTGCAAAGATCCTGCACTGAGTCGCTGGCGCAAGTTTCTTGTTCGCCGCAGCTTGCTCTGGTAGCTGCCTTGCAATCAGATGATAACCATGTTGGACCATTTCGTCCACATTAACATGGGCAGGGGTTCTAGTGAAGTGGACAGCGTTGACATGACCACGCTGCATTAGATAGTGGTAGGCATCATCGAGCACGACATGTGCATTTGTGCCACTGTACCCGGTGGAACATGCGCTCATACGCCGTAGAGATTGAGATGGCCAGGCTGTTAACTGAGTGGGCACAGATACCGCCCATTCATCAAAGGGAATAGTCGGATTGGCCGCGTGGAAGTAGATGTTGGGCGGTATAAGACCACTTTCCAGCGCCAGGATCCCTTTGATTACCCCCGCGAGCCCGGCAGTTGCTTCAGTATGACCAATATTTGGCTTGGAAGACCCCACCAGGAGTCTCTTGCGAGACTTTCGTCCATGGGCCAGCGTTCTGCCAATAGCCTCGAGTTCCAAACGATCTCCTACTTGGGTGCCTGTGCCATGAGTCTCCACGTACGTTGTCTCACCATAGGTAAGACCCGCAGACTGGTAGGTTTTCTCTATTAGGCTCATCTGTGCCTCTGCACTAGGCATTACGATACTTTTGGTCCTCCCGTTCTGGTTCACACCTGTTCCCCTGATGACTGCACGGATGGGGTGTCCCTGACGGATAGCGTCCTCAACTGGCATGATCACCAGGGCAGCCACACCCTCTCCACGACCGTAGCCGTTTGCAGTGGCATCAAATGTTTTGCATTTGCCATCCGGGGCGAGGAAACCTTGATTACGCAAGTATGTAAACATCTCTGGGGAGAGGATTAGATTCGAGCCACCGATAATCGACATATTGGACTCCCCCCGTCGAAGGCTCTCGCATCCTTCATGCAGTGCAACCATACTGGAAGAGCAAGCCGTATTTATCGTGAAGCTAGGCCCTTTAAGATCGAAGAACCAAGAGATCCGGTTTGAAATGAGGGATGTTCCTGTCCCAGTAACGGTGTAGGTAGGTGCCGATTCAGCGTCTCTGAACAGCATCTCACGGTAGTCTGACACGAATTGGCCCACGTAACAGCTGGTGTTAGTGCCTCGTACCTCCTCAATTGGCAACCCACTATTCTCGAAAGCTTCGTAGGCCACTTCGAGCATGAGCCTTTGCGACGGGTCCATGGCTTTTGCCTCCTTGCCGGGAATGTTAAAAAAGTTGGCATCAAATGCGTATACATCTTGACGAAGGTAGTGACCGGCAAATCTTTCATTCGTTTCATTTGATGTCTTGTCGTTGAACCTGCCTTCCTTTGTATGGGCGGCTTGAGAAGCTGTCAGTATGCATTATCGCAATTCGCTGATATGTATGATCTCACCTCTGCCTTTACACAATAAGTCCCAGAACCCATTTGTATCGTGAGCGTCGCCTCCAAATCTGCATGAGAAGCCAATTATCGCAATATCCTGAGGTTGGGAGGTGCTTGAACCTTTATGACTATGACGGTCATTGGTCGAGGCTGTCGGCAACACAGCCATGACGATGAAATGGCAATATTAATTGAGCTTAAGACATGGAAATGATAATTTGAATGGATTATGGCAATGATATGTCTTTAGTAATGTAACTAGACCGTGATAATAATCAGTGTAATTCAATGTGGCTGAGAGATGGTGATGATTGAAATCAACAAAGAAATAGAAGATCTTGGAATTGTAATCTGTCTTTGAAAAGTCTTGTGAGGGGATTGATGGAGTCTTGGATTTGATTCTTTCAATCTGTTGTACCACAAGAGGTTAACCCTACAGCTCCTGTCTAGTCTTGTCTTGCACCTATGTCGTCTCTATAGCCAAAGTTGAAACTTAGACTACTGAGTCTCTCCTAAGAAATAGAAATGCCAGCGGGTCGTGCTAGGCTCATCCCTACAGATTCGTTAGTGAGCCGAACAGGTGTTGTCCAATCATCTACACGTGTTTTGAGAAGTTTTCGCGTTTCATAGAATAATAAGATTACTACGCGTTTTGTTTCCTACTGTGCTTTTTTGTGTGGCTTTCATGTCTTGTAATCGGAGCTCTCTACGTTTTAGGATTTGCGATTCCATTTTGAAGCATTACATCCATAAACAATTTTTATTGACATGAAATCATTCTTGATAATCCTAAGATGGCCCGTAGTGACGCCGCATATATCATAGTCTGTCTAATAAATGTTCTTCCTACTATATCGAAAACATCACAGGTGAGCATATACCAACGCAGCTGCGTATAAAGAAATTTACTGCGCGTCTATGCAAGCTGAATTGGATTTGTTTCGGTGTATAAGGTCTCATGTCTATCCTCGAATGTACGATTACAATCTGATATAACTCTCCACGGCTTCCAAAACCACGTACCCAAGGTCTTTCACAATAGGAGGTGCAACCATGGAGAAATGATCTGCGCGGGTAAGTTAGCTATTGTTTGTCTTGACAGAGTTACGCATGTAGTAAATCACGGTAAGGACGAAGAAAAAATGAAACTTACCTCCATCAACTTTTCGCACCACGATATTGTCCCCGACAAACCTTTCCCATCCATTGGTACCAAAATCGTACCGCTTGGCAAAGAACCACGACTTCAATTCCAACTCAAACTCGTCCATTGACATATCACTCATCGACTTCCCATCTCCACAAGGCCCCATGGCTGCTGGGCCCGTGATCCTGTCATCATGTTCCGCAGGATTGGGGCTATCGTTCAGTCCCTTGGTTGCCCAGATCACATGCGTCAATCGAGGCTGCTTGCCCTTAGGGAAGGGTACGGGGTCATATCGAATGAGTGCCCGCACGGTAGACGTCAAGTGCATCTTCTGCCTCTCAGACAAGCCCTGCAGAAAACTGCCCGCGCGCTCCACGCCCGTGAACGCTCCAGTCTGTTCCACAAACGCCATGGTCACCTCGGACGCGTCTGGCACGCTATGTGGGACCCGCATGTCCAACAACATTAGGCCTGTTATGGTCTCTGACTCTACCGCTGCAAGCTGCCACGCCATCTCATAAGCATAAATACTGCCCGCCGACCAGCCGCCGATGAGGTACGGTCCGCGCTCCTGAATCTTCCTAATTGATTTGATAAAGACCTGTGCCATCTCTTGGATACTGAGTGTATAGTCTTGCGGACGTTCCAAAAATGGTGACTCTAGAGCGTAGATGCGCCGCCCATTGGGGAGAGGAGGCAGGTGGATATAGGCAGCAACTGCGCCAGATCCGTCCGTCACAAGGAAGAGCGGTGACTCTGTCGATCTGGCACTCCCTTGAATGAGTATTGCACGAGACTCGGGCTGAGGCTCTGACTGGGCAGCAGCTTGAGGCACAGGAGAATTTTGCCTTACAGTATTCTTCGCTGGGTTCTGTGATGGTCCAACCTGAAGTGTTTTCTTGACGGTTGGTTCTAACTTCACAGGATCAGATTTATGTGTTTTTGTGGCCGTCACGGTTGCTACCGTTTTTCTCGGGGTCGAGATCTGTGCTGGAGCTGATCTGTGTCCATCAAGTTCCTCTCTCACTTCAGAGACGGTCTGATTGTTGTTGAAGAAAGCTGCTGGTAGCTCTATGCCGGTTTCCCTTTTGAACCTTGATAAGATTTGGATACTTATCATTGAATCAACGCCAGCTGAGCTGAAATTCGTTGTTGGAGACAGCTCATCTATGTCAATGCCCAGCTCCGTCGCCACAATCCGCATGAGTATTTCGCTGTTGCGAATCACACTCTCATCAGGGCTTGGAAGCACCAGCTTTGGTTGAGCTACATCATGTCGTCTTGTACCTCTTTCCTTCAAAATTGGGTTCTGGAGCTGCGCTGAAGGTATTCCTAGCTCCCTTTTCACATCCGTAATAGTTGGAAAGGTTGTGAAGAAAGAAGCCGGTAGCTCCATACCCGAAATTTTCTTGAAGTCGGTCAAAATAGCGATGCTCATCTGCGAGTCGACCCCCATATCAGAAAATGCGCTGTCTAGGTTCATTTCCTCCACAGTTGCCCCCGTTCTTTCAGCCACTACGCCAAGTAACATGTCGTACGGATTGGGGGTGTTGATGGAGGTTCCTGAGGTGCTCAGTCCGGAGGTTGCTGTGGAAGTAGATCGGTCATCTTCAGAGGAAGAGTTGCTACTGTGACTGTTCCGACGTCTGGCCATGCTCTGCACCGGTTGGACTTGGATGGATGCAAGTGAGGCCACATGACTATCCTTACCTGTCAGGGACCCGAAAAAGGCTCGAGTGAGCTTCTGGAAGCGTATGTCGATGCAGTATGCCACAAGCTCAATATCGTCAAACACGTAAACGTCACACAAGCTGGCGCCCTTGCTAGTGCGCTCCCTGACGGCAGCATAGCATGTTAACACGCGATCGTCCTTGAGTTCACCCATTATTTGCATCCGCCCAATGTGGTTTGCGATATGCAAGTCATTATTGCTCTTCTTCAAGTCTCCATTCAGGAGGAAACCGGCTAAGTGCACGAGTGCATCGACTGAATAAGGGCTGTAAGTGAATTTTCCCGCGCTAAGCGAAGATAAACGCATGCGACCCGCCGCATCATCGAAAGATTCGTCTATGTAAACGTCTTCCAGAGATTGATACGAGCTATCATAGTCGACGAGAGTGGCAAAAAGTCTGTACATAAGAGCTTTAGACATTCGATGGGCGGTACCTGTGGAGGATGACGTGATTAGATGGTTCACACGGCCCTTGACAAGTCTTTGCATTCTCGGCCACTCCGATCGTCCAGCTGCTGCACTAGAGACAATGACATGGCAGGTACCATGTTCAGTCATCGATCCCGGCACGGATGAGCTGAAACGGACTGACACAAATGTTTTATTTTCGTCCAAAGATGCAGTGATATGTACCACCTGCTCATCATTCTGGCAGGGGACGACCAATGGTGATGTCATGTCGAGTTCACCAAGCTCAAGCGCTGCGGGCTTAATATTGATCCCATTCTGGCTTAAAATAAACCTAGTAGCCGTGAATGCCATGTCCACGAAGACTGCTGCAGGACAAATTGCGAGACCATCGACAATGTGTCCCTGAATAGCCTTGAATAAACTCACTTCAGATGTGTGTGAAGCAAAATTGGCCAATGACTTGTCATCGCTGAGATACTCGAGGCTCTGCAAAGATGTGGACGATATAGCTAGATTTGCTCGCGATGATTGTGACGATTTCAATGGCAGGGCCGGAGCTTGTACTTGGTATGACACCCAGAAGTCCTTCAGGTCAAACGCATAGAAAGGCAAATCGAGCAAACGGAGAGTATTGATGTGTTCTTTGTGAAATTCCTGCCAGTTGACGGAGAGCTTTGATTGATGAGCTGTAGCTATGCATGTCGATATGGACTTCCAATCATCTTGTCCTCGGCGTAGACTTGCAAGACAAGTTGTTTCATGGTCTGGCAAACAGGAAGTAACAAGACCCGAACAAACAGGATGCGGACCAATTTCCAGAATGACCGATCCTTGTCGTATCAACCCTTCATTGGAGCATGTCTGGATAGCACTGATGAAGTTCACAGGAGATCGAATCTGTCTTGCCAGGTATGAAGCGTTGAAATCTTCCTCCCGAGCGCCGGTTAATGTTGAAACTACTGGAATGGTTGGCTTTCCGAAATGTATGAGATTAGCCGACGCCTCGAAGTCGCCTACAATCGATTGCATCTGCGCAGAGTGGAATCCGTAGGGAACCTGAAGCTTGGTTCCAACCATTTTTCTGCCTTTTAAGGTAACCATTAGATCATCTAGCTCATGAGATAAGCCGCTAATAACTGTTGAAACTGGGCTGTTAACACAGGATATTTCGTACGACGACCCACTGCTTGCTTGCAGTAAATCGCGGAGCTCTGGCGAGTTGGCCGCTAGTGGTACTGCTAACATAGAGTATTGATACGCATTGCAGCATTTTGCCATCAGCCTAGAACGTTCGTGGACAAGATGAAACGTGTCGCTCACTGAGAGAACGCCCGCGACACATAGAGCAGCATACTCGCCTAGACTGTGACCGACAACAACCTGTGGCTGAAGACCTAGGGACTGCCAGTACTGGGCAAGTGCAATCTCTAGAGCCACGATGGCCAACTGAAGCTCCGTTGGTGAGGCTTCGGTAACATCCCGAGCACCACGAATGATATCTATCCATGACGTCAAGCCATTATGACGGCAGATAGCCTCGAAGGTGTCCAGAGTTTGGCGAAATCGGGGGGAGCTAGTATAAAGTTTCGATCCCATGCCCGTGTACTGAGAGCTCTGACCAGTAAAAACGAAAACCAACGGCGAGCTTGTACCTTTGAAATTTGATGTCACCTTTGGAGATGGCACTAGAAGCCGTTGCACTAGATCCTGAATAGAGTCCACCACGAACGAAGCTCGACAAACCTCCTGAATACGCCGAGCTGTCGTTGTATAGGCCAGATGGGCTAAGCTAGTATCCGGGTTTTTAATGAGGAATGTAGCAAGCCGTGCTTTACTGGCCTCCAAAGAGCGAGGCGTTCGGGCAGAGCAAACAACGACATGGTATCTCCGAGGATCGACTTCCTTCACCGGCTGGCCTGGTCCATCCTCAATGAGTATGCTGGTATTACCGCCTGCAGCGTCAAACCCATTGATGACGATTTTTCGTTTGCCATCCCCATTGGAACGTGTAGCCAGGTACGGCTGCCCATTGGCTATATTAATATTCGAAACCTCCAGGTCAGAAAACCTGTGGTTGAGCACAAAAGGATATCCTGGCTGTGGAGGAATTTTGTTCTTCTGTAGCATAAGAACTGATTTGATCAAGGATACGACACCAGCTGCTGCCTCGCTGTGTCCGACGTTGGCTTTGACAGCGCCAACGTACAGGGGATTTTCTGGTGACCTCGATTGAGCAAAAACACCACGCACGGTGTTCATCTCGACCTGGTCGCCAACTTGAGTGCCAGTGCCGTGCATCTCGATAAATGAGACTTGATCAGCTTCGACGCCCGCCTTCCTGAGCAGATCGTGAAATAAGGCTTTTTGAGCATGCTCACCTGGGTAGGTAATAGAACCGGCTCCAGCGTTGCTGTTTCTTGCGGCGCCCCTGACCACAGCCTGTATGTTATCATTATCACGTAAGGCATCCTCTAATCGCTTCAAAACAACAACCCCCACTGCCTCACCTCGACAGTACCCATCAGCGTCATCAGAGTACGTTTTGCAACCGCCTGTCGACGACAAGAAACCTCCGTGACTAAGCCCAGAGTACAATTCAGGTAACATGAGCAAAGATCCACCGCCAACTACCCCCATATCGCACTCGCGGCTCACCAAAGCGTTACAGGCCAAATACAGCGACGTGGAGCTAGATGAGCAAGCCGTATCGACGCTGTAGAAGCCACCGCCCCATTTGAAGTAGTGGCTGACACGGCCAGGCGCAAATGCCCGATTGCTGCCGGGTAGATAGTGAGTGTCGCAGCCCTGCTGGTCGTTGATATTGCGCCAGTCTTCCGTCGTTTGACCGAAATAAGTAGCTACACGCGAGGACTCTTCAACTTCTGACCCGGGGTAGCCTGCCATCTCCAGAGCCTCATAAGTAGTCATCAGCAGCATCCGTTGTAGAGGGTCCATCTGTAAAGCTTCCCTCGGTGAAATGTTGAAAAGACGATGATCAAAAAGGCCTGGATCTTTGAGAAAGCAGCCGAATCGTGCCTTCGTCGAGTTTTTGCTCTCCCCAGATGCATCGTAAAATTGATCGATTGGGAACCTTGAGACAGGAATCTAACAGTTTTTTCAGGTACGTTAGATTGCATTCTGACGTGGTTGAGATATCTGTATTATGTCACATCTTGGGAGACCAAACATACCTCTTCATGTGTGTCCATTCCATCTTTCAGGACGTCCCAAAATTCCTCTAGGCTGTTGCTTTGTGGAAAGCGACCTGACATGCCCACAATGGCCACAAGCCCAGAGTCTCTATGACGCATATTGTCGTCTAGATTTCCAGCAGTTTTGACACCTTCTTCGAGTATTACCTGTTTTCCCGTGCTCTTCTGCAGCAGATTCTTAACCCAGTCTGTGTGTGGTGTAGGCCCAATGGTCGCGATATTTATACTTGAGCAGCCAGAGTCTCTGATTGTTTCTCCCAGCTTTTGTACACTCTTGTCCATTAAAAGTGGTCGCTGCGCTACCTCGTTGACCACGAGGTGAAAGAGTTCCCGGAGAGTGTTCGACTCAAAAGGTGTACATGCACTCGACGAGATGCATGTCTGAGCTTTCAAAGACGATTCTAGGAGTGCAGAATCGCCAACAATGACTTGGATATCCACGGGCAGTAAGTGGGTGGCGTGCACTGCAATGGCAGCCTTCAGCGGTGACATCCCCACGTCATCGAAGTCGCTCACTGTGTCCAACAATTGCAACGTGGACGGCGGTCCGAATACAGTCGACCACGACTTGGTCGTAATACCCATATATAGGTGACGTGGCAAGGGTAGTGACTTGTTGAATTCATCTATCCGTTTCTGCAAGGTCTCTGGCGAGCATCCCACAAATGTGCATCCCCATGATTGGTCTGTGTCTTGAATTAGTCTTGCTCGGCGCGTCAGCTCCCGCCCGAGCCGGAAACTGATGGCCACAGCTTCTACACCCATAGTAACGACATGGCTTGTATCCGTAGCGGCTGAGGCGACGGATGCTGCCAGTAAGCCGACGCAGAAGCCGAGCTGGTAGACATGGCTGCTGGCCGTATGAAGAATCGAGGGATCATCTTCGGAAAGCCTGCAAGGAAAAGGTTAGAATCGATCATTTGAGGAACACCTCAAGTTTTCATGTTGCATTGTTAGGAAACAGTTTTGCAGGCACAACTTACAAGAGCAATTCTCCTATTTGCGCTGTGGTTATAAGGGTAGCCCCACATATTTCGTCTAGGTGTTCCTGTTGACTATACAACTCTGCCAGCCCAAGTAAATCAACAAAGTGGCCGAACCGATGCTTCTCTGCAAGCGTAAGTGTACCCAATTGATTCTTAATAGCGTTTGTGGCGTCGTCTAAAAATCGACGAAGTTGTGGTCGAGTACGCGAATATTGATATAAGTTCTTCACCGCAGGGAGTTTGTCCACTACTTGGTCGCCGAAAAGGAGGACCCGGGCATTACTCATTTTCGGAGCTGCCAACGACCGTCTCGAATCGTTGATGACTTCAGAGCAAGACGAAGAGACCAAAGGAGTATTCCAAGAAAAAAAGTAAAGGAAACTAATCATACATGATATAACTGCTTCAATTTTCTGCCAAGACCATATCTCACCCATATCGTGAAAGTCGCACGACAATGTCGCCCTGCACTAATTATGTTGGCTCGAGATATATATCCTGGGGCTGGCAGGGTTATAATAGTTGAGTTTGCGATCAAGTGGAGCCCCGGTGCCAGTTGTCCACAACCTCAAACGATTTGGCTTGATTGGTGGGACCGCCCGTTGATGCCCACTCATTGGAACACGACTTGCAAGTTAATAGCACAAAGAGCAGCGTAGTATTTCGAATTTAAACAAAAGATTGGTTGCGAACTTCAAACAGTCCAAGGTCATTTTCAAATGATCTTATACATTTTTGGTATTAAAAATACTGAAAAAGAGAATTGAAAAAAAAGCTGGGATGTACCAAATTCGACAGAGTATTGCTGTATTAAACCTGCTCAAACCAGAAAAAATCTAATCGATTGATGATGAACTCCCTGTACACAGAGTACATGTTCGCCATAGAGTTTTTTCGGTACATATAGTTTATCCAATCTTGAGTATGTCACATATATGGATATAAGATATGCTATCCGATCTAATTTCAACTTTCTTGCTTTCCCACGTCAAGTAGCCACTGGATCCCACTAACGGTTTCTGCAACCCACTGCGGCGTTTTCCCTAGCTGCGGAAAGAAGGACCAAAAGCCATGTGGCATGCCCGGGTATAGCTTCAGCTTCGTCTTTGTTCCATGTTCCTCTCTAAGCTCTCTTTCAAAGCACAACGCTTCATCTCGCAGTGGGTCCCAACCGCAGACCTGAAAGTAGACCGGCGGCAGTCCGGCACGACTGACAGGGTCTGTCTCACTGTACAGATTGAATAGCCGTGAGCGCTCGTCCGGTTTGTATGCATCTATTAGGACTTTCCAGGTCTTGGCATTGAGAACAGGCGCTTCTTTGCACTGCTCAAAAGACTGCAATTCCGCCACCAGATGTGCAGGAGGAAATTTCATACTCATTACAATCGGAATGGATAGCCAGAGCCCGGTTAAAGGAGGTGAGAGTTTTTCATCCCGGGCCAAAGTGGCGGAAACAAGGGCAAGGTTGGCCCCGGCTGAAACGGCACCTAGGAGGAAGCCGGCATCCGGATTAGCGCCGAGTTTTGACGCGTTGGAAGCGGCCTGAATTGGTCAGTCGACATTGGTTCGTATTTGAAATCTGCATCTGGCGTACGAGAATATAAATAGATATTGACTTACCCATTTTACGGAATCGTAAGCGTCGTACAAGGGAGTAGGGAATGGGTTTTCAGGGGCAAGACGATAATCAACATTAACTACAGTACATCCAAGCTGCTGACAGAAATTCCGGCAGCTACCCTCCTCGGTCTCGAGGTCGCCCAGCGTGAAACCTCCACCGTGGAAAATGACGATGAGTGGGCTTCCTGTCTTGGGGGGATTGACGGGCTTGTACGTGCGGATAGGGATCTGGTAACCGTCACGAGCTGAAATTAAGCTATCTTCGATGATCAGTCCCGTGCTGGTTGGAAATGCCCTGGCGTTGACAGCCTTTTTGGTCTTGTGCAAGAAAGCACGTTGCGCGGCATAGTCGGTCTCAAGTCCTGGAGGAGGGCCGGGTTTGGGTGAAGCGGCAGCTGCTTTTAGAAACTACTCGTAGCTCGCGACTTAGTATACGTATTTGCGATGGGACTGCTTCAGGCTTTCCAATACCTTATCCAGATCTGGATCAACCTCTGCGAGCTTCATCCATTCTGGGTTTCCCGTCATGTTGGCCTTTTGTTTAACACAAATACGCAAACAGATCAATATGTGCTGAAAGTCGTGAAGAGATAGCCAAGGAAGCGATCAAGTTCATGCATTTCAAAAGTATAGAGATTTGGTAAATATATTATATCTTGACTTACAGCATTACATTTTTGTGGAACATCTAAACGAGCAAGAGTCGTTTGATGGCACCAAGTCTTCTTCGACCTCTACTACGCAATACACGCGTTTAGCGACAAAGTGACTGGAAAGGTTTGTGGACCTAAATCGATCTCCCTTCAGTATACTATCTAAACCGTGAACCATACGTGTCCCACTGCAGGAATTATCCAAGACGTGCGTGTAAATTTACTAGTCCAATGAAACAGACTTGAACGTCGATGTTTTAGTATACAATTAGAGATTGAAGTTCCCGATAAGTTCCCTAGTATAAATGTGGACGAACCCGGCAGCATTCCTGGTCAAAAGGCCCGCGCAACGAACGACGTGAGGTCCAATCGAATCCTTGTACGCACAGTTGGGAGCACCTGTGAGTAAATATAGAGTATAACTCCCCACATTATTGAATCCAACCCCCCTTCCACTCTCAGCCAGAGAATATTGGAATACACTGATCTTATGCTCCCACGTTCATGAAGTGCTGAACGTTACATGTGGGACATTGGATAAACGTAGATTTTGGAACTTGGAAGTTATTGAAAAAGCTACATTCACAAGCGGACAGTGATATATAGACCACATAACTTCTCATTTATTATTTACTGCAGTTTAATTTCAAACGATCAAACGAATCAAGTTTATAACAAATATGACCGTCACTATAAAATTGCGCACGACAAGTAGTTCTTTGTTTTCAGATGAACGTGTAGAGAAAAGCTAGCCAACTTCGTTTATATCAGGAACGTTCCCATCTTCATTTCATCTGCTGATTTAAACCATTCCCGGGAGCCCTGTTTAGCATCATTAGGTCGAGTCACATCTGTAGACATGGAGTATTTGTGGCTTAGAGGTGACATCAGGTCTCTCCTCGGCCAGGCTTTAGTATGGTTTCCGATACTTCTTGTATCTTTATACATTCTCAAAGCCATATACCGAATCACTCTCCACCCCTTGGCGAGATTTCCGGGTCCAAAGCTCACGGCGATGACACGATGCTACGAGGCTTACTATGAGGTCTTCGCAGATGGCACAGGCGGCAAGTTCGGCGAAAAGATTGAAGAATGGCACAGGCAGTATGGTCCCATCGTGCGCATCAATCCCTTTGAACTCCACGTGAATGATCCGGAGTATTTCGACGAGCTATTCAACTTCAATGCGCATCTTTGGAAACGAAGCTTTGCCATAGGTACAAAAGAGCCTCTTTGGACCTCTTATTGAGCAGCATGCTAACATGTGAATGAAGATAATCTCGTCCATACACCGTCTTCAACACAGCATAAGCAGCGTCGACAGGTCCTACAGAACTACTTTTCACAGCAGAAGACAAATCAAATGACGTACATTGTGCGTGACAGGATACAGGCCCTGTGTAACCACCTCATCTCACATAAGGGCAAGGGCGAGCCAGTCAAGGCATCACTGATGTTCCGAGCTATGACCACCGATATTATCTGTGAGTATGCATTTGGGCGACATTGGGGATTTGTTGAGGACCCCGAGTACAGCGAGGGATATTTCTCGGCAACGCAGAATACGTTCAAGAACATCTACTTTTTTCGCGAATACCCTATAGTAAACAACATAGCTCTCGGCCTCTCGGCCCTACCCGACTGGCTATTCCCCAAAGGTAGTCTAAAGAACGTCACACTATGGGCAGAGGCAAGTTTCAAAAGCCTTATCATCGATTCAATGGTCGCCTAACGCTTGAGTTGGAACTTCCAGAAATTGAGACAACATACGGAAAAAGCTATGATGCACGAGATCCGCCATGAAAAGGACGAAGGGAGCCCACCCACAATTTTTGAGGAGTATAAGACCAACAAGCTGCCACCTGAAGAGAAGACTCCCAATCGTATCTTCCAGGTGGCCCTGATGGTCATGGGTGCGGGCGCGGGCACGCCAAGCTATGTGCTTGATATTGCCACGTACTATATTCTGGCAGACCCAGCCATTCACGATCGCGTCAAGGCGGATCTTGCCAGCGTGTGGTCTGATCCAAAGGCCCCGGCGCCAGAGGTTGCTGTGTTGGAGGGTTTACCGTTCCTACGCGGCTGCATCAAGGAGGCACTACGTCTGGCGCTCGGACCTATGGCTCGGCTGCAAAGGCTCAATCCGCATGAAGAGATGCATTTCCAGGAATGGCTAATACCGAAGGGAACGCCTATCGGCATGACGCATCGGTTTATCCATCATAATCCAGACATTTATCCCGAGCCGTTCGAATTCAGGCCCGAGAGGTGGATGCAGGGCGAGAAGTCCAGGGAGCTTGAGAAGTACCTGGTAACCTTCTCTAGGGGGTCGCGGCAGTGTCTAGCCATTCCGTAAGTTCGACAACGCTCCCCCACTGCTTTTGGTTTGGTTCCCAACTTGTGACACGCCGACACTGTAATATAGCCTGCCGTCAACTAACAGTATACAATAGCCTAGCATACGCTGAGCTCTATCTATGCCTAGCCACATTAATCCGAAAGTTCGACCTCCAACTATATGAGACGGACCGCGCCTGCGTAGATCCAAGGTACGACTATTTTGCCCCATTTCCAGAAAAGCATGACCTATCCAATGAGCGAGTACGCTTTTTGGTGCAGTAGTGGGAACCGTCAATTATAAACATCAATGCTAAGCGGGACGGCGACAACGAGATTTCTTACAGCTCATGATGCTGCGTCGAGGAAATGCTAGTGGGAATCTTTGTTATACACGCCGGAACATGATATACATTATCACTTAAAATATCACTAGAGAGAAACTCATTTCCAGCATACAAATGTATGTAAATAATATTTAAGGAATTACTCGGCTTGATAGTTTCTTCTTCATAGGGTATTAATTAACTCTACCTGTTTGCATATTCTTCACTTCCATATTATTCTGCTTCATGGCCGTTTACACATGAACTTTATATAGAGAAGATACCGTCTTACCCAAGTCTGAATGTATGTCTACCTGAGACATCTAGTCACTGCAGAAACTTTATGTATCTGAACTCGCGTCATTTGCCCCACCGGCTCCATTTACCTAGGTTTTTGCAAGACGAGTCTCGAGCAGCCGGTCTGTACCAAAGCCTTTCCACACATTTCTGAGTTCCAAACCAGAAGCATCTAAAACCTTGATCCACTGCTTCTCTGACCTTTCTTTCCCACCCATATTCATCATTGACATATCCATACAGATGATAGGAAGCTCACTTTCACCCATACTCGCCGGGACCATCATTTCGGAGATGAGGAAGACAGTGTCTTCTTTCGCAGCTGCAATGAGATGCTTCAGAATCTCTACGCACTTATCGTCGGAGTAGTCATGGAGTACTCGGCGCAGATAGTATGCTTTGGCACCTGTGAGGGTTTTGTAAGCCAAGGGGGTTGATAATATTCATGCACATCGGAGGTCTGTTTACCAAGCCACTTACCTTTGACCGGCTGCGCCTCGAACATGTTGTGTGCCATGGCACGAACGCCCGAGGGAAGAAATCCCGACTTCTGCGCCTGCTTGATGGGATCTTCGAGGTCCTGCAGAATAAATCTTGCCTGCTTTTTCTCCAGCTCAGGGCTCGACTTGATGATGGCTCCGAGCGTGCGGCCTATGCCGCCGCCCACATCCACCAAAATCACTCGATCCGGCTCATCATCTGTGGCGAGCGAGCCGAAGTCAAAGAAACCAGTGGCAGGGAATTTCTTGTCCATGGTTGCCAGGGCCATTTGAAAAACCTCGAGTCCCCTCGTTTCGGCCATAATGTCCCACACCGTCCGGCCATCCTGGCCCCGGCTCCAAGTGAAAGGATTGTAAGCTTGGTCCGTTGGCTCCGTAAACGACCTTCGCTCAGTCATATATTGGTGCAAACGACCAAGTCCAGGCAAACAGTCATCATACGTTGTCTGGAACATCATGGCGGGGCCCATTGCTGCGCCATAGGACCGAGAGAGACGAGTGTGGGCTATCTTTCCTTCGTCGTTCTGCGTGATAAACTGCGTGATCACAAGCACTCGTAGCAGTCTCTCAAGCAGTGAGGATTGAATCCCGCTTTGACGAGCCAGAGCCTCAATAGATATGCTCCCTGACGACGGGATGCGCTGAAGGATCCCAAGGTGCAGGATTGTCCGCAGGCTCGTCAACGCGTACATGTTCCCAATCTGGGTCCTTGTGAAGTGCAGTGGTGAGGTCAGTGCCAGCGTGATCTCTCGCGCTTTGTGAAGGATCGCATCTCGTTCTGGGCTGGGCTCTAGAGCTGCAGTCGGCTTGTAATTATTGCAGGCTTCTGACAGCTCTGCTGCAAGTTTTGTTAATTGTTCAGGAACCATGGCTTCGTGAAGTAGTCATTTACTTTGAGATGTAATGCAAGAGCTCTTTTGTTAAGTTATAACACGAAAAGAGAGTTTTGTGGCAGCATTCATGTCTGCTATCAAAATCGGTTGCGTGTGGGAGTTTCACGTGACAGGATGGTTCCACCAATAAGCACGAGATCACTCCTAAATAATTACATGCCAAGAAATTTTCCGTTTATTTGAGTTTGGTTGTTCATATTGATTGGTGGTCCAATATTCGGGAGCTCTGCTGATAGCAAGTGCGAAGGTACTACATTGTGCTGAGGTAACTTGTGCATCGGCGTTGTCACTCGGTGAAACACCCGAAAAGTCGTCGATTTCTCAACTGTAGAATTTAAATAATTCATTTAGAATTCGGTGCTTCGCTTATTAATAGATATTCAGAATCATAATCTTAACTGAATGGTTTTAAAGATGGAGCTCGCGCGCTCAAAATGCCTCTCCTGGACTTTATACTCGATTTGGAGGTTGTATTCCCTGGCACGTGCTATGATCCGTTATACGTTCATGATTATCCTATGTATTTTAAAAAAAAAAAACAATATGCAAGCATCAATACTTTGTGACTAGTGTTTTGGCCTCGTTTGTGCTACTTTCCTCATTGCGAATGGACTATGTATAGTCACAATATGCTGCCTTGACACTGCTTTTATGCCAGCTTACGACTCACTCTTGAGCCATTCTTGAGTCTCCTTGAGGACTTTTCCAACAGTACTCGGGTCATCATCACCAGCCAAGGTATCTGGCATCTTCACCCCCTTCTGGGAAATGAACCATGCTAAATGTCGATAGCTCTTTCGGCCCTTGACAGATTCTCCGATCTCAGGCAACGTAGTAGTATTTGGGTCTACAGGCACCAGAGTGTCTCGGTTGTATATGGTCTCCCAGGAGCAGATCTTCCAGCCCTTACCCTCAACCTTCTCAAGGCGAGAGATCGTACGAGAGATGTTAGTCAAGTCAAGCTCACTGCCTTGGTGCTCGAATCGGTTGAGAGTCGTGTCTAGCCCAACAGCGACGGCTTTTGACCCTTGAACCTCAATATCCACAGCATCTACAAGATGGAGTATTTTGAGGCCAGGCGGACTGCTCATTTGTGAGAGGTTCATGAAACCATCGATGTTGCCCTGAAATCTGCCAAACATAAGCATTTCGTTGTGACGTAGCTGGTGTCTCTTGGGAAGTCCTTACGCCCCAACCTGTATGCGAGTCTTGGACGGGCTAGGATGGTAGCAGTTCCTCAGGTTCTGCCACTGGCGACAGTCTCTGTAATACCTCTCATTCTTCAAGAGCGAATTGATCTGGAATTGATCCAAAGCTAGCCGATCAGCGCTGTCCAGAGCAAGCGGTTGAGCTCGGGCTTCTACTGAACTATCCTTTTCCTTAATTAATTTCCCGGGCGCGCTCTCGTTGACGCGACTATCTTTATAGTCGACCCTTGAAAAGATCTTATAATAAAACCCAATGAGCCACAAGACAATATCTTGAAAAGCCATCTTAAAGAAATCAACTTTAGTCCAAGTAGAAGAATAGGCAATGATCAAGATGGCAACGAGGAAGACGCGACACGCTATTCTGGTGGATGTAAAAATACAAATATCATACTATGCAATGCGAATTTGCCATCTCCCTTAAAATAAGGAACTGTCAATATTTGAAGGCGTTTTTTTCCTGCTCCTAAATCCAAATATTCCACTATCTGTGTCGGCTTCTTCTGACAGGTGTTCCGCTTTACATGGAGCCAAACCCGGAAGAGGGGAGAAACAGAATGTTGCCCGGTAAATTTCAACCAACCGCGACCCATAGCGACCGGTTGACAACAACCGTGGCATAGCAGGAAGAATGAGGGGCGAGACTGCCTATTTACTAGCCCCGAAAAAGACGAGGTCACATAGCCCATGTCAAGATGAGCGCATCGGGGTCGACGTAGTATTCGCGGTGGCTCCACAGTATATTGATCCAGCTTGTCCACCGTGATGCAGACTCATGGCATATGTCTCGATCGTACGCGTCGCTTGCCATACCTACGATTTGGTATTTTGGTGCAGTGGGTCTTCAGTCAAGCTGGGGAAAGCAAGCTTACGTTGCTTGGCGGAAAAACAAGCTCAAAAATCTTTGGAATGGCGATACAGCAAGCTCCACCATGTCCGAACTAGCCCCCTGCATCCATGCTTTTTCAGCCGGGGTCTTCTCCAAACTTTGTTGGTCGACGCAAGAGCCAGTGGACTTCAGGCATGCAATGTGAGGTACTTTGAGGTCCAGACTCAAGTCTGACATGCTCCGGCGATCCTTTAGTGAAACAGCTGCGCGACGAGTGCATCCTACCAAGATTGGCGATATCCGGGACAGCGTAATCCCAGCGTAGGATCTAGGCCTTGGCCTCTGCTTCTAGTGGCCGCATTCAACTATGCTGCTGTAGGACGTCATATCAGCTCTTGTCGTGAAACTAAGGACATATCATGGCGATGTTTTGATTCCGTCTTACCAGTCGGTGCTTCATCATTGCCCCGCAGAATTTGGACCAGAATGCAAGCAATATGTGAGGTTATCAAGCCAGAGCGTTGCCCATTGTCGAACATAAGTCAAGAAACGCAGCAGACATGAAGCCTTACCAATGTATCCCGCGCCCTTTTATATTGAGAACACATCTTGGGAATCTGGGAATTCATCGCTCTATCTCCTGCAAATACATTTATGACGAAAATCTCGAGCTGAACTTGTGGTAAGTTGTAGCTCGCCACAATGGATCCTATCATATTGAAAGAGTATGACACGGTCGAGAAGATCAGCCAGCTGCTAGAGCCCGAGTAAGCCGTGACCGCATCTTATTTTATAGCTTAAAAGTGCTGACATAAATCGAGTGAGGAATTCACAACGGTAAGCTGTCTTAGATAAACACCTTTCTTGACGAATCTGCTCACAACTTGAGTAGTACGTCAAGGAGAATCCCGTGCAACTTCCGCCCATTGAGAATGTGGTTGGTATGCGCATGATCCGCAACCAGATGGAGGAGTGGATGAACGATCGCTACATGTCTACGACGCAAAGGATTGCAATGGCAGATGGCCATGAGAATGAAATGCGCATCTTCAAGCCCGAGAAAGTGCCAGGCTCTGGCAGTCCCCTCGTGATCCTTGTGCATGCCGGAGGTTTTGCAATGGGGACGACACATCAGATGTCTCCCTTTGCTCAAGGTATTTGCACGATGTATGGAGCGACTGTGGTGTGTGTGACACACAGACTAGCGCCTGAATATGTTTTTCCCACGGCACCTCACGACATCTGGGATTCGGTCAAATGGCTGGGCGCAAATGCTGCGTCTCTGGGTGCTGATCCAAGGGTCGGGTTTGTCCTAGGCGGTGTATCATCCGGCGCAAACCTGACGGCCGTGACCGTGCAGCGAGCTGTGAGGGAGGGTTTGTCTCCTGCACTGACTGGCGCATGGATGTGCATGCCATGCCTGTTGGATGAGAGGATTGTGCCGGCCGAGTATGCTGCCGTGTTCATTTCGCGCGAGCAATGCGCCGATGCGACTCTTGTAGACACTAAAAACCTCTACAGTGTGATTGAGACAGCGAAGCCCGATGTTCACTCACCGGACTGGTCACCATTTAATAGTGCAAACCCTCATAACGAGATGCCGCCAAGCTATATTCAAGTCAGCGGCGCAGACCCCATGAGAGATGACGGACTCATATATGAGCGCGTACTAAGGAAGGCTGGTGTCAAGACCAAGCTCAATGTCTACCCTGGCGTTCCTCACTGGCACTTCGGGTTCTTTCCGAGCCTTAGTGCCTCAAAGAAAGCTAATAGTGATGCGGTCCGTGGTATTGGATGGTTGCTGGGGCAGAGCACTGATGGAGAGGATGAGAACATACTCGGGGCTATGGCTCCACCTATGTGGACATGATGACAATGTGATTCAGTGTTACGTACTTGGTGAGCCAGCAGGCAATAATTGAACTTGGCTAGACCTGCTATAAAGCATACAGCTACACCTTGTATAAGACAGTTCGCGTTGCCCAATTATTGATCCTTGCTACTACGACCAAGTTCATGTCCATCGACCCAAGATAATTATAAGCTATTTGAAACAGACGAATCTGCCCATTTTCATGGCGTCACGATCGTGAAGGCTTGAAGGGAACTAAGGAATATTATCGTTGTCAAAATTGATGCTGCACAAGTTGAACCCCCACGAACAAATAGCTATTGGAAGTCAAACCCCAAAGAACACTGCCTTATCAATGAAAAGAATCGAGTTTAGGGCGGGTTGCCAGGGGGCTTGAGCCAGTTCAATCACGAGCCGTACCTCGAATGCTAATCAACTCAAACTGGGGTGACACCATTGATGCATGGTAGTCACATCTGCAGGCAGGGAAGTGATCCTTAAGCGACGTGAAACCATTGACTGCTTCTACTTACACTAGTAACGGCACCCAGGAGCCATTACCCAGTCTGCCGACTGGACCTATCGAAGGAGGGCCGGTGTTCTGGGTCCCCCTAATATATTTCCTTAGTACGTCGACTCCGATTGTATAGATCAAATAGATTACATTCGATCGGCAGGCTCAGGCAAAACCCCCGCTAACTACGCGCGGCCCAATATACAATACACGTGTGAATAAATTTTCTAGGGACGACTTGAGTGGTATCCGCATCCAGAGAATTGGTTCGCCCGAGTGGTAATTAGCGCGTGGCTGGTTCATTGCCGACTAGACTAGCCCCTAACCTAGGAAGTCGTGGACCGTTGGTTGATATTCGGATACCGAGAAAAGAAGTATCGAAGATGGCTTATTCCATTGATCAAAGTACACATATATCAATCGAGTCAATTGCTTGTAGCACAGCAGATCGCCTGGCTTAGATGCATGAATAAGCATAGCATGATGTACCTTGGATAGTCTAGCTACATTGTATATTCATGACTTTTACACTGGTCGCCAAGACTTCCAGCTGCCGGCAACCCCCTCTCCGTAGATGTCTTATCTTACATGACTATTATCTTACCGGGTGATTTTTAGTGGTAAATGCCTACTCTACCAGTGCTATTCTTAGCGATCTTAGTGCTCCAGAGTTCTTGCTTATAGCGTCTTATCCAGCGGGGTTTAGTGCCTCCATGCCTTGCAAGCAGTCCAGGTTCCCTGCAGCCGCGGACCGTTAGCAGCTGCTACTGTTGAACATGGTTCGACTAATTGGTAGTGACCTCCGTATGCACTTATCGTCTGTAGACTTTCTGGCCACCAGTGTGCCATTATAAGCGCTAGCCCCCGAGTATTTCGTGGTCGTTGTATATTGGCGTATTTAGTGCCTCTTGCCCACGCCCATAGATAATGGCCGAGAGACTAGACAGTTTGCCAATACTCGTCCAAGACTTCCAAGACTCCATTCAATGGATAACCTTCTTCTAGCCTCGGCGTCTGTGGGCCAGCAGAGCGGCGATGGGCAAAGTCACGCCGGTTTAACACATGGTGATACTTCGTTCTTTGATTTTGATCTTAGCGTATTTGAGTCACCGAACATCGAGGACATATACGCCGAAGTTCACAGGTCAATCGATCAAATCCATTCAATGGCCCTCAGCCAGACTGCGTTTGCTCCTGATCGGATCAAGGAGGAGAACAGCAAGGTAGTTGAGAAACTGTTCAGCCTGGAGCATGATGTCGTGCGGAGGTCGTCAACCACCCCTAACTCGTCATCGGCAGGCCAAAGCCTTGCAGTTGTTCACCCCTGTAAGTCATGGTCCGCACCCCTACAGACCAGTCTGTCGGGTTTTGTCACGGAGCACAAGACTTACTTAACAAGTATCCATGAACACGCCAAATAATTCCTGGATAGACACCAGCCCTCTGGATGTAAGTTGTCCTGGATTCCCACACATCGCGACGGATTTCATGTTTAAACAGTGCTTCTTCAAAAAAGGGCTCTGCGACACGGGCGCATAATAAGGATCGTGGCTCCGATTTGAATCCCGTCATCAAAACATGCACAGGTCCATGAATGGGCACACGAGTATCTCATCAAATACTGACCGTGATGCAGGTTTCTCAGTATCCTTCGTTCTTCAATGGTTTCGACGGTGGCACGGCGGGAACACCCGCAGTCAATAGCCAGCCATCGCCACCTGCTAGTGAGCATAGTCATACATCTCGGGGTTCTCCGACACTGAGGCCGCAGGCTCGGCCGAAACGACGGAAACTCTACCCACGAGGCAAGGACTCGAAAGAAAAGTCCGACGCGCAGCCTGATGATGCTACCTGCGTCTTGGCAGTCCTACTTCGTAACAGCCCCAAGCTGGCTCAGAAGTTCCTGGAGATTGGGAAGCCGGAGATTGTAGCTGAGGCCGAAGAGTTTGCCATGCAGTTGCAGGATCCAAAATATCGTGGAGCTTCTCAGTCCCTGCCTGAGCCGTACAGCTTCCCTGGCATGTCTCACATACGTGATGGCTCAGGGTTTCTACGGATGCTTCCCAAGCTAGCGCTTGCTATCGAGTGCAATATATTTGGAGAGCAGAACCACAAGATCAAGAAGAGGATAGCCATGGCCCACTTTTACCACGCATACACCCTAGCACAAGAAAACCCCCAGACATTTCTCTCCTGGTGTGACGAACACCAGATATCAAAGTCTATGTTACCCAAGGGCAACCACAAGTCAATGGTGCAGCACCGTTTTGCGGACCTGATGTTTCCCCCGGACCAGAAAAAGTACGAAGGGGCCGACTGGCGCAAAACCAGAATTAGCAAGATCCAAGTATGGAGAAAGAGTGGGAAGCACTGGGCCAAACTAATCATGCGTTTTGGACATGGCATTCTCCTGCTTATACCACCGTCTGTGACAGATGAAGAGTGAGTCCTCCGGGGACCTCCAATCTAAGCCAAACCGCTTGTAGGACTACTGCTAACACTGTTTTACTTAGTCTGAGGGTAGCTCATGACGATGAGATGGCTGCCATCCTAGATCTCATAGAGTCGCGCGAGCATCTTTTCGCAGACGCACTCCGAAAGGCCAATGAGGCTTTTCGCTCACAACCTTTGGTAGGCCAGGAACGCCAGCTGATTCAAGGGCTAGGTGAGTCCGAGCGAGCTGGCTGGGATCACTTGTTGAACTAAGTTCATAATGCACGGCGACATGATGTCTTAGAATCTGCAGAAAGCCTTTTCTATTTACACCCAGTGCATATAGATGCACACGCAGTTGTAGTACTGAAACGTCTAACCGTCATACATGTGGCCACCTGTCATCCCATATCACAAGATGGCGCCCGAGTTGTATCAAGTATCATAGTGTATTAACTTCCAGGCTATTCCATTTTATCGTTAACCTCACTTTATCAAGCGGTTGTGGCCCTTGTAAATTTTTGTGGCCGACCACTTTGCATGTATACCCGCTCAGTGGGCGGCTTATATTCTTTTTATCGCAACTTCGGGGCTAGTTATGCACATGTTACCATCATAATTCTCCCCATTCTCTGTGTAAGGGCACATTTGAAACCGTAGTTTCCTTCGCTACCCTTCAACTCGCTCCTTTTGAATGATATATCAACAGACTTTCTCACGCAGAGGTCCGGGGTGGCCCGCAGATACTCGCATAGCCGACGATAGTGTGTCTTCTACATTTGGAGATGCTGTATAATGTAAGTGTAATGTTACCGCGACGTGGAATTGGATCAATTGCACATTTGCCGAATACGTGTTAACTTACGCAAACAAAATGTCGCTAGACTGCCCCAAGGCGGGTATCTCGGAGATTTATCATGCAGCCGCTTGAGGGTTGTTGGTATTCTTCCAATGACCCAGCTTTGTTTAAACCCAATGAAACCAACTGATCGTTGGTGGGTGAGCTGCAGATGCACTTCGCCTTGGCAATTTGAAGCCAGTTATTTGAAATAGTTTCCCTAGATGAGGATACATCGGCTTATATGTCGAGTCTTAGATGCAGCTTACTAGGTCAGCCTTAGTGCCAGCAGCGACAGAAGTTCGGGATGTAGTTCAGCGTCGAGTCAGAAACTAGTGTGGAATAGGACATGGTCTGGTAAGCTCAACGATGTGGTTTCGCGACATGCATATAGGTTTGAACCGGGAACAGGAAGACAGGGGCTTGCCAAAACGTTGAACTAAGAACAAGGATTTCCGTAATTTTGATCTTGAATGCAAGGCTATTTGAATGGTTCATGACAAGTAATGTAACTCTGACCTAGTTTGTCATAGAATACTTCTCAAGCTTGGAATAACTCATTTCACGGCCGCAACGTGAAAATTCTGCTCAACACAAGGCAACCCTGCTGTGTTAATCATTGGCTGTTAATTCCAAATCGCGGTTAGTACGGTAGTCACCTGACGATTATGGAAGCTTGTTGACAATAAGCCTTCGGCTTGAGTAAATAATAATTGATCATTCTGTAATATTTCCTGAACGCTAGTAATTTTGGCTGGTCGTGCGTATTGATTTAAAATCGATTTGCACCGGAAGACACATGATATAAAGAACATGAGGGAGAATAGGGTTGTTTGATGAATGTTGTCGGGGACAGATCTGTTCGGATAGTGCCACGGCGTTTCAATTTGTATAACCCGGCCAATCGCAATCTCGCAGATCGAGCAAGCACGCTGAAGCAAAGAGTCTACGCAGTTTCGTACTCGAACTGAGGGATGGAGTCGATAAAGTTCGGCTTATCTCCTCATCAATCGTTACATGAAATTGTCATATGTAAAATTATTGTCGATTCGAATTGAACACTGGAATATAATGCTCAATGTAGACTATGTACACTAAATACTTTAATAACAAAAACGTCATGGTAGACGATAGAATAAGCCAATAAAGGGATGATCGAGTCAATACTCCAGCTATGGGAGTCTGTCGCTGTGGCAGGAGTTTCAAAAAGGGATGGCACCAACCGTGTGTGCAAAAGTATGATTGGGCCTCTGCAGCGCGGCAATTGGTCCCAACACACCCAGGCTTCGACAAAACGGTCACTAGTATGTGGCTGACTGGGTCTGATGTTGTTTGGGACATCTATGGGTGATATAATAGAGTACGGATCGGTGGCGCATACAACCTTGAGGTTTATTAAGGTTAAGTTACGGGTACCTTTAAGTTGTCTTAGATTGATATAATACACATGAGCCTAGCCTAAAATGATCCACTACGTCCTCCAATTAGGAAGCTGGTAATCGAACATCGGAAAATATGAGTAATCATGGTGAGTTTGTAAATTGTTCGATCTGTTAACGTTAGTGCATTACTTTATGTTCCATCCGCTTACTTTCCCAGCAAACAGTCCGTCCTCGGGTTAAGATTGTTCTCATGGTTGAGCTCATGAGACTCTAGGGCCCTTACGTGGACGTAAAATCACCTAGGCTTAGTCTTGACACAAGCACCTATTTATGAAGTAACCGGTTAGTGTGTTGATGCGCTTTCGTATGACTACCCGCGCGCAGCTACAATCATTTTGAACTAAGAAATGTCTCTTTGTGATTGGTCATGTTGTCACTTATCACTCCCCAATAATTGCACTCTAGACAGCCTTCCATTGGAAATAGTCCTTGTGGTTATTTACAAAGCAATCACGGTGTTTTGAGACAGGCCGCTCTAATTTCAAGAGAGTCTGCAATTTCTGATCGAAGTATAGTGAGGTATTTATCTTACAACAAAGTATATTTCAGACCCAGGACTACAGTCTTGTGCAGCATGTTTCATTTGTCTTCTTGCTATGATGTTTAAACATGTAAAAGACAAAGCGTCACTACGATACTTGATATTGAAGGGAGCCGCAGGAGGGTATCGTATATCCCTCATACACAGCGCATAGGTGTTTTTTTTTTTTTTTTTCACCATGGAAATTACTTGCCTGTCCATGCCATTTGGGAAGTTATAAAGATGCTTCTAGTGACTTTTAGATGATCTATTGAGATAGACTTTGTGAAACCTGCTTTGTCCAAGGAGGCTTTAATCGCTTGAATATAGTCAGGGCACCTCTGCATCTTTTCATGGAAAACAATTCTTACAATATGAGATACAACCACTAAGAAACCAAATAATCGCTAGCACCTAGTTCAGACTAGTAGACGTGTCAAAGAATGGACGCAAGGTCAGCGGCAGGCTTGAACAAAGTTGTTGGAGACGCGTGACTTGGAGTTGGCGATGTTAAGTACCATCTACCTCTTTATCTTCCCATGAAATCCACCTGGCCGGTCATATATCTCGTACGGCTTCACCCCCTTCTCCATTTTGCGTAGCGTGTGGTTTATTGATGTGCATGATGGAAGGCTGGCTGGCCCTGCCGATGCGAATTCTTTGCTGAGAGGCCGCTGGAGAGCACAGATTTCCATGCCGGTGGGAACATAAAATTCTCTTATAGTTTGCGGTGAAGGTCGCTTCAATCTCTTTTGACGCCCAGTCTGCCGACACCCTTGAGCCCCCAATGGGTCACGGCTACAGAAGCCAATACCAGTGCACAGTTGTACCACCAACCAGCTTTGTAACCTTGAAGCAATGCCTCCTGAGGGCTTCCACCATTTACCTTTGCCGTAACATGTCGTGCAATTACTGCTGTAGTTGCGACTCCGAAACTCTGCCCAATTTGTGCTAGCATATTAAAAATTCCGCCTGCTAGTGCCTGCGTCTTTGCGGGGAACGCCTCTGTCACGACCAGGTTTGCAATGGTATAAACCATGTCCATACCAAGTGGATTCAGTAACATGGCCTGGAACATAACCTGCCAATACCCTGGGCCGTCGACACGACACAGAATCGCGAGCAGCAATGTAGCAACAGAACTGACAAGACAGGCCGCAGGCACAGCAAGCGAAGGCCGCATGCGCGGCAATAAGCTGGCGGTAGCTGCGTTCATGATAGCGCCACCAATAGGAGCCGGTAGAAAGTACAAGGATGCTGTAAGAGCCGACTTGTCGAGCACATCCTCCAAATACAAAGCTGTGAATTGTTCACTAGCATTCAGGCTGGCCCATAATAGGAACACTGTAACGCAGACGGCAGTAAAGGGCACATTCTTCCATAGAGCATTTGGTATCAGTGCAGGACGGCCGAGTCGTGTCTGTCGATGCATCCATAGGCTGGATATAGGTAGCAGTGTGACTGCTGTGCACAGAAGTATGATGTTCTGCGGCGTACGCATTGTCTGAGCAGCGTCCAAGGCTGTGGCAACGGAAAGCTCATACGATAACAGTGCAAGGCTAGTACTAATCAGCAGTGCACCAACCCAATCGACATCAGCTAAGAAGCGAGCGAATGCTGCTCGTCCAAGAGGACCCCCATCCGCGCTGTGGGGGAGTGCCCAGAATGCCAAAGCCAGGACGATGCAGTTAACTATCGCGGCACCATAGAAGCCCCAGCGCCAGCCAATAGTGTCTAGTTTGAAGAGGTTCGTTAGCTTTCGCTTCTACTTCCTTGAAACTGAAAATCTGAGATGGTATTGAGGTGTAAGGCTTTCGCGCCCGTTATAAGTATCAAGAAAACCTAGGTTAGGTATAGCAATTATGAGCAATTTTGACCACTTACCAGCGCATACTCCACCAAGCACAAGGCCCAGTCCAAAACCAACAGCCTGCCCACCACCCATTGCCGCAAAAGCAGTGCTGCGACGGCGCGGGCTCCCACTCAGCGGAAAACAATGTGCGACTGTGCCTACGGCGCCAGGGAGGCAGAAAGACGCCGCAAGACCAGCAACACTGCGTAGGGCGATAAGTTGTGTCGAAGTGTTTGCCAGCCCCGCCCCAACAGTGCTTGCGACCTGAAGCAAAGCACCGAACAAAACTGCACGCCGGCAGCCCAAAACGTCGGCGGCAGCACCACACTAAGATTAATGCCGTAATAAGTACTTGTAACGCAGTAAAACTTAGAATCTGTGGAACGAAAACATGTGATGTTGTTTTGAGACTTTTAGAAGGCGGTAGGCATTGGGACGGTAGATCGAGAACTTCAGATGGGATAAGCTTACAGGAAGTAGCGTGCAGCCGCTCGCGAGGGCAAAGGCAGCTGCTGGCCATAATTGCAGCTCTTGTGGTATGCGCAAATCCTTTGCAATCACAGGTATACAAACTGTGAGTAAACCACCTAGTAGACTTCCTATGCCAGTTATACAAGTAATGCAAGAAATGATGAAAACTGTTCGGCTCCGGGAGATAGACTGGTGAGAGTTGGTGGCTTGGGTTTCAGTTGAAATAATAGCGACAGACGGGCCAGCTGGCGCTACGTTGTTCGCCAGAGGGGCCTCTATCGTCATGGGAGATAGTGGGCGAGAGGCCATGATCGAATTCTCAAACGATGAACCAAACTATTGCTCAAAGTTATTCAATTCAATACTCGCGGACATGTGTCTTGATGTGGCAATTGCAATTGAGCCTGCGGCGGTTGGTGCAAGTATCTTGCAAAGTGAAATTACACGTGTCAGTCACAGGGCGTGACTGTCAGGGGAGCGAAATCGCATCGCTATCGTTAGAGTAACTCCTAACCACTAACCTAGGTTAGGTTAGTTAACCTACTAACTAGCTAAGATCGTCTCTTGGCCGTATATATCTTTGGCAAATTGGATGCCACTTGCCTTGTTGTCGTTGACGGTGATTTCCTATGTCACATAATCTCATTGAGTATTGTTAAGCCGTCAAATGAATATACTAAAAAGACTTGTTGGCGCTGGCCTTGATTCTGTTTCTTCTACAAATCGCCAATTCCAATGGGCTTACCAGCATCATGGTCGAGTCTTGGCAAGAGACTGCTGTTTGTGGTCTCCTATCAAGCAAAGGCCCGCGCATTGGGGATGTGTAATTTGTCGAGCCGGTGGATTGGATATGCATGTTGCTGTCTAGCCCGCGCTATTCGAAGTCTATCTTTGAGATGAATTTCCCCCCTGAAAATGAAATAGCCTCAATTTCGCGCATATAAGGAAGGAGGCCATCATGACTTCACCGAGTGTCATTTTCTTGCCAAGCCGCGTAGGACTATAGCGCCCATAACCTGTAGCTACAAGGTGGTCGCATACCCGTGGTGGCTGTCAACGATATCATTAGCGAATGATGAGGCTTATCCTGCGGCTGAAAGCACTCTACAGCTTACAAGTGTCGAAAGCACATAATATCGGACTGTAGGTAGTCTTTGGAGCTGTATCATGTACTGATGACGTCCAGCCCGATAGTGCGTACTGTCTTCGACCGTGCAGTCATGCAATGGGTCGGAAGCAGCAAACCTACGAAGCGCGAACAAGGGCAGATCCGAGAACCATGGCGCCGCAATAGCAACTCAAGGCGTAAGTAGGCAGAGCCGCAGGATTGGCTTCTTGTGCTAACGAACAGGAATGGCCCCCCGTATGACTGGTTGACGTTGGTGTTGCAGGGCGGTAACGTCAACGCTTTTACCCTGATTAAACTATGACATACCTACTTGTATTACACTATAAATATCAAGCTGCAAAATTTCAGTCTGATCCAAAAAGCTATAGAGACCAGTTTTAATTGAAAATTCCTACAAATCAAGTACGAGTAAGCACCCCAAGGTCTGTTATCAAAGACGTACGAAGTATAGTGATTCTAGAAGTAACATAAGAATGGTCAAGATAGAGACGAAACTGCAGGTCTCCCAGGCAGTGTAGTCAGAGACGAATATCGACTTGCGAGCAAAGAGCACAAGTCCAATTAAAATGCCTGCCAAGACATTGGGACATCATTTTGACAAGACCAAGCCTGCCAGCAAATTGACCAAGAAATAAGGTCAGTCCGCACGTAGCATAAACAATGGATTAGCTACCGCATGAGGGCGAAGGCATGTGATACGAATCCCGAAAGAACGACAGGTCTCAAAATGTGGGAAATAGCACGATTTCGACTCAGTGAGGTTGACATAAAAGACCAATCTAACCTAGTCTAGTGTCTTCTTCAGGCATGGTTTGGTGGTGAGTCGTAGGGTTGGCAAATGGGGAACAGAAACCCTTATACTATAGTTGATTCCGGGATGCAGTCTGAGCTAATCTTAGACTTCTGCAGCTCAGTGGATTGCGAAAATAGCTAGAAGCTCATGAAAGAAGTGACGAATTTTACCATACGTATGGCCAACTTTCATCCATTGCGATTTCGACCTGAGCACGATGAATACGTTGATCTTCAGTTTGCTCGAAATGCCGTAGCGCTGCGACAGGCGTGCCGTTCTCTTCCGGCTTGAAAAAATACGGACCATCCACATCGCATTGCGTGTAGTTGGCTGGGAGGGTTCCGTTGTATAGGAAAGCCCGGACGTGCTTGGCAATGCAGTTGGACGGCATAGCGAGAGTGCAGTGGCCATACCCTCGCAACTCAATCATTTGCGACCCTTCGAATGCCGCATTGGCGGATCGAGCAGAGATGAGCGGACAAACAGGGTCGTACGTTGTCGAAAGAATCAGAAGAGGGTGCGCGGTCTTGACACCTAACTTTTGCACAAATTGGTGCGTCTTGTGAACAGCCCATTGTTGTTTTGTGTAGAGGCCGCTATTCGTGAATTGTGCAAAAAGGCTCGTGTTCATGAAGGGCAAAATGAGGTCCAGTAACTCCTCGCGGCCCTGGGGCCAGTATTGTGATCCAGTCATGCCGTCGTTGTTCTCGACGTGGACGTTACTGTCATCTTGAAAGATTCCATCAAATGGTCCTTTACCGCCGTATGCGAGGAAGGCTTCCGTCGCATTGCCTTGAAGCAACTTTGCGAGTCGATCAGCTAGAACGTACCAGTTGGCTGGTTTGTAGAGAGCGGGGAAAATGGCGGTGTTCAAGATTTTCTCGCGCGTCAATTGACCCCAGGAAGTGTTGTTCACATAGACGCTCAAAGGTTCCTCCAGTTTATCAATGAAGCTCAACACCTTGTCTTGCAATTCCTCTTTGGTCTTCGCAAGAGATGACAGGGTACAATTCTTGCCTGACTTGATACATTCATCGAAGAATCCCGACATAACTCTTTCAGTATCCGATAGCGATTCTGTATAAAAACGGTCTTCATACCACTCGAAGTTATTGACCACACCATCGATAATGACGCGCTCCGATCGTTCGGGGAAAAGCGTGGCGTATGTTTGGCCAAGAACCGTTCCATAACTGAATCCCCAGTAGACCATATCCTTCTGCCCGACTGCCTCAAGAATGCTGTTCATGTCGGCAGCCGTTTGCGGTGTGTTGATGTAGCTGCCGTGCTCTCCCATTGTGTCTGGACAAGCTGCGACGAAGTTCTTTGACCACGCATACGTCTCCGCACTGTCCTCGATGACCTTTTCACTCCTGACAGGCGAAAGCTCGCGCCTCGCCTCCTGACTCGGGTAGCAACTCGCTCGAGGTCTGGAACCATTTACTCCGCGAGGATCAAATGAGAGCAAATGAAAACCCTCTCCAATGTAAGCATTGAGCTGTTCACCCTTACGATATAGGAATTCAATGCCGGAGCCGCCAGGGCCACCTGGGTTGAGCAAAACATTCTGTGTGGCATTCTTTCCCCGGAGGCGAATGAGTGGAATGCTGAATGTTTTGTTACCAGAGTTCTCTGCATTGAATTGGTCCATAGGCACATCGATCTCGCTGCATTCGAGCTTGCGACCAATAAGCTCACCACAGATCTCCCATGTGATCTTTTCGCCAGGATACTTGTACTTGCCGTCGAAAGACGCATCGCATTGATGATGGTGCTTGTATGTCGGGCGCCATGGGAATTGAAAGATGGCGAAGCACACCAAGGCTCCCAATGCGATGAATTTGAAGGTGCTCGAGGACCCGCGTCGCAAGTTGCGAGATGCGCCGCCCATTGATTTACTCTTGTCATCCATCTCGTGGGCAACTGTGTTAAAATAAGTGACAGAACCTCAACAAGAACAGCGGGTGCTTGACGGATTTAACTACTGGAGATTCATGATGCTGACGGTGCCTGGATTAGGCTGCATTAAGATTGGCGTGTTAATTAGGACCGGTGCTCAGCCTGGGTAGTCAGTTTCGGCGTTCGGATTTGAGTATCATTTACTCCGTACATGGCCCAATCTTGATCTACACCATAGAGTGGTGCTGCGAGAGCTTACACCATTGATTGGCAGTTACTTTTACTCAGCAATTAAGGCACATGCATTCATGTACCAGAGGTTAAACCTTACATGGGATATACATTCACGTCCCAGACCAGAAAAGGGCAACAGCCCTTAATACTAATTAATTCGAACTATCGAATGTCCCAGCGCTCCTTTGGTGAATAAACTCACTAAAGTGCTTATTCCCTTACAATTAGGTCGTGTGCTCCCATCCCCATCTCCTTAACGGCCGAAAATTACATGAACTGAAGATAGCTTTTTATCTAGAAGGTTGTGGTTGCCAGATATGTCAAGGAAGCCACTACCATAATATTCAACGCAGATGGAATAATTGAAGAGCTGCTCCTTCGCGAGTAACAAGAAGCAAGATAAAGAGCAGACACCAAGTCAAAGAAGTTCAAGATTGTTCTTCGCATTTTTGGCACAGTACCATCCGGAAATCCTAGGAGCCATTCCGCCAACTGGGCAGAAGACGTCGTTAGTACACGCATAGGCACTTGTAATAAGAAGGAAACTACAAAGGGTCAATCTGTTCCAGAATAACCAGCGTGCCCTGCTTAATTACTTGGTGCCGTATTATATTATCGATCCGATCTTTTTCTGGTCATTTTTGAACGACACATGCATCCACAACTCATTTTCATATACCTCGCCATAAAGGAGTTGCGTCTCAGAAGCGGGGTCGTACATCTATAGGCCTTAGATCATCCCAGGTATAAGGCCACCCCAGAATCCCACTCGGTAAAAATTAAATTTTTTTTTTGGCTATGCCTTTCATCAATTCACCTAGCTGTTTCTGATACTCTCGAGTTCGCTGCCAATCATATTGGTATCCTTGATAACAGAAGGGTCAAGGTTCCAGCCGTAGCTTATTTATATTGAAATACCCTGCCAACCATGATGGGCTTTTCTTCAATTCCTCTCAAAATTCGCATTACAACTGGGCTTGTTGATAGGGACGAGGAAAACCCAGCTGCAAGCAAGGCGAAACACTGCGCAGGATCTCTGGATAGTGCAATTGGCGGGATACAAAAGCATTACTCACGGTTGTAAATAATGACAATGTCTGCAGTCTGCAACTTCAACCCAAGACAACCAGCACGAATGGGATGCAATTACATGAAAAAAGGTGAATCCGGTGCGTTGAAGCCCTTCAGTAAGTCAGAACGGTCTTCAGCTTTGGTAGTACCATGCAAGCGCATGAACTTCAAGCCTCGGAACCGCAGGAAATCCTCCACAATGTTCATGATGGCAGTCATCTGGAAGAACACGTGCACTCGGTGACCAATTGCTTTGTATGTCGGGAAGATACGGTCGAAAAACTCCAACTTACCGGCTGTTCTCCAAAAAGAGTTACTGGCTGTACTGGATGGGTTCATCTGATTTTCGACTTCTTCGAAAACGAGTGGGTGATTACACTACTTTCGCAGTTGCATGATCATATTGCTCAACCAACGAGCGGTAGACTTGCCCGCCCTTGCCGCCGTTGACAGCGGTCTTTTTATATGTAACCATCTGCTCGTGTAAGCGACTTTGCAAAGCAGAACACTTGCACTTTGTTGTGCCCTATGCGCTTCCGCAAATCATGAGCACATAACCAAGCGCACCGCCGTTTGGTGTCATACTGCTGAAGTTCAAGAGGTCAAGTGTTTAACACCTCCAATGCTTCCGGATGTACATCCTCGCTGTAGAATACCGGCGAGGACTGGTGGACGTAACTACTAAAATTGACTGGACTCTCCGTAACTGAGACCTCTGTCTAGGGATACAAACAAAGCAACGTCCGGGCGGGAGCAATACCTGATACCCAACATCATATTCGTAACCACCCCTGGCCTTCCTTTTCTCACCACCGCCAATAAAACGTCCCCCAATACGACGAAACCTCCTTCGTACAGAGCAAATCAGAAAAGACAAAATGATGAACGTTGCTCTTGAAAAGGAAAAATAGTCCTTATCGTCCACATCCTCAACAGAAGAAGCGCGCCAGCCTCTATGTAGGCTTAACCTTAGGTTAGTTAACTTCTAACTCTGCGCGAACCACGGGTAGCGCCTTGTCCCGCGCTGGGCGCATCCACGGCCCGCGCCCTCTGGGAAGGTGCATGATGCGTCAAGCTGCACATACCCTCGAGTTTCTCGCCTCATGTGTCACGGGTTGCATGAAAACTCTAAAATGAAAAAACAATTGGCGCAAGATTCATTATATATCACGAACCCCATCGATTACTCAAGGTGCAATGAAAACACCTTTGCTTCATCTCTCTTGGGCTCAAGGTATAATAATAATTGTATTATTTCCCTCATCTTTCTTCGCCCTTCTTTGTACACGTTGATAACCGAGCAATGACGATAACAACCGTTATCTTGTAACCGGAAAAATAAAAACGCCTGCTCTGTTCCGAAAGTCTTAATGCTACTATGCGTATTACTACAGCAGTGTCCTTTGAATTCTCCATTTCATGTCATAATCCCTGCCGGCTGCATTTGGGCTTGGCAGCGTAATCACTCCCCAGGCATGGCAGGTCTTGATGTAAGTACTCGATGCGCCCCGGTCGTCGCAATTTAAATTTTTTTTCTTTTGTTTTAAATCATACACTGCCGTCTTCGTCAAACCCAGCCTTGGCGGCCAGGTCGTCGACAAAACCGAGCAGTTCTCGCTTCTCGTCACATATCCGAGCCCACTCGAGCAGTAGGCGCCAGACGTAGAGCAGCATATCCTCTCGGCGCAGAACCTGGGAAGCCCACTTCTGACCTTCCTCCGCGATAAACCGGGCGGAGTCATCGCCCTTCTTGTCCCGGGTGAAGTAATCCAGGATGCCGTACAGATCCTGGAAGGTGTTGTCCATGGGCACAAAGTGTTGCCAGGGCATCAACCGCTCGTCGTGCCATTCCGCATAGACGGTGGCCTTGATGGGAACCGATGTCGACAGCAGGAACCCACGGTACCGCGCGCTGAAACTGTTTCCGTCAACGTCAGGCAGGAACTTGTATTCGTATTGTTCCAACATGGGCATTTTTTCGACTTCGCTCAGATATGGGCGCATGTACGTGCAGTTGGACTCGACTGGAAAGCAGAGCATGTCTACAAAGCCGGCGTTGCTGAATGTCTTAAGCCACGTGCCGATGGTACTGCTCCGGCGCCGCGGAAAATCATATTTGCTCAGGGGTGGCATCTCGAAGGTGGGGGCTCGAGTGTTAGACTCCTCCATTCCTGAGACAGTGGTGGCATTCAGCATCTCCACGAGACGCTGGCGCTGGAAATGGGACCAATTCTCTGCCTTGTGACGACCTCCTGAGCCGACACCGCGCCAGACTATGCCATCTGTCTTTTGTTTCCACGGAGGACCGTGTTCAACGCCGCCAGAGTAGAAGGGGTCATCTGTCAAATACATGGCGCCTGGGATCAGTATCTCATTGTTGCCTGGAAGCTTGGATCCGCCGAAAAGCGGGATTAGCTCCTTACTCGTTGACATGGTCAATGGCTCGATGAAGGTGCCGTGCGTCTCCCTCAGGTGCGGTTGCTCACAAGGGTCGATTGCCGCTGAGAAGTTGCGGACGTATCCTCGATGAGCATAGTTCGGGTTCCAGTCCGGCGAGAACTTGGGGTACTGCTCGAAGCTCTCCATGGTAGGGAGATCCCGAGACGGTGAGTTTGGGTTGCAGGTCACTCGCGTGAGATCCCAATATCTGACATTTTTCACCCATTCCGGGTCGTAAGGTTTTGTTTCGTTGCGCTTCGCATCCACCTGGGCTAATCCTGAGTACTTCTTGACAACCTTGCTCTTCGGAACCAGGGAGCGCATTGTGTGCTCCTTGGCGACATGTTTGTTTATATCTTCCCAAGGCACAAGCAGGCGGGATTCGTCCATATAATTGATGGGCATATCCACATCAGGCAGGTAAGGGGCCGACTCGTTGACCAATGTGGTCCACAGTTGGAGCCATGCGACACGCCCGTGTGTATCTCCAATCGGATAGGCCTGGCCGTTCCTTACTCGCACATGGTGATGCCACGACGAGGCACGCTCGGCCAAGATCTTCGCATCCAGGGCCCAGTATGGGCTCAGGTCGTGGTATATCCTATCGAAAAAGGACTCGACTATGATGGCATCGTGGTCTACTGCATACTGCATCCAAGCATCAAAACCCGGGGGAGGATGTCTGCCTCGTCGCTTGCGATATCGATCTGCGGCAGTGGGTAGATCTCGGCTGCGCTGGGCGAGGACCGTCTCTTGCGAAGTGTGCGCATCGGCAATAAGCTCTTCGATCGGGTGTCTCAGCACAGGTGGCGTCGTCGTCGCTGAGTTGCCGTCTGATCCCGCTCCCGCTCCCGCTGCGGACCCGGATTTCGTGGTGGAGGACTTATCGTCCCATAAGTAGTCGTAATAGTGGTCGTTGCGCCCGAAGAAGCCCTCGGGTCGGCGGAAAAGGAGCACGCCCGACAGTGCTATGGAGAAGAGGAATGCGAATATGGCGTATCGCAGGAGAAATCGCCATCGGAGGGATGCGAAGAAATTGGGCAGACTTGAGGTCCAGCTGTGCTGGTGCTGCGGCGGCGGGAAGAGGGCCATAGTCGGCAGACAGGGCTGACTGACTGGCCTCGGAAGTTTCAGTATCTTAGGACCAGTTGATACGGGCTTGGACCATGCGCAAGTTGCTATTCATGGCGAGAAAGCATCTGCACTAAGGTTGGACGAGAGTTCGGATGAGGCGGGCGACGGACCTATTGATTGATCGATCGACCGATTGATTAACGACTTTCACCAGTAGTGAGTGCTACATGAGGCTCCAGAGGGATGGTGATGGTCCAGCAACTACTAAGGTTCGTCGAAACGTCACGATGGCCTGGTAGGAAGGTTTCCGCAAGGGCCAACCTAAGTTAACTTGTCAGACCTGCGTTGATGTAATGTCGCGTTCGGGTGGCACAGTCAAGTCATTCAGCCCCTAATTCGATGGGGCTCTTATTGACTGGCCATGCTTAATTTGGGTGCCTACGACATGCCCACCTTGTCTTGTTGCATACGAACACAAATCTTAGAGCACAGTCGCGCGCAGGAGAGAGAGAAAAGAGGTAAGGCAAGCGGTAGATATCATGTGGAGTGGAGGGCCCGTCTCCAATTCGCTACAGTAATCCGCACGATGTACATTAAAGTGAAGGAGAAAAGATAAAGGGAAAAAAGGATCGAGGACCCCAAGCCCCTGCATGTTCAAGGGCGCTTCAGTGGCTAGAATTACTTTAGCTGCATGAAGCCCGCTATTAACTCTAATTCCCGTCAAAATTCTGCCCCGGGGTTCTGGATATGCTTTCGCGAAGTGTGCACATGACATTGGTGTCAAACCACCGATGCAGTGGGCTGCAATACTGTAAAAGACAGAATTGACAAATCCCGATGCATCTTAATTCTCTGAATATTGTCAACGACTTTCTTAATTGACCTGCGCCCTGTGTTGGCGTTGAATATCTTCGAGCAAACCGACCCAAGCCATCGGAAAGGAAATGCCCCTGAGCACCTGCAGTTTGATTGACAGTTTGACCGCCCCACCACAGCCCCTATGTAGGCAAGCTTTGCGTTCTAGGTTAGTGCAGCTTGCTGTAATTACATGTAATCCGTAAGCTGGCCGTCGTGGATTATCTTTTTAGGTCAGACTTGCAAAAGCACCATCACAACCGCCACCGAACTTGTCAAGATAGTTCCGGCCGAATCTGCTTAGCATGGCAAAATATTCTCCGTAGTTCTGGTCTGGTGATGACGAACTGCTGTTGTTCTGGATTCTGTCTTATTGCATGCTCATGGTACACCATTTGCTAGCAGGGGCCAAGCAGCAATGTATTATTATGCGTCGGATATCTGGCCGTGGTTATACCTCTCAACATGAAATGTCATTTGTATAATACCTAGTCTAGTTGGAATAGAAACATGATATGCAGGATATGTAATAATCAAATAGCGCAATCTAAGGTATCTATCAAACCATCATACACATAAGTCGTTAGTGTACAAGAATTGTACAAGCAAGCCGTTGCTGCGTTAAGAACAATCACCCGCTTTTGTCGCTCCTGGAATGCTCTCCCCCCAAAGGGCCACTCCCATGCAGATTTCCCCGACCGGGACCAGTGCTCCTGCCTGGTCTGCGATCATATAGCCGAATTAATTATCAGGACAACCCAGTCAATATTTCCCTTGGCGTCCTTTAGTGGTGTCCAGTGTGTCCAAAATCTATCATGTTTCGAGTTCTTTCTTTTCTCCTCATAGTTGTCGCCGCGCACACTTTGCAGGTCGAAAATCGTAGGACGCTTGCTGCCTGTCCCTGTGCTCGCTCTCCTCTTCCGACTCTTCTCCAGTAGTATACCGGCGCTGATCGACTCTCCTTGGTCGAGGCTGTCGCGTACCTGAGTCTTGAATGTTTTTGTCACGGATGGCGAATGCGCTGTTTCTGCTAGCAAGTGGAAAATATCCGCTTGAGCTATATCTGAGGGCAGCGATAAAAGGTCGAGCACTGCATCGGAGTAGAAGGAAACCATGAGTTTCGAGCTGTGCTTCTTTCTCGCGCTTGGAGTTGTCTGTCGCTGATTCGTGGGGCCACCGCTGTTGATGCACCTCAATACCATATAGCATGAGTACGGAGGCGGATACACTGGAGTTTGGGACTTTGCTGTGAATTTCTGGGACGAAAACTGGGACGTCTTTGACTTTTTGCTTCCCGACATTGAAGCTGAATCAAATCCTTCGGGGATCGGTGGTGGCGAAGGTGGGCAATGGATTGATTGTTTCCTACTGAAAGTCGAGAACCAGTTGCGCGATGAGCTCAGATCCTTCGAGCCTCGCCGACCGTGGGCAAGGCTGTTCTTTCTTGGCCGTACCTCTTTTGCCGCTTCCCTCGAATGCTCGCTCCGTACTAATGAACCAGTGATAGAGTCATTTTCTGAAGCCAGGGCCTGGCCACCGTTGAGCACTTGCAGCAAGTCTCTGCGACTGCCCATGCATTCCGAGACATTGACCTGGGCCCCGAGCCAGTATTGTAAATGCCCATCCGAGTCTTTGAGGGGCAGGAGGAACAGTAAATTCCAGAACGGGTCCCCGTTCTTATGGTGGTTCAACATAAGCTCCACGCATTCTCTGCCGTCTCTCATGGCTGTCTGTATCCTGGCAATTGCTTCTGGGTCCGTGAAAGGTCCTTGCAAGAAAGCGGAGTTTTTACCAATAGTCTCTTGGTAGGAATAACCTGTCACTTCTCCAAAATCTTCAGATACCACGACAACGGCGTTCTTCGAGTCTGACGCGTCGGTCATGCAGAAACTTGTGCCGAGTCCGGTAAACTCGATCTCCAAGGCGTCGCCATCGCTTGAAAGGTCGGCAGCCGCGCAATAAACTAATTGTCGCTTCACAAATCCTGGAAAAACATCTTGCGCGATATCATTTTCAATATGAGACCTCGATTCAAAAAACACAGACTCCAAACTTGGTATGATGGTGTGCGCAATGCGCTTTATGTCAGCGTTGAGGGATCGTGAAACCATTGGGGGCAGGTTCAGTGGCGCGGATGCACCCATAGATGTGTAGGAGCTTGATATCGTTGTGAGGACAGTTGTCATCTCATTCAATGCAGTATTATACTGTCTGACCTGGTTCTGATGTGAGCAAAACAAGCCCCAGAAAGGCTCCGCCCATCGCAACCCCCGTGGCGACTCACCTTTGTAAGAAAATCTACGCTCCCCTCACACCCTTGCCCCTCGCAGTAATTTATCAGATGACGGACAATAGACGGATTCTCCATCGCCAGGTGGAATGAGTCTTTTCCAAGCAAATCTAAGAATGGAAGGGCAGAGTTCAGTCCGGTAGGATTCCAGACCATTCCCTGTCTCGACCCAGGACGGGTGCTTCGAGGTGATAGCACGTCATCAATATTATGTTGACCGTGTTCCGCGATGGAATCAGCATATGTGAATTTTCGCGGAGATGGTGGCCCGTGGCTTTGGTAGTCTGTATATTGGCTCAGGGCTGCATCGTTTGTGTGCATCCTCAGTCCAGAATTGCTTCGCAGTCGTAAAGATAGCCTGTCCGGCCGAGGAGGCGGGCTCCGAGGGGTCGGTGGAGGCGACAAAACCCTCGGAACAGCAGGCACAGAATCCATGTAATTGAAGTTCGTTGGCAGTTGAGGAGTACTCATCCGTCTGAACTCCGTGGGATTACCCGTTGACCGTGCCGGGTCTTTCGCCTTGTAAGTTCGCGACATTTCTGCCTTACATGCGCCACAAGACGAAGTGAAATGTACACGCGGGGTAACAATCAAGTAGAATTACAAATCGAGATATGAGAAGTAGAACAGAATGATAACAATTTACCGAAAAGGAATGTCAAGTAACGAGAGTAGAAAATGACGTTCATGCAAGAGACTCGTAATTGGACAAGAACAAGAACATGGCGAGAGCCCTCGCTTGGGTTGACCGGTGATCAGTAACTGAGCGGAATGAGAAGAACTCAGCTGGAGGCGAGTGCTTCTAGCGAGGTGGTTTTGTTAGAATCGAGACTCAGAGGAACTTGATCGAGTCCACTGGTCTAAGCGGTGACGATTCAATCGACCTTCACATTAGTGCCCGCGCCGATTGATAGACCTGACTCGATGGGGCGTACTGACGATGTAGATTGACTCGAACCAACGCCAGGGGTGGAGATGTGGACCTGACACACCGCATCGGGAACCACTGAACCGCTGTTGGTTTTCACAAGTCCCAAATGTCAATACCTAGCATTGGGCATGGTTCCATTTTGGCGCAGGGTAAGGGTCCATTCCCCGGTGAAGATCACGTCGAGACGAGACGAGACGACATTGCTAAAGTGGTTGCCCGAAGACATCGCATGGTGCCGATTCGTTGCACGAGCTTTTACTTGCTCCGCTCATGGGCGTTTGGAGTGAGCTCAATTGGTGGAAGCATGTGCATTCTTGCGATGGTCGAAATGGCCCTTTTTCGAGATGTGAAGCAGCTGTAACCCTGCATGGGAGCACGATTTTGCGAGTCTGATGTTTGCATTTCGCAACGGCTGTGTCGTTTGACGGGAGGCAATTTTGGCCCGACCCCATGAGCTAAGTAATTGGGCACGCGGGCCGCGGTCGTACATAACACAGATATCTTATCTCTTGTCTGTTGGGGGCATGCTCGCACGACTCCTCAATTCATATTCGGAGAGATGAAATCTGGAACACTGCCATGGACTGGCAGATTGGGCAATGTAAAGTTATGATCGAACTCAATTGGCATTTCCCCACGTCAGGGACAGGCAAGACGGATGCAGGCAGGGAACGGGGATGCAAGGTACCCAGTCTTCCACATTTCAAAAGGCACGGTCCGCCATCAAATTTGGTGGGAAACGGACACCACACACCATGGCTTGCATGGCATGGGGGCTCACCGAGTCACCGAACAACACCGTGTGCCAGGTGCCTGGTGCATGGCACTGAGGTCCGACCATGTTCCCAGCCAGGCCCAATCTCAAAGGTCTGCCTGGTTTGTTGGTCGGCTCTATTCATGACTCGATCCTTTGCTGGTATAGGGCTCGATTAATGCGTGACGAAGCATGGACTACATACTCCGCACCATGCTACCGTGAGGAGGACCTCAACTCTTCAAGAGATTGCTTCCAAAAATTTCTGTTCTTTCGTCCAACTTGTTGTCATTTTTGTGCCGCATACTTATTATGACAGCAGCGGGCATGCAAGAACCACTATTCCAACAAATGCCGGTTCGGCTATTTGCTGGTCATAAATCATTAACCACGCCCGTTTGAAGACCCTGAGAATTAATCCCCCTGTACTTGGCTGGGGTCGAAATACCCACAGAGGTTCACCGCCGGAAGTTGGAACTGATTTGTACATTTCTAGAAGATTTTCGACCCTGGCAAACCTGAAATATATGGAGCGTGACCCACGGTCGTTGTCATCGAACGTTGGTTAAATATCTTCGAAACTTCAAACCCATGCCACCATGACGGAGGCATTCTTCACCCCTGTGTACTCTTGCGAGCGCCCTCGGCCATTTGCCTCCTTGATTTCCGCATTATCTCGTTGCTCTTCTCAGTCCTCCACTCACAGCTTTCCGCAAATTCGCAGATACCACATTTGTATGCTTCCTCAATTGGCACGCCATCCGGACTCCTCTTGCCGGTCCACCAGGCAAGGTCCAATTTGAGATACTTGCTCAAAGCTTCGGGATCTGTCGGGAACGTCTGGTTACCGATGATCCGGCCATCATCTCTATGTCGATACACGACAGCCACGACATCGCCCAAGGTATCGGCTCCTTGAGGAAATGTCTCACGTAGCTCCGACTCTACCAGTGGAATGATTTGCTGAATGGAGCGATACTTGATCAGGTCAGGTGGCGGTGAGGTTCCATCGTCGAGTTTCGGAGACGGCTCTGGATAGCCGCTGCCTGTTTGCTTGGAGGGTGCGGAGATCGCATCTTCTCCCGGTTCCACTTCGTCAAATACTTCATCGTGAAGACTGCCGATTTGTGCCATGAATGCATCTGAGAACCGCACTTGAGGCTGCAATCCGTACCGGTCAACAATTTTAAGCAGATCAAGCTGTCCAGCAGCCATTTCGCTCAGTAATCGGTGGTACATGAATAATTGTACCCGTGATGGTCGCAGAGCCGCCCCAGTAGGAAGTCTTGTGCTACCACGTGTTTTAACGTCGCTCAAATAGACTCGACGTCGGTGAGGGTCGAAGTATTCGGTAAGGGCCGCTTGCTTTTCGGCATAGTCAGACGCGCTACCTTGCGGCGACTGACCCTGGCTCAGCTCCTCTTCAAAGCCAAGATTTGGACTTGTGTAACTGAGCTCGTCAATGACTCCGTTGATGACTTGCCCTTCTACTAAGCCCCATACCTCAAGTTCGCGTGTCAGTCCTGTATCTCTCAAAGTCCGTAGGCCTTGTATAAAATTCCACAGCCTCAGAGCAAATGCTTCCTCTTTGAGGCTGATATTGACTTGAATGGTGGTGTGTATTTGGTCTTCCAATGTCTGGTGGACTTTCGTACCGCCTTTCATTGCGGCTGTCCTCGTTTTTCTCCCGCCGGGAAGCCGCGTCAGTGTGTACCAATACTGAAGCTCACACCATGCCCCAGAAGATATATCGGTGACAGTGAGAGGTTTCTTTGGGAAAGATCGAAAGCGCTCAACTGGAGATCTTTTGTCATTCGCCGCGCTTTTCTGCTCTGCCCTTGATTTACCTATGTCCATCAAAGCTTTTGGGTCTAGACTGGACAAAGCGCGACTCACTAAGCGCTTGGGTCAGTCAGTTTGCATTCACAAAGCCAGGCGTACGACTTACAATCCGGGTACTCGACGCCGTCCATCGGCAAGGATGTGATATCGAGTGCGCTTGAGGTGGCTGTGGTCGGCAAAGCGGCGTCGCGACCAGCCGGTATTTTGACCTGGCCAAGCTGGCTGCGCTCATCATTGGTAACGGACACCGGCACATCTTCACGATCCAGTTCATTCAACGGCGTCGGTACAAATAGGTCTGCTGCAATTGCTGCATCGAGATCTGGCTGCAATCTTGATTCAATGTGTTCCCCTACTTGACTCGCACCTTCAAGTCCGGTGTCCTGGATGCTATTGAGAAGTTGGATCACAATACTCTCTTCCTCCACTGTGAAATCTGAGCCGTAATCACTCTCTGGTGCCGCAGGGTGATTAGCGGGCCGGAATTTGGTCGCCATATAGGTGGATAGATTTGTGCATCCCGCCAAATCACTATTTAAAGTCTTGTCGTTGAGTGAGAAAGGGCAGATCAAATGCGTCTTCGAAGGATCCGGCTTCGAGGCATAATCTATGATCCCATGATTGATGGCGCTAGATGCTATTGCCACTTGGGGCCTGGAACCACTTCCGTTTATTATGATTAACGCGTTCTCAACTCGCGCTATCACGTGGCGGCCCGTAGTGCCTGCCTACAGCATCCCTGCCTCAAGCTGAGGCTGCCACCTAAACCTATATTTGGGAGCACCTATTGCATGCGCCACCAAAACCTCTGTATTCGGTTGAGATCCATAGAGGAGAGCCTATTGAGCCTATCAGAAATGGAGAATATCTATCTTGTTCCGTATCGAGATTCAACTGCCAGACAACCATGAGCGCTGCGTTGCTTCAATGTTGGGCCATCCGGGCGGCAAGCGATTTCACTGAGTTGGACAGCCATCATAGAAATGAGCATGAGCAACTGTATTATGGGGCCATGCTTTTCGCGGCACATGCTGCGCTACAAACACCATACATTGTCGGATTGCATTCTCGTATGTGTGAGTATTGGACAGGTTGCAAATGCCGATATTCGTGGTTCGAGAAACACTAACCCGTCCAGCATTAGCTGTTCTCAATTATATGGTGCCTGTGAATGAATGGGCCAGCGGAACCCCACTGGACCTTGAGCTGCGGCAGTACGTTGAGCTGAGACACGCAGCTACCGACCAGTGCGTACAGGCAACAACAAAGTATTAAATCCATCAACATCTCACGTCTCTAGTTATTTGATCAAAGTGAATCCAGTTGCACAATTAAATAAATATAAATTAAATTAGATTCGGAAAACAACATCGAAGCGATGACAATGTTTACCTCGACCTTCCAATTCAACACGCCCCTACAAGAGGAAAAACTTCAGGAGGAACTATCCAAAACAAAATCCCTAAAACCCGGATTGGAATCGCTCCCAACCGAAATCCATATCCTGATCAGCCAGCAGCTCATATACCCAGATGCACTTTCCCTGAAGCACACATGTCGCCACTTTTACTCGCTTGTTGACACTGGCATTAAGTTGAAGGTCACATGGCTCATGGAACGTCGTAGCCTGCATCTCGAGTGCCCCAATGAGCGCTGTGATTTGGGTAGTGATCTGAAGTTCTGCAGGGGCAGTATCAGGTATGTTATATGTGCTCCTCAAAAAAACCAGTCTCAGATTGCTAATCAATCTCTTAGGCTTCTCATGCGGCGACGTCGTGAACATATGGAGTGCGAGTCGCGACCTGGGCTTGGATGTTTGGTTTACGGGACAGGCGTCTGTACTCAGAAGCCTCAGCTAAGAAGCCAATGCGTGAGATGGCTGAGAGCTCAGCTGACATTTGAGATATGGTGGATCTTGCTGGCACTAGTGCCGCTTCTGATCGGTTGGTTCTGGGTACTGGATTGCCTACGTTGAAAGCGGATGGACGTAGAAGATGCATCCGCAAAGCTCTCTTTAGACGATCAAATTCATACAAGTTGGCGCTTCTCACCGAGTAATACATGGGTGTGATGATTTTTGTTTGGAGTGCTAACGATTGTGAGTCGTGTATGGTCATTTGTTCAAAGGCAACCTGCTGGGCTCGTGGCATTTCCCTGTCCAAATAACAGCCATAATCCAGATGTAATAGTAATTCATATGAGTTTGGCGGGTTTCTCCATGCATTGAAAATAGTGCACAGTCCCAAACAAGCAGCCATTGTTATCTTCCCAGCCGGTCTCCGGCACATCAGCAATGCCATGCAATCCTAGGCCTCCCAACTGATAGTGGTGAAATATCTTCAAGATTCACAGCAGTCATTTCAGTATTGCATGATATTCTCACCAGTGGCGCTTAATGCTGGCCCCAGAATCGCTTTGTCCGTAAGTTCACATTAATATGTGCTGCTTAACACTCACATGCGTACGTAGCTGACATATGAGGGGCATTTGTTCCGTATAATCACCAAAAGAAACAGATTCCTGTGCTTTTAGGCTAGGTCTTGTCCCTAATTACATTTCTATACATGTACGTCGAACAATTCTCTATACTGCAATGTGTCTGGCATAAGTACCCGAGAAGCTGAACTTTGGCGTTATCTCTTTAAGAATATCAACTCAATTCTCTGGAAGATATATGGAGGAATGCGACGATTAACCCCCTGTGAAGGATTGTGAAGTACCGCGACGAAACAAACACCATTCGATCTCACTGCCGTTCCATTTAGAGATACCAACGAGCGAGGACGTATCGCTCATACCACAACGATGCTTACAGTTGCGTCGGCAGTTCTGCCTTATACTCGCGGCATCGCCGCTTATGCTATCATCAGGATGCACCAACACCATCCACAGACGAGCTTCTTGCTCAAAAGCTACGCAATATGTTCATGAAGTAATGGATGCCTTCGATATATATTGATTCAAAGTAGACATAGTTCTCTCGGCATATTTATGAGCTCTGTTGGGCGTTCACTGCGCACTATAACATTTTAGCCAGAAATGTGAGTTTTGCGATGAAGAATATCAACTCAATTATACGTATATTCAAAAAACTAGGGCCGAGACTGCTCAAAAAAAAAAAGGTTGCCGTACGATATCTTGGATGAACTCCTCAATGAACAATGATGCAACGAAACTAACAGCTAAGACTGAAGCCAGGATAATCCATATTGATCGAAATGCTTTCGCATACGCAATGACGACAACACATATAAACTTGGTCGGGAGCTCTAGCGTTCTAAGCATTGACAAAAGGCCAGTGGCCTAGCTTGCGTGCGATAGAACAGCTAGTTAATCAGGAGAGGGTCCCAACGCTAGAAAGTTCAGCTGGAAGACCGAGTTGAACGCTGTTGAGCTTATGGACAGGCCAATCAATACTACAACAAGACGAAACACCACTAGCATGCTGACCGCAACACCTCTATCATCAAGATGAATAAAGACGGCCTGCCGTGGGACCTGCGTAGCACTGAAAACTTTACCAATGCCTTCATCAAGCATAACTTGGAAGACATATGCTTCGGCTTGGGGCACAGTCTGTCCTATCGAGGTCCATGATCCAAGAAATCATCAGTTCGGATCTGGGGGAACTATGGGGGGCTGGTGTGTAACATAGCATTAGAGAAAATGTAAACCGATGGCCAGGAACCTTTTAGTTCTAGTCGAGGGGGAATATGTTTCACTCTATTGTTTGCACAGCACTTGATGGACTACACGACGCCTTCGTCTTCAGGTCTTTCGTAACAGCATATACCACAGTCTTTAGGCGCCGAATTTGCTGGTCTCACACACCACTATTACCATGTTAACTTGCCCGGAACTAAGTCGCAAGAATATAGACAGAAAACCTAACCCCTTAATTGGCATCGCGCCATAGGCAAACGCTGAGACAGCGACCACCGTGGTTCTGCGGTGAATGATACAATTATGTTGTTGGAAAAATTGTCTGAGAAACGGACGATGGATGTTAGACCAAATTCACTCTATTAAATGGTAGAAGATTAACATATTTATACACATATGGAAGAGCTTCAATGAGATCGTTCATTAGACCAGGAGTGCTTAGGATGGTTATTCTGATCTGTTTCCGTCTTAAGGTTCTTACTCCAGCTCAAATAAATCTAAATCCGTATTCATTAATTTGAAATATCCATCCCCTGTAGATTGTCGTTCATAATCTTTGGTAGTGGCCGCTGAGCTGTGTGACCGTGAGATTATTTGAAAGATGTTAGGAGAAGAGCATGGAACTTGCGATGCACTGTTAACGCTAAAGTAGTGCTCAAGTAGTCGACCATGATGAAGTGACTCAAAACGATATAATGTGATGGGGAGGTATGGCGGAAATTGACTTCGCTGCTTTTGTCTGAATTTACATGACCTTGATCCATTGGCCTCGGAGATATTGAGTTTTTCCTGTCATTATACCCACTTGAAGTTCCTTCTCTACTTACCATGATTTCAAACAGTCTTTCGCTAAGAGAATATTCCATCATTTAGTCTAAGAAAGAGCTTTGGAATTGGCATTAAATACACGTGATGTTTGACACTAAACCCCCCACCCCCCAATGTGAAGAGTAGTTTGGCACAGGATCATGTGCTATGACATGAACCACACTATACTACGTCACGTAGTACTCCGGATATCCTAAAACAAGGAGGCAATCGAAATGGTGATGTTACGACAGGTACATGTGTCAAGCGTCTCGAGCAACCAGGAGCCGGATTACTACCAACAAACAAACAAATAAACAAGGGGAGATTGCAGCTCGGGCATCCACTGAAGTTCGTCGACGGGCGATCTCTAGGCCCATGATCCATAGTCATCACCTAAACTTTACTCAAATCTTTAGCTAACCTAGCAGTTTGTCCCGGCAAAAGCTGTAAGCGCCGGAAACAAGTGTCTTCGGGTTAGGACTACTTTCCATCAGAGTCACTTGGGGGCACATTCAACCGATGCCGTGCTTACTGGCTACCGTATCTGAGACATGCAATCGTCCTTCAACTGCGGCCCATTCTTGTTTAGTTGGTTCTCCATGGAAATGATTGTACGCTCGACTTGACCCACTCGAGAAACAAAAGTGCCTGTGGTGGGACTGGAACTCTTTCCCCCAGGGGCCCCAAATTGCGGGGCAAAGATCGGCGGCACGTATCTTTCAACTTCCCCCTTCGCACATGGTTCGCCAGATCTCGCAAAAGTCTATTTTGACCTTTAATTTAGAAGTTTGACACCATCTACCCTATTTCCAGAACGTGATTGGTTCGTGCCTGAAATCCTAAAATGGTCACCGTCGCGATGCAGATCAGTTAGGTTAGAGCCTAGAGGCAGGGAGCCGGCACGCGCGCGTCTTAGCTGAACAGCAGTCTATGGCGCATGATTGGCGAGTGCGTGAGGCGCTACCCGAGACAAAGATCTGGGGGGACCACGGCATAGGCTGGACGAGGCAGTGCTAGTAAGATAGGACAGCTCTGTGCTCCCCTCCATTTACGATTAGAGGCCATCCCACAGGCCGAGGAAATTGACCGAGGCTTTTGGCAAGTGATTGGTCGCGTGACAGCGGGCTGGAGTACTGATGGTTCGCACTTGCTGAAGAGGTCAGGAGGGCAACCTATATAAGTGAAGATGGTCCAATGCCGCATTCAGGTTTAGAGGAAGTATGTAGTCCGCTTACGCCCGTCATCGCCAGCCGCAATCATGGTGAAGTCCCTCTTGCTGCCGATTCTCTTGTCTACGATGCTGCCGGGTGTCCTGGGTCTGCCAGCAGCATCATCGCGGTCAGCAAACGGGGGCGCCGCCGTCCAGCTGCGCCAGAGTCCGACTTCCCTAAACATCCTCCTGGCAATCATCTCGCAGCTCTTCCCCTTCGATGCTGCGATCGAAGACGTTGGCGACCTCATCGAGGGCGCCGAGACGGTGTTCGCGGACCTAGCTGGATTCGAGACTAGCGAGAATGACCTGGTATCCGGAAAGTGTGGCGACGTGGTTATCGTGTTCGCGCGCGGTACCAACGAGCCTGGAAATGTAGGGTCGCTCGTGGGGCCACCGTTTTTCGATGCTGTGAGAGCAAAGCTGGGCGCGAAGGGCAAGACGCTGGCGGTGCAGGGCGTGGATGACTACGAGGCGGACATCACAGGATTCCTTCAAGGAGGCGATGCGAAAGGTAGTCAGAGAATGTGAGAGCATCAAATCTGATCAAAGTGAAGCGACGAGATGGAGACTGATCTGCATGTTCAAGGGCCGATCTGGTGGCACAGGCCCAGAAGCAATGCCCCTCCTCGAACGTCGTCATGTCCGGATATTCACAGGGTGGTCAGGTTGTGCACAAAGCTGCCAGCCTATTGTCTGCATCCGCCATGAATGGTGTCAGGTCCATTGTTGTGTTTGGAGATCCAGGTAAGATCGCCACGGGATTCCACTATGAGCACTGACTAATGTACGCACAGACAGAGGCTATGCGATTCAGGGTGCACCGGTAAACAACGTGCTGATAGTCTGCCACGAAGGGGACAACATTTGCGACGCCGGCGATTTCATCTATTTGCCTCATCTGACCTATCTTCTCGACGCAGACACGGCAGCCAGCTTTGTATCAGCGCATATATCATAACTAATGATAGCTTATGGGTGGTAACGGTCCAGAATCATCTCAGTCAGGCAGTGCTATCCGAACAATAAAGTCTTGAATGAAATTCAGGTTACAAAAATGTGGCTAGCGGTTGCCAATATAAATACTGATGATACTAATGAAACATGAGCCCGGGACAGATGATCCTACAAACCGCCGCCCTTTTGAGGTAAACCTCTTCTACAGAAACCCTTTCACAAGACACGACATGCCATATGACATGGACTTATCTGCCAGCGATCCATGACTTCAAGTTTGCAGTGGACTCCTAGGACTGTCCATGGAGCAGTACGCCGAATCCGACAAGTCTGAGGAGGACCCAAAGTCGTTAATAAGGTTCTCAGCCATCTCGTCGAAGTAAAATCCAGCAGGACTCAAAAGATCGAAGTCGAGCTCGGGATATGCGGGGTCAACGAGTAAAGGAAGAGCCTGTTGTGCAGTGTTTGGCGCTGGCAGAGTCTCAACCACTGGGCGCTGGCTGTAGAATTGTTCTTGAATTTTCTTGAAGCGGATCTTCACGATATCAATGAAGGTCGTCCTGGTTTCTTCCGCGAACTTGTCGAACTGGTCTTCCAGATCGTTCCTCACACCGGCAATAAGTTCATTTTCTATGAAGTCGGTAAAAGCGCGGTCTTTATCACGACACTCAGGAACGCGGTTAGCGTCATCGTAACCATAATCTTGATTCATGTCAGCGCCATACACCAAAAGGGTTTGAAATGTCTGAACTTACAGCACGAAGGGATGGCCTTGGCCTTGGGGAAGATGATGCGATACACCTCTTCCCAGCGGTCTGGGTTAGGCTTCCGCCCCACGGGTTTCTTGCGCAGCTGGTGGTACTGTGACTCGTTTATACCATCCATGGATCTATCTTGTGAGACCTTGCAGGGTAATTCATCTCGCTGGTGTTCTTCAAGAAACTCTCCGGTAGAAAACACCTCACAACATCTGTTGCATTTGTTGTCAGGTTGTTTGTGAGAACGGTATATATGCTCCCTGTGCACAGGTCAGTGAAGGTCAGGCCGAGACAACACAACCCAATGCTTACTTTAGTCTGGATATGGAATCGTATCCAGGGCCAGTGCAAGCCTGGCGGCCCGCATACTTGGTTGGATCGCGCTTGAAATAGGGACAAGCGAGCTTCAAAGCCGGTGAATTCTCCACCTTGGAGCGTTTGTTTCCCCGCTTGTCGTCGCCGTTCCCATCGCGGCCTGGGTTAGAGCCATTGAAGCTATCCCGTCTCAAAGAACGCTTTTGTCCAGTAGACTTCTCTGGGGTACTGCTTGTAGACGAATTCTGACTGCTCGCTGCTGGCCCGGACAAGTTCCCGGGCCCGGGTGCATGAGACGTAACTGCAGGAGAGTCGAGCCATTCTACAAGCATTTCCATTAACTTGTCGATCTCCTCGCGTTTCTTTCGGGCCAGGTAGGCGTCGATAAAGCCTTGGCTTGTAGATTGATGGCTGCCTCCGCGTGAAGTGCCGACAATCTTGGAGTTCATTGCCAGAGAATCACTAAAGAGAGGGATTTGGTTCGCAGAGGTTGACCTTGCTGGGACCACTCTGATGATGGTGCTTTGAGTCACACTTTCATTCTTGGTCCCTGCCGGGCACTTGGAGTTGGTGCTGAACTTGGGTTTGGACTGGTTTGTGGTCTTGGAATCATCGTCAGCCACTAGCTCGAATCTATCGGGAAGTGCGCGGAACGAGAGACTTACGGCCCCCTGAATAGTGATAGTATATCGTGGAGCAGAAGCGCGGAAATTTCTAACACTCGCCGCTGTCACGAAACGAGCACTGATACTGCGCAAATGAAGCTGCAAGCAGTGGTTCTCATACGAGCTAATATTTTGGGTTAAACCGAACGATCTGGAAAGATGATGACTTGCAACTGCATGAAACATCGTCCTTCGGAAAGATTCATGTAAGAAGTGAATAAGCTAAACGCATATAGTTCAAGATTGAGGCATTATGCTGTGAACTATATTTGAGCAAGTCGATTGAATGGGCCTCAATTGTACGGGCCCCTTTCCGGTCATCCCCTCTGAATGCTGGTTTTGAGAGGTCTGAAGAAGTCAAAGCAACCGGTGAGGCTGAGATCGAGAGGGGTTTAAATAATGCATGAACACGTAACCTTCGCACGAAAGGTTAAGCTCGCATTTGCGAGTAGCGGCAGATGAGAGAGACTGACATGTTGCTCCAATCAAGGATGCAGCCGTCCATCTTGGGGGCTATTGATTGGACTTGTGTTTCCGTTGAGGCCGGTAGGGCCCGAAGTAATTCATCATCTCGCATGTGCGAGTTTAAGCGGAACACAGCCTTGTGTAGTCGGTCCGGCCATGCGAGTTTGATCAGCTATGCGCAACACTTTGGATGTTGTATATCCTCCCATGAGACCGAGGCTGGTTGGCAGAGCGCGTTCAAGCGGAACACGGAGGACGACGGTCGAGATTCCTGCAGATTCTCATACCATTCTCAATGAAAGCAAAAGCGTATTGCTGAATCGTGACTTCGACATGTCTTTGCGTTTGTTTGCTTGTCCATCCGGCCTTTGGGTAAACTCGTGCTGCTTAGGACACCGGTCAAGATGAACAAAAAAACTCTGGAATGTTTCCAATCATTTGTGCCAGCGGAAGGAAGACTCGGCGCGAGCTGTAATCCACTGCATATAATGTTTCGGAAGACTGTCTAGTCTTTGATTAGAACTAGATGTCCTGGAAGTACTATTGACAATGAGCGATAGATGAGGCTCCCAATAGCCGCAAGATCTCCCTATGAGCCACGCGGAGGAGCAACAACATGGCACGGACAGTATCGAGGATGAATGTTTCTCGTGATGTGCTTGAGGTCTGGTTGTTTAATGTTTACGTGAGAAGTGCGATGGAAATAATGGAAAGAAAAATTGAAACTCGCTGCCGTGGACATCCCGCGGCATTTAAGATATGTTGAAATGTCCCTTGCGTTTTCTCACTAGACTAGGCCGCGATATTGCTGCACCATCCTGGACGGAGCCGGCGCTCATGCAGCAGTCTAATGCCAGAAAAAGATTGCTGCCAATGATCACAGATAGATACGTGGTTTTCTGGAGCCCTTGAAACCATTTTGGGAGCTCGTTATCGAACTACGCCGTGTTGGACTTTCCGTTGGCTCGACGAGCACAAAAGCCCCGCGCGTTCGGCCAATTGAGCCACGACGCGAGTTTGGGCACCAAGACTGCATAACGTTATTTTCCAAGCAGCATGCTACTATGTCTTTCGCACTCTTCGGTATGAACAACGACGCGCAATGGCGAGTAATGGTCGTTGATGCGAAAGCGCAGAAGTTGCATCGTGCAATGACCACAGCGCTCGCAGGGCTAGCTCTTCTACGTATGAGCAAATGTTGTCGATCACGTCTGAGTTTTCAGCGCATCATCAGGAATCGAAATGCTTTCTCGTGTAGTTGACTCCCCTCCTTTCAGTCTTGTAGCTACTCTTAATTTCAAACAAGCCACCTGGCAGGTAAAATGGATATGAAATACCAATAAATTTACGGGAACGGATGCTGCGATGACTCGGGGATGCATTCCATGGCTGTATGTAAACACCGGTGGCTGAGCCAGGTTCCAGCGAGTTAATCAACAGTATCCGACCTCGGCCGGTTGGAGATGCGGATACAGCGTCGGTTACGCTGAGCCAGTACAGACGGGCCGGAGTATCATGGCTTCGTCGGGGTGAGTAAAATTATCTCATATATCGCACAGAGGACCTAAAGAAGACAAGCGACTCTGATTGGAGCGGTTGTTTCTGGAGTGCTTTGAACTGTACCGAACACCATGAGCTTGATAGAATTCCAGATGTAGGCATAACTAACTGCTACAGGTCGATATGTTCAATTGGCCAGAGTAATTCCCGAAATGATGGGTTAGAGACTTTTGAGGTTGGTCCTTACTCAGCCAAGATTTTCGGACTACACGGAGTTGCGAAGAACTCGAAGGCGAACGGGAGCATTCGGGCCCAGGTGGGGGTCAATCAACTGCCCATAAGCTGTTGCTTTTCGTCACACCACAAGGTACCACAAGGTACCACTAGGTACGGCAAAAGTGGTTCCATTGGCTAAAGTATTCTATCGGCCAGAGCCAGATCGAGGGATGTATTGAAAAGTGCAGAACCGGAGAACTCATGGTGTCGTTTGGAAACTCGAATAATGGAGACAGAGATGCCGATGCAGCTTTGGAATTATTGCTGAGAGGTTGGATTTGTTTATTGACAATTCGTCCTGCTGCGCTGAGAGCTATGTGAAAATTGGAGGAGCTCCGACAGGTAGGTTCACACTTGGTTCACTGGGCCCACGCTCCAGGCTGAGGACGACGTCACTATGAGGAGGGATCCGTATGTATGTACTGTGGTAGAGGCAGTGGACAGCTAGAGTGGTACGGTGATGCCGCGAGGTGTTATACTGCGGGGCAGTTTAGGTGGGATTCAGCCCCTCCACCCAAAACATCGTCAAAGCTGTCATCGCCAGTCCTCCTTCGAGTCTCCTTTGATTCCTCATTCTCGTCTCGTCACCACCACCGACCCCAAGAGCTAACGCAACTCCCTCACTTGCAAGCAATCCTCGTTCCCACCGTCTCAATCTTTGTTGTGGTAAGTGATTGTCCCATGCTGTCGCTCTCAGGCTCTCCTCCGGCGACAACTTGTTTAGTCATTACCCCACCACCATCTTCGAGAATCCCAGCCCGCCTGGAAACACGCGCGCCTCACCCTTATGTAATGATTACAGCCATCATCTCCCTTCTCGCTTGATAAGCTTGAACCTTCCCCCTGTTTTGTTTTGTTTCGTCCCGTTCCTGTCGTTGAACACAGGCCTATTCAAATATCCTCTCGCTCGCTGACACCTTTCCCGCTTGAAGCTATCCGTCGACCCATAACGAATCTGGACAGACCCATCAACCAGCCTGTCAAAATGCCTCAACCCACTACTCTCCCGGCATGGAAAGAGCTGGAGAACCACTTCAAGACAGTTGGTAAGACCTTTGTCTTGAAGGAGGCCTTCTCTCAAGACCCTGAGCGATTCAACAAGCTCTCCAAGACCTTCCGCAACTCCCCCTCCGGCACCGATATCCTCTTCGACTTCAGCAAGAACTTGGTAACACCCGAGACCATTGACTTGCTGGTCAAGTTGGCCGAGCAAGCCGGCGTCGAGAAGAAGCGAGATGCCATGTTCGCTGGTGAGAAGATCAACTTCACAGAAGACCGTGCTGTATACCACCCGGCCCTGCGCAATGTTGGCGGCTGGGAAATGAAGGTCGAGGGCCAGGATGTCATGAACGTCAAGGGTGGTGTCAACGAGGTCTTGGACCACATGAAGGAGTTCTCCGAGCAGGTTCGAAGCGGCGAATGGAAGGGCTTCACCGGCAAGAAGCTCACCACCATCGTCAACGTCGGTATCGGTGGTTCTGATCTCGGCCCCGTCATGGTCACCGAGGCCCTCAAGTACTACGGTGCCAAGGACATGACCCTCCATTTCGTCTCCAACATCGACGGTACTCACATGGCCGAGGCCCTCAACGCCTCCGACCCCGAGACCACTCTGTTCCTGGTCGCCTCCAAGACCTTTACCACCGCCGAGACGACCACCAACGCCAACACTGCCAAGTCATGGTTCCTCGAGAAGACTGGCAACAAGGGTGAGATTGCCAAGCACTTCGTCGCCCTGTCCACCAACGAGCAGGAGGTCACCAAGTTTGGTATTGACGCCAAGAACATGTTCGGCTTTGAGAGCTGGGTTGGTGGCCGATACTCTGTCTGGAGTGCCATCGGTCTCAGTGTTGCCCTGTACATTGGCTACGACAACTTCCACAAGTTCCTGGCCGGTGCCCATGAGATGGACAAGCACTTCCGCGAGACGCCTCTGAAGGACAACATCCCTATCCTTGGTGGCCTGCTGAGTGTCTGGTACAGCGACTTCTTCGCTGCTCAAACACATTTGGTCGCTCCGTAAGTTTTACTTTCTGTGCTAGAGTGCAGGACAAGAGCGTACTAACGAGTTGTAGTTTCGACCAATACCTCCACCGATTCCCTGCTTACCTGCAACAGCTGTCCATGGAATCTAATGGCAAGACCATCACATCCGATGGCTCACCCGCCAAGTACACCACCGGACCTATCCTGTTCGGCGAGCCCTGCACGAACGCACAGCACTCTTTCTTCCAGCTTGTCCATCAAGGTACTAAGCTGATCCCTACTGACTTCATCCTGGCTGCCAAGTCGCACAACCCTATTTCCGACAACTTGCACCAGAAGATGCTTGCATCCAACTACTTTGCTCAGGCCGAGGCTCTCATGATCGGCAAGACTGCTGATGAGGTCAAGTCTGAGGGCACTGCTGAGAACCTGGTTCCCCACAAGGTATTCATGGGTAACCGACCCACCACCTCCATTCTCGTTGGTGGAAGCATCGGCCCCGCTGAGCTCGGTGCTCTAATTGTCTACTACGAGCACCTCACTTTCACCGAGGGTGCCATCTGGGACATCAACAGCTTCGACCAGTGGGGTGTTGAGCTGGGCAAGGTGCTGGCCAAGAAGATTCTCAAGGAACTCGACGAAGAGGGCAACGGCGAGGGCCATGACGCCAGCACCGGTAGCTTGATCGGCGCTTTCAAGAAGTATGCTTCGCTATGACCACACTCGGAAGAAAAGACCGCCGGCGATAAAGCCAAGCTATGAAACTGAGGTTAAGCGCGAAAGTGTTGACGGAACGTGCCATTCAGGTACGGGGATAAAACGGGGCATTTTACGATTGACGATAGATTAGCACTTCAACATTTCCGTTCAGCAGCTTCTGATTACTCAATAAAACAACACAATTTTTTTTCTACGGAAAGGAACAGCCGCAGTGATACTTCAGAACAGCTCCCAGCATCTGTTCAATTCAAGGCTTCTTGTGACCGAGTCTTAACAATGTCCAAAGTGCACCCGGGGAGGGGGGGTTCTTTTTTTCTTTCTTTTTTCTTTTTTCTTTTTTAAACTCGCGCTCTCATTGATGATAATCTTTTATCGAAAACATAGGGAAGTAATCAGCGACTACTCTAGGTTTCGACGTCACTCTGGGAAACGGTCGAAATGTTGAAAGTCTCATCACGGGCTACATCACAGCTCAAGCGGTTGATTTGTATCTAGGTCCTAAAGCTCCGCTTTCCTTTTGTTCAAGTGAGACGACAGCTCGACGCCATCGTGTTAGTCTCGGCATTTCTTCGTCCTTGATCATTACTAATCGTGAGCTACGGAACCGTAGGCGTTGATCCTAACAAAGCATTGACCTGCACGTACATAATAGGAGCCCGTTGCCCGTTGCTAGATATGATTCGTCTCATGTCAGAAACTGCTTTATTGTGAACTGTGGATACGTATGGATTGGTGTCTCCGTGATAGCCCGGCAAAGACTCATGGTAGATCCATGTAAATGACAACAAGGCCGGTGATAATATTGCATACTATAACAACTAATCCAAACATAAGGAATAAGACTAAACGTGCTCAACGACTATAGCCACTGTTCAAATTATATGTCTTCGAGGTTGCTGTGATGGTTGGTATTATTGCTTGTCTGTGAAGTTGATTTGATATTTTTTACCGTGTAGGTGAGGAAGCCTCCTATTGTCCATAATGCAAAGAGACACGCCACGAAATCGATGCATGCGGTTTATTCCACGGCCATCTCTGTTGTAAGTGCGACGGAGCTTCTACACAGCTGCCAAATATCCACGCCAGTTTATGAGACCTTGGCTAGTAGCAAAACACGGCATCTTGTGGTTTCATACGCAAAAGAACATCACACCGACCGTGGCTAGGTCAAATTTCAAGGCAGGAACTAGGAAAATGGATCCTGGTTGGCATAAGTAGTGTAAAGAGCTGGCCATGAACATGGAAGATCCTCATGCTTCATTTCGAGTGTTTTGTGTTGTTTGGAGTTCATGTGTAGTTGGATCGTATTACGCGCAACGTGGCAAAGTTATGCTATGGGCGTTGTGGGCTGGGTTAAACTGCAACCATGGCCAGTTTTTATTCATAGTTTAATTCCCTCTTGCTCCAGGCTGTACGATAGTACCTCCATCTGCCGCAATACTCTCGACTTCCCCTACCCTAATTACTACTATTTCGCCGTGATGGTGGCTATGATCATAGCAGGAATAGAAACACGTGCACTCTTTTGAGGCATGAGAACAACAAAGGATAAGATGGACTGTGTTCCTCTAGTATCCTGAATGCCTCCAGCATGCTATCCCGCCAAGTCCACTCGGATCAGCGCCGGGATAATTGCTGGGCATACTCACGAAGGGCTCTGGATTCGCACTCAGTTTTCATGACCGGCCAGGGCAATGTACACTGAAGTGTCTTGTCATGAAGCTGGCGATCATCACTGCCCTAATTTTGCAGGGATTAATTTCTTGTATTTCAGACTTTTGATAAGGCGGCCTGGACGAGCCATATGTCGACAGAGCATCCAGGACTTCTCATGTATGTGATCTTTGCAATCCCGACACTACAACTACAGAAACCAGCGATGTAAAATTAAAGAAAGCATGAAAACAATTTGATCTGGTGGGTGACTTGTACATGGGTTTGGCAAAAGTGTCGACCACGGTGGCGACCCGCGCGTCCCAAGGGGTTTTCTTAGAGAGTGCGGTAAAATTACATTCGGTTTACTCTCTACTTTGAGAGTAAGTGGCTCCAATACAACACGTCTCGGCCACAGGTCTCGAATGAGGTGATCATGACCGTGAGGTATCCACGGCAGATTAGCAAGAAGGTCTGTAGTGCCTTTTTTCTTTCGAGCAATTAAACACCTGCCGCTGCAGCGCCAGCCCTTTACCCTGTTATTCTTTCAATACAGAGATAGGCAAAGTGTCAGAGCTCATCCGGTATCGGACTGCTATTGGGTATATAAGGGCCGTAATCCTCCATATGTGATAGAGAGTAGGGCTCAGCGCGTCAATACTAGCACCCTAGGACTCCCCTGCAACACTATCGTCTGACACCTGTTGCTCTTAAAATGCTATCATCCTCTATAATAACACTCAGAATCAGAGGAGAGATCCAGTTGTTTCGTAGGGTAAGGCAGGCAATTCTTCAGGATCTATCATTAATAGCTTAAAGCCACTCATGTTGAATTAATTAGTATGCTTATTAAACCGAAATATCATTAATCTAAGAATCTCTCGGTGATAAAGAAGCCTCGAAGGCGGTTTCTTTAATGCTACAGATCTCGTCATCAGCTAAAACGGCCGAGAGACTAGATATGTCGCTTATCGTATGACTATGATTCCATGGTGGTAACTATTAGCGGAGTTAGGGCTATTCTTTATTGAAGTGATTACGAATATAAGGACTTGATAACCCCAAGTGAAGTTTCTACCTCTAAACCTTTTAGCGTTAACCACTAAAGTCTTCGAGTTTCAATAGGTTAAGCTTGGGTAGAGGCGCGACCCAAGAGACGCTTTACCAACCTATGAAGTCCTTGTATTATCTGTAGCCCGTTTCCTCTTTAGGAGATATCGTCTACTTAAGGCTTCATCATGGTTATCACGATGGCTAGACCACCGTAGTTACCTCTGTGACTATCATCATAGCTACCATACTTTCCTGAGGCACCGATAGATATGTGCATATAACCACGGAGAGATCCGTACATAGTTCGCTTCCGAACCATGCTTTTGACGCCACTTGTCCGTGTCATATCTACATAGTTTCAACTCAACTTTTAAGAGAAACAAGTATTCTTTTAGGAGCGGGCAGCTTCGCAGCCAGCACCATATACAGATTGTAACGTCAATTCTTACCAGCCTCAGCCTAGAGCCTTCGTATTGTTAGAATGGAACGAAATTACGAGGAGTAGAATGATTGATTAGTTGATTGAGTATTAAGGAGTGGCTATGTGTGTGGTAGCACACTATAGATGTACATAGTAGGTAGGTGGCTGGTAAGCCCGGAATACAGGTGGTTGGGGCCTATATGAATGAATGAACGAATGGAGTCACATGGTAGTTATAATGCTACACAGAGAGCCCATTTGGTTTTATTACGTGCACTGTGTCGAATAATGGCCTTGTGATTTGTACTGTACCGCAGCACATGCATAATAACCTTGTAGAATTAGGAACGCATTAAGAACTAACCAGTGAGGGAAAACGAAATGGACACAGGGCAATGGGCTTTCCAGTTCTGAATTACTAGACCAGAGGTGAAAGCCTGCATAACCGTAGCTTGGTCCAGAAATATAAGCGAGTCTAGCAGAAGTCAGCAAAAAGCAAGAGGCCCACTATTGGCCGACACAACTAGGTAGGTACTGTTCCTCCTCAGTCAATATAAATTGCGCCAAACACCGTCCCATGGCATGATACACGGTCATTTGCATGTGACTAATTACGAGTATTGTGGGTACCATATTTGGCTCCAGTGTCGGAGAAATATCCAGCCAACGTGGGTGCATATGAACAAGATTAGGACCACCCGGATACATTAGCATGATTGGTCGACAGTAGATTTGTATCGAGAAGACGCCCACTGAAAACATTCCCAATCTGTTCTCTTCCTTATCACATATCCTCATGAACTGCACCTCCTTACTTCATTCGCCATCGAATTACGTTCTTCATGTGTGTTGCCGCCTCAGAAAAAGCAAAATGACTCACCTTCAACATCAAAGTCAGGATCTTCAGATTCGGCCATCACCACAAGCGGCTGCCGTTGCCTATGCAGTGTCAGCTAAACAGCTGATTTCTCATGATAGGTATTTTATTCTAGTTGTATTGCAAGTCGCAGTGATCATGAATACGCAGAGGGACAAATGCAAGGGAGACCTGTCAAATGAAGATGTATCATGTCTTGGAAGTCTTGAGTACTCAATACTAGCAGGTTCGTAGCGCTCTGGCTGGCTTCTCCGGAGCCATCTAATCAAGTATACTCGCAAGATTCCATCGGCTTGACTCTTTTGTATTTTCCATCACTAGTTTTCACAATGTTCCCAATTCAAGCCCGATTTTACGAATTCTTTCTAAAATTTGGCTTGTTGGTATACGAAGAAAAAGAACGACAATGGTAGAAGAAACGCCGCACTACAGGCCACTTGGAGATGTGAACGAAACAAAGAACTATAGTATACCTACTCTCAAAGGCGTCTGGAATCCGAAAGCGTCTTGCATATCAGTCAAGTTAGAACTGGTATGCCATCAATGTGGAATGATGACTCTCGATTCCCTGGTACTTCTTCCTTAGTAGCAGGTTCCACCCTGTGTCGACCCTGCATGCTTGACAGTCGTGCAGATAAGTTCTCAGGTTTCATTTCAAGTAGCATCAGCAGTGCAGAATACGAAGCACTCAACCCCAAAATGGAAAGGGCAATAGGAAAGAAGAGCATCAGAAGCCGAGTGGGCTTTGGAGATCCGGGCGATTTATTGAAATCCCACGGCGAAGACTAGAATATCCTCATATTATACAAACCACCCTGAAAAGATCCAAGAGCATTGCTAATAAATTGAGGGCGCTCGTCTTTATCATTGAGGCCGCTCATCTTTATCATTGAGGCCGTGTGGGCTTTGCTCTTTTGCTCCTTTGCTCCCTGATGCTCAATGGATCGTGATGTCCCACGCTTAAAGCGAGGCAACCGTGTAATCCCCCCACTAGTATATAGGCTCGGCGAACGAAATTTAGCTCTAAGTTGCTTTGTACTGGGCGTTGGTGATGGTTCCGTTTGAGATATCACATTGATTTTCACGTCGTGCTATCATCATTGTGGTTTCTAAAGGTCTCTTAGGGAATATGCCGGGTTTTTGGATTCGTCCTTTGAAATGATATGTACAGACTGTAGAGATGGTGCCCATGGTGCACAAAAATGTGCTAAGCTGTGTAGTATGAAACAGTAATGAATGCCATAGGAATTCACTGAAAAACCTAGGTTATCTATTTAGGTATCCTCCACAAGGAATACAGGGTATCTTTATTCCTCGTCCGTCTCGCAAATACTATCCATAGGCATATTATTTATCCTTATCGTGTTGTGTGTCTACGAAGCAAAGAAGTCGAATGACAAACAACTTGTAATAACACGACATTAGCACATACTAGTTATGAAATGGGGCTGCTAGTCCTAATACTTGTTTTGTTTATCATCTACTTATAAAGTGGCGGTATTATAATAATAATCTAGGATAAAACTGTTATAGCATGAAACAAAGTTGATAAATTGGTGAATTAATTCTAATAGAATCATACTTATAACATAACGTTTTGACTCCACTTAGTGGCCTAGGCTTAAAGAGCAGCCACTATGGCTAAATTTATTGGTTCGAATATCTATTATATTAGTTGAGTTTTTCTGTTTCTAAGACCGTATTATTACAATTTAATTTTGTTTAAGTAATGAACCTTTATTACCGTGCTTTACCTTCCGATATGATTAGCGTACATGATTAAAAGTGCTCTTATAGCTACGTGATACACACTTTTATATTCAAAAGTATATTCTTTACATTCAGAGTACCTTAATAGTGTAAAGTGCATCCGTCTCGGAATACAGAGAAAATGAGCAGTCTCAACTCTTCATTTAATATTTTATAAGCATACTTGGTGGGCCAGGAGTGACCAAACTATACCTCTCGACTACATAATCACCCCCTTGCCAGCACAGTCCGATGTGGATTACGGCTCGCGTGAAGCTTTGCCATATATCCTGTTTAGCTAAAGCTATGATCTAACAACTATTAATATGTGACTTGTAATTACAAAAAAAAAAAGTATTTCTAAGTGATATAATGTAATTATAAGATTTAATAATATCCTTACGTCGATAAATATACCGTTATTATAGATAACTATAGATATTAATTCTACCGACTTTTGGTAGACACAGAACTAGAACCGGGTACTGGATTTGTGCTAGTATCTGATCCTGTCCTCCGCCTACGCTCAAAGTCCTTCAGCAATGTGTAAATTGCGCCAAGGGGCATAAATTGTATCAACGACCGGAACCCTTCAGGGAAGATCGCAGTAGCGTTATCCATGAGCTCTTCATTACAGCGGTTCCAGCGGAGAACTTGCATCCAAGACAAAATCTCGTCGCCAACGAGGAACGCAGGAAAAGTGGCCATAGCAATCTCCTCCAGAATCCAATCACGTTGTAGATATGGACGGCTAAAAAAGGCTTGCGCCGCAACAAACGCAGGAAACTGAGTGGGATCGCGGATATCGGGGGGCACATCCCACAGCCACTTCATCTCGGTCATCCATTTATATTGAGGTGCATAGTTCTCTGGATGCTGAGTTTTGTCTTCGGGATCTCCAAAGTTGTCAGGCATGCACTTGTCAACTGTACGAATGATTTTCACGGCGTAGTCAGATGTTTCGTCCTTCTCGCCAAGCCAGCCAACCACCATTCGAGCCGATCTGTAGACCATGGCCATATGGGCCCGCCGTTGGGACTGCTCGCGGGCATCACTCTGATTCACGCAGAGTGCATCAACCCACAGGCGAAGAGGTGTTTGAAGATCCGAGCGCGGATTTGAATCTAGCAGAATGGACTGAACGCCCTTCAGAAGACGGGACAGCCATCTCGGTGTCTTCTTCGCTGTCGGCGTGAAGCGTTGCTCCTCTGAAGCAGCATCTTTGACCTCAACAGCATCAAAAACCACCGCGCGAACATTCCTCAAAGCCTGAGCGAGAGTTGCAGGTACTGAGATTCTGCGCTCGTTGAGGCATATCTGCTCAGTTGTATTTGAATCGCCATACAGAACGGAAAGTCCAATGAATTCGACGTCAGGGGCAAGTGCGATATTGACCAGGCGACATACGACAGTGTCGCTGATGTCATGCGCTGGCTGCAGTTCGAGGAGTCGGACTTCAGATCCTGATGGATGTAGTTTCCTGAAGTGGATTTTGGTCTGCAATGGTGAAGCCATCATACGCGGGTTGAGGAACTGAGGTAGGTGTTCCAGAGAATTGAAGTTTCTTCGAGAGAAATTCCCCTGCGTACTCCACTAAACAAGCTACACAAAACAAGGGTGTGCAAAGTAGCCCAAGTCAGAAGTCCCAAGTCAGTAGTTAGACGATGCCGGCCGTTGGCTGCGGGATAACGTTTTGCAAATTCCGGAGGGCAGGGCAGGCGTGATTGCCCCGCACAATAAATACGAAAGGATCCTTATCCTAGAAGCCTCTCTTGACCCTAGCTCTATATTGACTAACAAAGGGATAGCCTGGTTTCTTTTGAAATCGCCAGTCTTTTCTAGAGCTGATTTGGGATGCAAGGGGGGCGTCGGTCGCCCATGGTTTTATGACAAGATTCTGTCGTATTTCCCCATTTCAGTGCTCGCATAGTGAAGCTCTTTCCATTATTCTGGTTCGTAACGGCGGCTATGTTGGACTCATGTTGCTGTTGTATGACTGAAGAAGTTGCAATCAGGAGACGCACGAAAAGGGACCGCAAACCAAATGGCGGTGGGAGCCAGGGCCAATCTCCTGGGACAATCCCTTATCCTTGCTCGTATCTTCTTCCCTGTTTGCTTAGATGCAAGTGTATGCGCAAGATGGTTGGTGTTTTTTTATTGTGCCGGCTAGAGAACCCACAAAATAATGTGACGACCGATTGCTCTGCTCAAGAGAACTTTGATAACCCCAAGCCCAATTCCCATTTAATGCCATTGCGTCGCCACAAGGACTTTATTTTATTATGGCAGCAGGCCAAAATAACCCTAGTGGGGCAGGTTCTTTTGCAAAGGAGGTCACAACTGGTTCGGAACTCAATATCACGGAAAAACACCCATGCAGTCAACCAGTATCATAATGTTGTCTTGTGTTAGCGCTTTCTTGACCCCCGCGCTCTCTGTCTAAAATGCATACATACATAGTAGAGACAGAAATCCATTCTAGAACTCAACTTATACCATATTATTTCTAAACTGAAAACTGGGATTTGAATGTATTGATAAATCTTATAGAGAATCATCAAGGATGCAACTATTTTTTCCGCGGTCATATTCTATCGTGGAATAAATTATTGTTAATAGAATCTTTCAAGCCACCACTATGCTGTATGCATTCTAGTAGAGAGCGCGGGGGGTCGCTTACCTCAGAACATGAATGACATGTGGTGGTTCCTGAGGATGTCGGGCTGAGCCGTTGAAATGAAACGGTAGATGTGCTAGCAAGGGATCCTGGTCAAATATGGAGAAGCGAACAAACTACAATGTTCACGGGATGTAGTCTGTGCTTTGGATCACGGATTCAAATGCTTTGGCTAGTCTTCGCACCCGGATCCTAATTGCGGATGGTCCTAGTCGATGGACTGTTCCAAGGGCTCAAGAAACCACTTTAAGAGTTACATGGCGATGTGATTCATTGACGGGATTAGTGTATTGTGATGCACTCAAATAGAGCCCTCGATTGAAGAGGTGAATTTGTTATGCGCCTACATGCGTCCATGGATCATTGCTAGCATCTAATAGGTAGAGTCTAGAGGACCTCGAGGTCTGCATGATGCTACCAGGTGACAAGTTGGCAAACAGAGGCTCTAAGGAGTCGTTCGATGAGTCAAAGATAAAGAGACCAGACGAACTGATTCCATGGTGGCACCTCTCGTTTCATCGCTGATGAAGAAATACCCTAATCGTTGACTTCATTTCGATCCAATATCGACCCTTCTAAGGTTAGAATAGAGTGCCTCAGAAGTAGAGGCAGAGTTACAATATTGCTAATACCTCCCTCAACGTCCTTCCTAGAACTTCCTAGCTAAGAAGTAAAATAGTTAAAGTTCTCCTCAAGTAACCCCATCATTTGCTGGTTATTGTAAAACCAATCACCGAGCGACCCATCCTGCTGCAGTGGGCCTGTTCCTTGTGCGCTGACTTCCCTCTGGGTATCAGGACGGATGTTGCCGCCCTTGGCTCCACTGACTAGTCCGGCAGCACCGGCAGTACCGGTAGCACCAGTAGCACCAATATCCTGCGTCGTTAGTATGTTTGGGTTGAGCCCTGGAACGAATCCCAAGGCATGCAAATATGCGTTGAACTCGTCGCTCATCGATGGCTGAGTCGCACTGGTCTTGATCTCGATATATCTATTCGCAATGTTATACAGGATGTGGAAGAGCCGCTGTGCCGAGGCTGTCATCTTGCAGAGCTTTGCGGCGTGCTCGAGATTCGTGACAAAGCTGTGCAATCGTTCCAGATCCGCCATATCCATTGTTTCAATCACGCGGCAAAAGAGGACGATGAATGGAATGAATGGCGCGTAATGTATGGTCCTGGAACCTAAAGATCAGCATGTGATAAACTTCACACAAACGAACTGGAAAACTAGCGTACCACTGAATATATAAATTTATGCCCAATCCATCCTGAGGCTCTATCATTGCGAGACACTTTTCGTGGAGCAGGAGTGCTGTGCGAGCGCTGCTAACACACTCATCTGTAAATGTACCCGTCGAAGAATCTGATTTGGGCATCGCGCGAAGAATGAGAGTGGCAACGGCGTAGCATAGCACTTTACCTTGCATAAGGCCGAAAGTCGTGTGAGACTGGAGCTGTCTTTGAGATTCGCCGGCCTAGATGTGGTGCTCAGCTCAGTAACAAAGGGAAAGGGACCGGCGACGAGTTTGGGGATACGGAGAAACTGTAAAGTTGTCTCACCTCTAGCTCTTCAATTGAGTTGATCACTTTCTTGGTGCTCTCAAATAGGGTTTGTGCCCGTACCGCCCTAACGTTGTCGGGTATTTCCAAGGCCGCAGGGCTGTACAAGTCTTCGTAGCAACGTCCCTGTACATGGGCAAGCTGTACCCAAGGCTTTGTACAATTTCCCCAGGGTATGTGATCACCTAGCCCTGAATCTGGTACAGGTACGGTGATATCCCAGTCCGCAATGCAAGAGGGTCTACCCAGTCGAAGAGAAAGTCCCTTTTCGATGATGTATACATTCCAGAAGAGCCAGATCTTCCGAGATCTCTCACTTTCGGGGTCGCCTTCCACGTGATTGAAGCGATGATATCCTGAGCTGACGCACATTTGCGTGGCGCTGGATATGAGCGTCCATGAATGTGATGCTCTGGAGTTCTCGATCGTGAAATGGCACTGTGACCGGATCCAAATACGTTAGCCACGAACGAGAATGTCTAGCACCTTGCCAAATCACCAATCCGCCTTCAGACGACAAAAACTGCAGGCAGACTAACCGCAAATACAAGCGCTGTTATATAATCCATGTTACAGGGCAGCTGGAGTGGAAGAGCTGACAGGAGCTTCTCGAGATTGGTGCGGCATGAGAGGGACTCTTTCCTCAGGTCAGCTCTCTGAAGATGCTCGCCCAGCTCTTGATCGGTGAGTTGACAGCTCAATTCTTCGTACAACCAACAAAGCCCCGCGTTGGTTATGATGAGATCGGCATCAGAACAGTTGGCTGAGAATAAGGTTTTGAGAACATAGTCGGTGAAATCCTGGGTTGAGATAAGGCCGCAAAGGTGGAAGCAGCTTATCTTGGGGACATCTTGAGAATTGGTCGGTCAGCACAGATCCATTTTGCCTCTAGGTTGTGCGGTCGTAGTGCTTGGATACGAACCCTGTGCTAGTCTGATGCTAGCCATAGCCATGTTGGGTGATGGACGAGCAGGTTTGTAAAACCTTGCCTCACAGGCGCTGGTCTTCGTAGGAGCATAGCGATGTTCCTTAGCCGTGGATACTTCGTCTCGTTGGCTGACAAGGTCTCGTAGAGCTTTCAACGTATCATCAAGTTCGAGGTGAAAGTCCTTGAGTGGCCCAAAGCTGACCGAGTGTGCGAGATAGCTGTTCGCAAAGTCGGCGTGCGCAGTCATGGAAGACGCTCCTTCAAACTCAGTGTTGCCCGCGAGCGTAGCTGGTGTCGCAGAAGTATTATATCCCGGGCTGCCCTCCCGGTCTCTAATAGAAGAAAATGGTGTGGAATTCGAAAATGTATTTTCGTGGCCATTTGCCAGCCCAGCCGCCAGGGGACCATGAACAACACGGTCTAGTGGCCCTTGGTTGTGATTACTCGTTAAGTTCTCAAGGAGACCAACAACCTTAGTCAGGCGCTCCTCTATACGATCGATCTTCCTTTCACTCGAGGTTTCACCGTTAGCACCTATGAGCTGCGCCTGAACGAGAATCTTTTGTCTTCTTTGACCGCTAGAAATCTAGTGGCGATGACGCATCAATCTTCTATTGACAAAAGTTTTACGACAAAAGCTCGCCATCGCCATGAAAATTATGAGACTTAGAAAAATAAATTATAGGACTTACTACTGCGTCGAAATTAGCACCCGCTGACGTTTGGGCCGTGTGCCCTGGACGTCCTCATACGTGCAGGCCGTTCTTGATCGTAGACAATTGGAGCATGGTTCACTTCGGTCACATCCGATCTATGAAATCAGCATGACACATATATAGATTCGCTGTGAGAGCTTCATACCTTACGGAAACGGCAGACTTCACACTATCACAAGGCAACGGGCACAAGGTCAGCAACATGCTTGAAAATATGATACTACCAGCAGTATGGCTACCTTGCGAAAGTGGCCAATTACGTTCCCGGCCACGCGCCGCGGGGATAAATGGCATTGTAGCGCAGGAAGAACTCCGAAGACAAAATCACTTACTGCTCGACGATGGATTGGAGACGGCCTGCGTTGACGTTCACCATTGCTGCCAGGGGTATTGTTACCCCTGTTCTCATTAGATTCTGGAGTTTCTTCCATTAGGTTGTCGAGCAAATGCCTGCTTGCGCTTGCCTGGAGGTAGGTGTGCCTGATCAAATGGGCAATGCAGCAAAAATCGCAGCGCGTACGGTTACAAAATCGGGTGCCACGGGCAGGACGCCCTAGGCTCGAGCCAGTGTGCATTGGCTTTTCCGCTAAGCATTTAACCTACCTGAATTCACCCCCTAAGAGTTGGAGATCAAGAACGGGTCCCGCGGTTATCCGTTATCCGACTCGCCAAAGAGCTAACTATTGCTTGCGTGGGGTCTGAGAGCATCGATCCGCATGGAATTTTGCCCTTTCAACGTGGGGCTAACCTTGAACACCAGCGTTTCTTAGGTGTAAGGCCTATGTATGTGTCAAAAAAATTATGCATGAATGGATGGCAAACGCATATAAGACCATGAAAAGCAAAGACAAAAGATGTGTGTTATGATTATAGTAGCAACACTTAGCAATTGACCACATCTGATGTATGTTATGATAACCACTTATCAGCTTGCTAAGCAAAAATCTCCTAATCAAAAAAGAAAAAGAAATAGCATTAAAAACTCGAAAAGACATACAATATCACGTTGTGCTTACCTCTAAATCGCCCACCCTATATTCATGTTTTCATACTGCACATTTAGACGTACCACGTTAACTAAACAGCTGCCTCAGCCTAGACAGTTCTTAAAATAAAATTCATCCAAGCTAAACAGAAATTTTCTTCTCTAACTTAAGCTTTCAACAGGGGAATTAACCAGGGATTGTGGCTATGCTACTAGATCCAGGTTGGCAAAATGGTTAGCCCTCGAAGCAGAAACGGAGGTTGATGAACCCTAGTCCCTTCGGTGAATCCAAGATGGGTAAAAGAGGACCAGAGAGTAATAGAACTAGATGGCATGCCCATTTCTCACTGCTCGCCTCCTTGGACGGACGCAAATACTTCGCATTCCGAAAACATATAAATTTGTCACTTAATGCGCTAGGTATACATTAACATACCTTGGAGAGTCGATTATTAACACAAGATTCTGGAATAACCGTTTGCCTCATTTAGGCCCCCATATCGAGGGGACCCTGGTCGCTCTCGGGCGCCCCATGTGGATTTCTTATTGCGGAAAACTCAACCCAGCAGGACCTTACAGTGCAAGACCGAGCGATTTATCATACTGCCTTACAACCTCGCGATCCGACACATTTATGAGTACTTCCAGAAATAAAGTGTTCGATTTGATTGTTCCATGTAGTGAACCTTTCCTTCCTATTATACCTCAATAAAAGAGAGATGTGACGCGTTTAAGTACGCCTATTTCAAAAGACTTGTTTCGCGATAGTTAAAAAGAAAGCTTGGATTACGCATATAGACAAGGATTTCAGAACCAACGGACTCGAAAGTATCATGAAAGAAGTAGAGTTAATCATTCATTTGAGTACTCCGTCGCCGCTGCCACTACTCACCTTTGAGGCGAGTATCATACTGTGCCTAGCGCTAGTTGGATGTCAAACTAAAGACACAGTTTTACTGCCGCGAGTCGTCACGGCACTCAGACAGCTCGACCGGAAAGAAGGTGTCTGGAACATCCAAGATCTTGCCGATGTTTACAAAGCAGCTATAATAGCAGATCTGCCATGCACTAACAACTAGTATTTGTGTAAAGGGATATCGTGGACACAAAGTTGATTTAGATGATCAATGTAGTCTTTTAGTATAGGCTTTATTCAGAATTACGACGATAACATCAGAGGCGACTTTGTATAATAGCGTTACTTGTCCTCTAAGATAATGAAGCGGGCGCAACAAACATGTGTGTGTTGTGTATTTCCATTGCTGCATTATCTGGAACATTAGGATAACATGATAGTGCCTATTGCAAGGTCTATTCTTGCTTTTCTCGTATTACCGCTCCAACGGCGTGTCTCGTTTGCGGACCAAGTTCTTGATACACATATGTGTGATCGTACATAAAGTCATTTTAGTTCTGGACTGTATCTAATTAGTGCTCCGACCTACAGCGCGCGACCATCTTGGTTGTATTGGGTTACATCGATTAACATATGGCTATTGACGAGTCGGCGCCTACATTATTTCGATGTCTTGAAAACGTATAGTAATCCAACCTTCATCGGAGCGGCAAAACTTCCTTGTGTTGGATGCATCCACGTGTTGCGTGCACGTGTAGGATTGTTGAAACGCAGGATGCCGTATGGTTATCGTCAGGGTAATTCGATCGAGTTTCATTGAACTGTTCACGCACCCATCACCACTTGCCTAGGTAGCTTCCTCATAACTTTCTTCTGCTAGATCAGCGAGCCCGAAACCGACGGCCTCCACACATACTGCTGTTGATTCCAGCCACCATGTCGGGTTGCGCAGATTTACGAAGCCGGCCGTTCTCCAGCTTCAATTAAACCCTGGGTTCAAGTATCAGCTATGACTCTACCCGGCAGAGTCTACGTGCACAGGTGTGAAGTCATGGCAAGTGGAAACGTGGGCCAGAACAGTCGGCTTCTCTGATCATACCTTTTCCGTTAATATAACGCATGTACCTGCAGCACAAGGACCGGCGATTATGGATAACAGATACGACGTGCGCCTGGCTAAGCCCATTCGTGTTGATGTGTAGCTTTGGATTCTACTCTCGCAACTGGATGTCAGCTGATCACACTCAGCAAGAGTTCTGAAACACAGTAGCTTCTCTCTGATGTGATATGATGCGTACGCCGAAGGGAGAAAATTTGGACAGGTCCTTTAAGTTGCAGAAGTTATACCCATCAATCAAGGTATCGAAACAAGTGGTCGCGTCACGTGAACATTAGTAAACAGTTGATCTTACAGAAATAATGTCTAATCACAATAGGTTCAACCTTGGTGTCTCATTCTGCCCTGAGTCGTATCTGGAATGCGCCAGCTACTTGCTGCCGAAGCAGTCAGCACCCGGTCACCTTTAAATCTGAAGTTTGCCAGTTAGGGGACAAAGCAGCTGATTGGCTGTGCCGTAAAGGACTACTTTGGAATAGCGTTCATTATGTAAGCTTAAACAGACCGTCAAACGACATGGAACGTTCAAAGTGCACAAAACATCCCCACCGCCCCACCGCTCCACCGCCACTCGTTGTGACCCAAGAACCCGCGGGCTCCGAGGGCTGGGGTACTGCACTATTGCGGATACCCCGTGCCGCCGTGGTTATTTCACACTCAACTGCACAATCCATGCGGTCGGTAAGGGACTCGAAGAAATGACGAGTAGGAAAATGGTTTTATGGCATCTTCTACAGCCATACTAGCCAAAGCAGAGGGTTTCTACTGTTTTCCCCTCCCGCGAGAGTGCTATACGTGGTCAACTATTTCGATCTAATATATTAACAAATACGGCTGTGACAAGGGGCTACGCATTTTGCCACTGGACGGGCCCGCGAAAGATGGGTCCGGTATAGTCACGGTCATATATTCGTACGATCGTTGCGGCCAACCTCCGGAATTCTTTAAGACAATGACGCAACGATACCCGATTTACCTTCTATACTCACAAGCCGAGTTTACAACCTACAGCCTACATAGGATACCGATATGTTATCGATTGAATGAAAGTTTACCATTAGCAGCCTTGCTAATGCCGATATCGCCCCGAAAGAGATTAGGACGTAGTTTGCACAGTACTCTGATATCGTGTTAGCACAATTTGCAGCGCCGACCCAGAGCAATATGTGTGCATAGGTAGGAAGTAAGATCAAAGGCTGCTGCCTGCTGCTTTGCAGAAAACAATGCCTTTTGCAGCACACCGTCGCATCTAGATATCTCATTGTGCATGCGGGCGCATGACCGAGTCAAATGCTGCCGGTGATCGTACATTTCCCTAATGTGCACGCTATGGGCACTATGTTGTAGGGATTTGTGGGAGGGTCAAATTTTTGCTATTGATTATTTTCACGACTGAATAGGTGAAACTAGTTGTAACTGATAGACCTCGAATCAAATCAGCTCAGATTGGGGTTGAACACGGCCGATTGCAGTCTTGACCGGCCGTTGTCTAGGTGAGTTGGACTATGATATTTACTTTGTTATCGCGGACGTTGTAATAGTCGCATAGGCATGGAGCTAACATAGGCAGGTACACTGCAAGAGTGGATTTACCACATCTTCGTCGCGCAGTGTGTGGGCCTTCTTCTGGGGCCGAATACAATAAGTATGTGTAATGAATCTCTGTACTATGTTACACTAAGCCAAACTTTGCGCCTCGCACATCTTCTTATAAAGGTTTCCGTGTGCCAATAACTCCTCGTGTGTTCCAGTTTCTACAATCTTGCCTCCCTCAAATACACAAATAACATCAGCATGGCGGATGGTGGACAACCGATGGGCCACAGCAATTGTGATTCTATCTCCTGCCGCCGCCTGGTTGATTGCATCTTGCACGATTCTCTCTGATTCCGTATCCAGTGCACTAGTGGCTTCGTCGAGGAGTAAGATTCTGGGATTCCGGATAAGTGCGCGCGCGATGACAACTCTTTGCCGCTGTCCACCAGATAACTGCAAGCCATTTGTACCACATAATGTGTTGAGTCCGTCCGGAAGTGAAGAAATGAAGGTCCATGCATTCGCAGCACGACAAGCGGCTTCTATATCGGAATCAGGTATCGACGAAGGATCTTCAGTTGGGATGCCCATTGAAATATTCTCACGGATACTTCCAGGATACAGCGTAGGCTCTTGCTGCACAAGAGCAACATGTTCACGATATAATCGTGGCGACATCTGGTCGAGAGCTATAGAGTCAATTGCAATATGCCCGCGCACCGGATCGTAGAATCTTTCTAGCATTGCAATCATGGTGCTCTTGCCGCAGCCGGATGCACCAACAAAGGCAGCGAATTGGCCTTTGGTGATCTATAACAGAGATTAGCTATATCCCCCAAATAGCCGAGAAGAAAAGAGGCTGAGTCTAAGGTTGGCATTGCATACCTTCAAGTCTACTCTACGCAGAACGCGAGCATGGGGCCTCCGTGGGTAGGAAAATTCGACTTTGTTCAGTTCGATAGATTTGTAATCAGTTGGGGCTACATGATTGTTGTCGTGAGTTTCCGTGATTGTCGGTTCGAGCCGTTCGATCCAAAAGATGTAATTGGCTGCATGCCTTGCTTTTGTCATGCCTGTTGTATTGTGAGAGATTATTCGCTTAGCGCAAAGATGGAAGCTTACTACTGGAGAAACCAAAAAGAATGGAGGCCTGCTGGCCAGAAAAGAAAACACCCAAGAATGCTACGAAGAAGTTGACCATACTAAGCTCCCCGAAAGAAACAAGACGGCAACCATACCTACCCATGGCAAGCTAATTAGTATTGAAAAGTATTTGCTGTACAGAAGTGAGACGAAAATGCTTACCAAAAGCCCAAGGCCATAAAAGAATACTCCACGCTCTGAGTGAAGGCAAAGGCAGACATAATTGCAAGTATAGGTCTTGTCGACAAGGTAACGGCGTAGTCCAGCTCACGGGTGTAGTTGTCAAGGACCGACTTCTCAATGGCTAAAGATGACACGGTTCTGATTGCGTTGACGGATTCTGAAGCAATAGAAGAACTTGTCGAAAATCGTTTAGATATTGCGTGGTCCAGCTTGCCTTCCAACCGAATCCGAGCATAGCCTGACAGCAGTAAGGGGGGCAGGCCACCAAAGACGATTACGATGGCGAGTTTCCGTCCGTATACCAAAGCCACAACACAGCAGGAAACAACGCCGGCAGTTGCGATGAGGATCAAGGCAATATTGAAGCCCATCAGTTCAAATACAGCTTGTGGATATGAGTCGATTCTGCTGGCTAGCGCACCGACGGTATTTTCTGGATGATCAAAGAATTGTAGGTCTTGCTTGAGTATATTGTCTAGGAGCTGTCTGCGGTACTTTTGATTAAGAGTCTTTTCTCTGTTAGCTTATCGGATTTTAACCTGGTCGCATTTATGCCACCTACCTGGGCTACCACGTTTGACGACCACCCCACAATGAAATATACCACTAAGGAGCCTAGGCCGAGCACAAGGAACATTAGAGCGAAGAAATTGCCCCTCTTCTCCATGTCAGATCCCGTCAGTTCAAAAACTGCTATAGTCTTTGACATCAGAATAGCTTGGCCGGGATAACCAGCCGCTGCCGTTGGGTCAGTCCTGGTATAAATAAGGCCCGGAGATCAGATGTTACTTACCTCCAGCCAGACAACCAAACAGCAAGCACAGATAGGTCCATTTGAGCTCGGGTGACGATTTCGCCAAACGCACAATCACATGGAGCAGACCTAGGCTTTGATGGTTGTCGAAGCTGTCTCTTTCCATTCGTCTGTCTATGTCACTCCTTGATGTCGACATCCGCGTCAAAACCTTAGTGATCTCGGTACCCTTACTCGCCTCCGAAGTACCAGCATCATCTTCTTGAATTTTTGATACTGCCTTATCTATGCTCGCAGGCGATGCAAGATCTTGAGCATGTACCAAGCGGGAATATGCACCATTAGCGGCAAGGAGGGAAGCATGGGGTCCCTGTTCCAGGATTCGACCGTTCTTCATAACCACTATATTGTCGGCGTTGCGAATTGTCGCGAGCTTGTGCGCAATCACAATAGTCGTGCGACCTTTGGCTGCGTTGTCCAGGGCTTTCTGCACGATTTCCTCCGCATGAGGATCCAGTGCACTTGTTGCTTCATCGAGAAGGAGCACATGCGGTTGTGAGATAATACTGCGAGCAATAGCCACACGCTGTTTCTGTCCTCCGGATAAGAGACCACCCCGCTCCCCAATAACAGTATCGTAGCCATTGGGGAGGGAAGTAATGAAATCATGGGCAAAGGCGATCCTAGCAGCCTCTTCTACCCGTTGTCGTTTTTCTTGTTCCTCGTCGTTCTCCCAACGACTACCAACGAGACCGTTGCAAATATTCTGAAAAACCGTGCCGGAAAATAAAACGGGTTCCTGCTGCACAAGACGCACATTCTTCCTCAACCAGCTGAGATTGAGTTCGTCGAGCGGTCTGCCATCGAGTTTTATTGAGCCCGAGCCAGGGTTATACCATCTTTCAATGAGACCAACAATTGTGCTCTTGCCAGATCCGCTCTGTCCTACAAGAGCTGTCACTTTGCCTGCGGGTATATGCAACGAAAAGTCGTCCAACACAGTGACCTTGGGTCTCGTGGGATAGGAGAAGCGGATATGTGAAAAGTCCAAGGACCCGACTATCTCAGCTGGCCGCTCCCCGGACGTATCAAGGGGATCGATTACAGATCTGCGGTCAATCAATTTGAAGAGCTCTGCAGCCGCAGATGCTGCGCGGGTGAATTCGATGAGATAAGGAGCCGTGGCTGTGAGGCTGGAGGCGGCCATTACTACAGACATAAGAACGCTGACGATCGTTAATATTTACCGCAGTCTACCTCTGTAAAGAGCCACTCACGTAAAGACGTCTCCGGACTTCGATAATTCGTTATTCGCTAGCATCTTGACGCCTTGCCAAAATGTTAACGCAGTACCCGCATACATAATGCAGTATTCGGCAGAGAACAGGCCGCCGAAAAGCGGGCTTTTCTTGTTACCGATGCTGCGGGCCTTGACCAAGTATGCGTCAAAAGATTTCACCAAGCTTGATCGGATTCCAAATGCGTGCACCGTCCTAATGCTTGAAATGAGACTCTCGGCAAAAGCTCCAGCTTGTGCAAGTATTTGAAGAATGTCTGTTTCCATCTTGGCTTCGATCGTCGAGCAGATGCCTATGGTAAGAAGCGTGGCAGGCGCAATGCACGATGCTATCAAGGTCAGTTTCCACTGAGTGATGAATGCGAGTACGAAAGCCGAGATGAAAGCTGAAACCCCCTGGAAAACGAGCCCCAGCTTCTCAGCGATGCCCGCTTGTATTAATTTGCCGTTTGACGCTGCTTGCACAGAAATCGAGCCGGCGGAGCCTGTATCGAAAAAGGCAATCTCCTGGCGAAGGGCAGCCTTCAGGTAAGCGTGTCGAATATTCCGTGCAACCTTGTATGCAGCCAGAGTGAAAAGGGTACTATATATCCAGGTAAGAAAGAAGCGGGCGAGACCAATCAGGAAGAAATAGAGACTAGAATAGCTATATTAGTACACGGCGACCGCAAAGCTTATAGAGCCCATGGAGAGTGTTCTTACGCAAGTCTGCCGGCCTGAGCACGAAACAAGTCGCCGGTAGAAGCGCCTGTAGAGTAGTTGAGAATGACTGTGATGAACTCGCCAAAGACGAGGTTGACCATCGCCATTCCAACTCCCGATGCCAACGCACATACGACAGCAACCAACTGCAATGCATATATTTTAGATGTACCGAACTTAAAAATTCTCTGCGTGGCGTATAAGCAATATTCGAGTATGGTGTGTTAGGTAAATGGATCCTACCAGATAAGCTCCAGAGGTGTTCGACTCCTGATCATCCCCCGAAGGGCTCTCCTGCTTCTCAGCAGAGATGGGCCCGGCGGGCTTTTCGTTCATGATGTGTGCCGCTGGCATAATCGTGAGAACTTGAGCGTGGAACCAAACACTGCCCTGGGAATTCGATGTTTGAAACACCTTTAGGCAAGTACACTTTCCACTGCTTTATATGACACCAATGTTGAAAGTGTTCCACGCTGTGGAGACGCTTTCCAGCAACTCATCCTTGGTTAAATTCGACTCCGGCATGGCAGGTTTAGCGGCTTAGCTACCAGCTCTCTATGCACTAGGACGGGTCACCACAGAATACATCCTCTTAGCGCTTAATGGGGACTCTCAATGAAGTGGCCGCGGAACCGGTGCCCGAGAAGTGCGACGAAAAGAAGGTGGCTATGGGTGGAGAAATTAAAGCTTGGCAAGAAGCTAGCACATCCCACTTACTCTCTGCCACTTCACCAAGCTAATTTACTTGCTCGTATCTCAAACGTTTCGATGACTGAATAGGCACCGTCCATCGCAATCCCAAGGATTTGACGGCTGCCGACTCCGCGGGATCCGTAGTCGACTTAACGGTATATTCCTATGACGCCATGACCATTTTCGGGTCGGATCAATGCCTTGGCTTAAACCCTGCAGGGGAAGGGCATTCGCCTGTTGCCTATACTAAGCACATGAATGATCCAAATGTTACAGATTTGTTGTGGTGGTTATTCAGTCGCAAGACAACACCGTGACATGCTCCTCCCATCGTTCATCATGATGAATTCTCCAAAGGCTTCTAAGGCGCTGGCCTGGTGGGAACCCCGATTGTTCTTATCATTATTTCATTTTACACTTCTCCTGCTGCTTGCTTACGTGGGGCTTTCTCAGCCAGGTCTATATGAAGATTTTCCAGCTGTAGGCGTTGAGAACAAAGGCTTCTCCAAAGCCAGAGAGCTTTTCGCCAATAACGGCAGGCTTGTCCTTGAAAATGGTCGGAAGAAGTCTCTTTCCAAATACCTAGGACGAAGCGTAACTAGTTAGGTACTAACTAAATATCTCGTAGTTTAAAGGCTGTTTCCAGGTTTCCACTGAAGTCAGACCCAAAATTATGCTGCCTAATGAGAAGACTAACGAGATTCGAAATCATCCTGACATGAGTTTTAGCAAACCATTGAGGCAGGTGTGACGATGATACTATCGGGTTGCAAAACTACAAACAATGTAACAAGCTGGCTTTATGCTGACAAGATATGCTAGCTACGAAGAGAAAACTATAAAGATAAACCTTTATAATTGTAAGAGAGTACGATACGAGCACGATACGAGGGCGACATAGGCGAGGTGCGACGACGTACACCAAGGACTATAATTAGAACAAGACTGAAAACTGACGGACTAGCTAACGACGAGATGGACAGGACTGATATATACTAGCCGGCAGTTTAGGGCTGAGTAATTCTAACAGAGGTTTTCTATAAGACGAATGTTAGAAGTCATCCTGAGGCATGCTAGTCGGACCCGTCCTCTACCAGAGTTTCAACGCCAAGTAAACGCCCCACTGAACGGTGCCGGGGGAAGCATTTTCAAGCGCCCGCAACCTTTCAGTTCTCATGATTGTGGCGCGGCTAGACTGGCCTTTCTAGTATTCGGGTACTGCACCCACAAACCACATCAGAGGATCAGGCTGACGGTCTGCCCGCAAAGAGATATGTTCAGCCTAGACTTCCACTCTCGCCCCCAGCTCTTTCAGACCCTATTTCAACTCGAGCAGGCTTGGTTCAAGTTAAACACCGATGGGGCACGTAGGTATGGCACATATCTACAATGATCAAGAAGAGGAGTTGGGAACTGGACGGAGTGGGCGTCGGGCGCGGCTTAGGGAATGGGATCCCTTGTACCCATCCGATACGCCAAAGCAAAAATACCCGGAAGATAGAGGAGAACGTCCAGTTGAGTACAATTTCGGCAATGGCGTCAAGTTCAGCGTTGGACCTTCAACGAGGATTTCTGATTTCAATATCCCGGTGTGTAAACTTTGTCGTCATTTAAACCCTGACTTCATCGAGGCCGACAAATATACCCTCCTTTGCGACCCCTGGGCCTCTCGGCTGTATCAACAGGGTGAGAAGCTGCGCTCGTGCACGATGAGGATCTCTAAAGGGCAGGACTTTGCGCGGTCTGCGGCTAGACCAGGGGGCTGTGATTATTGCGGACTTCTCTGTCGTATGCTTTCCATTGAGCATCCAGGCTGGGAAACAGACCAGTGCCTTATCGAAATCAATCTGGCCTGGGACCTGCCAATCTTTGTGAGGTTAGACTATGGCCACACAGATCGCATCCCGAACCCCGGCTTGGACGAATTTACCCCTGATATCGAAAACCACGTGGACGGTGTCTCCCGAAAGAATGGTCTGACCGTTTCAACCCTGCGTCATACCCAAGCCGAGATCATAGAGATCTTCCGCCCCATGTCACCTCTGCATGAAGAGACATGTCTCCTCGGCCTGCATCAACTCGGTTACCAACCCCCTCGGTCTAAGCACAGCGATGACGGCTCCATAGCGAACTTCATGCGCACATGGGTCAAGATCTGTCGAGATGGTGACCAGGGGCATGAAAATTGTTTGAAGCGTTCCAAAACATTCATGCCTGACAAAGTCTTGTTTATAGGCAACGATCAGAACCCGACTATGCACCTCTTCAATGCCAAGTTCTGGGCAGACCGCGGAATCGTGGATGAGTACATTGCACTCAGCTATTGCTGGGGGCAGGAATCCTTTTTGAAGTCCACCAAGGAGAACATTGCCAGTTTTCATAAGGAGATCCGGTGGGATATGCTTCCGCCACTGTTTCAGGATGTTGTGAGGATAGCGAAAGGGTTGGATGTTCCATTTGTTTGGATTGACTCCCTTTGCATTGTGCAAGATGACGAGCTTGATTGGAAGATCCAAGCCCCCAAGATGGGAGACATCTATGCGAACGCGTTCTTGACAGTTGCGGCCGCATCCTCCAGTTCGCCGGCAGACGGGATTCTCGGCGAAAGACCCACAAGATGGCACACGCGTACTACGACTATAACTAACCCGCTAAACGGGGTCTCAACTGACCTGTGTGTGCGTCAGAGAGCCATAGATATGTGGGGAACAGCCAGAGAGGCAAACCCGGACTACCTGGACTCAAGAGCATGGATCTGGCAGGAGAGAATTCTGTCCACGCGGACCATAGTATTCACTAAGGCAGCCCTCAGGTTCGAATGTCGTAGCACTTCCATCTGGGAAGACCAGCTATTTCAAGGCCATTCGTGGTCCGCACGGATGAACGAGCCAGTCCATATCCACTGGAAACGTCTAATGGAAGACTTTACGGCACGAAATATGACGTGTGCAGGGGACCGGCTGCCTGCCATTAGCTCTGTCATGGCTAGAGTGAGTGCCGGGCAGGGCCTGACCCCGATAGCGGGCATGTGGAAAGAAAATCTTGTGCAGAACCTACATTGGATGCGAAATGATCTGAAAGACCGCAATCACGCCGGGCAGGGGCACCAGGAGGGCACCATACCAAGCTGGAGTTGGGCAAGCATTGGCTATCCAGTCCAATGGACCCTGGGGACAGCGGACCAACTGCCATACGATGACAAGAAATGGACGCTTCATTTGATAGACGTCCTGGATCCAGCCGCCACTGATGGAGCCTCGCAGTCAGCTGGTCCCGTTCTGGATCTCGTAGGGACAGCAATGCCTGCTCTGCTGAGAAGCTACCCGCCGGTCCCCGAAGAAAACAAACCGGCAAGTTACCGATTAGTGGTAGACGGCAAGAACGAAGAGTGGCAGGTCTTCCACGCTGACGGTGCGCTTGAGGCGAGGCACTTGTACATAAGTACACCACCTACGCATCGCACTGTTTACCGCAGAAGCCCCGGCATGTCTCCCGATCCTGGTGGTTGGCAGGCTACTTGTGCCCTCCTACAGCTGGTCGTATATGGGATAACTGCGACGTCGCTGGTGCTTACCGAGTCCGGCACCCGGTCGGGACGGCAGGTGTGGCAGAGGGTTGGACTCTTGCAGCACTACCGCGTGGAGGCATTTCATAATCGAGGCCATATGTTACGGCTTTTTTTAGAATAAGAAAATGGGATCTGGGCCGCTGATACGGGTGCGCCGCCATGATTCTCGATATAATGCCTCTATGTGGCTCAGGAAACTATCACTCACCCCATGTCCGAGGGTGTTTGGTAAATCTGACAAAACGATATAGGAAATCATTAATCACGTGAGAACGATGTTTTCTCTTACTCAAAGTTCGTAAAGATGTCCATGTTAAACAGCTATTCTAATCAGCACTTCATTGATGGTGACAGCCATGTTTTATTCAGCATCTGAAACAAGTAGGGCACACTTTACTGGCTAAACATAGCGAACTTCCAGATTTGAAAGCTTACCAGTTTCTGAATAAGAAGGTATTTCTAATTCATGAGCTGAAGAGCCTGAGTGACACCTGGATCTGTGAATTGTGTAAATTTGCGATGCGTACTAGTGATCTGGGACTAAAGAAGACTCGCAAGTAGATTATGCTATTTCTAAGGACGCTCAAATGACTTAGATAATTTGCCGTATGATTCGCCAGAATTCAAATGGGGCAGTATACTATACCAAGTTGCTCGGACCAATGTAACCTTTTTAACTAAACCTTACAAACCGAGCTAAAATTAGCCTGCTCCCATGTCAATATGCGCATAGCCTGTTGCGACCTTAGTAGCCATGATAATGTTCCCTTTGCGAAAACGTCCTCCCGGGTCGCATCTTTGCTCTAATCCAAAAGCATTCTGTCAAGTCCTGGACTGACTAGTCTAGTCGACTGATATCATCCATTTGTGCCGAAAGCATTCATCGTAAAGAAGTCACTGGATTTAAATATAATGTCCACGCTATTATACCAGATTTCAAGCGGTGTAGGCTATGCGCCAAGTTGTGTCTGAATATATTGAACCTTTTGCAACTCGCGTTGATGCCCTGAACGGATCTCATGGTAGGCGGATCAACCCCTGTGAAGTCCGCGGCCCAAGTAAACTATGATTGGTACACCAGTGGCCGATGCGGTGCCGACAGCCCGGTCCATGAAGGGTATAAACTTATCCTATAGCCGGGCCCCCCGACAAATCGCGACTTCTACGTTGTATCGACCACTTTGGTGCTCTGCAATCAATACACTCAAAGCATGACGCCCATTTCCGTGGCTTTGAGATGCGGCCGGCCGCGGCTCGTCCGGCTTCCGACCAATAGCGCGTCGCGCATTTCTCCAATGTCGACATCGCACTCTGCGAAACCATCCATGCTGATACTGGACGACTACCTCGGCATAGCCGCACCACACTTCTCTCACATTCCCTCGTCGCGACTGGACCTGACGGTATCCACCGGCGCTCTCCCAGCTTTCAACCACCCGTCCACGACAGACGCCCAGAGGCAGGCCATCATCGCCCGGCTCAGGCCGTTCGCCATCATCTCCAGCATGCGCGAGCGCACGCCGTTTCCCGGTGAGCTCCTGCGGGAGCTGCCCAACCTCAGGCTCCTCCTCGCCACGGGCACGCAGTTCGAGACCTTCGACACGGCGGCAGCAAGGGCGCTGGGCATCGCCGTGGCCGCGGCCCCGGGGCGGGGTCGCACGGACGGGCGTCGGGCGTCACATGTCCCGCCACGCCCGAGGCTGGACATCAGGCGCGGTGGCAGCCACCCGACCACGCAGCACGCATGGGCACTGATCTTGGCACTGGCGCGCAATGTGGCGGCGGATGACGCGGCCATGAAGGGGCCCGGGAAAAGGTGGCAGACGGGGCTGGCGGTGGGGCTTACGGGCGCGACGCTCGGGGTCGTGGGGCTGGGGAGGCTGGGGGCAGCGGTGGCGCGGATCGGCGCGTTGGCGTTCGGCATGCGCGTGGTCTGCTGGAGCGAGAACCTCACGCAGGAGAAGGCGGACGCGGCGGCGGTGAGTCTCGGGCTCCCGTCCGTTGGTGGGTGTGTGGTGGACCCGGACGCGAACACGTTTCTAGTCGTGACCAAGGAGGAGCTGTTCAGGAGTGCAGATGTGGTCAGTCTGCACTACGTTTTAAGCGAGCGGTCGCGCGGGACCGTGGGACGGAGAGAGCTCGAGCTAATGAAGCGTTCGGCGCTACTTGTCAACACCTCTAGGGGCCCTCTCGTTGACCAGGAGGCTCTATATCATGCACTCAGACGAGGCGGGATCAGGGGTGCCGCGCTGGACGTCTTCGACATTGAACCGCTACCGGAAGACAGTCCGTGGCGGTCGACAGAATGGGGAAGTAAGCTGCTGCTGACACCACACATGGGATATGTTGAGGAAGGTATCATGCACACGTGGTACGAAGAAACAGCCGAGAACGTAGAAAGATGGTTACAAGGGCAAGACGTACTTCATAGACTGAACTAATATCATATTACAAGGAGGGTAAGAAAGGGATGAGTAAACAAAACAGAAGACGGTGGTTCTAAAAAGAGGGGAAAAAAAGAATTCAAACAGTTTCAGAGCTCGATGCGTACAACTCTCTGGTGTTAGAGCATATGCAGCTGAAAATACGTTTGACGTGTGCGGATATTCTCTATGCAGGGAACATAGATCAACTTCTGGTTAGTGCTAGGCTTTCCCAGGGCTTCTATATATTTATATTCATACAAGAAAGAAGAAGAGCATCTGGGGGTATCACAACCACACGACTGGGACAGATATCCAGAACAATAAACAAAACGTCCATTCCAGAAGGGGACAAAATTTGCCCCATGTTCCTCAACAAACACCTGACGCCCTAGCAAAACAAGTATGATACAGCTGAATAGAACATGGCACTACTGCGCTAAAATGAAACATGGAATTAAAAGGTTCCAGCAAAAGCCTTCGCAAATGAGTCTAGACATGATCAACAGATGATCTAATCGATGTAACAGCCTAATGCCACTAGAAGCGATTTCCAGGGGTCTCCGGAATTTCAGTTGAAGGGTGATAGGTTCTGTTATCAGCGCGAGTCTGCGGGGTCATCTCGCCTTTGAAATCCGAGGCAGCGTGGAAGTCATCCGAGGCCTCCTTCTCGGGCGAAGGAATGAAATCGCCAGCAAACACAGCTTGCTGAGACATCTGTGGGAGGTATCTACCTCCAGCTGGCATAGGAGTGGAAACATGCTGGCGCTTCGCCGGCGAGAAGGGAATGGCTGAGGTAGCGGTGAAGTTATGACCGCGGAACCCAGTAGGCGTCTCTATGGTGTTTGGCGCCATCCATTTGGTTGGTGCAGTTTGTGGCAGAGGCTGCGGAGTTGCACCTTCAGGTTGATAAGGAATGAAGAGGTGTGAGTCTTGGGGCACACTGACAGCAGGCGTTCCAGGCGACAGAGTGAGATCAGCAGAGGCAATTGGGGTAGGCTGCCGAGATGGTAGTTCGGTCTCTTTATTCGGGACGAGAGGTATTGGCTCAGGCTGCTGCAATGCTGCCGGAGGTAGTGTGGCTCGGAGGTCCTGCGAAGGCTGCGGTGGCGTTGTGGCCTCTTCTTCCTCAGCCTTTGGTGTGATAGGGAATTGTGTAGGCTGTTCTGTGGCAGGTGTGCTAATTGCCGAATCCTTGTCCTTCGCAACTTTGTTTCGTGCCTCTTTCATCTCCTTTGTAATGATGTTGATTTTGATTTTCTTCATACCATTAGTGATTCCAGCAAGGTCATTTCCATCTGGGGGCGCTGCAGAAGATTCTCCATTGGATGGACCAGGGCCCTCTCCCGCATGCTTGGCGTGCGCAGGGCTAGAGGGTCTGCTTGAACGCCTAGATGATGTTGCCGTAGCGGTTGAATCTTTGACTTTCGTCTTACTTGCTGCCTTGGGCGCGGTTGTTCTTGGCTTCCTTGCGCTCGTCGTCGCAGATTTATTGCTGTCTTTTCGGACTGCTGTGGGCCTCGTCTTCTTCACAGGAACGGGCCCAGTAGTAGTTCTCATGCTGAGGGAGGAATCAGGTCGCACGGTTTGAGCGGTTCCAGGGCGCTCAAACGCGTCAAATGACGTGAAAGTCTCTGCTGGTGGGGGCGGTATAGCAGCATCGACAATAGCAATACTCATAGCTGAAGATGCACTAAGTCGTCGGCTAGGCAAACGGGTATGCTTAGCACCCGCGTTTGTTGGAATACCACGCGCAGTAGCCTGAGAGACATTCGTTAGCTTGCTGAGTTGAATAGGTGTCTGGAAGAATTTGATATTGCTTACCTTGTCGGTGGCGATGACTGCAGCGCCTGCAACCGTCCTTCGCCTGTTCTTATTGGGGTCTTCAGGCTCAGTGTAAGAGACAGGCTTGCGCTCGCGACCACTCTTCCGAACAACAGGCACATTAGACATGTCAATCTCACCGTCGATCGGGCTGCTAGACACTCCTAGCCTCTCCAGTCTCTCGCGTTCTTTCTGCTCTTTCTGCTCTTTCTTGATTCGAGTCTCCTCTATTTTCATTTCCTCCCACGTGAAGCTAGCCACCTGACTGTCAGAAGGAATGAGAAGTCTGCTGAGTTCAAGGCTAGCTATGGGCCAGTAAACAGCAGGGGGCGGTGGCGATGGAGCTCTGATATAGGTCTGTTGAACTGCGCTCGGGCTCGAAAACCCTGACACGGTGCGTCGAGCCTTGGCAAGCTCCGACACCTTTGCATTGGAAGATTGCGTCGGTGAACAGTAGGTAGGCGTAGCAACATTGCGTACAATACGAGGCTGAACTACAGGTGCCGCCCGCACGGCGTCCAGTCGATCGAGTTCGGATGCAGTCCACCATGACGACTCATATGGGAAACCAGCGACCTTACTTCTGGCGTCAGAATCAGAAGACGACAAGGTGCTGCGACGACTAAGGGGGCTTGCGGTCGAACCGATACGGCGATGGCTACCACTACGGTTGAGACCACCGGCTGCGTCCTCCTTCGCACGAACGTCACCTCCGGCAAGGCCACTTAAATGAGACAATACACCCGAATACAAGGCGCGATCGCTGTAGCCACCTTCGAGGCAGCTCACAATGCGACCATCTACAGCCAGCCCTTCTTCAAACGACATCTTAACCACGTCACGGCTGATGCGTGCATAGAATTCGGTAGGAACATTGACATGATGTCGCTGCATGCCGGGCGACTCAAACTCGCTGGCATCAAAGCCTGCAGAAAAGAATATAACAGCTTTAGGCTCCTGACCCGCTGCTCTGAACTTGTCTGCTTCGCGTCGCAGATAAGCACGAGCCTTGTCTAACACGGCAACGATGCGGGTGCGGTACTGAAACCAGAAGTCGGTATGGTCTTTCCACTGCTGTAGATGTACGTTCCAGATAGTCTGGGAGAAGGCGTCCTCAATGCAAAGACTAGCTTTCTTAACGGTGTCTTGGTCGCCTTGCTCACACGGGTATGACTGGATATCATGCACACTGAAATAACCAATGCTGTTCTTCTTCCACTGAGCAGCATTGCCCTTGGCCCAGTGTTTTCTGTAGTTGTAATCCCAAGTGATGTCTTGGGATCCGTCTCCATGATGGAGATCAAAGTCTATTATGGCGGCATGTGTCAGGCCATGATTCATGAAGCCATGCATGATGCCGACCTGGACATTGTTCAGCCAGCAAAACCCATGAGGAAAGCTGGCGTCGCAATGATGGCCGGGCGGCCGCACAGCCACGAAGGCACGTTTGGTGGCCGAGTCGGAGAAGACGGCGTCAACCGCTTCACAAGTTGCGCCTATGGCACCCTCGAAAGCCGAGAGCGATTCAGGCGAGAGGTAGAGGTCGCCCCTATGGAATGGTGTGGGATCCTTGGCACCGTGGCCTCGGTCTATATCTGGCCGTTCAATCTCAAGAGTACCAGCGTCCAATTTGGACTTGGCCGATCCACAAATCATCAACAGCTCTTCCATCCACCTGGCACCGTGTACATTCGTGACCACGGGGGAGTCGAGTGGTATTTTGCGATCCGTTTTTCGAATATCGAATGGAACCTGCATAGTCGATGGGTCGGCATCTGCACCAATCGGAGTCCTCCCATCCTCGTGCCGCTCACCCAGCCGTACATATGCCATAGCAACTCCGGTGTACACAGCCTGCAGTCTCTCTGGTCGCTCGACTATGGTGCCCAGATTGCCCTTGCCCGTGAAAGGCCGCTGAAACCTGTGCTTGTAACAGGCATCCTGCAGGATCACAAGGGTCTCCGATTTTGGTGCGGGAGCGTCGTCCGAGATGTGGTGGTACAGAAGCTCCCTCGCAAAGTACTCTTGCGCAACAGAATTCTCCGTCTTTTGTGATCTTTCCTCTACTTCAAGGATGTTCGGAGAGGTGCCATAGATGGATGTTCTAGCACCAGCTGGCGAAAGCAGTGCGGAGCTCGATCTTCTGGATGAAGCGTGGTTCGGGGTGGTGCCATTAGCGGAACGCAGCGAGCTGGTGGAACTTTTGCGCAGAAGGGACGGGGTGCCTGATCTCGAGGGGCTTTGGGCATAAGGGCTCGAAACCGAACGGGCGTGCGGACTGGAAACCGAGAGGGCACTTGGACTTCGAGGTGCAGAGGTTCGGCTGGGGGAGGAAGCGATAGCCAAACGATCCAAGCGAGAAAGTGCACGCGCGGCGGGATTTGGCGAGGTGGAGGATGACCGTGAAGGTGATCTCGAGTCGGTGGCCGACAGCGAAAGTTTATTCAGCGAGTGCAAAAGGTCGGCATTTGCGCCGGCATTGTTGGCGATGTTGTAATTGTTGACTGGTGAGTCTCCTGAGCCGCTTGGGGCGGCCATGGCGCCCAGCGACGTGGTTCAATTGCCTCGACTGTTAGTGATGTGTCCCTGGGCGATGGGAGATGCTCGGACGGTTGTCCCTAGACCCTGGCGAGAGGTTTCGCGTGAGGTTGGCGGGTTGGGATTGTCGCAAGTTTGTTTGTTTAGGCGAAGGTGAAGCTATTCAGAAGAATCATAATCAGGTACGTACCGGACGAAGGTAAAGCGTGGCGCGTCAAGGTACCCCCCACTTGCATTGCATTGCATTGTATTGACTTGTACTGTATTGTTAGTTCCCGATAAGGTCACGCTTCAGCTTTGGGGCCCCAACCACGACTACTCGGTACTTCAGTACTATTCGTAATATGTAGCAAATAGATACCCCTCCATTGACGTATCACTACTGTACCTAAACGGCCGCAACATCTTTGAATCCATGTGGGGGTGCTATGGTGAGCACTCAAGCGTATATCGAGACTGCTCAGAAAATATTACAGCAAGCTTGCTATGTGTATATAAATCTTAAGTTAATCATGTCATCTAAGATATGATAAGATCGTGCATGAGAGACTTGGTGCATGCGACTCCTTATGGGTATGCATACTTATGTGTATATGTATGCATCTATCGCAACTACGAAATCATCGCACATGTTAAATCGCATCTGGAGCCCCGAGCCCCGAGCCCAGAGCCAAACGCCCCCCCTCCCCCCACCATGCCGGCTCCGGAGGCGATCCAGACCAGCACCTCAAAGACCAGTCCTGCAGGGACTATTGTCGATTGTTAAGCAGAAAACCTAACCGCCGCCACATGTACATATCCAACTTGCCAGCTCATACATAGCAGCCATCGTCAGTTCGGATCTCCTCAGAAACCTCTTATTTTGTCTTGTTTCAATAATATATAACCTCATCCCGCCACATCATCGTTCGATCCCTGTCAATAATCACAGAGCCCGCCGGAATCGCCCCCGCCGTCATGGCGCCCTCTCTCGAAGAGCCCGAAGCCGTGCAAGACGTGCTCTCGAACCCCCTCAAATCCAAGCCCCAGCTCGTCGCCCCCGAACCCGAGCACTGCCCCGGCCCCGAGTCCGAACAGGCAGGCAAGGCCGACAACTGCGCCGGCTGTCCGAACCAAGCCATATGCGCCTCCGCGCCCAAGGGGCCCGACCCGGACATCCCTCTCATCTCGGCCCGCCTGTCGGGCATCAAGCACAAGATCCTAATCCTGTCGGGCAAGGGCGGCGTGGGCAAGAGCACGTTCACGAGCCTGCTGGGCCACGCCTTCGCCGCGCGCGAGGAGAGCAATGTCGGCATCATGGACACGGATATCTGCGGCCCCTCCATACCCAAGATGATGGGCGTCGAGTCCGAGACGATACACGTGTCCGGCACGGGCTGGAGCCCTGTCTGGGTCACAGACAACCTCGGCGTCATGAGTATACAGTTCATGCTGCCGAATCGCGACGATGCCGTCATTTGGCGCGGGCCCAAGAAGAACGGCCTGATCAAGCAGTTCCTCAAGGATGTGGAGTGGGGAGACTTGGACTTCCTGCTGGTAGACACGCCGCCGGGCACGAGCGATGAGCACCTGAGCGTCAACAGTTACCTCAAAGAGAGTGGCATCGACGGTGCCGTCATGGTCACAACGCCTCAGGAGGTCGCGCTTCTGGATGTCAGGAAAGAGATTGACTTCTGCAAGAAGGCAGGTATACGGGTTCTTGGGCTGGTCGAAAACATGAGCGGCTTTGTTTGTCCAAATTGCACACACGAAAGTCAAATATTCCGGGCTACGACCGGTGGAGGCGCGGCTCTGGCGAAGGAGATGGGTATTCCGTTTCTTGGAGAAGTACCGTTGGACCCGAGGATAGGACGTTCTTGCGACTATGGAGAGAGCTTCTTCGACGCGTTCCCCAATAGTCCAGCTTGCACGGCCTTGAAAAGGGTGGTGCGAGGATTGGGGGATCAACTAGGCATAGATCCGCAGCTTGTACTGCCTGATGACTGATTTGGCCGAGGCGAGTTAATAATCAAAGCAGTTAAAACCTCACATTGTCGCCTCCTGGGTAATCCCACTCCAGCCTTCTGCGCATTCGTAAAATCCTTTGGCGGAATAGAGCCTCCGACGGCTAGTTGGTAGACCCCAACTTCTCCGGGATATCTTCCAAGTCCTCTACCGTCTCGATCTCAATGACCTTTCCCACTTCGGCAGTATTTCGCATAAGCTCTTTCGCACCGGCGTACGTCATGCGCAGTTCCGCATTCGCCGTCACAGGAAGGTAGTACAGCATGACATAGGGTACAGATAGACGTCCGGAAGCCTGCAGTAGACATTCCCATCAGTGCTTGTCTCTTACGAGATTGTCACAAGAGCTTGATAGAGGCACATACCAATGTCAAAGGGTAGCTCAGCAGCACGAATCTGGGCGAGTGATCTGGTAGATCGTCTCCGATCTCCTCCAGCGTCTTGTAAACGACTTTGTCTTCATCTTGCTTGATCTCGAGTGTCTTCTTATCGATGGTATCTGAGGCAACGTGAGGTTTAATCAGCAACTCATATCAGGGGCCCCTGTGAAGGTGTCGCATCTGTGCGGGAGGAGAGGTCGGCAATGTAGATGTATTAGATGTACTGGTTACGGAAGACGCACGTACAGATAACGGCTTGCGGGTCGTTGGACCTAGAAGTTCCCAGGCGGAACTTTCGCAGGTGGTCCTTCGTCTCCTGCGAGAAGGTGTACAGCCTTGATTCGGAGGCCTAGAACACAGCGATCAGTCTCGTTATCCTGCAGCCTTCAGCACGACCACGTACCATGGTGTTTCCTTTATAGGTGAGGGACGGAGGGGAAGAGTTCCTGACGCCCCTGAAGATGGGTTTGTTGATTCTCAGACGAAAAGGGACTTGGGATATCAATATTCTGTACGTCACAATCTCTGGTCAAATATAGGTGTACATACACGATGGTGTCCCGTAGTACACAGTCACTCCGAATTACTTTGGGCAGAATCGTGCCTCGCGATCGACCCCTCCAATCTCCAAATGATGCGGGAAGGTACGAAGCAAAGGCTGCTAATCTTAGTTCAGCTTAGTCTAGTGCCGCGCGGGGCCACAGGGTGACGGTTCTCATTCTCCACAACGCGGCATGGATCGAGACGGAACGACATCATCACTGGCGGAAGTCGCGATCGATGCGCTTCCCGGCACCTTCCTTGAGACTTTTCATTATTGATAAATCTTGCTGCCTGCACCTAGCTTTGCAAATCCCGCCTAATTTTCACGTTGATTCTTATGCTTTCTTTGGTCCATTTCAATATCTAGACTCTCCTTATCCTACACACATGATTCCCCGTATCTCTCATCTCGCTCGCCACCTCTCCAGACCTCGGCCCAACTTTGTCCATAACTCTGCATTTTCACGGTCGGGAGGCCTGGCTTCAGGAATCATGGCTTCAGCAGATGAGCGCAACTCACGCACAATCCACACAGCCGCCTGTCTAATCATCGGCGATGAGGTGCTCGGCGGCAAGACGGTAGACACCAACTCGGCTTACATGGCCAAGTGGTGTTTCCAGCTGGGGATCAACCTGAAGAGGGTGGAGGTCATTGAGGATGACGAGGATGAGATTGTGGAAGCCGTGCGGAGAATGAGCGATCGCTATGACTTTATAGTCACCAGTGGCGGTATTGGTCCGACTCACGACGATATCACCTACCAGTCTATCGCCAAGGCATTCGGCCTGAAGCTTGTCCTGCACGACGAGGCATACCAGCGCATGGTAAAGCTGAGCAAACCTCACAAGAGCGACAAGAACTTCAGCTGGGATGTGGATTCCCCACAGAAGACGGCACGTCTGCGTATGGTCCAGTTACCTATTGACGAGTCACGCGATCAATCGAAGCAGGTTCTCTTTCCACGTGATGAGTTGTGGGTGCCCGTCTCAGTTGTCAACGGCAATGTCCACATCCTCCCTGGTGTCCCAAGACTCTTCGAGAGCCTCCTCGAGGGAATCAAGCCAGCCATCATCAGCCGCCTTGTAGACCCACAGGGTAAGGGAACCACTCGGATTCTGTTTTCGACACCGCTGCCCGAAAGCGCTGTCGCAGGCTATCTTACAGACTTGGCCGCAAAGGTTGCACCAAAGGGCATCAAGGTTGGCAGTTATCCGCGCTGGGGCAAGCAAAACAACTCTATCACACTTGTTGGACGGGATAAGGATTACTTGGAGAGCTTGGTGGCAGAAGTTGAGCAGAATGTTCAAGGCAAGCGTGTTTTAGCGGAGGGCGAGGACGACGAGAATGTGAAGACACCTGTTTAAGACCCATAGATGCGTCAGTGTTGGTACAAAGCTCGGACCCACCATGTTTTACGCACCGTCGAATAGTATCAATCAACTTTGCAACGCCCATGAGGCGCAGTCACAACGAACTATACAACACTTCGATGGAGCAGCTTCTTGCCGTGAGACTTTGCCGACGGATTTGCCGGCTCGGTGCTAGTCCCACAGCCGGAACACATCGAAGCGGGACCGGAATCCACTTACCAGTCTGCTGATTGATCAGCATCCTTCATTCAGACCGCATTGATAAATCGAGATACCCAGACTCAGAATTCGCCAACGGCCATAAGAAAGTTTCCCGAGTATATCGACCTGTCGCCGTCGACGTTCATCTCTCACCATCTCCTCAAGTATGGCCCCTCTAGGCCCACCTAAGCTTCCAAGCGGCGGACAAACGCTGGTCTACCACGAAGTTGGTGGCCATGAAGTAAAGCTGGATTACTATCTCCCTCCACATGTTAGTGGTAGCCTCCCAGTCGTGATTCACTACCACGGCGGAGGCATGACAGCGGGATCGCGCCGCGACGACTTCCCCCACTGGCTCTACGGTAATCCCATAACCACCCTGCATCTTCGTGTAAAGCCACGTGGTAGATAGGCTGACACTCGCTACGCAGACGGCTGTCAGGAGAAAGGCTACATCTTCGTCTCCCCAGACTACCGCCTGGCCCACCCCTGCACCGTCCTCGACATGATCGAGGACGCCAAGGCGCTGATGCAGTTCCTGGCCTCGGACGCCTTCGAGCATACCCTGCCGCCGGGCCTCACCGTCGACACCCGCCGCATCGCTGTCGCCGGCTCCTCGGCAGGGGCCTACCAAGCCCGCGCCGCTTGCGTCTACGGCTCGCCCAGGCCCGCCGTCCTCATGACGGCCTTTGGGCTGGGAGGCGATCTGCTCCTAGACCACTGGACGAACCCGCGCCCGTCCACGGCGCTGGCCGCCATGGTCGACCTCGGAAAGGTGCCGGCCCTGCTGGCGGACTGCTCGGTCGTCAGTGAGGACAAGGCCACAGGCCCCTTACCCATCACGGAGCGGTTTGCGCTCACCGTGCGCTGGGAGATCGATGGGACGATGCTAGACGGGATTTTTGGGCGGCAGGATCTGGCTGGGAAGCTCAGGGGTGTCCAGTACGATAAGAGAGCAGCCTTGGTTCCAAGAGATTTGAAGGCTGGTTTCCTCGAATTTTTCGTCGGAGACGATTATCCGCCGTCTGTGTTTGTGCACGGAACGGCAGATAATGTGGTGCCTGATGTGGAGAGCGTGAGGCACCATGAGCAGCTTAAGACGCTGGGTGTCAAGACGGAACTGTTGCTCGTTGAGGGTGCGCAGCACGGGCTCGCAACAAGGAATGCGGATGGGTCGTTTGGACTTATACCAGATGCTATCAGGGCATATGCGAGGTCGTTCGTGTTCATCGTCGAAGTTTTCGAGGGTTTATGATTCAACATAGCGTGGCGTTGCACTACCAAAACTACCATAACTACCAATCTTCTTCTCGCCGATACCTTAAATACACAGTGCTGAGGGTGTCACAGTCAAGATGATTTAGATTTTGGAATTCCTAATCGAATTTCTCATACTACATAACGCTAACTTGTTCACCGCGAAAAGTGAATTGACATCTTGAAATTCCTCCAACATGAACTCCAACAACTCCATCTGATCCGCCAAGAACGACTTGCTGCTACACAAGTCATAAAGGCGATTAAAATCCTCTCGATAGCACTCGTCCCTCGGAGCTGCGGACACCCACGAGCACAGACTCACGCTTGACGAAAGGCGATCTAATTCACAGCGCCATCAGCGTCGAGATGTGCTCTTGGCCTCCGAACGCCTTCAGTTGCTCGATGTAGCGGCCCTACATCCCGACGGCTGAGGATCCAAACTCCAAGGCATCTTATTGTGGGTTCTTGACACAAGTTTGAGGACTATCAAAATGCTTAATTCACTAGCTATCATACGAGCTGTGATGATGAAGTTCGAGTATCTCTTACACTGTTGGGTATAGTACCTTGAAAGGTGTACCTGCATGGCCGACTTCAGGTACCAAGAGTAGGCTTACAATAATCTTGCAGCTTCAGAAATCTTCGTGACACAAGCTTTGCGCCAAACTTGCATGTAACCCAAGCTTGGTTGCCTTTGCTTGACACTTGCTCAATTGGTACTTGGTGTGCCCTACTGGATCTCGAAACAGGTGAAGTCTCCCGTCGCGATGAGCAAGACTATCTCCACTCGATTCGTGCTGTGGTGCAGCCCGATCCACGAAACGATGCCTATCTGGCATGGTCCTACCCCACAATTACCACTCCCAATTTAAGTTTGTTAGGCTGCCTTGGCTTCGGAAATACTAGCCTGGCATATAGCGCCGCATACCGCTAGCTATCCTATGGTCTAGCGTGTCCGATGCTGGCATCGGCCCGGCTTCTCCGACCAAACCTATAACCAGATCCGTTTCCCACTCCTATCGAGTCCACTTTACACACAAGAGCGTAGGCCCAGACCACAAGCAATGGGATACTCGCGGATGTTCACGCAAGTCACGCTGTGCAACTCCGCGTTGTAGTGATTGTGATTTCAGAAGATCCTTAGAATAGACAAATGATACAGCATTCTGTACAGAGTATTGATTTGGCATGTTATCAGCAGAGCGATACCTTGTATCTCATCGATCCCGAATTTCTCAGTTTCAGGTATCGTGGAATAGTAATTTACAATCCGTTTTACAAAACACCATCAAGCAATGATCCTGATCTAACCCTAGCTGATTCCTCCAATGTGATGTTCACGTATCGTCTAATATGTATTTATAGTAACCTTCAAGATTGTACACTTCTGTGGGCCCAGCTTTTCAACTACAAGCTAATGGTCAAGAAAAAGCCAGGTATTATCGTGGGTTTCAGAGACTTTAAGTCGCAAAGCGGAAATCGAGTCTATCGGATTCGTGAGTCTATGCTTCCTAGAATGGCGAAGGAAGACTTACCTCTTGTTACCCACGTCAGCCGTGGTCATGCGGTAGTTCTCTTGCTCCTCTGTAGTCATTGCGTCCCATTTCTTTGCTTTGGAGCTGTTTCTCCATCGGTAGTAGTAGTATGTGGCAGGGTATTGGATGAGCTGCAGGCAATCAGCATTTTGCTGAAATACAAATTATGAAATTGTTTTGAGTATAACTTACACACATCCAGATGCAGATGACTAACAGGCCCTTGTTCGCCTTGAAGTAGCGTGGCGAATCGCTAGATTGATAGACTGTTCCTTCAGCATTCGTTTTCTAATTTGGTAGATCAAATACTCACTGTTCGCCCCGATCATTCCACTGACTTGAACCCACATATTGTAAAGCCTAAAGATTGGTGATTAGGGTAGAATCTGTGACTATCTGGGACTGAACTTACGAGGCAGATACTGTTCGGTTCTGGACTGTTCCAGCATTTCTACTAGTCCAGGCGACTTGTATAGGATGAGTACTTCAGCCAGTTAGCAAAACAAATTTAAGCGATTTGGCTCAGAACTCACTAGGGGAATGACAACAGCACAGTTGCTATCGCGAAGTACGCCCATGGACTGATCGGGTTGGCTAAAGTTATCAACGCTATGAAGCAAGGCAAAAGCCAAGCATCCTCAACCATGGCGACGAAACTTCTGTTGTCCACCAGCTCACTGAAAGCAGTGATTAATAACATGGTGATACTGGAACCGACAATGTGAGGTATGGACAACAAGTTGGTCTGGATAACGTTAAAACCAAGACCTCGGAATGAGAGCGTTAGGTATTGGTCGACTGGGTACTTTGGGATGCCGAATAATAGACCTAGAGCATACAACGGCCACATGTCATAGTCTTTGGCGCTTTCCCAAATCTGTTTGACGGAAAGACCCTGCCGATTGTACATGCCTCCTTTCTGGGGGTCATCTCGAATGACTTCGATACAGAGTCAGAATAGATCCCATAATTTTATTCCAGATGCTCACCTGAGTTGACGATAATCTTTTCTTCCTTCTGGCTGAAGTATCCTTTCGGATTCCACCAGCTTTTCGTCTTAGCGGGCGATTGAGGCATGAGAAAAAACGAAGCGATGCCGATGAGGACTACAGAGATTAGCAATATACTTGCTGAAAACCTGGTCATTCTTACAAGTGAAAGCACCCCTAGATGACACTGTTAGCGGCGACCGACATTATGCGAACGAGATTCACGTACTCAATGAGGAATAACCATCTCCAGCCTTCATATCCTAGAATACCGCGCATGGATACAAGACCGACAGCAGCAAAACCAACACCGATGTCAACTGATGATACAGGTTAGTGGTAGAAATAGTAGACTGTGAGTAAACACCTACTAATCTGCGACGACAACCAGAACCATGCCAATCTAATTGGAAGCTGCGATTGTAAGCAAGGCTGGTCGGACTTTCCGTTCGAGAAACACTCACCGATCTACCAGTATAGAAATAACTGAGATATAAGATTGTATCGCTATAATGGTTCAATTAGGAGCGCGATCTCTACAAGAAGCAGAGTTCTTACGGAATAAAACCACCTTGAAATGTAGCACTGACAAGTTAGCAAGTACGCAGACCACATGACGTGGTGAAACCTACATCAGATATCTTGTAGCGAGGAACGAAGCCCGGCCCTTGAGAAAGAATTGTAAAGCCGAGATGGTACTGAAGATGCAAATTTGGATCGGGATCCACATATCAGGGCCAATGCTAATAACGATAATTAGCAACACGGCACGATGACAACATGAGGTTGGACGGGCTGTTGTTTACCGCTTGGAAATCAGTTGAGATGGGAGCTCAGCAACTAGAAATCCGACTCGAGAGATAGTTTGACCAATATTCTGTAAGTGTTAATCAGGAATAGTCTCCAATGTTGAAAAAACCATTAAGGAGAACTTACATAGTCTCCTCGAGTAAGGCCAAGATCATCCAACATATTGTCCGACACGGCGTTGGAAATGTTAGTGCGGTGAATGTTTAACGCCGCAAACATGATACAGACCCAGACCTGAAAAATTAGATTCGTCCTTCAAGGCGTGTTAGTCAGTGCTTACTATAATTTTCCAATCAACAATTCGCCTGGTTTCTCTCTCTTCTCTCCAAGTCCAACGGAATGTCGGATCGAAGGCAGACCAATTTTCCCACTGGGGATGGATGTAAAGTTCCTTGTACTCTTCTACATTCTCGGAATCCCAGATGCTAGGTTGGGTAGCAATCTTGGCCCAATTAGCATGTACTCAGAAACTTCGGGTCAACACTTCGATCACTTACAGCATCAAGGTCGTATTCATCAGCTTTTGGACCTTTCCGAATACGCAGAAAACGTAAGACGGCATCACCAAGGACGGCTTCCGCACGTTGTGTTTCTTGCGTTGCCAGGGCCGTGGGTCCCGCAGGCGAGGTGCCGTCAAGCTGCTTGCCATCGATTGTTGCCTTCGACTTGACATCGTCTTGATCGGACGGTGCTTCAGACACAGTCGATGCTGGTGCGGTGGCTGATTGCGGAGCAGACATATCTACTTTCTATTCAAGACAGCGAGGCTGAGTAGAGACAGCAAATTGACAGCTAAACGATGTCTGCATGGACAGGAGATATAATACAAGAAGAACAAACTTTATTTTCATAGGGCTGGACTAAGTAGCAACGCGGATCTCTTTGCATACCGGAAAACAAGTCGTTGGTCCAGAATCCACGTTGTGCGCTGCAGTGTTAGTGGGTGGGGACGAGTTTGGGTCAAATTTGTAATGCCAACGGTTAGTGTTGTTCTTTCTCTCCATATAATTTCTAAATACGTATGATTTACTGCTGCTATGGCCCCATGGTCATAACTCAGATCCGATATCCCGTGGAGGTATTGTAAATGAATCTCAAAGATGTGGTAGTAATGACATGCGCCAAGTATCTCACGCCATTTTAACCTAGCTCGCGCCATCATGTCATAAGCAGCCGGTCAATTACAGTATTTCAATTACAGACTATAAACGTGCACAGTGGATTTCACTATCATAGTACTCTTTACCTGATTCAATTTACCCCTGGAAATAAAAACAGTTCACCAGTAGTTACAAATAAGCGGGCCGCGCTGCAAGATGACTTTATAGCAACATGACGGTATCCTTGCTACTTATATGCAGAGAATGGCCACTGCCCGCATACTCAACATCCACCCAGCCTGATAACGATCCCGTTCTTGCGTGATATGTCAAAAAAGTGTCACGGAGTGTCTAGTAGCTAGGAGGAATTGTCGGTATACTTGTTTTGACACTCCCCAGCTCCAATGAAGTATACCCCACTTGTTTCATTTATAAGGCGTATGAATCGTTATCCATGGCTGCGGACAATCCAACAAATTCTACTATATACACCTGATACTCTAATTAGAGGATATGATTGACTAGCAGAGATTGTTCGTTCTAGTAAATCGACCGACACCCGATTCGAGGGCGGCTGGTTAAAGTGTCAACGATAGGCCTTTTGTCGGGAGCACGCCATGCCCCACTTCAATTGCATATTCAGGGTCCCGCAGCTTCTGCAGCACGGTATTTGAAGCTACCTAGTCTCGGGAGCCCTTGGGACACCTTGCCTGCCGGTAGGTGACCAGTATCAGAAAGAGAATCACAAACTTTTAGGCGCGAAATCTTGAACAAATGGAGTTTCTCGGTGGTATAGAACTCCGAAAGTGAGAGCTACATCTGTCTAAGCAACACCACCGGGAGGTATTTGCACACAACTACAATTTTGAGCCCAGCGGCACGACTGATTATATGTCTCCAAAGGCCTCCATATTCGGGTTATATATGCCGGCATAACTTAACTAGCCCTGACACCCATGCCAGATGCCTGCTTTGTTGCAACTCCACTGGCAATATACTTTACAACGACGAGAACATGAACACGATATAACAGGCAAATTGGAATAAAGATAGCCAGCCCATTATGTACATGTGCAATGATGATCAATGCCTTTCTGGTACCGGGTCAGACGAAGAATTTACTGGAAGCCCAGAATAACATAAATCCAGGTCTGTGGATCCTCTCATGGCACAAGTCAGGCATTAGTCGATGATCAGCGCTGCACGCCGATGGATGCGCCTGCATGGTTCAATATCGAGCTATGGCGTGCTCTTTCCGACGATGAATAAAAATGCGGCTCGGTATGCCCGATTATAGGATTCCAACTGGGTGGTTCGACAATCTCTGCCTGCACGATAGACACTTAGCCGGTGGCGTACTTTCACCAGGCGAATTTGTCTACGAACGAGCCAATGGCTTCCAGCTGGTTTGCCCAGTTCTATCGATCATGTCTTTTCCAGATCATCATAGTAGGCCTTGTGAGCCTCTGTGAACCAGGAATCTGGACTGCACTCAATAACCTAGGAGCTGGAGGTCAAGCCAGTGTAAGCACAATAGAAATTCGTGTACGAGACTTACTCTCTGATTACTGACACGCATGGATAGCCATTCCTGAACAACGCCGCCAACGCCCTCACCTATGGTCTGATGTCCGTTGGATGCACGATTGCCGGAGGTGTCTCCAACAAGATTACGCCGAAGTGGACACTCTTTATCGGAGCAGCATTTTACACGCCCTACGCAGCTGGTCTATACTGCAACAATCGCTACGGAAACCAATGGTTCATGCTACTGGGTGCCGGTCTTTGTGGTATCGGAGCATCTCTATTGTGGGCAAGTGAGGCCGCCATCGCTGTTGGATACCCAGAAGATGCCAAGAGGGGAAAGTAAGTTCTTGAACGGAGCACCATGATCGCAGTACGTGGTCCTGACATTGGCAACAGGTACATCGCTATATGGATGGGCATCCGACAACTTGGGCCACTCATCGGCGGTTCGATCTCACTAGCAATTAACGTAAACACCCGGTCGACCGGCAAAGTGAGCTACAACACGTATCTGGGCCTCATCGCCATATCAGCTCTTGGGGCTCCCTTCGCACTCCTCTTATCGCAACCTCAGAAAGTGGTACGGAGTGATGGGACTAAAGTCCAGTATTTGAAGCAGACAAGTCTGGCTGTGGAGGCACGCGCTATATGGAGGCAGCTCAAGAGCCCGTATCTCCTGCTGTTAGTGCCAGTCTTCCTTGCCGGCCAGTTTGGAGTAACGTATCAAAGCAATTATTTGACGAGTGAGTTGATTAAAATATTGTATCTGTTACCTAAGATCATCTTTCACTAATTACCATGAGCAGCATACTTCACCGTCCGTTCACGAGCTTTGGCCTCGTTCCTTACTGCCGTCGTTGGCTTTGGTGCTAATCTGCTCACGGGTCTGCTGCTGGATTTGCCTCGGGTATCTCAAGCCGCCAAATCTCGCGCGGTATACATTGGCGTCGCAGTCTTAATCACTGCTTGCTGGATCTGGAACGCAATTGTGCAAGTAGCTCTTGTGTCTCGGCCTGATACGACCTTCGATATCGGCGGGGGCCCCTTTGCTGGCTCTGCTTTCGCTGTATACGTGTTCTTCCGCTTCTTTTATGAAGCTCTGCAAACTTACCTGTACTGGTTAATGGGCGAGGTTGGCAATAATCTGGAGAATGAAGGACAAAGACACGGCGACATCGCACGGACCACAGGCATCTTGCGCTCGTGGGAGTCAATCGGAAGCACGATCGCTTACGTAGTAGGCGCAACACATTGGTCGAATTTGAACCAGATGATACTAGGATTCGTTCTTTGGTTTGTTACGATACCTCCTACACTTGTTGCGCTTTACGGACGCTGGGAGCCAGAGAAGGGTGTCATCGAGGAGGAGACTTCAACAGATAGCAGCAGTGTCGAAGAACAGAGGGTTCCTGCAGGGCTGAAAGGATGAGCGGCGAGTAATACAACTCACTAGTCAGACGTCATCAGACGATATTGTGCTCCAATTTTATATAAGTATAGATCAAATTGGCGCCAGAAGAGAACCAATTGCGCGGATAATGGACAGCAATGTTCTCGGTTTGGGTGATTGTCAAGACCGACCTCGGCACCGGTGAACCCGTCGTGTGTCTACCAATCCTATCGCTAGCCTTTGGCAACCGGACTAAACCCCATCAGTCTTATGATCCGAGCAAAATCATATCTAAACATGTACTACGTAATTTAATACGAGTCCATTTCATCAAAGTGAAATTGATCGGTATTCTTATCACATGTAAAGGCGGCATATGTTAAGTTAGGGAATGAATCTTTGACCAGCCAGCTGCAGCGTAGTCAGAAGCTCGGTAGTCATCAGAGCCAAAGCTGTTAATGCCTAGGTTAGGTCAACTATGTACAAGGCGCCAACTCTCACCAACGAGGAGGGCTTCTGGGACCAGTGAATGCCCTCGAGAACGTAGGTCATAGGGCTTCGATACCTAGGGTGTTCCCAAACACCTAGGCATAGAAAAAAAACTTTTCGGTGCTATCCAATGTTGTGTTCTTCGTGCAGTCAGAGAGGTGACGCTGGGCAATGCGCTAACCTTGCGTCTGCTCAACGCTTAGGCTAGGCTAGAGGTTTCTAACCTTAGTGTGTCTCCATCAGGGTCGGTGGCGCTGCCCGTTACCAACGCCTTGGTACGGTCCCGCTGTAGGACGTCGGATTTTAGGCGGCCGTAACAGGATCGCACTCTGCGGATCTGATAAGCTTCGTCAAGCTATGTAACCTTAGAGACAGACACAAACTTCCAGCCTGCGCACAAACTCGCATATTTGCAGGCGACACATTCAACGATGGTATATTCATCAGTTGCCCATGTCTCTTGAATAAACTATGTTATGGTTGTAGGTAATCTTTCGGTCTTCCAGTCCAAAGCAACATGTTGATAACGATTCCTGTGTTCATGCTTGGCAAAGTGATCCAAATCGATGCGCTGAAGTTGAGCATCACAATGGTGTTTTCGAGATGCGGGGATCAATTCATTCGCTCGTGCGGCCGGCGGTTCACGTAAACGAGTTCCGAAAATCCATATTTTGGCCGTCTAGACTTGTGAATGGCCATGATCAGAATTTTATCTGATCAGACCATCCCAATAGTGGGCAGAGATTTACGACCCGCGCGATCCTAAATCCCAGTGTCGCCGGTCGACCAAACCCAATGAAGACCGTGCCAGCTTACCAACTCATTTTATCAGATCCTGTTCCATGTTGCCTTTTCCACAAATAGCTAAGTCGGCAATGAATCTGCAGCCATTTTGTGGAACATGTGGGGCATATTGGAACGGCGCATGGCGAGTTCGAGAGCACGATGGTGCTTCGGGTCCTCGCTCGTTATAAAAACAGGCAAGACACGTTATCTTGTGAATGTTGTCAGTGTTCTTGATCTTCGTCTTTAATCATTAAGAGGCTATCCACCTATTGTTCGTAGCGATCACCGCAAAGCAGCAACATGGGTGGCATCCTGGACGTTATACGAGGGCGCAGTGGAGGTCGCGTCTCTCAGAAAACCCCGACACCTGGAGATGCACCAGCCGATGATAAGAATGCGAACGCATACGTATCCGACTCCGGCTCGAGTAGTCTCAGTCTTGAAGAGAGAAATGAGAAGGAGATTTCCGAGCACCCCGACAGCGTAACTGCGGATGCTCAACTCGGCCAGCAGAAAGCTGAAGCTGCGGCTCTTGTTTGGTCCAAGACTGCTGTTCGTGCGACATACGCATGGTAAGCAAATCCAGAAGTAGTTGCTCTTCTCCTGTTTGAGAGGCAGTGTGGCTAATTGCGTATTTCAGGATTTGGATATGCTTCTTCATGCTGGCACTTCAGCAATCAATTTTAAGCAATGTCATGTATTATGCCTATGCGGATTTCTCCAGCGCACCGGAGATTACCACCGCCTACATCCTGGCTGCCATCATTGGCGGTGTTCTCAAACTCCCTATCGCCAAAACCCTGAACTTGTGGGGACGTGCCGAGGGCTTCCTCGTCTTCGTTGCCATTTACCTGCTCGGAATGATTGTCATTGCATCTTGCAATGGTGCTAACGGGTTCGCTGCTGGGTACACCCTTTATTGGATCGGCTACGACGCAATTTATTTCATCATGGATGTGTTTGTTGCCGATACATCCGGTCTTCGAAACCGAGCTTTTGCATTTGCTTTTGTCAGCACACCATTCATCTGCACGGCATTTACTGGTCCACTTGCTGCCCAGTCGTTCCTCCAGATGACCACATGGCGATGGGCTATCGGCGCCTTCTGTATCATCATGTTCTTCGTCTTTACCCCACTGGCTATTGTCTTCAAATTCTTCGAGATAAAAGCGAGAAAGCAAGGCCTGTTCAAGAGGGAACCAAGCGGTCGCAGCATCATGCAATCGATCGTGCATCACTGCATTGAGTTTGATGTTGTAGGAGCCTTTTTGTTGATGGCTGCCTTCGTGCTCTTCTTGCTGCCTTTTAGCTTGAGCTCATACGGTGTCTCTGGTTACAAGTCTGCAACGTTCATCAGCATGGTCGTCATTGGCTTCCTCCTCTTCTTTGTTTTTGCAGCTTGGGAGAAATTCTGGACGCGGTCTCACTTTATTCGTTGGGAGTTATTCAAGAAGCCTACGGTGCTTGGTGCTTGCATCCTAGCTGCGGTACTCTACTACAGCTTTTATGCCTGGGAGTCGTACTTCTATTACTTCGTCATGGTTGTTTACGACCTTAACGTCGCCAATACGGGGTACATGACGCAGATCTATAATATTGGATCTTGCTTCTGGGGCGTTGTCTTTGGCGTTTATGTCCGCTACACCAAGCATTTCAAATACGCTTGTTTGTTCTTCGGTCTGCCACTGATGTTCCTTGGCGCTGGCCTCATGATCCACTTCCGTGGCCAAGATGCCGACATCGGATATATCATCATGTGCCAAATTTTCATCGCAGTCGCTGGTGGCACTCTCGTCATTGGTGAGGATATGGCTGTCATGGCCTCTGCCGACCGTGACGGTGTCCCTATGATGCTGGCTATCCTTGGCCTCTCTTCCAGTCTTGGAGGCGCCATCGGCTATGCTGTCGCCGCTGCCATCTACACCAACACATTCCCCACTGCTCTCATAGCTTCCTTGCCGGCCGAGAGTCAGGCTGATTGGGCTACCATTTATGCCGGCGGCTCGGCTTCTCAACTGCTCTATCCCGTGGGTTCCTCAACTAGAGATGCTATCAACTACGCCTGGGGATACTCCCAGAAGTACAACGCCATTTCTGCTACAGCTGTTCTGACCCTTGCTATCCCAGCTATTGCAATTTGGAAGAACTACAACGTCGACAAGAAGCAAAATAAGGGTACTCTCATCTGAATATTGGTCGTCGAAATCTAGCGGATATATCATAACGAAGCGCATTTGCTACGTATTGAAGAGCTTCTGGTTCACGAGGTTAAATAATGTACGAATTACGCGATAATGATAATCTATTGCTTTATATCAATGCCGCATCCGTTCATTCGTGGTTGTTCTCTAATACTCCCTTTGCCTAAATCTCTCACATACGAGTTTAGAAAGACATCTCCGAATCTGCGCGAATGCGTTAGCTCATGTTTATTAAACGGTATTCAAGAATCACTTACGGTGCTATGGCATCCGAGATGATGCCAGTGTTGACTGCGACCATGTCAAACTCTGATCTCTTTGACACCCGATGCGACCTCGCCAAGGTTTTTTGTCTCATTATGTAATTATGCCTTCTAGATTGAATATGTAGTGTTTTGACATGTTCGAGTGCACCGGCGACTGTCCTCTCAAGAGCAACCTCGCAACAGTCAGTGGTGCAACTTAACAATTATTGAAAACCCGGGGCCTTAGTAAAGTGCTGAAACTCTATAATATGTATAAAAGCAGAGTGCTACAACTGTTGCATTAATGCCCCTCTCTTATTCATGATTTGTTGCCGAGCATACTAACAAGACGCACCTCGTATCAGAAATCTGGCAGTTGTCTGAATGCCGACACCACGGTCTTTTGAGCGATGAGTCCAAGCGACCCCGAATTGGAAGGTAACAATTCAATGCAGATACTATGGGTAGGGAGAAACTCCAAAAAGCCTTGGCGATAACATCGCCTATCTGATATTGTGGAGAACTGATCAACAACGACTCTACCTTTAGCCGCGGTCTTCATACACAGGATCTCGTATCGGGGGTCTTGAAGGAACGTTACCTTATTTCCCCTCTCTGCGATGCGACCATAATGTTACTTCAAACAGAGAATCAAATGTTATTTTCCATCACTCCCGTTGGACTTCGTGTCTTGGCAAATAGTACAATAGGATGATGACTTCCATTGGTACCACAACAAGGCTACCGACGATCTCTAGTCAAAATCGATTGATGAATGTCAGGCCCTGTTGGCGATACATGAAGCACGCTGCTACGAATTCGCACAATAGAAAGAATGAGATATCCAACGCTGGTACGAGCTCTCCTCCTCGAGCTGTTCCTATATAATGTCTTGGCTGCGAGCATTCGGAGCATATTTCTCTTCAAAGACGTCCTGAAGTCAAACACCACTGCTTTGGAGACCTCTGGGTTCGACACGCTCATTATTTTTGGTGTCGGCATTCTTGACAATGGCGATATCATGTACTACTCGAACACGGCAGGGAGTTCGGATGTGCTTGTCGCATCTGACGGTGCCTACGTCGGTGGCAGCGCGCTGTCAGATAAGGTCCGCTCATTTAAGACGGCCAGCGGATCTGGCGTGAACCGGCTCGAGATCTGCATGAACTCTGCGCATGTGAGCGAGCTGATGGCTAGTCCTGGCCCCGGCTCCGACACGCGGCTGTACCGCAACTTTGTGGCGCTCAAGACGGCGTGGACGCTTGACGCTGTCAGCAACGACGACGAATCCATCTACGACGTTGCTAGTACTGTGAAGTTTGCGCAGATGCTTGGGAATATTGGGTACAAGTACACGATTGTGCCGTATACGAACACGAGCTTCTGGAAATCTCTCAAGACGCAACTCAAGGATCTTCTCGACAGGGCATATCTCCAATGCTATGATGGCGGGGCAGGTAATAACCCGGGAAGCTGGCAGAGCACGTTGGGAATGAAAGTTGTCCCGATCATTTGGGTGACAAATGACTCAAAGCCATCACAGGGTACCACAGCTGCGCAGGCAAAGACTAAGTTTACCAGTTGGAACCAGCAGAGTGCTGTTGCAGGAGGAGGGTACTGGAACGAGTATGATATTGAGAAAATGGGGTTATCGTATAAAGAGTATGGTGGAGTCTTGACGACCGTCTTCCCATGATTAAATACATGGTGAGTTCTGTTGCGATGAATTCAATAGGTGCCCAAGCAGATGTGAAACCGAACATTCAAGGGATATAAGTGAAACATTTGATTCATAGTAAAATTAGAATTCTGTAATGTGACTTGAGGCCATGTTGTTCCAGAACCTTTTGGAGAAAAGACTTTTACCACCTCATTATGCCCAATTGCGTTGTTATTTGCTTCAGTACTCAAATTCTTCTACATCGTTTTGACACGTCTTTGCTGTGGGAAATGACAACCCGTTATTCATAAGAATTTCCGTTGAGTACAAGCGGTTGCGATCGTCAGCCTCCTCACGCGGCTCACCGGGTGGAAATTTCCTAAAGTACTATCGGCGATACCTTTCATGCTTCATACAGTGATGAACGCATCACCATATTTCCACCTCCCTCTCGTGATGCGCATAGTAAGCATGGGTATCATAGACGAGTATGTCACCGGTTTCCTTTGTCCGGTCAATGTTTTCTGAAATTCGAGGTAATCCTTACTACTGTTTTAATTGCCAGCTTCACTCCTACTTAATTCACCGTGCACAGATTTTCTAGTTCGAGATCGGACTCATCGTTAACATGATATGGTCCCTGGAAAAGTAAATCTTCGTCCTGGGCAATGCCTGTATTCTCTAGTTCCAAGCTTCAGTTATACCAGAATAACATCCAGCTTTTCGATACCCAGATCTTCAATCTCTCAGTCCATCATACCGTGGATAAAATAATTCCCGCACGAGTATACGTGATAGCGTTTAAGTCTGATGTATCCACTCGACCTCGTGGTTGCCCGGCAGAACTAGAGTCCTCTTGGCCAAGGCCGTCTCTCGAAAAGCCCAGAGGTCGCTGGTCTATTTTTTATGCACCATGTCGCAAAATTAAGGTCAAGCATTGTCCGATGAAAGTCCGATGAAAGCCACAGCATAATCTTAGGGCTGGCCGAAGAATGCCGCCGTGTTATCACCAGCCGGTCTCCGGCCTCTACAATCTGAGGCAAACTTTGCAACTACGTTTCCGCTTTTTTTTTGGTACCAGACCCCAACCACACCCAACCTGGCGAGGTCTTTCTCGGATTTTAGCCATCATCTAGATTTGTGTCATCTTCTCAACCCCATCGACCTGATCGATGCCTGTCGCGTCAACCCCGATAGGCAACCGCGAGTCGCGGCGAGCCAAGAAGGGAAGGGCATCTTTGAGGTTTTGGTGGAGCCGTGACTCATGGTCGATGCATATGATGGGGAACGTTTGCGGTAGATCTCCCCAAGTACAAGGCAACGCATCGTATCCTAGTGACGTGCGTTTTTCAGGCTGGTCTCGCAGTCGAACAACCTTCGAGAAACTAGTGGTCCTCGCTGTCGGGATTCATGTCTGGAAGAAGAAGACGGATCTCCCAAGCTATGAATGCGTGTAGGTGACGGTAATCACAACCTTTGGGGACATACTGAGTTGATGCGGTGTAACGCAAAACCCGGAGAGCAAATAACTGGCATAGTCACAAAAGTCAAGATCAAGGCAGCTTTATAGAAGAGAACTTTCAAACAAGCTACCCCACATGTATTGTTCGGCTGAGCACTATTTGTATACCTAGTTGCATATGCTTTCACAAACAATCTCATCTTGACAGGCAGTGCAGGGTAGGCAGAAGCTGCATGGAGGGCTCTATAGCCGTAGCGCATTTGTATGATAAGTGAAGTAGTTGGACTACGACCAGTCGATGAAGATGAAAAGCCAAGAAAAGGCGGTGCCTTTATACGGTAAGTAGATTGGCGGTTTGCATTTCATCCAGCACCTAAATAATATTTGCAAGTCTGATTGACTGACCATGAATGTTTGCGCCAGCAGGCTTAGTACTCAGCATTAGAACTTCGCATGGATGCAATTTCCGTCTAGACTAGTCTAGTTAGATGCGACAGTTTAACGTCATGTCTCACTTCAATCGTAATTGGGGCTTTGGCTTTCTCATCAAGACTTGCACTAGAAAATGTCAACTTTTTGGGGTACCATCCGCAGATTCACGCGACCTTTACTTCGCAATCTTTGATACACGCACTTGATTTAAGATACGAAGCCCAAGACGTCTCGACTTTCAAAGTTTCCAGTTCGTTCATCTCTTTGATTTCGTCCTGGAACATTATTGGGACTTCGAATCCCTGAACACGAGGCTCATAATTCTCAGGAAAACCATTACCGTCCAAATATTCCGTTTACAAGCGGCACCTCAGGCAGCAATACAGGAATGAGGCCAGTTGATTTGCAGCTTCCCGCAGCGTCCGTAGTTTCTACAAACTCAACCACAGCAAAGCCCGCAAATACGATATCTGGTCCGAACGCATATCCTCTGTACCTGGACACTCCGTAATCTCTCGACGTTCTTTCGTCTTGACATGTATCACTCCAATCAAGACTTCAGGCGACTTGTGCTTAGACATCAGCCGACAGCACTCCGGCCCTATTGGATTTTTACAAACTAGCTCCTGCGGTCCCCAAGCTCATCAACTATAATATCTTGCCTGGGAAGCTGATCAAACGAGATGTCAATTACGGTGAGTTTGAATGAATGTAGATGCTCTGGGCTTGCCCTGACGTATGAACGGGAGCCTAGTTTCTGCACTCTCCCCAGGGAGCTCAGAAACGAGATTTATACCTTGGCGGTCGTCAAATATGACGATCAGCTCGACGATGCCGTCGAACCCGGAATTATAACGCTAAAGGGATCCCACGGGTATCACTTCACTCGAGATGTCGGAGTATGCCTTCGACCTGTGCACACGCTCCGGCCACATCCACTCTTGCAGGTCGACCGCCAGATCAGGGCCAAGGCGAGTCCGATATTTTACGGCCAGATCAACTTTGTTTTGGAGGTCCCTGGTCGGTGCTTGGAATTTGCCGAGTGGGCGGCGTTGCGCAGAATATGCGCAGCTGTCGGCGCTCATCTCAAGCATCTGAGGCGGCTTGAGATTATGTTTGCGTACCCCGCGCATACGGGCCAGGATGACAATTTGGCCGTGTCTGACAACTACATTTTCGATCCTACGTCGGTCACCTGTGTCAAGATTGACGAGCTTGACATGCTAAAGCAACGAGCCCGGATAGAATTCGCGATCGACCGCGATTTTATGGGACAGACAGCGGACAGATTGAGACAAGCTGAGCGTGGTATGGCTCTTGCGATTCTGCAGTTACGAGCAGAGCACCGCTGGCTCGAGTCGGTCTTTCCTACGTCGGGGATGATGTTTGCTGTATTCGAGATCCTCTACAAAGCTGGCCTACCCCGTGGCGAGCAGATTATTGTACTGCATTCTGCACTGCGCCAAGGGGTGCGGTTTCGACCGCGTCATCGAAATCAGAACCATCCTTTTTCTTATCGATCTGAACAAATACATCACCGAAGGATGGTTGGTGGCAGACATCGTGACACTGTATTTCCTGCTTCGGTGGATCAACTCTTTCGTTTGTGGCGTGAGAGTAATGCCTGATGAGCCAGGTCAGTCAGTAACCGAGACACATCCTCTCGCCGCGTGTGGCGATCGATGTGCCATCACTGGAAAGGCTGTTCTTGGAAGGAAGCCGATGACTGTACCATTGCACCTCACCTGCGGCGAATATATGCTGCTGACGTTAGTGGGACTCCATATTGGCATTAGGGAATACATCTTATGACTTCTGAGCCTACCCACTCCGTCAGCAGACCTAAGCGTTTGTAACAGGATACTGTCCGATCTTTACCTGATATCGTGAGTTTCTGCATATGTGATAGCCCCTGATATGTATTTAGCGACGGGGCGAGAACAACACCCGCCAGTAATACTTGCAGACGGTTTACAAAATAGCGTAGTATCAGCCATGGGTCGAAATAATTGTGTATACGACCATCAACCATCACGACGCAAGCTGCGCCACCTCCGTCAAGCAAGTCAGCAAACCGCCCCTGATATCACCATCCCAAGAACATAAACTTTCGAACGGTGTCGCAGTGGTTTCCCACCAGACCGTCATTTGTCTCGGGAATCTACATTTCCGGTATCGAAGCAGAGCTTTCGCTCCCACGTTGGAATTTTTTTTTTTTTTTTAGTTTTGTTTTTCCTTTTTCCCCTTTTGGGTTTTTTTTTTTTTTTTTTTTTTCCCCTCAAAGGCCTCTCTCCCAGAAAGAGACATGATAGCGCCAGAAAACTGATGGCGCAAAATCCAAGCTTAGTGAGCGTTTCCCCCACACAAAAAGCGCGTCGCACCAACCACACAGTGCGGCCCGGAGATTAAAAATGGTCACCCTCCGGATCGGTGATGAGGCGCCGATCTGTTTCTTTTGGGGGGATGAGATGGTGTGCAAGAGGGGAAGGATCTAAAAAGGGGGGTGGACTATCTTTTTCCGTACGCAGAGGAAGGATTCTAGAAGGAATTTGGGGTGTGGGTAATAGAGTTTCGCCTTTTGCTCGTGTAATTGGTGTGAAAGGACGCCCACGTGTGCGTGTCGTGAACCGCGAATAGGTTTGGGTTGGTCTGGGAATATTCAGGGTTGAATGACAGCCCCCTTCTATCAAAGATGGCGAAGGCGGAAACGGTATGTTAGGTTCATGACGTTGCTTCAACGCATGTGGGAGATGCGATTTGCGTCTGATTGGTCGCGCGCGCACGATTCGCTTCGGTCAACCCATTGGGGTGCTTGATTTGCATCGACAGCGCCGAATTTGGTAATTGTCCACAAACTTGTCGAGTGCCGGTGCCAGCGTTTCATACTCGAGCTCTTGCTGATCGCACTCTCTTCAACACAAGAAACATTGGTTGGTTTGTGTATAACCTAGATTGGTGGGTAAGGTGACTAAACAGTACTTTGGGCTGACCTAGATCCAGAGAGTTTTACATGCAGCATGGTAGACTTCGTAAATACCTGCACGTATAACAATTACCAACAGATTTTCCCCTATTCAAGCAATAAAAGCTCGTCTGCCATTTTCCGACCCGAAGTTTCGGGTCACAATTCTCAAACTGGGTAGGCCTCAGAACAGGTATCGTATAAGTGTTGGCGAATCGGAAGCATGCTTAGGACATGCCGTATTACACAAGAGTGCAGGTAGGTAGTTGTTGGAATTGCTTTTTGTGGCATCAAACTTAAAGTACCGCTGGACAAGGCACATATAACGGATAAGGAATAAAGTTGGGCAAAGAAAAATTACAAGTCGCATGGGATGTTCAGTTACCTTGCTCAAAGTTGAGAGCTTTCCAAATCGTCGGTGCCTCGATGACAAACGTCTTTCAGCACCAGCCCATGGAGGCGGAGTTGAGCGAAACAAAATTATGAGAGAACATTGTTTGTAGACAGAAAATATCAATCGACTCTGTGGTGAAAGTTAGGGTACCATAGGGGAAAACATTGAGTTTAATCCGTTTTCAATTCATGATCCGAACGCCTAACTAGACAAGGGGAATTTTATAGCTCAGCGAACCACTGCCAAAGCAAGAAACGAAGAAACACATTAAGAAACCAAAGGCGACCAGCATTACGGTCATTACGACCATGACAGAAAGATCATCCACCTCAGGTGTGACCCTGTGATCTGACGCCATAGAAAAACCAAATTATCCATCTCGACATAGTAGAAGGGGTTGTATCTGCAAAAACAAAGGTGCAAAAATCTGGCAGAGGTCCGCGAAGACTATGTCTTTTTTGCCAAGTAAAGGTCGCTCGCTGCATGAAAAAAAAAAAGACCAGTACGCAACGGCCTGGAGATGTGTGGTGTATCCCCATGTCTTTTCCTCTTGCAAATGCTGGCGAGAGAGCATAAAAAAATCCCCCAGAATGATCAAGGTTACCAGACTCCTTTTCCATGCAACTCATCTCAGCCCATTATGGGGAATGGGCCCGTCAGACAACAAGTCGGCATCTTCTTGTTTGTCCGTATTCTCTCTCTCTCTCTCTCTCGCAATAAAGGGTATTCGAAACCAAAAACCTCAAGCACCAGCTCGCCCAGTCAGTTCAATGGTGTTGTTTTCATCGAGAACCCGCGGGCTACGCGCCGAGATCGTCGTCTCCGTGAGGGCTCGGTCTATTCGTCTTCGGGATCGAGTGCCTTGTCGTGTTTGTGGTGTAGTGTTGTTTACATGATGATGCACTTGGAGCAGCAGCCGGCCTCGGATTCGCCTTCGCTCATCTCCATCTTGCCACTGGGACCGGCGGCACCACTGTTGCCGCCGCTGCCAGTCGAGTATCCTTGCATTTCGCGATTGTAGCGGCGGATTTCTCGAACAATATCGTAGAAAGCCTTGTCGACATTAATGCGCGACTTTGCTGAGGTCTCGATGAATTTGCAGCCAAAAGACTTTGCCAAAGCCTCACCCTCTGGAGAAAACCAGACGTGTCAGCACATTGAACTGTCAAAGAAATGTCAGGTGTGGATGGACAAACCTTGTCGTGTGACCTCGCGCTCGCCCTCCAGATCGCACTTGTTGCCAACCACAACCATGGGGAAGTAGTCCTTGTCCTTGACGCGCAGAATTTGCTGCTGGAATGTGGTGATCTCCTCGAAGCTTTGTCGGCTAGTGATGGAGTAGACGAGCAAGAAACCCTCGCCGGTGCGCATGTACTGCTCTCGCATGGCCGAGTACTCCTCCTGGCCGGCGGTATCGAGAACGTCGAGGAGTGCTACCTCATCGTCGATCATGCACTGCTTACGGTACGAGTCTGCCGGGGGAAAAGAAGAACTGCTCTCAGCACAGGAAAGGAGAGGTGGAGAGATGGGAGGCGAGACAACTTACCCTCGATAGTCGGGTCGTACTCGTCTACGAAGTGGCTTTGGATGAGTTGGATGGTCAAGCAAGATTTACCAACACCACCGCCGCCAACCACAACCAGCTTGTACTCTCTGAGGAACTGCATTTGACAAGTCAGCCATGATTGCGTCCGTGGCATCAAGTAGTGGGGATTGACAGGCATTCCCAAGCGCCAACAATCGGCGTGACCATGCAGGTTCGCCGTTTGCCGTCGCCGTTGTCATCAGCTCTCACAAATGCCTTGTCGCCGATGATGGAGCAAATGTCTTGTCGCCGATGGAAACGTACCTTGGAAGCCATTACGAAGGATTAGAACTCGATGGAGGATCGATTGATTGATTTCCGGGTATGGCGAAAAACGGGAAAGAAAACTCGGCGACCGTGGGGAATTGTCGATGTAGTGGGAATTGCTGATCGGCGACTTGGAGGCAGCTGGGGTGACCGGCGAGTTGATGAAGAGAATGCACGTGGGTTGACGTGATGTGAAGAAGTCGCAAAAGTAAAATGAAGTAAAAGAAGGCCGGGTCACAGTCAATCACAGCAGAGGATTAGACGCAAGTCAGGTCGACGTTTAGGTTCAGTCGACGAGGTAGGATGGAATGGGGACGGGGTGGGAATGGGATGGGATGGGATGGGGTTTGATAACTTAGTTGGGTTGCTTTGATTTGAATGAGGAAAGGGCAATTCTCAATGGGTGGAGTTGGATGTCAAATTGGTCACAGATTAGATAGTGGAGGCTTGGTTCGCTTGCAGATCGGAACTATGTATGTATGTACGGAGTATGTACGAGACAAGAAAAAGCCTTGACTCGACTTTGTCATCCGCGTGAGGTAACTAACCTGAGGTAAGTAACCGGAGGTCACGTATGTATGTAACAACGTATTTGTATGTAGAAAATACGCACGACTTCTGTACTCTGGAGTTAGTCTTGACAAAGTCTTGCCTTGACCAGCTTGGCACTGGACAAGAGCGGAGGAATTTGAGACACTCTTCGAATTCAGGTTCGTGGATGACAGATCTGTGAAGGAGACTCCGTACAGCAGGTCGGACATTCTGGCTTTGCTGCCAAAGAAGGAAGTGGTTGACCTTCAAGGCCAAGGCTGAGACGAGGAAAAGACCCGAACCCGGACTGTCACAAAAGAGGTTGGGATCCGTTGAGATGAGCTCGGTTGAGTTGTGTGCTGAGCTCTCCGTTGAAATGTGATGGTACCTCGTCAAAACCAACCTCGGGCACAAGGCACAAAGCACACTGCCAGAAAGAAGCAGAGCTCTAAGCTGCAACTCCACCTGTAATCTGTACCTGCTTGCATCTCTGCATGCAGTACCCATATAATAGATAATATGGGGACATGTGCTAACTTGAACCCTACCTAACTTAACCTAGAACCAGCAAAACAACAACACAAAAAAAGCTTGGAGAAGAACAAAAAGCCACTGGACCTTGCTGGAACCCTTTTGGTTTCTGGCTTTCCTGGCCTTGCTGGCTTCACCCTTCCATGGTCGCCTTCTAGAGTGGGTGCCACCGGGAGCGTGGGTCTCTCGATGCTACTGCAGATCCGCAAAGATATGGGTTGGCCGTGCTAGGCGATAGTGCTAACTGATGTTTTATGGGGGCACCAATATCGCAGTCCACTGGGCTGTCACTCCGTAGATTAGTACTGCCATTAGTTTGCCATCCTCTAGTCATTCTTCTAGTTCTGCAGGCCAATGGAAGCTGTCTAGAAGCAATGCGAAATTGGGAATCGTGAAATGCTCTGGGTCGATGGAAAACTGGGCAAATTGCGTCCCAATCTATCTCTCGAGACGAAATAATACAACACCGAGGAGCAAAGGAGTCGTCATTCGGCCACATGCAGCTCCCACCCATCTCAGGAGCTACAGTACAACTCAGTATTTTGCTTTGTGCTGCTGCTGCTGTGTATTGCTGTTGCTGTTGCTGTTGCTCTTCCCGTCCAACTTTTGAGCAAACACTAACTAATATGCACAGCGTCCTCAGTGACTTGGCCGTCGGGTTGAGATTGTGATTTACCGGGCTGCTGGCCAATTCCTCACCATGCTCGCTCAAAAAGCACTGCACTACCTGCAGCTTTATGGGTGGTGTTGGTGGAGCGCAGGTGTGGCTCCCTACATAGCTCAAGAAACCCCTAACCTAGAGAGGCGTTGGGCAATCAATAACATCCTTTCTCGCCTCTTCATACCAATAGCAACCTTCAAAATCTGCCACTTGATAAGCTATCGTTGACTGCATGTAGAGGGCACAACGGCAGCAATATCGGAAGAACACTCCATAGTGTTTGCAGAAATTGTTTTGATACGTCTAGCCTGCCAATGTCCCCAAAGCAACAATTCTTCATGTTACCCAGTGAGAGACCCGCAGCTTAAGTTGCCTCTAGACTAGAAAAGAGGGGAAGGGGCTCGTGCGTAAACTTATGAGCCTCGCTCCCGCTCGTACATCTCGTTCCAGCGCCAGGACAACCACTAAACAGCGAGCATCCTTGGACATGCGCCGTCGACCATGTCCTTCATCCAGTCAGAACCATTTCATTCAAGACATGAACACCCTCTCTCCCTCCATCACACTTTCCATCCACAGATCACCCAGACCATGCAGCGAGTCCATTCGGAAAAGGAATATACATACTGTACACGGCGCGCTTCCATCAGAAATACCCATTGGCATTTCTATGGTCGCAGCGGAGCGCAAAGAGCGGGCTCGTTTTCCAGAACAGCAAATTTTAATTCCAGTCATACGACCATGACGCTTTTAATCTTGACCATCGGCGTCAACAGACCGAGAAAGCCAAGATGCTTGTTCACTCACCAAACCATTTTGTCTAACTTTACATACATGCAAGTCCGCCCTGTGTTAACAAAGGGGAACCGCCATAAAAGAAGGAGCCATCTGTTCATATACACACCATCCTGGTACCTTGAAGGCAAGTTATCTCCGGCATTATGGGTCCCGTACACCAGTCGGCCGATGTGATCTTGCCTATGATCATGACATGTCGGACTCCACACTTGAAGTTCACCTCGCAGGAACTCTTTATCTACCACGAGCGTTCGCAATTACTCACAATAAACTGCGCTTCTTGTATATGTCATAAATATGAAAAGTAGTAACCCTCATCTCTTCCTCAAGATCGATCTCGAAATTGCGCGCAAGCACGATGACAACGATGTTCACATGTCTACAAATAGGCCTCGGGAAGGACAACCCCTTGTACAAAATGTGGCTAGGTTGAATCGTTGTTTTACGGGTTTTGATGGCCATAGAATATACTCATCACGGATCGAGCTGGCTTTTAAGTACATCAACCTATCGAGTTGTTTGCAGTCCACTGCGTTCTCTACCATCTGCAGCAACTCCATCTCGCGGTGGTCCCCGCTTCCACATGGCTGGCAGGGGGTAACAAGCAATCATGCACGTACGTATAGCTTGCTCTCGCCTTTGTTTCATCCAGATTACGGACATGACGTTGCGCAATCAATATTTTTTCCTCCAAAGCAGCATGGGCGGACTACAGCTCAGAAACTGCTTCAGTCGGTCACAAAGCCGAGATTTACGACAGAATTTTGTGTCATCGGGATATTACGTGCTAGTATCGTAACTTGTCGTCACTATAGTCAATCACAAAGCCAGATAGCTTAGCAACATTTTCGTCCAGGTAAATTTCATGTCTATCTCTATCAAATTTGACTGTGGAACTCTGACAAATCATTTCTGAAACGGGTCGTCACCGTCGAGTTAGCCAGTAGGTCCAGTCTCTCATTTTCGTATCTCCGTCCGTGTCCTTTGAAGTTCTTCTGCTCTGGAATCAGTCTCCTGGACTTCCGGTGGTCATGTGCATATCGTTGTCGTTCTGGGATTCATTTCCAGATTTCAGCATAATCTGACTTTCAGTAGCCATGTGAGTATCGCTATCGTTCTGAAATTCGTTTCCAGTAGCCTGATTGTTGTTCTCATTGCCGCTACACATTTTGATATAGTTGTCGTACGGCTTGATCATCTGTGATGGCGTAGGAAAAAATCCAGCCACATGATCCTGCCAAGTGCTCTGCCAAGGGCTGTCTTTATTGTAGAATGCCCAGTTGGTTGCCGTTTTGAGAACCCGCCGAACAGCTGTTTGGGTAAGCCGGGCTCCCTTTCAGGTATCTTCCATTACGCGATCTTTCATTTAGATTCCAGTGCCCGGAAATCAAGGCGAAACGTGAGGAGGCTACAGGAGCGGGTGGTATAACACATGAATAGCCCCAGGCTCTGCATCGGCGGCAGCTGTCACCTTCTCTTCGACATTCCACCTTGTTGCTCTTACAAGCCTTGCAGGTTCTGTGGGCTACCATTCTGATAAACGTGTCGTCTAGTCCCAGTGCGAACCGAGAAAGTATCACGCCGGATGTTACAAGTCCATCCCTAGCTTCGTCAAGTGTGGCAAAAGTTGCCTGCCTCATCGTGATGCCATCCAGAAGACTCAGCAGCACCGCCGTCCTTTTGGGTATCATATGATTGGGAGGCTCACCAGGACCTTCAGTTTGTCCTGTAGCTATCTGAAGAAGATAGTGCAAATCACGCCCCGAATCGTGTACCTCGGGCTTCAGCTCAGAGATGTTGGTTTCGTAACCATCCCTACGCGATATGCGTTCGTCATAGCTACCAGGGCGGTGGCCCCTGATGGCACAAAAGAGACCCGAGTATCGACAAGCGGTACAGCCATTGTCCCTCCAGATATCGCAATTGATATCCTGCTTGGCCGAAATGCAAGCGACACATGCTACTTTACCGACGCCTTCATACCACCAATAATCGCGCCCACGGACGTGCTCCTTGACCGCCCAGGACTCCGCGGATAGGCCCATGACCGTGCAATCTCGTCCTTCTTCCGTACAGCATTGGCAGGTGCCATCGCCTCCTGTGTCACAGTATCTCATAGCGCTGAAAACCCTCCTGTAAAGCGGCCAGTACTTGTCAGGGTTTCTATCTCTCTCCTCCAGCGAGACACCGCCATATGGGCCGTCGAGCAACTTGATCGCACAGCGGTCACACCTGGCTGTGTTCGGGTCGCAGTACTTTCTCAGCCAGTGGAAGAGTCTCCACAGAGCAATGTGCCTCTTTTCCACATCGCTGAGTGCCGCTTCGCGAATCGTGAACGAATGCAGTAGAGAGTGCCACGTGGCGTCGTAATTGTAGTTGTAGTCCTGGTGGTAAGGGTTGTTCCTTGGATCGTCCCAGCCGACCGGGTATAGAGGCAATAGTAACGGAACTCCATCCTGCTGCCTGCCACCAAAAGTTGCTAGTTCTTCACCGAGGGCTCTTGCTAGTTTCGGTATAGACATTTTTGAACGATGTCTTGCCTGTGATAGAATGAATAGGCTGGTAATTGTATCAATGACCTTGGTCCCGCGTCTGTATATCGTCAATTATACTGCCTTACGGACCAAGGTAGTTTGTAGGCAGCTTGCATGCACATTTGGATCGTAGTGAGTTAAGTACGCGTCAAAAATTGTTGGCAGTTGGTAATGACTTCCAGATGAAGGGCCTTGTATAGCACAGTATCATTGTGAGCTTTGTAATGTTCTAACGATAGGCTTGTATCTAACCAAGAAGTTTCTCATCTTATGTCAAGGAGTTAGCTATCGGATTTATGAAATCTGTGTTCCACCTTGGGGTGATTAGCGTAACGAACATACGGCAGGCATGATATAGAGGTAAAAAAGACTCCATTTATCGTAAAGATCAGAAGGGCACTGGAATAAAGGCCAAGCTACAAAAGCAAAATAGTTTTCTTTGTTGTAGTTAGTCATCTGAGTAGTCTACGCTATCGTTTATTGCATTTCTACTTACCATAAATACGAGACCTTTGTTTTGAACCCGCTGATTGTTAGTCCATGTCTGTTCGTTGCTGCCCAGTTTATCAGTTTGTGCCTCTTCAAGAATTTTAGACAATGCTATTGTCGATGAAGAGAATGTTCACTGTTTGAAGATGATCAATGAAAACAAGTCTGGTGCTTCATGACATGTTCATAAATACCAGATAATACCAACAACCCATCAAACCAAAGGCAGATACTAATACGCCAACAGAAATTAATCAGGCACAATGTCTATTAATATCAACCCAGCGGGACTAGCAGATTCCAACATCTGTTTATACACTGCACCGCCTGTCGACAATCCAAGACCTCCTGCCGTGGCGCGTGGACGAAAGTGTCGTGGCTGTACTAATCGAGCCGGCGCAAGACCTCCTCCTTGCAACATTACAGATACGCACGGCTGTACTCAGTGTCTCAAGGTGGGAATTCCATGCCTGATCAGTAATTGGGCTATGCCACCCCATTCCGACCACACCACAACGGCCCGACCGGACACGTACCATCGATGGACGAGGTGTGAGGCCTGTGAGGCTTACGAATACTGTGATCGAAGCACCCCATGTCTGAACTGCTTTAGCAAGAAAATACCATGTCTGCGTCCAATGACGAACAGTGCCATCAAACGTGCCTGGGACCAACCTCTGCCCGGCGAGGACATGTACGGGTACTGGATCATGCATGGGCCTCGCCACCCGGACCACCCACCCAGCGAAGCAGCTGTGTATGATCTGGCCACTCATTCAGGATGGCGAATGGGCCATAACTACCATGTTGAGTACGCGTTCAAGTGCTACTCACAAATGGGTTGGATCTCTCATTATTGGTATGGTCCCATCAACATCAGTCGCGGTGCGCCAGAGATCGCCAGCCCACAAGGGCCGATTTACGTTGGCCACCCGGAAGGCCAGCCCACACCACCGCCATCGACTCGTACCCCCTTAGGTTTCGACCCTGGCGCAACACTGGGATTCTTGACGATTTTCCTGAAGAACCCCCATGATCCGGCCAGCACTGTGGCCGGTTCGTCAGTTGACCACGTCGCCCGACCAGTTTCAGCTGTCCCGTCTCCTACTGTATCTGCACCCCCCAAGCCAGTGAAGCGGCGGAGCACAGTCATGGCTCGGCGCATGCAAGCACCGCAGGCTCGCACTGCTCCATACCCCCGACATTTGACTCTCGGAACTAGCTCGCTTCCAGGTACTCCGAGTGCTCAGCAGCCTCCTATCGAATTGACGCCAGTACCGCCTTCTACACCCTGGGAAGGGTTGCGAACCACCTCTTGCTTTATGGGGGTGCCAGCCATACCGCTACAACTGCCAAACACGGAATTTGTAGACCAATACAACGATTCAATGGACACAGATGATACTCTTGCCGATTTGAAGCTTCTGATGGAGTGGAATCAACAACAGGAGCAGCACCCACTGCCGCTGCCCATCCCGACGAGCCTCGCTGGCGTCGGCGTGACTCATCCGCTTCAGTATCCTATAACCAATGGCGTTCCAATTGAAAACGACGGGCCTTTCTTGTTAGATCATCTTCTGCTCCACCGGCTGATACCGGAGATGACCATGGACGACATTCAATCCAAGATCAATCAGCTGTCCATGTATTGGCAGCCTAACTCGGTCAGGTTTCCAGGAGGAACGTACGACTTGAGATACTCGGCTAGCGATGACGCTCGGTTCGATCCGAGCCCACGCTCAGAACAGCTGGTCCCACTTCCGCAGCCCCTAGGACCCGAACCGACGAACCCGGAGGAGTTGATAGTACAGAACGAGGCTGCGTTCCGTCCTAACGAACGACGTATCAACAGTCGATGGACATATCGCCCTGGATACCAGTACGGGGCTAACCATATTGCCAATGCACCCCACGAAGAGTGGTTTCCATGGCTCCAGGAGGCATTCTACGCAGTCATGAACGACCCCAATGATGCCACGTTGATCTACACCACAAGTCAGCCTGTGGAGCGGATCGCAAGCCCAGGCCCTATCCCTCAAATCTATTTAGGCATGGAACTAGCCACGCCTAATTTTGACGATGAGCAGGAACGTCGCCTTTGGAACGACCACCCTGGTCTTGCTTGTGAGATTGACGGCCACCCAGGTAGCTCTCCGCTCGCGTACATCCCCAAGAACAGGATATGGGCCAACGATGCTGTTGGGACCGTGACAGGGTCCTGTATAACTTGCGGTAGGCCAACGAGAGGCATTTGCGAGTCAACGGATCACCGCCCCAACCACCGACAGTATGTCTGCTGTGTCTGCGATGCGCATTCGAGAAGGAATGCATGGGAGCTGCTTATGCAACTACAAGTATTCCAAAAAGTGAGGCGATTTGCCTGCAAAGCTTGCACCGCACAGTTTCTTCTTGACCCGGCGGCAGAGTTTACCCACCGAGGAGGTGATTTGTATGATTCGCAGGGGATGACTGACAACAACCCAAACTATGATCCCCGCTTGTGGACCAACCGCCACATTCAGGGTGTGGAACCTCTGCGATGGTTTAGTCATGGTTCTCTGCAAGCGCCACTGCCCCATACTGGATGCGCGTGCGCTGACAAGTTGCTCGATCGAAGGTTATGTAATGCACACCGTGCAAACGCGGTGGCGAAGTTCCTGGAAAGAATTTATCGAATGGCAATATACGCACTGACAAATTTTCGGTCTTTGGAACATTGTTTTGCCTGTCAAGTATCTCTGGCCCAAGATCCGAACGACCCCAGCAACCTTGATGAGGCGGGTATGGTGTGGATGTGTATCTGCTGCTCTGGTTTGACGGTGGGTGTCAGGAGTGACCAAATTTGGAAGCCTCTCGACCAGTATCGTATATATGGCGACTAAGAATCCGCTTCCATGGCTGCTTGCTAATGTAGAGAAAATCAACAGTATTTAGAGTCGGTATTTGATAGCATGCCACAGTTGGCACCGCCGAAGGGTGGAGACACGACTGGCTATAGTATCTCCGTGAGTCGGCCCCACATGTCGATAGCTCTGTTGCAGATTGTTGATAAACCTTATTTAAATGCTTAATGCAAGTGCGAAATGCACGTTGACCTTTTCAGTCATCACATGTATCTATGTGAGTATGTAACGACCATGCACGAATACTACCCAAGCCGCTTTCAGACGGGCTGCGATGCATGCTCCGATTAGTGCTGGTAGTCAGCCTGTCAGTCCGTCAGTCTACAAAACTCGTCATTGAACGCCAATAGGCACTGACTGAGGAATGTCCTCGGTCCAATCGAGTGGCACCTGCCTGCAGTGCTGCCTGATGTGCAGATTAACGCCGATATTTGCTACACCTTTTGCCTCCACTGTCATGATTGGACTGTTCCACACGTTCACTTAACCACCTAATTTGTGATTCGTTACCAAGTATGTAACCGAGAGCCTTTGCCTTAAGTGACGTCAACCCCAACTGATGGGAGCTCGAATTTTCGATTGTCGATTGTCGATTGTTCTCTTAAAGTTGTCCTACTGTATGTAGGCATATATCATCATGGTTCTCCTCCTGGGCTGATTGGCAGCATGCAAGTAAAGACACATATATGCCCACGTTGCAACAGATCATGTCTTCGCTTCCGATTACCAGAAGAAACGATCACAACTCGCTCTACAAACCTGTTTGCGGTAGTATACACAGGTGACACACATAGTGGTAGGTAGCATCACCCATTCGGTGATCAGTATACCCGTGCCTAGGTGCATGGTGCCGACGGCTCCACCTACGGAGCTGAGAATGGTAATTGTGTGGCACGAATATACTGGCCAAGAATTGCAACTTTTTTTCTCCTGATAATCTTGTGATCTTCGTATGCTGAGAAATGGTGTGTATCAATTTGTCCAATGAACTTGCACACGTACATGCATGTTGGCTCTGTGTCTGCAAATCGGTGGTGCAAACGGAAGCACCTTTCTGCATGCTGTCGATCTCATGAGCAGAGTTTGCCGTGCCGTCACTACTATCGCTTATTTCAAGCTGAACTATTAGGTCCATTGTCTAGAACATAAAGCGCCGTATTGCTCCCCTAATCGCTTGTGCCACCGTGGTTGAGCGGGCCTGCTTTAGTTGCTAATACTCAAAACGTTACCAATCATGACGATTTCAGTCCTTCTACTCATAGAGACGGTTCTGGCGTTGGTAAGTAGCCCCTCAAATTATCGCCAGATCTCTAATGGGGTTTAGTGTGCCGCGAAAGCTGTATACCAAGTAATATATAACTTGTACCTTTCGCCACTCAAGCACTTCCCTGGGCCTATACTATATAGAGCGACAAGCATACCCTTCGATATTGAATGGGTAAATGGTCGCTCACACATTGCACTCACTCGATTGCATGATAAATATGGACCGATCGTCCGCGTAAGACCCAACGAGCTGTCTTATATCGACGGCCGCGTTTGGAAAGAGGTTTACGGATATCGCTCGGGACACGAAGAGTGGTTTAAAGGTGATGGCTTCAAATACGTCAATGGAACCCCAGGCATCACTCTAGCGCCAAAAGAGGCTCATCGCCGTTATAGGCGCAGTCTGGCCCACGCCTTTTCCAACCAAGGTTTGAAAGAGCAGACTCCTCGGATTCAGGGATACGCCGACGAGCTGGTCGCCATCCTCGAGAAATATAAGGACCTGGGTCCGGTAGACATGGTCAAGTGGCTGAGCTGGACCACTACTGATATCATTGGTGATCTTGCATTCGGCGAATCGTTTGATTGTCTCAAATCCGAAAAAGAACATCACTTTTTGGCCTTGACGTTCAAGGTTCTGCGTCCCGCATTAGTTATTGCTGTTCTCGAACGTTGGAATCTCATGATCCTTGCCTTTTTCTTACTCCCAGGCGACACTATCCCGGGAATCAAATCCAATGCCCAATATATTTGGGAGAAGTTGCAAAAGAGATTATCCTACGGCAAAGCCCGTGGAGATTTCTTCGACTATTTGTTAAAGCACGATCTGGTCGTTGATAGCGAGAATGGGTTCAAGGAAATGAAAGAAGGCCAAGAAGGTTTTACCATTCAGGAGCTTGAAAGCAATGCGCAAGACTTCGTTTTCGCAGGATCGGAGACCACTGCAACGGTGCTCAGTGGTGCCATCTACTTCCTGCTTCGCAACCCAAGGGCACTCGCAAGTGTCGCTCAGGAAGTGCGCACCCGATTCAGTAGGAGTGAAGATATCACCGTCGCTTCCACCAATGCGTTGGATATGCCTTACCTTGATGCTGTGTGCCATGAAACAATGCGGATATACGACCCCGTACCTCTATTTGCAGCTCGAGTTGCACCCAAGGGGGGAGACACCATCAACGGCGCCTACGTTCCTGAAGGCACCAGAGTACAGTGTGCAAAGTATGTTGCGAACAGGTCGGAGTACAACTTTGCCAAGCCACACGATTTTGTTCCGGAGCGCTGGTTTCCCGTCGGTGAAGGGCGTCCCAAGACATTTGAGAACGACAATCGCCATGGTGTGTTCCTGCCATTTAGTTTTGGGTCGCGGAATTGCCTAGGTATCAACATGGCCAAGGCTGAGATGCATCTTATTCTAGCGAAACTGTTATGGCAGTTTGACTTCAGTCGTCCAAACTTAAGCACCAAAGAAAAGGACGAATGGGATCTCTGGGTTGAGAGGCAGAAAGTGTGGTTTCTGTGGATGAAGCCCCCTTTGATGGTTGACGTCAAGAAGAGAAAGGATGTTTCAGTTTGTAGGCAGGAATACAATAGAAGCATTTAGTTTAGCTTAAGTCCATTAGTATGAGTTGGTGGATCGATGATCGACTTTTATTTGCACGTATTACATTAATAGACCTTCATTAAGTGTATGGTGGTACCGCATACTTGAAATTGTAAGTAGACAAAGTGATGAACAAAGCGGCCTATGTTCCCAGCCGCTACTACCGGATCAAGATTCCCCATTCATGAGATTAACAAAGGGTTTATTTTTGTAGTTACCTGTGCCTGCAGCCTCTATGCACAAACACAATCTTGTCCTGCTAATCTGAGCCCCTTGCCTGAATATAAAGTTTTGACTCAATCCGCTTCGTTCAGCATCCAATCCGTGACTGAGCGCAAATATTCTGTAGCCTGGACCTCATATAGTCTCCTTGAAATGGGAAAAAGTGCGGTCACTACCTATTATCGGTATCCAATGCCGTAACTTCACGGTCCTTCGGTGATCATCCTGATCCAACCCGCACGCTGTTGTGCGTGGATATATGGACAAAAGTTACTGTTCACAGATTTGCGGATATTTGGCTTGAACATTAACACCCGAAGAAATCATTTAAGAAAAGCTGGTCTTGTTAACAGTTCAGCCTTTGTGTAGCAAGTAGACAAAGTCCCATTCAATTGTATATCCTTTGAGCTTGTGGCAAACTCCATTAGTTGCAGTGGTAGACAAAGTAATGATACAAAAATATCCGGCTAACTTCTCTTTGTTGAATTGATTTGTAACAATCAAGCTTCTTTAACAGACAGATATGAACACTAATGCCTAAGCAACTGGAAAAATACCCTGATACGTCTCGCAACAAGGTGTTGTGTGCAATCTCCTAGACTAAACACGTTGATCATTGATATATAAGAATAATGTGTCTATCCGTCACATCGGTATTCTCACAATTTTAGAAATCAGAAAACTATCAGACATATATCGTAAAACAGAAACCCGCAAACGAATGTACAAAGTTCAACAAATATGGGCTCTCAGCAAATCACACCGGCTATTTGCACCTTCACGCAGCCACGGGGCAACATCCCACCGCCTGGTCCAAAAGGGCCAAATATGTGTAGAGCCTGTGCAAATAAGAGGGTTGTTAGAGCACGGTGTGATGCGACCGTCAACAAAGCATGCTTCAATTGTATGGACACCGGGTTGCCATGTGTCGTGGGTGACTGGGCAGTCCCCCCCACGCAAAATCGACCAGCGAGGCGAGAGCACTATTATGTATGGTCAATGTGTGCAGAATGTCATGGAATGCATGCCATGTGTGATAGAATGCAGCCATGCATGCGTTGCAAAAACCACAACTATCCCTGTACTCGGGCGGCTAATGCTAACCGGGGTAATTACTTTCGTCCCGTACCTGGGGATGATATGTATATCTACTGGTTAAGTCTTGGTCCAAGACACAGCCCAGATATAGGCGTAAATGCAGACATGTGGGACGATTGGTTAATGCCCACGAACTATCATGTTGAGTATGCCTATAAACTTTACAGAGAAAATAATTGGCTAGATTATTGGCTTGGGCCACGACCGATTATCAGAGGAACACCAGGAATGATCAAACAACAAGCAATCTACGTTGGTGTGCCTGAAGGAGCCCCTCCGCCAGTTGGAGACCCTCAACCAATTCTGACCGGTGATGGGTCACTGACTGCGATGGCAATGCTCGCCTATCCTGTTGCCCCTGAAGATTGGACCTCTCAATACATGCGCCCTACGTCCGGGGCGTCTACGGCGAAGCCCTCTGGAGTTCCACTGCTACTTGCACCTGGGCCAGGTTCAAGGAATGCAGCCATTAATTTGACCGCCGAAATACCTACAGGCAACGAAAGTTCAGGTAATCCAGATAATGTTCCTCAAGCCGATCCTGGTATGGTACCGCTTGGTTTAGCAATTCATGGTATGGAAATGGGTGATATGGCACCTCTTGGTGCAGGTTTCAGTCCCGTAGGCACAATCGTTCGTGGGCCGGGACCTGTCCCTGGATTTCGGCCCGGAGGAAGTCCATTTCCACCGTCTGTGAAAGCTTTTCGGGAGAGGGGTACAGGGTTGCAGACTGTAATAAATCATCTGAATTTCCTTCCAGTTGCTTGGCCATCCGGACCTGCCAGCGATCGATCATCAGCCAGTAGTTATGCTCCAACGCCAACTGGGGAAGTGGGAGATCAGTCCTCAGCAAATAATGGCTTTTTAGCAGCACCCACCGATTTTTCACAGATAATGCATGACCCTCAAGAAAGCACTTTCAATTTTGACCTCATGAATGTCGACAATGACTTTGCGATGGAACCATTGAACGAGTCCCGCAGAAGTCCTGTGTTCGGACTCCAACCCCCAAACCAAACCGCACTTGCGGTTATTCCCGACCGAAATAGGCCAGCAACTCCAAACCAAGACCCCTTTTTTGATTTCATGGTAAATCCCGGCACGGCTAACTATCATCTCATTGATGGCCTCATTCGTGATTGCAACCGCACTCCGACTAGAACGATCAACCCTCAAGTTCTAAGGTTCTCTCCAGCTGCCCACGAGTTAGCTGACATTGGTCTAGATGACGGAACATCCCCTGCAAGCGGAGACGAAGCAGTCGAAGTAAAATATCAGTTTCTAGATTTTCAGCCAACCTCTTGCCCACAGCTGCTAGATAACGACCCGTCCGATGCAGAGGCGTTGATTCGCCAAAATGAACCTGTCTTTCGGCCACACGAAGTGAGAATCCATAATCTCTGGTCTTCACGTCCTTCATCGAGGGCTGTAGATACTGGCAATATGATTACACCAGCCTATCGTGACCATATACTGAGGTTGATGAATCCCCGCGCACAGGCTATCGATGATACAGTAAGTCCCCCTAGGGGCCGAGGGGGCCAAATAGTGAGTTCCACAGCACGAGCGATTGAGAGGCCGCCTTCCCCAGGACCTTTCAGTCTCCTCTTCGGTGGTGGTGGCTCGAATCCATCGCCAGACCATCCAACATACGCAACGCGAGGACGATCCCCGTTAGCGTTCATTCCTCAACATCGAATATGGCAAGAAGGTGCACTGGCACCGATTGCCAAAGTTTGCTCTACGCCCGGATGCGGAACATATACTCACGGAATATGCGAGTGTACTTCACATCACCCACAAAGTCGGTGCTTTGTATGTTCAAGATGCGACTGGGAGAGCAGGACCCATGTATGGAGCTTTTTGACCGAGGAAAGAGTGGATTTGCCGTCCGTCGCCGCGAAACTCAAAGTTTTCGCGTGTAAATGGTGCACGGTAAAGCTCTTGAAGAATGGTTCGCAGCACTTAACTGGAACGGGCGCGAACGTATATGATAACTTGATGAGGGAAGGTGCATGTACGGTATACGATGCTAGGGTTATAACAACTAACTTGTATCCTGGAGAAACCCAAGTCATTCGCGGAGGCCTGTTTCCTGTCCAAAATATTTCTGGCTGTGCATGTGCAGCCAAACTCCTGGATAGACGACTGTGTCGAGCGCATCGTACAGAAGCATATTGCCAACTCGTAGAGAGGGCCACTGCGCTTAATATCTACAGAGTCGCTGAACTTGGACCCGTAAAAGTTTGTTTCTTTTGTGCAAATCAGCCACCTCTTCCACTCGACGATCCGACTCCTGAAGCAGGCCGAGTCTGGGGGTGCTTATGTTGCAGTGGGATTGTCATAGGGCCCACGCCAAGCGAGATTAACAACGGAGGAGGCTATTATGCCCCTTACCCTGATACTCTTCCAGGCCAAAGCTTAGCAATCATATTAACAGATGAAGAGAAAGCCCGGATACACGCTGCAAACAATGCTGGTGACGGCAGTTCTACAGCTCCGGCAGATCCAATAGCCCTAATGGGCCCGAGTGGTAATTCTGGAGGATCAGTCGATCGGACGCCCAACAACGGTCAAGAGAGCGGCCGGGCGGCACGCGCTAGGCGACGGTCGGCCCTTAGAGGAGACTAATAGGTAAGTGCTCCAAACCATTGATAGTTAGTCTGTAACATAATATTGTGAATAATTTTCTTATATCTTTAACATTGTAAAAACAAAACTATACTCTAAATCAGCTTCACTTAGCTCCTTCGTTTTCAATTCTGGCCCTTTACACTAACCCAGTCCGTGTCAGCGATGTCTCTCTTCTGATTAGACGGGGCATTAATCATCCATCGTACTCTCAATCCTGTCGGCACCGGTGAAAATCTGGTCTGGTCCGGCGTCATGTATACTCTCAGTCCTGTCCATTCTTCGCCGCCACCTTCAACTGCCTTTCTTCCAACTTGTCCTCTCCACTCCTTGAACTCTAGACTTTTGCTTTCACCCCTCGGCCCAGGGGCTCTTCTCAAACCCGGCAAAGCAACAATCACCTTGAAAGCTGCTGCAAGCGCAACGCGTGTAACGCCATCGCCTAGGCACTTGTGTGGTCCAGCTCCCCAGGGCAAGTATGACGAAAGTGGTCGGTCGAGCGATAATGCCTCTGGGTCTGGAAATGCCAATGGGTCGTGAGAGGCTGTGACTAGATCAACGATAGCACGTTGTGTTGGCATTACCGTATAGCTGCGTAACGAAGATGCACGATTGGGGTTGGGGATGGGTGAAGGTCCGGTGGGATCTGCCGGATTAGGAAGACATGGCACGTCATCTCTTATGTTTTGTGCAGGACGCATGTTAGGAACCTGGCGAGCTAATACGACTGTGCCCCGAAGTCTGATGCCTTCGAGCATGCTGAGCCATTGTTAGCTTGATTGCTATCATTACAAATGCACATGAGGACTCACTAGTGCAGGAGCTTATCATCTGCTTCGGCTGTATTTTCGTGAGCTAGGCGGTACAGCTCCGGTAAATGTTTATTTCCCGCGCCAAGGAAATAATCCAAGCATTGTGACAGAATACCCGACATGATTGTCGTGCCAGCAGCTGAGATGGGCATAACAGTTCCGGCAATGCACTCTTCAATGCTCTTGCCTTTTTCCATCATGCGTGAGAGAAGTTGGCGCCCATAATCTGGTAAACTTGGCCAGTTCACATCATCGCCCTCGTTCCGTTCGGGGCTTTTGGGATGGGATCTGCCAAATCCAAGCCGGGTAGCCATGCCCGTGAGCCACCCAGCGCGGTAATCGGTCTCAGCTTCGAGCCGGACAAGCTTTTCCAAGCCCAATGCAAGTTCCTTGGCCAAAGTCCGCAGTTTGAAAGAATTGGCTGGGTCGCTATCGAAGAACACAGTGGTGAACATGGCTGTGAGTAGTCCATAAAGCTCTTGTTCGGTGTAAATACCATGGGGTGATGTCTCTACCGTCTTGATAGGAAGCGCGAAGAACTCAGCTACGAAACGTGTGTTCACTGGAACAATGACGTCGCGAACGATGTCGACCTCAAAAACATTTGGGTTGGATTCGATGGGCGTAAAAGGCAATCGCTGCCGAGACTTCATCAAAAGATTGCGGGTAGTATGCGTGAAGAAATATTTTATCTCGTTCTCCCATTCTTTAGGTTGATACAAGCACTTGCTAACATGTTCACGATTATGTTGATTGGCGAAACCGTCTCCCGAAAGACAAAAGTCCTTCGCAAAAGTTTTTTGCGGAGGGCTGACGAGATAGGAAATAGCCTCGCCCCAAGGTACATAGAAGTCCGTATTGTTGTTCAACACGTGCATAACGGCCTTGTGTGATTTGATGATCACCGGATCCGGCTTCCTTTCTGGTCGTGCCCAGGAGTATGCATGGACAGTACCAAGATTTTTATGAATCCCCATGTTCTCCGCTGGAGACACAAAAGGAAAGTGGGCATATATGCTGTTGTATACGAAATGGTTGGGGAAAGCTCTGAAGATGAGTTTATGCATAACGTGGCCTTGGTTGACGCTGAGATCGAAGTTTGACTCGTTATAGCCCCAGTTTGTTAGGTTCCTGGGCGTATAATCGATAGTATAAAACCGATCGCCTCTAACCAGTGCTACAGCATCTGATAGGATTGCCTGAGAAGTTGTGTAGCCAATACATAATCCGGAACCAGACATTGGCGGTTTAGGCTTTTCCACCACAATACCTGGGTATAACTCAACTGAATCTGGCGTATCATAGAGTGCCATCAAGCGCTCGGCGATCTCTGGATCTGGGTTGATATCCTCAAATGTTTCATGTTTCTTGAGGCCGAAATGTTGCCGGAACTCATTGAGAGTAGCGACATGCCAATTTCTTGACTGTGTGATGCCCAGCAACTCGACAATTCTCATGACACTTGGTACCTGGCTAGCACCAAAAGCACCCGCGACATCCTCGACAGACGAGGCAAGAATATCCACAAGATCATCGTCTGAGTACGTCCCGTCGGTATCTCTCTTGAGTTCAGCGAAGGGTCTTTCCTCTGGGCGGTCCGGTATCCCCTTCTCAAATCGGGTGAGAGCGGTAAGCATTTCTGAAATTGTTGCCTTTGCGGGATCGACTCCTTCCAGTATCCCACGTAGTAGATTGGTTGTCCATTTCTCATCGCGTTGCGATATAGCGCTGTGCCATCTATAGATAAGGTTGAACTCTACTGAAACGTGGTTTCCTGTCGCTACGGATGCAGGGTTGCTATTTGTTGCGCTCCTGTTCTCCTGTGTTCTAGGGTCCAAGTCCCAAGTGGAGCCCGAGCGGTTCAGGTTCAAGATTGTTCTCACGTAGTCTTTCAGAATTATGTTAACATAAAGACCACAAGTGATTAGGCGTCCGGTCTGGAAGAGATCGTTATCGTATTCTTTCCAAGCTCTGTCGTCGTGAGCTGACGCCGGTTTCTTGAAACGGCAATTTTCATTGATGCTGTTACATGTCAAATTGCGTCAGTACTATCTCATGATGATGCATCATATACGCTTACTGTGCAAGTTGTGTCACAACGTAATTGTGAAATCGATTGAACATAATCAGGAACGCGCCCACGCCGGGTGGGTTGCCGAGCACACGCTTGGATGCAAAACAGTCTGACTTCAAAAATCCATTCTTCAAAGTTCTCATAGCCATTTGCTCTTCTTTGTTACTACCGTACAATGGAGACAAGTCAAGATAAGACGATGCCATATTCTTGTTTTGATCTTTTGCGTCCTGTTGAAAATACTGAAATTAGCATATGAAACCCGATTCCCAATCTCGAAACGTACGGTCTGGAAGCAGTCGTGCGTGATAATGGTGGCAAGATAGAAAAACATGCTAGAAATCTTGTTTGGGTGTTCGCGAAAGTGAGTTCCGTCGCCACGAGACATGATACTATCGAATATTATTCCTGGCTCGGGCAGGTCAGGGTTCTGAAACACGCTCGTAGAGACAGTGCGGGCACAAGGTGTTCCCGAAGCACCTAGTAGAGGATCACGCGAATTGTTATAGGAACCATCTGCCTCTCTATATTTCAGGTCTTTGTCTAACGTCCGAGGTGGTGGATGCTCCAGCGAGTCCCAGAGTGTGTTGACAAACCCATTAGTAAGCTGTTTCCCGACATGAGAGTGAGGAGGTAGTTTAGCTAAAAGAGTGATCAGGCGCTCAAGGAACAAGCTGTTGTCGTCTTCCTCGCCTGTCGCGGCAATTTTGACAAGATCACCAAGTGTTTTCACGTCTTCATGCCCGAGCTCAAGGAGATCTTGGAGTAGACCTGTATCTTTGGTGGTGTCATCGTTTCCGGGAGTGACGGAATACTTAGGAATTGGCGATAGAGCTCTAAGAATGACTTGAATCGTTTGAGCAAATGCTGATTGGAAAGATGCCATAGTTTCGATCACAGATTTTACACTTAAGTATTATCGAAAAGGAAACGTGGTATGGCTCCAGCAAACAGCCGAGTCGAGCTTATATACCCGAATTTGGTGATCTTGCCACCATGAGCCTCCAGAGGCGTTCAAAAATGATTAATCCTATAATCGCTACACACTGCTGCGATTTACATCCAGCTCCAAGCTCCTATCATTGCATCCCGTGGCAAATAATACAGTCAGCGCTAAGAATGCTTGACGAGAGTACAAGGGATGCCACAATTTGAAAATATCTACAAAGTATTGAGATACCCATATCTGCCTATATTTGAATACGTTCAACAAAGTACGCTGTACAGAAGTAGTGACAATATAAGCACCAGGTGCCCGGAGCCGAGACCATGCCAAGCTCAAATCTAAGGGACCGGCCTTCGGGCCCGAATAGCCACCAACTAATACGCCATCGCACTTGAAGCAACTCATAGGCCATGGCTGGATGTAATTTTACCCAAAAAAAGAATAGCGTTCATCCGTGTGAGACTGAACGTTTGGAGAAGGGAATTTTTCTGCGGTCATTAGTCCGACGCTTTGCCTTGCGCCCCATTCGGCGAACAGTGACTCAGGGCGGCCTATGGTTCTTCCCCCGAGCCCCCAGCAGCCAGTCACACAACATGATCGCCAAGCTCTCCAACATCAAGAACCCGACTTTGCAATTCGGTACTTTTGAGAGTCGTTACACCGAAGACGGTTTCCTGCACAGCGAGCAAACCAGCCTCGTACAAGGCGATCATTGGCACTGACTCCGGTATGGGTGTCATTATCGCAATTCACGTCATTGAACCAGAGCATCCTCACGGCTTCGCTGGTTTGACAAGTGTATTTCCTCATAGAAAAAGTCACCTGCTTTGATCTGGAGGACAGCAAAACAACATGCGCAGCCATGCTAAGATAGATTATATTGAAAACCTGAGGGGCCGAATCCAGTTTGTGTTTTGCTGGGTCAGAGCTCAGCTAGATACCATCGAAGATAGTAACAGAGTCGCCTCGTGAAAATCATCGTTTGCGAATGCGAAGTCCAGTTGAGCGCAGTATTGACAACTTTGTTCGTCAGGCGTCTTGACAGCACCTAGCGATGGCTTATGCTGGTGGCACAGAAACTGAGCAGTGCATTTCTGAGGTAAATTCGCTCAGTTTGACCATCGGGGAGGATTTCGCTGTTCTTGAAGGTAATTTTCTTTCCGGGTTTGCAGAACGAATGGTGCCATGAGGCCGAGTTCGTTGTGTCCACCAAGTGCAGCCCTCTTCCTTGTCCTCCGTGTCTCTGATTAACCCGAAAACTTCAAAAGCTTAGCCCTCGGACACCTGAATCTCTCGTCTTGATTTAGCTCCTGTACGAGCAACGTGAAAACGAGCGTTTCTGCGAACGTGATCGATTCTTCCAATTCTTCGATCTTCCGAGTTAGACAAATCGCCATTCTCGGAGGGTGGGCAAAAGCGACGTGGCGTGATTCATTTTTGTCTCTCTCGGAACTCTGATGGAATTATCTAGGTCTTCTATCTCTACCTCATGCCTCATATCGAATGGCATATATGCCTACTAGGTGTTGCCGCAGGAACGAGTGTACCGCCATTGCTGACAACGCTTTTACCGCTTATTCTGTGACTTCAATAGCTCTCAAGAGATCCGACTTGTTCTGATTTCTCGAGAATCGGGGCACTGAGAAGGAAGTCAAGACTATCCTTCCTTTACGTCAGATCTGGATCGTCATCAGATGGATGTGGCATCTACCACTTGCTGTTGTTATTATTGTTATTTATTGTCGGTGTCGTTGTTTTGTCCGGATGGCTTCATCGAGAAGCGAACATTCCCAGTCTGCTAATATCTTTCATAGCAAGCTCGCACAAATTATCCACACTAACCTGCACGCTAAGGGGATCGTCAAATCGTGTTTGATCGTAGTACAGCCCTAGTACGTAGTAAAAGTGGTTGGTCAAACTCCGAAGCCATATAGGGAATATCTGATTCTAGACGAAAGGGTGTAAACAGTGATAGACACGTTATTAAAGATGATGAAGAATAGGAGTCCTTTGATATGGAGACTGATGTGACGGTGAGAAACAGAGCTAACTTCTGTTGCACTGAAAGCTACCTAACCCAGGTTAGTGTGGTTGCCACAGGTGAACACCTGTGGCATCCAATAAAAAGACAGTCGTTCTCTGAAGCATGTCTATCGGACACCCATAGGCAATCCTAGGATGTTATCAGTCTTCGTAACAGATGTTAGATTGTTCAACAGGCAGCTCGCTTGGCGATGTTGTCGGTGTTGGCTATACTAGAAAGACAGTTTGAGATTTGCTGGGATTACATAGTAAGGGACGAATATTTGGAGAAAAGAAGAAGGAAAAAAGGTGTAGAATTTAAATCATAATGCAGTTGCCACTGGCAGTCTAAGCGTCTACTTCAAAGATGCTCTGCATGTGATTAGTCGTGGCGTGAGACGAAGAGTACAGCAAGCGTCCGCCATGACAGCTCATCAGACTGCAAGAGCGCCCTGTTCAAAATCCACTACTGTTGTGATCTTACTTGGTGATGCGTAAAGACACAGCCTCCGTGCATGGGCACTTATGAATGTCAATCTCGCGCATGTGAGGCGGAGGTGTGCGCAGATGTGTGAAGGCAAATACGCCAGTCTCCAATCTAGGGAGAACTCAAGAGTCTACGATATCGTGCACCTCTTTGGTATAAGAATGCGGTATTGGTCTGACAAGACAGATAAAATAGCCAATTCGTACAACGCCGAGAAATCAGCCAAAACTTTTGATTGTGTTTCTTTAGTTACCAGTTATCCTTAAACCAACGCGCTGATCGCACCATGTGCGGAGTCAACGAACTGTGTGTTTGTTGGCTACAAAGGAATTCGTAAGTGTATCAACGTTAGTATTGATAAGTGACGATTTTCTTATACTACAAGGTTTACTAGACTGGTAAAATTTGCTGGTAAGCATGCGAAGAGGACGAAAACTTGTGGACGTTGGTCTCAATGTGTCCAGTATTAAGAACTTCTCAAAACCTACAACTCAACAACTATGTATCATTGAGACGTCGTGATATCTGAAAGACACAGAATATGCCAAAGCGAGGTGACCATTGAACTGGCTGAGCTCTGCGCCAGATTGGGCGGAAAGTTTCGGCTAGTCATCTTACTTAGACTGATGACGGTGCTAGTTGAAGCAGTAATGAAGATATTACTGTACTATGTAGTTATCACTAGTTAGATCAATGCCAAGGAGTGAAACTTGGGGTTGATGGTGATGAAAAAAGGCGTAGATTAGAGTTTGCTTATTCAGAGCGTAGGTTAGAGTTTGCTTATTCAGGGCGTAGGTTGTGCTATTCTATAGTTAGTAGCTTAACCCACTGCATATTATTCTATTGTCGGGGTGCATAACAGCGATTACTGTATATGAGAGGCTCTCTCAGTATCATCGTCATAATTCGATAATCATTTTTAGTTGAAGTTTTACACCGATTCAAATCGTCGAAATTTTAGCTTGCTTGAAACTTTATATATGGATTTCATTACTACATAATATAAGCGTTAGCAAAGCTTCGAGGGATAGTAGTGAGATATTGAGGGAAAGCTGACAGCAGGATGGAACAAAAACATGTGAAATTACTGGTCAAAATCGGCACATATATTTGAAGAAGTCGTCCTGCATTTCTTCAAGCAAGTCCTTGAATCTTCTGCCAACATTAATAAGAAAGACTGTCTAAGCAAACCCACAAGACAACTCTTCATTTCTCAATCAATCAGCCAAAACCCCAAGAAATATAGACAGAAAGCATCCAAAATGCGCTGCTTCACTTTTGTCTCAACACTAGGCCTCGTTTTCGCTGCCACCGACGCAGATAACAAGGTTTATCGCCGCCAGATCTCCGGGGTCGAGTTGCTCACGCTTAACGGCATCCCCGGACTCGGGACGTTCACAGGCGTTGGCATTCCGGGTGAATGCCAAAATCTCCCGAGAAACATCAACACCTTCACCACGGCCGAAGCGACGCCCGGCTTTGTATGCCACGTTTACACGGGCGGGGACTGTACTGGTTCTTTTATAACCGTCCCCGGCCCATCTCTTCTATCCCTAGAAACGCCTACTTGGCAAAGCTGGGTGTGCAATTGCGCTGCTTGTAGCGATTGAAGGAAATATGACTACGGTGTCATTTTGGAGTAGGCGTTATTACACATACTTGTCACTATAATTAAAACACCCAGTCTTTCATATGATTCATGGAGGGTCTAATTGTTCTCTATAAAGGAAAGCCTATATCTGCTCGACAGACTCCAATCTCTTGGAATGCGTGGTGGTACAAGAATAGTGTACATAGGTTGCGTAGTCACAGTATCTATTTATTCGGCTATAAACTTCTCCTGTTCCATTTTAACTGACAAGAAATAACACCAAGCATGATATTTTGCTTCTTGCTTTAACCGGCCATATATGAACACATAGGTTTGCGGCTCACTCGATATCCTTTTGCAAACTCTGAGCTCAGAACTATCAATCCATACAATCTAGGATAACCTGTAGTTGACGCAAACTGCTAGCAGCGAGTCTGAGATTGACAGAAACTATGCACCATTAAAACTTCTACAAGAAGCACTCTTCAATCAACCTTCTGCAACGAAAAAGAATTCTCTGGGAGAATTTCTATCAACGACCAATTCCAGCCCCGAGTCACCCACTGATATTCAGCGAAGCCACGGGTCAGAGCTATCTTTTCATAGAAATATTTCTGATCCAACGTCTAGCGACATTGGCTGTAATCTTCAACACGACCCGAAATCTCTGAGAGCGATATTGTTAGAGCTTATCCGTTATCGGACTACTATTAGGCATATAAGGGCTACAATATTTTATATGTAATAGAGATTCGGGCTCAGCGCGTCAATGCTAGCACCCTAGCACTCCCTTTCAACACTATCCTCCGACATATATGCTGCTACTACTCCAGAGTTGTGTCGAGTTGACTGCTCCGGTGCTTCCCACATCCAATGATTAACAGCTTTCCCAAGGGAAGACATCCGATGAATCGGAGCTGAGTTTTCGGCCAGACTTTTCCGCCGATGAGATTCGTACTATCATACAAAAACTTAAGGATTCACCAAACGCCAGTCCATTTGGCTCACTAGAGAAAACCACACAAAACTCCTCGAGCCTGGTGATATCCAGACTCTAATGCCTCTTAACAAGACGAGGCCCTTTTCTTGGGGCAAAAATAACCCATACACAATATTTGCTAGGAGAAAGGGCGATTCGACAGAGTTGCCCATGTAAAAAGTAGACTGACGCACGGCGATCCAAGTGCAGAAGCGAAATTCAAGAAAATAACATCTCAAAGGTACCTGTCGAAAATTATTGATGTATATTTGCATGAAAACAGGTGAAACAGGGTCATTTCCTATATTCATCGCCAGTGGTACAAAGTCAATCTTTGAAATACATGTTTAAACAAACAAACATGCCAAAAGGTTGACAAAGGGGCTTTACACGCCGCAATATAATAATCAACAACTTGATACAAATGTAACACAAAATCCGGGTCCGTGATTTAAAGTGCTGTAGAGCAGAATCTATATCTAAGTCTTATATGAAATCAAAAAGCCTTGCTGTCTATTGTGAATATTTCTAAGCTAATTTGATGACATCAAGCTTGTATGCCAACCTTCAGACTTGGATCAGGGACATATCTGAAGACAAAACAAGCGTGAAGGTGATACGTGATATTCGGACCCACAAACGCGGAAAATGGAGACAGATAAGTAGGGATTATTGTGTAGCTGTCTAATTTGTACGGATAATGGAATAAGACTCCTCTAATAACCCATTGAGGCAACGCATGTTTGAGCTGGATCGAACGCTTGCAAGGGTTGGGAGCCTATGAATCGCCTATCGCATGACTAATGGGTCTCAAAAACATACCATTACATTATATTGTAGCCCTTTCCATGTCAATAATTGCGAGTGAAGAATTACAAGACGCAAAATAACTCACGGGGATCCTGAAAATTCAAAGGCTTGAGGGCATGTAACTTTGCAAAATCATGTTCTCTCAGGAGCCGTGGACCCGTTAGACGATGGCTGAAATTGTGTTATGTTGGTAAAAGTGTCTATTACACGAGAATTCCAGACGGCATTGTTGTCAACGTATAATGTATTGCGGTAGTAGTCGATTCTCGTTGTACTATGAACAATCAGATGCCTTGGCTTTGCTATTGGCAAATTGACTTGTAATAAATATGTTGACCGGAGATCGATGTTATCAACGAAAGATAGATGCCTTCTAAAACCATAGTTTTGGATTAACAGAGTGCGTGTTGAATAACGTTCTACCAGCCGGACGCACGAACCCAAACATCCTGCACAATGTCAGGCTCTAAGATATCGGAGTCCACTACAAAGTAATGACCATACATCGCACCTGTCACGCAGGCATGATTTGGGTATAGTCTCAACGTCTGTCCAACTTCAAGTGGAAGTCTAGGCAACTGAGCTTCCTTTGGCCAATCCGCAAGGTCCCACGAGATCACACAGTGCTCCTGGCTGATTCTTTCCACAATCATCCGCGAATCGCCGTTAGCCTTGTGGCATTTTTGTGACCGGCCGACGACAGCCCATCCCTTATATGAGGCACATGGTTCTCTTCCAAGACCCAAAGTTCCCACAGCCAGAAGTGCTTCAGGCTTTTGTCGTTCCCCGTCATTGTATACACTCACGACCTCAGCGGCGACAGAAAGAGCAACCTCACCATCCACGTGGCCGAGTGAATTAATCGATCTTGTTGAAAATTGCTGCATGTCCATTACGCTGTAAACACCAGCATGCAGCTCGAGTGTAATTTGGCACCCACCGATTTCGAAGTTTGAGATGTCCTCGAGGGCCCTTTCGAGAGTTATCGTCGGTCCTGACATTCCCGCATTGCGTCCTGCAAAATTTTGAATAGCTACAACCTGGGGCGAAGCGCCAACGCTTATCATTATAGAATGGTGCTTAGGAAGGGAGGCTTGGTTGTAATTGAGGGCGTCGAGGCATCCATTGATTTCAGAGCCAAGTGCATCCATTGCCTCCGAGGCCGTAGTCCCGGCATAGCTCAAACTCGAATGTGAATATAGTCCAACAAAATACACATCACCTTCAGACTCTAATCGTGCGATCTCGTCAATCAATCCGCCCTTATTCAACGAGGATGGTGGTAGCCCTGCTCGGTGGTATCCGGTATCGACTTTGAGGAAAACCCCGCTAGGAAAACCGGCCTCCTGGCGAAAGACTAGCAAAGGCTTGAGATGAGACGGATGGTCTATCAGCAACGTAATACTACCCGGTCCCAATCTTCGTGCAAGCTGTGCTACTCGCGAAGTTTGAGATGGTGGGAGTGGCACACTATAGAGAATATTGATGGCCCGGCCGCTCTCCTTCAAGTTGCATAGCGTCGGTAGCAAGTGTTCAATTTCAGCGACCGTCGAAACAGCCAAATGGACATCGTGCATGTCTGATCCGATCTGCAGGAGAGCAAGCTCGGATGTCTATACGTTGAAGTCAACGAACTCAAGCTCCAATGACAGGCAATTAACGGAGCAGGCTTATACGCCCGGCTTTGACGGACCTTGTGGGTTTTGACGTGTGCTCTGAAGTTAACGTTCAGCGCTTGGACGGCTTGCAGCATTGTGGAACAGTGCCGGCGCGCTATTGCGACATCCATAATAGCGGCGGGTTTGGGAAGACTCGAGACATCGCAGCCTTTATATTGCTGTAAAAGATCTTCTTTGGATTGATGCATCTTCTCACCAGTTCATGTCGTATCATCAACCGTTTCCGTAAGTGCATAAAGTATGTGGAAGTTGAATGGATTATCTCAATTTGAGCTTCAAGGTAGCCAGAAGCATAAATCAAATCGAGACTTATCAGATGTGAGCATTGTAACGAATGAGGGCAATTATATACTTTGCGGATTCTAGTACCACACAGCGCCGTGGCAAGCAGAAGGGGGGGAGGGTAAGAGAGAGCAATATGAAACGAGCGTTCCCGCGCACCAATTGCAGCTTGGTAACATTCGGAAATCAGAATTTAGCTTCGGGCGATTATATAATGGATTTTGCAATTGCTTTTTGCTGCCACAAATATTGCCATGCTCCATTGCAGGAAGCATAAGATGGTTACATTGTCGCTCCCACGCACTCTTTCAGGTATAGTGCTATCCACTATAGCTCCGCATTGTATTCCCGGCGTTCCAACCTAAGGTTAGACCAGTAAACACCATAGAGGAAACCTCAGTTTTATCTCCCTGATAGACGACTTTGGCACTTCCAAGACCTGTCATCCTGGATCTTATGATCCCAACATCTGAAGCCAGTATCATCCCGTGTAGCACGACGCATCTCAAAGACAATCTGTTGGATGAGCAGCCCTAGCGGCAACGAGCAGGTGCCGAAATCTACAGTACGCTTAGCTAACATTAGTGAATAGCAGCGTCAAGTTAGTGGTCGCGGCCTAAATTGACCACTATGGATCTCGTGCTATGGGGCAAATTGACTCGCTTCACAAAAGATCTCAATAGTTCCCGCCTTTTCCCTCATCCGACCTCGTACAATATCCAAGAATGTTTGAGTATTTCGCGATTATCAGGTACTATGTATGCTCCCGCTCCACCTCGAAGAAAGAAAACAAACATCACTCGGAGTCGGACAGGCTGCCAGAGCTGTCGGCAGCGACGGAAGAAGGTTTGTAGGGAGTTCTATTCAACAAAATCCGAGTAATCAATGACCGTTTCCATGTTTAGTGTGATGGAGCAAATCCTTGTGGCACATGCCTCCGTCTCGGTAGACTATGCGAACCGGTCGCAATTAAACCACAATTCCGGCTGGTCGAGTTTAAATCGGCTACCGACATTCCTCAGACGAATGTGTTAGGATTCAATGCTGCACCTCCAGTACCTGCAGCACTGGCACTCCCCATACATGACCAATCTGTTCGGCATGCTGAGCGATTTGCTCCTCTCGACTGTGCTGAGGTCTTCTCGGAACCAGCACTTCCCCATGTCGTGAGGAGCTCTGCTGGCGCTTGGAATCTCGAGGTCAACGCTGTTATATATGATCGTCAAGCAGCAAGTGGAATTGGCGTGCCTAATCCACGGACTAAAAGACCACTTTCCCATGTTTGGAGAACTGTCCAGCCGCCCGCTAAGATTGGCGATGCATTGTCGATCTTGCCAGTCACAAACACATTCCTTAGTATACCTATCAGGCTTGATAAGGATCAATTCTATCACAAGATTTGGCAAGATCAATGTGTTCCAGCGTTGCATGTTGCATTCTGCGAGGTTGACATTTTGAGGAGTCCACCTCAAGTAATCACGAATGCAATTTCGGCACTTTCTGCCTGCCACTTGAGTCGAATTCGACCTCAAAGAAAGCATCACAGAACAATGGAAGACCCAGGTCGTATTTTTAGACCAGATGTCGACCACCAAACAATTAGCCGAGAGTTCTACGGATCAGCTATACACAGTGTGGTTCGATGGAGTCGGTCGGACTACCAACAAAATCTTGCTGCTGCATTAGCCGTTCTGATACTCTTCTGTCATCTCGAGTCCATGATGAGTGGCTTCCAGGACTTTGCCATCCACTCTAACGCTGTTGAGCTGCTGCTTGAGCCAAGGCGGAAAGGTATGACGACGTGGAACGAACAAGTGAAAGGGCTTCTCGCTGCGTGGGCTCAGTCAAGATTGCACAACTGGTGGAAAAGAGCTCATTTCACCACATCTAGTTTCTTCACAGCTTCAACATCTCTTATCGTTGAGCCGCTATTGTTGCCGGGTCTGGACCGGAAACCCCGCATCCAGCCAACCATCCTTTCGATAATGTGTGAATCCTATCGCCTCAATTGTGTGGCATTCATCCATCTGTGTGACAGAATCACACATCCACACCCAATGCTTTCCTGTTCTGGAGAAACTAGGTCGATGGACCTGTCACCGTCTGGTACTCAGACATTGCACAGGGTCAGTCCTTTGACATGTTCCAGAACGCTGCTTCGAGGCCTAAAGCAAATGACGACAGAGTGGTATGATGGCCTACAATTGTACAATCTTCCAAATGGGCAAGAATGTCATTGTCCTAGTGACGATGAACATTCATCTCTCGACTTGACAATTAAACCTATGCGCTTTCAATCCCACGTGAGCGCCATGAACTATGCCTACTATGTGGTTGCTCGTATCATGCAGCAGACGGAGTATTTTGAGGCTCTTACACCCTCAGGAGACCGCGCGCTTCACACTGGTGGTACTGAGACTGAAATGTGGATATTAGTGCTTTTGCGGATCGCAGCCGGGATCGATTGGGATGAGTGCAAGCGCCTGAACATCTTCACCGTTGGGATTTCAGGCCTGTTGCTAGCGGCGACTCTGCGTTCGCGCAGCCCAGAAATCGGCCTGTGGATTCAGCGCTGGCTGGAGCGCCGTGCCGAAAACAGTCTAGAAGAGGGCAGCTTCCCCGTGTGGCAGATCATACGCATCTTGCGTGTCATCAACCAGGAACGTAGAGCCGGAAGAGACGTCTTCGCCGTCTTCCAGCCGGTTGACGATGGCGGAGGTGTCGGCAAACACGACTCATATAATAGTCAGACGCTCACTTCCATCCTGATCTATGGGAAAGATCGAAGTAGTGGCACATTATATACTACACACCTCGCCATTTGAAATGGTCTAGCATACGCGGATCAACCCAGAAAAATATTGCTTAATCATGTTTCATGTCAAGTCGCATGGGACTAGTTCCTCGTGGGATAATGATCACATCTAGGAAAGCCTAACCTCGTCACCTTCCATTAATACCAGACAACGCATCATCCACACGGTATATATTTAGGACGATTCAAGGCACGTGTGAGAGTATCAGTTATGTGATCATTGAAATTATTCATTAAATTGTTGTGTATGTACAAAAGATGTTCAGCACAATCTGGGTCTAGATTCTCCCACACATCTCGTTCTCTACCACGGCTGAATAGTGCTGGTAGCCTGAGGCACAGAGCACGTAGCCTTAAGGGCAGCAGTGGCTTCGGTAGTGTTGGAAGGGATGCAGGGGTAGTCATCGCCGAGGCCACCCTTGATACCATCGCAAATAATGACAGCATCACCACAGGGGGAGGTGATGTTAAAATTCTTGAACTTGATGTTTTCGCAGACAGCGTTGGGGTTGGTCGAGCAAGTTAATCTAGCGACGGCCTTGCCGTATTTTCCTGAGGTGTAGCCAGAGAAGTTCTCGAAGAGAATGTTGCTGATGTTCATCTGCGATGGGTAGGCTGCACAGGTAGAGGCGTTAACCTGATAGTGTTAGCCATGGTGATTAATTGCCCTGGAAAATGGGAGTGGGTGGGAACTCACGTTGAAGTAGCACGAGTCGAGGAAAGCAGAGTACTCGTTGGCAGCCTGCCAGAAGTTCCTGAATGTGACGTTATCGACGAAACCGTAGCCAACATCAGCACCGGCCCAGGTCTTGATGCGAGCGCCGTGCTGGCCGTTTAGAAGCCAAACGTTCTCGATAACGACGTCCTGAATGTAGCTGTACTCGCCCTTGTACTGGCCAACGGAGCCCATGGACTGACCGTGAGTACCTGTAATTGTTGAGTAAAAACACTTTCGTTCCCTCAGAGGCGGGTTTGCTTACCGTTACAGTACATAGTGTCGACGTGAATGTTGGTGGCGTTGGACTTTGGCGAGAAGCAGTCGTCGCCAATGTTGACCCAGACTTGCTTGACAGTAAGGTCCACAACGTTCAAAGAATCGAAGAAGTCGGTGTTCTTGGGCAGAGCGGAAGCATTGTTCGACTCGGCAGTCACAATGATGTTTTCGAAAGAGACGCCCTTGGAAGTGACAATGAAGTTGGTCCAGCAAGGCGAGTCTTTCTCATGAATACCTTCCATGGCGAAGTTGGTAGCGTTCTCGGCGTAGAATAGAATTGGACGAAGGTATTCGTTGTCGGGGTCCAGGATCTCGAGTCCGGCGAATTCGTTCCACCATCGCTGTCCGTTGCCATTCAGGATACCATCACCGTAAATTTTGATATCCTTGCCACCCCACTTCCAAAACATGAGCGAGTTCTGGAAGGGGTGGCTGAAGGCATTTGCTTGCCAGTAGGGAGTGTCGTTGGTGAATTTGACCTCACCATCCCAGTGGACCTGTACATCATCGAGGAACGTCAGGTCGAGAGGCTTGCCGATGATGTAGAGTTTGTCTTTCTGGAGGTACAAAGTACCGCCATGGTTGGCCTTTTTAAGTCCGGCGTAGAACTCGTCGGCAACATCATCCGTATCGTTCTTGGAGTTCCGGATGGTGACAATTGGTCGCTTGTCATCGCAACCCTTTGACGGTTTGTAAGGGTGCTTCTCACGGAACTGATCGACGTTCCTGGGAACATTGGCTGGAATCTCGCCGAAGTTGGCAAGAGCACCAGCAACAGCCGAGAGAGCAACAAAGAGGGATGAAGAACGCATGTTAGCCGAGTGACAAGGTTTGCAACAATTGAGATGTCCCGTGAGGTCAGGAACCATCTCGCAAGTCAACGACCGAGACTAGGCATCCTTTTATGCTGCCTCTACAGCGTCGTAATGACAATCTTAAGTCCCTGCATCTTCTCCAAACCCGGCACCACGGACCGCGGGGAATAGATGGTCGATCAATAGCACGGTCATCTACACCCGATATGTGGCTTGGTCCTCGCAATTGGTTTCTATATGCGATAGGAGGTGTTCCACCTATCAAGAAGTCGTAGACTGCTGAGCGGCTCTCTGAAAGGCTGGGCATTTTGGCTGAATTTTTCGTGTTCCTGTCTGCTGCACGTGGAGAGGGCTGATCTCATCGGAAATTGTCCAACTGCATGTTCTTGGCGGTAGCGATGATTGATGGAAAAGAAAGAAAACATGCCCGTTGTAAGATTCCCCACAGCCGTGGCCAGGTCAGCCCAGTTCTTGGCAAGTCCCCCCGCAACTACCCCAACTTCTCCGCATATCCACCTATAACCTCGAGATAACCTTCAGCCCTTGAATTCGGTCTCCATATTTTAAGGGCCAAGGCAGCCAAGTCCAGAAACTCGAACTTCCAATTGGTCTCATGGTTATGAACCATATATTTACTGGAAATTTGAACTTGGCGTAACGTACGTTGCTGCTGCCGACTATCCAGCTCTGCGACCAAGAGCGGAGGTGATTGTCTATCCATATTGCAGGAAACATTCATTTCAAACTGCAAGTAAGTCCGATGAAAAGAAGCTGGACTAGTCGAACAGCATTACGTCGCCTGCTCCAACTGTCAATTGCTGCACTCCGCGGTCGGGAATCTTGACTCGCGAAGGACTTTCATGAGGAATACCATAGCTAGGGGTTATCTCTTATTAAGTTAGCCCCTGCGCAGACAATTGAATCTTCGCACACTCGAGGCCGTCACATAGCCTCTGCTAAACTTCTTGCGCTAATATCATTATCTGCAATAGCTATCTACCAGAGATGCTCAAGGAATGGTATTCAGAGGTATATACCATGAATAGGCAACTTATGATTGAAGACCAAATAAGCTCATGATATTGCCATTTATTTGACCCTCCTGTCGCCTGGGAGGTGCCAAACCTTCTCGCCAACCCGTGTGGTTCGTGCTTGGCAGACGCCGTTGGGGTTGCCACGTCTTACCTTGGCATGGGAGCAAAGGAAACGCGGTATGTGACTTCCTGTTATACACACGATGCTTCGGCAACGAAAAGAGGAGAAAGATCAGTAACATAGGAAGAAGATTCATCGGGGGTTTTCATGGGTTTATTGTGTATCTTATTGAAACGGGTATTGGATTCAACCTTCAGTTTTTTCTACGGTTTCTCACCGCCTATCTCCCGCATTACATTCAAATTCGAAACGGACCCCTCCACGGTACGAGGCACCAATGCCAGCTACTGCGGTACGAGGAATTCACGCGCTATCTGGGAAGCATCATGTTTTGCCAAACAAAACATTGGTAGCGCTTTCACAACGGTGGATTTATAAGAAAGAACTGGTTGACATGTACGTGATGTATACATGGGTAATCTGGGTAGTGGTGTTTTGGGGAGGAATATAACAACAGACTGCCATCTGGGAGGAAGTATGCTGTGCATTAGCTGGGTGTGATGTATTGACCAACGTATGTAGTATACGTGCTCAGCGTACAGCGATGCAGTACAGCAGGCAAAATCAGACACCTGCCTCCGAAGTACGCAGAAGGCAGGTGATATGCGACTGGAAGGAAATAACCTCATCTCGGCACAGTTGTGAAGTCTAACTAGCTTCACCAAGTTTACAAGGAAGTGGTGTGACGCTGTTGTGGTCTATGTTTCTCTTTCTCCCCTTTCTCTTCCGATAATTCTCGGCACGGAACGACTTTCTCGTTGCCACACGCGGCTTCAACCCTTCAGATCAATCAACTACGTGGTAAACATCTCTGTATAGCTCTATCACTCTCAGGAAGCCGACTGCCATGAAATGGGCTTCTACCATATTCAGACAGTGTAGTCGAGTCTCGTATACGGGATAATCTGCGTTTGTGTACGCCTACTACCAGGTGCCACGATTCCCATCGCAGGTTTTCTCAAAGATTAAGTCATTGAATTTTATTGAAACTGGTTGCTGTCTAATTCATTTTACCTATCCATGGTCTAGAATCCTACGATCCCGGAACCACACTACCAGACCACATTTGTGACCCGGTTCGAGAAGGCCAGCCTCGGCACACTTTCCTCAATAGGCTAAATCAGAGCATCACAGTGTATAAATAGCTAATACAGAAGCCCGTGATATTGTTGTTGTGCAAGTTGCGTCGTGATGCGAAGTTATGTCGCTGTAATCTAGCGACACCATTGGTGGCTGCCCTATCGCCCAGTCGCCCCTAGCATCGGGTAATACCAATGCTTCAAAGCTTTATTTGCAATCTCGTTCGCTCAGTCGTCGTCGTCACTTTCGTCGGCGTAAGCAGTTACACGAATGTTGCCACTGTCGTCCGTTGTAACGCGACCGAAGAGGCTGGCGATCGTTTCTATAGGGAGATCTTGCCACTTGCTGGCCTTCATAACTTTCTCAATCTGCTCTGACTTATGTGCCTGCAGCTCTTCGAGTCGCTGGTCGATGGTATCGTTGGCAACTATGCATCTGTAATAGGTCTGCTTGGTCTGGCCGTAACGGTAGACGCGGCCAAACGCCTGCATCTCAACGGAATGGTTCCACCAGAGATCGGACATAATCACGCGGTTGGCACATGTCAAATTGAGAGCCACTCCACCGCTCTTCAAAGACATGATCTACATCATGGTTAGCAGCGGCGGACGATTTACGATGGGAATGAAAATATAGTTGCTTACCATAACCTTGGCGTTTGGATCACTGGAAAACTTGTCTGTTGCATACTTTTTCTGTTTGGCAGATAGACTACCGTCAAAATAAATGAATGGAATCTCTTCGTCTTGCAGCATGCGACCGATAACTCGCATCATCTTTGTGAACAATGAGAAAATGATGATCTTGTCATCGGGGGCATCTGTTAGCCATTCGAGTGCTGTTGCTTTGATAGCGGTCGCCTTTGAACTTGGAGTCATCGGCTTCTCCGGGTAATTCTTATCGCTCTCCGTGAAAAAGCGCGTCTTAAATTTGTGGTGCCTTGGCTGGTATCCAAGAATGTCGTCTCCCAGTTGCCTTCCGTCTTTATGTAGAAGCTTGGAAGACGATGGTGTTTCAGCAGCTTCAAATGCTTCTTGAAGAGTGATGCCTCGGCCTTTGGGGTATTTAGAGGTAGCAGAAGGTGGGGTGGATTTAGTCGGCTCATTATCTTCCATATCACAATTCATTTCTATCCTCTTGAGGCCATTAATGAGCCTGCTGCACTCGGGGCATCTTGGCATACGTTCTGTCTTCTCCCAGACGTCGGCGATGTAAGATTTTATGCACTCCGAGCAGAACACATGCTCGCACTATAGATTATCAGAAATTCAATATTAAGGCCACTAAATGATATGAAATACGCACCTCTGCTTGTTTCGGTTCCATTGGATAATCCAAGCAAATTCTGCAAACATCTTCTCTCTGAGCGGCTCGCGCGAGCTCAAGCTGGCTATCCATGTCGAAATGGTAGCCAAAGTTTCCTTTGCCAAACTTAACACCAGTCCCTGTGTGCTTCGCCAGATTGCCAAGGTGGGACCGGATCTGTTGGTACAGTGGCTGTCGACCGCCAATCTCTTTCAGTTGCTTCTGGATGGATCCAATATTTTCGGGCTGGAAGACCTTCCTGAATAGTCCTTCGAGAAGAAACGGATGGGCTGTGGCCATACGTAGGTAATTAAGAAATTCGAAAGCACATTTCTTGATACTTTGACTCTTAGGACTACTAAGAATATCGTTGAGCTCTGACAGCGCGGAGATCTCGATTTCCCTAAATATTATTAGCTTTGCTCTCGGCTAACAGTGAACCGATCATACCGATATATAACGCGTTCTTCACCACTCAGTTCAATACGCATGACACCGTCATGGGAATCCGGAAGAACAAAATAGGGTTTACCCATGAACTTGTCGCTCGAAGTACTGAATTGTGTTAACATCATGAATTTATAATATGTGAAATGGGAGTGTATACCGGCGGAGCATAATATCTGGCAACACAGTTTCAAAGTTTACCATAACATCGTCCTATGACACATGAGTTTTGAACGCTATGTAATGGGTGATCTACCCACGTTTTGGATGTTTCCGAACTTCATCACGAAATTCTGATAAGTAGAAGCAGCTGGCAATCCGATGAAGTTCAAGTACGGGTAAAATTCTGTTCAGGTATCAGTAGCCAAGCACGTCAGTCAGAATGCTTATCATACCATGTATCGAATTGTGGAGAGGAGTACCACTCATACCCCAACGATGCCGACCTTGAAGTGCCAGACAAGCAAGAGATGCTATAAGATGTTAGCAAATGCCAGATATGATAGCTGACAAACCCACTCCGTGTTTTGCGATTCTTGATGTTGTCGACCTCGTCTAGAATGATTCTCCAGAATGGAACCTTGAACAATGGCCCGGTGGCTTCTTCGATCTGCTTCTCTTGATATTTCTGACTCAATCCTCTTTTGCTGAGCTCCTTGCGAAACTTCTCTGATGGGTATTCCGAAGCGACCTCATTGTAAGTCACCATACTGTCACGATTTTAGTATAATATTTCCTTAGAGCGATGTTTGACTTACACAATATCCATTGCTCTGATACAAACACCTGGCGCATCTTCCCCGTGGGCACTGCTCTTGAATTGCATTACATGTTTCAAGGTATCGCCGGCGTGCTTCTTGATCTCCTGCTTCCATTGAGGTAATGCACTTGACGGTACGACGATAAGTGTCGTCTTACTCCAATCGACGAGATCTTTTGTTTGAGCTTGATTAGACACGATGCATGTGAGTGCTAGTACTGTCTTGCCCATGCCCATTTCATCTGCGACAAGGCCGCCGCGAGGAAGTCCATCAACCCCGAACTCTCGTTGCAACATCCAAGCACCACCCACGACTTGATGATCAAGTAGTGTCGTTTTCATGCCCTTTAGGATCCACTTGTCATTATTTGGCTTGCATTGGCCGTCCCCAAAAGCTTGGGAAGCCAGCTTCAGTCTGCGTTCGTCCGAAGCCGCGTCTGTATAGTCCGATCCAGCACCTTCTCTGAGTTGTTTGAACTTATCCTTTTTGTTACTGGCCTTGACCACAGTCGCAGACACACCACCCCATGCCCTACGGTTTTTTATCGGGTCGTGATTGAGCAATGTTTCGAAAAGTTTCTCTCTGGCCTGTCGCTGAGCAGTCGTTGACTTGGCACGCGTTTTCTTGACTCGGTTTTTGGAAAGTCCATGATCAGGGTTTGAAGATCTTCGTTTCCTGGAGCCTCCCAAGAAATTGGCAATATGACCATACTTCTCAAACCATTCACTTGCATTCTTGGCTCGAGGGCCTTGATGGTTTCTAGTCATGTTTCCTCCTTTGCCATCTTCTTTAGTATCCGACCCGAGCTCACTTCCAGATATGAAAATACTGATCTCCGCGTCATCTGAACTATTCAGTCTTTTTCTCTCGCTCTTAATTTCGTCGTCAAGTTTCTGAAGCCGTAATCGTTGCTGCAATTTGACTTTACTAGATACCGCACTCAACTGGATCTGTTCTCGCGCAGATATTTTCTTTCTGAGTTCGTCCATGTCAATGCCGTACTTCATCTGCTGGATATCAGGAAATTCGCTGTCACCCTCATCAAGGTCGGATCCGCTGGGAAAAGCAGCAAGATTGTGAGAAATGGCCGGCTGTTCTAGTGCCAACAAGTCATCATCGTCACTATCACTGGAAAGTTCAATTGGCTCTTCTTCAGTGCCGGCAACACGTGTCTTGGTTGCTTGATGAATGTTATGTAACTGGAAGGAGAAGCTGGTGGTATAATCCTCTTGCTTAATAGATACTGTTGCGTCACCTGCGTTATCTTGAGACACAAGCAAATCTTTGTAGTCGTCATTGAAATCCTGTGGCTGCTGCCTAATTTTCAGATTTGGGTACCATGCTGATGATTGCTCGCCTGGTTCTGTCTTGATAGGTGGATCAGATGATGGTGGCGAAGCGGGCTGAGAGTCATTGTCCGGGCCGGTCAGATCAATAAAACTGTCCGTGTCGTCGAATGGATCCTGTTCAACGAAATCATCCTCATCTGGATAGATTATGTGCTGATATTCGGGTGAATTGTCTTTGACAATGGCATCCTCACCTACAGGAGTTTTGATATTGGCCATGTTGTCAAGAACTTGGGAATTTTGGTACGAAAGTGGTTGTTCTGCAGGATCGTTAGAAGGTTGTAGATGATCTGTTGACAAAAATCCCTCAATTGCGGCGGTGCCGGAGTAAGGAATGTCTGGCATCTCGACATCTTCGGCACTGTTAGCAGTGCCTCTAGCCTGTGCATCTGCTTCAGACTCCTCGGTGTGAGCTTGCATATCATCAGACGTCTGGACAGTGGCAAGATCTGGAAAAGAGTCACTGAGTAGTCGGGAGATGGGAGGCAAGGGCTCGGCATCCTTGTTAATGTTCGTGATGTTCTCCGCCTCTTGGGTAGGCTTCACATTGGATTCGGCAGCCACGTTCAATCCGGCAGAGTCCATTTCGGCGTCTGTGGCATCCTCGAAGGGATAACCCATAGTTCAGTGCTTTGAATCCAGAAGATGTTTACTGACTGTTGGGATGATGATCTAAAGTGAAGATGCGAGGGTGAGGGAATGTGTAAAATAGGCTCAAGTGTTGAGGGAGGAAACTCTAGTCTTTGGTGGACCACCTAGTGAGATACTAGAGTTCCAATGGTTTTGTAGAAGAGCTTGAAACTTCATGAAAGATCAAGATGTTGCTAATATTGAAAAAAAAGAATTTGAAAAAAAGAAAAGGGGGTTACAGAGTCAGTGGATGGAAGAATGTGAGATTAAATAGTTTCCTCCGGAAGCTGCGAGTGTACAATCGAATGGAAGGACAAACCATTATGAGGCAGGAACGGCTGAAAGGATTGTCTCAAGCTTACAGCTGTAATTGTATTGGGTAATAAGATCTGCTTCTCTCTCAGCCAAGGCATGTAGGCAGTGCTAAAGTGACAAAGATGAGGGCATATCATAAAATGTCATTGTTGCTCGAGAGGTGATCTTGATCTTCAAGATGACTGATGCTGAACCTCCCAATCTCCAAACTCTACCACGCTGGAGTGCTCTTGGCCCAACGAAGTATGATGATGAGATACGATTACAGCCTGCGATCAGTTGAGTCAAGTTGTTTAAACAGCTTGGTTGCCCACATAGCTTGCCCATTAGCAGTTCCCGGATCATCGCGTGACAAACTATCCTCTGGCCGTAAGACATCAGGCGTTCCCATAACTTCCTGCAACGCAACATTGCTCGGCATTATGTATAACTATGCACGTATAACTCATATTAACACATCTTCTTATGGTGTATCCATCGTTGCCTCTGCCAACATGTACTTTGGAAGGTATCGGTGTCGTGAAATCTGCTTCTGTCCTGATTTTGGAATTGGGAACGGGTATGGGTATGAGGCAGTCCTGAATCTGGCTATCAATGCTACAAGCTACACAAAATAACTGGAAGTTGTCAGTCTGATGGTAGGCAGCAGTTTTGACATGATGCTGGGTATACAGCGTCTCACGCTGAGCTGGTGCGAATATGGGTGAATATTATTCCTCCTAACACTCGGGGACCACTTCATTGAAATCACTGGGGACATGAACATCGACCCATCTTACTGTTCATACGTCAATCGCATGGCGGTACCGTTCAATCCTGAAAGAGCTGCAGGGTGGGAATGAATGGCAGGCCATGTGGCAGTCCAGCAGAATCACGGACCGAGCTTGATGCATTTCGGATCCGCGATGCTATGCTGTAGGGAGGAGTGTTTAACCTAAGGCTGAATCTAGGCCATGTCTGTGTTGCTCAACGAGGCAAGATGATGCCGGGCGAACTTTACGAGATGGCGTTGGCGGTGGTGGAGCGAAGGACGAAACATGGTAGTTAAAACCTGTCGAGGGGCCTTCGAACTTGAATGGGACGGGCTGCAGCGCCCTGCATAGTGTGACACCAAGAGCATATTGACATACAAATTGGTTCTGAGCTAAGATATTTTCGATGTACTTTGTATCGAAGCCTCGGTAGCACGCTGCTTGCTTGTGGTTACATCTCTCGATCGAAGCCAAAGAAACGTGTGCTGATGTGATCGGAGTCTCTTGATAGCTGTCGCGTGACGCACGACGGTGCCTCGGGCCAGGACGATGGCTGGATGGCAAGCATCGAACCCTTCAAAGTGGCGGTACCGCTAGCCAGGGCCCACCAATCTGCCACCTCTCCACTAACGTCAACGGCGTCTCTCAACAGCAGCGGAACTTGGCCGCGGCGTCACACCCCCTTGCCCCCCTTTAACTGACCTAATCCTTTTATCAATGACGATTCCGGATCTTTATCAAAACCCGGTTCCTGTCGCTGTCACCGACGCAATCGCGCATCAAAACAATCCCACACGGCCGCCAACCCCGCCGCCCGGCGTACTGGATGGGGGGTTACAGCACGATGTCTGGAGATGCGACCCGGCCGCGCTGAGGGGTTCGCGGGACCCACGATACGGGGCCAATTGGCAAGTTACAAGCAATGTTTCCATGAGTTCGAGGTGATTTCGTCTCTTCTCTCGTATCTACAACACAAGCCTTCAGCGATGCCGGAACACACGACTCGCGCTAGTGTCGTCTGATCTCCCTTCTCCCTCTCCCTCTCCCGGCCCCTGGGCCTCGTGTATCGCCATCCCTCAACTTGCGCCCCTGCGTACCGTGTCCCGTGTTCCGCTGTAGATATACGTACGCAACTCTATTACGAATCTCGCTTTCATTATCTGCTATATATCCCATTGCCTTCCACCCACCATCGTGACATCGCATCCCGTCTCCAGAAACGTGACAGCGCATACCATCTTCCAGAACAAGAAAGAAAACAAGAAAGAAAATGGGCTCCCAACCAACCCCCCCGCCGATCCGCCTCGCCATCCTCGAGTGCGACACGCCCGTGCCCTCGGTGCAGGAGAAATACGACAACGGCGGCTACGGGGCCGTGTTCACAGACCTGTTCCGGCGGGCCACGGCGCCGGAGCCCGTCGAGTCCGTCCTCGAGCTGTCGGCCCACGACGTGGTGAACCAGTACGAGACGGCGTACCCGGACCCGGAGGCGCTCGACGCCGTGCTGATCAGCGGGTCCAAGCACAACAGCTTCGAGAGCGACGAATGGATCCTGCGCCTGGTGCAGTACACGCGGCGGCTGCTCGAGGGCGGGCGCGTGAGGGTCATCGGCGTCTGCTTCGGGCACCAGATCGTGGCCCGGGCCATGGGCGCCGAGGTCGGGCGCAGCGTGAGGGGCTGGGAGATCAGCGTCGTCGAGATGGCCTTGACGGAGCAGGGGAAGAAGATATTCGGGAGGAATACCTTGGTAAGTGGGCTTCCTTCCCCGCTCGCTCGTTCGCGCACCGACGACGAGTATGGCTGACCGTGGCGTTGGACAAATACAGAAGATCCAACAGATGCACCGCGACGCCGTCTTCGCCCACCCCGAGGGCACGATACCGTTGGCGCACACGGACGTGTGCGCCGTGCAGGGCTTCTACATCCCCCAGCGCGTCATCGCGCTGCAGGGCCACCCCGAGTTCACCGAGTTCATCGTCACCGAGCTGCTGCACCTGCGCCACGGGCAGAAGATCTTCTCGGACGAGCTGTACGAGGACGCCATCGGCCGCGTGGGCAACGAACACGATGGCGTGCTCATTGCGCGCGCCTTCCTGAAGTTCTTGCGCGAGTGAGAGAATCCTTTAGAGTATTAGACCGTCCAGCCTTGAAGGAGCCGGAGTGAGCGTTGTTTTGTTTGGGTAAGGTGTTATGCATAGAACGAAAGGGGGTATACCCAGGAGAGGACGAATGGCTCGAGACATCGTAGGAATAGATGGCATGCTGCGGGTTGGGATCAACGGTTGTGCAGCATTGCCAAAATGAAGGAATTGCACTCAAGTGTTGGTGTTTTGTAGCTTTGTAGAGCACAAACTTGTTCGCGCGAAGTCCTCGACATAGTTTGTCCCTTAACAGCAAAACTTGCACGTGGTGCACGACGGCGGGAGTAAAAATTAGACACGAGTCTCCTATCTGGAGACAATATATGTATATATATACATTACATTCAATTCTATGTACTAGCAGGCGCTCAAAGTCCCATGCCCAATATGGTGGTAGATACTAACCACACCCGATGCCCTGAACGCCGCCCGATGCGTATCCCATTGCTCTGGAGCTTCCTAATGCGCCCCAAAAATGTAAATGCAGTGATCAGGTATAGACGCCTGCCATGACCTGTCTTTCTTGGTATCCTTCTAAAGTTCGTACTCGTCATCAATATCCCACCATTGCCTTGGAGCCTTCGTTGTGCTGGTGCTTTGGAGAGCAGCTGCAGCTTGCCGTTCGGCCTGTTCCACATTCCGTCGGTCGATAGCGGCAGTAGCTTCTCGTCGTTCCTCCTCCCTTGATCTACCGCCCACTCCTCTGTGCGGTCGGCGCCTAATCTTGAGCCTCATCGCCAACCCTTGCCAAAAACCGCATTTCGAATGTCGCCACGGCTTCTCCCATGCGCTATAGAAGCAACAATCGACAGCGGCTCCGATACACAAGCTCGCAACACTGACCATGAATAATCCAAACGGCTGCGGTGCGACTGAATTCCATGGGACCGCCTCATATCTGTATATTTGTGAGATGAATGGGGCGATCCACGCAAGTATGTAAATGGCCGGATATACAAACAGTAACCTCAGTTGTCGGTTCATTTTCTGGCGGGATTTGCGAAGCGTATCTTCGGTAATAGACATTGGCAGATAGAGTGAAGGAGATGAGCTGCTCGGTGCGTCGTCCGTAGGCTCTGTAGGCCTTTTATATAGCTTATCGAAAATTGCTGGCTCTGAATGTTCCACCGTTATGCGGCCAGATGATAAAGGCCTCTGCCAAGAGTGCCTCGACGTCGACTGCCTTGAAGATAAGCCATTTGAATGCGGCATATTCACTGGAGCAACGTCCGATTGAGATGGATGTTGTAGGACCGGAGCCGGAGTATTGATTCGGGGCAATCCGGCCGAGACGTCTTCGATTGTTGGCGAGAGCATAGTTGAGCCCGTTTCGTATTGAAGCTCGGGCGATCCCGAACTGCTTTCATATTCTGCGTCCTCCCAATTCCAAGCGAATGCCCTATCACTGCGAGGCTTCACCTGCTGGGGAGCGACGGGCGTGGGCATGTAGTCGGGCAACTTGAGAGTGCTGACCTCAGAAGTGACGGAATGCTGTCTGCTCCGCTGTTCTACCTCTGGAGTTTGAAACGAGGACGTATCCAATAATCCGTGGTAAGCAAGTGGTGGTATGGGAGGCGTAGCACGACTCGGTACCGGGCGCTTCCGCCAACTAAGTTTCGGTGCTGTACTGCTCTCAAAGCTGGCGCGCCTCTGATCCCGTCGCAATCTTCGGAACCTCCATGCGATATATATGTAAAGAAATGTGTAGACTAAAAAGATGACCCCGAAGATGATATAACGAGGGACCCAGCTCAGGTAGACACGGTACCAGTTGTTCTGTTGTGGCAAATAACAGAAGGGGCCGTTGTCCTCAAAACGAGCGCCCGTGATCGGCACAATTGCCGCGAGGATGAGAGGAACCACAAGCCAAAGGGCGTAGGCATACCATCGATAGGGTTGTAGGCCAGTTTCTCCTCCTGCTCGTTGGCTCCTGAGAATGTAAAGTGCAGAATGCACGGCGATCATGAGAACTGCAAAATCCGACGCCTCAACGGCAGTGGTAAGAAAAAAGCCTTGAATCTGGCAATACACATTGTCGGTGCTGATGGGCCCATCCGGACCAGAAATGAAGTAGATAATCGGACTCAGCATTAGCCAGAATGCTTTCATCATGTCGCTCTGTATCAAGAGCATGATCAAGTCCTGTCGAAAACTCCTTCTCATCCGAACGAACCAGTAGAAGGCGATGAAAGCGGCAAAGACGCTGATGGTCGCAAACGACAACGAGACTGCCTCGAGACCCAGCACTTGGTTGTCGGTGAGGTTGGTAGCATTTTTCCTTTCTGCGGCATCATTTTGCCGGATTTCCAAGAGGAGGACGGCCAATTCCTCCGTTGGGGCCATCCTCTTCCTGGGTTCCCAGTGTGATTTGTTGTCGAGGAAAGGTAATAATGCCGCATTCTAAATGCAAGGGCGTGTGACGTAATGGTTGTGGTTGAAATCTTCTTCAAGACCAGAACCTTGGAACTTGGTGTGCAAAGAACAAACTTGCTAATTCACGAGCAGGAATAAAATCAAATCGGTCATGACACTCGGATTAGACTTTGAAGCTCCTGCTGGGGTGAGAATGTGTTGCTCAAGTCGATGACGAGTAAATTATGAGTTGCCAACCAACAGAAATTTGGGCACGAGTAGCGGCTGAATGACCTTGCGCAGGTGTGACGGTTCGGTGGGCTCCCAACTAGCGAAATGCGATCGATTGTATACAACAAAATGAGTTGTATTCCCAGGCGAAGGGGAAAACCAAGGGGACAACGGATGATGCCTTCCGAGTTACACTGCTTTCAACCCCAGACCATTTGTAAGTTCCACAGTGACGGTCCTTTCGTACGACAAAAGGGTAGGCTGAACGGGCCGCGCGCCCCTGTCGACGACTTGGACTTCGGAAGGAAAACCTCAAAGTTTAGCGGTTGGCTTTCTAAGTCCGAACTATAAGCTTGACGTTCAGAAACACCAATGTGCTGGGATAATACCCAAATGTCATTGGTTTAGTATGAAGATAAACATGAAGAATGGAAAGAGGGTCATGGAGAATTTTTGCCCCGTGGGCGAACAAGTAAAATAATAGGTAAGCATTTCTCATCACCGATCTTCATTTGGATTCGGAGGGCACAACCGAAATACCTCTCCGTGGAGACGGCATTCGGAAAGCCCATAATACATGGATCGTCAGCATGGCGTGGACAAACAGTTGGACCCCCATAACCTGACTGGGCGGTGGAGAGTGGACAATCTGCTAAGGGAGGGTAACGTTTAAATGATGAGCTTAATGAGCAGTCACTCGATGATTCGACAGATTGCTGTCCCACCGCTACTTTTGTCTTTTGTTGTTTGAAATAATACGTGGTGGGCAGTGGGCAGTGGGCACAGCGCTACGCGAAACCCAACCCGCCTGAACGTGATGCTGGACCCTGTTTGGTGCGCTAACACGAGCCATCCCCCGGTTTATCTGGAGGAAACGTTTGTTTCGTCCGAGAGCAGTTCCCGTTTGGCCAATATCAGAGTTTCCGGTGATACATCATGTGCTGTGGCCTCGGGATACAATTGACTTCATGTGCTCTGATTTGTTCCACTCGGTAACACATGATCTCAACCAACACCGTAAGACCTCCTTTCATGCCACTGGGGAATGCGGAACATGCGGATGACAACAGAAAAATGCGCCGTAGAATTGCCGTCAAGTGTAGATCCCTGGAAAATCTGGTTTTCAGCGCTAAAAATCAACCCACATGCTCGCTATTTTGGAATATCCACTGACGAGGCGAGCGTCTTTCATTAATGGACTCGTGAAAATGCAACTAACAAACAGGTCTGCAGGCCGTATGGCAAGGTCACACGCTTGACACGATGTGGCTTCACGTGAGTCAAGAGGCTTTCATGGCCAGGCCCTCTCGGGCTCCGATCAACATAGAGACACGAATAGCCAGTTGGTCAGCACTCTGGCGCTCAGAGCGTCAACCAAATAAATTTAACGCGACGGTGAGAGGGCTTGTCCAACTGAGGACAACAGACAACGCTGGTCAGAAATGGCGCTCGGGATTTGATGCCCCCAGGTTTGCCGGCTATTCGCTTTGATGCTAAGAATACCGCTTATTACGGATCCGTACATACAGAGGGAAGCCTTCGTATCTTCCAGGGGGTGCTCATGTTCCTTGTGGGTCCTCACTTTGTACCCGTGAAATCTCGCTCCGTTGTCAAGACGCATACACGAGTCGCGGTTCACAGCTTGTTGTCACCACATGACAGACTATTCAAATATTGAGAGTGTTGCAAACTAGAGTCATGAACCAGAGACTGTGAAGTATGGAAATGGGAGACAAGCATTGTTTATAGTTTTCATACGAACTTGGGTTGTCAATGCACGGATCATCTACATCTTCCGCCCATGGACTTGGACAGGCGCTGGCCAAGTTGAAATCTGGTTGGTTGCGAATGACTTCGCCGTGAACACGGTCTTTAATTGGTTCCCAGAACTCCCGACCGAACTCAGAAATCAGATATGGCAGCACGCAATTAACACTATAACAATAGGCCGAACCATAAAGGTTGCAATCAGTCAACGATCATTTTCTACAGAGCACTCCTGCGTCATAGCTGGCGGGCAATTCTGTGGTCAGCATGGCATTTGCAGCTACTACAGCATTGGGGAGCCAAGTCGCAGAGGCATGTGTATGTCGGATGGGTATTTCTGGACATCGTCAGAACCAGAGGATAAAACTTTCCGAATCGCTTTCCTGAGCCTGCAGCTCGTTTGCCAAGAGTCACGCGATGCTGTTCTGGTCCGTTACCCCCAGATACTTAAAGTTAAGGGGCTCGCAGGCTTTGAATAGGGTTCCCATCGCTACAGTCGACTCTTGCGATGCAATCCTGCTGCGGACTTGCTTCTTATCAAGGCCGCCTCACTTCGTAGTTCGCTTCACATGCACCCAGAACAGCCCACCACACCGGTTGAGATTCGACAACAGAAGATGCTCGACCAGGGATTTCCGCAAGACGTCAACTTATTCTAGTATTTCCGGGAACTCGTATCATCTTTCCACCATGTAGGAATCCTTTGCGGCTATGAACTTGATAATGACGAGTCCTACGAGGTTACCGATGGTGCTGAATACACAATGCTTCTGGGCTGTTTTGTGTCGCTCAAACGTCTGTATTTATGGGCCAACCCGAAGAATCGATATCATCGCCTCCCCAAAGGTAGGATGAAGGTTGGCAATATCCGAGATCCTAGGCCGGACTATAAGCACTTTGGAGATATTGCAGAAGGTGTTTTATATGAGTACAACAAAGACGCTACGATTCAGAACAATCACTTCGCGGATCATGACGAGCACTGGGTACCACGACCAAAACGACTGGAGACAATTGGATTTTATGCCGAACCCTATTGAATAAAGAATTTGGGTTATTTGTGATCTGGCAGAGTCGACACCGCGCATTTGAAATGGTATCAATATTATATGCAGCAAGTCTTACTGCCTAGTCTGTAGTCTTTGCCTCAACGACCCGAGCTTATCGGAACACCAATGGACTCTGCCAATTATGTACCATATGATTGCATCGACGAGCAACCAGTCTTCATCAAGGAAAGGTCTCGGAGAATCGCCCAAATCTCGCTTAGTTTCGCGACTGAGGATGTACAAAGAGACGGGTACCAGGAGGATGAAAATATGAGCCACATGGATATTTGTGTAACCCCTTGAAAGGTGGAACTTATATTTTCCACACATGCGACCTCGTGCCCAGCTTGGCGTCGTATCCTCATAGGCGTCCGCGTAGCCTGCTGCCGCATTCCCAACAGGTCGATCACCCATGGCAATGTCCAAAGCATTGAACTGCAGACGAGCAAGTGAGGTATTGAACAACGCTTTACTCTCAATGATCCACTGCTCTTTGTCTAGCTGACGAGATTCAAAGTCACTAATGCTTTCAGTGGCAACAAGCGCACTTCCTAGCCTATATTCGATTGATCGGAATGAAGAAGACCTTCTTAACGCAGTCCTGGTGATCTCGTACTCAACCCCAAACTCGGGATATTCCTCGTCTGGGAAGTGACAATCGCTTTCGCCGTGTGGACAAACCTCCATTTGATCAATTGCAATCAGAACCCGAGCTCGGGGATCTTGATTATAAAATCGATGCGGCGGCCAACCATCTTCTTGCAATTCGTCGGTAGCGAGAAATATGGGGTCTTCGCATCGTCCGCTATAAATAATTCGACAAGGCGATATAAACATCGCCGTCATGTACGTGTGGCTGGGACGTGCAAGGTCCGATGTTGGTTGCCATGCATCATAGTCCCCGCCAGATGGTGTAGACTCATAGGCGCTAATGATAGTTCAGTGACTAACCTGAGGTTTGGGTTGGAAGCGAAGTAATACCTTACAGAATACGCTGGCACATCCCAATTGAAAGGAGTTCCGAACATGGTGAACGTGTGGTTCCTGAATTCTCCTGAAGCATTGACGGGACCAAGGTGATACTCAAACTCGAAATCATATCCGGACCGGTCAACCACAAACCCGTAGTCGATATCCAGTGGCACATAGATCGATGTTCGCTTGATTTGTGGTAATGCTGCTCCATTCAGGCCAAGTAACTTAGCAGAGAATAGTCCGGTTGAGAGTCGAACTGCGCTCCCATATATGCCGTTGGCACATATACAACGGTCTGGATTGGGACAACTGAATGGGCAATCAATTTTCTCCACCTCGTAATCGATTTGCGCGCTCTCGAAGAAGTCACACTGATCCGGGTTGGCAATAGGCTGTTCACCGTAACAACTCCTTCCGTACTGCGCTGACCTCTCCTCTTTCTTGGCTTGGAGGAGATCATCGTTGTCCTTAATCCTTTGATCTGCATTGTTCTTGAGATCCCAAAAGCCACATGGCTGTGTATCAGATAGTGCTGAAGGACTAGCCTGCAACTCGCCGATGGCACCACCGGCGACAGCAAAAGCTACTCCAAGCAAGCCCAAGATTATGTCAGGCCACTCCAGTTGCGGCCACCAAGATATAGCTTTGGGTTCCGAGGCTTCATTCTCCAATGTGCTTATACCATGGTCGTTGTTGTGCTCAGAACTCCTTTCCGAGTGACTTCCCTCATACTCAAAGGTCTCGTTATCTGGATCATATCTAACCAACGCTCGCGGTTCGGATTCATCCGAATCCGCTGGCAGTCCTGCAGGGAGGGGATCAGAAGTGTGAGAGGGAAGTAGTGACTCAGTCTCAGGCCCAGCGCTCTCAAGTTCTCTCATGTGTGCCACCCAATAGTGAACCCAGAGCCAGATGCGTTTTATTATGGCTTTCGCACATGACCAGCTCAATCCGAACACCACCCCCAAGAAGATCTTCCAATTTGTACCCCAGGTATCGGTGGTCGTTATCACATTTGAAAGGTCTTGCGTATATGGTTAGAACGTGTTAAGTCGTTCCGAAGAGCAGACTCACTGTACAGTCGAGGGCTGACCTCATAGTTAGTCCACAAACCGAGCTTTACTGATGGAGTTGAGGTCATCGTGAGCTTCGCTTATTGTGTAAGAACAGCTCAAGACGTCCAGTAGGCCAATTCTTTCCCACTATCTTCAGTTTTGCGTCGTGAAAAGGAAGTGAGGCTGCCTCAAACACGTGTCGCCATAGCTGTGCAGCGGCGATCGATCGACAGCCAATCGAGTGCTGGCACACATAAACCGGGCGAAACATGCCACGCCCCCTTGGGCCTAGGGGTTCTCTGACTCTCGGTCAGCCTCACCATATAATATGCCCGCAACCACCCAAATCAAGCGGGGTACATGTCCTGCGGCATTTGTGTTATCACGGTTGTCGCAAAACGTACTCTAAGACGATTTCACCCGAGTTCAGCGCGCATTGATCTGCGCATGTCAGGTAAATTACTACTTTAGCACATGCGTTGAGAGGCAGCAACATCCTAAATGGTACGATACATTCCCACGGCCTATTCTAATAGCCGTTCAATTAATCGAATGGTTGATATAGGGTTCGTCAGGGCATGACCCGAGCTGGGATGACGATGCTAGGCGCGACAGAGGTGGCCAGGGTAAACACGACAATTATCGTGATCCATCGCATAGCCCTAGCTTCAATGCGCCAAAGACAAAACCATCCATGAAAAGGTATAGATGGGTATGTGTGAGTATGATCACACCCTCAAGATAACCTTCATGACTAAAACAACTAGCCTGACTGCCCTGGCTCTAACAATAGCTGGAAATACGACCCTCGCTGCGTCATTTGCTATCGGGACCGTCCAGCGCAGGTCGAATACTTCATCGCCTAATAAAGCCGGAATATTTTGGATATGGTAGTCGTAGCGACGAAAATATGATGGAATGGACGATGTCACGATCTTAATTGTCACCACTCAAACAAAAATGCACTTACTACGGAACGTCGATGCTTGGTGGTGCTACATCTACATATCATAACTCTTCAGCCGAGTCTGACGTTTGATCAAAGACTTGTGCCATCAATCGGACATCCGCAGCGCTGTTGGTCGGGGGCAGCCATCGACGCTTTTGGAGTATGTCATTGAATTGCCACTATCTATAACGGTAGATGGCCCGAGAACTACTCACTCGCTCGGCATACATGTACGTTGCTAAATATGATAGGAAATAATTACTAGCCCAACAATGGAGATAAGTATGTTTGACTTCATTGTTCTAGCTCTTTTTCTGAGCCCCGTGACTTGATCTAAGGATTAGCACATTTATTTCATTGGTCATTTATGTGAACTGACGTGCTCAGGAACCACTCAACGGTAGCGTTGAGTCCATCATTCAATGTCACTGTAGGTTTCCAACACAAGATATCTCTTGCAAGACTCGTGTCCGGCTTCCTGCGATACGGATCATCCTGCCTAGCCGGAAGACACATGATTGGAGCCTTGTTGGAGTTCCCCATCTTAGCAGACACCAGCTCTGAAATCAGTCCCGCAAGGTCATCAACTGGTGTCTCAAGCTCCGTACCGATGTTGACCGGTCCAGCGTAGTCGCTCTGCATGAGAGCGGTCAAGCCAGTCACACAGTCCGAAACGAACTGGAAGCATCTAGTTGCGCTGCCGTCCCCGTAGATTTGGATAGACCGACCCTGCATTGCAGCCGCAATGAAATTCGGCACGGCTCGTCCGTCATTTATCTGCATGTATGGACCATACGTGTTGAAGATACGCGCGATGCGTATTTCTAGTCCATGGTGGCGCTTGTAACCATAAGCAAGAGCCTCGGCGACCCGCTTACCCTCGTCGTAGCAGGACCGTGGCCCGAAGGAGTTGGTATTTCCCCAGTACTTCTCCGACTGGGGGGTAACCTGAGGATCACCATATATCTCTAACGGTGATGTATTGAATCAGTGAAACTTTCAGGGTCCGCCTGTGACAAGTGGACTAGTTACTACATAGATTTTCCACAATTACTCACCAGATGTACTAGCTATCAGGACACGCGCATGATTTTGCAGGGCCAGCTCCATTACATTCTGTGTTCCCTTGAAGCATGTTTCTAGAATATCGATTGGATTCTGCTCAAATTGGTCCGGGCTGGCGGGACAGGCGAGATGATAAATTTCTGTAGCCCCCTCTATATTTGGCAGAGGCTCTCTTACGTCGTGACTATACCGTGAAGTGTTTCAGTACACGCGCGGAAGGGTAAGATCTACTTACTCATGTTTGCATGATTGATAATTCTCACGTGATGAACCGATAACATTCATTGCCTAGAAACCTATTGGTGTTCTCGATTGACCCAGTCCAGAGCGAGTCGATTGCGACGACCCTTTTGCCTTGTTTCAGGAGGTGTTCAACTACGTGACTACCAATGAAACCAGCACCCTGTATTAAATGAATTAGCCTCAGAACCATTTGATCGCAAGTCAATCCCTGCCGAAACTTACACCAGTGACAACGACGCACATGTTGCTTAGCTTTGGAATAATGGCCTCCCACAATATACGTTTTCAATGGCCTCGAAGAGATTGTATGCAAAGAAGCACTGGGCCTTGGCACATAAAGCGAAAGTTTTCGGGATCCTAATAATGAATTTATGTCTTATTTGTATCAAATAACTACTATATGTAACGTATCGTCGCTGACGTACTGTGTCTTATGTATTTTGAATGAGCTGCATGATGCATATACGAGAATCCTTTCTGTGTCACGTGAAATCATCCACTGAGCGTAAAGATCGATCCGAATAAGCATTAGACCATCTTCCTCATGCAACCGTCCTAACTACCCATGCATCTCGGTCTTTGCACTTGCTCCCTATAGGATCTGTGCTTAATGGTGTAGTGATTATACATTGTTGATTATATCTCATGAAACACATTGCTCTTAATTGTTTAGGTTTTGAGAATAAATCTCGGCTTCTTCATCGCTCCCTTAGCTACCGAGCACTAATCCCAGATTTCTCATTTTTGTGAGCATGTGATGGCTGTTCCTAACTCAACGACTTCTCCTTCCATGCCAGTACCATCCGTCGGACATCACGGCCGCCACGTACTTCCAGTGGGTATACGTTACGGCTTAGCCGATACTCCGATAACTCTTGCGTTTGTGGATATCGTGGTTGTCGGTAGGGAGGACCCAGGAAGGTCGGCTTATGTCTTGTCTTCCCGTTAAGTTGTGCGGTTCTACCCGGTGGCACTTGGCAGTTGAACACAGCGTAATAATATCTTGTAGCTAGTTCTCTAAAGACACGGCCCGGCGTGTGAGTAGTCGACCATTGGTTCGCATCGCCGTTACCAATTAACAGAAACACGCAAACTTTCGTTTTCTTTTCAAGGTAAATCAATGTATTGAGAAAGTTTAATACTACAAGGAACAAGATTCAGGACTAGCGCCCAACGTGCTCTAGTGTTAACTCATCAACAACATCAGCTGGACTACACGCAATAGTCAGACGAGTCTGCTGTTGTAACGCAAGTAATGGAGAAATCTTCAAATATAGTCGATGACCCCATTAAGTCCCTAGAAACAATGAAAGCGGGAGTTGAACCCGGTGACAGATGCTCCCGCCGCTAGGCCAGGTGTTATCCGCCCTCTGTCGTAGAGATTTTGAACCATCAGATCTTGGTATTCAGCATCCTCAATCAAACATAATGTCAGCGTTGTCGGATTGGATGAGTAGGCAGCTATGCACCAATTTCGTACTGGTGAATACCATAATATTGACCGCCTGGAACACGAGGGGTCAATGCAACCACAGTTGGAAGATATAGCGATCCTGCAATGATTGGCTTCATAGTATCTTATTTTACTTAGAATAGTAGTAGAGTTTAAATAGTTGCGCTTTTAAGAACTCCTCATCGCGCTGCTAGTATTTAATTTGGTGCAACATAGCTTTAGACCTTGAGAACCATATTTACCAACGGCTACAAACGTCGCAAGCTCACTTAGTTATATGTGTCTCGGTCCGGCGCGCGCGTACTCAGCTTATCATCCCATCACTTCATGCATGTATAATTTGTCCTTTAATCCAACATATAAGTTTCTATTGACGCTTCATCTCTCTTTTCGTGCAAACGCAAGGCTTACCTCAAAGCTACAAACACCACGTACAATAAGGTATTTTTCAAACTCTTGACATTCCCGTTCCAAAAGCTTGTGCGTATCACCAAGACACCAATTTCATCCCCCTGAAAGTGGCCACGATCTAGGTCCCTGTGGAAGGCTCATATGGTGTGTTCACCCTCCCACTGCGATTGCAGTTGTGCATTCTCGTTTGCTGCTGGGAGTCTCGATACTGGTCTAAGGACAACAAATAAGGTTGTGGTCGTAGGGAAGTAATAGAGGGACCCAAAAATCACGTCTGCCTTAATGCTAATGAACAGGGAATTTGGATTAGCGGTGCTCTTTAAATGTGCGCCAATAATCCAGGCCGTTCCACGAGGTCTGGCTCACTCAAGAACTATTGCCACGAATTAGTCGCACCATATAGTGTGTCGTGATCAGAATCAAAGGCCACCAAGCTGATAGTGGTGTACTCAAATGCCGTGATCCTGAGCCCAATCCAAAACAACATCGCGGGCCTCAGGGTTGATGTTAAGAGACACCTCCACTTGAACGGTATGCAAGAGATCTTGGCGGAAATCAAGACGGCTGGCCCTCAGAGCTTCCTTGATTGGGGGTTAGATCCAACTCTGGAGGTGCCGGACTTTCCAACATCTCTTCTTGTATTAGTACAGTGTCGAGTTATCCCCGGTAAATCATTGTTGCCAAATTAATCTCGCAGCTCAGGAGGAAGTCCCGGGCAAGGGGTGAAATCTGCCAATATCATTGTTACTACTAATATGATTTTTGAAAGAGGAAGAGGCTACAGGTGAATGTGCAGGACTATAGAACGATACCGGGTATAGAGTCAGGAACGCGTAAGAAAAACTGAAACTGAGTTGAAGATGGGGGCTGGCGACGCATAAATTGCGGCAATATGACCACCCAATCAGGCCATTGCACACACAAGGGGGGCGAAATGTGCCGCACAGGCGCCTGCAACCATCTGTCAGCCTTAAGTACCTGGTAACACATACTCAGGTACGTCCGATAAGCGGGGTATTTGATCGGCCTCTGGTATCAATCCGTGCTTGCCACAACATACTCTTCTCACGGTACTTTTCGGTCGTACTGGTCAGCGTTTAGCCCGTGCTTCCCGTTAGAAACTCGATTCATAATGGTACGATTGAGCCATTGTGAAATGATCGAAGACTGAATGACTAACACCGACAGGACGTCTTTGAACACGGCCCAGAATGGGATCAGCAGGCATACTCAGGGCACGACCCAAGCTGGGACAACGATGCCAGGCGTGATCGAGACGGCCAAGGCAAACACGACAGCTACAGGAATCCCTCCCATAGTCCCAAGTTCAGCGCCCCGAGAAGGACGTCATCAAACAAGCATTCCAGTTCGATAAGCACGCAATCTAGTTCGAGGAAACAGCAAACATGGCGTGGATATTGATGGCATTGGTGTGTTAGTGAGTGCCATATGTATAAATTGCGTAAAGCCAGGATAAGAAGACCAAAGATCCAACCATGTTCGCGACTGGAACGCTCCGGTAGATGCTGGCACAAGTGAGGTTATGTGTGGTGATATATATATAAGAAGTTGTATAACACGACATTGATGGTAGTGAGAGACCACGGTGTTGGAGTTGACAATGTATGGGTATTATCGACGTCACAGTATGAGGCACAAGAATAGAGGGCGCTAACATGGAACCCGATGGTAATGAATAATGAGGGGTGGGCTTCAAAGACACGAAAATCCTGTATTATTTGGCACCCCGTACACCACGATACGCCACCAGAGGTTCGAATACTGGGTTGGGCACAAAGTGAGCAAATGACTGGATATTGGTGTCGAATTATTGGAATAGTACCGTGTAGTTTCACAGCAACATCTTAGCTGTTTGAAGATGTGGTGCCAAAACACGCGTCGCCACACTCGTGCCTTCCCATCCTGATCAACACAAATTCCTGTCTTGTGCCTCAATCAAGCTGTATTTCCCAGGAGTTTACTCTTGTTTGAGCTGCTTACAGTCCTCATCACGTTTTGAATTCTGCGAGTAGGAGCAGTTTTGGCATGCTTAATGTATTACATCATTTAATCTTGACTGATTTCCCGCATATCATTCAAAAGTTACCAAGATGTCGGAGGATTCTGCACTAAGGCATCATCCTATGAGAAATCTAATTGTTTGAGTTCCTTCGTTTGATTGACTGGGTTGACTTTAGTCGCAAAGCAAGCCTGTGGTTTCACGGTGGTGGACGACTACGACGCCACGATCCGGGTCACCGGTAGCGATGGAGTCTGAGCTGACTTCCAAGTCAAGAAAGCCATTCCAGAAGGTAGGGGTGATTACTTTCAAAAGTTTTTCGACCTTCGATCGCCGCTGGGTAGAAACAATCGTGAGAATGGCACCTATCGCCTCGTCAAGGACACAGGTGCCACGCTGGATATTTTATTTTTCTGCCTTCCTTATGACAGAGTCGGTTGTCAAGATCAACAAAATTTTCTCAGATCATTAAGTGTCCCTATTCAAAGGGTCTGGCGTGTTGTTACACTTGTTGACGTGAAGAGCATCAAGCATAATCGCAATGGCAAGTACCAGGTTCAGCTTGGAACTCTCGAGTATTGGTTCAACGCATGGTTCAAACGCATGGTTCAAACGCATGGTTCAAACGTATGGTCAAACGCTTGATATATATTATATAGGACAAGTACAAGAACCTCCTCTACTCTACTTACGTCTTGAACAAGAATTATACCCGAGGACACCCAACTCATTTGCGCGGTCCCTCTGCTGTTATCACAGACTGGCTTATCCAGAATGGCCTGGGCCAAGCCCGGGAAAGACACCCGTTTTTAGTAGAGGTGTAAAATTCGAAAGATACTTCAAGTTCATGCATATTCTCTCCGAAGTCATCGGTAAGCGCGCTTAAACAACCAAAAACATAAATATCTGATGATTGACCATGATCGAGTCCAGCTATGAAACGCGAGGACCTTTTGCAATGTGAGACTACTTATGAAATCGAGCAGACCCGTGCACTTATGGCGTCGCAGAGTTACTGATGCGGGAATAGCATACATCCAACTGATAAAACTCCTCAGAGAAACCATGGATTACCCGCTGTAGGATGCTGATGGCAAATCCTTATACGACATTGTATGCCAGCCGAAGAACCTCGCCTACCACACTCCAGATAGTAGTGACGTGTGCGAGCACTGCCGTGCTCCAGACAGTATAGGCCCTGCCGTTTGCGAGCAGGAGACCAAGCTTGACGAAATTTGTCTAGAATGCTTGGACTCCTGTCAGCGGGCGGGGTTCTCACGGCTACAAAAAAAAAAAAACCTCCCCCCCCCCCCCCCCCCCCCCCAAAAAAAAGGGCAAGCCTAGAGGCAGAGGATGCCGCGGGCAGCTAGCATGGGTTCACGATTGTGCCGACTACCTATCAGATGACGAGGAGAGACCTTGTGGATGGCACGCAACCACAAAGAGGGTTAGGTCAGCACGGATCAGATAAGGTGGTTCATAAGGAATGTGCGTTTGAGAGCTGGGGATTTGAAGTATCTGCAAGACATGTGTGGCATCACAGAAACTCGTTGCTGGTCGACATGACGACTATGGTTTATAAAAAAGGTTTTGCGTAACTCAACATCGACCGTCTCTTTGAGAATTGCATTCGTAGATTTCAGTGTCCGATTCGTGTAGCTTTGACAACTATGTTGGTTTGCTCCTGATACTGAGATAAAACGGCTCAGATTTCTCACATCATGTCCAACTTGAATGTGCATAAGTCCTACGGTATAAAATGTGCATGCGACATGACTTTCACGCACATTGTTAGGTTAGAGGATTCTGATGGGTAAATGGATGCAGTTCTTCCGATCATTTCTCGGTCCAGTCCGATCGCTGGATCTCAGGGCCCACCGCTAGGCACGATCTGGGCGCCTGCACGCTATAAGTAAAACCCCCCACTGACGTCCACTGATGCCGTCATAGCACCTCGTGAGCTCCCCTGCAGAGCCTAGTTACATGCACCATGTTTTCACTCTTTCTCTTCCATGGTTCGTGACAGACGACGGAATCTCAAACCATTAATTAGGGCTGTGGTGGCTGCTTGCTTATTGTACGAGATCCTCGTCTCGTAGCCTCTCATTCATATAGCGATTGCACCTATTGCCGTCGCCGCACGTCTAGTTCGAAGAGGGGAGAGTGTACGTGCTTTGCATCGCCAGCACGAGTTTCGTTAGCAGTGAGCAAGGAAAATATAGACCGCTCCCGATTTTTTTTATAAAGATGTCTTCCGCCAAGAACACAATACTTTCGCTATGGCACAACAAGCGCGCCCAGGTGGTCCTGTTTTCGTCGACAGCCATTGCGCTGTATGGTTACGACCAGGGCATGATGTCCCTGATCAACACCAATTACAACTACTTGGCTACCATGGGCATCGCGTCTGACGATCCACTCGTGGGCTGGATCGTGTCGATATACTACTTGGGCTGCGCCGTCGGTGCGGTGCTGTTCTCCAAAGTCGCAGACCGTTGGGGCCGCAAGAAATCCATCTTTGCATGTCTCGCGACGGCATCGCTTGGCAATCTTATCATGTTCGTCTCTGGGCTGTGGGGTAACGAGGGTGCTTTGCATAGCATGTTCGTCGGTCGCGTCATTATGGGACTAGGTGTGGGAGGTATCGATGCTGTAATTCCCATCTACAGCGCCGAATTGGCGCGCGATGAGGCTAGAGGCAAGGCCTTGGCGCAGGAGTTTCAGATGAACATATTCGGGCTCAACATGGCGTTTGGCATTAACCTGATTGTCACGAGAATTTTGGGCAAGTCTAATGAGTGGGCTTGGCGCATCCCGATTATTATCATGCAGGTGTACCCCGTGGCTTTGCTTGCATGCATCGAAACTCTGCCCGAGTCGCCGCGTTGGCTCATTTACCATGGCCGGGATGAGGAGGCGAAGAAGGCACTCGAAGATATCTACGGCGGCAAGTATGGAGACGGCGAAGAAGGAGAGAGCGATCGTCAGTACGAAGAGCTCAAGAAGAGCCATGATGAAGAAGCCGGTGACAGTGTCAGTTACTGGGATATGTTCACCCCAAGCCATGACCAATTCCATCCGACCATCGTCACGATTATGGTTCAGGTCAATCAGGCGCTCACTGGCTATGGCGCTGTTTCTGTCTATGGGTGAGTTTTTCCACTGTTCATTCATGACTTGATGGCGATTAACGAAGTGTGCAGACCCCAAATTTTTGCTCTTTTGGGCTTCGACATTGTGACTGCGGAGAACCTAACAATGGCCAACTATCTCTCTTACTTCGCCCTCATGACTCTGGCCTGGATTCTCATTGATGCAATGGGCCGCCGCGTGCTCCTGCTATGGGGTTCGCTCGTCCTAACTATTTGCTTCTTGCTGCTTGCTCTCTTCGGAGGACTCGCTGCGCATTCTTCCGAACTTGGTCTTGACCAACAAGCCTTTGCAATTCCCGGAATCATCTCACTTTTCGTTGCAACGGGTGCCTTCGGTATTGGGTGGCTCGCTACTGTTTGGCTGGTACCCACCGAGATCTTCCCAACAACGGCGCGAGCTCAGGCGGCTGCCGTAAGCGTGATCATCTGGGGCTTGGCAAATTTTGCCATCACGTTCCTGACGCCGATCATGTTCAACAATCTTGAGTACTACATATATCTGGTCTTCGCCGGCACGAACGCGCTGGCCGGAATTTGGACGTACTTTTATCTCCCTGAAAGTGGAAACAGAAGTTTCGAGGAGAATGTGCAATTCTTCAAAGAGGCACGCAAGGTAGGGAGTTGGTCTGTCAGCAAGGTTAAGGATGGCGATTGGAAGAACATGCCATACGGTGATGTGCTCCTGGATGGAAGTGCAGAAGCGAGGGAGCGAGCGCCTTTGTTGCAGAGAGTTGGCGACCAGATTTCGTAGAGTCACAAAGCTTATTATTTCGAGCTCAAAATGTCTATTGTATAGCTGGGATCAATGAGATTCAACCACCAGGGACTCGAAATAAGCACCCAAATACCAGCGATTTACTGGTTAATGAAGCTTCCTACACTTATACCGAGCAAAACACTTCAAACCCCACTGCTGACAGCAATCAGCCATAAACGTAGAAGCTTTCCGGAAATAAGTTTCCCGCAGGGTTCTTGTATGACCCTTCGCCGATCCTTCTGAAATCAACCTTCTCGTACAGTTGTATGGCGGCTTTATCCTTGCTTAACACATTCATTACGATTTTCACCTTATTCTCCCGTGCCCATTCGCACGTCCTCTCAATCAGCGTGCGGCCGAGACCCAAACCCCTGGCGTATTTTCGCACGAAGAACCGCGCAACCACGACACACTGTTTAACGTCTGCACCGCTTCCTGGGAGATCCAGCAGTGCTCGGACCGCAGGTTGATATCCTTTTGCTGCCGCAATGATAGCGACGTGTCCGACCACGACCTCATCGTGTACTGCGACCCAGGCTTCCACGAGGCCATCAGGGTTGAAAAAGGCGGCGGCGTCCGCGGTGCCTTGAACGGGGTAGCCATCTGTACTGTAGACATCCTCCAGGGCTGCGACCAGGGCGGCAAAGTCGTCCTCTGTGCGTAGACGAATATCTGTGGTCGCCATGATCGATTGCTTACACCGAGCGCAATAGCAAATCGACTTCTTTCAGAATAATAGACGTTTTGCCAATGATGCGCGTCAATCGGACCGAAAGAGAAGTATACGGAGTATAAGGAGCCGCATTTATCTAGCGAAGGCGTTATGTAATACGTCAAGTGATGGAGGTTTCCGCGATGTTGAAGCTAGTATCTGCGCCCCTCTATCAACAAATGCTCCACTTCCGACTCATGAAACCCGCCCGTATACTCCGTATGTACCTCTATCCCTGTGCAGGAACTCTGCAAAGGAAGCCGGGGGAAAAAAGAATACCCCGAACCCGCTGGATCTAGTCGCAGAATGATGCGTCAAATGGCGTCAACATAAGAGAAGACTGTCGGTTTCTGCTGGCTGCAGTAGCTGATTGTAGTCTCCTCCGACGTCGGGCATCGTGACACCATATAATCGGCACCCAACCGAGAGAGTGGAAACCCGGGGTTGAGAACTAGGCCAGCTGGTGCGGTAGGATGATGCCCGGTAGGCTATTCCGGTGGAATTCCATCTCCACATTTCCACATTTCCCCAGCCTTGCCCCCAAACCGCAGGTGGGAACCAATTTGTGGTACCTAATAAAAAATGATTACCAATTGGCTTTGATCCGCTATGTTCTCGGTATAAATATCGCAGTCATGGCGCCTCATTTTCGTCCCTTACGCTGTGGTGCGAATTTATGTGGTTGAGGCAGGTTATAATGATGTCGAATAGGGATCACAATACGATCACTCCAGCTGTCCAGGTCGCGGACATTAACGATGGGATTATTGCGGAGGTCCAGAAGTCGGAAGCTCAGCTCGCAACTGAGAGCGTGAAAGGTGATGAGCCGCCGGATGGAGGAGTTACCGCTTGGTTGCAAGTCCTCGGCTCGTTCTGTCTGTTTTGGAATCACTGGTAGGTGAAGATAAAATGAGTCGTTCCTAGATCTTTTATGCTGAAAAGAATTCATAGGGGTCTAGTCAACGCATTCGGTGTCTTTCAAACATATTACCAAAATGAGCTGCTCACGGAAATGTCCCCATCTGCAATCTCATGGATAGGCTCGATCCAATCGTTCTTGCTCCTGTCTGTTGGCGTCTTGTCGGGGCCACTGTACGACAAGGGGTACTTGCGGTCATTGCTGTTGGCTGGAAGTGTTCTGATTGTGATAGGATTGATGATGACAAGTCTGTGTACGCAGTTCTGGCAGCTGGTGTTGGCACAAGCCATTTGCATCGGTACGGGAACGGGCATACTCTATATACCTTCCCTAGCCGTGATCCCACAATATTTCCACCGCCGGAAGGCACTCGCATTGGGTCTCGTCGTGTCTGGATCGAGTTGTGGTGGTGTTGTATATTCCATTATTTTCACGGAGCTTCAACCCAGGATTGGGTTCGGCTGGACATTGCGTGTCATGGGCTTGGTGGCCCTTGCTATGCTATCCATTGGATTGGCCGTTGTCCGGCGCCGCGAGGAACCGTCGACAAAGGTTCGAACTCTCCTCGACCTGCCTGCTTTCAAAGAACGGCCATACGTCCTCTATTGCGCTACCCTCTGTACCAGCAACATTGCGTTCTTCACACCAATTTTCTACATGCAACCCTTCGCGCTAGTACATGGGTTACAAGGCCAAGATGTTGCGCTGTACCTCGTCGCGATCATGAACGCCTGCTCAGTTGTGGGACGCTTGGCACCTTCGCTCGTCGCCAATAAGATTGGACCTGTTCAGACTCTTCTCTTCTCTGTGTCGTGCACTGCAATCACCGTGTTTGCTTGGATAGCCACAACCACGGGATGGGGCAACATTGCCTTTGCTGCCTTCTTTGGGTTCTTCTCTGGTGCGATAGTTGCACTTCCTGCAGTTGTGCTTACTAGTTTCACTCCTGACCTTAGTCGCCTGGGCACAAGGTTAGGTATGTCTTCTGTATTGAATGCCGTCGGGTCCTTGATTGGTACTCCGATTGGAGGCGCGATTCTCAGTGCAACAGGCAGTTACCTTGGTGTTCAGCTGTGGGCTGGCTCAGTTGTGACAGTCACAGCTTTTTGTCTTCTTGCTCTTAGATTTTCTCTCACGGGAATGAAGCTGAAAGCAAAGGCATGAGATTGACGTTAGCCAAACTTACAAGAAATCCAACATTGGAGTGTGTTTCAAAGTTCAATTGTGGCTAGACAACCGAAGGGGACAATTGTGAAGGGTCGGCATTGTACCAAGTTTCGGGACCTGTATTGAGCAGTCAATACGACAGCAAGTATTTTTGCATATGAGCCGGAGGCGATTCACATAATTTCTCGGTGGGAATGGCCCAGATCGCCCTAGGTCTTGCTACCATTTTGACTTCCAGTGGGCTGCAAAAAGGACGGATACTTCAATGCACCCAGAGTCCACTTATTCGATGCTTTAATATTGATCATATAATGAATCTGTTCAAAAATTGGATGGGACGAGTCCAATACTCTTAAATTCAGGTGAAGGCCACACCCCACAGTGAGAAACCTCTGCGATCGGTATACTATGCCCTCTGCGACGCCGGGCAATTATTGTGACCAGCCTGACTCCTATGCTGTTGCGTAATGCTGGAACAGAGCAATTGAACATGGAAGTCAGTCAGAGCAAATAGCTGAGGATTTTTCAAAAAATTTCAGTCGCATAAAGGCCGTTTGATCTCTTTGTCAATGAGGTGTATGTTCCATCATTTGGTGTGACATAAGACAGACAGATCCCCAGTTGGAACCGCAGCATTGGGAAATGATTCGAGTTCCTAGAGTTGAAAGAATTGGCGCGTTGAGGATCCTAGACAATAGGCTATAATTTGAATCTAACTCGGGCGGGGGATGAAATAAATACTAGTTACTTTTAAGTTTGATCTTGTCGAGTCCTACTTTCGGATATTGGAACAGACGAGTATATTCTCTCACCCCGCAGATCCGGGGATTTGTTCGTTGACCAGGGTTTCAACCACTATCTATGCGTTGTGTTTATATGGTGGCATCTGATTCAATCAGTCTTACTAGGTATTTACCAAGTCAAAGCATTGTGTCCGGCAAAAAGGCGTCCCGTTCTTTATACTGCTTACAGACGCATGCCGTCAATTATTAGCTGGGCAGATCGGCAGAGCAATATGGCCTCTTCACGAAGCGCTTCCTTATAAGGCCAGGTTGAATGCGGAGTGCTTAAAGAAAGAGTCAAAACTCATCTAGGTTGTGGCCAACCTTGACCCACAGAGCTTTTTGAAACGGGCGGACAAATCAAACTCACCTCCCCTAGCGGACGTGGTAATCCTTTGGTGGCTGATCTAAGGCATATTTTCAAAAAAATCTCATCAACTTCAATCGTCGGAGCACCAATGGTTGAAGAGCTCGCTGAATTGTGATGAGCCTGCTGTCCTTGCGTTGGACCCTCACTACTTGTCATTTGTCCGTAAAGACGAATGCAAAACTGATGCGCAGTGCACCGGACAGTGTATACCAACAGCAAGCGATCTGCTGTTAAGTGAGGATGGAACATTCGACAGCTCATAGTTAACAATATCAACCAGGAGAAATAAGAAAACAGAACGGCCTAAAGGCGCACATCGAAGAGAATAATATACCATTGTTACTATACTCGAACCACATCGAATCATGATTTTCTGAAAGACAATCCCTGCCGGACTATGGGAAAACCAAAACAAATGACCACATTTCTCTCTCAAGGGCGTTGTCTTCCCTTAATCCTCACTCCAGAGTGTTATCATCAACGGATGCATTCTCCTGTCTATACCGTGAACTTACAGAAGGGTGGCTCGACTCCAAACAAGTAAGTCTAGGCTCAAAGAGATTCTTCTTCCTTGCTGCAACATGCCACTTGACCAGTTCGTGGAATATATTACACAAGTCTTGTGCCTCCGAGCGGTAAAGACGCCTTGTATCAAATAAGCAGGGCCACGAATTGCAGGCACGAATGTTGAGAGCATACTAACTCGGACAGACTAGCTGTACATGGCGCTGCTTACCACGTGTACTTTCAAGCTTCTGAACTATGCGAGAGTGATTTATTCTCTGTGAAGTTCTTCATTGTAAACATGCTGGTACTACGCTTGGGGCAGACTAGAGGTGTATGGAAGATTATATACTTGTCATCGCTGTCTATCATGCACTGTCAGATAATCCTCTTGTCTGTCTTCTCAGGCATCGGAGCAGCTACAGCGTCTGAGGCCCCCTAGGAGAACGAAATACAACATCAGCAATCGTTCAGATCTTTGGAGCATATGAGACTATTGACGGTTGGTAAAAATCAAGGTCCGCGATATACGAAAAGCCAAGCTGAGTAACATGCGACGACTCTGCAGGTTCGAACAAGGGGTGTGAAGCTTTGTTGCTCATCACGTGAGCTGTGGCTTCTGGATACCAGCAGTTCTTTCAAGGTGTTGCTTCCGCCGATCGATCTGCCAAACGTTTCTAGTACATACGAGACTGGTACGTGAGTTATGAACTACCTTCAAACCAGCAGGAGAAGAAGCTAGGTCGTCCTCTCGTCATCCTGTAATGCATTATTCTCCTACGCGACCGACGGTGTAAGCTCTTCGCACCGACTGACTCGTGGCAGACATTCGCTAGCACATCTCGCCGAAAGAGGCCTCCTCACTAAGAACGATCCAAACGTGTCAGATCCGGCAATCTTCATTCTTTGAAGGCATAGGGCAATACGCAGTGGGCTAGGCAATGTTAAGCGCTCGGGTCGAATCGGCCCCACCTGAACGCAGGAGATCCGGCAAATACGCCGAAGGACCGCTCTGTTTCGGGGTATCTCAGGGCAGTCTTCCGAGGAAGCGCTGGAATAATATTGAGGAATTTTAACATACTGATATTTAGTAACGAAAAGGCCCGGGTCTCATGGTTACACTCGGGCAAATAACATAAGCGAATAGTCGAGTGTCTGGGGTTTGCAGGAAGCCCATCAATGAGCTATGGAATTGAGGCATAAGTGCGCATGTTTGTGATGGGTAGACTGCTGATCCCGGCCCGAGTAAGCGAGGAAAAACACACGACAAGCAATAATGAGTTATTTTTCCGGCCAGGCGATGCTAGGTTAGCATTGCTGAGGTTCCAACATGCATATTTGCCTACATCTTGCCACTGGCGAACCCGCTTTGGGCATAAGTCCGCAAGCACGCTTGACAAAAGGCTTCCATAATTGTGAAGAGACCACGATGGCAACGTGTTCGCAATGTCGTGACCATTGGTGTGGGTTCGCCCATCGTTTGCCGATAGCAATCACCTAGTTACAACTCGAGACATGTGATGCCAACACTGTTGTGTGTGTGTGTGTGTGTGTGTGTGTGTGTGGAGCATCGTCGTGTGTTTTTCGGAGTGGAGTGACTTCGGTTGAGTGTCAGCCGTCCAGCAATGCCTTATGGCAAAAAGGTAAAGCATTGCAGCACAAGTGTAATGTTTCTGCCGAGTCAACCTCTTCTCTGCTGGGGCAAACACGTGCTTCGAGTACGATCACGATGCCTCGATACTATATGTGCTAAATTGGAAGACCCAAAAAAAAAAAAGGTCCAAAATTGACATTGAAGATCAAGCATATCAGAGGGGAATGTGTTCGATGCGGCCGATGCGAATTTTGGGACCTTTGCAGATTATAGTGTCATTGCGGATTTCCTTTTCTGCGCAACTATCTGGCAAAAAGGCCTAGGCCTTCAGTGGATTAGTGGACCCAAGAGTGATGCGGGTTCAGCTCTTGCATGGATGAGACAGTTTGATAGCGATCATGAAGTCAGCGGAAACAGAAAGGAAAGTCAACATATGGCCATATACGTTGCTGAGCAGAGTCGAAGAAGAAAGCAAAAGTTTCGCAGCCTCATGCCTTGTTTCCACGAGGCTGCATCTATGGAGCGGCAAATGACCTGCTCAGCGCCTTTTTTGGGAGTCTGTGATTACGGAGTGCAGCGCGGGGTTCTCCAAACGTCTCGGACGACACTCAGTTCTGCAAGGTGATCGGATCGGAAAACGGAGGATAGACCTGCACTCCATCAAAAAGGACCCATCAGAACATGGCATGCAACTTGAACCACTTTTGAGTTTGTAACACGATAATTGCATGGCTGAGAGTCTCGTCCCATACTCACTGGTACGTGCAATGACGAAACTTTTTCATCTACGCCGTGTACAGTCATTCAGATTCATGACCTAAGATGCGTTGCACGCAATAGATCTGGCTTCTGCTAAATAACAAGCAACAAACAAATGAACGCCTTTTCCATGCAAACTCTTTCATCAGCTCACTCATGAGCACGCGCAATGCATAGCGGTAACCTTACTGTGAATATATAAAGGAGGCATTCCAATTAGAGTGCATCTTGTTGGGTCTTCAGGGGGGCTGTTGCCAGGGACGAGCCGAATCACATCACGCATCGCTGTGAATGGTTAACAAATCGGGAGACGGCCTACGACAGAGTTCAAGCAGGGTCTTGCGTGGTGAGGACTTGCTGCGCAGTGAGGTCATTGAACATACCACAGAGGGGCTGAAACGGTGAGAATGAGGGGCAGTCCACTTTCCCCAGGGTCCTCATTGCAACCGTTATGGTAACGGCTCTAAACGTTGCCCTGATGAATGTCCGTAAAGGTTGGTGATTGTCAGGTACGGAGGCAAAAATGTCTAAAACAACATTCTGCCATGATTGCACAATGGCATCCATGATTGCCATCCCGTGCATGATTGCCGATGTACCCCCCATGGCCACTTGTGCTCTAAATATGGGATATCTGTGACTCCAGCAAACAACATGTCGTGCCCCAGTTGCGTAGAACGACGCTGCTCTAGCCGTGTCCTTTGCTTCTATCTGCAGTGTCTAGGGCCATCGGCCAATGAAGCATATTTGCATTAACTCTGCCTCACGTCCGTTTTGGATGCGGTGCTTTTCGCGCATAAGGGACAGGAGAATTAAATAATTGCTGCAAGGTTGGCGCAATAAGCACATTACACTGCATCTCAGTCCACATCGCGCCGCAGTAGTGGAAGGCTGGCCCATGGAGGAAGAATACGGGGAAATATCTGGCACGAACATGTCGTCCCCATTTGTGGCTGCATTATCCGGGGGTGCAATGTACAGAGAAGGGGTCTTCCCCAAATTGCGGCAGATTAATTTCTATCGGATATTTCGGTTTTTGAAATGTTGCACATGGCTGTCGTTTACAAACGCGCGTAAATATGCCGTGCCGATCAACCAAAATGCCGCGACTGACTACTACAAGCACAGGAGAGTTTCGCAGCCGCTGGTGGTGGGCGCCTGTGTATTGATTTGGGGTCGGTCAACCGCTGACCGGTGGTTGTGAGACATTGGCCAGCGCTGTGCAGCAGCATGGTAGGATGCCGGAGGTGAGGAAGTCTCCAAAGCAAAGCCGTCAAGCATAATGACGATGTTAAGCTCACGATCATTGTATGTCTGATTTGTTGTGATGAAACAGGGTTCAATTTTGAAGCAGCTAGACGCAGAAGGAATGGGTGGCTGGCTGCATCGAGGATTCAGGCCCAGCCGGTCCGTTTACTTACTTGGTACAGTATGATACAATCTGGCCATGTGAAAATGGATGAAGTGTAACGGCAACAACGGACGGATCGAGTACAGAAAGCTCCACTCCACGATAATAGTAGTGGGGCAGTCTCGAGACCCGCGGCAGCAATGAAGATGCTCACTAGTCTAGGTGAAGTTATTTAGGCAAGCAACTGAGAGGGACAGATGCAAATCCGGCTTCTTTAATCAGCATAGTGAGTTCAAACACCCCCAACTTTCTCGAAACCATCGATTTCAGCGGCTCGAGTACTGCTTCGTGACTTTGTTGCATCACTTTAGATCTGTTGTGCTTAACTTACCACTGTGGCATCAGTTGGCGACTCGAAAGATAACTGGGCAATCCAACAACGTGAACAAACTCCACTCACACTCGTTCCGTATCTTCCGTATCTTACTTTGCAGTTTTCTCTGATTGGATCCCCCCCCTAGCGCATCTTGCAAGGGTCAAGGCCAAGATAGCACACTCCCGTTTATGACGCCAAGTCTGAAAAAGAAGTGGGCTGTGTCAATGAACCGTTTCCACTTTCACTTGTCTGGGCACTCGCATTTCATAGGGAACAGACAAGCCAACGCTCCTTCCAGGTGACCCCTCCACGGTGTCGTCAGACGTCTAAGCTCATGTGTCCGTAACATCATATAAAGTTCTGGACTTCCCCCAATCTCACGATCCGATTGTATTCATCCATATTACCTCAACTATAAAGCCTCATACCGAAGCCCAAAGTCCAAACCCCAAGTCTACCTTTCCATACAAGGCCATCTCACACAAACATTATCTACCACCCCCACTTTACCACTTCACTTATACCATTCAGCAACCTTACACATCCTTCACAATGGGCAAGAAGGCTGTTCACTTCGGTTCCGGCAACATCGGCCGCGGCTTTGTTGCGTGTTTCTTGCACGAGTCCGGCTATGAGGTCGTCTTCGCCGATGTTGTCGACAAGCTTGTTGACTCGATAAATGCCAGCAAGGAGTACCACGTCATCGAGGTCGGTACGGAGGGTGTCGACAAGCACACCATCACCAACTACCGCGCCATCAACTCCAAGACGCATGAATCTGAGCTTGTCGATGAGATCGCAACTGCTGATGTTATCACTTGCTCTGTTGGCCCCAACATTCTCAAGTTCATCGCACCCGTCATCGCCAAGGGTGTTGACAAGCGATCGTCCGATCTCAAGCCTCTTGCCATCATTGCTTGCGAGAATATGATCGGGGCCACCGATGCCCTCGCTGAGCACATTAAAGACCCCAAGAATACCCCATCACACCGTCTAGAAGACATGCACACACGAGCCCGTTACGCCAACTCGGCTATTGACCGAATTGTACCCGCTCAGGACCCTGATGCTGGCCTCGATGTTACCCTGGAGAAGTTCTACGAGTGGGTCGTCGAGCAAACTCCCTTCGAGGGAGGCCACCACCCCGAGATCCAGGGCATCAAGTGGGTCGACAACCTGCTGCCTTACATTGAGCGTAAGCTCTACACTGTCAACACTGGCCATGCCACTGCTGCCTACCACGGATACAATCGACAGAAGAAGACTGTCGACGATGCTCTGAGAGACAAGGAGATCAAGGACGAGGTCACTGCTGCTCTCGAGGAGAGCAGCAAGTTGATTGTGGAGAAGCACGGAATCGACGAGGAGGAGCAGAAGGCTTACCGGGAGAAGATCATCAAGCGTATCAGCAATCCTCATTTGGCTGATGCCGTTGAGCGTGTTGGTCGTGCTCCTATTCGTAAGCTCGGCCGCAAGGAGCGTTTCATTGGTCCTGCCGCCGAACTTGCTGAGAAGGGCCACAAGGTCGAGGCTCTCATGTTTGCTGCCGAGATGACTTTCCGCTTCCAGAACGTCGAGGGCGATGAAGAAAGTGCTGAGCTCGCCAAGATCATGGCTGAACACAGTGCCGAAGAGGTTGTCATCAAGATCTGTGGCTTGCAATCATCCGACAAGCTCTGGCCCCAGGTTGTGGAGGTTGTCAAGCGAGTCCAGGCTGACAGCAGCGATTGAATCCCTGCCAAGCTCTAGCTCAGTGAGAGTTGGGGCTTCTTCTTTTTACACTTAAACACTTCTTTTTGCATGAGACATGACTAGCAAGGCGTCATCGGGTACAGGCGTTCGAGTAAGCTACCGGGCACAGATTTACGGATTGCATTTTTGGGGTTGCTGGCCATATTATGGACCAAGCATATGGTATGAAAGCATAACAAACGAGGCATATCCTGTAAAGTGATGGTACAAAACCTCGTCAATACAAAAACTTATCAAACACTGTACTGTTACAAAACTTGCAACTAACTACTCGTACGTGGTGTGATGTATAGCTTGAAGCAAAGTTCACTGGAACACAGAAAAGCATTTCCTCTACAAATTTCATAGTCGTCAATATGCCAATGTACCAGCCGAAGTCTCGACTCAGGAAGGGTTTATCATAGCGATGAACTATCTTGGACAGGAGCGGTACAAACGATCCATACCACATTAATATCCCATCGTCAAACGTTAAACTTTTTATTTCATACTCACTTGTTGCACTGGTGACTGTTCTGTCATAGAGGCTTCGCTGCACACATCACGTCCACGACTTGACAACATTCTCAATGTCTTGCTTGCATCTCAACATGACGAGCCAACCAACTTTCGCCCACAGTGCGTTACTAATCGCATGGTCCAACTGCATCTCGACTGACTTATGATGCTGTACTTCCGTTCAAGACGATCAGCAATGCTTACTAGCAATTGGCTGGACTAACAAAGACGATTCGACTCCTGACGTCTTGAATGATGTTCTCGGTAAAGCGACCGCTACCGTCTATGGACAGAAATCTACGGGTTTTTTTTTCTCTCCTTTTTTTCCTTCTCTCCTTTTTTTTTCTTTCTTTGCTAGACTAGGAGTTGTGTTGAACCTACTGCCTTGGGTTGATGGCGGGATCGTGTACGCAGTGCACTCACAACTTTCGCGCTTCCATATAGAGGCTGGATACTAGGACCTGGTGTTTCTTGTCCGAGGATTAGTTGAAGAGATGGCTAGGCAAGCCTGACAGTCGTCCACCATGCCAGAAGGAGTGCACATTGATATGTTGGGTATCGGCGCTAAGAAAAGAGACGCAGCGGAGAGCACTTGCTGAATCGAATGCGAACGAACGAGAGAATAATGGTTCAAGAGAAATACTGGGATGTCCGAGGTTGACGGTCATCTGATCTCGATGCCATTGTTATACTCCACTCATAAGGATCATAAATAGCCATAGCCATAGCAATACTTTTCCTGGCAATACGCACCTACCGACGAGACTTTTGCCGCCAGGGAGTGATTGATGCTCCCGGTAAATATCATGGAAAATGACCGTATTTTTACATGCTTGTTCGCAAATCTGACTGAATCAGTTGCCTTTGACGCGAGGGATCCCTCACAAACCAGATACTACATGGGAGGCTCCATTTCTCTTCCACAGCAATTATCGTATTTGATGACAGTAGTATCTTGTGCCCCAAATACGATAATTGGTGCGGGATAAGAGATATCATGCATGATAGGAACAAACTTAGGCGATTGAAACCCCCCCCCCCCCAAAAAAAAAGGGAGGATGCTATCGAGTGCACAGCGGAAAGAATAGCGAAGCTCATAGAATCAATCCACGGATAGTCACACCTACCAAGCGCCACTGCGCCAAATTCTTGTCTGAGACCTCTGAAAACTGTTTGGCCTAGATTGCTCGCTGTTGAGGGGCCACTAAGTACTGAGGAGTACATGTGAGGCTTAAACGTTCCCAAGTCCTTGTCCTGTGAACTTTGTGTGATGTACATCCATCCCCTACCGTAAAAATGGCAGTCGTTTCATCCATGATGGCGCCAGCTTTCTGTCGTCGGTGCAGTCGGATGGCGCCGAGGTTAGTGTAGATGTGATTGAGTAGACCAGCCATAATATGCTCGACTTCCGAGTGAGTGTAGTGTAGTGTATTGACTTGACTAACTTTGGAGATCGAACGAACGTTGGCCGGCTTTCAAGGCAGGATAGGAGGCTCACGGTTGAAAGTTAAACTTGATACGGAGCAAGCTGTCCTTCAGGGGCAAGGTCCGTGCTCACAATGGGCAACGTCTAACCAGCCCACTGAATTGCAGCAGGCACAAAGGGGAGAGGCTCGCGGGAGAGAGGCTCTAAGGCCAAGGCCAATTAAGGCTACGCAAAAAGAGTGGGGCAGAATTGCTCTTGCTTGCTCCCTTCCCTGTCCGTCGAGGTGTCCTATTCAAACGTCCAACTCACCTGTGGCTACTGCCGACTGCGAGTAGAGCTCCTATGTACATAGCTACATAGCTTTCGGAGAAGAAGAAGAAGAAGAAGAAGCAGACGAAGAAGAAGACAAAACTCCCCCGGACGACATCTCTTGGCTCCCGATTTCAATCGACCTGGAGCCTGACCCGACTCGACATAAAAGCCAGTCGTCCAAGAGGCCTGGCGGTCGCTATCCCGTACCGTTTATTGCGAACGAACCCAAGCCCCCCCACCACGAATAAACTAACCAATTTCCTCTCGTCTCGTCTACACACCCATATTGATACCAACACCAACGCCAAACCCCCAAGATGAAGCTCGACGTCAAGCGACAGCTCTTCGCCAGGAGCGAGCGGGTGAAGGGCTGCGACTTCCACCCCACGGAGCCCTGGATCCTCACGACTCTCTACTCTGGCCACGTCCACATCTGGAGCTACGAGACACAGCAGATCGTCAAGAGCTTCGAGGTCACCGACGTCCCCGTACGAGCCGGTCGCTTCATTGCCCGCAAGAACTTCTTCATCTGCGGTTCCGACGACTTCCAGCTGCGCGTCTTCAACTACAACACCTCGGAGAAGATCACCAGCTTCGAAGCCCACCCCGACTACATTCGCGCTATCGCCGTCCACCCCACACAACCCTTCGTCTTGACCGCCTCAGATGACATGACCATAAAGTGCTGGGATTGGAGTCAGGGCTGGAAGTGCATCAGAATGTACGTCTGCACCAACTCCGCCGATCGAACCCCCGGCCATGACCGCCCGCTAATACCCCTCATAGTTTCGAAGGCCACTCCCATTATGTTATGGGCCTTGGCATCAACCCCAAAGACACAAACACCTTCGCCTCAGCTTGTTTGGACAGGACCGTCAAGATCTGGAGCTTGGGCTCCTCGACCGCCAACTTCACCATCGAGGCCCACGAGGCAAAGGGTGTGAACGCAGTCGACTACTACCCTCACTCCGACCGACCGCATATCCTGACCTGTTCCGACGACAGGACCATCAAGGTCTGGGACTACACCACAAAGTCGTTGATCGCGACACTCGAGGGGCACACGAACAATGTCTCCTTCGCCGTATACCACCCAGAACTACCCATCATCCTCTCCGGTTCCGAGGATGGTACACTCAGACTGTGAGTTGCAGAGCCCCTACATACGCCCATCCCATCCACCGGGTGGCCTCGATACTGACAACTCTATGTAGATGGAACGCCAACACGTACCGATTCGAGCAGTCGCTCAACTACGGCCTAGAGCGTGCTTGGTGCGTGTCTTCTCAAAAGGGCAAGCAGGGTGTGGCCGTCGGTTTCGACGACGGTGCGGTCGTTGTCAAGCTAGGAAAAGAAGAACCAGCTGTTTCCATGGACGGTTCTGGCAAGCTTATCTGGGCGAGACACAACGAAGTCCTCTCCTCAGTAATTAGAGGCGGCGACGAATCGATCAAGGACAACACAGCCATCACCCTGCCGACAAAGGAACTCGGCACATGCGAAGTCTTCCCCACCACCCTGGCCCACTCGCCGAATGGCAGGTTCGTCGCTGTCTGTGGTGACAACGAGTACATCATCTACACTGCTTTGGCATGGAGGAATAAGGCCTTCGGTAGCGCCTTGGACTTTGTATGGGCGTCCAAGGAGAACAGCAACGACTTCGCCATCAGGGAATCGCCCACCAGTGTCAAGGTATTCAAGAACTTTGTCGAGAAGCCAGGCGGCCTAGATATCCCCTTCCAGGCCGATGGCCTCAGTGGTGGAGTTCTGCTTGGAGTCAAGGGCGCCGGTGGTGTAAGCTTCTACGATTGGGCAACCGGTGGTCTTGTCCGCCGTATCGAGGTCGAGCCTAAGCAGGTTTACTGGTCGGACAGCGGCGAGTTGGTCGCTCTTGCTTGCGACGATACCTTCTACATTCTCCGTTTCTCGAGAGAGAACTATGTCGAAGCGGTTCAGGCTGGCCAGGAGGACGAGGATGGTGTCGAGGCCGCCTTTGAAGTTATCACTGACATCGCAGAGAGCGTCCGCACGGGAGAGTGGGTCGGAGATGTCTTCGTTTACACTAACAACACGAACCGCCTCAACTACTTGGTCGGTGACCAAACCTACACTGTGTCACACTTCGACAGCCCCCAATACATTCTTGGCTACATCCAGCGTGACTCGAGGGTATACCTTGCAGACAAGGATGTCACTGTCACTTCGTTCGCACTATCCCTGCCCGTCCTCGAATACCAGACGTTGGTGCTCAGGGAAGACATGGAGACAGCCGCCGAACTTCTGCCGTCTATTCCCCAGGATCAACTGAACAAGGTCGCGAGGTTCCTCGAGGGGCAAGGCTACAAGGAGCTGGCCCTTGAGGTGGCCACCGACCCGGAACACAAGTTTGACCTGGCCTTGGCTCTTTCTCAACTTGATATCGCTTTGGAGCTGGCAAGGGAGGCTGATGTCGAGCACAAGTGGAAGTCTGTCGGTGATGCGGCCTTGACCAACTGGAACATCCCTCTGGCTACTGAGTGCTTCACCAACGGCAAGGATCTGGGCAACCTTCTCCTCATCTACACTAGCACTTGCGATCGCGAAGGGCTCGCCAAGCTGGCTGAACTGGCCGAGGAGGCCGGTGTGAACAACTTGGCTCACCTGGCCAAGTGGAGTCTTGGTGATGTTGAGGGCGCTATCAAGCTGATGATCAAGACGAACCGTTACACCGAGGCCGCCTTCACTGCCCAAACATACAAGCCCAGCGTGGCAACAGAAACCGTGAAGGGATGGAAGGAGAACCTCGAGAAGCACAAGAAGGCCCGCGTAGCCAAGACGATCGGCGTACCAACAGAAGACGACGACCTCTTCCCAGAGTGGGACGAATACCTCCAGCTTGAACAACAGGGCGGTGCTGTGAACGGCAAGACCAACGGCGTGAAGGCGGACGGTGCCGAGGAAGTAGAAGCAGCCGCCGAGGCAGAAGAAGAGGAAGACGAGGAAGAGGAAGAAGAAGAAGACGACGAGGAGGATGAGGAGGAGGAGGAGGAGGAGGAGGAAGAAGAAGAAGAGTAATTGGTGCTACAGGCGATAAATTGTTGACATTTGTGGTGTTTCTCATGATAAAAGCTTCTGCTTAACCCGGAAAAAGGCGCGGGTTGCGGATGTTAAAACTCGTTTAGACATTGATGATGTGGTGCCTGCCTCGATTAAGATACAGGCGACGAAATAAAGTGGAATAAGTTGAAAACTCTCCTTTGCCCTTTCTATAATGACCGAGGACAAGTCTGCGCCTACTTTCACATTTCCCGCCAAAACCTATCAAGTGTATACAACCATAGCGTAGCAACTTGTACAAAAATGGGCAAAAATATGAAGTTTAGTTCATTTGAACCTTGGAAGTTTCATCTTTTACTGGAAAGGTCTTTTTACATCGTTGAAATACGGTGTTTTGGGTGCGATACACCTCCGAACAGAGTCTAGTAGGGGGATTCCCGCGTAAAAAGCATTAATTTCGCCCGGGGGGAAGGAGACTCCTGTTCGACCAGTTTATATCATCGCGTGTCAAGAGACTAATACGTAAACAAGTTTCGTGATGGCCCCCGCCCGACACCCAATGGGTATGGCACAAGCTCGGCGCAAAAGAGCTGGCGCGCAGCGTCACATGTGATCCATGTTGCACTGGTCACGAGCTGAAGCCACGGACTTATGTCTCAGAGTATAAGCGTGCAGAGAGGATATTTTCCTCCCCAGGAGAAGATTGTTTACTGTGCCAACTATGTACAGAATGGCTGCAATGGCTAAAACATCGATCCGCGGACCAATCGCCGGAGGAGTCGCTACCTACGTCATTGGTTGTTCGGGGTTTCGAGGACTAGTGGTATTCCTAGCCATACGAGCTGCCGTCTAATCGCTATCATCATCGTCGTCATCGGCCCCCATGAACTGGAACTGCTTGGGTTGCTGCTGTTGAGGTTGCGCCGTTGATGATGTTGTTGTTGTTGTTGTTGTCGTCGGCGGCGGCTGCTGCTGCAGCGCATTGGGCCCTGATTCCGTCGCGGCGGCTCCGGCCTGGCTGACGCTCGCACGCCTGGCCGCCTCCTCCCAGGCCTTCTCCTCCTCGGCCCTGGCGCGGTCCCGCTGTTCGCGGTGCCGGCGCTCTTTCTCCTCCCTCTCGAGCCTCTCCTTCTCCTCGCGCTCCTTGACCTCTTCCTCCTCGCGCTTCTTCTGCGCCTCCTCGGCCGCCGGGTCGTGGCCCTTGGGTTCGATGCCCTTGTCCGTGAGGTACTGGATGTTGGCGAGCGCGCCCTGCCGCAGCAGGTCCTCGTTCGGCCACGGTATAAAGTCGGCGCCGGCGGAGGGGTTGATGTGGGCCTGCAGGCCCTCGGGCAGCGTGGTCGTGCTACTGTTGTTATTGTTACTGTTGGCCTGCTGGCCGTTGCCGTTGGTGGTGGATATCGTGAAGTCTCCCCCGTTCACGGCGGCGGGCGTCCCGACAGCACTGCCGCCAGCACTCGTCGTGCCGTTGACCTGTGCGGCCGTGGCCATGGGCGTGCCAACGCCGTTCGGGGTGCCGGCGGCCGCAGGCGTAGCGGCAGCGGCTGGGGTGTCGGCGCCGCTGTCGGGCTTGGTGGTGGACTCGACTGCGCTTGGGTGGGCGCTGGCGAGCACGTTGGCGTTGGGCAGGGTGGTCTTGGAGATCCTGCGGGCGTAGGCGAGCAGCTCGTCGTACTTGATGGGGTAGTTGGGGCCGGCGGGGAAGGTGGTGGCGGGGGTGTTGATGAGCTCCTTGCGGGCGTGGGCGAGCTGGGTCAGGGTGTCCTTGATCTGGCGGTCCAGGCCGGTGGTCAGGGTCCTCAGCCGCTGTATCCTGGCCTGGTTCTGCTGGTGGACCTTGAGCTGGTCGAAGCCCCTCGAGAGCTCCTGCTCGGCTGTGATGAGCTCGCTGCCCTGGGCGAGGGTTGGGTTGTAGCGCGAGATGGAGTCGATGAGTGTGGCCAATGCCTTCTCCACGCGCTCGAAGCGCGCTGTCATGTGGGCGTCCATGTCGCAGTCATGTGTGTGTTGTTTTGCGAGTGTCGTGTCGTGTGTCGCGCGTCGCGAAGAGGGTAGCGGTAAGGCTATTAGGTTAGGTTGGTTGGATGTGAAAGCATGTGAATCAACTGCCGCATAGAAACGGCTGGAGGCAGGCAGGATGAGCTCGTGGAAGTACCATGTACAGCAGCAATGGACGCTAACCGGGCTGAGACTAGCAAGACGTTCTCTGGAAGCTTGGGGCGTGAGGCTTCAGCTCGGTGCAGTTGTGGCGTCTGGTCCAATCACGAACCGGCTGATGTAAATCACAGAGTGTGGCGGTGCAGGTGACCGGCCGGCTTGTTCCGGGGCGAGGCTTCGAAGAATCTCGCGCAAGAACCTCGATTCAATCCCCCCAAAGAAAGCTTGCCTGCTTGCTGCACGGAAAGCGTCACCAAACCCGCATCACCAGCAGACAAATCAGCAATTGAACACCCACCTTTGTTGTTCGTACACCACCGACAAGATGGCCATCCACCCCAAGAACGTAAGCAATTGACAGCTCACACTCACTGCGGAAACTCGACCTCCTCTTCCGCCAGCACCTGGTCCCATTCGACCAGTTGATACCCTTCCTCGTCGCCTTCAAGGTCGCTTGGTACTGATGCCGTCGCCTCCAGATTCCCGGTCCCGCTTACCCGACATACAAAAGCCCATACGGCCCCAAGTGAGTACACTGCAGTCTGTGCGAAGATGTCCCGGGGCATGTGTGTGCGGCCGCGGCCCAGGGGGGGGCATGGTGTCGTTTTGTTTTGTCGGCAATGATCAGGTAGATCTAGGAAGAAAGACAATGGACGAGAAATCAAAAAGGGCGGCGCATCCAACTATCGTGGAAGAGATGGATGTTTATGGGACGTGATGGGTGTCTATGGGGAACGACAAGATGCAGAATCAGGCGACTGACTTTCGTGTTTTCCTCAGGTACCACTACCAGCCCAACCTCGCAGGATGGACTCCTAAGCAATTGACCGGCCTGTAAGCAACCCTGTTGTCCTCTTTATTCCATTTCGGCTGCTGCCAGTCGACAGCTATTCTGCTCCGGAGCGGTTCCTGCGCCAACCCTCTCAAACCCAGATCACCAGGAACCCGCCAGCCTGAGCAACTAAACCGTCAGGTCGCACGGAACGGGGGACAAGCCTGCTAACACATGCACCAACAGTGGCTTCAAGGCTGGTGCTTTCGGTGGTGTCGCTCTCTTCGCCGTCATCTTCTACGCCTCCGGCATCCCCCGTGTACAAGACGACATCCTCAAGAAGATCCCCGGCCTCAGCGCATTCTACGACAGAAGCGTCCCCGCCTCCGACAACCCCTTCTAAACCGCCTGTTTAGACGTCAGCTGATAGAGAGTCATAAAGACGGTCGGAAATAGTACGAGACACGGAAAGCATTTCTGGATGCGAAATAGACAGATCACTCAGCATGCGTTGGCGAGACGGCTCCTGTATAAAATGACACAATAGACTTTTGCGACCTGCTTTTTTGACACATTTTCTCGCAGATTGGTGTTGGTTTCTAGCGGCTTAGAGATCTGTAAGATTGCGCGCCTGGCCATGACTAGAGGGCAGGTGGCTGCCAGCCCCCATTCGCAGCCTCAGCTCTACTCACGAGACGTTACCGAAGACGGCTGATGCCGTTATCCCTTGATCTAGCATGACGACACACCACCGAATGTTGCTCAACTTTAGTTTCATCCGGAGAACCCGCCTCGAATGAGTTGGCAAAGAGCAAGGCCCCAAAAATCCAACAAATCATCAATATGTCCTTCTCCGCAACACTAGTACTTATACCATACATCTACGTGCACTACGTAGTCCAAGGCATAATCATCGCCGCGCTGGAATGGGTCAGTGAGAGCGATGGGCGAGCAATATACCGTGCTTCACTGTCGTCGATCATACTGATGAACAGCTGTCTGGCGAAGCTTATATTATATCCCCATCGTGATGATGACTAGGAACTGTTGTGACTGGGCGGTCGCTCTTAGACCATCATGTCTGCACTTGTAGTTGAAGTTTGACGAGGCTTTTACGATTCCACGAAGCATATTGAGCCTTCCATCCAACGACAAAATCTACCTAAAAACGGACATATGCAAAACTATACACGCCCACGAGCCCTGCTTGTGTATAACTTCATTGCGAGATTCTTGGGCATTTATTACACACTCCTGCAAGGGAGAGGTTGAACTTGGCGAGCCGTTGAGAGCTGCGAGGTACCTCTGCGACTAACTAAATAATCCAACTGTTTCTAAGTTGAGCATGTAGAGGATTAATCTCTTCCTCTTCTCCCCCTCTCACTTCTGCGTTTCATTACCCCCGTTCCAGCCGTGGAGGTACTATACACCCAGAATGATAGCCGAGGGCAGATAAAAAGAAGGCTTTCAGCATAGAAGTACCCGTTCCCGACGTGTGGAACGGCACCCTCCCGTGTCATACAGGAGAACTATGGGGGAAAAGGACTCATTGCGCAGCCATATGCACTGCAATTTTAAACCTCGCCAACGGTCTGAACCGGACGTGTCGAGGGCTAGGTGCCAGCGAAGGCATGGCGAGAAAATGCAAATTCATCCGGGAGAGTCATAGGTCATGGTATTTTCCCCCTGCAATACGATAAAAATGTCCAATCACAATCCAAGCCCAGTTTCAGTTTGATATCATGTTCCTGACCAGTCCAAGACGTAATTACCTGGCTATCCCGTCCATTTTTATCTATTCTACCTTGGAGACGAAACGGGCACCAGCGGTTTATGTTGTACAGGCATGTTCTCTATGCTCCCTCGTTGCTTCTCTCCTGAATCTCTTTGCACAGGTTCGAGTGTCCTCTTATGACTTCATGCTGTCCTTGATCTCCCCCTTGAGTCTAGTAATCGTGCCCGCGCCACCGTAGACCAGATGGGTGTACACCATGGCCACACTGGCGCCCGCGTTCAGGATGTCTAATGCCTGGCGGCCGTTGGTGATACCGCCGGTCGCGAAGATGACCTTTTGCTCGCTGCCTCGGGCGGCTTGGTTCTGGGACTTGCTCACCACGGCACTGTCGTCCTCAACCGCGCCCGTGGCAGTGCCCTCGAGCCCAGCGAGACTCGCGCTCACGGCATCCTCGCGGGCTGCCTTCTTGCTGCCCTCCAGCGGTGCCGCAGTCGAGAAGCTGCGGTTGTCGAGCAGCTTGCGGTATCGCTTGACTAGATCTAGCGTGCGCTCAAACATCATGGGTCCCGAGTAGCCGCCTTGCTCAGACAGAACATTGGCCTCCTGCGGTGTGATGACAATGCTTTCCGGCACGACTCCGTGGCGGCGCTTCGTGGTGTTGCCTACGATGACACCGTCGACGCCGCTCTGCCAGACGGCCTGTGCAATGCCCTCCATCTGTGTATCCTCGTCCTCGTCCGGCGAGACCTTGACCATGACCTTGGGGACGACCTTCCTCTCCGTCCTCCTGGCCTCGTCCACCACGGCGCTCAAGATCCTGGTCAGCGGCTCGACAGCCTGCAGGTCTCTGAGACCTGGTGTGTTGGGGCTCGACACATTGACGACCAGGATATCCGCATACGGCGCCAGTCTGCTGACGCAGTAGGTGTAGTCTCTCGCGACCGCCGCCACATCGCCCTCGGGGGTGTCCTTGTTCTTGGCGATCTGGACCGCCAGCAGCTTGCCCTGGTTGAGGCTGCCGGGGGGCACATTGGCCCCGCCGTTCAGGACCTCGTCCTCGGTCAGGCCGACGGACTTGGCATACAGGCGCACGCGATTGCGCAGCGTCATGGCCATGTGGTCGGCGCCGTGCGAGTTGAGGCCGTACCTGTTGATGAGGCCGTAGAGACCGGGGATGCGGAACATGCGGGGCTTCGCGTTGCCGGGCTGGGCGAGAGGCGTGCAGCCGCCCACCTCGACGACGGCGGCGCCAAGGGCGAATAGGGCGTCCGGGACCTCGGCGTGCTTGTCGAGGCCGGCCGAGATGCCGATGGGGTTCGACAGCGGGTGACCGAAGACGGAGAGGCCGAGGTTGGCGTCGAGGGCTTTGGATGTTGAGGGGCGCTCGCGCGGGTGCAGGCCCAGGGAGTAGAGCGTCTTCATGGCCGACAGGGCGACGTTGTGTGCCTCCTCGGCGTCGGGGAAGACGGTGCGCAGGAGCGGCGGCACCAGCCATTGGTGCAGGGAGGCCCGGGTGTCGGTGCCGTAGATGTATGCGATGTAGCCTCCGGCGCCGATGGTCGCGGTGATCAGGATGGTCTTGAGCCGCGACACAGGTGCTGCTGCCGTGGTGGTCGAGACATGGCGTTTGCTGGCTCTGGCTGTCTGGAACTGCTGTCTGGATCGGGCGAGTATGAGGGAATTGAGTGTCCTGGGGCTGACCCTGGACGTGAGAAGGGTTGACTTCATCTTGAGTGTCGCATACTCTCGTAAGCTGGTCACTCAATGGCTGGGGGGAGGAGATGCCAGTCGGTGAAGGTGTTGTGAAATGTTGCTCAGTGGTGGGATGAAGTGCCAAAAGCGAGCTGCCGCTGCCGGCGAGTAACAGTACTTTATACTGTGCACAATACTTATACACACGGTGGCCTCGTTAGTCACCATCCAATTATTGTCCTCTTGCTAGGTCCGGCTACTACTCTCAAATCAATTTCGATACTTGTCAACTTGACATATTGCATAGCACAACAACTCAACCGCACATTCCAGGGAAACCGCGAGGGCTGAGGAGGTTATGGAAACGCCGATGCCTACACCTCCAACATGTCTTCCTGCAATGCGATAATCGACTTTCTCTTGAGCCCTGCTGTTCTCCGAGCGACCCTCGTGACTACGGTCTTCACTCTCGCACTGTGTACAGACCTTGGCAAAGGACAGCCAGGTCACCCGAGATGGCAGTGGTTCACGCAATTAGCTAAAAGCTACGCATTACCCATTGCCATACCAACCTTGCTCGGATGGGTATGGTTGACCTTGGTCAACGCCTTTGTACCGAGGCCGTACATGGTGAGCACACTCGAAAAGTACGCCGTCGACAGGACACTGATCAATCTACAGGATGAAATCTTTCATGTCCCTCAAGCGCAGGTGTACTGCGAGGGCAAGTACGCACAATGGGACGACAAGATAACCACGCCGCCTGGACTGTAAGCTAGGTTTTTCTATTCGTCTGTCAGTATCATGCTGTGCTAACAAGATCATAGGTACTTCCTCAGTATCATCTGGGCCCGGCTCTCTGGTTATGGAGACTGCTCACTTGAGACGCTCAGAAGGTTCAATCTCTTCATTATAGCATGTACAGCTGTTGTGGCGGCAGCATCCCGCGCCATTATCGAGGGGCCCAGCGCGAAGGGCCAGCTCAACTCGGCCTACTCCATACACACCGGCATCAACATCGCCCTGTTCCCGGTACTCTTCTTCTTCTCAGGACTCTACTATACAGACGTCATTTCTACCTTCGTCGTGCTTATTGCCTATCTGAACCATCGGAGGAGGCTTGGACAGGGCAATAGAGGACGCTCAGTCGTCAACGATCTATACACAGTTTTTCTGGGTGTTCTCGCTCTGTTCATGCGCCAGACCAATGTCTTCTGGGTGGTAGTATACATGGGTGGGTGCGAGGCTGTGCAGGCTATCAAGGATCTGCCCGTCGCGTTTGAGAAACCCTCACTCGACACCTGGGCGGCGCAGGCCAAGTTCTTCGTTCAGAAGTCCTCCATCGGCGCCATTCATGACCCCGTCCTGCAGAACGCCTGGCCAGAAGATCTCCTGCTGTGTCTCTTGAGCATTGGTATTGCAGCTGTTTGTAACCTCGGCGCCATCTTCCGTCGTATCTATCCACAAATCGTTGTCGTTGCACTCTTTGCAGGCTTTGTGCTCTGGAACGGAGGTGTGGTGCTGGGAGATAAATCCAACCATGTGGCTACGCTACACTTGGCTCAGATGCTCTATATCTGGCCCCTTTTTGCCTTCTTTTCGGCTCCCCTAGTACTGCCACAAACCTTGCACGTCGCTCAAGGAGTCCAATCGTACTTCATGTCTCAGTGGCCACTAAAGTCCACGGGCCGGGAAGGCAAGTCAGGAAAGAATGCCCAACGCAACGCAAACTATCTAGGAATTGCTCTCTCCGTTGTTTTGCTCGGAGGCTCAACCATTGGTGCCGGGTTGATTGTTCACTACAACACCATCATCCATCCATTCACTCTAGCTGATAACCGGCACTACATGTTCTACGTGTTCCGCTACACGATCATGCGAGGCTCCACCATCCGCCTTCTCCTTGCGCCGGTATACGTCTCTTGTGCTGTCCTAGTCTGGACCTCCCTCTACCAAAACAATCCCGACGCCCCCACAAAGCCCAAGTCGGGTATCCTCAACAAAGGCTCGTCTCGAAGCACTGTACTTACCTCGGAGGTTCTGATACTCCTGGTCACAATCACGCTCAGTCTAATCACGGCACCGCTGGTCGAGCCGAGATACTTTATCCTTCCGTGGGTATTCTGGCGTCTGTTGGTGCCCAGACGCACGGGAGGAAAACGAGAAGCCTTGGACTGGGTCCTGTTTTTGGAGACAGCCTGGTTCCTGGTAGTGAACGCGGTACTCATGTACATTTTCCTTACCCGGCCCTTCGTCTGGAAGTTGGAGGGACACGAGCTTGATGGTGGTGCTGTGCAAAGATTCATGTGGTGAGGTGGTCAAGTAGGATGATGGCTACTGCCGTGCCGCGTCCGGCTTGTATATCAGTTGTGGTACAGAACGTTCGTCTGTTTGTGACACATTTTTTTTTAGGCTTGAGCGGGAGGCGTCTTGAAAACTAGAGCATCCTCTGGCTCACGACCAGTCTTTACCTTGATGAGACAAAGCCTAGTCTAGTGCCGAAACTTTGCAGTTGTTGCAAACCAACCAAACAAATGCCGATCAGGTCCGATCTTCACCGAAGTGCAGCAAATGGTCTGCGTTGCTCGTATCAACACCGACTCGCTAGCCTGCATTAGGCAAACAGGAATCTGGGGAAATGGGTTGTGGCCAAGGCAATATACCACAGTACACTAGTTCCAAAAAACACTCGGTATAGTTGCATCGGTGCTGTAAACAGACTTCAGAAGTGCAGTTCCCCCTGCCAATAATAGGTAACCTACAACCTCGGATAACGTCGCTTTATGTTAGTGGTAGGGCCTGGTACATAGTAGACTGGTAGAGTCTTCTAACCTAAGTTACAGGGCCACTCGATGGGACACACAAAAGAAAGGCATCGGGCGCTAGGTATCCTTTCACCCCGCGCTCCAACCCGTCAAAAGGCTTTCTAGCGGTGGTGGCCACCCAATTGAAGGCGTTGAATTACAGCAGAGTTCCACCGTTCCAGTGCCGGGAACGGCCGACTCACGCCGGGGGCAGGTTTCGATTGACTCGACTCGGCTGCACTCTTGTGCCTCTTGTGCCTCTTGTGCTTCAGCTTCATCTTCCAGGGGGGCGGCCTGCGGGGGCTTGCGGGAGGGCCTCTGGGCAACTGGGTTGGCTTCAGGCCATCCGTCATTGGCTGTAGCGGCCCCCCAGACGTGAGTAAGTCGTCTGCAGCTCTGCACTGCGACGTCAGGATTTCCACTGGGACCACCAACAAAGAACATAGCCAACAACGTGCCGCTGCCATTTACTTATTGGACGCAACAAATATACCGCATCTGGAGACGACAAAGTGATTGTTGCAGAGCAAACAAACCGTAGCCTGAGAGTCCACTACATACCACACTGTCTTTGCGCATACAAGAAACCTCGCGGACCGCCCGAAAGCGAATACAAGAACCAAACCCCGACGCAAAAGCCAAAGCGAAAGGGGAACCAAGTCAGGTTTTCCCGACTCGGGCTGACGGAGATCGCGATCGCGATCGGAAGCCAAGAGAGCCAACCGAGAGGACATCACACAACCACCTCCGAACCCTCTCTCCGACCGAACGGCACCGCGGGGATATCGCGCAGCTTGTCACAGCTTCGACGGCGACAAAGACCCCATCCATCATATCCAAGCGGACCACTTGCGAGAACGACCATATCACAAACACCAGGACCACCACCACCACCACCATCATCATCATCATGCCATCTTCACAACGCCCATTCTTTCTCTCCTCCTTCCTTGCCGCCTTCAGGCAACAACCTTCCACCACCACATCCGCGCTGTCGGCGTCGCAACAACCGAATAAGACGCACACACATACGCATTCGCACACGCATCCTCAGCCCGGGCAAACCTCCACATCCTCGGCCCGTGGCATCTCCACCACCACCACCTCCTCCGCCGCCGCAGCAGCCACACAGAGCGTGATGAACCAAATACCCATACACAGCCCGCGGCCGCATCATCACCACCACCACCAGGGCAGCATACCCATACCGGACGCCACGGGCCGGCGGCGGGGCAGCGACAGCAGCTCCGAGGGCTTCCGGGACGTCATGGGCGGCGACAAGTGGTACATCGGCGGCAGGACGGCCGGCGGGGAGGAGAAGTTCTTCAAGCTAGGCGTCGTGAGGAGGGTGAGGAGTACCGATCGCCTGAGCCTGGATCGCCTGAGTTTATGAAACCTCCCCCCGAAAGGGGAAATGTTGGAGAGGTAGTGGCCCATCGTTCGGGACGATGGCGCGCATGGGAAAGGAAAGAAATATCACGAAGGCCTTGACTATAGACAGATATGGACACGCATGAAATGGGGACCTGAAGGTGTGACAAGGAGAGACACCTTACCAACAGGCTCTCCGCGGCGTTGCACGAGTCGTTGGTTCTTTGAATTTGGGGTTTCCTCCGTGGAGGCGCTCCTCTACATACTTCAGGATGAAGTGAGCAGATGGCCTTCTAGGTTCATTTTGGGATCGACATGGCAGGGAAATAAATGGTAAATACGTGCTCCAGCAGTGAAGAAAGAAAGAATGAAAGAAAGAAAGAAAAAAGCATATCGTACTGTGAGCTATGACGAGATTATGTGACTACGCATTATATATACAACGTTGTTGCCGAAATACAAAAAAAAACAAGAAAAAAGAAAAGAAAAAAAGCACATCTCACATAAATCCCTCCAAGGCGTGTTGTGTTCTAAAGTTCATCCCACCTAATTCCCGAGGACTATTTAGCCTAGGACGGCGCCCAAGAGCCTACGACAATGCGATATAACAAGTTCAAGAACCCGTATATGTTCAAGGTGGAGGGACTGATACAAATGTGTTCTTCTAGCCGGCATGGCCTACGTAGGGAGAGCGCGTGAGTCGTGCCCATGTGTGTTTTTGCGAAAGATCTGCCCGTCTGGATTCGCAATGAGTTGAGGATATATCATATTTTACATCGCCTTGGGCGATGCGCCAACGACAACATGGTCGCATCAGCAATGGTGTCGTCCATGTGACGCAGCTGTCTTACTGCCCTCCTGCGGACTTATTGGTGAATAATACGGATATGTTGATTGTTTTGCGATGGGATTCCCCATGATATTATGGCATGTTGGATACTTGACGTCATGCATCTGACCATCTCTACGATCCTCCACGTTTCTATATTAGTTCTACAAGCCGTGTTCATCCCTGCATCTGCGGCTCTGGGTGGCCGTTGCGCTCATTCCACTTCCGGTCGAAAACGGAGAGGGACCGTTGTGCTGGACATCTCATGTTAGCATGGTTTAGGTAGTGACCCGAAAGCTGCGGCTATGCCCATTACCTGACGGCACCACATCCAGGGCCTTGATGGAGCGGTTGAGTGGCTGGCCCAACATGAAAACGGCGGCTTCTGCCACGTCCTCGGCTACGAGTGGCCTGCGGGGTGTTGATCTGTTAGCAAGAGGAAGATCAAAGAAGTAAATAAGATAAAAGTTCAATGAACCCAGTCATGTAGGACACGTACTGGAACCCCTTCATGAAACCCTCATACATGTCCTTGTCGAAGCCGACGCGCTGCGTGTGGAAATGAGTCGCCACCACGCCGGGCCGCAGGGCCAGCACCCTGATGTTCGTCTCGCTGAGCTCGTTGCGCAGCGCGTTGGTGAAAGCCTCCTGCAGCGCCTTGTTGGCGTGGTAGACGGCCTCGCCGGGGAAGGGCGGGGCCTCCAGGGCCGTGGTGGACGTGATGTTGAGGATGGTGCCCTCGCCCCTGGCCAGCATGGAACGGTTCAGGACGGCGTGCGCCGCGAACATGTAGCCGTTCACGTTGGTGTTGTTCATGGTGACGATGTCGGAGATCTTGAGCTCCGGGAAGCGCGCTGGCGTGCCGAGCGCCAGGCCGGCCTGTTGTGTTGGGCATCTTCACGTCAGTCTGCTCTTTAAATAGTCCCTCGGACGCAAGTGGTCGCTATGATTGGGCCGTACATTGTTCACCAGGATATCGATCTGTCCCAGGTCCTTGACGGCTTCCGTCACGCCTCTGTCGACTGCCTCATGGTCTCCGACGTCTAGTGCATAGTACCTCACTTGGACGCCAGAATGCTGCGATTGGAGTCGTTGAGACAGGTCCTTAAGCTTGTCCTATACAATGACGTTGAGCCACCACCCGGAACTTCTTGTGCGTGATATTCAGTGGGCGTACTCACCTCACTCCGCGAGATGAGGGCAAGCTTTGCTCCTTGACCAGCCAGAGCATCAGCTATCGCTGCCCCGATGCCTATCGAGGCACCGGTCTTTTCAAACATGATTAGTCTTCTACTTTGCCAAATATCAAGATAGCCTTACAATGAGTACAACTTTTCCGCTCAACGACATCTTGCTGCTTGGCCAAGAGGCTGTTTGCAATGTACCTAGTATTCAAATTGTATCTCTCGACTCGTCGTGTAAGTGGCGCTGGTCTCAGAATTGAGTTTGCTTTGGAGTAAATGTGTATGAGCAAATTGTGGCCGATCCCACGGTTAATTTGGATTCCATTTTCGAGAATAATTGAAGCCATGCAGCATTAGTAATGTCTATCATGTATGACGTCTACGGGTGCGTATTGTGGGTGCAGCAGCCGTGGAATCTACTATTCGCCATGCCTACCCGCCGGGAACGAGGTCTGCGCGGGAGGCGCCTTCGCGCTTAGCTGGGTATGCCCTGTAGAACATCGATGAACTAACCTTGCGGGTAATCATGTAGCACCCAGGCTTAGATAGGTGCCCAAGCGCAGTTGTAAAATCTGCCTACGAAAGTATTGATTAACCAAAAATCTCGATTCGCTGTTTCGAAATATTCATTCAAAGGACTCTAAATATTTTGAAGACAGTGCATTTTGACGACCGCGGCCCCTGAAATGCGTGGCTACTGCCTGCTAGCATACGAAGCGCTGGAGGTTTGACATGGTGCCATGAACCAAGCACTGCATGCATGTACCATGCGGGATCATAAGGTTAAATAAACCTTACTAAGGGCTTGACACAGTCGAACTGAAGCAGATTAAGCCAAAAATCGGATTACTTAACCTTTCACGACCACGGTCTATCAACTGGTCAGAAACATCGAAAGTCCCTATTTAATCCTAGTAATTACGTGACAGGGCGGAATCTAAGCTGTTCTTTTCCCACGTAGTCTAGAGTTTTCTAGCCTTACGGATGCCGCTACCAAAAGTCTTCGCCCGCTTGATTTTGTGAAGACTTTTGGTAGCGACATCCGTAGGGAGTATAGATATTTAATGCCCACGTCTTGTTACACCATCATAGCATAGCTAGTGCGTTTCCAGTCCGCTAAAGAAAATGAGAATTCACCTTCACCCTAAATAAAGCATACCTACCCACCCCCGACAACACCGAAGTTTAAGGAGATAACAAGCATCGGGGGGCTTTCATGATCGACGTCCAGCCAGTTGTGAGGTCGGTCCAAGCGCTCTCAGCATCGATAGCTGTTCGTTATCAAGCTTGTCCCAGGCGAGGGCTGCATGACCTGCGATATTGTCCGGGCAGAGCATAGCAGTCCGTCCCCATCCCAACCCAAGACGAGGCGAGATCGCAGTGTTTTTGATTCCAATGATGATTTACGTTCATCTCGATTGGGTCCTGTCTGCATTTATACATCATCATAAAGGTCAGCCTAGTACTGGTCCTATCCTCTCGGTATACTTGCAAGATAAACTTGCTCTGATGCTGTCCGCATTAATCATCATTATCGCGGTTATATAAATTACAATTTCCGCATCGCAGCCCCTGGATACTTTCGAGACATCTACGATTCCGCTGTCATCTGGTATTGCCTCCCAGGTATTGGCATGCTGGCATTTAGATCTGATATCATGAGCGCCTCAAGTCTTAGACAATTCCTTGTCCTATGTCTTACTTCGTGGGCCCTGCGAAGATCCTCTCTATGTGCAGATAAGCGATGTACTTTCCGGACGATATCTCTGCTTCCGTCTACATAGTGTTTGTGCCGGTGTCAACTGACATACTTGGGGTTATGACATGGAAGAGGTTGATTAGCGATGAGAGGAGTGAACAATGAGCATGGAGAAGGATATGAACCTGCTTGTCTGGCGGCCGTCCTGGTTCCTGAAACCGGTCGTATTCTTGCAACTTGAAACTGCTGTCGCCATACCGAAGAGAGGCCGCAATGATGAAACAGTACACTCCAGTTCTGCTCGCCGTACTGAGTCAATATCTGCCTTTTGGTATGACACAGAAATTGGCTTGGGTGACTACTGTGGTCACCGAATGCTTCGATGCCTCAACATCCAGCAAACCGTCCGTAGCGACTACAGTCTCAGTACAATCACCACAAGGTACATACGCCTACAGCATGCCATTGTGTCTGGAATGCGGCTGTCCGACCTGCACATTTACAAGCGTCTTCACGACGACTCTGCTAGCCTTTTACCCAACGGGAACTACAGCGCATCCCTACACGGTCACTGAAACATATGCTGGAATGTCATCATTGCCAACCTTTGCGACACCAACAACCATACCATACGGATTTACCGTTACACAGGCAACGTGTACTATCTGCGACACGACGCCCATAGTCATGACCATGACCTGCCCGAGTGGCGGCGTGCCATACGCCACACGCGCTTTCCCAGACACCAACCCTCTAATGCCTGCAGTAGATCGCCAAGGACTGGCTGGTGGAGTGTCGTATACCACGAGAGGTGGAAATAGTGCTTTGCCAACCAATGACCCTATCTTACCCGAAGTCAGCAGCCAAGGGCCGTCCACCGGTGCGCCGGGCATTGGGGCAATGCCGACTGGCGACAATGGACAGTGTCTGCAAGGACCGACGGTGGTTTTAACAACCTTCATTACTGTTTTGATCAGTGCAACTCCTGAGACCGCGCTCACGTCGACTCTAGCCACACACAGCAATTTCGAACGTCCCGTTTTCCAAAAGTCACCTTGGAACGCAACATTCACGTCACCGCCCATTAACAGCATGTTGGCTATGTCGGCAGATAGCTCCGGTAGTGAAAACTCACTGGCGGAGCGTTTTACCAGCAATGTCAACGCCTGGAAATCAAGTTCGACAGGCGATACACCGCCACCAGCCATCAGACTCGCCAGTGGTGTAGCAGAGAAACGAGTTGCCATTGAAACTACTAGAGTAATTTCAGATGGTGGTCTGTCGGTTCGACCAATACCACAACTTCCTCTAGTCTTACTAATCGTTGTCATCGCTGCTCTAACGCTTCCTATCACTGTTTGAGCAAGACATGGTCACACTTCTTGAGGTCATGCCCATTCAATGCCACTTTGTTTAATTTTTTTATCGTTTTGCATAACATCACATTTGCAACTTCATACTGGTGGACGTTACTGACGAGGTGCAACGCATATTCCCTTATCCCGCTGATCTTGTACACGAATTTCCCAACATGTATTTTCACATAGAAATATGCCACGAGAAATCATGTCTAATATTTGACGGAATCATGCAGGCATTAGGGTGCCTCATTTATATTTAGCTCTCAGCTATTGGATTTTCTGAATTTGATGATAGGTTCTGCAACTTCAGTCGCAAGGATTATATAATTATTTTGAGAATTGAAAATTCCATAGATTTTCTTTTCTTTAACTGTTCTAAGTTGCTTTCATAGCTTGAAACAAGGTTAAAGATCGACACATAATGCCTGAACGGATAGATACTACCCTAACATTTGTACTATACTTTCCCATATATTGTAGTTGGGTCACTAAGCAGTTGGAATATAACTGGCTATCCTATGCATACTATTCTATGGACTCCAACTCTCAGTGACGTGGCTCTAAAGCTTTGCTCCATTAGCTGATTCACTCAGGAGAAATTCAACCACGTCTGTGGCGGCTCTACGGCCCTGCTCAATGGCACCATCTATAAAGCCTCGCCAGCCATCTGCCCAGTCAGCGCTGGCAAAAAGAACCCTCCCGTGAGATCTCTGCAGCTCTGCCCAGTGTGCTGTGGATGAATTAGGGCCCCAGCAGCTCCATACTCCCTTAGCATAGGCGTCATTCATCCAATCGTGGGTAGCGTAGAGCTTCACGTCCGCATCTGGTCGGATGTTCTGCCTGAATTGTCTGACAATCTCTGAACTGTTCTTTTTATCCTCCAGACAGCCGTTGTAGCCAAAGCCAATGCACCAAGTGCCGTCTGGGCCCCAGGGCCTGGTCCCATTGTGATCGGAGAATGCGAAGACGTACGGTGAGCCTTTTTCGCACGTCGCAAACCAACCTGGTTCGATATCTCCGAGTTTGAAGTGGATCTTGGCACCTTTGTTGATGTGGCCACGGACAATGGCTTCGTGGCGGAGTGGGCTTAGGGGAGGTGTGAATATCACGTCACCAAGAACATTACTTGCAATAGATTTAGTTGAATGCTAATTAGATTTTTGAAACTTGTTGGGCGAAGTACTCACAGAGGAATCGTTGAGATGACAATTTTTGCCGTGATCCGTCTCGCAGCTTTGGTCGTAACTATGGCGCCCGCCGCATACTGGGAAATTTCTCCTACGGGGCTATTCAACAGAACGTCACCTTGAAAGTCCTTCAAAATCAATGTGGCTAAAGACGTCGTTCCACCATTTCCTAGTTTGAAGACACCAACAAGCTCAAAGACGCCGCCCATGGTGTGGCCGCCAAGCGCAAACCAGCGAAGGGCTTCGCAAAACCCGATGTCTGAGCCTGGAGCACTACCAAACGAAGCAGTCATCGTTTCGAAGATAGCTTTATCAAATGAAGACACATTGTGGAGCAGTTTGAGGCGATCTGCTATGCTCATATGGTCGTATTTCTTCCAGGGCGTTGGCTCTCGGAGCGGATCGTGTGGGTAGGGCATCAACGCCCGGCTGTCTAGACTATCAATCTGGAAGAAATCGGCTGCAACTTTATCGCATATATTCTTCACTTCTGCCGGCACAAGACTTTCGACAGTAGAACCGGACCGTTTGTGATACTGGGACGTAATAATCATGATCAGCTTATGGGGTTCTTCGTGACTAGTGCCCTCAACGCTCCGACAAGATTCATTATATTCCATAGTATTCATGATAAAAAAGGAGATTAATGATAAACTCGATTCCGAAACGTACCTGTACTTGGGTAGCGACCGTTCCTGCAGAGGTCTTCAAGCTTTTATGAATACCGTATCGGTGCAGCTCGGTATACACATGAGGCTGGTTCCAATGAACCCATGTCCCGCCCATCTCGATATCTTCATTGTCCACTCGGGCGGTCCAAGTGCGACCGCCAATACGGTCTCTGGCCTCTAGGAGCAAGACCTTTGCTTTCGAGTGCTGCGATATGTCGCGGGCAGCGATCAGTCCCGCGAATCCGGAGCCGATTACAATTACATCGTAGGCATCTCGAATATGTGACGAACTCGGAACGACCGATGCGGTGTGAATACCTTCGACTTCGCTGGTGGGCGTCCAGATGTAACCTTCCTTTGACCTTTGCATGTTGAAGATAACCTGTGCAACGTAACAAGCAAAATACGAAGTTTAACAACTAGTCTAGATGAGAAGGCCTGCTAAGAGGTGAAGTACACATCTTCTCATCAGCGGCGAATATAAATATATAGCAAGAGTCTAGCTTAATGATTTGCCAAACAAGTGTCAATCAATCTTCCGTCTCTCCAATTCTGACTCTCAAGGAAGCTGATTAGAGGGGAACGCACTTTTTATCCATTTCGGGCAATCGCCAAGAGCGCTAACTGGGTAGAATCACCAGTTGGGGGCCACCAATCTCAGAGCGCGGGGCGTTCAGCTAGGTGTATATAATATGTAAGTCAACATTGCTTCCATTGTCATAAGGTCTAGAGTACATACAAACATCACTTGGTAAATGCATCATCATGTTTGAAGTTCGAAGCAAAGCTGAGGCGTCCAGGATTGCCAATGTGCCCGATGGTGGGCCGCATGTCTTCTTTGTTAAATGCATATCCGCTGCGACGCGTGCTCGCGGAGCATGTACAAAGAACTAACACTGCAAAACTCAGGGGACATATTTGGCAACAAGGATGCGAGCGCATCCAAACCTCTTGTTGGGTCTTGGTTCCGCATCGAACGAGGGCCGTCGGCAACTCCTCCCCCATATACACATGATGAAGTTGGCATCGTAGTAGAAGGTGAATTAGGGGCCTGGCGGCAGACGTAGTACAGTGAACAGATCCTGACAGGCGAGTTTACTCTGGAAGATGAGACGGGCAGCAACATGAGGCTGATAGATGGTGACACTTTTGCTGTATATCGAGGAAGCACTGTGGTATTCTCGTCCTCTCACTACGTTCTTGCTTGGAAGCTGAACACAGACCAAAGGTGTGATTGGTCTAGTACTGGGTATGCTAATAAAAATTGCTTCCAGCACGTTTGGGGGGAACCGGCAACGAATATAATGATATTATTGTTTGTATGATCGAGTCAAGAATTATTCGTATGTCTTGTCTGTATCGTATTGGTATACTGCCACTGTGCTGTCGTGAGACTCTGGTGTTGACATCTGCTGGTAATGCGCGGAGCTCTCAAATGGGTCCCCACTACACTCACCAACCATATAAGTAAGTCCGGAGACCTGCTTACGCCATGGTAGTGCGTAACGCGTGCACATATTCATGGCGTGGATGCAGGAGTCGTGTGATTATAGTGCTATATTAAACGAATTGGACTTGCTATGTACGAAGCTCTACGTCAGAGGTCGTTGAATAAACATAAGTGGAAAGTGTCTCGAATACATGGCTTTAGATGCCTCCGCTGTTCAAGTGCGCCTGTTGTATTTGATCATACGGTGAGCCTACGCGACAGCTGGAGTGACCGACCAAAAACTAGTGTGCAGAGCATTAGCCTGACCTTAGTGGACTCGCCTTAGCGAAAGACTAGAATGACTTCGCGTAACCATGAGGCAGTGTTGACCAATCGCACTTTTTCATTAAAAATGGTTAGCTTCCAGCTATAGTTGGATTGATGCGAGTGCCGGGCCTAACGTTCAAATCTCTCAGCGTTTCTATTCATGACTGTCTTGAAGTACATATGCATTTCCATGAACGCATGTAAACAAAACCTTCTATGCAACGGAGGCAGCTTATGTAGCTTTACTCTGGCAAACCATGAACAATGTAAGAGTATACTCAGTTAATCTGGAATAGAAGTGGGAAATTCCATGAAAATTGGAGATTATACCTGCGAGCGCGCGCTTTTGCAGACCGTGAATTGTGTTCTGTGTTTAGGAGACTACAACCGCCGGCTTCTTATTTAGCGCTGTGGACCCCAGCAAGTAATGAATTTCCCAAACTCGTCGATTCTTCATCGTTCCATCATTCAAGTAAGAATACAATTTTGCTTCGAGTCTTCAAATCACCATCTTCAGATTTCATTGCTTGAGAATCATGTTAGGACTGGGCCGCAGAAGTGCTGAAGATAAACGGAGAAAGTCCAGGTCTGGCTGCTCATCTTGTAAAGCCCGACGTGTGAGTGAACTGGCTAAGATGGGGCTCAAGCATCGCTAATACTAAGCAGATCAAATGTGATGAAACACAACCCGAATGTCAGCAGTGCACTCGGAGCCACGATGAATGTCCTGGCTACTCATTGCCTTACAAGTGGTCTTCTAAGCATGAGAAGTACCCCGGTGGTGACCTGGACATCCAGAGTGGCAGAAAAAGACGTCAACCGAGACTTCATCAGAGTCTGAGACAGTTGACAGGAAGTCAGCTCTCCGATATTGACTTGCACAACGATGAGATGATGCCACTCACCAACATGTCATTACAAAGCCAGCATCGCGAAAATGCGCCATTCTCAGGAAAGGAAATTGCAAGCATGCTTTTCATTGACGCCTTGCTCGAGCCTGACGCTGAAGCATATCCAACGCCTTCGTATCAAGCGGTTCTGGAAAAAGTTCATTGCAACCCCAAGCTATGGGGTGATAATCTGATTTCAGACTCAAGCCTTATCGCAACATATTTCTCGCAGACCATTATCAAGAATTTATGCTCATACGACTCTACGCGCAATCCCTTCCGGGCTACCATCAGTATCGGGGCAGATAACTGTCTCTACTCCGTTTTGTGCAGGTATTTGACCTTGTCCTACCTTACGACTTCCAAACCTACAGAGGCGTCTCAGGTGCAACTCACAGAAAGTCGCAATGAGTTTCTTCACCGGTTACATGGCGAAGTCAGCATTGTTCATCAAAATAAACAGACAAAGTGGGAGAAAATTCTACTAATATTCATCATGTACGGACTCGCTAGTGGCTGGGATGGCACTGATGACGCAGGTCGCCGGTACTATAACATTGCTATCAATATGCTCCAACAACGGCCGCACATGCATAACTATAATCTCCGATTCTTCAATGAAAGCCTAGTCTATTGGTGGATGGGTTTGTCTCTCACAACGAACACTGAGTCTGAACATCTGTTGGAGCCGCCTGCAATTGATCTGCAGCAATCCGGGGTCTTCAACAACAAGTGCATCCCCCATCCTCTGACAGGTATTGCCCCCCAGGCACAACTTTTGCTGGGAAAAGTTGGCACACTATTGTTTACTCAAAGAGTGCTAGCACTCAAAGGAGGTTTCGCATCCATAAACAACTTACTTCTAGAACGCCATGCACTTCACAGTGTTCTGGGGTTGGAACGGGACTTGCGCTCTCTGAAGATTCTAGATTCAATTGTGATCACTGAAAGAGAGGGCCGAGAAAGTTCTGTGCACGATCTCAGATCTATCGCAGAATGCTATAGGCTCTCGGCACTTTTGTTGTTATATCGTGGCTTTCCGGATCTACTACAACGAATAGTGGCGCAAAGCAACGCGGTGAGCAGAAGTCCGCCGGAGAGCGGAGATTCTTGGTTACGCTCACTGGCTCTGCATACACTTGACGTCTTATCCCGATGTACTCCAGGATCACGGACAAGAAGTTCCGAGCAAGTCTTGCTTGTCATCATTGCTGGAGAGCTGAGACTCCCGTCAAATAACGTTTCTGTTACGAATCTTCAGAGCTTCGACGATTGCTTTGAACCGTTTCCACTGTTTGCTGGCACTCGTGAGACGGTCCAACTCCAAGAAGTTGTGGAAACTGACAAGTCGCCATTTTGGAGCCAGTCATGCATTCCACAAGTTGCAGAACACCATTCAGATCTTACAGCCGTCCCGAACAGCATTCAAGGCATCTGTAGCGGATTGAGAAGCGTTGATACCGCTGTTCGAGCTGGGAGGAAAACAGTCATGTCACGCTTAGCTTCTGTACGGGAAATACTTCCATGCAAAAGTGTGGATCGTGTAAAACACCTGATAGAAGAGAGTTGGCGGCAAAATGACCAAGGAATAGACACCTTCTGGATGGACATTATGATTCAAAGAGGGTGGAAAATACCTATGGTTTAGGAGCTATTGCTGATTATAATCCACTGATTCATTCGCGCTTGTCAAATAACGAATCTGGAACTCTTGCCTTATCAAACGCGGAGCTTTCACACTGGGGGAGCCTGTAACATGTTAGTACACATCATGGATTAAATGACTCTCTTGACAAACCCAAACGCGACAGGCCCACCCCGTTTTAGACCTTCCTCTGAATACCAGATCTCTGGTGCTGGAAAAGCAACAATGGCAACCTGAAGACCATATCTCAGCTCTGTGATACCTACGACTTGGCCGCTAGTGGCATCGATTATCTGCATCGTTGTCAGCTGGTTGACGCTATGGGTTACAGAACAAGGTGTAGGACTGACGGCAAACAGATCTGGTGTGGTGGCCAGACATGATTGAGAGTCTTTCGAATGGAGATTGGCTGCAAGTATCTCGTTTTCGAATACGAGCTCAAGCCAAGACGCATGAGACAAGTTATCTTCTCCGGTTTGGGGTAAAATGGTACAAGTGCCACGAGTGAAACTATTCTGGACCTGCCGAGACACCAGGTTCACCTTACCACGAAATAATATGCGACCCGAAACTGTTGCTACAATTGTCGATGCGACATCGACCTTCTGCTCCCTAGCAAGCTGCATGCTGCGCCCTATCATCCAAGCAAGAGAATAGCTGTTTTGGGCAAAAGCATATATTTCGTCCCCGGAAAACGGACGGAACGCGAGTGATGCTATTCCTCCAAGCTGGCCCGCAATAGTCCTGAGTATTTCTTCTGCTTGATAATCGTCCCGGGCGCTTTTGAGTAGCTGAAAGTCAAGTTAGACTTTGCGAAGCTCGCCACATCAAGACAGACTTACTATGGTAACGCCATTTCCATCGCAGATAGCTGCCGGGGCTATGCTCTTCCCATGTAGAGCTGGAATGGTCATATAAACCTTTGGAAACGCTCGGCCTATGACGTCGGCGTCTAGTGCTTTCTTTCCAAGTTTGGCAGCAAGTAAAAGTGCTTCCAGAGCATTTGGTCCCCCAATCTCCGTTGGAATGGTGTACGTGAAGTCTGATTTTCCGACCTGACCTAAGTTGGCGTAAATAGCCTCTCGCATTCTATCAACAGAAACTCAGCACCAGCCGCCCTAAGCCATATGGCGGTACTCACTCGTGGTTACCAGGGATTCTCTCGAAGAACGCTGTTGGAGATCCCTACAAGGGGCGGTGAGCAGTTTGCGTGAGTGCGAGGGAAGCCTCAAGTTCTTACTATCCAGCAGGTCGGACAAATGACGTCCTCTGGCTTAACAGCCCTTGGAGGGACTACTTGCACTTGTTGACCCAAGCGTATAGCCTCTTTCAGCGCTATCTGATAGTTGGTCGCCTCACCAGCACAGCCCACGCCTAGGATACCAGTACCATCCACAAGAATGTCGACATCTGTCTCTGATAGAGTCCAGATATCGTTCTGAATTTGCGGTACGTAAGTAGATATATCTACAGGAACCGCAACCTGCTCGTTGTTGTATTCTACAATCATGTCATTAACAAAATCTGCAGCAGTATCAGTCACTTCGGCACCCTGAGCGTGCTGCGGCATTTCATCCCCGAATGTGACTGTTGTAGACCTATCGTCAAAGTCTGACACAGCTCTGATGATCATTCGAAATGAACCGTCAAACGAGTACGTTTCTGGGATGATGTCCAAGTTGACGATCTCTGCTGTCTCTAACCTGCCGCCTGATTCGTAGCAGAGCTGCAAAGCCTCTTTCTTCCCGTCTTCAATTAAACTTTCCATCGACCGCGGCTGTTGGGGAGTGACGATTCGATCTATGCGGCCACTGACTTTGGCGATGGCGGCACCGATGGCATTAGCTACTTGGTAGCACTGGGGTTGGACAACCGCAGCGATGCCTCTCAACCGCTCGACATCAGGTACAATAAAGCTACCACCACCAACTAATATGACATTTGCATCCAATGGCTTAGTCTTCGCGAATTCAACTGCTGTTTCGACCATGGACTTTATCTTATCCCTTGCCTGGTAGAGCACTTCGTTTGTTATACCAACTTCACCCAACCGATCGGGCGACAGTTTAATGGTATCTGAAGCAGTGAACGCAGATCCACCTGTAGCGAGGGATAGTGTCAGTTCATCAGCACCCACTGAGTCAGGGCCTATCGTTACCCCAGTGTCATGCTGTCGGACAATACTGCCCCCTCCTAGCCCGATATTGTGAGTTTGAGGCACCGCGAGATTAGTTTTTACCCCAGCTATCTTGACAAAGGCCGCGGAGTGCTTTGGGTAACCGTTAGGAAGCAAACCGCACACGTCTGTTGTGGTTCCGCCTACATCAACAACGAGAAGATCAGCATCGTCCCCTGCCTCTTTCTGCCTAGATAAAGATTCCATGGCCATGAATGCCGCCCCACGCGCACTGTTTGTTGGTCCCGAAAAGAAACATTTTAGAGGATACCGTGCAGCATACCACGACGGACTGATTGTGCCGTCATTGAGGGTTAAAAATACTTTTGCGCCCGGCAAGACCTCGTCGACAGCAGCCTCGAGGCTTCTTGTCACTTGTCTTGAAAACCGACGTATGCTTGCATTAAGTATCGCCGTATTTTCGCGTTCTAAGAAGCTAGCGTTGCCCAAGTGATGAGAACAGGAGACATCATAGCCTGAGCCTAGCTCTTTGGACAGGAAGCAGGCTGCCTCGTCTTCTTGGTCAGGAAACGATGGAGAATGAATACCAGCTAGCAAGATTGAGCGAATTCCCTTCTCCTTGACGACTTGGGCTTGTTCACTGAGCTGTTGCTTTGACCAGGGATTGATTTCTCTTCCATCCACTATAGCCATCGATCAGTAAGTGAAAATAGTGTATGGTCCAATACTCACCATGCTTGCCACCATCTACGAAGGCGTGATGGCCTTCGATTAGACGTCGCAGTGAGTGTGGAAATCCCACTAAGGTTGATGAGTCTCTAAGTCGTTTCTATGTTGATGAACACCTACAGAAAGGTGCAACGCTCTGGGTGTAAGGTCCACACAAGCGGATGACCGCGACTTTGTCCATTTTTCGGCCGTCTCGTTCGAGCGTCGCATTCAGGAATTGCGTCGTTCCGATTTTGACCAGTGGCACTGCACTACCCAAAATTCCAGCCTCTGCCAGCACCTCCTTAATCGCAGCTGATACGCCGCTGCTGACGTCCGCTGTGCTTGGAGACTTGTGCCAAGCCACAACTGTCTTGCCGTTCATAAGAACAGCGTCGGTATTGGTTCCCCCCACATCCACTCCAACGACATAGCTTTCCATCGCGGGCTTCTCGGCCGAAGCAAGGGCGTAATCAGTAATTAGGCATGCCTTGGTTGATGCAGGTCTCGAGTTGATCGGGGTGAGTAGCCCTGGCTCAAGCACATTGTTCATCTTTGCTCTGTAAGCCATTGTTCATAATATGTTCCACAACATAGCGCCCGCGACACAGTGCAAGGGACTGAGTCCTTTTTCTTTCAATCCTGCAGCGATATCCCCCGGGGACTGCATACACTATTCCCCCTCTGGACCCGATCCTGGATCTTTTGAACCAATGATCATATGCCATCGCTTAGATAAAATCGATAATCGGTTAGGGGTCAAGGACCGGGGCCCGTCCGCACAATTGGACAGCTGACAGAGGTTGGAAGGCCAACCCGGGTCCTGGTCTCTGAGGTCCAATTAGCCGATATCTGTATTTTCCTCCCGGCATTTAGATGCAACCCAATTCTGTAGGTTTTCAATGCCCCACAGCGTCAATAGACCTCAAAATGCGTCAAAGCCAGGCAACCGAGAAACCCCGTCTGGCTTTCGCGGAGGAGGATGAGCCAAATGTAAATTCTCAAAATGACAGTCCTTTGGTTTCAACCACGCAAAAACAACGCCAACGTACAAGACTCGAGAAATACGCCTATTATGCGTATTTCTTCGCTAATAGCGGCGTAGGCCCATCGAATTACACAACTCTGCTTCTCCAAAACCTCATACACCAGGCGGGGTTTGATCCATTCGTTTTCCCACTCGGCAGTCAAGCATGTGGCGATGAGGGGCCTTGTCATGTGTTCTGGGCAGGAGGAACGAAAGATTATGCTTCCGTGGTGGTGAGTGGTTTAGAAGCATCTTCATTGTCATGAAAACAGTATCACTAAAAACCTGATGCATAGAATATCGGATCAGGGCTCACTTTTCTGGGCCAAGCAATCTTTATGGTTTTACTTGGAGCTACAGCCGACTACGGATCATGGTCGCCTTGGATACTCAGAAGCGCGACTGTCGTGTACAGCGCATTTCAACTTGGCTTCCTCGGTGTAAAATCACCTGACGCTTGGGACTCTGCTCTTGCGCTCTACATTTTTAGCAATATCGGATGGGCCATATCCTTCACTTTCTTTGTGGCCATGTTCCCCAAGATTGCGGAGGATCAGCCAGCAGCCGTTGATGCACTCAACGACAAGAACAACAACTTGATATCAGGTGCCGAGTATACAGCAAAGATGGAAACAGAGCGCAGCAAAACCATGAATCTTAGCTGGGCGTGGAATAATGTTGGCGCTATGGTCAGTTGCTGTCTGAGCTTGGCCACTCTGAAAGGTCTCGACGCCGATGCCTCATTAGAAAATAACAACTGGGGATACTCCGTGTGTGTCGCTACTTGCGCGGGACTTACTTTGGTATTTTCCATACCATGGTTCTTCCTCCAGAAACCGCGGCCCGGCAAGAAAATACCTGATGGCAATAGTGCCATCTTGATGGGCTTGAAGAACTACTGCAAGACTACTGCCACAATGGCCATCCATTTGCCGCAGACCTTCTTCTACATTCTGGTATTTTTCTTCCTGAGTGATGCCATTACAACGTTGATGACACAAGTTGCCATCGCCCAGTCCAGCGTGGTCTCATTCTCTGCTACTGGCAACACATACTTCCTCATAGTGCAGGGTGTCTCGTGGTCCTTCTTTCCGGCGGCCGGAGTCTGGGCGCAGGAGAAGATGAAAGTCAGAACGAAAACAATGTTTCAACTTTCGAATGTTGGCTGCCTCCTCGTCGCAATCTGGGGTACAGCCGGCGTCTGGACTACGACAGTCGGATACCACAACGAGTGGGAGATCTGGGCATACTCCGCACTTTGTGGAGCAGCTCTTGGTCTTCAGTGGTCATATGCCCAAGCTTTCATGGCGGAATTAGTGCCTAAAGGCGAAGAGAATCAGTTTTTTTCATTACTGGGGGTCGTTTCCAAAGGCGGGTCTTGGATAGGCCCTATCGTCTCCAGTGCGCTAATTGACAGAACTCAAAACACGTGGGTACCATTTGGCTTCATTGCTCTATTGGTCGCTGTATCAACCATGCTGATTTTCTTCGTGGACGAGAACAAGGCCCGAGTTGATTGCGATATGTACTTGGAAAAAAAGAGAACAGCAGTGCGCGAATAGTTCTGCTTAACTTCACGCAAGTTCAGGAAAAGTAGACGAAAAGAGTAGCACTAGACTCTTCCCATGGAATGTATCCAGGCCCCATGTAGTATTTCATAAGCTCTTATCACTGCCAATGCTGCATACATTCGAAAGCGCATTGAGGTTGTACTGTTTAATTCTATCAAAGCTGACCTCTGTTGAGATGCATGATTTGTGCATTTGGTACTACTTCGTGTTCCAAGATCCGGACCATTTCAGCCACCAGCTTTTCGACATGACCAGAACTGGGATGCATATATGCACATGCACATAATATGGCGGCGTGGTGAGATTGCACAGTGCAGGGGTACCTAACATCTCCATCAGCTTTCTGGTCCATGCCGGCTCTTCTTAAGGCCCCAAGAGCCCACCCGGCCTGCGATCCGTTCCGCTAGCGGTTCTTTAACCCCAGCACTATTTCATCAAATACTACTATGTGCAACCCGCCGTTTTGTCTCCATAATTTAGAACCGTACAAGGGAGCACGTGTTGGAGTCGAAAAACTCGACGGCGGCAGTCATGCGATATCGACACATGGTACGACCAAGGGTCAAAAGATCAAAGGGAGGTTTGTGTTCTCATTCATTCCACTTGGGCATCTTCAGCTAGGCACTTACATGTCCAGGGTGTCTCACATGCCGCGGGTGTCGCACCAAGTGTGATGAGGCCAAACCAACATGTTCTCGCTGCAAGCGGCTTCAAGTGAAGTGCGTGGGCAATAAATATGCTTACAACGCCGAAGAGGTTGCCTGTGAGGCAGAAAAGCAAAGGCAGCTTGTACGCAGTCAAATTGATTCCAGCCTTGTAGCGAGACCTTTGCTGCCGTCTGCGAAAACCGTCTATTTGCACCACTTTGTCACCGTGTGCTCCAAAGCAATTCTATTCGCAGACGATCAGACCCATAATCCATTCTCACGCGAGATTTATTGCCACTTTTCGGGCTGCGAACACCTCCAGCTCGCAGTCAACGCGTTGGCAGCAGGTGACCTCCAGCGTCGGCAGCCTGGGCATAATGAACGATATTACGAGTTCTACGGTCAAGCAGTGAATAAGCTGAATGCTGCCATCTCCAATCCGAAAGATACTGCATCAGTCGCCACCCTAATATCTGTCCTTCTGCTCGCTTTTTGTGAAGTAAGTGGACGAACTATATTCTTCGACTACATCTCCATTGATATTCACTCACTCAGATCTCCAGCTCAAATTCTTCGGCTTGGCTGAGCCATATAAAGGGAGCCAGAGACCTCCTTCTGCTACGTGGAGGACCTAGCAAGAACCCAGTGCTCGCGAGGTTATTTTCGATAATCGATGTTGGGTCCAGCTTCTTCCTTGGACAGAAAACACTACTGCCATTGGATTATATCGATGATAACCTCGTGATGAATGTGTCGAACACGCCGGGTGAATACTGGCCCTGCTGGGACACAACTGGCACAAGCACGGCAAGGTTCAACCAGAGATTACGTATAGTCGCGAGTCTATCAAGTCTGCAGCTAAGTGTAAAACGATCAACAAATCTTGCCTCTCGAGAAGCTGCAATGGCTGAAGCCCGTGGAGTATTGGAGGATATTATTGACCACTGGAGCGCCCCTGTTTTCCAGAGACCCCAGCTTCACAGACTCTACATATCTTCAGGAGACCAGATTGACATCGAAGATAGCGCCGCTAAATCAGCTTGTATCCTCGCTCTTATTGACATCACAATTCCTCTGATCGAGCATGGTTGTAGATTCAACCTCAACGAACAGTACCTGGTTTCCCCGATAGCGGTAGCGCACCATGTTGACACTATCTTGGCCGCCTCGTCAATGCTGACTGAACAGTACTGCCTGGCAGGTTTACCTTGGCCTTTGTTTATGGCAGGTGTCCACGTGTTTCGTGACGATGGCCGTGAAATGGCCATCCTACAGACACTGAAATCAATATCCTCATCCATTTTTCATGTATATATGCACTCTCATTGACTCGTTGCATGGCATGGTTGATTGCTAATTACTTTTGAAGCCGTGTGAGGGCGCCATTCGTCTTCTCCAAGTTCTCTGGGAGCGCCAAAGAGCTGATGGTATCAAGTTATGTTGGAGAAAGGTTTTGGACGAGCTGGGGGGTTCAATGTAAGCACAATACCTCCAATACACTTATTGCCAATGTCTTGACCTCATCTGATCACGATGATAGATATATCATGCTCTAAATTTTGACCAATCTTCGCCGGAAATATCCCAATGAGGCTCATGTCAGTCACATAGCAACCCCAACAACAAAAAATCCCCCCCAAAAAGAAGTCTCGGTTGGAGCGACGCTCCAATTTCGCCCCTGAGTGGTGCCTTGTTATTTTAGATAATCGTGCGACTACACAAGCTGCAGTGACTACGAGTACGGATCAATGACTAGCCCAGACAGATCGATCGACAGAGCGACCATCGAAGTCTAACTAATTTGGCCATGCAAGCTGCTCCTAAATGTCCTTTCTCACTGTCATCTCGGGAATTTCTAATTCGCGAGAACAGTATTCGGGTCCGAAGTTGTTGCAGACAAATCACGTGACCCCGGTGATCTCGGCAATCTAAGAAATGTGCGCAGCTGGCTTTAGCGATCAACTAACCTACTAGACTACTAACCAAAGTCAAAATCCGAGACGAGTCAAAACCCGAGACAGCCTGTATATAATAAGATGCCTTGGCAAGTTGAGTTACCACAATGCGCTTTCTCGCAGATACAGAGCTTACGGAGAAGTTCACATTACACAAATTCCAACTTGTTCTTAATTTCTCATAACACCTATATTCCTCACCAACACCATCACCAAGACAATGAGCACCCGGGGGGCAGTAGACACCAAGACTTATGATGTACTCATCGCTGGTGCTGGACCTGTCGGACTCTTGTTGGCCTGCGAACTTGGCCTAGCTGGTGGCCTTTCCGTGGCGGTCCTCGAGCGGGACCCCGATTATGCAAACTATCAATCACCCTGGAAGCAGCAACCGCTTGGGGTGCGCGGTATCAATACGCTATCAGCGGAATCCTTTCACCGACGTGGTTTGTTGGAACAAGTGATTGGACCCGAGGAATGGGCCAAGAGGCCCATGGACGTCAAATCAACAGGACGCACAGGCCATTTCGCCGGTATGATGTTCGACGCAGCCAAAGTTAATCGCTCTGCACCATGTTGGAAATATAAGCTGCCAGGGCCGTCACTATGTCCCAGTCCATCATCGCTAGGCCGAATCCAGGAAGCACTTTATCAGCGGGCAAAAGAGCTTGATGTGGAAATCATTGGAGGTGTGGACGTGACAGCTCTGGCACAAGATGAAGAGCACGGTACTGTCGAGGTGCACACCAAGAGTGGCCATTCGTACCGCAGCAAATGGGTAGTTGGGTGCGACGGAGCACGAAGCAACATCCGGAAGGCTGCTGGCATCGACATGGTGGGCACCGAGCCAGAAATCTTTGGATGGACTGTGCTTTGTAACCTGGATGACCCGAACAAGAGGCTGAAATTCGGGTTTACACGTACTTCCACAGGTGTCTATGGCATGATGCTGCCAGGACACATATTCCTCATGGAGCCAACCAATGGCGAGGTATATGACCGCACTAAAGAGCTCACCAAAGAGGAGTTTGAGGTTATAGTTCGACGCGTCACGGGTATTGATAATGTTAGTGTCAAGGACATACAGATTGCATCGACATTTACAGACCGTGCCAAACAGGCTGTCACCTACAAGAGTGGTCGTGTTCTACTTGCCGGCGACAGCGCCCACTTCCACTCACCACTAGGGGGGCAGGGGCTCAACGCAGGAATTGGCGATGCCATGAATCTGGGTTGGAAGCTGGCTGCCGTCGTGAAAGGATCTGTACCTTTATCTCTACTTGACACCTACCAGAAGGAGCGATATCCCGTTGGGGAATGGATCACCGAGTGGACGCGCGCCCAGGTCGCCACGATGAAGCCCGACCTGCAGAGTCGAGCTGTAGCGAACTTGATGAAGGACCTGATCGGCACCAGCGACGGTGCCACTCATATGACGGATCGTTTCTGGGGTCTCTCGCAGCGCTACGATTTGAATCTCGGCGACGATGAGCAGCAGCACCACGACTTGGTCGGACGCAGTGTGCCTGACTTCGAGTTCACGAGCGGATCTGACCGCCTCGGTGAAAGAATGTACTCAGGACACGGGCAGATGCTTTACCTTGGGCAGGATGATCGATCTGAGCTTGTCAACCTTGCGCAGAGATGGAGTTCCTCGGTTGAGTACGTGAGCGAACCTGTGAAGGATAACCTGGGATTCCGAGCCCTGCTCATTCGACCTGACGGTGTAGTCGCTTGGGTCACGGAGGACGGCAGCGAGCCCGATGTGAATTCCGCAGAAGCAGCATTACATCGCTGGTTTGGACCTGGCGCGGAGGTTGGAACAAAATGAGGGGCTTAACAACAACATGGTATTGATGTACTAGTACGAGCGTTCAGATTTCAGGCGCGGTTTTCAAAGGGTTTGCAAGCGGGGAGTCAAGTGGTGAGCTATGCGTGGGATTACTCTTCTCTAAATTTATTTTTCGCCAAGATATATTGACAATCGCCGTTCTGAAAATTCGAGTATCAAAATGTATTTATCTATTTGTATCTTCGTTCCATGTCCCTGTCACTGTTGTGTGCCATCTTTTACAGCCTAGACTAGTTCTGCGGCTTCAGATCTACGTATATCTTGACAAGATTTTGCTTTGACGGCCTCAGAGGATAACTGACCGTCCCGTCCTCGGCCTTTGCCTCATATGTGTTGCAGTTAATCTCGGAGATCCTGTGCCCCACAAACGGGCTCGGCGGGTTACCCCAGACGTGGATCACGGCGTCGTGCGCACACTCGATCTGGATGCCCCTGAAACCCTCATCCGCAGCCTTGCGCATCATGTGCCGTGCCATCGTTTTCATGAACCCATGGCCCTCTTCGCCGGGCTTGGTCGACGTCGCGTTGCGCATGATGACCTGCCCAGGGCCCGTGGGTTGCCAGTCCTTGGGGTCCCGCTTGTCGCCCGCGGCCAACCCGGCGTACACGTCCGCGAAAGCCGGGAGCGAGTCGATGAGCGACTGCAGCCTCGGGAACTCGAGGGCGTTGAAGCCGTCGTACGCCAGTGCGACCGAGAGCAGGGGGAAGTCCATCTGCTCCGCCAGGGTGCCGCCGTCGACGCTCTCATCCTCTAGGTCCCAGTACAGCTTACCGTTGGTCGCGGCGGACTCGGCGCGCTTGTACACGTACTCCTTGTCGAAGATGCCCAGTGATAGACCGGAATCGATCTGCTTGTCGACCAGGTAATCCGCAGCCTTGAAGCCCCTGTAGGACCGCCCTGTCTTGTTCTCTGGATACAGTGCAGGCCATACAGGTGAAGAGAACATGTTGCTGTGTATAACAATTGCCTTGGCCCAGTCTGCGTGCTCTCTGCCTAGGGTACGGATCTCGTACCGAGGGGGAAGACCCGTCACCTTGGTGGTCTTCGTTGTAGCTGACATGATAATGACTAGTATTACGCTGCGCAGGGATCTGGAGGTAAAAATTGCAACGACGAGAGCACTGTGTAAAGCGAAGAAAAGAAATTCCTTAAACCTTCGACATTCATCGGAGCTTATATGCGACTTTGAGAACACTGCTTATAAATATTTCCTGTTATAGATGTCTCCACAAATGTCGGCCGCCTGCGCTTATCGTGTATCCAATTTAACATGCATGACCCAAGGGCAGTAACCGGTGATTCCCTGTTCCCTGAGTACCCGGCGTGTAAGAGGGCTGACAATCACCGTTCATCCAATCCGGTAAATGCTAAGTTCAATTTCTTCTAAGTTAGCGTTCTCTATCTCGATAATACGGTACCTCAAGGCTATCATTATGGCTAGGCCACCGCGTTTATCACCATGGTTGTCATCGTGGCGTAGCTATCTTCTTTCAGGGTCCTTTTCTCTGTATGTTATATTTTGCTTATATTTGTCTATGTTATTTATGACCTTACAACGCGTATAATGTTAGCTGCGATTCACGATTTGGAGCGAAAGGCCGCTGCGATCTGGCGGGGGATTGTGAAGCAGCCCCTCGCGAACAAGCGCACCTTTTCGCGGAGAATGAAGGTTCCTAACACCGGCGTGTGCTCTCATGTATGTAGTTGGATATCCCCAAAAAGGTATCGTGGAGGTTAAGCTATGCCAAGAAAAGTAAGGTTGCGAGACGGATCAGCAAAGGTGGTGCTTCAATGCATATCAAGGTATGGAGTGTAAGAAAACATCGGATCGATTACATGGGTGCTTTTCCGCCATGTGATGCTCCGAACCAGTTATACCTCCCTTCGAAAGAGCCTACCCCAATATGATTCTTTTGGCCTGGTACCAAAACACGTTGTGTAGCGCCAATAGAGCATCTGCGTTTACGATTGTTCGTTCATTTTGAGGCTGCGGATCGTTGTGTTGTATCAATCCCGGGAGTTATGGCGCAAGAAGTTTTGAGGTTGGTAAAATCGGTCTAGGAAATCGACAAAAGTAGAGCAGCAGTACTACGCCAACACATCGAATCATAATCAGATCCCATCGTCAGATACGGATACGTGCGGTCTAAGGTTACGCGTACGTGCAGTCAGCTTGAATTCTTTGGTGCCAAGCTAGTTCATGTCAGCTGCGTTTGCGATGGTGCGATGGTGTCAAAGTGGGACTAATTAAGTAGGTTAGGCCTATCTCTCAAGGCTTGATTGCGAGTTGTCTCATTGCAGACTCTACGCAGATTTCAACTGTCAGATCTTCTCCAAATGGCTTCATTCATGGCCACCGCGCATATTGCAGCCTATAGTTGGATGGTGCATGTCAAGCCGCCATGAAGCTGAATCGTAGTGGTAACATTATATAGTGCATGAGTCAGTAAACTCTGCCACTGCCCCGCTCATCTGTGGGCTGCTTTTGACACGAAGCAAAGGCCACAGGCCACCCCGCCATGACCTTGATCGCGTGGGATAAAATCTCAACAGCGCATTGGAATTTGAACCACGGCAGGAACGAAATAATATCCATCACGTAGCAGTATGCCAGTACCAAACACACGCCAGGTGATTCCTGGTGCTACTGTGAGTATTGTTCTCAAAGCCGACCAGCGCACAGGTCGTGAGGTGCAAGGTGTCGTGAAAGATGTCCTGACGCGAGGCGATCACCACCGCGGCATCAAAGTCCGGCTGGCAGACGGACGCATCGGTCGCGTACAGCGCATGGGCACTGGAAAGTCGCCCGGTACGAGCGAGGCCGTCACCAGCAACAGCAATACACGCGCACCGGGAGGTGCTGGCGACGACGTCGCGTCCAGTACGAGCGATGCGCTGCCAGGTGCACGCTTCACGGCACAACCGGGTCGGTATCGTGATATACGTTCCGATGAGCCTCTTGAGGCTCCGCAGGAGCAGATTGATCTCTCTGCATACATAGTCGCCCCTAAGAAGAAGGGAAAGGGTCGCAAGGGCAACCAAGCTCGTGAAAATACTATTGACGACCAGCATACTCCGGAGGTTGCACCTACAGACGTCTCGTCGGCTACTGCAACATGTCCTGTTTGCAACGCGTTCGAAGGCGACGAAGCTGCCGTTGCTCATCATGTTGCGGAGCATTTTGAGTAATGTCGGTTTACTTCTGAACAATGTCACAACTCCTCGCCGACTATGAGCGCAACGGTGAAATTCATAAACATATATTGGCAGCCAAACAAGTGGATGTATACCGCTTCCTGGTGATCATGGCGATTTTACTGAGGACCCTGATGACGTACAAGCGGAAACGCTCCTTCATACTTGAGTTTTGAGCACCTTGATGGTCCCAGATCTAGAGGCCATCAGGGTCCTCAAGATCACGGTTCGACAGACTCAACATCAACTCTTTGACGCGGCTTCTTGCATTTTATTCTCTTGCTCTCAATCAACAGTTGCCCATTCCAGAGCTTGGACAGTAATCAGAATACACCAGCAACTTTCTGACAATTCTGATACAACTCAACCACCAACAGGAACGCTACATAAAGAAATCAAGATGGGCGACAACCTTGAGCCCGTACCACACTTGCATGATGTTGTAATCATCGGTGGTGGCCCCTGCGGCCTTGCGGTAGCTAGCCGACTTAGCGAGCATATGCCGGCCGCCAGCTTCACGGACGACGAACACAAAAGATATCACTGGCTCAAGAAAAGACAAGGGAAAGTCAGCGTAAAGGCCTGGAGAACTGGTGTGGTCAAGCAAGCGAACACTTGTAGTGTGCCCAACAGAGAGAAGGTACCGGACCTTGTTGTTCTTGATGCTACAGGTGACAGCTGGATGGCACGTTGGGATCATCTCTTCAAGACATTTGGCATTACACATCTCCGAAGCCCAATGTTCTTCCACATTGACCCGGCAGAGCGAGATGGTCTCCTTTCATACACTCACATGAATGGCAGGGGTGGCGAACTCACTGAACTCCGGGGTTGTGTCGGCAGGGAGATCAGCAAGCACAAGTGGAAAAAGCGAGTCAAAGCCCACCGAGAGTAGGTCTCCTATCACTCAGAGAACTTCCCATAACTAAAGTGAATAGATTTGGAGATGGTCCAACCGTTGATGAGCGTGATCGAAATGATTACTTCGTTCCGTCAACCCCCCTTTTCGCCTCTCATTGCGGTTGTATCGTTGACCGTTATGGTCTCCGGCAAGACATTGTGCGACAAGAGAAAGCCATCGACATCAAGTATGACTATTACGATGATGTTTGCGAGACAGATAAAGTTTTCCGGATCGAGACAAACAAACAAGTCTACTACTCACGGACAGCCGTTCTTGCTGTCGGTCCAGCTAACGAGCCGACCATTCCTAGCTACCCGGGCAACGAAAATGCCGAGGCTGCCACACACGCCTTGAAGATCAGGGAATTTCCCTCACAGCCAGTCCAAGATAAGATATCCGCAAAAATGATCACCAACATTTTGGTCGTTGGCGGTGGTCTGACTTCGACCCAATTAGCAGACCTCGCAATACGCCGAGGTGTCACCAGAGTATGGCTGATCATGCGAGGCCCGCTCAAAATTAAGCACTTCGACATCGGTCTAGAATGGGTGGGCAAGTTTCGCAACTTCGAGCAAGCCGCCTTTTGGACCGCAGACTCGTCTGAAGAACGATGGGAGATGATTAAGACCGCTCGCAATGGCGGCAGTATCACGCCTCTGTACAAGAAGGTTCTAGACCGACTCATTGCTAACGGCAAGGTTGTGTTATCACTTCACACCACCATCAAGTCCAGGAACTGGGATGCAGCATCTCAGACCTGGGATGTCGAGCTTTCTGGCGACCATGCTCAGAAGCTGCCGCCCATCGACCACATCTATTTCGCAACTGGTGTCCAAAGTAACTTTCGGACCCTGCCGTATCTCCAGTCGTTGCTGAAGGACTACCCGATCGAAGATTGCGGCGGAATGCCTTGCATCACCGAAGACATGCAGTGGACCGATGAGCTGCCACTGTTCATGGCAGGCAGACTAGGAGCACTCCAGCTAGGACCGGGGGCGCCCAACCTTGTGGGTGCCAGGATCGGAGCTGAACGGATCTCTTGGGCTATTCAGGAGCTGCTCAGCAAGGATGAGAGCGAACAATCCAAGGGGTCGCGGTCACAGTTTGATTACCTCACGGCCCGAGGCAGTCGCTACGAGGCATTGGCGGAGGAATAGGGCCATGCGAGTTGTCACCAAGTGTCACATAGTCGTAGTCTAGCTCGTCACTATAGTAACTCAACCTGCAAAGCCAAAGCCAAAAAAAATCCGAATGTCAGACAAGCTTGTCCTGCCACTCGGTTGCATAGTATAACGATGCATTCGCATGTCCTACATAATTGCACTGTCCCACATTTATCATCAAGGCCCAATCTAAGATTCGCCCACAGATCTTCTTTAGGAACACGAAGCAATGTGTATCAAGTGAGTCGATGCCCATGATGATCACAACTTACTATTGACCCACTTGGGCTTCCTCCTCTCCACAAAGCTCCTGACTCCCTCCTTCATATTCTCGCCCTTGTCGATCCTCGCATACCAGCCCTTCATGTGCACATCCACAGCCTTCTCAGCATCGAATCCCTCCCAGCCCAGCTTCAGGCCCTCCCGGCTCACGATGACCGCATCGGGACTATTCCCCGCGATCCTCGCCGCCCACTCCAGCGCCTTGCTCAGGACCCTCGTCCTCTGGCCGGCGTCGCCGTCGGGCACGACCTCGTTGACGAGGCCCCACTCGCGCATCTCGGCCGCGGTGTAGCGCCCACCGGCCAGCGCCATCTCGGCGGCCCTCTGCTTGCCGACGGTGCGGACGAGGCGCGGCAGGGCGCCCGCGAGCGCGATGACGCCGATGGTGACCTCGGGCAGGGCGAACCGGGCCCCCTCGGACGCCACGACCATGTCGCAGTTGATGGCCATCTCCATGCCGCCGCCGAAGCACACGCCGTTGACGGCCGCCACGATGGGCTTCAGGCCCCCGCGGTTCGACATGCCGCCGAAGCCGCCGCGGGGGAATCTGCCCGAGGACGAGGCGGGGGACCTGTCGCCGGCCGGCCGCACGCCCGAGGCGGCGCCGCTGGGGCTCTGGGATGATGCTGTGGAAGAAGAGGAGTGGTTGATGCCATCCCACTCCTTGAGGTCGGCGCCGGCGCAGAAGGCGCGGCCGGTGCCCGTGATGACGGCGACGCGGAGGGCGGGCTCGTCGTCGAACCAGTCCCAGAGGCGCTCGAGGGCGTAGTGCTGGGGCCGGGGGATGGCGTTGAGGGCGTCGGGCCGGCTGAGCGTCACCAGCATGACGTGCGGGTGGTCCTCCGGGAAGGTGACCGAGGTGTGCGGGACCTCGGGCGGGGTGGTCTGTAGGGCAGGGGATGATGATGAGGTGGCCATCTTCTGTTGTTTACGGGGCTTGGTTTTGCTCCTGTGGGCGTTCTCGTTTTATGCTCTCTTAATGAGATTCAGAAACGGAGGAGGTGAACACGGCAAAATGTATAGACTTCGTAATGAAGTACACACTAATGGACCTTTGGCAGGTAGACTAATGTAAGGATGCCTATGGATGGGTTCGCGTGTTGTAGATTGTACTGGAACAAGACAAGCTCGGGCTCAATTTCAGAATCATAAAATCATTTCGTCAGTCTCTGACTTGAGGACATTCGTGTAAGAATATTGTGCAAGATAGCAAACGGCCAAGGTAGGAGTATGTGACCTTCAAAACAGTCTGATGTGATGTCGTGCAGAAAGAGAAACGTGGGGCCCGTAAGCTGATGGGCCTCGGTACGGGAGCTATACCCCAGACCCACGGCAATCTGAAGGCCACTCCGCATTCAGGGATTCAGTCAACACTTGGCCAAGCAAGCCCAGTACGATTGGGGATTAGCATTGCTTCTAATACAGGCAACCTTTCATTTGCAGAGAAACTGGAAACGATACAGGGATACATTGCAAGACCGACAACTAGCGATTTCAACCAGCATGGCGGGGACGTTCTCAACGCCGTCTTTCCATTTAGCGGTGGTACTGCGTAAGCTGCGAGTTTCAGACGCCAAACGCCAATTTGACCAAAGCCTACCTTGTGCCAAGCGGTGGATAATCACCTCGCACACTTGACAACACTTATATATGTACAGCAAACCTCAGGGCCGTTATTGAGTACCTCGAACTATGCGGAGAGACCCCTTTTTTCGCTTTCTGTATAGAAAATGACCATTCTCCATAATTTCTTGACCAGTGCCTCCGCCTCGTCGTCCAAAGCCTATTGGTAGTTAGCACATGATGTACAATATCGTAGAATTTCGTTAACTAGAATGCGAGACTTACCTCTTCCAGTGTTTCGACAAGCTCTGCTGGCTTGCCATGCTTTCTGAGATGCTCCTCAACAACTTCAATAAGCAATTCCTCCTGCACACCTAGATATTCAACCAATTTCTTCTCCACGAAAGGTCGTAGCTTGTCGCGAATAACACCCTCGTCCAAAAAGTCCCATTTGATGTCCCATTGCCACAGGCCGTCTTTCTCGTTGGGGATTTCCTGGGCGAGAGATCGTACGGCTTGCTCGCGATCCTCGCTCGACATGGCGGCAGCGTCGGCTGGGTCGAACTTGATGGGAATAATGGTCCTCTTCTTGTTGTCCTCCTCTTCGTCCTCGAGAAGGCCTTCGACTTCGGCGACTGTCTTTCGTTGAGGGGCAGCACGCTGCGCCTGTGCTCTCTGAGCTGCTGCGCCGAGCGATAACTTGAATGGTTGAGGTGCAGCAACACCAGGTCTCGGTTGTCGTTGCTCCGACTCCCGGGCTTGCTCATTGAGAAACGAGTCTGCCATGCCCCTGGCCTGTTCACGGTCGGCTTCTTCCGAGGCTTGGTCTTGCTCCTCTGCTGCACGGTCTGCATCGTCGGCGGCGATTTCTCGGGCACGGAAGGCTGTCCTGTTCCGAATCCACGCACTACGGTCGGCATAGTATTCCTCCTTCTTCCGAGAAGCCTCGGCATCGTCGTCGAAGTGCTTGAAGCGGTCGAGCATTGCTTCCCGGTTCTTTTCCACGTGCGCGTCGTCGGTCTCGTCGCGTTCCCTCTCTCGCTCCAGAGCAGCCGCTCTTGTCCTTTCTCTGTTCAACCATCGTCGCTCAGCGTCCAGGTAGAGCTTCTCTGTCTCGGACTGCTGTTTGGCCACACGTCGACGTTCCAGTTCGTCATCGCTAGCATCGCTGTCTTCGTCTTCTCGGTTCAGCACCAGTCCACCGTTGGTGATGCCACCGTTGACAAAGTTGACTGATCGGTTGTAGTCTTTGCCGAGGTCTGTCTTCTGACCCTTGGGGCCAGATGGTGCGTTGGGAACGCCTCGCGGGCCAAGTGGTGTGTTGTTGCTACCGGCACCCGGCGGCGGCGAAGCAAGCCTCGAAGGCCTGTTGCCAGCAGCACGTTGGCGTTCCATTGCCTCCAGCTCCTCTTCCCTCTTCAGTCTTTCCAAGTCGCGCTTGATGCTTCGTTCTCTGAAAGCAGCAATCTCGGCAGCAACGGTTTCGCGCATCTCTGCAGGTATATCGGCCAGCTCGTCTTCTTGAGCCAGGGGGATGTTGACGACTTCGACATTCTCTCCGCCCTGTCCGGTGTTGCCCATGGCGACATCGCCGTCGGCGTCTGCTCCTGTTTTCAAGGAAGGGTAGAAGAAATTGCGGACGGTCTGCTTCAACGCACCTATGGCGGCGGAAAGTCTAGCTTCTGCCTCTGACTCGTTTGATCGCCCTTGGACGTAGGACTCGAGGTAGTTTGTGGTGTTTTCGTCCAGCTTGAACTGCAGTGGCGTCTTGTCGAAGTCTTGGTACGAGTCGTCCGCATCTGCGGGAGCCTCTGCGGGCGCCTGTTTCTTTGTGGGTATTTGTATCTCCCTAAGAAGTTCCGAAGCCACCCACAATGATTCGGCATCCTCAAACTGAGCGAAGCCAAAGGGTAATTCTTTACCGGCGGCATCGGCTGCCCTCTCCCATTTCCGCAGGTTCCCGACAATCTTGAGGATTGCCTCGATGCCCTCGTTGCCGCGGATGCCGTCGGTGATACCTTGTACGTAGATGGTGCGAACAATCTCTTCCTTGGTCGGGGGGACGAGGGCCTGCATGCTCTCTCGAATAGCCTGACGACTCTGATCAATGCCTCGCTCCATGCCCAGGCCAGAACGCGGACCGCCTGACTGGGGCGGCCCGCCTTCCCTGCGTCCTGGGACATCGGGGGTGGAGGGCTTTGCGGGAATGGTGCCCAGCCGGATCACTGGGGCATTGAAGTTTATGTTGGGCATGTTCGGGGGAGCTTGGAAGTTTGAAGGCAAGCCGCTAGGTCGATTAGCTTGATTGATAATCGGCTGCTGGACACCTGGAGGCGCCATTCCGGGGGCAGACATGCCTGGAGGAGGTCCTGCGGGGGAGAGGGTTAGTTGGGCGCGTCTATCGAGGACGTCTGTAGACATGGTCTGCACTTACCTAGACCCGGTGGTGTTGACATACCCGGAGGGGGGCCATTGGCTCCGGGATATGAGTTGTAACTCGGCGGAGGCCCAAAGCCGGGCACTGAGACGATACCTGAAGTCAGCATTCGGGGGAATTCCAAAGCTCGGGCGCACGGCCAGCTTGTTGGTCGCAAAACACTTACCTCCACCGTATGGGTTGTAGGACATGATCGCGGGGGTCGCAGATTCTGCGATTGCTTGGTTGACTGCTTTGTTATACGCCTGATAGATGGGTGACGCGCGTTCTGAAGCTCTTCTCTCAGAGCGCACGGCGGTAACTGCGATGGGTGATGATGTAGGGAAGAATACGCCGGGGGGTATTCGAGTGCAGTTGCACAAGTTGAAGCTTCAACTTTTTGGCAGGTTCAATGGGCAAGCCTGCGGATCCGCCCAAGAGGCGTGCTAATTAAGGCTAAGCAGAAGGCACAAGGCAGAAGGTACTAACCCATGTAGTAGGTACCTGCCGGGCGCAACGCAACGCCATTGGCTGGTACAGGTGGGGCACTGGCAGCTACTAGTACATAGGCACAAGAGCGGGCCACGGAGTTGGAGAAAGTCCCTGCCGACAAGTTTTCCATTCATCCATTCATTCATTCCCGTCTTTCGATCTAACGTCGGGAAGCTGCGACTGGAGCTGCTGCATCCAGGGCTGTCTCAATTGAATTGGACCGCAACCGAATTGGACTGAGTTGAGTTGAGTTGACTTGTTTCGCAGCTGCCAGTCTGTTTGGAAAGCCGCCCAATTCCAAACCGCAAAGATGTGAGGACAACCCGAAGAAAACAGCTTAGCTTCACTTCGGAGCAGCAAGATGCATGAGATACTGACTCTACACACGATACAGGGCGACAGAATTGGGCCGTGTCGCCAACGCGGCACTCAGATCCGCCAGGCTATCGCCATCATTCCTATCTACCCCGTCGAGTCGCAGGCAATTACCATCGTCTGCTCTCGCATCGGCTTTCCACAATCTGAGCATCGACAGCACACACAAGCGCTATGCTTCAGCCTGGACCTCCCCCTCCAGGTCTGCCAAGTCGGCCTATGCCCCTGAGGATGCCGATGTCACAAAGCCAACCACCACTCCTCAGCGCCCGTGGCGATCGTCCGCTGCTACCCCCGTCATCCCTGACCCCGAAACCGCAAAGCCCGAGCCTGCCTTTGATGACGAGGACATCGTCCGCGATTACACCTTCAACATCGGTGACCTGACCAGCAACAGGTCCTATTCCGATAGCCTGACTTCCATGACCACTACGTACCCGGATATCCGCTGTGTACCCCGCACCGGCCGCTCTGTTCAGGTCGGCAAGGGAGCTGATGCCGCCAGGACCCTCAAGCTCCTGAACATGCAATGTGCCGCCAACAGAGTCAGGCAGGACTTCCAGTCTCAGAGATTCCACGAGCGACCCGGTTTGAAGAGGAAGAGGCTCAAGAGCGAGAGGTGGCGAAGGAGATTCAAGAAGGCTTTCAAGGCCACCTGCAAGCGAGTCGATGAGCTGAGACGACAAGGATGGTAAACGTCAGATACTGTACCCGAGTCTCTTCAAAGACCTCTCTTCGACTTTCCTACCAGGAACAGCAAACTGTATCATATTCTACATCCGGCTTACATATCAAAGGGCGCGGGTGGTATAGACGGGTCTGTAAGATCAATTGTACACATGAACAAGAAAAAAAATTGAAGAAGAATCCAGGCGCTTAATGTTCTCGGCTATTATGTGCTGACCCTTCTTTCAAGGTCACCTTGAAATCCAATTACTGACCTTAGACATATACATAGCAAAACTTACCCCCTACACCACCTACAGTGTCCAATGCGTCTCCGAGTCTTACAGCTTCACCTAGCACTCCCAGGTCAAGCACATCGTCCAATGTTCCATTACGACTGGGCGGTGAATTCGCCGGAGTGATAGTCCCACCCACATCGCTCAACCGATTCTCCAGGTCCAACAGCTGCCAGATCCAATACACGCGATCGATTTGGCCATGGTGCAGATAAAACGCCGGATCCCCAGGACTCACGAAGAAGTCGCCACCCGGATCTCCGCCGATCGTAAAATGTCCTGACGTGTGTACGCCCCATTGGCCCAGCTCCGCGCGCCCGTTCATGGTTGTCTGGAACCAGTACACGTTGTTGCTGTTGACGATGAGACTCTCCGTGTAGTTTGTCGTCGTCTCCCGCGCGGCGTGCACGTTGATGTCCCGCCGCAGACATCGTGGGTTAGGCCCTAGACCATCGGCTTGCGGGTTGGGCGGTACGTCGGGCAAGCCGGGAAAGACGGGTCCCAAATTCACGGTCATGTTGGCGAAGGGGCCTGTGGTCACGCAGCCGCCGCCTTCCGAGGCTGGGAGGATGTTGTACGGTGGTGGGTAGAGCGGAAACGTCACGCCGTCGTACGGAGAATATAGGCCGTTGCCAGACATACTGGTCTCGGTGCCATCGAAGATGGGCGAGTGGATTGGATCGGATGCGTAGCGGCCCCAGTTCCAGTACTGGACCTGTGTAAGTCATGGCTCGTTCAACAGGGTAAGCTTTGAAATGAACGTACAGGCTGGTATCCTCTGTACCCACACTCTTCGCGCAAGGCTTTCTCGTATAGCCAGGTGAAGTAGCGGTGCCACGTCAAGAAGTTTGCCTGCTCGCCCGTCAGTCTACAGAGAATTCCAAACCACCAATATAGCTTACCGTGGCGTGTACAGAACCCGACATCTGTATATGCACGCCCACAAAATCGTCAAACCTGCTCCTCGCACCCGGCACGACAGTAGGATCCGAAGTCGGCGGAAGAGCCTGCAGGCATAACACGGCATCGATGTAGTCCTTGCGTTCATGTGCGCTTAGATCGCCCCTATATCGAACACCAGTAAGACCGCAACCAATTTAGGCACTCGAGCATAGTCACCATTCATATCGCTTCGTAGCAGTCTCGATACTGCAACCTCCTTGAGCGGGGTTTCGCTTCAGATATTTTTCCAAGTTGCGTAGGCCCTGTTTGGCGAGGATGTCCGTGGCGTCTTCTGGATATCTACTTCCCGGTCGTGCACACGAGGCATGGCCTATGGACAGAAGGGCCACCAAGAGAAAATTCATTTCGAGTCTCATTTTAGATCACCACCACAGATTTGATCATGTCAAAATATATCCGATGCTTTAATCTTTTGGTCACCAACATTCAATCTTGATATAGATATCCATCATCAGGCGCTGAGTCAGGACGGCCTGCCAAGCATCGTACAACCGGTATAAACCCTGCGTTTGTTCAGCATGTCATTGGCTCGTCTAAGACATGCATACTAGAACTGGCATGGCTTGTGTTGTTGGTATTGCATGCCTCGAAAAGTCTCGGTTGCGAAACGACCACACACCTGCGTTTGGTATGCTCACAAGGTAACTCACCATTCTATATCAGCGGGGGCCCACGTTATGGGAACTTTTCCCAACGGCGGCAAAAACGCTTATTCAAATTATTTTATGTCTCGTCAAGCCATTTTCATCAAAGCCACTCATAAAAATGCTCAGTCGGCACAATTCAGACTTAAAAGTCTCCACTGGACTTTAGCGGGTGAATTTCCGATAACAACTTTTTTGATAAGATCAATTGAACCACCACCCCGAAAGTGAAATAGTTGATTTATATCCGTTATTGGGAAACGATGTAAACCCCGAAGCCCCTCCTTCTTTTGTTGACTTTTTGACTTTTTTTCGTAAGCACTCCTCATCATGTCGGCCTCCGTCTTCGTAGCCCCCAACCGCCGCGGCGACGCGTGGTTTTCCGTCGGCCTGGCATCCTCGTTCCCGAACCACGCCGAGTCCGGCAGCGAGGTCTTGTCCGACCCTCGGCCCTGCGGCGGCGGGGAGTCCGGCGCCCCCGGGTGCAAGGTCTTCCAGGTGCCCAAGGACGACGCCGCACTCGCGAGCGAGGTCGAGCCGTCCGCGGTGGAAGAGGCGGATTTCCGGGCCCGCGACCTCAGGGAGCAGGTCCTCATCTTTCAGTACAAGGGGAAGTTCCATGCTGTCAACAATGTGAGTTTCCTCGTTTTCGGTGGCTTGGCTTAGCGGGAGGGGACGAGAAATAGTGTGCTGATTCGTGCCGCAGCAATGTCCGCACTCGGCTTTCCCGCTGTCCAATGGCACGCCGTTTGATATCGAGGACTTTGGCGTCGTACTCAGCGCCGGCATCTCGTGCCCCAAGCACGGGTGGTCCTTTGATCTGTTCTCTGGCCGCGGCGACAGGGGCAATTACCGGCTGAAGCTTTGGGAGGTCCAGCTCAGGCCTGTGCCGGGGAGGCCGGCTGACGATGAAGAGCGCGAGGTCTGGGTCAGGAAGAAGCAGAGAATGGGATGAGTTGTTATTCTCCCGGCCATCTCCGATGTCTCGTCATGGGACGCGTAGCCTTAACCTTCTGCGAGAGCCGCGGACATGCCCGAGCCGCTATACCTCTCGGTGGCGGTACACCTTTTCGCCCTGTCATTCCAACTTTGGCGCTTCGCTGGCCCAGGCAGTCGACCGTCTCGACAAGCAATGATGCGAGTGCATTTGTGGATAAGATCGTCGAACACAGCCATCTTGCTACGCTCCAGGTTCAGAAAGCACTCCGTCATGCAGTCTTCATATGGTCATGCACTTTTGAAGGATCAAGGTGGTTATATCGTTGTGGCAATCCTGAACCCCCCACCCCTGGAAGAGGGGGGCGAGGGATGGCAATGTTGACAGGTAGCATGAAATTTTCAAGTGCTTTGCGACCGCTTTGGGGTTGGAAACGACATCAATCAGGCGCTGAGGCTTTAGAGCGGTCATCGAAGCAAAATGGGTAGTGGTCATATCGTCTGAGGACTACGAGCTTATTTTGTTCCATCTCCCAAGATGGAACACTTGATGGAGGAGCCTACGTATCCCGAACTTCCGACGATGTCTGTTGAGTGGTGTTCTCGTTTAATGAGGTTGCATAGCGCAAAAGGCGCAGAGATATACTCACGAGAGGTCATGTAATACTTGATTAGAGTTTGCGACTTCATTGAGATGGTTCCACGGATCCATTTCTACGCACATATTCATCCTCATCCCAGGATATCATTCCCTCAGAATAAGCAACCCTACGATCGTAGATGCAACTCCCACTCAAGATAGTGATCTTCGTCTCCTCAAGCGAAATTCGAGGCACCGCCTAACGTTACACGAGATCCAAAATATTTCCCAGGGCTCAACTTGCTAGTGCTTGTCTATGGCAATCAACCGTCTAGACTACACCTTCCGATGATGACTCAGTCGCTAATAATCTCACCCATCAAACACACATTCTAAATAGGGAGCATATAGCACGAGACTTTTTTGCCATGGACTTTCTCTGCGGCAAGATCAGCCATCGACGTGTGGTGAACAGAAATGGATGGACTTGTGCCATCTCACCAAAGGGCTCAGATCACTTCAACTTTGGCCGGGGACATCTAAGCTGTGTCTATATGGTGTGCTAGTGTTTCACGTCGGGATGGGCGGTAGTCACCAATTAGCGAGCTCGACGCCGCTCTTTATCGTGTGAACGAATTTAGAAGTGTCATTTTTGGACGCAGTCTCAAGATTTGACCTGGGACATGATTCGAGGCAATACCTTTACTTCCCCCAACACACATTCTAGAAATTTTCATCGCTACATTCGGTATCGGACAAAAACAACAAGCAAACAACTCTGGCCACGAAGCCTATAGCACGAGATTGACAGTGGGCCAATCACATGCTGGTGCTCTTGCATTCTCTGTGAACGTGGTTATTTCTAAACTTATGGTATACATCGCTTGATAGTATAGATCGGCTGGCCCTCTTTTCTGCAAACATAATCTCTATGCAACGCTCCAGTCACGTTAGTTTAACGGTCAAGGCATCCATCATCGAGCCGAACCAACACGTCTCGCAATAAGAGAACGAAGAGCCAAATGTATTTTATTTGGTCGAATCAAAGACTGCCTCTAGAGTAGAAAAGGTTTCCAAAAGTCACCGAGTCAGACGTAGCGAAAACATCAGAGAAACATTGAACAGACATGTGCTCGGTCCCAACACTTATCTCCACATGTCCAGCAAAACACCAGAAAAGTAAATGAGATGACACAACCGATCATCGTCAGTATTATGATTGGCTAGGAGATGTTAGCATGATTCATCTAAATCATTGCGACACATGATGCACACTCACCTTGAACAACAAAGTCCTCTCTTTGGGGCTCAAACAAAGCTGCTGTCTTTGCAGCGAATATGGGGCCAGTGCCAACAAACCTGTGCTGATGCATTGCATACTCTTTTGACGTCATCCATCTGCGATGTTTCACGTATAACCAAACGCGTTTAGGGTGGTGTCTGAGAATTAAATCCAGAACGTACGCAAAGGCATTATTTTGAACCCTGGACTCCAGGCCGACAGTCCACAGGCTAACCTGAGATTGTAATTGATACAACCTCCATGATTGCTCGAGGTCTTTCAAAAATGTCTGGTTTGTTCCGCCTAGTTTAGATGCTTGTCAGCCCTGACTTAATAAAGTAGAGGAAGAAATAGAAACACAAAGAGATAGAGAGAGAGATAAGATCAGAACGAAAGAGATAAAAAAAAGATTAAAAAAAAAGGGGGGGGGGCAGGGGGTTTACCCAGTAAGCGATATGTTTGCCAAAATATGTCTGCACCCTCGTCGAATGGATTTTCAGCGCCGTCGAACATTCTCTTGACGACTTCTAGCCATTGGTCGTCAAGAGAACAAGTGAATGATTTTCCTATTCCAGTATGATCATAGAAAATAGGCACATTCTCGGCTCCTAGTGTTTTGAGCACAAGGGCCAATTTCTCCAAGCGGGCAAAGCGGGTGGCTTTGGCCCTATATTCTCCCACGCCAATACTTTTGAACCCACATGCCTGGGTAGTCATGTACGCCACCAGTGTTTGGCGAAAGGCTACGATAGAGCTGAGAACAATGCTATTGCATATCAGAAGATTATCCAAAAATATCGCATTTATGATATTCATGTGACGTGTGGGGATTGGCCAGAATCGAAAGGTAAAAGTGTCTCGAGATTGGCACGATCCTGACTGTCCCGGCGCTAGTTCAAGCTTGCCGTTGATTACTCTCGAATAGGAGTTCATGGCTTTTGCGACAGGTAAATCTTCGAGAATAGAAGTGACATTCTCTGGCTCTGGAAACAGTGCGGCTGCCATGTTTTGCATTCGTTGGCGGATCTTTTGTTTGCGAGAGTCCTTGTCTTCCAGTGCCTCGGGTAATACATTGCTGCGGAGGACGATCATCAGCCGGGGAGATACAGGCGCAAATTCGTGAAAGCACATATATGTCTCCCCCATGTATTCATGAGTCTCACCACAGAAAGTGTTATGGGTGGGTCCTTCGAAGAGATTATAGGCTTGGTCCGTGAGAATGAATTCATCACCATTTTCCTCGGGAGTGCATAGTGCAATGTATGAATGTTCAATGTGGAAGACAAACATAGCTGCATCGGCGGGGAACATGGTGTCTTGCAGTTTCGTCCTCCACCTCCCCTCGGCATCCATATCAAGATTGAGTATGGTGCGGATGTTGTGCAGCCATACATCTCTTGGTGTGGCAAAGCCTTTTTCGACCATGTAATCCCTCACAAGGTGTTTATCCTCAGAGTTGTATGACTGTGGATCCTGAGAGAGGTATTTTTCAAAGTAACCTGGTCCTCGATATTTCATGATAAAAAGAAACTTGCGTAGATGGTTCCTCTCTATCCTCGTAAGGCGGATTCCCTGATCGCCGTTCTCGTGCGCCTTCTTAACTTTCTGCAATATGGTGGCAGTCTGACATTCGAGTCTCGAGAGTCCTTGCTCCACATCTTTCTTCGACTTGATAGTACTGAAGATGTCACTGTACATTTCCTCTTGCCCAAACCACCGAGATACAGGTACTTCAGTTATCCGTGGCTCATCAGCAGTGAGGTCCACGACATTGAGTACTTTCTCTCCTCTGTGCTTGCCCTTCTCTACCCGACCGCGTTGTCTCTTCTCCGCGCCCTTGCTCTTCAGAGGACGATAAGGATGGGAAAAGTTTCGCAACAGAAACTGAGGAATGTAATGCTGATACTGCGCCATTGCGTGGAGCTGGTCTGTAGTTCGAATCTTACTCAAGCATTGTATACCTTATCCGGCATAAGAGAGTGGATCTTCGGGGAAAGTGTGAGAATTTATTCCTGTTCCCCAGCCACCGCCAACTTTCCCAGCTTTCAAACCCCCACACCAACTGAATGATGAAAGTCCTTGAGACATCCCGGCCAAGTTGTACAGCATGAAGCACGGAACCAATCGAATGTGGACAGCTCAGTTGAGCACATGCGGGGTTGAGTTGTCACAGGTCGGCAATGCAACGCTTAAAGGATATTTGTGAGTGTTGGATGTTCAATTTAAACTCTGTAGCACGCCAAATATGACTGCAAACGCAGAGTACAGGGATCTACCACTTTGTAGCCTAACTCGAAACATTGGTAATACATAGTCGACTAGGTTAGTGAAGTGCAAAGGCTATATGAACTGAGATATGAGCTGCGCGGGTGCCAAGGCTCTCCGGTGATGCGCACAACGTACCTATCAAGAAATTTTTTTTTAACATTGTGGGTGATTAGTGACTAGATAATGATCACCGTGAGGTAAAGCAACCCAACGTTAATAAGATAAAATGCGTTCTTTGACTGTGGCATCTATCTCTCGTTAAAGACTGAACTCGATCGCAATAGACGGAGTTTCCAAAAGTACGTTCATAGTAACTATGAACCACCTTGTCAAATGAACAGCCTACATGTATTTATGTCAGTTCCGTTCCATTGTTATGGGATGAGCTTGTTCTCCCGTAGTCCATTGACTCGAGCACTTATAGAAGCTGCAGAAGTACGTGGCACGTAGTGCTGTATCAGATTATATGTCCTAGTGTCATTAATTAGATTCGCAATCCTTATACATCCTTTGTAATTAAATAGATATATAGATATATATGACTTATAACCATCTCATATTTAGTAGACAATTCCTTGTTATGCAAAACATCTTGCAAGGTCGACTATGCCAAGTCTGGTCTTTATCGGTTTTGTTCAACTCCATAGGGGTCATATTTGAACATTGATATCGTTGGACTGCGATAGTATATAAAAAGTAAAGCTCAGCGGCTTACCTGAACTTGACCGGGCGATTTGTAAACGTTTGTTACCTACCAAGTTCAATGTTCGGACTAAAGTTAGTATAGGAAGCTCATCTTAATGTCATCATATATATATATACATCGATTGCGGTTGCTAAAAGGGGTCTAAAGTGTGAGGTAACGATTGTGGAGGGCGCAGACAGTGAATGAATAGTAGCTCGATAGCGCTCATGCACACTAAGCAACACACTGAGCAATAGGAATGAGAACAAAAAACTAATTACTTTTAGAAACAAAAGATTTGAAGGTCTGCCTGGGGATCGAACCCAGAATCTCCTGATGCCGTACTGATTACTCGTAAGAGTACCTCGTAGTCAGACGCAATGCCAATTCTGCCAACAGACCTTGGTGGTGGCAGAGTAGAATATTGACCATCATGTTGGTGGTGTGGAGATGGATGGGCAGGTCAAAGGCCTAAGCTGTGGAAATTAATGGGAAAATGGGGCTGTGTGAAATGTTGTGCAAAGCCCGAGTCAGCCACAGGAATGCGTGTGTGGGAACAGTGTGGCCAGAATGCTGGCGTATGGCTAGCAGAGTGGGACAGGTACTGCCTACTTCCGAGGATGTTCCTTTTCTCACGAACTCCTCCTTTGTCGTGGACATGATTTTGGTCACGAACACAGCATCTCCTAAGCCGTGGTTTTCTTCATCAAGGCATGTTGCCAGAGTGGTTAATGGGTGAGACTTGAATTGCAGTGAGCAAATTCAGCCATCTCATGACTTCGGTCGCGTAGGTTCAAATCCTGCACATGTCGATCTTTTTATTTTGCTTTGATTGCAAAGCATCTAGATAAATCATGGATCTAACTTGAGTTTTACAACATCTCTGAGTGTTTGTTCCGTGTAATAATGGTTTTTTTGTCCCCTCACTACGATTCCCTAAATCCGTAAAATTAGGTTTAGCGTGTATACTTCACTCACACATCACGGGAGCGGGAGGACCACTCATTACCAGCCACGTTCTTTCTCTAGGCTCTCTCTTATTGGCCGACTGTATCTAAAATATTTTTGCACACATAATAACTTATCAGGAGAAAGAAAAAGAAAATTCAAAAGATTTAACGGCATATGTCGCTTCTGTGGATCGAACACAGTGCCTCCAGATTTCGGAACTGAAGTTCAGGCTTCAGTCTGGCGCTCTCCCAAGTGAGCTAAAGCGACTTGATGAGAAGGTTCGGATGAGTCCTGAGTTGGTCTCAGGATCACATGATTGGATGAAAATGGCACAGTTATACGCATATAAGTCCACGGCATTATTGATTTTGCTTGAATGTGCTATGCTCAAGCTGCTAAACTGCGGTCGTTGACGATAGTTTCATTTCATCGAGGTCAAGTGGATTCGTGTAAACCCTACACTCCCTCCACAAGCCTAGTCGAGGCTTGAGGATGTGCTCCGCCTGGTTGCATTCAGCGCGATGAACACTGCCAGGACATGAGCTATGATCTGTTGCGCCAAACAGCCAAGGGATGCTCACTGGTCAATTTCTCAGGTATTTATTGAGAACGCTGCCGCACAATTCTAGACATGGCCTTGATAGCAAGGCTGGCTACTAGTAACTTCCCATGGTTATATCGTGGAAGTCTGGCGGTACAGCCGAGAGAAATCACTCAGACATTTGAACCAAACGGCAAGTATCCGTGGTAGCCTATTTCGTTGGCGGTCGGTGATGATGTTAGATTAATTCTGTGGCTTCCTTTATGTGCTTAATTACTTGATTTGGCTGATAGGGCATTTGGAGATTCCCGTATTTCTTATTCCATAGGATTCATATTAAAGTTCCCGAGTTGGTTAAGGTTGACATTCAGAGACTTCCCACATTAATGCCATCTGACTGAATGAACAACCTTCCCCCGAAGGTCCAATCGCAGCTCGTTCAGACGTTGCAGATATCCCAACATCGTCTCGTCCCATGCATGGCCATATTGATTGCTTACCCCTGTAAGTTCCATCTCAGCCATGACGACACCAGTCCATAGCCTGGTGTTGGAGTCTGTGGTACTTTCGTCGGCGTGTAGCGGAATCTGTGGTTGGTCCATCCATCGCCCAACTAACAGCCACTGTACAACGGCATCAAATCTTTTACCCTCGGTAAGGGCGCTTCGTATTATCCCATTCTTGAAGTAGCAGACAGTGGCCCCTGCTCTCACGAGGTACTGAACCACTTCAAGATGGCCAGCTCGAGACGCAGCCATGACAGCGGTCCCCTCATCACATCCCTCGAACTCAAGGTCTGCCCCATACTGGATCAGAATCTTCACATTTTCGATGCCGCCTCTTCTCGCGGCATGGCACAACGGACTTTGGTATTGTGCAGGCCGTACGTTGATAAGACGATCTGGTAGGAACTGTGGTGGGATGCGACGCATCAGTCTGGGGAGAATTCCCCTATGTTCTAGCGCCGAGGACAAAAGGTTCCTGGGAACGTCATGCTCACAAGCCCGATAGAAGTCCACATCAGAGTTGACGACGTATGTTGTAAGGTCCGGGTTGGATATCGCGTCATGGAGTGGAAAACAATCAAAACTGTCTGTTTTGTATGGGTCGAGCCCAAACCCAAGTAGGTACTGAAAGATTGCTGGGTTTTCGGACCAGTCGCCTGCTATGTTGAGCAGTGACATCCTATTGGCGTTACAGACCGACGTATCGGCGCCAGCCTCAATGAGGGCCTTTGCAATGTCGAGAAGGCCTTCTTCAACAGCCAGCATCAAGGGACTATAGCCTGCACTATTTTGACGTTCTGTTTGAGCGCCATGCTTGATCAGTTCTTTGACAATATCAAGACACCCTACCTCGACTGCTAGATGGAGAGGAGCGTTCCTATATAAGTCCTGGAGATTGGGATTAGCGCCAGCTTCCAGGAGCAGTCTCGCCGTGTCGGTAGATTCCTTCTGAATTGCAACATTCAGAGGCGTGAGGCCCACATCGTATGGTTCACCAAGCTCTGAAGCAGTGATCATCTGGTTCAGGGCCCATCTGTCGAGTTGCTTTGGAAGATCGGGAAACCGTGTCCTTGGAATTTGTCAGCGATCACAGACAGCTCAACTGATCTTTGTATGGGGCCGGACCACCCCTGTGAAATAGTGTTGTGATTCCCATATTACAAACGAAATGAATTATGCCATGAGCGCGACTTTAGAAGACGTCAAGGCTAACCACCTCCTCTCATACAGTAGGTCGACATCGTCTTCTGCGGGGAATTCTTATCATAATTACCATTTCGAAAGAGAACTTTCAAATGACATACAGGCAAGCAATGCGACAGTAGATCACGTATTTAGCTTACCTGAGGCAGACTTCGTTCTTCACGACATAGTCTAGAATTAAGCGCAGTGCCTTTGGCTTGTTTTTCGCAGCACACAAATGAAGCGGACCAAGTGGCCATTGCAGCCAGTTTATGCCAGCTTCAGAATATGTTTCGAGGAGCGTGGGCAGAACCTTCTCGCAGTTTTGCATACTGCAAGCAATCCCAAGGGATGTTGTACCGTTTTCATAGTGTTTGTTGCACTGGCCGTCCAATGCTGATCGCTTCGTTTCCTTTTCCATAACTTCTAATAGCCATAACGCGATATCAGCGCGGTCTTGCCCTAATGCCGCCATTATGGGTGTGCATCCGTGACAAGAAGGCAGGGGAGTTTTGAAGGAACAACCCGCAGTCAATAACAGTCGGCACAATCGAAGGTCCGATCTCCTGATAGCGGTATCAAGAGCAGCGGAGAGATACTTGATCCTCTTTTGAGAGAAGCTTGCCGGGTCTTGAAGTGGCGTGTCCTTGCCGTGCGGTGGGCGAGAATTTAGAAGCGTATCAATGACCTCCTTCGAACCAATTCTTAAGGCGTAAATCAGTGGTGTGTTGCGAAAGTTGTCAAAGGACTCAACCGGCGACCCAAGATCGATAAGCGTTTTGACCGCTCCTGCATGGTTCATTTGTACAGCAATGTTGAGTGCCGAACTGCCGTCTCTCGTGCGCGTCTTTATATCTGCACCCCATTCCACAATACTCTTGATTGTTGCACTGGAACCACCCAGAGAAGCAAAATGCAACAGGCGATAATAATCTGGAAATGTGGCAAGTTCCAAAGTCTCAACTAGGCTATTCTTCAGGTAGAATTCCAAGACCTCGAGCGAGCAATTGAGGGCAGCCAAGTGCAGCGCATTGGCACCCGAAAACTCCAATTTGATAAAGCCCTCGGGACGTCGCACATTGAATGTGGCAAAGCAAGTTGCGTGCCAGTCGACCTTTAGCCTGCTATCGTTATACAGCTTCCACAACACAGGAAGATTACCGCGGGATGCAGCCATCAAAGCAGCATCCTTTCCATCCTGATTTTTTGCATTGACGTCTGCACCGAACTCAAGCAGTACATCAATGCACGCCGAATGGTCTTCCATTATATACATGACTAGTGCAGGCAGCCCAAACTTGGAACAAAGATTTGGATTAGCTCCCTTGCTTAGTAAAGCCCTTAATTTTGATTCTCGTTGCTTGACATCCTTCTGGGTTAGTAGATGTACGAGGCCAAGCCCCTGCTGCCCTAGATCATTCAGCTTTGTTACATCAGCATTCTCGAGAAGTAGATTGAACATTGCTAAGTTGCAAATCGGACTCAGACAAGCTGCCTGCAACGCCGAAATCTTAGATGCCTCTTCGTGAACATGTGCCCCATGCCGAAGCATCAGATGAACAAGTTGGAAATTGTTGATCCTTGTCGCCCACTTTAAACAGGTGGCGACATTCTGGCCACCTGTAAGAGACTTTTCGTGTTTGGTACGTTGAAGAATACGGCATATAATCTGCGCCAACCATACGGGGACAGTCTCAGCCTCAGAAAGACCCTCGAGAAGTACCATCACCCCAGAAGCTTTCGATGTGGCCTCATACTCGTGCATGACACCATGTTCGATGAGATGATATACAAATGGAACGATTACTGAATGCATCGAACCTTTTACCAATACGAAGCAAGGAATCAGCTGGGTGCATGTTCTTTCCCACAGGCCCTGTCCTTTCGAGTCTCTGCTTTGCTTAGTTGCAGTACAGAGCAAGGCGTCGTTAACATATGAAGGTATGTTCTCGGTTCCTTTAATTCTTGCCGATATCAACGTTTCAATTGGCGTGTATCCCGCTGCATTTTGCAAAGGTAGGTCGATACATATGTCTCGAACGTAGCGCAAGTACGGCTGCCCAGCCTCGACGAGGCAAACGTGAAGGGGACTTGAACCGGTAGAGTCTAGAGATACTTTGGCGCCCATAGCCAACAGTGTCTCTATGAGTTGCTGTGATCCTAGTTGTGCAGCTTTATGTATAATAGGTGTGTTCGCATCAAACAGTCTATGATCCCGAATGTGGATCTTGCGCAGTAGTTGAATAACAGCATCGAGTGTATTCGTAGATGATTTGGATGCCTGGTGAGAAGCTTGAAGCCCTAGTAACATACCGGCTAAAGGTGTATGTCCAAGGCCGCAAGTGACGAACAATTCTTCCGCATTTTGGATACCAATCTCCACCAAGGTTTCTAATGTCTCCATGCTACTCTTTGCTGCAAAATGCCACACCTGATGATCATATTAGTAATCGATCTAGAAGCTCGCAAAGTTCGGAAAGATGAACATGAAAGAACATGGCGTGTCAAGTATACAACGCCTGTCAGATAGCGTTATCATGGCGCCGCATCCTGATGTCTTGTACTGTTCTGTGGCTTTCCTTTATCAGCCCGTATCGTACCACTGAACATGCACTTGCAGTCAGAATGATATATAGTAGCGAAGAAATTTGAATGTTTAGCGTGTTATATCTGTCACCTAGATGGTCGCGTCGTCCAGTGTAGATCATTTGTTAGCGACTGCTCAACTTACATTGCACCCTGCCAAATTAATCCCGACCGAGCCGTCCTCCTTGACAGGAACGAGCCCTGTAGCCGCCCCCTGCTCGACGACGTAGCGCAGAACATCATTCTTACATTGCTGCGCGCTTAAATGGGCAATTGTTAACCCATCATTATCTCTTACTGAAAGGTCGGCTCCTTTCTCGACAATGAGCCTGACTAGTTCAAGTCCCTGGTCCAACACTTTCAACAGCAGCGGATGGCCATCTTTACCAATTTTGTTTGGATTGAAGCGAGGGTCTTTTGACACAAGACGCATTACGTTCAAGCCTTCGATGGCTTTTGTCGTAACGAACGTATCATATTCTTCATCGCTCATATCCAGAATATCGGCGACACGTTGCCCGTCAATTTTTTCAAACCAATCAAGCTTATTCGCCAAGGTGTAATTCCATAATTGATCGTAAACCACTGTCGATGCAGGACTTTGTTCATAACTTGCGATCGTATGTTGAGCTAGACCTTCGCACAGCTCATTCAAATAGCTCCGAGCTTCCTTGTTTGTAGAATGTGTGGAGTTCAAGCTTTCTAGAAAATAGCTCCGTTGAAAATATGTTGCGAAGGTGGAATCGATTGCGGCTTGCTCTTTGATTATCCGAAAGAATGTGTTGGCATCTCTCAGCTTGGAGCATGTTATCAAAGCGACTATACCGGTGGATATAGTCTGGTCCTTGGTGGAAGACTCTATGTTGCATTGCGCGCCACTATCCAGTAAACTCCGAATTGTGGCACGCTGATGTGGGTTGGTGCTTCCAATTCTGTCTAGGCGAGCGTGCTCCTGAACAATATGAACCCAAGGGCCAACTAAAGCAGCAGGGCCAGCCAGGGCCGCGTATAGTGGTGTGCCAAATACAGAAGTCGCATTGAGATCAGCGCCACCATTTGAAAGTTGTTCGCACATGTAGCTGAGACCCATGGATGCCGCAACGTGAAGACGTAGGTCTTGAGGTCCTGCTAGAGCAGTAGCAAGCTCCATCAAGGGCTTATGCGACAAGGCTTGAAACCCAACATCATATGGAAACCATACCTGAGCATATTCGACTACCCATTGTCGGAGGTTGAAAGAGTTCGCGGTATCAAATAACTGACGTGCAGCGGTTTGTAGTTCACAGTCATCCCAATGGTCTGCCGATAATTTCTGCCAGGTAATTGCTGCATAGCGGTAGAAGGGATTTACTTCATCTCGATAACTTACGCGTCTCTTCTCTTCACGAAATCCTCTCTTCGACTCGGCTGAAAATTGAGAATGGCAGATATATCGAAGGCAAAAGACGGCCATTGACGAAGATGACACCGAGGTTGAATACGCACCAAGCGGTAGCAAAGGCTCTTTGGCTTGTATTGAGAGAAATTCCACCAAACTTGGATGTAACAAATCAACACGAGAATCCTGACCACGACTTTGCCCTATTAAGCTTGATAAGTTTGATGGGCCACGGCTGTCCATGAGAAAATGCGATAAGAGACGGTCGATTGCATGCGAGGCAGCGGTGAAGCTGGATAGAAACTTGTCAATTTAATTCCAAACAAACCATGGAACATACACACCGTTTTAAACTTCGTGCGTGGATGTTATCGGCGAGGGTCCGAGAAAGTGTCCTTATAGAGTCCATTATGATCCCTTGACTCGTATTGGTTGGGGTGACTTGGTTCCAACGCAATCGAGCGACTTCTGCCAATCGATCGAGGCCGATAATCCTGATTCGTACTGGTGGTTGCATCTCAGTCTCCACATTCGGGTCCAATGTGCTCGCCGTTAATCCATTCGTACTTCCATTGATTGTTGCCTCGAGGTACTGGGAATGTCCTCGTACGTTAGGACTTTCATAGCTTAAAATAAGCATACTTATAGTGGTTATCCTGGATCTTGTGGTCTGAGAAAAGATATCATCCAGTATCATTGAAAATAGCCGATTGATCGCCCGGGGCGGATTAGTGTCTGAAATCCCAAGGCCTTCAATCACGAAATCGACATGGTCAAGACAGTGTAGCATTGCGCTCATCAAGGAACACAGTCCTTCGAAAGTCCGCTGGAAGGGATTGTGCTCGCTCGCCTTGAGAATCTCGTAAACGCGAGTATTCTGTTGTGCTAGCTGACCAATGATCACTCTCAGTAATTCCAAAGTCATTTCGTCGGGACTTCGAGTTTGATTGCAGAAGACATAGCATATAGCAGAAGCTGAACTTGCACGTCGGCTTATGTATCGAATTGTGTAAGCGGCTTGTATAGCCAACTCCGCTCTCAAGGAACCTGTAATCCACAATAGAGAACCCGGGATTGATGCCCACTGCTGAAACGAGGTAGTTTGTAGAATTGTATGATCAGTGGCCATAGTAGATCGCTGCATTGCACGACGAAGCAAGGCCTCTTGTGCCGGGAAAAGAAAACGACCTAGAATCTCATGCTTGTTTTGCTCTGCAGATATGCGGACAGGTATACCTACCTCCACCAAAGGCGTGTCCTGTACATCACGTTCGGGTGAGTCAGTCAATTCGGTACACATCAGGTTTGCGACATCTTCTAAAGTTGTTGCACGTCCAGCTGCTGCAACCCAGACTTTGTGTTCCACCAGCTCGGTATAAACTATATCTCTTGTTTCTGGTGAAAGGACTGTTGGTTGGCGGCCACCGAAGCTTGGCGGAGTCTCCTGGGAAATCTGTGAAAGTGCACGAATACATGCTTGAAGCCTTCGAGGTTTGGCGCATGAGTGTGGAGTCTCCGTGAACGCTGACAATGTCGCTCCGCTGTCAAGCTCGTAACATCGTAAGCCGAGGCTATGAGCATCAACACAAAGTTGTTTGAGAATCTTGGAAAGAGAATGGTCCAGCTCCGCACATGCTCCTGACGCAAGTCGAATGCGCTTCTGCCAGTGACGGAATGCTTGATTTGCAGTTGACACCAATTCGGCCACGTGAGCGTGAATAGCTTCAATATTAGTGTCACCGATCGGATTGCAAATACCGCAAAAGCCCGCAATTTGAATGTCAGTGAGTTCATGCCTTGTCTTTTCGCTCGTCACTTCTATCAAGATTGACTGTTGTGGTGCGTGCAGCAGCTCAGGCTCAACTTGGACAGTGCTGATTGACTGTGCGTACATAGTTTTCCTTTGCTGCGTCATGACTGTGAACTGAGTACTGAAGGAGTCGCATTACTGAAACTGGTCTCAAACCATAATAACATTGAAAAGGCCTGCTGGAGCAGTAAGTAGAGTACAACACCTTGGCACCTTTGGGAGCCATCTAAGGAATAAGCGGAGTTGCCTGACTTTCGTGAGGCTGGATGACCTGCATCGAAGCGAATGGCCTCCCGAAGATGATTTGGGGCCGCTCACATGAGCAACGATGCAGGTGTGGACACCCGTTAAACGCATAAAAATAAAATTAGTTGCAGGCAGATGCAGCACAAGACATGCCTGAAGTGGGCACCATACAGTCAAGCAGTTGATACCACAGCATCCTATCTTGATCTGTCGCAGAGTTTCGCACATAGTAGCTGTTTGTCTGTAAAATTCCCACCGTTAGAGCGAGGAGTTGGAATGAAAGATGATATAGGCTCCAGCGGTGAATTGGTAATATACAGATCAACCAATAGTTGGGACAACATGTCTGTTTTGTAAGACGCGGCAACAACTCTGGGAATTCTTGTGCCTATCGTGTGACTATTTACCTAAGCAGGATTTGGTAGGAAACTTCACGAACAACTGGTTTGAGGGTGCTATTTCACATTGTCACTATGATGCCATGTATCATCGATCACACATCAGCGCACGCTATTGCAAGCACATTCTAAGTTAGTCCTCTACCACAAATCTATTGATACCCATTGCTCCATTGAAAAGTCGCCCTTGTCCCCGTCACATACTGTACCTCGAGTCATATCCGCCCCAGTATTTCGATGCATTGTCGGAACTCCGCGCAAGTCCTTGGCAACACTGCCAAACATGAACCAGCGAAAGACTCGTAATGATAATGGCTTCGTTGAACTAAAAGCAGGATTTCGGAAAGATACAGGTTGCGGCGATAGACGAGCACCGTTTCGCCACGGTGGCTGTGATCACTGTGTTCTGCTGCGACGCCGTCACTAGCGCTGAGGCAGCCAACCTCCCAACCCCGCTGAAACCCGCTGTACGCAACCGTAGAATCGACACATAACCTGGCTCATATCTCCACAACCTTCTATGAAAAGAACAGGCTATACCCTACTTGGAGTAGTGTCATCGTCGAGTGACTGGAGGCAGCTGAACAAGGCCCAATACCAGCCCTATGGCCCAGCAGCGTCTACGGATCCGTATACCCTGCCCTGATTTTTGGTTCGAATGAGCAGCTGACAGGACTACCGACATGAGCAGTCGTGCCCTGATCGAGCAAAGCCACTGAGCTTCGCGTTCGTATGATCAAGCTTTTGATCCCCCGGGTCTCACCTACGCCACGGGATCTGCGTCGTAGTGCCCGACATTCCCGTGAATCTGCGCCATACCGCCTCACTACATCGCATCCATAGGTTGGTATCCGTATCCTAGTGCTTAGAAGTGGTTGGGACAGTAAGTTGTTGCGTTTCGTATATATGCTGCCGTGATTCTTGTCATTGTGTGTTCTTGTCTTTCGTATCACACTTCCACACAATCGATCAAACTTCTTCCAACTTCCACATAACCATTACGCCTAGATTTTCTTAAGACATTCGCTCAAGTTGATCATCATCTTCATCATGCGCACTGGTACCTTCGCTGCTTCCGCCGCCGCATTCGCCGGCTTGGTCTCAGCTGTTCCGAGCGCAACCATAATCATCGAGGCATCCCATGGCGGTGCCGGCAACGGCTTGACCAACACCACCATCGTCGTCCCCGTGGGTCCCGTCTACACAAACCCGGACGCCCTCAGCACCGTATCTACGCTCTACTTGACGGCAGCCTCAGAGGTGGCAGTCGAGAGCATATCATGCACGCCCTACCAGACCACAAACGGCACGGGCGGGCACGGCCTGGCCTTCACCAGCAGCACGCCGTCGTTCCTCTCCACCAACACCGTGCAGGTCGGAAGCATCGTGTGTGTGAGCAGCACGGGCAGCAATGGCACCGCCACCACGGTCGCGCCTCGCCCGACCTCGACCGGGAGCAGCAGTGGCGGCGGCAACAACACCGCGAACGCTACGTCGACACTCCTGACCACTTACACACCAACGGCCGCTCCCACGAGTACTTCTGTACCAGGCACGAGCGGTGCCATGAGCGCAAACGTGCCATACGCTATGTCGGCACTCCTTGTTGGTGCGGCTGGCATCATGTTCAGCCTGTGAAAATTTTGTTAGAGTAGAGATGGGGGACTGTAAAAACAACAAATAGTTCTCTTACAAGTATTGCATTGCATGGTTGCGGCTGGATTGGTAGCATAGAGCATGGCGTTAACTCCTACACCAGGAACTTGTTTTGGACATGCATAAAAGCATAAGCACAATATTGATACATAATTAATAAACTAATCACGATAAAAACCGATGATATCGGAGAGAGTTCATTGTGATTTGTGGATGAACAGCTTCAGGTTTGACACAGGCTGGAACCTGCCTCAGCTGAGACGCACAAGTATCAGCTCACTTTACCAAAGTAGTTCATCAAAGTATTGGATTGCTTTGGCAAGTTCTCCTTCGCCTTCCTCTTAGATGGACTGCTTTCTTCAGACTTCTTGCCGATCTCGAGTATCTCCATCAGCTCTTCGAATTCAGCCTTTGGGACTATTCCACCACTGGCTTCCTTGTGCCCTCTAGCAAATGATTCGCCCAAGCGCGTTCTCAACGTGGGGTTTGGCGCCTTATCTGCGATCTCTTCCAAGGTTGCAATGATGTTGACAGGAGAATCCCGAGCTCTCGCGCTTCGCGGTATGCGACACGAAAAGTTCACCATCCCAGGAAGATAGCCTTCATTAGCCACCAGAATGACTTCGAGCTTCGATGACTGCAAATGCCCTGCCCACCGAGTCGCGATAACCGGGTGAATTTGAGCCGCTGAGTTGATCCTAAAAATTGCGATCTTGCCATCTCCCGAGAACTTGGGTGCGGTATGTGTACATCGCTCGACCTCAGTGTTGACTTCGGCTCTTGCTGCTAGTAGAGTGCGGTTCTTCAGCAAGCCTGCTGGCGACTCTGCCGCTGTCAAGGCTTCCCAAGCTCCTGGAACATCGTATGTTGCGGTCCTTCTTGGCGCATTGATCAAGGAGACTGCATCGTTGATTGCCTTCTTCGTATGTGTCTTGAAAGTTGTTTTCATGTCTGGAAACGGAGGTTCCCATTTCAATGTGTTGCCCAAGTCACCGTGCGTGCCCATCACACAGAGCCAATCGCACGACTCCTTTACTTTGTCATGCAGCTCAGAACAAATGAGATACGTAAGCAACGAGCTTGTGGCTACTGGTGGAGAGTCACAAGCCGTCACGTGCTCGGCACCTTCAGGGAAATCGTCCTCCAGCGCGAAGTGATGATCAATGACCAAGGCTTTATGAGTCTCATCTATGACTGGAGCAGATTTCCTGGAGCCTTGATCGAGGACGAATATATAATCCGGCTTGTGCGCAGCCATGGCCTTTCGTTCGCACTCATCGTGGATGTTGCGGCCTTTCTGGAGCAGATGCGCTGATATGAGATCTGGGCTGAGTCCTAGCAAGATCAGCGTCTTTTGTAGGATGGCGCCTGAGGCGAGGCCATCTGCATCTTTGTCGGGAACTATAAGTGTTTTCCCTCCAGTAGCAGCACTGTGCATTCTTATCAGTAAGCCTATTGTTGACCATAACGGAGTAAAGATTGACCTACCATTCTTGAATAACACTCCTAGCCTTTTCTATTTGATCTTTAGGGGCCGGCCACACAGCCTTGCCGGCCTCATCACGTACTGGTGGAGTTAGATGATACTCTGGCACCTCAACTCGGGGTTTTTTGGATTTCGATCCGGCTTTCGTGCTGGTGGATGGAGTACTTCTTTTCATCTTCACGGGCTGCAATTGACGCCCGGAACTGGATAAAGCCAAATGCCCCGACACTATTGAGTTGCCTGTGATGACTGTTTGGCTCAGGCGGCCTGATGGGACACAAAAACATACGCCCTTCCCGAACTGTAGAGACCTTGTCATTACTCTCTACACGCAGTCATCCGTCAATACCCTCAACAATATTTTTGACCCAAAATTCAACCGGTTCATGGGGTATCTTCAGCGACCAGATTGTTTCGATACAATGCATCTAGTAGTGACGTCAATGACAGCATTGCCACTAAAGCACGGACTGCCGTCACTACAGAACTTTGAAATGCTAAACATTCGCCAGCGGATACTGCTATTCCCGGCAGAATTATTGTCAACCCGCGAAAGGTGTCTGGCACTGCAATGCGAATACAATCGAGCTCTCGATGTGAGTGCGTTTCCACCTTCCGATTCTATTCATTCTACTAAGCAATCGCTCGTGTCTATGTTTTTGACCTCTATGCTGTGACCCTGTGTTTCTCTACTGCCAGCCGAATGCTAGTTGTACTTGAGCTTCATCTCTTCAGCTGTAAATCTGCGCGTACGACTTTTAAGATGTGCAATGCGCTCTTCCAGAGTCCATCCCAGCTGTTCCTCTCCAATTGGCACCAAACACTTTGCCAAGTGCTCATAGTCCTTCATTAATAGTCTAATCGTCATCATGAAATAATCGATGTTATGGAAAACCTGCCAATAGTCGCAGTTAGCTACATCTCCTTGAGGCCGTGTGAGGAGTTTGCGCATGCGGATCTTACCAATGCCCCTTCCGATGCATAGACATGTCTACTCTTGAGAAAAGAGTTCGGATGCTCTCTCCAGTGGCGGAGAGGGTTCAGATGATGCGACGTGTGGTATCCGTCATTGAATGAATAGCGGTTGCTCTATGATGTTGTGAATATTTGCAATGCTCCGGGATTTGTTCCCAAGGTGAGAGGATGAAATTACCTGTACATCGATCAAGGTGATGCTCGACCGGTAATCTGAGTCGGGCTCCTCGTTGTCGACAAACGCATGCTGGCCCCAGTTGCCGATCATCAGACCGAGGCGCATGAGGCAAAATGGCAGAAGATAAACGCAGATTGTTGCCTGTGGATTGAACTTGTAGGCGAAGTAGAACATGACATATGTGCCCACTTCCCAGAAAAACGTCTTCACTGCGAGGCCATATCTCTTCTTGGATACAAAGTACAAGGGCAACTCCAACCAGACCAAAGCAAGAAATTTCCCTACATAATGAAGGAAATGTAGAACGCTATCTCGCTGATAATCCATAGTCGAGGACAGATCACCTGGTCCGTTGCCCTCGATGTGATGATGTTTTACATGGTGGTTGAAGTATGAGTTCCATGTGTGTCCCATCAAGGGGTCGGTAATGTAAGGAAAACATTGATCGAAAAGAGCGAAGCGCTTGTTCAAAACGCCGCGCATATGTATGTGCTGGTGCATCATCAAGGTATAAGCGCCCGCATATGACGCTTGCATTGAAAAATGCAGAATACCATGAATCCAGTTAAATGAACCGAAGAACAGGTAGATAGCGCTGGGCACAGAGGTACTGAAGTATAAGATGATATGCGTGAGCATGATCACATCAATATCTACCCTGACAATGGATTTGGCGATGCGGATGTAATGTCTAAGCACATATTGGTTGAAAGGTCTCTTCCAGTCCATGTCACAGTAATCGGTTCCCTGGAAGACAGAGGGCTCAAAATCCGGGCTTGTCGGGTCGTTCATCCCATTGAGATATGATAGTGACCTTTCATCTTCATCGCTCACTATCTGGTTGATTAGTTTGGCATTGATATTTTTGCGGCCTAGCGCCTGGCGAGTTTTCTCACAGTCTGGTACTTGATCCCGATCCCGTTGATGGTTCAAACCTTGGGATTTCCTTATATCTGTTGCTTCTCGACCCACTTGGGGATGATTCTCGATATCTGTAGCTAGAGTCTTTAGGATAATTCGATCCGCCTTGGTGAGGCTTTCGTCGTAAACGATGTGCTTCTCCATGGTTTCGGTATTACGAAAGATTAAAACATGAGAGAAATTTGGGTTGGGGAATCGGAAGAAACAATTTGAGAATCCACTGGTGGTCGCTTATTGATGCAGCACTTGAGTCAAGAAAGCCAGTATACAGTTTGACAATCGGCCAAGCCTCCGCTGGTCTGGAATGATGTTGGAGGATGAATCTTATTGCATATTGCTTGTCCAGGGACTACCTGGGGAAATTCTTCCATAGAGAGCTTGACGGACCCCTTAATTAGTAGAGATTTCCTCAGTGGAGCACTCGCTAGTGCTAGTGGTATTGCAGCCTGAAAATCAATCTTGAATCGCGTGTTTAGTGCAAGCTTACATGGGCTGTACTTTCATGGGATAAGAGCGTCACTAGCACATGGTGCTTCATCTCACTACGGGTGGCTCGATGCGCAGCGCGTCGACATGGGCTGGATTATTGAGAGCAAGGGAGTTTACTGAAGAAATCGGATCGGGCCGTACTGAGCCACTTTGGCACCGCATCCAGGACCCCTAAACAACAACAACAATAACAACAACAAAAGCCCCCGAAGCGTCAAGTGCCCACCAATGAAACGCAGGTGGAGGATCCGGGGATTTTGGAGACTTGGAAGCCAAAGGATGGTTTCATTGTCTTTGGTTGTGTATGAATGGGGCCATGAGCCGTCTCAAACGTCGCCTCAATGCCACGGTCACACCGCTTCACTCACACCATGTCTGCGGCTCTCGGTTGTTGTCAATCAAAGAGTGCAAGATGTCGACGAAGAACTAGTGCAACACCGAATTCACTGTCGAGTGATGAAGCCACGATGCAACTGACAAATCTATTCATTTCTGATATCTAATTCAATCATATATCGTTCCTGTCTTGAGTGGGAAAAATGAAACAGGCGAGGTATCCGGACTTTCTCTGCAAAACCGCAGCTCAACGCTAGACTAGTGTAAAAAGAGCGAAGGGGTATCATGCAACGTTTTCCTCCAAAAGCAGATCATCACTCATAACTTGCATACCCCTAATAATTACTACTCGAAGTCGAACTGCTCTTCGAGTGGCGCATTTTGAAGAGTCTTCGAGAGTCCTTCTTCGTCAAACCAGATCCTTGGGAACCTGATGGATCGCGAATTGAATCTGCCTTTATGTGCGATGACGGGAAGAAACCGACTTTTCCATCCTTGGTCATGCCAGACCAGCACCAAGAGTCGTAGCTTAACCCTGCGCCGCTCGTCAGTTCTCGAAACCTAATGATTCCTGGACGGGTGTTTCGTGACCACTTACAGCTGACGTTGGTGATAATCGTATGCTTGTCGAAAACAAGCCACCCGGCATTGACATCCTTTACCTCCCACTTCCATCTCGCCGTAACCACAACACCATCATTTTTGGCTCCCGGGAGACGAATATCACTCTTTGGCGGAGCCTCGATGGCAACCAACTTGGCTGGGAACGCACCTCGGATTCCGTCGTGCCATCCTGTACACCATTTCCCGCCCCATGCATCTGGGAACTCGACGCCGATGATACGTGCCCCAGCGAGAAATTGAAGAACATCGCGTCCCCCGTCTGGGTCTGCCAACGGCTTGATACCTCCTTTTTGCAGATGGCTTTGCATTGCCACAGCAGTAGGCCGTTTAGTTAGTAGTGGCGCTTCGGGAATAATGGGACTGGCAAATTGTGGGCTGGGAAAGTGCAGGTCATAATTCTCGGCATCCACGCAGTTGTTGCCCAAATAACCGTACAAGACTGTGACACCAGGCACTTCGGGAAGCGGCTGAGGATGTTGTGACAAATGTCGGAATAGTTGCCGCTCGGATGTAAAGACTGTCGCGTCACCCTCCCTCGATGTATAGCCCAGGCGGGCGCAGAATATACATCCATACAAAGTCGACGACCTGGTATCGGCAGAAAGATGGGATTTATACAAGAAACGAAGACGGAAATTGACCCCTTCACTACTCGCATTTGCTCGGCCTATTAAATCTTGTCAGTGAGGCTCGACTGATTTGGCAAACCCATTGGCTTACGGTCTTTGGCCATATCTCTCCTGAAGTCGGCTTGTGCATGGGCAAACTCGCAATTGATGCATTGCGTAACTGTCTTGCGTGGACCCTGTCTTTGACGTTAGCATTGACTAAAATCTCGACTCAGATGCCTCGATGGCTTTCCTAGTACTTACGAATGCTACCGGCTGATTCGTAGTAAGTTCAAGCGCCGTACTAGACATGAAATCATAAAAGGCAGCAGTATTGGCACCCGCTGCGCCCGTGTCGACAAAAACAGCAGTCTTGGTTGCTTCTTGATATCGACCATTTTGGAATGTCAAAGCACCCTCACAAAAGTTCCTGCACTGGTGCAATGTACTGTCCGGCCCAATGGTGCAGTTGTCTTCTCTAGAATACCAGACAGGCTTTGGATGTACGGGTGCTTCCACTGCTTTAGCTTTCGCTGGTCTAGAGGCAGTATTCGGATTACTAGCCAAAAGATCGACCGGCGTTTGTGACTGCCTGTCCATACTCTGACGGTGTAGCGCCTCAAATACTGGCGAGACAAGCGTCCCGCGGTTTGTTTCCATACTTGTCTTTTCCAAAGGGTCGTAAACAGCCGAAGTTAGTAACGTTGTTCTTTGATCACTGTTCGATACATCAGAAGAATTCCTGACGTGTGACGGGTGGCTACTGGAGGTTGAGAACATGGATGATCTAGATGGCTTGGAAGAATGGCTAATCGGATGTGGAACCATGTCTGCCAGTGTGTCGCTCTCCATTGTATATCTTCTATTGGCATCAGAGTCGCGAGATTCCTCACTGAAACGTTCTTTTGGAGGATGTTCTAGGATTGTTTCCGGATGGCTTAGTTCTTGTGCAGAAGATAGCTGTTCATGAACCCAAGCGTTTGTCCATGGCGTTGTGGTTGCCGGCATCGACGAACGGTTTCCCGCAAACTTGGGGCTGGCCGGTTCGCTGAGAAGGTTATGAATTTCGTCCCCAAGCGCGTCGACGTCCGAGGGCTGCTGAGAATTATAGCCCCTTGAACCATCCACCGGGCTTGACCACTGGAAACTTGCCTGCGAGTAGTGACTATCTGAACTGCTCGTGGAGGGTGCGAGCGACTTTTGTGACTTTTTGCTACTCATCCGGTGGAGCATGTGTCCTTGCCCAGGACTGCTTCGAACGCTGGTAGACAAGGCACGTCGAGAATGACCAGTCGGCGGTGCAGATGTGACCTGAGGAGTAAACATAAACTGTTCCATCCCATATTGTCCGTTCCTCGTGCCAGGCTGCGAGATTATCAACGGCTCAACTCTACTTGGCCTTCTCCGGGATGGTATCGGAGGAAGTGGTGGAAAAGAAATTGGCGTGATGGGGATATCACTGATCTTCAACCGCCTGATGCTCTCGATGGCGCAAAGCGCGAAGGCCTTAGAGGCTGCCTGGACTTGTGCAAACTTGACGGCGTCAAATGTATCTACCTCAACATAGTCGTCGATGTCGTACAGTACCTCCTCAAGCTGTCTTTGGCATTCGAACAAATCATCTATAGATTAGTCAGAACATATGCTCTACGACATGCTCACACTGTGGAACACAGCTGCTCGACAACTTACTGCACTCCTTGACTGCATCCCGGAAAGCGTCACCATATTTTTCTAGATGGCCGAGCAATAATGGCTCCACTCGTTGCAAAGCTCGCTCTCCTTCTCTGACAACAGCACGAGCCGATTTTAGCATCACCCTCGACAGTTCCGGGTTGGCGGAACGGGTGCCCTCCGCATTGGCAATTACCTCATTGCCACGATTGATAAGCTCTCGAAATGGCTGCGCGATCAGATCTTCAACTTCAACCGCCATGGCCGTATCATATATGCAGACGAATCGAGTTATGGCTTATCGATTCTGTATTCACAAGTCAAAGCTGGTAGGTAATACAAAAAGCGTCGCAAATTGCGCGGGCCAGAGTTTCACGAAAGAAGTTGGGCAGGTATATGGCACATGTGCGGTAATAATGCCAGTGCCGGCATAGAGGACAATAAATATTTCTTGGCTCCACCGTCTACTTTCGGCGTCCTTGGGGAAAGAAATTATGGCATCGGGCCTTTGTATGCCTTTGTATAAGGTCGTCGCCATTCCCCATCACTTTTGCATATTGCTGGGCTGCAGTTTGAGGGAAGCAAGGGTAATTGGCTAGACAGCTTCCTGTCCCGAGCTCTAGCGACGTTTTGGGAAGGTCGTGCTTGGGGGCATGTTGAACGCGTGGAGGTGGAACCGATAACGACCCTGTAGCTTCCATATTTGGGCAGCCTAAGCTTGAATCTGGGGTCCTTTTAATGGCATGAGGTCCAACTCCATGCATGTCCAGAGCTTGCGGTGGCTGATATTAACCGACATTCCAGTGGCATGGTCTGCAAGCCTATCGCGACAATTCTGGGCGCATTGCGATATCGCTAGCGGCTCTGTTGGAGACCGCATTCTTCAAGTTAAGCATCGAGGACGGTCTTCGCTCAGCATCTTGGACTTCATAGACCCGCGCTCGCATGAGTTGTAAGCAGTAACCAATATACTAAATTGCCCCGGATGAATCATGTTACATGGGATCATCATATAAACAACCGTATCCTGTCTCCGTCGCCGATGCGTGATATCTTCTTATTACCTGCAGTGGGGCCCACCAGAAGTCACGAGTTAGCTTGTGAAGGTGCCGATGCCTTGGCGAGCATGCCATCTTGCATGCAATCAGGGTTCGCTAAAATCCTTACAGCACACCCATTGCCGACATTAGAGCAGTGACGATTGTCAATGCAGCTTTGTTCCGTAGTCGTTTACGGACTGTTCCACCTCTTGCCTCACCCCGTTGTTGGAGCTATCGGGGCGAACTTCCTAGTGATAGCTGGGCATCCTCCGAGAGTCTGATTGAGCCTACTGTAGATGGCAAGTGGTGGGTACAAGAGTGCACCATGGTCACAACTGTTTCTCGGTGAACCTCGACGGTCGAACATAAGCTGACGTGATGTTATCACGAGAAGAAGCTAGTGGTACAGTAGGATAAAATGAATCGGCACGTCCACTCTAGTAGTAATTTGAGTGTGTTTGTGTAAACTTTTGTTCACAGCTTCAAGACGTTGAGAACATGGCGGGTGCTCTTATTGTCTCTGGCTATATAATGTGTGTAGGCAACTATCTTTGCTTGACTTACTTACCCGGGTGCATACTAGATGCTTTTGGTCTCTTGTTCTGACTGTGAGAGCGGCACCACCCGCCAACTTAGTGGGAAGCCTACTGAAGTAGTAAACCTTTGAAGAGTATTACCTATTCCTTGGATACCTCACTATCGTTTGAATTTTACTTGCATATATAGATAATTGTTTGGTTATACAGAGCTGTATCAGCTATAATACTTATCGGTTGTAAGATCATCACTGTTTAGTTTCTTCGGCTGTGATGATGAGCGGAGAACAAAACGTCAGAAGGCATGTGTCTCATCACAAGAATGTCGCAGCAACATATTTATCAATAAACCGCTCGAAATTCAACACAAGTCAAATCTGTTGGCTTTAACTGGTTGCTCGGCTAGCTCAGTTGGTTAGAGCGTCGTACTAATATAAACTTTCGAGCTTATATAAAGTCATGCGAAGGTCCTCAGTTCAATCCTGTGGCTGAGCAATGTTTTGCCATTTTCGTCCTCCAAACTCAAGTTGTTGGAGTTGTTCTGATCATGTCTTCTCTTTTAGCCGTTTCCTTGACGCTTTGGCATACGGCAAAACAAGTCTCGCATGGCCTTCAGCAGTTTTATTCAAGTGCTTGCCCCGCACCAAAATTTTTGTAATTTGGCCAGATTCGTTCCGCCACTCAAACTTCTCCACATAATTACGTGGATGTGCAAACCTATATTTCGATAAGAGCTGTTTTTCCAACAGTTGATGACTAATCTGGTCTGCGGTTTATCTCAAACCAAAATCAAGGGGATGTGGTCTAGTGGTATGACGTTTCCTTAGCATGCGACGATAGCTTCATTGCTATCCCGAGCATGGAAAAGGTTCTGGGTTCGATTCCCAGCCTCTCCACCAAATCTTTTGCTTGTGCGCTCTATGTGATTAACTTTTTGGTCACGTTCTGTTTCACTCTGTCGTCGTTATGACGATGGACAAACAGTATACTGGATGGTAGGTCTACGGATTCGTGTATTCAGGTGAGGGTACGCAGAACTCGGAGTTTTATTTGAGAAGTTTATCGATCTTCGGAATTTAGTTACTTTATAGATATATCCGCGTGAATATGTACTCTATTTATGACTACATAGTTCTTATACCAACACGAAAGTGTCATACTCTTACATGAAACCATCTCCTAATATTCGAGGGTAAACTTGCTTTCCATTTAAGCGACCGTATATACCCTCGCGGCTTTATCATATGCCGAGGTTAAAAGCTATGGGACGAATCATTGGAAACGGACAAGAATTATGTGAATACCCAGTAACTACATCGACGCGTAACTTTCGTCGAAACGCAGCCACTAGGTTAAAAACCCACGAGGTTATTACAAATTTCAAAGGGAAAAGCGAAGGACCGCGTCGCTGCACACAATAGGCGCGCCCTACGGAACCTTGCCGATCAACCCCACAAAACAACCCGCCCAGAGCGCCGCCGCTACATCCATACCAAATACACAACCCTGACAACCAACCCAAAAACAGGGTTTCGCGGCTGAACCATTCAACCAATTTCACAGGTAGGAGATGGAAACATACGCCATTCGATCATTTGAGACATGTCTGCATTCGCCTCGATTGCCGTGAAACGCAATACGGGTTCCGTTTTCTGCTTACCTTTTGGACCATGATCTCATCATATCAAGGCTCGATCTTCCCGACAACTTTCCACAACATACTCACACCATGGTATATACCCAAACTCGGACATGCAAGTCTAGTGACTTTGAGAGCTGTTCCGGATTATACCAGCAAGGTTCACTCAGCGGGCCGTCTTCGGGGAGCGCGAAGCGAACAGATTACCCCAGTCCAACAGGCATCAATACTTGGCTTAACGATAATTTCGACTATGGCGGGTTTCCCAAATGCAGTAACGATACCGGCACGAATATGCGCAGCAGAAGTTGAAGCACGCTAGCTCCATGAAGAGTCCGACTTGTGAATCTATGACAACGAAGAACAGGGAGCGGACTTCAGCAATGACCAGGAATACGATCCAGTTATTTACTCTCAATGCATCCTACAAAACAATAATCAACTCCATAGTGCCCCAAATGATCCACGCTTGATCCAAAATTGTGTTGCACAAAATGTTACTCCGAGCCCAATATTATGCTATGGATGCATCCAATATCCAAGAATTTTCGAAACCATCTTCCATGCCGTCGCGAGTAATGCATTATAGTATGTAGACTGTCCGGAATATTTTGTACCATATCTAACGTGCGAGATATATTCACATGAAATGAAATATCATTACCATCTCTACAATTGGCCGGATAGTAACGCTTCGGTAGCTTGGACAAAGTTAGCATTGATTCAATAAAGCTCTTGAATATATCAAGTACATACCATTGTTGATATAGGCCCTTCTCGCATCGAGTGGAACGTTGAAACGCCTTTCGAGTTCTTGCTTGATGCCCTTCTTTGTAACGGTCATCAGATCAGCGGTGCGCAGAATCTCGCGAATCTCAGCCAGGAGAGCATCATCACTCGGCATGCCAGAAAGGTTGGACATTTCCATCTCTTGTTGGTTGTTGAAAAATTGCGAGCCACCAAATTGGCTTGTGCGGTTGCCAACCATTTCAGATGGTGCAAGAGACAGGCGTGATTGGTAACCAGCGCCTTGGAGATTCCTCGTGTCGTAGGGAGGAATGACTCCGTGGGTTGAGCCATGGTGACTTCCGGCATAATATTCAGTGACAGCAGCGCCTTGCTTGGTAGCATAGCTGTAGCCCGAGATCTCGGAACGAGCATCATCACGGGCGGTCTGGGCATCCCAGAGTTCGGCTTGATATTCTTCCCACTTCTTCTTCGGGATGGACGCCGGATCAAACTTGCCTTCATCGGTGATGACGACCTTCTTGCCCTTCTCGCCAGCGACGACACGAGTGTTACCCCAGTTGAAATCATCCATGTTCCAGAAGGAATAAAGAGGCAGACCGAAGGAGAAGACAGGAACAGCCAACACATACAAGATCATCCAGCCAATCATTTCCCACTTGCGACGCAAGATGAAGATGATGGCTTGCAGACCGTAGATGGCAGCCAGCATGATGAAAGCTGTCAATGGAATGACAGTGGCCTTGGTGGCTACTTGGACGATAAGATAGACGATGTAAGCGACTGTGACAGGCTGCACAACAGTCGAGAGCAAATCGACAAAAACAATGAAACGCATACTGAAACAGCAGAAACCGCAAAGCTGCCCCATAGGAATGAGCTCCATCAAGTTGTGCACAGTAGAGTTGATCCATCTACGACGTTGCGAGAGGAAAATTGACCAAGAGTCCGGTGCAATAGTCCAAGCATGAGCCCTGTTGAGATACTTTGTCTTGTATTTGCTGTGAAACTTGAGGAGGAGAGTGGTTAAGTAACGATCCTCACCAAGGTGAAGAAGGTTCTTCATGTGCAAGGTGTCGACACGGATTGTGGAATAAGCTTCGATGATCTCCTTGCTGACAAAGAGGGGCTTTCCGGTCTCAGCAGCACGAATTCGGTACATAGAGAAACAACCAGGCAAGCAAGTAACACTGCCGAACAAGCTTTCAAAGGCCTTGGCAAGGTTGTGTGAAATGTAGTACTCGTAGACTTGAATCATGGTGATGTACGACGACTTGGCATTGGTCAATGCCGTTTCACCACAGCACGCAATGAGTCTCGTATCGTCCAGGAACGCAGCGACGAAGCGAGTAGCCGAGTCGGGTGCAACAACCGTATCGGCATCAATCTGCAGCATGAACTCGTAAAATGTAGGATTGACTCCAATAATGTTCCGGATTTGGTGATACATTTCGAGTTCGAGCGGACTCATGGCCAAGTTGTAGTGGACGCGTTCGAGGAAGCGCATGATAACCATTTGCGAGTCTCGCTTACCACGGTTTCCAGGACGAGAGACTTCGGAGGGCTTACCAACCTTGACAATAACCATGAACGGAACAATATGTCCTTGTACTTCGTACAAACCAGAGTAGACCTTGCCCATATTGTGCTGCTTCTGGCCTTCACCGAGTGACTCGAAACTGAGCGGCTCTGGGTCTACTGTTTCCGATACTCCAAGAATGTCCAGCACAATGCGGGGGGTGGGCCTATCGTTACCCTGTCCAATAATCATACCATCACAGACAACAATGAGTAGTTTGCGCTTGTCATCATAGTGCATGCGTGCAGCAGAGTCGATGGCACGACGGAGGGAATCTTCATCTTCGGTGTAGGCTGGGATTTGGCACATGATGAATTTGTCCAGATGCTCCGGCATGTTCTTACCGCCGAACTGAAGAGCGGCAAAGAACTTGAAACCAATGATACAGCAGAGACAGATGGAGATCGCCAGCACCAAGTAATCGGCAAATTGGCAGCGGATCGAGTTTCTTGTGTCGACATCTGCAATGTAGAACAGGTTGTCCAAGCAGAGTTGTTGGCGGCTCTTCGTGGCAGAGTCAATTGCAAGGGCATCCCATAGCTTGGTGATATCCGTTCCGGTTTTCTGTTGGAAAAGCGTGACAACGAGCTCATCCATGAATTTGGCCAAAGATGGATCGGAGGGTACCTCTGTGCCATTAGGTGCATCAAGCCTGACACCACCGCTTAGATATTGGGTCATATCGTAGACACGTCCATTCAAAATAGCAATGTAGTTGTTCTTACTAGCAAGAGTTGCAACATATTCGGCGGAGTAACCAATGTTACCTTTTTTGTAGTTGGCCTTGAGTTCTGTCATCTTCTCGTAGAACCAATCAGGCTGATAGAGATCTGTATTGTAGCGGAAGTCGTGATACTTGTAGTTGAAATCCGTAGTGCTGATGACGCTAGCCGAACCGCTCTCGTTTGCCTGTTTGTAGCCTAACATGACCGAAGGATCAACCGATCCACTTGTGCCCTGACACAACGCAGAAACCTGCACCGGGAAGAGAGAGGTAATGTCCAGGCCGGCATACTTGGTCATTGACTTTTCGGTGATATACGGGGGATAGTGGGACGGAAGATATGCAGCAAGGTCGAAAACCTGGCCTCGAATGGCGACATACGAGCCGTCGGAGTCGGTCTTTCCGTTGTATGCAGAAAGCTCATCAGAACTGAACACATTCTGCTTCGGACAAATAACCAGAGGAAATCCGATGATGAAAAATGTAGCCAGGGCACAGAATAACCAAATGATGATGTTGATCGCCAGCTTTTCCCGCCAGGCCATCCGTACATCCTTTCTGAGCATACCGCACCATCGAATAAGGAAATCCGGGATGAACCACGTAAGAGCATAGGTAATGAAGACCCATCGCTTTCGGCTTGAGCTATCCTTGAACTCTTCCACCTCCTCGAGCGACTTTTCGTTGCCCCTTTCGGCCATCTGCTCCCTGGTGTCGAAGTTCTTGAACATATCTCCAGCACCAAAAGCGGAGACACCGGCCTCGGAACGAGCATCGCTGTCGCCACCAAAATAGCCGCCACGCTCCTTTTCGCGGACAGCAAGTCTTTCTTTCGAAGCCAGGAAAGGGTTCGCGCCAGGCGAAGGTGTCAAACCGTCACCCATATCTGAGGCATAATGGCCGGATGCGGATACACCATCACCAAGCTGAGCGATCTCAAGCCAGCACCTTTCGCTAAGGAACACACCTGTAGACCCGATTTGTATTTCGTTACTGGGCCATTGTCTGTCGTGAACAACCATCTCAACCTTTTCTCGCTCACTTCCGACAAGAATTGTGTCAGCATCTGCTAGACCGAGGAACTCGCCGAAGGGTAGGAACAAACTGAAATCAGCAGTTCTTAATCTCTGGCTGATTTCTGCAATGCCAAAAGTTTGAACCTGTGTTCGAACACATTTGCTGTCGAACTGGTTGGCGATCCGACGGTCGTTCGGCTTTAAGCAAAACACAAAGTAGGCATTCGTGTTGGGCGCTGAAATGGATTGCTTCACGTTCTCCAACGAAGCAAGGTACTGACCAGACGCACCTTGCTCAGAAGGCTTGTTAGACTTTTTGGTTTCAGCAGGCTTGGTCTCTGCCTGGAAGTCACCGTCGCTTCCGAACTCATCAACTGAATCTTGACGACGCATACGGTTCGCCCGTGCAGTCCTTGTAGTTTTGCGAGACATGACACTCGGCTGTCTCATTGGCTTGGAGCTCACAGAGGCCTGCATGACAGTGCTTTTCTCCTTGGGGTGCATGACAGTCTGAAGGGCTTCCTGACCGAATAGACGAATAACAAAGTCGCTCTTGCTGGAGTTGACCAGGTTCATAAGGTCACCAGAGATGACCTCACCGTTCTCCTCCACAAGTCCCTTGATGGGGTACTCAACCTCTCCGGCAAAGTGCCTGACGGTGAAAGTAGCCGCAGTGTTTTCTGTGTAGAAGTTGCTACCAGGGAGCTTCGCTTGGGCAGAGCCGACAACGATAGCCGGGTTCTTGCCGTCAAAACGCCTCCGGCAACTTTCCAAGAATTGCATGTCGGTTCGGTGGCGTCGTGTTTGATCATCCATGATACTGAGCAAACCATTTCCAGGTTTGAGCAGGCACTTGACGGCGTCGGAGTTATCGAAATAGCTGGTAGCCGCCACAGTGACCTCCTCAGTATCAAGCAGATCTGCTTTGCGATCGAAGAAGTTCTGCAATGTGAAGTTGTACAAAGACTCGACTGCAGCATTATTTAGGAGCTGATCAAGAGCACTGCCAGTAGAAGATTGTTGTTGAAAGCCGGGGAAATCCAAAATTGAGATTGTGTTGGAAATGGATTCTTCGGGTGCACAGATTTTCTGGTTGATGTTCTCAATCACATAAGCAACGAGCAGAGAATACAATGTGCGTGCAAGCTCGTCCGCATTCGCACGAGCTCCCTGGGGATCCAGCATGACTGTGACTCTTTCCCGGTGAATCATCTTGGTCTTATATCCCATAGTGGTCTGCAAATCGGCAGAGCTAACACCGAGGAATGCAGCGATTATAGTCAAGGTGTCCTTGTTTTTGACCGCCGTGACAGTTTGGCCACCCTCGTGGGAGAAACCACCACTGTCATCCCCCGTGGGTGTAGTATCTGCAGTGGTCTCGAACTCGAGCTGGCCGATGTGCAGAATACAAGCAAGAACCTGGCATATTTCTGCAATCTCGCTCCTGGGGAATTCCAGTTTGCGGAGAGCATTCTTGAACAGCTGGAAACCATCAGCGTCATTAATTCCCACCTTCAACTGTGTAGGGTGGCCGAGATATTTCCATCGTCTCTGGCCAGCAGCATCTCGTGGTGTGTCAATTCCCAAGTGGGACTTTTCAGCATCACTCGTACCCGCAAGGAGATAGTACAAGACATGGAAGTTTCTCTCTCCGGTCGGCACCTCAGCGATTCTGCTTCTTTCCAGACGGTGATCCAGTAGTTTTGCACCAAGCAACAACGGACTCGTCATTGATGCTGTGTCGTATTGGAGCTCGTAGAACAGACCGGCTTTTGAGGCTGTATGCGTCGTCGCAGTTTTGGTGGTCGTAAGAGAATCAAAGACGTAAGCGGCAAGAGAAGCTTTTGAGGAGAGGGGGGTTGACGACTTGTTTAGCAAAGCAGTCAGGAGATGTGCCCGAATAGTGGTCTTTCCTGAGCCCGATTCACCCCTTTCACCTAGTTAGCATGCAATGGACTACTGAATGAACAGAAGTCGGGGTAGCTCACAAGAATATGATGGCCTGGTTTTCCGAACGGTGTCCAAGACGAATGAACGACCTGTCTGCCATGTCCTCGGCGCCGGCCATGGCGCTGCCCTCCTTGCCGCCATCGAGTCCCTTGGAAGAAGATGTGTAGGTGTTCAAGGACACGAGCGCATGTGACGACAGTCGAGCAGTCGGTATCGATACATGGAAGCGACTGGCCAAATGTGCTGTGATATGAGTGTCGGATTGGAGATGTGCAGGCAATGATGGCAGCGAGGGTTGAGTATGGGCTCCTCCATTGCCGCCCATGGGAACGTTGAGGGCCATGTTGGCTGAAGAGCCAGATCTGGCGGCTTCTGTTCACTCTTCAACTCCAAGAGACAATGATTTCTGACGTGCGAATTACGTTGGGTAGATGTGAGTGCACTGTCGAGAGAAATTCTCTATGAGCCACTGCAGAAAGTGCTGCAAGGCGCCCCTGAGTCTAAGTCTGAGATGTTTGGGGGATGAGGCAGGCTGCCTTTAGCGAATGTGATTCAAGAATTAAGGTTTCTGCGAAGAACGAGTGTGTATAGTCAATAGTAGCAGAAGAGAAGATAAAACGACAGCGAAAAGGGTCACCGTACAAAATACTTTTCCCCGAGCGAATGCTTCACAACATCTGTTCCGGGAGCTCTGCATACGGGCGTGTCACTCTGTTTTCTCGGGTGCTGCTCTTTGCGTCGAGGGGGGCGGGCGGTAGAGACCCAAGACGCAAGTGGGCTCGAGCAAAGATACAATACGATGTACCTCGTCCGTCTCGCCCGGCACTAAATAGTGTACGGATCCGTACCAAGATTGAGATACAAATTCGAGGTGCCTTGATGGTGTCACCTAGAAAGTGTCGCCTTGGACGGGGAACGGATGTTATGGGGCGACCTCACTCTGTTATGAATGCATTATCACTCGGTACTACGGTGCAGTTGTGCATCAATGACTGCATTGCACTGATGCGTCGCCATCTCCCAGCGGCGAACCTCCAAACCGTTCTACTCGAGAACGATTGAACGTGATTATCAGGCGCTCATGTACCGTAGTCGTACATGGTGGCTTTGGTGCGAGAGCCGCCCAACAGACGCCGAGTGTACACAGACCGTGGAGCGAACCCCAGACTCAGACCGGAAGGTAATGTAATGAATAATTGACAACGACTACTAATAGCACCGTTCAGGTGAAGGTCGCAAATATCGTCTACAATGTAATCTTCCTCTTCAATTGCAATGGTGCCTGTTATGTCAATTACCAGACAGGATAGTTTGCGGCGTAGTGATCAACCTCTTCATCATATGGCTTGCATAACATGTGCACTGCAGAAGCAACATGGTGTTTCGGATCGAATCTCACAGTTCGTTGTTCAGCCGCATTTGGCGTTGAGCTAGCCATAACCACGTTAACATTGTAGGGGCTGAGTACCGGCCGCTCAATGCATTGAGGATGTTCCTTATATGAGATACGAACAACGCACTGGATCATATGTTCTTGTCAACATTTATCACGACGATCGCTGGTCAGCTTACAGGATCTACGCTCCATATGAGCAATCCACTCCGAGTGGAATGAAGATGCGATCAGAATGGCAAATGCTTGGACACTACCTAATTATATCCGCGGACCGCGTCGGTGGTCTGCTGTAAAGTTCCGAAGCTTGAAAATTGAAGGTTACCACTACTTCGAGCTTGCATCGTCATGGGGGAACTGCAAATGAGTACCAAGTAGCACATCGACTCCCAAGCATAGTATACAATGAATTTCATCCAAGCATCTATATGGATCCCGCTTAATGAAGGATCGCAACTTGTGGTCGATCATATACACATCATCTTTGCGGAATGTAGCTTTTGACTGACATCACTTTACAAGGGGAACGGCCGTTGTCTCAGCGGAGTACCGGATACACTACAACATACAGGCAGTCTAAGTGGTATTTAAATTTTCGGCTCTCTTTCCACTGGTCCATGTCTCATTGAAAAACCGTGGTGGGACAGCCGCAAATCGTCTGTCGTATCTGGCTAAAAATAAAGGAGCCCCTCTTATTGCAAGCCACTAACCTAAAGAACTGCTGCTGCAAGCACCCAGGGCAACAGATGTGCTTACATGTGTGTCGGGGTTCACAGTCGATGGCATTTTAAGTTCAAGTTACGCGTTCGTTGCCCGAATGTCGGGGAAAAGTTTGTGTTGCCAGGAGCTATGCCTTCCAATAGGCGATCATGTAAACAGACGCGTCACGCAGGAAACCTTCCTGCCGTGGCCATAGCAGCCATTGCGCTCGCCTTTTGTACTGTATGACCACACCATCAATTTGGCTTCTTTCAGTGGATGCTGCGCATGTTGCACAGCGAAGACCTGTCAAGCGAAAACGCGCTTAGGTTTCGTTCGTATTATGGCAGGCTCCACGATCGCCATTACGGTCTTTGCCGTGTGGCAGTGAAATTTGATCTTTACTTCACGAGCACACCCCAGTGGGCTCCAGCGTCTCTTTTGTTCCAGATCAAACCCACTGTTTGTCAGCGACATCATAGTAGGCTGTCAGGGCTGCGCACAGCATTGTCCCCCCAATTTTCAGCAAGGGGTTTTGCAGGGCCCCTTGGGCTGCTTGGGCTCCTCGGGGCTCCAGTAAAATAAATAAAAACACCCCCATCAGCTCTTTCCTTGGTGACCCATCGAATCGGAAGTCAGATCATGGAAATTTCTGGGACTTCTCACTGGGTGGGCGGGACCCATTTCGCCGCTTCGTATTCCATGAACACGGGCTTGCTCATGCATAATTCCAGTCAACAATGGCTAGCGAGTGGACATCCGGAGCTTACGGTTGGACAGGGCCAGAGCTAGTCTCAGGGGTTTGCAAGGCGCTTCCCAGCCAGGCAAGACGGTGGTCAAGTGTGGTCAAGCCAAGGTCCATGGTCCAAGGTCCAAGGCAAGCCCCAAGGATGGAACTATGCTGAAAGCACCACTCCCCGGACGAAATCAACCAGATCGACACTATTCTGAGCTGGCCCAGCACGCGCTAACATGTTTATGCACAATAACCTTTCGGGACTGGCGCAAGTGCGCAAGTGTCCCTGCTGCCCGCCGTAGTCCAGTGCTCGTCGCCGAGCTGGACTGGTGATCTTTTTTTCGAATCGCTGTCATAGGAGAAACCCCCCCGTATTGCTCTGCCTTGCCTTGCTTTGCTATTGCTAGAGCTTTCTCCCAATTCATCGTCACTTTGAGGAAGTATCGTTTTTGATCTTTCATTTCTTCTCGTTGTATTGCCCTTGTGCCGCTCACTCGCTTTGGCGGTTTAATATACTATCGTTTTCCTAATATCTTCAAGCCTCTAGAGTTTTCTGTAGTCGGAATAGGAGGGATCGATTCGAGGTATAGAGCGGTACTGTTGCCCGGAGAACAAGCACATCTTACGCCACATCCCATACTTTCACCCTGCATCTACAAACGACACTCGCTCCCCACGCTTTGCTCGAGACTTTCGCCATAACCTCGAGACTGGTTGTTTCAGATGGTTAACGTGAACTCTGCTTGATTCTCCTACTCCTTTCGCAACCGACGCACCAATTGAGCATCCAGACATTTTGATCGTCCGAAGGGACAACACGGGTCACAGCCTACATCATGGCTAACCACCAAGCCCGCATGTCCATGTATTCGGTCGCATCCGAATCCGCAGGCGGTCCTCGAGGTCCTGGCCAGCAAGCCAGCCAGGTCTCGACAACCACTCTGCTCAATGGGACGCACAATGTTTACTTGTCCTCTCAACCATACCAACTTGATGCTGCGACAAGCCTAGTAGTCAACACATGGTTGACTGCTATGCAAACTGGTGCAGATGGGAATACAGGCGGCACCGTTGATCCTGCACTGGCCGCCCGCGCCTGGGAACACGCCCGGCGCCGTGCAGAGGATGGTTGCATCGTCCTGAAGTACGTGGACCCTGATCTCATGAATGCTATTGCGAGCATCGACTGACACTGTGATTCAGCTCTCTCCATACGTCAGCGCCCTCTATCCTGGCGCCCTTCCTCAGATCTCTCCCGCTCTCCATCCCATCCGCCGTGTACACTGCCCTCGAGGCAATCAGGCCATTCCTTCACTGCGTCACCCCATACAACCCCGCGGCGCCACGCGAGGCAGCCCTTGGTGTGACATTGACCCTGAACTTGGCAGGCAACCTTACTGCCACGAAGCTTGCTCTTTCTCAGGGCGGTATTGATACCAACAAGGGTCTCTTGAACATCCCTTCCGAAGCTGGCTATCGAGCATTCGACGTGTTCTACTATCTCCTCACATCTGCGTCTACACCAGCCGAACGAGAGTTCCTCGGGCTCAAACCCGCGTCTACCTATGCGCTCCTGGCTAGATCTGGCACATACGATTCGCCCTCCTACCTCCCCACTGCTGACGACGCAGCAGCCGCCGACGATTTCCGTGCTGCACTGAAGGAGATCGGTATCAAAGGTTCCGCGCATCGCAACTTCATCTCCACTCTCGCTGGCCTTCTCAAGCTTGGCAACACAATCGATTACGGCGTGGATGAGGATGTTCTGGATGATATTTGTGAAGACGTCGGCGGTCTCCTCGGTCTCGACCCGGAAGTGCTGGCTGCCAAATGTAGCACCGACGACAGGCGAACATTGATTGGAGGTCTCTATGAGGCGCTGGTGGACTGGGTTATTCTGAAGGCCAACGAGGCCATCGCAATTGCCATGTCCCGGACCCGTGATGGTGCGGCGTCGTCTGATGGCCGCGGTGCCCGAACTCCTACTCCTGATGACTCTGACACCGTCTGCATTACCGTAATTGAGATTCCGGATCCTACACTGGGCAAGGCCGTGGCCATGCGTGGCATTTTTGACGATTCCACGGGAATCAACGCCGAGATGAAAGAGGATGGTGTGGAGGTAGCTGCAGCTGGAAGCTCTGTCTTGCGAGAAATGCAAAATGCCATCGCAGAGGTCGGCCCTGATCTAGGTATCATGACAGGTCCGGTCGGCCGAGACAGAGAACACGAGCTCGAGAAGCGAGAGACCATTCTCGAGAAAGTTGCTCTTGCTGGGGACGATGATGGCTTCCTCAAGAAACTCCTTTTCCCAGTCGTTGGAGCGGGTATCAACCTTGGCCGAGCGGGACGATTTGACCTGGCCTCAGTTCTAGCTAGCAGCCGTGCCTGGTATCACCTCTCACTTCACCCAACAGATGACTCGCCTGCTAGTCTTGCGGCTTTACCTTCCATCACTTCTGCATGGTCTGCAGGCACTGTATCGCGACAACTTCGGGCCTGGAGATTGCCTGAA